CAGATGCAGCAAGGGTCCTAGTGCCCGAACCCACGTTCCCGCGGGAACTACCAACAAACATGGAAGTGGGAATCGGCGTGGAAATCAGCTGTTCCAGGATCTACTCAGCCTTAGTTGAGGGAATATTCTGAGCAGTCCCTGATCACCCTCAAGCCACGATGACCTGCATAGTGAACCAATCCAACTGATTTCCTGGCTTTATGGGCCAGGTAGCCCCGCTGCGACTTCTGTAGCATTTACCTCTGGGCCAATCGCAGATGGACCCGGGGTGTTCAGTCCTATTTCAATACGGGCAAGCCCTCGCATGGTCCTAAGCTGGCACCGCCAGGGTGGCCTTGGTTCGTTGCCAATGCAGATCGGCAGGGCCGGAGCCTGAGGCCACGAAGGAGCCGAGGTGAAACGAGGCTGAGTTTTGAAGAACAACGGAAAAGCTTCTGACCTGACCAAGTCTGTTTTTTTATGCAGTAACGGTAGAAATCCAGATCTATATATACATGTGTCCGTAGCCCGTTCATGTGTGGCTGGTGATTATGTACGCAAGAACTAGACTAGTCCGAGCAGACCGAACCGTGGTGTTCAGCAGATCTGCCGGATCTCCATGTTGGACCAGGTTTTCGTGCTCTGACATCATTGCTATTAACTCATCTATAGCTTCATGATCATTCGCATAAGTGGCAAGAGGCTCTTTCATATTTGACATGATCTCAGGGCAATGACCAAGTTGGCCATGATCAGCCGCAAGGAGACAAAAACAACGTGTTAAAACTGGACCCACGACCAGCCACACGCGTTAGTGGGCTTACACAGCCTCAATCTTATCCGGGTAGTCGTTACTTTGTAAACCATGTAGGCTGTCATATACAACGAAGTACCATGTACATCCTTCCCCAGTTCAGGGTTCATCAAGAGCCTCGACCGTGAATGACTGGATTACCAGGTTACCATACACGCATACCTTTTTTTTTTTGCCCCGTTCATGCCCCCAAAAGGTTGTGCCCGGTTTCCCTCCTACGGTGTATTATTTCCTTTCCTATTCTACTTTTCCATCGAAACTTCGGGTTCCTGAGAGGCAAATTCTTCCTCTAGTAGGATTCCATTCCTGTTCCTGCGCCTCTTTTGCACCCGCCACGGTCCCCAAAGTTCCCGGGCTCCATTGATTCTCAACCAATCTTGTTGATTCCCACGGCCGATTGCTATTTTAACGCAGGCCTGAGCCCCTCTTTGGGTGGTGGATCGTCTTCCAGGCAAAGGCCATAGCTGAAACCAAACCTCGTCAGCTTGCGCCACACTCGGTTTCCTTGAGGACAGTACCCGCCCCACACGCCCTGGACTTCCTCCGTAACAATCCCCCCCCATCAACCCCAGCATATACACCGATTTCCTCCCTGTTCGAATTCTCTGGCTGAAGTTAGTTCGATGATTTTCCAATCCTTCACGTTTACTCGCATTTTCCTTCTAACATGTCGCAAGTAGCTGTCGCCTTGGTTCGTCCATCACCTTACGAGGCTGGCGCAAACCCTTCTGCCTCCATGGCGGCATTGATGCAGTCCACCAACGAGCCTGTTGCCGTGTCCAACCCCATCACTGGTCCCTCCCATTCTATCACGACTTCCGATTCCATATCCTATCTTAAACCGCCATCCAAACCGGAATCCAATCTGAGCTCCATCGCCAGTGCCGGTCTCCACGTCTCCCGGTCACAACCTCCCCAGATGACAAGTCCCTCATCGGCGCCGGATCGGCCGGTTGAACACGACAGGGATGCAGAGCGAAATAGCTCCCAGGTGGCGCGGGAAGCTTTGGGGGCCAGCGAAAAGTCGCCGGTCCCTTCAATCCAAGATCCTCAGATCCATGCATCCCCAGAACAGATGCAGGTAGACACCCACGCCAATGACACATCAGATCCCTACGGCTCAGCCGACCACCAGAACTCACTCATGCACGCCTCAACGGTCGCGAGTCCGGGCCCGATTGAAGAGTCAGCTTCGCAGGATGGCGATCGTCATCGTCAACGGGAAGACTCGGAGATTGACCAGGATAGTAACAAAGCCTTCTCGTATCCGATGCCCACCGGCGGAATTAACGACCCTCGGCGCGGTCTGAGTTTGCCCAACGCGGGCTACAACAGAGGGAGCCCACGCTCGCCATCGGCAAAGAAACATCGGTGTCCATATTGCGCTACTGAATTCACCCGCCAACACAACCTTAAGAGCCATCTCCTCACCCATAGCCAAGAGAAGCCATTTGTTTGTCAAACCTGCCAGTCCCGGTTCCGCAGACTGCATGACCTGAAACGACACACTAAACTGCATACCGGCGAACGACCTCATCTCTGCCCCAAGTGCGGACGGCGTTTTGCTCGAGGCGATGCGCTTGCGCGACACAACAAAGGTCAAGGTGGATGTGCCGGTCGACGAGCTAGCATGGGAAGTTTTGCGCCCGATGATGAATACGGAGATGGTCACCATCACGACGGTATGGATGGCCTAGTCTACGCGGAGCCGGAAGCCATGGATGGAGAGGAAGAGCGACGACTGAGCACCCAGGGAATGCGCAAGCATGACGATACCCTTCCACGATCTGATACCTTGAATTCTGCGCGTCAATCCAGCACTTACCCGCCCATCGCGGCAAGCCGTGGAGGTCTCTTTCCCCCGCCTGGTACGCATAGTGGATCTGGCTCGGCGTCTGCTGCAACCTCCCAAGCGGGGAATCTGACATTCCCTCCTGCAGGTCACACATCCGGCTCGTCTCTCTTTACCCCCGGTAATCTGACCGAGAGCTCCAAACCATTGTCCCCGAATGCTCTATCACACCATGACTCGGCTGCGTCATCGCACCGCGGACACTCGCCCAGCATGGGCCAATCCTTGCCTCACCCACAGGCACCTTTTGGGCGGGGGAGCCTGTCAGGGCCTAATCATACAATGGGATTGCCCTTGCCACAACCAGGAGCTCAGCTCCCTCCCCCGGTTGTCAGCTCGCCAGACGCTCGGTTTGGGCTACAATCTAATAAGCACGCACCATCGACCCTCTCTGGCAACCATGGTTTACCTGCACCCAAGGGTGGACCTGACGGTTCGGACGGGTCTGATGCCACTCAGATCGACAAACTCTGGGCATACGTTCGTTCCATACATGACGAGTTGACGGGATTACGAACTGAAGTCGCTTCACTGCGCGCACATATTGCCTCCACCAATTCGTCGACAGCAGCTCCGGGCGATGCGAACCACACCAGCTCCATCTCCCGGTAGCTATCGTCTCTTGCTGTTTGAACTTTTTGATGTGTACGATATTGGCTCCGATTGCCTTTTCTGGGCTGGTGTTGTTTCTCTCACTTCCCTTGTTGATACGTTTCGATTCCTCCACCGTCGGGTGGTTCGGGTCGATCCTTGATGCCCTTCATGATCGCCGCTTGACAATCACGGGCGTTGGTGGCACTAATTTCTTGATATTATTATTATTATATTGGCTGGCGTGTGAACGCAACAGCCTTGGCACAGTCTCACATCTCCTTTATTTCATTATTGCCACCCCACCTTCTCTCCTTTCACCCTGTCCCCGAGTGGCAGGGATCTTTTTTTTCTCTTCTGGATTGGCTAAAGGCGTTCGGCGTACCAAAAACTGGCCAACACTGCATTGGAAGTGGATGGTCGGTCTGGACTTGCTTTATGCCATCCAAGATTCCCTTCGATAATATCCCAGGACGGTGTTGGATGGCTGTGATTCGGAGGATGGAGTCCTGTTTTGGTTTCTTTTTCTCTTCTGCCCGACAACTTACTGATTGCATTTGATCGATGCATGGAATGACGGATTGGAGTTTCTTATCTTCTTCATCTTCTGTAACTGGGTGTCCCCACTTTGGTGCTAGGTAGTGATAATATACCCTATTGGACACAGCAATACTTTTGCGATTTTCAGCTTATAGTTGTAAGTGATACGAGCAGCTCGCTTGGTATCGTCAGGCGCAAGCTCCAAGTCAGAACTATAATAACAAAGAGCCAGCTAGTCCCAATTTGGAACTGATCAAGCTTTTGCAGTCTTGAAGTTGACCGTTGATGAAAATTATGCATAATACCCAATGCTAGACAAACAAGCTCAAGGCCCCAGGTGGGGGTTATTTAAAGTAGAAACGTGGGTCCCAAAAGCAAAGAGAAAGATCAGAGACATTGAAATCTAGAACATGCGAATTCCCGATCTCGTTCGATCTGATCAATATAGCCATTAAGTCCTAAAGCCGAAAAAGAAGATGATAGGTCGTGAATAACATACCCACTTTCAAGGGGAACAAAAGAGCGGACGGTCGGAGTTCCGTCCCCGACAATCTCCGCCCACATCGTTTTCATACACAGCAAAGAATCAGGTCATCCACCTTGTAGAGCCTATCAGGGGTCATATGACTACTGTTCGCGTAAGCAAGATCCAATGGATATTCAAATAAGCGGTGTTTGACAAAAGTACCTAAAGCCGGACATTTGAATTGCCCGAGCCTTCCTAGAGGGTTTTCTATTCACCGAGCGGAGCCCGTTCCCAGGGTCCAAGCGTAGAGATGCTCCGCTTGGATGTGCTTAATGCGCTGGACCAGGACCCTGATTTTCGATGTCTCCATATTTACCAATGCATCGAAAGCATGAGGTGTAAGGTCTATTCTACGGAAATTGTATTCGTAATTAGCTTAGCAGCATCATTCCTATTCCAAGTCTTTGCATGTCATCGGAGGGTGATAATGACCGTCCGCGCACAACTGACACAATATGTCAATAACACGGAGACAACCGTTCCCGGTGCTCTATCATCAGCACTAAAACGGAGCTCATGACTCAATCCTTTATCTCCGTGGGTTATTGTCGGTCTAGTCCGCCAATTTTATAATTTCTGCCATACAAATAGAACAGGTCCTGCAGTGCGGAATTTTTTTCACTAGCAAATATCTGCAGTCGGGTTTACATTCACGTGGATTTTTTCTTCTACTAGAAAAGTCAACGTCCATCTTCAATATGGTAGAGACTTCCAGTTTGTCGGAACACGACGAGAAGTCGGTTGTTCTCGACGAGAAATCGTCACCAGATGTCGCACCACAAGATGTCAATGCTGCTCTCGAACGCAGCGTCACGACAGAATCGGCCAAATACCCTTCACTGAAAAAGATTATTCCGATTATGGCTGCACTATACATATCCATGTTCCTTGTCGCTTTGGTGAGTCAAACATCTGAAGCGATCCGTTTATACAAAATCCTAACATAGGAATAGGACCGTCTGATCGTCGCAACAGCAACCCCCAAAATCACAGACGAATTCCACAGTCTTACCGACATAGGCTGGTACGGCAGCGCATACATGTTAACGGCATCAGCCTCCCAACTAGTCTACGGTCGAATCTACACCTTCTACCCCGCAAAATGGGTCTTCCTAGGCTCAATTCTAGTCTTCGAAATCGGTTCCGCACTCTGCGGTGCTGCTCCCTCATCTATAGCCTTCATCATCGGCCGAGCAGTGGCAGGTCTGGGCACCGGCGGAATCTCAGCAGGAGCGGTCATCATCATTGTCTTTACCATCCCACTCGAAAAACGACCTATGTACCAAGGATTCCTGGGTGCAGTCTTTGGTATCGCCTCAGTCCTAGGTCCGATTCTGGGTGGTGTGTTCACGACAAATGTCACATGGCGCTGGTGTTTCTATATCAACCTGCCATTTGGTGGTGTGGCTATCGCCGCTATCTTTCTCTTGTTGGATGTTCCGCCGCCGAAGAATGGGAATTGGACTATCAAGCAGAAAATTGCGCAGCTTGATCCGCTGGGTAACCTTTTCCTCATTCCTTGCGTGATATGTCTGCTTCTTGCGTTGGAGTGGGGTGGTTCAACTTATGCTTGGTCTAACTGGCGCATTATCTTTCTATTCATCCTGTTCGGTGTGCTGGGTGCTGTGTTCGTCGTCGTCGAGATCAAGCTCGGTGAGAGGGCGCTTGTGCCGCCCCGTATCTTTACTCAGCGGTCTGTTCTGGCCGGTTTTTTCTGGACTATGAGCACCAGTGCTTGCATGATGGTTATGCTGTACTACATACCCATTTGGTTCCAGGCCATCAAGAATGTCGATGCCGAGCAATCGGGTATCATGAACTTGCCTCTGGTGCTTGCAATGGTTATCGGAGTGATTTCTTCAGGAATCGCCATCTCGAAATTCGGCTACTACAACCCATTCATGTTTGCCGCCGTCGTTCTGCTCTCGGTCGGTGCGGGTCTGCTGTATACTTTTCAAGCTGACACAGGTCATCCCAAGTGGATTGGCTACCAGGTCATTTTTGGTCTTGGATTGGGCTTGGGACTACAACAAGCCACTATTGCTGTCCAGACCTGTCTCGCTCCTGTGGATGTTCCGGTTGGAGCATCACTGCTCATGTTCTCGCAGCAATTGAATGGTGCTCTTTTCGTGAGCATTGCCGAGACATTGTTCTCAAATTTCTTGAAACAAAATCTGGAGCAGGTATCCGGAATCAATGCGGCGGAGGTCATCAAAGCTGGTGCTACAGCGATACGGCAATATGTCCCTGCGTCGAAGCTGAGTGAGGTGTTGAGTGGGTACAGTGATGCGATTACCAAGACATTCATCCTTGGTATTGTCATGTCGGTTCTTTCGTTGTTCCCGGCATTGGCAATGGAATGGAAGAGTGTCAAAAAGGATGTGCATAAGGAAAAGAAACAGGAGACGGCAGAAGAGAAGGCATAGATGCGATGATGTAAATAGCACGATCTGATGAATTTGTTAACTGTATAATAATCATAATGATAATATCTCAGCTCCAAACTATCCTTACTTCCAGATCTTATCACTCATCCTTCAACCACCGTGTAAACCACGCAACAGCAGCATCCTTCCCCCTCTCCATCGCCGCCCGCTCCCCAGCCTTTTTCTCATCCCCGCGCACAAGACAACCATGGACTACCCCCGGAAAGTGCTGATAGTCAAACGGCAAATTCAAGTTCAACAGCTTCTCAAGCGCATACATCTTAAAATCCATTGGAAACGCCATGTCAATCTCAGGTGCCAAAAGCTGCACAGGGACATTCACCTCATCCACATCCTTCCGCTCCAAGAGCGACGGATGTCCAACAGAAATGCAATCCACCAACGGCTGATCCGCATGCTCCTTAGCTCCTAACCGAAACGAAGCCCACCCACCATAACAATACCCCACAGCCCCAACCTTCTTAAACCCAAGGTCCTGCTTCAAGGCCCTCGCACACTCGAAGATCTCCGGCTCGCGGATTTCCCGACTATTCCGAGCAATGAAAGCCCCAAGATTTAGCTCGGCAAACTTCTCTGCAGCGATGAGATCAAAGTCTAGAACTTCGCCGTTGAAGAAATCGGGGACGTAGACTGTTGCATCGACTTCGCGGGCGAAGTGGTCGGCTAGGAGCCGGATGTTGGGGAATGTCCAGCCAAAGAGGTCGGTTATGAAGAGGATGGCGGTTTGGGGGTTGTTGCCTGTTATGTAGACGTCGTTGTTTGCGAGTTTGGAGGTTTGGCCGCTTGGTGTGCCTGACCAGGCGAAGCCTTGGATGCAGCACTTTTGTACGGACATTCTGAGCTGTAGAATGATGGGATATTTACTGGACTGCTGCTGGTTTACTAGAAGTGTTGATGTAGAGACTAAATTGTTGTCGAGGTTGGACTCTGACAGCGGGGTTGTAAAGATCTTACATAACTGGTGTTTTGCCTGTCAGCAAAGCAATAATGGCCTAAACTTGCGTTGACTGAGGTGTCTATGGTCCCAGGCTATTAAAGTACATTCACACATTTAGATGTGAATTCAGTATAAATAAATCAATATGAATTTATACCCTCCGGTACTGGGAAGCCAACAGCTGCTCATCTGCAGGCTCTGATCGCGTGTGCTCTCATCCCCAAAAATCCGGAACTAATCGGCAATCACTTTGTCATTAATCCCGCGGATGCAAGGCCGCACAGGATTGAGGATCTCAATTGTTTCCCATTCTTCTAACTTGCGCTGAAGGTGTGACATCGAACGCATGACGAGTTGGTAACATGAAGCGCTCTACAACACTCATGGAACTGGAGTTTTCGAAGGCGCTTCGCAGAGGTGCACCAATCTTCCAGTTCAGTGATAGGAAGGTGTTTATAGAGATTTATGGATTTGTGGTACTTACCTGGAGCCGGACGAGGTCGCCACGATAATCTGGGAGCATATTTTGCAGTTTTGTCCCCAATTAAGCAGTGGGTGGTCTCCTGATACTAATGGTGAGTGATCTTGAGGGCCGACATACACTGTCATTCCCTATTCAACGAACCATTTTAAAATGTTAGAAGAGTGGGCGATAGAGTTTTGATCCCTTCACTGGAGAACTGTTACTTGGAGATGCAACATCCGAGCCGCACATGGAAACCATTGGGTTCCCACGCCGAGCTATTAGTTGCAGAAAATGATGCATTCAATTCTCTTTTTCAGACGTCACCCAGGTATATAGGCATCGCTTATAGAAGGGAGGTCTTTTTGCAAAAAAGTGCTTATGTAACTATATCAATTCCCTTATCTAATGCCGCAAGGTTTCATCCAGCTATACTAATTAGGCATCTAGTTCTTAGAGCTTATCTCTTACCCCAAAAACCCCCCCTCCACACCTCCCTTATACTTATTATTAAGATCTTCACAACAAGTCAGTCCATCAAATCTTGATAAGCTCCACACTATCACTATTTTTCAACATGCGCGGGACAGCCCCCCACCCCATCATTCATATCAATGGCTTCCCCGGCACTGGAAAGCTAACAGTCGCTCAGTATCTGGTCACGCATGTTACCACTGTAGATCTGAAGCTAATCCATAACCACCTTCTCATCAATCCCGCTGACGCCGTTCTACACCGTACCCAACCAGGGTACCAGGCTCTCCGGCGTGCTCTTCGCAGCGCCATCTTTACCTCCTTGGCCGAGCCCGCCACACTCGATACAACCTACCTGTTCACTGACTTTCAAACAACGAATGAACTTGGTACTAGTGTATGCGCAGAGTACGCACAGGCAGCGAAAGACCGAGGCTGTCTACTGATTCCCATTGTTCTGACCTGCGATGAAGATGAGAATATCAAGCGCATAACGCAGTCGGGGCGTGAAAAGCATGCAAAGCTTATGGATGTGGAGCTGCTGAGAATTTTTCGCGAGGGAGCACCGATTTTTAAGCTGGGCGATAGAAAGGAGTTTCTAGAGATTGATGTGACATGTTTAGAGCCGGAGGAGGTTGCAAGGGTTATTTGGGAGCATGTTTTACGGGTGTGTCCACATATAGGTGGTGGATGGTCTTGATATAAGTTATTAACTTCCCTCTTATATGGGACTGACCTATCAGAAGTAGGCTTTGACATTGTAGGTAGAGGGAAGATGAGGCCATGACTGTTTTGCATGTAGCCAGAATTCAAAAGGGCATGGCTTTTTCCTGGTGTGTACAAATAGTAAAATCAGTGTACATTTATCAAACCAGTGTACAATTATCAATCTCTTAGTTAATCACGCCAAGAAGATCGAATGCCACGAGCGAGCCTCTTCACTCGTTAGGCGTCCCGCGGATGTGCCTTATACAGTGCAATTGTGGTATAAAGCTCAAAGGGCACTGCTGCGCCCTGCCTGGGGAGTTCCTGGTGTTTACACACCCCTGGTTTGGGCAGTAGACAAGGGAGATACTCAACTTCTCCAATTACTGATGGCGGGAGGCAAAGCGAACCCGAGTTTTTGGACTAGGGATATGGAGGCTATACCCTTGCTAAAAGCCACCCTGGGGCAACATGAGGAGATGGTTCAGATCCTTGTTGGGCCCACATCAAGATTACAGAGAACGCGGGCCCTGGCGCTCAGCATGGATTACCCCGATGGGCGAATCGCTCAAATCCTGCTAACGAACGGTGTACTGCCGGATTTTGAAGAAGGCGATCATTCCACGCTAAAACAGGTCTTTGACGATAGTCCTGATGTTATAGATGACATACTGATGCCACCTTTAATTCGGGCAGTCCTTCGTGGACATACAAATCTAGTCAAATTGCTGGTTGCGAGTGGAGCCAATATCAATGTTGAGTATCGAGGGTGGATCAAAGAGCTTCCGACATGGGTTATTGGGGGTCTACTTGAATTGGCTGAGCAGCTGAGAGATCAGGAGACGGCAAATTTCCTGCGGAGTCAAGGGGCGAAACGCGACGTTGGCACATGGTTGTATGCGCAGTTCGAGGGTTGGACGTACAGCAGGCCATCTCAATGAATAGGGAAATACGGTTGGAGGGAAAGGACCTTGTGAACGGTTAAACTATAGCCCACTAGATTAACATCATAAGGGATATTGGAATGGTCTTCTTCTTATTATCACTTGCCTGAATGAAAAATAGTGCAATGTTAATAGGCGAGTTATTACATGAGAAGTCTGTCCAAAGGGCCTAAATTAATATCACCGCTCTGCCTCCTGGGATTGACTTTGATAGTCTTTTCATGCTGATACTGGGTTTGTCATATTCAGGTTACTGCACAGTAGAGTCGAGGTAGGCGGGCCCATAACTGCTAAGATGATTAAATGGTAAAAATACTAGGTTAACGTAATTGAGCTTATTAAACTGGTCTTGTTTCTTACTATTAGCAGTGAGTACGCCAATTTGGCCGTGATGGGACGCGTTAGTAGCACTAGATAGTAGAAATAGCAGTAACCTGCCTAGGTATCTACTTAGGAGCACATCGTGATTTGAGAGTAATAAATGATGTTCCTTGGCAATTAGTTATTCAAAGATGTACGAATACCTTGGATCTCATCCTGTACGGGCTGATGTGGTAGAAGTAAAAAGCGGAATTATCCCATGCACGGAGTGGATCTAACCTCGGATTCCCCACAACGGCGCAATTATTGAACCGAGGCGCGCAGCGCGATTAATAGGCCGGCCCTCAACCCCTTATCATCATCTATAACGCCATTTTCAACGTAGAATATTGCGGCAAAGAACATCATAAGAGCCAAAATGTCCGTGGCACCATCTCGATCTCTTCAGGCTTCTGCCCTGTCATTCCTGTTCCTGTCCATCGGGCACACGGTATGTTCCCATAAAGTGTTGAATGATCAGATAACTAGAGAGCTTGAGTTGACGCACTATGCATTGCAGATTGGTGGAAAGCAATGGACTGCTGAGAAAGCTTTTAAGGCCATTGCCAACTCTAAGCCATGGGCCTGCGGAACTGTGGGCTGGTATCAGGTACGCGTCTGCTGATAGTAGTCATGCATAATCCCTCAGCTTGAGATTTTGAGCTTTAGAAATTATTTTAACTCTGCCTATTTAGGGGAGTGCATTTTTCTTGGTTTCTAGTAAGTCCTGCCGGGTTTATTGATCATCCTGTTCTATACACTAGTACCTTGACTAATGCCTTCCAGGCCTTCTGCATTACCAGTGGTCCCGCGACCCAACCGCGCTCAGCGACCCTGTGAACAAAGCTATGGCTGGTATTATCAATATTCTGCTCTATGCCAGTTCGGCCTGGTACGCCAAGAATGGTATCAAGGATAATGCCGTTGTAGTGGGCTTGTCCGCTGCATTGCAGACATACGCTGTGTTCATACTGTAAATGTGAGATCAAAATGCCTGTCTAGTGTTTTTGAATTGGTTTACGAATGCAATACATCTATCCTTGTATTTATTATGCACACCAATATGATATGATTTATCAAAGCCCTGCGGGTGGACTACACAGACCCAGCAGTCCGTCGACGCATAGTCCACCCAATGAACAATCCCACATCGGCCACCACAGCGCGTGGAACTCCACCCATTGTCCAGTTCCGCTGAACCCATTGTGGAATTGACCCTCCTGCATCGGAAGTTGTTGCCATTGTCCACTCAATGCGACTAGGACCATTGTCTCCCGGGGGTAGAAGGTTAACTTGCTCTACACTCGCGTAGTTGGCGAAGATAGTCCGTTTTGGGACGACAAAGTCAATTTTCTGTTGGAGATGCTCCGGCGTAGAGGATGGAGTTGACAGAAGAGGAATCTGAACTGTAATGAATCCTTTAGACGGGGCTCCTTGAGCCTGCTGCGGGTTATCGTATGCAGCAGAGATGGTCAAAGAGATGAAGGTGCGGGGAGCAATAAGCGCACCCGGATGGAAAGTGTGAGTTATCATATTAACTGGAGATGTCAGTCAGCATACTAAATGGAAAACAAAAGCCAATTCTAGCTGCATACTTTCAATATCCACATCCTTGAAAACAAGCCCATCAATTTCAATCTCTCCAGTCTCGCTTCTCGACCAGTTGAGCAATCTTTCGACGCCAGTGACACTTGGTGTATAGTCCATCTCGTGCTCAGCATGGTTGGATCTTAACCCAGTCTCAAATTCACTCCATGACGCCGTCCCTTTGGCTTCGGCATCGACATGTTCGCTTTGCCGGCATACCCAGAATTCGGGTTTATTATTCTTTTGGCTGACATCTTCTGGAAGCTTGCGCCAATGGCGCAGGAGCTTTACCTGTGTTGCAGATGGTGACGAGGAGCGCAGCTTAGGGTCTGCTGTGAATGATGAGGGGACAGAGTGGAGAAGCTCGAGAGCTTCCTGCAGGGCGGTACGGGTGTACGATTGGAGCTCCGGGCGAGTAGCATCGTTTGAGAGGGATGAATGTGCCGGGAGGGAAGAGAACAAATGCGGTTGTAACCGTAAAAGAGGCATTGTGAAATAGTTGAGGGGTTGGTAGAAGGGGGAGCTGGTTTGAGGGGGAACTGATCGGCGAAGCCGTCTCGATTCGATCCAAATGTAAACAGTGTTATGAACGGAAGCAGCTCTTGGATCGTCAGATCATTTCATTCATTAATCGTCTGTATAAACCCTTCTTCAAGGCAAAGTCTAATTAGAGACAGCGAATTCCTGGTCCTACGCTGCCTGTTTCAAACATTTCTACGAGTCCAGCGCCCAGTGCCTCTTCCAGCACCCAACGGAATTGCATGCCGTACATATCCTTCCACTTTTTGGTTTTTCCCGGCAAAATCCCCGCAAACTCGCCTCGAGCCCTTTTCGCTAAGTGGAAGCCCTTGTCCGTTTCCACTGCCCCGTCCCACCGCTCTCTAAGCAAGTCCAGCGGTGCCTCACCACATCGGGACCGTCGGAGGAGGGCGAGGAGGTGCGCACGACCTGCACCCAGTAATCTTAGGTATGTTCCAGTATTAGGTAGAGACAAAAATAATGTCGCCGAACGAGCCTGCGCGTCATTTTGTACGGGTCTGTCTGTCTCAGAATGTGCAGATCTACTCCGACTGGCTGACGACACTGCTGCGCCGGGCAAGTTGGGAAGAGACGCGAGACTCAATGAGCCCTGTGTGAGCGTCGAAGATGAGACGAGGAATCCGGCGCGCATCAAAGCTCGATACTCGTCGGGTTCGAAGATGCCCTGCGAGAGTGCAGAATGGGTTCCGATGCGATTGAGGATATCTAGGAATTTCTCTGCGACTTTTTAGCTAATGATGTACAACCGCTAATATTCAGGCTACTCACCCTTGATCTCGGGACTCAGAGCTGGACAGTCACGTACCAGCTGCTCCCAATCTTCCGCGAGGACTAGACAATCCCCTAGTCCCGCTGCATCATTGCCACGCCCTGGAATGATCAGACGCCGCACCCGTCCTGATTTCAGCAACTCGACGATTTCTCGCTCCACCTGTGTTGGTGCATTCAACAAGGTGTGTATATGGGCAACGGAGGCAAGCGGGGGTAACGACCGGCGCAGATTCAGAACCTCCGCAATGCGCGTGCTATTCATCCCCGCTCGCTGAGGCATATCCTCGAACATTTTCGTTCGTACATGCCTGATCGCTTGCTCCACATTTTCAACTGCGGCAGTTTCTGATATGTATTGAGATGTACCTTCGTCTGGAAGGGGTTCGTCTAGACCGAAGTCTAGGCCGGCTTTCAAGCCAGTTGTGGCTGCATTGGCTTTGCGGCGTGCATGGGCGGCAAAGGGCGAGGCGTGGGCTTTAGGTAGAGGCTTGGCTGATTTTCGTTTTTGAATGCCGGCGACTGGGGCTGAAGTGAGACGCAAGGTCATACCTGACACCGAACTTGATTGCGACAAAGAGAAAGCATGGAGGAGAAAGCAGATTACCTCATTTGCTGTCAGGTGATCCATGACTTTCCGCCAATTAGAAACGGCTCTCTATACTCTGGTATGTTGGGTACCGTATCTAACCGTTTCTAATGGCACCAGTGGACACGGAGCCGTCGGGATCTGGTATGGGGCCGTTAGAGTCAATACCGCTCAGGAAGTACAAGTAATCCTGAGTCTGGGCCCAGTGTTTCTCGGGATTTCCCCTGTCATGTTGTCATGGAGGAAGATAAAGCGTAATACCGTCTTAAAATCTGATTTGTGGTAGACACCCCCACCAACAGTTGTCTGCAAACACACACCGTGTCGCTCAAACTTGCACATGACGTAGCGATGAGAGAAAAGTAGATCCTCACCTGATTCGTTTCGAGCTTCCAAACATCTACATATTCTCAGGTCAATCCCACTTGCTGCAGAAATCCCACCTTGGTGGACTTGTCAGATCCCTCAACGGGGCGCTTTATCTGAACTCTCCGCGCGCTTGCCCCTCTTCCCCTCCACGGACCCCTCCATCATGACCGTCTTCATCGCGTCACTGTAAGTACCTTTGCTAGAATGGGAAGAAGCGGTGACACCACAGCACAACAAAGCTAACTCTATGATCTCTTAGCTTCTTGCCCTACACGGTAAACTTCCATGATACCAAACCTCGCGACAGTGTTTCGGCTTCAGTCCCTCCCTCGGCCGCCAATCCTGTGATTCCTGTCAACGATCCAGTAACTCCACCCACCAACGCGACCAGCCTATTCGAGAAGAAAACCCCCACTGTGCAACCAGGTCTCACACCGGGTGCGACGACCGACCATGAGCGCATCTTTGCCAATGATGTAGCAAATGCCGAGGAGCAGCACTCGGGATACCCGTTTCCAGCAACATCTACTCCACCAACGGGCAATCAGATCTTCACGGAGAGTGAAGCGCATTCTCCAGCCTGGGGATCGACGAACTCCCTCAATCAACCAAAGCGGAAGACCATTGTGTCCCCTTCTCCATCCATTCTGAAACACCAAGACCCCGTGCCGGCCAAGGATTCCAAGACTCCCCTCACGAAAATCCCGGAAACCGCGCCAGTTGCTGCTCCATACCCGGGGGTTAGAAAAAATGGGTCCCTCAGTCGAAAGATGTCCTTCTCTCGAGCAGAATGGACCATTCAAACCGCGGAGCAAGGCAATGGCGGCTTGCGCAACGCCGTTCGCTCTGCCAAAGATTCAGGATACCTGGGTGAGATGATGTGGGTAGGCACATTGGGTATGCCCACTGATTCCTTGGCCAATCATACCCGCAATGACATTGCAGAGAAATTGGAAGACGAGTATCACTCGTTGACTGTGTTTGTACATGACGGCGACTTTGATGGTCACTATACCCACTTCTGCAAGACCATCCTCTGGCCTGTCTTTCATTATCAGATCCCTGATAATCCGAAGAGCAAAGCCTACGAAGATCACTCATGGATTTACTATGTGAAACTCAATCAGGAATTTGCGAACCGTATTGCCAAGCACTGGAAACGGGGCGATTCGATCTGGGTCCAGGACTACCACCTGTTACTGGTTCCAGCCATGCTGCGCAAGCTGCTTCCTGACGCTCAGATTGGCTTCTTTTTGCACATTGCATTCCCGTCTTCTGAGGTCTTCAAGTGTTTGGCTCCACGCAAGGAGCTACTGGAAGGTATTCTTGGGGCCAATCTGATTGGTTTTCAAACCAAAGAGTACTGTCGGCATTTCTTGCAGACATGCAGTCGCATTCTTTGTGTGGAGGCAACTAATGAAGGGATTCAGATGGAGGACCGCTTTATCAACGTGGGTACATTCCCAATTGGTATTGACCCGACTTCTTGGGATAAGCGACGTCGTACAGCGGATGTGGAACAATGGGTTGATATCATCTCTGAACGATACCAAGGCCAACGACTAATTGTGGCACGCGACAAAATTGATTCCGTGCGGGGAATTCGCCAAAAGCTGCTGAGCTACGAGCTGTTCCTCAACACCTACCCAGAATGGGCAGATAAGGTAGTTTTGATTCAGGTCGCAACAAGCACTACGGAGCAGCCCGAGCTGGAGGCTACCGTTTCCGATATTGCCATGCGGATTAACTCCACTCATTCGACACTGGCTCATCAGCCCCTGGTTTTCCTGAAGCAAGACCTTGCATTCTCACAGTATCTTGCTCTTATCACCGTGGCGGATGCTTTGATGATCACAAGTCTTCGTGAAGGCATGAACCTCACCAGTCATGAATTTGTGTACTGCCAGGATGGTAGCTACGGTGACAAGAAATATGGGTCTCTCATTCTAAGCGAGTTCACTGGCAGTGCTTCTGTGTTCGGAGATCACGCTCTCCTGGTGAACCCTTGGGACTACCGACAGTGTTCAGAAGCCATTCACACAGCGCTGACACGGAGCGAAGAAAAACGCAAGGAAGTATGGGACGAGCTTCATCATGCGGTCTTGCACAACTCTACTGCCAACTGGGTCAAGTCATTCAATGAATCCTTGAAGCATGTTTGGAATGAGCAATCATCGCGAGAGATCATGGCTGTTCCTCGACTCTCTGTGCCTCGACTTGTCGAGCGGTACCGACAGACCAAGCGCCGGCTCATGATTATCGACTACGAGGGTACTCTCGCCTCATGGGGATCCCCACAGAGCATCATTCTTACCACCCCTCAACGTGCCATTACAACACTGACTGAACTTGCTGATGACCCGGCTAATATTGTTTACGTGATGAGCTCACGTATGCCGGAAGAGATGGAGCGGCTATTCCGCCAGGTCAATCATCTAGGACTCATTGCCGAAAATGGATGCTTTGTCCGTGATCCCCAGTCTGACGAGTGGACTCGTCTCGCTAAGAAAACCCAAAACTGGAAGAAGTCTGTGTCCAATATTTTGAACTATTTCAAAGACCGGACTGAGGGTAGTTGGATCGAGGAACGTCATTGTTCGCTTGTGTTCCACTATGGGTCAGCCGAGGACCGTCCTGGCGCTGGACGTCTTGCTGCTGAATGCGCAGACCATATCAACGATGCATGTGCTAGTTACGGCGTACATGCCATTCCCGTCGAGGGTGCTCTCATCGTGGAACTCGTAAGCACCAGTAAAGCGTCCGCTGCAGAGCAAGTCTGGCGGTGGTGCTTGGGGCCCTCGGATCAACCAGGGGATGCCGCGAAACCCGATTTCCTACTGGTCATCGGTGATAATCGTGAAGATGAGCCCGTATTCCGCTGGGCCAATAAGTTGCAGAAGGCTAATGGCGTCGATTACGCCATGACGGTCACGTTGGGGTCGCGAAGCACTGAGGCTCAAGCGACGTTGACGCAGGGAGTGACAGGTAGGTGCCCCTTCATCTTGCAATATTCATCTTGGACTTTCTTTTGCTGACTGATCTTCTCTAGGTGTGTTGTCTTGCTTGCAACAGCTAACTGCTCCGTCGAAGCCTGAAGCCCAGTAGGGCTTGGTAAACCCGGACATAAAGGGACAATCAATTTTCCAAAGTTGCAGCGTACTAAGATGAGTATATGATATCAAGGGGTAGCTAGAGTTATTTTATAATATTTTTCATTTACTCTCTTGTTTTTCGGGCCGCGACTTCGGAGATAGCTAGATTCAAGATTCGAGTTAATTTCGGGTGATGGTAGATGGATATATAGCGCAAATGATGTAGAGCGCTTCTCAATATTTCGAGACAACCTTTGTCTAGCATTTGAAAAGTATGCTGAGACAAAAACATACATCATTTAATCATTTGACCCAATTTATCTGCATCTTTCTTCAATTAGACCTCACATCTTTCTGTTCATCAAACCTGAAGCTTTGCTCAGGACCGTGAAAGGCTGACTCAGCGTCGGCAGTGCCTCTGGAAATCGCCGAGCCGAGGTTCGCCGCTACTGAATAATGCGGAGCGGAGATCCCCAAGCTAACTAGTATATGTAGGACCTCGGTCCCACATCTGCAGGGACCTCAAAGCCCTACATAGTTGAACATCACCGAGTCGCTTGAAATACACAGCCAACCATGCCACTCAATGCCGCCTTTGAAGATGCAATCCGCGTCACCCCAGAAGGCGCCAACAAGTACAGCGCCAACCTCCGCCCAGAATGGTGTATTGGAACCGGTAAGTCCCACCATCCACCAGGAAATGACCCAAAAGCAATTCCAAAAAGACTAACAAACCTCCCAGTCCCACACGGCGGCTACACATCAGCAGTCCTATACAACCTAGCCTTAACACACTTCGCACACGCCCACCCAAAGCAATACTCCACCCCGGCCTCACCAATCTCCCTTCAGTTCTCTTTCATCCGCCGCACAGCAGCCGGCCCCGCAACCCTAGAAGTCGAAGACATAAAGCTCGGCGCCCGCACAAGCACGATCAACGTAAAGCTTCTCCAACCGTCCGAGAAACAACCAGATAAACTCGAGATCAAAGTTGTCGGCTACATAACCGTCAGCCCTCCGGACGCGGAGGTCGGCATCAGCGTCCCAACGGGCTGGAAAGCGCACCCACAGCCAGTCCCAGGCTCACTCCCAGACGGGCAGATAAACTTCACCCAGCTCGCGGAAACAGGCAAAGATGGGGCCTGGTCGAAATCCGCGCCTCCATATCCCGAATTCCGGCGCGCAGCGACCCAGCTCGAACTATACGGGCCTGGAAAGGGCGAGACCCAGCAGCAACGAACTGGGTCTATGGCCATTGACCAGTGGGCGCGGTTCAGACCTTGCGGCGATCAGAATGGGAGGTGGACGGATGCTGCAGTTGTTTATTTGCTCGATATGTTCCCTATGGCGCTTGATGGGTTTGATAGTGTTTCTGCGAATGCGGTTGCAAAAGAGAGCGGGAAGAGTGTTGATGATTTGAAGGCTAAGTTTTGGTATCCGACTGTGACATTGAATATTGATATGAAGAAGCATTTGCCTGCTGCGGGAGTTGAGTGGCTTTATAGTCGGATTGTGACGAAGGTCGTTAGAGATGGGCGGACTGATTTGGACGTTACTGTTTTAGATCAGGATGGCGAAGTTATTGCGTTGAGTACGCAGGTTGGCTTGGTTGTTAGTGCTAGCCGGAATCTGGGAACGAGGAAGATGGAGAAGTTGTAGATTGTACTTCTAGACTGTGGTATATATTTGCATATACAAATGCATTTCAGGTATTGCATTAGACATGAATTGCGCCCAATCAATGCCAGTGCCTAGGTCCACGGGTATTCTCCTCATCTTCGAGAATGGATACGGGATGGGAACGTAGCAGAAACTTGGAATGTTCAATGTTGGGATATTTACATGTCAACATTTGGCATCCCTGGATGCACATCATATGTACAGTGAGCCCATATATCTATACAAGTGATCCATTCACAGACGCGTCTCCGGAGTAGTCATCCAGAAAGCCATAGCGTCCGCCTTGACGATTTTCCGTTTCGTCCATTCCAAATGACCACCAGCACCCTCCTCATCCTCCTGGACAACCTGCGCCCGCACCCAGAACTTCCGGCCCACGCGCGCGACAACCTTAGCCCGAACGACAGCCAAGGCCGGGACTGCCACTTTCTGGCGATATCGCACATCCAGTTGGACAGTGAAGATCTTTCCACGAGGGTTATCATCTGCCGAGGCGGGTGGGGATGCGGGACCGTTGGCATGCGCGGCAACAGCCAAAGACATCGCCTCGTCGACCAGCGTTGCGGTAATACCACCATGCGCTCTAGAGGGATGGCCCGATAACCCCGGACTTGAGAGATCAACAAGCATCAGCACATCAGCCGGGTTTACGCCAGGAGTGGGTTTTGCGCCGGCATCCTGCTTGGTTGCGGGAAGCCAGGTCGGGACCTCGGAGGGCGCGGGTGAAATATTGCGCCGTTGAAGGGTGAGGAGGTGTGGAATTGTAGACGAAGTGCCTAGCGTATTCGCGAAGTAACCATCTTCCCCGGATGTGGGCTTGATGCGCCTCGAGTCCGTGTCAATTGGAATGTAATCCTCGGAGGAGATAAGGGAATTGGCCCATTGGTAGGAGCGAAAATGGGCGATCTCGGCGGCTGTGTCGACCATTGTTGACACAAGATTTATTTCTTTTGCTAAAATGGGGTTCGAAGCAGAACCCGCACAGGAGATGAATCTGCAAGGAGAACACTGTTAGCGGGCAACTTTAATCCCCCCATTTTGCGGTTTACCCCGGAGCTCGGTGCCTCGGTACCCAATTGGGTATGGGTATGGGCGGGAAGTCTATGTAGAGATCAACGAGTTACCACTGCAAACAGTTTAATTCAAGGGACCATCAACGTATCCCATGTGTCTCAGATCAACTTGATCAGCCGGGGGTTGGCCAGACTCCTGGCAGTCTTACTTGGGTATGCAATCGGCGTGACATCTGCAAGGAGGCTGGCTTTTTGCGATGAAGAATCTGGGTTGGAATGCAGGAACCAATGTTGGAATCAATAATTCCCGCACGAGTACTGTATGAGGGCTCTGACAGGCATAATTTGAGCAAGGATAGGGGATAGATGGACGTATTTCAACAATATGTTTATATCAATCGTGCTCGTGTTAGCTTCTTGACCAAGCTGCAGGGGAGATGACCTTGAAACATGAAGATCCATGCATAGGTCGTACAAGAAACACAAAAAACTCTAGGGGGAAAAGGAGACACGAAAAACAGGAAAGTTATGTGACAGTCAGGCGGTGCCTGTTCGCAGTTACCTAGTTCCCTGGTATTTAAGCCAATACTTTCTTTATTACTTTGCGGATGCTCCCCATTGTTCCTGCCTTTTGTTGTTTATCCTGAACTCTTTCCATCTTCCTCTCCCACTCCCATCTTCCTTGCTACATTACCCCCATCAGTGTATCACTTCACCATTCTCAAGTTATCCCATTCATAATGTTTCCCTCCGCCGTCCTCTTCTCGACTCTTGTGGTCTCGGCTTTGGCCCAGAACTCCACCTCCTACAATTTGCCTGGAGGCTTCAACCTCGGCCTTGTCAAGCCAGATGAGCTGAGTAAGTTGCCCTGAGAGGAGTTCAGGCGACTAGAGCTGACGAGATCATAACAGACTCATGGTGCCAGGGACAGCGCAACCAGTGCCCGGCAATTTGCAAGGGTGACACCAAGCAAAACACCTGTGATCCGGTATGAACTCCTGTACACAACATGATGATGATAATAACATTCTGACCTCAAATTCTCCCACAGTCCACTCTGCAGTTTAGCTGCATCTGCGCTGATGGCAAGACTGCCGATGTCACACCTTACATCCAGACTGTTCCTTTCTATGTCTGCGAGGCCAACTATGGCCAGTGCGTTGATGCCCACCCCAATGATGCCATGGGCCAAGAGGCTTGCAAGAAGGCTGCGAAGTGTGGAAACAAGAATGCCACCGCCATTATGAGCACTTCGTCGTCGATGACTGCAACCAGCACTCTGACCATGGCCACAGCCACCGGCACTGACTCGGACTCCTCCAACAAGGACGTCACCTCGTCGGCGGCTGCCGCTAGCACCACAACCACCAATGCGGCTGTTCCCCTGGGTGGTTTCCTCGAGACCTACTCCACCGGTATGATGGCTGGTCTCATGGTCCTGGCTATGCGCCTGGTTCTGTGAAGTACAACACTTGGATTGAAAGTTCTTCGACCTCAGACCGTGCTCCCATGTCTATCCCATATTTTAGCGCCACGCCGACGGTCTCCTGTTTTTCATCAAAAATTATTTGATTCCCCGTTTCTGGATGTTTCCTTGCATGATGTTATCCCCTTATCTATGAAGGTGGTGTTCGTCTCTTGTCGTTAGCGGCAATACATCGGTTGTTTGCATTGGCACATTATGCCTTAATAACAGTAGCGTACATGCAACTGCTTTTGATCAATGAGTTTGAAAAAATGGAAATATGATTCCCAACTGCCGGCCTGGCTTCTCGTGGTGGTGTAGAATGTAAATTAATGGTGGTTTGAGGTTCGAGCTTTACGGGCAAATCAGTGTTCCCTTCGCCAAGACTTTTTTGGCACACACTGAAATTTCTCAACTTATCGATAGACTCCACCATCAAAGAACCTCCTCTCTCCCTCTCTCCCACCACACCACACCCCCCATCATGCCCGCTCCGACCAACACCCTCCTCATTGAGGGTTCTTTCGCCGAGCTCGCCGAGGAGTTCGCCCAGTATGTCGACGCTCTCCGCAAAGAGGACACCCTCCAGTCCGAGATCGCCCCGCTCCTCCAGCCGATCCGCGAGCAGGAACAGTCCGAGGGCGAGCCCGACCTGAAGCAGCGCGATGAGGTCCTCAAGAAGATTGTGTCTGCCGCTGCTGTCCTGAACGGTGCCCCTGAGAAAGGTGAGTGAGCGAATTGCGAAGATACAAGGTTGCGACCGACGAGATGAAAAATGACATTCGAGGGAGCGGCGATGCAACTTTTTTCTCCTTTGAGGATGGAAGAGACTGACATGAGATGATAATGGCAGAAATCATCCCCTCTTACAACCTGCTTGTGCACCTCGTTCACCTGGCCTCCGACCCGGACATGTTCCTTTCTCGCATCTGCGCCTACCTCGCTAAGCCCATCACCACCTCCCCTCAGTTCGGCCCGACACTGGCCATCTCCATCCTCACCACCATCTTCAACACTCTTTCCGGCAACGACTCCAGCCGGTACCACGTTCTCCTGGCCATTGTGGCCGTGATTCGCCAGTCTGGATCCGGATACGCCTTCGAGGCCCTGAAGCCTCAGTTGGCCAACCAGCTCCCCACATGGCTCTCTTCGTGGGAATTGGACCAGGAGGAGGCCCAGAAGTTGCACTTGGCTATTGCTGATGCGGCTACCGCGGCCGGTGACGAGGATTTGGCCCAGTCCCACGTTGTGCAGGCTCTTGAGACCATCCCCGCGGCTGACGCCAGCAAGCCCGCCGCTCGCGACCTGGCTGTCCGCGCTCTCGCCATGGCTCTGCGTCGTCCCACCGTTTTCGACTTCACTCCTCTGACTGCTTCCGACGCCGTCCAGGGGCTCCGGTCCAGCGACAGCACCCTGTTCGAGCTGCTGGAGATCTTCACCTCCGACACCCTCGATGCCTACGAGGACTTCATTGCCGCCACCCCGCTCGCCTCCATCTCCGGTGGTGTCCTTGCTGAGTCCGCCGATGCCCTGCAGAACAAGATGCGCCTGCTCACCTTGACTTCGCTTGCCTCCTCCACCCCCTCCCGCTCGCTTCCCTACACCACCATTGCCTCTGCTCTGCGTGTCTCCGCCTCCGAGGTTGAGATGTGGGTCATTGACACTATCCGTGCTGGTCTTGTTGAGGGTAAGCTCTCGCAGCTTCGCCAGGAGTTCCTTGTTCACCGTGCCACCTACCGTGTGTTCGGTGAGAAGCAGTGGTCTGAGGTTCAGGGCCGCTTGATGGTCTGGCGCCGCTCCCTGGAGGGTGTCCTGAGCGTCATTCGCTCCGAGCGTGAGCGCTTCGTCCGTGAGGGTATCCAGGCCGCTGCTGAGGAGGCCAAGAACGGTGACAAGGCCCGCTTCGGTGACCGGCGGCGCGAGCAGCCCGCGCAGGCCTCGATCGAGGCTACTGCCGAGTAAATTCTCGATTGATTGCTGGGTTGCTTGGGAGTGCATGGATTCCGGTGTTTTATGTGGAGTGGAACTCACAGAACACAAAAAATTTCTTCCTTTCCGCTAATAGAGGGGAGCCATCCTTGTTTTTTTTTCTTTTATGCATTTTATATCTCTTTTGTCCTGGCCAGTTTGTAGGAATGGATCTACTGGCCCCGCTGATTTGGGATCCCCACGAGTCATGTCATGTCTTTTTTTTTATGTTTTCTGGAGGAACACCTTCTTATCAAGAATACAAACAATTCCAAAATACGTCCTCACCCCTAGACTTCGAGAGGTCAATAAAGAATACGGAAACGGTATAAAAGCAGAATGTATCCTCTATGATCTAATATCCAGGCTAGAAAACCAAGGCCAGCAGAAACCAACCATTGCAAATAAGTAACCTCCACCAATGCCACTATGTACATACACAAGCCCACTAACGAGCCTGCAAACCCCTCTCCTCAATACCAGCCTTAACAAGCTCATAAACCTCCTCAACAGACCCAGTAGCAGAAACCCGCACAACCTTGCCCTTCTTCTCGAAATCATCCACAACGGGCATAGAAGTCTCAACAAAAGTACGGAACCGCTTGCGAATCGACTCCGCATTATCATCATCCCGTCCACTGGTCTCACCCCGCTTCAACAACCGAGTCTCCATAACACCCTCAGGACAATCCAGGAAAAGAACCAACTCGGAGGGACAAACAGTCGCCTCGAAGAAAACAGCCTGGTCCAATTTGCGGGGGAATCCATCAATCAAGAATCGCGCCTTGGTACCCGCAGGTGGCGGCGAAGTAGCAAGAGAATCGGCCATAGCGTTAGAAAGCAACGCGACAGTAACCTCCATAGGAACAATCTTTCCCTCCCGGATGTAGGTCTTGATCATATCTCCATACTGGCTTCCTTCGCGGACTTGTTCGGCGCGGAGGAGGTCGCCGGCGGAAAGGTGGACGAAACCGTAGTCCTTGACCAGGTTGGCGGATTGGGTACCCTTGCCGCTGCCCGGGCCGCCAAGGAAGAAGACGACGGTAACGTCTTCAGGCGAGAAACGAGGTGAAGTAGCCATAGTGTGTGTGTCGGAGGTTTTCTTTTGGTGGTGGATTGAGGGTGGGTTGTGGATGGTAAGTTTATTTAGGTTTTGGAGTTGCAGGGGTTTAGGCTAAGTGTCGATCCGGATTAGGTAGTCGGGTTTGTATGATTCTAGCCGCTGGATTCAGGGGTCGTCGGTTTCCGGTGGGACTCCTAGTTGGAAGGGGGTTTCTGGCCTGTACGAGACTTCACAAGGAGAACGTAGGACCCAGAGCCGAGAGCGAGGATTGCGATGATGGGTATGACTGGGAAATTGGAGCGACTGGTGTGGGGGTTGGGGTTTGGTGGTCTTGTTGAGTAGAGGCGGTGGGGTCCCGACGATCGTGCAATTGACAGGAATTGAGGCTTGGAGAAGACCCCGGCTGCTGTACGAGTGGCAGAGAGTAGCGACATTGAGATGGTTCTTGGTTGTTGAGGGAGAGAGAAGGAGAGAAAAGTTGGAATTGGCCGGAACGGGATTAGTTGCCACTTACTGCATTTTGGGTATATGTATAACTTCATCATCAATGATTATCCAATGTTGAATTCTTTTTATGAGAATATTGGTATCTGTTTCTGGACGCACCCTGATATAGAGCATTCATTGTGGCCAGAGGGTATATTGGATGTGTCCTGCTCTCATCCAGTATTGATCACTCAGCTGCATCAAGAGCAATTGAGCAACTTGCATCTAGCTCTGAGATTGGCGATTGAAGACATAATTGATAGGCTGGACGGGTGAATAAGCACACTTTCTTCAACGCATGCCATTGGAGCCAGACGAGGAGAATCTTTTGTGAGTGAATTCTGCTGATTTTCACTCTTGATTCAAGGGGTTTAAAAGCTGACCTTGAGATAGTACCTAATCAAGGATAATTATAGAGAAGCATAAACTAATATAATAAAGCTCTTTAAAAAAAAAAAGCCATCTCTTGGCTAATCAAAATCTTAGGATATCTCTTTAAGTCATTAAAGCGTAAGACCTAGTTCAAAGTCTGAGTCTCATGTCCAGCATATGTACTAAGAACCCACAGAGCAGATTTCTCCTTACCCTATATAGCTATATAGAGATATACACAGCCATACACAGCTTAGAAGATCTCACTAATATGAAGCTATTCAGGGTAAAAAAGTAGGGGCATACCAGACAGACTAGTGATAATCTGCGGACCGCGCCCATCACCACCACCGACAACTGAATACCACACATAATTCGCATACGGTTTGAGATCTGGATCATCCTTCATAATATCAATCACAGACTGTAATGACGTCCCTGGAACCATTGCAAGAGCTAGCATTTCCAGAACATTTGTCACGGTTATCTGCTGGGCCTTGACGTCGTCCCTCATCTTTTGGCCTTTTTCTCCACCGGTGTTATCTGCCAGACGGAGCTTGACCTCTTTTTGTTTGATCCAATCAGGGAAATAACGCTTTTCCAAATTCATGAGCAGTAGCTGATGTGCTGCTTTCATTTCTTCTTTTTGTTGCTCTGTTGCTGTCTCAGCATCCTCAACGGCCTTCCTTGCGTCAGCGGCCTTCTGGTATTTAGCTGTGATTTCTTCGATGGCCTCGTTTTCCTCCTCGAATTTCTTTTGCAAGGCACTTGAATTTCCAAAAACTTCCTCGCCCGAGTATTCCAGATCCAGTGTTTGCAGGCCAGGAGTGTCGAAGTTCACCTTCTTGCCAAACATGTATGGTCCTTCCGTATCAGCAATGCTGTAGCAATTTCCATCCTCCAGCGAATACAATAGAACCGAAACACCCTGACCGTGACTGACAGAGCCGGAAGTGTTTTGCGGTTCTTTGCTTCGACGAAATTCTATCATGCAATTCGACCCCTTCCCTGGAGATAAATGTATTTGTGCGGTTCCGTCGGCGCCTTCAGTCTCCATCTGGATGCCATACCCTTGGTCAAGTCTGCGTACTCCCTTTTCCTCATCTTCATCGTCCGTATCAAATCGTACAGTAACACACACAACTGGATATTTGACACCGAATTTGAACTTTCTCAGGATCAGCGATGAAATGACTCTTTTTGTTCTTTTTTTAATTAGTGAGTGTCTTACCTTTGGATAAAGCAAGGCCAAGGGATGAAGGTCATCTTTTTGAGGCATTACGATGCTGCTTGGATCTGTGACGGGAATCTGGAAGGCTAACATCGAATGATATCTTGGATCGAATAATGCATCATCCTCATTGCCTTTTCTCTCGGTGTCGGAGTTCTCCTCATCCATGAATTTTAGGAATTTTATGCGTCTCATCAACCCATCGCGCCAGCGGGCCTGCGTAGAAGGATCCCGTCCGTCAGGACTTGCAGCTAAGATTTTTTAACCCCGTTAATTTCGTATTCAATTCAATATTTCTTCGATCGAGGTACTCACGCATTTCCTCCATAATGGCCGTTCCAAGTTCAGCAAAGAGTGAATAATCTTTGTCTGCATAAACATTGGCAATGTTTCGAACCAGAAAGGGGACGTCCGTATAGTCTGGCAGTTTTGCAATATGCTCGATTAGACTAACAAGCTTTGTTCTCTATATGACAGGAAGTTAGATTCATTCCAAGCCATGGCATATGGGCTGGATTTCTCACCTGCATGACACGCCAGTTGTAGAAGGATGCGACAGTAGAGCACCATGCGGAAGGACTATAAAAAGCGAAATTAGTCAAAGGCAAATACCAGAGAATGAGATGCTGCATATATACTTGTTACAAAGAGTGGTGTCCCCTCCGTCTGCACACCAGCTGATTGTTTGCGTAAATGAGCTACTTTTAACCGTGTCTTGATGGTTAGTGTTGTTCTCATGAGTATAGTCTACCTTGGCTTGAACTCCATAGCCCGAGATAGAAAGACCGGCTGCTGCTTTGAGTCCTGTTATCTTCTCAGACAGACTCGATCCTGCCACGGAATCGGATTCCTCGGACGAAAATAATCGACCTCCTAAATAAATTTCAGGTTCGAAAAATTCCCCTACCCAAAATATTAGCAAATGAAGAGTCAAGATTTAGGGACAACCTGTTGCATTTTTGTTAAACATACCATACTTGCGGTAGAAATGGTCTAAGACTGCCTGGGTACGCTCCTTTCGAAGTTTGTGAATATCAGCCTTGCATTCTTGGCTCAGCTCGAGCTGGTCCTCGTCTAATTGCAATTTAACCCGTGGATACTATATTGCGGTCAGTGTCAGCGGCATATCCTAGTACCTTATTGTGTAAAAAGATGCCACATACGTTGTACGTAACATGCAGATGCTTCTTGTCACGACTGTTAGTATTGGTCGTGGCGGTTTTTTGGGTTTTATTGAAGCCTCCAGAAACACCACCGCCCACTGGGCCATATGAACCTCCTCTGCACGTTGTATCAGTGAAATGCTTCTTCGGTGAACAGTCAAATTGCGCTTGATTTCTTCAACTTACACGGCGGCGCTGAATCCGTCTTGTGTATAACCAGCATCAGCAACTGTCTTTTCATGCGAATTTTGGGTCTCGAATATGTCGATGTTTGTCTTGTCGTTGATGTGGAATCGCGGAATGTGGAATTTAGTCTCCTGTTCCTCCTGTTCCTTCTTTTGCGTAAGCGCGCCTATTTTCGCCTCTTCTAATAAACCTATCTGGCTGTAAAAACCATCAGGCTTGCTTGTGGAACTGTCACTAAACGTGATATCGTAAGAAGCAATTGGTCTTGGTTTTATAGCAAAAGCTGTGCAGTAGGTGTAAGTCAAGCACAAGACGATCGTGAAGGCTGGACATACCAGGATAATAGGCTTTCTTGGACGGAATCGACTCGGTCACTTCTGGAATTGTGGTGGTTCTACCATTGGGCAAGGTGACTTCCTTTTCAACCTGCTTAGGGGGATGCACGCCGCAGAGCAGACTGTTGGTACGCATGACAATGCCCCAGTGCTTCTCAGACATGTCAGCCGGTTGAATATAGAGCCGGTTAGCTAGCACGAACACAAGGACGGATCAGCTAGTTGCCTACACAACTTTCCCCATGCTAGCCGATGCTTTCCAGTCGTTCGCATCGTAGATGCTTTTGAGTTGTTTGATTTTAGCCTCTCTCAGCTCCGGGGGGTCCTTCTTTCAAAGGAAATCAATCAGTCACAGCTAGTTGAAACAATCAAGGATAAATGACGAACAGGGTCTAAGTCAAGCTTTGTTTCCAAGTGCTTTTTGACGATATCGGCCACATCGTTCGAGTCGTCAGTCAATCGGCGGTTTTTGATGTACACCTTGATATTGTCCTGTACGGTTGTCAGTTGGCGGGATACATTTCATTCTACTGCAACGCTCGAAGACCGACTGTTTCCTTCTGACTGGTGAGAGCCAAATAATCTTTCCCAATTTGGCCACCATTGACTTGGGCTCCATTTTCAGTGCAGAAAGATTGCGCTATGCTAAAGCGCAAGATTTCTTGTTAGTTCCAGGCCGCGTCTTCAAGACAGCTTTGTACCTACTAGGATTTGCCCAAATGTTTCTCTTCGACAATGGCCTTCAGGAAGCTACTGAGCGTTCCGCCCAAGAATTCGTCCTTTTCGTAAGTAAAGACAGACGACTCTTTTGGTTCTTTTCTGTTGTCTTTGTCTTGGTTTTTGTTTTTGAAGACCTTATAAAGAGTCACCGTGACTTTTCCTTTGTCTACATTTTTAGTTATCGAATTAGTCTATTTTGGAGGGTGTTCATTTACAGATAGAAGATAGCTTACCTAGAGTAGTATCTCCTTTGTCGTCCTGGTCGTCCTGGTCGTGCTGGTCGTGCTGGTCGTCCTTGTCGTTTTGGTTGTTACCCCCACTATTACCTTGATCAGGAATTTCACTTGTGCTATCTGTTGGGGGTGTAGCGGGCGTAGGACCGCCAGCGGGTTTGTTGCTGTTGTCACTCATGGTCGTATATGGTAGAGCTCGCAATAAGTCTGGGGAAGAAAACAATAAAAGGTAGAGTTAATTGATATCTTTTGTCTTTTTAATAGCAACAGTTTTATGCACGATCCAAAGAGAAATGGTAAATTGATACTCTTCTCTCCGTGCACGGAAAAATGTTCCTTCCAGGCTTTAATATTTATATGGGTATAAATTTGCCCCATATCTCCTCACGGGAGCCAGTGATTTCATCTTCTCCTACTCTATTTGGTTTTGCGTCAACATGTTCAGCTACGGCTGAGTTACATTAACACAATGCATATCTACGTCATAAAGCAAGGGACTTTTGCTGGGCAGGGAACTTGGTGAGGAAGTGGATAGGAAATAACCTGATTATCTGTCAGTAGAATGGCTGTCAGACCCAATAAGTTAATTTTTCTGGATCCTGTATGATCAATCATTTTTACTTCAAGTGTTCGAGTCGGGACGGTCCGATTCTCGGGCGGAAGATCTGTAAAGAGCTCACGGAGGATGTGACGCATTTGGAGGCCAAGATTTCGAAATAGATGAGCGGTATGGAGCACTCGAGGAAAGGATTGCAGAGTCTTCCCACTCAGGCGGTACCTTCGGAGGCCCAAGACATCTGGAGAATGCTGAACTCGCGTTCCATTCCATCCTGTCATCTGCCGAAGGGATGATCTCTACTCTTGGGAGTCAAGATGAACATGTGGTTCTATTAGGGCGTCCAAAAACCGGATGAATAGACGTAAGGATCCAAATGCAGAGTAGCCTCTGCAGGGATTGACGTGTGATTACAGATCTGTTCAGCTGTCGACTCCATGGTGAATGCCGATGCCCAACAAAGAGTACAGCAAAAGTTGACTCATAAGGATGCAAATTATGCCTATAAAGCTGTCGACCATGCTCATGTCCCTGAACAACATTGACCATCGTCATCACCATCATCATCATTGTCTTATATAGCCATTATGAGAAAAAATTCAACGTACAAAGTGAAAGCAGGGAGTACAAAAGCTCCATTGAGCTCTTGCGTCGTAGTGCCCGGGATAATAACCGTCACCCACATGAAGTCCCACTCCTTACTCCTCAACCTGGACGGGGCGTTAGACCGACTCGCTTTTTTGATGAAGTACTGAGAACAGACAAACGCTTATTGAGGCTGAGGCTCAGGCGAGACAACCCCTACCTGATTGCCTATCGAAACGACAACGACGAAAACGGACAGTGAAATCAATTACGAGACCAAGTGCTTGGACAATTGGTTCCAAGGTCAAATATTCTGGTTTTCGGTGGGAATTACATTGATTTGACCAATGTGGCGGATGCACGGAGAGAGACAATCAATAATGGCCGGGCGAGTCTCGCGAATGCCGTCGCGACACTTACGGAAACTCAGGGCAACGCGCAGATAGCGCGTTCATTAATCGTCGTCATACAGATGGTCTGCGAATCCATGAGATATAAAGAGATATCCCACTATTTTGGCCAACGCCATGCAGACAATGATCCACCAACCCCCCGTATTACATTGCTTCAGAACTGGTGGAGCACTCTTTCTTACGCGCTGATGCGGGATGACGCTAATCCCCGTAGGAGTAAGTCAAATCTCAACACACACAACCCTCTCGGTATAACAACTATACCTCAGGTAGTTGGGGTACTCGGTATGGTGCTCTTCCAGAACGTACCAGTCGACAATTCGCAGGCCGTCATTAGGCAGGTTCCAGCCCAATACGGCCGACATCTGCTCGAGCTCTTCAACATGCGGGATTTGAACATCAATAGTGAAGGTCCAGGCAAACTCTACGGCGCTATCACCGCAATCAACCAGCTACAGAGTGATTCTATTTATAAACGAGGCAGAGAAGATCACGAGTCCATTGAGGCTGGCCAAAATGCCACTCTGACTGGCCCATCTCGCACTATATCAGCCGCCGATTATTTCACCATCAACTTTAATCTCAAGGACAGGGACGCTTCATCCGCCGATGACGAGGTCGCCCAAAGTCAGATCATATGGAATGCCAATGATCAAACCAACAACTATGGCAAGCTTCGAACAGAGACCATCAATGGCCCTTTCGGCTAGCAGTGCTGGATTATATCGTCATGAGCAATGCTTCAGAGGCCTTAGTGGATATCTTCTTGGCTGACATGGACGGAGAAGATCCCACTAATATCTATGGTAAATTATGCGCCCACACTTCCTTGTTTCCAGATAAGAAGATCCAGCTGTTTAGAAGAGAAAGCAATGACCATGTGGGTGTAAATCTGCATAGCTGCATTCCTCTGCTGAGGCTCGTACTGTCGGCTTTCTATGGTGCGCTTGGTCAGCGAACCACAGCACTGGTAGCAGGCTCAGTGAGCCAGTGGGCAAAAGCGGCGAGGGTGTGAGCACTAATCTGGAAAGGGGAGCCAAAATATGCCAGGAGAAATCCAGTACGTAGGTATATATGTAGGTATTCCTATGATTATTGACTACCGATGAGCTGACATCAGTTCTATACCTCCTTTCGACACATCCTTGCCTTCCTCACTCATTTCTCCCCCAGAACCTTGGAACATTCTTCCTTGGACCCAACAATACAAAGTCGCCGGGTTACAGAAGGCCGTAGCTTCTGGTAATGGAGAGACACGATTTGAAGAGGCGGACCAACAGCTAGAGGACGCTCAAAGACAGTATCGCGGAAAAGAAATGCCTTTTACCAAGCGAAAATCATGCTTCCTCGGTATTTGAAACAACATTTTGATGACACGAGGCAGAATGCTTAGTGAAATAAGCGGAAAGGAATGATTGAGGATTGCTCGGGTCAGGGTGACCGCTGCTGCCGAAGCTGTGGGTGTTGCTCACGGAGACAGCTATCCAAAAGGGAAAAAGGACGGGGTTACTGTACTGCAGAGTGTTGTTGTTGCACTAGCTGGAGAGGAGGGGTTTTTTGATCACCAAGCTTAACTGTGAAAATGAGTCTTATCAGATCAGCACGCTTCTTTTTTACCCATCGTGGAACCTTTCACCCCCGCCCAAGATTCGAAAGTCTTTAGAGCTTTCAACGCTTCAAAAGACATCAAACTTCAAGTCTCGGTGGCGGCAGATATTGAGAAATAGTTCTACCGATGAGGAAAACGGATAAGAATGGGTTGCTCCATTTTGGTACACAGTATTCAGTGAATCGGTTCTTAGATCTACCAGTCTATACTCTAGAAAGTAGGCCATGTTTACGTTTCGATTATTAATCTTAGTCTCTCATATATAGTATCCCTCCCTCTAGCACCTGCAAACTGGGGTACTTCCCCCAATGGCTAAAGTGAACCCAATCGTGGTATGGTACCATTTCCAAGACTAAGACCTGCGCACATGCTGAAGTTTTCAAAGTGCTCTGAGGAGCCAACCTGTAATATGACGCCAAAGCTGATCAACGAGAGTATTTTTTGTATACTAGTTCTATACACTTTATATCTGAAATTCCCAATCTCTAAATTTGGCTCTTTCTATTGTATAATACACCTACAACCTATCCTTTCTATAGTAAATGTATAAAAGAATTAGAGGGAGTTAGACCCATAGGCTTTAGCTCTTAAAGTAACTTTCAAAGGCTCTATCTTATTACTAAATCCCTTAGACGACTCTCAAATAGCTTTCACTTAGCTCTTGACTCTCCTTCTGGCTAATAGGCTAATAACATAGGCTTCTTAACTTCTAGCTCTGTGAGCAGCATAATGGCTAGTACCTTACGCAGTAGCTTACTACAAAATAAGCGCAATAAACCTTTCTTGTTCTAATTTCCTAGCTCAGTATTTTATTGGATTGAACTATTCCATTGTTCATGGCTTTTACCTACACCTACCAGGCCTTTCTGTTCATCCATGGATCATTATTGATACGATGAAATATATACCCGGCAGTCAAGACAATTAAGACTACTATGTACAAGGTCGCTGGAGGAATTATTGGCGGACCCCCTTTTTTCTTCTCATCTTCTACATCACGTAGTCGAGATGGTGCGTATTCCCTGTATTCATTCTAGTCCAGCTGTTTCCTTGTTTACCATTGTCATAACTGAGATCAAAGTAGTATGTATGATCAACTAGGTACCTGGGTATGTCCTCGATAGTATTACTACTAATTGGAATATTGCGGTCTCCATTTTGATAACCTTTTCTTCTGAAAAGCCACCATGCAATTAGAACTATCTAGTGATCTACTATTAGCGTGAGACGCGTTTAAAGATAGTAGTAGTAGCCCGTAAGTCTTATTGACATTCTAGACCGACCTTCGTTGCAACACATCGATTTCTTTGCATGTAATTTTCCAATTCTGAATTAGTCTCTTGTACTCGCCGGTGCGAATACACAAATTGTGAGCAGTACACCGGCATGTATTCGTGCTTATCATGGATGTTTCTTATTAGAAAGAAATTGGATACGAAATAATAAAATGCCTCAAAGTACTTCTTGTTTGGTAAATGAATGAGATTTTTCCGAATTGTAATCTTACTTTCAATGTATTTCAAGAATATCACGACCACATACCCCAGACCCAGAGGGATACATCCCTATTGGTTTATCTACAGGGCACAACGTGCAGTAGTTTGTTTTAACAAAGTCACATGGATATCAAATTTTGCCAGTGAGACCTACGAAACCTATACCAAGGCCTCGGGAAGTCAATGAGTCTGCAAATGAGCTCAAATACAGATAATTATTCAGGATTCCCCATTAGTTCAAAGGATTCGAAGTAATATTCGAGCTAATGCCCGTCCAATTTGGAAAACGTGCCGAATTAACTTCAGCCTCCGAGATTGATCCCAAACATTGAATCAATCTCGGTGCAATTAACATCCACCAAAGCCGGCGACTTACTAAATATAGTAAGTCCTCCTCGACGATCCCCGATGGTCCCTTAAATCGGACATATCATCTTATCATCACACTTGGCACCCATGACCGGAGGAGCCTCAAAACCGGCATCAGCTGTTGCAAAAAAACAGACCTCTTGGCAATTTTTAAATACTCTGGACGAAATACTGTACTGGGGAATTTTCAATTCCCCAAGGCCATGCAGTAGTGCCATTAGCCCGTTTCAAAGGATGCTCAAATTTGAGTCCAAATTTCAGCCCCAGCCCTGCCAGAGCCGTCAAGCACGCTGCAGATCAGAAAAATAATTACAGATTGGGAAATCTCCATGTAGATGTCATTCGACGATCGGTACAGATACAGTAGTTTCGTTTCAGATAGATCCGGTGATCCCATTTCTGATTCGTGGGCTGACGTGAAATAGGGCCAAAGTTTATTCTATATAGGCTATGTGCACCGAAAATGATAAGCTTATTCGCCTCAGGTCTCGAAATTGAAGATGCCGGACGACCGAGGCTCGGCAGTTAGTCCACTGAGCCGGGACGTTGCCCCGGTGGCGGAAGAGGATGGCCCATTTTTGAGCCCTACCCGAAACAGTTCGGGTCGGTGCGGTAGCCTCCAAGGTTGGATTTGGTTGCTTGGATGGGGTTGGAGAAGAGCTATGACCTATTGTTTAATATCTAGCATTGGATGTGTAAAGTCCATACTAGCATCCGGGATTGAAGTACTGTCGAGTCTATCTTTGGTGACAGATTGCGTAGGCTTGTCATTCGACTACGAAATATGTAGTATGTACGCGAAGAAGAGAACACTTGCAGTACCTGACATGCGGGATCCAATCCTGACCTGTCGATCCTCGTGCTTTGTGCATTGGAAACCGTTCAAAAGATAATGAATTAAGCTTCCTTGGAGATCCTCATGTCCGAAAGATGGTTTTTTGGTCCCGCATATAAACTTCGTTCTAACAGTGGTTATCCCCACTTAGCTCCACTCTTCAACCCGCATTGAACGTTGAAACCCAAAAAGAAGCCGGGAACAGCGATTTTGTTGCCAAACGTTTTCTCCGATTTTTTTGCCCTGAGCTCTTCATTGGTTTTAGGTTACCAAGGTCAAGGCTGTGGCGTTTCTACCAATCGACGTTGGATAAAGTGCAAAAGATCCATATTGTATCGGAAAATGTACGTAAAATGAGCCCCATCGTCAAAAGGTGGGTACTTCATGCAGCAGGAACCGTCTCCTTCGTCACAGTAGTTTCGAATTGATGCAGCGTAATAATCACACCACTCCGGATGGAGACGTGGGTATACCTGTGGTTGGGCCGATGTGAGATTCGTGTTTCGGCCGGACAAGGATTCCAGATGATGGATCGGGCTCAACTTACTCCAGTTCCATCGAGACAGGTCCCGGCATTCCATTTCATTCCCGGGATGAAGGTCTCCTCGCCGTATGCGGCAGCCGCAATCACTAGAATCAATTAGAATTCCGAACTACTGACAAGATTTTGAACTCAGACCATTTTGGTTATACTGAGGTTCAATCGCAGAGACGGGGTTCAGCCATAAGGAACTAGTCCCGCAGAGACCGTCCATCATGACAATACCGCCCTAGGTAGTGGAGGTTACTATCGATACACGAAGCAAGACATCGATACATAAGAAACGTGGAAGTGGGAACAATCCTTAGTTCAACCTACCAGCGAGTACCCCATGAGAAGGATCTTCGATTTAGGACATGAGGAGACATAGTCTCGGATATACTGCTGCATTAGGTGAGCGCCATCGGCGGCGACAACTCTATGATCGGGACCACCATGATCATACGGCAGAGCCACACTGCTGGAACCCGGGATGAGCTGTAAAACAAGGTTCTGCATTGAAACCATGACATTCAAGTGATCGCCAGGCCCCTGACCCCGGATGAGAATGGCATGGACACCCGTCGCGCAGAGTTCGGGTGGGGTTTTCTGTCCATGGGCGGGAATGAGGATGCAGGTGAGCAGTAAGGCAAGTTCCTGGAAGAGCATGACGTGCAGCACGATTGGCGGAACGGACTTTCCGCTTTCTCTACGAGGCACTTTTGTTCGCCACTGCGGATTGGCTCATTATATGGTGGACTCGGGGTCACATTAATGGTTTTCTATAGTTCTACAGGGTTGCTGTGAAGGAGATGAGTCCGGCGTTAAAGATAGCACAAATCTTAATAATGGAGGGTATGGACGGGAGAGTACCATGCCCTGGTGCGACAGGACGGGTATCCAGTAGATCTCGGATTAGGATAATTAGAATCAACCGGAGAAGAACGGACCCATGAATTGGTGACGGCCCTGGCTTATCGTGGGGTTCAAGTCTGGAACGATCGAGACGTGGATGATTCTTCCCGTTTTTGAGGAAACAGAAAAAAGGGAACACGCGCGCTTGGATACAGAAAAATGAGGAAACCAAAACGCGCGAATTGCTGGAATACGTTTAGAAGTTAGGTAAACGTTACACTGTGTTCATGGTACATGTGCGAATGAGCTCTCGGAAAGAGGTTGGACTGCTATCATTGGGTTGCTATGATCAAAATCTAAATTCTAGTATTCCTCTGGACTAAAGGCCTTCTCAATCAGACCCCGAACGGCATCCCCAAGCTCATGGATAACAAGGCCCGAACGTGGAATTGTGTGTCCTTTGCCTGTGTCGAAGAATTCCGCGGTATCCGGATCGCAAACATTGTATAGGGCGTAGGCGCCGTGTCGGAAGGGATCTATACAATCACACTATTAGTATTGAAAACCACTAGGCTTGAAAGAACATACCGTTAGCTCCGATAACATGCAGACTGGGAACATCAATCATAACGTCGCTCTCATCTGCTAGAAGGACCCCGTCGATTGGATGCATCGGGGGCCAACCAGTGACGAACATGGCGCATTTGATCTGTCGCAGACGACCCGTTGCCCGCGCACGCTTCTCTTCGTCGACGATGAGAGTGGCTGCAATAGCGGCGCCCTCACTATATCCAATAATACCTTGAATCTCCGGATCCTTCTCCATTGTCTCGTATAGATAATCCATCACCTGATTGTAGTTGAGCCAGACAACATTCCGCTCTCCAATCAGGTCGCGCATCACATCTTCAGGGTTCTGACCATCGGGGATTTTGCGCACACGACTGATCATGGAGTCCTCAGCCGCGCCGCCATCATCCGCCCAGCGGAAATGAGGACCAACGCCAAAGTATTCTTCAAAACCTGGAATTCACTCGTTAGACCGTTTGATCCATCATTTCCCAGTCGCATCATACCTTCCGGAGGAGTGATCTTCACGGGGGCGTTGATGTAATGGAACGACGCAGTATCGTCTGATTGCAAGTCTTTCTGTAGCGGCGCTGATTGCCTAATTAGTATGGGTTGGGCCGACTTTAGCGCGAAGCCTACCTAGCTGAATGCCGATATTCTACGGGTGGTTAGCACCATATCAAAGGAATTCTCCGCGGACCGACTTACATCAACATTGCCAATGGCACCATGGAGACAAAGGAACTTCATCTTGGAAGTGTCTAGACCGAGCTATGGTTGAGTCTTGCTAAGTGTAGGTTGTACAGCGCCTTATCTTTCGGAGGACAAAGCTGGGAACTAAATAGATGAAGGGAGGCGACAGAAGATAGCAGACCGGGGAGTTGCCTCCCTTTTTGACTTTAATTTTTTTTTACCAATTGTTTCAGAGACAAGGCCGAGATGGCAAATTCTCGTTATTCAGACGAGCCTTTCCCTCCGAAACAATGGAACACATGTGATCGACATTCAATGCGCAAGTTTGAAGCTCCTGTGGGTTGCATGGAACCCTGAATCTGGTCCCTGAATTTTGTGTCTACCATCAGTGGCACAACGGGCGGGCAAGCTCAAAGTTACGCCAAATAATTCCATCCAATGTCAAGCATTGGTTCCTTATCCATCGGCGTGAAAAACAATTACATGGAATTACAAAAATTTAAAAATTTGAAAAACGAAACCGCAAACCCCGAATTTCTCAAAAATTGGTCCATCTAGGCAAGTTAAGCGTCGATCCCTGTTCTATACCTTCATGGAACATCTATTTAAGTGACAACGACCAGCACCTCATACTCCAGTGCGATACACGCCCTCATACCTTTTCACCCTTTCACAATGTCCTCCTCTACTAGCTCCGCCAACCCCAATGGGACATTGCCGGAACCTCAAGCACCCCAGCCCATTGCCCTCATTGGATATGCCTGTCGGCTGTCTGGGCAGGTCTCCTCCCCCGGCGACTTATGGGAACTATGTACTCGGGGTCGGAGTGGCTGGACTCCCATTCCCAAAGACCGATTCTCTCCCGGGGCCTATCACCACCCGGAACCGTCCAAGGCGGGAACATTCAACCCAGCAGGAGGTTACTTTCTAGACGATGAGACCTTGTCTCGGTTCGATGCGCCATTTTTCAATGTTACTGTCCAAGAAGCTATTTCCATGGACCCACAGCAACGGCTTCTTTTGGAGACCTCCTACGAGGCTTTGGAGAGTGCTGGCATTCCCAAAGAATCACTCGCAGGACGCAACGTTGGTGTCTTTGTCGGCGGTAATTTTGCCGACTATGAACTTCGAAATCTGCGTGATATCGAGACTGCTCCTCCATTCCAGGCTACCGGTAATGCTCCCTCAATTCAATCCAACCGAATCTCCTACTTCTTTGATTTGCAAGGACCAAGTCTCACCATCGATACGGCGTGTTCCTCATCTCTGGTCGCATTGCACTATGCAGTTCAGAGTCTGCGCAGTGGCGAGTCTAAAGAAGCGCTGGTCGCTGGATGCAGGTTGAATATTCTTCCAGATTATTTCGTTTCCATGTCTATGTCGCAGTAAGTACCAGTTACCTACCCATCATCAGGAACGTTCCGGGCCGTGGTTTCTAACCTTACCACTAGGTTGTTCAATGATGACGGAAAGACTTATTCGTTTGATGAGCGTGCTAAATCTGGTTTCGCACGAGGCGAGGGTGCAGGTGTCGTGCTTCTCAAGCCGCTCGATGCTGCCCTTCGTGATAAAGATCCCATTCGGGCTATAATTGCTAATACTGGTGTCAACCAAGATGGGCGGACCAAGGGTATCACCTTGCCCAATGGAAAGGCCCAAGAGGATCTCATCCGACAGGTGTACCGGGATGGCCTCATGAACCCGGATGAATGTGGATTTGCCGAAATGCACGGTACCGGAACCAAGGCCGGAGACCCCATTGAGGCGGAGGCCGTCCACGGAGCTCTGGGCCAGAACCGCAACGCTAGAAATCCGCTTTACATTGGTTCAGCCAAGTCCAATGTCGGCCATCTCGAAGGTGCCAGCGGTATGGTCTCGATCATCAAGGCTGCCATGATGCTGGACAGAGGATTGATGCTGCCAAATGCCGACTTTAAGAAGCCTAACCCCAATATCCCATTGAACGAGTGGAACATGAAGGTCCTCACATCAACCCGACCTTGGCCTCGTGGCAAGAAGTATATTAGTGTTTCTAACTATGGCTTTGGTGGAACCAATGCTCACGCGGTTCTCGAGAAGCCCCCGCCACCACCCGAGGCACTGGAAGACCCGGATGATGATCTCGATCCTGCCCACAAGCTGTTCTTGATCTCGGCCAACGACAAGGAGTCACTCAAGACGCGAATCAAAGATTTTGGTGTCTACTTTGAACAGCGACCAGAGGTGTTTGAAAAATCACTGTTTGGAAATTTCGCCCATACCGTGGGCAGTAAGCTGTCTCACCTCTCATACCGAGTTGCCCTTTCCGCCACTTCACTGGATGAACTCAGCATTCGTCTGGCCCAGTTGAAGGCGAACCCTACTCGAGTCCTGGGAACGCCAACCCTTTCATTTGTCTTCACTGGACAGGGTGCTCAATGGGCCCAGATGGGTATGCCTTTGATGAAGGAATATACTGTTTTTGCAGAGGCAATGAAGAGAGCTGATGAGCACTTGCGACACCTCGGAGCGGAGTTTTCTCTTATTGAAGAGCTTGAAAAGGATACTACCCACTCGCAAATCAACTCGCCGCATCTCAGTCAGCCCGCTTGTACGGCTCTCCAGGTTGCCCTGGTGGACCTTCTTCGATCTTGGGGTGTCAAGCCAACTTCCGTCGTGGGTCACAGCTCTGGTGAGATTGGTGCTGCCTATGCCGCCGGTATCTACGACCTGGAAGCAGCCATGGCACTATCCTACCGCCGTGGTCAAATGACCCAGCTATTGAAAGGGTCATTCCCCTTGCTCCAAGGCACGATGATTGCTGTTGGAGCAAGCCCTGAGACTATTAGACCGATGCTGAAGACCCTGAAGGGATACGCCACTGTTGCTTGTGTCAACAGTCCTTCTAGTGTGACCGTCTCTGGAGACGCACCGGCAATTGACGAGTTGGAGACTATCTTGCAGGCCAAGCAACTCTTCAACCGGAAGCTGAAGATTGACGTTGCCTACCACTCTGACCACATGAAGAATGTTGCCGAGGCATACCTCTCCTCAATCGAGTCTATCAAGCCTTCTAGCACGTCGACGGCTACATTCTTCTCTTCAGTGACTGGCCAGATTGCTGACCCATCCGAGCTGGGTGCCGCCTACTGGGTGCAGAACCTGACATCTCCAGTCCTGTTTGCCAATGCTCTCACCAAGATGTGCGCCGAGGAAGAGTTTCGTCCCAATTTGCTGGTTGAGGTTGGCCCTCATTCTGCCCTGAAGGGTCCCATCCTGGACACGATGAAGACAATTGGCTCAATCACTGCGAAGATCGGTTATACCCCTACTGTCGTTCGAAATGCAGACCCTGCACAGTCTGTTCTAGATGCTGCTGGTGCTGCATTTGTTCGTGGAGTCACTCTTGACATCAACAAGGTGAACTTCCCTGTCAGTGGTGGAGCCTCCCGGGCTTTCTTGCGGGATCTCCCTCGTTACCCTTGGCAGCACGGTACCAAGTACTGGCACGAGTCTCGTATTGCTCAAAAGCATGCCCTCAGAGATGGGGCTCGGAATGATCTTCTGGGAGCACAGGCTTTCTACTCGAATGACCTGGAGCCCACGTGGAGAAACATTGTTCGTCTCGATGATATCCCATGGCTCCGGGAACACAAGATGCAAGGCATGGCTGTTTACCCCATGGCCGGTTATGTAAGTTTCTAAAGCCTCTTCTCAACGATACACACTGACACCAAAAAGCTATCCATGGCAGTGGAGGGTGCCAAGCGGCGCGCAGAGAGCCGGGACGCACAGTTCTCCCAGTTCGACTTCCGAGAGGTAAAGGTTGGTTCAGCTCTGGTCTTGAGCGACGACTCCGACGCCGAAACAACCATCACGCTTCGACCATACGCCGAGGGCACACGTGGTAACTCTGATGTATGGGATGAATTCCGCATCTGCTCTTGGTCTACCAAGCGAGGCTGGACAGAGCACTGCTCGGGATTGGTTCGAACACGCGTGAATAAGAAGCAACAGACTGCCGTTTCCAACGTCGCTGAGACAGAGGTAAACCACTTCCAGAACCAAATCGCATCCGTGCGCACCGCAACCACGTACAGCATTGACACCAGCAACATGTACCAGGTCCTGGCTGAGGTAGGAGCCGGGTATGGACCGGCTTTCCAAGGGCTGGAAAATTGCTTTTCTAGCCCCAGTCACTCTCGAGCCGATCTTTATGTCCGAGATACGAAGTCTATGATGCCCAAGCAATTCGAGGCTCCGTTGGTCATCCACCCGACTTTCCTGGATGCTTTGTTGCACCTTGTTTGGCCAATTCTGGGTAATGGTAAAATGGAGCTGGAGACTCTTTATATGCCGACTATGATCAAGAACTTGTCTATTACCAACAACATTCCCACGAACCCTGGCGAATTTGTGAAGGCTTGGTGCAATGGAGGTCCAATTCAGCAGACGCCTGAGCCGACCAAGTTTGATCTTTGGGTTACTCCGGAGAACTCGACGGATGTCTTGATCTCCATGGAGGGGTTGATTATGACTCCCCTTAAGGATGCCGGTTCGCTCCGTGGCTCTGATGCCCGTGATCTCTGCTTCAAGCTGGAATGGTCTCCACTGTCTCAGCCTGAGGAAGAAGCCAATGGTCATGCCCAGAGCAATGGAGATCCAGCTGTGAACGGACATGTCGACAAGCCTCATGTCAACGGCAACGGTACTCTTCACCAGAGCGACGTCTTGATTACGCAATTCGGCAACTCGAATGGTGGTGCTGAGAAGTTGAGCAGTGCAATCACAGCCGCGACAAGCAGCTGGCTGCCATCAATTTCAACCTTTGGCCAAGTCGACTGCGCTAACAAGCATGTTGTTGTGCTCCAGACTGGTGACGAGACCCTGCGTGATCTTACCTCGGAGGTCTTTGAAAACATCAAGAAGACTCTACTCACTGCATCCCATGTGCTTTGGGTGTACCGCGAAGATACTCCTGACGCTCACATGATTGTCGGCTTGACTCGCAGTCTCCGTTCTGAGGCCCTGTCAAAGGTTGCTACTCTCGGCATCAACACTGCAGAGCTCGACAACTCAAAGCCTGTCCTGGCCGCTATCGAGGCTTTGTGGCCTACTGACGGCGCGAAGCCGAGCAAGCATTTCGAATTCAAGGCCAAGGGTGATGAGCTGCTTGTCCCACGTGTGGTCAACGATGATGCCGCCAATGCATTTGTTCACAACGAGACTCATGAACAAACCATCACGACCCAGCCGTTTATCCAGCCTGGCCGTCGCTTCAATCTCCAGATTGCCAGCCCCGGATCTTTGGATACATTGTATTTCAAAGATGACGAGCCCGAGCCATTGGCCGACGACGATGTCGAGATCGAAGTCAAAGCCACCGGCTTGAACTTCAAGGATATTGTCGTCACAATGGGTCAATTGGCACAGCCTTACATTGGAATCGAATGCAGTGGTATTGTGACAGCAGTCGGAAAGAAGGTCCAGCATCTGCAAGTCGGACAAAGAGTTATGGCCTTGCCCCTGGGTGCCTACTCTACATATGCTCGATGCAAGGCTACCAGCGCAGCACCCATTCCGGACTTCATGTCATTTGAGGTCGCTGCCACTATCCCAGTCATCTTCTGCACAGCCTACTACGCTCTATTCAACCTCAGTCAGCTCCAGGCCGGTGAAAAGGTTCTCATCCACGCCGGTGCAGGTGGTGTCGGACAAGCAGCTATCCAGCTAGCACAAATCATTGGAGCTGAGATCTTCGTGACGGTCGGCAGCGTGGAGAAGAAACAGTTCCTCATCACGCAATACAGTATCCCCGAGGACCACATCTTCTACAGCCGTGATGTATCCTTCGGTCAGGGTATCCGCAGAGCTACGAACAACAAGGGTGTGGATGTGGTGATCAACTCGCTGGCGGGTGATCTCCTCCGCGAGACCTGGGAGACTCTTGCGCCGTTTGGTCGCTTCGTCGAGATCGGCAAGGCTGATATCACGAAGAATACTCGGCTGGACATGCTGCCGTTCGAGTACAACGTGTCTTTCTCTTCTATTGATCTGACCAAGGTTGCATCGTACAAGCCGGTTTTGATGAAGAGCCTCTTGGATGAGGTTTCTCAGATGATGAGCAAGGGCTCACTCAATTCTATTATGCCCCTGACCAGCTACAAGATCTCTGAGCTGGAGGCTGCCTTCCGGAAGTTGCAGACCGGAAAGGCGATGGGTAAGATCGTTGTTGTTCCCCATGCAGAGGACCAAGTCAAGGTAAGTCGTCGCAGAATCTACAAGCGAGATAAACATATCATTAATCTGTATAGGCCGTTGCACCCAAGATCAGCTCCTCTCTGCTCAAGGCCGATGCCTCCTACATCCTGATCGGTGGAACAGGTGGTCTCGGCCGAAGCATGGCCAAATGGATGTCATCCAAGGGAGCACGCAACATCGTCCTCGTATCCCGGCGAGCATCCATCAACGACAAAGTCCAAGCTCTAATCGACGAGCTAGCAGTCGACGGAACCCTCGTCACAGTGAAAGCCTGCGACGTGATCGACAAACAGTCCGTCTCGACTCTCATAAACGAGGACATGAAAGACCTACCCCCAGTCCGCGGCGTCGTTCACGGAGCCATGGTCCTTCGCGTAAGCAACTCATCCGTCTTCCCCTTTCTTTGAAAAACCACTAATATATCCTAGGACATGCTCTTCGAAAACATGACACTGGACGACTTCACCTCAGTGGCAGCGAGCAAGGTCGAAGGAGCCTGGAACTTCCACAACGTCCTCGCAGACACAAAGCTGGACTTCTTCATCGCGCTCTCCTCCGTAGCCGGTGTGATCGGTAACAGAGGCCAAGCAGCATACGCAGCGGCCAACGTCTTCCTTGACGAATTCATGTCCTACAGACGCTCCCTCAACCTCCCCGGAACAACAATCGACCTGACAGCAGTCAGCGACGCAGGCTACCTCGCCGACGTGGACGCCAAGCGTCTCGCCGAAGTCCTTAAGAACATTGGCAGCGACACAATGGACGAAGGCGAGGTCCTAGCACTATTCGGCGCAGCCATAACCGGTGAGCTTGCCCGCTCGTGTTCCGGTCAAAGCATCACGGGTCTCAGTCTTGGCAAAACGCTGGACCACTTCTGGGCCCAGGACGCGAAGTTCAGTGATCTTTATGAGTCTGCCAAGGAGAAGTTGGGCAGTGGAGGCGGTCCGTCTGGACCTTCTGTGCCGCTCAATGTGCAGTTGACTAGTGCTGAGAACAAGGAGGCTGCATTGCAGATTTCTTATCATGCTTTGGCGGCTAAGTTGGCGCAAGTGCTGCAGATTTCGCTGGAGGATATGGATCCTTCTGTTACCGTTGCATCGCTAGGATTGGATTCCTTGGTCGCTATTGAGATTCGAAACTGGATTGCTAGGGAGGCGAATGCTAATGTGCAGGTGTTGGAGTTGTTGTCTAGTGGGTCGTTGATGGCTTTGGCGGAGATTATTTTGAACAAGTCGCAGGCTTAGTGGCTTCAGATTTCTCTTGTGTTCACGTTTGCATGTTCTTTTGATGTTGTTTATGCTTGCATGTTTATGAGATCTATAGATTACTATTTATACTTGCTATGTTTTGAATGAAACTTTTCTATCTATTACACTTTTGCTCCTCGTTCTCACTCCGCATCTGCCGAAGTTTACCCTTTTCCCATTTACCAGATGATCAAGTCAAGCTTCCAAACTAGCCGAACGGACCCAATGTAAGCCCACATGACGATCATTTGCAGAAACGGCAAATTGTCCCGACTCAAAGTCTCGGAAATCATTATCCTGCAGAATGGGAACAAACAATAGTCCAGGCCATCCCCTGCGTCCACCTACGTTGCCTGTACGCAATACTGTGAATGTAGATGCATGAGACCAATCCGCGGGCCTCTGTATACACATTGTAACCCAATGGTCCTGTGAGCATACACGTCACCATCCAGTCTCAAACCTGATAGGTCTGGATTTATGCATCGGTAATAGTGCACCGCCACGTTCATTTTTCTCAAACCATTCAGTGCCCTGCAGTGGAGAAGCGGTATGCCTAGTGCGGAAGGTGGGTCAAGGGGGAGGCGCGTATCTTCTGTGTGGGACTTGTCAGATCAATTCCTTTCCTAAGGTTGCTGTGTACGTATGCCCTGACTCCGTACTTTCTTTTTGTATGGATGGGTCAACGTGCATAAGATAATCATGTTGTGGTGGCAAAAAGGATGGAGATGACTTGACTGGTTGGGTCGGTTTCGTAGAGTACACTAAGTGTACAGTACTATGATCATCATTGCAAGGATTATACAAGTGGTAGTGTATGTATGTACAATTGATTCTGTCAGGTCGTTCACAACGAATAATAACAGCAAGAGGAAACGATATAAAGTCGAAAAGGTAATATTACACAAGAATATTGGAAACAAAAAGGTATAGGGCCAAAAAAGGGCAACAGCAAGAGTGGACCCAGAAGAAACCGATACAGTCTCAGCTTCAACAGATCCAACATCTCAGCCTCGGAGATGAGGAGAAGAAATCCCATAAGAAAAAGGTAAGAAAAAAAAAAAATAAACGCCATATAGGGGGTATGATATGCGTGGAACGATCATGACCTGATTGTATGTACCCAACCCCGGCTTTCCTTCCCATCTCTTTCGTTCAGGTTCCGTACGGAGTGGAGTAAATTCAATTCTCCATTTTTGAATTCCTCCGGATCGTGTGATACCTCCGTCTCTTCACCGGGAAGAGACAGGTTCCGGGGAATGATGCGATGCAAATGCGGAAGCGGCAGATGCGATGACGCTGCTAATTATGCAAAACGGATGTTTAAAAAAAAACAAAGAGAATATAAGGAAATTGCAAAAATTTAGATCATGAAAGCCAGAAATCACTCCTGGGCTTGAGAGCGCAGGTGGATCTGTTCTGTGGGGAGATCTTCTTCTGAGGAGATGTGCTGGTAGGCACGGCTCTTGCGGCGCGTAAACATGCGGTATAAGGCGAATCCGACACCTCCGACTGTGCAGGAGACTAGGATGAAGATCAAAAGGGCGCCAACACCGCGGATGACTTCGTAGGCCTTGTTCACGGCCTTGGCGACTTCCTTTGCGTCGGAGTAGGATGAGGTGGTGGAGTCGGAGTCGTGGCCCATATCCATATCGTCCATGCTATCACTGCTAGTGTCCTCGGTGGTGTCGGTGGTGTTAGTGTTGTCCTCGATGACAGTTTCGGCCGTGTCGTTGGTCGAGTCAGCCGAATCAGTGGTGTCAGTAGACTCGGTGGACTCGGTCGAATGGGACTTGGACTGCTCGTATGCGGACGAAACGAGAGACGGGTCGTCGGGAGAGGGGCTGGTTGCTCCTAAGAAACCAACGGCTTGCCAGTTGCTGGGAGTATCACTGCGAATAACGCGGGACTTCATCATCGAATTGCCATCGCGGTCAACAGCCTCAGCGGTGATCCAGTCCATATAGCCGTCAACAATGTACATCGTCTCAAAGTCAGTCTTGTTGGCATGGCCGATGAAAACGGAGTCACCGCGGTCGTAGGCCTTGGCGTAGAAGTTCCAACCAGCAACGTTGGTGGCACCGTTCCAACTCACGTGGAAGATGGTGGTGATATCGGTGTTGCTGGTTCCGTAGACGGAAGCCACCACGTCGGGAGGAGTAAGAGGGCGGCCGGTGAATTCGGACTTGTATGCGCGGTAGGTCGAATAGCGAGTTGAAGCAAATCGGGCGGTCATCAGCACATCACCGTTGGGGGCATGCTCACTCTGGTAGCCTCGCTCACTCCAACCGATGAAGATGTTTCCATTGGGAAGGACCTCAGCACTTCCACGGAGGCGGGTCAAACCAGCATCGGGACGGTTGATGCGCTTGACAACGTGAGCGGTCATGGCGACAGTGTCCAGCTCGACATGCAGAACCGAAGACATGTTCTCATCATTGCCACGTTCATCGGAGGCGTTGTTCAAGAACGAGATGACATGGTGGGTACCGTTGGATGAGACGAATTTCACGTCATGCTGCTTAGAGAAGGTGAAGTCCTGGGTAAAATCACTCTCAAGCCCACCGAGGCGCCACATAACGTTTCCATCTATACCGGAAATACCGTAGATGGTGTTGGTGAATCGCATCGAGATAATGTAGTCACCAGCCGCGTTCTTATCCACCGCGTTGGCATGAACGTAGTCCCAGCCAGGCGCGCCCATGACACCATCCCAAGCATGGAACATGTTCGATTCGTGCAGCGCAATGTGATCCAGACTGTTCCACTGTGTCAGGAGCTGATTGGTCTCAATGTCGAATTCAGCAAATCCGCCCGAGACAATCCAGCTCTTCTCGTTCGGACGGCCAAAGTCCGTCAGGTCAACCTCGACTTGACGATAAACACAAGCCAAAACGGTCTTTCCACCGTCCAGAATGTTAAACTCGTGCATGTTGAAGTCGTGCACATCTACCAAAGGAAGGACTTCCTTCTCAACCTGGTAGTGCTTATCCACAATCACACCGTGTCCCCTGTCGGCTCCATTTTCGTTATCCCAAGCCACAATAAAGGATAAGTGTGGCTCTCCGTCCATGTTGTGATTTGCGCGGAAATCGAAGGCGTTGCGATTGTCGTAGAGACTCGGACCGGCCCAAACAAGCATCTGTTCCAGCGCGTCAGCGATTGCAGCATTTCAGCGGAAAAAAAAGAACTGCACATACCCCATCGTTATCGTAAATGTACGGTCCAACTTGGTATTGCTGGTACTTCTGGGTGGGATTCTCGGGGGAGATCTGGCCGTACGGCGCAACGAACCAGTATCCCGGGGCCTCGCGTTCACGATCATGATGAGTGACCTCCCATTTCAGGGCTCGTACTTCGGGGAGCTAATCAATTGTACATCGTGAGCGGCGGCTTCAGGTTTCACCATAAGCAAAGAAGATCAACGTACCGTTACGAAGGACATGAGATCAGCATCATGCCGCTGCGCCACTACATTCTGTAGACATGATAATAACAATGCGCCGAGAAACAACATGGTGAAGGAGTGGCCAGGAAGGAAATCTTCCCTTGATGTCGCGGGGGAAGAGTTTCGAAGAAAGGGGGGAAGGGAAGAAGAGAGCGACGACGCCAGACACGAGGCGAGGCGTCGTCAGTCCTGGGGAGCGGGCGTTTTTGGACGGAGTGGAGAAGGCCTGAGCTATGGAGAGAAAGGGTTAGACGAGACCTCGACTTCAGGAGATGGAATCTGACGATCCAGGCTTGGCATTGTTTCGGTGGAACCAAGCGAGAAGTTGTTTGGCGGGACTTCGTATTTGATTGCGCCCCGTATCGCGTATAGTTGACCGAATCGGGGGTTCCTGCTGACTGGTTTGTTGATTTTGTGCCTTTTGTTCACTTTACTGTTCCTCTGTTTTACTGGGTCTTGTCTACAGGAAAGCTTATCGATCGCATCACTCGTTCTCCTTTACCCCATGTGTCCACCACTTCAGCTTGCGTTGTCAATTGCATTTCCACGGGTACGTATGTTTTCTATTCGACGGGGGTTGCCGGTTTCCCGGAATTTGAAGGCTGGGCACCACCGCAACAAGCCCTATGACTGGCTGAGCCGCAGTCCATGGGATAGTTTCAGGGGATTGGAGTCTTGGCACCATTACCTAGTGCGGTTAGACGGGGAAGATTTCTATTCCAGATGGATCAGAATTTAAGGAAATTTAATCGTCTCTTGACTCGTGCCTCCACTGCGGCACAAAGGAGATAACGATCAATGGCTCTGGAATCCCATCACTCAAAAGGACACGATACGGGAAGTCACGTACCAGACTTCACTCGAAAAACGTTGATACAAACCGACCTAGAGTAGTTTACTCGGAACAATAGTAAAACAAAGGAAAAATCGAATGTGGTTCCTGTGATCTTTCATCTGTCCCCTTCTAATGTCGATCTGTCAGAAAAAAAGAAATGCTCCACATAGTCAGCCGGCGGCAATTGGTTCCTTCTAGGGCCGAATTAGGCCCATCCACAAAGGCCACGAAAGCTCTTGGCATTATCGACTCAATCCAACATTAAGTGAAGGCCAAGCTCATACCTAAACGGCTTGATGTGTACAACATTTGATCGCGAACCATGTGCCCCACGTGCATTACGAATGAATCTGTTTCATCCAGACTCGTTAATCGAGTCACTCGTTAAACGCGCGGTGACGACTCCGTCTCCGCTAGAGCACCGTCCGGCCCCGAAAAGACGCGTAGCCCGTAATGGTTCGTGCCACTAGGCTACGCACACCAAACTTTCTGTCCCAAAGAGGTCTGCAAGCGACGAAACCCGCGCCAGCGCCTCCTGACTCCAGTTGAAGACCCAGCTGGCCGATGCTGACGGGTCGCTTTCTGGTACCGGGCCTTGTCAGGGGCGGTTATACGCTTCACGCACAAGAGCTCCCCCCCCCCCGGTTAGCGCGCACAGACGAATGTGGCCATAACTATGGTGACTACGCCCCGCACGTCATGGCTGTGTCGATGTGTGGGGCTGGATATGGGCTAGACGAGGTTGTTGAAAATGAATGGTTTATTGTGGGGACGTTACTGTAAAGCGAGTCGTCTTCGACGGTGTATTCCGTCCCCAGTTTCCTCTGCTTGGCTGCACGGGGGCACCGATGATAAGTCAGCGCGACACAAGCCATTACCCCTAGCTCCCCCTGGATTTGGCTGTTAGCGATGAAGTGTCTGTACTAGTACGTGTACAGCGAGGTCGCGATCGAGATGACTGCGACTTCTGGTCAACACATAGTGCGGCGATGTGTTCGGTGCTGATGAAAAGTTATAAAAGAGCGAAGGGCTGTTCATGCCACATACTTCGTACTGCCTTGCTATTTCCCTCGGTTGCCGCGACTGAAGGAATGGGACTTGCGAGGGGAATGGCAGTCTTTAGTACTGTCCTTGGGTCGAGATTGGTGAAAACCAACCGGGGTATGGGGTATTGGGCGACAACAATCATCCTCGGTCTTCTTCCTGTGATGGATGATCTAGAGAGCCTAGGAATGATTCTATGGTGATAGTTTGCGTGACATTCGTGCAGCATTCACTCTAGTACAGTCAAGAACCATGCGAGTAACAGAATTGAATTGTTCATGCAAACTCGAGTGCTGACAGAATTGACAGAGGTTTGGTGATAAGAGACAACCTAGAGCGATGATAAGTTGCACAGAACCACTAAGTGATGATGGCCTCGTGATCAATTGCCGCATTGGAGAGGTCGATGAGGCTCATTTCCGTGGATTGGGAGGTCCTACATCAGCAACTCGATTGATTCTCACCTGGATTATTCAAAGGGCATTCACGCCAAGCATCAGGATTTAGGAACCGAGGAGAATTGCTATGTCTCAAGCATCATCTGAAAGCTGCTGACGTGCACATGCCTTGGGCTCATTTGTAGCACTGGTCCCCTTTGACTTAGTTTTGGGGATTGGTCAACTTGGCACTGACTAAGGGAACACAAGGATCAAGAAAGCCAAAGTATATCATTCACAAAGAAGCTTTTCATTGGACAGAGCAAAAAAACCTCATTGTAACCTTGTTCCCCGCAGATCGGAACGGGATCTGTGGGGCAGAGATAACAAAGGTCTTGCAGAATCCTCGAGATCAGATCACTTATGGGGATTATGGGCCAAAGATTCGCTGAGATCGCATTCTAAATCCCCATTAACCCTCGACCCGCGGCTGCTTATCCACCGATTGTGGATTATGGGACACCCTGTGCCCGTGTTGATCGGTGAAGATGACCTGTGTCGAGAGCGCATCAGATTTGGGATGCAACTGGAAGCGTAGTAACCGGGGAACAACTGACCTTGGGCGGATTCACGACCCTTTCAGCCTGAGCTCCTTCCTGGTCGGTAACGATCTTGTCAACCTAAACTGTAGATGAGTTGCAATGACCTAGAGTGATATCGAGCAACAAGGGTTCACACCTCACCCTCCCGATGTCCACCACGGGACTTGATGTGAACGTAGTCCCCTTGCGTGAGAGTCTCTCCTTTCTTGTCTAATACACGATCAGCGGACATGGCTGATCTGGGCAAGACAATGTCATGGTAAGGTTTCAACGTTGCGGTGCTCTACTATATGCAGACTACGTTGGCCACCATGATGCCATTTATGCACAGGGATGATGTCACGGGTAAAGTACGAATAGGCTAGGGAGTCAAATTCTTGGAAGCATTGCCATACAGGTTTATCAGATTGGAAGCTAAAGACGATTACTAGATCTGTCGAAGTGTCCGAAACATGGCCGCATGGTAGCAGCGATGCAACCACCGACCCCGTGACCAAGATTGGGACCGGGGTAGACTGCAGTTTAGGGAACATGCTACCTATTGAAACAAAGTAAAAAGGGTGATGCAGCAACAGGTTTCCACGAGGTTATAAGGGCGGTTCCACATGAGTGTAACGGTCCCGGCCAGTTGGGCCGGCTACCACCGTTGCACTCAAGGGGGTCATCGAGCATGTACGAACATACCACGCTTGGAATGTAGATTTTGGTTTGATTTCTGCGTCTATGACTGCATTTACGAAGTATAGCCTTTTCGAAGAGTAATTGCCGTCGTATTCACCTGCTATTCTGAATTGATCATCGAATACGATGTGCTATTTTAAACTTTAACCCTCACCGTAATTTAACGTTAATAATACCACCCTCGCCACACCCACAACACGGCACTCCATAAAGTACCGTACCATACCAATACCCACTTCGCGCATTGCGACACCGCAAGGGCTTCAAGTTGCACTCCGAGTGACACTCAACACCAAGAATGGACCAATGTTGATCCATGCTTCGGCTTGTTGACCCTTTTCTCATTTCTCTTTCCCCCCCCCCCTCCTCTCCAAAGCGCGGCTCTCGTGTGTTCACAGGTGGGGAATCTCTCTCTTCCTCTGCTACACTCACCTTCGATCCACCTTGAACACTACTGTGGGAGTGTCACCTAAGACACAACCTATAAACCACACCCCCGGAATTACCTTTAGAGCCTTATCTTTGCCCATGTCGCCCTGATCTCCTTTCCAAAATTTCCCTCCAATCGTTTCGTCTGTCACACACCGACCATGCCAGCCCCGCTGGTCAAAGTCTTGCACCGTCTGCAAGAGCTCTTCCAGAACGTGGTTGCCGCCCTCGAGACCATGATCCTCTTCCCTTCGCTCTTCCGAGGCTTCGGCCACAAACACCGCAAGCCCTTCCTGGGCGCCCACTGGCGTCGTCGATCCCTGGATGATTTCGCCGGCGAGGTCGAGACCCTGTTCACCACACCCCTGTCGACCGCAAAGATGCTCGGTATGTCCGAGAAGATTCGCGCGCAGTTTCGCCATTGCCTACAAGATAGTCCCTGCAACATGCTCCCCTCGTATACCCACTCTCTTCCCAGCGGCAATGAGAAAGGCACCTACTTGGCCCTGGATGTGGGGGGGTCAACATTCCGAGTCGCTTTGATTGAATTGTATGGGCGGGAGGAGGAAATGCGCATCGTGCGGGTGGCATCATCATATATTGATAACAGCGTGAAGTTGTTGGAGGGAACTCAGTTCTTCGACTGGATGGCTGGACAGATCGAAAATATGTTGAAGGATGTGGGCACGGATTACGGACGCGGCGAAGTCGCCTTACCAATCGGTCTCTCCTGGTCATTCCCGATCGATCAGACCTCGACCAGCAGCGGCTTGGTGATCCATATGGGCAAGGGCTTCCATTGCTCGAACGGCACAGTTGGACAGGAATTGGGTCAGTTGTTGATAGATTCGTGTCAGAAGCGCAACTTGAATGTGGAAATGGCTGCCATCGTGAATGATAGCTCTGCTGCTTTGCTGTCGCGTGCATACGTTGACCCCAAGACGCGCATGTCCTTGATTTTGGGAACCGGCACCAACATGGCCATTCATTTCCCCGTGCATGAGATTGGCCGTAGCAAGTTTGGCGTACGCCCTGATGGATGGTTCGACTACGCCAAGCATGTTATTGTCAATACGGAGCTGAGCATGTTTGGAGGTGGTGTTTTGCCTATGACTCGCTGGGACGATGTCCTGAACCGCACCCACCTACGACCCGACTATCAGCCGTTGGAATACATGATTACCGGTCGTTATCTTGGCGAGATTGTTCGTTTGATCATCTTGGAGGCAGTGGAAACGGCAGGTCTGTTCAAGGGTGAACTGCCACACTCGATGCGCGAGCCGTATTCTCTTGACACCAGTATCGTCGCATTCATTGAGGAAGATTCTTCCGTTTCTTTAGCACCCTCCGCCGCTCTCCTCCAAAAAGAGCACACCTTCCCTAGTTATCCTTCGGTGGAAGACTTGCGCTTCCTCCGCCGTGTCTGTCAGGTCGTCTCCCGCCGCGCCGCTGGATATCTGGCTACTGGTATTCACAGCATGTGGTGTCTGGGCAACGAAGCGGAATCCCCCACGACTTCAACCGCAACCGACTCTCTCAAAGAAGCCCCCGAAATCACCGTCGTCGAGAGTGCAGAGTCCGCAAAGAAGATATCCATCGCATGCGATGGTACTGTCATCAACAAGTACCCCGGCTTCCGGAACACTTGCCAGAGTTATCTGGATGCATTGTCCGAGCAATCTCACCCTGGTTCTCAGTCTGCTATCAGCCTTGACCCTGCTCCTGAGAGTGCCATCTTAGGTGCAGCTGTAGCAGTAGCCGTGGCTGTGGCTGAAAAGGCCGAGTAACGGTAAACGCTCACCACTAATTCTGAAACGAGTGATGCATTACACCCGCGACGCTTAGATATCCCGAGGTCGACGACGGCCACCTCCTCTTCTCTGTCAATTTTTTGTCCCTTTTCTCTTCGTCATTGATCATCGGCGTATGATCCGTTCTTTTCTCGTTTGGCTCCGTTCCCTGCGCGGGTTCCCAAATATCCGGAGGGTTTTGGATGCAATTTTCCTTCTGTCTCTATTTGACTCAAACAGCATTTGCCAGGTGTTTTCTTGCATGGGTTTTCAGTATGGTTTGGCTTTCTATTCTACTGGCCTGGGCGGTGTACGGTTCTTCCGGTTCCTATGGTCATTCTTATGGCGCATTTGTGGGAGGAATGGTTTCGTGTCTCCTTGCCGTAATGTTCGGTTTGCATATTGTTCTATGGCGTGAGACTGAGTATGAATAACTGAATCATTTGACCTGGTATAACCCGGGGTTCAATAATTTCCCACTGGTATCTATCTCCATGTTTGCCTTGGCGGGCCCCTAGAAGAGTGATACAATAGGTGATCAACTCGAAGGTCTGGACAAGATTATAAACTAAATTATAAAGTAGACATGGAGATTGAACGCTCAGGGTTGAATCTGCCCTGTGCGCAGAGAACCAGTCAGCTACCCAATACATCAGTCCCCTGCTGGGGTACTGTGAGCGGCATTGCACGCTTCCGCCTATTCATTCAGGAAATACAACCCAATTTTCAGTCTAAAAGCACTTGACTTACTGCAGTAATGTAACGTGGTCCTATAAGATAAGCAATTTGCAGGCTCAAAAAATAGTAGGAGCTCCTACTTTATACAGGCCTTTCGTGGTACATCCAGAGGCTCTACGGCCAATGGAATGCCCCCAACATCCGTACCAACGGGGAATCTCTTGTTCTGCTCAGTGGGTTTATCGGACCGTTCAGAGGCATCTTTAAGCTTTCAACATAACCCCAGCACATAAGGTTCGGTGTGAGGCTCCTTTCCGTGATCAAACGTTCCTTGGTTAACTGGCGTATTCCCCAAGCTCTTGCTAGATTTGTCTCACAGGGTATACTTCTTGATTCAAATGTAATAATAGCTTAATGTTTTTTATATCCTAAGGGAAGTCATAGGAAGGGAGGCTACGCTTTCTTCACCCGGGCGTTAAATAGGTACTACCAACCAACCAACTAACCAACAAACCATTCTAGGATCATCGGCTTAGCTGACTCTAGGCGTTTACCTATGGAATTTCCAACTAGACAACCTTACTTCGCCTCATTTTGATCCTCGCGTATGAGTAGTGGGGTATTTATCTTTATTACATAGTGCTTTCACTGAAGCAACTACGAGAAACATATATTGGACAAAAACTCGCCATCTCAAGGGCAATCTCTTTACTCTAATATCTGTCACAATTCAGGCAAGGAATTCAAATTATTTACTCAAGAACTGTACACCACAGCCCAAGCATTTTGAGAACCGTACGCCCTCGATTGTTTCAACAAAAATACAAACAAAATCGCAGCTGCATCAACAAGAGCATCATTACCGCAGATGACTGTATACAATGAACAAGAGATCCATGAGTACGCTGCGTCTCGCTTAGGAGCATTTCAATACGTCGAAACCCCATTCAAAACTTCAGCAGATTTCATAGGCTACTTTGAAGAATTGTTGAGAAAACATCATTTGGAGGATTGCAAATACATCTTGTTCCGCGAAAACTACCCTAATACCGTCTACCATTTTGTGATTATTGATTTTCAAGAGTTGACGACGAACGATTCCTTGAAAATATTGATTCTATGTTAAAAACGCCAGAAATCACGTTTTCGCTATTCGGCACGGGGGACAACCTAAATGATGTCAAACTTTGGGGGGAGGCGTAGCTGCTTGAATTGTATGAGCGTATCGGCAATCATGAAGAGCTAATGCGTGATCTTGCGCATGGCGAATGATGGAGCTGGTTTGTATATGGCAAAATCGCTAGGGTGATATGATCCTGTCTTCTCGGTATTTGAAGGGCGAAGATAAAGCGGCATACAGACCGACAAATTTCAGGACAAGTCATCTGGAAGGTTCACTAAGTAATGTGTTATTCCTTTCATAGCAAACTTCAGGTTCAAAGCCTGGTATCTGAATCGTTCTGGTTATTGATGAGCGAAACGATACGGACAAGTCTTGTACCCATATGCTTTTCTGAATTAATATTGCAGTAATTTTTGATCAAATTGTCTGACGTAAAAGAGCTTCTCCGCTTAAATTTGATCGTACAAACTTCAAATATCTCATCTTCGCTACCCACGAGCACACGACCGCCAAAAAGCCAATCCTCAAGGTGACCATCTCCCACCTGCCGACCTCGGGACCCGACATTGCTTCCAATTTTTATCAGGCCACCTTCCTTTCCCCAAATTCCTTTCTATTTGAAGGCGAAAACATTTTGTTTTGCCTATCTTCTTCCAAATCGCCCCTAGAAGCCGCCAATATAGTGAACAGCCATTATCCCACGAGCTTGGATCTTCCAGGAACCGGCTCAGTCGAAATATCCACCTCCTCAATTGCCGCTGGGAATGATGAATTGGTGGTTGGATATCAGGGGGCAAATCAATCCCAGGAACGCGGACACTATAGTTGTTTTGCACCACGAGGATATCATTCTCTACGAAGGACTTTGTTCTAACTTCCGCCATGACGAAGTGGTGATCTTTCACTGTACACTCATGATAGAGAATGATATATCCCCCACTCAGACTGGGACGGAAGAAGTAATTCTCAAGGTTAAACTCTTCGCATTTATTGGGATGTCGTCCCATAAATTCGAGCAAATGTTTCATTTGGTCTCGGTGTTAGTAGGTCATTTCGAGACAAGGGCATATTTTCACGACCCCAGCCCAGGGAAGACATTCTGCTTTTTTGGGTAGGGATGTCATTGTCGCGACGGAATTCATTTCTCTATAGTAACGAAAGCTCCCAGCCTAGTCGGTACCAGGCTGGGTTTTCATTTTGCAGCTGAGGCAGGGAGGTAGTGCTGCGTAGAGTTGCTCGTAGCATTCTTTGTCATGTGGTTTTCGGCATTCCGATCTAGGATGCAGTCTTTCACGAAGACAAAGTTTCCAGAAGGGATTTTCGCCAACGCTGCGAATGAGCTTTGTTCGTACTTTTGCCTCGACTTCGCGTTTTCTGATGAAAGGTTGGTTATTGTAGGGTGGGTATTCGCGTTGGAGGCCTGGGTCTCGGAGCACGGCGCCAATGCGGTTGTACAGAGACCTGCAGGAGGTCGCAAGATAGGCCTTGTATAGTAAGGGGATGTACTGGATAATTTCATCCAAGATCTCCTGGGGTATTTGCAGGATGTAACATGGGATATCCGATTGGAATGAGAGTTTGACTCGATTGAGAAAATATTGTGCGATCTGGCGATGTTTATTCGACTTTCGTGGCAACGCGCTTTGATCTCGTATTAAAAGCTTCTGCCAGCGGAGGCGGGTGCTAAGAGACTGCATTTTCTGAAGGCTGCATAGGATAGATTTGTAGTAATATGTTCAAAGAAACAGCATGTTGCATTCAAGAAACGCGTCGGTACTAAAATTTGAACCAATCATGTCGAGCAGCATCATCCATTCGGGAGATACCGTGGGTAGCTAGACCGTGTTGAACAAATGTTTGTTTGTGACCTCTTGAGAATTCTATAGACCCCGCGTACATATGCTTATGTTTCTTTGTAGGTAATCCTTTGCGCTGCGTTAATTTGCCTTTATCTATCTATTGAAATGCTGTAAATAAACTATGTGCGAGCTGTCTGTACAACTGCCGTTGCTCATAGAGGTATATTTGCACGGACGGTTGTGGCGTAGCATCAGTCTTAAAAAATTTTGGTCATTGAAATTAGAGTCAAAGCCCGTTCTGGGGTTAAATCACTGCCCAAAGGGATTTCGCAGCGCTTCAGAAGAAAGGTTACATCAAGAATGGCTCATTATCTTAGTGCACGCAATCGACAGGGAAGCATTTGCACAACATTGACGTACATCTGCCAATCCTCATAGATACCATTGTTCTGAAAATCCATTTGCGATATACGATACTTCCCTTGATATCTTGCAACACGCCAGTTTTGTCCTCTTGTTGATATATGGGCTAGCAAATAGCAATTCCGATAGAAAACTACTCTTCTCAGGCACTGAAAAAAATGATCTTTCTCGTATTTCATTTCTGGTTGCATGGAGTAACCGACATTCTTCATAATTCCACACCTTTCCCTTCCCGATCCCTCCATCGACTGACCAACTTCTGTTTCATGATTCGTAAAGCTCCTTGAATGCACTGTCCCTATTGAGAAGTGCCCCCGGTGTATCAAATTCAATGAGCTCACCGTTGTGTATCATGGCTATGCGATCAAAGTCAAGGATCGTCTCGAGCCGATGAGCAACAGCCAAGATCGTGCAATCAGCAAACTCTTCGCGGATTACTCGTTGCATCAATGCGTCAGAAACAATGTCCACATTGCTAGTCACTTCGTCTAGAACGACGATCTTACTTTTGCGCAACAAGGCTCGTGCAAGACAAAAGAGTTGCCTTTGACCGTGAGAGAAGAAATTGACATCGAGGGCGGCGTCGACTCCCCCTTTCATCTCAATAATACCCCACAGTTCAACGCGACGAAGAACCCGCTCTATATCTTCGAGGCTGTTGGTGCTATGTGGATCAATATTGGCACGAATAGTGCCATGCGTGAAAAACGGCTCTTGTGGAATGGCGTTAAGAGCCACGCGTGTAATCTGCCGTGGAATCTTTGCAATATCCACCCCATCAATCCGAATGCGACTTTGAGGATCAATTTCCAGCAGTCGGAACAAGGCCGCTAGAAGCGAGCTTTTACCACTGCCACTGCGACCACATATGCCAATCTTTTGTCCGGGTTGGATTGATAGGTTCAAATTGCGGAGAACGTATGGTTGGTCTTCGCCTGTTTTGTACGATGCATACACATTCTCAAACTCGATTGCGCCTTTGGATGGCCAGGAGGATAAGTTCAACTCTCCAACCTGGAGTCCCTCATCCTCCCCTGACTTGTCTTCAGAGGCGGTATGGGTAACAAAGTCTTTAATTCGAGCGATAGCCCCAATAGAAGTCTCCAGTTCCACCCAGTTTCGAAGAATCTCCGAAAGTGACTCGCTGAAGGTGATGACATTGAGGATGGCGAGACCGACGTATCCGGTGCCAACCTCGTTTCTCAATTTGACCACGAGAACCATCAAGATAGTACCAAGAATAGCCACAGACAAATCCAAGACTAGTTCCAGCCAACGTTGAATGCAGAATAACAGATAAAATGGTTTCTGTGACGTGTCAAGTAAGGTGAGATTCTGGTCTTCGAATACAGACGCCCAGCCGAAGGCGCGGATGGTCACCAGACCGGAAAGACTCTCAATAAATTGAGAGAACAGTGGCGATTTCGCCTCGAGGTCGAGAAGTCGCATTTGACGTGACGTCCGGAGATAAAACTTTTGCAACATCCACAGAAACATGAAGGCTGGCGGTATCACGGCAGCGAAATACGGCGCAGATATGCACACCATGATAGCGGACATGAATCCGTACGCAAGCGAGAATATGAGGTCAAAAGCAGAGTAAGGTAGATCATGATCAATCAAGGTCATATCTTGGCTGAACCTGCTCATGGTAGTTAGGATCCAAGATACTTCAAAATTCTTCTTGAATCAAGGCAGCCTTACCTGTTCAGAGTGGTGCCAGTATCGACCGACGTAAAGAATGATAAAGGTGCATGCATGACTGAATTTAGAACGCGTTCGTGTAGAGTTTCAGCACTTCGGGGGCAGAAGAAAATGAATAAATGGTAACCCCCACCCACAAGCGCAAAGACCGCCAAGATTGACACCAAGGCATAGAGACCTAGGTAAAAAGAATTGACAGAACTGCCATTATTTTCCAACGAGCTCACCCAATATTTGACCACCAATTCGCTCACTTTCGGTAATAATCCATCCATCACAAGCAAGGTCATCCAGAGAAGACTGGATGCCCAATGCACAGACCCAAAATAGTAAAGGTAAAGAGCAAAATCTCCACTTCCCCTGGCCAACTCTTCTTCCATAGTATCGATGCGATCTCCTTGACCAGACCCAGCGAGGGCGCTTGTCTTATCCTTCTGCTGGGGGTTTGTTTTGACATTGGCTTGGTTTTTATACTGTGCCTTCAAGAGGGCAACGTAGCCACCATTGGCCTTGAGCTCCTCCAGAGTTCCTTGCTCCGCAACGGAGCCATCTTTATCTAAAGCGACGATATGATCCGCGTAGGAGAGTCGGTGTACAGCGTGCGTACCCAGTATCACAGTCGTATTCAGTCGGCGAAACAATCCGTTAATCGCAAAAAGAGCCTTGAAGACATGCTCTTCAGTATCAGCATCAAGGCCCGAGAATATATCATCCAGCATAACGACTTCTTTGCATGCATAGACAGCGCGAGCCAGGGCAAGTCGTTGCTTCTGTCCCCCAGACAGAGAAATTCCGGAGGAACCAACCTTGGTCGCTACAAGTAGGGGACAAGCATTAGCATACTAGGCCGAGTTTATAGAAAAAGGAAACCCACAGTGACCATTAGGTAGATTTGCAACATCTTGATCCAATCCACATGCGCTGAGGACTTCATGATACCAAATCTCGTTATAATTCGACGCGCCCAGAATGTTATCCTTGAATGAAGTGTTGCGAATCCAGGGCGTCTGATCCACGAACGCTGTGTCTCGATATTTTGTATACAAAAAGCCTTTGGTTGATGGTGTTTCACCCAAAAACCCTTTCATCATAGTGCTCTTCCCACAGCCTGTTGATCCAATGATAAAACAGAATTGTCCTTTCTGGACACTCAAATTGAGGTTATGAATCGAGAAAGTTGCATGACGGCTCCACGCGAAGCTTACATCTCGGGCAGTAATGACGTCCGAATCTGGCCTGTGTCTTGAGAGGCTTAGGTCTCCAAGCTCTAGCTCTCCCGAGCTCGACTGAATGTGGTGTGTTGAGACTGGAGAATGTTCCAAAAGTATGCGATGGTCACGTCTGCCCTCTGACTGAAGGAACTTCTGTACCCGGTTAAACGACGCCAAAGCAGTGTTCATAGCAGGGATTGCTCTGATAAAAGTGTTGACAGGCGTAGCTAGAAGTGAAATCAGCGACAAGGTCGTGTAAGCCGAAGTCCAATTCAAAGAACCTCCTTTTCCGGGAATAATTGTGAAGATAGCAAATGTCAAAGGTGGGGCAAGGAATCTGAGGCTGTTTCCAAGGAATACACGCAAAACAAGCAGCCTGCGAAAGAGCTTCGCCTCTTGAAGCTCATTTACCCTGAGCCTTTGGATAATACCCGCAAGCCAATCAGAAAAGCCAAGCATCTTGACAGACTTCATAGACCCCAGCATGGTTGCCGTGACGTCAACTCGCGTCTGAATGCTTTCCATCCATATTTTCTGGGCGCGTCCCATGGATTTTGCCATTGATATGATAGCCACAGTCAATACAACGGCAAAAATGACTGGCACGAGTGCTGCAATGCCAAGTTGGCGACTCAAGAGATAAATCACAATGACTAGCTCAACTGGTACTCCCCAGAGATCATTGATTAATCGGAAACCATCGCAAATGGATTGGACATCACTGGACATCAGAGTTACCGCAACCGATTCATCGAGGGCTGTGATGCTGAGATCGACCGTTTTGGAGTAGATGATGCTCACTAAGCTACCACGAACGCTCGTCACGAAGCGAAAGGTCATATGGTAGAAAAGGCCATTTGAAAGCGCGACTCCCACGAGAACTAAGAAAAAAGCACCAGTGAGACCCCAACCAATGCTATCCGACTGGGATGCATCATTTGCGAAATCAATCGTCCGCGTGAGCAGCAAAGGCTGAGTATATTTGAAGGCGATCTGCAACAAACGCGGGATGACACAGTAAAGTAATGACTTCGAATTCGCACGTAACACTGCCCAGAAAAAAGCCCTTCGCTTATGCTGTGCTGAAGCACTCCACGCATTTTTCATTCGCTGCTGGAGTGAAGATGAGGACATTTCACGGTCGATTGGGTACAAGTCATTATTTTGAAGAACTCGTTGGAATCCAGATGTCATGAGCTGATTTAGCCAGAAGAAGAAAGATTTACTGTAAATGCCGCTTGTTTCTTCCGGAGACAAGCCACGATATGGTGGCAAGAGCAGCTTTCGCTTTTCGACTGCCTCGGCAAGCAGAATCATCGCCTTCACGCCAATCATGCTGGAGAATAATCCGGCGATGGATCCGTTATTCGAATCAAGGAACAATGTTCGCACACGAGCAATATCAAAAATCAATGTGAGGAAAATATAGCCGTTGATAATTGGGGATGGGCGGATAGAACGAGAATGCTCAAGCCGTGAAAGCAAACAGAGACCAAGGCTGGCAATAAACGCCAGCACCGATGCGGCGATAGTGGCAATGGTACGTAGTGATGAGTTGAGGATATGAAGAATCAAAAGCGCTAGATGAATCGTGGCGAACGTAGCCAAGAGAACTGATTTGCTCTCACGCAGAAAGCCCTCAGGAGATACCTTTTGCCGTTGGCCGTATAGACTTATTATGCGATATGGTAAAGTGAGCAAGAGAAGTGCTGATGGTACCAAAGAGAGGACGACATCTTCAAAAAGCGGCGTAAAATCGAAGCCCGTAGAGGTAGCAGGCCCAAATAATGTGACGCTCGCTCGGCTGACTATGAAAGAGGAATCATTGTGCAAGTCATCAAGAACCGCAATTTCGGACATAATTCGAGGGTCCCTTCAACAAAGCGAAGCAATAGTCTCGAAGCCAAGGAAGACAATGACTCAGTGACACCGAAGAAAGCTCCACGGCCAACTTATACACGGGTGCTCTGAAATTGGCTGCTAGGCAACAAAATAAATGCTTACTTTTGATTGATAAGATAGAGTGATGAAAGAGGGCCTCCTTTGCTCTACTAGTCGGCGACTTTTGGGGCGATAAGCATGTCGGCCAATGATGTGAATTGAGGGCAATTCCTCGCTGGATAACACAATCAGAGGGATAAGATCCGCTATTCGCCATCCTGTCATTGAGGCTCTGATAGGGCCCGTCGAAGAGGAGCGGGGTAAGGCGGTCCGTGAGGTTACAATACCTGATCACCTGGCCGCCTACATACTCAGGTTTGGGGTTGGAGGTTGAAAATTGAACACGGCTCCCTGGGACCGGTTACTTAGAGTCTGAACTGGGAGACTATCAATTTGGGCAGAATTGAGCTCAATCCTATTGCAAAACTACAACACACTGGACATGGACCCCGCCGTCATTCTGCGGCCAGTTCCCATAGAAAATATAGAGACCGGGTGACGAATAAAGAAAAGAAAAGAAAAAACATAAATGACTAGGATGTGCGACCTACAATTCACCGCTATACAGTTTGTCTAGGCACATTCATATCTCCAGACATTCAGAAAAGAGATTGACGATCGAAGGCACTGTAATCTCGGGCACTCGAGTTTTGGTCACAGCCTCCGCCGCTGCATGCACCCGCACAGCCCATTAAATAAGCAGTCTGGAAACCAGACGAACCGGTGGAAGGCCTCGCGTGGCTGTTGCTATAGTAACAGATCTTGCTGTTGATATGGTAATCCGACACTGTGGCAAGATAATAACCTTCAGCAAGCATTCATGTAATCTTGAATGTTGGTTGGACGTCTTCGGAGATGACTTTGTTTGCTTGTCGCGCTCCACAGGTCATATGAATACCTGAAGAATGTTGGCTGATATGACTGGTCGAAGTGAACGTGAAATTTATTTACCTCTCCTCCAATGCTGCTGAAAGGAAGTCCGTCGGCAAACGGACAATCGGTAGAGCAAAGAACTGAAAGCTGTGTTCAGATTCTTGTCCTGGAGGCGCTGTCATGAAGGCCTAGTCATTTGTGGAGTCGCCATGTGTCTCATTCTGGTATCCACCAGTTTCGTAGAGTTTGCAGGTTCCAATCGGCTCACTGCCAGTCGGTTGAGCTGAATAGACAAAGCTAAGGAAGCTTTAGCATCGCATCAAATAAAAGCTTGTAAACTTCTTTATTTACTCTTTCATATCAGGCTTTCAGCTTATAAGAGACTGTATAGGCATGCAGTTGAACTAGCGGTATACCACATCCTTTAAATGGCGTCCTGTCTTGAGATTTGAACACTCAACAAAGCCTTGAACCCCGATCTATTTATGCGACTTTTGATTCAAAATAGTACTCTATTTCTCCCGTAATGAGCCAAAGATTGATTGGACGTCTCACATTTACCAATTGATAATCAAAGACAAAATACCAATCAATCCAGAAGTCCCACCCAATATTAGAGTCATACCTCCCCAACCAAGGACTAACCTCGCGTAACCGGCAATAAGAGGTCCTACAAACTGACCAAATGTAATGGCCATGCCAAGCCGATTTTGAAGAAAAGACTCGTCCAAGAGATGGAGCTCAAGATCTGCTTGTGAGCGACAGTATGCAATTTCATAGCAGATACAATGTGAACGATAGAAAATATGAAAATAGTGGAGAAGCAGGGGATGGCCTAGGTGGGACAGAATGTAATAGGCAATATTCGTTTGAGCTGTTTTTCAGCACATGCATCTAGAGGATAAATCCCCGTTCAGGCTCCAGCCACTTCAATTTATGCTCGCTGAAAAGGTGCATGACGGGCTGACCCGATGGGAGCTATTTGAAAACATGCCTGTGTATGACACCACAAACACAGATCGCATGTTGAATGCTTCAGGCGGCCTTCATTTTCCGATCCTCGATCGAGGACTTATGGACAAGTATGTGTCATACCTTTCAGGCTTCTAGATTGCAACAGCCTTTTATTTTCTTTTCTGTTCCTGGATGTGGTTGTATCGTGCTTTGTTCTTTGTCCCAAACCGTGTAGCTATGTCACCACCTCAGGATAGCCTTCTGTTTACTTATCAGTTATGCGGTGTTTAAATATCAACCTCCAAAATGCGGGACAAAGGGCGCTGAACTGACGAAGAGTCGATTACTGCCTTACCCAAACTGGCATGCCCAGGCACTAGTAACTGAGTCGAAGGCAGTGCAATTTTACTGAGTCAGCGATCACATAATTCATAAGCAACGCTGCCTGCCGCGGTCGAATTTGATCCTGAATTTCGCATCATCACTTGACAAAGTAGTTCTAAAAAGCAACCAGGCTCAGAGTCCAGGGCTTTGAAGTATATCGCTACGAATTTTTACGAATTTTCTCGGAACATACGGGGGCATCACAATCACAATGGTCGAGGTCTACGGAACTAACGACCCCGCATTCGAGCCTGTACGGGAGCTTTTGCAGAAACAACTCTCTTCAGGAGACGAACTAGGTCTATCCCTCTTCGTGAATATAGACGGCAAGGATGTCCTCGATTTGTGGGGTGGTCATACCGACGTGCCTAAGACTAAACCTTGGCACAAGGACACTATTGCGCTGGTTTGGTCCTGCTCCAAGGTAGTCACCAACTTTGCCACCATGCTGCTTGTCGATCGCGGCCAACTAGATGTGAATGAAAAAGTTGCGACATACTGGCCTGAATTCGCAGCCAATGGTAAAGAGAACATTACAGTGGCCCATGTTCTCAGCCACACATCCGGGGTCCCCGCGTGGGAGAGCCCCGTGACTTTTGAAGAGCTCTGTGACAACAAAGCTGCTACCGAGAAACTTGCGAGTCAAGCCCCCTGGTGGACTCCTGGTGAGAGAAGTGGCTATCAACTTTCCAATCAAGGCCATATGGTTGGCGAGGTTATCCGTCGGATTACAGGGAAAACCTTAGAGCAGTTTGTCGCGGATGAGATTACCCGTCCCTTGGATGCGGATTTCCAGTATGGAGTACCGGAAGATCAATGGCATCGCACGGCGGATCTCGTCCCACCCCCAGCTCTGCCCATTGGAAGTCTTGACCCCGCTAGCATTGTAGCCAGAGCTATTATGGGATCTCCCTTTCCCGCTGAGATTACAACGGCGCCGCCGTTCAGGAAGGCTGTGATGGGCGCGACCAACGGATTTAGTAATGCTCGTGCGCTAGCCCGAATTGGTTCCATTGTTTCTCTCGGTGGCACTGTTGATGACAAGCGCATCGTGGATCCGAGTACTATTGATACATTCCTGGAAGAACAGGTTCAAGGTCATGATCTTGTCACTTCCGATTTCGTTCGATTCGCTCTCGGGGTAGCTCTATCTGATTCTCGGACTCGTTCTTGGATCCCAGAAGGCGACATTTGCTATTGGGGAGGATGGGGCGGCTCGATCATCATCATGGATCGTGAACGACGAATGACGATTTCTTACGTTATGAATCGCATGGCTGGAGGTGGCACCATTGGAAATGACAATACTGAGGCATACGTCAAAGCGATATATGAAGTTGTGAACAAGATGTCTATATGATTGCTATCACATAGTATATTTGGTGTCTGCATTATTAGAAATACACATCATTTTGCCAAGAGCATAAAGTTCTGGTGGACAAAACATAATATACCCATCCCATATAGGAATCACACTGACTCCTAGACAATGGTGAGCTAGGAGGACTTTTTGGCCTTCGAAACTTGCTGCCCTGAGCCAGTCTCATTGAAGACCAACTCGTCGCGCTCCCACATCAACTCCACCGCTGCACCAGCTGGACCTGTAAGAGCCGTCAACAAGCCGATTTTGAAGAAAAGACTCGTCCAAGAGATGGAGCTCAAGATCTGCTTGTGAGCGACAGTATGCAATTTCAAGGCCCACAGCAGAATGCCCGCCGATCCGATCATATAATCCCAGCGCAAGAACACATGCACGCCATCGGCCACTGTATCAACCTGCATCCCAGACCATGGAACGGGGAAAGAGTACACCTTAGACGGGTGAAGCGCATCAACGAAGCGGGTGTCAAACAGAGCAGGAGCCAAGACTGTGGCAACGGAAATGACCAGCGTGACGAGGTGGCTGACTCCAGCATGGATGAACGCGGACGCATAGACCCACCGCAAGCCTGACATGGACGCCCGATGGTTGTTCGTGAAGAATGGGCCGAGGACATAATAGGCTGCAGTTGTGAGGATGGACACATATACAGGCCAAGGGTGCCACGCAGCGATAGCTATCTGCTTCCAGTCCACAGAGATCACGTCCGGCGCGGGGAGAATCATCAAGTTAGTCGGCACAAGGAAGCCGATCACAAAGACAGCCGGAATAACAGCTAGCACGACACGAGGAACACGAATATTATCCGCGTGGGGGTGGCGCGCCGTAACTGAGCATCCCAGTTGCAGGGCACATATCAAAGGGGTTGCGAAAGCGAAGGTCAGAACTTGTGCTGCTAGACCAAAAATCGCAGGACTGCATCTAGGGTCAGTATGTTGATATTTGAAAGTGGGATTCGCACATCTTGTGGTCGTGACTTACTATGCCGCGACTGTACCAGCATTGCCTTTTCGCCAAGATTCCAGTACCACCAGAGTCCATGCTGCCCCAAATGTGCCAGAAAACCCGATGCCATGCAGCAGAAGCGCTGAGCTTTGGCCGTCAAGAACAGGATAGAAGAACGTGGTGAGCACAGTCAGGATGCGATCGACGGGCTCAACCCCAGTATACACGGTGCGCAGGGGCTCATTGAGACCAGGAAGCTTTCCTGAAGCCACAGATTTAAGGCCAAGCTCATTGAGCCCATTGACTTGTGAAAAATAGAAGATCGCATAGAATGCGAACGCACTCAGCGAAAACAAAATGGCTCTCATGGTTGCGATTGCAAAGACGCTGGCTTGGATCGGGATTAGAGCGGGGTGTAACTGTTTATATTCCACGGAAAGAGCAATGACGATCCCGCCCACCTCGTCATATGTGCTATGGATACCGAGGCTGATTGAGGTGAACCGAACTTCACCAGTCTCATTATGTTATGCAACAGAATGTCGTCGGCTGCCGATCTTGCACGATTTCGGATTTCACATGGGCTCCGTTGAGCATCCTGCATACCGAAATGGGTTAGCTGCCCAGGAAAACTTGGGGTACTCATGCCCTTGATGTTCAGGTACCTTCATTAGTAATTGCAAAATAATATAACTAACTACCTTTGGTCTTGTCTGACTTTTAAAAATCATTTTGCACAAAGTCCGTATCTGCGCGGCAGATGCCACTAGCTGGCTTAAACCCTCCACACTAGGGATGGTTTGCTGAGCGATGAAATTTCCACCATCAACCGAGAAACACCGTAGCAAATATAAAGTTGATATGAACGCCGAAGTTGCATGATGGAGTCACGGTCTCTTGATCAACATTGGTCATTAGGGTATCTCTTATTTCGGGACTAGCAATTGCAATGGTTCATGCTAATAGATCCGTAAACGGTGGATATTTAACATACTCAGAATGCACTCATTTGTCATCAATTTCAAGTAGTTAAATCAGGTGTGTAACACAGGGGAGCACATATTCCGAGGTCTGAAGCTTCAACTATGACGGCACTACTGTAGAGCTGCTGTGACTCGTGACACATTGGCAAAGATACGACCATGTCTGCCGCATTATATAGCACATTGGACCTACTAGACTGTCTCGGGGACCAGTCATTTAACTCTTAAGAAGAATCGGATCCCTGAGAAGATGAGCTCCCCTGTGTTGTATGCAGTAAGTGCAGGCAGACCATCGCTGGAATCACAAAGTAGAATCGGAAAAAAGCGCGCCCGTCATATAACGCTGTGTCTTTTGTCAGAGCATGGGCGGGGACTTAGCGCCTAAATCTTAGCTTGAGCCACCAAAACCTTAGGCATCAACGCCCTAAGCTCGGGGAGCTTAACCGCCAGCATGATAGATTTGAGCTAGCGGAATAGGAGGCGCTTATTGTCGCTGTGGATATGGCTATTATAAGGGGAGAAGAGGGGTTTGACGAGGCTCTGGCGGATTCTGTTGCTCGAAAATTGCCATTGTAGAGGCTGCACCGTGACACCAGCGACCGGACGTTTTATAATGCCACGGAGCGTCCTAGCTCCCTCCTCCAGGGGCATATAAACAGAGTGGTAAATTTGATAGTCCCAACTTTTCAGATTGGCGAAGAGACTTTAGGTTCCGAATGCTTGAGCGAGACCGCAGGGGGCACGGGTCGGGAAGGAGCTGAGGAATGCTGAGCGGGTCTATGGCATCAAGGGCCTGGCCGTGGAAATGGCCCAACCTATTCGATTCAGGTAGGATTGCCTGGAAAAATAAAACCTAAAATGCTTTCTAGCATATTCCAAAGGTACTGCGTAAGCAACGATGACAAAAAGACTGCATGAAAAGGATGGCCGAGACCGCAATCCGGGTACTTCGGTTTGTTGATCCCACTGATCATATACGTGGTGGCATGGCGGCTTTGTTGATTTGCACACGTTTCCAAGTCCTCCACGGGAGCTGGCATGGACTAAAACGCGTGGTTGTTTGTGATTAGAGAGACATGAAGAAGCGAAGAGGATGTTAAAAGGTTGCGATAATCCACGCGAAAGTGTACATGCGGGAATCAGGTGATTGATACCCCACCCACTGTTTGACCGCTTCTGCCAACGCAGCTACAAATTTGTTTCTCTCCCTTCCCCACGTATCAACAACCCACCCATTTTTTGCCGATCGTTATCTCATTCTTATTCTGGGACCATATTGAATGTTCACGATCTTTCTTGAATTTCTGTATTGCATGGGATAGGCGTACGCCTTCCCGTTACCTTCAATATGCTGAGGGAATCTGATATAGATTCCCTGAACAATCATTTAGCATCTTTGTCCCAGGAAAATCAACGCAACCATGAAAATTTGCAAGGCTTGTTGAACCAGTTTAGGAACCTCCTGGATGACTACAGCTCGCTGAAGAGTGATTATGAGGAAGTCAAGGAAGGTCGAGAGAAGTACAAGAGACAGGCCCGGGGTCAAGTAAGCTAGCCGGGCGCCTAAACATTCTGGGAATGGTCTCTAACTATATTCGCAAGGAGCGCAATCCTTTCGTTCTGGTGCTTGTTGATGGCGATGGATACCTTGTGAGTTTCGAATCAATTGATCTTTCTTGTTTATTGTTTTATTGTTTACTTCTGATTGAAATCGGCTAATCACTGTCGTCCAGTTCAAGGAGCATTTTCTTAAAGCGGGAAGTGAGGGCGGTATTAAGGCCGCCCGCGAATTGAGTGACTCCGTTAGAGAGCTGATGCATTCGACAATGGGAATGCAAGCTGATTCATGCCGGATCATGGTCCGCGTCTACGCCAATATTCTTGGACTGTCCAAAGTTCTGGCTCGCGCCGGAATGGTTGGACATGAAGCTCGATCCCTTTCACCCTTTACCTCCTCATTCACTAGGGCCCAGGATCTTTTTGATTTTGTCGACGCTGCCGAGAAGAAGGAAGGCAGCGACTTCAAAATTAGAGGTATGGGCCTAGACCTTCCAATGAGCCCGCTGTGTGTCTCGTCATGCTAATATATCACCGCAGAAATGTTTCGCTTGTTTGTGGATCTTAACCAATGCCGTCACATCTATTTTGCAGGCTGCCATGACACAGGCTTCACCTCTTTGCTCACACCCTACAGGGGCAGCGATCGAATTACCCTTATCAAGGCGGCCTCGTTCCACCGAGAGTTCGAGGACCTAAACCTACCAATCAGAGAACTACCCTCTGTATTCATGTCTACTCCCCTAGCTGTCACAAAGCCAGCTGCGCCAGTCCAGACGATTAATACCAAGATCACTAATACCATGACTGGCACTAAGCCTATCTGTAAGCATTTCCAAAAGGTGACTCACTCCTTGTTATATCCGAACTTCACGAAAGCGTGCTCATGCATTAGCAGGGAATCTGCAAATTTGGCGTCGGTTGCAACAAGCAACATGTGTCGCCAAATCAACAATTGGCTAGATCGGCAGACTCTGACTCGCCATCTCCTAAGCAGCTGTGGTCTTCTCCCACAGTTGTGGGTCGCTCGCAGGAATTTCTTACCGCCACGCTGCCAACGCAGAGTCTGAAATCCGAGGAATATATCCCCATCAATAAAGATGGTGACCGGCTTGACACTTATTGCCCTCACCCATCTCCCGAGGCCTTTGACGAATATCATCGCCGAGCCAAGGAACACAGAGTGTGCAATAGTTACCACCTATCCGGCGAGTGCGGTGATATGGGCTGTCAGTATGATCACAGTGACGTCTCCAATACCATCATCGAGGTGCTAAGATACATCCTCCTCCAACACCCTTGCTCCCGAGCTGGGGCATGTCGATCCATCAAGTGCTATTTGGGTCACATTTGCCAAAAGCCTAACTGCAAGGCTGTCAAAAGCTGGCAATGCCGCTTTAACCACCGCACGCACACGCTTGATCTCCAAGTTGCTCAGTGGGTTGCGCCTGTTGAGCAAGCTGAAGCTGATGATGATCGTGATGACCGGTCAACCATCAGCGGCGAGTCTTTTCAAAGCCAATCCCCGAGCAACATGATCTACGTGATGTAATGTGCTCTGAAATCTCACCATGGCGGTAGATTTTAAATGACCAACCGACGCTTACTGATGAAGTACTTCAAATGTGCTCACTGTATGCTTGAAAGAATTGCGAGGCGATAAAGCCGGGAATTTCGATTTCGATTTAGCTGGGGTGAATTTGTTAAAGTTGTTACTTGGGACACCGGGCTTTCTTATCCCGAATTGCCTTTTGAAATCGGCGATTCCCGCACTCCCATTGAAATGGATTGATTATGTCCTGGTCGCTTTTGCCTTATTCGTCGGCAGAGCCTTTACCTACACACTTAGAGTGCTATGGTAATAGTTATGGCAAAGAATCTAACATGTGCAGAATTTGTTCCGACGGTCTTTTGAGATTTAGAATCGCAACCAGGCCTGCTTCGTATGAGACAAAAATCGATCATAGAAAATACTGAGTTATTACCAAAATGACATTTTGCGCCGTTCACTGAACCTTCTTGAGACAGTCTAAAATTGGGCATATAAAATGACATTCGCAAAAATCCAGGGCTCGCCACCTCTCTGGGAATTTAGGGTATGGTTCTTGGGCCTCATAATGGCCTTTAAATACGTAATTAGCCACACCTTCCGAAGAGTTTTTTTTTTTTTTTTTTTTTTTTCACGCGAGAAGGACTTTTGACTTTCAGTGTCTTCAAATCATATCAACTCTTCGCAAACTCTCTAGCGCATGCATCCAAAATGAATCCAATTGTACACCCAATTTTCGAACCCAAAACCTCTTCTTGGCAGTATATCGTCGTATGCCCCAAAACAAAAGAATGCGCGATCATCGACCCTGTCCTCGACTACGACCTCGGAAATTTCGTAGTCAGCACCCAATCCGCCGATGCCCTTCTCAAGATAGTCCGCAAACACCACCTCACGGTCACCCACCTTCTGGAAACACACGCACACACCGACCACCTTTCAGCTGCATATTATATCCAAGCAACGCTATGGACAAAAGGCCATCCGAATGCCCCAATCTGCATTGGGGAAAATATTACTATCGTGCAGAACCTCTTTGCACACAAGTACAACATCCCCAAAGAAGAACTCAAGAATTCATTCGACCACCTCTTTAGCCCCAATGAGACATTCCGCATCGGAGAGATGACTGCGGTAGCGATGCACCTACCAGGCCACTCACCGGACCACGGAGGCTACCATGTCGGGCCCGATGTGTTTACTGGAGATACCGTCTTCATGCCAGATGTTGGAAGTGCTCGGTGCGATTTTCCAGGCGGAGACCTGGGAGCTTTGTGGAAGTCTATGCAGCGGCTTCTAGCATTCCCTGATACAACACGATTATACACTGGACATGATTTTCCGCCTAATAATGAGGCTTATGCCCCGGATCCTAAGCCGTATGTCACGGTGGCGGAGCAGAAGGAGACGAACAAGCATATGAAGAATGGATCTACTGAGGAGGATTTTATGGCGTGGAGTAATCAGAGGGATCAAGTCCTTTCTGAGCCGAATATACTTCATCAGGCTTTACAGGTTAATTGTTCGTGGGGGAAAGATGCCCGGCCATTCTCATGATGGGAAGGCTTTGCTACAGTGCCTTGTTTCTGTTCCGAAGGCATTGTTGACAGGCTGACCAGCTGCTTCACGACTTATAGCATTGAGCTCTGATTGGATTCCATGATTCTTTTGGTTGTCATTTAGATTTTCTTCACAATAAAGGCAGTAGTAACAAGAAACACCAATGGATAGCCAACTATTTCGCTGCACTATTGTGAATCTTGGCATAAGCCTCCTGGACATCCTCGCGAGCTTCCATGAGCCCAAGCCACTTCTTTATCATGGGATACTTCTCAATAGAAAGACCCGCAAACGAATACATTTTCACCCAAGGCAGGAAATGAAAATCGACAGCAGTAGTTCTGCCAGGCAAGATACTCATTCCTGCTGTTTTCTGCAACTGGCCCTCAAGAACATCGTAGCACCGATAAGACTGGGCAACATATCTTTGCAGTGCGTCCTCATTCTTCTGAGAATGGAAGTGCCTAGCGAGATCAGATATCGTATATCGCCTCGCCGCCATTATTTACTTACCTGAACCAGTTCACCTGTCCCTGCATCGGACCAAGGGTCGATAGGAGGAAATACTCCCATTTCTCGAAGTCAACTAGATCCTGTGCCGAGCTACCGGCAGGTCCAATCGTATTGTTCAAGTCATACACTCGGCGAATGTAGTTCATGCATGCACCTGATTCCCAGGCGGTTACCCCTGTGTTGGGGTCTTCAATTGCTGGGACTCGACCATTTTCGTTGATTTGGAGGAAGTTACTCCCCTTTACACCAGTGTCTGGGTTATCACCGAACTCCCATAGCTTGACAATGTAAGGGACCTTCAGTGCCTCCAATGCGATTGCGACCTTGTAAGGATTCGGGCCCGTGTCGTGCGCGTGCAGAATGATTGGTTTAATATGAGGATTCATCTTTGCAAGTCAAATAGTACGTTCAATGTTGAGAGTTGAAGGATGAAAAGTGCGGGGAGAGAGAGTGATGGGGAAGTGATTGTACCATGATGTCATGTACTTGGCCACCCTGTGATGCTAAAAGTTTAACAACCAATGCTGTTTCTTATGGACTACTTACCAAGGTTTACCGCCCGTGGTAGTTATTATTATCTGCATTAGCTTTTTGGGACTTAGTGGTTCCAGGAGCGCAGATTATAGCGGTTCTTCTAGTTAGGGAGCTTGGCAAATCAGACTAGAGCCACTAGACAACGACTACAGCCAAGCTACTGAGAAGATTCAGACTGATTGTTTCGACTGTTTAGGTCTTAGGATCTAAGCCAAGAAAATCAATGCAAGCGGAAACATCTCCGTTTGATCTTACCGTGAGTAGGTTTTTTGTTAATTTGCGGGGTCATGTATTTAGCCGGAGATCACCCTGGAGTAGACCGTGGGGGTGCGGGGGGTAAAAGCTTGAAAATCCCCGCAGTGAGAACCATTGTAGATTATTATTTCCATTTGACGATTTGACATGATCTCTGCAAGATGATTTTGGCAAGATCATGCTTCTCCCTTGCGTCATGGTTTATAGCCATTCTTTCCCTTTCGCACCTAGGGTATTCTGACACATCAATTGGAACTGAAACTGGACTTCAAGATATAGTAGGCACTCCATTCCAAGATGAATTCAACAATTGGTAAAAGGTTCATGATCCAGCTTTAGGTTACGTGGGATCAGCATTCGATCATAGTCCGCGGAGAGCGTTTGATGATCTTCTCCGGAGAATTCCATCCATTCCGTCTCCCAGTTCCGGACCTCTGGCTCGATGTTTTCCAGAAAATCAAAGCGATGGGCTTTACCGGAGTCTCTTTCTACGTCGACTGGGGCCTCGTGGAGGGGAACCCTGGACATGTTGTAAATGACGGCATTTGGAGCTTAGAGAAATTCTTCCAAGCTGCGACCGAAGCTGGTATATATCTCATCGCTCGTCCAGGTCCATATATCAATGCAGAGACAACCGCTGGGGGAATACCAGGATGGGTTCTACGAATGAATGCAACAATTCGCTCCAATGATCCTGAGTATCTCAATGCGACGGCCAAATATATGTCAACCTTGGGCGGCATCATTGAAAAGGCCCAAATCACGCATGGTGGACCCGTCATTCTGGTACAGCCTGAGAATGAGTATACGACGTGGCCGGACGTTACCGACTTCCCATCTCAGATGAACAAAGAGTATATGGCTGCTGTTGAGCAGCAGCTTCTGGATGCTGGTATTACTGTACCGTTGATCGTTAACGATAATGAAGTCGAGGGTTACTGGGCACCAGGGTCTGGACTAGGAGCTGTCGATATCTATGGGATTGATGCATATCCAATGCGCTATGATTGTGAGTTTATTCAATCTCGAACTAATTCCTTTCAAGGCTTTAACCATGCTGGAATGCTAATTGTGCCCCCCAAAGGTGCCAATCCTAGTGTATGGCCAACGTATAGATTTCCACACAACTGGCAAATTCTTCATGAGCAACAAAGCCCAGCTACGCCGTTCGCCATTGCTGAGTTTCAAGGCGGATCCGGTGAAGGCTGGTACGCAACTTCTTAGCTTTCTTCTTAATGACTTCACTAATGAAGCAACAGGGGAGGCGTGCTTGAGAAAATGTGCGGTGAACTTGTGAACGAGGAAGCCGTCCGGGTAGTGTACAAGAACAACTACAGTTTCGGCGTGAAGATTTTCAACATCTATATGGTAAGACTCTTGAGTCATTTCAAAGATCTCAACTGACCAATCAGACATATGGTGGCACAAACTGGGGAAATCTGGGCTATATGAACGGATACACATCATACGACTATGGTGCAGCAATAACAGAAGAACGCGGAATCTGGCGTGAAAAATTCAGCGAAGAAAAGCTAGAAGCAAACTTCCTCAAAGCATCACCCGCATACCTGACAGCAACTCCCGGAATAGGGGTCAACGGATCCTACGGAGCTCCAGCTACGATCGCAGTAACCCCTCTACTGGGAAATGGCACACACACGAACTTCTACGTCATTCGACATGCCGACTTCAGCTCCAAAGACGTCACTCAGTACACCATTACCCTGCCGACAAGTATTGGAAGTGTCACCATCCCTCAGCTGGGTGGCAGTTTAACGCTGTACGGTCGTGATTCTAAATTTCACGTCACGGATTACGATCTAGGCGGCATGAGTCTGATCTATTCTTCATCAGAAATCTTGACTTGGGCTCGGGGTGCCGGATCAACACGTGTACTGATCCTGTATGGTGGAACTGGCGAAAAGCACGAGTTTGCCCTTGCTCGTCATCTTGGAAACCCGACTGTAGTTGAGGGGGATGGAATAACAATCAGACTGAAAGGCTCGACCTCGGTGATACAGTGGGAGGTTAAGCCGGATCGCCGCGTTATTCGCATTGGAGACTTGGAGGTCCATCTGCTCTGGCGGAATGAAGCATACAACTATTGGCCTTTGGAGGTCACTGCTGCAGAGCCGATCGGGAATTTTCCTTCGCCATCTAAGGAGTTAATTATTGTCAAGGCAGGTTACTTGATGCGCAGTGCAAGGTTTTGCGGTGAAAATGTTTGTTTGACCGGCGATGTTAACGCGACGACGGAGATTGAGCTGATCTCCTCGCCGGCGAAGAATGTCAGGGGAATTCTATTCAATGGAGAACAGTTGAAGACTTCCAGGACAGTAACCAATAAGCTGTCCGCTACGGTCAAATATCACCCGCCACGACTAGATATCCCTGCTCTTGAAGATCTTTCGTGGAAGTACTTGGATACATTGCCTGAAATTGCCCCCTCGTACGATGATTCGAGATGGACCAATTGTTCAAAGACGTTAACGAACAATCCTCGGGATCTGAGCACACCAACAAATCTATATGCCATGGACTATGGGTTTCACACGGGCTCACTGATTTACCGCGGTCATTTTACCGCAAATGGACAAGAGTCAAACCTGTGGTTGAACGTCTCCGGTGGCACAGGTTTCGGCTATTCAGTCTGGCTGAACGACATGTTTCTTGGGTCATGGCCTGGTAGCAGCGCAAATTCCACAGTCACTCAAGACATACCAATTACTAAGGATCTCACTGTCGGGAAATCTTATGTCTTGACTTTTCTACTTGATAACATGGGCCAGGATGAAGAGGCACCAGGCACAGATGTGATCAAGTTCCCGAAAGGCATTCTAGGCTATGATCTTTCAGGGCACAACCAGTCAGATATCTCGTGGAAGGTTACTGGTAATCTTGGCGGGGAACAGTATCACGATATGGCCCGTGGTCCATTGAACGAGGGATCGATGTATGCCGAGCGACAAGGCTACCATTATCCAAGGCCACCTAACGCTGATTGGAGAGTTTCAAATCCGGTTAGGACTGGACTTGCTGCGCCGGGCGTTGGCTTTTACACAACTTCCTTCAAGCTGGAGATTCCGGATGGGTGGGATGTCCCGATGAGCTTTGTTTTCAATTCATCAACAAATGCGCACAATATCCAGGGTGATTCCAACTATCGTTGCCAACTGTTTGTCAACGGTTACCAGTTTGGAAAGTACAGTAAGTAACGCACTTGGTATGTCCATCGAGTATTCATTCTAATTGTCAAATCCAGTCAACAATCTCGGCCCTCAGACGTCTTACCCGGTCCCCGAGGGCATTCTGAACTATAGCGGAACCAACTATGTGGCCATTACTCTCTGGGCACAAGATGCAGAGGGGGCACGGCTAGGTGGAATATCTCTAGTACCGACGGCAGTCATCCGCTCTGGCTACAGCAAGCCAGGACTTGCGCCACAGCCCTCGTGGACACGTCGACCAGGAGCGTATTAGAGATGTGGGAGATACGGCTCGATTAGAACCCTGAATATGGGAGTCGATTCAAGAGGTAAAGAAATTTATATGCAAATACAGACCCTATGTGCGCCAATATGCCGATACCAAAATACAGGTCATCATGAAGCGTAGAATCATTATTAGACAGCAATAGCTGCGACCAGTGCATCCATAGCAGAGCAGTGAGTAGAAGGATCCACAGTGCTAACAACCGGGCCTGACCATACAACACCAAGTCTGTTTTGGTCACTGCGATCATTTTCCCAGATGCTGTTCGCACTGCTGGTGATAACCTTCTTGTAACTGTCATGGGGGGACACGCTATGAAGCATCAGCAGATTGCGAATGAAGATGCCCTTGAATTGAGTAGCATTCGGTTCGCAGTCATTTGGCTCGCAGAAGTCATGCAGTACCCCATCCAAATCAACCAATGTCTCAATCGCTACTTTTGCTATCTTATTCGCCGATTCGAGATAGCTGCTGTTTGGTGCGGCTTTGTTCAGTTCGACAAGGCCGCCAAGAACAACGCCCTGGTTGTAAGACCAACTGAGACTTATGTTAGGATGCTATTACATCTCCTCGGTTTGGTGAGACTTACACTGTAGCCCCATTATTTTCGCAATTGTCTAGCAGTCCATCGTTGATTGTACCATTCTCCCCCATAAACCCTTGGGCCGCGAACCAGTTCCATTCTTTCTGTGCCCAGTCCACATAGTAACCTTTGCGAGCCGGAACGCGATTGGCTAGGTGGGCTGCCGCGGATAGGAAAAGTTCGTTTGTAATGGCGTTAACGTAAGTACTGGTGGGGTTCCATGGAAGACCTCCACCGCCGCACCGAGTACCCCAGGCCTTTGTCTAGAAACCGATCAGTAAGGGCGAAGGTAAAAGGATTGCCCGGAAAGGAGAAATGTGCTTACCAAAGCCTCGAAAATTCCCTCCGCTAGATGCAGGTATCTTGTCTCTTCCGTAACATCGTATGCAGCAATCCATGCAAGGACCCACCACCCGTCGTCGTCATAGGCGGAGTCAAGCCAATCAGAAGCATTGCCAGCACTGCTAGCCCGAGGAGTAAGAAAGTCGCGTTTGGTTGTTTTCACCTCCGGGCCAGGGTCCGGGTTCGAGGCAGGGGCCACGTTGTATGTGGTGTTGAAGACGTAGTCCGCCGTATCCATCACTGTTGGATCCAGGGTAGCCAAGTCGGCAATCACAGTCAAGCAATTGGCGCCATTCCACCAGCCAACCGTGTTCCAAAGTCCAGTCGAGTTATTGTACCACTCCTGGAGGGCGTCCAAAGCTGTCTGGGCCCTGGATGTGGCGTCTTCGGCGACAGTAAAACCTGACAGAAAGGACGCAGTGAGCGCAGGAACAAGGAGACGAGGGGCAGAGAACAACATGGTCGAGGCGTTCCAATACAAGAGAGACCTAGCGAGCTCAAAAAGCAGCGATTGTGCGCTGTTTAAATATCACATCCTCGATCATCGATTTTGGTTCCTGGACATATTTGAGTGTCAACAAATATGCGTTCTCGTGGCTCAGTCCCTTGATTGGCGGAGATCATCAAATCAAAGTCATGCAGACCCACTGATGCGCCTCGCGAAACACTCTGATTTGTATTGATCGATCCGTGCTGATGCAGCCAAGTTTTTCAGGAGCAATGCAGAGGTTGAGCTCCCTTGCCCAGGTATCCTAATCAGTGAACCAGAATCATTTATCGTGTATCGCATTGACCTCAGTCAGCTTGCAAATTTACGTGATATGTCAAGGGATGATTAGCGTCGTGCTCTCGTCCAGAGCAAACCCGATCCCCCTTGCAAGGCTGAGGCTCCACTTTAAACTTCATCTTGTAGCAGCGATCATCCGGTAATTGGAAGTGCCCCTATCCGTACTGATCTGCAGAGGCGCTTCGATTGCTGTCAATCTCTGATGTGTCGACTGTATGGTTTGTTTTTTCAACTCCAAGTAACAACAGGTGGTAACGTGGGACGAAACAAAACCTGATTCGTTGACCGTCTTTTGCCCCTGTTGACATATTAAGCTCCGAACCAAATCCACGAATCTTATCTTCAGCGTTCCACTACAATTAGGATTCAGAGCTCAAGCTCAATATGCGCGGATTTAGTTGCTGCATTCAGCTTAGGCACGAAAAGCATGGTGGTCCACATGAGACATGCATTGTTTCTCAAGTGCAGCATCCGTTCAAGGTGTCAATGCATTCTGGGACTGACGTCAGCTAGTTCTATGTAGTCCTTCCGGGCGCTAAATGTCTCATGCCATACATCAAGCTGCATTATGGCCACGATGTTCTTAAACATGGATTAATAGTGTCAGAATCTATCGGTTTTGTACCCGCTTTTTTAAGACAGAAACCTCGGAATGAATTCGTCTACGTCGGGGAATTTCCATACTCCGTTCTTGGTGAAACCGCCATTTGGCGAAAATCCATATTAATGAGACAATTGTTGATCCAATATCAGGGAAGCATTTTTCGAATCCTTGGCAAAGCTCATCTCAATCCTGCCTTGCCGGCAAGTATTGAACTCATTTCGGGAGCAAGTCAGTAGCTCTACTACTACGTCACCGAATCAGATAAGCGCTTCTCATACCAAGAGATATACACAGACTTATAAGTCATTTTAACTTTGCCAATGAATCACGCCTTCGTTAAGCTTCATCCCTCGCTATTTTCAAGCTAGGGTGATCTGTAAAATGTAGAGTAACTTCACTCGTTATGCAAATAAGTCTCGGGTTCCATTCGAACTGCCATTGCTCACCGTTCACCATCAACCATCATTCCCTTCATACATGATGTGTATGTGGCTGAAGTCATGTCATTATAGTCTATGATAGAAAGCGATAACAGATTGAATGATGTTGAAGTAATTTTATGGTTGAAAGCTGAGGTGTCCCATGCATCTGTTGGACTGTTGAAGTAGTGGAACAACAAGAGAGGCAGACGGTCCTTTATAGAGCCCCAATTAGCCCAACTATCACAACGAATACTTCTATGCCTCTGAGATATCTATGAATCGACTCCGGTGGAATCACCCATGTTTCCACGCCTCTCAATCCTCTATTGATGAGATGAGGCTATTAATCTACCCAACCAGGCAGGGAATTGATTTGACTCGCCGGTGTCCAGACTCACCCCAGACCATTAACACTTATCTGTGCAGCCTCAAAGAGCCTCTACTTTTTTATTTGTGAGGAATGTTAGTATACTCTAACCACATCATAAGATCGAAGTTAGGCAGTCCAAATTTATTGGTGCAATTTGTTCCTTTTTACCTAATCCACCATTGGATTAGTGGACTAATTTCCAATTCCCAGGATATATTTGCTACGGACAACAAAGGGGAAATCTGTGAAGTCAAGGTCTGAACTCATGCGGAACTGGTATTAAAAATGACATATCAGAGCTCCTTTTGAATTATATACGTCCTCTGGACCACTGAAATTCGAGACCTAGGAGCACAGGAAGTGTTAGACCTCGAGTTCAGCAGGTTAGGACATGGTTGTTTGCCATGATTGATCCGGTGGGTACATCTCTGGAGGAGTCGTGATTAGCTAATCTTCTTAAATTCCAATCCCAACTTATCAGGCACCATCAGGCATCAATATTGTGACACATCATCGTAGCAGACCATGATCCATCTGTTTATTCCCATCCACATACAACCTTGAAAGATCAAAAGATAGCGCATCCAATTTGAACATGATCCAGCCACCGCAATCATCTAGATCTGGCCTCACCATACACAGAGCATCACCCCAACACATCCCATGCATCAAATCGATGGTGGACTCCGCTTATTCAAAATATATCGAGCGCATCGGCAAGCCACCAGCACCAATGTTAGCAAATTATGACGAAATGTTGGAAACACATGACATGCTTGTCTTGCAAGATGAGGGTAATGAAATAGTGGGGTCTATCGTTCTTGCTGTTGATCAGAGTTCTCATTCAGTCGAAATCAACAACTTGGTCGTTGGCCCTGCGGCCCAGGGTCGTGGATACGGCCGCGTATTGCTGAACTGCGCCGAGGATGTTGCGCGGATGGAGGGTTGTTCAGCCTTGACACTTTACACCAATGTGAAAATGTATGAGAATTTGGGGATGTATGTGAAGATGGGATTTGTGGAGACTGGGCGGAAGACTGAAGATGGGTTTGAGCGAGTATATTTCCGAAAGGACTTGATTTAAAGCTTTAAGCTTGCCTATTATGGTCTGTTTTCGACAATTCAGACATCAAATCTCTTTTCGTGCTCCATTGGGAAGATCTTTGATCACCCAGGCATCTAACGAACATTTTCAAGCCGGGGGCATTATGCCACATTTGTGCGCTGAAGGGGCATTCAAGAAGAAAAGAATGCTTAGGCTTCTTACACCCTCCCGTCAGAAACAGAACAAGGGAGGGCACCAGGGGCGGCGCCATATGGTCTTAATGTCTCGATAATTGTTGCATATAACTGAGACAGGGTCTCAATATCATTTTCTTCTCAATTTTCTCACAAAGTCGCAAGCTCGGCTTGAAACTGAGCGTGTAGTTTTGGCCAGAGGATAGCCCAACCGAGGTAGGTATGTCAATGTCACTGCGGTTGTGTCCGATCCTTGAACAATGAGCTCTGATAGCCACATGCATATACTAGATAATGCGGCGGCATCTTATTCAGATGCATGAACCAAGCCTGAGAAAATATTCTGGTAAGACTCGCGGTTGCACCGGCTATTGTTCAGCAAGCCTTAGCTATACATCAAAAGAGCTTCGTCATTTCCAAACAGTCGTTTCCAAAAATCGCTCGACGGATTGGTCCCTTTCTCAGCTTGGTAGGGGGCAGGCTTTCCACGAAACACTCATCGTCCCCGCACTTCCACTGGGTTTCATTCCTACTTCAACCGGCTTGGTTTGAGCAAGACTCGAATCTATGGTTACATCTTTCATAGGGTTGTGATGGCCAATATCGGCTTGACTCCACATACGGTGAAGTCCCTGCGCTTGCAATTACCCTTGACGCTACCATGCCAGGGAAGTAATCTGTCGCTTCTTTCTCTACTTTACGGACTGAGTGTATTAAATCACTAGTACATGGTAGCATGCTTGTTGATTTTGATTTTTTCTTTTTGTGAAATCTTCGAAGAGGTAAGTGTACATGGGAATCTTCCTAATCCCAATGGCAGAAGAGAAGAACACCTCCCTTTCGAGAATATATACAATGTTCCACGGTAGGATGGCAGAATAGTAGAAAAGGGAGCATGAGAAAGGGTAAACATAAAGAGAAGGTGTGAACAAGGGCTCCGGATCACGTCAGAAGTCATAAAAAAGGGGTAATAAAGTGACCAGGAAATTAATGTGCATCAGCAAAACACATGTGCACGGGCATGAAATAAATTAAACAATCATTGGAAATGAAATCAAATCATATCATCGCCTCCACGGCCGAGATGAAGGCTCAGCAAAGTCATCTTTGCTGGAGCGTTCACTCGCACCCTCTGATGGGTATGCAGATGCAGGTTCGTGCGTGATTTCGATGGTGGTTTCTTGGTACACCTTGCCCATGGGGCCCAACTCGACGCTCGGCTGGACGATATTATCGGTCGAGCCATCGCGGTCTGTATCCTCGGAGATGGCGTTCTTCTTAGACTTGGGTTCGGCAGTGATGGTAGTCAAGTTGTCTCCGCGACGTCCTTTGCTGCTGGCAAATTTGTTGTAAGAACGGTCCTGGCTGGGCTCAGAGTCAATGATGAGGTTGCGACGGGTGAGAGTGTAGAGCACGACGTCGACTAAGCCGGAGCTTGTCATGAAGGCACCTGAGTGACAGTCAGCGGGTTTGGTTCAATTGTAGAGCGACGAGTGACACGAGGAGGGGTTGGGGATACATACCAGCGCAACAAAAGAAGGTGAGAGATGGGGTGTTGCCATTTGCGGTGGCCATACGTCCGGCGGCGAGCGGGAGTGAAAGAACGATGTAGACGATGGGGTAGATGGTCATGTATCCAACCACGCGACGCAGGCGCTTCAGACTTTCCAACTGACTGTTACCCAAGATGGAGGATTGGGCAATCTGTCTGCGGAGCTGGAAGTACATGACGGCGTAGAGACAGACGGTACCGAACTCCGCGAAGAAAATCCAGATGTAATGAGTCCAGAGGCGGACAGTTTCATAGTCTTCGCTAATCCAGCACCAGGCACCAGATGGGACAAACACATCGGCTCCGTACATGCCAATTGGAATGAGCACAATTATGGCGATGAAAGCCCAGACACCACAAACGAAGCAGATGAAGGTTCTGTAGGACATCTTGCGGCCCCAAACAACAAGAAGGAATGTATGAATGGCAATAGCCAGGACGAAAAGACCACTGCCTGGGTCGCCGATCTGAAGCCACAATCCTTGGAGAAAGCAGCCGGCTGTGCCTGATTTGATTTTGTCGGTGACAATCCATTTGAGACAAATCAGGAAGGCAAGTGATTGTTGAAAATCAGCCAGCACGAGGTTGTAAATGAGAATAATGTACTGGTTGTAACCGATGTATCTGGTGTATGAGCCTTTCCAGAAGATGAGGCGGTAGGTAATGAACGACAATAAACCTCCTGTCGCAATAAACGATAGGAAAGCCATGATGGTAATAGCGATTAAACCCCGTCGCTGCACTACTGGCAGCGGGTCAATATCTAGCGTCACATCGGAGTGAAGTCGAGCAGCCAGGGAATGCCCTGAGTGGCTGTCGTCCGACAGCATTTTGAGGATTGTGAGTGCAGACATTGTTAATGATGTCAAACACTATATTGAAAGATGGACTGCGTAAGGAACCCCCGGAAAATGGTGGACAATAACGAATGGCTGGCTGGTTTCAGCGTCCAGGGCGTGACGTCGAGTCTCGTTTCAGTCGCAGGGCTGCAATCCAGGCCTGTCAGCCAAAAGCACGGTCCGGTCCGTTCGAAAATGGGTGCTCCTCAATGTCAGGTTGGCGAATAACTGACGGACGGACGAAAGGAAATACCAGAAAGGATGCAAATCGCAGCGTAGCGTGGAATTATTAAACGTGGGTGAGACCCAGATCCAACGACTTGGAAAAAACCCACATATGCACTATGCCGGGCACAACGAACTCTAAAGTCGATAAGTTAAAAGGGGGCACTGACCCAGACTTCAAAAAGAGTTTGTTGCCGTCATGCTAATCCACAACCTTTGGCCTGACCATCATTTCCGCCGGGGACCCATGAACAAACGAGTCTAACTCAGGAATTGGGACAAACAGACCCCATCCGCCACGCTGCATGGTCCAGAGCTGCCAAGCCGGATCCACTCCAGGCCACCCCCTCTTTGAACAGGGGTCGAGGTGGAGAGAGTGGGAATCTCGTCCCAGGTACCGAATGAGGTCCAAGTTCGGTCCAGGCGGCTGAATCCACTACGACCATCACCACTGCGTCGGTACTGAATAGGGAGAGAGAACAGGCAAGAACGATGGTTAATTCACCCAATTTTTGGGAAAGTGGTTAGCTACATGAACATGGAAATGCAAGCATGTTACTCCGAGCGCCACAAAAGCTACTCTCCGCACCGGCGCGGACAAAGTCCACAATACTCTAGTGTTCCGGCCAATCAAGGGCCGTGCTGATGTTTAAACCCTGTCATGTTGATGCAGGGGTGGGCTTCTGGAACGCTAGCGGAACACACGGGCGAGTTTCGCCACGCGAATAATACTGTACTGTACCAACCCCTGGACGGAGTACCCGGCCCACTTGAGATTTGAGCTCAAGGCTTTTAGTGGACTGGCAAGAATTGTGAATGATTGGTGTTGTCGCAGATCGACCGGAATACAGCGGTGTACGAAGTACGTTTGCAGTGTGCGGTAGACGCGTACCCAAAGAATATTCGGGAACAGTCCGAGAGACCACCTTTGATTCCACTGGAATTATAATCAAGGAAATTGAGATCATTGACCAACAGAAAGTGAACCAGGGGTTTGGCAAATGCTTATTGAACCCCGCAGAACTGGTCTTGGTGACCCGCTACTGTAAGAGGATTTTAGACTGAGGCACATGCTTGCCAAGGAAGAACAGAGACGGAAACTGGTCGATCGCACGGCATTGGATGGTTCGCAGTATAATATTGATCTGGGCAACGGCATGATTGGGGCTCGGAACAAGCTTAGGTCCACGCTAATCACACCGGCGGCCCCATACGATGGAGCCCGGTAAGGAGAGCCGGTGTAAGTGCCTTTTCAGTCTGAAATTAACAAGCCAAGAACTCTGATAAGATTACCTGAGCTGCATCAGTATGCTGGCTGCCTCTTTATTCCCTATTTCGAAGCGGAGCTCATCTGGTACAGAATTCTCTTTAAGGTTAAAGGGCTCGTGTGCAGCCAATGTGGCGTCGATCGAAAACACATGGCCGAAAGCAACACGGCTCGCAGAAATTCTCCTTGGTGATTTTTACACGACTCCTCCCCATGTGCCACTGCAGATCCGATCCGCAAAAGAGAACTCGGGTATTTTGGCACCCATGTGCCGAAGACCTAGAAGGGTAAAGGGTATTCCTAAACAGGCGAGGATGTGCGGTAGGATTGAAGAACAACTAGCGCGCTTAGTGGACACCAGGGTGGATTGGATCAACAATGAGATCAAAGGATGATTACACGCTGGGACCGCCCCGCTAGCAGAGATCGTGGAGATTACAATGGCTTTCATTACATCCACGCATCTGTTGAGGGAGCTGCACCCCGAGCATTACGCACACCGTCATTTTACTTGTAACATATCCCGACATCAAGGCGGTCATAGCCGCGGTCTTCCGTTCAACATGACAGATGTCTGTCAATTGATTTTCAGGGGAAGTTAAAAATCAAACACACCCCATACTCGAGATCCAAGGTTTAGATCTCGTCACCCATGAATACAATTCTCCAATTCCATGGTTCCTTCCCCAGCACGAAACTCACAGGGCAAACTCTGAGATCTCCTTCACCTGCCTTATCCCGTTAGATACCCCGCTGGCCCCGCCGATCTGAATTATATCCGTCTCGTCGGCCCTTTTACTGAAAATCAACATCACTAACGTTAGTTAGCTTTTTAGCGTTGAATTGCAACCCGCAATTCCGATTGGCGGATGTCTCAACCAAATCCGTTGTCTCACTGCCATATACCCTTATGGTGGTCTAGACGCGCTATTAAAATTTTTAATCTAGCTCTTTCAAGCCTGTTCTGCAAATTGTGCGTGGTATCCATCATGCTAAAATTTATTAATTGGAAAAGTCGTCATACTATCTACGTAGTTGCCTCTCAAGCAAAGACGTATACTTTAGTGACTAAAGGGCTGGTCCTGTACTCTGTCCAACCTTGGAAGGACATCACCGATAATTGAAACCTTTGAAGTGTAATCACATCCTGGCACATGGATTTCAAGACAAGCAACAGCCCCCATGCATGCACATGCAGACTCGTGGGTCTTCAGGTTGGAAATAACCATTTACTAAATTGGGAGACGTGACAGACATTCTTCGCATAACCCATATTTGAGGTTCCAAGGTTATCCGTCTCATGTGAACCCTGAGCCAAGGAACTTTAATTTTCTGAAGAGCCTAAATGCCACTATTGTTTATTAGTGTAGCCTCATGGCGGGCAGAATGGTCATTCGTGGGGAGAAGTTGTCCCTAACAATCAGCGTCTTCATTTCAACGTGGCATTGAATAACTCTCAATGCCCCTGAAGATCAGATAAGAACCATGACAATTAATTCATGATGTTTTAATCTGTATTTTCGTTCAGCGTCCAGGAACTTCGCCTAATATTGGAGACAGTAGATTCGGCTCTCGGGGTATTGAGACGATCTTCATTTACAAGTCCATCAATGTTCATAGTGCATGCAGAATGCAATGTTTTATTTACGTTCCCGGCCGAGGTTACAGCATTCACCTCCTATCTTTAATAATTCCCTGCTCCACATAGCCCGCGCTCGCAGATCTTCTGATGATCGTCGAATCCATACATCAACACACAGACCTCGACAACCCCATTTTTGAGCGCAGGTCCACGCTTCCCCATGCATCTCTAAGTTTTCGGCTTGCTAGTCAAGATTTACTTCCTGCATATCTGCCAAGAGTAAGTCTCAAAGCATAAGCATTGGCACGCGACGCGCTTATCGAGTGTACCAGGCGCATGGACCTGCTGCTGGGCAAGTTACGATTACGAGGATTGGCCATGTTTCCAATATCCAGGAACCCAAAATGCGGTTTTGAGTAGACGGGCTACTTTCTCCCAAGCCCATTATTTCGCCATGACTATGGTTTGTCACCAGTCTGAACGGGGCTTCGTTTGTTTTGGTGCATACTGTCGGTAAATTCTGACTTTCAAGATGCCGAAGTTTTGGTATACGTAAGCAGATGGTAGTATTATTCTGTGGAAAAGGGGTATCCAGATTTCGGGTATTATTCTCCCTAGAAGGTTCAGGTGTTACCTTCTCGAGGTTGATGTTAATCACCTGAGCACGTTGAACACCTCGACCACCTGGGCCCCGAGGCCTGCCCAGGTATAGTACCATAATCTCTACGTTCAACCAAGAGTCAAGCGTGAAACAAATTGTGGATTTTAATAGTTAAAGATAGAAAGATAGGTACAAAGTACGGCTCATGGCATTCATCAATCATAAAGAGCAAATAGAAAAGAGAACAAGAATCAAATGGCTAGCAAATACGGTCAATACAGTTCACAAAAACTGGCATTGGAGCGTATCAAAGAAAAAAATGGAAAGGGAGGGAGAGGGAGTTGGGTATCATCAGTTCATCAATCAAGCGCACCCGATGCAATAGTATGACCATCTCATATGAAATTCATAAAGTCCTCCCGCTAAGTTAAACACCACAAGCTCTCAGTGAAGAGCACAATTACCGGCGCCTAGAGTTTCGCTCGCGACGGCCAACCTGAGAATCTTCCTCGTCTTCCTCTTCGACAGGAGCGGGGGTACGACGCTCAGTCCGTCGCTTGGGTCGACGACGACGGTTAGAGCTGATGTTACTAGCCGAGTCATCAGGGGCTAGGGAACGGTCGTCATCGTTAAAGAAGTCTTCCTCGCCGCTGTCCCAGCCGCCAACGGCGGAGAATGGGGTTCCTAGACGGGCTTCCACGAATGAGCCACGTCGACCCTGGCTGGCGACGGAGAGACCTGCTCCACGTTCTCGGAGTGCGCGGCGGACGACTTCAGCTTTCAGATGTAGGGTTTCGAACGCGTCTTCGAGTGCTTCCATGCCAAGGAAGATGTCGCGTTCGATTTCTGCTAAAGCGGCAATCTCGGTCTCTTCGTCTAGTGCAATTGGCCCTCCGTGGGCTGGTGACGTTGGACCTCCATTGGGTTGGCTGCCGGGGCGGAAGCTACCATCCATGTAGTTGGGGGTCGGACCGCGGGAGATTCCACCAGCGCTGAAGGGGGTGTTGGAACGGCTGCCGCTGTAGCGGGGGTTGGACTGTGCTGTGTCTTCGGCACCGCTGCGAAGGAAGCCGTCGAAGCGACCAGAGATAAGAATCTCCCACTCGTCATCACTGATGGCAGATAGGGTGGCTAGGACATGATGCAAGCCAGGGTTGTTGAGCATGAACATGGCTGCTTCTGGGTCGCGAGGAAGTGCCGGTAGGCGGTAGAGTCGCTGGATTGCTAGAGACGAGGAGACAAGCGCAGAAGGCTTAGGCCGGACTTTTTCATCATCGGCTCGGGGGACTGGGGTTGAAGAGTTAATGCCAAGAAGAGCGCAGAACAAAGACCGCTGGTGTGGTTCGAGGTGAGTCAACATGGCGAAAGTCAGGGTCTCATCATCCACCTCTCCAGGAGCACTGGTAGGTGTATCATTTTGCTCGGAAAGCCATTTATCCACGGCAACCTTGGTCTTGCGGGATTGCCGAATGAAGTGTTCGCGGTACTCTTCCGGTACATCAACATCGAGCTTCTGCATGGGGATATGCTCTTCGCCAGCCAAATTTGCGTCGACGGTAGTTGGTGCCATTACAAATGGTGGCCACATAGGAAGTTCACGACGACCAGAAACTAGCTCCAAAACCTCTCCCCAGCTTACTCCGGATGGGCGTTCCTCCTCTTCACTTCGCTCACACATAAGACAGCTACAAGGCTCCGAGGAGATATCGCGCGCAAACACTGCCTCCAGACGGTCTAACAGCCGTCGCGCAACGGAGCGATACCCAGTTGCCACAGCAATGGATCCGTTTTTGCTCATTACTTTTTGGTAATCATCAAGAAGGCTGTTGAATGGATCAAAGAACTTGGCGGCAGCTTGATGAGGATGGGTAGCGGACTGTGCGAAAGGATCGGATGAGCTGGACACGGGGAGCAGTGTGCGGGATACTCTGTTCTTCAGACCACCATGTTGTAGCAAGTAATCGACTCTCGGGATAGTTAACGGGACGGCAGGCGGGGGAGGTGGAGGCGGCGGTGCCCCGAATGCTGGGCCGGGTGGGACATGTCGACCATATTCGACAGAATCATCGCTAGGAGTATGACGATGAGAGAATGCCGAACGGTTTTGGGTGCGCGATGGAGGCTTGACCACTGGCGGGGAGGTTTTACGAGCAGGGATATACTGCTGGTTGGGGGCGATAGAGGTGGCATCAGATCCGTTCGCAGATTCGACTCCTACATCCCGAGCCGTTATATTTGATTGCGATGGCGACATCGTAGAGCGGCTGGATCGTTTCGGGAGCTTCTTCTCTTCGGAGGAGATCTTGGTCTTGGAAGGCTTGTGGCTGGCGCGGGGTGATGATTCATTATCCTTGTCCTTTTCCTTCTCCTTCTCTTTTTCGGTCCTGGATGACCTGGACTTGGGTGTTTCGGCGCGCACGGTTCTGCTGGTCTTGCTTCCATCGTCCTTCTTAGATTTCAGGCTGGATGACGAGCGGTTCACCTCCGTCCGGATTTTGATGCTTGCTTTCTTTTTGGGCTTCTCTGAGCTCTTGTCTTTTTCCTCCTCTTCGACGGGTGTACCTCTTCGAGAGGATGGCTGGTCCAGACCCGTTAGTGGTGGACTCGGAGGTGCATGGTGGTTCTCGGTGTGGTGACTCGGTCGATTCTCCTTGCCATCGTCCTGTTCGGTGAGGTCGGTCGGGTCCGGGGTAGGGATGTTTGCTGTGCGAACATCTTCCTTACTGTGCGCCTTGGAGAAATTCGGATACGGTAAACTGGACCTCGACTCGAGGAAAGAGGCAGTGCCCGACCGGCTCGCGGTGTCAACGCCGGGCATCGAGGAACGACGTGGGGGCTCACTGTGGGAAGTCGAGGCGGAGATGGTGGATTGAACCGTTGGTTCTGGTTCGGGATCCTTGGTTGAGGTGCGGGAGGACCGTACCTGGGAGAGCTGGGACGAACGCTTGGGACGTTGTTTCCAGTGTTTGGCTTTGGGCTTTGCGGTCCTATCGGCGGTACTGTTGGGTCTCACTGGAAAAAACATGACTCCAGCGAAATCGCAGCCGCACTATGTGGATCCCTTCAAAACCCTTGGGCCCGCAGGTTCATCGGACTCCGTTTACCTCGTCTGTGCTTTTGCTACCCGTCGAGTAAGAATGGAGTATACTGCCACTGAGGGGAGTGGATTCTTATTTCGGTTCTCCAACGGTGCAGTGTTTGTGTAATTCTCTGGCGCTTAGGTTGGGCAGAGAGTTGTCACGGGTCAGCGCTTGCGTCGATCGCCCTGCGGGAAGGACCCCGGCATGCCGTTACGGGGTAAAAGATAATATAAATTCAATTAAAGTGAAATATGAAAACCTGGGACTAAATGAAGCATGAGTATCAGGTACAATGCATGAAGTTGGATCCGAAGATGGCGATGATCACGGATTGAGAAGGTTCCAGATGCCAATGCGGTGAGCAGACCGACAAATGAGGCCCCGCTTTACTGACGTGGAGGTTTAGTGCTGCATGGAAGCCTAAAATCAAGGCTGAATCGAAAAGCCTTCTAACTCAAAAGTTGAATGTCAGACATGAAAGTGGACAGTAGGAAGTGGACATGAAGTGGGGTATCATTCAAATTGCAAAACTCAAAGCTAATCGTATCCTGTCAATGCTCGTGCAATCCATTTGCTGCTTTCACAGGTGAAGTCTCCAGTACCCAGTTTCCGTCCTCTTCGTGGGCTACTCCACCTGCTCGTGCAGCTCGTAGCGTCTTATCACTTGCTGCCGTGAGATCGCCTGTGTGACGATCCCAGACCCAACCCTCCTTGAGCCAGAGCCAAGTGATATATGCACGTAATTCTTTGTCCTGGGGAAGGACCGATTTCCATTCAGGAACAAATCCACAGGTGGTGGCCCCAGTCCCGACCCAGTCTGTAGCCATCCCTCGCAGTTCGTCACGACAAAAAATCCGCCAACTATCCAAGGAATACGCACCAACACCAGGAAAGTGAGCAACTTCCCATGCTGATCGTGGGTCTTCATCATCAACACATTCATCTGGGCCAATATCTCGACCATCCAGTTTGTTAGGATAGTGTATCTTCCGATAGCGTCTGTGTTTCACCGGAGGATTAGTCTGCCAGGTTTGAGCGATTGAAATGCACTTCCTAGCACGCTGGTTTTGGAACCCAAGGCAGCGAATCATAGCGACAAGCTCCGACTCGTCGGCAGCAGCCATAGAGTCAATAGTAGGATAGCGATCGAAGACTTTGAACAAAACCGGCAAAGCCACACCACCTCGAGTGCGATTAAGGAATATCGTTGCAATAAGTAACTTGAACGGTTCGTGGGCCAGCTGCTCCTGCACAAGACCAAAACACTGAGCATCGATAGGGGGAAATGGAAGACACGATTGTGGATCACTGGGCAACTTTGGGAAATAAGGAGAGATTTTGGGGACTTTCGATCGTAACGGCCTGGGATCTTCAGGGAAAAGAAAAGAAATTTGCTTGACAGGAGTCTCGGGGAAGATAGCGGATTCTGCGGGAACAAATCGCGGACTTTTCGCGGGGGTGGGAGGACACACAGACATCCCATCTTCAAGGTCAAGGTCGAGGTCGCTGGGAACATCACTCAAGGTTGAGTCTGATAGTAAAAAGTCTGGGGGTAAATGGAGCTCCTCGAGGCATTTGTATGCTTCTGGAGGAATAGTCATATTGTACAGGCCACATCTTACAGGTCTGGGTGAAGGAGTGTTAATGGTGGCCGCGTGAAAATATTTAGACGTCACCTCATCACTGGGGGTCACCCCTGGTGAATCACTGGTTATCAAAAACCCATATCCCACTGGTTTGGATCTGGCGATAGTGGGCCATACTGGGATCTTGGCTTGCTGCTGCTTGATTTTTGCGATGGCGGCGTCGAGAGCACTGGAGCACCAGCCGAGTCGATCGTTTGTGGAGGAGTTACAGCTCGTTGCGACGCCGGAGTCGAGGGTGCTATAGCTTGAGCCTGTGTGATCTGTCGTGAAGGGGTTACTGCTCGTTGGTCTGGATTAATACCCAGATTCGGTATTTTATCTTTTCTATTAAGCCGTTTCTTCTCTCTCTTGCGCCTGTTTTTCTGCGTTCTCCTTTCTTCTTTCCTTTCTGATGTCTCAAAAAGCACATTTGTAGAAGGCAATTCCGACTGTGGTTCCGAATCTGGGTTGTTCTGGGGATTGAGAAGGGAGAGCTTCTTGTTCTTCCTTTTGTTCTTTTTGGAGCCGTGTCGATTTCTTCGATTTCTTTGCGTCTCCCTTTCCTTCCCAGACTCGGCCTCGACATTCGGCTCAGAGTCCACTAGATCAAAAGAGTTTAGATCGTTTGAATCCAGCGAAGATTCATCAAGAACATTGCCCTTGTCCGCCATATCAGGTGGACTCATGACCAGGCTGTCGTCGGGCGCAACACTCAACTTCTGCAGGGGCTCATTGTCTTGCGAGTTTTCCGTATTCGATGCAACTGGTTCTTTATCAGAGTCGCAGGTGAGATCGATGATGTCTCCCACGGCGCGAGGCTGTTCTTGGGTTTTCGGAGGGGATTGTGCGGCAAGAATTGGCGATTCCGGTATTTGATCAGGGCAATCCACAACATCCGTGAAACCAATCATTTCCTGGCGCAACTCTTCGGGAGAAGTATGAAGTCGAAATTCCGTGCTGTTGATACCTTGGCTATCCTCAACTTGCACCACTGGTCGGACAGAGGCATTTGAATCTTGGGAAGAGCGTCTCTTGCTGATCTTGCGTTTCTTTGAGCTAGATCCATCTGTCTGGTCCAAGCTCCTCTTGCGACTTCTTCGGGGCAAGGAAATTCCTGTCGGTGTGTCGTCGATTTCTTCACCAAACGTTATCTCGTGCTGTGAGTCCGGACTCCCAGCTGAAACGCCAGCAGCATTGAGGTAGATACGGCGCACGTAGTCGAGTAAGCCATTGATCGCTGCATCGGGCATCCCTGCAGAAACTGCCACGCCTTGTAAGTCGATAGTAAACTGGAGTCTGGCAGAGCGTGATACGGGCTGCACAGGTGTCTCAAAGAACTGGTGGGTCCCCACATATTGAATAATATCATCACCCTTTGACTGACCAACGGATGCAAAGATGACGTTCTCCTCGGCTTCATCTTCAGGATCATCGAGTTCAATACCCGCATCATTGACATTATTGGGCGGTTGAAGAGCAGCAGGGTCAACGCCTTCGTCTTCTGGATCGATGACATCTTTTTTAGGGCCAACGGCTTCATTCTGCGGCCCAACAACCTTCGAAGCAGTGCTGTTCTCGTCCATCGCGCCATCTACATGACTGCTCTCGTCCAGGTGACCCTCTAGCGTAGGTGTAGATTCTTCTTCGCCCTCACTAGCCATATCGACAACCGTAATGCTTCTTCGAGCTGCTGCCCGTGTTCGTGGCCGTGTCCTTTCTGCCATTTCTGCGTTGTTGGAGGTGGCTAGGTAGGAAAAGTAGGGTGACTTGGCGGCTGGTTTCTTTGTCTCGGAGGTGGGAGTAGCCACGTACTCCGCTAGTGTAGTGAAACTCTTCTCACTCGGACATGCACTGGTAACAGGCCAGTCCTCATCCCCGAGGTGATCAAAGCTTGCCTCCTCAGACAGGATCTCTTCGACGATGGCATCGAACGACGGAGGGAAGGGCTTGTATTTGGAGAGTTCTTGGCTAGGTGGAGGAAGAACAACTTCAATATTATCAGTCAATGACATTCTGATTGTGTAGAGCGGACTTGGGTCTCCGTTGTTCAAAGGTCGGTGTGGGGATGCATGAGATGTATGCGTCGGCTGGAGGGTAGGGTGTTTCAAGATTGTTCTATTCACACAGAACACGTCAATTTAGGTATAGTAGAATGAATACATTCTCAATTACTCACTGGAACAGCTGGGATTCAATATTATTGAGGGGTCGAGAGACTCGTCAAATACGACCAGCTGCTTTGTTCAAGACGCGGACGCGGGTCTTCAATGCGCGTGCAACAAAGAACTGTATAGATACCGAAATCAATACAACAAAGCAGACTGGGATGTCTGCCCCCAAAAAGGTTTGTGAGCTCTCTAATACGCAGAACGCGGAAAAGAACAAGTCACAACATCCACCAAGACCCCTGATCGTGGAGCTGGAGTTGACAAGAAAAAAAAAGACTCCGCGTTCCGATGCACGCACGGACCACCTCTATATTGGTGTGACAGCTCTTATCGCTAACTGGAAAGAACGATCGATCCATCCGTGACGCTGGATCTAACTTCATTTATTTTTCTTTCAAAAACAGGCTATCTATCCACGTAATGAAACTACTCTTCCCCCTATATTGCATAACCCGCTGAATTTAATTGACGTGGTTCCCCAGCAGCATCGAATGTCCCATTGGGCAGGACATGGATAAGCTGTGCACTGCTTGTACCAGGAGCCATCCAACTAACATTGTGCCCTCTGCTTTCCATGAAAGCTACAGTGGAATTGTCAAATGCGTACTCAAACCAGACCTGGTTAGGAAGCAGTTGGTCATGCAAGCGAGGCTTGGCCAAGGCTCCAGCTGCATTCAGACCGTGATCAATAGCGTTAATGATGACCTGGACGGTGGCTGTAATAATACGACTACCTCCTGCCGATCCACTTATCAGAAACAGCTTTCCGTCGGGCCCAGTGATGATGGCAGGTGTGATGGACGACATTGGTCGCTTGCCGGGTCGGACATAATTCGCCTCGGAGGGAACATATCCAAACGAGTCAGATGATCCGGGAATTGAGAAGTCTACCCACAGCCATGAGAAGGTGTCCTGAAGGAAAGAGGTCCCCGAGTCACTTACCGTTCATCTCATTGTTCATTATGATACCGGTCTCTGGGACCATCAATTGACTGCCAAAATAGGTGTTGATAGTGCTGATAACAGAGATGGCAAGCCCGGAGTGATCACTTGCGGCAATGTGGGATGTCCCTGGTCTGAGTATCTGTCAGTTGAATATTCGAACACATACTTTCCATGACAAGGCTTTTTCTTACGTATCCCGACTTTCAATGCCAGCAGGATCATATGCTGACACATCTAATGTGTGCGTGTCGGATATCTTGTTTCGGATTCCATCAACTGTTGATTGACTCAATATGCTTCGCTCATACTTCGCCATCTCTGGAACGAACAGAGGGTCCCCCATCTCGGTTCTCTTTTGAATTGATCAGCATATATATTTGGGGGGAAGTAGCGAACCATACCTGACCATATCCGAATCGCATTGCCTCGTTCATCCGATGTGTACTAAGGTTCACGGTCTCCTCAGACGAAAAGAAATCCTTGTATCCGTCAAGAATTTTCAGCATACTCAATGCGATGGTGCCACTGGAGGGAGCCGTTCCACTAGTGATGGTGTATCCTCGATAGTCGATCTGAGATATGTTTCGAATCGTGACAGTATAGTTCGCAAGATCCTCCAGTGTCATTGTTCCGTTTGACGCTTGAACCGCATTGATCATGGTTTCAGCAATTGGACCCGAATAGAATGCATCGGGACCGCGCTCGGCAATAGCTTCAAGTGTATCCGCAAAGCGTCTTCGAGTAATGATTTCCCCCAAACCTAGCCGGGTACCGTTAGGAGCAAAGTCCAGGGCCCAGGTTGGATTCTGGGACAGGAAATCCTCCCCACTGCCCACTGCCGCGTTCATATATCTGATCAAGTCCTCGGTAACTGGAAATCCGTTGCGAGCAGTCTGGATGGCTGGTTGCATGATAGTCCGCCACGGAAGAGAGCCGTAGTTTTTGTGGAGATACTCCAATCCACGTATTTCACCAGGCACGGCACTACGTTATGCATATTAACGGCATGCTTCACAGAGCCTAACCTTGTCTTACCTTGCCAGCCCCCCGTAAATTGAACCATTTGTATTGTGTCGAAACATTTCATCGAATGCCGCGGCTGGCGCAGTCTCTCGAAAGTCGATAAACTCAAAGGATCCATTCGGCGCCCGCACCAGCATGAATCCACCGCCACTGATACCGCTATGGTACATTCCTAGACTTATAAGTCAATATCATGACAAATGCCTCGGCTCCTTTGGCACCTACCGATAACTCCGACACAAAATTGGGCAGCTACTGTCTATAAGCTGCACTTAGCTCCAATTGACTTCCAACGCAAATGGCGCAATTCAAAATTCATTTCATTGTGGAACATTTGAAAAGACTTACCGCATCAGCAGCATTGCCCCCCAATTCAAACATCTCGATTCCATGTCGCGAACAAATGGAGCTTTCGGTTGCAATGGCCCCTAGCTTTCCGGACCCAAGGCTCTCATGCGAGCCGATGTCGCAATTCTCATCGTGTATAATGGATATGAGTGGCAATTTAATGAGTTTTGGCAAATACAACACCAGTAAAACCACAGCAAGTATCACGGCAAGCCACGGTTTTTGTTTCAATTTGTTGAAAATGCCGCTCGATTGCTCATGCGGTTCTGAAGACGGACAAACGTCTTCATCGGGGATAAATGTGCTCTGCAAAAGCAGCGCAAGCTTCTAGAGTTCCGTTAGAGATTATGATCCAGCTCAAATGGTGCGAGTGCGCATGAAAAAGACAAAGCCGAGGTTCTTACCTGCTTCTCAACATCCTCGACAACAATTTCTTGACGCATGGTATGCAGGAGGCAAATCCAGCGAAAACCCCAAGTCTCAAACCACAAATTCCAGTCCAGTTATCACCAGCGGCGTGTATCTGCCGTTCAGGCGAGGATATCGCAAGATTAAGGCTAGAGAAAACGACTAGGGTGGTTCAATATGAAAGCAGGAGAATGGAAAAGATAATAATTGAACGCAAGAGAGAATAGAGTACGCCCGGAGCACCTAGTTTCTAACACCAAAGAATGAAATGGAAATATCCAGACACCAACAGGCTCATAATCAAAAGAAAATGGGCATTTGACCCACTGACTGATTGTACTTGTGGATACCCTAATGTCGCGTGAGATATCGGGGCAAACCCCGCTGATAACTGCGCCAATAAGCTTTAGGGCCCCAACTCAAATAATTATTAATTCCGAACGTTAGGTTTGGAGTTTGTCAGCATATCACTTGTTCTGTCTTATCGCTCTATTTTGGGTTTACATATCCGAGGTTCCCGTGGCCTCAAGTCTATGGGTGTATGCAGGATGGACCTGGTGACCCACTTGAGGATTAGGATCACCTGTGTTGGTCAGCACGTGGCAACTAAATACTGTATATTGTAAGATAAAGACAAGAAGGAAGACAAAGGAAAACTGGGGCTACAGATAACAGGAACTTAATCTTCGCCAATCTAGATTGACCATGTGGAATGCGGGGATAGTCCCGAATACCCGGCAAAGAGACAAGATCAAAGGGTTGGGCGGTGAAATTAATTATGAGAAAGTGTACTGGGAATAGGGGAAGGGAGAAGGGAAGGGAGAAGGGAAGGAAAGCAAAGGGGATGGGCATGAACATAGGGACTCAACATTAGATAAGGCAAACACGCACAAGTCAAATCTAACGTCCGTTCGTTCATATTTAATGACGTGCCAACGGTCCCAAACTTTGAAATAGCCTCGAAGTGAAACTTTCAAATCAAAAATATTGATAATACCTAGGTTATTCGTGTTTTGATTGGTTGAATATGGGAATTCAGAAGGTTGATAAATGAGGCTCCGGGGATCCCCATGGTGCGGCCATCGCTGATCATCGGAGAAAGTGCCTCGAAGCCTCAATTTTTCATGTAGATAAGTGAAAGATCCCATGTTGGAATCCTGTTATGGGCATCTATTTAAATGTTCACTCTTTTAATTGGCAATACGTTATGGCTTCCCCTACCACATTATCTATGGCTGTCGCATATCGCCAGCATTGTTGCACCTTTTTCCTTTAGTCTCACAATAGGCTGCCGCACGGCTTCAATGAATAGTGTCGGTCACCTCGAGAAGGGCCTTGTAAGATAAACTTTGTAGATGCTAAGTCCAAACACCAAGCCCGACGAGCTACCTCCTGCATCTTCATCACGACATTTCAACTGTCACAAAAAGTAGTTCATTATTCTGATTTAATATTTCTGTGTGCCAGTGGCCCATGATCAATTCCAATGCCTTGCATCATCCATGAAATAGTATCTTTCCACATTGGCGGGATCTCTTCCAATGGTTGTACAGTCGCAAGAACAAGCCGTCGACCCCAATCCCTGACATACCAACGATTGCATAGAAGGCGCATAGCGGTGGCATAATGTAAGAACAGTATACGGGCGGTCCAATCTCCATCTTGGACTAATGTTATGAATTCTTCGGCGAGAAAAAGGGGCCATGCAATGACTCCACCGTGTGCACCAATCTTGGGCCATGGCTCAATGGCGTATTGCAAAATCTGCAATGTAGCAATGTATAATGCTCCGTTCGGAGATGTATCTGCTTCCAAGGTGGTTCTGAGTTTGCCAAGGGATTTCATTATTTCCCTGATAAGTTCAGCATATGTAGTATTGCTACTCCAGAGGGGGTTGCTACTTACTTGTGTAGGTCGAATAATCGTTCGCGGCCTTCTAATTGTATATCACTGGATGAGTTTTAGCGCTTCAATTATTCTATAGATGATATTCAACGTTTCGCAGAGGCTCATCTTACCCGCACAATGATGGGGGCTCTAAATTCTCTTCCGCATCAGGTGGGCATAGCCCCCCGTCGAGCTGACTTTCGATCCCCAGTTCGGTGAGTTTGGTGAAAAACATGGCGCTTCCTGAAATCAACGTGCGAACCTCCAATACTCTTGAGAATGCATCCGCCGAGGGGGAATCGGATGATATCACGGGAAACCCCTGAGCATATAGAAGGATGAACACGGAAGCCACAAAGGCCGGCTCATATTGCTGGTATGTGATTTCTGGAAGGGACTTCCCCAGTCCAGCACACGTTTGGCTTTGATATCGCATTGCGGCTTCCAGCCACGATTGGCGATTATCGACTTCAATAGACGCCAGGTGCAGCGCAGACAGCGCCAGAATACTATCCAGGAGAAAGGGATTAGAGGCAGCCATCTTAGGAATGGTGATATATAGATGATAGCCGGACAATCCATCTCGGGATAATGTCAAATAGGTTGATGTCAGATATTGGTGGAACAGCCGCATCTCCAACATGCGGGTAGGTAATGGCAGATCGCCACCTGGCGTCCGCGGTCCACTATCAGAGCCATCCCTCACACTGGGCGAGTTTGGGCTGTCAGGATCAGGTGGATAGTTGCATTCCAATTTGCGCCTCTTGCACAAAGTGCACTTGGGCAATTCTTCGTCGCACTATTGGTCTTGTCAGATTGTCACGGTCATGATCGGAGACACACATCAACAGGGCTTGCGGATTGCATTGTAACAATCGCATATTCCTTTGGCCATGAAAGACTACTACTTGTTCCGATTACTGAGAGGGAGTCAAACAAAGGCTGCATACCTTGACATGTCTCCTTTTGCACTCAAGGCAGCCCTTCCGGGACTTGGTGTGGCTACGGCGCAATGGCATGGCGAGCCCCTTTCACCCATCAACACGCAGATAAGAGACTTCGGCACAATACCAGACAGCGAATACCCTCATTGCCCTTCTTTCAGGGGGGAATCAATCTGATATTCTTGACCTCGGTCGTGGGGGGCGATCTGCATCTGACGCGCTGCGATTGGGTGGCTAAAGTGACGAGCGAGATTATGTAATTGCGCCCGTTGAGCCCTTGGTGGACCATTGGATCCATGCAGGATCCGGCGGACCAAAAATCAGTCGTCTCAGCTAAAGGGCTCACAGAAAGGACAGAAAGAATCTGTCGATATTTGTGGTGCTGGTGGTTTGCTTTTTTGCCTCCAAATTGCTAAACTAGGCTAGAATTAGGCCCGGGCTATTCAGCTGCATTATCATCGGCGATCGCCCCGAATCTGACAGCTGCCGAAAAAATTACACGTGATGGCATAGGCCAATATTTGTTAAATATTATGGGAGTTCGCAAATACTAGTCACTGAAAAAAGTTTCAACTTCTCGACATGGCCCCGGACTCCACGAGTCTCAGTTAGCCATTTTGTTGAAACCGCGGGAACGCCTTGACATAGATTTCAGGACATCCTCGGCTGCCTAATTGAGAAGTCCCGTCTAATATGTACCTTAGAGTACAACAAACACGAAGCTTCACCTAAAGTCAGGGTCAAAAAGAAACACGAGCTCCAGTAGGTCCGGAAATGATGTCGGCTATTACTTATCACTGCCAATCTCGATATCGGCTGCAGACAGTTCTCCCCGCAACCCCCTCAACTTTGGAATCTGTGGAGTGCCAAAGTTGTGGGGCCAGCCCCAGCAGTCTGGGGATCTCAATCAACCTTGCGAAGTTCAGAAACGCCCACGAGTACCTAATGTATGGCATTCTTGGCTCCATTATGACCTCATCAGAATTAATTATTATTAAAATATATTACCATACATGTGATAGCAAAAACCTGTCCACCTAACCATCATTTCAGTGTGTATGTGTTTTTTTGTCTTTCAAAGGGGCAGGTCGAATTGAAAAGACGAGAAAACCAGCCACTTCCCATGGCTCGAAAGGCTAATCACCAGTGGCGACGAGCCTTCAAACTTTCGCTCCCTTCATACTGAACCTGGAAGCGAGGTGTCTCAACAACATCGTAGTCCGCATCATTCTTCAGGTCACCAAAGATCTTAAGTGCTCTCACACGCAAAGAATAAATACCGTTAGCCACATAACTTCCGTCCGCCAGCTCTCCAGACCAAGGAACCTTCGTGGAGCCAGTAGCCGAGCGGGAAAGGAAATGTTTCGGATAACCGGGAACGGATCCAAGAACCGTACCGTTGCTCGCCTTTACATCAATGTCTAGAAGGCTTGTCCCCATCGATCTTGACAGCTTGAAGATAGGGTGACTAGTGTTGTTGCCAGTGGTGCCAGGGGCGGGCAGAGTGAACAAATCATTCCCTTGGACGTGGGTGCTGCTCTCACTGGAGAAGAGATAATTGTCGCCGTGCTTGGTGTCAAGGATGGTAACATTGCGCATAGAATTTGCAGCACCCAAGTACGGGATTGAGAAGGAGTCATCATTTGTTCCGTTTAGGGTGATATAGCCACTGTAGACAGGGATGCGAGTGGCATCCAGTCCCTTTGGTGGGGTGGCAGTTACCTTGACGACAGCTGTCTGATTGGGGCTAATGGATATAAGGCGAGAGCTGAATGTGAGCGACGCATATTCAGTGACAGTTTCCATGAAATCGCCAGAGTCAAAGAAGACCGGGGTGGTGGTGCCATCATCGGCGAGAGTGTAGACTGTTCCACTGCCAACCTGGTCGATGGTATATACGATAGTATCGGAGCCGGTGTTCTTTATGCTGAAATAAACAGGTGCTATGTGCTCAGTATCATTGAAGCTAATACTGCTGACGTTGAAGATGGTCTTTGAGTGGACTGCATCGTATGCGTTGATGAGACCGGCACCCTGTTGAGCGACTGAGTCAAGCCATTCATAGGTTGAAACACCGTCGTTAAACACGTTTGGATTTGCGTTCGTTGAAAAGAGCGACTGAATAACGGCCGGCGAGGCTTTGCCTCGAGCTTCCATCAACAGAGCGATGCAGCCCGCGAAGTAGGCAGTTGCCATTGAGGTCCCAGATTCCACGGCATAGCCTCCGAGGGCAAGAGGGTATGTTGAGATCATGAAACCACCAGGAGCAGCAAGAGAAGGCAATTGGGCGAGCTCGTTACTCGGCCCCCACTGTGTGAACTCGCTCACAAAGCCTCCAGCCTGGCTGTTCACCTCGTTGACTAAGATCGTAGAAGCGTACTTCTTACTGACCATGCGAAGGATAATGGTAGTATTTTTTGCCGCCAGTCTCACCCACTCATCACCAGTACCCGTTGGTACCATTCCGATTCCGGTCAGACCGTGCTTGGTGAAAGAGAATTGGTCGGTACCAGGAGCATTGTTATAGAAAAGAATGTTCTTTGCACCGGCGTTGACAGCATTGAGTGCCTTATTCTCGAAAGAACAACCACCGCGTCTTATCAAAACAATCTTTTTGGAAAGATCAGGTGTGCTAGAGGGTAAGACCTGACATCCATCATTCTCAACAGAAGTATTCAGACTCAGAGGGTACAACTGGTATGTTCCATTGACAAAGTCTGCATCCCCGGAAATAGACCAACCAAACTCTTTGGTGGAGTTCCTAGTGGAATACGTAGCCTTGTTGAGTAACATGGGAGCCATCAGGTTATTTACTGCTCCAACGCCAATGGCACCTTTACCGTCAGCTCCATCAGAGGCGTAGAACATTCCATACTGGCCGTCATTTCCAACAGCAACCATGCACGGAACACCGGCCTGGACGATCCGCTGAATGAGGACTCCCCACGGCTCCTCAGACCAACCACTGTACCCACCAATCGACGTAGTGATGATATCAGCTTTGGCTTCATAGGCCATTTTGAAAGCCTCCATGATTAGGTCGGTGGAAGAGCTTTTCGCGCAACTCGCCACTTTGTAGTGGCCTAAGGTGACATTAGGGGCCACACCGGTGAAGTTGTATGGGTTCGGCTGGGCGGCGATAAGACCTGATACGTGAGTTCCGTGCCCATCACAGTCATCATAAGGGTCGTTGTTGTTATCAATGAGGTTATGGCCAAATTCTACCAGGCAGCCCTGCCCAAAACAACCACCGAGAGCAGGGTGCTTGTAATCAACACCAGAGTCCACGACAGCGACTCGTAATCCACTTCCCAGGTATCCTTCCTCGCGCAGCTTGTCGACTCCGGTCATGCGGTGAGGGACATCATTAGACCCAATTGAGTAACCCACGCCACGGCGGCTCAGGCGATGGGCATGGTTCGTGGAAGAGGCATCGTGTGCTACTGAAACTTGTCGTGCGGGCAAATGAGCCTCGCGGACAGGAGCGATACTCTTAATTCCGCTGAAAGATGAGATCTTCTTCACAATGGCGGCCTCGTTCTTTGTGTCTCCGAGTAAGCTAAAGGAGCCTCCGTGGAATAGAGCAAAGGACAAGTCGCGCTCAAGACTGAGCTGAATCCCGTGTCGGGCAAGGCCGCTGACGAAGTTTTCGGCCGACTACTATTTGTGAGTCCAAACCATTAATGATCAAGCTTTGTTCCATAGGGGCCTTACGATATGAGGATTGCTAAATTCCACAATATAGGATTTGGGCACAGCATCTCCATGCTTTCCGGCTAGAGCCAGGGGCAAGGCGAGGAGGGCGCCTAACCATGGCCAAATTGGTGCCATTGTCAGGGCTATCAAATGAGTGACAATAAAAGAGTGACTTGAAAAAAAAGAGAGAGAGAAATAGAAAACTAGTCCAATGAATGAAGATAGACGTAGATCTTGATCTCCTTCTGCTTCGGGTGCTTCATCCCTTAAATAAATGTCTCGAGATCTCTCGGCAGTAACCCGCCTCATCTGCAGATCTCGTATTTTATCGCCATGGTGGAGCGATTAGTTCAGATCGAGTGACGCCAAGACGGAGTGAAATGAGGACTCGAGCGCTCTAGCGAAAGCATCCCGTGGGAGATATCGAGATTTGAGATAAGATCTGCGATGGGTGGATCATAACCCTTCTTGGCGTGTCATTGTTTTCTCCCGAGAAACTTTCTCGAACTCGATAGGATCCACAGAATAGGGCTTTGAAAAACATTTTGCATATGTGGTGGGAAATTCACAGACACTGCCGGTCAGTTGTATTGGAATCCCCAAGTTGGTCGCCATGGCGGTATGAAAAACGACCCACATGATGTATACGCAACAAACTACGAACAGGATTCAGTGGATGACACAAGTTATTTAGACTACTCACAGGCGAGTGAAGGTCATAAAGGAAGTACATCACCATAATTCGAGCGTAAACATTACGATTCATCGTGATGAATCACATAGGTATCGTGACCGAACATTAACCCTGTAAAAGCTAAGTATATATATCAGCACGTCGCGTGCTGGTCGCAGCGGTCAGAGGAGACAAGAATAAAGAAGCGTATTCGTACTTCGTACTCGTACGCAGAAAGGGCAAGACAGACGAATCAACACGTTGTATTGTGAGGGGGGTTGGCGGTGGGAGAAGGAAGGAGAAGGGAAGAAGAGAGAGAAGCGCTGATCTACCTGGACGGGTCATTCAACTCGCAACAATATAGTATACTTCGCACAAAATTCATCTCAACGTACATCAAAACTTCCTCCCATGGTTGGGCTCAAACTTAGAGCTTTCATTCTAGAGACCAGACACATGAGCAACTAAACAATAGCGTTCAAAATCAAACTCCATGAATGAGGCCAAAACTTATTGCCGTCTGACTCATAGATACTACATAATAGGAATATAAACATTGGAGTGAGTTGAGATTGTAAAATCCGAGATTTAGCCGTTGACAGATATCAATATCGTACCTTGAAGTCACCACAGACGCGCATCTCATCGTGAAGAGGCTTATGCAGTACTAATGCTGTCTCCCTCTGAGCCGTTACTCCTGCTCCGAATTATTTTCCCGGAAAGGAGAGATTGTGTAACAAGGCCAACAGCAAATAGGTAAGCGAGTATCAATTTCTTGTTTTTGCGTACTTCGGTACGTGCTCACCCTTCTGCCTTTGGCTTGGCTGATTGATGGATTTGAGCTGAAGCTGATCAAAATATTGGATATTTTAGAATCGACATACGCGCCAATCTGGCTATGATATGTAGGCAGTCACTATCACGGTATGAACCGGCTCGTCAGAACGCCCTGGGTGCAACATGAATGGTTTTTTGAACTCCAATGGGGCCGAGTGTAAAGATAATTAACAAAACGGATGGCCTCTGGTCCCCTATTTTTCAATGAAAATATCTTCCTTCAATTAAAGATGATCAATCTTACAACGTTGGAAGCCGACATCTGCAACCCGCAAGAGTCCCCGCAAACCCCCTCAATGTCCTCAATGTGGGGCTACCCCAGCTTTCACTAGAATTCTGCTTCAGTGCAAATAAATGGACAGGACGAAGACAACTCCAGTCAAACTGGGAGCATTTTGCAGACATGGGATTCGACAACATCACGGGGCATTCACGCCTATGGCTCTTGGCATCGAATCCATATTTCTTTGGCGTTGTCGCTATCATCTTCACGACAATACACATTCTCGTCCATGATTTTGTTCTTTGGCTCCGTCTCCCACCAGGTCCAACCCCAATCCCTTTCTTTGGAAACAAGTTCATTATCCCAACTTCCTCTCCGTGGATTCAATTTGAAAAATGGTCTCACAAATACGGCCCTATCTTTACCTTGTGGATCGGCCGGCGCCCTACCATCATTATATCTGACCCAAGTATCGCCGTGGACTTGCTTGAAAAACGCAGCACGAAGTTCAGCTCTCGGCCGCGCTTCGTAGTCATGGGTGAGCTCTACTGGGACAACGCCGGGATCCTAGTCCAACCCTACGGGAAGGAATGGCAAGTTCGACGGAGAATGCTGCATCAGGCACTCAATCCATCCGCACTTCGACTATACAAACCAGTTCAAGAGGCCGAGGCTGCACGATTATGTGGCACTCTCTTGGCCAAACCAAGAAACTACGAAAATCTCATCGATCGGTTTACCGCAAGCGTGGTATTCAGCATCGCATACGGCCACAGAATCGATTCTATGACCTCAAAAATAATTCGCCAAAGATTAGAGTTCATGCAATATTCAGCATCTCTCAATGTTCCCGGTCGCTATCTAGCCGAATCAATTCCCTTGCTCAAGCATATCCCAGACATCTTCGCGCCATGGAAAGTAGAGATCCAACGTCGAGGACGTGAAGAAGCTGCGGTGAACATGAACCTGATTAACCAAGTTAAAACCGAACTCAGCACTGCAAAGTCATCTTCCGACGTCCCGGATTCGTTGTCAAAGTTACTCCTCCAAGCACGAGATGCAGATCCAACCTCCTTCGAAACCCTCAGCGAAAGAGATTTCTCCTTCGTACCCGCTTCCCTTTTCGGTGCAGGAAGTGACACTACAGCAAGCACACTATGCACTGCAATCCTAATGCTGGTCATGAACCCACAAGTCCAAGCAATTGCGCACGCAGAGCTAGACCACGTCATCGGCTCAACGCATCTCCCAACTTTCGCCGACGAAGAGAGACTTCCCTATATCAAAGCCCTCTGTCAAGAAACACTACGTATCAGACCCGTCGCCGTGCTTGGCGGAACACCACATGCAAATTCCGTGTCAGATACCTACAAGGACTACTTCATTCCAAAAGGGACCACAATTCTCTCCAATAGTTGGGCTATAAATCTCAATCCGAGGTACTATCCCAACCCACACCATTTCAATCCTCTACGATTCTTAGGCTGTGATCCGAGTCAAATTCCATATCTACCGCCATTGTCTGATGAAGATCTTGTTGAGCTTTCGCCAGAGAAGGATCATCCTGCGAAAGAGGGCCATAGTTCTTTTGGGTGGGGCCGGCGAATTTGCCCCGGGGCAGGATTGGCGCAGAACTCATTATTCATTGCGTTGGTGCGCCTTTTGTGGGTGCTTCGGTTTGAGCCGGAAAAGGAGCCTGATGGGTCTGATCGTGTTTATGACTCTTTTGCGTATACGCAGGGGTTTAACATTCGGCCGAGGGCTTTTGAGTGCGGGATCTTTGTTCGTGATGAGGAGAGACGACGGGTCTTGGAGGGGGAATTGGAGAAGGCTGATGGGGTAATGAGTCGTTTTCCGCCGTTTGAGGAGTAGGATTTCTGATCTACTTCTTGGTAGTTGTTGTAATTTATATGGGATTGGCTAAGGGCTCCAGGGGAATTTGACTTTGAGCATTTTATTTTTATGGTTATATTTTATCACTTCAAGTGATTGATATGACGAAACGCAGACAACCCTGGCGCCAACTGGATGCGCCCTTCAAGTAGTCAACGATGGGGATGTATGGAACCTTAGAAGCAGGGACATGCATGAAAACAATAATCAACGCGAAGAGCACAGAAAACGCCACAAGTTAATCATTCTCCAAATGCAAAATATAAAGCAATGCAATTGCACGGATTACCGTTCTAAAAATCTACTCTAAACATCTTGCTTGTTCTGATGCGTTCTCCGTAAACATAGAACACTACGGGCAGGGGACACATTGCTAAAGCGATGAAGCCAAGCAGCGAATTACCCCAACCAAGTCCGAGAGACTTGTACATAGCCGGTCCGGCGAGCGGGAGCAGGGCACCAACTAGAGACCGCAGGACAGTGTTCGCCGCCATGGCAGAGGCGGCATAGATTGTGAACGCATCAACGAGATAAGTGCTGACCGTCATCTGCAGACATAGTCAGTAAGGACCCTTGCTAAAAAATAGTACTAAAATCTCCAACTTACGAACGCCATAAGCATTCCCACTCCGAGAAATGATGTGCCAATAATGGGCACAATCCAGTGAACCTTGTAATAAGCAGTCCATCCATAGATGAACAATGAGACCGGGACAAACAGGGACCCAGGAATCATAGGCGGTAGTCGGTATTCAGGCTTCGAAGCTCCCCCGTTCTTATTCGTGAGATACTTTAGTAAGCGGTCTGATGTCGCGCCCAATGTTGCCAGGCCGATGACTGAGCCGATCCCGATGCCGAGATACGAGAGTCCCACTGTCCCCTGGCTGAAGCCATATTGGCCTTCGAAAACCTCACTGATTGTCGTAAACAGCAGATATAGGTATCCATAGACAAGAGCAACGTAGATGGACAACAGAAGCACAATCGGCGAAAGGAAAAGCATTTTGGTGGGTCGAACAATCGTGTGGAGGAACAAGTGTTTCGGACTCATACCAGTATCGAGCTTAGATCGCAGATTGGGGTTTCCAGTTTCTTTTTGTAGCTTCTTTGTTTTCCAAGCAAGGAGAGTGGGCGGGTATGATTCCCGAATGGTGAGTATCGAGATGATGCTCACAGCTCCGCTCTATTTCCAGTCAGTATGCCCTCCATGCATTTACTTTGTATGATCTTATTCCACGTACTGCCATAGCAAGAACCCAAAATGTCCACCGCCAGCCCTTTGCTTGGGTGAGGAAACCACCCGCTACCAGTAATTAGCATAAATATGCAGGAGTAACAAGAGTTCACTGGCAAACATACCAATTGGCCCAATGACTGGTCCAATCAACGGTCCAATAGCCCAAGCAGCCATTGCACTGCCTCTGCTTTCTTGCACAAACATATCTGCAATCGAACCAGCGCCAATCGTCAAGGGACAGCTTCCTGCAAAGCCCGCAAAGAAGCGAAAAACAATCAAGCTGCCGATTTCGGGAGCGACTGCGCATGTAATAGTGAATATCACATAGAGGATATTGCAGGCGTTATACATGATCCGTCGACCGTACATTTCTGACAGCGGGGCAATGAGTAGAGGCCCAAAGCAGTATCCAAGAAGATATACAGAGACCACGAACGACTGGAGCTCCGTGTTCGTCAGGTGGAATTTCACGGCCAATTGTCCAATCCCGGGGGCAAACATTGATGATCCTAGGGGCCTTTTGGATGGAGGTCAGGTTAGCAGTGGCGCACGAGTGAATGGAATGTGGGATCTCATACGTCAGAAGGGTGATCAAGGCGATTGAGACTGTCGCGTTGACTTTCTTTCTTTTCGTCCAATTCAAGGGATTCTCGGGATCATCAGGCCCATCCCAGTCGACAATGTTTGGATCACGGAGAGCATCTTGTTGTAACTCGGTTGTTGTCGCATTTGGGGCAAGTCCTTTCTCGATATCCATGTCGCCATGGCTTGATGGGTTGTCATCATTCCCATGTTGGCTTGCGGGGTTGCTTGCGGCCGGCGTTGAACCGTCAATAGATGCCTCTGCAATAAGGACCAAGTCAAGAGATTAGTTACAGCTTACTTCGGGGATCTTTTTGATCCCACCTGGAATGAAGGAGGGTCATGTACTTTCGGTGTCCATTCTAACAGTACTGTGTTTTCCACCGACGTTGTAAACTACTTGTTGTTTGACCTTTCCTTCTGACAGAGGCAAATGTTTCGGATATAAGGTGGAAGGCAGTGTGCAGATGGCCAGGCCTTTTAAAATATCCGTTGGATAGGATGCGATGTAGCACCGGCACGCCGTAATGGTCGTGGCACTGGGAAGCCGTAATGCTGAATGTTGTGAGGCGTCTCGTATGATGAAATAAATGTAAAAGAAAGATCAAGCCAACCGGCAATTTGGATCGGAGCGGGAAATGGGCAAGGGAAATGAGTACAAAATCGGACAATGCGGAGTTAGGCAGTGAGTTCACATTTATTCACCAAGACATTGCATTAGAAGCTCCCCAAAGTGGTCCGTTCAAGCTAATTTACACGGATGCACGCCTTTCACCTGCCGGGCTTACGCTTGGCTACAGGTATAAAAGTTATGCTGGGAAGCAAGTAGGCCGTAGTCAGGCGAGCGCCACTTTCACTTCCATTTATAATCCGGGTTTTGAAACCTTCGACTTGCATGAATCGACTAGGGATATCGGCTAGATTGCCGCACTTTAAGCTGCGGGACTTGTTAAAGGGGGGCCATTAATGTGGAGCCAGGCAAAAACGTGGAGTGCAGTGTGAATCTCCAACCCGCTTGCTCAACTTGTTTTCCGATATGTAAAGCCTTATATTCTAGAGCAGAATTATACACAGATTATGGGATCTAGCTTTGAGTTCTGCGCCCTTCCAAAACAACTGAATATGGCTCTCTCGGCACCATGTGCCGAGTTCGTGGCCTCATTGATGGAATCTGTCGACCCGCGGGGTTCAGCGTGACCAAACAGACCCGAATGGCGCTCAGGCCATCTCTCGGCATCCCCGCTATCGAATCAAATCCCTGTACAAGGGGTTCGGGTCTCAAGGTGCTAGGCAAATTGAGGCCCGCGGTAAATGTCCTAGGCGACTCAATTATCTGGACCTGCTATCAAACTTATGTAAACTATACACCGCGGAAAATCCGTCGGGTGGCTGGTTACTTGGAACCTTAGATGCGATATCGGAGGAACGCCGACTCATGTTCTATTTAACAGGCTGGGTGCCCCTGACTATTAGCCTCGACAAACAAACATAGATCTGGGCAGGAACATATTCTCGTCTTTTTACTTACTTGACCTAGTGCTCGTGATACCTCGGATATGTCTTCGGGCGATACAGATGTCGATGTAGGGGTATTATGCTAAAGTTGCACTACAGCTACTGACATGCCAATAAATGTCACACACAATTCTTAATTTATATAAAGCAAAATTACCAAACTAAATACTGCACAGAGAACATCAGCTCTATTTCAAAGTCATTATATCATTTCTCTGTCCATCGGTTCCAATGCCACCAGAAGGTACGCCAGCCAGTGGCGCTAATAAACATCATCAATTCCTTGCTGCGGAACCCGCTGTGCTCTCATCACCCATTTCCCGAATAACAAGCCAAAGACTCTTTCGAAGGTCAGAGTCTTCTTCATCTTTACCCGGCTCTTGGCCTCGGTTCCGCCCGCCCTCATTTCTCTTCTTAAGAGCCGCATTGAACCGCGTCAATCTTGATTTTTGACTCCACGGAAGAGCACAATCAACGTCAAGCTCAGCAATCCAGGGCTGAAATATCTGAATCCTGCGCTGCTGTATATCGACTTCCTGCGCCAGGTCAGATTCAACCATAGACAGTCCACTCAATTGTCGAATTAGAGGGGCATCTGGGTCGACCTTCCCCTGAGAATTCAGGATTGGGATCTTGGCGATATGAGCGACAGCGTCCAACTTGGCGATCTCAACCTTCAAACCTCGTGGTTCGAATAGATCTTTGTTCGCCTGACGAATCGTGGAATCAGAGCGACTTTTCGAGATCCCATGACTACCCAGATTGGCGAGGCCGCTCACCATAGAGCCAATCCAATGCAGCGGGAACAAAATCGGGACGGACCTAAGCACCCCACCTGTTGCATCTAGTACCTGCATTGGTGGGCTGGTAGTCACGACATCATTCAACTGGTCCAGGAATCTCATGAACGATTCCTTTGGTAGTTGGTGCTTTGCCAGTGTTGGTGCATAGGCGCGGAGAAAGGGTGATTCGTTTGCAGGCGCGATCGCGGGAATTGCGATGATTCTCGCTGACCTTGGAGCTGATGGCTGCTCTCTTGTTGCAGCTGCTGATGAGCTCCCTGCTGTCACCTCAGGAGGGCTGTACTGTGGGGGTTGTTCATCAGCAGCGAATGTTTCCTCTGCTTGAGATGAGGATATCTCTCGCTCATGGCGATCTAGATCCTCGTAGGGGTTCTTGGATTTCTCGTCACTTGCCATCAGAGATGTTGTAATGGATGAAGGAAACTGACAGGAAGATTTTTCGCAGCTTATATTTCTAGTCAGCATTTAGAGCTAGCAGGGGCGTGAGAAGTGGGTCTGAAGATGATGTTGTTGGGGGCGCAAAGGTTACCTTATTAGGAACCAATCGGCGAGCCAATCAGCGATCGATAACGACTCTTCATGGATCTCGAACATCAGTCATTTTGGCGGCTCCCTAGATCAAGCATTTGTTTCAAAGTCTATATTCTGCTATATGGCTTGCAACAGAGCTTAAGGGAATGAAATTGGTCATATTTCTCCGCCATACCAAATCACAACCCGATTCATTGCCCATAGTCATAATAGATTGTGGCGCTCGCCGAATCTCTTTCTCCAATTTCTGGAGAGTTGGATCAGCTCCACCATAGAACAAGATTTTCTACATTCTGGTCTTTCTTTTGCCATTGGGGGTCCATGAATAGGCTCTCCGTTCATTTGCGTTCATTGCATTGGCGTCAACTTGACCGGTTCCAAGAATGAATTCGACAGTTCCTGGGTGTTCATTCTTGGCCACATGGAAATCCTAACTGCTTTTTGTGGGTCACAGTATCATTGGTAATGAATATGAGAAGGTGGAAGTCAATCAGAATACTGCAATGTTCATTTATCACAAGGCGCAAATATCGAACCGACAAACTGCGCTACCTCACGATAACCAGGCATGATGGACTCATCGATAGATCCTCTCCGTTGTCCTAAAAAGCGTTGATGAAACCCTCGCGCCTCGTTTGACTGCCATGCATGGTCGACTCCTTCTTTTATAGTTATGCTAACCTCCGCACCATCTTCTTGCGCATTTTCAACAAAATCTTGGATATCATATAGAAAAACAAGCTCATCGGATCCAGCGGATACCCGGGTAATGCTTGGAAGGATTTCATTCCAGGGACGGCGTTTTGTGCAGCTGTTCTTCGTCGCAAAGCTCTCATAGAGATCCAGCTGGTGGGAAGTTGCGTTACGAAGGAAATCCTTTGCTGAAGCATCCAGTGATTCCTTGAACAATCGATCCTCCCAGTGAAGGGCAAGTGTCTTCGGATGATCCGACCGTAGGTTGGCCCAGGGACTGAGGAGGAAGGCAGCCCTAGGTTTTGGAAGTGAAGTTGGATCACTCGTTTCGGATAGAAAAGTAAGGAAAGACAGGACCAAGTGAGCACCAGCTGATTCTCCCATGATCAATATCTTAGATGCATCCACGCCCATCGTGTGTACAATCCACTCATAAGCGGCAAACAATTGGTCAATCTGAGTAGGAAAATAGCCGTTAGGCATCAAAGAATATTCAAGCGAGAAAATCGCTGTTTTCAACCCTTTCCCAGCTAGTAATTCCGCCATGAACAGAAGTTCAGGGGCGTTTTGTGATGGATGGCCCATCACATATCCCCCTCCATGGACATGAAGCAGAATCACATCTGCATCAATAGGCTTGATTGGCTCCAAGGACAGGCCGCGACAGAGCCAGTATGCCGAAAACTTTTCCTGTTGAATACGCTGGAAAATTTGTCCCTTCAGATCATTATAGCGTATGGAATCGAGGATTTCATTTTCATCTCGGACCGTTATTCGTTTTATCACAGCGGGTGGGAGATTCTCGAAAATACTAGAACTGTTAATAATGTAGTTTTTGTGGTTTTTGGAGTTGACTTCTGATAAGCTCAGATCGTACCATGTCATGAGATGGCGGAATAAGTGTTCCTTCAAGGGTGGGGGTTGGTAGTTGTTGAACGGCCACCAACGACGGGAAAGAGTGGAAACAATGGTCCAGGGAACACGAAACAGGAAAGTTTGAGCAATTTGCAGTCCGTCCAGAATGTTCAATTGCGGAACAGGATTTACCGCATGAGTTCGAGTCATGATGCTTCGCTTTCATAGGATTCCAATCATTGTCGCGATGGAGAATGGAGAACGTATCGTGAGGGGGTGGAGCGGTTAAATACCCCCTCGTGTCCACTTTGTCCGCCGTCCGAGACTACTGTCCACATTTTTTTCATTTGGAACGTAACTCTCGGATTTTTATCTCGCTTGCAAACTTTGGAAAAGTAGTAAAAATATCAAAGACGACTCAGGTTTCTCCTTAAAATAGACCAGTCAACTGCGTCAACCTGCATGGATAGAGTCCATTTTGTTTCACAATTATACCTTGGTACACAAAGTAAGCGTATAAGAGTCCGTGTCCAAAGGGGATTGGCGGTAAAGGCACTACTTTTGGACTCTATTGACGATTGCTTTATTCGTCGGTTAATGATAATTTGAGGATATGGGGAGAATCAAAACATGAATTAATGCGCGCTGGCGGAATATTCTCAATTGAATTATTACTTCAAACACCCATAGACTACACAGTGCAATTCGAGGCAATCTTCTCAGCCGCTCCTGACACTCAGTATGATTGTTTACCTAGGATCCAACAATCCGGTCATTGCTTTTCTACTGTTGGCTACAGCCAGTTCCTCATCAGATTTCCGTACAGGTTTTTGGTGTAGGTCGCCGGCAGAGTGCTATCGATTTTTCGTAAATGACCACCTTCGGTGAATGACTTCCACGATGAAGAAGCAACAATCACTTCCCTATGTCCTTAGCAAGACCGAAATGCCGTACTTTTGTAAGATCGCAGGGTTACAATGGCTTGTCACCGCCGGACCACCTCGGACTCCGGGTTCGATGGGCCCTGATTCCCCCGAATACCTAGATAAAAGAGCTGACCCCCAACACCCCCGGCTTTCAACATTATCCCCTCACGACCTCTTGACTTTTGTCTCCAAACTCACGCTCACTCGATATTTTCCCCCACAATGGCGAGCGAACAAGCGACGTTCAAACCCTTGCGCACGATTCCTGATATGCACAGCTCTGCGAATACAATCACAGAGCTTCATTTACAGTCACGGTTGGTGATGGCTTCTCAACTTGAAGAAAAGAACGGTCATGCTGATAACGGGGCTTTTCCTTTCCGCAAAATAGATCAGGACTCAAGTCTTGATTCTAAATTGGAAGATCATGCGCCGCTCCAATCTACTCATAGTATCCCTGCTTCCTCGGACGACGAAGACGGTCGCTTAGCCACAGAAGACGAAGTCCGCGATCTTCTCCACGTAGTCGATATCGTCCCCAATCGCGTTTGGGTAGCCTGTATCGCAGGCATCTTGGAACGCTTTGTCTGGTATGGGGCGACTGCTCCACTGCGTGCGTGCTCCACCCTGGACTCTACCGCCCCCGATGTTCAAGGTCATCTCGCTGACAAAGGTCCACAGAGAATTACCTGCAAAATGCCCCCGGCGGAGAGGTTCCCGGAGCCCTCGGTCTAGGGGAGGCTACGGCTTCAAACATCGTCAATGCCTTGTTCATTGTGTCATACATTGCCCCCGTACCTGCTGCCGTAATTGCTGATAGCTGGTTGGGCCGTCATAAGACCATGATTTATGCTGCTATGTAAAACATCCCTTGATACTGTATTCTGCCCCTTCGACGTTCAAAAGCTAATATGATCAAAGTATCGAGGCCGTTGGCGCCACCATTCTTTTCGGAACATCACTGCCTACTGCTATGCATGAAGGGGCTGCCTTGGGTGGTGTAGTTGTTGCTTCCATCCTCATGTCTATTGGATCCGGTGCATTTAATGCTACAGTGGTGCCTTTTATCGGTGGGTTGTTTCAATGGTACCGCATTTGTGAGAATAAAACTGATTTCAAGTAGCCGACCAATACGACGAGGAGGAATTCCGCATCAGAACTAAGAAAGGAAAGAAAGTTGTCGCCGACCGAGAGTTGACAATCACTTACATTTACAATGTTTACTACTGGTGAGTACCCACTTTCTCTTCATAGCCTCTACTGGCATCTTTGCTGAAGAGCAATATAGGACAATAAATATTATTGGTTTCTTGGCTGATTCCACACCATTATTGGAGCGATATGTCGGCTTCTGGGTTGCGTACTTGGTTCCATGCTGTGCCATGTGGCTCGCCCTCCTTCCGGTCCTGTTCGGAAGCAACTACTTCAGTGAGTAGGCAAAAGCTCATCAGCAGTGATCTCTCGCTAACCTTTGAAATCTCCAGTACGAGTTGTGCCTACGACGAATATTATGCCGCAGGTATGCACAGCGCTGCGTCTCGGAATTATGAGCGGCTTCAACATGGATGCCGCAAAGCCGGATGTCCAGCTTCAGCGACACGGTTACCAGGTTCCCTGGACAGATTCGTTCATCGAGGACATCAAATTGAGTCTGCTGACTAGCCGAGTTCTGTAGGTTCATAAAAGAAAATCTCTAGTCTAAATTCACTGCTAACAATACCCAAGGATTCTCTTCCCCATCCATTGGCTTTGCTATAACCAGACTTTCAACAATTTGATCTCCCAAGCTGGGCAGATGGAAACCTACGGTATCCCGAACGACATGATGAAGATAGCAGGGGCTATCTCTGGTATCATCGTTGCCCCCATCATCCAGAAAGGGCTCTATCCTTTCCTTACAAAACGAAGAATTTCATTTGGACCGATTGCGCGCATGACAGTTGGATTTCTGGTTCTGACGTTCGCCATGGCATATACCACTGGCATTCAAAAGCTTATCTACCAGACCGGCCCATGCTACGATAATCCCCTTGCATGTGCCGCGGCAAAGGATCGGACGATTCCAAATCACGTCTCTGTCTTTCTCCAGATTCCTATCTACTTTGGTGGATCATTGGCGGAGGTCTTCTGCTTTACCACGGGAACCGAGTATGCCTATAATAAGGCTCCGAAGAGTATGAAAACATTGGTCCAGGCTATCTGGCTTGGTATGGGTGGAATTGGAGCCTGTCTTGCTCTGGCATTCACTCCACTCTCTCAGAACCCTCATCTAGTCACAATGTACGCTATTTTGACTGGAATTTTGGGTGCAGCGGGTGTATTGCTATGGATCATCTTCCGGCGTCTGGACATGATGAAAGTCAACGAAGACACTGAATAGAGCAGATTTCCTACTTTGTGATAGGAAGGTTCGATGATTCGTCTTGAATCAATTTGGGGGGAAGGAATTCAAAAGGACTGCGTAAGAAGAGAAATTCATTGTACCCAGTTTGACCGGAATATTCACTTTGGATTACAACAATACCGTTAATGATTCGGAAACAGCCCACAAATCACACTTCTAGCACATCCAGACCGGATTTCATAGTTCCAGCAAGTGCAGTAAGGTTACGTCCACAAATAACCTCCGCATCATGTTCAACACTAAGCCTCCTTGTCTATTCATTGTCTCCGTTGATATGAGCCTCGTCACTTTCTTTCGGTGCCAAAAATAAGATTTGACAAAAAGATATGACCAGACTGGGGTTCGATCCCAGGACCTTATCAGTGTTAACGATACGTGATAACATATGGTCCGTAGTGGAAAGGCCATGATATGCGTGTTGTTTTGCTCGAAAACCGTGGCATTCACAGAATCATGGTCTTTCCACCTAGCCCCACTAACGACACTAGTCCCTATAAAGATGGTGCTAACTCTTAGCAAAGCTTTTAATAGTAATTTAATAATCTCTGATTACATATTTATCTTTAAATGGACACTCGATCGCCCATTGCGGGTCGCAGCGAAATATCGATACTGTCTTCTATTCTTATTGAGTCCATCTATGAGAAATCAGGTTAAGATGCCGCCAAAAAGACAGATTAAAAACCTCGACTACCTCCAGGCCTTCCTTTATGTAGATGGCCTAAAGCCTAAATATCAGAAGAAAAACAAGCCGCTAACGAATAATAAGGTTCGGTGTATGGGCAATACATTTAATGAGTATCGATCGCTCTTTATGCCCTTGATCTGGTTATGAACTAAAAAGTAGTGTAGATTTATGGAAGAACTTAATCTTGAGTAGCTACGTCACTTCTATCTAGAAGAAAGATTTGATATAAAGCTGGTCGAAACCTTTTTTTCGCTGGTACCTTACGACGTATGATGTTAAGCGCTAGTTAGCCCTTAAGACCATCTCGAGATTTTTTATAATATTTTATAAGAAGGAGATAAAGAAAGGGTATCGATTTGGAACATACTAACCAGGAGCTTTAAATAATTTAGACGCGTGTTTTTAGAGCGAGGTCTCCGATCGTTGTAAAACCTTTCGGGGTGGACAAGTGGGGCCATTTAGCTGAAATAGGAATAGCACCAAGAGCCTACATTGGGTCCCTCTTTAGCTAAAATAGGGATGGCACCAAGAGCCGAAAATAAAATACTGTGAGATACCAGTGATATAGTTAGGCGAATTTTTGATACGCACTCAATGAGGGTCTACAAAGAGGATCAATAATCGTCTAACTTGCAATCTACTCAGCCTGGCCGATATGATTTTATCTCCTTATCTTCTCAGTTTGCTGTACTTTACGACGGTCCGTTCGGCACCGCTCAGCCCCACTGAGAACGAGCTTCGCGATCTTGTCACTCAAGAATCAGTCGTCGTACGCGCTGGGATGGCAACAGTTATCAAAGACTACCGAGATGGTGTTACCACTATCATTGACCGAAGGGGATTAATCGATCTTGTGTCTGAGCTCCATGGTGCATCTGAAGAGCTGCTGTGGAGTTTGTATCGTTTTGAAAGATCTCACCTCGCTACTGGTGAGTATGATCTATATGTCTATATTCAATCCTTGCTAAGTTCCTTAGGCGAGGCAGCATCAAAAGATGCCGCTTGTCGATCAGCCGCTCAAAATATATACGACGTGATGAATACGCTTAGTCGTACTACTGGCCAGATTGAAAACTGGGTCCTTAGGGAGATATAGTTCGCTCTTGGTCATTTAATCACGCCTTGGTTCGATACTTAGTTAACTTGATGAGATTCATATCTGCTCAGTGCTACTTGCCAACCACCTATAATCACGCTCAATCAGGACTCCGGGGTGTAGAAAAGAAAAGCCTGGCCAGGGCGCCAAGTACACCTGGCGGCGAAATATGGTGTTTCGATTGGCTCGAAATCTAGGTGGGCCACAAGTAGGGCTGCATCAAGGCCGACCGGGCGAACGAGGGTTGGTAAAACAGTAAAACCATGATCTTCTGGCAAAACCGTGGCCTTCTATGAATAGGCCAAGCTGAGCTATCCGGGAATACCTTGCGGCGGGGCATTGCTAAACTAGTCTCCTTTTCTAAAGCTGAAAATGGAGTGCTTGGCTTTTATATTATGTAGAGTCTGGAATTTGAATTCAATTAATAAATGAATCACAATTTCCGCAAGTCGTTAGTAATGCTAGCCTAAAAGGCCGAGGCCGAACGATAGTTGTATTCACCGAACGTGTGGATCATTGGTAAACAAAGAGTGGATATATACAGGAGATACATCACCATTAGCGCTTCGATCGCTTCGATCTTCTAAGCCCAGAAGTGCCGTTCCCGTGTGGTGATTGGCGCGTCGATCCTTTAAACCCAGAAGAGACGTCCCCGGATGATGTACGCTTCGGCGGTCGGGAGGACCGCGACATGCCTTTGGCAGCTTCGCCTTCGTCTCCTTTACCTTGCGCAATAGTGTTACTAGCTTCTAGAGGTTTCACATTCTGAGTTGCCGTAGGGTCCTCAGCCTCCAGTACTCAGTCCTTCTCACTAGGGCTGCTGGACTCTAATAAGAATTAGTGGGATAGTTTAAGTATCTTATCACCTGGAACTCACTCGGTTGGCATTTCGCACGCTCCACATGATACTTCACAGCCTCAGTAACAGAGCCACGTCAAGTAAATCCGATGGAGTCTTCGCAATTTCCGATGCCTGCTCATTTAACTGAATTTGAAATCACTTTAGCTCTCCTGTACCTTCACAGGCTAGTTGTCCAGTTGTCGGAGAAAGTCGCGGCCAGACTGGCGTCTGCATGCGACGTGGAAGGGGTTAATTGACAGGTTTCATAGTGTCCTGCCATGCCACGCGAAGAAGATCCAAAGCCAGAAGCGGAGGCAGCGGCCAAAGCAGCAGCAGCCTTTGCTGCTGCGGAGAAGCAAGAACGCGAGGATACATGAAGGGGTCGGGTCCATCAGTCCAAGCATCATTATCTCAAGCTCAAGCCGCAAAGGAAGAGGTTCGGCCCTTGGTGATGCATTGTCATCAGGTATAATGATCAGATCGGGGCGGTTTTTGTCAAAGTACAGGTCAAATATATGCGACCAGGAGGGAAAGGAGGTGAGACCAGCCTTAGTAGATGATTGAACGTGAAGTAATGATAGCAAGAGGCCAGTGCATAGCGTGATTATCTCATGCTCGGCCCATTTTCGGAAACTAACCCTGCCCTCTAGAACACAGTTCTATTGTTCTTATGTTGGAATTTATAGCTTGTAAGGGCATTCCTAGGGGAAAACCTGCGATGAATCGAGGCTTTGTCAAATATACAATTCTTGGAAGGAAAAAGTCCTGTGCGCCACTCTCGTCGCGAGAGCGGTAATCTAGCGGCCAGCTAGTTGTTAGTCAGGCTTTGGCTCTCGCGAAAAGGCCTTGAATCCGCCTTGGAAGGCAGATACGTGTGGATTGAAAGCTAATGCAAGCCTCCAGTGAGACCTGATATCACATCATATCCTAGGCTCCGGGATAGCGCGGTGTGGTTGGATGCGATTGGCACAGCTGCCAGTGCTTTGATGATGCGGGTTTCATTTCTTTTGCTAATCAATGGAACGATTGGCAAGCAGAGCTAGCTATTTCAGTGGCTATGAAACTACCTGCATGAGTTCCTCTTCCCAAAATAGTACCACTTTACATGTTGGTTGAATGGGAGAGCTGATTCGTATACTGGCCATGCATCGTGCATTACGCTGGTAAGTATTTGCAGTTACATCTCCATCTACATGCGACGCTGCCGAGGCTTTCACCGTCTATGGTAAGAATAGAACCATGTCGCTTGCCTGACCTTAATATTTGAAAGATATAAAGCCCTGCATCTCGTACATTCATGGAAACACCCAACATCGCTCTTCCAAGTTCCAAGGTTCACTATTTCATCCGCACACACCAGTCATCATGAGTTATTTCGAGAAACTGCCAGAAGCCATTGGTAAGAGCCCTGAAGCGAGTTCAATCTCATTATAATCTCATTGACTAAGTATATGAAGCATCTAGCACGAAGCCCTGGTACACCGAGCCTAGTAGCATGAAGACAGATCCCATCATAATTAATGATGAATCGAGCACAAAGCCCGAACCTAGGAGCACGAAGAGAAATCCTATTATGATTGATGATGAATCTAGCCTAGCCATTAAATTTGGTGAGCTGTTAGAGGAGTTGACTTATGACACAGCCTAGCCTGCCCCGAGCGGGCAGGAGGCAGATATACCAAACGCTCTTACACTCTCCTTGAACAAATGCTATTACCAAGAAGCTAAAAGGAACTACGACCAAAGTGAGTCATCGTGCTCCATATTCGCCGTGTAAAACACTCATCCTTATGGCCTAGGTACAAGAGACAATAAGGGGTTAAGCCCACTAGGCTCTACTTCCAATCCTATTATGATCCATATCGATAAAGACTACAGCACGAATCAGCATGATTCCGAAGCAGGTATTCAGATCACGCCGGACTATCTCAGCCTCCCTTACTAGGCAATTGATAGCCCGCCTGGGACTTTTAGATCTCCAGCCTGTGAATTGGTCGTACGTGACGCTCATTCTTCCGAGTTATACACCGGAGTCTCATCCCAAAGTGTTTAAGAGTGACACTAGTCCCTCGGGCTCGGCTCCCAATCCAATCGTGATCCACATCGAAACAGAGGCAGATAAGTGCGATTCAGATGCCGACACCGAGATCATGACCTCGCTCCAATTCTAGGCGATTATCAAGGGATCCCCTTCCACAGCCCGCACAGAGATTAGTCAGAATGCGAAAATTGAAATTCTACAATTTGAAGACCTACAGGAAAGCGACACTCACTCGAATGATCAAGTGACAAAGGCTCCTTCGGATTTACTACAACTTGGCTCTAGGCGTGATATTATGAAGGAAATAGAGGGTGCAAAATGCGAAACGGGTAAGTTCTAGACGATGGGTGACTATTGCTTCCTCTGTACTAATCTCTAATAGAATCCAAGGAGATCATACATGCTAAGGCTCCAACAACCAGTGAGACTATCTCTCACGGGAAAGGCATGCCACGGTCCTCACGACCACCAAAGCACACATCCTCACCCGAAGTCTTCACTTTTGAGCTGAGACGATCGAAGCGGCTACGTCGCATGATTTGAGACTTGCTGTTGTATCTATTTATCATTGGCAACCCTCTTACCTAAATAATTTTGTACACAATTATTTTCGGGTCTATAGTCTCTCAGAAGCTCGTTTCAATTGCTCATGGTGTAAGTTAGTATGATACCGTCTAATTGCTGAACCGATATTACCTAGTCATGTGACTTCGACGCACGATTTATGATTTATTACCAACTCATATATCAATATAGCCTAGAGAAAAAGATCGCTCACTGGTGGAGCTTAGAGAGCTTGCCTGGCCTGAAAAGATCAAGCGGTTTGAGGTACGGGCCGAGAGACTGAGTGACCAGAGTCTACCGGATTGAGATAGCGGTCTAGATGGGCAATATAGCCCCTTGTTTCTTCCTTTGATGACTTACTATCAGCGCGCATCTCTCACTGAATCGATTCAGTACCATCCTCGCCCATTCCAATCGCTTCCATATTCAAAGCCACACTTTCACTCAGCGGATGCCCATCTTAAAGAATCAGGGTTCTCGCGCTCATTATGCTACGAACGCGCCGTCTTCTCAGGGAAGACATCACATTGTTATCCCTTGACCGTTCTTTCGAGTATTTCGTATATCACCTTCTTCCCTCCATCTATCGAAGGAACACCCCAGTATCGGCATAGGATTGCATCAGGTACTCTTTGGATCCCCTTTGGATCCCTATGACCATGACATCCGCTTTGTTCCTGTGTATGGATCCCAGGGGGAAATGCTACCGATCTCAAATCCACCAGCGATCAATGACCCATCTGGACTCCAATGAATAGAACGCATGCAAGTAGGAAGCTCATTCGAGAGATCTCTTGTCATGACAATTACTGGCCGTAGATTAGGTATATAGGGAAAAAATGACTATACAACAGCGCCGATATCACAAATACTTCAATAGAAGCCGTCTAAAAGCTTCATCCTCCGAGCCAGTAAATGTCAAGCTTGGCACTAGACATACTCGTCCCTCATGCGAAAGAGGCAACATGGACAAGTTGGTCGAAAGCGACAGACACCAGCCGTAACGTTGTCTCGTATCAGTATCATGAAGTAGCGTCCAATTCATGGAAACGCTTCTCCCGGGTCGCGTATCCATCTAGCTCGGTGGGCCTGTAGTCCTGCAAAGGTGGTATACGGGCGTTTGCCGGGTCCTTGTAAGAAGCGCCCGGAGCCCGGGGGTTGTAGAAATCGATCCGGGTATCTGGGTTCTCCGGGGTACTTCTCTGACTGCGCTTCTTGCGCATGAAAAACCAAATGGCTAATGCGGCTAGCCCAGCTACTCCAGCCACACCCACACCCACTCCAATTCCAATTCCAGCTCCTGTCGACAAGCCACCGGACGATGATCCTACAGACGAGCTACCCGAGTCTGACGTTGCGGATGCCGGTGAAGTTGAAGCGGTCGATAACGAGGAGGTCGCCGTTGTTCCAGAGGCCGTTGTCGAGTCCGTACTTGAAGTAATTGAAGCTGAGGTTGTAGTGGCGGGCACAAATAGGCTTAAGTCTTTCTTCTCCCATAGGATACTAATGGGTTGACCCCACATTGTGACTGGTCCGGTAATTTCTGTACTATCCCCTGTTTCCTGGCGGATGGTGACGAGCATTGAATTTGTCGATGCTAATGTACTGATACATCCTGGGTACTCTCCCACAACGCTGTATGCAAAATCTCTAATGAGTTTTATGGTTAGCAGGTTTCTCTCCGGTAGGGCCATTCAGCACTCACGCGAGACAGCATACTGCACCAGTAACAGACTGCGCAATAGACAAACCTGCGGACGTATAACCGTCCGGACAGTAACCTGGGCTGAAGACTTGTGACGCGCTAGTTCTCCCCCAGTTGTTAAACCCGGATGGCCAGCATGCGGTGTTATCCCCATCAACTTCCACGCAGTTCTGCATTAAAAGACCACCCTCAACATCATTTGCAGCCTGCGGTTCATAGGTCCATGAGCTGGAGCAGGATATCGGTGGAGTGAAGATTCCTGTCATGGCAATCGTTGTTATCGTGTCTGTGGACGCTGTAGACGTGGTAGTCGTCGTTGAAGTTGTGGAGGTCACCATTTTGACGGCTTGGTATGCTTGAGGGTCCTTGGAGGAAAGAAGTTCACCAAGTCCGGTATATAAGCTAAGTAGACCTTCAACCAAACACCGAGATCAGAGAACGGTATGAGCAGATGCCAAGGCAAACCTTTTCAAGAGAGGGGGGGCTTTGTTTTGTAATTAAGGGGGGCGGGCGCGCCCCGGGCCTTCATCAGAGGCTAACATGAAAATGGATGGTGCGCGCGTAAACAAGCCCAAGTTATGTAAAGGTGTAGATACCAGTGGGCTAGTAAGAATACGGGGGTAATTATGGGACCCAATGAGTATCTTTACATTCGAAAGTACCTTAGTCTGAGCAATTTCGCTAATATATCATTGTATCGCTGACGCTGGGCCTGGTATGAGGCTGGAGGCTGTTGTCGAACTCACATTATGCTTGATGTATGCACTATGCAGATGTTAGTGATAACAGGCCTTTCAAGTTTGGATTCAGAGGCAGTTGTACAGTATCATATAAGAACGGAGGGGATGTCAACCCGATTGTTAAGACGAACAAACATGCTGAAAGTCGAGGCAGTGGAGCCGCTAATAAACGCTGGTACTTAGGGCAACCATGCATCTCCACTTGATACCTTTCGCTGGTTTAACTTGTGGAGAAGCGCTCGGGTCTCCATCGTTCTCCAAGCCCAAATTTCGAATAAAAAGCAAACACAAATTACCTGGCAAAATTCCAAGGCTCGGCTTCTTTCTCATCGGGAGAAAAGCCTTCGGATTCGATATTCAAACCCCCCTAGATCAATAAGATTTCTTTCTGTTTGGATAATTCCTCCTCTTATAATTCCTCCTCAAGCCTTAGAAATTAACAGCAAAATAAACACGTGGGTAATCTCCGAATCCCGTATGGGGGCGAAAATCAAAACCTTGGAAGTCAGCCAATAACGACCTGGTACCTATTACGTCGAATCAAAAAACCAAACTTACATGGTGGAGATCGTGGATACATCGCGCCAATCACTCCTTAGTCAATGCAGCTACTTGGCGCCGGCCCCATTTAATCCCTACCCCCAATGGATTCCCAGCTGTGTCATTGGTTTTCTTCGTGATGATGATGCCAGGTCCGTGCCGGTAGTCCGTACAACAGACTGAGCCGCCTTTCCACACCAGGAACACTCTACGGCCATACCAACCCTGTTCGGGCAGACCTGTGAACGAGTCACCACTAATTCTCAGTCGCCTCAAATGATAGCGAAACTAACCGATTTTCCACGTCACCAGTCCACAGAACGTGTTAGTACCATTTCAATACCATCAATACCGCTCAGCTGAGCCCTCGAGGTGGTCTCGATTCCTTAACCATGCGGGCCCGACCCGTGCTCCCGGGTTTAACTCCCTGGTCGGGCGGTGGGGCGGGAAATACATATCCTGATCGGTTATCTCCCAATTCTCCTGAGCTGTTTCCCATATCCGTATGAGGGGGTTGTTGAGAAAACAAAGAACCCCGCAACATGTCAAAATTCCTCCCCAGAAGCCCTCGCGCGAGGTCAAAATTATGGCAGCAGTTAGTTCTCGCGGTTTTAGGGATTTGGGGATTTTTTAAATTGTTTGACATATACAGTACGTGCATCAGCTTTGCGATGAGACCCAGATTGCCACAGATGAAGCTAACACACCTCAAGCCAACAACTTCCCTCAAATACAGCCGACTATCGGTAAAGTGACGATGATATATGGCAACAGCACAACATACGACAAAGCGCTAGAAACACATGAATTGCATGGCAGACGGTTCAATTATCCACAATTCATTCTCCGTCAACCTATCCTTGACGGTACATTTAACAAATATGCCATTCTTCTATCCCTGGTCCTCCAGGAATTGGCAAAACCAGAAGGTCAAAGATTAGAGTGGCTTTTGTAAGTCAGGCTCTAAGTCTACTTGCAATTCCCTGTGAGCAAAGCTAATCCACAAATCGCTCGATAGTTGGCATGATAGCGACACAGTTCTCATGAACCCCAATATGCCTCTTGAGGTCTTCCTCCCACCCGATCACTTCGGAGACGTCCACTTGTTACTAACAAAAGACTGGAACGGAATGAATAATGGAGTTTTCTTCCTCCGCGTACACGAATGGTCTGTAAATCTACTATCCGCCGCAATCGCCTACCCAACGATCCATCCAGACGTCGAATTATTCTGGCCCGATCAATCAGCTTTAACGAACCTTTTCAACGAGAACGAAATATTTGCGCGATCCGTGGTTTACTGCCCCTTGCGATGGTTCAATGCCTATATGCGGTCACCAGATGGGCGGAAACAAAACAAGGATTCACCTGCACGTTTCCAGGTACACCCTGGAGATTTGCTGGTTCATTTCCCAGGTACGCCCCGCGAGCATCTCAACCACACGCTGTTTCCATATCTTCAGATTGCCCAAGGACATGAAGCGGAGTGGGAGCCAACGCTTGAGAAAACGGAGTATATTCAGGAAACGAGCACCTTCTGGGGGACGATTAATCGACAACCTTACTTACCCAAACCCAAAAATAAGCCTTCACCAAAGGTTGAGGTGACTCAAGAGCAAGATCCGGAGATAAGCTTAGACCCGGAACAGCCTGAGGCACAAGAGTTTTAGGCCTGGGCTTAGGTACTTGTACTCGATTCCCGCCCACCAATCTATGTATATAGATTGTATCAAGATAATGCATATGTAAATTACTCCTTCAATTCTCCAGCTTCTATTGGTGCATGTAGATGACATAAATCGGCAAGTCACTTCGTCTTCCTGTCAGAATTAGGTATTCTGGGCTTGAAACATTCCTATCGCTGACAAGGAATGGCGCTTGGCGTAAACGCCACATCGGCTCTAGGTGGTTTCAACTTAAAGCCACGCGTCTCATGTTTTTACTGAACCTTGGAAGATCCAAATGCTATTTGAGGCTCGTTTAGACCTTGTTAGCCGCTCTGTAGGCGCTGCCAACGTCCGTCTACGTAGACTTACCAATGGACCTATTTTGGTGCCACTTGGACTCCCGCATATATGAACGCGCATAAAGTATGCACTATTTACCACAAGAAAGTAGACGCCATGCACGCAACTATATATAGTGATGGTCGGACCTTTGTGTATATATTGGACCGATATTGTGTCGGCTTCGGCTACGATTTCAATTGTGGTTCCGACGTTTTGGCAATTTTGATCTGAGACAGCTTTTAATCACCACATGGTTAGATCCCGGAAAAACTGTAGGAGATAAAGGTGCAGCACAAACTTGCTCGAAATTAGTTTTGCCACCTGTTTTTCCCTGGTCATTATATATCTCGCTTACAAAAATATGACAATTAAGCTGTTTCTCTATCTTTCGTGAATAATGTTCAATCTTTCAGTGTAGTACAATATGAGCGCAAGAAACAGGAATTTTTCATACCTAGCTTAAACCTCCCAGTGCCGCTTCGACATCGGCTCCACGATTCTAGCGGTGGGTTGTAGTCCAGATTTGATGTTTCATGGTATTTATGAGAGCCCGAAGGGCGTGGCGGGTCGGTCAGCCATCGCTCGAAATATTGATCGTTACCTACGCCAAATAGTAAACAATCAACAAAGCTTGGGCGTGGCAGTGTGTAGATTCCAAGAGAACAGTGCTTCAAAAGCCTGCGCTTATACCCAATAATATTTCACTTATCTCTGGCGGGGCGGCCTGTGCGGTAATCGCGCCGGCCCGCAGGATTCTCACCCGATTCTCACCCTGTCTATTGCGCACTCACCCTTCTCACCCCCGGTCGCGCGACGCTTGTTGTTTTATAAGGGATGCTTCAGTGTTCATGTTGTTGAGGGGAGTTGATTGTATTGTCTAAGATACAAGTAGGCTGGTGAACAAGTATATATTTATGCACGTGATCCCAGCCTCCTTATTGTCTCAGCAACCGAGATATTTCAACACGACTGCTGGCCGCATTTAAGCCACACGCCGGTGAGTTAGTAAGCTGGGTGGGTGACCACCAGCGAATCCTCACTGTTGTATGTTTTTATTACATTTTAGTTTTTTATTTGCTTTGGACATTGCCCTTGCCGCCCTATCTTCAGCTCCTTCAGCCCATTCACCTGAACGCCCTGAACACCCCTGAAGCGCTGACGTGGCCCCTCGCTAATAGATTTGACCGAATCTTCTCCGCTCTTTTCAGCCGTGACAGACTTCCCTGGCTCCACCAAAAAAAACCAGCCTTATCCTGTTTCCCGGCCATGTAAGCGGATCTAGGTAGACGGGATTTCCTTTATTGATGCCTGATATTCTTCGTCCTAGCACATAGGCTTTAGCTATGTGAATCATTAGTTGTGGGTACGAATTTACCACAGAGCAGGATAGAACGGACGAAGAGAAGCAGATTTCTGCTAGGAACGCAAAAGTATTAAACGACCAAGTAAACCAATTAATTCCATCTAAATGGGCCTGTATGCCGATGGTGGGAAGCGAGAGACAGTTCCATGCAACCTTTCTACATTAATCGATCCGCTATCTCCAAAAGCCCAGTCTTGCCCTTCAGGCGCTTGGGAGAGGGAGTCACAAACCAACAACCAATTTCTTCACAACCGCCTCTCTCAGCCCATCATCTGAGAGTGCTGATGACCGCGGTCCTTTACGCTTCGATGACCGAACCTGATCATCTTTTATACTCAAATGATCCTGTCGTGAACTAGAATTCATTAGCAAATACTTTTCAAGACCACAATCTTTCTAGCTACGATTTTTCTTAACCACGATCTTCTTGCCATGCCTAGCGTCATGGTTTATGGTTTTCAATATTTGGGGGGGGGGGGGGTTATTTTTATTTCTATTTTTATTTCTTTAAGACATGGCGCTTCACTAAGCGTCCGGGATAAAGCTAGGGTTAGGTAATTTTATCAATCCCATAAAATTAGACACTTTCTCGGTAGCTTAGACCATCAGAATCATGATTAGCCTCTTCTGTGTGCTCCTGGGCGCAGTGGTTTCTTCCACTTTGCAGTAAGTAACATCTGTGAAGTCTTTGAACGGGCAGCAAGGTTAATTTCTCAGAGTTGACGATGGCATGATGCATCATGTCGCCGTGGGTGGATCCGAGCTGCCTTCCTTCTTGCTAAATACAATTGATGCCAAGATTGGAGATCATATACGGTATGATTTCTATAGCGTCAATCACACTCTGACCCAATCTAGTCTCAAGCACCCTTGTTCCGCACTTCGAGAGTTCGATACGGGATTTGGCCAATTCAATCCTGAAAATCGGAGCGATCTCTCGGTAGCCTTAACCATCTGCGGTCGGACCAACGCCGAAAGATACGACCTGAATTCGGACCGAAGGATATGATCTCGCCAAGTGACTTGAGCTCTAGAGAATCAAAGCGTTTGAGCAGTGTGTTCAACATGTTTCTAGTGGCGCGTTTTGTTGACTGACCAGGACAAGATTCATATATCTCTACCGTATGCCCTTGGCGATGACAGGTGGCCGGAGTCACACCTGGGCAGATGAAGTTGACTACAGCGGGAGTGTTTCAAACGTCAAGTTCCAAGGCTTCAGGATTGCACTCTCACAACCTCTCAACCATCTTCTATGATATGATACACAGTAATTTCAGAAGTCATAGAACGTCATTTGGTCTTTTTCCTACGTCCTATGAGGATATCAAGTTCATAAGCAGTGAGAGGGTGAGAGGGTGATTGGGAGGACGGTAGAGAGACGATTAAAAAGACAAGCAGTTGAGGGATTGACATCAAGGATTCCATCAATTGAGCGTATGTATGTATTGCTTTGTAACTGAACAAATACTCATTCAGATATTTGAAGTTTGCAGACATTGTTGCAAGTGTGGCCACTAAACACCGCCGTATCTGACCATCTCATCCACTGACCAATCGGCCGGGGCGGCGGATGATCACCTGGTGATCATTTTGGGTTTTATTATTCCCAAATTCTGTGGAAAGTCACACAGCAAGGTGTCGAAAAAGAAGGGCAAAACTCGAAGGTGAAAGTATCTGCCGAATTGTAGAAAAAGAGTGTGAGGGTGGGTGGATGAAGAAGGAAGAAAGAAGAGCGGGTCAGATGCTTTTATACCTATAGAGATTATTGAGCGATTCTCATTGAAGTAGCAGATATCTAGAGTAGTGAATATGTTTCGAGCGCTCCAAGAATCACACTGAGACAAACACTGAGAGTGATTTGAAGTAGAACTGAATATTCCAAGGTTGCATGTGATTCAAGGTTTCAAGTTGCGAAATTGTGATAATACTACATGTCTACCTGTCCGTATGTATTATACGACACCCTCAAGTTCAACATTCGAGGTTACATAGATTTTTAATTCAACTTCGTTCCTCCTTCCCATCCCTTCTATTTCGTCCTTTGGTCACCCAGTAAAAGAAGAACACGCCGAAGATATTCACGACTACGAAAACTGCCAATAACCCCAAATCACGCCAACGAGTCCGAACATCAATGTGCATCCCCTGGAGTGTGGTATTTGTGTCTGTGACGGCGCAGAAGAGACAATCTTCACCCGACACTGCAGTTTCAGCATTCAAGACCCGCCCACCAGCCATGCTAACATACTTCGCTAGGTAGCTTCCGCAAGATACTGTGGTTCCGTTCTGCGTTGGCAAAGGAATCCGCAGCAAATCGATCGAGGCACAATTGAGTGGTGTATCAGCTAGCCCCGCCTTGATCATCCCGCCCATAATGTATGTCATTGGGCTGACGCGATACATGAATAACCAGAAACTGGGCATTGCATTGGGCTGAACGAGAATACCGCAGAAGATGAGGCAAAGCATAAACATCAAGTTAGCGATGTTGACAGCTGTAAGGGAGTCTGGCATGCCGGCGGCAAGAGCCTGAGAGAAAGTTGAGGTAAAGGCTAGGAAAAGCCAAATTATGAGGAAGGTTAGGCCGGCTCGTTCGTTCATACCGATGGCATCGCTGGTTGCGTTCAGCCCGCTGCGCCAGAATCCGGTTGGGTAGTACCATGCCACAAAGACAGGGACAGCAGTGAGTGACTGCCAAACTAGTTCGACTATCATGTTTGCTGCAACGAAAATGGGCCAACTGTATGTTTTCGATTGTCGTTCCCTGGCTTCAAAGATCTCCCGGTTATCGATAAAACGAGGGATGATCTGTTGGTCGACGGTGTTGAAGATGATGGAGATGAGGAAACATGAGAAGATGGAGCTGGTAAGGCCTTGGACGGTATGGTCCAGCATCCAAAAAGAAAGGCCGTTGAAGAGTGCCTAAAAAATGTCAGTTCAAAAGTGACGCTAAATGAAAGGATATGGAGGAAGCATACGGAGCCAATACATAGAGCCAATTTTGAGTACAGGTAGTTCGGTTCTCTCCAGTAGTCTTGAAACATGCGGTAGGTGACCACCCACAACTGTGTCAAAGCTGAAGCTGCGTATTCATAGTCCTCTGTCACGGCAGCTGAGGTCGAACAAGCGTTCCGCTTCATGGCAGCGATCTCGGTCTTGGACGTTTCAGCCTCTTGACTAGTTTCCCATACGGTTCTCCAATCCTCTGTGCCCTTGGGTGGCGAGGTCCCCGTCACTTCGAGGAGCCATTCTGCAGGATTTTCTCCAAGAGCAGGAATGCGAGCTCCTGAGCGAGTAAAATAATCGATGACTGTTGAAGCGGAACGACCTAGATCCCCAAAGTAAACCGTCTTTCCAGCCTGAAGAAAAAGGAGCCGATCGAACATTTCAAACAGCTCACTGGAAGGTTGATGAATAGTGCACAGAATAGGCTGGCCATTATCCGACAGCTTGCGTAAAAGCGTGCATATAGACCATGCCGTCTGACTATCCAGCCCAGACGTAGGTTCATCGAGGAAAAGGAGTTCGGGGCGGGCGGCCATTTCCACAGCAATTGTCAACCGTTTCCTTTGTTCAATATTGAGACCCTTCCCAGGAACACCGACAATTGCATCTGCGTAAGCCTCCATCTCCAGCATCTGCAGTACTGTGTCCACATAAGCCAGCTTCTCAGATCTTGCTAGCTCCCGAGGTTGACGAAGCAGTGCGCTAAACTCCAGTGCTTCCCGCACAGTTGCGGAGGGACAATGGATGTCAGCCTGCTGGACATAGCCCGTTTTGCGTTGAAAATACCCATCACGAGCTCGACCATCGATTCGAACCTCTCCATGAACAGTTCCTGTATATTTACGATTTGCAAGTACGTCTAGAAGAGTAGTCTTTCCTGCTCCAGTTGATCCCATCAAGGCAGTCAGTGTGCCACGAACCACCCAGCCATCGATCCCCTCCAAAATCCGGGTTTCCTCTTTTTTATCAGCCTTAATGTCGTAGCCAACATCGCTCCATAGAAAGACCGAAGATTGCTTGCCAAGACTGTTAGGCATATCCCCTTGTTCAGGAACGCGCAGATCGGGTGTGCCTTTCTCCCTAATATGGAGGGAGTCAAATTCGACACTCTCTTCGTCTGGCAGGGCAGCGTGGGAAATGGCATCCTTTCGGCGAAATAGCAAAATGTCTCCCTTGGAGCGCTGCGCCTGGATGTATTCTGTGGCGACGAGGTATACTGCACAAAAACCGACCATCAAGGCGAAGAGAATACCAAGGTTTCGCCATAAATGCTCGACCAAATACCCGTACTTCAGCTGCAGATATTGATTCCCATCTACCCAAGACTGCCCTGCGACACTTCCAATCGCGGAACAGGTCTTCTCATCTAAGCTATCTGGGTAGGAAGGCCCTGAGGGAACGAACGAGGAGCACGAGAACCTGCGTTTCTGAAATTCGTTGATCATGAGGCTTTCATTGGCGTAGGCGATCGGGTTGAAGTATCGGATCCAGCTCAACCACGGTACCTGATCGCTTGGAGGAATCACGAATCCAGCGTATATAATGAAGTTGAAGATTACGATTGACACCGGAGCTAGTGACTGATCGTATGTACGCGAAATGGACCCGACCGATCGAAAAATCATCGACATGGTCACCATGACCACTAAGCCGAAGAGCCAAAAGATGAAAAAGGCCCCGACCTCTCGCCGGAGGTTTGTGAGGAAATAGACAGCCACGTTAAACCCGAATGAGGTTAGAGCTTTGACTGGTAGGTCGGAAAGCATGGAGGCAACTCCTTCGGCCACTGGATGGTAAAAGGCGTAGCGAGAATGCTTCTCCACAGTCGTCCGTTGGCCCCACAAGGTAATAACCTCGAACGCGGGGAGACAGGAGTTCATCATAGTCGCATAGAAAATTAAAATGCTGCGTGTTTCGAAGCTATCTGTGTCATCTTTCAGGTTGTAGAATAGACTTCCCAGGATGATGGAAACGATGACGTTGCCCACGACTCCCGATACAATGCCTTGTAGATTATGTCGTGAACGGATTAGGGCTCGGCGGAAGCAAGCTTGAAACTGGTGCATGATGCTTGTGGGGTAGAACGAGGAGGCCGAGCACGACTGTGAAGAATGTTTGGTATTGTACTCGGTGATTTCCTTTCTCAGAGCAAGGTACTCTGGGCTGTCTCGCCATGCCCGAGCAAGGTCATCGGGGGTTCGAGGCAACGATGCTGCATGCTCTGGTCGGACCATGCGCTCAACTGGATTGGTCAAAGAAGTCAAAAAGTCTGCTGTGGTCGCTCGCTCTGGTCGCACAAAGCCTAGACGCTGAAAGTAATCAGCGGCCTCTGTGGCAGGACCAAAGTAAATTTGACGGCCGAGATACAACAGGAGCACCTTGTCGAATTGAGAATATAGGGATTCAGGTGTTTGATAAATGGTTGTCATGATAGTAGACTTTCGGACGTCTGCCATGCGACGCAATGTGCGCACGACATTCAAAGCTGTCGCACTATCAAGGCCACGGATGCTATTATCGCAGCATTGAATAGGACATCGGCTGAGAAAAGCCTCGGCAATACTGGTACGTCGCTTTTCACCGCCGCTCAGTCCTCGAATCAAGTCATTGCCAACTTGAGTGTTCAGAGAGCGCTGCATCCCGTAGATTGAGGCAATTTGGTGACTGACGGTCTCAGTCGATTGGGCGTGGGGTCTCATTTCCGCTGCGAAGGTCAAGGTTTCCTCGAGCGTCAACTCAGGCAGGTGGATATCGTCTTCGGCGAGATAAATCGTGTCCGCCCAGTATTTTTGGTGCATTTCACGAAATGGGATTTCTGTGTCGAGATTTCAGTCATTTGTGCCACATGAAGGTATGGGGAAATGGTTCTCACCATCATACATGATTCCTTTCCCCTTTCCCTTTTCCTCTACCTCTACTCCGTTGACATAGCCAGACATGGTCTTTAGGAAGGTGGTGCAGCCGCTCCCTGGACGACCAAGGACTAACAGCATCTCACCCGGTTGGACCAAGCCATCTAGATCCCTCAAGATCTGCACCTTTCGTCGGGGTACTGGAAAACCCACCAAACCCTTAAGCTTGGATGGGATGAGCTGGATGTAGCTAGCGAAAGTGTGCTGGAATGCATGAGTTTCCGTATATCCGTTCACATTGACCTCTGTGAAGGACACTCCCCGTGGGGTGGGGTCGTGAGCGCCATGCTTTTGCTTCTCTTCCTGGATCAGCCATTGTTCCAGCGGCTGCACCGAGTCATTCTCTCTCGTCATGGCCGTCTTACAGTCAACAAGAGCGAAACGTCGCCACACTCAAAGGGGAGTTGAATAAAACTCCTCCATGTTCAAGTTTAGGGGCAGAAAGACAGACCACTACAAGGTACGAAGCAGGGCCGTGGCTTTGTTCCCGCTGCACTTGTCCATTTTTGGTAAAGCTGTTGTTGATCTCAAAGTGACGGAGATTATGACGGGTGGATCCCGATGTCACAATAAAACGGAGCTTGTTACTCCTTTAGCCCTTTACTAGTGGTATTTAATTGGCACTTCAAATGTTGAGAGAAGGCCAATGCGTACCTGATCGATCTTGGAGACTGAAGATAAGATTCAGCCCCCGCGAATATTCTTAGTATATTACTACTATTTACTAGTGGATACAAGATCAAAACCAGGAGGTGCATCAGGGAAATTAACCGGAGACCATTTGGATCACATTGCATTGCTCGTTTCATTGTTTATCTCGTTGCCTAATGGCTGCATCGTTACTGCATCTCTTCCAGGGGAAGACTTCTTCTTCGAATAGCAAAAGGAACCTTACCCTTTGGCTTTTGGGTTCCCAGTCCGAATGACGAGGAGTCCATTTCCCAATCGGCCTGGATGTCTATATCGAAGTGACTAACCAGATACGCGCAGGTGTAAAGCATAACCCGCTTAGCGAAGACGCGTCCGGGACATGCCGAAGTCCCACCTGCTCCCAGAAGACATGCTTAGCCCATGATGAAATTGAATTGGACTCGAGCAAAATTTCCACTTACCACCGTACGGAATCCACATTCCCTCCAGGCCGGACAGAGAGAAAAAGGGCTCGTTTGCCGTCTCTGTCATTTTCTCAGACGCGGTTTTCACTCGCATCGGTCCGGATTGTGGGTCTGCGGGATCTCGCAAGAAACGGTCCGGCCAGAAAGTCTCCACTGGGTGGACTCCATTGAGCCCCTCGTTCCAGCTTTTCTTGTCCATATGATTCGGATAGGAATTGACCATCACCACCTTTTCTTGTTCTAGCCACCACTGGTTGATACTGACCGACTCGTGCGCGGAGCTGCGGGTCACAAACGCCTGGACATGTAAGCGAAGTGTCTCCGCATACACCGCTTGTAATAGTGGATTTTTGATGGCCCTGTCCATATCGATCCTCACTTGAGCAGCTTCTCCATCTACAGCGTCTTTCTTAATCGTCATGACGTCGCGTAAGCTCTTCCGGAGGCGCCGAAGAAGCACCGGGTCGGCAAAGACATGGAGAGCCATCATCATTACCGATGGAACAAGGTTTGTCACAGACACCCAGATCAGACCAAGGTCAGAAGATGCCAGTGATTCATCATCCTGCCCATCAACCGCGAGCAAAAATTCCTGCCTCTCGCGCATCATTTCTGATCCCCAGCAAGGATCTCCGTTCCCGTCGGTATCAATAAGCGAATCCTTGAATTGGGCCCGAGCATTCTCATACCAAGCCAAAATTTGGCCCAGTAAAGAGTCACGAACGCGGTAGGCACGCGGAATCAGCCATCGCGGTAATCGCTTTGACAGCGATGGCGTGGCATCGTCAAACTCCCAGAGCTCTTGCATGAATGTGGGATTGGTCTTCAACAACAACGGGCCAAAGAACGACTCCACAACAGAACGTCCCAGGTTGTCCCGAAAAAATTGATGTATATCTGGCATTGAAATCCAGCCATTGACCTGTTGGTGCTCGTTCAGAGTTGATACCAACTGTGTTGTGAAGATTCTTTGATAGCGGTTGAATGCGGGTAGCAACCCAGCGCCCATGAATCCTCGTATCAGAGAGTTATGCGTCAGGTAATCTACCCGATTATGTGGTGCGACATTGCTTCTGGGATGTGGCTTGCGATAAGGCCCAGAGTTGTCTGCTTTATACACCTTTTGGGCGGCAGCCTTCATTCCGAAAATAGTCTCCAAAGCGATGGTATAGATAACGATTGGGCTGGAAAACATGGCACTCTTCCACAGCACTGCAACAGTTTGCGGGTCTTGGACAAAACATACATCGAAAAATGGGAGTGAGATTTGGACGCATGTTAGTCTGCCCGCATATGATCTATTTCATGTAAGCACAATAGTCATATCCATGAGGCTCCCAGGTAGAAGAGGAGTGGGAACTGACGTTACTCGTTTAACAAAGGATGGCGTATCCATTAGCAATGAGATGGCATGACCCACGCCCGGAAGGGGGGATGGAAGTTTCGGAGGCACACGTGCCTCTCGACGTGATATATCCTGACTCTCCCAATGATAAAAGGCCCATGTTATTAAATAGGTCACATAGAAAGGCAAATATATCAAGAAAGCAAAGACAAAAGCTTGATAAACTACCGAAGTTGACATCTTAAAGAGTGTCCTGGTGGTTCTAGCGCAGCCTGAGAGGATTTTTGTTGATCAAGTCAAGTCAGGCTTGGAGAATGACAACATTAAATAGTACATACGAGGCTAATTTATAGCTCGGCACAACGAATGACGACTTATAACGTTTTAACCCATCCAAATGTTTCCCCTCTCTTGTCAGCCTACCGTGGCTACTCGCTGAGAGCCTAACCATCGAAACATACCGGGGAAAGTAAATATGACAAGGCCATACAATGACTATTCAGCACTTGATGAAACGTAAAGACGACATCGGATAAAAATAAATACATACAATACAAATATTCTGCAGAGCAGTTAGAGCTCAATTGGGGGCCAGATACGCGTCGGCTTAGCACTTGAGGTCATGAAGTCCCCAGAGCCAACAAGATAGCATATAAGCATTCGATAGGTGTGTGGCTCTATATGCTAGTGACTAGGTCAGTGCCCGGGTGTAGATCTAAAGCGTATTCGGAGTATTTGCCGTAAGCGAGTCCGTATTAAACATATTGAATACCACAAAATTCGTACATGGCGCGTCCACCAAAATGGATCCCGATTATCGCTTTTCCCATCTCTGTACTAATATTCAAAAGCATTCGTAGTTTGGCCATTCTGTTTCAAGGTTAATAGTACCACACCGAGGGTCAGTGGATGGGTCACGGTACAGTTATCATAAAGCCAAGCTGCAGAAACATTGAAACTTCCAAGGTTGTCGCCCAGATGTATATATCCCCGAGCACTCGAGGTATTCATTTAATTCCACCCGCGTTGTCTTCCTCCAGACCTCGAAAATCGATACCAATCTTGGGATTTTGTTGGAGAACTTCCATTGGAGCATTTCAATGTCGAAACATGTGCAGTGTTAAGCCACCTACCTAGTAGACCCACACGTGCACTCATAGTCCATACTCCGCACACCCACTTAGCCAGACAATGCAAATGTCGTTACATTGCATGAATGGCTATTTATGGTATACATACATTTGCATATTACCTATGTAAGCAGGAGATTTTGGCTTGGTAGTAAGGCATTTTCAAGTTCTTGGGCCTCATGTGTACATAGTGGACCCACTAATGGTCCTATTCTCTGCGTGTACGTGTCTTTGCATGCATGAGCGGCTTAAATAGCCCCCCAAACTGCATAACTGGGCTCCCCAGACTCCCACGCTAATGCCATAGGCGCACTTAAATGTTTATTCATCAACGAATCGACGAATCGGAAAATTACTCAGGTGTTGGTTGGGCTATTTTTGCCGCCTGCATCATCCAGCCCCCGAGGCCCACCACCTGGCTTTCACAAACCTTGGAAGTGAAAGTTTGAGGCATACATACGCCCCAGGCACCGCAAGTGATGGGTGATGGGCGATGAGCGGTCAAAGCTGAACATTAAAATATCCTAAATCAGTGGGTCTACCTTCGCACTTCTAACTGTCATTTTGAGACCGGACCCACTCGGGACCCTGTGATGCTGCCTCCGGGAGTGTTCCCTTTTTGAGGGGCAAAAGTTCAGATACATATGCGACTGTCAGTGCGTTAGGCCGCCAATACAGGGACTCGAGAGTGCCTTGATGGATATTTATAGTGAATCGAACATCGTCATATGGTTAAGATCGGTCTAGACTGCGGGCTGTTTTGAATTAGCACCTGAGTGATATGTATGATTTCTTTCTAATCTCCAGTGTTCAAATGTTCAAAGCCTTGTCGACTCCTCAAGTCCTCTAGCGACGGTGGATAGCGTAACCTTGGAAGTTTATCCCCAAGTTGAAGTGCTTGTTTAGCCCTGCATTTAGGCTATTCCAAGGTTTCGGTATCAATACATGCACATGTGTATCATCTTCGTCTTTCTAAAGGGAAAGTATAATTTTCACCCATCTGGGAACAAGTTTGAAGGTTAAATACACATGTACTGAATTTTTCTGACAAATTACTTATGTAGAGATGTAAAAGGCTCGGAATTCTATACACCCATGTGCATACTTGATTCCAAAATTTGAACATCTGAAATCCTCTCTAGGTGCTCTCCTTCCGTTGAAATACCCGGCAAGGCATTCCGTTTACGGGATGCGATGCGCCTTGCGAAACCTGATACGCACGCTCACCGAATACGGTCTTTAGTCCGGCATTAGGGTTCAGCCGGTCCCATTCGGCGTACTGGTCTTGGAAATCAAATTCGCGGAGCGTAAGTACCAATGTAATTTTGATATCAAGCATCGCCAACGGCTGTCCGATGCAATCGCGTGGTCCGAGCTCGAAGGCCCGCATTGCATGTTTTGGTGGGTGAAGAGGATGGTCCATATCGACTAGCCATCGATCTGGAATGAAGGTGTGCGGTTCTGGCCAGTAGTTTGGATTGCGCTGGATTGAACCATGAAGAATCCATAAGAGAAATCCTTCTGTTGGGTACTTTGTGCCGTTCTTATCCTGCAATTCCACTCCCGGTTGGCCCTCGCGCAGGGCAGATGCTGGTGGGTATAAACGAAGTACTTCTTTGATCACCGCCGTGGTGAAGGGGATTCGGTTAATCAATTCCGGGCTCTGCTTTAGCTGCTCGGCTGTGGTCGAAATATCCTCTCCAAAAACGGCATTGTGCTCCTCTCGTACTTTCGCCAAAATATCTTGGTTTTTTGATAAGATGTACATGCTGTACACGATTGTTGCAGCAGTAGAATCATGACCAGCAAATAAGAAAGTCCGTACTTGTCTGGTGGCCCATTCTTTGAACTCTGAGTCCAATTTTTCTTCCATTGGTCGGGTACGCATGTAATCAGCAATCACAAGGTCCATGATTGATTTTGGCCGGCTGGAGGGTTTGTTGTGACGCCACATGTCGAATCGCTTATCCAGAGCCTTATCAATGTATCGGGCCATGATGCGTCCATTATACCATTCCACTAGGTATCGGATCGGATTCCATCTGACAAAAGGGTTCATCTCCTCATCCTGAACATGCCAATTGATGAGAACTCGCAATGCGTCTGCTAGAGGATTACGCTTACGAAGAGATTCGAAGCGATCATTGCTGTTTAAATCATTTAATATTCATGCTTATTTCACTGAATGATAGAATAGGGAAAGAGCTCACATAGCCACAGATCCAATAATATCCATCATATAATCACATGTTAGCCTGTCCAGGGAGAAAGTGTCCCCCTTACGGGCATGCTCACGTAGAATACCGACGTAAACTTCTGTCTCTTCCACGATATGAGCAGTTTGTTGCATAATCGTGCTAGCGCTGAATGCGGAATTAAAAAGCGATCTTGCCCGTTTCCATTCCGGTCCATTTGTTGTAAAGATATTAGGGCCTCCGGTGAATGAATGGAAGTAAACAGCAAGGGAGTGCGGTTTAGGTAGCGCAAAAGTTTGACAGGCCTGAACTGCGAGCTCTAGGCTTGTGATCACTAGAAATGGCTTGGCTGTAAAGGGCCAGACATCCATATAAAAGCAATTATCGAATTTGGAAAATTCATAGGATAGCATGGTAAAAGCATCCGATTGCTGTGCGTCCTTGGGGATCTTGGCCATGACATCTGGCAATGCTAGAAGGTTTCCAGCCGCTAATGTCCATTTCGGTGCTGGCTGAAATCAATATTGACACTATTAGTCAATGTTTCCATTTGGTCTTGGGAGAGAATGAAGTACACACAAGACCACGCTTAAGAACGCGATAGAGGGGTATACGGTATTTTGCGATTGAGTAAAAATTTCGCAAGACGATAATCGCCCCTATCGCGAGAAAAATCCGAACTCCATTTGATCGGATATAGTTGACAATTTCCAATCCCATGCTGGTGTCAGCCATATTGGAAAGGGCTTCGAAAATTGTGCAGATTGGGCACTGAAATCTGTGACAGTGATCCGCGAAAATAGAAAAAGGAGGCTCGAAGTCAAAACAAAGTGGAAGATAATGTGGCCTAAGACTGAAACAAACGTGAGTTTGAAGTGCCGTTCTGGCCAATGCTTACAAACGCCCACTCATCGAATAGCAACATTTGAATTGATCCACTCCAGGCTATGTACTTTAGGCATGCAAGACACGAGCTTTAGACTGCTGTACCTCCCCTCAGGTATCTTTCACGTTCTTTATTGTATTACACAGTATCTTACCCGGGTATCTCTCATGCGGGATCATCACTTGGCCCGTGCTCATTTGACCCCTTCCTTACTGGATTTCGCGACTGGGGGCCATAATGTATGGCTACATTAGCTGTATTTTATACCAGTTTAGATCAATCACGATTGACTAGGACCCGCCTGCACATGTGGGGGCCAATTTGGCAACTGGTGCCAGCATTTGAAAGTTTGATCAGCAAATGGCAGCCCCACACCACCATCATAACCACCGCGTACGGAGTAGTGCCCCACCCCCAGGGCTATGTTAGCTGCATATGTATTAGTAGTAGGCATATGTGTACATGTGCAGTACTGCGGTATAGCGCCTGTCACGCCAGAAATCATAAATATCATTCAATTCCCCGGGTATCTTTTCAAGTAAAAGCTGCTCATTCTTTATTTCCTAGCCAACTTTGGAAGATTGAGTAGAGCGGAATTTGAGCATCATGGCAGCACAAGACCACGTCGGCAGAATCGATAAAAAAGATTTTTTGGTACATATTTTTCCCTTATCCTTGTTCCGCTATTGAACGAGACCCAATTTGTACAGCTAGTCAGCTTGCACATGTGTTTGCAAATGGGCTTACTAACTGTGGCCTCCTAGGTTTCACTCAGCTTCTTCTTCGCCCTGGCCATCATCGGAGTAGTGGGCCGCTTCGTGGTTCGCTTTGGTATACAGAAAAATCGCATCCAGATCGATGATGGGCTTCTCGTTCTGGCTTGTATCTTTCTACTAGCAAGTCAAGTCATGATTTACTGCCAGGTTGTGGACCCGATGTTCTTGATGACTGCAATCCAATTCGGAGTGCAAGGTGTGAAGGTGCCTCCAAATGTTATACAGATTGCCGAAACTTATCACAGGTGGACAGTTGCCTCTCTAATGCTTAGTTGGTGCGCAATATCACTCGTGAAGTTCTTTTTTCTCGTCTTTTTCAAGAGGTTAATCGATCGTTTACGCCCGTGGCAAATCTACTGGTGGATTGTCTTCGGTTACAATGTCGTTCTCGTTTCATATGGGATCACTGTCTACTACGCAAGCTGTCCCTTCTGGGGTACCAAAGCACGTTAGTTCCCCTCTCCACTACTTATCTCCTACCCTTCGAAATGTTCTCTAACAACCATTCTAGTCCAATGTGCCACTGGAGTATACAAGGCCAGCCTCGTTCGGTATTCTGCGGCTCAGATCTCCTTGGATATCGTGGGCGAACTTCTTAGTATGGCTGATCTTGATTTCCTTTTCCGTCTAAGTTTCATTGCGTTCTAATTACTGACTTTTCCGTCCGTTAAATTCAGTCTTGGTGATTCCTGTAGGAATCATCTGGAAGATTCAGGTAGATTGGAGACAGAAGTTGGTGCTAGCCTGCTCCCTCTGTCTGACAATTGTCCTGGTCGCTTTATCAATCACTCGCGTCGCCGGACTCAATTACAAGGGCTTCGTCGACTCAGTCTGGGAAACGTTCTGGCTAATGATGAGCGCTGAATTAAGCGTCTTCCTGGCGGCAGCGAGTGCCTTCCGAGCCTTCTTCGTAGCACAACAACAAACCAAGGCATACAATCCTGGATATAACCAAGGGCTCAGAAGCCCCCAGGGTAAAGCGTATGTCCGGTCAGACCCGAAGCAAAATGGAAATTCTTCCGATGGTTAGTCTGAAGCAAGTCCTACAAACGGTTGAAGCCTGTCTACGAGTATCTGACACTGGATATAGTTGATTCATATCGCCGACTTAAAGATCCCGAATGGAATGTCACGCGGTCAACTACTATCTCGACTGAGACTGAAATGGTTAGTATACCTTAAGAACATATTGCTCAAGTGCTCAAGTGCTTGTAACGACCTGAATTCGAGAATGAACTACCCACGATTGCCGATCCACGGATGTAATCAATTAGTAGATGATATAATGTGTTTTCAATATTATCTGCTTTACGATTAAAGAATTTTTATGAACGTGCGAGATAGAACGTGCGTATCAGAATGATATGATTGTGTGCTATAGAGAAGAGAAAGTCTGAGTCTATCTAGAGAGAGAGGATATGGGTGCTGCGGTCACCTGACCTAACAGATTTCTAGGGACGCTATCAGCAGCATCATAGACTAGCAGCAAGAGCTTTACCCAGTTGATTATGGAGTGAAGTTTTTCAAGCGTTAAGACGAAATGGATAAGTTGGAGAGGCTGTCGGACATTTTTCATCAGCTTTAAGACATTCCGGGGGGCTTGTTCCGCCCGGGGCCATGGCATGGCATTGTATTATGAACGAGCCAAAGAGTTGAATATGCATTTTGAAGACAAATCTGTTGAATTGACCGAGAATGAGCGCCAGCGGTATTTTGATGCAGAACTATGGCTCACAGATAAAGAAGAAACTATAATTCTGTTCTTTACGACCACTAATATTTGGTTCGTCTATTGGCTAAGAAGATGCTAGCCTATAATACTTCGGAAAGTAAGTCTATTAGCCATGATCTTAATGTATTAGCCTTGATCCCATGGAAATGTGATCGACCGTTAGTGTCTGAATTCTAGGTTAAACCAGAGTAGTCGCACATGTACATGTAGTCAGTGATCTGCTTTTTTTTTTTTGATCCATGGATCCGACGGAAGATCGTGGAGAACAGTAAATCCAAGATACAGCAGCTATTTCAGTGGAGAAGCCCAGATTGGCATCATGGATCTCATCATCGATGTTAGTGGTGTGCTGAGCGTACCCGCAAACGGAGGGCCGGGTTTGGACGATCTAGTCAAGGTCACAGTTGCGACGCCATAAACAGGTACCGGCGCTAGTACTAATAGGATCGACCTGGAAGGTCTGGCCAATCATATCACGAGTTCTGCATTCTATCAAAGTATAGTGGGTCTATCAAAAACGTCTTATTGGTCTATCACTTGATTATCTGATGGACCCACCTGCTTATCTGATCCAGGGTCAACTCCTAGTTGCACTTGCCCCAGAACCACAAGAAAAAGAACGAAGACAAGCTTGGAAGGTCGTGCAGACCGGGCGCACAGACGTCCGGTGCCACAAACTTCTCTTGTACCTTGCCTTTCTCCTCTGTGTCAGAACTCCATGTTCTCCCCACGTCTTGCATTTTTATTTCGCCCATTCTGCACACTGACCGCCGAGAGTGGGCTATCGCACTAGCTCCGTGCTTCCTCAGTGCAGACCATTGCTATCCCTGTGGTCATGGGCGTTTTTGACGCCATTCGGGGTCGCGATGACGGCGGAAAATTGACGAGGACACTTGTCGATGCACAGAATATCTCGGGCCCAGAGGACAAAAAGGACCACACGGCCTCTTCAACTGCGGACAATAATGAGCCAGGATCAATTAAAGATAAGGCCGAGGGTCGCCATACCAGCACTCTCAGCACTTCAGATGAGATCAATGGGGCGGACTACGATGAAAGGGAAACCGACCGCGACCCGGGTCATGTCACCGACCAGGTTGATTTGGGTCAGCAAAAGGCAGAAGCCGCAGCTCTGGTTTGGAGCCGACCCGTCGCATTCATGATCTATGCGTGGTGAGATTGACCAATTATTTTTGGAAAAACTGCAACCTAATCATTTAAATTCTGCCGCAGGATCTGGATTTGTTTCTTCATGCTGGCCTTGAGTTCATCAATTGGCAGCAATTTGATCAATTACGTCTTTTCGGACTTCCACCTTGCACCACAAGTCACTACATCATACATTCTATCTGCGGTTATTGGTGGAGTTCTGAAACTGCCGCTAGGTAAGACGCTGCAGCTCTGGGGCCGGGCAGAGGCTCTCCTCTTTTCGACTTCTATATATATGTTGGGGATGATCATTTTGGCGGCGTGCAATGGTGCAAATGCGTTCGCAGCCGGATATGTTCTTTACTGGGTCGGATACAACTGCACGTACCTGATCCTGGACATCTTCGTTGCTGACACCTCTGGAATGCGCTCTCGTGCATTTGCATTTGCATTCGCATCAACCCCATTCATCTGTACTGCCTTCACTGGCCCTCTCGCCGCCACTTCGATTCGGGTAAATTTTGGCTGGCGCTGGGGTTATGGGATTTTTTGCATCGTTCAGCCCTTCGTCCTTTGTCCCCTGGCCGTCGTGTTGAAATACTATGAGCGCAAGGCGGTTCGAATGGGTGTCTGGGAACGCCGGTCGACTGGCCGTACCAAAATCCAGTCAATTATCCACTACATCCACGAATTCGACGGTGAGTGACCCTTGTCTTGTAATCCGATAATTTTGGTACTAATGTTGATCAGTGATTGGCGCGCTCTTACTTATGATCGCTTGGGTGCTCTTCCTCCTTCCATTCAGCCTGGCCCAGTATGGTCTTGCTCAATACAAGAGCGCCAGTTTTATTGCCATGGTAGTTATCGGATTCTGTATGCTGTTCGTCTTTGCGGCATGGGAGAAGTGGGGTGCTCGTACACACTTTATTCGATACGAACTACTCCGAAAACCCACTGTCATGGGTGCATGTGCTTGCTCTGCGATCATTTATTTCAGCTTCTACCTCTGGGACCAGTATTTTTTCAACTTTGTGAGCATCACCTATAATCTTGACTCGACCTTGACCGGATACGTCAGCCAAATTTATAACGTTGGCTCTTGCTTCTGGTCTCCCATTCTCGGTCTTTATATCTGGTGGACCCGGCGATTCAAGTATGTATGCTTGTTCTTCGGTGTCCCCTTGATGATTTTAGGCTCGGGGTTGATGATATATTTCCGAGGGGGGGGACCATGGGATTGGCTTCCTTATCATGTCTCAGATTTTTATCGCCTTCGCTGGTGGCACCATGGTGATCGGCGAAGATATGGCTGTCATGGCTAGTGGAGGCCGTGAGGGTACCCCGATCATGCTGGCCTTGATTGGTTTATCTTCAAGCATTGGTGGTGCGATCGGGTACGCCGTTTGTGGTGCAATTTACAACAATGTCTTCGTCGGGGCTCTAAGAAGTCATTTGCCTGATGATTTGAAAGCCAATGCCACTCAAATTTACACTGCAGGTATTCAAGTCCAACAAACATACCCCGTGGGATCTCCGATACGCGATGCAGTTGTTTACGCCTGGAGTTACTCCCAGAAGATGAACTGCATTGCCTCAACCTGTGTCCTGGTTTTGCTTATCCCAACGGTCGCAGTATGGAAGAATTACGATGTCGGGAAGAAGCAGAACAAGGGTACCATGGCTTTCAAGTAAAGCTCTGCTCGAATTGACATTTCATGACATAAGTGAAAAAGTCTGGGAATTCGCGGACGCATCATTATTGTATATTATACCCGTGAGAGGTTGCCTTGGAATGGAGACCATTAAGGTTAACCCCCTTATATTCGTACGTTTTTTCGCATTGTCCATAATAGAATTCTGATGACCTTGAAAAGAAATTATCCCGGTTATCAAGTCCGAGTTCAATTGCCTTCATAGAGTACCTAACCCCGCACATTGGGGGTCCTTGCATCCCACACTAACGCTGCAGGGCTTGTTTGCATGTCGATCATATCCACAATGTGACGCTGCAATCTGAAATGGTAACATTCTCCCACAACAGTACCTAGCGACCTCCTTACATGTATCCCATCGATCCACTCAGCCACCTGGGCAGACAGACGCGTCAGGTGCATGCTCTCACAGAACATAAACCATGCTTCACCTACAAGTCGGCACCCTCGCGACATGCATATTCCTTCTACATCTCCTACACCCGACAAAAGCATCAAAAGATGATATACAGTACGTCAATCCGCTGATCGGTTCAACAAATGGTGGGAACGTCTTCGCAGGTGCAAGCCTTCCCTACGGCCTCGCAAAACCCGTCGCAGATGTAGACGGCCAGAACACCGGCGGTTTCTCCACAGACGGAAGCAATGTCACCGGCTTCTCGCACATGCACGACAGCGGCACGGGCGGAAACCCATCTATGGGTCAGTTCCCCTTGTTCCCGCAATACTGCACCGATAATGTTCTCGACAATTGCAAATTCACTAAGACGGCACGTGCAATCCATTACATAAATGATTCTGTTACTGCGCGCCCGGGGTATTTCTCCTTGGCCTTGGTGAATGGGATCAAAGCGGAGATGGTGGCTGCAAGGCGAACGGCGTTGTATCGATTTACGTTTCCCGAGAGCAAGACTCAGAATGGATCAATGCTGGATCCGCTTATCGAGCTGGACTTGACGGATTTATGGGATAGTCGACAGAACGCGACTATAAATGTTGATGCTGAGTCTGGGCGAATCAAGGGGAATGGAACATTTCTGCCTAGCTTCGGGGCGGGCTCTTACCAGGCTTACTTCTGTGCCGATTTTGCGGGCGCTAAGCTTCGTGATAGTGGGATTTGGGTCAATGATCGTGCTGGCTCAGAGCCGAAGGAGTTGTTCGTTACTCGGGGCTTTAATAATTTCTATCTCCAGGCTGGTGGATTTGTGAGCTTTGAGAGACCGGATAATGGTGTTGTGACGGCGAGGGTGGGCGTCAGCTTTATTAGTACTGACCAAGCGTGCTCGAACGCGGAGATAGAGATACCTGAGCCACTTGGTGACTTCGAGGGACTTCAAATTACAGCTGAGAATGCTTGGAAGGAAAAGCTTAGTCCTATCAAGGTCATACCAGGGGGCGTCAGTGATGATATGCTGAGTGCGTTCTGGAGTGGGATTTATCGAACGATGCTTTCGCCTCAGGACATGACAGGAGAGAATCCTTTATGGGAAAGTGATGAGCCATACTTTGACTCATTCTATTGTCTTTGGGATGCTTTCCGCGCTCAGCACCCTTTCCTTACGATTCTGGATCCGAAGGCGCAGTCGAGAATGGTTCGGAGCTTGCTCGATACCTTCAAACATGAAGGGTGGCTTCCTGATTGTCGGATGAGTCTCTGCAAAGGGTGGACTCAGGGAGGCTCCAATGCAGATGTGGTGATAGCCGATGCCTATGTCAAGAACCTGACTGGTATCGACTGGGAGCTTGCCTACATGGCAATGGTAAACGATGCCGAAAACGAGCCGCTGGAATGGTCCTATGAAGGACGAGGTGGTCTTCAAAGTTGGAAACGACTGGATTATATTCCATACCTGGACTTTGATTACTTAGGATTTGGAACCAATTCGCGCAGCATCTCACGAACAGTTGAGTATGCTTATAATGACCACAGTATTTCTGTGGTGGGCAAGGGCCTCGGAAAAGCGGATTATACCACCTATGTTTCTCGATCGAACAACTGGAAGAACATTTTCAAAGACGACCAGACTTCACTACTAGATAACGGGACTGATACTGGATTTGTGGGCTTCTTCCAGCCAAAGTATCTCAATGGTACCTGGGGCTTCCAGGACCCAATTGCTTGCAGCGCCTTGGCTTCTTGGTGCTCGTTGACTTCGAATCCCTCCGAGACATTTGAGTCAAGCATCTGGGAGTATCAGTTGTATGTCTCTAGACTCCCTTCCAAGTGGTGAAATTAACTTACTCATCTCCAGCTACGTCCCTCATGACATGGCGACATTGATCAAACTCCTGGGGGGGCCCGATGCTTTCGTGTCCCGACTAGATTACTTCCACGAGTCCGGACTCGCAGATATCAGCAATGAGCCCGTATTTTTGACTGTGTATGAGTACCACTTTGCAGGGCGCCCAGCTCTCTCCGCAAAGCGAGCCCACAGTTACATCCCGAGGACATTCAACTCCTCCGAGAACGGCCTTCCAGGCAACGACGACTCCGGGGCCATGGGCTCATTCCTCGCCTGGAGCATGATGGGTCTATTCCCAAATCCTGGCCAAAACGTCTACCTAATAACTCCGCCCTTCTTCGAAGCAGTCGAAATCACAAACCCGGAGACCAATCAAACAGCCACGATCCGAAACATCAATTTTGACCCCACGTACCCAAATATCTACATTCAAAGCGCCACGCTCAATGGGGAACCGTACTCGAGGAACTGGATTGGTCATGAGTTTTTTACCCAGGGTCTGACGCTGGAACTGACGCTTGGAGAGCAAGAGAGCGATTGGGGTACAAGCAAGGAGGATTTGCCTCCTAGTCTGAGTGATTCATTTGTCCATAATGAGGTGCAGCGTGCATAATGGAATTAACTTTTGTCGATTATGTGCAGGTGGCATCCAATGAGGGAAGTTGTTTTGTAGCGGTCTGTTAAACTCTTTCTTGAGCCACTCTCGGGCCTTCTTTACGGAGCATATCCGATGTGGTCCGTGACACCGCACTAGGTACAATGATCTACGGAAACGTGGTTAGTCATCGATTTATATAGATTTACGTATATTCGAATCATGATTGGTGAGAAGGTGATGCTTATATCCTAGTAAATTCCAGCCCTTACATACTACGAGCTCACTAGGTTTAAGGTAATATGTTACGTTTTGGTTCACCATTGATGGCAGACGCGTCCCGCCTAGCCCCAGAGATAGAGGGAGGCCAAGATTTAGACTTCCACTCTTGTTGTCACCAACACCAATAGTCAGCTTCTTGATTATAGATACTAGAGTCCTAGCTTCCTTTGGTTCCTGTCCTGTGAAAGGATCATCAGAAATAGAAGGCGAGCATCAAGAAAAGCCGTGGGGGAGTATACATGACTAAACATTTGCGACGCGTGAATGCGCCTGTAACTTTTTCAACTCTGCAACTTACCTGCATCCAACCTTCAGAATTAAAAATTTCCTTCCTCGTGGACACCTGATCAGGGAGCACTCCACCAAAATTCCCGGTTATTGTGCTGCCTTGATGTCTCTCGGTCTCGCCCATAATCTTTCACCTTTAAGCACTATGCCCAATTGTGAAATCATAGCGCATCGTCCCCGGCACCAGGGTCTATGTGCCATGCCATGCCATTTCTTTTATTTTATTTTTTTATTTTTTTATTTTTTTTGTTTGACTGGAACGCCCGGGTCACGCTGCCTTTCAACTAACCCGACAAATAGGGACTGCACATTGTGGACCGATGATAAGCTTAGAAGTCAATGTACATCCAAGGCGTCAAGCCTCGCGGGGAAATTCCATGTCGATCTTGCATGGCATCCATATTACGTGCGCCCCATCTGATCAATGTCCAGGTGGCGGAGCTGCATTCGTTTGTATACACACACTTTGGCAATGTATTGTGCAGCCTGGAATTCCGAGACGATGATCCCGGTAGAGCATCGGTTATCAATACCCATACGTGTACATCTGATGTGGAGGCGCACGGTATCTGGAGAACGAACATCTCCTCGAGAAGTATGGTGGGCAGAAAGCATGGACCAGGATTCCGACTGCCGATCGCCGGGTCTCCCCACGATGCATGACCCGAAAGCTGGCGCGGGCCAGGACCACCCGGACCCGGTGATCGCAGGCCTCTTTCTGTTGCGCATGACCCGTGCTGTCCATGCCAGGCTAGGGAAAGTACAGTACAGTGGGATTCCATAGTGGATGCCTACCGTAGTACGCACTAGACTAGCGCCTATCAAGGTTTCGATGTCCTGTCTTCCCTTCTATCTTGCAGGAATTCGGGCCGACGATCTAACGAGCTAGCGTCGCCATGTCGCATCCTCGTGATACAAGAGGACGATACTAGCGTTTTAGTACGGAATTAGCTGCATGAGACTGGCAGTTTCTATGACGACAATGTCAAAGCGAGGAAGATGAATATGTTTACATTCACATGTGTGGCGAAGATGAAGTTACGAGACAAAACAAAGCAGGGACACCCGCTGTATATACAGCTGTAAGGTTTTATGATCTCGACTATTATTCCATCCTCTGTCAGGATGCGCGCAGTACATGGAGCTTCAGGCCAAAAATAGCGGGGGGCCGAGGGGTAGATTATACGGGAAATCATGATAACACGGAGTAAGTAACCTCAGCTGCAGGTGATAACAAATGAAAGTGACTGGTCTCCTGACGGCCCCCCTTGACGACTGGCCAACCAGGCGATCACGATCCAGTGAGCACGGGGATCGTTCGGGGTCTAGTCGCGGGCGCCTCGAGGATGTCGCGTCATGAAACAACGAGGAAAAGGGGGTTTCTATTTTGACTTTCTGTTCCCGGATATCCTGGTAACCAAAGGTCTCTGATGTGAATATATTCAGATCTTTCCCTCAAACCTCAGGACACCAACTCTCCTCTTTCCCCATGTTTGGCCCCATACCGAATCCACTCTGTCGCGTTATCGCTTATCGGTGCCATCTCTTATCGATAACTAGTCCCAATACAGTAATACTACTATATTGGGCTTAGCTCTGCTACTGTATCAGGACTAGCGTGAATCCACGCGCCTTCCAGTTTTCGACGCGCAAAAAAAAAAAAAAGAAAAAGGAAAAAAAGCGTCTCTGCGTTTTCTTGACACCTGAACGCATTTACATGCGCTCTTGCCCCTAGTCTCCAAGGGATATTATTCTGACCGATTCCCATTTTCGGACATCCAGAGTTCGCCTTCAATTGCGCTCTTTGTTGCCTCCCTTGTTTCTCCTACTTTCGGATTGGAAACATACTTTGCGCCGGCGCTTGATCCTTCTCCAGTGGGGTGATCAACTTACATCATGGTGTCCTTTCAATGCGAGGTACGTGAGAAAAGCTTATCGCAAGCCCAAATCTCTCCCTAGGGATCACAGCATAAAGAAGTTTACTGACCGTGTCACGCAGGGATGTGGTGATGTCCTTACCAAAAAGAAACTCGACCCCCACCGCGGCCAGTGCCGTGGCGCAACCTTTACGTGCATTGATTGTATGGTTCACTTCTATGGCACCGAGTACAGAGCTCACACGGTATGTCTTGCTCATTGTCATGCTTGTCGCATCGTCCACGAGGTCTCGCGCTCCGCGCGCGCAATCAACACGGGTTATCACATGGCTTGAAAGGGGGCACATGGGACCTCAGGACTGGCGCCAGGACCAGCATGTCTGTTCTGAATGTAACTCAATGCTGCCCATACTAACAATGCTTCCTCGCCTTAGTCGTGTATGACCGAAGACCAGAAGTACCAAGGCGCGCTGTACAAAGAGAAACCGGCCAAGAACAAGAAGGGCCAGAACAACGCCAACAACAAGAACGCCAACCAAAACCAGCGCAACCAGCAGCCCCGCGTGGAGGATGAATACGCGCCGCCTCCCCGGGCGCCAACTCCCCCTCCCGCCACTGAGGCCAAGCCCACCGCCGACGCCATGGCCGACGGCGGCAAGTCCGTCAACGTGTTTGACTACTTGGTTACCGATGAAACACCCAATGCCTCTAAGGCCTCGCTCGCGCTTCCCAAGGAACAGATGACCATGGTCGCCGAGGCCCCCTCTCTGTTTGAACCCAGCACCGCTCTGGCCAACCTTGATGCCAAGACCGACGATGAAGGTAATTACGATATTGCCTACGAGGAGAATGGCTTTTCATATGGCGCCGATCCTATTTCCCCGTCCGTATATCCCAATAATGGTCCTAATTTTTCGACAGAGTTTGTGACTCCAGCCCCTAAGAAGAAGAAGGATCGCCGCAAGGAGGAGAAGCGCGTATCTGGCTCCGTGAGCGAGAAGAAGCGCAAGCGCGGCAGGGAGAATTCTCTCAGTCCTCAACAGGAAATCGATACCCCCATGATGGATGCCCCTTCAAGTGTGATCAACAACGCCGGTACTCCAATTCTTGCCCACTCCGGCCTGACCGGTGGATTGAACCGCATGATGCGCTCGCCCTCACACGAAATGGAGGATACTCCCGCGGGCCAGCGGGCTTACAAGGACGTCTCTTCACCAATCAAGCGTAGCCGACGCAACGCCAAGGAGGTTAATGGTAATTCCGACGCCGGCCTTGGCATCTCCATCAAGAACCGCGCTGGACGGCTCGTCTCTTCCATGTTCAGCGGCACCGGCTCCGTCATCTCAGCCAGCAGCGGAGGCCACGAAGGATCTCGCGACGTTGGCCGCCGCGGCAGTGCTTCTAGTGGCGACATGCAATTGGATGTCCGCAAGAAGAAGTCTCACCGCTCCGAGCACGACGAGAGCCGCAAGTCCAAGCGCAAGAGCTCCAACCCCACCGATGGCGACCGACCTCCCCGTCGCCTCAAGCAGGCCGAGGAATCTCCCCGTCGCGAAAGTCGCCAGGTCACCGTTTACCAACACTCCAAGCCCCCAGCTCGCACAGATGACGTCTTGCAGCGTGAAATGGCATCCCATTTCCTTGCACTCGTCTCCCGTGATAGTGAACGTGGCTGCTCCATCAACAAGGCTCTGAAGCGTTTCCACCGCGACTTCTCTGCTGAGTATGATGATGACCGCGGTCGGGACAATGGACGCAGCAGTGCTGATCGTGAGCGCCGCAGCGAGGATGAGAAGGATCTCTGGCGTGCTTTGCGTTTGAGACGCAATGACCGTGGAGAGATTGTTGTATTTGTCTAAAATGGGACACCTAGGGAGGCTTATCAAAACGACAGTTTCTTTTTTGCTCTCTTGTGGATATAATTTCATTTCACGAGATGATTGGGTTGGGCTTTTTGCATAGCGCGTTAATTGTTACATTACTCCGTACTTGTTAATTAAACTCTGGCGAGTCTTTTTTCTCACCTGATTCTACTGGACCGACAGATGTTAAAACGTTTTGATGCCTACATTATGATTTGCAAAAGATTTTACATCTCCAGCTGACGTCTTTACAACGTAGTCTGATAGACTGGTCAATTCAACACTTTGTGTATTCACCAGCTCAGATACATTGGCCAGGAAGTAAGCGGCTCATTGCAGCATAACCCCGGCTAGGCTGAATACGAGCAATGGTCATCCGGAGCAAAAATGGAACACAAGGAGCCTGGTTACTGGAGCCAACGAAGTTGAGCTGAGTACAAAAAGTTGAGGCACAGTACCAACAGTGTTCCATCCTTGGAGGACGCCATTCATATCCTGTCGTCAATTGTTGCAACGTAGCATCGATCGGCGGCTTGGAAAAAGTTGGCAGAACCCTGTACACCTTGCATGGGTTGACTAAGCACTTAGCACTTCTTGTCCAAATGTCTTAAGCGTATTTTATCAATGGGCTTATGGAGTACTAGGACTATTGGGACGGAATTCGATTCACTCATGTAGCGATGTCAAGTCTATGGACGGGCATAAAATCTGTTTCCAAATATGTTCTTTGGAATCATCTTTGCCGATACATTCATGAAAATCAACTACGTCTGAAGCTTTGATCACATAATTAATCCATTGTTCTGACAACTGGCTCCGAGTTAGCGAGCTTCGGTTAGGCAGAATCAGTTTATGGCCAGGTTCAATAACTTTCGATGATTCTCCTACCCTTAAAAGCAATTTGATTCCACAATATTTGCATATGGTCTAGATGTGCATTCTCGCTCACCAGTACAACTTTTTGGGCTAAAATACCTAAACTTCAGAACATTGGCATGGCCGGCAATATTCCAGGAATAAACGAATTGTCGAACATAGAATTTCATCACTCTTCTATGATCGTCATTGTCGGAAATCCGTCTTTGATCATGATTTGTTTCAAATTATACCCAATCGCTATACCATTGCCCAGGTGCACATACGCCGAGGTCAAGTAGAGGAGTTTGAGCGCTTATCCTCTCATTTGTCCCGATAAAGATCTCTGTGAATGGACGACGCATATGGACCTTAGATTGATTGAGCAACTACCCCAAGCACATATCAATAAGACTCACGGCTTTTCCTCCCAAAATATATCCATATTTTCCTACTCATCGTTCATTCGTGACGAAAAACATGATCTCAACCAGCAGTCTCTTAAGAATTCGAAACAACATGTTCCAACAGTAATTGGCTTGCGAGTCTCGGGGGTTAAGAACAAATTTTTGTCTATCGACTTGGGGGAGGGAACTATCAAGGGGATGCACGGGCATCGATGCATGTGGGGGCGGATCGTAGATCTCATACGTTCGGCTAAAGGTTCCAGTCAAAACGCGAATTGTAAATTTCGAGGACAAGAATTTCTAATGTAGAGCTATACTTACTCCATACAGTGGTGCCAAACGGACCTTAACCGAGGAGGTCCTTGACCGCCCTCAGGGAACCTTGGATGGTCAGAAAAGTCAACGCCAAATACTCAGTCCGTATTACTTGTATTATACTGTAAGCCCATAAAAGGCCCACTTAGACAAATTACAAGGTACCTTTGGCTGATTTGCTAATTGATTGGTTCTAGGCACCAGCCAATTCCATGGCCACACTAGGTTATCAGGGTAAAATACCACGCCTCTAGAGCAATAGTACGTAGATTTCAATGTAACATAACAGTACTAGCGCTTATCTCATAGGCAAACTTCGCTTGAGAAGCTCCTGCTATGTATATCCGAACGAAGGTGTATTTGGTATGATACTCCGTACAATACCTTTGTTGTAACAAAGCTTGTGACTTGGAAGCTAGGCCTAAGCATACTAGGCCTAGCAAGTTCCGTCTGTGCATCAACTTTCCCACGTATTTCTCCTCTCTTCATTCACTTGAAGTAACGTGATATCATCCATCTTGAGATCTGGTTCTTGTAGTTCTTCCAAAATCCCTCCCGACGTATCGGCGCCAAATCACCAAGTCAATCGGCAAAATGGCATCGGAATTATGGTATGCAAAGCTCGTGGACCCCTGGCACTTCCGTCGTATCCATCTCGATCAGAACCTGTTCATCTTCACTTCTAACGTCCTACATCTAATCTGTACTAAATCTTCTTCTAGTCCTGCCTATTCTGTGAGCTCACCTTCCTCCTGGCTGCTTTGAACGCGGCGAGCTAGGCATCGGATACAATTCACCTCTCGTCCTTCCACCACGTCTAAACATTCTAGCCTGATTCAAGTCGCTAACTGTGATACTCCTAGCCAATTTTTGGTGCAATGGGCTGTGTCTGCGCCATTGTCTTCACTAATTTCGGCGCCGCCTATGGAACTGCTAAGGCCGGCGTTGGCGTTTGCTCAATGGCCATCCTACGGCCTGACTTGATTGTGAAGAGTAAGTCACATCAAATTATGGATGAGGTTACATTAAGATAATTCACTTTCCTTACTCACGAATGGGAGCTGACTTCAAATGCTATCGAACAGATATTGTCCCAATTGTGATGGCTGGTATAATTGCCATCTATGGTCTAGTCGTTTCCGTCCTTGTCGCAAACGATTTGAAGCAGAGCCTCGCTTTATACACAGGCTTTATCCAGCTTGGCGCAGGTCTCTCTGTCGGTCTTGCTGGCTTGGCAGCTGGGTAGGTTATACAAGCACAATTTTCTCGCCAAAGCTAAATTTTCTACTATGTGTCCAGTTTTGCCATCGGCATTGTCGGCGACGCTGGGGTTCGTGGAACAGCTCAGCAGCCAAGGCTGTATGTTGGAATGATTCTGATACTCATCTTCGCTGAAGTGCTTGGTAAGAACGCGACCATAATTTCCAGAAATGCAGAGTGAGATGCTAATTCGTGTATAAGGCCTGTACGGTCTAATTGTCGCCCTTCTCATGAACTCACGCTCGAAACAAGATGTCGAGGAATGCTTTTAAAAGCTCCTTTTCAAACACGAGGAAGTAACGCAGTTCAGCAATCCAGTCATTCCTAGAATGTAGCGATTCTGCAGGATTTGCTCTAGTGTTCATGTTCCATACACTGCTCTCGCAATTCCATCTTTCGGTTGAAGACGCTGCTTCAGTCATTAAATTCGTCTTTGAAATTATCGTAAAGAGATCCAAATTTTTTACGGTCGTGACTCTGTGATCAATTACGGGCCATTAAGTTTTATATGTGGTGATGTGCAGTCTGCTAATTGTCCGCAATTCTTTCTTTTCAGATAAGATCGCACGTGTGTTATGCCTCACCTTTCTATTTCTGGGCTACCTATCCAGTAGCTCTCCTTCCCCCCTTGACAGCGTTGTTCGGCCATCAACAACGAGAACCAATCTGCTACTCTATAGCACAAAATAGAAGACGACTAGGCAGAGGCGGATCTTCGTTAGGAGACCTAGCTTACTAGTAATCCTCAGGACATAACATTCATGTAGCTGTATTCATTAGAGTAGTTCCTGGTTGATTTCGAGTCATCTGGTATCGGCCGAACCTTCACGAGCATGTCTTCTACGAGACGTTGCCGAATATATCATGTGCAAGCTTACTTAAGTACCTATCTTTGTCGCCATCAAAATGATGCAGATTGTCAATAAAATTACATATTATCTTCATGTACATTACTCGTTGCATGCCCATTAATGAACGGTTGGCTGAAGCCAAGACGCCTGCGTGCATGAGTCACTGAACTCCATGTCTATCCTGAACCCTAGGTCTGACATCTTTATGATATCCCAACCGGATATGAAATCCTCGCTTTCAGGCGTCGGCTTCCCCATCTGTATCCAGTTCCCGAACCGGCACGTTTTGGATGTATAGGAGAACTGCAAGCAATCTGGGTCCGCCACACAGGCAGCACTGCACGCTGCAACGGAATCATGAGAATGGGAGCGTTTTGGTTGAGGAAGGTCCGAGTAGTTGTCCCAGAAGCTTCGGGTAGATCCATCGCGTAGATGGGAATGAGTATATGCAAGGAGGCTGGAGTGGAGAAAAGGTTCCTAACAGGAGTTAGTAGTGGAGACGTCGTTGGCAGGGGCATACTAGATACCTCATTGTATGGTCGCGTTCGCTCCCATTTCCACAGCGCCATTAGCTCCTCTGGCGACATTCTATGAAGTGCAAGTAGTGGTATACACCACCTCTCTTTGTTCACTTTAAGGGCCCCGAGCTCGTCACCTGAAAATGTAGGATAAAGCCCTTCTAGTTTCACGTCGATTTTATCCTTTATTGCATAAGCAAGCACTGCATCGCCACAGCAGTCCTTCTTTGCCATGTCTTGGAACTGAACACTAAGGCGAGATTCACTGGTGGAGCCTTCGTTCAAGCGCTTCATTACGCCACTCGACAGCACAAAACCTGCGCCGCCATACGCGAAATATCGACCTCTGGCTCCCGGAACCGGTGAACCCATGTAATGCATCATAGATGGGTCGAGCTTATCGAGCATGCGGAACAATGTGTCCCAGAAGTAATAAGTATCGGCTTCGATAAAGACGTACCAATCGGCGTTCGGGCGCATCTCATACGCCTTCTCAACCATGGGCAAAAACTTGAACCGGTCGAGTCGCCAACCTTCCTGCGAATACCTAACGGAACCATTCTGTGAATGGGCCAACTTTTGCGCATCGTAAGCCGCAAAGTCTGGATTTTTAATGGCATAGGTCGGCGGGAGATCTTCTAGAACATCAATGAAATGATGCTGACTAACGATCTCTTCGTAATCGGAAAAAATGATGAGGTTGGTTATGCAAGAGGTAACGGAGGCAAGATGAGCTTTGTTCTTCTCAGGCTCGCTAGTACCTGTTTTAAGAATGACTTGGATGCGATCTAAAAGGTGAGTGGGAAAACCTGCGCATAATTCAGGCGCTGTCAGGTTGCCGCCTCCCGAATTCTCAAGCGGCGGGAAAAAGGGCCTAGTCGTCCATGAATAATAGCGTTGCTGTTCATCGAGAAAGTATGACGACACGTCTAGAGAGAAAGCATGTCGCGATCTGTTGACAAAGTGGCTGAGACCGAACACGAACAAAATGAACAGAAAGATTGATAGATAAATTCCATGCCTTCGAAGAAGCCACGATGTGGGAAAGGCTAACATCGTGAGACCTGTAGAGCGGTCCGATGGGAATGTGCAAAAAAGAGAGAAAAAAAAAATCCCCCTTGCTCGATCTTTCGCTTGCCACCTATCATTGGCAAAATCACGGGTAGTGCGCACAATGACAGTTTGGGGGAGCTAGTATTGATACCGCCCCAACTGGTAACAGAAGTGGGTAATTCTGAAAGGCCGAAAGGCTCGGGCCGCACAAACTGTCCTCAAGGCTGGTATGCTTTTCGCCGGCGTACTGCATTTCAATACAGACACGACATTCCGACCCTGAGCTTAAAATTGATAACGACAGTTACAGTAGTCGGTACTCGATACGTATGAAGCGGTGTTGAAGTGGGGTGCTGGAGTGCGGTCTAGAAACCAGTGTTTGGAACCGCCGAGGACACCTTCCCTTATCGGGCCTAGTGCCCTTCCCACGATGCAGGGTCCTTGACCCTCCCTCCTAGATGGATCTTTCCGCCTTTCTTAACCGCGCCACTACGTTGCCATTGCTTTATTTCTCTATTATTTTCTCTCTACATATCTCTATGACTACGATTGTAGCATCGATTTATTGATCACAAAGAATTGATATGGGCATACATTACCTGAGCAGTGCGCTTAATGATCCTTGTACTAGTGCCCAATGATCAGAGACTCGAGGCCAATGAGGGTAGAACAGGGATGATAAGGCCAGTACGAGTAGTAGCGTAAGGCCTAGGAAGAGTGAACGAAGATACTTTGGACGAAAGGCGAAGAGCCAAGGACGGCCTGAGGGCACAACCTCAAAAGTAGATCCCAACACCAAACACTTGAGGCACAAGGGATCTAAGGTGCCTGACAGTACCTTAGCACCAAATCATCTTTGCACCCAGGTCTGGCAAGCTGAAAAATTTTGCCGCAAAACCAGGGGCCCGTTGGTGTATTTGCAAACGCACGTGACAGAGGAGGAGACTAGTACGTTGTTTTTTTTTCTGGAAGATTGATTGATTTGGATTTCCGTTGCATGTGAAAATCTTGCACCTACAATGTTAATTAAAGGGCTTATAGAAGCGAGAGAGGATAATGAATGCACGGGACTGTAAGTTTAATTACATCTTATGACTATTGTTGTTCTCCCTAATGCATAAGTAGATATCTGCGTTGGAGCTCGAGAAACAATGGGATAGTGTGGGTGTCCGAGGCTGAAGGTGCCACGGAAGGTACAACGCTGGGAAGCAGGTACAATGGTGGTAAAGTTAGCAACGCAGTTCAAGTGGCTCAGGGAATACGCCAGATATGTCATAAGCTAACCTATCTCAGGCATTGTTGTAATTTCCGAGCCATTGCGAACACATCGGAGGTCTTTTACTTTGGAAACACCCTAGCAGGCCTAGCGGATCAAAAGTCTTCCACTTTAATCTAGCTCTAATCGTGACCCCTCAAGGATCCGTTAAGCGGGACTGTTGAAATCTTATGGCAGCCCGTAATTGTACTTTTGACCTGCTGGCCCCCAACGCGAAAGGTATAGCCAACAATCTATATTACTAGTGCACTCGCTCCTAGAAAGATTCTACATAGCGCATAGATTCATAGAACCATAGCCTCTCACAAGTAAGGGCACGACGAAAATATTAGAGCACAGAACTGAGATACAAGCAGAAGAGCATCAGGGCGGGGGGGGCCTTATTGTTGAACCATCTTAGATCAAGCCTAGTACCTCATAAACACTAGCCCTAATTGCATTTCTGTGTAGGCGGGGGCGCCGCCTTACACGAACATACCCGCCACCGAAAGTTAGATCTCCATAGCGAGCATTATAGTACGTTCAAGGCTCCCATAGGTTGTTCTATAAGTACTAAAGCCCGTGGGTTCCCTGACAGAGTTAGGCGAAGCATCGCATATGTCCAGTTCGGTTTGGCTGGCGTACGGGCTACGCTAGACCAGGGTCTAGCAAATATATTACACCATATTCTGCCAAGGAATGATCTTTTGGACGTCTGGTCTACCAATAATGATAATGATATGGCAATCCTTCCAATACTACAGTCACATTCACCGATTTTAATGGATAAGTCCTTCGCGGAAAATGGACTAAACTACCCCTACTAGCCGCTGAACTGGGGGTCCAGGGAGACCTAGAATGTGAATGGCCCAGAATTGTACGATTAATCACCACAATCAGCATCCAAGAAAACCGAAGGCATGGAAGCAATACTCGAAACCCATAGGTCGTGTATCTTCTCTGTACTAAAGTAACGGTACTTCAATATATGAGCAAGACTTTACCCTGTTGGGCGTCCCCGTGCATCTCTTCTCCCCGCCTCAAAATGGAGAAAGGCTTGTAAATATATAAATTTCCACATTGTAAGCAATATTTGGCAGTCCTCAGCGGGAGCCTAGTGCGGGGATCACTACAAGGTGCAGCCTCGAGAATCGAGGTTTGTAATTGAGAGGGCCAAAGAGTGCATGCATCTTGTTGGAGCCCCCAAATACTTAGAGCGCCATGTTCTCATAGAGGGCAACCCGCTTCGAGCTTTAGCAGCGGTGGCAATATACTTGGGTGTGATTCAGGTTGCAGCTACTAGACAGAAAGAAGATATTCAATCGAGCTCATTTCAAGATAGTCGCATCCTTCAAATCTATCCACGGCAATACGGCGGGGTTCAATTTAATAACATCACGCTATTGGTGCTTATGAAGGATCCAGTGTTCGTGCGAATAGTATCTGCTGAGCAGTGTTCAATTTCTCTTGGAGTGGATTTTCAAGCCACCAGGATACAACAGCTGTATGCGGTCAGCTGTGCGGTATTGATGGGATGAGAGTCAGATGGTGGCGCTCAGACTACCTGTACGAACGGAGTCAACTCGACCTCTTGCCGTACAGTTAGGCATAGCGCTTCATTTATTTCGAAAATGAGCTACGGTTGGTCTGGATGACCGCCGTCTGGCCCTGAAACCTTGCATTTAATGTTTTTGTCGATACGAGATCAAATGAACGGCATGCGAGGTTCATGTCGACTGCCGCTTTTTCGAGATATAAAAAGGCTTGTCCTTCCGGCTCATTGCTAGAATACCGAGGGAATTCATTTGCTATTCTCCCAAGTCAAACACTTGTCAGATAGAAAACAAGCTTCCACCCCTTTGACCATAAAATGCGTCTTTCCATTTTCACGGTTGTGTCTGCTTTGCTTAGTGGCATCGCCCAAGCTTTGCCAACTGAGGTTGACCTCCAAAGCAACGCAGATGCTAGCATTTCGTCATTCCTGTCAAGTGAAGATGAGCCGCTCAGTGTGAACCAGATCAAGGAACTTGTCGCTCGGTCTCCGGACATCCATCAAGACCCATACAACATCACCGATGTTGATGCGTACCACGCACTCTACAAACGCTCCACTGGCTGCGATCCAATTGGCTGTTTTGATGGCTCATTTTTTTCGGTCATCTTCCATTACAGCGGCGAGAACGGTGTTTACCTCTACGGAGCTGTAAGTTTTGAGTTCTGATGACCTAGAGTTAACACTAAAGAGTACTAATTGATTTAGGGTCAATCGCCTCAAAGACACAATTTCAATTGTAACGATAAATACCAGGGCTTCAACTCATGGCTACCATGGGTTTTTTCATCCCGACTACTGCCCAACGGTATCTGGGCCTGTGCTCGTTCGAAGAACCGGGCACACATCTACGTAAAGTACGCGAGTATCGATGAAAACCTCAGCGGCGATGCGAGATGTGGTGACAATGGCGGAGTTGATGGCGGTGTTACCAACGCTCGCTGTATCTTCCCAATCCATCCTTGATATCTCCAGGCATTTCTGGGTGGAGTGGTTAGGGTAGCTTTATGGACCTAGGCGTCAACAACACGCTAGGCAGGGATTTTAAAAAAGGAATACCAATCAACTTGGACCATCCGTGGAAATTCAGAAGATGTTTATGGGGCTTAGGGGAATCACGAGGCGATCATGGGTCAGCCTGTATATGTTGGGAAAGGATATATAAAGAGAATCATTCTTGTACTCATCCGATTGCTGCGCGTTCAGTCTGACAATTTAAAATGTTTCCAAGCAATAATACAAGAAAGGTGCGCAAAGCCAAGGGTATGACCTCCGCAAGTATTTCCTTACATTATTGTGAAGCGACGAGCGACAAAGCCAACGGCGGTGGAGTAAAGAAGATGGAGGAAAAGGGCGTATTTCGGTAGTCACTACTATCACTACCACTACTACTCGTACTCGTACGCCTATTATGTTTGCTATTATATATTTGACACTTCAAAAACGACCAAGGGATAAAGGTTCGAGCCTCTGAAAGAGTAGTCAAGTCCAAAGAATTGCAATTCTCTTTGATTCTTCATAGCAGGTTCAAAGCCCCTACGGAAATCTTGGATTGCCTCGTGTTTTGGTGATGGGTATTTCTCTTACTGACGGAGCATTTGTTTCCCAAGCCACTGAAAAAAGGGGTCTAAAGTCCGGTCGATGCACAGCCTGTATATGTAAGATCAAGACTCAAAGACAAACATTGTTTTAGTGACTGCTATCATACCCCCGCTTGATTCGCGGCAAGATCGGTCATGTAATTTCAGTATTATAATGATCTGAGAGGTTCATGAAATAGATAGTGTAATTCGACAATCAATTACGGTGGGAACACATTTCGCAATTAAATGTATTTGCTCTGGCGGCTTTTTTGCGCTCTCAACATCGCCCTGGATACTTGTCATTTTACAGAACGACTCTTGAAATACCACTTTTTCGATCCTTCTGATGTTTATGATCAAGATGGATCCCAGTCGCCCTTCTTTTAGTAAATATCACGACGTGACCAGCCGTACAGCCGGTATTAAGGTTACCTGCCCTTTTGGCCCGCGAGCTATCCACGCTAGACCTGCAGGGACCAAAAAGGCGTCGACTGTGCGTGATTAAATGGCCAATCATTTGGCCTCGGCTAATGCCAAGGGTCTAGAGAGTTAGGCTACAGAGTTGAAAAAGCATGTGTACAGTAGCAACATAAGATACGGGAGACGAACTGCATGATAGGAGAAGGGTCACTGTTTGTAACAGTCCGGTATTTCCAAATATTCGTTACTGGTGCTGCCTAACCTTGCTGACAAATTACCATATATTTCGACAATTTTGTGACTTGCGTACGAGAAATGTTACTTCCAGGGGACCCCGACATCAGTTACCCGGGCATCAATCAGTAGGCAGAAGATCATATTGAAGGCAGGCTCGGCCTGGCACTAACGAAGAGATAAAGCTGACTAGTTCAGCATTATCAAGACCGTAGTACCCTTGATTGAGGCCGTAATACATCCATCATTACCTATGCAGCTATGCTGAACCTCGTCTAGATTCGGGATTCACATAAAAGGTTTCCACTGCTGCTGACACCACTCTCAAAGCCGTGTTAGATATCCAAGTCTCTCATCCTTAACCGAAGTTATCGCTGCCACGATATCTCGTCGTGGATAATTCTTGTCGAGTCGAACCCTTCCCAAGGGAATGATACGTAGGTCCTGTGAGAGCTTGAAGCGCTTCGAGGCTGGCGTTGCCCTTCTCGATGAGTATTCAACGATGTGTGAAGTTGAGCTCCTTTCTGACCCAGATCCCGAGGTGTTTGGCGTGTGGTGATGGTTTAATGACTTGGTTTGAACTTGGACTAATAATGATCTGTTTCTGGATCTGGTATAATGATATCGTAGATGCTTGTCGGCGCGAGAGGTAGCTCAATTGGTTGCTCGAGGGGCTCTTCTCGGGGGTTTGTGAAGTGTACGCCCTCCAATGTGTCAGGTACGAGCTTCGCAGCGTGTCTCCTTGCCTATAACTCTGCTCTCTTTGGCGCTTCTTTGAGAAACTCTGTATGCCGCGCGTACGACTCTGAAACTACCACGATGTCCGCGCCATCCACCCAGCCATATCCTTCAGACTTTGCTTCATCTCCTTTCCTGATGAAACCACCCTTTTCCAGAGGAGTGTTGAAGAGGAGGAAGAGAATGGGGGAGATAGGCGATCCTTGTGGAATGCCTGTCTCTGTTGAAAAGTTGTCGCAGAGGGTTTCGGTAATTTGATCCTAATACTGGGGACCTGCAGGAAAGACCGTATTCATGGCTGGGACTGGCTAAGGCGGAACTTCTTGATACCATGGAGGAGCCTTCCATGAGAGACGTTGTCGTATGCTCCCAAAACGTCAAGCAGAAGTATACCTACCTTCTTCTTGGTTCCCCATACCCGGTGCACACGATCAAGGATCAGTTGGATGGCGTGTCGATGGAGATGCCCTTTCTGCCGCCGAGATGTGTGTCTGGTAAAATTCGATGCCCTTCGACTGTCCATGAGATCCGAAGATCGATGCTCGCTTCGGGAACCACTTTATGGGTGTTTATGATAGTAATTGGGCGATAGGCTTTCGGTTGGCGGAATTTGTGGGGGCCTCCTTTATGGAGCTTGTTAGAAGCACCTTCTTAATAACCTTCCCTTTCCGAGTTCGGCATGAGTGGTCTTCCTCGTGACAGTCGAGACACACGTCATGAAGAGAGGTCGTTTTGAGTGTTTCGAATCTTTTTGCGAGTCCTTTCCCCCCCCCCCCCCCCCCCTCCCCCAAAAATTGCTGCCGTGACTATTTAATGAGGGGCGTATATTCTGGTGCCACCCCGGCTTGGCTCACGCTGACGGGCGAGTCCATGGAGTAGACTGCTACACACCTTGTTGTATGATCTCGATTAGGTGCTCGGCGACGTCATCGACTTAACGTGGTTGAGTATCCTTCCTTCGGCGATGATTGCTATCGAGGCTGAGAAGAGTGTCGAGTTCTCCTCTGCTGACCATCAGATGACTACATACCTCGCAGCTGTGCAGGACTGTCGGACCAAACCTACAAAGATTTATCAGCGCTTTGCGCTGGGAAGGATCAGAGGAGACTTGAGGCACACCAGTAATGGTGAGCAGAAAGAACGGAGCGAACAAGGAGCCATTGTATTGTGATATGGAGAGAAGAGAAGAAAGGACAACAAGAAGAAGCAAGAGACAAGCACTGATCTAGGCAACCAGAGAGCATCACATGATCTCTCAACAAGATTCATGCTATCTCTTTCGGAATTACCACGGATAGCACTAGATATCAATTCTGGTTCTTGGACTCGGAGCGGCGGCTTTTCTCATCTGTGATCTTCGACTGGCGTCTCGATAAGGCCAAAATTATCGTATGGATCGACAAAATGCTCGCCGACGCGATTGAGACTTCCCCACTGACAACGCCAACTCTGTGACGGAATGTTTCTCTGCGCTTTTGAGTCCGGAATTGAATGACTCACCTTCAATTGAGGGACTTCCGTTCGACATTATGGTTCCAGAATCGTCCCAGCTTGTCGCGCCTGCATGGTACCAGGGACGAAGGGTCATGGTGGTCGAATATGATGCGGACGAGGAGCCAAGTGACAACCAAGGAGAGGATAAAGCGGTTTGAGCTGTTGAGGATTTATGTCGCTTTGGACTGTAGTTGCGATTGTTTATTGCAAGTCCTAGCTTTTGATGTGATGTAGCTGCTCATTCAACCTATACTGTATCAAGAGATGGGTGACATCAGATGGTTGACTTCATTCTTCGGTTTCCAAGAGAGAAACGCAGATCAATTTGAAATTATTCTAAGTTTTACGAATGCAGAGGCGTCTTTTCTTCTAGAATAGACGCTGCGTAAGAAAACCTATCGGACGTGGTGAAGCCAACACGATATAGCTACCTGGTCGAAGTACACCGCAATTTTGGGACCAAGGACAATTTTCATTTCTTTAGACTATCACATCAATTTTTACGTATAGTATTACTCAACATGATTCCGCTACATACCCCTGAAGGTACTATCAAATAATATTATACATACCCCTTAAGGTATTATTAAATGATATTATATCTTCCTCTATAAGTAAGCTCTGGGTCCAATTAAGAAGCCCTTGTTTCAGCAACATGTAGATAATGTTGAAGAGGTTAAAAGCTCAGTGAATGCCTCGGCGGGTCCTCCACATGTACCCATAAACTTACTTTCAAACCGTTCTATCTGCACTAAAACTACATGGATCTTCGAATTATTTTCTCAAAATACTTTCCTATGGTCATGGATTAAGATAATATTCTTTTAAAGCGATCCCTTCTAATACTGAGTTGTATATGTCTTCCCAAAAGTTGGTTGTTGGGGTGACCCGATCGGAGCCGCTCTTGGGGAAATACTTAAGGTCCCCATTGTACGTTCCTCACCCAAGATTACCCCCAGATAAGAAACCATGATACCACCTGCTGTGGGGGCTGACTTCGTAGCGGCCCTGAAGCTAGGTACACATCGTTGTATAGTGCAATCGGTTTTCGGACACTTTCAAGCTTTGCGGGGTTGTTTTTCTTTGCTTTTTTTCAGACGACATCGTCTTTTCTCCCAAAATTCACCCAGTTCCTGATCAAAATCCACCTCTCCGCGCGCCTACCCAAGGCATTTCTCTCCAAAGAAATGGGGTGGTTTCCAGTCGGTCGCAATGATTCCCCTGGCTGGCGACTGGATGCTGTCAGTCTTATCGCCATTCTCGGAGAGTCGCTGATGGCCCGCCACATACAGCCGCTGAGCTCGTCAAAGCTGTGTTTCCTTCCTCGCATTCTACCTGCGCCCCAGGCTTTTTTGAGATCGGACCGTGCATTACGACTCCCGAGCCCCCCGGCTATCGTGAGTGGGGTGTCCTCGGGAAACCTTGTACAGGAACTCAACTATTTCGCCAACATTATACATCCGATTAACTCAATGAAGAAATATCAAATCAAGGTTTATGATATCAAGTGGTCAGGTAGGTTTTTTTTTATTTCAGGAATATTCCGAAAATTGACAAGATGTCAGCTCGAAGCAAGACCAAAGGTTCGTCACGTCGGCCTTTGGTTCCATCAAACAAATTTTCGCCCATCAATATCTTGACAGTCTCATCTTCATTTCTGACACTCGCTGCGCTTATATGGGCAATTATGATCAAAGACGGAGCGGCAGTCCTTGCGTTAATCGGGATGTCTGCTGCTTCCACTCTGGTTGGATTCGCTTCCCACTGGAGCCCACAACTAGCTTCTCGCCCAACGGACGTACCAGTGCCCAAAGGGGACATTGCAATTCGCACACGCGACGGAGCTTTCATCATTGTCCAGTGCAGTGAAGAAATTGCCCGAGAGCTATATATTGGTCCCGAGGAATGCGACTACTTGGTCAGTGATCAGTGGTTTAGGGTGTTGGTCGGCATTGGTACTTTGCTCGTCATCCTTTCGGTCCTCCTTCTGGGGAACTGCAACTGGACTATGCAAGCCGTGATCGCGATCCTATACATTATCCTTAATGCATTTTATTGGGTCGCGTCCTTATTTCCAGAAAGGGCCCTTTGGGACCTGTCACGGTACGACTGCCAAGATGTGACGCCAGAGCACATGAGAAATGCGCAAACAAATACTGAAGGCGGCTCATCACCGAGCTTTACCCGAACACTATGGTTTGCAATCCAGGCCACCCAAGCAATAGAATGGGTCACGATCAGTGGCGCGGCTCCGAAAACGGCAGAATGGGAGAAGTGGCTGAAGTTGGCTGAGGTTAACTGTAAGAATAAAGATTGGGACGCTATTGGTGAGAAGAATCGCTTAATGGGCGAAACGAGCTTGAAGGTAGGCTCACTACAGCTTTCCGAAGAGGCACAGGGTGCACCAGCTACTCTTCCTGTTCGGAAAGAAACTGTTTGAAGAAATTACTGCAGTGAAATGGTGATACATGTCGGTCTCCTTACCAGCTCTTATCATATGGAAGTCACTACCAGCCAGATGATGATACTTCTTATTCAACCCAAGGGTGTAAATATTGCATGACCTGTTGGTTCATTCAACTGTCAGACTTGCGACAGTATCTTTCAAATCAGCTCGTTTCGTGTTGTGCGTAATAGAAGGACTATTTTGATCACCTCTCCAGTATTAGTCGCTTGTCTCACCGCGAGAAGAAACAGCTTGAAGTGATTCTCAGGGCTATCTTTACGCTGGGAATCAGCACTGATGTTGAGGGGGCCAATATGCGAAATTATTCAAAGGGCCATGAAGTACTGCCATACAGATTATTAGGTGTTTCTGCGGTGATTCTCAAGCAATATAAGCAGGGATTGAGCAAGAGTTTCGACTACCATGCAGTAATCATTAATAGGCAGTCTACACCGACAGACGCAGTTCAATGTTTGCTTATGTGGCCTAAAAATATCCCTTATTTCCCCAAGCCCCGCACGAGAACGTCTTATCCTTTTCATTCGTCGTTGACCCGAGCAGTTCACCTACGATCTGAAGGGGCACAGAATTGATCACGTTAAGGCACATATTACCACGAGTTGATATAAAAGTAAAATTCTTAAGCCTTTTAGCAATTGCTTCTCCACATGGGAACTCGATAGTGTGCAAAAAATACTTAAAGAACCAGCAAGTACAAACACACTGGTAGGCTGTATGGTGCGCGCTAAACATAATTTGAGCTCAAAAGATCCTAGTGGGCATGAGAAGCCAATGTGATTCTGTTGCAGACAGGCAGGGGGGATAAATGGGGCTGAAGGTGTATACTAGGACATCGAGGTATTCCAGCTGGCAACGGGAAGTGGTGATTGACAGTGACTTGCATGGCTCGCTCGGGCCCTTAATAAAGCTTTGGTAGGTGCCCCGCAATCACGGCCCCTTTCTATCAGGGGCCATCCTTAAGACCGGCACTTGAGTGGATTATTCATCTCAATTTGAAGCACTGATGTATCTCTTACTAATGGCCGATCACGTATGCATCTCTAACACTCAGGGTATTTCTGAAGAGATGAGTGCTACCAACTGAAGATACTTGATTGAGGAAATAAAAAAGAAACAAAGCGCACAGCAACAGAGCGGGACCTCTTATTTACACTAATGTAAGGCTCTCTATTCTAACCAATCAGACACCTCGTTTCAACTCACTGCATGTCCATCACAATGTCAGCCACCAAAAGGGGAATAGATAAACGAGCCATGTGCCCAGTACGATGAACATGATTCAAACCCTGAGAGCCTCCTTCGTCCATGCCCCAACTGCGCCAAGGAAGCAAGGCAGCGAGGACTGCTTGCTGAACACCTCGACCCAAAATGACATCAACAATACCACTCACTACCATCTTCACCCCTCCAGCAGACTGCTCATCAAGCTGGACGTTTGAGGCTGCCACTTACAATGGCGTGAAAAGTGGTCTTCTTCTCCAAAATGCCTTCGAGTCCAGTATGGACGCTTCATGTTTTCCACCCGGATTCAATCATGCTGGACGCGGCACAGGGGCCCTAGTATTCAGCCCGGGGGCGTGCCCACAAGGATACACAACAAACACCCCGGCTACGACTGTGGAGTCGAATACCTTAGCGAGCTGTTGCCTCAGGTCAGACGTTCTTCCGTATCCAGGCCATGTTGATTAAAAGACTGACAGCTCACGTTCGCAGCGGCTACTATTTTTTGACCTCAGGAGGCATGCAAGGCTGTATCAGCACCCACACCGGGAAGACCTTTGTAGCCGCGAGAGCCGGAGGGTTTGGGAAGACCGATTATACCAGCAGTACAACCGCCTCGGGAAAGATTCAGATGTGGGGACAACCGATCACGATAATGTACCAAGCTAGCGACCAGAGCCTATACACTACCTCAACGTCTATATCCTCAACGTCTACATCCTCAACGTCTACATCCTCATCGTTGTCCACTGTTTCATCGGCTACAACTTCCGCGTCTTCGTCGCATACGCTTTCTGGTGGAGCAAAAGCAGGCATTGCGGTTGGGTCAATCGTTGGGGCACTTTTTCTGCTTGGTATCGTACTGTTTTCATGGCGCAGCTGTAGACAGCAACGGCGTCAAGAGGAAGGCAGCTTTCACGATACCGTACAAGCACAGGAACTAGATGATAATATGGCAATGAGACCGGCGCCAATGCCGGTCGAGTTATATGGTAGAAATGTAGGATCAGGGCTTGGAGGGAAGGATTTACCGGGACATATCAGAACACCTGAGCTGGAATAATCTCTATGGCCTTCTAACCTGAGATGCTGGAACGCCAGGCTTTACTAATAATTGATATGACGACCTCGACGAGAACTTTGGATTTAATAAAGATGTACCTATGGATTAATATGTTCGCCTCAGAACTTTTGTTCATTCTTTTATATTCCAAACCACTCAGATACTTTTATCTAAGACCTTGAAAAGCAACAATTGATTGTTATATCGCTTACCTTCCTTTTCCTCTAAACATAGACACTTCCATATTGTCCAGTATGAATCAATATACCGAAAAGACCCTCTACATACTTTACTTCTAGCATGTGCCCGGGGATGTCTTGTATTCAAGTCAAATGATATCGCTCATTAGGAACATGAGCTGGAGGCTGATTGGCATCGCGCACACTGTGTATGGATTTCAGGTGAGCCCAAAACTATGGTAACTAGAATTCCATATAGAAGAGAAACATGTCATCTGGATTTTGTTTCTTTTTGCCATCATTAGTGTATGCAACACAGAAACTTTTCTCCAATTCAAAGGTTGGGTGCCGGGACAACTATACCACTAAAGCTTCGACCGTCCAAGGGTTTGATAGGTATTTTATACCACAGTTGTGGTCTTATTAACTCCACACCAACGCTACAGGCACGCACAACAAACATAGGGCAGGAGAAACGGCAGAATCATATATTGTAACCGACCTTTTGGTCAAATGGGCGGAGGTATTGGATGATGCACGTGATTGCAATGCCGGGGGAATTGGGCTGTGTAGATCCTTGAGAGATGTATCTGCACTCACTATTTGTGTAAACCTATTAAGTATAATACAGAAACTATAGGGTACGATTGGTTTCGAAGATAAATCGACAATCGCCCTCAACTTGTTGACTGATTGATGAAGTACCCATCCATGAATTATTCACTATTGAATAGCATCAGCACATAAACATCGATCTATCATGTACAGTATCTCATATCATCATTTTCCTGGCTTTCGGCCCCAATCTATCTCGTTCTCTTCTTCTAATTTGGAGTAAGATGCAGGTTTATACATGAGGATGACTCGTGTTCACGTCGGATTGGCTGAAGTTTTCCTAGCAAGTACTACGCTGGCGCTGAGCTGTTGCACCTCTTCGGTCCGGATGGTGATGACTGCGAGGCTTTTTGCACCCGCATCCCTCTCATGTGCGTTTTCTTTTTGTTGGTCCTCACTTACCCAGGATCGTATTTCACTCTACAACTACCACAATATAGTCGCCGTCTATCAAAGGTCTACGACCACGAGCCTTCCCCTGAATTCTCCATTGATGAGATATGCCGACTGAGTAACCTAAAATGTCGCTAAAACGTTTAGACCGAGATTCCTACCGGGTCGGATGGATATGTCCATTGGAGGTGGAGCAGATTGCAACAATGGAGATGCTAGACGAAGAGCACCAACCTCTTCCGCAACCAAGCGGGGACACGAGCGTTTACAACCTCGGTAGCATCAACAGCCATGACGTTGTCATCGCTGGACTTGCTCGGGCGGGAAACTGCTCCGCAGCCACCGTCATCACTCAAATGAGGATGACTTTCCCTAACCTGAAATATGGCCTGCTGGTGGGGATTGGGGGCGGCGTACCGACAAAAAAAGCGAATATGGAATGATCCGTCTAGGACATGTGGTCGTTAGTGAACCGACTGGTATACACTCTGGGGCAGTACAGTACGATCATGAAAAGGCGAAGGCAGGTCACTTTGAACGCAAAGTCTCCCTCGCACCGCCGCCAACAGCCCTTCTTAACTCTGCGCGGGAACTGGCTGTCCGGTGCCAACGGATGGAATTTGATCCAATTTGGAAGAATATAGAGCGAGTTCAAACTAGCTGTCGACCACTTCAAGCTTCAAGCTTCCTGGCGCTGCGAATGACCATCTCTACCCGTCAGAGTACACACATAGGCAGGATGGGATACCCTGTGAAGATAGTAGATGTGATCCAGGGCAACGTATTGAGCGACTGATGGACGAGGAAGGTAACTCATCTATTGTGGTACACCGAGGCACAATAGCATCTGGGGAGTTAGTGATAAAGGATGCTGAGATGAGGGATAATTTAGCGCGGGAGCATGGGGTGCTATGCTTCGAAATGGAGGCAGCAGGTGCCCTTGCCGATTTCCCTTGTATGGTGGTTCGAGGAATCTCCGACTATTGTGACTCGCATAAAAGCGACCAGTGGCATGGGTACGCATCGGCGGTAGCAGCCGCATATGCACGGCAGCTATTCTTCCACATGTCCATTGAAGAGGTGCAACGGTAAATTTTGCGCAGTCTTAATACGAAGAGGTCACGAATGGATGATTATAGCTCATTGATGCATTACTTAGGAATTCAAATCCGACGCCTACTACTTTCGAGCTCCCGCTCCATCTGTCTGAAATATCCGAAGTGACCCGGTTAGTCGCACGGGAAGATCAGCTTCAGAGGATACAAGAGATCCTCGACACAACTGTTGGACGCCGTACTGCTGTGGTGCATGGGTTAGGTGGCATTGGTAAGACGCAGCTAGCGATCGCATATATCAGACGAAATCGGTCTAATTATTCGGCGACTATGTGGCTCAATGCAAGAGATGAAACAGCGCTGAAGCAAAGCTTTGCTCGCGCAGCTGAGTGGATTATACGCCACCACCCGTCTATTACATATATTTCGGGTGCCTTGGACGGCCGAGACCTGAATGAGACGGTGAAAGCAGTCAAACTATGGTTAGACGAGCCGATGAACTATCGCTGGTTGGTCGTCTATTATACTTACGATAATCCTTTTTCATCAAATCATGATTTTTCCGTCAGACGAAAAGCAAGTTAGTAAATGCTGTAAGAAAAAGAAAAAATCACGCAACGAAAGTTCAAATAATAAGCAAATAACCATGGTTGCCGCGACCCTCACAGTTTAATGTGTTCTCAGTCGCCCCTGATCTCCTGCATGATGTCGCAAATTGCATCGAAGGTGATGCGACTTCGCGTGTACGGCGATTGGGAATGTCAGACCCATGCATGATGTGATTCACGCTGTCTTGAGCTCGAAGTCAAGGCGGAATACCTCGCAGGCCATAACGTCCATACCGACTAGTAATCCTGCTTTGAGGTTGTCGACTAGATGTGCCTTGATGTTAGCTTCGCCACATTGTCTTGACCTCGGAACAAGATGTTAAAATTAACGGATTTCTGTTTTTTGGCGATGCACGTCGATCCTATTCCATTAACTATGATAGGCTTTGAATCATTTAGCTACAGGCCTAACGACTGGGCTAACGAGGAGTCGATGATCATCATGACGCATCCTGTATCTAGACAGGCTATCAGCTATTTTGTCGGCGAATTGACACCTACTAGTGTTAACGCGTACTTCCACGATTTTAAAACTTCTCCTGGCTCCGCGGCACTTCTTCGGTCTAAAGTAATGATTGGTAAATCTGGCAAGTCCTCTGTTGGCATACTCGACGTCGTAAAGTTAGTAAATACGTCGTCTTCCGCGGCTGCCGCTTTTTGTTTACAGTCCTATAGATGCTGATGTGACTTATTATGCGATGCAAAGTGCTCCGTGCAATGTAGACACATATAAATCCTCGGCGATTGCCATATTACAAACGGGTTCATAATCATCTTGATCTTCAGCATCAGCGTCTCCCAGGCCATATCCAGAGGGGTAATAATCGTCTTCCTGATTATTAGACTCCTGCTCATCCTGTGCATCTGGGTGTGAAACACGGTCGTTATTGTCCGTCATATAGGCTGTGGCTCTGGGGACGTGTGCGGCACCCGTCGGGCGGCTCCATTCACGGCGACCGTCGCTTCTCGTGTCGTTCCACGCGTCTTGCGATTGATGGGGAGCATTGGCGATCATACACTGTCCTTTTTGATTTGTCAATGAGTTGTTAAAGTATGGAAAGACTGGCCGATGGGGCTCGTCTGAATCCGAGTGGATCATGGGAGAGGGGTTTCGATGCGGATCGAAAGAACCGATTGGTCAACCGGTGGACACGGAGTGTGCGTCGGTGTCTTGGGAGCTTGAGGTATCAGCCGCAGCTGGGGAGTCGATTGGGGCGGCGGAGCTAGATGCGTCCCTTTGGCAAGCTTGATAAAATCCTTGACATCTATTGATAGATGATGGCTTGTCAATGGCCCACCTAGGGGGAAAAGCGAACTGAAACGGTAACTGTGGACACGGGAATATGTTAACAATGAAATCCACAAGTCGAATCGACACATTGCGACGGTTTGGGCAGCAGCGTTGCTAGAAATGGCTCCGCCGCTCTGCCCTCCGACTGCCTATTTAGGTCTACTATCCGCATTCTAACCCGGGCCGCTCTTACTCCCTGATCATTACTTGAACTCAAAGTTGTTATTGGCTTCGTCGATTCCATCACCACTTACCAACTATTCAGCGATTTGAAAGTCAACCATGCAGACAATCATGCGGCCGTCGACATCAGACCAAGCGCCAAACCGGGCTCTCCAGTCAAAGCGGCAAAAGCTCACCCCTACTATTGATCCTAACATGCTTAAGCCACTTAGTTGCTTTTCGGACATTCTCATTGATATGAATAGCGATGATCCCAGCATTCGATCCCATGCGGTCAGGCAGCTTACCGTATTATCGCCTTTAATGCAACAGCTCACCTTGGCAAAGAAAATCGCCGGCGTCCACTATACTGCCAGGGATTTCAAAAGTCTCGGAGACGCCTGCACTATTCTAGGGATCACACATGACCCGATGGAGCTGTGGAATCGGCCAGATGTCGATAAATCTCCTTCGGCTACCCTCTCTCCTGATGTAGACAGTGTCATTCACCGACTCCAAGTCTCGGAATATCACACAATCGACAACTCTGAGGCTTCTGTGCGCGTTGTTGTTGAGCTACTTATCCTTGACAGGCTCCACCACCTTTCTGATAAAGGGTCGCTCGAACATTTACAGCTCTATCCGGAGGTGGACGTCAATCTCCTTCGCGGTAATAACTATATCACCGGCCGTGCCGACTGGTTACTTTGCCATGACGAACCTCAATATGGCATTGATTCGGCGCTGATTGCTATAGAGGCTAAACGCAGTCGCGAGCTCTCCTCGGCCGATAGCCAAATAGCGACATATCTCGCAGCTATACAGGACTGTCGGACTAAACTCCCAAAGATTCATGCTATCTCTTTCGGAATCACCACGGATGGTACTAGATATCAGTTCTGGTTCTTGGACTCGGAACGGCAGCTGTCCTCATCTGTGATCTTAGACTGGCGTCTCGATAAGGCTAAAATCATCGCATGGATCGACAAAATGCTCGCCGACGCGATTGAGGCCTCCCCACTAACAACGCCAACTCTGCGACGGAATGTCTCTTTGCGTAACTGGGAGAAAGACTTCCGACGCCGTCGGCTTTTGAGTTCGGAATCGGAAGACTCACCGTCAATCGAGGGACTTCCGTTCGACATTACGGTTCCAGAATCGTCCCAGCTTATCGGGCATGCATGGTACCAGGGACGAAAGGTCATGGTGGTCGAATATGATGCAGACGAGGAGCCAAGTGACAATGAAGAAGAGGATGAAGCGGTTTGAGATGTTATTATACCGCCTTCTTGATCATGTTGCAAAATTGGAGTAACACAGCGAAAGTCTAGAGACCTGGATCTACTGTCCGCGGGATTCTGGAAAGCCGAGAACCCCTGTAGACCCACCTCAATTCCTTGTACCCAATCATTCCCACCGCAGCTTACTACATGTCTCCACCATGACTCACAACGTACATTGATTGACTCACGCCATTGATTCACCGCCCAATGCTCCGCCTAATATTGCCGCATGAGGTTTTTGTCGGAGCTTTCCAGATACTTCGCTTTTTAAATACGACCTCGCCGCTCCTTGGAGATTTTGAAGGTGCTGTTTTTTGCTTCCAGTCTTTAGTCTTCATCATTAAAAAATCATCATTAAATTATCTCCAGTCCCCTGATCTGCCAATATACCACTCCTTCGAGCCTTCTTTGAAGAGCTCTTCGATTCCCCGCATCAAGAATCAAGCACTGCCTTGTCAACCAGTGGACCAAATCGTCACTAAAGACGTGTATGAGCGTATCAACAGTGAAAAATCAGCCTTTCCTGGTCTCGCAGAGCATGTCGGACCCCGTCGCAGCTCCTGCTGCTCCGAGCTCTACCCGTTCTCGCAATCGACGCCGTGGTAGGGGCCCCGCCAACCGCGAAGGCCGACAAAATACACCAGTCCAACCAGCAGATGACCAGCCTCAAGCGCAAACACCACAAGCTCAGCCCGACGCCGGCTCAAATACCGCGAATTTAAACGGCCAACCCCGTCCACGGAGAGGAAATCGTGATGCAGGAGGTTCTCGACCACGACGAGGCCGTGGCAATGGCAGGCAAAAACCGCCAATAGAAAATGGAGAAAAGTCTGGACAACCGCCTCAGGCTCAGTCACGGGGAATGCGGGCCAGAGGGTTTGGTGCTCGGTTGACAAAGTCTGGCCAGGAGTCTGAAGACCAACTGCACGGAACAGTAGCGGATAGCCTTCGGGCTGATGTTCCGGATTTTGTACCTGGTATGCCTGCCTCAAATTTGGATTCTGCGTCTTCTTCAGGGAAAGGCAAAGGAAAAGCCAAGCCGAAAGGGCCACCAAAGCCACCCAAAGTTACGACGAAATCAGTAGCCAACGACATCGCAACCCGGATTCACGAAGATATCGCCCACAGCCTGTACGAGTGCCCCATCTGCACCAGTGAACTAGGTCGAAGGTCTAAAGTTTGGTCCTGTGAGCTATGTTGGACTGTTTTCCACTTGAGCTGCATCAAGAAGTGGTCCACAAATGAAGGTGCAGCCGCACAAAATAACAACAGAGAGCCAGGCAATGGTGAAGGCTCTGTCAATCCCCGGGCTTGGCGATGCCCCGGCTGTAATCTTTCACATGAGCATTTCCCTACTAGTTACACATGTTGGTGTGAAAAGGAGATTGATCCTAGGCCACTTCCTGGTTTACCTCCCCACTCTTGTGGTCAGACATGCTCTCGCCCTCGCAAGGGCTGCCCTCATCCGTGTGATATGACATGTCACGCTGGTCCATGTACTCCTTGTACTGCAATGGGACCAATCCAGGACTGCTTCTGTGGTCGAAACTCTACCACGAAACGGTGCCAGGACACCAATTATGAACAGGGATGGAGCTGTGGAGAGATCTGCGGCGACCTTCTTCCCTGCGGCGAACATTTCTGCCCTCTCCCGTGTCACGAGGGCCTGTGTGGTGCCTGTGAAGTCAAGATCGACGCCCGTTGCTATTGCGGGAAAGTCCAAACCGAAATGCTCTGCAGTTCCAAAGAAGATGAAATGGAAAGCCAAACTGTCAATGCTGATGGAACCGAGGAAGAATGGACAGGGCTTTTCAGCTGTAATGATGTATGCAATCGGGCCTTTGACTGTGGCCTACACTCATGCCAGAAGACCTGCCACCCTCAAGACTTGCTTCCTGCACATTGCCCTAGATCGCCCGACATTGTTATCCGATGTCCATGTGGCAAAACCAAGTTAAGCGAGATCCCTGGATACACTCCTCGTAGCTCCTGCGAGGATCAGATTCCCCATTGCTTGGAGTCCTGCGGGAAAATGCTACCATGTGGCCATTCATGCGACCAAATTTGTCACACAGGTCCCTGTGGATACTGTCTCCGCCGTGTACCAGTCAGTTGTCGATGTGGCCGCAATACTTCCATGAGTGTCTGTCACCAGGGTAATATTCAGAATCCTCAATGTTTCCGTACGTGTAAGGCCACTTTGCACTGTGGTCGGCATACATGTACGGAGCGATGCTGTCCTGGGGAACAAACGGCTATTGAGCGTCAGGCTCTACGCCGTAAGCTCAAGGCCCATCTTCGCCCGTCAGATGAAGATATCGAAGCCGAGCACATTTGCACCCGCATATGTGGTCGAATGCTGAAATGCGGAAAGCACACATGCCCGGAACTCTGCCACAAAGGTGCTTGTAACACCTGTCGCGAAGCGGTGTTTGAGGAGATTTCGTGCAATTGCGGAAGATCCATTCTGTATCCACCACAGCCCTGTGGAACGCAGCCCCCTCCGTGCTCTTCTCAGTGCAATCGCCCCAAGGCATGTGGCCATCCTCAGACAACGCACAACTGCCACGTGGACGAGGAGGCATGTCCAAAGTGTCCTTTCTTAACTGAGAAAGCATGCTTATGTGGCAAGCGGGTGATGAAAAATGTGCCCTGTTGGCTCAGTGATGCCCGCTGTGGCCAGGTCTGCGGGCAGCCCCTAAAATGTGGTTCGCATTTTTGCAAAAAGGATTGTCACCGAGCGGGAGATTGTGAAGATGCAAACAAGCCTTGTCAGCAAAGCTGTGGTAAAAGCAAGACATTGTGCAGTCATCCATGCACTGATCCTTGCCACGCGCCATATCCTTGTCCGGAAAAGACACCATGCGCATCCACGATCACGGTCACTTGTGGCTGTGGACGTTTGCGCCAGCAAAGACGGTGCAACGCTGCCAAGGCGGTCACTTCCAAGGGCCAGCTACAGCAGCCAGAGCGTCTACCCGTACTTACCCCATTAGCCTGTGACGATGAATGTGGCCGCCTTGAGCGCAATCGCTCCTTGGCATCTGCTCTCGGCGTCGACATCAATCAAACGACCACAGTGCAGACCATTACCTCCACAAACCTGCCGTATTCGACCGAAACGCTTGATCAGTATATTAAACTTGCATCATCCGTATCACTTTCAACTCTCCAAACTTATGAATCAACATTGCATTCCTTGGCACTCGACTCAACCAATCGCTCCACCCGCTTCCAACCTGCCAAGTCAACCCTTCGTTCATTTACCCATTCCCTCGCGACAGACTGGGGTTTTGTGACCGAAAGCCACGACCCAGAGCCCCATCGCCACGTCTTTGTTCTGAAGCCTCTAACCTGGACCGCACCAATCTTCGGCATGGGTACCGGCTCTTCGATAGGCATCGGTGGACTGAGTGTGCGCGAATGTGTGAAGCTCCGCGAACGCGAGCGCACCAAGGAGCGTGAAGCTCAGCGAATTGCCGCTCTGGAGGCCAAGGCCTCGCGTGATGCCGCGAAGGCACAATCAAGCGTGTCTGGCGATGGATGGGCACAAGTTGCATCCCGGACTAAGGGCAGTGCTAGTAGTACTAGGAGTACCACACCTGTTCAAAATCCATTTGGCAGCCGAACAATGTTTTCTGCTCTTTCTGGCGAAGGAGTTCAAGATCCACCGTCTAAGAAGGAGCGCTTGGTCCTTCGATCGGGTATCGGCGCTGGCAAATCAATGCGCAAAGAACCAGCCGAGGAGGTCGTGGATAGCTGGGAGGAAGCAGAGGAAAAAGAGGAACAGGTTGAGCGCGAACAAGAAAAGGTCACACTGGATGAAAATCAGACGCCTTTAGATCCTGTGTCCGGTACACAGGATGTTGAGCGGCAGGATGAGACTAAAGAAATCGCTGCTACTGATGACCTGGATTGAATCTTCCAGGACAATTCCTTGGATTATGACTCATGACTATGAGGAAAACAGAAATTTGTTGTTTATGCATATGATACCCGGGTAGCATTGAGGACCTCGGGGGCATCCATCCCAAATGTGGGACTTTCATCATTATTTCGTTTTATGTACTTTTTTATTCAGCCATAGAAGGAATCATTTCGCATAAACATTCTTGATATAGCCGATATCATCAGTAATTTCAGATTGACTGAGATATTGTTTATGTCATAGTTCTTCCTTTTCCAGTTCGCTGCATGAGGATCTTTATGCAATATGGAATCATGTAGTTGCACAGGGACACGTATGCTGACTAATCTACACATCGAAATCAATTAACTACTCGCCTCATCTCAAAGACCAATTAGCTCCCCAGGTGGTCATTGCTTTGAGGTTGATAATTCTTGTCACTGTTCGCCATCGTTGACTATATGGTCCCAACATTATTCGGTGTCACATGCGAGGCGTATGTGTTACCTTGACTCCAACTGAAAGTGTAAATATTGGGTAAACCGACAAGACAAAGTAGATAATTGAGAGGTCGTTGTGGGTTAGATTGAAATGGTTCAAGGCTACTTATTGAGCGACAATTCCGTTACGCAATGCACTAAGTTTTATTGCCAATATATCAAATACAACTATCAGGGTTTCCTTTCCAATCAGCATGCCTTCAAGTCCAAAATTATACTCAGAGCAGTTGCATGCCAACGTTCTTGTCCTTCATGGTAAAATAAAGCGCTCCAAACTTTCAGCTGATCAGTATAATAATTCATCTTCATCCAGGGCACGGCCAATCGGGGCAATTTATATCCTGCAAGACCCAGTTCCTCCAAGCGCCTCTAATCCCAGCTATCCGAGAGTCCTTAGAAAACAACGCATCACACCTTAAAGTACACACGGTCAACTTCTACTACCCAACAGGCATGTTCCCCGCCGAACCTGACCACCCAAACGTTGAAAACAACATATCTTGGGCCTGGGGGTACGGTGAGGCGGAGATAGAACAAATGTCTGGATACCAAGAATCAATTCAACAACTTTTGGCAATCCTTGAAGAATACGGTCCCTTCGTTGGTATAATGGGCTTCTCAACCGGAGCTACCTTAGCTGCTGCTCTGGCATCTATATTGGAGACTAGAGAATCTCACTTTGGGACTCCTTTTGAGGTGCGTGAATGCAGAAAGACTCTTCATTTTGCCAGATCCTACACTTTCTAATACTTGTACCCTGAACAGACAACCCATCCGCCTTTCCAATTTGCGGTATGTTTTAGTGGTTTCAAATTGGAAAATGAGGTTTATGACTCTATCTACTCCCCTAAAATCCAGACTCCTATTCTTCATGTTGCCGGTAATTTGGATCCGATGATTGATCCTGCGAGGACTAAACGGTTGGCTGGTTCTTGTGCCAATGCCTCATTTTATCAGTTTTCCGGCTCACATTATATTCCTCGGTCTGTGGACTTTGTCAAGACGTTGACTGAATTTGTCAAACAAGCTTTGAGCGGCAACAGAGGTGAATTTGATTCGGGCTCGGAAGATGATGAGTGGGAAGATGTCTAGCTGGGTCGTATACTAGGTCTTGGTCTCTCCTTCTTTTTTCGGATTCATTGTTTTTCTTCCTTGCATGTATATTATTTCAAATCTAAAATGTATATCTCAATTGACTGTTCGATGCCTAGATATCCAGTGTAAACCGTATTCCCATCTTCTACTTCTATGTTCTAACAACGTACAAAACTCTCCATTTCAAATCTTGAGTCATAGCCTAACCAGAAGACTCGGCAGGGATGACTTTCACAAACATCAAACACCCCTCATTAGATGCCCGGTATGGTCCATGTAGCATGCCCGGTGAACGATAGGCATATGCACCAACACCCCATGACTGATCCCGCGAAAGATCCTCGAGTCCACCTTGCAGGAAACACACCTCTTCAATAAAAGTGTGCGTAATGGGCTCGTTTGTTGTGGCGGTATTCGGTTCCCACCATTGTAGCACAGATTTATGTTCCGTGTCCCCATTTAGAAGTAATTCCCAGATCCCAGGGCCAACAGGTTTCCATGGGGTTGACGAGTGGGGTGTGCCAGGTTTTGGTAGGGGAGGTGGGGTGGTGAATTCTTTTTGCATGAAAGCCATTTTTGCTTTGGGTCACTAGTCTTCTCCGAAACTCTTTGCCTTTGCTCAGCTTTCGCCACCTCCTGCTCAGTGAGAAGCACTGCCCTGTCTGCTCTTATAACCGTTGGTGGGCTCAAATATCATTACGTCAGCAATGTGATCTGGATGATTATAAATCATTGACTGTAAGTTATGGAGACCATATGGGGTGGGACTGTCAGATAAGCATTCAAACTCTTACAGGCGTTCGTTCAAAGTTAAGCAAGAGCTATCAAACCATCGAAATGAAATGTTTATATATTTTGTTTGGAAAAAATTGAAGCTCTGTTGCATTGTCACAATAGCGTGGTTCCCAGAGCTACGATGAGAGATTCAATAATCAACCAACCCCGTGGGGAAATGATATGCGGAGTAGCCCCCAACATTTGAGCTTCAGCCTCCTCTTCGAAAGTTTCCTTGATTTCCTGGTTTCATGAGATTCGATTTCTCCCGCTCTCAGCTATATAGCAATATCAACCCAGTATGCCTCGAACCACCTTGAAACGCAGCCCGGAGCTTAAGATAGTTCTAGACAACGGGACTACTTTCATACCTGGCGAGACAATCCATGGCCATGTGCTCCAAAAGCCTCCTCTGAGCACGAATATATCTGTTTCCATCTGTTTCCATGCAAAAGCTGAGGTCACAATGAACTTTTCTAGTGGCATGACTCATCGAAAGTATACCAGTTGTTTTTACCTTTTCGGGGGCTTGGGTGGACTTCCCAAGATCCAGCTGGATCCTATCGAAGTACCACCCAATAATCCTGAATGTACGAAGTGGCCATTTTCGATTACAATTCCTACGCATCCGGATCTTTCCTTTATGAAGAGAAATAACGTGGATGAAAGGAGTTATTTGGCTCTCGGTGATGCACCGTCACAAGAGCTACCTCCGACCTTTTACATACGAGCCCCGTCTCTGGGTAGAGTTATCGAAGCATGTGTCGACTATTACCTGGAAGCGACACTAGTTAGCAACTGCAAGAACAGATTTCCACTTATTGGAAAGAAAGACTATAAAGAGTTCAAAGCCACTCAACCACTCTGTGTGCAGCTGATCTCGTCGCCAACTCCAATTACCGACTTCGAGACCAAGCATCGTTCTGAATACAGAGAAAGATTCGTTTCGCAACGCTTGATGATTGGCAAGGACTCTAAACTCTCCGTCGGTCAAAAAATGGAGAAGATGCTTGGTTCCTCTAAAGTTCCAGTATACTCGTTCTCTCTCCAGTTGGACTTTGCCACTGTGCTGCAGATTGGTAACCCCAATACTATTCCTCTGCGGTTGGGAGTGAACACGATTTTGAAAGAAACCAGCGAAGTCTTACACAACAAAATTCCAGACATTGTACTCGAGCAGTTCACCTTGACGCTGTTATCGACAACGCACTACACGTCGAAGCGATTGAGGTCGACGTCGACATCGAAGATCCCTGAATTGCAGGACACATCCTCGCTCATTCTGGCAGTGTATCCTTGCATGCATGGTCAACAAAAATCGGGCCAAACCATCGCAATCCCGAGTACGGAAATTATCGTTGTGCCCCGAGATAGTACATCTCCACCTATTGATCTAGGCATCGCGCTAGGGGTGAAGACGCCAATGAGCTCTAGAGCGGTGGAGATATATCCAACATTCACAACGTACAATATCAAGCATGAACATTTTCTTGAGTGGGAGTTAACCCTCGCATGTGCAGGGGAGGTCGTGAAAGATAGAGGCAAGCAAGCAGTTACAGTGAAAGCGCCGAGTGATGACTTGCGACAGCCCCAGGCACCCATAACCTCACCTTTGATGACTGAAACTTAGCTTTGCAGTGATAATTCAGACACTTGGGGAAGTGCCACCCATCAGAGAAGCTGCTGTAAGGTATCATTATGAGCCTTGGATATCTGCTATAACTTACGGCTCTGTTGGTAGTAAATCTTCGTTATAGAAGACATGTGTTGCATCGGTCTCATTTGTCTCAATAGCTTAGGAGCGCCCTTCCGAGAAGATAACGCCTCTTTGGATACAGTAGATGTAGAAATTTTTGAAAGTCATGTGTATCCCCATTTGATGTACAAATTAGCAAGACCGAAAATAAAAACAAGCTTGATCCACCGAAAGAAAACAGATTCGACAACAGCTATTAATAACAAGAAATCAGTACCATTAACAAATAAAGTAATCCCGAAGATCGCTCGACACATGCAAAGCATGTGGGAAACGGAACAGCGGTGCTTTCCTCGATAAAAAGTTGGCTAATGAACTATGTAATGAACAGGGTGGGTGGGTCCATCCGACATGACGCGCGTAAAGCCACACGGGTAAGTACAAGGACCCACGAGACAGGCTAAGGGACCGCTCGGCTGACCTGTCATGTTGGGAAAGAGGGCAAATACAAAAGTAGCTCGTGGCCTTTCATAATTAGAGCGGGTATCATGGTGGTATTTGGTCGGCCAGAAGAGAAACAGGCGGAACGGACGCGGGCATAGGGGGTCATTGATCCATCATTGAGATAGTAAGCGGCACGTTTCGGACAAACGTTTATTTATCCATCACTTCCTCAGTAACAAAGGAATGGATGTGGTCAAAGTAACCCGGCTCGGCCACAGAGTCATTGTGGGCTCCGTTCGGCAAAGTACGCCAGATTTTGGTCTCTGACTGGCAGAGTGCGAATAATGCAGTCATATGAGAAGGCCTATATTGGATTAATCCTGACTGTTTCAATGAATTTCGAGTGTTTGACTTACGGCACAATTTCATCTTTAAGTCCACTCAAAAACAAAATAGGAATATTGGTGATTTTAGGCAGCCAGTCCTCGCTTTGCCAAGTCTGATGGCAGAAGCGAGCTAGGTACCGCGCTGGGGGCATGATACTAGACAGAAAAATGAGCGCTTATTGCTTGTGATACGGTAAGCAGAAAGGGAAAACTCACGATGGGATCAACTTTCGAATACTAGTGAAAGTGTTCTCCAAGATCAATCCTGCAATGTCACCCTGTTCTTGGTTGGTTGCAACCAGGTTGATCGCAACGGAGCCACCCAAGCTCTGTCCATAGATGACTAGCTGTGTATCTCTCGTTTCTGGGCGCTGTCGCAAGTAGTCCAAGCCAGTCTGGGCATCAATCTTCAGGCCCACTTCATCTGGTGTGCCAGTGGACTTTCCATATCCCCGGTATTCGAGCATAAAGATATTGCAGCCTAGCGTATCTTGGATCGCTTTGCCGATGGGGACGCGATGACCAATATTACCAGCATTCCCATGGAACATCATCACTGTAAGATTGCGCTTAGAACGAGTCTTGGGCCCCCGCAGAAATAAGGCATGAAGGGATTCTCCATCGGGTGTTGGGATTTGAAGTTCTTCAAAATCGGTGATACCGAATTGACGGGGACTCGGCACATTGATTCGCGCATCGACTGGGATATTGCGGGGGTAGACCACTTCACTGGAACCATATTAGTCTCCAGAGCGCCAAATCGAGGTAAAGGTCGACTTACTTTTGCTTAAAATAAAGGACTCCACTTGCGACCACAGCCAGACCGGAAGAGGCCAGTACGGGCAAACGAAGAAACTGAATTGCGTTGTTGGCCATGCTGCTAATGCTCCATGCTGGAGGCGGCGGAGGGGATTGGGACATTGCGAAGCGCAGGGGGTTGCGGGTGGGCAAAAAGGAAGTGTTTTGGCGAGGCAAGATAATACAATACTAAAAGAAAGTTGTACAAGACAAATTCACAAGATCAAAGGAACATTAAGGAGGTTAGGGAACTGTTGTCTTGCGGGGGGCTGGCGATAAACGGAAACCCTATCAGCACTGGCCCTTGCTTCTCACCGCCCGAGCTGGACGCGTTGAGCTTCTGCCTTCTTACAGCTCCAATGATAGAGCATCATCACCCTCTTCCTACCCAATCTCCAACTCCCCATTCCTCCTCTTTGTTCCTCGCTGTCTCTTTACTCAGTAATTCTACTCACATTTGACCCATCAAAATGGTTCACCAACACGGCGTCACTGGCATGCTAGGTGAAGGTGAGTTGAGCTATCGTCATCCGCCGGTCGAGGAGCTAACATCCATCCAGATGGCATCCACGTTGATATGAACCACCTGAAGAGCGGTGAAGTCAAGTAAGTCTTAGGGATAAATTGTTTTTGTTTCTCATCAAGATAAGCAAATGCTAACCAGTCACTTGTCCAGCCTCGGAACCTCGATGTGAGTTTATCGGAGCTTGCCCTCACCCTCCACGATCATCGGATTTTAACGATTCAATAGCATGGCAATCAACTTCAAGGATGGTGTGATTCTCGGTGCGGACAGTCGGACGACTACCGGTGCTTACATTGCGAACCGAGTCACGGACAAATTGACACAGGTGCACGACACCATCTGGTGCTGCCGATCGGGCTCCGCTGCCGATACTCAGGCTGTGGCCGATATTGTCTCCTACCATCTGAACATGTACGGCGTGGTCAACAATGAGGCCCCCAGCACCCAGGTGGCTGCATCACTCTTCCAGGAATTGTGCTATGAGAACAAGGATGCGTTGAGGTGAGTCCCGGACCTGAGGCATCGACAAGCACGGACTAACCGCCTTCACAGTGCGGGTATCATCATTGCCGGATATGATCCACGACACGGTGGCCAGGTATACTCGATACCGCTGGGAGGATCCTTACACAAGCAGTCGTTCGCGATCGGAGGATCAGGCTCAACCTACATCTACGGTTACACCGATGCGCACTGGAAGGAGCAGATGACGGAAGAAGAGGGTATCGACTTTGTGCGAAACTCCTTGCAAGAAGCGATCAAGTGGGATGGCAGCTCTGGTGGTGTTATTCGACTGGTGGTCCTGACTAAGAAGGGTGCCGTGCGGCACCTGTACCTGCCGGACAACGGCTACACCGGGCCTGGAGTGACAAATTAAATCTGTACTAATAGCATGCGTTGGCCCTCGGAATGCGAATGGATTATGATCACCTCGATCGCCTTGTGCTTTTTTCCCACTTCTCATGTTGAAACAGGGAAGTTGGGTCTGAGCAGTACACCTGTCAGATGTAACAGAATGGCGCTAGCCAGCTGTCATACCCTGGACCACTTTGATAGTTGAATGAGGCGATCAGAAGACCAGTAAACAATCGAGAATCTCGGCAGTTTTGATCTGGGGATTAATGCAAACCTTCATCCCCTTTAGCCCTGGAGGATTACATCATAGATGCGGAGGTATGTTGGGGGATTGCAGATGCATACCGATGCACGAAGTTTATAGAGATAGTTATGAATGATTGAGGCCGCACATAGAAATCTATTTCGGAGTATATGTATCTCCCTGAAAACTTAGTTCGGAATGGATAGATCGAAGTCAATTCCTCTCGGTGCACTATCATGAAGAATCATGGCCACGGGCGCAGAGATCGGGCTGTCATTCGTCCGATATGATCCCATCCACACCGTCTTTCTTGAATATTTTACGTTGATTATATTGGAATGAATCCTGATAAGTGAGTTTCCCCCCTTATCCCTTGCTATAGAACTCATTTCTGGTTTCTGGTTTCTGGGTTCTTATGGGTTTCGAATTCCTATCTGGCTTCTTCCTTCTCCCTTCTACTCTGTATCTGCCTATCCTTCAATTTAAATTAGTTAGTCTGTTTGTTACTAGTTCCCTGATTTGAACCCTGCATTTGACGGTTGAAACAAGAATTGCTCCCACTTAGTTGTTCTTCCTCTTTAGTTTCACCTTCTGCCCGGTTCATCTCCACTGACCTTACCGTGGAACCAGTCTCTCCCTCTGATTGAACTGGTCTACGTTGTTTCTTTTGCAAATCCGTGACTTGTTCTTTCTTTTTCTGCTTCTCCGCTTTCTCTACTCTTGGCTCTTTGCGCTGGCAATGGCGTGGACTGGTGCTCCCTGAATCCAACCTTCGCGTGTTCTGGCCCTTGACCTCCGGGGACCCGGACCCTTCGTCATCGAAATGTAGGCAAACCACACTTTCTAACCCCTCTTTCTCTCTCATCCCCGATCAAATCCCCCAGGATGATCCAGGGTTTCACTTTGGATTTCGTTGCCCAATCCAGCGCTGACCCGCCGAAAATAGACTAAGCTGGCTATGGGATCCATCGTTGCAAACCACGTGTCGTCGGATAAGATCGACAGGATGTTTGGAGCAGGAAACCAAGAGGTGTACTCGCGCTTCGAGGGCCGCTCTAGATCGACCTCCTCTAATACGACCCCCACCTCGACCACCGCCCCGCCACCCATAGGCTCTGCTCGGCTTCCCGCGCATTCGAACGAGATCCCCGCCTACATCAACTCCCACCCCCCAAACCCCTCCAAGGACCCGTCCCATCCTTTGCCATCCATGACCTCTTCTAACTATGCCTTTTCGACCGATTACCCCTCCCACTCCAACTCTCAGACTCCCGTTGGTCATGCTGACGGGGACTCGATGATCGCCGCTCCGTCTGCACCTGCACCGCCGGCTTATACCCGGTCTCCAGACTCCCCGCGCCTGCAGCCGACTTTCAGGTCGATGCAGTCTGTCCCGGGGTCGGAGGCAAACTCCCCTAGCCGCATCCGCGTTCGGAGCTTATCGCACATTCAGAGTCTAGCCAGTGAAGAGTTCCTGGCGCCACCTCCACGATCACACGCTACTGGTCATGGCTCGCCACAGCGACAATTCGAAATCAGCTCAATGCCAGTGGGGGATGTCATCGAGATGGTCGCTGGCTTGCTCACCAAGATCACCACCACCAATGATCTCCATCACGAGCATACACATCGCCACATTCCTCCGCCAGAAGGGACTAGCAACCTTAGTCCACAAGCCACCAGCGTCCTCGCATTCCACGGAAAGAACGTCCCCAGCATTACAATCCTCAGCTACCTCACCCGCATCCACAAATACTGCCCCACTACCTACGAGGTCTTCCTCAGTTTGCTGGTCTACTTTGACCGAATGACCGATTTGGTCAATCGGGGGCAAGTTGACCAGTTCCAACGCTATTGGGAACCAAGCGCTGGCGAGCCATCTGATTCCTCCTCAGATGCAATGGACACATCGGCAGACCGCCAGACACAGGATCCATCAATAGTCACTCCACCATCCTCCACACGCATGACTGCACAAGACCCGAAGAGTCCCAACGCATCCGTTTCCCCGGGCCTGTACCCTCAAGGAGAAGACGACAGTCTCTCTCAATTTTTTGTGGTTGATAGTTTCAACATTCACCGACTGGTCATCGCGGGCGTGACCTGTGCGAGTAAATTCTTTTCCGATGTTTTTTACACCAACTCTCGATATGCAAAGGTATGTGGGGTACCCCGCCATCTCATCAATTATTCGCTAAGCACTCAGGACATGTAGGTTGGCGGTCTTCCGCTTGTGGAGCTTAATCATTTGGAGCTCCAATTCCTCCTGCTCAACGATTTCCGTCTAGCCATCACGGTTGAAGAGCTCGAAGCCTACGGAACCATGCTGGTCGAATTCTACGCTCGAGAGATTGTTTCACAACAACAAACGTCCGTGCCTTGGCCAATTCCAAACTCCGGTGCTGGCTCTCCCTCTGACGCGATGTACATGCGGACTGGCGAGAAGCCTCGAGATCCCACTGAACTCAGCCAGACCCCCACCCCACCTTGAGGGCTTGTTCTCTCTAGCAATGTGTACAGCATCCCTTCCTCCATCGCTTTATCACGCGCCTCACCTCATCTCAACACGCTGGGCGTTCGCCAATGGTTGATGGTGATGGTTCGTAATCAAGCTTACCAATCCTCATTCTCCTCGATTTGGCGCCACATACCCCTCCTTTCGTCTCACCTTCATGCTCACATATCTTCTGGGTAGTTGCCCGAATTTACAAGTCACGAATTGTATAGATTTTGATGGTCAGCCGGTTCAGCTGATTGGGTCTCTTCCTTCTATGCTATTCCCCCGTCTGCACTTCATACATTTACACTTGGGTCTTGCGTTTTGATTTTCTGCGTGGGTTTCCTGGCTTCCTTATCGCTTTTTTTTTTTTTTTTTTTTTTTTTTTTCTTCTTGCCATAGTTGGGTGCTGAGGCGTTGGATTGCATATTGAATTTGAGGGATTTTTGGGTTATAAGGACTTTGTTAGTCTGATTGATCTATATATTCTTTCCGGATCAATTGTCCCTTCTGTATCCAGTAATCTATCTGGGGTGTCTGTCTTATACAAAGATTCACTATTCATTACTCTAATATCCACATCCTCGAACCCAACCGAATAGCACGCCCTATTAGCAATCTCTTTAAGCTGCAGTGCAACCCTTGACATGCACCCTGACGTTCCGAACATCTGAATAAGCATCAGCTAGCCCTAATAGTCTCGCCAGCCGCTTAGGGTCTGACCTCGGCCCGGTCCGGACAAAAGTCCAAAATAGTGCGTTCTTTGTCCTTGTCAGGCGACCAGCTTTCGTACCAGGCGAGGTCACTGAATTGCTCCAAGGCTGGTATGTCAAGTTTCTCCAGCCGTGATGTGTATATTTAGTACGCATACCTGTGCGCGGCTGAAACCGAGGCCACGCTGTCTTTTATGCTGAAACCGAGGTAGGAGAAATCGTATTGGGCTGGTTTTGCACATGTCAACTGGTGGCTGAACTTTAGAAGCATAGACGTCTTAGTATGGCCTGGCTAGTCCGAACTGCGCAATCAAAGAAGACTTTGAGTTTTTGATTTTCATCATTCATCTCCACGTACTCTACATTCTTGCACCTGTTCTGCTCTACAGTCAAATATCCCTGCATCCAGACCACTTCACCATCAATGCTTATTTTTCCAGGCAGAGTATTTCTCCCAAGTAAATCATGCCTACCGTCTATGCACCTTTAAAAATCAAATTACATCTGGGTAGCAAATCACAAACAAGGACATGGCTTATCTTGCCAGGTTGCAAATTCATAGCAACGGGGCCGCAAAAACAGCTGCTTCTATCGGCACTCCAGTGATATGAGTCAACTTACTGTTGGCCGATGCAATCTTTCAACCCAAGAGAGAATGGTAAGAATGCGTCTTTGTCATCTTCAGAAAATCTTTCATTCCTGATTGCCATCGCTGAAGGAAAGTTTCGATCTGCTCTAGCAACAATTCTAATTTTAAGCTTCTTATGCATTCAATCATGATAGATTGATTGCGTCCTTGTGATTCAATAGGGAATCGTCAGTTGAACAAAGCTTTGAGTACCGGGAAAATATGCAAGAGTCGCCAGTTTCGACGAAGTTATAAAAACCCGAACTGGCTCCAAGCCCAACGACAGCGAGTCGTGTCATCAAATCAATAAAGAGGGTCGCCAATTCCCAGATCAAATGAAATATCGACAATCTCAATGTCGAATATGTCCACTATATTCGTATTTATATTCTATTGTTTTTGTATTGCTTTTGTTAGATGACCTCTCTATCCAGCGACTAGTAGTGTCTGTACATTTATGCTTTGCTTGATAAAATGCTCTCGCATAGGTGCGAGGAGGTCTTGCGTTGTTTCCTTTGCTAACGCCAATTACTGAAGCCATGCCGCTGCGCTCCCGTCAAGGTGTCCAAGAAACCTTTGTCTCGCGGCATGTCGATGGGCCGGGATGGGTTGCTTGCGCATACATCTCTCCAAGATCTGCAGTTCTAGTAACTTAGCTTACTTGGAGCTACTCAGATTTTGAGGACGAAGTCAACAAGCCAGTTCGAGCCGAGGAAAGAAAGCATCTAGAGAAGCGTCCAAGTGAACATTCTGCATCGACGGGACACAGAAGAAAAACACTTGGGAAACGAAACAAACGAGAAAAATCAAGGCATATAAGAACCCATCCACAATTACTGTGTGGGGCTCCCAATCAGGAATGTTTCAGAGCTGAGACTACACTTGATACAAACTTTAATCCATATCCTGTTGTGGGTACTGAAATTAGGGCCCACGCACAGACCATAACCTTATCTCCTCGTACATGTACGTGTCTCCAGTGGATTTACATGCTCGTTTCTCCTTCACAACATATTCCGATATATATGATGGGTAAAATGCATGATAGACCGAAATACAGGTCCTTCCAAGATCAACCAATTGTCAGTAATGGACAAATGATTTCCAACGAATTTTGACTAACTCTGTGTCATCAGATCGTCAATGACAGTCAATAAATAACGCAAGAATCTCTTGAGAACCCCAATGTTACTTCCATTGGTCTGCAGTAAAAGCGACATGGTTATTCGACTATCCACGTGCTTCCATTAACTCAAAATGTTCTCATTGCATCCTTTGTCAATTCATCGTCCTTGCAGTCGCTACCTTCGCGATGACGCTGTCTTTCACCTCTCGCCCGCAGCTGTTCAATGAACCTTACAGCCTTTATCCCTATCTTTGATTGGCCATATCTTTTCGATTTCTAGTCTTGCTTACGAGAATCGGCATTTGCCTTCTTCTTTTCGAAGACTTGTTACGCATGGCGTCTATTAAGCTGGCTTGGTCAAACTCTATCATCCTCGCGTGAGTTCAGTCTCACTCCAAATAGATCTCTTTCCGTAATTCGACTGTGCCCAGATTTGGCACTCATAAAGTAGCCGAAATTCATAACTCATTGCTCATAATTTTTGCTGGTCTCTATAATATGTTTCAAATGACACACCCATATTCCATCGAATGTCCTTCCTACGAACACCGAGTTCGTATAGTAGATGCTTGAGCACCGATCGACTCAGAAACTAGACATTCATGAGCCCCAGTAATGATAAACAGAATACTTTTGGCACACAACTGGGCTGGGCTCTTACCGACGCTTGTTTCACCCGTCATTGGCCCCGGCCAACTCTCAACTGACCGCTGCTCACTGTCTGTCGTGCCATTCTGGCCCTGGGACACTGGGCCTATGACAATCCATGATTAGCGCAGGAAATCATGGTGTTTTTGGGCAGCATACTGTTATATGCCTGTCCAGAGCAATGAGCTTTATAACTCAATTGCCTCAAAAAGTCTTCCTCGAAACACCCCGCGCCATCTCGAAGACTTTGAGCGGGGATTGGACCTAGGCATTCTTGCATTCCCTGTACGAAGACTGTCCAGTCACCTCCATGTCGCCGTATCATGCCCAGTTTTTGGTGTTTTTTATTGCTGATCTCCGAGTTGGTGGTCTTGTTGAAATGCTCGAGCAGGTTTGCTCTGTCTTGATACCCTTTTTTACAGGCCGGGCATATATAAACAAGCCGGTTGCCACGAATAATACTGCGGTACCAGGCCAGATCATGCGCCGCTTTTATGGACTCCGGTTTCGTCTCATTGTTTGAACCTCTTGGCACCAGAAGTATCCGGGTTGGGTAGATTGGCTGGACAACCAGAAAGGTCATACCTCCGCCAAGCCGTGCCGGTTTCTCAATCCAGATTGATTGCGCCGAACTCAAAGCCACTTCATCTACCGTGGGAGTACCTCCAACTTTTAGCACAGTGTAAATCGCAAACGGTAGGTTCTGAGGCGTTCTGGCTGGACGAGTCGTTTTGATCAGCGCATACTGGGCACACTATAAACTTTAAGCTTAGTAGATGGAACCATGAAACGATCGAGTTTCGAAAATACTTACGCCCTCATAGATCAATCTACGGATCGCCAATGTAGCCTGGTCAATCTGATCTGTCCAAATCTGGATGATTCCATTCTCGTCAGCATCAGCAGCTTTTGCATTGCCCTGCAACCAAGGCTCCAGCCCTTTCAGAACCTCAGAGATTTCCTCGTAGATTTCTGCATTTCCAAGTAACTGAAGATGCTCAAAGGGCTTCATATTCGATGTGCGAAACAAATATGCTCCAACTTTCGGTTAATTCTCCCGAGTCGAGGTCTCACCACGCCATAATCTTAAAGCCTAATAAGCCTGCGAGTCAGCCTCAGCTTGGCAATTTGCCTAGGTGTAGGCAAACTTTCAAACCTACACAAATACGACTCGACCTATCACCATGAAGATCAGCACTGCCCCTCCGTGAGCTCGCATGGATAAAAGTACATAGAAAGGCTTCAGGCCCCCCACTCTTCTCTGGCGTTTCAACTCTTGAAAATGGGCCTCGTCGGCGTTTTCTCATCTCACGCACCCTCACCATCTATGGAGGAGGCGTACTCGACAAAGGGACCATATGGACTTGATGTGTTGTATGATCCGGACTTTGCAAGTGTGGAGTATGTTTCACTTCGCTTCCTCGTATGCAAAGGATTGCTCGAACCCCGCGCATCCCCAACGGCCCGAGCCCCAGGCTAACAATTTGATTCACCGACTTTAGCATCGTCTTCGTCCACGGATTAACAGGAAACAGAGAATCCACGTGGACGGATAAACAGTCGAAAATCTTTTGGCCTAAACAGCTTCTTCCACGTGATCTTCCCAATGCCCGTATCTGGACTTTTGGGTATGATGCCGATATCATCGGGGCTCTGAAGACGGCTAGTTCGAATACATTGCGAGATCATGGGAAATCTCTTATGCATGATCTGTCACTTGCGCGGCTGATGCAAAAATCTGTGAGTTTGACATTCGTTTGGTCTGGACCGATGATTGTCTAATGCTTAAGGTTCTCGTTGGCTTCTTAGCATCGTCGCCCTCTGATCTTCGTTGCTCATAGTCTTGGCGGCCTCGTTACGGAACAGACACTTGTTTGTGCTCGCGAATCGCCTCATCAGCATCACAAGGATCTCTTCGAGTCGACGTTCGCTATTACGTTTATGGGGACTCCGCATGTTGGTTCTGCACAGGCCAACTGGGCTACTCCGTTGACACGATTGGCCAGTGTTCTGCGTAGAACGAACTCGGAAATTGTACAGGTTCTAGAGCCGGGGTCTGAGATGCTTGCCAATCTACAGCAGGGATTCCATACAATGTTGGAGGATTATCGAAGAAATCATTCCAAGACTATTGAGATGTTTTGTTTCTATGAAGAATTGGCGGTCAGAGGGATTGGCAAGGTTTGTTTTGTTGTAAGACTCCCGTACATGTCCATTCGCGCTAATCATATTTTGGCAGATTGTCGAAGATCATTCTGCTATTCTGAGTGGCTGTTCTAATCGCAGTATCCATGCTGATCATATGGGGATGACCAAGTTTGGCAGCAATCGTGATCCTGGATATGTTGCTGTGAGTCAGCAGTTGTGGTTGTGGATTTATACTTTAGAAGAGTCGAACGCGCAGGCGCAGGCTGCTCCGGTGAGTACCACGCAGCTGCAGCCACACCAGCAGCAGCATACCATAGATTCTGGTGGTGGTCCTATATTTCTTGGAAGCGTGACTGCGGGTCGAGATTTTATAAATTCGACCCAGACTAGATAACGACTTGCTACATATGGATGTATATGGGATTGAGTATTGGTGAATCGTGCAAATATAAGTACAATTACTATATAAAAAAAAGGGAAGAAAAGAAAAGAAAAGAAAATGCAGGTCTGATGCAACGCTATAGGTACATTAAGTCATCACTGCTCACTACGAATATTGTTTTTGGGTTAGTAGAGTAATTCAAGGAAAGAAAGTATGTATCCACCAAAATAAGTAAAACAGGCATGGACTCGTTAACATGAAGGCATTATTCGATCCGCGGTGGACTCCGGGACTTTTTGCCCATGGGGCTCCGGCTCATACTGGTTCTGTGATGAGGTTAGTATACGAGCTCTAAATGAGACCAGAGAAACAAGGTCCACTTACGATCGTCGTCGCTCGCCTTCTTTGCGGAATCCCTCGATGATCTTCGCCATCTCCTTGCGTCCTCCGGCCGCATCAACCTTCCGTCCCCCGAGACTCATGCTCACTTTCTCGTGTGCGCTGGCCATGAGCAGTCGCTTGAGAAGGAGATGCCGCATATTAAGACACACGAACACACCACAGTCACTGCCACCATCCTGCTGGGGTGAGTCACGAAGATGCATAAAGCTGATAGGCACATTCAACAAAGCCCCGAACTTCCTCGTCACATCTGCAGCCTCCCACTGATTCCCTTGGTATAGTGAGTCATAGTGGAATGCAATTCGGTCAACGACGGAAATAAGTAGTAGCGACCAATGCGAGCCGCCTTCTGCTTGCATAACATTGCGACAGTCATTGATAGGGAGGAAAACGTGGGTGGCACGAGAGAAGTCAGGGAGGGCCTCACGGAGGGTCCGAGGATCGCGAGTTTGAGCGAGCATGAAGGACATGCTGGGTCGGAGGAGGATGATGTTGGAGGATTGGTATTTGGTGAGAAATTCATGCTCAAGATATCTGCAGGGGCAGTCGTCGATCAGCTCAAGAATCTTTGGGAAAAACTGGTGTCATCCGATCAAGTCGAGGGGACTTACTCCTCCCAAAATGAAATGATCTATAATCAATTAGCTTAATTTTTAATTGAAGCTTTCACGTTGGCAACCCACATTATCCGTGAGCCAGTCATTCTTGAGAGTTTGCATATCTTCTCTCGTCACTAAACGCATGTTAATTGCTGATCAAATGTCTCACTCGTGGAGCATGGGGTCCATACACCGAACATCATAATCTATTAGCGCGCAAAACCGCCTCCGTTAGCATGTTTCGCAAGGTCTTCAGCATTCGCATGGTAACAAACTCACAGCTCAAAAAAGCGTCCTCCGGTGTCAACTGCGATGGTCAACAATTGTGTCCTGCGGGCAACCAGCCTAACCAAGACTCACCATATCATTAAACCTCCCCCGCATCTTCTTCTGCAATTTACCTAACCCGCCGTCCAACATGGTGGCAATGCAAGATCAAGCTCCGCAGAAGGTCGCAGATATGAAGCCTCGAAGGGTTGCTAGTGGTGGACCAACACACAGGGGCGTACGAGACCAGACCAAAGAAAGTCTATCGCAACGGCGGCAAGAGAGGCTAGGCAGACAATTTATCCCACTCAAATCAGATCAATATGCAAGAATCGTTGCGCAAGTTTGTTCAATCGCTGTAACGCTGAGACCTTCCAAGTCGCAGACCCCACTAGAGGTTATGTACGTTTAAGCTTGAGATTCGCAGCGGCGAGCAGTCGTCGTCTGGGACGGCAACCTGCGAAGTTGATTCGCGTTCTCCCCAATCCTGCACTGGCGAAGTGGAGACCGTTCGGATACTCCTCCGGATTGGACGGCTCGTTCGGAAGGAGTGGACGTCGTCAGCCTTATGGTGGCGGACGGTAGTGCAAGAGGCGCTAATCTGCAGGGGACTGTGGATGCTGTACAGATTGGACAAAGGGCGCACTGTTTTTACTGGAAGGGAGGGTCTTTGGTCTCGTGGTGGTTGTTCGGCTTCCGCAGGGTGGGGTGAAAGGAGAACTCGGGGGAAGGTTCAGGGGACCAGACTAGCTGGCTGCGGGCTTTGAGGTGGGCAGTGTCAAATTAGGGACATCACTCTGGTATCGTTAGATTTCCAAGATAACCAGGCACCGGAGCAACGAATCCCTGCAGTCTTTCGGGATGTTGGGCTGCGTCACATGTAGTCACGTGGGGCCGGTTGGAGGCGTTGGCATGTTGAGTATCTACCCCAGGATACACTGTCCGAGGAAATACGTGTGTAGGCTATACAATAAATTTATATGCGCAGCAATGATTTACGAGGAAGAGAAATTGTAGTAATAGTCATCAATAAAAAGGGGTATCTAAACATACATCCCAGGGCACTAGTGAACATTCATCACACGTATCATGGAACGGGAAGAAAATGATTGATAGCAATGGACATGCGTGTAGCTTCGAAAAATTTTCACGCTTAAACGGCAGATCAAGATGAAAGCAATGTCATGAACCGGCGGTCACCTTTCTGTTGAGTCTTGAAATCCTTCAACCCGTGTTAGGGATCGGGCAGACAAGGCGAAAGTGCGATCAAAACCGGACGTAAGTAACGGGTGTATGTCATATTTGTCTCGGGAGGAATTGCAGCGTCTATGATGACAGCTTGGCAAAATGCTTCATCCATATCCAGCCAACCTGGCTGGTGGAATCATCTTGGTTGCGGGCAAGCCACAACTCGCCCTTCTCACCGAAGACGTCGAAGATTTCTCCAGCCACGTAGGTCAAGTAGGGATACCCTGCCTCACGCCGGGCACGATCGATATTGAACTCGTAGAGACTTGCGGCGAGGAACAACACTGCAGGTTCCTTGGGGGCATGGACTTCAGGGTCCTGTGGAGGCTCATGCTCGTTGGGGTTATCGGACATTGGCATGGCCGACGAAAACAAGCCAGAGGATCGGGCCGGGGCAATTGATGGGTCGTTGCCACCAGACGTAGCTCTAAGGATTTCGGCAAGTAAAGGCCCATCGATACTGAGTCTCGGCAAACTAGGGAATGCCTCGGTTCCAGCTGATTGTTGGGAGTCCCCGACACCAGACGAAGAGCGGGTAACTTGTTGTAGGCTGCGTGATGTATCCGGGGATTCGGGGATGGCGCGCCCGGAGAAAGTCGAGTCAGCCCGATGACGGCTGGTGCTTGACGAGCTCTCAATCCGGGGAGATTGGAAGAGCTGGCTGACGCCACCGAAGTCTTGAGAGACTTTGGGTGAATCTTCTATAATCGACCGGCGATGGGTAGAGCTATTGGCAGTGGAGGTTCGACGAGTTGAGCTCATGGAAGGCCGACGAGGAGAGGCCATACCACCAACTCCTACTGAAGGCGTATTAAAGTTCACAAGATTCACGGTTTCAGCTAGCAGGGCACCGTTGCAGATACCAAGAGAGAGAACTTGTGCCTCTGCAAGGTTGTAGTCACTGCTCCAGTCGCTGATCAATTTCTCGAAGGAATCTGGGAACGTGTCCACGTGAGCTCCCACTTTCTTCTGCATGATTCCCCACCAGGTTGTCTGTATCTGGACGAAGTTCTTGAGGCAGGCTTCCATGAGCTTCGCAGTCAATGCATACAGTCTGGGTAACTCTTCCTTCAAAGTTTCATTCAAGGCAGTGTATTGCTCGCCCTGCTCGGTGGTTTTCTTATCGGGTTTGTCGCCGCGATCGATGAGAGCCTTGTAGCGACCATAATCAATCAAACGCTTATCGCGCTTCTTCATCACTCGCTGGGGCCCTTCGTGAATTTTAAGCAATGTGACCATTGGTTGAATGACACTATTGCGGACCACGCCAAGATGCTCAGGCAAATCAACGGTAATGATCTCCCTGATTGAATTTTTGAACAGACGCCATTTGGCCTCCAACTCGTGGTACTGTGATGGCGAGACATTCATCACACCTTCAATGGAAAGAACAAAGTCATTCAATTGATCCATTGCACGTGTCGTTTCCCGAGTATACATCTCGACGTCACGCATGACCACCTGCAACTGAAAAAATCCGTCACCAAAGCTCTGGGACAAGGCATCGTATTCCTTGTCTTCGACCAAGTCAGACATCCCCACTTGTTGCCGGAACTTCTCTGTGCGACGCCCAAAAGCTTTTGACAGACCCGCTCGGACATCAGACTGATTGCGTTTCCGACCAACCACTTGGCCCACGACATCTACACGCTTCTTCATGTCATTGATTCTGATAGAAACGTTTGTCACTTCCGTGCGGGCATTCAAAAGTTGTGCGTGGTCAGGGTGATCAGTTGGTGTTGCAGCTAGAAGCTCATTAAGGAGAAGGGGGTATTTGAGAATCCGTTGTACAGGCTTAACCAGCAGCGAATCCAAATCCCAGGCGGTAGTCAGATCCGCCGCCCAATCCCGGCATTCCCTCAGCCAAATATCGACTTTCGGGTTTCCCTGGAGAATCTGCAATTTCTTGTTTGCAGCATCATAATTCTTCAAGTATTCGGAATAGACTCTTTCCATTTGAGCCATGTTGGTGGCGAATGCCTGACCAATATTGGTGGCACGATCCTTTTCGAGATCCGAAAAGCCTGCATCCGCCGACGCCTCCTCCTCGACGGCCTGTGAGGCAGGACGATCAGCATTTCGTTTGCTGCTCCAGCGCTGAGACTTTGGCATGATGTAAATGCTTCTCGCAGCTTGCTTCAGTGCATCTTGGAAGGATTGAGAGAATTGCACAATGTCGTTTGAGTTGCCAAAAAGAATTTTAACATCCTCCGGCGAGAGATCTAGACAAGATCCTGACGTCCCCTTGTAAATATCATCCACGACCTTCATGTCACGGCCGAACGTATGTTCCGTGTCAACAAGCTCTTTGATGACGTTGCGTCGTTTCTTGAGGCGTCGCTGTTCTGGTGAGGGCGACTTCCTCGAGTCCATGCGCACTGGGTTTTCAGCAGATGGTGCCAATGATGTAGCAGAAGATCCTGCAGCTTGATCAGAATGACTTGGTTCGACTCGTCGAAGTGAGGAATCCTCACTGCTTCCTGCGCTGTGGGACACTGCTGGCAGGTGGATTGGAAGTATCTGGTTGCTGTGACTCGGCTGCGATTGGCTGTGGATGTTGTGGAAAGCGGCAGAAGGTCCAAGGGAAGCTTGGGACTCGACTGGGAGCTCAGTGTTAGAGAGTCCAAGGCCTGTTTGTTGTCAGTGACTTCTAGTTCATCTTCCGTGATGAGAAGCTTTCGCATATACATACCGTCGTTCATATACTCAGGTCTTTCATTGGCAGGAGTGACTTGGTCGTCTTCAGCAGCCATCTGCATCCAGTCCATAACAGACGGGGAAGCATCTTCCCAGTCACCGGGCCCAACCAGACTTGCCGCATTGGAGTGTCGGTTAGAAGCGACGGAAGGATCCTGGAACCTGGGCACTACCACTGGCTCGTCTTCCAAACCATCCGTCGGAGCATCAATCCGCATTGCGGGAACTCGTATATCTTGGCGTATGTTCTCTTGTGGTCCCACTGCATATTCCCTTGGTCTAGCGGCGGGCACTTGGCGGGCGGCTGGAAGGCCAGGCGAAGGGAGCGCTGGTGGGAGGCCAGGAGAAGCCCGGGCTGTAGGAAGACCATGGTCGGGTGCCCTGCCTCGGGCCAATTCTTCCAGATACAACTGTGTAACGCGGCGCGAGTCCCATTTTCCTCTCTTAACGAGGATCGGGGGTGTGGAGAACAGATTGGATGCGGGTAGTTGTGATGTTTGGAGCGTATCTGGGCCCATTAACCCAAGATCCTGGAGTGGGCCGTCTTCATGCTCATCATCTGCGAACGAAGCCGGGCGCGTTTGAGCAGCCGAGCACGGCTCGGTGGGTGGCTGCTCTATCCCTGGATTAGGTCCCTGGAGAACAGAGTCTTCCCCGCTGTCCTCGTCGCAATGTTCGTCGCAAGTTGATTCTTGGTTATGCACGGAAGAAGACCAAGAGCTCATACTCCATCTAGGGTCAGATGGATCGGCAGCTTGAATTTGTTGCTGCAACGGCTGGCCTTTCCTAGTCTCCTGGGGATCCAGGCTGCCCGAAGATCGGAAGAAGGGTGGCCCAGGAAGCATAATTTGGATCGACTCCTTGTCATCATTCTCGGACATACTGCATTCTGGCTCATCGCATGATTCACTGCTCGAGCTGGATTCGCGAATCTGCATGATATGGTTCAGCAAAGTGCGGTGGGTTTGGGCCGCGCTAGGTTTGCGTGGGATGAGATGTATCTGCGGTTCCGGATCGATATGAGTATCATCAGAGCTGGCTGAGTTTGGTGCGGCACTGTCAGGGACGTTCAATCCAGGCGCGCCATTGTTCGATAGCTCACGGTGACTACCATCCGGCAAACCAAGTGTTGGAGAATCCATTGTTGTGTGTGGAGCATTGTTATCCGAAGCAGAGACCGAAGTATTCAAATGAAGTTGAGGCACAATACGAGGCTCCACGCCGTCGTCAACAGGAGCCTCTGTTAACTCTGTAACTGTCGTGGTCATTTCTATGGGTAAGGGATGGTTGCTGGTAGCCGCACTTGGTGTTGTCTGCTCATCCTCGGGAGATTCAGGTACTGCTATCACCCTTGTACGACGTCGAAGTTCCGCTTCCTCCTCTTCTTTTCGTTCATTCTCTTGAACAGACCGGTTGAATGCTTGCTGGATGCGCTGTCTCCGCGTTTCGAAATCCACGTTACCCAGTTCGGGCAATTGACGTTGGCGCGGTCGGGGAATATTACGCTCCGCGCCACGGTCAGCGACTTTTCGCAAGGACGATAGCCTTTTCCCAATTTCAGGGGAGCGCGGTGAGCGGGGGGATGATGAACCAGCATTCGAAATTGTTTGCCGAGGCCGTGAGCTACGCAATGGCGGCGATTTTTGGGGGGTGGAGCAGAGACGTAAGCTTGTAGGAGCTTACTCCGATCCGCTACCGAATGACGGGTTCGGCCAACGGCCACGTCCCGGCGGCCACGCGCTGTCATTGCAAACGAAGCAGAACCATCTTCTTTCGTGCTGGTAGGGCTATTGATTCCAGATGGTTTAGGGAGTCGACTTGTGCCCTTAGGGGCCAATGATATGGAGTTTGAGCGACTGCTGAATGTCGCATTCGCGGTTGGGGAGAGAGTTTCCGAGCCGGAACCAGAGCTGAGGCGGCGCGAGGAAATCGGAATGCGGGATCTGGAATTTGGATTGTCGGGAGACCCGTCCCCGGTCTTCCACGGCTGCAAGGGTGCTGAAACCGCCATCTCAGGATTCCACGGCTCTGCAAGGGATTCGCTGTACGAATTCACAAAGTCACTCCGCGATCTGCGGTGACTGAGACTTTTCCTCCCACTAGACTGCACGGCCTCAAGCGAATTTGCCTGTCCAAGATACCACGCCGTTGGTGTCAGCGGTGTTCGAATCGAGGATGGGTTGGCCAGGTCTAGAAAAGCCGGGTTTGGGCTTGATATGCTGCCGTCGGAGCCCCTTCGTCTCAGGTGCGCTGGGATTCCAAGACCCGGGGTGGTCAGCTGCGTATTCAGAGTCAACAGTTCACCGAACAACGGTCGTCGCGAATGCGATTCTGGAATACGTTGGTAGAGTGGGGGTGGAACTGTTGTTAGTGGCCTCGTCGGTCCTTGTGTCTGAGGCAATGATGGTTGTGGCTCAATCTGCACCGTAGGGCTGCGCACGTCGAAAATAGGTGGTAAAGACTCGCGCAATTGACGACGTCGTGACAGGGAAGAACGCTCAGATCCGTGTTCGCTGCCTGTCGGGCTCGCAGCGCGAGAAGTTGATCGAGATGTAGAGGGGAGGGGGAGGACTGAATCAGAAGTATTGTTGAACCGGTTGACAAGGTCCCTGAAGGATGGCTGTCGGGAGTTGATAGAAGTGCCTGCTGAAGATACATTGGCGGGGCCTTCGCCCAAGGTGGGCGAATCAGATACGGAGCGAGGTATTGGGCGTCTGGTGCGGGAGGATTCTACGACGTTTGCTGGCAAAGCGGACACTCTCTCATTCGGCGAGGGACCCGATGCCATGCCGTCCCTTGCACCCGTCACATTGCCAACGCCCGCCTTGGGTGGTGCTGACAAAGGTGGACTCTGTCGATAATAGTCGTCAGGATCGGGAGAGTCACGCCCAGTCTGGTCTTCAGGTTGACCGCCAGAGTGCAGATGACTTGAGGAAATGGAATCGATTGACTCGAAGCCCGATCGGCGGGAGGAGGGATACGTGGTGTGGGCCAAGGTACTGGACGGGGAGAAAGGTGTAATCGGTGAGACCTCAAATGGACTGAGAGCATCGTTCGCGGATTGGCTATAGGATGGTGTTGATGATTGTCGCCCAAACGGCTGGGAATGCCGCGTGCCAGAAGCCTGCTCGACGCCGCTGCCAGACATTTTCGCATGCCTTAGACCGACGTGGACTGGTGAACGGCCTTTCAAATTTCCAGGGTGGGTTCTGGCGTGATGCGTTGTTCCGGGGTGTGGTCGCCCAACGAGGTGTCGCAGGTAAGTTGACTCAGGCTACAAAGCAATCCCGGGGTGGTGTACCCCCATACAGCATCATATTCGAACCCCCAAAAGACAGAGACTTTTTTCGAGTTGCCACGTGCAGCTCGAGAGAAGCAACAGCTTTGGTGACTCGAAGCGGTGGACGAAAGATGCAGAAAATGGGGAGAGATCGACCGGGTGAGCTGTGTGGAAGAGCACAAGGCGCCAAAGAAGCCGATGACGAATGAAATGCCCCAAGGAATATGAGTGGATCCTGACGTTTGCTCAGCGTCTACAAACCACAGTCTCTGATAGGATAAGCGGGGAGGGGCGGAAGCAGATTGAGGATGGATGAAGAGCGGGCCAGATCGTTAGCTTTTTTCCTCTGTGCACCCGCCGAGTTTGCTCACTGCAGTGTCGATCAGGGTAGAGGAGAAGGAAAAGGGGAGAGATCCGAAAGGATGAAGTTTTCAATCTTTTTTTTTCTCACGAAGAAAAAAGTCTAAAATCGTAATAATTCCTCGGGGTTGAGGGGGGAATGGGGAGTTAGAGACCAAGTCTGAAACCGTGGGATCGGTGGGTTCGGGGGCCTTTGTTCATTTCCAGAGAACAATGGAGTACATACGTGAGACTTAGATTTATCTAAACTACCTCCTGCATGGAACTAAGAACTTATTGTCGAACCCAGCTTATCCCGACTATTGTGACTGCGTATCTATCATATTTGGTATCATATCCTTACTCTGTCCCTAGAACTCCATCGTGTCCGATTGATATCAATTCAAAGTTCCCCACCCCCAATCGAGTAAAGTCCCAGGAACATCAACTTGGATTTCTGCCCCTGCCAGCAAAACATGGAACGGGCTGACGCAGTGGGGACGCAATTCCTTCGCAACGGCCTTTCTAGACTCTCTGCCCGTACCGTGGGTCGCTCTGTCCCAATTTTCGGATCTTACCGATCGCTGATTGGCCCTGGCTATCTTTCCTTCTTCGGACTTTTCATGTGGGCCTTAGTTATTTATGGCTGCGATCGTGGCCCCCGAACTATATCGCTGGGGGCGGCCACATTTGGCAAGAGATTAATCTTAGATGATCAGCAACTTACATTGCCAATTAAGGGAATTATCTTCAGTAAGCATTCAAAAAGTAATAGCACCTTGGAATCTTGGAATTAAAGCATTTGAACACATATGTAGGGGCATAGTGTTGACTAACACGCGGAGAGCGGAGACAATATATATCCAGGACCTTAGCCTGGTCCATCATGATGAAGTCTGGATCATCGTCATGAAAAACTTGAATAATATGAAATGAACCACTTGTGTACGAATTATTCAAGAATTATAGAGAATAAAGTTTGGTTTGTCGGCAGTTTCATCATGTACGTGGGAGTCGCAAACCCCTTCTTACGTAGCAACCGGGATCCACGGTTTTCAGACGCGTCAAACCTCGCGGCACCAACAACCGGGTCAATGGCCCACGCAATGGCCTTGTAAACAAGGTGATTCTCCTATCCCCTTTTTCCCAGCAGGTCTCCACAGACTGTCCACTATGGGCAAGAAGAGAAAAAGACCGGTCAAGGACCCCGGTCCCACGTCGTCGTCTCAGGCGAGTATCACCGCAGCGCCCGGCCGTTTCAAACCCTCTAAAGACCCCGTTGCGCGAAATACCCGCACAACGCATCCAGTGATTTCATTGTACTACCGGCAGGTTTTGACACTGCGCCAGTACCTCTTGGATCAACTACCCATATCTTCCAAATTGCGGCGAAGGCGCATCACATCTTTGCGATCGTCATCCGAGCGCAGCAATGTCCAACCATTGGCAGACCTGCTGGATTACACCCTAGTTGGTGTACTGAAGGAGCCATCTCCGAAAATCGACTCCGAGCGACAACGCATCTATCGAGAGTTCACCCAGTCTCAATCCCGGTCGGTCCTAGTCAGCACGGACACGGGGCCGACTTCCCCCCAATCCGAAGTATGAAAGATTTTGAACTCAGGACTGTCTGAGTTCCAAACGGCTAATGTCTGGTAATGTTTAGGTAGTCGATTTTGTGATCGGGCAACTCTTCAAACAGAATTCTAAACCCCAGCATCTACTCACGCATGGGTTTCAGCGCTCGTCGAGGGAAAATGAAGGCCTAGAGGCGAAGGTTCCTGGAATCGTGATTCAGTTCCACAATCAAAATGTCAACACTCTCCAGCAATCACCTTGGACGGAGGTGTTGGACCTGTTGGGGCAGAATGGGGATGACATTATGCTGCGACTACTGTTTGATTGCGGCATTTTTGCTCCCATTGACACCCAAAGGGCCATCTACCATCAGTTAAGCGGTATGCTTCTTTTGCTACACCGACCATGAAACCAGCTCACAACTATTGTAGGCCAACCGCTTTCATTTCTCGAACAGATTTACGAGTCTTGTGCGAGGCCTGGCGAGTCAATTCCGGAACAAAAGCCCCCCGAAAAACCCAAACACTCTAATCGCCAGGGCGAAATCTGTAGTCCCAACAGCATTACCTTTCTTCGGCGCACTATGCTGTATAGCAGAAATGCACATTGGTCAAACGGGAAGCTGATCGTTGGATTAGGCAAGACTCGTAAGCTGCCAAACCTCTCCATGTCTCCATTCTGAAATTGTCATTGATTACTTGAATAGATGTCTTCAACCGCTTCCTAGACTTGGCCTCGGCCGCTAGGACAATACACGTGATGATGTACATCTTCCCACGGCAGTTTGGTCTGCGCAATGTGTTTGTCCCGACAGGAGACCAAAATGAACAATTTGTAAGCCATGGCCACGCTTTTCGTGAGGACGAAATATTTGATGGCGATGGTCATTCGAAAATCCCCAAGCGGCTTCGCGGGCAAGTTGTTGAGCTTGTACACAGACTTCGAGCCCGTCATGCTCGTTGCTCATATGAAGGATTATTGAAACATTATTGTCCGACAGAGGTGTGTTTCAAATTCAAAGGCTTATCGTTAATATCTAACATCTGCAGTTGATCGGACCCTGGAAACTAGAAGCTTCGGCCTCGCCTGTCAAGGATCGAGTGACGGGAACTGAACCTGGCTCGTCCACTGAGGGGAAGTTGACCACGCAGTTACCGCTCAAAACCACTGCATCTATCAAGGAAATAGGCCCTGAGCCAATTACTCACCCCTTGGAGCATTTAAATCCTCCTGGAGTCAATAATAGGACCTGCGAGAGCCGTATTAAGAAACCTAAACTCAGCCTCACACATTATGCCACACCGACTTCCTCCGTCTCTGCTTATTGTCGAGCAGTGCTGCTTAACCTGATTCCCCAAAAGTTTTTCGGCGAAGGACCAGAGGGATTTTTCAATCGAAGGATCATCATGAAACATATCGATTCCTTCATCAAAATGCGGCGGTTCGAAAGTCTCAGTCTGCACCAAGTGTGCGAAGGGTTGAAGGTATGTTCACAGCACCAAACTGTGAGACATCAATTATAGTAACGAAATGTGCAGATCACCAATATTCCCTGGCTGGCCTCTCCCAAACTCCATAATTCGCGAAGTGCTAAAAACGCCAAACTATCTCTGTCCGATTTCCAGAAGCGCACAGAGATCCTCCATGAATTCATTTACTACATTTTTGATTCCATCCTTATCCCCCTGGTCCGTGCTAATTTCTACGTCACCGAGTCTCAAACACACCGCAACCGCCTGTTCTATTTCCGTCATGATGTATGGCAACGCTTGACAAAGCAGCCTTTGGAGACCATGAAAGCGACCATGTTTGAAGAAATCGAGTCATCTCGGGCTCAAAGTTTGCTAGCAAGACGATCTCTCGGATTTGGGTCTTTACGTTTACTCCCAAAAACTACTGGCATCCGCCCCATTCTCAATCTGAAGAAACGCGTTTCCAAAGAATCTAATTGGGGCGGGAAAAGAAGAACTTATCTCGCAGCCAGTATTAATTCCAGCCTTGCTCCGATCTCCAATATGCTGTCCTACGAACGGAAGAGACAACCTTACAAATTCGGTTCATCCTTACAATATGTCGGAGATATTCATCTTCGGTTGAAAGATTTCAAGAGACAACTGATTCAACAATCAGCTGAAGCCAAGGACAACAAATTACCCAAGCTCTTCTTTGTTAAGCTTGATATCCAGGGCTGTTTTGATACCATCCCTCAGAAACAGCTTTTAGGTCTAATTGAAGACTTGGTGTCTGAAGAGACTTACCTCGTTACGAAACACGTGGAGATGAGTCCATCTGCCTTCGATGTGCGAGGGAAACCCACTCGAAGATATGTTGGACGTGCTACGCCAGCAATGAAACAGCAGTCCTTATCAAATATGGTAGCTAGCCAAGCCCAGGGTGGTAAGACCAAGACTGTCTACATCGACACCATTAATCAAAAGCTCCATGGCGCCGATGAGTTACTAAGCCTCCTCGACCAACACGTGCGCAATAATCTTGTCAAAATGGGCAAAAAGTACTTTCGCCAACGTAATGGCATTCCACAAGGCTCCGTATTGTCTAATCTGCTGTGCAACTTTTTCTACGGGGAGGTGGAAGAACAAGTGTTGGGTTTCTTACGTCCAGCGGACTCGGTCCTTCTACGCCTTGTCGATGACTTTTTACTGGTCACAACCGATGTGAACCAAGCGATGCAGTTCCTCAAGACCATGATCCCGGGTCAGCCATCTTACGGCGTGTTAGTCAACCCAGCCAAAAGTATGGTCAACTTTACCGCGGCTGTAGACGGGATTCATATCCCTCGAATAGAGGGATCGACGCTATTTCCGTACTGTGGCATTCTCATCAACACACATACCCTGGAGATGGTTCGAGACCAAGATCGTCTGCTAGAGGGTGGCGATTCAGCTGCCGCGTCCATCTCCGACACACTGACAGTCGAGACCAGTCGCGCCCCTGGTCGTGTATTTCGTCGCAAAGTGCTGGCACCTTTTCGACTCCAGATCCACCCGATGTATCTTGATGATGGCCATAACTCCCGAAGTGTTGTACTCGCAAATCTTCACACCAGCTTCATAACTTCCGCCATGAAAATGTACCGGTATATGAAATCCCTTCGAGGCCGCAGTCACCCAGCGCCACCTATCATAATCCAGACTATCCATGATCTCATCCATCAGACATCCAAAGTGATTCAAACACGACGCAGCTCGCGCTCAAGACCCTTGTCGTGTTTTGTCCAGTTGTGGCACCTGCAATACCTGGCCGCCTCTGCATTCCGGTTTGTCTTAAACCGTAAGCAAACGCGGTATGTGGCTGTGCTTCAGTGGTTAGACCGATTGGGAAAAGAAGCACGACCGAAGTCGAATGCGGAAGCGATTTGCCTACAGCAGGTAGCGAGGAGGGGAACGGCATTATTCGAGCAATGGCGCTTTTAATATTAAGAACTAGCTCCGGTAGCACCCATTGGAAGCTTGTTCCTGAGCGGTATCAACCAATAAGCGTCCCGTACCGTATCTGCCCAAGATACAAATTTCCGGACCACGGAACCACTAATTTTGGACAAGTACCCGAGTGGTCAAACAGCAAGATCGCTGGGGTCGAATTTACAATTCTAGGGAATCTTTGTATTCTTTAGGTAGCGCACGGAGTATCTGGAGGGGGGTTTGTCGATACCTACCTTGTTCGGTAGCCCTTTGCAGGGGATAGCGCTACCTGGCCAGTACCTGTACAATACATGGCGGTGACTAGTGCAGCACAAGTCCCTCCGAAGTACCCGCGTTCCCTGTTCTCGGCCAGACCGGCCGCCGGACTTGCCTGAGGCTCCGCTTGCAATCAATTCAACTTCGTTTTCATTTGAAAACATTCTCTTCAGCAACGCGACACCTTCATTTACGGCGACTGTTTTCTTGTTTTTTACTACTCTCGTTTCTATTCCATTTCCTTATTCCTCCATTCTCATCCGAAGTATTCCAACTTACACCCCCTTGGCGGCCCCCAATACACACCCCGTAATCTCGGGCTTCTCCTGATTCGTTTTTATTTTCTACATTTCCACCCGTTATACCTGATCTGGCGATTAACGGCCTGCGGCTGAGCCTGCAATTTCGCTTCTTGAACCCGTTGATCGATTGGTTTTTTTTTGTGTTTTGATTTTGCATCTGGAAGCCCTGCATCCTGCATCCCTCCCCCTCCAGAAACACCAATTCCGAGCCTTGCGTGCGATCTCGAACCCCTTCCGCCCTCCTCGTCGATTCTTACCTATATTGTTGCTTGGAACACCGATGGTATTTGTGGAGGATCAGCTTTAAGTGCAACTACATGAGACCATGACCTCCGTCTGCCCGACACCCACTTCCCCGCCCGAATTGTCCGGGTCCAAATCTTCCAAATCCTCCTCCTTTCATTCTTCACAGATCGATGGTGCCGGTGGCATCTTTACGGACATCTCCAATTTTGAAGACATTGGCCTAGAGGACGATGCGGAGCTCAAGATTGACGACCCCTCCACCCCTTATGCTCGAGCCGGCTTGACCGGGCGGTCGTCCGCCGCCAGACTGCCCAGCAAAAGTCCAGCAACTGCGACACGCGATTTGACCGCGACGCCAAAACCGCGGAAACGAAATCCCCTTCCTCCTATTCATAACCAAATCAATGGAGCCACCCGCGCACCACCATCTACGGGTTCCCTGTCAGCACGGTCTTCTAAAAGGAGGGATTCGGCGAGCACACCCAACTCCGGCGGCTTGACTCCATCCCAACCCCGTAGATCACGATCAGTCTCCCCGTTACGACCAATGTCCAGCCGATCCGCCTCGTCTACCAGTCTCGCCCTGTCTCCGCTCTCGGCACGTACACCCACACAGAAGCAGACATGGCAGCCAAATCGCAAGACCGTGAAGGATCTTGAAGAGGAGTACCATGATTCTGATGATGAGCTTCCCGATGATGCCAGTCTGTGGAATATTCCTATCTCTCCACGCCCAGTTCAAGATCGCCCGAAGTCTCGCGGCACAAGTCCGAGTGGCCGTAGTCCCGGCCCAAGGCCTTTGCCGATATCACATACCGTTTCTGACACACCCATTGAAAATCCTGCCGCCAATGCCTCCAGAGCAGCTCGCATGAGGAGAGCACCGCAGCGATCGAGCTCTGCGGGACCCGAACGGGGCCAATTATCGCCTCGCAACCCCCGCGCCTATTCATACAACAGTTACATGTCGGATCTGTCGGAGGAGGCAAGGATCATCACGGAGGCTCTGGAGTTCCACGAGGATGAGAATGGCCGTAAACGAGAGGATGCCGTGCAGAACGGCGGACCGCGTGACCCAAGCACAGAATCACCACGAGCGTCACGCGAAAATATCGAGCTGCCTCCGTTGCAGAAATCTAATATAATGATCGACCCTTTACCTATTAGCAAGGAGAAGGAGAAGGTTCTTACGCGAACGCGCCCTAGTTGGCTGCCGCCCAAGGATCAAAAGGAGGAGAAAAAGCACCTGAAGGAATACCAGCAGATGATGGCCCAATCAAAGGAGACTGGTGGGTTTACTTGTCATCTTGGCACGACGTAGGCACACGACTAATTGTATACAGATAAACGCAAGGCTGCGCGAGCTGCGTCCGCTCAATGCGAAAAGGACTCTACCCGAGCAACCCTTCAAAACATTTGGGATGAATTCGTCAGCCCAAACTGGGATCGGGCCTTGCGTGAACCACGTACTCGAGAACTTTGGTGGCGTGGAATTCCACCTCGCAATCGAGGAGAAATGTGGAAGCGAGCTCTAGGCAACGAGTTGTCCTTGACCGAGGAGTCATTTACGAAGGCACTTCAGCGAGCCAGGGACTTGCGCTCTAGGACCGAAAAAGAGCCTAGTGAAAGCAACAAACGAATGCTTGAATGTTTTGATGCAATCGAGAAGGACGTGTCACAAGCTTTCCCGGATTTGAATCTTTTCCAGGAGGGTGGACCGTTACGCGAGACTCTGATCGACGTGCTACAGGCATATTCGATGTACCGCAGCGATGTTGGATACATCCACGGCCTTCATTCCATTGCTGCTCTGCTAGTTCTTCAATTTCCCACCCCAAGCTCTGCATTTGTTGCTATGGCCAATGCTCTCAACCGTCCTCTGCCAGTCGCTTTCCTTACCTGGGACCGTGGTGCTATGGCACGCACATATACTTTAGCCTCGGAGACTCTGCGCTACAAATTCCCTCGTCTCGCTGTTTACCTCAATGAGACGCTCTCTCTGACGGAGGAAGAGATCTGGGAACCCATTTTCCGCACTTTACTCACAAATGGCCTCGATCTCGAGCGTGTGTCGCGTGTGTGGGATTGCTGGGTCTTTGAAGGTGACCGCATTATGATTCGCGCTGCTGTCGCTATTCTTGGCTGTCTCCAAGCGCAATTATTCTCTTTCCACCAACCGGATGATCAGAGTCGTCTTACTGTGCGCAACATCCTAGGCTGGGGACCTCGCCACGTCGGCGCGAACAACCAGAAACCCAAGGATCGCCACAGCGCCCCTGCGGCTACCGGCTTCGGCGGTGGTCAACTCTCAAATCCCGGTGTGGCCGACTATTGGGTCTTGACGGCCGCTGGCAACGAGGACGGCTTCATGACCGCAGTGAGAGAAGCTGGCAAAGTCCGGCAACAATAGACAAGCAGTTTTTCGATTCGAAAGCGCATGTTTTTCTGCCGCCTACTCTCGTTTTCACTATTTAACGCCACTGCACCTTTTTTTGTATGCATTGGCACACGTGGTGTGCCCGATACCTCTTACCCAAATCCATTCGCTGAATACCCGGAGAGTGCGCTTGCCATGACTTGTTTTCGTCCTGCTGTATAGTGGACTAATGATGGGTGGCTTGGCCCACCCCAACGCCGATTTGCCTTTTGTCTATTACTTGACTGTTCTACACATCCGCTTATTGCGTCCTTTCTTTGTGCCCGTATGGTTTTCAGCCTTCCTTTGTTCTCTTTCATTTCTCCACACTGTATTCTTTACTATTATGTTCCTGGGATGCATTTCGTTCCTGCCAAGGTCGATAGCGGTATACGTAGCAATCAAGGCTCTTTCTATTCACTTTGTTCCAAACCTTGGAATCTGGTTCCACTTGATCTTTTGTGAGTAGCAGCTCCACCAATGCCTTGTTCCCGTTCTCTGCAGCCAATGACAGAGATGTCCGTCCGTGAGAGCCCTTTGAACCTGGCTCATGTCCTTTCCAGATTAAAGTATTCATCACCTTCATGAAGCCAAAATGAGCCGCAATGTGCACATCTGCGATCTGTCTTGGCACATTCTGACTGTAGTTGAAGAAACGATAGTGGCTTTCATTCACCATCATTGCCTGGCATGAGCCGGAAACTTTAGCCTCGCTGCTAAGAAACTTCAAGATCGACTCTGGCTCTCCAGATGCTTTTCGAGCATGATATCCCCAGTTCCGTGCCGCATAATCATAAAAGGGATTGTTGCGTATCCGTGACTCAATAATGTCATCGGTTGCGCAAAACCCAACATTGAAAAATCCCAACGAAAGATACGTGATACAGGTGCTGAAATATCAACCTTCTCTTCCGAGAATTCATATGTACGCTCGAAATACTCCTTAGCCGTGTAATGTGCGAAATCGATGATCCCACTCTTTTGGTCCACGATGATCAATCCAGCGCAGATAGAACAAGGGTAACTGCGTCCGCAATGAACTTTTCATTGAAGCCTGTGACGCCCGTTCTGACAGCTAGAGCGTGTTGTATCTCTGGCAGTGAAAGCGCTCTCTTGCTGTACGTTAAGCAAGCCAAAGTTCGTCTAGCGGAATATCTGTAGCCTTTCGGCTGGTTTCCGATCCTCTCCACTGCTTGTATATAGGTATCGTCCAGCCGTGCCTCTCCGTAGTGTAAATCCTTGAGTGCTATCTCAAAGTCTCCTATGGTTGATTGACCTAGGAGAGATTTCCATGTGCAGCTTTGCAAGAAGGAACCTAGGTTTCCTGTTAGATATTTCACTCAGAGAGCCCCTCCATATATGAGTGAATAAATGAACATACATTCCACAAGCGACTTCGACGATAGTACGTCTGACCAAGTCCTGGATCTCGGGGTATCTTGATATTTGAGAAGCACAAAGCCTAGCCATTTGGCTGTTAACGTAATAAAGAATATCTTGGCTTTGAGCAGTGATCTCTTTCCAAACGCATCCATTAAACTGCGACATGATCTCTGGTATGTGTCGTGAAGTTGCAAATATATTGGGTGCAGTGTTTCTTTGGACACGGAATAGTTCGGTGAGAAGCAAACGAGGGGCTGTATTATCCAGGCTATAATACTCGTCCAAGGCGTCAATTGTGACAAGAACTCGGGAATATAACCGGGTAACGGAAATCGATGCTTCCATGATTTCAGTATCTGTTGGCCTGCCCAGGTCCCTTTATCGCTGTGGGTGGCATATAGGTTCAGAAGTTTCCTTGGAACTTCTTGTCGCCCTCTTGTGAGCTGTTTCAGGAGACTCAAAAGCACATCTGTGAGTCGTTGCTGTTGCGGAGATCGGTAGTTGCAATAGATGTATGCGATGCCAACATCAGACGAATTCCCATACTCGGCATTTACGTGGTCGATGACTATCGAACATATAATTGTCTTGCCTGCACCTGATATACCTGAACATAATAAAGTCCGCTTGCTTTTTTGATTGAGCTATTCCTGATACTCAGAGGGTTCCAGTAGCCACTGTCCAGTTTTTGCTGCTCGTTGACGGAGGACTTCACTATGCTGTTCCCCGTAGTCGACGGGAGTCAGCCGTTGGAGGAATTTGTGCTTGAGATCATCATCTAATGCCAATCTGATTTTGGCAACATCGCTCTTTGTGTTTGACATGGTCTCACTGACTGATATCGTTATTATTTGACTAGACACGTTTCTGGCTCAGCAACTTACAATTTTTGATCATTTCAGCGGCCGCTTCAAAGTTCGTAACCTCCCCTGGGTGGATCACTCTAAGGAGGTCTTTTGCATAGGCAGCAGCAGCAACCGCAGCATATGGCTGCCACTGTTTATTTTGGTGACCATCGGCGTAGTCGCAGATGCCCTTGATCACGACGCATGGAAAATAATTCATCAATCCTGCTGCCTGCATTTCGAAACACAGCACATCATGAGCATCCCGCAGCTCGTCCCGACGCTGTGCAGATCTCATGACAGCATTTCCAGAGGCAATAAGACCGTAATGAATGACAGGATTTTCGGAAGTGCGGTGGAGTCTATTCACAGTTTGTTGAATGTCACAGTTTTGGCAGTCTTCTCCTTCCACGTGAATATAGTCCGCTTTGAAAAGAAGGTCTTGCTGTCGACCAGGAAATTCGAAGCCTTCAATTTCCGGTAAATCTTTCATTTCGTTCATCGTTTAATGCAGAAAGTCAAGAAATCTGCTTTTACTGAATCGATGGTCTGCCTTGACCCACTTCATTGCCTTCAACAGCATTGTCGGGGGTTTGTTCAAATGTGACTCGGTCAGGAATTGATTGTTGTCTTTCCATTTTCCCAGGTCGTATTGAAGAATTCCACCTAGTACTCATTAGCATTGGTCGTGTAGTTGTCAAAGTTGGGCCCCTTTATAACTATCACACAATATGATGATGCGTACCATGATTACCACGAGGTTCACCCACTACAACATCCCCGAGCCGAAGGTCTTTCCTTGGATCCTTAGTATGCGGGCTTTTTGGTGCACCACCTCCCACTCCCACTATTAACCCAAACCGGATTCTGGGAAATGTGCGAGCCATGTTGGTAACCGTTTGAACAGCAGCGTTTGTTCCATGTGATTCAGGAAAGGCAATGACAACATTATGTCCTCCCACTCGACCAAGAATATAGGCATTATCATCATTGATACCTGGCGGTAAAGCTTCATCTTCTTCGTCCAGTATTGCTCTTGCCGCATCTAGCTCAGACTCAAGCACACATAGCCAACCCACAGTATAAACATCGTGGCTGAGCTGTCTAGGAGACATGGAACGATGTATTCTTTGATAATGACTAGTCAATGAGGTATACTTCTCTGTTCGTTATCAATCCGAGGCTATACGTCCGAAAATCTGGGGTCAGCCGTGTAGTTAATAAATAGGTCAAAGCCTAATATATAGCGGAAAGCAAGAACAGAAGCAACTTAAGGATTCAAAGTGAGATAAAAGACGTTTCATCGGGGGCAGGGTTCAGCCCCATGGTGAACACATGTTGTTGCAGCAGGCGGCAAGGGAAAACGGACTATTGGCTTGAGTTGCTTTGCATATGGCTCCACCAAGAACATGATAGAATCCCACAGCCAAGTTAGAGCTCATAAAAATGTACTATGATGTGACAGGAAGCTTGGTTAGTACGACCTTGGAGGTAAATTTTTAATCAAGATCCGCCAACTTTGTGAGATCAAGAATTGGTTGCGCACTTCCTTTTCGTCGAGCTTGTGATGATGAACTTGGAATCTAGTCTTTGTTTGGGAAATACTCTGTGCTTGCCACGTCGAACTATCCAGGCCTTTTATTTACGCTCTTTAAATGCATGGACACGAGCTCTCCGTCTTATCTGCATGGCCCATTGATATGTGTATCTAGATATCCTGGGTACTACATTGTCTTCGCATACTTGATATTCGGATGGTGGATGGTGGGTCGAAAATTGAAAATTCTTTTTTTTTTTTTTTTTTTTTTTTCTTTCGATACTGCTTCTCTCTACAATTTATAGATTGCAGAGTTCCATTTTTTGTTTCCCTATCAATCCAGCGTCATACTATCATAGAGGGCGCCATAATCGCAACCATGGTATCAAATAGCTCAAAACTACGAGGAAGCACACTTAAAGACATAGAAGACTCATTTTGAGTAAGTTTGTCTAGCGGGTGCCACGTGTAGTAATCTACATGAAAGGCTATTAACGAAGCGCTAGCCATAGTATCGAATATAAACTATGCATCCGTGGTTCGGGACCGTGGATACCGAAACAACGCTGTGGGTGTCTGAGGATACCACATAACACAGGTGACTCACGAGTCACAAGACATGATATTTCTGAGCGCAGAATTCACTATGGAAAAAGGCCATGTTAGTGATGCTTTGCTCTGTACATGTGACATAAGCCGGTTTTGCTTATAACGTTAGCTATATTAGAACTAGTTCCTCCGGTTTCTTCCGAGTCCATAACATACAAAATCCATTGTTCTTCTGCTTCATCTATAATTAGATGGAAAAATTACATGCAAATTCTTGAACCCAACACCTTCTTACCAACAAAGGATGGCAAACAAACTCCCTCTGGGCGCATTGGGATTGGGCAGTGCCACTATCATCACCGCATACATCAGTAAACAATATCTCGATCGTTCTTGTCCAAGGATACCTATTAGCAAAGTATCGCAATTGAGTGCATGCCGACAACTCGTGGATACCGCATGTGACAGCTCAGATGATGATGTGCCAAAGCCATGGGGAGGAGAAAAATCAGGCCCGTTACCCTCTTGGTCGGAAGCCAGCTCGGGGGACAGGAAAAGCCGTTGGCTATCATCCTATGTTGCAGTTCAAGTGGACGTGCCAGTGGCATTACTCGAATCCTACACAAGCGAGGCTAGGGAGAGTGTATCAGCCAAAAGCGACAAGGAGCCGCGTAGCGCGGATGGTATGGCGCGAAATTTGATTGCTGCCTTTCTTGATGCACGGTCGACCGGGCCTGATGGCTGGCTCATAGACAGGAACGTGCCACCGAGGACTTATATGCCTGGAAGTCATTTGTTTGGAGAGGCACCTGGTCTTTCTGCCTTTATGTTTGACAGCTGGAGCTCCACACTGACAAGCGGAATCCAGCCTACGGTTTTGCCTGCGAGCGCACCTGTCCCAAGCTCTTTTTTCCCCTCGAATGAAGCACTTCTTGCATCCCGGGACTTGTCTCTGCCCGAGTCAGCTGGAACAGTCATCTATTGGAAGTTTCCCGTCGGTGCAGTCAATGCGTTTAACAAGGCGGCCTCTTACGGCTGGCCATGGCGAGTGATGGAAGGCGGTTGGCAAGAGTTCATCGTTGAGAAGATCTCAGAGGAAACGGCGAGAGTGACGTATGTCGCGTTGGAGTGCTCTGATTTACATCCTGGTGATCAAACACCAAGAGATTTCAAAAGAATGCCGTGGCTCGCTTATGAGGCTCACGTCTTATACGCTCAGAGTCTTCTTCTCCACACCGTTCGGCAACTAAGGAAGGCAGAATAAGTATAGAAGCACTCGACAATCAATGTACAATAACAGATATAAGTAACCCTCCAAGCTCTCAATTCAAATTGAAACGTACAAATTCAAGTTTCAAAGGGTATGATACTTTTCAAAAATGCTCTATTATGGCATCGTCGCGACTACTGATACCCTAGGCCAAGCTATGAGAGCTAAACCTGGAAGGATGTGATAAAAGGACGTAAAATCTTCTCTTAGACCAATGATAAAGTTCTACTTAGTCTTTCCACGATATACTCGAAGTAAAGCCGAACATGAGAAACCGGCAAGAAAAGTATTTGGAATGGCAGGCACTATGTAACATCGCCCCTAGTTATAGCAAAGCACATCCGGATATTGTACGGGACTGTTCAATATGTGGTCAAGAAGAACAGGGGGATCGCTCCATCACTTGCACCCACATATTTGAGATGGTGAAGAGCCCAAGGGAGTTCAACACATCCCAGGGATGCGTCGGATTGATAAGCGCTATGTCAAAGTTACGGAAGAGCTGAATCCGGCGAGAGGTCAGTAAACGTGTCATCAGGAAGAGAAAATATGATTTGAACGTGCAAGGCTATTTCCATTACCTCAAATATAATCTTTCCCATCTCAATTTGGGCCACTGGCTTCCCCAAACACTGGAATTTACCGTAACCGAATATAAGATCGTTGGTCCGAATCATGACAGCCAACCTAGCAGGGTCCGACTCCTCGAGCCACCGCTCTGGACGGAAAGCCTTTGCGTCTTTGCCATATATCTTCTCGCTATGGTGCATAGCATACGCCGAGTAACCGATGCAGGCGCCACCGGGTAGAAATACGCTCTCGCCGTCGACGACAACAGTATCGCCATCTGCCGGGACATCGCGCGAAAATATGTTCGCAACGGGCGGCCAAACTCGCAGAGCCTCACGAATGACGGCTTGAAGGTATGGAAGAAGTTTAGTCTGGGCGGTAGTAACAAGGCCTTTGCCCGCGCTCGGAGCATGGCCGCAGCTCACGGCATCGTCAATCTCATGTTGAAGCTTCAAGTAGACGCGGGGATTTGTTATAATGTGGAGAAGAGTGCCGCGAATTCCGCCAGCAGTGGTGTCGGAGCCCGCAAGGATCTGCTCTAGTGCCTCAGTGCGTAGTTCGTCACCCTTTAAGCCGTGACGCATGAAGGAGGCTAACATATCGGACCTTTCATCAGTGGAGCTTGCGGCGCGCGCATCAACAAGACGAAAGCATGCGTCCATCATCTTGCCGAAGCCATTGTTGTCCTTAGGTGAAGGCGCAATGTATTTGCCGACGAAGGGCGCTTGAGTGATCCAGCTGAATCCCATGGCAAGGGCGGTATTGCCGATAGCTAGTCCTTCCTCGTTTGATTGGAGATAATGGTCCACGTCTTGGTCACTCTGCAACATACCGAACGCCTTACCGAGGCCGACGCTGCTAATGACGTCTAGTGTAAAATACTGAACCTTTTTCGCTAGGTCCATGGGTACGACGCCACGGTCTGTAGATATGTATTTGGACCGAATAAGGTTCAGCAAATTGTGAACTTGCTCATCCACTGCTCTCTCGAGCTGGTCATTTTCCCGTCCCGAATACTTTGTCACTTCAGTCAGCGGTCTATACCGGTACAGATAGGTGGGGAAACAGTTAAAGAAAGTTGAGGCAGCTAACATACCCCTGGAGCCATTTGTTTTCTTCGCTGATCATGTTTCGCGTTATCTGTTTGACTGAAGACATTGTCCTTTCGATACTCAATTCGCACGGCGTGGTAGTACCAATCGGAGCGCTTGTAGCCAGGCTTGTTGTTCACATGCATCCAAACATCGGGGGAGGAAGTGATCAGCACCTGGGGAGCAACACGCGCAATCGGACCTGTTTTGAGTCGGAAAGGTTAGCTATTATGCGTAGGTATGGAACTCTAGTAGAGTTGCAGAGCACAATGTATGTCTAAGAAATGGATGACTCGCACCATGTTTCTCGTTGACTTTAGCGTACCACTCATGGCAATTACCTCGAAGTAATGCCAGGCTATGGGGCCAGTTTGAGATACCGGTCAACGAAGGTCCCCGAAAATGCTTCAATTTAGTATATGTTGTGGTAATCTTGAAAATATACAAGCCCAAGAGAACGCAGAAGAGCGTCACAGCCTGGCCCAATAAAGTAGCGTCTCCCATAGTGGACACAATAATGGAAAAGAGTTGACTAAAACGGATTATTTGGAGTATTTTGTGGGGTTTCATTGGATTTAATGTGTGATATCCCTGATTTTATGGCGAGTCACTGGTGGTGTCATTGACATGACTGTTTACTCGTGCCCGCTGCCTCGCCCCACTTCGCCCCGCAGTAGCCTTCTGCAAACAAACCAAACAGTCGAGTAAGTTTGTCGTAACCATGTTTGATTGGCTGCATGTGCATGGCCGTTACAGCCTGATTCTTCACACTCCTGCAGAATTACTATTACATACAACAGAAGACATTGCCTATCCAACATGAGCTCTCTTCAATTCCCGGATCTTCACGAACCTTTTGCCATCCTCACGGATAGGCTTATATTGTTTCCAACCCCCATCGCTGTGTCCTCACCTACGTACCGAAAAATGTATGCAAGGCTGCACGCCGATGCGGGGTTCTGCCGAATGGGCTTTGGGAGCGGATTCCCAATCAAGAACTGGAGTGACAACGAAACCCAGTCAGTCATTAAGACACGTGACATCGAGCGCTCGTGGAAGAAGTACAACTTGGGCGATTTCGCTGTGGGGTTGCGGGGGTCTTCTCAATCCGATGTTAAAGATGCGAATTCAGATAAGCCACGACTATCAGTGCTCAGAGCAGCTGAACTGGAGAACATGATTGGACTAGACCTGGTGCTCCTTGATAAGATTCATTGGGTTGGCTATGCCGGTATTCGCGATGCATCAACCACTTCGATGCCAACACGAGAGGCCGGAGACCCCGCTCTCCCACCTTGGCAGGAGATGATTGAACTGCGATATGGTGTCTCCCCAGAATGCTGGGGTACGGGCATTGCTAAAGAAGCGGCCCAGGCGGTCATGGAATGGGCAAAGGATGAACGGGGCGTGAAGAGATTCATCGCCGAAACCGAGAGAGATAATGAGCGAAGTGGACGAGTATTGCAGAAGCTTGGATTTAGCCACAGTGGAACAAATTACTGGAAGGAACCGGAGGAGATTGAATGGGAATTGGTAGTGCAATAAGTTGGAGGAAATATAGCCTTGCAGAATAGGGGATATGCCATAACGAAATCATATAACCGTCATGTCAATAGACCATAAATTTCTCATGTCAGAAAATCAAACCTTCAGGGCGGCGGCATCACTTTCCTCCCATGGATGTTCTGTCTCCACGGAAAGAATCAAGGCCTCGTGCGCAGGGCTACGGGGCTTTATATCGTACTTCCACGCAACTGGGTGGCTAATCACACCAGGTTGAAATTCTGCCTTGACATCCACCTCCTTGCCATTGTCAACTGCTTTATTAATGTTGAAGACCGCCAGCGACCGAGAAACACTCAGATACACCGTGTTCTCCGCCAAGAGTCGACCCGGGCATGCGCGTCGACCAAAACCGAACACGACACCGCGAGGGTCCATTTCAGGCTCACGGCCATCGACACCCAGGAAGCGTTCGGGCTTGAATGTCATTGGGTCATGATAAACCTCGGGGTCGTGAAGCAGGGCCCTACTCGTTGTTAGTATGTTTATCCCCAAGAGGCTTACGACAAAACCTACCAGATATTGGGCATAATCAAAGAACCCTTAGGAATGTGATAGCCTTCGTACATGTCATCATCGATAGACATGTGGGGAATACCCATCGGTGCGACTGGATGCCAACGAAGAGTCTCCTTCACAACAGCCTCGATATACGGAAGATTTGCGCGGTCGGCCGTCCTAGGAAGTCGGCCAGCGCCCAATACTCGATCAAGCTCTTCTTGTGCTTTACGCTGGACCTCGGGGTATAGGGTCATAGCTAAGAAGAAAGTTTTGACTGAGCAAACCGTCTGCGATTTGTTAGCTTGTTTCTTCACTCAGCAATGGATGCATACATACAGTGTCAGCACCGCCTGTGTACAGTGACGCCGCAGTCCACTTTGCGACAATCTCCTCTTCGGTGTCAGCAGCTGGATATCCTTCGGCCTTGAAAAGATTGGACAGATAAGAGGGCTTGAATTCGTCGCTCTCCATTTGCCGCTTGACAAAATCGTACGGTATATCGGCAGTGTTTTCGAGGTTCTTCTTCCATGCTTGTGCCTTGCGTTTGAAACCCGCTCCAGGGAACCAGGAGGGTACGTATTTCACTATCTCTGTTAGCTTTGCGGCCAAATCGATACCTAGGGGCAGTCTCACAAGCAGGAATCATATCGACAAGCCATGCTCCCGGAGTTCCTGCAATGGCGAAGTGCTCAAGAGCCAAACCGGCCATATGCACCAATGGGTCTAACTTATGTGGGTCAGTCGTGTATCCATATGCGATTTTCAAAATAATCGCGCCAGCCTCACTGGGAAAGTTAGTATTGACCTCTCCATATCTGTTCCTCAAGGCAAAACCTACGTTGAGATATGTTGCGACAGCTGCGAAGGGTCTTTCAGCACCCGCAGCAGAAACCGATGACACTCGACCTCTTGCAAGGAATTGTATTGCGCCACAGCGGCTTCGTGGCCGAGATAAGGTTGCATCGCCTTGCGATAAGCACGAAATCGGTCCGAATATGTTTGCATGGCCATAATGTGCTCCCAGCCAACCCTGACACATTCAAATTAGTGAAAGAGCTTGTTTATTTGCTTAATCGAGAGTCTATTACATCTCTGACGCAAAGACTAGGTTTGGTCGCGACGAATGAAGCGCCGAGCGTTTCCCGAGAAGATCCGTTGCGGTGCGACTGTCATTGAGAATCACGATGGTTTGGCCCATGACCGTGATCGAGCTGATTGGACCTGTTTACCAAATGATACGTCAATTTCAGCTGCACCCTCGAAACCCATGACGAAGCGCCTACCATAGAGATCCTTATGCTTCAGCCAATGCACCCAATCCGCCGTCCCTGGAGCGGGCAAGTCTGAAATGTTACCGAGAATTGGTTTTCCCTTTGGGCCTGGGGGCAGAGGCCCAGGCGCCTTTTTGCGGGAAATTAGAAGCTTGGTCGCATAGAGCACAATTGCCACCAGGACCACACCGACAAGTGTTTGAGATGGCATAGTGACCAGATGTGTTGGTATGCCAAAGCGAAAGGGGGGCAGCTATGTTGGAGCCATGCAATCATTTTTATCTTTAGTGCCATTGGTCATTCTTGTGCTAATAGCATTGAGTTCATAACATTCACTCCACTTGCCCACTTCATTCTGCCAGCCGAGAGTTACCCCACACGAACCGTTCCCGCCAATCGCTGTGCACCAGTGGATCGCGGCGCACGCTGTCCCAGGGATGAAAGGCTGTTCACCCGCTATTGACCCAGCGATCGGGTGACGCTCGGTCCCGGCCACAGTATGACGCTGCCGAAAGAAAGAGAACAAGGTCGTACGCCTGTGTTCCATTGTCCAAGTCCCTGGACATGATAGGTTTCAAGGGGCAAAATTTCCATTTTCCAAGTCGGAACGCACAATTCGTTTATCCTGGTGGGTCACTTTTGCTCCATCGAATAACAACAACGAACTGTTACCGAAGTCGTGTTTGCAGGATATTTAGCGCAGTTTCGGCCGTCTTTTCTGGCTAGCCTATTCCCACCAAGGAAGAAAATTGGCTTGCCGATGATCCACGCTTACGGTACCGGGTGTCCAATCCCGCGAACGAGGCGTCAGCACGGTCCGGCCCTCAAGTCAAGCAAAGCCGAGGGCCAAAACGGAGTCTTCATACAGTGGATATCACAATGTGACCAATCAACAGCTCCACCTGAGTTGCAGACGTTGACTGGCCCACCACGCATTCGCACTTCTGATAGGGGCGTTAGAAATAGTAGCTGTCACTTTCTTTTTCTTTTCATCTCTTGTTTTAAGAAAGATCAGCAGTTCGACCCAATGCTGCCGTGATTTTAAACAAAAAGTCCTGCCACTGGGATTTTCGCATCGGTTTGAGACCCTCAAGACCCGCTGTTCATCATGTCCCTGGCGGACGGTCCGTTTGGTAGTCTGTCCTCTTGCGCAGTATGGAGTCCTCGAACATGTGGATCTTGTATCTTGAGTGGAAACTAACGTTTGTCGCATTCTCATCAGTTAAACTGCTTTTCTACGGCCGCGAATCAAACATCATGTCTGGTCTCGAATACAACATGTCTGTGTCTAGACAGCACTTTCTTCACACAGGCAACCGACTGCACAACTCTAGACTGTGGCGTGAAAGCTGGTCTTTGTGAGTATATTCATTGATTTCTGTTTACATAGCTAACATGATACTTCTAGCTGCTACGAACCTGACAATGTCGATATGTAACGTTCCTCAGGCTAGCCAAGCTCTTATTTCTCCCGTATTGGCTGGGGTTCTTGGAATGCTAGCTCTGATCATGGTATCACTGCGTTTGATTCAGCGGACAGTCTTCAATCGACTATTTGGACTTGATGACGGATTGATCGTCGCAGCTCTTATATGCGCCGCTCCATTGAACTGCACAATGTTCCCAAGTAAGTGTGACACGCTGCTTTGAATCCACTCTCGTAACTGACATTGTCTACAGTGCAAAAATTCGGACTCGGCACGAACATATGGACAATCCCATTTGAGCATATTACAAAAGAATTAGAGGTAATTGGGTTCCCTTTTTTGCTGTATTGTTCCTAGCTCACAATCGTTCACTCTAGTTGCTCTACGTGGCCGAAGTGTGCTACATGGCTGCCGAGGCTCTAACACAACTGTCATTCCTCGCCTTCTACTTGCGCATTTTCCCAATACCTCGATTCCAATTGATCTGCTACTGCCTAATGGGCCTTTCGATCTGCTTTGGTATCTCCAACACATTTGTCATGATCTTCCAATGCACCCCTGTTCCGTATTTCTGGTCAGGATGGACGGGTGAATTTGAGGGAACGTGTATCAATATCAATGGGTACTCATGGTACAAAGCGGCGGTTCAGATTGCGATGGATCTAGGGATTATCACTCTTCCAATTTGGCCTTTGCTTCACACAGCGATGAGCACGAAAAGGAAGGTTCAAATCACTTTGATGTTCTGTACCGGCTTTCTGTGAGTGTTTTTTTTTTTCGCGTATGAATACACACGGTCTCACTCTAACCCTTTCAACCAGAATTACTGTCGTCAGTTGTCTAAGACTTCGATCTCTCGTCGTATTCTCAAAGTCTTCCAACACAACTTGTAAGTCATATACATGCTTTATAGTGATCGCTTCTAACTAGAAACGCTCCAGATGCAAATACTCCCGCTATATACTGGAGTGTTGTTGAATGTGACGTGGCAATCATTTGCGCGTGCATGCCCGCTCTCCCCTCCCTGCTGAAGCACCTCTTCCCCTCGATCTTCGGCCAACCGTCATCATACCACAACGATAACAAGTCACCACAGTATAATCAGCACTCGGATGGGTCTATGCCGCTTGGTCGGATCCAGAAGGATACTTCGTGGCAGGTCAGTACTTCTGAGACTCAGTTGGTTTATCAGCCAGTTGAGGAACCAGTTGCTGTCAAGCCAGTACAACCTGCTTGAGACATCGGCTGTATGTCGTATCTACGAAGTAACGGAATATGTTCGATTTTCTACAAAGGGTTCTCAACTCCTAGACTGATAATATACGGGATATCTATATCAATATACGTGATATTAGTTTCAATATACGGGATTTTAATTCAATCATCATATCTGTAACACAATGGAATCTGGTACAGCGTCCTGGATGAGAGTGGAATTAGTTGATTGAGTCTCCTAGGCTATACCCTTACCAAGCTATGAGAGAAACAGAAGCACACCACGATTAAAGGCGTTGAATGCACAATCAACTTTGAGTACTCCCAAAGGAAGTGCTGCCTATTGTTGATGGCGCAAGCTATGACTATGCCAGATTCCTATAATTATCAAATGGGATTGAGCGAGTGTAAGCTTGGACTTTTTGGAACTTAAGCAATAGGCCCTATCTCCTATGCTCGGATAGTATGGCCAGTCAAAAGTATTGGATGAAAATGTCTTATATATTAACTCAATTATGGCTTATCTCCACATCCATGAATGTTTTTTGAACAATTTGTCATCTACATAAACAAAGTAACACAGGTTTCAATGGCCATTATGCCTCAGAAAAGGCAACAAGCACCAATGACAAATCACCAGATTATTGACCCTCTGCCGCGTGAAGATCTTTCGCCAAAACCTCCCCAATAGGCTCATTCTGGAACTCTCCTGAAGCTGGTAACTCAACATTATACGCATTAATAGCAGCAGCTTGGAGAACAGCATCTTCAGCCTCAAATTCCATAACGTGACCACCCTGCGCACGATCTTCAGATAAGAAATGGAGATGGAACCCAGCCACACTGAATCCACTCGTGAATCCAGGTGACCAAAACCCGACAAGAGTACCCCGACTATGCGTGGCGTGATGCAATTCCTGTCGTTTCGCCAGCTCCGATAGCGACTCACGGGCCTTTGACTGCGCAGGGATTACGCGGAATGTCACCCGGGTAAACATGGCGTCGACTCGAATTGACAAGAATGAATTCTGACAAGCTGGGAGTAGTGGTGAAAGTTCATTGGAAATAGTTGACATGTTTAGTGACTGTGGATGTTTGGCTAATGTCGGTTCGAACCGGGTGATCATGGCGAACGGGATGATGTCGGTAGGCTCAACTTTGCGGAGTTGCCCATTGGGGAGGAAATGGTATACTTCTTTATCGACGATTATGATTTCTCCGTTCAGACCGGACATAGTTCCCAGGCCATGGTCACCATGTGTGAGCAGGTTTGCGACCGTGGTGCCTTCGCGGCAGATCCCGTGCATCAAAGCGCTCAAAATTGAGTATTGGTAAAGATGGTTGGCCATGGTAGATTGGAAAGGGTGATTGGTTTGATATTAGGTGGATTAGGTGTTCAAATAGACAAGGTTCTGGGGGCATATCGTTTGTGGCGAATGGTGACGAATGAAGATGTTCCGCATGACATGCTACACCTAAACTATCCTCGGGCCGCACACATACTATTCTCACTTAATCAGTCTTTCTAGCAACTAGTATTGCTACTACATGATCAATCAGAAATAGTTGAGAATATTCACATTCACATGGTCTCACGGCATATTCATAACGGGTATTCTCAGCCAATTCATATAATTGTGTGACCACGCTGCTCACGCTAAGTGCTCTTATAGTAATCATCATTGCCTCCTTATGCTTGGTTTGAGGACATTAGTAACCAGCCAACGGCGGCAGATGCGCCTTTTGCCCACGCAATGCACAAGTCACAATTTTTGGATGGAATGTAGATTTAGAATGGTTGCATTGTTCGCCTTGTGGTCGAAGAGTAATAATGCCCAGCTTGCTTAGATAGCTTGCGCTCCGAACTGATTCTCTTAGAGAACCCAAATATGCTTCCACAACTTATTATCATTGTCACGCCATTCATAGGTCTTTTGAAAATAATTTACCCCTTGCATAGTTATCATCTTTGCGCCACATTTATCGGGCACAAAGGGTCCTTTTTGACCGCATCTGGAATTGCTCTCCCTCGTTATCTCTGTCTCTTCTGGCGGCCTCGGCATTTTTTTTCAGTCCAACCGAACGCTCACAGTGAAGATCTTGGAAAACTCATCTATCTGTATCCCGCATACTGTCTTCAGGTGCGGATATATCACATCGGAAATACCCCGCAGCCGATCGAGTGGGATCCACAGTCCGCAATCTCAGGGTCGTCTCGATTACCCGTTCCTCATCTTCATACTCCCCCGTGATCGCTTCTCAAAAGTACCAATTCAATCACATCTACAGAATGGGTGAACTTCCAACCGCAACTCAGGATACCATCAAAGGCCTAATCAATGCCGCCTGTAGTACTGAAAATGGACTGCCGGGCGCCTCCGTTGCAATTGTGGGGAAGGATGGCAAATTATTGGTCTCTCACGCAGGCGGACAGAGAGGACATGTGAACCCCGAGCCCCTGACAACCGACAGTGTATTCTGGATCGCATCATGCACAAAATTGATCACCGGAATTGCATGTATGCAACTGGTGGAACAGGGTCGGATCTCCTTGGATGATTCCAACGAGACCGAGCGCATCTGCCCCGAGCTAAAAGATTTGAAGGTCTTGCAAGATGATGGTACATTGGTTGATAAGAAGCGAGGCATCACGTTGAGAATGCTATTGTCTCACACTGGTTAGTAAATTCCGGTCAGGTACCATTTCTAGTTGTGCGGAGTCTGACGTCATCGGTCTAGCTGGGTTTGGATATGCCTTCATGAACGACAAACTCCGGGACTACAGTCACCCTATTGGCTATGATGAGTTCTCGGGTGATATTAGAGACTTCAAGCAGCCATTGGTGCACCAGCCAGGAGAAGCTTGGGAGTATGGGGTAAGAGCACACAACTAGTACACACCGGGATAAACCTGTAGTTGTTAACCTTGCTGGCATATGATAGGTGAACATTGACTGGGTCGGCCTTGTCATTGAACGTGTTACAGGCAAGCAGCTCAATGACTATTTCCACCAGCATATCTTTGAGCCGTTGGGCCTTACTCATATCTCCATGATTCCAACTTCAACGATGAAGGCCAACCTAGCCTATATGCACCACCGAGACTTGAACGGCAAAATCTGGCCCCGAGACCATCTGCTCAGACGACCACTGACACTGGAGTCCAAATCCGATTTAGAATCCTATTTCAACAGTGGTGGAGCCGGATGCTTCTCAACACCCCAGGAGTATTGCCGTATGTCTCCCACATCCCTAATACCACCCGTTTGACTAACAACGTCTGCAGAAATCCTAGCTGTGCTTCTGAATGACGGGACCTCTCCAACCACAGGATCCCAGCTTTTGAAGAAGCAAACCGTGGACAATATGTTCTGCGACCAAATTGCGCATCTTCCGCCCCTATGTGAGAAGTATCTCTCTGACGCAAAGCCTGACCTCGCGGGCCCTAGTACGGGCTTGCACCCAACTGTGGAAGGAGATCGCCAGGGCTGGGGATTAACCTTTTTGCTCAGTGGAGGCTCCACGGGCCGCTCTGTGGGAACAGCACAATGGTCTGGACTTGCGAACCTTTTCTGGTGGTGTGATCGCGAGAATGGCGTCGGAGGGATGGTGTGTGCACAGGTTTTACCGTTTGGTGACGAGAAAGTTTTCAATCTGTTTCAGGATGTTGAGGCTGCTGTTTATAAGGGGCTCTCTTGATTCTCATACGATTGTTACCACCATCCATCCTGAGATCAAGATTGTTGATTCTGTTTACTAAATAGAAACATTTCAAGATCGTGCCTTTGAGAATAGCGAGGCTATAAGGCGCAAAATTGAGTATAAGCCTCACAGACCTAAAATTGTAATCGAAACTCTTAGGCTAAAGGGATGCTCCAGGCTGTGTCAAGAAGGATCAATTTCATATGGTCGGAGTGAGATACCTGTACCTAGTGTTGGTTTCCACAATATATTCAGAAATGGAGACATAGGTAATAGGTAAATGTATCTGGTTTTGCCACGGTCGAATCTGGACCATCTGATCTAAAGATAGCAAAAAGGTTCAAGCAACATCCCGCTTAGATACATGAGATATAAAACTAAAATAAAGATGCAAATAAAGTGACTATACCCACCAACACCGTCTCTCAAACCGCCACCAGTCCTTTTGATCGTGTGTCAACACAGGAAGAATAATTTTGGAACACATCAACATCATTACCATGATGCCCACGCAACCGGTCCTTTGGGGAACATGCGCACAAGAACCTTGCGCAGCTCATCCATACATAGAACACCCATTGCCAGACCGAGTGGAATGAACCAGAACTCGATGGGGACAGAAGCTGTCAGGAATAGAGACTGAATACCGGGGACTTCGGTGACGAAAATGGCAATAACGAGGGAAATTGCCATGGCGAGAGGGAGCCATGGGTTGCGACGCGCAGGGCGGATGGGGTCTGCTTGGAGAAGAGACATGCGCTTGCTCCGGACAGACAGGATATTGCCCCATTGCATGATGACAAGAGTTACGAAGTAGACACCTTGTCCAACGTAGTTGAAATGATTTAGTTCGTCCATTGTGTATCCGTGGAATCCATCGGTGTACGTGTCGAATGCGAAAATAAGATCACTGAATGGAATGCCCGCGGCTTTCCACATGTACAAAAAGAACATGGAATGGGCACTGAAAGCTTCCATAACACCGACAAAGAGGTATGACTGGCCGTAAATGCGCATGTTGATCAGGTGGTCTTTGCGAGGCTTCCGGGGTGGAATGCTCATCAAGTCAAACTCCTCTTTTTCCATAATAAGCGACAAGGAGAGAAACAGATCGGTGAAAACACAAATAATAATCATCAAGAAGGAGCTCAGAGGGGAGGGACATCCGAAGAAAACGTTCATAAGCACAGGCCAGATTTCTGACCAACTGCCAGCGGGTAGTAGATAGGCGATGACCTTTTGAAGGTTCTGGAAGACCAGGCGACCGAGGCGAATAGCCTCGACAATGGAATCGAACTTGTCAAGAAGGACAAGGTCGGCCGCTTCAATGGCAACATCACTACCGGAACCGACGGCAACTCCAACATCTGCAGCACGCAAAGCAGGCGCGTCGTTGACTCCATCACCCGTGACAGCGACAAAATTGCCTTTTGCCTGGAGCTCTGACACAATTCGTAGCTTTTGTTCGGGACTGGTACGGGCAAAGACAATTTCCTCATAATCACAAATTGTGGACCACTCTTCCTGGTTCAATGATGAGAGACTACTGCCTTCTAGAAGCAAGCTGCGTCTTGAAGGCGGCATTTTGTCCGATGCGAAGCCATCCCGAAGATCATGAATTGTATCAGGCTCAACGTCACCCTCGAAAATACCGATGTCGCGAGCGATTGCCGCCGCCGTTAGTCCAAAGTCGCCGGTGACCATGAAAAAACGAATGCCCGCGCGGCGACATGCGGCCACAGTCTGAGCCGTCTCCGGGCGAGGAGGGTCAATGATGCCGAAGATTCCAAGAACAGTCAGATCCTGGACACCCGATTCGAGAATCTCGTCACTAAATCCATTGGATCCCAAAGGATGGGTCGGGATGTAGCGGCGCTGGCAGAGGATGATCACACGCTCGGCACGACGAGAGAGTTTAGCTTGGAAATCAGACAGCTTATTTCTGGCATTTGTGTCTAAAGGACGAACAGCATTGTTGACAGCAGACCAGTAAGTGGAACAGCGATCCAAGAGGACATCAGGCGCACCCTTGACGTAGATCATGTATTCTTTGGAAGAAGTCGGGTTTTGATGCATTGTGAGCATCCACTTGTTTTTTGAGTTGAAAGGAATCTGGTGGACGCGGGTATATGGCTCAAGATTCTTTGGTGTAGCAGCACCGACGCTGTCGGCAAGTCGCAAAACAGCAGCATCCGTAGCATTTCCGTTGACGGCACGCTCCCAAACTGGCAATTTCAGGGTCTCTGGGTCGAAGGTAGCATCATTGCAGAGAACCGATGCACGGAGGAGATTTTGAAGTGCCTCCGAAGATTCCATGCCAGGCACGAGATCATCAATATTGTATTCCCAGTCCACCATGCCAAGTGACTTGACAAACATGCGGTTTTGTGTGAGCGTTCCTGTTTTGTCGGAGCAGATAACATTCACGCATCCCAAAGTCTCCACGGTCGCCAATCCTTTGGGCAAGATGTTTGTCTGCTTCATGCGTCGAGCGACCATCATCAACGTCAGTGCGACACCAACAGGCACACCCTCTGGGATAAAAGCCACCACACAGCCCATGACATTGTTGAGCATAGCTACCACGCTCATGTATCCAGGATGGTCTTTTCGAAGCCATCCCAGCCAAGTGAACAAGATGAGCAACGCGAGGCAGACGGTCAGGCTGACGATGATGGTAACAAAGCGAGTGATCTCTTTTTGAATCAGCGTCGGCTTTTGTTTGACACCAGCTGTCATGGTAGCAATTCGGCCCATGACGGAACGACTACCGGTCAATAGCACAATGCCAGTGGCATTTCCGTTCGTGACCAGTGTTCCCATTAGCGCAATGTTGCGAGTTTCAAGGAAGTTTGCATCGGTCGACTCAGTAGCACCATCAATCTCGTCCGACTCGCCAGTGAGAATTGCACGATCAAATCGAATATCCCCAGAAGTCTGCAGCAGACGCATATCGGCAGGAACTTTGTTTCCAACGGTGATCTGTGCAATATCTCCAGCAACCAAATCAGTTGCGGAAACACGTAGCTGCTTTCCATCACGCAAGACCAGAGCTTCTGATGGAAGAAGATTTAAGATAGAGTTCATAACTCGCTTCGTAGACCAGTCCTGGAAAGCTGAGAAACTGGCCTGGAGGGTGATAACGATGATAACGAGAATAGCCATGGCAAGATTGGTTGCTGAGGGTGGATTGCTAAGAGGCTGCCAGCAAAGGAAGAAGATAATCACACCCACCCACAGGACGGAACAAAAGCCACCAAAGACATAAAAGAAGATCTTTTTGAGGTAGTTCTCGCGATGATGGGCAATAACATTCTTTCCATCCCGTTGAAGACGTTGTGCCGCTGACTCGGTGCTTAAACCGAAGCGCTGATCGACATTGAATTCCTGACAGACCTTCTCCTGCGGAATGATATGGAAATCCAAGCTCTCGAAATAATCTTGATTGGGTACCTTCTCCTTGGGGGTTTCTGCCACGATCTCTTTCGGGCGGGTTTGAGACTCGGAGATCTGGATCGAAAGTGTACGGAACTCAATAGGTATCCCATTATTCCCACCAGCTGTTGTCTGGTAGGTACTCCGAGTACTGCGAATGGTATCACGACCCAGCGAATTGGTACGCCCAAGCTGGGCGGGCTGGTAAATGGAGCGCATTCCCTCCGCTTCGGTGGCAGAGTCATGGAAAGTGATACGCGTGTTTCGTTCTATGGGATCATAATCATCATCCTTGATGGTAACACCATCGGCCTCGACGTCGACGTCGAAGTCAGGCTTGCCATGGGGAGAACTGGGCTCCATGGCGTAGCTGTCTTGAGGGGATTTGATATGAAAATAAGAAGGCAGACAGCCAGATACCTGAAGCGGCCACAGCAAGAATAGATGAAGAGGAATGAGAAGCTATCGAATATGATGTGTGCGACCCCGGGCCTTATGTAGGTCGACCAAAACTAACCAGAGGGAACCACACCTCGTGGCTAATGATGAATTGGGAAGGCGAGACGGAAGACATAGCTAACCCAATTAGATCGTAAACGAGCAACTAAACCAAACCGCAACGGGAGAAAGAAAAAACGATTCATCGTGTCACATAAGCGGAGCCATGCGATCAGCTCTAGCCACGAGGGAACCGGAAGTTCTGTGCAGTGGAGATCGGATCAGAATCAGGAATAACGCCTGGACCTGCTGGTAGCAAAAGCAAAAACGCGCATAGCATATGTCAAGGATACGAGCGTTCCATAGTAAATCAGGTACCTGATGACGAACTCGGTAATTGCTTGGTCTATGTGGAGCAAGCACAATCTTTGACACCTGCACAGGATCTTAATTACGATATACAGATGCATACGGTAATATTACCCCTGTGGCTTCTCACGTCCAATCATAACTTGTTCATGTAAATTTTGACCATACCAGAACCAGGTTCTGCGACTCATCCAGCCCTAAAGCGTTTCCCTTGGATTCAGGCTACAGATTCCGTGGTAATTAAGCCGGCTTACAGGGAGAAAAAAAAATCCAGCATTACCACAACGAAAAAAACAAATGGCGCATATAATTTCACTTTTCACACAGCCACCCCGCAAACGTGGTGGTAACGTCCTAATCCGAAGGTGCGCGATTTTTCCTCGCCACAAACTGATTTTGACGCTCTGCCGCTCTTCTCCATCTAGAGCGACTTAGGTTATAATTTCCCACAGGCCCCCATTTTCACCGGATAAAAACAGCAGATTTTTCGTTATTAGCTAATAGCTTCTTTGTCAGATTGTGTGAGGTTAATCCCTCAGCCACCAGATCATATTGGTGAAAAGGTGTGATCATCGTGCGCGGTTTGCTATGTCCAATGGCGGCATCTCTAGCGTAGCAAGTGATCAATCACCCCGAATTTTTGTTAAGTAACTACCACGGCTGGAATATGGTGATGCAAGCGATCAGCCTATTCCTGCTGTATTTTCTGTCTCTTTGTCTCTTTCCCACGGAACTTGTAGAACGTGTTACGGAGGATAGTGCATGGACTGCGTACACCGCTAAAAGCATATCTATAAATCCATGTAGACGTCGTGCAGCACACAAAACATCTCCCGGCGCCTGTTTTCTTTTCTTTTTTTCTTGGTAGAATTGAATTTTTCCTTTTGACTTCATCTTCCTTTGCTTTTTTCTTTCAAAGTAGCTATCCATGAGGGAACGTCATCGCCCGGACGTCTGGACAGCTAACTCTGTGCACCGACCCGACCAGGTCCCCCATAATCATTATGTGACGCATGCAAAGTGGTCTCAGGATTCCCATCTCCATGATGCCAGCCAAAATGTCGCAAAGCGTGGCTGGTCTGTTTTCAAGAGTGATCACCAGCCAACTCTAGCTTTTGTCTCGACGAACCAGCAGCCATTGACGAGGTCAGAGACGTCGACAACAGATTCAAATCAACCCTTGATTCAGGATGTTTGCCGCCCTTTCGCTGAAAGATATGGCCGTTGTATGGATATCCTCCATTACGGTGCTAATAGCACAGTCCGACTACACCAAAACAGGCTTGCCGGCCCTGAATCCAAACACAAACCATTAGTCGCCATCAAAGTGTACCGATACAACATTCTTGACTCGGCAAACCCCCTTTATCACCCATCATATTGCTCTCCTGACTTGATATCCGACCTACATCCTCACCACCCGAACATCCTCCCAATAATCGATCTCCTCTACAACGAACGCTCTGAGCTGTGCCTGGTCATGCCCATCTGCGCAGGGGGTGACCTCCACGAACTCATCTCCCACAACGGAGGCCCCATTCCAACAAACGAAGCCGACTGCATCATAGCCCAAGTTTTCCGTGCCCTATCTTTCCTTCACGAGAAAAAAACTGCGCATTGCGATATCCGAATGGAAACTATCCTCCTCACAGAACACGGCTCTGTGAAGCTTGCTGGGTTCGGCGACGGTCATATCCGCCGCCTCTGGTCCGAATGTGCAATGCCAACGGAAGAAACTTTCCGGCCACGTTCGCAATCTCACCCAGCTTCGTCCGCAGCGTGGTCGTTCTCCTTGCCGTGGCTTTTCTGTGCTTCCCGGGCTACACCTCCACCTCGGAGCTCGGGCGATGTGGCACATTCCACAGCTTCTTTCCCGGGAATTAGTCTGCCTTATATTCCGCCAGAGGCTTTTCATTCTCCTTCGCACACTGCACTTGCACATAGAGACCTATCGGAGGAAGATGACGAAGACAATGATCCCCGCCCGGCAGATGTTTGGGCAACAGCTATTATCTATGTGGCACTTATCACTGGTCGTCTGATTTGGCGCAGTGCTCGTCCACATCACGAGGATCCGGTTTATTTGGATTACCTCGATTGTCGTCATTCGGAAGACGGGTATCCACCCATCGAAGCGCTTGGGAAGGTATGTCTTTGACCCTTTCTTTGTCAATTGCAGAGGATAATTTTACTGACGAGGCTTTTTTCTTGTTTTAGAGACGACGTAATGCTATCTATGCGATGCTACACCCCATATCACGCAAACGCATCACTACCACGCAGATTTTACAATCTGAGTGGATTAGCCGGGTATCAATATGTGAGGCTGGGTTAAAGGGATATTAAAGAGGATTAGGCAAATACGATGCTCTAATGACTCTGACTGGGGCCTAGAAAACATTATGGATATTGATGTAACTTCATTGTGCTCTTCTAATGACTATCCTGCCCCAGGACTAACTGCTAGTGCATTAAGATTTTGGTCATTCTGGCGGGATGCTATCATTTTTCTTTCTATGACTGACCTGACCACACCCAATAACATGTCTTTGCTACCAAAATGAGATCAATGTCCCGATCGTATCATTTCGTATTCAGCCCTAAAAAAGATAGATCCAGGCGGGATCAAAGCCTCGGGAGAAATGGACCCCATCCTGCAAGTGAGGGGCAACCTTCAGCCTCACGAATGATGTGGCCGCGCTACGCGCCACATACAGTAGTCTCAGTGACACGAGTCTGTTCGCTTTTGGCCCCAAAAAAATTTTTCCGCTGCCAAATACACAAATCTCTGTCAATCAAAACCAATACCAGTGGAGCTCAAACTCCGTAATGTTCAATCCTAGTGATTATACCGTGGGCTGGATCTGCGCCATAAAGACCGAGTATGTCGCCGCCATAGCATCTCTCGACGAAAAATATGACCGTCCAACCAAGCTACCGTCTGCCGATCAAAATGACTATACCCTGGGAAGAATCAGGGATCACAAAGTTGTCATCTCCGTGCTCCCAATGGGTGAGTACGGCCTCTCCTCAGCAACACAAGTGGCCGTGAGTATGACACACGCCTTTCCGAACATTCGCATCGCCCTCATGGTGGGCATCGGCGGTGGTGCACCAAGCGCAAAGCACGACATCCGGCTTGGAGATATTGTCGTTGGCATGCCCAATAATGGTCGGGGTGGCATTCTTCAATATGACTTTGGCAAGATAATCCAGGGCCAGGATTTCAAGCCAACGGCCTTTCATAACCAGGCACCTACTTTGCTGCGCGGCGCAGTAAACGGGCTTGCCGCTGAATACGAAACCGAAGGCAGTCAGATTGTGGAAATTATCAGCAAGATCCTAGAGACAAAACCGCGACTGAAGAAGAAATATTCGCGCCCCGATCCGACGACCGATCGACTATATAAGAGTGATGTATTGCACCCCGCCGCAAACGAATCACCCTGCGCTACCGCCTGTGGAGAGCATGTCTCTTCTCTAGTTTCACGGCCTCCGCGCACCGAGGAGGACGATGATCCAGCCATCCATTATGGCCTTATTGCATCCGCAAACAGTTTAATGAAGGATGCTAAAATTCGTGATGCCTTCGCGGAGCAAAATGACGTCCTTTGCTTTGAGATGGAAGCTGCTGGCCTGGTCAACCACTTTCCCTGCTTGGTAATCCGTGGTATTTGTGACTATTCCGATACACACAAGAACAAGGAGTGGCAGGGCTATGCAGCTATGACAGCAGCAGCTTACGCAAAAGAGCTGTTGTATAGAATCGTTCCTCATGTTATTTCACAGCAAGAAGCCATCGCCAATGTCGTGAATGAAGGCGATCACTATATTACGAACATCAACAATTATGTGAGGGAAGGCGATGGCCGTACCAATATCACATTTGAAGGCAATAACTCTGGGTTTCAGGTTGGTATGAATAATGGCTCGATCAACGGGACGAGGATGGGAGGCGGACCTTAACAGATCGCAAGTTTTCCTTGTTGGTTTGTCCTTGTATGCTGTGCGAGACCAACGTTGGTAGGGAATTTTTTCAGTCTGACTCAATTGGGGAAACCTGGCCGTGGTCACACCTTGGTATATAAGTAATTAGGTACCTAGATAGTTTTGAATGGCCTATTATATGTTAAAGTAGCTTTCAGGTTGTCAACAAGTACTTCAGGGTTTGTAAACTTGAACGCCTAGGTAGTCCATTCCAATATCATGGCTATCTACACATAGGGAGATACAATTCAGCTATTGTTGTTGAGGACCTCAGGAATACGGTTATAATTTATCGCATCTACATTGTGCAAGTTTTAAGGTAGCTAGCCGGCTTGCGTCCAATAACGCAAAGCAGTCGGGTTCACGCATGACTTATTACACCATAGAAGGTAACTTCCCAAGATTATTATTCGAATATTTGGCTATCACACATGTATATGTAAGTTCAACAACCAAGATGACCTGCATCTACAAGATCTTTTGCTTTACTTTGATATGGAACCAGAGATGGACATCTGGATACAACAACCGAAATGAGACTTCGACAGCCGTATCTTAAAGCTTGGCCTTTGGCCCCAGTGCCTCGCTAATTGGAGCAACCTCCACCATCATTTTACCAGTATTCACACCGGCATAAAGATCAACAAGAGCCTTGGGTGCTCCCTCAATTCCACCCTGCACAATATGCTCCTTGCGCTTCAGTTTGCCCTGCGACAGCCAAGAGGCCAGCTCCTGCAACGCTTCGCCATACTTCTTCGCATAATCGAAAACAATAAATCCCTTCACAGTGACTCGTTGCGACTGTATCCATCATTAGCCATAATGTCACTCTAATTCGAATCCACAAGAACTCACAATAACAGTCATGAAGCTCGTCGGTCCCTGTGGCTTAGCCGCATTATACTGGCTAATAGCTCCACAGATGACGAACCTCGAATCCCGCGCCGCACGCGCAAGACAAGCATCCAAAATCTCACCACCAGTATTATCAAAGAAGACATCAATGTACTCAGGCGTAGCCTCTTTCAGCTGCTTCTTCCACTGCGGATCCTTATAATTGATCGCAGCATCAAACCCAAGCTCCTTAACAAGGAACTCACACTTATCCGCACTCCCCGCCAACCCAACAACCCGCTTGGCACCCTTGATCTTGGCGATCTGTCCCGCAATGCTGCCCGTCGCGCCCGCAGCACCAGAAACAACGACAGTCTCTCCGACCTTTGGCTTTCCAACCTCCAGCATACCGAAATAAGCCGTTAAACCAGTCATGCCGAGGACGGACATTGCGTCTGTGGGACGCCCGCCGGCGGGGAGCGTGACTTTCTCAACTTCTTTTGCGCCCATGAGGGCGTATTCTTGCCAGCCAGAGTATGCGACGACCCATTCACCGGTCTTGAATTTCGAGGTCAGGGAGCTGCCGACTTCGACTACTTGTGCGATGCTCTGGCCGCGCATGACGGTGCCGAGCTCGACGGGGGCGATGTAGGAGCGCTTGGCGGTGAGCCATTGGCGCATGGCCGGGTCGAGAGAGAGGTAGTGCACACGCACGAGGAGTTTGTCTGCAGGGACATCTGTGGGACGGGGGACGGTGTTTAGGCGAAAGGTGCCGGAGTTGAGGGTGGGATCGATGGCCGGTTCGGGAGCCTTGTTGTAGAGGATTTGTTTGTAGGACATGGTGGATGTTCAAATGTGTGACAAGGCTTAGGTTATTTCGAAGAAGACTGAGTTAGGGAACGAGAGAGAGTGGGGAACGAAAGAAAAATATGTCGGGGGAATTGCAGGGACTCTGGAGATGTAGGATCGGAGCAACCCCAGATTAGGAAAATTGCTCCACAGCAGAAATCTGGACCTCGGCTGGTCGAGCTGAGCGTTGTGTTGAGTAACCGATCTCCATGGCTTGGGGTTTCATGTATTGATAGTAGCTACTGCATGCTTCTACTTTTTGTTTACTAGCACTGGAAAACATTCTTCCCCAGATTAGAATTGTACCTATGCGCTAACAATGACGTCACCACGCAAGAAGTATAAAACTGGCCGCACCAGATTCCAAACTCATCCCAATCTCAATCCGTACTTCTCCGAATCAATTAGTTATCACCGAAATGTCATCTACCCATAAACCAATGCGATCCGGTTCCTCAGCCGGTGCCCCAGGTATTCCGACCTCCATGCCAGACCAACGCAGCCAGTATGATCCCGCAACTACCGGATATAACAGCGCCACCGGCGCAGGATACAAAACTGCAGCCGGCGGATCCGATCAGAACTATCATCATCCACCCTCGCCGACAGGGAGCTTTGATGCACCGGCGGGCGATTCTCGAATTCAACATGCGCCTAGCACAGCGGAGCGGGTGAAGATGGAGAAAGAAATGGAGAAAGCGCAGAAGGGGTCACATGGCTCTCACGGTGAAGGTCTTGGTAAGGGGATAAGAGGTGTTGCGGCCGGAGTTCATGTGAGTATTGCTACACTCGGCCCTGGGGGCTTTAGACTTTGTCCTCGTTGGTTTGGGTCGGGCTAATAAGTGCATAGGGCGCTGGAGAGACACTTCGCGGGGCACTAAATGCGACAGTTGATCGGGCATTTGGGTCTCATGAGAGTGCAGAATGGAATGAGGAAATTGAGCGCCGGGGAGAACAGGAGATCTTGTCGAAAGAGTTCCAAGCCAAGCCTCGTCGTGAGGGTTCAAAATGATATACTTATGTATAAATATATGTTTAACATTTTCGGCAAACACGTTCAATCTCGGGAGATCTGTCTTGGATATTCTTATTTTGTGATACACTTTAATTAATGGTCCATCTTGAAGACCTTGGTCGCGAGATCTAGCGGTTGAGATAGAGTTAGATCCTCATTTCTCACATACTTCAACGGTGATCCCATGCCGAGGTTATTTCCCGAGGTCCCAATCCGCATACTTATCTATGTGGTTCGTGCTAAGGCTGACGGCGGGGACTCAGCCGCAGTGGGGAATCAGTGAATGGTTCTCCGAATTTCGGCTTCTCTACTGTATGTGCAGTATACGAATACGTTTGAACACTACCTAGCTAAGGATGTCTCGGCAAGGATACCCCTTCAGTGGAAACAAGTAGAAAATGGCCCCAGATGTGAAATTGTCTAGCCCCGCAATACGTGGCATGGATCTGAAGTAGCAAATCACAATTGCAGCAACGTGTATGTAGCTATCCACTTAGCAGGTCGATGATTGGAGCATCGCTCGAACCTCGGGATCGCCAAACAAACTTGAAATTGGAAAAGCTTGACTTGCAAATAAGTTATGATGATTATGTTATGACACGCGGTCGATGTCATAGCGCATTGATGGGGAGCCGATCAATTCTGGAAATTCAACCACCGATCTCCCGGGGCCAAACCATGATAATGCGTCGATCATAAAAACAAGAAGGAAAGGAAGAGTTAGCAGGCTGACACAACTTTGGGGCTGAAACGAAGCTAAACGGCTCCGTACATATGTATTTTCACGTGGATTTGGACAGAGTTTTTGCCTTCCGGTTGACCCGAAGGGCTGTGCTGTGGAACCCTTCCTGCTTTCGGTCTTCAACGGCTTATAACGGACATTGATTCCTCACGTCACCGATTGCCAGGTATTTTTCAATGTTGAACAGTCTGTGGGAGCTTCCAATCCCTGCGTTACCACTGATTACCTCTGAGCATCGTCTTACGTGAGCTAAGGTCAAGGTTTCTGGAGCCAAGCTTTGTATAAACTTTTTGGCCTGTACGACCTCATGCCCTGAACCTAGCGGTCGGGTTTCTTTATTTTTTTTTTCTTCCTTTCCTTGTGCGATTCGTACCATGGTGTCCCTAGTCGCCGATCAGCCTGATCCGCTAGGCTCTCAACGAAATAAACGATCCGATCAGCAACCGCCGAATCAACAAGTATCCTATTCATCCGAATCGTCCGGCAATGCGGTCGCATCCGAATCTCCCTCCCAGTACTCCTCCTTCTCGAGCTCCGACAGCGATGACCCAACCCCGCACTTCGACAGTTATGCGAACGAAGACGACGCCAGCGATGTCGTCGGTGTCAGCATTGGCCCCACCCAGAGTCGCATGAAAGCTCGCGCAACACCCGCCGAAGAGAAAAATCGTATCCTGGAATCCCATGGCGGTTACTTCACCGAGGTGCCGGAAACCGTCGGCGAGGATGGACTGTTCGTCTCCGAACTCACGGCGGAGCCCGAATCGGTGGAGTCTGACAATTTGGCGGCCCAACAAGCTACGCAGGCTAAGCGGACGACTCAGAGGGCTCCAGGCGTGCATCCTCATGCACAGTCCTTGCCGGTGGAGCGCCGGACGCCACGCGGCCCCCACATCGGAGGCTCTGCGTCGGCTGCCGCGTCGCAGGAACCCAAGGAGTCCGGACATCATCGATCAAGCTTCACTCGGTCTTTGCTAAAGACTTCGCTTCCTCGTCGGCCGCGAGCTTGGTCTGGGGAGCTGAAAAGGTTTCTTCCGGACCTGGGTGCGTTGGCGAAGCGGCCAACACTGCCGTTTCTATCCGGCAATGCCCACAATCGGGCTCGCAGTCAAACCGTAGAAGGCGCCGGGAAGCGAGGCCCGGCATCTATGCAGAAGAGGACTGCTTCGTTGGATCGGCGTCATCCCCCTTCGCCTCCGTTGCCCAATGGAGCAGGCCATGAATCTGATGAAGCTGATGATGGCCATCATGTTCCGGAGTTACAGTCGGTGGAAGCAAGCTCCGCCGTAAAGCATTCTTACGCCCGACGACCTAGTGCGACGCCGGGACGACCGCCAAGTCTACGCCGATCATCTTCGGATCAATCATTGTACTTGCGTGCATCGTCCACGGCATCGTCGTTGGAACAACGGCCGCGATATGAGAATGTGCATTCTCAGGTCAACAGCCGGTTCAAGGCGATTAAAGATTCCTTGCAAGATTCAAGCAGCCGTTTGCTTAGTATGCCAGGCTTGAATCTACAAGACATTCGTAATGATTGGCACTCGAAGCCGTTTTTTCCTGATCTGGGAGGCTCATCGGCTTCGGCTGATAAAGAGCTGAATGGCTTGGCCCATCCGGCTGCGACACCGCCTCCCCCTCCGCGACAGAACACGCAGTCTACACATCCAATCCTGGAAGAAGCCATGTCGGAGTTGACCGGTGATATCGTGATCCTGGGTGGTTATCGAGGCTCCATCTTGCGATCTGCCAAGCCACCACATCGCCAGTTATGGGTTCCAATGAAGGTGGGATTGAATTTACGCAAGGTCGATCTGGAGGTTGGTCTGACCCGGGAAGATGAAGAGCGCATGGAAGAGAAAATCATTCCATCCGGGGTACTTTCCCATGTTGGCCCCGTGGATGTATGCCGTCGACTGATGAAACGGCTCCGCAAATCGGAGAATGCCATTCGCGGTGATCTTCGCGTCTGGGACTACGGCTATGACTGGCGTCTGAGCCCAGACCTTCTCTCCAAGAGGCTGATCGAATTCCTTGAGGGTCTTCCATCCAACCGCCCGAACGGGGAGACTGGCCAGAAACGCGGTGCCTACGTAGTCGCCCATAGTCTCGGTGGCCTCATCACACGTCACGCCGTCAACCAACGTCCCGATCTCTTTGCCGGCGTCCTATACGCCGGAGTGCCCCAGCACTGCGTCAACATTCTTGGCCCCCTCCGGAATGGCGACGATGTTCTTCTCAGCTCTCGCGTCTTGACAGCTCAGGTGAACTTCACCTTCCGTACTAGCTTTGCCCTACTCCCAGAAGACGGCCACTGTTTCATTGACAAGCAATCGAAAGAGGAGTACCCAGTAGACTTCTTCGATGCCGCAAACTGGGATGAACACCGTCTATCCCCTTGCATTCAACCATGTCTCCCTCCTACGACAGCCACAGGCCGCGGCTTCAAAGAGTTCGCTCTAATCGGGAAACGTTTCTCCCTTGGACCACGCGAAGACGCCGAAACCAACGTCCAGGATTTCGCAGACTTCCACGAGCAAACCGAAGCAACGGATGAAGATATCACCGCACGCAACCCACCCCGCTCTGCCCACTCTGTTTCTCACTCTCCTTCGCGCGGTGCTGCCGAAAAGATCCAGGAGAACATTCATCCTCCAGCCGATGGAATAGTAGGCCCAGTCTCACACCCGCGTGGTAGTGCCGGATCGTCCAAAGCCTCGACAACAAGTACCATTCCCCGCGCTGTGGCATATAAGTACCTGCAACGCACTCTTGCGGAGGTCAAACAGTTCAAGTCGGAGCTGGAATTCCAGCCTACCCATCAAGCGGGCAATAAATACCCACCTGCTGCTGTGTTATATGGCAAGAGTGTGCCAACTGTATATGGAGCCCGGGTTACCTCGCGCGAGGCGATCAAGCATCAAGATTGTTATGATGATTTGGCTTTTGCGGCTGGTGACGGTGTTTGTCTCGCTTCTGCTGCGATGTTGCCGCCTGGATACCGGATTATCAAGGGTGGGCTGGTGAAGAGTGAACGTGGCCATGTTGGATTACTTGGTGATCTTGAGGGTGTGGGCCAGTGTCTGAGGGCCATTATCCGAGGACGTCGAGAAGGTGTTGGCATGGGCAGCCAGAACTGAAGTTTGCTGACGCCACATGCATCTTCTTTGATGGTTTGGACTTACCTCAAGGTATCTTTGCATTTTAAGCTTTTTTTTTTTTTTTTTTTTCCTTCCCCTTCCCCATTTTATGCCATGATACCACTTTTGTTACGATTTGATTTATGATTCATGTTTATCGCGGCGTTCATAATGTGGACATGCATTGTTTCATTTTGCATATGTATGTATGATATGCACAAAGAAATTTTATTTATAGAGAAGAAATTAGACAAGAATTTGTGTACAAAGACATTTCCTTTTGAAATTCGCTATATAACCCAATGCTCTATATACCAGGTTTTTCGTGTTCAACATTTAGAACCCAGACAAATCATAAAATATATCATAATACGCAACCAAAACAATTATCAGGACCAATGAGCCAAAGGAAACTGAAAAATAAGAGAAGGAAAAGCGTCATCAACCATCTTAGTCGGTACGGGAGTTGGCAATGTTCAGCACCAGAATATCTGTAGCTCCAACCTTAATCAACTCATCCATAACAGTGGCGATACGCTTCTTCTCAACCATCGAGCTGACAGCGACCCAGTTCTCCTCCTCAAGGGCAGTGATAGTAGGCGCGCGCTTTCCGGGAGTAATCTTGGAAGCAGTAGCCAGTTCGGAGCGGGGAATGTTGTACTGGCACAGAACGAACTTCTGGGCAGTAATGACACCGCGAATACGCGAAGTAAGCAGGTTCAGGGTATCGTTGTTCGAGGTGCGCGACTTAACAAGCACAGCAGTGCTGGTAACGACAGTGTCGATAGCCTTAAGACCAGCAGCCTTCATGGTCTCGCCAGATTCTAAAGTTTGTTATTAGTACCAACCCTACAAATAAAGATATTCCCCGATGTATAGCAGGGTAATATGACTCACCAACAAGATCGACAATGCCATCTGCGACACCCAGCGCACAAGCAGCCTCGACACTACCGCCAACATACTTAATCTTAGTGCTTAGGTTCTTCTGGCCCGCTTCAACGCCCTCCAGCTGAGCGAAGAACTGCTCGGAAAGAGCAGTGAAGCTGGTAACAACGTTGCGACCGACGAGCTGCTTGGCCTCGGTGATATCTCCCTTCTCGGGAACCTGCACCTGCAGCTTGCAGCCACCGAAGCCGAGGTCAAGGATCTCCTCAACGCCGGACACCTCGCCGGCGGGAAGGGTAGCGTCGTGCTCGGCGACCTGGTCGCGGCCAGTAATACCCAGGTCAACGCGACCCTCGCCGACGAAGGTCGGGATGTCAGCAGCGGGCAGGAAGATCAGGGCGATCGGCAGGTTCTTGACCAGCGCGATGTCGAGGCGGGTTTCACGGCGGAACTGGACGTCACAGCCGGCAAGGAGGTCGAGGGTGGCTTGTTGGAGACGGCCCTCTGTGTAATTGATGCGCGGTTAGCTGGATGGTTCAATGGGTGCATGTGTATGCGTCATGTCTTTGTCTTGTTCGCCTTGGTGGTGAATGAGTCATTGGTGTGTCGGAGGGAGACTTGCTTTTGGGGACGGCGAAAAGGAGGCGGCCTTCAAGGCTTTTGTGATTTGATGTTAATTGAGGTTGTTCTTGCCATTGATATAGCTTCTTTGTTCGGTTTGACTCACTGGTTAACGAGATCCATTGTGATTGAGCGCGGCGCGGGGCACGGGGGAGGGGCTTTTAAAAAAAGTCTTGTTGGGAGTATTGAGGTAGAAAATGATCTGAGGATGAGTTCAATGGCAAATTAAGAGACTTTTTTATTTGTCTCGAAGCAATGGCTTGGGGTATATGAGAGGGTAAGAGTGGTTGCGGGCAGACCGGAGCTCTTTGCGGCAGAAATTGGAGGGGCAGCGATTGGGAACTCCGATTTACTTCCGGTGTATGATACTTGGTTACGGGTGATTTGCAGACCAAGGTACAGCAAAGGATACGTTAGAATGCGCCCACGTGCGGGTGGCTATGGGAACTGGTTTTCTTGAAGTGGCTCTGAGTTCGAATTGTATCTATATTTCATTTACACATAACAATTAGCATCGATAAATGTACGGAGTAGGTGATGAGGGTAAATCCCCGGCTTAGTATGCCCAATGCCGGAGCAGATGACTAATGCTTCTGCCCCAGGCGTCGAGGTGTCAAAACGGGACGCAGATCGGATGACTCAGCATCCGCATTGATCAACTGGTGCCTGACGGCTCAGGTGTTGACAGCCCTGAGCCCTCGCGTAATTTGGTAACCCACACAAGGCAATTTCATCTTCACATCCGCCTCTTCTCACAGTCCACCCAAACTCTCACCACCCTCGTCCGAGCTCACCCTCATCCTTCAAGATGGATTCCAGCAAGCAGCCCGTCAAGCTCGTCAAGGTGACCCGTGTCCTCGGTCGCACCGGTACGTGACCTTTCCTCCCACACGAACAATTCGATATTCGATATTGGAAGATTTTGAGATCCGCGGAGGCCGACAAACCACACCTCCACAATCGCCAGGATCATGTTGCCAGATGGAATCTCGAAATTCTCAGCAGACAATCAATACTGATCTGTGATTTTTCGCATTTTAGGTTCCCGTGGTGGTGTCACCCAGGTCCGCGTCGAGTTCATGGACGACACTTCCCGCTCCATCATCCGTAACGTGAAGGGCCCAGGTATGCGATTTCGATTTTTTTGAGTTTTTTCCCCCGGAGGATATGGATTATGAAGACCGAGGATTCAATATTCAGTATTGAAGATTCAACAACGAACGATGGAAATTTGGCGGAACCGCAATGCAATCCCACGAACCAACATCGCTAATATAATCTTCTTTCGCACCCACAGTCAAGGTTGACGACATCCTCTGCTTGCTCGAGTCCGAGCGCGAGGCCCGCCGTCTCCGTTAAAAAAATCCCCAAAACAACATTTCACTCGCGCTATGTCTTTCGTCTCTCTTCGTCTCTCGCATATCCCTCACGTCCGGTTTTCTTTGATCGTTCTTCGGCCAAAACTGTGTCCTCGCTTTTCTTTTTCGCCGATCCTCTGACTCCCCCCGACTCCTCAACCTCAACCGCCGCGTCGCCCATTTCACCCACCTTTTTGAGTTTCGTTCCCGATGATCCGATGGAGGTGATGATTTGGGTGGATGGGACTTTTTGGTGACGTCTCCAAGAAGTTCCCAATGAAGTCGATCATAGGTCCCGAACGGGAGAGAGAGATGGAGAGAACGAGCAGACTCCAACCCCCTGTTTATATGAGAAATGAGATGAGGTTGCGCGATGGCTGGTTTGAATTTGTGGGATGGTCTGGTCTGGTTTGGTCTGGTGTTTTACTACATACACGCGTCTCTATTTGACGTGCTTGCATGGGCTCAATGCGACAAACGAGGTTGTGATGTGCTTCTTTCTTTTTTTCCTTTGTGCACTGCAAGGTGGTACTAGAATGGGCACCGAGATTAAACCAGGTCTGATCGACAAAAAGAACTACGGGAATCTAAGGAAAAAATTCGAAACTTCCGGTTCTAATGTCGAAAGACTGCGGGTCATTCGTAGCGTAGAAATTTAGGTTCAATTGCAACCTCGGGATTGGAATTTGAACTTCCAAGGTTTTTGAGATCAGCACGGTCTCGGTCATGTCCCGGGAATATCAACCTCCAAGCGGACTTGATCTCAGTACGTGGCAATTGTGGAATTCTCAGGTCCTACTACTTGCATGCCTGAAGTGCACTAGAATGACCCATTCTAATTGAAATAGAATCGAATAAGGGTCTCTGTCGGTAAGCTACGAAGCACCCACAAGGGAGCATATAGAAAATTGGATTGGCCAAGACAGTTGAAAGTAACCCAGATAAACACACTTCTTCGCCAACCGCGCAGATTCGCGGGGTAGATGAAAAAAAAGTATATACATTTAAGGACCTGGAATAAGAAAAAAGGCGTATAGCAATATAGAACAAGCCAGTGAAACTGTGGCCTTAGTAGTCATACCTGTTCAAATTTAAGGATAAAAAGGTGGTGAGAGCCCGGTTGTAGTATATTGGAGGGGAAGTCACATTTATATTTTACAATCGATGATAGCGTGGCCCAGCGTTCGACTTACTAGAAGACACCAGGTTAGCCACCATGCCCAAACTAAGTTGAAGTGTATGGTAACAGGCAAAAGCTAATTCGATTCTGATAATGAACACTTTTGATATCCGAAACCGAAATTGGGAAATTATGTACAATCGACAGGGTAAACAATGCCTCAAAGCTAAAGCTGCGCAACACTCGCAAGCAATCGATCGAGCATCTCATCCTCGACATCTCCTTTCTCCCCAACAACTCTCTCAACAGCCCCCACAAGTGCCACCAACCTCTTTTGCTTAATTTCCTCCTCAAGCTCTGAGCTCTTCTGCCTCGCCAACTCAATAACAGAAGATGGCAAATTCGCCAACCGAGCCACATTCAACCCATAACTCCGGTGCGCAACGCCCTCACCAACTTCATACAGGAAGGTAATGTCCTCATCGCCCTCCTCACCCGACTCCGTAAACCGCATATGCACGTTCCGCAGTTCCTGGTCCGGGAATGCGGCTACCATTTTTGACAGATGCTGGTAATGCGTAATGAACAAGGTCAATGAGCGAATCGACCGAACCATGTAATCCAGTACTGCCTGTGCGATAGCGACACCGTCGTGAGTGGATGTTCCACGGCCCAGTTCGTCTAGTAGGACGAGGGAGCGAGGGGTAGCTTGTTTGAGGATGTCTGCTGTTTCGGAGAGTTCGACCATGAATGTTGATTCGCCTGCTAGCATGTTGTCGAAGGCACCCATGCGGGTGAAAACTGCATCTAGAAGGCCTAGGCGGGCGGAGGCTGCGGGGACGTAGGAGCCTATCTGGCCCATGATTGCTATTAGGGCGACCTGGCGGACATAGCTGGATTTACCGCCCATGTTTGGACCTGTTACGAGGAGGGCGCGCGTGCCATCCGTGGAGAGGGATGTGTCGTTTGGAACGTAGGTGTCTGTTAAGAGTTGTTCGACCATTGGATGACGGCCTTGTTCGACGTGGAGGCATGGGTGGTTTGTGTATTCTGGTTTGACGTAGCCGGGTTGTTGGGCGATTGTTGCGAGGGAAAGGAGGCAGTCCAAGGTTGCTAGAGACTGGACGCAGTCGCGGAAGGCTTGATATTGGGCCGAGATGTCTGCTAGCAAGGCTGCAAAGGCTCTGTCACAGGCTGCTGCTAGGGCCTCTTTGTATTGGTCTCGTTGGCGGATGAATTGGATCACTTCGGGTGTGTGGAATCGGGAGATCTTCTTTGTTCCGCTGACCTTGACCCAGGATGCTGGGACACGCTTGATTCCTAAGGAATTGTTTTCAACCTCGATGAGGTACTCGATTCCAGAAACTGTTGCATATTGGACTTTCTTCCTGCCTATGCGCTCTGCAGCCACGGCTAGATGCTCCTCTAGCTCGTGTTCGATGCTACCAATTCCCAGTTTCTGGTCGCTGATGTCTTCAGTCTCCTCTTCTTCGCGGAAGAATGAATACTTGTCATCGGTTCGTGCAGCATGGAGGTTGATCTTGTCTAAGTATTGTGTGACATCTCCCTGGATAGTTGGCAGAGATGCAATAGCTTCACTGATCAAAGGCGACTTGAAGCTTGTATCAGCAGCAGATTTGACATCTGCAAATTCCATTGCGATCATTTGCATGGTTTGCAAAACAGTGAGAAGCTCTGGTCGGGAGCACTTCACGAGATTAGCGTGACATCCCAAATGTTTAATGATGCCAACTTACCTTGCCGTAATAAATACGAATCAAACTCCGTTCCAAGTCACTTTTGATCTTGCCCAACAACCCTCTGATCCTATCCACGGGAATAACCCGAGCAGGGCTCATCAACTCCTCAACTGCATTGGTGCGTTCCTCTAAGCGGCCCTTATCCAGCAAAGGCCGCCCAACCCAACGTCGTAATAGCCGCCGACCAAATCGCGTCTGCGTACGGTCCAACATCCAGAACAGACTACCCTTCACAGAGTGATCCGTCTGATTCTGGTATATCTCCAAACTAACCAGTGTATTTCCATTGAGAAGCATATGTGATCGAGCAGAGAATGGCTCGAAGTACTTCGTCAGATCAAAGACATGTTCCAGTCCATAATCCGACATATGCTTAATCATAGCTGATAGACAGATTGTAGGGTGTTCTGACAATTCAAGGACATTTTGGAGGAGCTTGGCTGCCTGCGCATCCTCTTCCGTACCAGTTGCTTTCATCTTGCCAGCATAGAAACTTGCAACATGGCTATGGGCTTCCGCAGCGGCGGTGTTCTTTTTCGGAACCCGCTCAACACGCACTGCATCTCCGAAAACATTGGTTTTGCTTCCAGATAGGTGCTGCACAAGCTTCTCGCTGGCCCGGGACATCTCCCCAACGATGACGATCTCACAAGGCGCAATATGCAGCAGTCTTGTCTCGATCTCACTTCGCATGAAGCCATCTTCGAAGTCATCATAGATAACATCTCCAGTGGCGGGTTGAACAGCAACAATACCGACATGCACCCTCTCATCATTTCCAGTGCCTTTGAGATTAGCTTCCGTGATACACAGCATATATCCCGTAGCCGGAGAGGAGCTCCCTGCAGCAGGCACGGAGCCTTCAAGCCCCTCGATATCATCAATGTAAGTTCCTTTCGTGTAAAGGTTGGTTAACTTCCGGACGAATGGCGCATTGCGATTATCACCCGCGGCCTTGAGAGCAGCCGTCTCGATCTGGCGCACCACTCCAACCTTGTGGCCTGCAGTAACAAGACGCTTCACATGCACGTGTAATCGGTGAACAGGGATACTAGCAGAAGCGAAGCGGTCGATGTGAGCTTCGGAGGGGTCTGTTGGAGCATTCATTAGCTTAAACATGCATAAACAGAGGGTGAGAGAACTCCGGTAGTTGACCTACGTTCATCGAATCTGAATTTGCCGGGTATGCAAACAATTCCCAACTCTTTCGCCGCAATTCGGGCATCTTCTCCGAAGAACCGAAACTTATATCCAACTTCAATGACAAGCACGGTATCCATATGCTTGCGTTTGATATCGATGACCTGTTTCTCCATCGGCGTAAGCTTACTACCACCCTTCTTAGGAGCGGCTTTCCCTTTCTTAGGGGGAGGAGCAGGCTCATCGTCTGCATCGGCTTCCTCGCCTTCTTCGGCATCAACGGCGCCAGCATCAGTAGCATGAGCGTTTCGTCCAATACCGATCAAACAATCTGCACCGCCGAGTCTCCGCACGAATTTCTCGTGCATTTTTTCTTTTTCTTTCTTGCGCTGCGCATCTTCTATGTTTCCATTTTGGGTGGACGGTGCGGCTTGCGAGCTTTGGAATTTGAAGATGTCGGTTCGTTGGCTGCTGCTCAATTGGGATGGTGGATTTTGTGGAGATTCCGTTAAGGTTTGGGGTTCTTTGTCGGACATGAGACCGATCTTGTTGGATTGCTTGTTGGGGGTAAGACCATTCTTCCGGGCTCGTTTGGGTGGTGGTGCAACAACATCATCGTCATCGTCATCTTCAAGTATGGGGTTTGCCTCCGGTTCTGGCTCCGGCTCCGGCTCTGGTTCGGGTGATGCAGGTCTCTTTTTAGAAGGCTTTACAGACGGGGTCTCGGGATCTTTAGGAGCGGCTGATGATTGCGGAGTTGAGGAAGGTTTTTGAGTGAAAAAGCTCGAGATGGTTGGCTGCTTGCGCTTTAAGGACGGAGATGGTGCGGAGGACGATGGCGAGGATTGAGGCGCCATAGTGCCTCGGTAATTCTGAACCTTGAAACGCGATGTATTTTAGCCTGGGATTTTCAAAGTTTTCAGGTAGAATGAAAGCCAGAGGAACAGTGGTGCCTCAATCGTGCTCCGGTTGACTTATCAAACTCGACGCGTACAGACGCGATGGCGTTAATTGGTTGATGACTCAGCGTGCTATCAGCATAACCATATCAGTATGGAAAGACTCAAGGCTCTGTAGTGAGAAACGAGCGTAATGAGTCAACTTCATTTGGTTTCTATCGCAAGCCCCTGGGTATCTATACTCGCTAATAATAATAGTAATCCTAACAGCCGTGAAATATCGCCGCAGGGTAGAGAAGAAATAAAACACCACCTCGCCCCAATATAAAAACACGCATGATGGTGCAACGAAAGGATACAGGTCCAGTCATGATGGAGTATCCTCGACATTCAAAGGCATGCATGCCATTCCAAATCATTAATAGAACGGGATGCTGAACTCGAGACATTTGGGAAACAGAAAAAAGCGCCTATTCTGTGTTGGTGGCCAAATAAAGGCGAGCAAGGTCGCGTTGATCCTGCTCAGAGATAGTCGCCTCAGAAGACGCCGCACGGTGTTGCACGTCAGTGATTGTCCAGTCACTGGGATTCATCGTCATATCATTCCCATATGGGCTTGCCTCATAGAATTCCAACTTTGAGCTCGGGGCCAGCAGAGGATTGGATCGGTGTCCAGCATTGTCAGATCCATCAGGCCCAAGACCGCCGTAGGGAGGCTCTTCATAGTAGTATCGAGGAGCGTACCCGGCATTGTCTGTGTCACTTTGCCTTGGAAAGGGTGAGTGCCAATCCTGAAAGTCAATTCGACCCTGGGCGTTCATGATCGGCTCAATATTTTCCTTGTCTCGGGCAGTTTGACCAGGCTTTGCCACATGGTCGTTGACATCCAATTTGTGATTCAGTATCAAACGTGCCGGAGTCAAGTTGTCGCGTGGGACAGTAAAGTGTCCAGATCGGTCGTTGAATGTTGTTTCTGGTCCTTCTCCATCAGCAAAGATGGTAAACCCATTGCCACGTCGTTTTCCAAACGCCTGCACAGCGAGACCAATCTCACTATCATCGCCGTACGACGAGTTGATGCCCTTCAAACCCCCAGTAAAACGGTAAGGGGATCTATCATTGATATCAAAGGTTTCCAAATCCTTTCTGTTGCGGTTGTTGTTCACAATCTTCTTGGCGCGTTTCCTGTCTTGAGCGCGAGGCAAGTTGGGGTCTGCCTGGCGAAGAACTCCCCTCTTGGGACGTGTAATGCGTCTCTTTGGGATGGGCGTCTCCCCTTTCAGAGGAGTGTCATCTTCAACATTACCGGAAATCACACGCTGCTTCCGGAAGACCCCCGTTGGGGAAAATATGAGCTCAGTAGGCTCCACCTGCAAAGATGTCAACTCCATCATCTCCAACACACTTCGATCCTTCTTCTGATTGCGCTTGCGTCGCATTTGCTGGGTCGCGGAATCAAATATGTCCATTCCTGGCCACAGGATACCCTTGAGTCTGGCCATTTCATCTGCTCGTTCCTTGTCGGCATCGATCTCTTCCGAGACTTCAGTATGCATTTCATCCATGAAAGGATCCGGGATGTTGCGGCCCACCGCCAAGGATATTGCACTCGGTCTTCCTCTAGTCAGAAACCGCTTCGGCGTTTCTGGCAGAACGGCATAGCTCATCTCTGCATAACCATGTTTGTGCCCATGTCCCTCGTGTGTCACGGTACGCATTGGCGGCGTTGAGACCAGCCCAAAGTCGGTCTCCATTTGCATGACGTTGGCATCGGCTACCGCAGATGTGGCCGGAGTGGCATAGATTGGGTCCAAGGACAAATCCTGGATGCTCGAACTACGCTTCACTTGTTCCGGGGAGTCCACCAGGCGAGGATCCAGGAAGTCGGGAAAAGCAGGAACTTCAGGAGAAAAGTATCCTTTTGGATTCGAGCGTCGCGATCTTCTCTGCGTGTGCTGGATCTTGGAATCGACCGCCTTTTTGAGCTGGGACTTTCTCTTTTGCTTCCGGTCTTCCTTGGAGGTCATCCTGTCGGACAGCAACTGGGCGAGACCATTGGTGCCATACCAATCATCGTACTTTGCGAGAAGCTCATTGGCTTGAGCTTCCCCGACGCTGCGAACCTGAAGCTTGAAGTAATAGGACAAATGAGCCTTGGAAGCGACGTGGGTCAGCAGGTGCGAAATGTCGCTGAACCGAGGTTGCCTAGGGCAGATAATGCATTGCAGCACGGCAGAATCCATAACCCCAGCAGAATTGATATCTCTCAAAACCAGGAAGCGACATGCAAACTTCAAGCAGACACAGAAAGACAAAGCAAAAATCGCCGTGAAAAACAAAAGCTGAAGGAACGATGAGAAAAGAAGATGAGAAGGAGAGGAAAGTATGAGGGAGCGGCGATAACACTCGACAGGCGACTCTCAATGGGAAGGTGCGTGAATCCTACCGCGGGATCCTCATGGGAAGGTAGCATCTACACATCCAATTTGGAAAAAGCTGGAATCATACAATATCAAAGCTAACGAAGGGATTATCTTGGGTTTGATTGGTATCTCGATTAACTATTCTACCTAAACCTGAAATACTCAGGAATGAGCCACGATGTCTTAACAGCCTTAGGCCATTGTGGGATGATATGAAGCGGAATAAGTCAAAGTGGACAGTTGCTCTCCTCCTGCCTTGTATCCCAAGATCCATGGTGGAAGGAATCCAGGGTTATTAGATGGCAGGAGGGTTGAAAGATGGGTGGAAGATGTAAATGTGAAGCATGTTTGATTACTTTGCAAAGCATCGAGCAACGACTGATTTAGGCAAACAGCTGTTACCCGATTAGGAAAGGAGTTATTGGAAACAGAGAGCAAGCCACTTACTAGACAGGGTCAATCTCCTGCAGGCCTTCAACACCAAGCAGGCTCAAGCCAGCCACACCAAAGTGGGTGTGGTAGACATCAACCATGTTTCCAGGTCGATCAGCAAAGCCACCTCCTTCGGGATCCTGCTTCGGGTCAGAATGGCAAAATGCAAGGGGTATCGGGGAGTGACTGACCTGGCATTGAAGGACGAATTCAGCAAGCTTCTTACCGTCAATCCAATGAAGGCGATCAATCATCGCTAGACTTGATCCAACCCACCATGTATAGCAAGAATCGGGGAGTTTTTCAGGACGCCCGTTGAACCCACCCTTGTCAATCTGGCGTTCACTAAGCCAGGCACCTAGGCGATCCTTGTTCACCAAATCTAAGCGCCCGGCAATGGAGAGAGCACCAATGCAAGTGAAAACTTGTCCAGAGTGTGACTCGGCCCCGGGAAAGAGACCGTATGCCCCATCCAGGTTCTCGCAGCTTTGAACATAAGCGACCGCTTTAGGGACATCGACTAGGTCCATCAGACCGAGGAGAGACAGGGCATTGAACGCGCCATAGAGAAATCGAGTATCAGTCTCTCCCCATTGGTCGCCCATGAAGGAGCCATCCTCGCGGTTTTGCAAACTCGCGATGAAAGAGCCCACTTTCTGCTTGCCCCCTCGGCCTCTTTTCTCCAGCTCATCCACTGCATCAATCATGACCAGGATCTGGACTGCGGAGACAGTATACAGCATATGAGCATCGTGACCGGGGGCAGCACCGAATCCTCCACTGTCTTTTTGACAAGAGAGCACAAATTCAATAGTTTCATCTCGGGCCAGTGCGTCGGGATGACCAAGGATATGCAAGGCCGTCAAACCCCAGTAGACTCCATTCAGTCGTAAATGTTCGGTAAGCCAATACTCCAGCTCATCTTTCCTCTATTTTCAACCGTCAACTGTTGTCCCTGTAAAAAGTGAGAGTAGCACGCACAGTGTCCAGGTTCTTGATGTAAGCGACATGCTTCAAGATGTGCAATTCCTGGTCCAGCTGGGCACCTCCAGCCCGGCCTGGGCCAGATACCAAAGCCATGTCTGTTTAAGGTGTAGGGGTAGAGTGGGGTTACAAGGCCCTGCAGCCAGGGTTGATTGGACCAAACGTTAGCTCTGAAAAGGGGGGAAGAGGCTTGTTCGGCAAAGGCCGGATATCGAAAAGTCAGTGTCACAGCTCAAACCATGCTGTCATCAAGCCATGCATAAAAGGCCAATGCGAAGCTGTACAGAGCCGCGGGACTAGACGGAGCTCCCGCGAAGCGAGCAATTGTGGCTTGAGTTAGCGGTCCGGATCAGGGATCGCGCTTTTCAATAATTGTGCGCCCACGTGACTAGGGCGGTCAGACTAGGCCGGATCAGGCAATTTGCATAGCTGTCCGGAGTAGGGCTCCCGAAGTGGACACCACTGAAGGCACTCCGTTGCTTTGCCCCGTGCGCCGAGGTGACATGCCCAAGCGCCGCTACTCTAGGATTTCCATCTGTTTCAGATTTTATGGAGCCAGGCATCCAGGAAAACGATTCCCACCATGCCGATTCGGTCGCATTATCAGCTCATGGAGCAAACAACAAGGGGATCAAGAGCCTAACAAAACCAAGTGGAACCCATTGACTGGCTCAAAGTCCGCCACCTGCCAACTTTTTGCTCCTCGAGCTCCAGGGCTTCCGAGTTCTCACGATGGTTGACGGGTCACGCACGTGGACTTTGGGCGCATTCTCGAGGATTCTACTATGGAGTCAAGTGCAATTCTATCAAATAGATGTGGTTTCCGATGGATTCAGATTTGACGCACGTGCGCGTATATACGTTGGCATCGGGTATGCATAGAAAATTCACAGTAAGGCTGGAGCACCGACTTCATTCCCCACGGATACATGATGCACCACCTGGGCAGCGTCACATGGCCAACATCAATCCAATAATAGGTCTCAGAGCCGTACTTGGGAAAGTTTTACACCGTGCAACCCATGATGGGCAAAAGGTGTTTCTAAAAAGAAGTGTACCCCACTAGGCTTTTGAGCCATGGTTATGGAGGGGCATTTGGAGTAGCTTGCAGAAACCGCATCATCAGTGGTCAGAATCTGAAACTCGGGCTAATTAAGACACAAAGCGGAAAAAAGTGGGCCAAGGCAAGCGCCGTGCACACGTTTTGTCTGACGACAGCGCCGGGATTTGCGCCATTGGAGTAGAATTGATTGTGAGTGGGCCTGACGGGATTTTTATCTTTATCTTTGGAATTTTTTTACCCCTGACTGATAAGTTGTTTTTTTTTTTTTTTTTTTTTTTTTTTTTTTTTTTGTGTATCTGGTGTATAGCTCGAGAAGCAGCAAGTAACCAAATTTCCAGCTCGGGTACCTTGCTGGGTTGCCATCAATTTCCGGTTCAGCCAGCGTTATCAAAGTGATCCGAGACGAGGGAAACCATGGACCTCGGACAGGCACAGGAGAACTCACGAATGACAATGCTTATGGCTCCACTTGCAGGCTAACGTAAGGCAAGCACATCATCCCGCCCGTGGTTCCAACTGCCAGACCCAGCGGCTCCAATTAGCGGTGGGGAGCGATCGTGGTGTACAATGTTCTTGTATCACTGCACAGCTCATTCCTGATCACCGGAAACTCAAGGGATAATGCACCCTTGACTCTCCCAATCCTAGCAAGAATTCGACTCAAAAAGGGCGAGCCCATGGAATGAAGTTGTACAAAGAAGTACATAAACAAAGGACAGACTTTCACCCCATGGAACTGGGGATTGACACACCATCATCTTAGTTTAATTCCAGGAGATACACCATTTGACCCTTGGAACCGGTGAGGTCCTGATAATATAGTAGGCACGTCGTACTTTATACTCAAAAACCACTCGGTCCCCACTCATGTCTTTTATGATGGTGGATCTCCCCTTGACTTCTCCATATTTTCTTAAATAAGAAAAAACGAGTGACCCAACTTGCCTTTGCATAATCCTGGAATGCTTCCTCACTTCTTCACTCCTCCGACTCTCTGAACCTGACGTTCGACACTAGCGTCATTTCTATTGTGCACGGTTCTGCTCACAAAGCCACTACCTACGCTAGAGTCCATTACGGGACTTTGTGCTTGTCCAACGCTCCGTTCTTTCTCCTGCACAACGTTCGTTACTTTTGCTTCTTTCTTCTATCTTTTGTTTTCTTGACTGTTTGATCACCATATTGTGGTGAGATTACCCCCCCTTGGTGAAATCGCTTGTACCCGAATCCTTCTGCCGATCCTCGAGCCGCCGAAAAGAGGGGGGAAAGCGAACTGGGTCTTTCAACGAACCCGTCAACTCCAGACCTGTGGGAAAGTGTCGTGTGAGCGGATCATGAGGAGAATTCTGGTAAGTTTCTCAGGCATCCGCGAACCGTTGCATTGTTTCAGGGACCCGGCCTTGTTGAAGCAAAACATGGCTTTGAATGACCCCCCCCCCTGCGTCTGTCACCGTCTGTGGTTTCACTGGTCTTTTTTTAGACGCTCTGTCGTGCTTCTGAATGACTGACATATTTGCGTCTTCTAGAGCCCTTCCCCTCGATAACGTTTCAAACTCCCGATCCGACGATCGCTTCGACAACCGGTGGGCTGAATCTCCGTCCCACGCGGAGTTGAAAGCTTCTGTACGATCACAGGTGGTCTACAGTGATTAGGTACTTGCAATCTGCAGCCCTAGTCCATTCTCTCATGCTGACCGAAGCCCGTTTCTCCACGCGCAGTTGGACAACCCCGGTTCGACAACAGTGCAGAACACAGCTTGTGCCACAACCCCCAAGTCAACAATCCATCACCTTAGTTGTCGCCCAACATGCCATCTCGACATTCCACTGTGCCCAATTTGGACTTCAGCTCCTTCAAATCTGACTCGAATAATGGAAAGCTTTCGTCACCTCTCTCCCCTGGCCAGAGCTCCGACGGGCTGAGCCCCTTGACACCGCGCTCTCCCAAATCACCGTCGAGCTCACCCCTCTTCAAAGGTGCCACCATTCGTCCCGTCACTCAGGACTCGAGCAGCAAAGCGACCAGCCCGACAAGTCCGACCTCACCTAACCCTTTGGCTGTTGAGACTGAATCCGGTCCCGAACCCCCCACCCCGGGTATCACAGCCATTCCACAATACTTTCCCTCCCCCAAAGGCTCGCCCAAACATTCGCGCGACCAGTCCAAGTCATTTTTTGGCACTTTGAAAGCCCCCAAGACCTCCCACCGATCGCACCGCTCAGACGGCTCCGAGACTTCCACAGAACCCCCGAAGAGTCGTGGGACCTCAAGAGATAGGAAATCGTCAATGGCGCGCATCTTGTCTGAATCGACGCCCGATTTACCTGCCATGATTGCTCAGTCTGAAGAGACCGAAAGACGTAAGCGTTCATTCCAGTGCGCCTGTTGTAATGCCATCTAGCTAACGCCTCCCATCTATAGTCAAAACCTCACATGGTGACAAGACAACACAAAGAACAGGTCACAAGAAAGCCAGCACCGAAACTGACTCCGCCCCCGCAAAGAAGAACAAGCGATTTGCCAATCTTTTAACGCGATCTCGGTCTATTCGTGTGGACGAATCATCTGGAAACAGGGCTCCGACAAGACGACCATCAACGGGTCTGGCCAAATTGGAGGAATTCAACAAACCCGATTCCCAGAAGCCCGACGCACAGAAACTCGCGACACAGAAATCTACGATACAGAAACCCGCGACACAGAAACCTGCGACACAGAAACCTGCACCGTCGCCATCTACCACAACACAGCCTGAGCGATCTGCCCGGCCGACAGGGAATTATCTTGAACGACCAGTGGAATTGGCCCCTATCAGAAAGGAGAAGACCGCTGGATCTATGACCCAGTCTAGCTCCTTGAGTCAGGTATCTGGCGCATCAGCGGCGATTTTCAATAATCTCAAGCAGTCTTCAAGTGGTGCTGCAGACCGTTTGGGCAAAGCAGGCAAGGGCTTCTTTGGCAAGATCACTCGCAGTGGCAGCACTAACGAGCGCGAGTTGATAACCGATGACTCTTATGTTTGTTCGGTGATTAACCTTCCCCTGATTGAGCAAGCCAGAAAGACACGCATTGCGAAGAAATTGGAAGACTGCAGAGATAAGACTGAGTTCTGGATGCCAGCTCTTCCATACCGTTGTATCGATTATCTCAACTTCAAGGGCTGTGAGGAGGAAGGACTTTACCGAGTACCTGGAAGTGGCAGAGAAGTCAAACATTGGCAGAGGCGATTCGATTCAGAATTAGATGTCAGTCTCTTCGATGTCCCAGATCTTTACGACATCAATACCGTTGGATCCTTGTTCAAGGCCTGGCTTCGCGAATTGCCTGAAGAGCTCTTCCCCAAAGCAACCCAAGACATGATCGCTGAAAAATGCGAAGGCGCTACAACCGCTCCGCAATTGCTCAAGGATGAGCTTTCTAAACTCCCGCCTTACAACTACTACCTCCTATTTGCTATCACCTGCCATCTGAATCTCCTTCACTCCTATGTCGACCAGAATAAGATGGACTACCGCAACCTATGCATTTGTTTCCAGCCTTGCATGAAGATTGATGCATTCTGCTTCCAGTTCCTTGTCTGTGATTGGAAGAATTGCTGGCAGGGCTGCTGGACCGAGAAAGAGTATGTTGCAAAGGAGAAGGAAATGGACGAGCAAGAACAGAAGGCTGTCGACGAAAAGGCCAATGCCATCGCTTCTCAAGCATCTTCTACCCATGAACGGGCCGTCTCGTCTAGCTCGAGCTCACAAGCTGAGGAGGAGCGGCTTCGGCCTGAAACATCCCGAGGTCGAAAGAAGGCCAGACCACAAAATATTGAGACTGGTCCCACGCACTCCAGAAGCATTTCCCAGCTTCCGGAACTTGGTCCACCACTTTCACCTATCAAAATCTAGGGACCATATTATCTGCTCCGCCCATCAGCCTCCTATGAGACTTCGTTTCAGTTTTGGCACCATGAGCTTGGCTTGCAGTGGTTTGGTGCTTAAGAGCTTCGCTTTATTCGGCTGGACCGATTTTGCGCCAATGGATTTCACGGAACAGAAACTTTGCCAGATTTGGCAATGTCTTTGATCTGAGGAATTGGAGATGTTCGCATTCATTATTTTTATTTTTTTTTATTTTCTCCTTTTTCAACCTTGTTGCTGGGCGTTGTCATTTCACCATCACTTGGTCTCAGACCAACATTGTCAGAGTGCATCTCCTGGCGTCCCCGGTATTTGGATTTCCCATCATTCCTGATTTATCGTTCTTCTGTTGTATATCTTTGTTTTTCCGTACACTCAGAAACTGGCGAATGGTGGGCTCGATTTCTTTTTCTCTCTCTCTCTTTTCATCTCATGTGCTCGCGATTGACACAAAGGTCAATACCTTTGGCTGGTCTGCTTCAAGTTTTATGCTGCTCCTTCAGATATCCCTCTGTGGTTCTCATCATCTTGTTTCACGTTTCTCGTTTTTCCTCAGCTGGAGGTGCTTTCTTTGTCTTATTGGCGTTTTCATTGCGAGTCTTGTACAATAGCGGCACGGGTGGCATTATTCGGTTCAATGAGACCTGATCATCATTGACTGTCACGGAATACAAATCCAAATGACTAGATTGTCTACACAATTCTTAAACCTGAACCTTGAACCGTAACAGCAAACTAGATGAGGTCTTGAAGTGATAGATATTGATCTAAACAATGCTTTTAATATGGTCCGAATTGACCGTCATAAAATGGAACTAAGCCCGACTCCAACCCCAACGCCCATAGAAACAATGAGGAATCTCGAATATACAAGGCTCCAGAGACGGAGACAAGTCACATAAAACACGCTCTCAGCTACTTCATTTCTTAGCCCGGCGATCATTAGCCCGCTGCTTGCGGTCATTTCTCTTAATCCGCTCCTTGCGCTCAGTGCGGGACATTCCACGAATGTTACTACCCTTCTCAGCAGCAGCCTCCTCCTTCTTCCACTTAGACTCATCAACCTCAACAAGCCACTGATCCTCGCCAGACTTGTTCTTTCCCTTGTAGCCCCATCGTGGCACCCACTCGCCAGTCGCCTCGTCGTACTGAAGCTTCTTGCGGCGCTCCTTATCGGCGAGTGCGACTCCGGGACGCTGGCTGTACTTGCCGACACCCTTCTTGCGAGCGAACAGCTCCCACTTGGTCGGGGGCTTAGGAGTGGGCAGAGGCTTGTGGCGCGGGAGTAGTGTCTGAGGTGCGGGCAGGGAGAGGAGCACGCCGTGCTCAGCTGAGGAAGTGATGTTGCATGTTGTCAGGAGCTGGTTGAGGAGGCACTGGGCGCCGTCGCGAGCGACATTTTGCAGGGAGGTGTTGAGGTTCTCGCCCTCGGGGAGCTCGAGGGGGTTAGGGTCGTTGGCGAGAAGGTGTCCCAAGTCGAAAGTGTAGGGAGTGGGCTTGTCGACAGTGATAGGACTGAAAAAGCATGTTAGTTTCAATACTGATATTCGAGGATCAACCGCATTGGAAGCGTTTCAATGGAATACATACAGTCTCTCGGCCTTGGAGCCGGTCATCTCAACGTCTGTCATCTTGGAAAACTGTAAAATGACAGGAAGCTTTAAGATCAAAAGAGCGTCGAAGAGGTTATCACGCTCGGTAAGGAAAAAAAAGTTGGTTATCAGCCGTCTACTTTTCTGCCATGGGTGACTAAGCTGCATCCCACCGCCAGCCTAATTAGGTCATACGAGGATTCCCATAGTCAAATTATTATTGCTGTCTCTCTCCCCGACTTTCAATCGTCTCAAAGCCCACCACATTCCCACCACCCCCTCCCCAGCCAATTGATCGACACTGCGCCTGGCGCCAGTGTTCCTGACCAATGGCCTCCGCGTGGTGCTGGAGCTGCCTCTCGCGGCTTCGCCCAACAACACCAGCAGTCCTCCCGTCCGCAACTCCCCGGGTTTCGACCGCCGGATTCCACTCCACCGCGGTGCAATATGCCATGCCAGCAAAGAAGAAGGGTGCCAGTCTGACGCCTATGCGGTACCGACAGGGTCAGACACTGCGGAGGAAGAAGAAGAAGACTACTGAGCGTGCGCGTCCCCCGGCTGTTGGAGAGCGCAAGGCTATGCGGAAGCGCATTGTCCTCAGTAATCCCAATGCTCTCGAGGTTGAGGGTATGCAAGATCTGTCTGCTGAGACTATGGTCGATGCTCGTCTCCGTGGCTCTGTTATCGGCCTCCCTGTGCCTATGCTGGATCAATTGAGAGCCGTGGAGGCATTCAAGCCTAAGCAGGGCTGGTCTATATTCCGTCGGCCAGGTACTATTCTGCGTCGTGATGCCCTGGAGATGGGTCGTCTTTTTGAGAAAATCTCTGGCCATGGTGATGCGCCTGAGAAGGGCAAGGTTGTCAAGAAGGTTATCACTGGGTCCAAGGGATCTGGCAAGACCGTGCACTTGTTGCAGGCCATGGCCATGGGATTCACTAAGAAATGGGTGGTTGTCACTATTCCTGACGGTAAGATCTGCATCCGCTAAGATTGGCGGGGAGATGTGCAGCTGCTAAACTATGAATATAGCCCGAGAACTCGTCTCTGGTGACTTCGCCTACACTCCCATCGAGGGCTCCAAGCCGACCCAGTACATCCAGCCTAGCGCTACCGCCGCTTTGTTGACACGCACCGTTGAGGCCAACCGCGAGGTTTTGTCTGGTCTTCGTGTTTCCCAGCAACACCCCGGCCTGAAGGGCCTTAAGCCCTCGACCACCCTTGTCGATCTGGCCAAGATGGGATACTCCGATGCTGCCCTCTCCTGGCCCGTTTTCCAGGCATTCTGGAAGGAGCTCACAGCAACTGCTGCTGCCCCCGGCTTCGAGAAGGACTTTAAGCCTCGTCCCCCGATGCTGGTGGCCGTCGACGGTCTTGCCCACTGGATGGTTGAGAGCGCCTACCGCGCTGCTGACTACAGCCCGGTCCACGCCCACGACCTCGTCTTCGTCAAGCACTTCCTCTCGCTCTTGCAGCCCGGTGCCTCCCTCCAGAACGGCGGTATGCTCCTTTACGCTACCTCCAAATCCAACAGCCCCTCAAACTACGCCCTTGAGGTCGGTCTGGACCAGCTTGCTGCCCGTCAACAGGGCACTAGCGCCACTTCTCCCGAATACCCCCAGCCTGAGGCATTCAGCAACCCTGATGTCCGCGTTTTGGATGTGTTCAAGCCCCAGACTGCCTCCGGCAAGGAAGGCATTCTCGAGCTACAGACCCTCGGCGGTCTTACCCGTGAGGAGACCCGCGGATACCTGGAGTACTTTGCCAAGAGCGGTCTGCTGCGTGAGAACATCAACGAGAAATGGATCGGTGAGAAGTGGAGTTTGGCCGGTGGCGGTATCATTGGCGAGCTGGAGAAGCTTGGCCGCCGTGTCCGCACTGTTGCAGAGCCCGTCCCCATCGCGGAGTGATGTAGGATTATATAGGTGTTTGTTTCTTTTTCCCGTCCGCATAAGGGCCTTTGGTTCTTCTCATTTTGTATTGTAAATGGAACTCGGGCCTTGGTTTAGCTTGTACTTTTAAAAATCTTCAATCTCGTTCCATTGGTGTATGCATACATACTGGATAATGTCTGGCAAAGTTTTGGTTTCCCCGCTTTAGTGCTCACCCCTTGCCACTTTTTGTTCACAGTGTAAAACTGAGCATCACCTGAGCAGCTTGATCTACTCAATGCGCATGACCTGAGCAAAGTGCGGGAGTAACTTAGTCAATAGCTCGTCTCAATAAAATGCACCACGATCAATGATTGATTCCCAATCTGAACACACTTACTAGAATCCTCTTCACTTGCGCATACTCTTTTTGATGAAGTTAGATCTTATGTGCTTCACTCGATTGAGCTAAACCAACGACAGCGCCTCTCACAACCCTGAAGTGTGGTAATGGCACGTTGTTGCAAAAGGAGAAACCTGTGCCCAAATTCGTGTTGAAGAATCACTCACGTCGGCCCTCTTTGTCGAGTTATATCCGTCTTTAACAAATTTCAATTGTTCGGATGGGTTGGTCGTTAGAAATGCTTACTGCGTTGGCCCTAACCCGAGATGGCCGATATCCTCTAACTCGACTGCTTCTACAAGCACCCTTGGAAGCTCTTGAAGGCCTGCTTCTGCAACTATCTTCTGCTTCAAAATATTAGATTATATAAGCCTTTGTGGGTTTTCAATTGTAGATACCAAATGAGATGTTCATTGCGGTGGCATATAGGCGCCAAAAGCTCGTTCTGAAGAGGAATGCTAAATGTACATCCGGGGTACCCTTTTCTTAGTACATACTCAGAGCTATTAGTTGCTCAGAGACAGAGTATGTACCAAGAACAGGGACGTGTTAATGACCGTATACGTGCTCAGAAATAATAGGTTCACAGATACTTGGGTGCCAACAGTAGTCGCTATCTGCCACCGTTGGCTTCGGGAAATGTTCCATTTATCGAGTGTTTCGGCAGCTCCAACATGACTGAATACTACTACACCGATTTTAATCAGATCAGCATATACATTCGGCTTTATAAGCGGTTGAAGCCCTCTTCACCAAACCAAAGTCCCATGAATGCCAAGAGTCACGTCCAAGGAGATATTCCCGCCAAGTTCTCCATCTTGCCCCATAACATTTCTCTCGACGCCCGCGCTCGAATCTTGGAGCCTCCCCCTTCTGTGGTTTTGGTCCAAATGGAGCTCTCCATAATCTACTACCTTTTTCTTCTTTTTCTTTTTTGGTTATTTCGTGGTATATCACTTCCCACGCATGAATTCCATAATTCTCTCTTCATCGGAAACTGCCTCGGTGGACAACCCCATCGACCCGGAGGAAGACCGAGATTATGATACACATTACCATCATCCGGTCTGGCCACAACGCTGGTATCATCCAGAATTCACTAAAGAAGCCGCCGCACTATGGTGTGAAGAGCCATGGTACAAAGATATCGATCGCCAGAGTCGCCGGTTTCTAAGGTCATCACTGTGCAATTTTCCTTGGGGTCATATTATCTATCGGACAACCTACACGCCTGAGTCTGAGAAATCATGGCCGATTGCCATGGAAAAGCTGACTCGCGTGATGCACGAATGGATTGATGGTGAATTGGAAAATCCCCGAAATTCCTACGGGAATGACTCCCGCCCCGAGCAACTGGTCAAAGAGTCGCATAAGGATGTGATCATCTCTGACTCGAGTCGTTGGGACGGTGCTAGTGTTGAGCAAGTCCGTAGCCATTATATGGAGCATCTGCGCGAGATGAAGCAGGAACGTTGCGGTGAACAACCTCGCTTTGTTGTCTGTCTTATGATTGATGAGAGGTCATTGAAGTCCATTGTTGCGAAAGATGACTATAGCGGGTTTGTTGGGGTAGTTGATGGATGGTATCTCCCCGGAATAAAATACGATTGGCCTTCTTACCGTGGATACATGAGGGCGGAAGTTGCTGCCTTGTGGCCCCTTTATCAGAATCTTGATTTCAATCATATGGACGATGTATTTCTGAGTGTTGCAGATGGATTCATTCCCGTTTATGATGCCGGCTCTTGAAAGGCGCATGATGAAGACGGGAATGAAATTCCAAACCGTGGTTGGGTGCCCCCCGTGGGAGGATATGCGCCGGGGCGTGGACGTGGATATTGGTGATCTTCAAAGAAAGTCAAAGGCTCCCGGTCATTCCGATTGTGCACCGACGCAGAAAGTGTCGGGCCCAAATATCGGCGACGCACTAACCATCACAGACTAAATGGCCCTGTAGGGTCTCTTATTCGGGTATGACCTAGGTTAAGTTGGACAAATGAGGGGTGTTCACTGATCGTTACTGAGGAACCGCTAAGCACTCATTGAGTACGCACTGAGCGTGCTGAGTAGTCCCAGAGCACTCACTGAGATGCTGTGGACTCGTCATTTACCACCTTCCTCATGGGTGATCCTGAGTCAGAGCTCCCTCATGAAAGCAGCGGCGGCCAGGTAGGAAGGCCCCAGCCAGCAGGCATCATCCTGTCTATGTATGTGCATATAATGGATAATTTTTACCAGTTTGTATTTCCCATATTCCCAATCAGAACAAAAAAGACAAAAGACAAAAGAAAAAAGAAAAGAACCTTCAAAGAAACATAAATGTTCTGTCATATTTACTCAAGGGCAGGATCCCTTTTTCGACGAGGCCTCCCAGCCCGTCTATCCAACTCATCAATTGCCTCCCTCTGCGCCTGTCTATACGCTACCAAACCCCCCTTCTTAAGCATTTTGATCCTCGCCATCTTCTCTGCGGCAGTCTCACTGGACGTTTTATGCATCTCCTCAAGATTTTCATACCACTTGTCATGTCGCGTATCAAAACGCGGTCGAAAAGCATGCAAATGTGCCTTGCGACGTTGCTTCCCTGGCGGAGGGTCTGCATCCTCGGGATGTCGGTATATTGATACGCGGATATCGTCCACTTCGGCATATTCGTCTCTTTTTCTTTTAATTGGGCTTTTTTGTTTTGGGTTTTTTGCTGTAGCGTCGGTTTTTATAGTGTTCACTACCACTTTGCCTTTTTCGGTGCTAGTCTCCTCGTTTGGTTCGGAGGCTGCTGTTGCTTTAGCAGTGCTTGCTTTTCTGGTTCTTCTTCTCTGCGTGATCTCGGGCGCTTTGCGTTCGGGTTTGTTTTTCTTATTTGGAAGGTTATGTTCTTTCTTGAGCTCCTTGGATTGTTCAATGACTGAGGGTTTTTGCTTCTCCCCCTTTTTAGTGAGATCACTAGGGTCATCACCGCAGTATGGATCTCGGACGATAATTTCTTCTCCTTTTTTGATATCACTGGCTGCCCATACGACCAACCGGTTGGGTACTTCGTGGTCATAGCCCCAATTGGCATTCTCCTGCACACTTCTCTTGAAGAGACTAAACCCAGGAAAGAGATACAGATCCATGAACGATGGGTCATGATTTTTGAATGATTCCTTTTTCTGCACTTTCATATCTTGTATGTCTGGGTGCATGGGTGTTTTGTGAGCATCACCGGGTAACAGCTCCGGTCCAGGCCCGTCACCTCGGCGTTTCTCATCCCAGGGAATAGCATGGCTTACTAATTTGTGCATGATGCTTTGAATAACCCATGTGTCGAAGGAGAGATCTCGGAAAATATCGACACCCATGTATGTCAAAATGTCGAACGGGACGGTGATATTACCAACATAGGAGAACGGAAGCCAATCTTTGTTTGTATCAGTCGGGTCAAGTATGAGAATCTCGTCAATCTCCAGCGGGGACAGATGAGGATTTTCTTTGCGGCGGTGGAGTGTTATCTCGAATATATTCCGCAGCAGGAGACTGTGCATGGTACCGTATACATCATTGCACTGGACGATGTACTCTTTATCCTGCCATTGCCTGATAACGGGTCTCATGGCGTCGTGCAGCCATGACCAGTCTTTTCCACAGCTACTGAAATGGTGCAGTCGGCTTGCGATATTTCGACAACTTGGAGACAGAGATTTTCCTTTGGCCTTGCCTTTGTGATTACAAAAGACCCGATCATCAGGACCGGGGACAGGCTTGCCCGCTGGGGAACAAGCACAGCGTTCAAATCTGGTTTCGGCGAAGAGTTGGAATCGTGTTGAGCCGATTTCAATTTTTCGCTTGCAATTTTCACATCTTATTTCATCCATCACTGCTGTTTTATCTCTGGTCATTCGTCGAGGCCGAAGATGGCTGCGGATAATCGGTTCTTCGAAATGTATCACCTCTCCTCTCTTGATATGTCTAGCCGCAAAGACTCCAAGCGTGTTGTTCTTCTTTGGTAGGAGTTTGCACTTAGGCTTCATACCATCCTGACAGAATATGTTCACATTGGCAGTATCGACAAATCCTCGCGCATTCCGATCAACATGCACCCCGTATGGATAAGTTGGTTCGGCCGGGAGACAGCCCTGAAAACGCTCATGCCAGAACAGTGTCTCGTCGGCTTTCTTTTCTTTTCGTCGGCTTTGCCCGATAGACTCGATTATTTGTCTCAGCTGCTGGGGAACCAGTGAGTCACGATCCTGCGTCATAATCAGATTCGAGCTGAATGAGTTGTACCGCTTATCAAGGTCATGCCAGCAGTTCAACGCTAGTAAGCTCAATGTGGTTATAAGCTCTAAGGCTTTCACGAGGCCACTGGCAAAGTATGCGGCACCTCGTACTCGTAGGCGGTGGATCTCGGGTTTGAGATCCCCTTCCTTTCGAGGCTGAACGAGTAGATGTTGCTCTATCGCATGCCAGATCCGTGGGTAGAGACCTGGTCGTCGGCTGCGTTCGTCCCCGTTGATCAGAACGTTACAGAGTACTTTTGCACGATACGCATCGCCCAGAGCTAAGTCGAAATATGCTAACTGGTAATGACAGTATGCACGACTGGTCCAGTAGGCGGGGTTATAGGGACTAAGATGAACGGCAAAAGTATACATATCGAGTGTACTCATCCAGTCATTTTCGAAGGGTTGGAGGGCATATTCTGCATTCCATCCTGCGAGGCCAGGATTCGTCCGAGGCTCTATTATCATTTTTAATCCCCAGTCCTTCAGGTTTCTCCGAGGCATGATCCCAAAATGTCTTTCCAATTCAGTCTTTTCTGCCCGGTTCTCGAGATCTCGCCTATCTCCGTCGGTGCTTTGACCTCGCTCCATCAATAACTCTTTGATCGCATATGAACCCCACGATTCCAGATTATTGAGCGTACTTCCTTTGATTATATCGTCCCTGAGCTCATCAATTATATATGAGACTTCCCAATCCTTTTCCAGCCCTTCGGCCTGAAATTTGGATTCTGCGTCCTCACGTGAGACGGGGAGGAGTGGATTGCTCATCAAGTGCTCGTAGACGTTGTGTACTAGTATGTGGGCCTCGGGCTCGCCTGTTTGTTGGGTGTATGGACGGTTTTTGTGGCGTCGCCATGCCTTCCCGAGGGCTCGATCTGGAAGAGACCATACTTGATAAGCGATATTCGCGTCTGTTTTTGAGACATATGAGCCTAGTTGGACCTCGTCGAAGACATTGGGTCTTGGGACTCCTTTCTCTGGTTGTAAGGCTTCTAGGGGAGGTCTTGGGAGAAAAGCCTTGTCAATTTTGGCAAATTGCTTGGTTCCCATCTTGCTATGGTAGATAAGAGTGACCATTTCAAACCGGATTTCTCAGGACAGAAGTAATACGATTTGATTAGATTCCGAGTCTCAGTATCTTGTGTTTATAAAATGTCTGAAGTTCTTTGGGACTTCAGTTCTTAAGCATGTAGAACAAAGAACGAGATGTTGTTCCGAGACATCTTGGCTATATTTCGAATGCAAAAGAACGTCAGTCGCAAGGTGAGGGCTCTAGGGAACAAAGAATCAACCAGGACCGCAACGTCAGGTCATAGTAGATTGTTTCAAAGAATGTCTCCCAATAAAGAAATATAACTTATCGCTTCGTGTATTCTATGCCAAGAATAGACACGCCAAGCTGCTATAGACCTAGATTAGTCGTGACGAGCTGTTATTGGATCCATACTATGGGTCCTTGGCCCCATACCTTTTCTAGCTTAGTTTCAAGCAATGATGCCTATGTCATTATCATGGACCTGTGGCTCTTAAGCATAGAATATCTGAATTTCGGATAATGTGCTGATCGTCATAAGACATGCATCAGGGGATCTGGACGTATCATTTGGCTATTTTTAACTCGTAGGATTGGCTGGTGGGGCCCCTCGTGCCTCGTACGTGTCCCGCTTTCCCATCGCGCTTGCTACTTGGCTTTAAAGATCGTGTGAACCGTGGTTCTCCTTTTTGTTTTCCCCGAACTTCTCATCTTCACCTGTCCCTAGGAATGACCCACCATGTACGGGTCGAATCAGTCCGATCCTCAACAGCCAGAATGGCGACTGCCAGCACGCCGTCCCATACCGACTTCTGAGCCTGCACCACCGCAGCAGCCTCCTCGGCCCCCGACGAGTGGAAGTACATATCATCCGGCGAATTATGGCCCAATATCCAATCCCAACACTCCCGCGCGGCCAAATGTGTCGTCGTCGCCCGTATCGCCCTTATCGGGAATGACCGATCCCCGAACATGGGGGGTGCAGTACAACAAACATACGATTCACGCTCCTCCACCTCTTCCAGTATGTAGTGGTGAAGCTTTTATAGAGATTGTTTCTGGAGACTGATAACTGCTTAAAGCCCCGACCACCGAGCACCAACGAACGGCCGAATAACTATGCGCCGCCGCCGCCATCGTCGCAGTCCCAGTCGCAACCCCACTCGCCCGCCTTGAACCCCAATCCCCCACCCGCGATTTCACATCAAACATATGACGCGTTTGCGGATGCTCGACCTCCCTCAGCAAACAGTATTCCACCGCCGTATAATTTTCCACCGCGACAAAATGAAGCTCCCAGTCCGCAAATTCAAACACCCAGTGTTCCTCCGCCGCCTCCTAAAATCCCCCAGGATCAGCCCGCAGAGAGTCAACAGCCTTCTACTCGACCTCCACTACTTGCGCAGGGCATTGGTCCAGCGGCTACACAAGGATCGTATGGACGTGCTTCAGATTCTAATGCAACTCCCACATTCGCATCTGCGCTAGGCCCGGGGACACCTTCCGACTGGGAACATTTAGGTCCAACAGAGGGCGACTTTGATGATGCGCCATGGTTTCCACCCAGAGATCTTGCTCCTCCATCGCCGGAAACCATTCAAACACCCCCTGGCTTCTCTACTGGACTTTCGAAACCTGCTGTGGCCAGTGTCTCCATGTCTCAGCCACCAGCGCATCCCGATCAGCAGGCCTATAGTCCCACGCCTCCACATCCAGGGATCACCAATCAGCAGGCTTATGGTTCCATGCCTCAGCCTCCAGTGAACGTTAACCAGCAGGCCTATAATTCCACATATCAGACTCCAAGACCGCGAAGGAATGATTCTGTCTCACCTGTTAGTCCTTCCACAGGAAATAGGGTCCATACAACATCGCCCAATCGTATGGACAGCGTCAGCTCCAATAGCACCTGGTCGCCGCGTACGGAGAGCATCGACAATGTCATCGATGCATGGGTTAAACCTCTGGAACCTGCACCAAAGTCAACCGACTCCGACAAGGCTAGCTCGATATCACACCTAGACCTTCCATCTACGACTATCCAAAACAGTCCAGTGGAGACCCCGAAACCGCAATCTCCTCCCCAGGATATGAGATCAGTTCCTAATACAGGAAGTCCTGCGGAAGTGCGAGGCAATATCGTACCCCAACCCGTCGATCCATATGAGGACCTTGACCCGTGGTTCAAATCTTCTCTGACGCGCTGCGTTGCGATGCTGCGCAAGGAGGCGGTGGCGGATTCCGATGAAGAACGCTTCAAGATATTCACAGCTTTCATGGCTAAGGAAACTAAGCTTCGGGAGATCATGTATAACATCGAGCATGAGCCTCCTGTCATTCAAGAGGTTCGTTCCTCTGAAGCTCGGCAGCAATCACCAATTTCTGAAGAGCGTAAGCCACCTATCGAGTCTGGACTGATTCCCGTGGAGACGGAGGAAGTCGAATCACCTACCAAGATCAGTGACGATGTAGATGACGACGGTACCGGGAGCGAATACAGTGCGGGTGGTCGCCCCATACTGGGTAAAGAACCCGGGCGCGGCTCATCGTCGCAGAAGCCCAGGCTTTCGATGTTTCCAGAGGAGAGTGAGAAGTCAAGACATCCTGCTCGGACTTACTCGATGCATCTTTCAGAAGAACAACCGCCTTTAGAGCCTCTTGCCACGGAACCTCCGCGACCTATCTACACCCCGTTCCAATACACTGAAGGTCCTCAACGTGGCTCGGATAATCTAACGTTTGCTCGTCCAGCATATAAGGCCTATTCTGATCTACGGCAAGCATCAGCTACCGGACGAGTCATGTCAAATGTCCCACCGATCCAATCCGAGTCTGCTCCTTTGACTGCATCCACATCTCCGTCCGAAGTTGATGAGACTTTTATTGGTCTCATCCGGCATAAGAGTAATGCTTACCAGTTAAGCAGCCGATGGAACGCCACTCCACTTCCATCGCTGCCGGAATCACTCAGGCAAGGACGACAAGAAGACTTGATTGAAGACTTACGTACAATGGTTCGGACACCATTAGACAACCAACCGGAGAGCCCGTGGCATAGCACAGCCCGGGAAGGCCTCGATAAATTCTCGGATGATCTATCTTACGTTCAAAAGTCCATTGATGACTGGGAACATGCCGCTACAGACCGTCGGCACAAACTTGAAGCTGATCGTGCGACTCGACAAGAGCAGTCGGAGGCGCACATTGACACGCTCTTCAACGATAAGGAGATTGGCTATGCGGACATCAATACCTTGGAAGAGAACTTCCGGCAGACTGAAGCTCGTACTCAGCTTGATGAGGAAAGGAAGGAAGTAGATGATTTTATGTCCCAGGTTTCCAATCCCGTGGATAAACGTCTAAAGGAGGAGATCTCTGCGCTTCGCAAGTCGTATGAAACCGCTTTGAACCAGCTTGATCGAGACCAGAAAGGAAAGGGTGCTGCTTCTGACCGGCACAGTCCGTCTGTGACCATGAAAATGGTCTACGAAATCCACAATCAGCTCGAGATTCGGTTCCAGAAGCGACTTGAGCTTGCCCTAGACTGTGAGCGGCGACGTAAGAGGGCAGAGCGTCGTCCGCTCGTATTCATGGGTGATATGGCTAGTCTTCGACAGCTCGATGGGGACTTTGACCTGATGGAAAAACGCAACATTTTGGAAGCAGCCAAGGACCGCGACGGGCGTGCCAACCAGCTTATGGATTCCTTTGACGATGCCATCTTGCACGGCTTAGGTATGAATCAAAGCCTCTTGGACGAGCTTTCATCCAAAACAGCCCGCCTCGACCCCACGACTCTCCGCGCTTCCGGTCTACCCGATTCTGAAATCGAACAGATTCTCAAATCGGTGGCAACCTTCGCCGTATCGCTTCGAGCCGATTCCGAAGCGATCCTTCGCAGCTCAGGAATCGCAGAAAAGGCTCTAAACGATGCCGACTACGCCGTGTCCGTTGCCGAAGCGCGATATGCAAATTCGGAGTCGGATATCTTCGAGCGCCTCGAAGCCGAAAAGAAAAAAGAAGATTTGATCCTCGATCGTGATCTGGACTCGAAACTGCAAAGTATTCAGAAAGGTCCTCAGGCTCTTGATGCTACTATCCAGCGGCTTATCCGGGACTTAGCAAAGACCCCCAGAGTTGCGGCTCCGGTCTCCGTGGTTATCGATGAAGCTAGTCCCACGAGTCAACCTGTTGGAGTGCCATCCTTGGAACTACCCTTGGAACTTCGCCCGGCCACCGTTCGCCCTCCCACTGTAGCTCCTAGTCAGACTCCGCCTGCACGTCGCCTCTCGGACCCGAAGAATGAACACCAAGACAGACTACGCAGGGCGCTGGAAGATGCAAAGAAGCGCAATGCGGCCAAATCGAGCCAATGAGCATCGTGTCTGGGCATTGGACGCAATGCATCCATGACGCCATGGATTTTGCATGGGCTAAGTCCCTCAATTTCTATCCCTGTTTTGATACCCTCGTGTTTTCATGCATTGAGCTAGCCACGTTTTTCATTTTATTTTTGTGTTCCCAACGAATAGAGATGTGGGCGAAGTATGAGAATAGGCCAATAAAATGGGCAATAAAGCCCGGAGTAATTACCCCACGTCACACCAGCATATCATCGACATCTGTCCATTTTCACAGGTCATTCTGACCTTGTTAATATAACTGTTGGTTTGGGGCTTTTTCCAACGGATGGTCTCTGACGAAATGTTGCAGAAAAATCCTTCCAACTCTTTTGATCCCCCAAGGCTGTACTTTTGACAGGGTTGACTTGACCAATCGCGCCGCAGTGGCTGCGCCTTGAGCAGGGGTCAAACCAGTCAAGCGATTCAAAGACCATGCACAAGCAATTTTCCTCTCACTTAAGCAATAAGAAACATGTCTTCGCTTCAAGGCTCTCCAGTGTGAAATCAGCCTGACCGAGTGCAGAATGCCCGTTGTTAGGCGCCTGGGCACCGCGATTGGTAGCAGTAGCTATCCGCCAGTCGTTCCTGTTTTTTTTCCTTTTTTTTTTTTTTTTTTCTCGCTGATCAGCACAGATCCACAAACAGGCTCACGCAAAACGGTCGCAAGGATGTCACTGGTGCTCGGACCCCATCTTACAGGGATGAAAGGACATCTCCAGACCCAATACCCAGAGCGGCGGGTCGTACTCTGCCGCACAGCACCTCCGAGACGTGCTCGGATTCGCTGTGCCCCTGCGCTAATCAATAAGACTAATCATAAAGGATTCAATGGCACAACAGTGCACAGTTCGCGCGCAGCTTCCCCTCTTCTAGCTGTGTCGGCTCTATCGCGATCGTTGAGCTTATGCACGGTCGTCCTCCGAATCACCAACTCTTTCAATCGGGCAACTGAGGACTGGCTATGAGGCGTTCATGGCCTTTGATCCTCTGCTGCATGTTATTTTCTGCCGCGTAAGGCTTTGTGAGATCGCCTCTACGGAGTACGCCGTGAGCATCTGCCTATCTCGGAAGGGCAAGAACCCATGTCAAACGGAATTGATCTGGGATTCCTTGGTTCATCCTTCCGGGGATAATCGTGTGAGCCTATCATGACACATTGATATGCAGGAAAATGACATGCCTGCAATCTTTTTTTTTTTTTTACTTTTGGTGTTGGGGCCTCGAAAAAGTATGCCAGGTGATTCGGTGGCCCAACAGGATGAAAAGCGTGGCGGGTCAAATGGAAAAGTCGAGCTTTCTTCCCCACTGGGATCGGTCCTCGATCGCAAGCCTACGCCGACGCAGTCGAGAGATCGCCAGCCAAGACATTGCGGCACCAATGTCACATTTCCTGTTCTAGGTCTACAGTGAGACCAATCTCTGACTATCCACCCGAGCCTACTGATCCATTTCTTTCTTTGCCGGCTAGGAGCCGAGCCAATTCGCCAACATGTACGCCATCGGAGCATGCAACTTGCCACCACTGCTGGAATTCTGTAAAACCAGTTTTTTTTTTATCTGGACAAACAGCTACAAATGATTTATCAAAACTTGACAACTTGATACGTGGTGTTCTGGCGTATGATGTATTCGATATACGGATTACTTTGGGCATAATGTGCTTGTCTTAGCGTCGGGACAGTTCATGCCGGAGAAAAGCACCGAGACCCCAGATCGCTTCAATTTCATTAGTGGCAAGTCTGTGCGCAATGATTGCTGATCAGTATCTCAGTGCGAGGCATAATCCAACGGTTAAGCCTTGTTAAGACATCATCCCTTCCGCTGCGCCTTACCAAACTCCATTTTCCCCCGAATTTTCGCTTCCTTTTTTCCCGTCGCACCTAGACCCTTTGTTTAAGCGCCGTTGGGAAGATTGCCCAAGTATTCTACGCTCATGGGTCAGATCTGGATTTTTTAATTTTCAATTTCTGACTCCTTTTTTTTAACTGGATGACCTTTCGATCCATCCAACTCTTTGTTTTTGCGCCCCGGAGATCATATTTCGAACACCATCCCAGTCTATCATGCGCCAAATCGGCAGGTGGGACTCTCGAGCATAAGGCATAGAGAAACCATAATGGGTTTTTGTCATGAGCCGCTTCTTCTTCTATGGCGGACCTAATTATTTAAAGCGGGCGCCAGGGAGATCCGTTCCATGGTTTGTTGTACCCGCTCCCGTCCATGGGTCCGGAAGAACTCTGTGAATCTACCTTTGCCATCAGGAGTTCCGTACACACAACTTGGACTCTTCTTCGCCCCTCGTATTTGATCATCCTCGCCCCCTTTTTTCAGACCATGTCTGCTCCGACAAGACAGTTTCACAGACTGTCAATCAGTCACGACATGCCTGAGACTCGGTCCACCACTCGCACAGGGCGGCCGGACCCTTCCGATGAAAGCGAGCGCGAGGACAGCTCTGTTGAGGAGAGCGAGGTCGAGAGCGAAGAGGAAGAAAGCAGTGATGATGAAGCTAGTGGCAAGACCATCCTCGCGCGCTCGGGAATCACCTATGACATGAAGAATCTAGATGACGAAACGGGAGCTAATGCCTCCGTGGGCTTGAGATCACAGTACGAGGTCGTCAACTGCCGGGCTTCGGACTCTGGCTATGATTTTCAATTACTGGATCGACCGCAGGTCCATGTTGGACCTGATTCAACTACTTGCACCTGCTCTACTTTCCAATCGCGGCCACAGGCTGCGTGTCAGCACATCTTCGTAAGTCTCTTCACTCACCCACAGGACTGGCTTTCTACCTCTGCAGAAGGCACGCTAACACAAGTACACCGGGTAGTGGGTTCTTGACCAGCTTCATGCCTATTTCCATCCTACACCCTCGACAGCTCGTGCAACCCTCTCCAGCGACGGTCGCCCTCAAGTGCGTCCTCGCGCCGAGGAACTTCTCAATAGCGTCCGATTGGAAATAGTAGCAGACCGTCTACAGTGGCAATGTCTCCGAGATGAAGGTAACGGCCATTATCACGGAATGACCCGAGCAGAAAAAATCCGGGACGTGCTCAGCGCATTCAACACGAAAATCCTGCCGGAAGACTTCCGCCAAGATCTGCAGGAAAAAGAACCCACGACAAAATACACTGCAGAATCTTGTGTCGTGCAAGGCGATCTCGAGGCTACCATCTTCCGACTAGCTGTGCACGACGACAGCGTCTTCAGCAGTATATGCAAGGCAATGCCCTCCGGCGCGTGTGCGGCCATCTACTTCCAAAAACTCCAGGATCAGATCCGCAGGCTCCTGTCTGATTTTGATCGGTATTGTGCGACGGGTGAACGACCCGCAGACTCCAGTAGTACTGAAGGTGGAGTGGAGGTCGGGGAGGTAGTCCACCAACTTCGTCGCGCGGTTTCGCGTATTCGATCCAACATTGCTATTCGTTCGCCTCATGGCTCGGATGGTGCCGCCGATGCCCTCGTCCTGATTCTCGAAAACATCGCGGCTCGCAATAAGGATTGTCTCGATGGAAACAACTGGGGCCGCACATCTTTCCACGGCGAGGATGAGGATCAGCGCAATCTGCACCATTTGCTAATTGGTTCCGACGATGTGGAACTGAAGGCAGATGATGAGCTATTTTTGATTAGCGCGCTTGAAGATTTGAACTTGTCTTCTTTGGGATCGAAGATCGACGCGCTTCGCAATTCCCTCAGTAAATTGGAGGTGAATCGCGCGCCAAAGGCCTATCTTGTTCGACTGGGAGCATTGGTCCGCTTGATTGAGTCTGGCGGTACATTGGGTTCAGGCCAGAAGCGACCTGCCGCTGGGAATTCAGGAAGTCTTCCCAAACGAAGTCGATGAATTGTCTTTGTTTTACATGCATTATAACCCGGATTTTGGTATTTGCATTATCATGTCTATTGTCTGTTGGTTTGGGCCGGCTATCTCGTTCTTTCATTCCAATACCCCTGCATCTGAATCTGCCTCAGCGAAAAGAAAAAATCTAACGATTCTACCTACTACTTTTTTTGGCATCGAGTAATTGCTCGCATACACAATCTACCAAGCTTCACGGCAACATACCTTCCTAAACCAAACCCAGTCACGCTGCCATGACATCGTACATTGCCATCGCATATGGTCACAGCCACGTACATGAAATCATACCAAACCCAAAATCCCGTGCCTTCCTAATACCCCAATATACCCATGGAACATAGTCCCGAGCCAAATCTGATGGAACTAAATGCGAACTCATCATGGCGTCATATCAACCCAGCACTGCGGACTTGGGTCCCCACGTCCACGGTCCGACATTCTCGGGACGTGTCACTTTGCCAAAGGAGACGGTGGAATTCGCCCGATTCGACTGCTGGTTCCATGGACCCGGAGATGGGTTTAGTGGATGACCCACTTTGTTTCGGCGCCGAGTCTCGAAAGCCCTGAATTTGGAATTGCTATCGAATTTCATCCACGATAACCATTTTTCATTTCTTTCTACTGATTATTATTCGGGGCTTTCAGTATAGTGGTGCATTTAATCAATCGCATTGGAGAACATTTTTCAATAAGAATTTTACTTCGCGTCGGCAACTGTGGAGTTTGTCAGGGTGGAGATATTGATTTGTATGCATAATTATAGGCGAGAAGCCCCCTTTTCAGCCATACCTTACGTACTACGCTTGGTTTGTGCTTAGTCGTAGGTGCAGGCCGTCAAGGAGAACAGAACACGTGGAATCACGGAAATGTGCCGATGAGGAGATCTGGTCCACTTTGTCGCTTGTTATACTTTGTGGATTGGAAGCCACTGTCGGGTTTGTTCGGGGATGTCTATCATAACTATGTACGGGTTAAGTACGGATTATGCTTGAAGATCTGGGTATAAAATCTGGTTTATTTGGAATCTGCTCCGTAGATCCTTGCATGTTCCGGTATTTTCTCGGTTCGGGAATATTTCAAATTGCATGATCTACCTCTATCAATATTTGAAATGATCGCGAATAATTGGTGGGGTCAAGCGAGCTTGGATATTATAGGCCCAAGCGCCTAACTGGACCCGGAAATGGAGTTGGTGGGGAGGCTCTTATGCTTCTTCGTAACTTTCTGCAAGCAATCAGGGGGTCGGTCGGGTATAATTTACGTCGGATGCGCGCCAGGTTTCATTACGCGAGATTTCTGTGGGATTCTGTTATTGTTTCAGGTGGGGGAGTTGGATGATTTGCACTGAGAAGGAATATTCATATCTATCTAGGTGAATATGGATATCTATGGCAGAGTATTCTTATTTTCATCATGTGTATGCATATAGAGGAATCTGGTTTCTGTATGTTTCGGAAGTAAGTGAGACGGAAATGAAATTATTGCTACCAGGGATAGCATGTCAGTTTCGGAGCTAAGCTACTACACGTGTGCATACTTTACCCACGTAGTTGAGATAAAGATAAAGATTCGCGCTTATTCCAGGGCTATACGAAAAAGTGCATCTTGGATCGACCCGCTGTCAATTGCGGAATGTGTGGTGGGTTCTTTTGTATGTGGCTGTTGGGGCGATATACCACCTTGGAAACTGCATAACTCCAGCCTTCCTACATTTCGACGGCTCCTGACTTTGAGTACTGCGAACATGGATGGTAATTTGAATGGTAACAATCTAGTAAATTGGTTGTTCATTATTGCCCTATTTCTTATTCTATTGCCATAAAGTAGCTATTGGTTATTTCTGGACGGTGTCGTCTGGATTCAATGTTGTCGTGTCATGAATATATATCTTGGACCACCCGAAGATTAGGCATAGTAATGGATATCTAGGAATCCAATGATAAATGATAAGATTGATAGCCCGAGTCTATGATAATGATTCAAGGTAGTATAATAATCTACCCGTAGGATTCTATCTGATATTTTCACAACAAGAGGCAATCTTGAGGTGTTTTTGCATTTTGGGATGATATCCGATCGTGAACTAAAATTGTTATTGAATTGGGAACAGCCCTTAGACATGCCGTAGGCTCATATAACACATTTGAGATCATACTTCAATAAGGCCGGCTGGCCCAATGGCAAGGCGCTTGACTACGAATCAAGAGATTGCAGGTTCGACCCCTGCGTCGGTCAATTTTTTGGTATTTTTTCCCCACCAAACTCAACTACAGTACTACCAATATCTTCTGCATTTTTTTTTTCTTGATTTATTCGCAATGACGCATGTTTGAAAATGGTCTAAAAACAAAGTTCTAAATCTGAAAATTGTTTAATTTCGAAAGAGAAATTGATTCAATGTCCATAACAACACGAATATGGCATAGTGATTACCTCCTAGTAAATTGTCACAAGGTCACAGGTTTAATCTGAATACATTTTAAGATAAATCCAACACAACCCTGCCCTGCAACTTTCCCTCCTTCATCTCCGTGAAAACATCGGTCAAAGCTTCCATCTTTTCAACACGATAATGAACCTTCAAAACCCCCCTAGCCGCAAACTCCAACACCTCAATAGCATCTTTCCGACTCCCAACAGCAGACCCAGTAACAGTAGTCTGTGTATTAACAAAATTGTACGGGAAAGCCGTCGCAATAGGCTGCGGCTCATGCTCCGGCATCCCCACACATACCAGTGTTCCATTAAACCTCAACAAAGGCAAAGCCTGCGCATAAGCCGCATTCGCAGCCGTACAAACAACAGCCGCGTGAGCCCCCAATCCATCCGTAAGACCCTTAACGTGTTGCTTCAATGCCAGACCCTTATCATCCTTGGGAAACTGCGTGATATCGACGAAATGTTCCGCACCAGACGCAGTGACAAGCTCTGCTTTGCTGCCGTGATCGATACCGATTACGCGGAGTCCCATCCCTCTACTTGCTAGTTGCACTGCCAGGTGACCGAGGCCGCCTCCTGCCCCGGAGATTACGACCCATTGGCCTGGGCGGGCGTTGCTGCGTTTGAGAGCTGAGTAGACTGTTACGCCGGCGCAGAGCATTGGGGCTGCTTCGGCCGAGTCAAGGGCGTCTGGGATTGGTGTTACGTAGTTTGCGGGGCCCAGGGCGTATTGTTGGAATGTGCCTGGGGTGTAGTAGCCTGATACTTTTTGATTGAAGCATAGACCATCTGTGCCTGATTGGCAGGGGACTTGTGGGATGGGAATTAGTTTTGCGCCGGGAATTAGGTTGGAAGAGGATTAGCTTACGGCAGTTTCCGCATGCACTTGAAACCCATTTGATACCGACTCGGTCTCCGATCTTGAAACCGCTGGACTCGGTGCCCGGGCCTAGCTTGACGATTTTACCTACGCCTTCATGGCCGCCTACTTGGCCTGGTTGGGTTGGGGCTGGTAGTAAGACCCACTGTATCATCATTTTAGAATCAGACCGTTGGAGTAAAGGGAATGGAGTCATACGGTGTTTGTCATTATTCCAAGGTCCGAGTGACAGACGCCGGAATGAGTCCTACCCCGCACATTAGTATCGCGCAGGCTTAACGAGAGAACTTCACGAACAGATTGATAAGGACTTCACCAGCACCGGGCTGGGGCACGTCGATCTCTACGACTTTGGTCGACACAGTTCCAGGCTGGTCATAGATGGCTGCCTTTTGCTTCTGGGGAATCTCGGGGGTAGCCATGGCGTAATGTGATAGATGCTGGGAATGGAAGATAGGGTGTGTCGGATGGCAGATAGATAATGGGGGTGAGAAGAGGAGTTGGTTCACGGCGGACAGGTGGAACTTTATTTAATTCTCCTCCGCCAAGAGAAGAGGAGAAATCCTCTAGTGACGTGAATCGTGGGGCTGGGCTTTGGGATTACCCTTGCATGCATTTGCACCGGAGATATGCACTTAACTGCCTCGGATGCGCATTGTGAATCAGTTGTGACTGGTACGTCGTTTCTTGGGACAGTTGGTGCTGAGGGGAAAGGTGGAGTCATCCGAACCGAGGTTGGCCACACTCGAGATGCTTGTGAGAAGACATTGAAAACTGGGAGATCGCAATCAATGATGGAGACGGAGTAAGTGAAGAACCATTATAAAGAAGTTATCATTATATAGATCGGGATTTCCCAAGGTCCTCAGCTTTATTCTGATATAGCTAGTAGTGCTAGCAACGCGTCATGCCACAAGTGGGGCCGTTTGTCCTACCAGAATATTTGAATGCACCCCACCACTAGATGGCAGTCCGATATTGAGTATGTCTAATTCATCAATCCGAGAACCCCAAAATGTATAAGGTCATTGAATATTTCAATCGGCGTCGTAACCACCTGAATATTGGGTGAGCCCCTCTACCGCAGGCCCCGGGCTTACCCCGCATCCCCGCAGGCTCAAAGTGGAACCGGATATGAATCCCCCGGCCTCAAATTTTAGATGAACCGGTGTTATCATTTGGATGGGACATGCATAAGATTGCTTCATAAGTGATACAAGTATTCCATTACATAACCAAGTCCGCTAAGATCCTATAGCGTAAACTCAAGCAAATTACCAGCATAATCACGGACAAAGAACCGCTTAGGATATTCCTTTCCTTGTGTACCTGTGAAACCGAGACTAGAGTCAGTAAAAGGAAGGAAGCGAGTGTATTTGATTTGACGAACCTGAGTCCATGTCCCCGGGCTTGTCAGCCGCCATCGGCGCCGCCGGACCTCCCCGAGCATAGTGATCATGAATCTTCTTCTTCATAGCTTCAAGATCCTCACGGGTATCAAGCTTGAAGCACGGATGCCGTGTGTGTTCGGGATCCGTTGGGCCCATAGTAACATGAATCTGCTGTCCGCTCGAGCCAATATTAAACCTAGACACGACCCATCAGCACAAAAACCCATTGAGGCAGTCACCGACTAGGAAGCCGGCACATACCATAGTATAGTCCCCTTCTGAAGCTCTGGGACTGGCGCCGGAGTTAATCCGAGGGTCTTGCTATAAAACTCCAGGGCATCATCTAGCGTGCCGGGGTGCACTGTGAGGTTGACGTGGGCGATTCCTTGAATCATGATGAGATATAAGAGATTAGACAGGAATTCAGATTATTGCTTTTCTGATTGGGGGTGAAGTTGGTGGGCATCGTGACTTTATATTTTCCCATTTGTATTACCCCCACGGAGGTCGGAAACTAGATCCCGATCATGATTGGCCGACGACATGCTGACATGATCATGATGGTATTCTGATTGGCTTCACGGAAAAGAGTACATGAGTCACGGGCTCATATCGGATTTCGAAGTAGGACGTCAGTGGGAGTATAGGATCTCGTGATTTACTTTTTTTTTTTTTTTTTTTTTGTTGTCTGGAACTATCGGCTTTGAAATGTGGAAATAATGAAGAGTTTAGAGTTATCCCCAGTCTTGGCAGGCATCGCCGTCTTTCGTTATTTATTTGAAACTTGCAAATCATAAACCATGACCTAATTTGCCATTAAGCATTTGAAAAAGAGCAGTAACCAATCAACAGCTAGGCGACATCATTCTCAATTCAAGTCAATGCATCACAACCTTCAATGTCAACTACCGATCGCTCTCGAGGTTTATGACAACTCAAATATGTACTTAGTCACAAATCCAGGGATTCAAGTCCTGCTTTTGCGGTTGTTCATAGCTGGGAAACATTGCTGGTGGATATCTATTGCTATCAGGTAGAGCTCTAGTGTGGCTCTGAGGACTGCTTGACATTCTGAAATATTGATCACTTTGTACTTGAAACGAGTCGTTCAGTGAATTGACGTAAGAAAAGCTATTGGTGAACTATTATATATAACAATTAACAATGTACAACTATTCCTTCACAAATCATATCTTCATATCTCGAGCCTAGAACTAGAACAAAGAGCGGAAGATTCTCATAGGAGCCGCCTTGAACCAAGCACCCCAAGTAGGGTACTCGACCTTGGGTGGTAGATCGACATCCAAGATGCCATCACGCATACCACTAAGGACGTCCATATTCTCAACCTTGATGAACCAGCCTCCACGCTCAAGCGCAGGATCCTTGTTGAAATAGGTATACACCTGCCAGAAAATGAACAGCAGGATAGCAATCGGAGCAGCGAGGTAATTCATGAAGAAGTCCTCGGCATTTTTAGGGTACACCGAGACATAGAACTCAGCAATCAGGCAAAGGATGTTAAGACCAAGGCCGATCCAACTACCAATGACGCCGAAGGGGGCGGTGTAAGCAAGCTCGTTGACCTCGCGACCGTTGTGGCGCCAGGCCTTACGGAACTGGATGTGTGCTAAACAGATACTGCCCCAGACGAAGAAGTTGGAGATACCAGACAAAGCCAGGAGCCAGTCGAAGATGACGCTACCGGTGTCAGTAGTCTCATTGATGAAAGCCAGGAAACCGAACAAGATCTGCAAGAGGATGCACCAGATCGGGCGACCCTTGCTGTCAATGTATGCCATCCACTTGGGTGCCATGCCGCGGCCAGCAAGGGCCTGGATGGTACGACTGGATCCGTATGTTGCGGAGTTGGCGACACTGATAACCGAGATGGTGATGACGGCGTTCATAACCGAGGGGAGACCGGAGATACCGGCGTTTTGGATGGAGACGACGAAGGGAGAAGCCTTGGTGTTGGATCCAGAAGCACCGAGGAGGAAGTCGGCATCGTGGGGCACAATCAGACCGACGATCAAGGTTCCGACAATGTAGAAGATCATGATACGCCAGAAGACTTGCTTGCAGGCCTTGGGGACGGACTTGGCAGGGTTCGCGGCCTCGGCAGCAGCAAGACCGGTCATCTCAGTGCCACTGAAAGCAAAGGCGGCGGTTGTGAAGACGGAGCAGAAGCCGTAGAAGGTGGTGAAAGCGCCCGGTTCGTACCAGTAGTGCGCTCCAATGTATCCACCTTTTGGTGCACCACCACAGTCGATCACGATACCGAGAATGATGAAACCGATGAGAGCGGTGACTTTGATGACACCAAGGACGAATTCAACTACAACCACTTAGAATTATAACTTTTCAATACGGGTCGTACAACCTTACCTTCTCCATAGCCTCGAACACCAAAGATCTGGATTGCCGATAGGACAACCAGAAATACCGTAATCCAGATACCAATGTTCAAGTCGTCTCGCCAAAATTGAATGGTCATACCGGCAGCCGTAATTTCGAAGGGTAGAATAACAAGCCAATTAAGTGCGTAGTCCCAGCCGACAGCGAAACCCCTGTTTGAAAGGTGAAGTTAGTTGAGTAAAAGTATGAGCCCACTGAGAGACCTTACCAAGCAGGACTGATGAACCGAACGCAGTAGCTGAAGAAAGCACCATTTTGTGGGTAGAGGACGGCCAATTCTCCCAGAGCTTGAACGGTCAACAACAACATGAATCCGACAATCAGATAACCAAGAAGCTTGAGAATGTCAGCAATGTTTTCCTTTGATTCTTATTGAGCCACTTACCAAAGCACCAGGACCTCCCTCTCGCAGAGCCGATCCCGTACTGACGAATAAACCAGCACCAATCGCACCACCTGTGCCAAATATTAGCCATACAACACGTAAACAGCAACGACAGCCTAATCCATACCAATAGCAATCATCTGCATATGACGGCCCTTGAGATGTCGTTTCAAGGTTCCGGCCTCAATGTCCTCAACAGGCCCGGACTCCCCATAGGCTGGAGGCGCAACATCAGAAGATGATGCCGGCTGAACAGCCGGCGACACCTTTTTCTCAATATCTCCCTCTGTAGCAGTCATTTTTGTAAACCGAGATGAGCGAACCAGACCCGTGTTGGATATTTTAAAAAAGGGGCTGCATGCAGCTGGGGGCAATTGACATTATATAGGGATCCAGATCAGCCCTGATCAGCCACGAGGTAACCTAGCACCCCATATTTTTTGGAGCTAACTTCTGGAAAGGTTCTTCTGCGGGCCACGCGATCCTCGCCGCGATCAGACCATCAGGATTGGAGAGATAAGACTCTTTGAGCGAGCAGGCGTCCTGTTTGGGGCACTTGGGGGACCAATTAGGAGATTGGCCCGACGTTACTTGGGGCTTATCACTGCGCGACTTGCAGCAACCCGATTATAACCGGACAATTTAATAATGATCCCTGCTCCATGTGGCGAGGGCGGCATCGCTTGGAAGACGGCGTCGAGGCCATCTCTTGAGTTTTCACGCCCACCGCTCACTGCAGGAAGGCTGTGTGCAGATTCATCAGGGCAGTCAAGATGTAGATCGTATAACAAATCGTGCACGAAATAAACCCCTAAGAAACCCCAAATAAAGCCCTCAAATTAGATGTTTCGAATATTGGAGTAGACTCCGTGGCGATAAGCGTAAGCCTATTGTGGAGTTGAGGTTGTATCGTGTCCACAGATAAGAGAAAGACCTGGAAATCCCGCCACGCAGAGAGCGGCATTGATGGCGACTTGATAAGCCAATATAATACATGATATGAAGCCATGGGGTAAACCAAGGCTTAACAGGGCTTAGCTCTCGACATGCATGATAGATTACGTGGAGTGCTTATCGGACCAATGATGTAGCCGGGAAGTTTAAAACAAGTCTACGAACTGGGCCACCCGGTATGTTTATTTTGGTAAATAAAGCCGATAACGATTCAATACGAGATTAAAGATTAAGGTCAATGGGAATTAGCATTATCAAATCGTTTGGTCATAGGAAGATCTATGCAGTTGAGCTGCTGTGTTTCCACGCCCCTGAAACCCCTTCTAGAAGGAAACCGTCCCAAAAAACTTTGATCATCCAAGAAAGCTTACAGCAAATTAGCTCTCGCTTATCCCCGAAATGACAGGAAATGTAACCCTGGAAATCACTACACCCTGGTACAAATTACAAAAAGCATCTGAAGATACGCCCGGGCGTGAGTGGTGTCAGCCCAGGTGATGATGACCGGAATCCATCGTGTTCCGCGCTCGTAGCCTCCCAATACAAGTGCGGCAACACCCCTGGCATTGGGCGTTGACATGATCGCCTGGTATGCGGGCGTACCATGCCACCAATACGAGCGATGCCGATCGGGCCACCGTCGGCTGTTCCTGAGGTAGGCGTCGCGAACAATGGCTGTGGTCAGCGGGTTAATCACATTGACCCGAAATACAAACCGGAGATTCTCTGCCTCGTAGGTCCGGTATGCAGCAAGGGCAATATCAGACCAATGAGGGCCGTCGGTGCGTTGACTTTCCAGTGCGAAGATCACCCCTGGTCCAGTCTGCAATACGTAGTCATTCTTGGTTCTGCCACCTGACTTCGACCGGCGGCGCTGCCGGAGGGTTACTCTGGTGTACCTGCGTTTGGTCGATATACCGTGCCACCTGAGTACGGCCTTGAGGGAGTTTGGTGGGAAATAGCGAGAAGGAATTTGGGTGCCTGGGGGACAGTTGCCGTCAAAAATGTACCAGCCGTAATGGAGGGTTAGCATGCGGATTGATAGGCGGATGGGGAGTACAGGACACGAACTGTCGGTTGGGTTGTCTAGCCACTCTTGCCACTTGCGTCCTTTTGCTAGCGCCTCGCCGTATTCGTGAGCCAATTGGAGTGGGCAGGTCTCGGCTGTGGAGATGAGGCTTTGGCTTGTCGTACCGGGAGGTTGATAGATCATTTTGAAGATGCTTTTAAGATTTTTTCAGCTGTCGATCGCCCGAATATCCAAATATTTAAACATATAGATGATTTTAGAAGCTGAATATCTATAGGTACTGATCTCCAAGTCACTTTATATCTGTAGGTTACGGGGAGCTGAAAAAAAAAACGTTTGGAGTATGCCTTTGGTCTACAATAGAACAAAGACGGATACACAAAGTTTCAAGGTTCAAAGGAAGAACTTTGTTGCTCTTGAAATTGACAATGCAATAGGTCGAGCGAGACAAAGACAAAAGAACAAGACCATGAAGAATAGAGCTAGCACAATGGATACAAAGAGTGACACGAGTCATCAACACAACGCGAAACCAGTTCTCTATCAATCTACAAATGTACAACTCATACGAGAAATCAAAAACAACTTTGTCTATATTCGTTTCAACTTTATCAAAGCTAGTCGCGTGAGACCATAAACAAAGCTATGTCTCGGAAATAAGAAACTAGCAAAGCGCGGTCAGATCTGAGACCGATCTGCGTGATAACTTTAAATTACATGTTCACTGAAACATGAAACGGCTAGAACGCGGTCTGAACGCGAATGAATAAATCAATTGTGCAGGCTAGAATTGTTCATTAGCGTGTCGCATGACCAATAAATCAAGTGATCATGGATTGGCTGGGACGGGACGTGGGCATCCCCCGCATTTCCGCTTGCCACGCGGAGGATCTCGTACTTCCAAGTCCTGTAAATAAATCCCTTCCACCAATTTAGCTGTTCTCCACTAAGTCCTTTGGCCTCATATGCAGGCCCAATGAACATTTTCTTGGCTAATCGGACAAACCACAATTGGCACAGTCACGTAAGCATCTCACTGCTCTGAAGGAAGCTTTCTCACGTGCCAAGGTGGACAGTCTCAAAGGCTACTGTAAGTGGCCTGCAGTCTACTGGCCAAGAATATTGGCCGATGCTACGCGGGCTTACCTTGGTACCTTCGTTACCGAACAGGGCCAGGGGAAATTTAACCCTCACAACATCAAGTGGAAGGCACGATCCATTGATCAAACTGAGGGAGGCACCCTTTATTCCTTTTTGGGAAGGCGCGATTTTCGAGTATAACCCCCGGGGCCCCCCTCTTTCTCGCTTTCCCAAACCTTCTCATCGTTTTATCCCCGATCCTCCCCTTCTCTCCCGTGGTATTAACTGTACTCAGAGAACTTTTGAGCTTTAGATTACTCAAAAATCTCGATATTTACAGTCCAAAGTATACAAACATCTTTCGCTTTCTCCCAGAATTGCAAATGTCTTTGTCTGTGATGCCGTTGAACAACCAGTAACTGAAGTGGCCGAGGAAGAACAATTGACGGCCTGGAACATAAAGAGCAGCATAAAATTTGGTCTGGGTAACAGAAGCAAGAGCAGAGTTTTCTTGGCGACGAGGCAACTGCTAAGCACTGGACTGGGTAGCCCGTTCTGGGCAAAGTGTAAATACCGGAGAATCCCGAAATCGCGCTCCCAGGTTAATCCGTCCCATCCTTCCCCGAATGGGAATGCGAGTCCCCAACTTTTTGAATCCTTGATCTCTGCGAATCAGTTCAATATCTTGCCCGGATCAGACTACCTCTACAGGGACTTGCTGATTGCACGATAAACCATATCTGTTCCACCTCCACAAAACCGTTGTGTGGATGTTTCCCCCGCGGATAGCGCTAACCGCATTTGTGATGAAGCGAAATGTGGAGTAAACAGTAGCGAAGTGACGGCCGAGGCAAGTCTTTAAATTCCCGGCATTTCCTCCCTTTCCAACCCTGCTTCTGATCCCGTGCTCTCGTGCCCTCTTGCGTGATTCAGCCTTACTATAGATGTCATGCGTGCATAAGCGATCCTCCCTTTCATCTCCACATACCCCCACCAAGTGCACGTTCCATACTGCGCCCGGGCGCCGGAAGACATGAGTACCGAGATTCGTTCCGAGTTGGCCGATGACCAGGCTTTGGCCCGATTGGGCAAAAAGCAGGTCCTGAAGCGACGATTCGGCTTTTATTCCATCATTGGCTTTGCTATGGCGGAGCTGATCACCTGGGAAACTGTTCTTACGCTGTTCTATGAATCATACGAAAATGGTGGTTCGGCCGGTGCATTCTATGGCTACATTATCGCCTGTTTGTCGACCTTGTCGACCTACACCGTCATTGCCGAGTTGGCGTCCATGGCCCCTATTGCTGGTGGCCAGTATTACTGGGTTTATATGCTGGCCCCAGTGCGATGGAAGAAAGTCTGCTCCTATCTGATTGGATGGCTGACTTCCTTAGCGTGGATCGCGACGGTCGCAACTGAGACCATCTTTTTGGGTACGATGATTGAAGGCTTGGTCACTTTGAATAATCCAGAGTTTGCCCAACAGCGCTGGCAAAACACCCTGTTGGCGTGGGCAACCGTGGCCGGGACATTCTTCATCAACGTTGTGATTCCAAACGTCCTGCCCCGATTTGAGATTGTAATTCTCGTCTTACATCTGGCGGGCTTCATTGGTATCACGGCTACTTTGCTCGCGATGTCACCCAAGAAATCGGCCCATTTTGTCTTCCACACGTCATTGAACGAAGGCGGCTGGCCTACGCAAGGCATCTCATACTGCGTGGGCTTTATCGGAAACGTTGCAACCTTTGTCGGTGCTGATGCTAGTGTTCACATGGCCGAAGAAGTCGCCAACGCTGCGACCGTGATTCCCAAGGCGATTATCACCGGAATGACGCTAAACAGTCTTCTTGGGTTCTCGATGATGCTCACGATTTTGTTCTGTCTGGGCGACGTCAAGTCAGTCCTGGACTCAGCAACAGGCTTCCCGTTCATTCAAATCTTCTACAACAGCACGAATTCCTACACAGGAGCGTCGATCATGACTGCGCTTATCATGGTACTAACGATGGCATGCTCTATCGGCATCACCGCCACCGCTTCTCGTATGACCTGGTCCTTTGCCCGTGACCATGGATTCCCCTTCTCCCACTATCTGAAGAAGGTGAACAAGCGAACCCAAGTACCCCTCGTATCTGTCTCCGTAGTCTGCGGATTGGCCTGTGCCCTGACCCTCATCTACATCGGATCCACAACCGCCTTCAACGACGTCATCTCCTTGACCGTCACCGGATTCTACTGTACCTATTTCCTCCCCAGCGCGTTCCTCCTTTACCACCGGATCAAAGGAAATGTCCTTCCTCATGGCACTATGCTTGATGGAAGTCTCCCCGATGCAGCCACTAGCGCCCCTGCCAGTACTAAGGAAAAACCCGCCACCCTTGTACAGCCTAAAGAGCCCGAGGATCGCCCCAGTCCAAGCAGCCCCGAACGCAACACTGGTGAAGCCACGCGCCCTATGGAGTTTGAGATCGCCCAAGCACCCCTGATCTGGGGCCCATGGAAAGTCCCCGGAATCCTGGGTACTATAAACAACGCATACGCTTGCGTATACATGCTCTTTGTCGTTTTCTGGAGCGTGTGGCCTCCGTCCACTCCAGTCGATTATACGACTATGAACTATAGTATTGTTGTCACTGCCGGTGTTTTGATCCTGAGTGGTATCTGGTACCTAATTCGCGCTCGCAAGGAATACAAGGGACCGCTCATCGATGAGGAAGTTGCCGCTATTATGCATCTTACACCAGGCGCGGTGAAATCGAATTGAGAGAGGAGGAAGAGGGTTAAGGAGGAAAATGTTGAATGTATTGTAGCTCCACTGCTATCTGGCTATGGCTAGATATGCTTGATGCCTGCGACGAGTATCATGTCTAAAAAAAATATCAGGATACCCCAAATGAAATATGAATTACCTCGGAGATTCCATATATAGTAGAATCGACTGACACAGTGTTGAGGCGCCTTAACATCACATGTAAGCAATGCATATTACCCAAAAAGTGATAGATTCAAAACACAAACCTAAACATACTTCAATCCGCGAATCAGAGTCACTGATCTACAAACATCACGAACAAATCAGCATCCGTGCTCATGAACATGTTCCCGAGCAGCTCCGCTATTCTTCAACCTACCACGATTCGCCAGATTAGCTTCCGGCACCAAGAAGGAAAAGGAAAAGCGCCGTGAGGCTGCAGTTGACCCACAGGAGGTTTGCAGATGATTGATCCAAGCGGTGTCCTGACAGGCCAAGGATTACCATGGATCCCGAAGCGTGTTCGCATATCCGCCTTTGATTTGACACCGCTCGCCCCCATAGTTTGCCTAGATAACCCCTACTTCAGCCCGCCCCCGTATGCCTTAATAGTCGAATGGACCCTTATACGAACCATGGATTGCACTCCGATTTAATCCAGTATCGGAATGAATCACGAAAAAATGGAGACATTTGGTCCAAAACCGCCCGCGAAACAATTCGTACTCTGTTTCGACGGGACGGGCAATAAATTCGCTGGTGATGGGTCTGATACGAATCTTGTTAAGATCTACCGCGTAAGCGCAAACTCCTTTTCATACTCAGGTACCATGAATGCTCACCTTAATACCAGATGCTAGATCGAAGCCAGAGCCACCAATACCATTACTACCAACCTGGAATAGGAACATACATTACCTCCCACACTCTAGGAAGCAAAAGCCGACTCGCCCGTATAAACTCCGCCTACAAGAAAGCCAAGGATGCCGCCCTAGGCTCCTCATTCGACGAACACGTCCTAGGCGGTTACAAGTTCCTGATGCGTTACTACATCCCTGGCGACGATATCTATTTCTTCGGCTTTAGTCGGGGCTCATACACCGCACGCTTTTTAGCCGAGATGCTAGACTTTATCGGCCTTCTCCAACCAGGTAACGAAGAGTTGATTCGATTCGCCTGGAAGACATTCGCGAAATGGCAGCAACGGAAAGATTCCACGGACCACGATCACGAAGAGAAGCAGCGGCTGTTTAACTTTATGAAAGCGTTCCGGGAGACGTTTAGTAGGCCTGTTGGACGGATACGATTCATGGGACTATTCGACACGGTTAATAGTGTGCCTATGTTTGAAAATGCGTGGATGGAGAGAAATAAGTTTCCTTATACGGCTCACAGTACTGCACGGGTTATTCGACATGCTGTCTCGATTGATGAGCGCCGGGCGAAGTTTAGACAGGATTTGATTTCGGAGGCTAGGGCCAGTCCTGGATCAGGTGGGTACGGGCATAAATTGAGGCATTTGATGGATCATGCCAAGGCGAGTGTTCCGGACATTGTTTTGGATGGTGTTCAGAACGGGAATCATGCGCCGGTGCATGATCGGAGGGGATCCCGTCAAGAACCACGCGGGGAAGAGCGGTATCGAGCTCCATCGCCTTTGCGGAGTGCGAGAGCTAGTGCTGAGGGTTTGGCGAATGAACCCGTGAATGGGAATTTGATGCCTGATATGATTTCTCTTAAGAGCGCTGTCTCGAGAACACACTTGCGAGTGCCGAGCTTGCATATACCCGGTAACGAGCATGACGATGAGCAGGATATTTCTGAGGTCTGGTTTCCGGGTCAACATGGTGATGTTGGGGGTGGATGGAAGCTGAATCCCGAAGACAAGTGGCCTCTGAGTCATATACCACTTGTGTGGATGGTTAAAGAGGCACAGCTCGTAGGGTTGGAATTCGATGCTGAGAAACTGAAACGCTTCAATTGTTACGAAGAGCCTGAAGATATGTATCCTGGACTCAGAGACTCAACGATCTTGAACGGCGATGCATTGAAAGCCCATGGCGTGCAGCGTCGAGACGGCGACGCTTTTACCGAAACTCTCACACAAACTATGGATCATGGCATCGTTCATGATTGCCTCACGTATGGTGGAGGAGTGTCGTTCCTCTCGACGCTATCATGGCGGTTAATGGAGTACCTACCGTTCCGAAGAATGGATCTCCAGGCTGATGGATCGTGGAAGCCGATTCGCTGGCCTCTTCCGTGTGGGGAGGTGCGTGATATTCCGGATGATGCACAGATCCATGTTTGTGCCATTCATCGCATGCAAATGGATCCCAGGTATCGGCCTGGCAACTTGATTATAGGGGGTGGTGGCCGAGGTATGAAAAGAGCTCCTGAGAAATATGGGATTGGGGAGTGGGAGGTTTGTAAACATGAAGATGATCTTGTGAGACGGACTTATGTTCGCAAGAAGCCGGACAGCGTCTGTCAGGATGAGAAAACCGGATCTTTTGCTTGATAAGCTTGAGTTGAGAGCCCAGTGGAGCATAACTTCTTTGATCATAAGATATATTGCGGTCGGATCGGTTGTGGTGATTCCCAGGGAGATGTGTGTGATGCTCGGAGTGCCGGTTGTTTCCTGCTGAATACTGGTGCTGGTCCTGCCAGTCACGGTTCTGCTCACGATGGTTATAGTCATAATCCGAGCGTCGAGCATCATCTGATGGTCGCGGCTGGTTCGATGCACGCGGATCCTCGGTACGCATTTGACTCTCTGGGGAGTGTCGACTGATTGTGTCGGGCGGTCGCTGCTGCGATGTCTGTATACCTTTCAGGCTAGTCATCATCTCTCTGAGCAATTGCTGTGTTTGTTCCTGATTCTGTTGTGCCTGTTGATTTGTTGCGACTAATTTCTCGATGACGTTCATACGAGGAGCATAACTTCCTAATTAATGCACCTGGGCACTGCTGCGGCTTATTTAGCCATGCTTGAAACTGACAATTAAGTCGAAAATAAATAGTTGATGTTTTATTGATTATTTAATTTTCAAACGCCATGGATCGATGTACCGGAATTCCACTCGCACTTCTAGACTTTCCACTTCTGAATTACAGCCCGAAATTCTTCGATAAATTATTGCGCCACACGCAGACCCGGACTTGACTCGAACTCGAGAACGTTCTCTGTAACATTCTCTGTGAGATAGCGGACCGCTCCCGTAGAAAAAGACACATGAACGACCATAGATCAAGGGAGTAAATCCTCCAGCCGATTGATAATGTCCATTTTCTCGTCAGCGAGAAGCCCGAAGTCGTTTTGCAGCTCCTTGTGCTTTCGTTCCAACTTCCGTAGCCAATTGTTCCGTAGATTCCCTCTGGCCCAATTATGAGGGAGTTTAGCGATCGTAGCTAGTGATTGAGGAGGACGTCTTGGCCTGCTGAATGGTCGTATACCCGGCATGTCAGAAGATAATTCCGGATGTGGGAGGGAGTGGCGTTTTGTCTGTAGCTTTATCAATATTATGATCATTAGATGAAAGGAAAGCAAAACATACTCATTCTTCTCCCCCTAGCTACCTAAGGAGATAGTGAATACTTAACGCACTACCTGAGAAAGACTTAAAGAATCGATTTAGACTTAGTCCCTAACTAACTATAGGATTAAGCCTAATTAGCCTTATTCCTCTCTTAGACCTAGGTAAACAGCCTGAACAATCATCCACTACTTGACGTTAAATGATCAGATAGTCATCCTGATGCGTGCTCTCAGCACTGTGTGTCTGCAAACGATAAGTCAGTGTACCGAATTGTATCTGCAGGTAGTAAATCTCACAAAGAGCATCCACGGGACATTGCTTCGATCATCTGCTGGCTTCTGTGTCCGAGCATGCCACACTTTTTCGAGGAGAGTCTGAGGTGCAGCAATACCCATTTCTGACCTGGCTTTTATTTCTCCCAGCCGTAACAGTATGTAGTGTCTTGAATGTGGAGAAAGACAATCGGCTCCAGCCATAAATAAAGGGAGTACCAACAGCTCAATCAACGGGCTGGACCCAGGGATGCTTGCAATCGAATCTAGAATCGCAGTGACTGATTCTTGTATGCAAGGCTCAACCGCAGATTCGTTCTCATCTAGAAGACGGCGGGTGCGCAGAATACAAGTGTGACGATACGCCTCGGTAACACATAGCCAGAGCGGGTTTTCATCTGGGTAGAAGCAGCGTGAGCTATCCCAAGTGTAAAACTTGTTGATCAGGCTGCGCAAATTGTCACTGTATTCCTCAATTTCCAGGTTACCCGTCGAATGAGCCTTGGCATGCTCAAGGACCTCCCCGATCAGCAAGACTAATTCACGAGGACAGCCATTTACTGACTCGAACCGTAAGTTGCACAATGATAACAACTTCTCGCGAAGCTTTTGAGAGAAATAAAGTCTTCCAGGAGCAGAAAAGGCGCGAATGATATCTAACCTAATGGAGATAATTTCAGAATCAATCGATGAGTTAACAGAGTGTAGACTTACCAGGCCAAATTTCCTAGAAAGAAAACTGTTCTTTCATCTGAAATCGACAACCGCTGGTCCAGCATTAACTGAGAGCTAATAGACATGGCACCAGAAATATGAGCTCCATGAGATGAGATTCCCGACTCGCAGATCTATCTTTGTCAGCGCTGCATTCAACAAGGGAGGCGGATCTGATCCTACATCATGTAGAAGAAGAATTTGAATGGTGGCGAATAAACCATCCCGGTCATCTCCGCTAAAATCTCCAGAGCATACTTTCCTGATGGCCACGCTAAGTTCGGTAATTGCCTTAAGTCGGTAATCTACCGCTACTGCTTCGTAAAGGTAATTTTCGTCTTTCAAGTGGCCCAAATGACATGCAGATAGCGCGAGCACAGCGTATAATAGGCCAATTTGCTCATACGCTAGCGGAAGAACATACAGTCGATACGGGTTCTCACTGCTATCGACAGGCTGTGCTATCTGATGAGGGCAGATGACGCGATCGTCTGTGTTCGTGTTAGCAAGATATTCAATAATCCCAAAAAGATGGATTCACAGTGGGAAAGTAGAAATGCAGCATCGGCTGAATCGAGGACCTGTTCGATCTCTGGTCTGTCATTTGGAGTAAGGCTCTGTGATGGAGGGAGAGCCCTATTAGGAGCACTTGAAACTGATTTACTAGCTTGGGACTGAGCTGATATTGAGTCGACGGGAGCATCTCGGTCCTTCCACTTGCCTCGGCTGGCAATCCCGCAAAATCGAAAATTGTCTGGATACCCGCCACATTCAAGTCCTTTGCTGATGCATCGCTTGCACATTGGCCGCGCACGATCACATTTACGTGACTTTTGACGGCATGTCAGACATGCGGCATCTACTGCATTTCAGGTATGAGAAAAGAGAAGAGTTCAAGCGGGATTTCCGTGAATTCCAATACTCACCGTTGCGTTTCATGTCCAACGAGTCCAAATTGCATGGCCAAATAAGTCAAACTTTTATGAATATTCAATGTAATTCAGATGGTGGAAGAAGCATTGCTAAGCGTATGGCTGTCTTGTACTATGAGAAATGAGGTTGGATCAAGGCAGAGGGACTCAATTCCGATTATGTCATCTCCAACGGTTCATCGCATCAAGTAGTCATGACTATCGAGAGTAACTATAACCTACCAGTTCAGGTAGGCTATATTTGTTTGAAGAGATTTTGCATAGAATTAATTTTCGATACCATGAGCTTTCAAAACGTCTTTCGTAAAATTAAGGTTCATTAATATTTCAGAGTAATAATCAGCGATGCCCGGTTGTCCCGAATTAATAAAGTTACTAGTGGGCAAATATGACCTGGTCGAGATGAGTGAGATTATCTCGGTCGTAACCAGTGCCTCAAGGTGTTAGACTTGAAAAAAAAATAGCGCCCGTGAAGGCCAGAGTTGGAGGGTACGACGCTTCGGGGATCGGAGCAATGCACTCGGGGTAATGCTTAGCCGAGAAGCGAAACCTACTGTGGCAACGTGCATACGGGCAGCACATCTGCTGTACAACTGGCTGCGTGCAGATTCTCTGCTGAATTTGATCCGTACTTCTGCGGGTGTATCTTAAAAAATATCCGGGGCATTCTGCAAGTCATCAGGGACAATATTGTCGCCCTGTAAATCTGCCGACAGCTCGGGGCCTTAGCAATATTTGCCAAGAGGTCGTACCTTCTTGGCTAGGAGAACGGCTAGGAAGATAAAACCAGTCTGCTGATCAGAATCCAGCAAATCAGCTCTAAACACCACCAGGAATAGACAGAACATTGAGTTATTACATAAAGCATGGTGCATGTGGCAGCCGAGAAAGTGGAGAAACGCGGGGTGCCCCGGTTTTTCTCACGACCCCAAATCTTCTCTTTCCTCTATCTCTTCCTCGGCCATTCCTTGATCATCGGACTATCGCCGCGATATCTAGATCGGCCCGGGCCTTTGCGGATACCATTCCGTGTGTCGCATCTAGCTTGTGCGTCATGGTCGATCTCCGATAGACCGTTAGCCTCGCTATAACAAAATGCCGAACCCTGTGCCTCCCACACAACACTTCACCCCTGCCAATCAGCGGCTTGGAGATCTGGACAGAGACCAGAGTCCGGCTGAGTACTCGTCCGGGGAGGACTCTGACAATGATCTTGCTGGCAATGGCTCCGGCAACCCGCGTGCCCTGAAACGGAAACGACCTCTTACCGTCTCGTACGTACCCGAGCCCATTGCGCTAGTATCGCGCACACCATAGGGCGCATTACCAAAGACTGTTTCACGCTAACGGTGATTATAGTTGCGAGCTTTGCAAGCAGAGGAAAGTCAAGTGCGGTATGTGACGATCACCGCTGGAAGGCTGAAACAAAAGCTAAATATGATTTGACGGTAGATCGTGTGCAACCTAGCTGCGGCTGGTGCACTCGAAACGGTCAACTATGTGAATACAAGGAACGAAAGAAGCCCGGCTTGAGAGCCGGGTATGGCAAGGAGCTGGAGCAACGACTAGGTAAGGATAAGCTGTCCGAGTTGTTGATTTGAAACTTAACCCGGAGATAGATCGACTGGAAGAAGTCATTCAATCGCAAGCAAGGCTGATCGAGATGCATATCTTGCAAAACCAACATCCAATGCCACACCATGGAGGATCCATATCATACAGCTCACCGTCCGAGCCATCTGGAGTCCACGGCCCTAGCCCCCGAGCAGCCCTCTATTTCAACGATCCGGCCTCTTCAATGACATTGCCTTCCCGCCATGCAGATGTCTCGATTACAAGCCCCTCGGATACATCGGTCAAGAATTTGGTCTCAAACGGGCTACAAAATGGGAGCACGCCAGGCATGAGCTCATTGCCACAACAAAGGGCGCATAATAATGATTTCACGGGCAACGAATCATCCTTGTCCGTGCCCGTAAGCATTTTTGCAAACCAGGAACAGTCTTTAGCAGATCCAGATCTCGACCTACCGCCATACGATTTACTCTATGCCCTGGTCGATTTGTATTTTGAGCACATCAACTCCTGGTGTCCGATTCTTCATCGTCGATCCACCTTGGATACTTTCTTTGGCCCGTCGCCATTGGAAGAGGCAGATCGCATGGTTCTTTACGCCATTGTTGCAACCACATTGCGCTTTTCGACTGACAGTCGACTCAGTGAACAGAACCGAAAGCGCTATCACGATTCTTCAAAGCAGAAAGTACTGTTATATGGTCTTGAAAATTCGTCAGTGAAAGCTCTTCAAGCTCTCGTGATTCTGGCACTGGACCTGGTTGGTTCATCGAATGGACCACCTGGATGGAAACTGCTAGCCTTAATCACTCGATCTGTTGTCCAGCTAGGATTGGCGGTTGAGTCAAAGTCATCTCTCATAGCTCCGGTCTACCCTTCCATCTATACACTCAGAGCGGTCACCTTGTCCGAGCCTGATTCATGGATTGAGGACGAAAGTCGACGTCGTCTATTCTGGATGGTCTATTTGTTGGACAGATATTCGACCCTTGCCACTGCTTTCAACTTTGCCTTGGATGACAAAGACATCGATCGCAAGCTTCCTTGCAAGGATGAATTCTTTGTTAAGAATCAAATTGTCGAGACGCGCCGATTCTACTACTCCGGCGATCGTGCAGACTATCTTAGCCATGCAGATACCGTGGGATCCTTTGGGCTGTACATCGAGGTCTTAGGCATTCTTTCACGAGTCCATGTGTTTTTGAAACGACCGGTGGATATTGGGTCTCTTTCTGATGTTGAAGAATGGCAGTCTACCTACCGAAAGCTCGACAGTGAGCTGACTACATGGGAGTTCAATTTGCCTGCAGAATACGCCTATGAGAATTCATCTCGTCTTTTCAATGGGACAAAACAGAGCCGAACTTTGCACAGTGACTGGGTGCAGCTTCATGCTACCTATCAAACGTAAGTCTCGCCTTGACCATGGTTTATCTATATCTCATTTTGACTTTACTGTTCCAGCGCTGTCATTCGTCTTCATTCTTCCGCTGCATACCCCACAACCCGATCACCGATCTTTACCCCATCATACAGCGCCAGCCAACGATGTTTGCTAGCGGTTGACAATATCCTCTCTGTTACTCGCTTCGTGGTTGAACACAACATGCTTGACAAGCTCGGGCCACCATTCGCCTTCACGCTTTGGGTCTCAGCCCGTCTCCTACTTGTCCACGGATCGACTATCGCCCACACCGTCAGCTCCGACATTATCTTCTTCGTCGACACACTTTCCCACATGGGCCACCACTGGAAAGTCGCAGAGCGATACAGCAATATTCTCCAACGAGTCCTCGACGAATACGGCGAATACCAACAATCAGTCGCCACAGATGGTGAACGCTCAACTCCATCCACTGTCAAGATCCTAGCCGATATGCGCCGATGTGCATTTGATCTCGACTTCCTCATATCTCGCCAACCACGAGAATCACCATCATCAGTGAGCGGTAATGGGAATGACTCTGCCCGCCCGGCTTCAGCAGCCATTGCCCCCCGCAACCTGGCACCAAATGAACTCGAATACCTCGACGTATTTGGTTTCTTCAACGTACCGCGTGTGCCGCCCACCCGAGCTCCAGATTCCGTTACTGCGGCCACACATCTGGATATGTCTGATCCTGTACCCAATCCGATGTCTATCCATGGACTCACGGGCAATGGATCTGGTGTTGATGGACATACTTCTTCAAATGCGAACGAGTTCAACATCACTAATTACTTAATTCCGACCCCCGAGACTGATTGGCTTTTCCGTCCTGCGGGCTGAAGTGCATGTCATATCTGAGAGTTTTGTTTCGGGTTCTGTAGCTTGAGTGAACTCTGTGCGCTACATTACTACATCCAATGATGTCCATTGCTTATGCTGTGTTCGCACGCCATTGAACAAGCAGAGGGTGTCAAAAGCTGCCGCTTGCGTGTCTCCCGCGCCAGCCATACAAATTCCGGGAGAGGAAAGCAATTGTGCAAATGGTACCTCGACCCAGTTTGTACTTGTCGATTCTTTCATGCTTAGCACGATTCTTCGATCCTGCCAACACCACAACAGCGCATGTTACCTATTGTACGTTTCTACATTGGGACAGATAATGATTCATGTACATACTTATACTTTGATACTCAAAAAAATTAATTTCATGAGAAAGAAAACCACGAATCGAATGACATCGAATGACATCGAATGACCGAGGCCCTCGTAATCATCTGTGGTCGCTTTCTGACAAGACACGTCCTAGAGAATTTTAGGCTGGATCGATGGTGTCTTGGTATCCCTGTTACTTTCACATCCTTAGAGCGAGCACTAAGTAAGATCTATGATCGCCTACGTAAGTAAATGCCGCTTAATATATAAAGAAAAAACCAATTGAATGAAGTTTACAAACACATGGCAAAGAAGAAAATCGGAACCCACAACAATAATGCCAACAACATTTCTTAGACAAGAAGTACCAGCTATCTTTTGTAGAGCATGAAAACCAGGTAGGTGTGTCATGGGATCGTGAACAAAGCAATCGTAAAGAACAAGGTTGACAAAATTCCTCGGATGCGTATGAAATGATTCATCAAGCCGGGGGTAAATAATAGATAGTCATGGAATGCCGATCATATAAATAGATAGAGTCGTGGGATGCCAAGCATAAAGCATAGATAGAGTCGTGTGACCATTTGCATGAGATCAGAAACGTCATGACGTAGCAGGGAAGGCGCAATTGGGGTACCAGACAAAGTGCAACCGGATCCCTCCATAGAACCCCATGGAACGGGAAAAAAAATCAAGTAGAATCAGGGGCAGAAGCAGGTTGAAGGCGTACTAGAACTTCCTCCAGGAAAGCATCAAGTGTAACATCAACACCACCTCCCATTTGGACCTGGTCTTCCATATCCCAGCGATGAAGGTTGGTGAAAGCCCGAGAAATATCATCCACAATATGGTCCATGTTTCGGTGGACACGGACACTTTGCTCCCATTGTTGCTCTTCTTCGAAAGATGGTCTGTTATTGGGATTTCGGGCAGGATCGAGACGAGAAAGATTGCGACCACGTCGGTTCATGGCTGCACGCAGAGCAGGGATAATAACAGATCCGTAAGCGGTGGCTCGCTCATTCTCTACTGGGGCTTTGGCCGACGGTTGTGGAAGTTGTTTTGGCTGCTCGCTTACACGAGGGCTGGCAGGGGTGTTTCTAACAAGGCGCTCTTCATTTTTCGGTGCAAGTTTGGACTTAAGTCCGGAGGACGGTCTCGCATTTGCGGATGCTGCCTCGGGCTGCTTTTGAAAACCCCCGGAAGGCGCCGGGCGGTAATGAGCGGGAATTCCGTTGGTACTAGGGAGAGGACGCTGCTGGACGGGTGCTGGCTCGTTGACGGGTAGAGATTGCTCCCTCATCGCGTTGTTAGACGCAACAGCAGGGGACTTGGGCTGAGGGGGCGCATCGAGCCGAAGACCATTTTCGAAATCCTTCATTGCCTGCAAATATCGTCCATTGGGTGCTCTGGCGGGAGAATCTTCTTCGGGAGAAATGACTGAGTTGTGAGGGCGAGTTTGGCGGGAAGAGTTGTTAGAAGGCTGTGTTGTTGTCTGCTTTAACGGTGAGGGTGGCACTGAGGGAGGCAGAGGCTTTTTGGATGAAGAGGACTCGACAGCGGTGTTTGCAGGATTCGATTGAATGGGGAGTGACTGAGACGGTGGCGCTTGTTTCGTCTCGTCTTGCAAATCCCACTCATCAGTTTCATGAGAACGAGAGTTGGTTGCCGAGTCGTTCATCGGACGTAATGGCGGCATAGCCGATCGCCCACCAGCAGGTCCTGCAGGGCGAACAGTGCCAAAGTCCCAGAGGTCCTCATGGTCTTCTCTATTCAGCCCAACAGACTCGCAGGGTTCATCATAATCATCTTCATCATCATCTTGGCCACGGTGGGTCGCTTGCCAGCGCTCCGCACGTTCAATAAGCTCTGTGAGGTATGTCGTCCGCTTCGCCCGCTTGATGAACGGGTGTTCGAGCAACTCCTTAGCAGACGGTCGCTCCTTTGGGTCCCGTCGCAGGCACAGTTCAACAAATTGTTTGAAGGGCTTGCTGAAGTTGCCATTGAGTGTGGGAGGCGGATTTTTAGGAATCAAAAACAGGACTTTCATCGGGTGAATATCAGCATACGGAGGATCTCCACAGGCCAATTCGATTGCCGTAATCCCTAGAGACCAGATATCCGCTTTGTAGTCGTACCCTGATTGCTTGATGACTTCCGGAGCCATCCAGAAGGGCGTTCCCACAAATGTATTTTTCTTGGTCATTGTTGCAGATAATTGGCCCGATACACCAAAGTCTGCCAATTTGACCTGTCCACTCGCACTTAACAGGATGTTTGCAGCTGCCTTCAGATTAGCCTTGATTTAGCCATGAATATCGAGACCAAATTACCTTTGATGTCTCGGTGCAACTTTTGATCACCGTGAAGATATTCCAGGCCTTTAAGAAGCTCTCGCAGAATAATCGATATGTACTCTTCGTGGATCACACCGGGGCGCAATAAGCCATGACAACTACCACCAGAGCAAAACTCCATGATGATCCAGAGATTCGAGCCCTTGAGGTATGAACCATGGTATTTGGTGACGTATGGGGATTTCAGCTCAGATAGAATCGCAATCTCCTTGATGATCTCGTCTACTTCATCTTCAGCATTCTCAACGTCGATAACCTTGATGGCAACAGAATCTCCAGTTATCTTATCAACTCTGAGATGGAAATTGGGAGTCAGTATGCAAGGCGCATCAAGTCTCCCGTAGTATGTTTCACTCACCCTTTGTAGACCCTGCCAAAACTTCCACCACCTATACACCAAGGTTAATATTGAACGTGCCAATATCCTCAAAGTTATTTTCCTTACCAATGCAAGCTTGTTTAGTGTAAAGTGTTTCGGGATCGATTGGCCCGGGCATTGTGGCGGCTTATCTGGCTCTCGGGGAGGAGCCGAACTCGTGCGGCGGGGACTCCGCGGGGTTCCAAATTCGTTTCAGCAGCTAGAATCAAAAGTTAAACATCTAAGTATCCAGCCATAGCACCAAGAGTGACCAACATGGTAAAACCTCGTTCATGGGGGTGTGAAATGGGTAACGTACTGCGAATGGGAGCGGAGCGGGATTGGAGTGGAGGGTGACAAGGTGACCGGAATGATCAACGCAGGAATCGGAAAAAATCCGGAGGTGAAAGGCAGCGCACTAGCTCTGTTTACTGTAAAGGTAAGCGATCAATGAAACAAAGGCAGAAATCCGGTGCTTTGGGGGGTTGCCGGGTGGGTTCCACCTACCAACAACAACAGGGCGGAGCATCAACAAAGATGGAAAGAGGTCGCGGCGGTATCAAAATGGGTCCAGACCCTCCAATTCAATAACACAAAAGAGCATCAATCATATACCATCATGAAACACAACCACTATATAAGGATGACGGCACTATATTGAATCGCGAGGGAGCTACGGAGGAAGATATCCTGGCGTCTGTTTATCGACGCGGGGCCTATTCTGCCAGGCGGTGTCGTTCTTATCTGCGGCGGTAGCTTCGAAGTTAACTACAAACATACGATGCAAGAGCAAATAGGAACGAAATTGTTGATAGAGTTCATGTCACGTTGATTCTAAGACTAGAAGGCAAAATCTTTAAATATGCGATCTAGCCATGATGTTGAAATCACAGCCCCTGGTCTCTGCTTTACGGGCAGTTGAATGGAACAATGGCCACTCCCTTCTGAGCAACAATGAGATGCGGAGATCACACTTCTATCACTGACGATCCAGGGGAGGTAATGATGTGGATTCCAGGAGCAATACAGAGCAGTGCGCATCAATTATTCCTCGAGGTACCCAATGTTGACAGTTCCGTTCTTTAGCCCCGCACTTTCAATGCTTGTTTGCAGTGATTCTATTAAGTTGCTTCCCAAGGAGTTCAGCTCAAACTCCACTCCAGCCTTGTCCTCCACAGGAGGCTCTGCCTTTAGCCACTCGTAGATCCGCTGGACAGGGTCTGATAGCGCAAAACGCCGAATAACACGGCCGGCTGGGTGACGGAATTGGATACGAGTGGTTGTGGCTGGGTCGGCAGCTGGTTCAATGTGTGGCTGGTCGCTTGGAATAGAGGAAAACACAGAGCTTTCGGCCTCTTCAACGGGTCCAGCTTCGTCCATCTCATCATCCTCTGCAGCCTTGCCCTTGCCTTTGATGTCCCCCGTGCTGCGGGTCAAGTCGTCTGGGTCATCTGGCTTCGGGGCCGAGGACTCTCCTCCTGCACCAAGACTGTTCCTCATCGCCATGTCCAACATCTCTTCCTCTGTCATGGCATCCACTGTTTTCTCTGGCTTTTCAGATTTCCTCTTCGCCACCGGATTGCGAACGTTGAGGTTCAAGCTGTAACGATCAAGGAACTCATGAAGTTGCATAAGGAACTCCGGGGCCTTGACAACAGGCTGTCCCGTCCAAGCCTTGACTTTCTCGCCGGTTCGAGGATCGACAATGGCAATATGAGGGTAATTATCGGAAACGTCGCTAGCTTGGAAGTAGTATTGGAGGTATGGTGCAGCTCGAGGATCATCCTTGGAGAACTGTAGGAAGATGAAATGTTCTTTGATCGTTTCCTGGATACCCTTGTCTTTCCAAAGATCACGATTTAATACCTGACAGTCAAAGATGGATTGGTCCTGGATGTTAACCAACAGCCACTTCTCATTGTCCCGACCTTCTTGGCGAGCCACATCCCAAGGTAAGCGAGACATGATCTCGAAGGGGGGTCGATACATTTCAGCGAGCATGTTAGATTTGGACGAAGCTTCCGATGCGCCACCGGTCGCTTGCGATAATTGTTCTTGGTGGGTCGACGAGCTGCCATTCCAGATGGATGCCGAATCTTGTTGGTTGAAGATGCCAGGTCGGCCTACCATGTGTCAGCTTAGTTCAACCTTTATTTGGATATCCAGAATCTAACTCACCACCTCGTCCACCTCGTCCAGCACGTAAATGGCCCAAAATATTCGAATGCATGCCATCGTGGAAATCAAGGTCCGGCCCCACCAAGGTCTCGGTGGTGCGAGCCATAGGCGCCCGTACTTCATCCTCATAATCATCATTGTGGGTTGGGCCTCCAGCACCGTACATTTCCTCTTGTAGGCGACGGGCCATTGCAGCATCGTCATCAAATGTCGTGCCCGCTGGTTGCGCAGATTGAGCCGGCCGACTGTCGTCATCGGAGTCGGAATCGATATGGACGACGCCTGATTCATCTTCGTATGCGGGGTTGCTTGCTGGTTGAGCAGGCGCTTCGGTCAATGGGGCTCCTCCATTCTCGAAAAACAGTTGCATCGCTTGCTCAATGTTGAATTCGGTGAGTTGCAAGTACTGTGTTGCCGTCTCAGGCGTCGAGCCCGTAATCTCGGTGAACTGAGCTACCACGCTGTCCTCCATGGTGGCGAGCAAGGAAAATCAGGGTATAAAAGGGAGGATCCGGGGAGAAAGGAAGGGAAGGAAGGCAAAACAGAAATAGTCTTTAAAATGAGCTTGGAATTATGAGTAGTTGAATGTGGAGAGGTGGTGCAAACAACTGCAAACGGTGGGATAAGCTCGCTGAGTACCCCGCGCAGTTGGAAGTCGGGTTGGAGATGGTATTTAAATGAATGCACATGTGCAAAACACTATTTTGCAGTTATCTGTCTTGTGGTCTAGTTGCGATAGGCCAACAGGACGATCATCAGCAGTGACGTAGGACCTCAATTTGCTTAGAAGCCTCAAGTAAAGTACGTACGGGAATCTTTAGAGACCAATTACGCAAGTACCAATAGCCCTGCGTTTTTGGTCGCAATGGGCTACCGCAAATCCACACTTACCGCTTTCGGTTTAAAGGAATGCGACGCGACGCGTCTTCTTTGTCGTGACGCGCAGGCGCGGAGACTTATCTCCCAGACCTCGTGCCGCAGGAAGGCGCTTTACACACTTCCTTTCCCTCCCCAACAATGGCAACTACGGTTCTCGGAAAACGCACCCGAAGTGCTGTAGAAGCGGAAGGTGAGACTTCTGGACTAAATTACAAATCAAAATATCGCTGACTCTTTTTCAGCGCTTCCTGTGCGCACCGCGAGCAAGCGCAGAACTGTTGCACCCCGGGTCCAACGTGAGACCGCCACTGCACCTCGTCGGACTCGCTCAACTCGCCTCGCTGCAAAGAACCAGGATGCAGAGCAACCGGTGGACCAGGAGAATGGGGATGCCATCAATAAGATCTCGGAAAAAGCGCATTCAAAACACACACTGCGCGATGATCAGGGTGGGTCTCCGACAAAGATCAAGTCTCATTTCCGCACCTCGAAGCTCGTGGAGGGTAAGCTGAGAGATTTGGAATAATTGGTTAAGCAAATTGGTAGCTAACGGCTTTCAGATGAGAAACCTGAGATCCCCGAAAAGCTTGAGAAGCTCGAAGTACCCGCCCCGGTCGAATTCAAGACCCCGCAAAAGAATCGATTTCGAGATGCGATCCAAAATTCCCCGGTTACACCTCGCCACCGTGTGCAGGTAGGAGCCAGGTCTGTGACTCCGCGGACCCCTCGACACGCCGACCTTCCCCCCACTCCTCGTCAAAGTGCCACTCCGACAACAACACAGACCGTTTATTCGCAAGCCCGACAGCTCTTCGCTCGTGGCGCCACTTCTGGTCGCCTCGTTGGGCGAGAGTCAGAGCGTGAGAAGGTCTCGACTTTCATTGAGGATTGTGTTGAGTCTCAAAAAGGTGGCTGTCTCTACATCAGTGGACCTCCTGGTACGGGCAAAAGCGCCATGGTCAATGAAGTATGCCAGGACATGGACCTCTCCAATGTCAAGGTTTCTCATGTCAACTGTGTGAGCATGCGTAACTCTCGTGATGTATACAGTAAACTCATCCAAGATTTTTGTGATGAATCGGAGGTTTTCAAAAAGAGCGAGGCCGACCGAATCAAGGATATGTTCATCCCAACGAAGGCGAATGGTCTGTATTTGGTTAGTCTGGATGAGATGGATCATTTGCTCCAAGGCGATTCCGGAGTATTGCAATCTTTGTTTGAGTGGTCTTTGCATAACAATTCTACTCTGATTCTCATCGGTATTGCCAACGCCTTGGATTTGACAGACCGGTCTCTCCCACAATTGAAAGCAAAGAATTTGAGGCCGACACTACTTCCATTCTTGCCTTACAATGCAGCTTCAATTGCCGGTGTGATTACTGCTCGCCTTCGATCATTGCTTCCCACGGATTCAGCTGATTCTGATCCCAAATTCGTTCCTTTCTTGCAGCCGGCGGCAATTCAGCTCTGCGCAAAGAAAGTTGCTTCGCAAACAGGCGACCTTCGCAAGGCGTTTGAGTTGATCAAGCGCGCAATTGATGTCATTGAGCAAGAAACTATCCAGAAATTGGAGAAGCAACTTGCTGAAACAAAGATGTCTGTTCTAGCAGAAAATGAAAATCTCTCTTCGCCCTCAAAGTCAGGCGCTGCTCCTCGGCCGACAACCATGTCCAGCTACACACCGTTGACAGCGCCTCGCGCTAGCATTGCCCACATTGCCCGAATCACGACCTCTGCTTTTGGGCAAGGTACTGTGCAAAGACTAAAGAATATCAATCTGCAGCAGAAGGCTGCTATCTGCACATTGATCGCACTCGAGCGCAAGCGTCGTGAGATGGACATTCACAGCACGCCCTCCAAGAATCGATCCTCTGCCCCGACAGTGAAGCAGGCCTTTGACACATATTGTACGCTTTGTCGAAATGACAACATCCTCCACCCCTTGACAGCCACAGAGTTTAAGGACGTCCTGAGCAACTTGGAAACCATGGGCCTTGTAGGCGAGTACCAAGGCCGTGGCCGTGGCGGAACAGTCGCTGGTGGCTCTGATGTTCGCCGCACACCTTCCAAGTCCGGAAACGTGATGTCAACCCCTCACAAGGCCATGAACGAACAAGGTCTGATCTGCTTCGTGTCCCAGTCAGAAATCGAAGGCCAAATTGCCGGACCTGGTGAAGGTATTCTGAGGCGGTTGCTCCGTGGCGATGGACTGTGATATTCGCATGGTCTTTGTCCTTGAATTTCCATTTGTTTGAGTTCGTTTTTCTACTATTATCTTTGATCGTTTTCTATTACCCACACAGCATTATTGGAGGCATTATCGGAGTCCTGTTTGAGGCAATCTTACCATGTACAAAACCACCGCATTTCTGGAGTCGAGTCTGCATTCTTCATGTTTAGCGCCGTTGACACGATTTCCATTTGTTTCTCGTTCCATTTTTTGAAACAGCCATGCAACATGGCATGACCTCTTGATCGACAGCCAAAACAGTCAAAAAAATACAACAAAAATATGAATGAAAAGACCAAGTCAAATAAACCAAACTCCTGACTCTTAAATATCCCGGGATCCGTCGGTAGAAGGCGGTTTTGATGGTAGAGTATACCTAGTTCGCAACCCGCACGGTGGTCTACGACTGGGTATCTACTACTGTCCCAATAAAACTATCCGGGGAATGTTGACCGGTAAGGAATACTTCAAGAGCTTCAAATTGGCTGAATTGACTCGTTTTCTAGCATTAGGTCACATTGTTTTTCGGTTGATATTTCATTCCCCTGCTTGGTGCTGTCATGAATAAATTTTATGTATGCATGGCTGTACTCTCCACGACTGCCTCCTTGCGCTCATCCAATCCACTATCCGTCGGAGAGGACGTGTCTATCCCAAAGATAGAAATAGAAAGGACTCCATGTACAAGACCCCTCAAAAACACTCTCTACACGTCAAACAGTTCCGCTAATGTTGCGCCTCGAGATTTTAACTGGTCGACAAGATGAAGGTAGAAGTCCATTTGAGCGGAATAGAGGGCCATGGAACCGTAGGATTTAATATCATGCCCTTGAGCTATGAGATCCCTCCACGCAGATCTGGCTCGTTGTAATTTCATGAGGGTTGAATCTAGTAAAACCTTTTCTTGTGGCTCTACCCTTGGCTCTTCAAGCAGAAAAGCTATCTCCTTGAGTTTTTTTTCGACAAAAAGATGCAACGGCGAAGGCCGTTGTACCTGTGAGTTGGCTTCATGCTTGAGTAGCAATCTCACGAGTTGCAGGTCTTTGGACTGCACTGCAACACATAGTGGTGGTAATTCCAGCTCTTTCCACACCCACCATTTCCGAGTAACTGTTGGCAGCACAAATAAGAAGTTCGGTCCGAGATGAAAATTTGTCTGTGCCCCGTGGTCTAATAAAAGTTTCACGATCTTCGGGTGTTTCCTTCGGATTGCTAGGATCAGACAACGCTGGATGTTGAAGATGCTCCTTATGGTGTAATTCTTTTGATAGAGAGGGTGGTCGAGGACAGAATTCCAGAAAAGTTCTGAATGGTAAAAGCATTTGCATGGAACTTTGGTCGAGTGGTTGGAGTCATTTAAGTTGTTGGATGGGAGATTTGGCCGGTACGGTATTCCTGAATCTGATGAAGTCTCGGGCAGGTATATCCCTAGCTCACCATGGAATTGACGACAAGGCATTAACTGTGCATCTGGGTGAGGCTTTGCGCGGGTGAAACGCAGGCCATCCAGTAAGGCTTGAACTTGATAGGGGCGGTTACGTTTAACAGCAAAATGAAGTGCCTTGGCGTGATTGTATCTGCTTTCGAAGTGGTATAGAAACCAACTGAGTGAAGCATACAGGTCACGGCTGGTCCTGGTTAAAGCGTAGAAGTTACTCGTGTGGTGCAGGTATGAGGCCACAATCAGGAGGATTTCACTGGGTAGGTGAGTCAGCTTCATAACGGCGATCCAGGGCTTTTCAAAGCAGAGAAGCTGGGAAAGGACAGGCTTGTAACTCGATCAAGGAGTCGAGGATTTAGACTTCGGCAGTCAAGAAGAGTCAGAGGCAAGAAAGGAAGGCGGCTGTAAGAAAGTTGGTGAGAAGGGAAGTGGTAAGAACCAAAAATGAAGCAAGTGAAAAAATTTTGGGGTTGGTTTATACCTTCAAAAGGATCTGGGCTATCACAGTGCAAACGAGGAAGACCAAGCTCTCAATCCTGAAGGTGACTATACTCAAAGGTCATATAACATACTCTCCATGATCCTCTGAGGGTATATATTGAGTCCTTGATCCCCATAATGCTTTTTGTTTAGAGGCGCTAAGTTCTACTGGAACCACAGAATCGATTATTTGCAGAGCGAGATCAGGAGACCCCTGATTGTTGACAAGAAGCTGATTCTACGTTCCTCACTCGTCAGTTTTGTATAGATATCTATTACCGTGTTCGTGTTGGGTCAAACTGATACCTCTCATGTACGTATAGATGGCTTCCAGGTTGAGCATAGGTGAGCCTACATGCAGAACAGTGGGCTGTGAATAGTCAAATACCTCGAAATGTAGGATCATATACTCAGAGACGATGGTTTCTGGATTGGGAGAGTGGTACGACCTGGATCGGCCTAAACAGCCACCCGGCCTTGTTTGCAGCCTAGAGAAGTACCAAGGTACACAATGTTACAAAGATGCAGTTCCATATATCATCAGTGAGCCGGACGAATATTTGAAGGCGCTGTCATTCTCTTCAAACACCAGTGAAGTAGATGGCCATGTCGATGTGCTAGAGGTCATTCGCTATATAGACAAGAGAGATATCGCTTGCACATTTAGTCTTCACTGTGAGACCTGAGAGGAGGTTGTCAATACCACTCGGGATATGAGTTCACTGGTTATTCTTTTGGTGTTTTGAGTCGAATGTTCACTAGGAAATGATGTATAGGAAGCAGTCTTTATTTTGAAATTCTCACTTATTTAGTGCATTGTTATTAAGTGATTACCCTCGTACTTGGATCGATGGGTAAGGAAAGCGAGCCGTCAATGTCTTGAGCTGCTCGAATTTTCTCATCGAGTGGTTCGACTCATTGTCCTCTCCATCCTGATCAGGGCATCCTCTTCTTCCGCCTTTGCGAGTTTTTCACTCGGCAACATAATGGCCTTATCAATCGCCACAGGAAGAGCTCGATGACGGCCCCGGATCATCACTGCGCAAAGCACCAACTTGCTAAAAGTATGCCAGCCCCCAGAAAAGCTATAGAGCTGATCTGGAAGACCTGTACTGATTCCGACACAGCCATAGGCGCTGACGGTTTCAAATATGATATTGAAAGCCGAGTATGTGACTGGATCCCGGGTGAACTGGCCGGCTTCAACTATACATATTATTATGACGGCTAAAGCAATCCACCATAGATCGAACGCCATCTGTGCGCGGAGTTGGTGCCGGACAAAATACAACCTTCCCGATGCGGGGGCCTTAGGTGTTAAAGGGCTCGAGCTTTCTGATGAATAGGTCTCCTCGTCTGGATAAACGGAGGGGTCGTCTGCGTAGATACCGAGGCTTCTTTCTTCATACACATTTGAGTGGCGCATAGTGATGACAACAGGGTAGACGGAGATATACATCATTATCACGTATATCACCTGCGTTCCTATTTCGAGGGCGGAGATGTTTGTTATGTAGAAGCCCCCACTTCGAACGCAAAGTGCTTGGAAAAGACCATCTAGCACACGTGGTCCTGCGGGAGTAATATTGACCGCCGGATTATCGTACTATTGATAACAATCATAATCAGCATTATGAACATGCGCCAAGGAGGGATTTTCATACTCACATTGAGCACCTCATAAGCTACCCAATCAACCCCATTCAAAACAATCACAGAAACCAGAAGCCACCACGTATGTGCAGAAGGAAACAGGGTTGTATAACACCGGCGTGGATGATCTAAGAGGAACGTCAAAGTCTCACGAGAATAGTGATAATAATCACCGCGAGGAAGAAGCAGGCGAATGGTGTACAATATCCACCGCAGGAATATTGGATAACTGCGAATAATTATGAGTATATGGAAAAGGACGGATTAGTGACCCGGGAAACTACGAAAAGGCTTACCAGGTGTTACCAGCTAGGATGAGAAGGCCCATCGTGATCAGCATATATGTTGAACTTTGAAAGGGAACCTTGCACAGCTGTTAGTCGGAAAACAATCATTTGAGCTTCAGAATATTGGGCATTCACCATATTGGCATCAAGTACACTCATCCCAGAATTATTGAAGGCAGAAATGGCGAAGAAGAACCCCACCCACCTAAGTTCGAGCAGCCTTTAGGAACAACCTCAAGAAATAGTCATTATGGAATTTTTTGAACGTACCAAGGATCCAATCCATTCAATCTAGCCACTGCGGCCTTGTTTCTTGCCATGTACGCACCGACACCTAGCCCGCCTAACAACTGCCACAGCAGAAAGTATACCGGGACGATAATGGACAATAGGGATACGGCTCGGTACTCTGCACCACCGAGTCTTCGGCGTTCTCTTTCACTTAAATTATGGAATGAAGAATTCCGGCTGAACTTGCGTAGGAAGTTTAGATGGCTGTCATCTTCAAGGCCATCGTCATTATTGCCTTCCTCCAATTGATTATGGGCGGCAGGCACGAAGGGGGGACGCATATTCTGGCGTGCCAGATTAAGGGGATTTTCCCCAGAGTCTAGGCGTACGTCAGCGGTGAATGTAATATGAGCATCAGTATCTGCAGTATCAATTGGTTCCCGAGGGAAGCCTCCATCGGGTTGTGTTTTGTGAGACGCTAAAGATTCAGCGTGATCCGTAGCCGCGGGGTGAGTATAATCTGATTTTTGGCTATTTTCCTTGCAGTGATCCGGATTGGTTCCTGATGTCTGTCCTTGGCTCTTGCTTCGTGCTATGGGTTGGAGAGAGGCGCTCGATGGAGTTAGGGGTCTATATGATGGCAAACTTTGGCGCCTATTTGATTGCATATTTGGTTCATTGGGTACTGTTGGCTGTCGTGATGGGAGTGTGGCCAGTTGAATTGATGGGCGAGACTGATTGATCGTGTGGCGGAGTCTCCTTCTCCGTAGACCTTCTTCTTGCACAATTTCTCTAAACCTTTTTTCAAATGTTCTTTTGCGAACGATGACTACTGCGATGGAGACCCATATCTATATCTGATTAGCGTTCCTATCCACAAGTGTTGTAGGTAATTGCTAATTTTAAGTAAGCGGCTGGCCACAAGCAGACTGGTTCCTTACCGTGGACCCACATATTATCAGGAACAGTAGTAAGATCTGCTGGATTGTATTTAATGTAGACAAATTGACAGTGTTCAAACCAGCAAGTGTCATGGCGCTGACTGTCAAAAATAACGCATCAATATATCGCACGCTGTGGGGCGGAGAGGAGCTACCCCAGAGGATGGCGGAGGTGATAAGAGTCGCCCCGATGAAGTAGGCATAATGCACTGTGAGAAATCGGATCCGGGGCAGATGAAATTTCTTTATCTTCCAACTGCATTTAATCATTCTGGATGGGAGATTTTCTATTTAAGGCCAGCTGTTGTCACACAAATTATATGATGTCTTCAAGGGATCATAAGGTAGCCACTAACCTTTGTAGTGGCGTAGGCTTAGTAAGCTATGCCGATGTTGATTCGTCAGTTCATATGCCTCATATGTATGCACGCCTTGAGGTACAAGGCACCACAAAAATTAGTTGAGTACCGCATTGTCGGTACTAGACAAAGCGTCGTATTTGAAACTACGAAAAGTAATATAATTGAGCATATAACCCGGTACCTACTTGCTCGCACCAAGCTACGCTGGAGGGTAAAGGTGATGAAAGAAGGGTTACCTAGCCAGTCGGCGCCTTTCGTTCCTAGAATGGAAATTTGGTGTATATCGTAGTTTAAAGCGTAGGTTGAATCTTGAATCCCTAGGTTTTCGAAGACCTTGAGTCAACTTGCAAGCAGCGTGATGTGTCTATTAATGCTTTAAAGAGCAAATATTTCGTCTGAATCACAATGTGTAACTGCATAACACTAAGTAGTGTCTAGGTATCCGATTTTAGTGGCGTTTGATCAAAGATGCCGGTTGCTGTATTTTCCAATGGCTTATACAGCCTCATTTAGGAGTATTTTCGCCACCGACCCGAAGGCCATGTGCCCAGACGACCTCGTACATCAACGGTATTAGTACGCCCTATTGGATAAACTGTTTGTGATATAATAGACGACAAGCTCGGCTTCAAAAATTTTACACTCTTTCGCTATTTCTCAGCGCCACAATTGGGCACTAATGAAGATCTGGTATTAGCCGGAAATTTGCATCATCTTAGCACTGTTACGAACATGAGGATATCCAAACTAGAATAAATTACATATATTGCAAGAGCACTCTGGAAACGTCTTTAGAAGCCAGGTCACTAATCAGGGGTAACATGCCTTGATTCTACAAATAATCAGATCAAATGATGTTAGGATCCAACAACCCGAAGCGCTCAATGTTATTAGACGTAGTGCTGTGCTAGCCCATACTATTTTCTTGGATAGATATCAGAGAACAATACACTGGGTACAACAATAAGTTAACTAACCAGCGCGGAAACCAATAATGAAAACCCTGCAATTAGGATATCCAAGAGCAAGGTTGCCATCCTGTATAGCAGAGCAAGAGAATTTACGATACTCAGCAGGGAGCCATATAAGGTTTTCGTTCCTAAAGGCGATCCAGTCATTTACTGTGGAAACTTAAAGGTTTGGCTCATATGAACTTTGACCGACGAACGAGTCGGCATGGCCCTCGAGCGTCTGTAGCTTATGTACAAACATGGGACCCCCTCAGAGAATACAGTAGCGTGCAAACCAGTGATTCTCAGCCAATCAGATATAAATAGATCGCTTCACATAGACACTAGTAATAGTTCATTCCTACCTAAAGCTTCCTTCTATATGGCGGTGTATGTAGGTGTGTGTCCTAATAGCCCGATACATCACAAAGATTCTGCGGATGAATAGTTCGAAGCTAAACAACGCTGTTCTACCGTGTTGCGTAAATATAAGTGTATAATTGTGCCAATCAGTACCGGCAGTCGGTCACATTATCGTGAAAGCCGCATAGGAGCACAAGTTTGGTCGGCCATCGGGCTTTCCTCGCGGGACGGGCCGTCGAGCCAAAGAAATGCCAGGACAGCCTACAGTAATAGCTAAGCGCCTAAGCGCCTAGCTCTCGTAAATGTGACCAGAAACATTCTTCTTTGATAATCACGCAGAAAAGGTTCTCACAATAAGTCAGCTTGAAAGAGGGAAATGGACTCGACCTTGCCAGATTCCCAGGCAGTCTCTGTGCTGTTTGCCTAGCTTGCAGCAAATCTTCTCAAGATTGGGCGTATTTACGGAACATCTGCTATACAGACGTGGAGGTTTCGTTATGTTTTATGCGACGGGTCAAATACAAAATTAACGGTCTAGGCTCAAGATAGATTAGTTCCGAAATGTGGTGCCGAGAGAAAGAACGAAAGAGTGCTATCATTGAGGAAGCCGAACTTGTCCTCTACCGTACCCGATCGAAATGTCAGAAAATATCAAATAATATTCACAAAAGGACCATCTACAAAACTTATAACGAATCAACTACAAACAGAAAGATTATGACGGTTCAGGAAATTCGTACATGTGTAAGAGAATCGAGTATACATACAGGGTGCGGACTTAAAGGCGAGCACAAGGAGAAAAGAGATGCATGAAAACATAAGATAAGAGAAAAAAAAAAAAAAAAAAAAAAAAAAAACCAATTCCAAGGAGAAATAGACCCGTATAATCAGGATGGGCTCTTAGGTATTTGACAAATAGCACATGCAGGCAAGGCAGGGCAGAGAAGGGTATGTATGCATGCATGCGTTGAAAAGGCATGACGACGAAACGGAAATAATTTTTTTCTTTTTTAGAAAAAAAATTCAAGAGGGAGGGATTCAAGAAAAAGCTTCAAAAGACGCGTCGCTATACATGGTCTTTGAGACGTGTTTCATTCTCTCCCCGAAAATGTCAAGGTGCATCATTCAATCATCCATGGGCTTGTCTTCCAGAGTTACACCCTTGGGCTCGCTTTCAGCGATACTGCTCCGGTTGCTATCGGTGCCTGCGGCGCCGACGGCAGGTCCGGTTGGGAAGCTAGAAAGACTTCCGAGACCGGGCTTGCGAGTATACCGGCCACCAGCTGAGCGAGGGATGGAGGCGCGCTTTTCAAATTCGGTACTTGTGGGGGCTGGGGTGGGTGTTGGGGTGGGGGGAACCATCGGAGGCAGTCTCTGGGGGAGGCGGCGGGCTATCAGAACCCTCCGAGACACTGGCACTAGTCACAGCTGCTGAAGCTGGAGACTCGGTGTTACCGTTGATTGCAACCTCAACAATCTGGGTGTTCACAATGGGAGGGTGCTCGGATCCAGTAGGGGATCCATTGCTAGCGGGAACATCGAGGCTGGGACGGGCCGTCGGGGTGGCTCGACGATCAGCAGGGCTGGCTGCAACATTGATGGGGAATCGACCGGTCTCAGAAGCGCCGCTGGAACGGTCCCGTCGGTGACGTTGACGGGTTGAAGGGCTGGTAGCGCGGCTGCGGTTGACGATGGCGCGCTGGCGAGCCTCCATGGCGGCACGTCGGTTGCTCTCATCCGTGCTAATTGCTCGAGGGCGGCTGGAATTAGAGATGCCCAACGCACTGGACTGGCGCTTCAGCTCGCCAAAGATGGCGTCCTTGTGAGCAAAAAGATCACGAATCAGGCGGTAACTGTGGCGCTCGTCCATTGTGAGACTGCTCTCGAAGCGAGGGCGGAGGATACATGGTGACAGGACCTGTGCAATTGCAGCAATGTACTGTTCATCGGCAGAGGTCAAGTCGATTAGGCGTGTGAAGTGGGTCATGATGGCATCAAGCGTGGCAATGTTTACGAGACGAAGTTGTCCAAGCGTACTCTGCAGGACCTTAATTCGTCCCTCTTCCGTGGTCTCATGAGCGGTGGTCGAGTAGATCGTTTTAACGATTTCGTAGACTTGCGAAGAAACAAGAGAGTCTGCGGCATAATTAGCTTCCGTAATTTGACACATCGGATCGGAAGGAGATGACAAACCTGGCAACTCAAGAAGGTACAATTTTAGAACGCTAGCGACGGTGGGTATCTCAAAGGTTGGGAGGATTTCATGATAGTCCGCTTTGCTGTTGTTCAGAGCGTTGCGCAGCTGGTGCGTGTGAGACAACTTAGGGTTGTGCAGCCAGATACCACGACGGGCCTCGTCACCCTCGAGTTCGGGGTAACCTGTACATCTTAGCTTGATTCTGAGTTCCGTTCAATAGATGAGGTTTTCTTACGGTTGTCCAAGTAGGTCAAAAGGGTGGTTACCAAGATTGGAACGCGCTTGCGGTCCACCCGAGCTCTGGCTTCAAGATCGACACCAAAGTTTTGCTCTATAGATGATCAGCGTTTGTTAAAGGTTTGGTCGATTGAGTTGTCCACATACCTTCAACAGATCCATAGTAGTTTTCGTAGGCCTGTACTCGGGGGACAAACCCGCCAGTACGGTAGTTCTCCAGGAGATATCTTAAATCTCCCAGCGGTTGAATCGTCTCCTGATACAGCATCATATGATCGACAGTGCTCTGGAGATTGGGAATGACGTTGCTAATGGCGCCAGAGAAGTCGAGAACCACAGCCTTGATGGCCTTGAGGCGGTCCAGCTCGCACTGCTCCATAAACCGCAAGTTATCAATGACGTCTTCCTCGAGGCGGCACCGAAGCTGATCGAGCTTTCGCACACCAGCTTTGTAGCGTTCATCGGCTTCCAATGCCTCTCTCCGCAGCTTCTCCGCAGGAGTCTCGTTCGGGTAAGGGTTGTTGAGGGGGTTCCATCCAGCGATCATTTCCGAGACTGACGACATTGGCGAGTCGGCACCATCTTCGCTCGAAGCCCCAGAAGCCGCAGAGGCGACCCGCATTAGAGGCTTCTTCTTCTCAGGAATGCCAGTGAGTTGGAAGACTCTGGAACGCCACTGGTAGTTCATCTTCGAGCTGTTGGCGAAAACACTACCCATGTTGCCAACCAAGCGCAAAAAGCCACCATCCACAAGATCCTGTCCGATGCGTTCTGCCTGCGCCAGACTAGAGGCCTCCATGTATCTCTGAACGTACTCCACAATATCCGCACCGGTAGAGACATTCTGATATGTACCAATGATCGGCACCTTCGCCTCGCCAATTCTGATGTTGTTCAGCATGTGCAGCAAAATCTTCTTGAAATCCTCTGGACCGTAGATGCGATCTCCCAGTTCAACGGGCTCCTCCTCCTCGGGCTCTTCCTCGGTGGGAAGGACGATTTTCGGCGTCGGCTTGATCTTGGGACTAGTCTCAGGGTCCTGGAAAGCAAGCTTGTTCTCCTCCTCCAAATCTTCCACCACCCGGCACTTGTTGAAGTAAGTGCTGCGAAGTTTCTTCACCAATTCAACCTGCTTCGCATGTTCCTTGATCCGCCCCTGGAGGTTATCATGAGACGCCTGAACCCGGTATTCGTGCTGCTCGCCCCAGCGACGGAATGGAGCCACGACAAGTTCGCGGATGTTGTTGGCGATCTTCTGATGATTCCGAGAAGCCTCAACCATCTCAGTACGGACACCTTCGTATGCCTAGAAAACCGAGATACATGCGCCGTCAGTTCAGATCTAGTCAGACAAAAATGACCAAAACCAAATCTCATGTTCTTCATACCTTTCTCACACTAGCACCATCGTCCTTGCCGAAACCCGCGGCAGATAACCGATCCACGCTTGGTGCAATATCTCCCATGCGGAGACCATACTGCTCCTCCGCATCTGCCCGCATAGATGCGATCAGCAAGATCTGCTTGTTCTCCACCACTCCTTGCTGTAATTTCCCATAGAGGACGCCGAGACCCGAGGCATAGTCGGGCGTCCAGAACGAGTCCGCAAAGCCAGGCATTGTGACAGCGACCGGCACGAACACGGTTCACTTTGTTGAAGTAATTGATCCGAAGTAGGTGATCGGCACCGAGTCAGGAGTGAAAGTTCGTGAGTCAGAAAACCGTGATTGGGATGTGAAGTGGGAATTGAGGACAAAGATCTTGTTGGGCGCAAAATACAAGCGACTTGGGTGAATTTAGCGGGCCCGAACTGAGCCTCCTCCTGGACGTCGAAACAAGCAGGTATAAAAAATCTCAAAGCAGACCGGCTAGCTCGAAATTAGGTCGCACTGGAAAAGAGTTCTGACGAAGAACAGGAAAGATAGGATGTTGCGCTTGGCACTGGGGAGAATTGAGGCTCGAGATGCGGATGGGATCCCGGGGAATCAGAGCGCGCGGCAGGTAAGCGCCAAGGAGCGGCGAGGGCGAAGGAGGTGGAAAAAGAGCGAACGGCGGTCGAGTAGCTCGAAGGACACAGAGGGACAAGAACACAGCAAGAACAGCAAAAGCAGCGTCTAAAGGAAGGAATGAGAAAAAAGGGGTTGTCTTGCAGCTCACGAGTTAATGATGTTGATGAATTTCCATTCGGCGTGGAGTGGCTTGTAATATTACGGGTACATCTGAGTACAGTACTGCTAACCTGTGGCTCCACCACACTATTTCTCGGTACTATTTTTGGGGTTCTGGAAAATCTTTTAGAGAAGTGGATAAGTCTTTGTTGGCATTGGAGAAGAAAAACTCTGTTCTTCTGGATTTGTCTCACAATTCCCAAGACATCGCTACCATATAATATCACATACTGTACTCTTTCCATGTCTGCAGACACGTCAAATTCCGGGTCATGCTGTTGAGGGGCGTGACACCCGCCTGAGGCATACGTACTCAGCCACTTCCCCAAAACCACCAATACCGTAACGTTCAATACACACTCAGCCCCGAATTGAAACTGGCCGTTAATCGGCATGACGGAATGCGCATGTGTCATTCTATACGTGGAATGTTAACTAAAGTTAACTTTGGAATCATACACAAATCCCCAATCTGACCAACCATGCTTTGGAATACGGGACAGGGGAGCTCTATCAATGCTGGTGCGGGTCTGGTGAATGTAGTTCGTGGGTTTTAATTTCATAGGGCTGACAAGTACCCAAGTACGGATAGTCCACGGGTGAAGCCTTCCAATAAATTTATGGCTGACAGTACTGACGGAGGTGGGTCAATGTATAAATCAACAGTCCCTATTTAAACATTTGGAGCTACAGTTAAAAAGTTCAGAATAAATCGGAATTTTGCATTGTGTCGTTATGGTATGTGTCATTAACTAAAGCAGTCGCAAATATTCATCGATATTAAGGCACAAGAAAGAGGATAGTGCGCTTCCATTTTCCAAATACCATTAACAGAAAAACTTGTAGACCTTCTTCCATTTAGGCCACTCCTTCTGCTCGGCCACTTCTTGCTCAATCAGATGCTGGATATCCAGGTCCCGACGACCAGTTGCTAAGTCCATGTCTTTCGAGCGCATGATCTTGGTCTTGTACCAGAGCTTATAGGGAAGGTAAAAAGCTAGGACAATGGGGGCAGCGAGGTAAGCCGAGAAAAAATTCTCAACTAGTGCGCGCGTAGACTTTTCGGCATAGCCCACAGGAGCAAAGCCGACCCAGAACTGAGCGACCAGCACCAGGCAATTGAAAATGAAACCGACCCACGAGCCAATGACGCCGGGTTGCGAACGGAAAGCCAATTCATCGAGACTGTGCCCCTGAACTTTCCAGGCACGGCGGAACCGGATATGACAAAGACAAACGGATCCCCAGGTGAAGATGGAGGAAAGACCCGAGATAGCCATCATCCATTGGAAGGCAGTGGTCTCTTTGCTTGATGCGGCAAGGAAGCACAGCAGACCAATTGCGGAAGCGACAGCGATGGCCCAGATGGGACGTCCCTTGCGGTCGATGTAGCCCAGAAACTTGGGAGCTTGGCCCTGTTCGGCGAGGGCAGCAAGAGTTCGTGAGGAGCCATAGACAGAAGAGTTGCCTACAGACAGCACGGCGATCATGATAACGACGTTCATAACAGATGGCAAACCAGAAATACCGGCATTTTCAATGGCGATAACAAAGGGAGAGGCATGGGCATCAGCCGATGAGCCACCGGTAACAAGGCGATCGTTCGTGTACTTGACCAAGCAGCCGACGATAGTGAGAGACACAACATAAAAGAGAGAGATACGCCAGAACACCTGCTTGATGGCAGTGGGAAGAGACTTGCGGGGATTCGCGGTCTCAGCAGCAGCTAGACCAACGAGCTCAGTTCCAGAGAAGGCAAAGGCAGCATTTACGAAGACACTGCAGAGGCCCTTGAAGCCATTATGGAAAGCACCCGGGTCATGCCAGTATTTTGTACCGATGTAGCCTCCTTGAGGACCACCGCCACAATTGATGACGATGCCCAGGATACTAGTAGAGTGTTAGCCATGATAAAAGCTTGGGGTTGCGACAAAAACATACATGAACCCAATAACTGCAGTGACCTTGATGGCCGCAAAGACAAACTCCGCTTCGCCATAGCCACGGACACCAAAAAGATTGATCACAACAATCAAAGCCCAAAAGATGATGACCCAAGCAGCATTGGAAACGTTAGGACTCCAATAGTCAATTGTGATGGAAGCCGCAACGATTTCAAGCGGTAAGACGATGAGCCATTGAAGTGCATAATTCCAACCCATAGCGAAACCCCAAGCCGGATCCAAGAAGCGAGTAGAGTAGTGAGAGAAAGAACCAGAGACCGGGAATAAGACAGCCATCTCACCCAGCGCGTGGACCGTGGTGTAAAGCATGACTCCAATCAAGATATACGCAATGACCACGGACGCCGGACCACCCGTGGCCAACACGGTTCCAGAACCAACGAAGAGACCGGTACCTAATGCAGATGATTAGAAATCGATCCTGGGTTATATTTTGCATTTCAACCATTGAAAACTTACCGATCGAGCCACCAATGGCGATCATCTGGAGATGACGGCCTTTCAAGCGGCGCTGGAGTGGTGAGTGAGCAACATTCTGTGCTGCAGTCTCGAGATCGAATCCTGAGCCATCGGCTCCCGCATTCTGACTGATGATGTGCGCATTAGGGTCGCGCTTGAAGCTGTCGATGAAGCGCCGACCTATTCCAGCCTTTGTCGGTTGCGAGTCGCCATAAGCAGGCAGAGGCTCAGAAGCCGTCTGAGGTGGTGATTTATCTGACTTGTACACCTTCTCGTCCTCCATGCTGACCAAATGCCCCCGTATTAAGCTCAGGGGAATTTTTGATGAACAGAAGGAAGTTTTTGGGAAATTGGTAGAAGGAAAGAGGAGGGGCGGGGGGAGGGAAAGGAAAGGACGCGTGAGGTTACCAAAAAGCACAGGGAAGGAAAGATGATTTAAACGTTTCCAACCGAGAATAACCATTAGGTTATTCTTTCACATACAGATTACTTGCAGTTTGCGCCACTGGCTAATCGACTGTGCCTTAGACCACAAAAGGGTAGTGGTCAAGCCCAATGCGCTTAGCCTTGTAATCAGAGTTTCTACCCCGGGCCCTGGTCTGAGGCAACACCACAGGGGTAGTCAGCATCGACGATATTTTATTAATGCGACATTTTTGACGCTTCAGATTGGTCCATTTGGCTGCATAATGATCGTTAATCTGCTATCGGGCTTCGGAATGGCCGATACCGCGGGACCCTGATACCCCGGATATTTGAGAAATCACCTTGAGCGATAAGATTATTAATAATAATAAGAAAAGGATCTGGGTGTTTCAGAGAGGAATAATCAGGCATTAAACGCCACTTATCACCTGCGTGATTTAGGGGCATTTTAGCCTGTCACAACGGGACGATCCCACTGTGTACCCAAGTCTGGTGACTTGCAGCTGCTGACGCTGCCTACATCCACTCTATTGTTTTCATTTCCGGCCACGCTCCGCTTCCTTCACATATCCCTCACACATGGCCTGATCACTGCTGGGATTTCTCGACTGCTTTGTTGAGTGGCACCTAATGACCAAGCTTCTGGTTGACCCAGCACAGCAAGCATCGTGGACCCACTAAACTCCGCACTTTCCACGCGATAGACGATCCTTGCCCAATCAAAACCGCCATCCAAACCTTTTTGTGATAAGCAAATCCCTCTCGGGGGGCCAAAGGTGCTCAGATGAGGGCAAAGCTCGCTTCAAACAGAACAATATTCAATTCAAAAAATCGCCTACTTCTCTAAAATGGGACTAGCGTGCGACAGGGATATTCGTGGCGACTCTGGGGAAGGAAGCTAGCCTCGACTCCTTTACGCTACTCTTGCCTATGGGAAGGCTTCCGACAAAGGGGTCCATTCTGATGGCGTGCGCTTTGGGCCACCCTGAGAGGCGTTCGACATGGACTAGTACAATAACGTCATGAATTATGGTTTGAGTAGATTTCATTGAAGCTGAACCCTGGTAACAAAGACCAAGACCCCGGTAGACTTTCGGGCCTGTGCTTCGATTCGGCTTCGCCGCATAAAACCATGTGCTGCGTCCCTTGTCCGAGGCAATTATTGCTAGGCAAATGGAACCCTGGAGCCACGCGTTTGAACTCCCCCTTTGCTGATTCGTTTGGCTGGCCGGGTGGCTTTCTGGCGGTCTGCCACTAATATGCATGGAAGCCCGGGAGAACCAATGCTCAAGCAAGGGAATCACGAGGTGCGGTTTATTCATGATCATCCGATGCAGCTCGTATAAGGGGAACAGAGCGCAACCATGTGTCATTTGAGATGTCTCATAGGCCGCATTATTGTCCTCCCCTCGCATCCTGGCTTTCGTAAGCTGGCTGCCAAGCCTCCCGTTGAAACCGATGGGGCGTTTAGACTTGAGGAATCGAGCCGTCAATGCGACAACCTTTCGGGGCCAGCTTGCTTGAAGTGGACCGGTACTGATAACGGTGGAACCAGCATGGACCCATTGATATGATCACTGATAGCAACCCGCAGAAAACACAAATATGTAGATGTCTTGACACCCAGAGCTTCGTTATCGTGGTCTTGGCACCTTGGCCCCCAAACCTGAATTTTTTTTTTTCTTAAGCCGGCTTCGGATGATGCTTCATCATGCTTGTTGATGGCGTTCTGAATGTGCTGTAACTGGCTGCCACTGTGAGCCAGGGAGCCACGGTAACATCGGGGCTAGGTAGCCATTTGGGTCAAGGTCTTGGCGCTAGATCTCTGAATAGGAACCATGACCGAGGGATCTTGGAAATTTGGCCTAGTGGTTTCAACGCAGGTGACGACGTTCTCGGCAAGCGCCGGCTTGGAGGTCTCGAGGCGTCACAGACGCCCAAATCAGCTCAAGCATCCTTGAATTTAGTTTAACCAAGAACAAACTTCTAAGTTCCCAGAATGCTCTTCTTTCAGCTATCCTGGTACATCTACTACCAGAATAGGCAGGTGAGAGAGGCCGACCGTGATAAGTTTTTCAACCAGCCGCTGGATCACATCGTTCCCAGCCCAGCCAACCATCTTGCCCCTAAACACAAGAGACAGAGTTATCAATAGTCGCTTTAGAGTTATCCCGCCCGCCGACGGGTTCTCCGGTCGAAATGCGGGGATGCGAAGCTGTTAGGTAACAGTTTCCACATCGCTCCCATCCATCTGGGGTAATGAAACTCTTATTGCACAACAGCACGGCTGGAATGTCTTGGTTTGATATTGCAGACATTAGGTGGGATTTTGCCTAGAAATACACATGGCTTGTGACACGGGTGAGATCTTGTCTGGCTTTGACGTTACTCTTCGTATGCGACTCAACACCCTAGCTATTATGTATGCTCGAACTCTTGAGATGCGTTGCTAAGACGCATAATTTACTTTTTCTTTGTTAGCTGATTACAACAAGCGCTCTAAGACTGGTTAGTATTAAGCTACCTGCAGTTCCACCAAAAGGGCTGGCGCTTAGCAATGCCGAGGCTGTAAGCAAAGAAGAAAGACACAATTCTTTCTCTTTTCTGATTGGCAGAGGCGGCATGCGGAGTTCCCAGGCGCCTATTAGATCTCTTGTAGAAGCATGGGGTTTTTCTTATGATGGCTGAATTTAGCGCCTTCTCAATGTGGTGCTTGCCTTTCATGAAGCCGAAACATTGGATGCGGGCCTGACAATGTCGAAGAAGCTGAGACTTCAGCGTTTGGTGGACGAGGTCTTTTGGAGAACATCGGACCTTGAAATTTATGTACGCGGTCACGTCGTTCGGAGAGAAAGGTAGAGTATGGAAGTGCAACCGGCATGACGATTGTACGATGCCCCTGCATGACTCCGACGATTGGTCTAGACCACCTTTGGTGCCATTCTAAACGTGCAAAGGCACGCCGATGTCTGGAGTTAGACTGTACTCCCAGCCCACCTATCCGAGCGAATCGATATACTCGTCACTGGTAAACAGTAGCATACCTGATATTCGATAACATGACTGACCCAGACCCCTGACAACCTGCACTTCGGTATGGCCATCCAGTGAGGCTTTCGTCACATAAAAAGTCCGTATTGGGCCTCGACCGGGAGGAACTACCGAGAGTTCAAGATGAGTAACCGTAGACAGCAGGTCTAGAGTATTGCCCCCTATATGCGCAGGTAGATAATGGCAGGCAACTTCAACTTCAGAAATGCAATTGAAAGCTGGATCAAGTCCGTCGTGTAAACCACCGAGATAGGGCCGTCTATATTCTTCGTCAGAGGAAGGTACTCATGTTGATGGATAACGCGAGTCCAAAATCAAAACCTAAATGTTACATTTTTCCTGACGAGACTCGCGGGTTTGGCGGTCAGTCATCGAAGCGAAATGAAAAGCGATTATATTAGCATCGGCGCAACAAGCAAGAACACCTCTAATGTGGGGATTGAATCTCAAACAGTCTAGACAAAGTTTGTTCCAGACGTCGTTGAAGTTCTAAGAGTGGTATTTGGGCCGAAAAGGAGAGCTGCAAAATCTGAAGATGAACTATTTGAGATAAGTTGAAAATCTCGTACCATGATGAGGCGTCAGTTCTTGGTTCTTGGTTATTGTCCATAAACTGTATACCCCGGAAGCCGATGAAGTTTAGCGAAATGACAAGTTTATCAACTAGAACGGGGATTTTCATGCGGTATACGCAGGATCTAGCCGTTGTATTACTGGCTTGATGCTGAGATGTGCCACGTAATATTATCTCTGCAACTTGATCTCAGTACCCGGAGATTCTGAATGAGTTTGAGCTGCATACACTGCGGCTCATCGTTGCTCCTTAAATTTTTTAATTAGCCGACGACTCTCACTTGATAAGGTGAAGTATTAGCATGCAGCGATAAGCCCAGAAGCCATGACTTTAATCCCCATCGGCAACCGCGTAAATAATGCTGTCCAAAAGCTGATCGAGTAATTCTTTCTATAGACTCAATTGACAACTCTTCCAAGATAGACGCAATTCTCTACTTGTTTTATCGTGGTATCCATTGGAGGGTCTCATGGCATCAGCAAACTTTCTCCGTTCTCTAGATATAGATCATTCGCGATAGCTCATAGCTAATCACTAGGAGTGTAATGGAAGGGAAGTGGAGGAAGGGGGGGTTTCAAAGAAGCGGCAATCTCGAGATCGGGAGATCTACAAATGGCACCAAGCTAGCCCTGGATTCGGCGTGGATTTATGCAAAGGATCCACATGTTATTTTGCCGACGTGTCCCAACTGCGGGGAACCAACGTGAAGATTACCTGTGTTCAAGCTACTTAAAGGGAGAGGAACGGCCCGGGGTAGCCTCTATTGGGTTGTGATAAGACATGGTGCATGTTTGCCTATCATTGCAAATGTGGCGCTGGCTTATCAGCTGGGCTAACGTGGATTCTGCGATCGTCACCCCAAGGTAATTTTTTGAACGGAACTTAGATTACTAGTGAATTTAAAGTAGGGACCGATTATAGTCGAGGTTTTTTCTTTTGTTTCAAGAATCACGTTTAGTGCCGAGGAACATGTTCCCCGTTGAGGCTCAACCTGATACAGCCTAGTCCTAGCAGGGACAAATCCTTATCGCTCTTGAAGAACGAAGAATTCACAATGAGTGGATTAAGAGAATTGGAGGACCGGCGTTTCATAAATAGTGGAATTAAGTCTTTCTATCGGACTTTTCGTGTCGTTGTATTCGGTATCATAACACAAATTTCTTTTCGTTATTCCGCAAACTACCAGGCTCGGGAATCTAGCTGGAGACTGGGCCTTCCCCACCGGGAATCAACTGCGTACTGGGTCAGATGTGGGAGAATAAAGTGATGGACAACGAGCTTACCATGCAGATGTTGTTTCCGTTGAGCAAGAGTTTGGGAAGCTTGGTCTGGGCACCAGTGTAGTCGCTGCAACAGAATTAGATTTATCGAAGAAAATTGCAATGCAAAGAATCAAAGTGTCGAGAGAACAAGCAACGGCGGGTATCAAATCATTTGACTTAAAAACTGCCAAAAAGTGGAAGGCGAGAGATAAATCTGTTGCATGATGCTCAACAACGCTGAAACGATTACTCACAACTCAGTAACATCCTCCATGACCATGTCTAAAAGGTAATTAGAGATCTGTGGTTCTAACGTGGCGGGACAAGGGATGGGTACTCACTGACGTAGTCATCAAATCCGAGCAAGGTACCCGAGAACTCTTTGCGCATGTTAGACTCTCCTCGCGACCAGCATAACCTGAAAAGCTTAACTCACCCTTATCACCCTTCATGACAACCCAGATCCGAGAGCCGACACACTTGTCGATAAGCTCTATCGAAGGGTTAGTGGGGTTCCAAAGGAGGGGGGTTGACGGGACCAACCCAGCGGCAGCAGTTGAGAGGCCATGATCGTCAGAATATTAGACGAGATGAAGTCCTTATGAAACCTCCCTAGATATTGTATCGATCACCGATGGCAGAGTGAGCTAGGCGAGAGATATACAAGTCACGGTGCATTTGATCTGGATTTCAGGAACTTGCTTTTATCCGGGCCGACGAGGCTATACCATATCAGGAATAGCGTGTCTCCCCAGACTTATTGCTCTTGCTGTTTGGTCGTGAAACTCAATTGTGATCCTTCAGATGGTTTATGCTTAAGCAATTAGATGACGCAAGCTTAGCAGTGATTCTCGGCACTTCTACCATCCTTGGCCATCGTGTATGGGGCCCCACTATGCTTGTCGTGCAGAATGCGAACGTGGGCGAGTCTTTCAGCGGGCCTGAGGTCTTCGTCGTTGACTCCGACAACTGGAGGCAACATACCTACGCATTGTAGTGCGAGCTCACAGACTCGAGACCTTGTATTCCAGGGGTAAGTCCGCCTGCTTTATTTCAGCTTGTTTGAATGCTCAATTCCCTGATGAAATGTTAGCGATGTTCTCCGCACTTTGGCCCGAGGAACCCCTCACGAAACCATTCAACACCGCTACCACCATAGCCAACGATTGACAAATCGGGAGCCTCGACGAACATTTTCAAGTACAACAGCGACGCGAATCAGACTGGAGGATGAAGAAGACGAGGAACTTGAGCCGCAAAAAAATGGCAGGGCTTCGAAGAAGCCAGTGCGACGACCGCCTCCCCCGAAGGACTTGAGAACTATCATCTTGTCACGAGAACCGAAGCCTCGCAAACCCAAACCTATTGACCCAGAGAAGGTTCGGGAGATCGAGGCAAAGGTCCAGATGCTCTCGGACCCACTTCAGCTGGTCAATGAGTTTCTTAATACGAAATACATGCATATTGAAGACCAAATCGCGAGAGCCCACCAAGTAACTGAGGAGATTTTCTGTTCTCACATCGAGGCTCTGAAGCCCCTGGTGCTCTGCAGTGAGGTAGCTTGTCAGCGAATGGAACATCAATATTGCAAGATCGCCTACCGCAAGACACCCAAGTGGACGGCAGCCATCTCAAAGATTGAAAATGCTGTTACTCGATTGCGATACCAGTTTATCACCGAGCGCATAGAAGATTCCCAGCTATTCATATACCATATGAGAGCGCTACTTGAGCGAGAATACCTGAACCCTCGGCAGTCGGCTAGGGCCAAGATTGACAAGCTTCTACACCCCACTGAGGATATGAGGGAAGAATATAGATCGCTCCAATCCTTGGGGACGACAGTCATAACGGGACTAAGTGAAATCAAATCACTAATCGTTCCGCTGAAAGTTCTCGACGAGCAGGGGCCTGACCTCCCTGGTCTAGGATTCCAGGACTATCAAAATGTTCTTGAGGCCCACAAGCAAGACTTTGCCATGGCCGCACACAACTATCGCGCCTTGTGGTTCATGAGGGTGCAGAGTACATTTCTCGTCGAGTCGCAGTTCTGGAGCGCCAAAAGGCTCACTTCTAATCTCATTGAAAGTTTGCCTGAAATTAATCCACGCAAAACATTATCGCTTGTGTTCAAAGGCGGCCTATTGCAAGGCGATGACGAAGCTGTAAGAAAATCAGCAAGAGTTTTCCTGTCTTCTCATAAGACCCAAACCCAGGTCGCCAGTCGCCTGCGAAAGTCATATACGAAAAAATGGAGTGGGGCGAAGCCTCCCAATAGCCCGGAGCTAAATAAGGTCTGGCGACAGCTTGATGTGATGGCTTTATTTGAAACCCAACAGGCCTTGAATATGTCGTTGCAGTATGAGGTTTGGATATTGATGAAATCCCTTGAAGGGAAGTTTGGACCAATGTGGCCTGGTCTTGACACCGCCACGAGCCGTCAACTCCAGAAGAACCTACACGAATTCAGCGTGTCGTTCAATCGATCTCGAAAGCTGTTCACGGCAGAACTTGAAATGTACAGACTAGCCAATTGGGCTCGACTAAACGTCGAAGAGAAGCTGTACAGGCTAGGGGAGCCAAATGATATCCATGAACGAGGTCTTTTCAAGGTGTTAAAGCCGCTCAGTCAGGATCACTCACGTTTCTCTTACTGGGCAAACCAGTTTGTTGCTATTGCTTACAAAAATTGGAATTTGAATAAATTTCTCAAGTTCAGCATGGAAGAAGATGAGGCAAGTGCGCAGAGCTACTATGTTCGCTTGGCAGAAGACCATCTTGAACAATTGAACAGACCGTCAAGTTTTGTGCCAGAGATCGGCACCACAGACACCAGCCACAGTCGTCCTCAGCGAAATAAGGAAATTAACGTAAAGCGTCCTTTGTTTCCAATGCCGAGCAAAATGGGTCCCAGCGAGGTATCGAGCGCACTCGAGGCACCATTCCTTTCATTAGATGATGCTGCAATAAGTACATCATCCTCACCACCACAAGTCCTAAGCTCTCCAAAGAACTCTCAGGAAATTAAATCGAAAAGGCGCATCAAAGCCAGTAAAGGCAGGGAAACCAGAAGGCGCAAAAGAGCAGCAGATCATGAAAATCAGCTCAAGTCGCCTGGAAAGAACGCTTTCGGTCATGAATTGGCCAAGGAGTCAACCAATTCGAGCCCTCCAAGACCCAAGAAAGAGCAAGCCGTGCAACATCTTGAGAATCGGCTTTTGGCCAAGCAATCGTCCAAGACTTCAATAGAGAAGTTTGCCGATAAATCGATTGATCGCAATCTTGCAAAGACCGACAAGAAAGAAAGTCAGCAACAAGGAAGACAGCGCCGTGTCAAGCAAGCGACCAAGGAACTGACTGATACAAGGCCTCCAAGGCCCGTGAAAAACCCAAAGGCACAGCAACAAAAGTCTCGCTCAAAGCCAAAGCCGGAACCAAGCCAGAAACCGCCAGTCGAGGCAGCGACTTCTATATCCAAGCCTACTGGCTCCAAGGAAAAGAATGGCACTGCACCAGCTGCATCCAGAGCGAAGTCTAGACGTCCTGTACAGCGGCCTAATGTGATCAAGCGACAACCAAAACCGGCCCTTGGTCCCTCGCGAAACCCACCCCTGGGTCGCGATGTTCAACGGAAACTGGACTTGGACTTTTTGAGCGGCCAGCCAGGTGGCACCCGGCCATACAGCACTATCGCAGGTTTTTCTGAGACCAAGACCAATGGAGACGGCGTTGGATGCACAGATGCACAGTCGTTGCCTCTTAGTTCATCATCAGCTGGGGAAACCGCAGAGGGCTCGGAAGAAACTGTCAAGGATGGGCCATCTCCGCTATTCTGGACCCATAAATCGCAACGCGGCCCTGCCGGACAGAAGCTGATGGTGCATTACTGCCGAACCCTGGAAAGCACTGAAGAAATTGCTCGGCTATTCCTCGATAGCAAAGTCATTGGTTTTGACATGGAATGGAAGGCGCAAGCGTCTGCGTGGGACAGCATACAGAGCAACTTATCTCTTATCCAAGTCGCAAATGAGGAGCGCATTGCACTCTTCCAGATCGCACTTTTCAGGCCAGGCCATACCCTGAAGGACCTCGTGGCGCCGTCCCTCAAGCAACTACTTGAATCGCCTGATATCACCAAGGTCGGCGTATCCATCAAGGCAGATGCGACTCGTCTGCGCAAATATCTTGGCGTTGAGGCTACGTCTATCTTTGAGCTCAGCCACTTATTCAAATTGGTGAAGTATGGCCTGACTCAGCCGAAGCTTGTCAATAAGAGAGGTGTCAATCTTAGTGACCAGGCTGAGGAGCATCTTGGATTGCCTCTTGAAAAAAGTGAGGACGTGAGATGCGGTGATTGGACTCGTCCTTTGAACTATCGTCAAGTTCAATGTGAGTTGCATTTATCTTATAAGTGTTGTATTGGTATGCTAACTTTTATTACAATAGATGCCGCTACGGACCCTTATGCTTGTATTTGCTTGTTCAACATTATGAACAAAAAAAGACAAGCTATGGACTCTGTCCCGCCTCTTCCCGCACATGCGGAACTCAACCTGCCTATTGTTCTTCCCCCTCGCGAAAAGGAGCCCATAACCTCGAGTTCAGTTGATGATTTTGGGGACATCGATACCGGTCGTGCTTAAACGACCTCAATCTTCTGCTCCACTCTGAATATACCTTGGTTTGTTTATTTTTTTCAACATATACCCCATTGCATCTGGTGGAGATTTCTTGTTATATATCGAGTATATCAGTCATTTACGTTCAATTCAAATAGCAAAGAGTGGTGTTGGATAGCAGCAGAAGGAAGAAAGGGCAGCAGTGTAAATTTGTCCAACACGCAAGGCACTACTAGACTAAGTGTTACGTATCCAGGACCAAAAGGTCACACCAAAGATAGTAATTAAATGCATATCATCATACTATTCCGACGGGACAAGCCAACGGAACAGAGGAGCCGACAAAATATGTTCAGGACCAGTAACGGCCAATACCGGTCTCATGCCGAGTGGCATAAGGGAGAAGGGCAAAGGAAAGGAAAGAAAAATTCGGAGGCGGCAAAAGCTGGGAATGAAAGGTGAGCAAGAACGAGAAGAAGAAGCAAATACAAAGCTGGGGGTATGGATAAATTGAGGAGAAGTGAATGGTGGGAGTAGCCCATTTGGGAAGGACGTGATTTGGATAGAGGGTAAATTCAACGCAATCTCACCTGGGAATCTCTAGGCACAAGACAAATGCCATGGATCAAAGTAATTATCATATCTAGTTAGTAACTTCCATAGGACATGGGAAACAGATAGAAGAGCAGATGGGGGTATATATTCATCCAGATCAAGTATATACATCATGAATAGTCCATGTCTCGAACCCTGGAAGCGATAACATATGCAAATGCAAAATTATGTGCATGAATCACCCTCTCAGGGGAAGTATCTTGGACAGTAGCACCTCTTGTCGACAAAGCGGACACTCCGGTTTCTCACGCACCCAGTCCCTGACACAAATCCAACAAAACACATGGCCACAAGTTGTAAGACTTGGATCCTTGAACGCATCCAAACACAATGTGCACTTCCGCTGCTGTCCATCTGGGATCCACGCAACTGCGCCTGGGTCTTCCTCAAGGTCATATCGAGGAGATGAAGCAGACAACATTGGCACCGAAGTGGGGTTCTGAATTGAAGCAATGACTGCCCCGCCCTGAGACGATGCAGCCTCAGCTCCAGAACCTTCAGTATTTGCATCATTCATACTCTCGCCGATCTTGCGCACGTGCAGAAAGCCTTGCACAGCAGCCTGAAGGACCATCAATACACCAAGCACCTCATATCCGATGCGCTGTTCATTCTCATCAATCTTTTTGGTGAAAACGTAGCGCAAGCGCCAGATACGCTTTGAAAGATGATAGTACGATCCCGTGAAATAGAAAGTCGCGATACTAAGAGCATAGATCGGCGAGAGCGAAGTCATCGAATCCAAATGATCAAGGATGTACTGCTGAATGCGCAGCTTCGTGAAGAACGGCTTGGACACCGCTTTATTATTATTATTGAGGTTGATCGGTTTCGATAGTGTGGGCATCTGCTGCTGTGCCGCCCGGAGTTGCTGTCGCGCAATGCTCCGCTCCAGTTTATTTCTCACTCGCTGTCGCAACGCAGGTAGAAGCCGCTGCAGCCACCAGGGCACAAGGATGCTGCTGAGGATGTATCCGACACGGCGAGTGATTGCAGGCAGCCGGAGGGAGTCATCTTCCAGCTGGACTAGGTCGCAGTATTCTTCACCAAGGGTGCGGTTTCCGATTGCGGTGGTGAGAGAGAAGTAGAGGAGTTCGGTGAGATTCTTGATGGCGTCGGAGTAGGTATGGGCGAAGCGGGCGCCTTTTAGTGAGCGAATGATTGTTTGCGCTTGTTGAACGAGCCCTGCTGTCATGTATGCATCCTTCTCGTGTGAGCGGATGATATCTGGGGAGGTTGCGAAGGGGTAGAAGTGGGAGGGGAAGCCGAGGGCTCCTCCGTCCGGGTTTGGAAGGGAAAGACTAGAGTCGTCGTCGGCCATTTTGGATTATTGATTGAATTAGTCACTAGGACTAGGTGGCTCGTGAAATGGCCAATTGATTATGAGTTCGAAGGGTGCAGATACATCATTGGAGAAGATGGTCTCGAGAAGATAGTACCAACAGACGGTTTCCCCAGAGTCGCGGTTTCCCCGAATGTCGAGCCTCGGTCCCCGGTCCGATGAAGTCAGGTGACTTAGCCGTCCCAGATCACATGGCGATGACATAATATTGCCCGTTTTGGCAGTCTCGATGGTGGTAATTTATCCCAAACATACCGTACGGCCGACAGCCGGAATACCCGCAAAATTACAATTAATACAGCGTGGGAGGTCCAGACCCACGCCGAACTGGATCTTTAATATACTCCGGTTGGTCTGGCTAATTATAGGGTGTTTCCTATGGTAATGCATATTGCAGGGTTTAAGGTCGTTGTTTAAAACCCCCTGATTCACCTTTGAAATCACAAAAGTAGGGATTTTCCCATGAGTGGATGTAACGATCAGAATGCCATCATCGGAACATGAAAGTGGATGAGGCCCCAAGGCCCGGACGCGCCCCCTGACTGCCGATCCAGCAAGATCTTCGTCATGACTGGAGTGGATGGACACCCCATTGCCTAATTATACCCATAAGCCACTAACGTGACCCTCTCTTGGTGGAGCATCCACACTGCAAGCCCACTGCGGGCGCGTAATTCCTCGTTACTACCGTGCTTATTAACGTCTGAAAGCGGCCGGGGAAAAGTTCCCTTTACCCAAAATCCCCAAAGCTCACCCCTAGTCATTCTTTTTGGTTTGCGAAGTACGTCTGTTGTCCCCTGTCCCCACGGGGTTCGTATGTGCTTATCCTTGGGAAGATCCATTCTATCACTCGAACTTCCCCTCCACCACCCCTGATCCATGGAATAATGGGTCCAGATCAACATGCGCAATTGGATGGCTTTGGGCTGGTCTTTCCCTTCCCTATTCGCATAGCGGCAGTCTTGGTTGCAGGTAGGCTTGGTCTTGACTAGACATGTGCACAGTACCTGACTCTTTTCACCATAGGTTTCTGGGGATGGGCCATTAACCTACACTATCTGTCCAAACTCGACATTGTAAGGCCAACCCCTCGCAACAGACCACTGGCCACGAGTGCTAACCAGGACTTCTTTCTAGGACGTACCTCGTCTTATTCAATATCCCTCTCATGACTCCAAAGCCTCACCTCCACAACGACCACACTACGTCGGTGCCTATCGCTTAGCCGCCACCTTCACAGTCCCTCTAACCATCTGGCTCCTTGTCACCTGGGCCGCGACGCACCACTCCGTAGAGCTGGTAGAACGCCTCGACTTCATCCCACAGTCGGTCTTTATCATACTCCTCCTTATTCTTATCTGGCCTTTTAATCGTGCCTCCCGCGCCGGCCGGATCCGGTTTCTCCTGACACTAAAGCGGGTCGCCATCGGAGGTTTGGCGGAGCCCCAGAATGGCAAGTTCGGTGACATCCTGCTGGCGGATGCCCTGACAAGCTATGGTCGCATTTTGGGTGATCTATATGTCAGCTTCTGCATGTTTTTCACCGACGGAATCTCGGCCACCTCGAAGCCGAACCGCGCCTGTGGCAAGGATTTCATTGTACCGATCATCATCGCAGTTCCGAGTGCCATCCGACTCCGCCAATGTTTGACAGAATACGTGCGGGCTCGACGGACATCGCGCGGAGACTCTAATACTGGCAATCAACATCTGCTTAACGCGCTGAAATATGCCACCGCGTTCCCGGTCATCTGGTTGGCCGCAAAAATGCGAAACTATAACCCACTGGAACTCCACGGGTTCAGCGAGATGACCATCATGCGTCTTCTGTAAGAAATTCACGTCCTTGAGAGTTATACCCCGCCCGGTCTAACAGATATAGGTTCATCTTCTCGTGCATCAACTCCGGGTATTCCTTCTGGTGGGACGTGGTAAAGGATTGGGATTTTACTCTATTTTCCCCCGAGCGCCGCGACAGCCGTTATCCGTTCGGACTGCGAAGACATCGCTACTTCCCTTCCGACCGGTTGTACCACTACGTCATCATCGCCGACTTTGTCCTCCGTTTCTCATGGATGTGGCGTGTGCTGCCGGGACTCGCGTGGCTTCCGGAGACCGAAAGCGGTCTGTTCCTGCTCATGGTCGGCGAAGTTGCACGGCGCTGGATGTGGGTGTTTTTCCGAGTTGAAGCTGAGGCCATTCGGAACGATCACGGATCCGGTTCAGACGACATTCGTCTTCCCAAATACAACGGCAATGGCAAGATCACCTCAGATTGAATTTGACAATCTGCATACGCGCTTTTTGCCTTTTGATTTACCATCCACGTTCCACCAGTATATCTGGAATGAGTATGAGACACAGAACATAACTTCATTAGCGGCCTTTGAGCAACAGTTTGCTCTTCCAGTCTTCGGTTCTTTCCCGATATCCCCCTTCCTTTTGCAGTTTAGAACAGTTATAGATATGAGACCCGGATCTCTGGTTTTGCTCGGTGTCAGGAAGTGCATTTCTTGATTTGCCTGTGTGCCCGTTTGTTTTTCGCCCTGACTTGATCGATTCGATTTCCAAAATTCACACGCCTATACGGCACGGTTTTTGTTTCTTTACCCCAGAGTACCTGTCACTGGTTCCATGCTCTATTTGAGCTTGTTTTGAATGTGTTTTTGAGGGCCTGAATGGACTAGGTGTTTGCGAGGTTTCCGCCTTGGTGGCGTGCATGGTCTTTTTGTGACTTTTGATTTTATTTTATTCGTCTGGCCTTAATAGGGCCAGATCGACGGATGCATCTGCCAGGCCTTTGTATATAAATTCTCTTCACTTGGTTCACTCTTCTGTCATTTCGGTCTGTTTAGGGCCTTGGGTCGTATGTACATCATGGATGCGTAGAACAGAAGGTTCTGTCTTGCTCACGGATTGAATCCACATTTTCATATCAGAAGTCGTTCCTCAAGAGTTCTCTCCTGAGGATATTGAACGTAATCATTGTATTCTTGATTCTGCTTCTACTCATTTATCTCAAAGGCCTATTGGTTCAGGTATAAATAGCATATAACATCAGGCCAAAGATGAAACTAAGCAACACAGTAGAACAATGTATCAGTGCGGCATACATACAACGACATCTCAATCAAAAGAAATACAGCAATTCAAGTAGAACAGTAGAACAGCAGAACAAATTAAGCAGGAAGATCAAAAACACCACATAGAAAGAAAACCAATCAAGCAAGACAAACCAGATAGAAGTGACTAGACAGAAAGACCAAGTAGGAAAGACCAGATAGAAGTGACCAAGTAGAAAAATCAAAAACCAAACAGATCAACAATGTGCCGGGGGGGGTTTCACTGTTTTTATATACATGTTTTGGTGGCTTTCGCCGCCAACTTATGCGAATATTGGTTTTCATGGAGACGGGGCCACGTAGCGGATTGAGTTGCCGCCATTGCCAGAGGAGATCAGGTTAGGCGATTGCTGTGGATGAGATATGGGCTGGGGTTGTTCAAATGGGATGTCGCTAAAAGATATTTGAGATGGCTGGCTGAGTGTGTATGGGGTGACGTGATTCTGAAGCTGGGGTTGTAGGTTTGCGATTGAGGTATTGAGAGGGTTCTTGGTGTCTGTATAATGTCTGGTTGCACGGACATCGAGGGTGTATGTATGTTGTAGAGCTTTAACTACTCTACTGGCGAAAGCCTGGAAAGAGACAAATTCGTCAGAATCGGCAATTCCATTAATCGTATAGGGAACTGTTGACAGACGTCGGACTATAGTCCGATGAAGTACTAAAGTCTGATGTCGGGCTGTATTCTGCATCCTCACCCTTCAAAGGAGTGGCCCGGAAGACAGAGTCAAACCGGGTCATTCTATATGGTAGCCGCGATTGGAAATTTGGCTCCGCCGGTGTAGTCGCCACCAACACGATTCGATGTTTGCTTGCTGGGTCGGATGAGTACTGTTGAAGATCGTGCAAGTAGCCATTGTCGTGGCAGCCGACCCAGAAGATCTTCTTGCATTGCACGGTACGGTAATAATGATCAAGCATTTCTATAAGAAAGTGAGTAGAGACTTCGAATAGTTTGATGCCGCATAATCCTTACTTCTCATTTTAGAATCCGCGTTTTCCTTGCCATAGCCAACGTTGATAAAATCAAACTCATCACAGGTTGTGTTGAATTCCTTTGCAAAGACAGCCAAGTCACACTGAGAGCCAATGACCCTCTCATGAGCCATGACTTTAGAGAGACCCCTCATGTTCGCGAAAATGCGAACGACAACAGTCAAATTAGCCTTATCAATGGAGCCATCACGGATTTCGTTCTTGACTGCCTGCACAAGTCTTTGAGATGCTTCAATGGCCCCTTGTCTTGGCCTACGAAGAAATTCATCGCGGAACAAAGCGCCGTCTCCGTCCACTAGTACAACAACAAAGTTGTTTTGAGACTTGAAGTATGATATTAGTGCCATTGTTTGGTAGACTCGCTGAGGGTGCCCAGTCTCTGGATCATGCTTCATAGGATGATTGTAAAAAGAGAAACCAACTCACATTCATTTGTCCATTCGAGGCATTGGGTACAACCTTGGAGGCAGATTTTCCAAACATGGTGATAGCAATAGTAGTATTGTAGGCGTTTTATAATCTTTGTGAATAGAAGATGATAAAAAGATCTCCAACGGGAAAGGCCATAACACCCTTATATACAAGATTTTGGGGGGTTCAACTTTCCAGAGCAGAGCCTCTACTTAGAAACATGATATTCTGAAACTCCAGACATGTCGGTTAACACACTTCTCGGCGCTTAACCCCAGCGGGACGCCGATTGTTACAAACCCGCAGATCTCGAAACTATTAGCGCTCAACTCATAGGCTCTTGGTCATCTACATGGTAGATAAAACAGCCTTCATACTTCTGTAAGCGTTACGCTCCCTAAATTACGTGGACAGATTCTCTTGATGATCGATCGATAGGATGCTGGTACATTGCTAGGGCGGCAGAGCTATAGGGTCGCATGAACCGAGACGCGGCTGAAAAGGCGCACTTATGATCAGCACTATTTTGGGACATAATCATGCATGTTGCACCTTGGCATGCTATGGCAGACTTTTGCGCTTGGTCCTCAGTTTCTCTAGGCTATCAAACCCCATCAATGGCTGCTTGTGCGGTACCTTCTCGAGTCCCACGCCATGTTCGAATCATCTCTGACGCCGAAATGACCAGATCTCTCGTGTCACATGCAATAGCCTATCGTTATGTTGACTAGAACTTGGAATAAATAAACAAAAGACGCGATGCCGAGAATGAGTTTGTAGTATGATCGACTAGATGTTCTAGAGGCACGGGGTTGTACAGTATCTGACCAGACCCTGTCTCGCGCTTTTCCCCCACTAGCTGATAGCGGCTTTCGGTAGACTCGAACTGACAACAGCAAAGGTACGCCATTCTTATGGGACCTTTGTCATTCACAGCCGTGTCAGATGAGCTTGGGCCTATGAGCCTAGAGCTGAGTTCAGTCGCCAGATGAGATGACCTCTGTAGACCAGGGTTTATGGTTGTCTGTCGTCCATGGATGTCACTGGTACAACATGATTTAGTCTTTCCGAGTGAGTGTATCAGCTGGACTTCTTAGTTTGAAACCACTAGAGGGCTTGATGACCTCTAAGCCCCTCGAATGAAGCCGTTGTCGGTAAACTGATTAGCTTTGCTTGCAACTAATTGAAAGCTCGAATTATTGCCGATAGTTCTTTCTCAAATATCTCGTAGTTTCTCGCGGCATTGTCAAGGTGTATTAATGATTATCCAAGGCGAAGTTTACAGTTTTCAGGGCAACCGGCACCAAGTGAAACCTTGAAAATAAATAGAAAAATATTTTTTTATTATGTAGGAGACACAAACCCCAAGTATTGACATGATAATGGAAGCACAAAAATCAACTTTGCGCCGAATGCAAAAAGCGCCCGTGAAACGCTAAGAAATAAATCGACCAATATAATAAAAAGGGGTTACCAAATATAGCACACGAAAATGCAGTCAAAGCTGAAGATCAGATGTCGTGAAAGAGAATACTCATATCCTGTCGTACAACATAGTCAACCTCACCGATGATTCAAGTCGGAGTCTCGAGGAGACGTATGGCTTTCGAACAAGTCCTCCAGGTACGCACTTGGTGCGCGGCCCCCAGGAGCCTGGTTCAGGTTCAAAGAGCTCGTAGACGCCCCCGCGTATGAGTGACGCGCATTATGCGTCGCATCCTGATAGCCGCCAGTAGGTGGAAGAGATGGCGAGCTGGGAGGGTAGCCCGGGTTGGCTGATTCTCGAACGGGCGTAGAACTACCGGCAGCAGCGTAAAACCCGGCAGGAAGGTAGGTCGAGTTACGGTTGCCTGCAGGGGTGTTCAGACTAGGATGTGACCCACCCCCACCACCTGCAGTGGGCGAATAGAACAGGCCACTGTGGTTGCTGGAGACTCGGCGCGACGGCTTGTAGCTTGCGCGCGTGGCCGTGCCGAGCTTATCGAGCGAGACGTCCATTGCTGGTGCGGTAGGGTACACGGCTGCGGATCGCTTCTTACGGCTGCCACGCAGGAGGCGCTTAGACTCCGCGGACTGCGCCATAGCGGCGCGCCGTACTGAGCGATTCACTGACCATGCGACCATGCCCCGCCAGGCTAGGACGGCTAGTCCGATAAAGCCCAGGATGGCGCCAACCGCGATAAAGACCGTCCCTTCTGGTGTATTCGATGTTTGCATATATGGAGCCCCGGCGCTAGGGGGGTACGGTCACGATAACAGCGGAAGTCGTGGTGGATGATGAGGAATCGGATGAGGTTGTTGACGCCGTTGTTGTGGAAACGGATGATGTGGTGCTGCTGTCAGACGAACTCGAAGATGTCGAGGAGGTGGTCGTCGTAGAATCCATAGTCGTAGATGTTGTCGAGGACTCCGACGTCGTACTCGAAGTTGTGCTTGTGCTATCCGATGTTGATGTAGAAGAGGTGGATGAGCTAGTCGATTCAGTGGTCGAGGTGGTGGAGGGATCGGCGGTGGTCTGGGCGTCGGCAGGCTCCGCAGAAACTCCAACAGCGATAACAATCAGAAAAAAGAACAGGACCAGAAAAGTTGGCTGGGCTTTCCCAAGCCTCCGTGGTAGAAAGCGCATGCTGCACTTGTTGTTTCGTAAACAGTCGATCAGTTCTCCACAGCGGGTCAGTCGGGGTAGGCGGAGATGCAGGGAACTATGAGATTTTCAATCCAAGCACAAAAAGGACCCTGAAAACCGGATGGTATTGTGAGATAGAAAAAGATGCCCCCGGCTTGCCTTTTCCTCGCAGAGAGCTCGCTGGTGCTGTGTTCCTGATTCAGGGGGAGACCCACAGTTAGCAGTTTCTCTGAACGAGTGCGCAACCCATGGAGATATCCAGTTAAAACGAGTGACAGTCTCCTCAATGAGAACAACGAGCGCCAGAGGATTCCGGGAGAAAGGAAACGACGGTAAGTGCAAGCGAGAATTCTGAGGAAGCGAAAAGATGCCAAGTCGCCTTCGCTACGCTAAAAACGGCGCCTTAGGCCGATGTGTCACATGATGACTTGATTCTACCAGAAATAGCCATTGTGATATATCATACAAAAAAATCGTGAAAGAACAATGCCCCTGACCCGAAATTGAAAAGCATAAAGCCAATTGTAGCATGCATTGAGCAAGGCGTGAATCTAAAGACAGGACCCTGCACCAATAGCCCACCCAATTACTGCTGCTTCTTCTGTACAGCAGCTGATGTATCCTTCTCAAAAGCAGCGTAGGGAACCTGGAGGCTGCTCAAAGCATTGATGCCAATGTACAAGATGGTGAAGAAGAAAAAGGAGGCCAGGAGACCCATGAAGATACCTAATATATCATTAGTGTTGGAGATACATAATGTGCATATTCAATAGCTGTACGAACCAGGAGTGAAGTACTGGTATTCATCGAACAAGGAACTGCGACGATCGGACTCGGACGAGCTTGATGCAGATGAGTAGGAAGAGTAATCGCGCTTGAGGTCCATGTGCATGCCCTCCTGGTTGAATTCATCAGAGGGCTCGTATACGACGGAATCGCTCTCAGGGAACTCCCGAGGCGAGGTGACATAAAGCAGGGTATACTTGGAGTCGGAGGGGAGACGATCAATGATGTCGGCAAGAAGACCATCTAATAAATTAGAGCGGAACCATTATCCTCCAGCGGGGAGCAACATACCATTGTCGGAAAGCTGGTGCGCGCGGTCAGAACCCAGAGAAAGCATGGGGAACTCGATGTCGATGACTCGAGGGCCCGACTCGAAAGATGCGGGATAAGATCCGGCTTTGCATCCTGGTTAGCGATAGCTCTAATGTTGTACCCGCCATGCCCAGAATGAGCCACGATGGCAACTCACAGGAACCGTCGATCGCGGTGGTTTGCGCCTTGCAATTGTCCACCAGGAAGTTCTTGATCTGCTTGGCGTCCAACAAGCCAGCGACCTCGTTGACGCTCATGTGGGATCGAATAGACCTATCCTTGCCCAGCATCTTCGCTCCGAGGCGGGGTGCCGACTTGCGGGTGGAGAAGTCGGTGCTGTGCACACCAGGCTGGGAAACAACAACGTAGTAGTCGGATGGGCAGGTGGTCAGGGCGGAGGAGACTTCATCATAGACCGAGGTGCCAGTTTTGATGTATGCGGAGTTCGCCAGTACCCTGCAGGAACGATTAGCTGGCGACTAAAGCTTCAGCTAACTTGGTGGAACATACTCGGAAGTCGAAGCCAGGAAAAAGGGAGAGGTGTCTCTGAAAGCATCGACTGCAGCTGCCCCAAGGGCGAGCAGCCCGAATCTGCTCATGTGCATTGTGTATGGTTGGAGATGCTGTTCGGGGAGGGTGATGTTGTCAACGGGAGGTCCGACTTGGCCTCGGAGGCGGTCGACGGGCCCGGGCCCGCCTTGAGCTTTTTTAGATCCAACTTTTTTTTTTTCGGCGGGTTCGACCATACTTCCACGATCACATCGTCCTTTGGTTTTATTTTATTCTTAAATCTGCGACCTCGTGAATCGCCAAGCCAGTCGTCGCAATGGGCTATCCCAAAACCGTGGGCGGTGCCTACCCCAAAAAACGCAAGTTGACTCCCAAGGTGGAAGAAGTCAATTTCGACTCCGATGCCCGCCAGGAATGGCTTACTGGATTCCACAAGCGCAAGGTACAGCGCGCTAAGCATGCCCAGGAGGTAGCGATCCAGAAAATGAAGGAAGAAAAGAGACATGACCGGGCAAGGGTATGTGGCTTATTGCCTTACAGTTGGAAAATATCTGCTAATGCGGTATGCCTCCAGCTTCGCGAAGAACGAGCGGCCGACATGAAAAGGATAATGGAAGAGCATAAGAATCACCTCAAGCGTTTGAAGGAGGAATTCGACAGCGATGACAGCGACGACAGCGCCGAGGAGAGCGACGAGGAGTGGGGAGGCATCGAGGAACCGCCGGCGGTTGACTACGAAGCTGAATATGTCGACGAAGACAAATACACAACTGTGACCGTTGAAGAAATGGACACTTCCCGAGACGCTCTCCGAAAGTCTGCGAAAGGAGAGGATTCAGAGGAGGAAGAAGAGAAGCCATCTACAAAGACACCAGAGCCAGAGGCGACACCCGATAAAAAGGTTCGCAAGACTACACACAAGCCTAAGCCGAAGAAGAAGCAATTCCGATACGAGAGCAAAGGAGATCGCAAGATTGCCGCATCAAAACAGCGGTCATCAAAAGCGAAGAAAGCCAAGGCTCGGAGAGAGCAATGATGGAAGGCCATCATTCAAAGGAACAAAATCGTTTATACCATATTATTCAAATTCTTGGGGGTTTACTCTTTTCTTTCAAAGCTCCGCTTGTCAATAAAAAGTTCTATGATTCACGAGAAGATAATCCACAAAAAGGCAGTTGATTCGCGCAACAGGGGGACACCGTACTCAATATGGCATAAAAATGCTAAAGGACACACTCTCCGCTATATTAGAGAGGCAAGTAACACAATCGATCACATTGTGAAAAAAAAATAGCTGGAACAAGGGGAAGAAAGCCTGCATCCAACCCAACGTCTCCTTACACTCGACATCGATACACGGTAGCCTGATCCTACTTAAACGTTGCTGATAGAGACCTCGAGCTCGTGCAACTCCTTCTGCAAATCGTTGAACTTCTTTGACATCTCCTCGTACTTGGCCTCCCACGAGTCGCGCTCTGTCTCGAGGGCCTGGACCTTGCGCTCGTAGTGGCCGGCCTTGACGTCGGTCTGGCGGAGCCTGAAAGAAACGCCAAATGTTAGAATACTGGATGAAAGTATTTCGGCGTAAATCTTACTTCTCGTTGGTCTCGCGGAGAGTCTTCTCGTTCTCCTCAGCCTCCTCCTCAAGGAGCTGCACGCGGCGCTGAAGTGCCTCGTTCTGGGTGTCGTGCTGGGCACTGGCACCGGCAGCATCCTTAGCATCCTTGACGGAGTTCTCCAGCTTCTCAACCTCCTCCTCAAGTAGGGAGTTGCGGTGGTTGAGCGATGTGATCTCCTGCTCCTTAGCCAGGCTCTCCTGCTCAAGAGTGCGGATCTTGTTGTTCAGCTCCTCATTCTTCTCGTGGGCCTCATCCGCCTCGATGCGGAGGTTGTTCATGCGCTGTTGTCAGATTGTATTAGCATCCTGTCAGTGGCCTAGGAAAGATGGTTGGTGCGGTGGGCATGCTGCGGGTGACATGCACAGAGGGGGCAAAGGAACAGCTGTCCAAGCTACCCCGCCGGACAGGGGTCTTTAGGGAGACTTACCTCCTTGATACGATCCATTTTGAAATAATCAACAGGGAGAGAGATAATATGTATGCGTGAAAGGAAGAAGGCTTTCGCTCAGCGAGCCAGAGTAGTTGAGATGAGTTGGTGGGGTTGGAGGTTTGGGGAAGGAAAGTTGCTGACTACTATTTACAATTACCATCAGGCACACGCTCATTTATTTTACTGCCTTTACTGCTCTTTACGCCGTACCGTACAAGACCGCCGCCCCGCTTGTCCGCTCATCCAATCACCGCCCTTGGATCAGCGCGTCTCCACGGGCAACCGCTACCCGACAACAAGTGCTCCCATCTAGAACTTGTCTCAACCGCGTCTTCAATTCACCGTCTTTTCAAGCTTTGAATGTGTATCCACAGTCACCATCCGCCACAATGCTGGCCCTTCGTGACCAGGAAAACCTGGTGAATACCCACCAGACCGTCGCCGCCAACAAGCCTTTGAACCAGGGAGTCAAGCAACTCGGTCCCAAGACTCCCGGTAGGAAGGTACGCCTCAATGACGAGAACAACACCATCGCCTTTGGAAAGCAGACAGTCAAGGGCAATGGAAATCGTTTGGAGAACAGCAAACCGGGCAAAGATGCGTTCGTGACGCCCATGGGTATGTCGACCTAGGAGATTTACATGAAAAAGAAATGACCCACAAGGGTAGGAAGCTGACGAGTTACTTCTTCAGACACAAAGAACCGCGCACCTTTGGGAAACAAGACAACCAATCTGAAAGCCAAAGGTCTCCAGACCCCGGCCCCGTTCGGAGGAACGTTGAAACCGGAGAGAACCAACCGGAGAGCTTCTACCCAGAAGGTCAAGAAGGCTGCACCGGTCACTCAGCAACCTCAGACAAAAGTTCATCTGGATGTGCCACAGGACGATGTGGCGGATATTGAATATATGCCCCCAAGGGCCCGAGGTATGACTATAGATGAAAAGTAAACAAAACTGTTCCGGAGTAGCTGACGTCTTTAGATCTCCCGGACTTCCCAGATGACCTTGCCTATGATACAACCTACCCCCAATTCAGACCTCGGAACCGTGCGCTAGGCCTAGAGAGTGTGTACGGACGACAAGAAGTAGGCCGCGATGGCCTGACAAAGAAGCAGCGCAAATTCCAGGAAGACTCTGCTAAGTGTGACAAAATGGTCGACGAGATGATCATGAAACAGCTCGATGCTGTTAGTTTCAATGAACGCAGCGACGATGAGGCCGTTCAGCCTGTGGCACGAGTGCCGCTAGCGTCGACTAGCCGCTCTAGGGCACCATCCACCAATGTCAGACCTTCTCGCAACATCCCTACTCTACGATCTCGTGAAGCAGCAGCGGCCTTGTCTGCACCCAAGACCAGGTCCGCCTCAGCTAGAGTCGCTGCAGCTCCTAAGCCCAGCGGGGTATCGTCCTTGTTGATGCCCAAGAAGAAGGTACGGGTTCCGACTAACCCCTCGTCCATGCGGAACACCGCAGCTGCAATGAACTCCAATACCACCGTTGGTTACTCCAAGGGTCGTAGTGTCTCATCTACGCTGAGGGAGAATGAGCTAAGCACGAACGCTCCCCTCTCCCCCGAGACCTACATGCAGCTCTACGGACCGCCTCCTCTGGGTTCGGAGATGTGGACTCGGTGCAAAGCTGCTGGCTGCTTCGACACCGAGGAGAATGCTGGACAAGAGCTCCAGGAGTCTCTCCCCACATTTGCTGAAGATGAGGAAGCCGACAGCTTCCAGCTCACGCTGTAGGCGCCACATCGTCGCTGTCACACCGCCATTGATTGTATTGCATAGTTTATTGAACTGATCACTACCACATGATTATGATGTCTTATTTTGCGTGTATTTGTTTTATGGGACTGGAGTGGGATTGGGAACCTTGGAAGGTCAGGAAGGGTTATTATCGGCGTATTATATGGGAATTGAAGGTCTTCGGCTCGACCGCGGATCACGCTGTTTCAGCGCCCCCACTTCCATGAAGATCGCTCTTAGCACAACCAGGCGAGAGCGCACGAATAACTTGCCGCAGGCAGAATAATTCCACGCCCTCTGACGGAACCCGAGCCACCCGCAGACCCTGCATTGTTGGGTCTCGGCTATGTGGCAGTAGAACAAGTCCCTTTTCCCGTAGAATTCCTGCAAGGTATACGTAGTCTCCCCCAAAACGCACGGAGCACCCACCCACTCAATCCCCTCACCGCCCCTAGAACTGCCACCATATTATTTACACCCTGAGGCCTCCTTTTTACCTCCCCATCCCTCTCAAGTTGACACATTGCAGCAATGACGACCATCCACCCGGAGTCCACTGAGGACTTCGAGTTTATCCAAACGCCGGAGGCTCCTCAGCAAACCAAGCCGGACTTCGACTGTGGCGTCCCAACCACCCTGGTAGGTAGCTACGTAGCTCGAAAACACCTTGAGTACACCTGTTCCTGAGCACAATTCTAATTGATTCTTGATAGTACCCGGCTATTAAGAATGCCCCCGTTCCCGCCGACTCCCCTGGCAGTGACAGCTTCTCCAATGGCTTGATGATCGCCCTCATTCTGGTCGTGCCCTGGTGGCTTGCTCGCCAGGTTGGTGGAGGTTTCTACACCACCATCTTCTTTGCGATCTTCACTACTGTTCCCGTCCTCGTGGCTTTCTGGAGTGTCTCTTCCTCCATCTCTCCCCGCAAGACCGAAAAGGCCAAGTACTGTGGCCGTCCCGTCGAGTACTACCTGAACTTCCACAGCGAGCATGACCGTGCCACCTACCGCGGCAAGAGCAAGATCCCCATGGAGGTCTTCTACGAGAAGTATTTCAACAGCGAGGTTGATTTCAAGGTTGATGCTCTTGAGGCTCTTGAGTACCGTCACGACTGGGCCAACTTCAAGTTCACCACGGGTCTGTTCAAGCACTTCCTGTTTGGCTTCATTCCTGAGATGCTGCTGCACACTCGTTCCCAGGGTAGGTTCTTTTAATTGCTTTTTTCTGTGAGATGTATTGAATTCTAACTTGTATTAGACGAGGAGCAGGTCCGTGACCACTACGACCGAGGTGACGACTTCTACGCTTGGTTCCTTGGCCCCCGCATGATCTACACCTCCGGTATCATCAGTGACATCAACCGCGAAGAGTCCCTTGAGGAGCTGCAGGACAACAAGCTGGCCATTGTTTGTGAGAAGATTGGTATCCAGCCTGGTGACAAGATGCTCGACCTCGGCTGTGGCTGGGGTACTCTTGCCAAGTACGCTTCCGTTCACTATGGTGCCCAAGTTACTGGTATCACTCTTGGTCGCAACCAGACTGCCTGGGGTAACAATGGTCTCCGTAAGGCTGGCATTGAGGAATCTCAGAGCCGCATCGTTTGCTCCGACTACCGTGATTCTCCCCGTGTTGAAGGCGGTTACCAAAAGATCACCTGTCTCGAGATGGCTGAGCACGTCGGTGTCCGCCACTTCTCTACCTTCTTGTCCCAGGTTTATGAGATGCTTGAGGATGACGGTGTTTTCTTCCTTCAGATTGCTGGTCTCCGCAAGTCCTGGCAGTACGAGGACCTCATCTGGGGTCTGTTCATGAACAAGTACATCTTCCCCGGTGCCGATGCTTCTACCCCTCTTGGCTTTGTCGTCGACCGTCTTGAGGGCGCTGGCTTCGAGATCAAGGGTGTTGACACCATTGGTGTCCACTACTCCGCCACCCTCTGGCGCTGGTACAGAAACTGGATGGGCAACAAGGACAAGGTTGAGGCTAAGTACGGAAAACGCTGGTTCCGCATCTGGGAGTACTTCCTTGCTTCTTCCACCATCACCTCCCGCCAGGGTGGTGCTACCTGCTGGCAGCTTACCCTCGTCAAGAACATTAACTCCACCCACCGTGTTGAGGGTATCCACAACCAGTTTGGCCTCACTGGCGCCCGCCAGGCCGCCATTGACCGCGCCAACGGCACTCTGCCCAAGGCTCACGTTATCAAGAAGGACCTGTAAATTATTTACCAGCGCCCGTTCTTTTCGTCCCAGGATTCAAATTAGCTCCTTTGGGTTATTTTGAATCTATGGTGGACACCAATTGCTTCGGAGCTGATGCTGTGTGTTCCTTGAATCACACAATCAGTCGCTGGAGACATAGAATTATCTGGACACGCATGATATGAGTATGACTTTGAAGTGAATAGACCGAGAAAAGTTTGGGGATGGCAATAGGATTGTGGATGACGGTTAGGCCTGGGGCCTAGCAGATGATGTGCTATATGCTTATTTCCATGGCCCAATCCTGAGGTCTTTATTAAATCTCACGTGGTTTTTTTTTCTCTCGTATTCTTAATCTATATTATTCACGTGGTATTCGGGGCCTCGTTCTTTGAAACCGTTCACAGGCAAGGCAGTGCGTAAAAGCTTAAGGGAGCCGGTTGTAGCTGAAGAACCTGGGATCCAATCATAGATGTTAAGTATTCCAACGACCTCGAATGCCTTGGATCGACAAGTTTGTACACCTGTTTGAATATTATGCCTATTTCTTCTCCATTTTCTATCTCCTAGAATTTCCTGAGAATACCCTGAACTAGGTCAGCTTGATCACATTGCCTTGATCGTCTGATCTAATTCCCTGAGATTGGTATTCAATCGTTCTGCCAACCTCAGACAGATACCGTGTAGCCGAGTCTGCTTTATTAAATATTCTCTCTACCTATGGCCGATTGTAGACGTCGTCTTACTTGAAGCTGTTCCATCCGCCTTTGAGTCTCCCGGACAAACTCTTGCTGCTCTGTATACCGCGCTTTGGCTTTCCTCCAAATAACGCCGGTGTATCAGTGATTAACGGCAAACAAATCAGCAGAGTTGTCAAAGATAAAACCAGCCCGATCGTATGAGTTAGCAAGCGTCGGTTCTGGGCTTTAGATGAGTTGAAGACGATGATTAAAACCCAAAGCTGAATCTTTGCGTGAAATGTTCCTCAAAACGTAAAGTTGAGCGCAGCCCCCAGAGATCCTAAGCCACTACTGACCCGATCCTCATAGTCTGGTGCATCCCGTGGAATGTCTTGCGCGATTTTGATACCTCGTCGGACATCAACAGCGGCCCAATTTGTCCAAAAAAGACAGGCGACGGTGTTCGGGTCGGTTGGCTCTTCCGAGACGCGGATGATCTGCCACCAGGATGCCACGAGCGTCAGGAACCATCCTGACCAAGACCCTGGACCGAAGAGGCCACTTATTTCCACCATACCGAGGGAATCAGGTTCCACGGTCGTGACAGGGAGATATAATGGGGTCGACATGGCAGTAGATGTCGTTTTGGTTGAAGTTGAGAGACATCGTTGGGTGCAACTGGGGTAGGGTCCATGGCCAGCTCATTTTTTGGTTGCAGTCCGTTAGTGCATACGATTCACGAAAAGAGGAAGAACAATATGAGTATTTTCTGCATCTTTGTACTTGGACTGATGGGGCTGGTCGATCTGGTCAGCTTGCTCGGCAGTAAATGGCATGGAAGGTGGGAATACTCAGTTGAAGTGACAAGAGGAAATTCCATCTCTCAAGCTACTTTAAGTCAGCAACCTAATTATAGTCGCTGCATCCTTCAGCTGGAGTTGTTTCATCGATTTAGCACAGCCTGGGAACTCTTGACTAATCAGAGCGGCATCTATAAGCCACACATATGCGCCTCCACTAATGACAATAATTGAAGAATTGGGGAGATTTGAGCGACCACGTAGCTATGTTAGTGTTCAGGGAATAGCTCGTATCTAGTCACAACAGACGTTGGTTTGTATGGACGTTTCTAAGAAGTTTTCTTTTCTAGTCAACGGATAACTTGCGGGCCTGTATTACGTGCGATGTTCCGTACCACACGTAAAGATGCCAAACAAACATGATCTGCAGCCTAGCCGAGCCTGGCCTAGCCAGTTTATCTAACGTCTTGGCGGTGTGGCTTGGGATGGTTTCTTTGCGTAGAACATGGGAGCCGATTTCAAACATTGCTGTACAAGCTTGCCTGGAAAGGCGATTTCTTTGATTGCCTTGTTGGTACATCCCTTTTGAGTGTCCCTCGTTTCCTCTAAGGGTATAGTCTCATGCCAAGTATATTATATGTTCTCATGTCGAGCTATGTGCCTCCTGCGGTTGTCAACTCTGCAAATACCGGGTCCGTGTGGTGATGTTTCCAAGGTTTCGCTGTCTCTGAAACTAGAAAAGAACCATGGCTTTGTCTTCTGCGCGGCAGTTACTACTCTATGTTGATCCACGGTTAGATTATTATGCCAATGTTGCCAAATCTATGTTGTATGGCTCCCTTACTCGGCGTGCTACTCGAAGGTCTCATGGCTCGGTGCAACTATCAATAAATAATACTATGACGGCATTTAGAAATAGGCGAAGAATCTTTTAAATAGACATGGCTCATGATTGCAAAGAACGTACTCGGCACCAGGAGAAGCTTGATACAGATAAGGTTATTCTTCGGTTGTAGGTTCCAGAAATAGTGAAAGCACCACCACACGGATGCGGGAGTTGCAGGGTGAATGACCGCAGGAGGCGCATACTTCAATACGAGAACATACAATGGACCAACTTAAGTATACTAATTGGCTCATTCCTTAAAAGATTGGATCACCGTAATTTCATATTGGAAAACCAAGATTGTATCAGAGTAAACGGTGGAATCTCAAATGCTCGTTCATAATAGTTGCAACGACTACTTCATCCGTGTCACCTCGAGTTCATCCTAACACAATACAGTCAGCCACATCGACTAAGATCCAAAGCTGACACCTACCTCAAATTCGCCTGGTATAATCAAGCCTTTCACACCCCAGCTTTCCACCCCAGGATGATGGCGAACATGCTCCCGATATTCCGGAGCACCAGGTCGAACCACATTATCCGCCACCACCAAAGCACCAGAGTGGAGGAGACCAAGCTTCTCACAAAGCTGGAAGTCAGGCAGATAAAGATCTTCAACATGGTCAAGGAACAGAAAATCAATACTGGTAAGCTCGCCCTCAGCCTGGAGTCTCGTGAGCGAATCCGCTGCGGTCCCCACAACAACCTTGACAACATCACTCAGACCGGCAAGCTCAATCAAGTTCATAGCAATCGACGCAATTAGCGGATCAAATTCAAGACTCCAAAGCCGGACACCAGCTCCAGGTCCTGCAGCCTGGCGCATAGCATCACCAAACGAGATGGCTGAGTAGCCCACGTACCCACCAAGCTCAACAAGAACAGTGGGTTTCTCTTTCTTGATCATTTCATTCACCTTCTGACCCTTATCACTACCAATGTTGATAAGGAAGTCTTCCTGTGCAGCAAACTTATCCATGACGGCACAGATGGCCGCCGGCGAGCCACGCAGCTTGTCCAGCGAGGGATGGTTGTAGATGTGTTTCAGGAGGGCGGTCTCACGACCATCGTGGGATTCGACATAATCAGAACTGCCATCGAATTTGGCAAGTGAAGGGTACTTTGCTAGGAGTTCTGCGTTGCGGTCAGACATTTTGGGGTGGTAGATTGTGGAAGTGCGGAGGCGAAGTAGATTGGGAAGTAAGATTGGGGGGTTCCAATTTCCTTTTTCTAGTCCCGGGACTCGGGCTTAGGGTTATCTCCGCTTAATTTGGCAGTGTATAGTATTACTTTACCGTCAGATCTCGGGTCTCGCTCCGGTTGTCTTCGTTGGGATTCAATTGGGGTGGTAAGCGTGTTTTTTCCCCTTTAGATCAGGACCCCAGGCTTTTAGTTCCAGGGTAAAGTCTACTCTGTATACCCACCCCTTTCAATTTGTTTGCAAGGCTCCCTGAATACAAAAGAACGGACCAACTATTGAGCTCATACTTCTCCATTGATTCAAATCACGACTACACAGGGGGGTGTTTGAAATCGGTATTCAACGTCGTGAGTGGTAAGTGTAGACTCTAGTGCGATTTAGCTAGATTCAATTGGCAAAAAGAACTAAGCTCAACTTGCTTATCTTGTAAAAAGAGCATCACCTGGTACTCAGTCTCGCATACGTGTCACATGGCAGGTGCTGTTAGTGTTCTCGTTGGCTAAAAATGAAAGACGCGGATCTACTACGAGACGCGCAGTACTCGCGTCACTCCTACGTTTTTCTTCTAATTCTTCCTGAAAATCATAATTTCGCTTTGACAAATTTGACTTGTGTATTACATTTGGATATTTGTCCCAGTAAATGTGCACATTATTGAAAGTATATCCTTAATACTTCAGCTAAAAAAGAAGTACTGCCAAGGTGCAAGCGGGGTTAGACCGAGCTTGTGTGGGGGCTGTTCTCTCATTGGATCTACAATGTGCATCTCAAAGAAGAATAAACAGTCAAGTAGGAGCCAAGGAATTCTATCCAAAAGGAAAATGATCAAATGAGGTAAAGCTCAAGTCCTCTTCCCAGTCTCATAAGGCTCATTATTAGATGACTTCACCCCGGTGGGTTGAGCGACATCGGCTTGGCTATCTCAACCATTAACTCTGACCTTCCTTTCCTCCTCCTCTGCTCGCTCTTGGTCCTTCACGACAGCTTTCAGTGATAACCACTCCATAAAGATAGGCCCAACAATCGATATACTGCTAGTAGCCACTGCCACATAAAAAGTCTGGCAGAGAGTCTTGTTGTATGCACTCAAAGCCAAAGGCAACTGATCAGCAGATATGATCCGGCTGAAGCCTGTCGCACCGCTGGCCATAATCAATGCAGCATTGATATCTGGCAACATCGACTGAAAATTGGTAATAAGCTGATTTTGAAACACGGCTTGACCAACCGGGAGAATAATTGCAGTGGCCAAGATTTGGGTAAAAGTCAAGATAGAGGTGGCCATGGGCATGTCTGATATATCGACGGCTACTGAGGTTACCAGCATCATGTTCTGGGCACCGATGCCCATTCCTGCACTTAGGAGGACTTGGTACCCAAACCAATATCCGATGCCGGAATTGGGTTTCAATGTGCTCAGTAAGCCTATGCCGACGGCTGTGACTGCCGATGATAAGAAAATCAACGGTGTATAGTACCCGACAACTGAAGCGGTGACGCCTCCAATGATCGCGAAGATGACTAGTCCGATCATACAGGGAAGGTTATGAATTCCGGATTGTTCGGCACTTTCACCTTTGACGGCCTGGAACCAAATTGGAAGCTGTTCAAGGTCAGTTGCGATCTAAGCAGTAATAAGATGGTGCCAACAGACATAGTATGTAACGATGCACATTGCAGCTCCGACAAAACTTCCGTACCAGACAGCGCCCCAGATGTTGCGATTTTTGAGGAGCCGCATGGGCAATGTGGCTCGGTCTTTCTGCCATATTTGAATTCCAACAAACACCGTGAAAAGTACACCAGCGATGACGAATAGGGCTATGATTCGACCATTGTCCCAAGGGTATGTGGATCCACCCCATTGTAACGCAATAATCAGACAAATGATAGACGGAATCAACACTAGGGTTCCAGGCAAGTCATAGTGCTTGAGTTGTTCTTTCCAGCTGAGCTTGGTCACAGAAAGTGAATTGGATGGAAGACAAAGCAGGATCATCAGGACAGCAAAACCACCAAATGGCAGATTAATGTAGAAACACCATCGCCAAGTCAGTCGGTCTGTAAACACACCACCCATGCTAAGACCTAAAATTAGCTCTGAGTCGTCCCGAGGGTTGCTATAACTCACATTGGTCCAGCCACACTAGCAATTGCATGCATGCTGGATACAAGACCTATATAAATTGGACGAATGCGCAGGGGGACTAGTGTATTCACAATAATCAGGGCTCCTGTAAAGAGACCTGCACTCCCTAAGCCTGCTACAGCACGTCCAACAATAAGGGCGGTAGACGTCGGTGCAGTAGCGCAGACTACCGAGCCCACTTCGAAAATGGAAAGAGCTGTTATGAATATCCATTTGGATGAATAGAATGTGTAGAGCTTCCCGAACATCAACTGCACAGCACATGTAGCAAATAGATACGCGCTGCCATACCAAGCAACATCATCCAGAGAGTTGAACTCAGTTGTTATTTTGGGAATTGCCGTTGCAAGAATAGTTGCGTCCTGAATCAAACAGTCAGAAATGGGTGGGAACTTTCGATGCCAAATGAAATGTACATCCACTCACCAAGGACATGCAAAACAATGTCGCACATAAGGCAGTCGTGACGGGTACTAAGCCCCATAATGACAATTGCTGTTCATGAACCTTTTCCTGTTTGATTGTTGTAGGTATGATTTCTTGTGTCGGGAATGTCATATCTACTAAAGCAGTTTCATCATTTGTAAACGACAGTGCTCTTGTAGTCGTATGTGAATTTGCATGTCCAAGCCCTTTTTGCCCAAAAGCTGGATCATTCTCGTGCATTTTGTATGAAAGAAAACGTGATGTAGAGAAGAATATCAACAATGGAATAATTGTGTGGAATGATCAGGGGTTTAAGACTAACCTTCTATCATTCTAAAACCGTAGGAACGTTGCAGGCATGCCTTGGAGGAATGAAACAAGACATCTGATTGGTCAATTTAGCTCCGAGCCCCATGTCTTCACTCGGGAACCTGGACTCCGCGGGCCCGTGGACTCCGACTCCCCGACTACCTTCTTTCCACCACCCAACATGGATAAAAATCACCAGGAATCGATTCATAATAAACGAAAAAGACTCTCACTAGTTCCAAAAGCGGTATTTTCCCCACAGGACGTATCGAGAGAGTGAGCTAACTAAAGATGGTGCACAGTGTGAAGCATGTAAGATACGGAAGGTGATAGACCAATTCATGGTATGGATTAAGGCTTGAATCACTGAGCTAATCAGTCACGTAGATCCGTTGTGGTCGGTCCTTTCCATGCTCGAACTGCCAAACATCAGGCATCGCCTGCGAACAGGCTGATCCCGGGCCCGAAAAAAGACCAAAGCCTGACCGAACAACACGCTTGTAAGGGGTTTCAGATCTTCGCGAAAGAACCAGAGCTCACCCATTATACAGAGAAGAGCATTTCACGTCCCTAGAGAATCGGCTCCGCTACCTTGAAACCCAACTCAGCGGCCGTCATCCTGCTTCAGATCATTCCACAGGATGTACACCCGACACAGACACACCGACAAGCAATGCCAGGGTTGTCCCGGTGTCGAACATGCCAATCACTCTATATGAAGGCGACTCTTCATTTACCAGCCAATCAGCTCATGCCAGGGAAGCCGCCGAGACAATCGCCAATTCCGCGGCCGGATCTAACCTTAACGCTACATTAAATTCGCTGAAAAGCCTCCTCCAGCCTGCGTCGCAAAATAACCGCACAGTTGATCATATCACTCATAATTCCAAACAGATACTATTGCCATTGCCCGCTGAGCTCGTTTTAGCGATGCTTAGAAGTTATCAAGGTATGAGGTTGACTGGCATATCCGTAGAGATGCCACTAGAATTTAGCATTGACTGGCCACTTAGATGAAAAACCTCTTTTTCTTTCATCTTATCCGATCAGTAACCTATCTCTGGTGGAGAACATCTGTCAGAAGGTTTACTTTCCGATGCGGCCCGTTTCCGCCGGCAATGTGGCAGCGATGCATGGCATATTCTATTTTCTTATGAAAGAGTCCATAACCCGGAAAGATACACTATCCAAAGAGCTCAACCTGGAAGCCCATATAGAAAGTTGCAAAAAAAGCTTCGAGTCTGCTATTGAAAGCTATGACGTCCTTACGGTACCTACCTTGGAAAATGTTATTGCACTAGTCATGGGGGTAAGTAACTTATGTTCCTGCGTTATGGAGATTATATGCTACGAGCTAATAGGCTTTATAGATGTTGAAAGCACAAGATGAATCTAAGCCTTTGGTATGCTGCCAATTAGTATCTGCCGCAGCCCGTCATTGTCAGATGCTTGGGTATCATCGTGAATCGACACACCAACGAGACTCGGATGCGACTGCCGACAATAAACGACGGATTTTTTGGTGCATTTATGTGTTTGACAAAACCATGTCTCTTCTTTTGGGCCGAGCTTCTTACATTCAGGATTTTGACGTGGATGTGCGATTACCTTCTGCCAACTCAGATCCGGCGATTCGTCCCTGGGATGAGGCATTTTCCTATATCATCAAGCTCGCAGAGATTGAGGGGCAGATATACAACAAACTGTATTCTGCTACTGCTCTGAAAGCAACATCGTCCGAACGGTCGATGCATATACAGGAGATTGAGCTTGCAATGCAGGAGTGTCATAGACGAAGATATGCGGTAATCAGCTTATCCTTGTTATCACGTCCCCTAGAGTATTGTGTTAACATTGCCCCCTATTCCTAGATCGAGACAAGCAAACTCACCCAGCCAGATATATTCGATATATGTCAACGAACTTGGGACGTCTTGTACTACTCAGCTATGACGTCTCTCTTGCGAGCATCGTCGTCGTTAAACAAAGGGGGCGAAATCAGCTCAAAATGCTTCGAAGCCGCACGTTCATGTTTGCGATGTCACTTGCGATGCTTTCCCGACTACAGTAACTCAGAAATCTTCTCCGTCGCTGACTATGCAAATTGGTCAGTTTATCGCCACGAAATCCCGTAACGAACCACTTATTCACCCGCGATAGGATTTTGTTATACTCATCATTTACCCCATTCATCGTCATATTCCTGCACGCCATCGCCGCTACGAGTATGGACGATGTCAAACTCCTCGAAGAGGTCGTCTCGACGTTACATCATGCGCGTGGCGTCTCCAGTGCTTCAGAGCGTCTGTATAGTATTGGAGCGAACTTTGCGCGTGTTGCGCGCGGGCTAGTTGAGGCGCAGAAATCTTGTGTGGGACAATACAATGAGCAAGAAGACTCGTTGCTTTTGTCCGGTGACACGAGGAGACCCGATGCTTTTGGCTCGGATACTTCAAATTCCCAGGATCCCCTGGGTGTGGATATGATGGATTATCTTACTTATCCCGAGGCTCAAGATATGTCGGCGCTTTTTGGGAGTTGGGATTGTGGGCAGCCGTCTGCGATGGATCTGTTTGGGACGAGTCTTGGTGATTTTTCTCATTAAAATGCCGGTGCTGGTGCTTTGACAATAGTACGTATTGTGGGTTCTTAAAATATGGATCCTGTTGAATGCTTTCAAATTTTCAGTATATACGTATGTAAATCTGGTAATATCTTTACAAAGGGACTCTATACCAGTAGGTGACGCGTGAAGATCAATCAGAACTGGAAACAGGAAGAGTGAGCTTGGATACCCCAGTCGCAATAGTGATAGTATGCGTCTGAGGAACAATCTTGTTACTTCGCAAACGATCCTCTTCGGTTCCCAGGTTTCGTGCAAACATCGGGAATGAGCCACCAGCGATAATCAATCGAACCCGCTTACCGGCTTTGAATCTATGAGCGCAGTCTGCCAGGTCCAGAAGCAGTGGCTGGGACATGTCACGCTTCGGGTCGAGCGCCTTGTACAGCTCGGTGACGTTACGAGAGACGCCATTTTCATCGACCTCGCTAAGCCGCAGAAACAGATCTGCAAAGGGTGGGTCACTTGCATGCGAAATCTGGACGGATGGGGTGCCGAGAACCTCCATGTCCTCGGGGAGAGGCTTGCTAGTGAATGCTAGAACATCCGATCTAGTTGCGTAGATACTGTCATCGACTCGCCCACTGGAGCTCATCTGATTACCGCCTATGCTGGGAGTCGGGTTTCGAGGATCGAAGACAAATGATGCAGGGGATGCATCTTGTACAGGTATCTCCGAGTCGAGACCGATGGATTCTTGGAGATACAGCGTCTTTGGCTCAGTATTCGGGGGCCATGTAGGCATCGACCGCCATTCTTCTGCGCCGGTGACATAAATGCGAGCTCGAGACCGCCCGTACTTTCCTTCCTTGGCGAGATGCTGCGCGAAGAAATCTAGGATCTCGGGTATGGAACGCAGACCGCATCCTTGGACATGATTCCAGGGACCGACAATAAGATTGACGTCTACACCCCTTTCAAACAGACGTTTATATTGGTACAAAGTCTGTGTCTCAAAGGGATCGTACCATCCACCCACTAGCAGTATGGGTATATTGATACGCTCAAGAGAAGCGTGGTGCCGTCTAGTACTCCAGTATGTACCCTCAACATCTGGCTGTTTCAAGTAATCGAACAGCCAAGGAGCCTTGCTTTTGAAGTAGGTTTGCAGACTAGCCTCTAGTGGTAAGGCTTGTACAGCCTTCTCCAGCTCCTTTGATGCCAAGAAGCTAAGACCAGGTAACTTCGACAATGCCTCAAGAAAGCTCCCGCGCTCCTCGGGTCCACGAGACATCATATCACTCCATATAGCACGATCCAGCCGAAAAGATCCAGTACCCCAGGCATGGAATGCCTGATCATGAGGTCCAACGGGTATAACAGCAGCAACGCAATCCGCAGGCGGATCGGCCAAAAGCGCCCACTGACTATATCCTAGATACGATGCTCCCATCGTAGCAAACGTTCCAGTATACCACGGCTGCTGCCGCATCCATTTGACAATGTCTTGACTGTCGCTCGCCTCATTTAATCCGGGAGTGAAGGTTCCTTCTGAGCCGAAGGTACCACGGGTGCTAACGAACAGGACTCGGTAGCCACGAGCGGCGAAGACACGCGCATTGAGAAATGATATCCCTTGGCCTCGACCGTAGCAGCATTGGACCATGATTAGGCCAGACGGCTCTTGGTCGGCAGGTAATTCTGGGTTGAAGAAGTCGGCTGCAAGCTTCACCCCGTCTGACATGGGAATTTGGACGGCTTGTGTTGTGTAGCTGCATTTTTCTGGACCCGCACCTACATATCGTGATCCAATGTAGTCAATGGTGACCGTTGCGAAGCCACGTTTTACAGGCTGTTTCGTCATTTTGATCTTGGGTGAAGTCTGCAGGCAGGTAGTGCTGCTTCTTCGCAAATTGGCAGTGTTGCGACTGATATCTCAACAGGCACACTTCACGTATGACTGTGACACTGATACAAGTTGAATTATGTTTGTGAGAGATCCAAGTGACCCCGTAGTTGACTGTCTGACCTGACGCGTGGACTTCGCAAGGGCGGGAGAATGTAAGCACTGAACCCCGGGGCCTGGACTGTTGCCCCGCACGCCGTCCCACTCTTTCAAGTTTAACTGTTCTTCTTCTTCTTTGCAGGCACTTTGGGACAGCATATGGTAACTGAATGCTACTTTGGGGAATGTTAAGTGTCTTTTGGTCCAAATGTTGAACGTTCAATTTGTTTCTGCGAAATTTCGTTTCATGCGTCACGCATCTATCACCGGAACGTGTAATGTACTGTACCATGTTTGAAGATGCTATGCATAGAAAGCCTCAATTTTTGAAGGTTGCATATAAATTCCACATGGTAGACAAACCGTGCAGTACAGTCAATCTAGAAGGTACCAGGTACACTGCCAGACAAGTAGAGCCTCGCTGCATTCCTTATCTTGGATGCCCATGGTTCCATATTGTTGATATAGGACATGACGTCACACTATCTGCCCCTGTTGTCATCACGTGTATTTTACATCCTTGCCTCTTAACCCCCGCCCATCTAGACCTTCATCTTTGAATATGCATGAGCCGCTGGTGTCGAGGCTATTGCCACTTGTGCAGAAAACACGGCGGCCAGTATGGGCCATATCACCACTCCGGTGCTCGCATCATCCCCGCACCAATGACATTAAACCCCGGATACCTCGGCTGGTTTTACAGAGAGGAGCTACATTCACCAGCCAAAGATTGAATGATAAACATGGCGTCAGTGTTGGCGTCAGTCTTCCAGACGAAATAACCGGACAAGCTTCCTTCAAGCAAGAAATCTTCGATCAATCCATTGCTCTCTCTCGAAGTCGTATGAATGACTCGACCGAGTTGAAGTGTGCACTTTTCAACGCAGATGGCTCCACCGCATTCAAGGAGACCCGTCTCACCAAAGCTGAAGTGGCTCAACAGTATGGAATCAATGGTCGGGACTTACGGAATGCCGATCTCGTTTCCGAGGGTATCCCGCATATACTAGTCCGGCCGTCCGCGATATTTATTAGCGTTTTCACCCTTCGTCTGCTAATCCAGTGTGATCGAGCTCTACTCTTCCTTCTCGGTTCCGAAACGGATGGTGTGAAAATGCAAGATGTGTTCGAACATAATTTACATAGCAGAGTGCGCACCGAAAAGGGATCTGGATTTACGCCTAATCTTCCATTTGAACTACGCGTTGTAGATGCAGCTTTAGCATCCGTGACTGCAATCCTTGAGGCTGAGCACTTGATCCTCCGCGGCGCGGTCGAGAAGCGTCTTGAAGATTCTAAACAGGAAGATGTCGTCCACTTGGCTCTACGTGAATTGCTAGAACATGGGAAGAAATTGGCCACCATTGAGCAACGGGCTCGTCAAGTCCGCTCTGCCCTGCAAGAGCTACTAAATAATGACGAAGATCTCGCAACTATGTATTTGACTGATCGCCAGGCTGGGAAGCCACACGCCATTGCAGACCACCAAGAAGTCGAATACCTGTTGGAGGCATATTATAAGAATGCGGATGCGATTGCTGAGTCTGCCGGTGCGCTTGTGGAAGAGGTAAACCGTACTGCAAGAGCCATCAAGTCAATATTGGATGTCCGGCGAAACCAGATCATGATCTTCGAAGCCCACCTCGAGATTTGGATGCTAGGGTTTGCTGTTTCGACTTTTGTGGCTGGCCTCATTGGAATGAACGTGGTCAATTACATGGAAGAAAGCCCATATGCATTCGTATGGCTCTCATCCGGATGCATAGTAGCCACCCTACTCATCTCGAGAATTGGCATGTCGAAGCTTAGGAAGTTTCGGAAAATGCAGCTCTAGAGGTGTCTGACTCCGGGATTCAAGCTGAATCTACGCGGTTTACTGTGATATACGACGTGGAAGTTTAATGTACGCCAGATTACATCAGTCAATTGCAATTTAGAGACAATAATCAATACACATAGACGAAGAAGCGCACCAATGCCCAAGCTGGACTATCCAACGGTCATCAGGTCCGGATTATCACCAATAGTGTTCTCCAAAGCCCAAACACTCGATTCCAAATGACCAGAGTGGATACAAAAGCTTGCTCATGCTTTGATAAATTGCCGTTTAAGCAGAGATATCGCAAGGCAGAGAGCCACAGCAGTATCCATGGCCAGCACTGAAGGCGCCCTCAAAGTCAATGTTATGGCATCCATCACTGGTTCGCCACATGAGAGCCTCGAAGTTGTATCCTCCAGAGCTGGTCTCGTAGAAGCTGATAGAGCGTGTTAGCCGTGCTTTGCAGATAGTCCAAATCGTTACTTACTCGATAGAGCATTCAGAGCTAGCACAGCCATTGAATCCTCCGCGGAGAGTTCCAGAATAAGTAGAGCCAGTGTTGTAGTCGGTGAGATAGATGATTTGGAAAGTACCGCCCTCGTTGGCCTCGTAGGCAGAGGCAGCCATTTGGCCGTAGAAGGCGCTGGCTTGGCCGACAAGAGCAGCGGCAGTCAGGAACAGAGGGAACTGCATTTTGAAGATTGGAGGCTGAGTTGGACTGTTGGGCTGTTGTTTGAGAGGAGTTGAGTGTGATGATATCTTCAATTGAGAGAGGGATGGTCTGTATTTATGTGTTTTCTGTTGGATAGAGGCAGTGATATTGGAGATGCCATGAGCATGTGTGGATGAGACACAATGAACGCTATTTTCTTACTGCATACTTCTTTGAAACTAAACACCGTAGTTTGAGGGCCAAAATACGATGTGTAGGCTACGTCGCGTAAGGCTTCATATGGCAAAACAACTGGATTTGAGGGTTTGAAGACCCAACACCACGGAAAGAAGACTTTGACCAGCGAGCCCGAATACATAAAACATTGCCTTACTGGCATTTTCTTCCCTTTTTTTCAGTCAATCGATTTCGTTACAGTAGCGTACTCAGAGGTCTTGCTGCGAGATCGAAGGGTCGGTGAAGCGCTTACTTCTTATCGAGGACTTGGCTATATTTTGGAACATTTGAAGCCACATTTGAAGCCCTGAAAGCAGCCACTATTTTAGTATCCAATCGACACGGGGAAATATTCTCGTGGGTAAGTGATCCGGCTAAATATGGGGTGCGAACTCCCAAAGAGAAGATGCATCGACACCAGATCCTGCAAGCCACCCAGCCTAGTATTCCGCTAGTTATAAGTTAGTAAAGCCAAGCAACTGTGAAGTCCATCATGAGGATTGTTTAATTGGCATTAAGGGTCGAATTGAATATTACAGAAAACAATAGTGGACTTGAACTCAATTTTTCCACTTAAGCTCATCGTATACGAGCACGCATTCTTGGAAATGGGTGAATGAAGCTTAGCAGGTTATACCTCGTATTCACTACTAGACGTGCATATTCCTCCGTCTTGGCCCTGCGGGAGGGTACCATCAGATTAATTATTCAGTGACCCAATCTTGCATAAGGCCCTGCTTATGACGGGCCGGCAGTTCATGCAGGGTCATCTTGCGGGGGCGTGCCCGTAAGCGACCTCCGAGGTCAGACATTTTCACTTGGCATTTTTGATTACAATATCATTCAGGTATATAATCAATTTGATTATGAGTATAGACGCTTATACGGGGACAGTGTAAGAATATTCGAAGTCGGAGACTACAGAATAGATTTACTTCCATGAGACATTCCCGTCGGAGGTATTACTGGCGATCAGGTACGTTTGTCATATCAACAGGGGTTGAAGCTTGGCGAATTAAACTCCCTAAAAAAGGTTAGCTCCCTTGAGATGTTAATGAGGTGAGCGCTTAGGCAGATAAGCAGTCGCATGCAGTGTCTGAGTCAGTGCTGACATTTACTAGTTAGATTATAGACCACATGAGTTCATGCCAATTACTGATCCTGCCGGAATACTAATAATAGAGACTACTATAAACTAGTCTCTTCATATTTGGCCTTAGATTGGAATAGTCAATCTGGCGAATAGGTACGCAACTTTGTCACGTTGTAGCCCAAGAGTACAGCGCGGACCAGATTCACCATCGGCTGTCCAGTATGAATTCTTCACATCCAGGGATGTATCAAGCACCCACAAGAATCGTATGGGAGCCTCCACGAGTTGAAATCAAAGTATAGCCATCTCCGCCCGTCGCAATAGGACCGAAAGTGGGCACATCGGCCGTCCGTCTCAGCTCCTCCCCATCCATAACAACGCGATCGCTTTTGAATCCCGTAGTAGGTACACAAATGACCCCACTAGTACCCTCCGGTGCTTCGATCCAAAGGCCAAAAGTCCCATTATCATGCTTCCTCCAAGAAACCCAAAGAGGACCCTGCGGGGTTGCAACTTCCCCCTAGCCCACGTGAGATCGCCACCATCAATCACTGGACAGATCTGCCAGGTCTTGAAGGCCGGGCCGGTAGGCCGAACACCGAGGACGTAGTTCGTCATCAGCGGCACGATACCTGTTGACCACCCGTGAGCCATGGATGTAAACCCTTCTTCATACGGTGATCCGTTAGGACCAATGCCCTCCCAGAATGTGATCTCCGGATCGTGGGCTGACATCCAGCCATATAGGCGCTTGATTTCATCGAATGCTGAGCTCGAAGCACCGGGCGTCGCGAAACGAGCTGCAAGCTCGAAATATGAAATGAATGCGTATACTCGCTCGGAGAACCCGGTGGATAGGAGGTCGTTATCGTAGAACGCATTGCCGTATGGTTTTGATGAAGCGTTCCCGTAGTAGTCAAGTAGACTTGTGGCTAAAGATGCATTCACTGAGCCTGATAGCACGGCTAGTCCATTTCCATCCTGGGCGTGCACATTGCAAATTGTATTTGCTGGTTGGTTTGGACAGGGTCCTCCGTCGAAGAATGCGCCTACGGCTGGATCCCAATTTCTGACCAGGAGATTTTCGCTCACGGCCGAGGCGCGAGAGGCCCAGGCCTGGCTGTCTCCTGAATTTCCCAGAATGGTGGCGAGTTGAGCGGCTAATTTCAACGCGTGGGCGTACAGAGCGTTGTAGTAAGTTATGATGCCGGAGCGAGGAAGAAACGCGTAATCTCCATATCCGTTGGTCTTGTTGAGGAGACCGCCGCTGTATGTGAGATTCTGGCCATAATAGTCATCTAATGTCTTTTTCATCACTTCATAATACTGGGTTGCGAAGTCTGTATCCCCAGTATACATGACGAGATCTGCTGTGCATACAACCCACCACATCGGATAATCATACAAATCCAGTGTGTAGTTATTGCTACCCATAAAATCAGAAAATATTGCAGGTCGCGAATGAAGAATTGACTCACATGCTAGCAGGTGAAATCCATCCATCAGACCGTTGGTGATTCGCCAAATCAGCCAGTATGTTGCGGGTTGCGTCAGGATTGTCGTGCGACAAGTACGTTGTGAGTGCGGCAACAGCCAGGTCCCCGACATATGGGTCTCGGTCTCTCTTGGCACCATCGAAAAGAACTTCCTTACCTTCCAAAGTGGGCGAGGCCGAGTCCCGGGGGTCTGTCTCATTGGCGAAGAATACATCGGTACCCATGTCGGCGGTATACACGCCGTCGTACCACCATTGAGTAAGGTCTTCATCAGAACACTCGAACCATCCGGTGAAGGTATCGGGTGTTCCCAGATAAGCAGACCATTCCAAACCAATGCTCGAGATGGATACAGATCCGTAGGGCTGGGTATAAGGGGCATCGCTTTCGAGTGCATCGAGCCAGATTTTCACATATCGAAAGCCGTGAACACCATCGGAGCACACTTTATCATCGTTCTGACAGCCAGTGTAATCCTTCCAGGTATACTTTCTATTGGCGACAGCAACCTGCGCATGTTTAGCTTATTCTAAAGATGAACTAGTTTCCATTTCTATGCATACCTGATCAGTGCCGTTTGTGAGCTTCTGACCCTGGATATTTTTGTTAGTGTGTTTAAAGAAACTTTTCTCTTCCAAAATTAATTCAACTCACTGCGGCCATGTTATCAGATCTGGTAAAGTCGCTGACATTGGTCAAATACTGCAGGGTTTCAGAAAAAGCCAGCTTCAACCCAGGAAGCCCTTCAGATGAATTGGAAGATCCAGCGAACGTGATTGTCGCAATGCCGACAACGTTCTGCCCAAAATCGACAACCAGAGTGGGAATACTGGTTTCTCCCTCATTGTGTGTCAAGATGGTCGGCGAGCCGTTCCAACCAAGTAAGCCATCAGGATTGGTGACATTGCCAGTGGTATGGGCAGACATGATACTCTGAGGCTTCAGTAAAGAGCTGCTTGGGGAACGAACATATTTGTGCCATGAATTATTTCCAAAGACATCCTCTCGAGGCTTGAAGACAGCAGTACCAGACACGGTATGTGCTGCGAGGGCTACCAAGGCCGCACATTTCAGAAAAGTGGCCATTTTCGATCATATACCGGACATTCATACCAAGGACAAGAAATTGCCTGAATATAAGCATTGTTCAAGACGGGGAAGTCGGTCTGTGCCGACACCACAATGCAACGTTGCGTATAAAGTTTATAAACAACGCGGACCCGGGATAATTCAAACCGAGGCTCTGGGGTATTAGTGCTAGTGAAATGAATGTCAAGATGCTGACTAGTCCATGACGCAAGGTTGATTCTCCAAGGTTACTGAGAGATCTGTCTGAGTCTCATCTCCAAATGCGCCTGCGCACTGACAGATGAAAGAGGCTCAGTCAGCAACCAGGTAGAGCTCCGCATTGATCTCTACCCTTCCGAGTTCATGCTCAGTCAGATATGGACTAGGAACTAAAGCAATTCCGCTGAACCTATGCACCTCGAATCGACCCCGCAAACGATTATGCCGATCATGATTGTGCTCATTCCCTAGGGCATTCAACCCCTCAATCTAGTACATACCAGCGTAGGTTTTCGGGGATCATGAATTGATTTGAAGCCCTGTATATGATCATGGTGAACTAATATTTTGATAATGACGCGCCCTGCAAATCCAAATGAAGGCATAGGCAATGATTTCGATAAATTCCACCATAAGAGATAGAGATAGACCAATAAGTATAAATTCAAAAGCAGTGTTGATGAATCTGTCCATATTTTTCAGGGTAATGGATCAACCCAGCTGCTAGTGCAAAAAACAAGAAATTTGTAAAATCATCAAGTCATGAAAGGTATGTCCACATTCTGGACCTCAACCAAATAAAGTAACAGAAAGGGTATAAAGCATAGATTATATGCCAATTAGTCCAGCCGCTTGTACAGCTTAGCCTTGGTCGAGGAAGAAGGCCCCGCACAGCAAGCACTCTGAGCTGCCTCGGGATGGAGAATGGACTTGTTGAAGGCTTGGGCAGATTGTGGGACGTCCAAGGCAGGGTTCTTAGTAAAGAAGCCATCGGGTTTCAGCATGACACTAACGCGCTCCATGGGCATGACAGGGAAGTCTTCGATGCGAGGGTTGTGAGTAAGACCGAAGGTATGCCAGAGCACCACATCCTCGTTCTCGGTATTGTCTTTGCGCTGCACCCAAGTCTCGACACCTTCGGCGCGTCGGCTCTGGTTGGTAAACTCTCCCGCAGCATACAGTTCGTCATCCTGGTACTTGGTGACCCAAATAGGCTTCGTGCCAAATTCAGCTCGACGGTAGCCCAGGGAGTTCTTGCTCACCAGCAGCATCTGACTCGGTGCAGTCTGGAGCTTATAAGAGACCGGCTTATGAGTGATAGGGTTAGTGATGTTATCGTTGCGAATCTTGAACACGCGGTGGCGGTCAACACTGGTGTTCGCAGAGCCAGAGGTGTTCAGCACAGTAGGCTCGGTGGTGTATCCAACCAGCCATGGATTGTTCTCGTCTTCGGGCATAGGCACACTGTCTTCATAATAGACCGTGTTCTTGAACCCGTCGATGGCGGGGTCGATCCGGAAGGAAAACATGTGTTGATGGAAAGGAGCCATCACTCCAGGCCCCACATTGGTGCCCCAGGGAACAGTCTGACCATTCTCATTGTCAAATGGAACTGTCGAGAGAATTCCAGTGGCGCGAACCTCTAATTCGATATTGCCGGCCTGGTCAAAGATGTATGCAAAAATGTACTCATAGTTGGCAACTGTACAGATCATCTGTAGAACCAACTGCCGATTGCGCACAACTGTAGCAGCCCCGGACCGGTAATTCGTATGCTTATGTTGCAATCCATTATCCTGTTCGTGCATGCAAATGACGTTCTTCAAATGCACCGGATTGCCTTTGCAGTCATTGCGGTAGCCATCGAAGTACTTAATATGACCCAGACAGTCGCATCCGAGAGACAGCTGGTTGGCATTCATACCAAAGCCAGTGTCACCGACATCAAATGCTTGCTTGCGGTGGTACGGTGCACGGGGATCTGAGAAAATATGAGCAACAAATATGGAAGATAAACAATATCCAATGACCCACCTCCATATGGTACCGTCATCTCCGACATAGCCAGGCGGTAGAAGACATTTCGATTATCATATGTGATGTTATAAATGACCAAGCCTTCTCGAATGTTAAATCCAACACGGAAGCGCCATTTCTGCCAATAGACAGAGTTGCCTTCTGCTGTATAAGACGGGCCCTCGGGTTGTTGTACAATATAGGGCTTTAGGTCGGTGCGAACAGGTTCATCGAGAATATCATGGGCGTACTGAATTGCCTTGACAGGCTTCCAAGGCTGGGTCTGCTGGGTTTCGTGGCCCGCTTCACCGGGGAGATAATCCATTCGGACAAGCTCGTGGGTAAGGCCGTCAAACACAGGTGAGAACTTGCATGGCAAAGAGTAGTGGTTGTGCTGGGGGTGATCCACCGAAACTAAGTACATGAAGCATTGAAATAGTCGCCGTGTCTCACTCTCATTATCGGTGCCGTACATCCAAGGGTCATTGCAAACTGTCACACCAGGAGGAAGCTGCAATTTCTCGATCTCGGCAAGCACCGCAGGGTGTTTCATGCACAATGCCTCGATTTCCACCACCTCATCCACGTCAATCGGTCCCTGAAAGTGAAATTTGTCAGACCCAAGGAACCACCCGCGAACCAACCAGAAACATGAAAAATGAAAAATTTCAAATCATACCTGCACCTCGCGTGGAAGCTCTTTTGCATAGACAACAGAACGCGCATCGGCATTCAGAATGGCCTTGTAGAATGCGCCGGTGTCTAGGCGATGGAATAGAGTGTAAAGCAGGCGGGCAGGTGCCTTGGGCAGTGGTCGTCGCAATCGCTCGGCCTCGATGTATGGCACAACATCTTTCTTGATGGGTTCGTTAACGTCAATCCGCTTGTAGCGCAGAGGTACCCCGGGGAAAGTTGCCTCAAGAATGCGCACGGCAATCTTGATTTCCTCCGGTGTGATAGGGTCAAACGGGTGGGATCCGGTCACCATAATCGCATAAGAAAGGTCTGGCACTGAGAGAGAAAATTTATAGAGAGGGAAAATGGGCAGTAGATAGTCACACGAGGGCAAGACTGCAATGGATATGGGGTAGTAAGAGGGGAAGGCCGAGGCGATTATAAATGTCGTGGATCTTATCAGTTTGACTGCGAGGTCTGGTTGGACTTGCCTGATCAGGTAAGGCCCTGGACGATGATTGTGGAGCGATGTCCACTAACCGCCGACAATGTTGTACAGCAGATTTGTCGACAGGGTCCATGCGATCAGCGGTCTGTAGTACTTGTGATGTATAGATCCAATTACAAATTAGTTCCAATCTAAAGCATAAATGTGCATGAATCCCTGGAATGAAACCAATGCAAAAACACAAAACCCCCAATCACAGATAAGGGTCACGTGCCGCGCGAGATTGCCCCGATCGGGTAAGGGTCGCCCCTCTACGTTTCCTATCAATTCGCGGGGAAACTGTCAATTTGTGTTGACTATCGCCAACCATGACGGCGTTTGCGACCAAAGTTACAGATACGGGCTGGGGTCAGTCACCATCGGTGGTTTCAGGTACTTTCGCTCCCCAAAAGAAGGTCCGAACTCGGCAAACTGGGACCGCATGGACGCGCTCAGGTTGCCTAACCTGTAAAAAGCGTCGCAAGGGCTGTGATAAGGCTAAACCTAGGTAGTAGCATCCACTGGCTCTTTGTATACTGAATTTATTGACACATGGACTAGTTGCAACAATTGCATCAAACAAGGCCGTATATGCGAGGGCTATGGCTCTGTCTGGGCGGAGCCATTAGGCCCGTCCGCGCAGGTTTTCAAGCCTATAGAGTCATTCGATTCCACTAACCCGCCGAAATCGAGGCCAAAAAATGCATCATCAACGTCGCTACTCGTGTCGCCATCACTGTCGCCACTGTCTGACGCACGGCTAGACGCACAGTCATCTGTCTCTATATCTCCGAGTGCATCTATTCCTTCATCGCCTCGACATTGGTCATGTGCGAGTGATGCACCCCAGAAATACGATCAAAATGAGCAAACCACCGAGGAAGCTGTGAACTCGCGAGAATCACTGGCAGTGGTTCCACGACCTCGCAATTATATCAGTCACTTATCAGATCACGAGTCGCACTATCTCCAATATCACGTTCAACAAGGCTCCCGCCTTCTCGCGAATCTCGAAAGCGATGATAATCCTCTTCGGTCATTGCTCATTCCTCGAGCAATGTCATCCCCCCTTCTTATGAGAGCCGTGTGCGCAGTCTCTGCACTTCACCTTGCAAATCGTTCCCAGTGTTTCAGCGCGCAAACTGCTTCAGCAACTTTCTACGGCAGAACCCTTAACGGGATTCGGTCAGTGCTAGTTGAATCCTCGCCCGAAGCACTATCGGACAATGCAATGCTCGCAGTTGGTCTTCTTTGTAAATACGAAATTGTTCGAGGCAGCGTCAAGCAATGGGTTGTGCATCTCAACGCACTCCAGCGCTTGATTGCCACCCGCGGAGGCTTACACTCGATGGATCCAGATGCGGCACATTTCTTAAGAGGACTGTATGTTTGCTTAATTGGTATTTTTCCTCAGGACGTACTAACAAGATTTAGATATTTATATGCGTATAATATGGCGCGCATCAGCAATCGAAAAAGAATCACTGCTGCTGAGCCCTGTCCCGCAGATACAGACCTCGGCGCCCCCAGGCTTGATATCTACATCGGGTACACAGAGGAGATCCTTAAATTATGTGCACGCATTGCAGAACTGCCATCACTAGCAGGCGACCTAGTATCTCTACGTCTGGCAATAGCCTCCATGTATGTCGAAATCTCCACCAGTCCCATCTCACCTGACAGAGAAGAGAGCCAATACTAATCGCCTTCTAGAAATGGATCACTCCTTACCTGGTCCCATACTTCCATCCCTTATATAATTCCCCAGGGCCTTAAACCCGCATCCCTCACCCGCCTCCAACTTGTGGCCGAATGTTTCCGCGACGCAGGATTCATCTACCTGCACTCAATTCTCGAACACATGAGTCTAAGATCGATAGAAAAAAGGGCTTCTGCAAATCTATACTACACAGAATGGGCACCCCTCATCTTCACGCCAAAATCCGTTGCCGTTCACCGTTGCCTTGCGCGCGTGGAAACTTTCCCGCTAGACGACCATTGCGAGTACTCAGCACTCACATTCCCGCTATTTATTGCGGGCGCTGAAAGTGATGTACTCGCACACCGGCGCCTTGTTGTCCAGTCGCTTGCTAAGCTACAGAATAATTTTGGAATTGGTAATGTCAAACGGGCAGAGGAGGTACTTGGGATTTTGTGGGCAAGAAAGGATGCCAATGCACTCGATGATATTATCCTTGGAGAGCCAAATATAAATATGAATGCCCAAAGTGCGCATTGGTTGGATATCTTGGAGGAGTTGCAGTGGGAGTTGATTCTCGCATAACATATTGTATATATTTTTTCCGTGTACTATACTTGCTACTTTTTGTATGATATCAAAGCGAAAAACAAACGGACTATACCAGCATCAATCCTGGCATTGTTGGGTATTTGATATTTGAACGTTCAAAGCAAGCTTCATAGCAAACCAATAAGCAGCAAGCTTCAAAGATAAAAGAGCAAAATGGAAACTTCGTTCATGAAGACACATCAAAGGTCCGGACTTGGTCAACTCAGCCCCATATTCACCTCGTCGCTTAATCCGAATTCGCGCTCTGCTCTTTCCGTCCCATCCGCCGCCCGAGTTGCCCACCGGTCAAGGTGGTCTTGTTCCTCGCGTAAACTTGAACTATCAGTCGTTGCCACACTGCCTTCTCGAGCATGGGACCTGCGAGATCCTTGAATACTGATGGGGCGTGATGATGCAGATCTTGAACTCACTGTCCCTTCGGTATTCGCTCCAGTAGAGCGGCCAGCATCGGGTGACCCATCACTTCCGGCACTATCTTTCTCCTTGCCGCTGAACCAACGTCGGCGGCGATTTTTGAGTGGGGTGGATGATGAGAGGCTGATGCGGTCTGCATCAACTTCTTTCCCACTGTCTCCTTGCTCTCCGTCTTGTGTTTCTTGTTCGAGTGCGTGTGCGAGGTTGGTTATAGTTTCTTCGGAGGTATTTTGACCATCCTTATCTACGTCGACCAGCTCTGCATCGCGGAACCATTTGCGTCGACGTGTGTATCTATCCCAGCCATCTTGGCCGCGGCGTCCATCATTCCACTGGAGTTGGTTAGAAAGAGAAAGACTGGCATACAAAAACAAAATTGGAGCTAAGTACCTTATTGTCATAGTAGATCCATCCTTCACTGGCGGCTTTAGTCTCTGACTTGCTGGTGGTGTCTGCGCCTTCAACGCGCCACTCAGTCCCTGTCACCCATCGCCATTTTGCATCGCCTGTTCGGACGTCTGGCAGTTCAAATGAGTCCTTCGCCGGAACGGGATTTAAGTGCTCATCTGTCCAGGCGCTACGCTCCGATGGGAAAAGCGAGTAGGTCCACCCGATGCCGAGCCAACGCCGTTGGTTCTCGTATACAACGAACGTGAATCGAACCCCACCGGAGTCTTTACGACGTTTGGTCGAGATATTGATTCCCATACCCTGGGCTTGGGATTTTTGAGAGTTGCTTGGGGGCTCTGTGATCGACAATCCGGTGACAATGGCGCAGAGCCGACGTACAAGACGAGATCTCCATAGAATGACGCGCGAGACTCGCGCGGGCCGCGAGTGGTAGGTTAGGACGACAGTGCCAACAGTTATGATGATACGGCGCGTAGTAATCAGGTAGAATGGGGGGAGAGTCAACGCGATCCAGACAGGTGTGACAAGAAGAATGCGAACAAATAAGGCTGTCAGTGCAGGTCGAGTTGTCGCCGACGTTGCCGTCCGTTGTGTGGATAAGAAATCGGTGAGATCTAAAAGGGGCTCCAGGAGAATGTTGCATCGCGTGGTCAATGTGCGCAACGTCTCAACGATATCATCCAAGCTCTTCTGGTGGCGGGTGGTACTGTCCGCTGATGGGCTGCGTTGGTGCTTCTCACCCGTTGTGATCGTTGATGACAGAGGTGAATACCGTCGTCCATACATACCCAGAATCAGCCCAACTACAACGAGTATAGGACCGGCCCAGAGAATGATGGCGTCACTGTACAACACTACTGCCCAGAAGGTGGCTACGAGCAAGAAGCTCTGCCATGGATCTCCTGTGGTCCATGTTATAAGGCCCACGAATTTATTGAGCGGGAGGAGGAAAGGATGTGAGTAGGCTAGAGCTCGGGTTATTGAGGGTGGCGTAGCCACCAGAAGTGGTGACTTTCGATGCACGATGATGCTGGAACGCTGTCGCGACGTCAAGGCCGAGCCAGCGATGGTAGAGGGAGTGAAAGCAGCGACGGTTGGCGGTTGGGAGTCAGGATGGCCATGATCCTGGGCGATAGTTGAGGGTGCCATGGAATCTATCCACGGGAGATCTTCTGTAGTCGCATGAGCATGGCAGATGAGCATATGGGGCTATATAGCTTCTAGCTCGCCTGGTCAGGCAGCCAAAATCATGTTGGAACTTACCGAGAGCTGCCATCCAATTACGAGGGCTTCATGGAGGAAGGGTATGTGCCGCCGATCGGCAGGCAGGCGTCCATCGCTTATATAGCGTTTGTTGAGAATCGAGGTTCGTTCGGTCCAGGATGATCTGCGGGGAGTCGGGGACATGTGACTGTGGGTGCGTTGCATAACAGACGGAAATCAACGAGAATGACAAAGGAAAGTAAGATTTCCAGTATTCTAAAAAATTTATATAATTGCTACAATATTATTTCAGTTGCTTTCATATTTCTATTCCTATATGCATGGTACAATAGGCCATGTTGAGGTTGACACCATAGATCCAGCTCGACCTGCCGACGCTAAAACGCGCAGCCGAAATTTTCCCTTTCTTCCTCTCTTCAACTCCTTGTGATCTTCGCATTCGGCCCTCAACGCCTTCGACATGGTAAGTTCCCAGAACTTATTCTCAACATCTCTCACCTTTGTATTAAGAAAGAATCAAACTAATTTCTAATTCCTCCCTAGGCTCATCGCATCGTCACTCAAGTTGTCGTCACCGGAGCGCGGGTCTTCGGCCGCGCCTTCGCCGAGGCCTACAAGCAGGCCCAGGCTTCCGGCAAACACAACGCCGTGAAGAAGGCTGCTGGTGTCACTGGCTCTACCATTGGTCTCGATGAGGCCTGCAAGATTCTCAACGTCAAGCCCCCGGTCGCCGGCGAAGCCAACAACGTCGAGCATGTTATGGAACGGTTCAAGAAGCTGTTCGACCTCAACGATCCCCAGAAGGGCGGCAGCTTTTACCTACAGAGCAAGATTTTGCGGGCACGCGAACGGATAGAAATGGAGATTCGCCAAAGTGAACGCCAGGCTGCGGAGGAGAAGGAACTGCGTGAGGGCTGGAATCCTAAGGTCTACAAGGATCGGTGAAGCTAACGCGCCTGACAGCGCGATCCGGATCATCCTGACCTCGCAAATCCTATCCGATCTTCTCTCCTCGCGTTGGCGTCGACATCCGAGCATTTAATTTCGCATTTTCGCCCTCGAAAAGAACTCCGGATCTCCGCTCGACTTTCTTGATTTGGCATAGCATGGCGTTTGGGTTATTACGGGAGAGAACTCGGGTGATTTGTTCTCTTCCTGATTAGACTGGGGGATTAGATTCCTGGGGTTCTGGGCCTCATGGAAGGATCTCTTCTCCGACCTCGGAATCGGTCCCTCTGGCCTTCGGGTCTTGTGTATACATACCATTACCCTCTCTTTCTACCTTGTCGACCTATTCTCCACTCTGACTTGGAAACCATCATGTACCATAACTGTATACTTGCACATGCGGAATATTCTCATCAATTGATCTTTGCCAGTACTTTTGTTACGTTTTTTTTGCTTTTTCAACGTTTTTTGCCACCGCCGACGGCCATCACCTATCATTCTCAGGAACGTACAATATCAGGGACTTGAATAATTGACTCTCTCCCAACCTTCGAAAGTTACACTAGTGCGGCATAATCAATTTTCGGCATGGATCGAACCCGGGTCCTCGCTGCTAGCGATCGAGCCAAACTAATCGCCCCCCGCCATGGCGCCATCCCGATGTGGGCGGAGCCCCGATGGATTTCTCACGGATAAGAGAATGACTAGGGTCCCACTCACCCATGAATGAATTGATCCTCACGATAAACCCTGTCTAAAGAATATAAGCGCATTTACAATACATCCCACGATCAATTGAAAACCCCGATCTCGTCTCCTCACACCCTCCAGTAACCATGCCGCTTTCCACCCCACTGTCGGCGGCCCTACCTCCGCTGATAATGGGCACAGCAACCTTCAACTCGCAATACAACGCAGATCCCTTCGCCCTCCCAACAACAGAGCTCGTCCAGCGCGCCCTCAAGCGCGGAATCCGCGCATTCGATACATCCCCCTATTACGGCCCCGCCGAAGAACTCCTCGGCCGCGCCCTCGCATCCGACTTCGTGCAATCCCACTTCCCGCGCGAATCCTACCACATTCTCACTAAAGTCGGCCGTATCGCTTCCTCTACATTCGATTACTCCCCATCATGGATCAGACATAGTGTACGTCGCAGTCTGCATCGTCTACACACTTCCTACTTGGACGTTGTCTACTGCCACGATGTGGAATTCGTCTCTCCCGCTGAAGTCCTGATTGCTGTCCGGGAACTGCGCCGCCTCCGCGATGAAGAGGGTTTGCTGCGCTATGTCGGTATCTCGGGATACCCTGTCGATGTCCTTAGCGATCTTGCCGAAATGATCCTCCGGGAAACGGGTGAACCGCTCGATATCGTTATGTCGTACGCGAATTATACTCTCCAGAATACCCGGCTGCGATCGCTCGCGCTGCCTCGTCTTCTTGCTGCGGGGGTGGATGTCGTGCCGAATGCTTCCCCGCTAGGTATGGGTCTGCTTCGTCGTGATGGTGTCCCGATCGGATCCATGGGCGACTTCCATCCGGCGCCGAATGCGCTGCGCAGTGCCATCCGTGATGCGGCGGAGTGTGCTGCGCGCCACGGTGAAAAATTGGAAGTTGTGGCGATTCGGTTTGCACTCGAGTCCTGGTTAAGAGCTGGAGCCAGGGCCGGTGCCCTTGGGGCGCCTCTGGCTAAGACGGCGGATTCCGACCCGGGATTCTTGTCGGTTGCTAATATGGGTATTGGGAAGCGACTTGGTGTTAGTGTGATGGGAGTCAGCAATATCGAAGAGCTAGATGAGACGTTGCGCGTCTGGCATAGTATCGTGGATGGACTGGAGAACTGGAATGAAGATGAGGATGTGGATGTGGATGAGGATATTGAGAGCCGGATCCAATCTGCTAGCCCTTGTACACCCAGTCAGAATGGGGTCACTGGTGCTGTACCTTCATCTGCGACACATGCGTCCAACATCCTTACCCCCTCGGAGGGCCTTATCACAGATCGTGTGTGGTCTCGGGAGCGCGAGGTTTATATTTTGCAGCTGGCCAAGGAGATCAGGGATGTCCTGGGTCCTCAGTGGGTGGATTATGTGTGGGAAAGTCCGGGTCCCGGCTTCCAGAATTATCTGCCTGAGGAGCATATTGCTGCTTTACAGAGGATTGTTGCAGAGGAGGCTGACGGGAAGGAAGTTCCTGCTGTTCAGGCCAGTGGGTTTGAAGGGGACGTCATGCTTACACCACCGTTGGACGCAGACAAGCAGCTTGCTTAGATTGCAGCAGCTTATAGGAATAATCCGGAGTGCCTTTTTTCTTCTGTTATGAGCGATATAAGAGTTTCGATGTTTAGACGCGAGGCTATCTGGCCATAAAATAAGATCGATTGAACCGCCTAGGTGGAAGTAATGATGCCTCCTTGCAAAAATTCTAGAATGTAAGCATTTGCTGATATGACCTGGGCCGTGCAGTATTCATTTGTCCAAGAAGGAGATTGCTGTAGTTTGAGTAGCATAAAACCTCATCAATTGGTCCAGTCCTCTCCAAGAACCCACGTATAGTGTTTTCCTGGTGAGAAAGGAGGATAGGAAGGGGAATCAGGGAAATTAAATCCCCGAGAATAAGCAGCAAAAGGCCCACCTTGTCATGCGAATGCAAATGCAGGTCTTGGGCGGTTCCATTCGATCACTAATACATATGTTTTACCTTGATACAATGAATAATATCGGTCCTATCGCGGATCGGTCAGACGATTCGGGGCCGGGTTGGGACTCGTAGTTTCCGATTCGAGTGAAAACGAGGCAGAGATTAACCGAACCGAGACCGCGGGAAGGACGAATACCTAAAGTAAGTTCCACTCCTTAAAGTGGTTAGCATTCCAGGATTTGATCAAAAAGTACCATGTTTTGGGAGGACAGCTGGATTGTGAAAGAATAGAAATTGAAACTAAGGGAATAGGCCCGTTACCCACCATCAACACCGTTCCGGATTGGTTATTCCTCCGTGCAAAACAAATATTGGGTATCACTTCGAGTACATCGAAACAAACGGATCAGAATACTAAGGGAACTCATTCAAGTCATGAGGATGAGCGGGGTCCTCGGATTTCTTCGTACACCCCGGCTTATGGGGAACTCGGTGGTGGTGGAGGAGCAGGATCTTCTGGAACCAACGGAGGAGGCGGGGGAACATTTCGGTACTTGGCAAATTGGTCCGCAGTGTCATAGACATAGCGCAGCTGGCGTCGCTGGTCGGCGTACTCGTCGAAGTTTGCCGCAATAATAGCGTCCAGCATGCTCGCCTTAGAGCCATCTTTGGCCGATTCTAGACGAGATTTTAAGGCGCGGTGTGCATCTGAGAACGCACGGAAAATCAGTCCTATCTCCCTAGTGCCACCAGAAATATCATTAGACGAGTTGTTAGGATCTTCAATCATCAGGCGGTCCCTGGTGCCGAAATACTGCAGAAAACGTTAGATCCTCAATCTTTATATGCGAGGTAAACAATAGGCTCACCTTGTTGGTGTATCCGGGCGGATCCATCCGAATTCCGACATCCCGATAGCTAAATCGGTTCCCATAAAAGTTGAAGAACTCGAGTAGAACTTGACCAACGTTCTGTTGGTCATTCTTCGGCATGTGTTGGAGAAGACTTGACACAAGACAAGTGATTGAAAACCCACCAAGTCCACCAGTGGCCACCTCGTTCAACCCTCGGAGAAGTAAGAACTGTTTGATCACGGAGACAATGACCGGCATTACCGGAAACTGCACTTTCCAGTCTTGAAATGTCCGGTTGGCAAGAAGACCACTATCATTGTCGAAGGATAGATCCACACGCAGTCCGGTCAATCTATCAATAAATTTGAGAATGGGCACTCTGGCATGAGCAATGGTTTCAATGGATCCAGGGATCGCGATATTCAAGTCTCTCACGAAGGCAGAAAATGCGTAAATTTGTCCCTTCCGCTCGCCATAAAATTTGTTGCCCCGTTCCTGAAAGGCTGTCGACAACAGCACCAGATCAATGTCAGCTACGGGAAGATACAATCCCGAAGCAAATGATCCAAATGGAAGTACTTGCACTTTCCCGTAGCGTTTCTGAAATGCGGTCTCCAAGCGTGAAATCAGATCAGTTCTGACATACTGTTCGTACTTGTGAGGCCTGACCCAATTGTAAAAAGCGACTATTTCGTTATGCAATCTATTTTTACTTCGTTAACCATGACTGTTCCAAGGGAAATGAGAGGCTGGAATATGTACCTTGATGCTGGGTTCAAGTGTGGAACAGTGTCCACCAACCAAGGCGAGGGGTTCTGGCCAGGCATTGGCCTCCAGTCATGTAGAATGGAAGCGTCTGAGTTGTATCTCCGCTGAGGCTTGCCGAGTTTTGGTGAATATCCTTTGGGCTGTTGCTCATCGCGCGTGCGTTTTGTCGCAGTTCCTTTGATCTCCATGCCTCTGGGGCCCTTGGGCGCATTGTCAGGAGCCTTGTTTTCAGAGTCCTCTGACTCCTTTGACCCCGCACCGCTTGATGGGTCAACCATGCCAAGAGATATGAAGTCCTGATTATCAACGACCGCGTCGTTCTGCTTGGACGGGGCCGCGTTGGCGAGCCTAGCTTTGCGAATCAATTTGACCACGTCTACTCGTTTGTGTTGAGTTTCATCTGGTGGCGGGAGCACAGTGTAAGGGTCTGGGTTGGACCATTTGGGCGTGGGTGTTGGGGGAAGAAGTAAGACTGAAGAATCGGTTTGGCCATCGGAACCTAAGGCGCGTCTCTTACGGGGCCGTGCCTCTTCATCAGAGTCATCAGAGAAATCCATTTCAGCTTCCTCGCTGTCACTAAGTGTATCAAGAGCAGCGAATTTAGGTGCAGGCTTGTCGCTGGTCTCCTCGGCTTGCAACTGCTCCGGTGTTGTCTCTCGCTTGGTGCTTAAAAGCGGCCGTTCGGCAGTAGGCCGCGGGGCGCGAAAAGTAAACTCAGGTCTGCGAGGAGGGCGCCGGTTATCCCTTGGTCCTCTAGCACGATCGTATCGGTCATTCCGGTCATTTTGGGGACCATTCCCTCGGAATTGAAATGGTGGAGCCATAGCGGATAGCACACTCAAGTAGCCCTCAAAAAAGAATGATGCGCGGGCGATGCGATGCGGGTACGATTCAAAAGGGTGGGAAACGATAGGATACGCGAAGAATTAAGCGTATCAATTGGTGTCCATGATATGAGAATGTCAGGCACAAAACGCAATAATAATAAGAAGGAAGGTTGCGAAAGTCTGTGATACCTGCGGAAGGCGTGACACGAAAAAAAAGACTATCCCGGCAGTAAACGGTCGCGTACGTATGAAGAAGGCGGTCAACATATATATGAACCAATGAGCCTTTAGCCTCTATACATCCACGCCTCCTCAAATGTGCATTTTGCGTAAACCCGTCTCCAATAAACCCACCAAGTCTTTTTGTATGGCCATTTCAGAGAAGCTGACACGGTCAGGAGCCCAGGTCAACCAGGATAATGCTCTGGAGCCTACTCCTTGAAGCAAACCTACACTAACATCAATCAACGTTGGCCGTCCGTCATTATGCCAGAACACGGTTGCCCCGCACCGACTGCAGAATTCCCGATATACCCCAGGAGAGCTGATATACTGCTGCGTTGTTCCTCGGCTGAATTCTAATGGTAAGCAGCCGGCATGTAATATATTGGATTTCGGCACAAATGCCCACGCCTGGATGGGAAAGCCACTGCCTAGTCGACAAGAGCGACAAGCACAAGTTCCAGCGAGATATTTCGTACCTCCGGCTCGTAGCCACCATTTGGTATGGTCCAGGTTCTCTGCGGACTCGGAGTGGTACGGAACTAGAAGGTCAGGCCATGGAGATGATGCCTGAAATGAAGATACATCCGGACGAGTCAGAAAGAACTCGATTCCACCGCAATGACATCGCGCATGCAATTTATCCGGTCTCGATGGATTAAGTGATTCAGACAATGTCTTTGGAACAGTAGTCTCTTCTCGAGCCACTGCCTTCAGCCTGCAGTCAATGTTTGTTGCCGAACCAGGAAGAAATATGCTCAGTCCGCCGTCTCGACTGTCATTCACCTTCCAGTGCTGGATTGACTGCACAGGTGGTGCGTCTTCCGCCACCAGTGTCCCAGAAGCAACCAAATATTGCTCCCCTGACCGCGCAAAAACGTGACAGCCACAAATTTTACAAAAGAAGCGGCTCAGACAAGGGGATTCACGGTACTTCTGGAGATGATCCAAGGCTGGCTCATGCTGTAAGAGATAATAGGACGTACATATCAATCCAGTGACTAAGCGACAGTTGTTACAGTGGCATAGCTCGAGCTGAGTGTGGTCGGCCAAAGGGTGTAAATGGACCAATGATGCTACGCCTCCGCACAGGCAAGTAATGAAGGCTGCCATGCAGTGCAACGGGGATGGCTAAGGTTGTGAGAAATGGAGAAGAAAAACAAATGGACCCAATGGTATGAAGTTGTTTCCAAAGCAGTATATTATCCGATTGTCTGATGGTCAGATATTTTGCCGACGTAGTCAAGTCCGTCAAATCAAACAACAGTTGCACGGACGAGCTGCGTCAAATATGTACTCAGGCGGGGCCAAGGTTGCATAGATGCACTCGGTCTCCCTTGGAAACGATTAGATCAGAGATGAAAAGACAATAGTCGGGAAGTCACGGGGGCCCCGTATTTATAAAGTCTCTCTCATTTCCACCACTTCCTCCTCCCCCACCATATCCAAATCCCACCACTTTTATCATCTCGAATCTAAACTCCTCTACACGCAAATTTCGCGTTACCTTCTATTCAAAATGGGTAAGTTCATCCCATGTGGCAGAGAACGAGGAGGGTTGCAGGAAACCCAGTGCGGGGTCATAGCGGGGGAGATGACCACGAATTCCCACAGATTTTTATGATTGAGATTGCCATTCTAACCACGAACAATAGGTCCCGATCACACTTGCAGCTGCGGCGCTTCTTGCCAGTGCCCTTCCGGCGCATGCCAGTGCCCTGTAAGTGATATGACGTTGTTACCGTGGGTTTCTGCTAACCTCAGTGCCAGAAATAAATCACTTGTGTTTCCGGGTTATCGAGTTTCTAGACCCTCGTCTTTTGGTCTTTGAGCAGGAACCTGCGAGCGAAATGATATGAGCAGGATCTAGCTTCCCTTAGATCGGAGATGGGCGATGAGGAGATGTGATGCGGAGGCCTTGATGTCATTTTCCCATATCAACCAAAAATCAAACTTAGTCGATCATTCTAAGTCAAATTTGACCATGGGCGGTTCTTGACCTACTTTTATTCTTTTTCACCAAGTACCTTGTGGGAATCGGACCCAATATTTCGATCATTTAGGCTCAGATGTGACAAGCTTAACGGCACTGCAGAAGATCTGTATCAACGAACTCGGTACCACATTGCAGCGCTCTACGGTCTCGAGATTGGGGGATCTGCATGTCTCTCTTGACGTAGCATTCGAAAATCAACTGCTTTACGCGGGACTCGATAAACCAGTGGGCATTCGCCAGATACCCAAGAATAGGCCCCCAACTCTCGCCATAGGCCACGGACCACTCTCTTCCATGCTCTCATCGCTATACCCTGATCTGGCAAGGAGACTCCACAATATCACCGAATTTCTTTCGGCTTGCGCGGCTGGGTGTTGCCGAGCGATGTTCTCGGTCAGGGAAACTGCAGTCCTTACTGTACAAGGCCCCTGTAGCTGTCACAACGCACTGACTTTGAAAATACGATCGCAACTGGTATTCTGTTATTCCCAGAAAGTTTTGACCTCTGAAAGCATCTTTCTCTGGCCAATAGTACTCTTACATCATGCATGCCGGGAGGGTCCGTGGCACTGGCAGAGTATGATATGCTCCGTAGCTTCCAGTTTCATGCAGGATGAGATGATCCACTTTCCTCGGCGACCTGCCCTGCTTGTAAACTTATTACACGAACCTTGTATCGGAATAACGTGGGCCGGAAACGCCCTTTCGAACCAGATCTCACGGCCGTACAAGGTGAAAGTTATATGAGCCGGTGAACGCTAAGTACGGCAAGTAGCTTTACAGCTTCGTGTTATCAGATACAGAACGCGATTTCCAACGGAGGACTCCGTCCATCGGTTTGATTCCGTATCTTGCTCGGGTCATTTCCTTGTTTCTGGACCAAACTGCTGATCCCTTCTACCCGAGATATTCCTTTTCGATACCCCCATCTGAGCGCCCTTCGCTATGTCCCCTTCCAGCACCAACCATACAACCACCTCTTAACAATGATGAGAGACAAAACAAGAGCCTCGCCTTGCCAATTCATGTGTAGGGCGTATGCTATGCACCCCAAATACGGAAACAAACCGAGCTCACCAATGGCGCCTTTTAGCGCCCCTCCAAGGTCCTCAATTCGCGCAAAGACCGGCCTTCTCATAGGCTGCCACGCCAGAGAATGCGGTCCTGCGCCGCTCCTGGCGCCGAAAAATTCACTCTGGTAAAACACTACGCCCCCACTGCGTTCTGGGCGTCACATTATATACATTACTGTACATGACTGCATCCATGGTAAAAAGTAGGAGGCCCGTCCCGAATACTAGTGGGTCTTACAGAAACCCGAAACGTGCTCGTCATGATTATGACATGAATGAGGGGTCTACACTGCATGACTGGAGACAAAAAATGGAGCTCATACCGTGTGGTGTTGGATCCTGTGCATACCGTACGTGGTACATCCCAAAGTCCAGAATCTCTAGATCCACCCCATGGAGCATCACCACCGAAGTAGTACGTAGTAGCTAGAACGCCAAGTACAAGCTCCGCAATCGCAAGACATAGCAAATATGCGAGAAATAATTTTTCTAGCAAATCCAGAATATCTGCCCGATATCATGCCACCAAATGGGAAGAGCGCAGCGAAGTGGGTCTACATCCAAGCCCAAAGAAAACGAGGCGAACCACTTCGTAGTCTTTACCCAGTGATCACTGAAACACTGTCTATCGGGTGAACTCATGTCAGTAGTAAGCAGAGACTGAATAATTAGGAAAATACGAGATCACCCATATCAGGAGGACAAGGCTGTCCGCTCAAGCCCATCGTCATCTGCATGAACCTAACCGATCCTAGCATCTCCAGCAGCTGGATCATCAGATGGCAGAGGCAACACCGATGCGAGACTCCACAAAAAGAAAACAGATCGGAGCACACCTCTTCCCCCACCCGGGCCCAACTAGGCGGCAGTGATGATTGGAAACCCGGGCTGGAGAGCGTCTTTTGATTGGTGAGAGCGTTAGAGTTGCCCTGCGGTCGAGGCGGGTAGCGCGTGAGTCCCTGTTGCTACTTACGTCTGTAGGCAAAGGAAGTGGAGACTGGGCCTGAGTGGAGAAGAGGGGCTGCGTATGGTCTTCCACCTGCAGTATCGCATACCGGGCTCATTTGACTCGACCACGCGATGTGAAATGGGCGGACTTGTCTCTTTGACTTCGATGTGGATGCTCCGGTAGGATGATGCAATGGTATCATTGGGCATTTGGAGAAAAAACAAATATGGAAAAATGCTTTCCAAGTAAGATTATCAGGTTATTGACAAATGAGGGTTTTTTGTATGCTGGATTTTCTAAGACTTGGTTACATACTCTTCCTTTGTCGGCAAAGCTTGTAGAAGAGGAATCTTGGAGTATAAAGCTAGACTCAAATCCCACTTCCTTTGATCTTTTATCCAAGCTCTCAAGTCATCATCAATCAACACTACCAAAGCTCTATCAATTTTTGTGGTTTATACCCATCCCATCCAATCAATCAACATGTCTCCCTGCTCCTGCAACTGCTGCTCCGGCGACTGCAAGACTTGCTCTTGCTCTAGCTGCACTGTAAGTTTAACGATTTCCTTCACTTTCCCCTTCTTTACCCTTTTTTTATGTGGTCCTGATCGTTCTACCAGCACTAAGCCAGCTCACACGCCCTCTCCGCCGCCGTCCTCCTCCAACCCGACAACGCATACCAGGCCCGGAATACCTCTGCTTTCGAACTAGTGGGATTCAGGACTTGAGACTATGTGTTGGGGATTTGCTATGTTGTCATGATTATGTCTATCTACTGCTGTCTTTCTCGGGATTTTGGGGTCTTTTGGGTGGGGTTGAGTTAAAGTTAGGTCTGAAGACCTTGTGTATGTCTGTGTTTATAGGCCCAGGGCCGTGCAATCTATACATTGGAAATCATTGTGTACCGCTGTAGAGTAATAACTTTATCTTGGAACCTTGAAGATAGCATGCAGGTTCTTAGCAGGTGACATGTAGTTTTTAACTATGATATATAGTCTAGACAAGCCCTGAATATACATCTGTGAAAATATTTCAGGATTTGGGTATGCTTGAGAGGAAATGGAGAGTTGCATGAAAATTCGCTGGAATCTACTTGGACAATCATCTCTAGCTGTAGGTTGGAGTTCCCAAGTCTAGAAACCGTATATAGAAAAACAAACAATCAGGTATGCAATGATCGATCAAATCCTCCTTGGCTTTATAGCTCATCCTTCGAGCGAGGCACATCATCCTCGCTTCCTCGGCAGACAGCCGGGGTGGTGACAAGCATGGAGTAAACACACTTCTCATCCTCGGCCGTCTTCAGGATTTCATTTTGCTCACCACATTCCAAGACGACCTTCGTGGATCGGTTGGGACCGTTCCAGCAGGATTGGCCACGCTCGTATTCCAAAGCGACCTTCTCAACGGTGATGACATCTCCGGCTTCGTTGAGTTCCTCAACAGTGGTGAGTGTAATCTGAGTGAACTTGCCCATGGACGTGACCGAGCCACCCTTCTTCGCCACCTGCTTCGTTGAGTCCAAGAAGCAGTGCTCGTACTTGTACTCACCGGCATCCTTTTCGATGCATTGGCCTTTCAAGGCACGGAATATGCCCCCGGTGCCGTAGTCTTTTTCAAGATCAGACTGTTGATCACGAATCTTGTTGTTTAAGTTGTTGAGAGAATCTTGGGCGGACTTGAGTGCATTGCGCGCTTCAGTCACAGCCTTGGATTCAGTGGTGGAGTCGCTGCTAGGCTTGGCCAGGATTCCTTGGTCTTCCAGGAAGGCCTTCGCAGCAAGGACCTTATCCTCGATAAATTCGACCACAGACGGAGGAAGATAAGCCGCGAGCTTGTAGACTGTGATTATTCGTTAGTGGAAGCTTACAAGCAATCGGACAGAGCATTAATGGTACCTAGATCAGAGTCGGCACAACCGTCTTCTTCATTCTCCCAGTGTTCCCAATCGACGCCTGAGTCCTTATCATCGGCCTTGACAATCTCATCAAAGTCACGCTCCTGGGCATCATTGATGACATCGCCAAGATCACGGGCGGCATATTCCTCCCAGCTGCGCACAGCGCGCTTCACACCCTCATCGTTAAAGTTAGGATTGTATTCGATCTTGAACTTGGATAAGATCTCCTCGAGCTCCTTCATACGATCAAGAGTCTCATCTCTCTGTTGACGGAGCTCCAAAATGCTCTCGCGCAGCTCCTGCACTCTGGCCTTCGCAACACCCGCAAGAGCACTAACCTTGCCCTTGCCCTTGGTCCGAACGACCTTGCGATCCTGCTCCTCAACAACCTTCAGATTGGCCTCAAGACCCTGGACATTGGCCTCCGCATCCTTAATCTCAACCTCCAGCCGGGAAATGTTATCCTGGATTTCCTGCTGCTGCCGACTGGCTTCCGCAAGCAGCTGCTTCTTCTTTTTCAAGGCCGCAGTCATAGACTTCTGCTTAGCCTCCTCCTCTTTGCGCCACTTCTTGCCGATTTCCTTGCATCGGTCCTCGCACTTTGTGCCTCCGGGGCGTGCCCACTCATCACTACCGTCACAGCATAATTGATAATCGCAGATTCCGTCGTTGACACGCTGGAAAGGCACGAAAGATGGCCGATGGCCCTTGTTCTTGCAGTAGTACCCGGGAAGGGCTAGCGTGAGCTCCAGCTCGCTGTGTCCAGGACGATCGGCCACTGTCAGTGGGGAATTGCGCGAGAGATGCGAGCAGGCAGCGGTGCCGGGCTCGTCACTGCCGTCGGGACAATCACAGAAGTCGTCGTTGACGGCCGAGAACGGGATCTGGACGGCGGGATTTGAGATACAAGTGAATGTTTTCGCGTCCTGGTAGAATTTGGCAACTGTGAAATAAAGTAAATGGCATGTTTAGCGCTTATTATCTTTGAGTATAGCCCCCATTGATGGCCCGCCGGGCTGTGTGGACACCTCGTCCGGGGGTGGGGATATAGGATCTAAACACTCACATTCCGGTGCAACACCACGGGGGCGGGCAACTTTGTCACTGCTAGCTTGGGCGGAGGCCCCGGCCACAGCCAGCAGGAATAGCGACTGAGGGAGTCTCATGTTTAAGGCATTGAGCTGGGGAGAAGTGCGGAGAGAGCTTTCGGCCAGCTGTTGTGATCCCCCGGCCAATCTAATCAGTGCTTACTAAGCCCGCTATCTCTGCGTCTTTATCGCAGTGGCAATGAGTTAGTTTCATCACTTGAAGTATTGATCGCGCATTCATCGCATCGCTTCATCCAACATGGGTAATGACGGTGGAAGGTAAGTTAAAGTCGTCCAGCTGCAAATTATGCAGGGCTATCTCATATATCTAAAGCTAAATCCTTCACAGTATCCCCACCCGCCGCGAACTCGTCCGCGAAGCTGCCCGCGCCCCGACTACAGCACAATTAAAAGAAACTCAGCGCGAGCAGCAAGAACACGCCTGGACGACTTGCCCACTTTCGCACAAAGTTCTCGCTCGACCGATAGTCTCTGACTCAGTTGGGAATCTTTACAACAAAGATGCTGTACTTCAATTCTTGATCGGCGATGACGCCGAAGGCATTAGCTCCAAGTCCGACTGCGAGGAGATCCTATGTGGACGAGTGAAGGGACTTCGGGATATTGTCGAGCTTCACTTTGAGGTTGATACTGAGCGCACTGAGCACCCGTCTGATAAGGTCAATGCGCACCGTCATCAGCGCCGCGAGGGCTGGATTTGTCCTATCACCGCGAAGCCGCTTGGCGCCGGCGTGAAGTCTGTCTACCTTGTGCCATGTGGCCATGTTTTCACTGAGGAGGCAGTTCGTCAGCTGAAGGGCGATAAGTGTTTGCAGGTGCGTGGGTCCGGTGTTCTACAGAAGAAATATGGTTTCTAGTGTTCTGACATTTCTACTTTCCAGTGCGACGAGGCCTATACCGAAGACAACATCATCCCCATTCTACCGACCAAGGAAGAGGAAAAGCAACGCCTTATCGCACGTGGCCAAAAGCTCGCTGAGCAGGGCCTCACGCACTCGCTCAAGAAAGCCCCCGGCTCGAAGAAGCGCAAGAAGCACGCCACTACGGAGAACTCGGTTGATGCTCCCAGCAACACTGCGGATGCGCCTAAATTGGCAGCTGGAGCTAATAATCGGAGCAATACTTCCACTCCCACACCTGGTGGTAACATCAAGAATGCCTCTGCTGCAAAGATCGCTGCACGCGTTAAGGATGAACAAGATGAGAAGAATAAACGTCAGAAGAGAGCCGGCCTCAATGAAAACTTGGATAGTCTTTTCACCAAGAAAGACAGCAGTAAGAGTGGTGATTTTATGACAAGAGGCTTCACTATTCCGGCTTCGGCGAGGCGGTAGCTTTCTTCTTTTGCATCTTTTGTTACGGGAGTTTGGTCTGGGGTTACGGGGAGTCTTTCTGCGCTTTTTGATTGCTGAGTCAACACCGGTCATGAAGACTTGGAATTCAGGCATGAACTACATACAACAAAATGTATATTTTATCGACTCAAATCTCGAGATCATTTTTTCCTATACCTACCAATAACTTCTTATAACATACTCCAGTGCTGTGCTACGTGGACCAAGTGCAACCTAAGGGAAATGGAGAGAGCTATGGCGAATAACAGTCAGCCATGGTGTCAGTTTTGGGCTTGAATCTCCGAGATCACGCGAGGGGCCTACCTGGGTGGGAGAACTAATGATGTTTTCAGTAGTGGAACAACCGCTGTTTAGGATGGTGGCGATGATGCGACTTTTTTGCGGACAGTCTGTCATTCAATTTCATGCAGGCCTGTGAATTACATGACATCTCTAAAACCAGACGTGGAAAGTGGAAAGCAATTGATCAATGAATCGAAATGCAATGTAGCAAAAAAGTATTTCTAGTATACACAAATATATCCTGATATCAAAACAGGGTTTCCCAACAAAGCTCGTACTTCCACATCTCATGCACATATAGTACACAGATATTTACAATGGAGAGCATACTTAAACTCAAACCGCTAATTGCAAACTGCACGCTTGCGGGAATCAGCGAAACTCCTTAGGCTTCTTCTCATCCCTGGCGATAAGCAGACCTCGGCTGTAGAGCTCAGAGTAGATGGTCTTCTTTCGGCCAAGATCCTCGTCATGGTCGGCCCTGGTAATACGCTTACCGCTGAACTTAAGGTTGGGCGGTAGGTAACCAGCAGCCTTGACCCTAGCCAGCTTCTTGGTCACATTCACCGGCTTTTCCTTCAGTCTGGTGGAAAGACCGGCCACGAAATCTCCAACGGTAGCGGAGGAGCTGATAACCTTGTCTGGGATGCGACGGCCCATGAGCTGGGAGCAACGCTTTGCGAACTGTTGATGTGAAAGTTAGTGTTGATTTCTGGGATGACAAGCGGGGGAAACGAACGGCAAATTTGATCTCGGAGTCAGTTAATGAGAGGGCATGGTGAGGTCCTTGGGTAACTTTCTTCACGGGCTCGCCCTCAAGAATGAATTGCTTAGGCGACTCAATCTGAGCTTCTGTCTTTCCACCAATCTGACTGAAGACAAACACAAGCGCATCCATGGAGTCTTGGTTCGGGAACCGCAGGGCAGTGCCCAGAGGCTCAGAGCCCAAGACAACACAACCATCAAGCATATCCTGAATCTTGGGGTCGTGCGTAGCAACCTCACAGATGCTTGTAAGAGGCTTGCCCAAAAGTTGCATCAAAGAGATCTCGACAGCAGCCTGGTGAGCGGCTTGAGGAAGTGCGCGGGGCTTGACATCGGCATCGTACCTAAAAAGGCAAATCAATGGTTAGCGAATTGATGTCTCGTGATCATTTGAATACCGCAAATAGTAAACCGCGAGAGGAGCAGAACATACCGAGCGTAAGCATCAGCTTCCGGATTAGAGCCATCAGCCAACCATTCCTGCTCCTTGGTAAATCCAATAACATCCAATCCATCCCAGGTCTCAGCCTGCACATATGTAGATCCCGAAGCCAGATCTCCCTCCGGCGCAGATTCTCCAGCTGCAAGACCACCCTCTTGGTGTGTCATTTGAGACTCTCCAGTGTACGGGTCCTCTGCGCCAGGAGGCTTTTCTGTGTTCCAAAGGCGGCGGCGGGTCCGGTCGAGGAGGGAAGGGGAGTCGGAGGAACCGGAGGATGCATTGCGGCGGAATTGACGGGCGAGTGGGGATACGCGGGGAATTGCTTCTTGTCTGCAGTTTGAGCACACGTATAGCGCTTCCCGCAGGGGAATACGCATGGCAGGACGCATGGTTGTGGTGTGGGCTGGTTTTGATGTTTCAATTAATGCTTGGAACTTTTGCGCGGCGAAACAAATCTCGTGATCACGTGAGAGTCTTGGCATTTGATGGCGTATACCTCCGATGGTCTACCTTCAATCTATCTTCATTTGATTGCATAATTATTTGTCTTGTCAGCATTCTACGATCAGGTGGAGCGATATGAATAATATTTCCTTTTGTAACGGTTTCGAGTGTCTGTGGTGATTGAGACAGAATGACCATAGATCAACAAAACATGTAGCGAAAGGATACAAATAATATTATGCTAGACCTCACGGTCCGCCCTCTACTCATGAAATGGTCTAAAGTTTCCGTGTTCGGTGATCAATCTCTTGTTACTTAGGATTTCTAAGTGGATGAATTGTATATACATGCTTCGCTGATATCATACTATAACAGAACCGTAGATCCATACATCAAAAACTCAAAATGCGAACTTTTCTTTTACTCGCGAACAAACATACCGGCCATACCCATGCCGGTACCAATGCACATGCTGACAACACCAATGTCCTGGCCGCTGCGCTCCAACTCAGGAAGCAAATCAGCGACCTGACGGGCACCGGTAGCACCGAGAGGGTGACCAAGAGCAATAGCACCACCGTTGGGGTTGACCTTAGCCTGGTCAATGCCAAGCTTGCGAACACAGTAGATAGCCTGCGAGGCGAAAGCCTCGTTGATCTCCCAGACACCGACATCGGGAACGGAGAGACCAACCTGCTGGAGCAGCTTGGGGATGGCAACGGCGGGGCCAACGCCCATCTCATCAGGGGCACAACCGGCAACAGCGGTAGCGACCCAGCGGGCCTTGATAGAGCCGGAAAGACCGAGCTCCTCGGCGGTAGAGCGGCGCATGAGCAGGGTAGCAGCGGCACCGTCACTGACCTGGGAAGAGTTACCAGCAGTGCTAGCTCCATCAGGCTTGAAAGCGGGCTTGAGCGTGCCCATTTTCTCAGCAGAGATATTGTGACGGATACCGTCATCCTGGGTAACGGTGATCTCCTTAGCGGGAGCATCAGGGTTCTCGGGGTCGAGGATCTTAGTGGTAACGGGGATGATCTCGGAGTCGAAACGACCGGCCTTTTGGGCAGCGGAGGCCTTGGCGTGGGACTCAGCAGCGAAAGCGTCCTGGTCCTGACGGGAGATTCCGTAGCGCGAGGCAACATTCTCGGAGGTCAGACCCATGGGCATGATGCAGTCCTTGGCATCTTGGGAGTGGGATTCCTTCAGCTCGGGCCAGAGGACAGTGGGGATAGCGCGGGAGCCGTAGTTGCGAGTCATATGCTCCATACCACCACCGACACCAATGTCGAGGGCGCCTGAGCGGATACCGTAGGACACGGCAGTGATGGCAGCCAGACCGGATGAGCACTGACGGTTGATGGTGTTGAAGGGAACGGAGTGGGGGAAACCGGCGTGGATCTGACCCATACGACCGGCCTTAGCACCACCGAGCTCCTGCAGGACGGATCCGATAGTCACGTCGTCGATGAGTGCCGGGTCCAAATTGGGGTTGGCCTTCAATGTGGCGCGGAGGACGTTGGTGAGCAGCTCCTCGGGGTAGGCATCCTTGAATCCACCCTTCTTGGCGCGAGTGATAGGAGTACGCAGAGAGGAGAGGATGACAATGTCGTTGGGAGACTTCTGAAGCACCTGCTTCAGACCGCGAGGAATTGGGGAGGCCATGGTGTGTTTGTTCTAGTTATTATGTTTTGTATCGTAAAGATCGTGAACTCCGAGATGTATTGTTCTCGGGTGGGCCGCTGAGATTGAGGTTGCAACAATGTCTAGATGTGCACTGTACAATGGCCAAGAGTGGGGAGGTTAAAGAAAAAAAGAAGCAATTCCCCAAAATATTCCCCAACAATTCTGCCCGAGGCAAGAGGTTCTTAAGGAAAATGCCGGGTGGAATTCCGGGGTCGGATGCAGTGTGCTTGACCAGTACCGTTGCCCGGCACTGGAGATCGGCTAAGCGCTCTCCCATTGATGTGGGGATTCGCTTTCTGTACGAGTATAGACTTTCTTGGTCACAACAGCCTACATTTGTATACTAACCAACTCATAAATCAAGATAGCCTGTGACAACACTGTAATTAGCCACCTGTCTTTTTGCTAATTTTCCATCCCAAGTTTGACCACAATCTGACCAAATTCTCTCGGATGGACAACGCCGACCAAGTGCCGTCGGTTGCTTTGTCAGCCGGTCGGATCGGATGGCGGGATCTATGCCGATGAGGCGAATCGATTCCGGTTGACACCTGCAGTATACTACAGTAGTATAAAGTTTAAAAATCAATGTGTGTAAAAAATGCCTTCTACACTTCTCGGACGCATGCAGCCTTTAGTACAGCGAAGTGATGAGAGTCTAGAATATAATCATCTCATAAGAAGCCATGTAACTCAATAGCTATCAAACATCGCAGTAAACCTCGTGAAACAAATTCAATAACAAATTCAAAAACAACGATAAAAAAGAAAGAAAGAAGAACAAAATATCTGAGTCATGCATGATTTCCTCATAAATCCCTATCATTCATCAAGCAAAGCCAACGCCTTAGTTCTCCAACGCCCACTTCGACATCTCACGGGCCCACGAATTAAGCTCACGTGGGACAAGCCAGAACTGCACCGCAACAGTAGGTTCAAGATGGCGAATCCATAGATCCACAAGGCGCCACAAACCCTCGTTGGCAATTGGTCGACCTCTCGAGTTCTTCCACCCACTGGCCTTCCACTTAGGCATCCACTCGGTCACACCCTGATAGATGTACGACGAATCCGTCTGGATAACGAGTGTATGAAGCGGAAAGGTGTATTCATCACCATGCTTCGGCTTGTCCACATCACAGACATTAATGACCTCAATGAGAGCAGAAACACATGCCTTAAGCAAGGCGACCTGTGCTGTGTTCGGCTTTTCCTTGATCTTGGTAACGACGTTGTGTCCATTACCATGTCCGAAGAATACGGTCACCACACAGCGGGGCTGGATTTCGTCAGGTAGTTTGGCGAGACATTCACCGTCAATGGAGACCACAAGGCAGCCTAAGTGGAAAGGGAATTTTCCGCAATCAGAGCATTTGACTTGTGCGGTTGGGCATGCGAGGAAACGCCAGTGACCCCACACAACTGTGATATCTTGGGGCTTGAAATAGTCTGGGTAGAGGGCTGGATTGAAAATACGGCTTGGAGTGAGGTGCTCGTTTTTATTTTCTTTGTTGGCTTCCAATCCGCAGCGCTCATCGTAGCTGGGGAGTGATAGTGGCTGATGACCAACTCCACATCCTGGAGTGCTTACCACTGGATTCTGAGGCTTCTGCGCAGCGGCGTGAAATCAGTATAAGTAATGAAGAATTTCCACATTTCTGGCTTGTGAGGATGATGAGGGTATAATCATGGGCCTGTTTCCAGTTTTGTTTCACTTATTCGTACCTGGGTCTTCTGAGCGGTGGTCTTCTTCTTGCGGGCCTTTAGGGCGCGTGGACGGTCGCCCTTGATTATGTTGTCGGATTTGGTGAGGCCCTTACTCTTGATGATATTGTCGTCCATGATGATTGATGGATGGTTAGAATTAGTTGGGGATGTAGAATGTAGATGAGTAGTGAGTAGTGAGCGATGGGTGATAAGTTATGAGATATGAATAGATGGACAAAGAGGGGTGATCAAACTCTACAAACCACAAGTCAAAGAAATACAGATTATCATTGATGTATCTCGAATCAGCTAGAAAATATGACAATAACAAAGAAATAGAAAATCAAGATGCCTTAAACTCCATGTAGTCCGTATGGATCCTTGAACCTGAACGCCTGGGGAATCATGCGGGGGACATCTAGTGTCACGTAATAGGCATAAAAGCAGATGATATGGTACATTCAAACGCGTCAGTATGAACCACTGAAATAGATGAATGAGAAGTCAGGTTAATTGCGGATGATGTGACTGTAGTGCCCTGGGACTTTGTTCCGGCACTTCTCACAGTCGGCACGGTACCCCATAGCAATGGCCCCTTTCTTGGGAGCAGCACTCTCAGAGAGCTGCATGGCACGTGGAGTGGGTCGGCGAGTTAAAACGGGTGTAAGAAATGCTGGATTCTCGGGAAATTCTGGGGTTGGGGACCACCGAGGAGAGTGAGAGTACGTGGCCATGTCTGTGTCGCTTAGGGCAAAACTACTCGTAGACGTATCATTGCCGTCATCACTGGTGGGGCTTGGGAGCCTGGCAGTGCGCATGAAATAGTCTGGATATTCAGGAGCGACACCTTCCGAGCTTGGGTCTGGTTTAGGGGTGTTCATGGGGTCGTGTGCGACTGCACCAGGGCTGGGCCTCTGAATGGCTGCGAAGGCCCCATTGGCACTGTTTGATTGAATGGGGACAAAGTGAGGCAGATTGGACTGAGGAGGGATGCTCATGTCGTTGGAGTTCACAAACCAGGAGAGTTCATGGCTACCAGCCAGGGCAGTGGGTGGGTTTGTAGACGCGTTGCTGAAGGTGACGATCGGCGCCCATGGGAGTTCCATGACGTTTGGCGGAGGATCCGCCGGAGCATCGTGTGTGCTTGCTTTCTTGGAAGTAGCTTCTTCGTCAGAGGAATCCACGGGAGTCAAGGTCGGGTGCCGGAAAGGATTATGATCGAGGTCGATCGGAGACTCAGGGAGAGGGTCCGGTGTTTCCCATGGCTGACAAAGCTTCTGCAATTCGAGGATTGTGAGTGAGGAGCACTAGAGGGGTTGGCCAAACAAAGCTCACTGTTTGAGCTAAGACGCGTCGCGAGTGGGAGCATGAACGTACCTTGTTTTGTGGATCAAGCTCGGACGCCTTATCGTCGTCTCGCTGACGCTTGACCCCAAACATAGCTGGTTTGCTCACACAATGGAGCCGATCGCTTTGGTGGAGGGACCATGGAGAATCAACTAAGGCCGGGGAAGCAAGGGTAGAAAAAGTGGTGGAGAGCTGAACGCGGCAGTTGCCGTGGACATTTCTCCGAGCGGAGGGTTTTTTTTTTTGGCAGAACCTACGCCCTACTGCTACAGTACACTACATACTCAGCACGCCTAAGTGGAGTTTTTTTCATGCAATTGTCGTCACTTTGAACATGTCAACTCGGTGAATGTACAGAGTGACTCAGCTAGGTCCGATGACCCATATTCCATATTGCTGATCCCTCTGAGGTCACACTAACTGACTCAGATCTTCACAGGATATACATAGATGCATTGGCGTTCTAGTAGATCTACTGTAGATTCATTCTATGAGATCCGGTCTGAACTCTGAAATCGATAACATAGCTGATTTCATTGTCTAAGGCGAGGTCTGACATACCGTAGAAATGCAACGACAATCCGACCACCGCGGGCTGAGCACATGTGTGGGTCTTGATTGGCTAATATGATTCCCTCGCGACGCACAGAAACTACTAGACTTCATGTACAGTCAAATAATTGCGCCGGTCCGAAGGGATATTATCCTGGAGGCCTGAGAAACCACGAATGATAAATCCGATAGACGACAGGGATAGAAATCAAGTACGTGTTCAGACATTTGCAGAAGACCTGTCATAAGGGAAGGTCAACTAGTACCTCTTAAGAGGGCCCGTGAATCATCATCGACGGCTCCACTTTTAGTTCCATCTTCTTTTTTAACTGGGATTTCCACACTTTGTCTTTTCCTCGGTTCCTGGTTTTCTATTAATTCTTGAAGTCGGTAAGTTTCGTTCCTGATTCTTTTTCTCATTGACTTATTCTCTGCGGCTTCAATTCTGCTCTCCGATTTCTAACCTGTCAATTGCGGTAGATTCTATTGGCCCGTTAATCCCATCATGCCTCTCGTCACCACCAACGAATTCAACGAGGACACTCGTGGTAAGTACGACACTGCAGTAGAGTCGCAAAATTCTACAATCCCTCAATTCCTCAATTATCACCTGTTCATTATGTTAATCATCTTTTCTGCTAGTCCTCGGCTACGATCCTCTGCTGCCGCCGCAGTACTTGCAGACTGAGATCCCCGCGGTGAGTCATTTTTTTTCTGTTCCACACCCCGCTATCTAGATCCAAACTAACAAAAATGTATCACAGCCCGACCGTGCTATGAAGACCGTCCGCGCTGGTCGCAATGAAGCCGTCGAGATCATTGAACAGCGTGACGACCGTCTCCTGGTCGTCGTTGGACCCTGCTCCATCCACGACCCGGACACTGCTCTCGAGTACGCCCGGCGCCTGAAGGAGGTCTCCACCAAACTGTCCAAGGACCTCTTAATTATCATGCGCGCCTACCTGGAGAAGCCCCGTACCACCGTCGGCTGGAAGGGTCTCATCAACGACCCGGACATGGACGAGTCTTACCAGATCAACAAGGGTCTGCGCGTGTCGCGCAAACTCTACGTTGACCTGACTAGCACCGGCCTCCCCATCGCCAGCGAGATGCTGGATACCATCTCCCCACAGTACCTGGCCGATCTGATCTCCCTCGGCGCCATCGGCGCTCGCACCACCGAATCCCAGCTGCACCGCGAGCTGGCTTCCGGTCTGTCCTTCCCCATTGGTTTCAAGAACGGAACCGACGGTGGTCTCACCGTTTCCATTGACGCCATCGGCGCCGCTGCTCACCCTCACCGCTTCCTCGGTGTCACCAAGCAAGGTCTGGCTGCCATTACCAAGACTGCCGGTAACGAGCACGGCTTCGTCATCCTGCGCGGTGGCACCAAGGGCACCAACTACGATCGCGAGAGCATCCGCGGTGCCCGTGAGGCCCTGCGCGCCAAGAAGCAGCGTGAGGTCGTCATGGTTGACTGCTCGCACGGTAACTCGAAGAAGAACCACCTCAACCAGCCCCTCGTCGCTAAGGAGGTCGCTGATCAGCTGCGCGAGGGTGAGTCTGGTATCATCGGTGTTATGATCGAGTCCAACATCTACGAGGGTAACCAGAAGGTTCCCCCAGAGGGACCCTCCCACCTGCTGAAGGGTGTCAGTATCACTGACGCCTGCATCAACTGGGAGATGACCGTCGAGACTCTGGAGGATTTGGCTGACGGTGTTCGCGCCCGTCGCATTCTCCAAAAATCCAAGTCCAATGGTGCCAATGGTTCGCACTAGATTTCATGATGAAAGAGTAAAATCTTGCTTTATATCATTGAATATATCAAAATTGTGTATCAAGGCCTAGGGGGAAGAAAGCTGGGTTTTGGTTTTTTTTTGTACTTGAAAAGTTTCCCCATGGGGTCGACATAGATACCTTTTCTACGATTCGATAATGCAGCGTTTAATTCTCGGTTCAACTTTATTTCCTTTCTTTAAAGCTCTATGTTGTAGACGAGCTAAGTTGAGTAAGGTGGTGTGACCGTGTGAGGGTGTGTGCCCCAAATAATTGGTGTCAGCCCCATGCGTATGTATACAAAGTCAGAGCTTTCCCCAGACCCACTCCAATCCCCAAATCTTAAAATGACAGCTCTGTTTCTGATTTAAAGTGTCCACAGGATCTACGAGATCGATTAAATTCTCCACTGCGGCGCAGAGGCCAGACGTGCAGGGTTTGAGGGGTTGTGGTGGTGAGAATTTCTCAGGGGGAAAGCGCTTTGCCGGTGGCTTCCCGATGCGGAATGGGGCCTCCCCTCTTACGGTTAGTGGTGGACCGACGTGGGAGGACGTTTTTCCCTCAAGTACTGTCTTGGATCTGTTGTGGGGGTGTGAAAAGCCATTGTGAATGGTTAAAATGGCTTAGGGTGCTCACAGTGGTTGTTGTGTCTCGCTGCGGACGAGGCCGGGGCCAAAACAACAGAATTACTGGGCTGACACCTCAAACTGCGGGAGTTCAAGTCTCAAACTTATGACAGTCCGTTCTATAAAGATAACTTCAGAGAAATGTTCACTTGGATATTTGGGAGGAAAAATAAACACTGCCACTGCTGTCCTGCGTGGCTTAATATATTCGCTTGTGGACAAGCAGCCACCTCTACTCTGCCATGTGTAGGCTCCGTATAGCCAAGCGGGAAAAGCCTTATTTCAAGATACAAACGCATTGCATGCACTCTCGAGGATCTTTACGGACATCTTGAAAGACCCGGCCATACAGAAAACCTGTTTGATTATCGACGCCCTAGACGATTGCATCGAAGGCCCCCCATTACTCTTGGATCTGATTTCCCAAGAGTCATCTGCCTATCCGCAGATACAATGGATCGTCTCGGGTCGCAACTGCGCATCATTCTGACCCGGGGTGATTGATATATAGAACCCTCATACCGGCCAACAAAGATTGACCTTAGGATCCCATCTGTTGGTTGGTCAAAGGATGGAATTAGGTTCGCATCGGTGTCCCATAGAACGACAATCACGATTTGGAATACCATCACAGGTCAATATATATCGATACTTACAAGGCATGGCGATGATATTTGACTGTCGCGTGATCCCCTGACGGAACAATGCTTGCATTGGTCCCGTTTCTTCAAGAGTCCGGCCATGGAGATGATGTCGAAATTTATGATCTTTCTACTGGAAGGTCCATGCGGAGATATCCCGGGAGAGTAGAACTGTAAAGTATCCGCCGTTTTCTGGGCATACGATAGGACACGACTCGCAGTAGGGGAGAAAACGAAAATACAGGTCTTCGACTTGATCAATGATCAGACCATACTGACGACAATATACATTAAAAATACGCTTTGTCTATTTCATGGTCTCGTGATGGGACCAAACTCGCATCGACGTCAATGGACTGCACAGCCCATATCTGGGACATAGATACCGGCCAGTGTATACTAACGTTCCATGTTGGTTGCTGTGGCTGGCTTCAATTCGATGAACTCAATTCAAGTATTCTACATACGAATACCGGCACGCTGGATCTTCAGCCCTGCGTTCCTGGTAATGCTTCCTACACAGCCACTCCTGGTAGGTTGTCCCCACCACGATGGATAGGATACGGCTTAAAGCGTGACCGTTCCTGGATCACCTTTGACAGACATGATCTTCTAAGGCTACCCCAAGAGTACCGACCAACAAATAAATCTTCAACAGCTATATCAGGAGCTACTATGGCGATCGGTTGTTTCTCAGGCTGCGTCTTGATCTTGACGTTTTCTGAGAGTAGCGCTCTGTTTCCTGTGTCACAAATGATCTCATAGGATTTACATTGGGAAATTGGTCATCGAACACGCGCAATACCAGGATTAAAAGCCATATCCAAGGTACTAGAACAGACGAAGTTTTTGGAATTCATGGTGGTAATTTTACATATCGAGTAGATAAATAGATCTCATTTCAAATTACATGTCGGCGTGTTCCACAAGGATTTTCTTTTGACGTGGGCCATGGGTAGGAAAGACAAGAGTAAAGAAAGATAAAGCTGGAAAAGGAGAAAGGAGCTGGTTTTCTATGTACTGTACATCAATATACACGGAGGCTTCCCTCGGATCTCAAAACAACCACAATCAGGTAGAAACACAGGAGTAAGAAGAAAAGAACATTGTCAACGCCAGAAACCCCCACGATGGAAGCAAATTGTGAGGAAAACCATCACAAACTGCTATGCAAAAAAAAGAGACGAAACTTCATATGTCAAGGATTAGGACCCGGAATGAGAATGCGTGCAGGTTATAATCCACGCCTGCGATATAAATAAAAGCATCCTTCCCTCTTAGCCCATCAAGCTTTTGTTGATTCATTTTGAAATCCACGTTTCTCTACCGGCCAGTCATCCAGCTGACCCAACCCTTGGTCTTCTCCTTTGTAGCCCGCTCGGCGTTCTCGGCAATCACGTCCAACTGACCAGGCACAGCTGCATCAGCAAAGGCCTTCTTCACATTAGCAGCCTCAATTATGCTGGACTCGGCACTCTCAACTGATGAGGCGGCGGTAGTCTGTGCGGCGGGGGCAGCGGTATCCTCCACATTCATCTGGCCGAACAAGAATTGCTTCGCCTTGGCCCACGGGCGCTGTGCCTTCTCCTCCTCACGTTTCTTGGCGTAGATCGCTTCGATCTCTTCTTTCTTGACGAGCTCCAGTTGCTCAGCATTAGCGGTGCCATTGGCCTGCGCGATGCGAGCCTGCTTGAGAGTCTCCATCTCCTTCTCGATCCACAGTGTGCGTTGACGGCGGTTGTACATTGTCAGCGAGACCATCGAGTAAACGGTAAGGACACCGCAGACACCTAATAGAGACAGAGCGTGTTAGTCAAGATACATATGAGGACGGGTTTGATAGGTCCAGGACTGGATGTGAGTATGGTTGCTGTGTCCTGTCCTGTCGCTCGAGGGGTAACCAAGTCTAGTCAAGAACGTACCCGATGCGGCAATCAATGAGTAAACCATGCCCTTGTGAGCCTTGTTGGCGAAGCGCCGTCCATATTCAATAAATCGATCCACACCAGATGAAGACTGAGCCATCCGAGCAGCCCGTGCCTGTGCTCGGAGTCGTTCCACCTTCTGCTTCGGAGTCTCGGGCATGCCACCAGGACCAAGTGGTTGAGCTTGCTTGGGCTGTGTTGCATTATCCTTCGATTTCAAAGACTCGGGCAGGTCATAGGGCGCGCCGGGCTTGGAGCTGGCGTATGGCCCGGTGGCCGTAAACCGCGTTGCGTCCGCGGCGGATCGGGACATTGTCGCGACGTCTCACTCGCAAGGGGGATGTATTCGGGGGAAAAGAGTCAATCGATTCGAGCTGCGTCAGTCCCCTGAATCGAATGTGGCTTGCAGGGGTGAGTGTAAGGGCGCGGCGTTTGGGGATGGAATCGGGTATTTGGAGGTGGAAAGGTAAATTTTCAGCGGCCGGATGATGCGCCAAGACCGGACAACAGCTTCATCCCGAATTATGGCACGACTCCCGATACTTCACTTGACAGCCTAACGCTTTTTGGACTTTTTATGGGACTTTTTACTCTAAACTATCTCATTTCTGGGTGATCGCTGGAACCTCATATATTTCATTACCATTTTACCATGGCTGGCCATTCTAATCCCCCGGATTTGAACGCCGTGCTTCAAACACTCTCCAGCCTTGCTTCTCAGGGTAGCTCATCTGAAATCTCTCAGCCGATCTCACTACAGCCTCATGCTTCTCGGCCGTCAAGGGCTGAGCCAAGTCATACACCCCGGCCGGTGCATTCAAATCCACCAAAGCCGAGCACTCCTACTATTGACCCTTCGACAATTACTACTTGGCCTGCAGCATTACGTTATGTCATGCGGACCGTGGGCCAGAACGAAGAAACCCAGCTCCGAATCCGTGGCTTGATCCGAAGCCAGCATAGCCATGAAAGGCAGTGGTGGAAGGGTCGTGAGGCCTTGCTTCAAAGGCAGGGGGCTCGAGGGGATAAACAGAAAGAGCTAGATGCAGTCTTGTAAGAGCTGGTACCTCTGTTCCAAGTGAGCCTTATGCTAACGATGTTTTCTAGACGATCGATTGGCGCACCCGTTGAATCAAAAGAAACATCTGTAAGTTCCCAATCGTAAGGCCAACTATCCATATCTCACGCACACTAACAACCCCAAGACCACAGAAGAGGACCAAGCAGAACTTAAAAACTACGATGCAAAGATTTACAAAGCTTCTATGCAGATGGCAGATGCCTTAACAGCAGAACTGCGCGGACACCAGATCCCTTTCTTTGTTCTCAAGAAGAGTTTGGTTCAAGACTCAACATCGTCAGCGGATCTTGATGGTACACCTGGTATGGATCAAAAACTGTCCAAACCAGACCTCATAGAACTGCAGCGTCGCATGCTGCAGTTGCTTGAGGATCTTTGCAAAGAATAAGCTTCGGATGGACTTATTGAAAACATGATAGCTCATGCCCGGCTTCGTGGATGCTGCGCTTTATTGCTTGGGTTTCATATTTCCAATCCGCATCTTCATCAAAGTTGATCACTCCAAGTCGCCCGAGGGATCTGCGGTATTTCTTCGGGCCGAAGGAAAACATAATGCGCGGAAATGCCCCACATCATAAATGACAGTTATGAATCATGCCCGCTTCTCATATACACCACAAGGAACTTCAAAATGTCGGAGATTACCAATTAGACACAATCCTGACTTTACTATTAATACAATACCAACAGCCACTTATCATTGGATGACTCTTAAGTGGCTCCGTAAAGCCTTGAAATGCCTATACATTCTCTCCTTCCACCTCCTTAATCTTGTTCTCCACATTGTATGCCTCCGCCGCACGTCTCTCGGCAACGGTGACATAGCCACGGAACTGAAGTGTGGGAACACTGTTCATAAAGAGCTCATCCAGCTCCTCATAAGTGCGCATACGCGTCTCTGGCACAAAGAAATATGCAAGGGCAATATATCCCAGCATAAAAGCACCAAACACAAAACCAATTTTAGCCTTGAGGTTGCCGTAATCCGGGTTGAAGATGTATGGAGAGACAAATGACCACATGGTGTAGATCGCCTGTTCAACGGAGATAGCCAGAGCAAGTGTCTTCGTGCGCAGAATGGACGTCGGAACCTCACCGGCAATTGCGTATACGTTGGATCCCACGCCTGCATTGAAGACGAAATTGTACATGGTGTAGAAGCCCACAGCGGCAGTGATACCTACGGAGTGTTAGTTAGGAGTTTATGGGGTTGTAATGGGTAAGAGAAAATGGGTAAGAGAATTGGTCATACCTGCTGTTGTGTTCACTGAGCCTGCGATACCCATACACAACAAAAGAATTGTCAGGGCAATACAGCCACCGATGAACATTGGACGTCGACCCCCGAAGTCACTGACCAAGAAAGAAAAGATGGCACCCGAGATAGACAGGATCTGAGCACCAATCTGAATCAGGAATGATTGCCGATCACCAATTCCAAGGTACTGGTACATAAGAGAGCCATAATTCGACACAAAACCCAGACCAGACATAGGTTCAGCAGTGAATACAAGCATGGCAATCATCGTCCGGCGCAAGTTGGTCCCTCGGAAACATTCCATATAAGAAACTGTCTTCTGGGATTCGGCTTCCTCGAGAGTCAACTTGATTCTCTCGAAGTGGCCTTCCGCATCATTAGGGTCACTGTACAGGCGACCCAGCACAGCACGAGCAGCAGTCATTTTGCCCTTGTGAACAAGAAAGACTGGGGACTCGGGCATGAAGATTTGTCCAACAAATCCAATCACTGCAAATCCCCACTGAGCACACACCAGCGATTTCCAGGACCAGTCGTTATCCCATGAAGATGTATAGTAGGACATGATAGCAGAGATGAATGGCCCGATGCATTGTGAGAGATTACAGAAACCAATCACCGAGGCTCGAATAGCAAGGGGTGAGATATCAGCCACATAGGCCGTGCAGAGGTTCTGAAAGGCACCAATAGCCACGAAATTCATCATTTTCCCGCCGAAGAACATGGCAATAGACGTAGTTGCGAACTCCACGCCGACTGAGGCAATGTTTATCGCGCACGCGAAGAGAAGAACGGGCTTGGTGCCAAAGTGATCCGCGAAATAGGATCCTCCCCACGCACCTACAATGGCCGCTGCGTTCGATCCTCCATTCAGTGCAGACTGCCAGTCGGTACTGATGAAATAGGATCCATCGGTGTTCATCTTGCCGAACCGGCGTTTGAATTCCGTGATGCTGATTACCGAGCTGGAGGATTGGTTTTCGAATCCGCGGACAATTAGTGTCCAGAGCATGACACCGATTCAGAACAGAAGACGTGGATCTTTGCACAGGGTCTCCCAGTAGCTGCGGTTGTGCTCTTGCTGTTGAATCGCACGTCCACGGAGCTCATTCGCGCTGGGTGCAGCTGTTGTGTCTTCCAGCGTGTGCTCCACATGGCTGGTATCCTCCTTTTTCTCCATGATAGTATTTGTGGAAAAAGAAAACCAAAACCAAAATCAAAAGAGCCCAGGTATGTTCCAACACAAGGCGCACGACACGAGACACAAAGGCCGGGAAATCGTCACTTAAGAGGGCCGATCATTACCCCCGAGGTATACCCGGGTGTCTTCCCCGGATTTCCAGATCTGGGGATGTCTGCGGGGTGATGCATGATCCGGAAAATCCGCGCGTGTTTTCAGAACTGTAGTCTCGGGCTTTCATCGCCCGAATCCTTGTTTACGGTAACATCTCGGTACTTGGCTTCTTGGCGAGTCTTGAAACCAGGCCTAAGCAGCTTTGTGATCGGCCCATCTTCGAGCAGACAAGGGTTGGATTCGGCTCTTGGGCTTTCCAACTGGCTCTGCTCGGGTTCGACGATATGTTGCCTCGCAGGATGAAACTTTGTTGCCGGAGACTTTCAAACTGAGCGACTTTCATCAGCCCGGAAATGCCGCGCCGTAATATAGTGAGGCCTTTCGGGTCTTGTTAATAGTATGATTCGATTAATTCGTTTGTCTGCGACTCTCGTGAGTGTTCCCCTATATTTATGTATTGATTGCGTTAGCAGAATGTAGCGTAGGTAGTATTTCGAGTGAGGCTCAGATTGACTTGAGGGTTATATGTTTCATCTACATCAATGCAGCATTCAAGTGTCTACTTGCATGTGGGCCATGCACTGATTAACAGACCCCACCAAAATACTGGGCTCTTTTGGTCTAAAGATAAATGTCAGATACACTACAGAGGCTTGGAAGCAGCTTATACGTGGTAAAGCTGCCCCACTGATAAGGGAAGCCAGGATCGAGGTGGCTATAACGAAGCAGTGAAACCCCGCATTTATGATGCTGGCCATACTCTCTTCACTTTGACCCGAAATACCAGCTGTCTATCTGACACATAATGGCTACTAGATCGCGCAAAGGATGCATTTCCTGCAGGCACAAGCCAAGATCAAATGTGATGAAGTGCATCCGGCGTGTGGGACCCGCGCTTCGGCGCCGTCCGTGCAGCGGATACAGTGGGTCATCATCTGGCCGTATGCTGTCACCCAAGCGTTCAGGTACTGCCAAACTAGTGGAAGCGAAGCGTCGAATGTCTTTTATCTCGGATTCTTACATGGTCACCGCACATCCAGCAGATCATGACAAAAATGCCAAGAGCGTCGCGATAATATACACGGGATATTCGGCAACATGCACCAAGGCAACATATTACCTGTAATCAATGACATTAGAAACATCAAATAAGGCACCGCCTCTCATGAGAACACCCTACTTGATTTCTCTGAATGAAGTTTTGGCTGCGGACAAAGCTTTCATCGAAGTATATTTCTTGCGATACCCTTCTGAAATAATCATGAACAACGATGTCTTCGTGCAAGAGATGAATGGAGCCGTTATATCCCTCCTGCAGCAAAGCCCTACAGCAGTCGGGGACTCGCTAGCGGCTATCGGAGAAAGTTACGTCAAAGATTCTGTGGATTTAGACTTAGTGTTGAATCGCAAGATGCGCCTTCTCAGTCGACTACGACTGATTGACGAAGGTGGAAGCAACCCAGAGCTAGTTCTGATGCTGCTACTGGCGCTTTGTGGGGTTGAGGTATTTTTGAACCTAGGGTTACAATGAATAAGTCTGCTGATGAGACGATACAGCTTGTGAACCCTCAATCTGATGATGGTGGAAAGGCACTCTCCGCGCTCATCGTCAATGTTTCTCTCATTTTAGAGGTCTATAGTCGCCAAGGAAAGGAGCTGACTAGAATGGCTAAATATTTCGTGAGAGGGTTGGCCCGTCAAGACCTTCTGATTTCTCTTTCGCGCATGCAACGCACTAAGATTGAACCGCGTATCTGGCTGGACGAGTACTCCATGTGCCATGGTGACCGACTAATGAGATTCACGACTACACTAGCTCCAATCCTTTCGGAGCTTTCCGGTCTCGCTGAAGATGTTTGTTATGCTTTGGATTGTCGTTCCATCACCGATAAGAAATACGACCCTGCAGAGTCAATGCCTAATGACCTTGCCATTGGATGCACCAATTCATTCGAGAGGGAAGCAATCATCCGCGCTCAACTACTGACCTGGCGCCCTGTTCAAGATTTGTCCATGTCAATACAAGCGTCACATAAGTTTCTCCTCCACGCATACGCATGGAGAGCAGCAGCGCTCCTATACCTATTTCGTCTTTTCAATCGAGCAGGGAGTTCGACGAAAGCAGATACCGAAGCCCTTTCCATGGCCTACGAGACTGTGGCTCAGATTTCTGGCTCACCTCAAGATATCAAACTCTCTCTTTGGCCGCTATTCATCGCTGCGTGTGAAGTGGAAAAGCCCGAGGATCGGCTTCATATTTCCCGGCTGTTCGACGATATTTACCAGGCGCGGCCCATGGCCACCACCAGGCGTACCAAAACCTTTTGTGCTGAGCAAGTATGGCTTGCAAGAGATTCAGGTGCGAATTGGGACTGGATGTATTTGGCACGATGTGCATCCAATTGTCCCATCCCGCTGTAATTTATACGACGCTTAACGTTTGGAAATTTTCATCGGACACAAAGAGTAATGAGTCAAATTGGTAAATTCCAGATATAATACATCGATAGGTTTCCTTATCATTTCTCTATTGTTCTCATATGTTCCTGGCTCTTGTTGATTCACCTATTTGTCATAGCTGGATCGCAAGACGTTACATCTTGCTCTGGCTGATCTTCCACTCCTCCAATTTGAGCAACTTGTGAACCATACTCATGCACTGCGTCTCTACCCCCAAATCAAGAGAGCCTTTCTCAAGGGATTTCCTAGAATAACATCCAACTCCATTGGCCTTCTATTTTCCAGGTCCAGCAACATGCTCGGTCGATAGTTGCAATCATCCGGCAATCGATATGCCATCCACTCTACAATTGATTCCGGCATGAGATAACCAGCCGCTTTTGCAATACTCCATATCTCCCACATCATAGGAACAAGGATGGTCTCTCTTCCTTTGCTTCTCTGCAGCTCGCCGAAATCAATTCTCATCAAAGCACACAATGTTTTATACGTCCCGTTCCATAGCAATTTCTCCCACCTCGCAACCTGGATATCATCGACCCATTCACACACGCTTACGCCTCCCATATTGTACATATTGAAAAATTCTTTCGACCTCTCGATGCTGATCGCATCATCAATGCCAGCGTGAAGGTGAGGACCCATCTTTGAGACGTCTTTTCCAATTTGGACAACGGTATTGGGACTATTTATTGAACTTCCAATGAGGCTCACACTGCTCATCACTGCATTTCCGGGCCATGCCCGGATTACATCTTCTTATACGCGGGGCGATGGGTCTTCAAATCATTTATACAAGCTATTGCTTCTTTGAAAATCAAAAGAAGGAGAAGAAGGGTCTTCTGCATGAGAGCAATTCGACAGAGGAGGCAATGGAGGGTTTCGATGATCTCACTGACAAGCAGAACCGACATTTCAGGTATCGAATCTAACGCAGTGTCAAACTTGATAAGTCGATCAGCTCAATGATTCAATACGCCGATCGCGCAGCCACGCTAAGTGTTACCCAATGTATTGCACGCTCTGTCCAATGTCAGTCTCAAAATTTTTGTACTAAAGCTTATCAATAAAGTATACATGATTGTCCTTACTTCATGGGCTAGTACATAGAACCATGAGGCGTGGACAAGAGAGCCATCGAATCTTGATTGGGACATATTCGTAGATTTGTATTTCAAGGAATCAAAAGCTGCACTGACTGGGGCCAAAAGTCATGTCGAACGTCAAGGATGCCCAGTATATGCGTTGATCAACATGTCGCACGATTACGTTAACCTTCGAAGCCTGGCTAGGCAGCAGGCGGGGCTCAAATGTGGGGGGCCAGACCGTTATAAACCGATTTCCTCATTCAACTATAATCCATCTACATCAAAGATGTCATTTCTCCCACCTGAGATCTGGTTCTACGTCCTCGATGAACTCGAACAAACCAGTGACCGTATCCGGCTTCTCCAAGTCTGTCGGCATTGGAATACAGCGCTATTTGCCAAAGTGTACTCGAGTCTGATGATTCCCTTCCCCGAAAAGCTAGTCGCTTTCGCAGAAGCGCTTCATCAGAATCCCCGACTGAAGCCTCTCGTACATGAGCTCCATATCCCAGACTTCTATGCTGAACAGTTCGAAGATGTCCGGGTCTATAATCGCACATTGTTCCACAAGTTCCTGGAGTCCTTCGCGGACAATGACGAGGAACTAACCAAATGGGAAGAGAATCTAGACATACAAAATACATCTGCCTGGCTCACGGTAATCCTGATTTCCCTCCCCAATCTCCAACATCTCCATCTACGTTGGGGCGGTTATGGCTCAGAAACAGCGAATACACGCTGGGCAATTTCTAAGATCGCAAGCAAGTCTCCAAGGGAAGATCTGCCGTTGCAACACCTCCAAACTCTCACCTCGGTATATGAGGACGTCAAAGAGTGCTTCCCCGCAGAGGAATTCATTCCGTTCCTCAAACTGTCGTCCATGCGAACACTGCACCTAAGTACTATCATTGATCGTGTCAGCGACGATGAAGACCCGATTTTCGGTGTTTCTTTCGATCTTCCACAAGGTGTCTCCCGTGTCCGCAAGCTGATCCTCAAAAATTCCAACACTCCACACGGACTGCCTGAGTTCATAGCCGCGTGCGCGCGCCTTGAGCACTTCGAGTATCAGCACAACAATCAGTTCGAATGGGGGGAAGCGTACCGGAATTACCGGTGTCGAGTCTTCCGCGCGCCACTCTTAACGCAGAAAGATAGCCTGCGCGTGCTACGACTAAATGATGTCGGTGTGACGAAGCCACAAGAGGTGGATGAACCTGAAAAAGACCTTCAAGCGTCGAAGGCGCAGGCTTGGTTTGGGAGTTTGGTTGAGTTTGTGGCCTTAAAGGAATTGAGAATACCAGTGCGGAATCTCCTGGACGGCACAGCTAGTAAGGAGCCTAGCCTAGCTCTAAGTGAGGTTCTGCCCTCTGGTCTTGAAATCCTCGTTCTGACCAAGGTGGATTTCGTTGAGTGTTTTATGCTTGAGAGACAGCTCAAGCGCTTTTTGGATGTCAAAGAGCAGCAATTTCCTCAGTTACGGATACTTTCGCTACAAACATTTCAGATGGAGGTTTTTCCCGGTGAAAAGTTGAATTTGGAAACAAATAATTGGGCGGTTCCGAGGTTGGTAGAAACGGTGTTTGCGGATGTTAGGAGCATTTGCGAGGGACGTGGCGTTGAGTTTAGCTTTGCCCATGATGGAGATTTTCAGATTTTAGCCGATGGGGAGGTGGTAGATGATACTGATGAGTACGGCGGAAGAACTGCTTGGTAGGATCTTGAGATTGATGAATCCCTTACTTGGGTGAATATAAAATGTCACGACATGAATCATGCTGATGTATCATCGATTGCTCCACTTTGTATTTGGGATTCTCGGCGGAAATTAGGTGTGGGAATGCCTATAGTATTGTTCAACAATGAAAACAAGGAAAGACAATAAGCAAAATTGACGACCCTGTCCTGTATGCGCCTAGATATTTCACAAAAAGAGAACCCAGCAGTCCCTGTGAATGCTGATAGGAACCATGCAAGAGAACGGTCTATGGGGAGCTGACGCGACGCCACATGCTAAATTAAACCTCGGAGAGCAAAAGTACAAGACCAAGTTTAAGTGGATCCAATAATAAGGAAATCGACCGTAACAGATGAGAGAAACAAACAATTGGAGGCCAGGTATATGGTAATAGAAAAGAGAGAACACCAACGCCGCCCGCGCATATGCGCTTTTTTATTTTAGATGCGTAAAAATCCCGGCCTATACCTGGGATGGACTCAGACTCGATCGAGAGCGCTGAGAAAGAGATCGACGGCCGCGACTTGATGGTGCTCGATCCGTTGTGGGAGCGTGTTCAAAGAAAGGGGTCAGGTCTGGATTTTGACTCGGCGGGGTCTTGGAGGTTACAGAGTATTCGCCCAAAACACGGTCATCGGCAGCCGTATCAGGATGAACTTCAATGCCCTGCTGACCATCCAAGCCACCATGACCATCCATATTTGGGAAGCTCATGGAGTCGCCATCTTCGTGACCTCGTTCAATAGGCGACCATCCGGCGATACTACCGGCCACGATACCAGCCATGGCAGCGGCAGGTCCAAACGTCGAGTTGGATCGGGAGCGGGTATTGCGCCGAGAGCGAGACTCCGGGGTTGCGGGCATAGGAGGCGGGCTTCCGTTATCATCACCGGTTGGCGTGGGTGGAGCCGAAGATTCCCGAGACCGAGAACCGCTCCGAGACCGAGGGAGGAGTTCCTGCGGATGCTGAAGCTTGTGTCGAATATGGCTCAAGCGACCACCACGAACAGTCTTGATGAATGCAAGCTGATCACGAATCTCCTCCAGAGCCGGGTTCCACTCGTAGCGACGGTCCTCGTCTGAAACAACAAGCTCAGGACCAGCCTTCTTACGGTGCCAAAAGTGCGGGACAAGTTTGCTAGCGAATGAATCGGGAATAAGACGGATGACAACGGCTATCGGCAGTGAGATGGCACCAAGAACTAAGCTGACAGCCCACTGGCTTCCTTGATCGAGACGCTTGACCGAAAACGCTTGGCCACCAACAAAGATGATCAAGACTTGACCTCCAATGATGATGGTTTGGATGCCGATGAACCATTTGTTTCGCCAAATTCCTTCCATGATGTTGAGCTTGTTATCAATACGGCGAGAGTTGTACTGGTTGAAAATTTGCATGAAGACAAAAGTGTTGAACACAACCGTCTGCATGATATCATCATTCCAGGGAAATATGGATTGACCAGCAAAGTTCAGCACAAAAGTCACCACCAATTGATAGATCGCTTGTCCAATGATCATTTTCCACATAGTAACCGTGATAAGTGGAGACGATTTTGGCTCAGGTCGGCGGTCGAGGACGTATGGGGATGGGGGATCCGTTGCAAGTGCAAGGGCGGCAAAGGTGTCCATGATCAAGTTGACCCACAACAGTTGAACCGCACTAAGAACAGAGTCCTCTGAGCTGCTAGCAACTGCAGACACGAAGGTGAGGATGACAGCCGTGATGTTGACAGTGATTTGGAACTAGACATTATTAGCAACCGTGAAATTAAAAGCATCTGGGGTATGCATACCTGAAGGAACTTCTTCACCGCGTCACTGACCGTGCGACCCCAAGCCATAGCTTTGACAATGGACGCAAAGTTGTCATCCATCAGGATAATATCTGATGCCTCCTTAGCAACTTCAGTACCAGTAACACCCATCGCAAAACCGACATCGGCGTTTTTGAGAGCTTGGGCATCATTGGTACCATCTCCGGTCACAGCGACAGTCTCACCCAACTTCTTGAGTTGGTTCACAAGAATCTTCTTATCTTCGGGGCTCGATCGTGCAATGACCTGCAGTCTCGGGATAATTTGATTCATTTGCTTCGAGCTCAGCTTGCGGAATTGAGGACCCTCAATGGCAATACCACCGGGTGTGTAGATACCACATTCCTGGGCAATGGCTTTGGCCGTATTGATGTTGTCGCCAGTTACCATGCGAACAAAGACGCCCGCACGCTGACAGGTGTGAACGGCTTCCGCAACACCAGCCCGAACGGGATCCTGAATACCGAACAAACCGAAGAGACACATGTCTTTGAAGATGGACTCAAAGACAGCCATGTTGCGGTCACTTTCCTGAGTCGCGGCCCCACGAGGGGGCCACTGTTCAAAGTCCCGGTAAACGAGAGCGATACAACGCAAGGATCGAGATGTGTAATTTGTCATGATGGTGTCCAAAGTGTTGCGATTTTCCTCGGTAATGGGTACCTCGGACAACTCTGCAGTTGGGTCTCGGATGATTCGAGTCGATTTGGACATCAAAATCTCTGCAGCACCCTTGACAAGCATGCGGTATTTACCGTTCTCCAGTTGAATCACAACAGCCATGCACTTGCGGCTGGAATCAAAGGGAAACATCTGCGCAAGTTTCGTGCTAGCGCGACTCTCGGCAGGCGGCCCCATTCCAAGATGTTCGCGAGCAAAATGAAGCAGCGCAGTCTCTGTCTTGGATCCAATAAACTGGTTGACACCATCCTGCTCTCCTTCGAAGGCAGTGGAGTTCAAAACAATGTGTTTGAGAAGAAGATCTTTGACCGAGGGCGAGAGTGTTGCAACAAATTCTGCGGCGGACACATCCCCAGACTGTTCAGTGGCCGGGTCTGTAGATTTATCTCCAAACCTAGACGTAGTGCCCAGAGTAGCAGCAACAGCGCTCATTTTATTTTCGGTTAGGGTTCCAGTCTTGTCGGAGCAAATAGTCGTCGCATTTCCCATGGTCTCACAAGCCTTGAGGAAACGGACCAAATTGTTATCTTTAATCATTCTTGTCGTCGCAAAAGCGAGAGCGAGTGTCACCGCCAGCGGCAATCCTTCGGGAACAGCAACAACGACAATGGTCACGGCGACGATGAAAATCTGCAGGAAATCCTGGCCCTTCGCATCGGCACCGCCTTCAATGTCCTTCAATCGAACCAGGAACTTAATGAAAAGGACAACAAACAGCAGCAATCCAGATGCTAGACCAAGCTTGGCAATGTACTCGGCCAGCTTGTTGAGCTTAGTCTGCAATGGAGTTGTTTCACCTTCCTCCTGGAGGGACATCAAAGTTCGGCCATGGGTGGCATTCACACCTGTCGCAGTGACCAGAAATTTGCCCACGCCCTCGGATACCTTTGCGCCGGAAATGATAAACGGATCCATTTTTCGGAGATCTTCGTGGTGCTCGATAGCTCGGTAGACTTCATCACCAGGAGTTTTCCGTAAAATATCCGATTCTCCAGTAGCTGAAGATTCGTCACATTTGACGTCGTGGCCATCAATCAAAATACCATCGACTGGAACCATGTCGCCTGGCTCCAGGTGCATGACATCTCCGACAACGAGGTCATGGATCGAGACTTCAGCTGTCTTGCCAGATCGAATTACCTTGACCAGGCGGTTTTCCTTCTTCTTGTTGAGCTTGGCAAACTGTCGTTCTTTCTGCCAGTCATTTGCTGCACCCACTACTACCACAATGATAATGGCGATCAGAATTGCCAGGCCCTCGACCCATTCCACGCCTGGTTCTCCATTCGTGGGGTGCAGGGATTGCGGGATACCGACAGCAAGAGAGATGATAGCGGCGATCGTCAGTAGAATCAGCACTTTGTCGTTGTAAGCAATCCATGCCAACTCCCAAATTGTCTTGAGCTTCCTCTCTGGTAAGACATTAGTGCCATATACCCGTCGTCGGTCCCCAAATGACTGGTCTGATTCTGTAACAATCGAAGAGTTACCAGGCGGGGGCGCTGTCGGTGAGGATGCCTTCGTCGCAGGGCTGGAAGTGGTAACGTCCTCGAAGCTCACAGCACCTTCGAGTGTCGTCTCGTCCACGCTAAGACCGCTCTGCGCGTCAGTGCGCAACCCCTTTTCCAAACCACGCAATCCACCGAGCGCACGAAATGCAGCAAAACTCTTGGGATTGAGTAATTTGTTCAACTGGCCAGGAGAGAAGGCGAATTTGTTATTTTCCACCTCGAACTCGCTTTCTCGGCCTGGATCCGGGGTAAGCGCATCCTCATCGTCGACGTTGGCATTTTTCTTAATAAGATCAGATCGTGAGCCGTGAGACGCAGTGGACACATAAGTATCTCCGCCATAAGTGCTTAATGACTGGCTGGTATCCTCCGATTCCAACGAATTGCCGCGAGACCGTGTTCCAGGTACCGACAGGAAATTCGAATGGACCTCGGGTGTCTTGGTCTTGTTTGGGGATGAGATATTATGGGGCGAGGTTGGCCGGTCGTCTCGTTCACGATCCCGGGCTTCTGACGAGGCATTGGAACGGATGGACGCGCTGCATCGCATGTCTGTTGGGGAGACATTGCTGGGACTGCTAAGAGCATTTGTATCCGACTCGACGGTATCCGTGGAGAGCTTGAGCGATGGCTGGGGCGGAGTCGAGAGAAGTTGAACCGGGTAATCGCTGGCGTCGGGGGAGTTTACCGCGGAGGTATCGATGGTGATTGTGGGTGCTCGTTCTCTACGCAAGGGTGTCGCGCCTTGGGCAGACTCTTCGCCATTTCGATGCGGCTCGGACATGATGATAGTAGTTGAACCGATCACCGTTTATGCGGGCGGCACCTTGAAAGTGGCTGATGGTCGTTGCATGGATGGGGTAGGCAAATCCGGCAATGTAGATGGGTTGTCGTCTGGGTTGTAACTCAAGTCGAGCTTGAATCGGTGTAGAGCTGCTGGAAAGTTCTAGGTTCCATGGGCCCAGAATCGAAAGTCAGGATCGAGGGGAGTGATGAAGTCACAAATTCGAAACCCAGGGGGGAGGAAAGGGTAGAAAGGAGGTGTGAGTTGGCCGGAAGCAGAGAGAGAGTTTAGACTTCTCTCCTACACGCCACACCACAGATTGACAGCAAAAGACGACCAAAAGCCCCTTAGATCCACACGGGTCTCGACTTCTTGCCAATAATTGTCTTTGTTTTCCTATACCCGCTCTTGCAGATTTGGGTCCACTTTTCTAGCACAGCCCCAGTGGGGGAATGATCTGTCGGCTCTGAGATATCAACAGATAAACGTCCTGAATGCCCTTCGCTTAGGCGCTAAGGAGAGGGGAATAATCGAGGGGATTCGAACAAGAAGACCCGACAATGGACGGAAACCCGGCGGAGCACGAAGGGAGGCGATACGCCATTTTGCACTGCCTCAGTCGCCAAGCAAATCCGGGATCGGGACTGCGGAGGCCCAAGGGGGGGCGAATAGGGGCCGCTGTTTAATGTTTCCCCATCCTGTCGAACTTTTCTCGACCGTTGGTTGGAGATGACGTCCCAAATATGCAGCGCATTGGATCCACTTGGCCTTTGTGAAGTTTATTCCACCTACTGTAGATACCCAAGTCGAGCTTAGACGAGGCGTCTACGAAGCACTGGGTACAAGCCATGCGTGATTTGCCCAATTCATATGCAATATCCATGTTATCACTCCCGTGATATCTAAGCTATATACCGTGGGTCCAGTCGGAGAAACCCCCTAGCAATATATCGGTTAATATACGTGTGCTGAGTAGCCTCAGCAAGGACATAACCACCCTTGCAATAACTCTATGGATGTGATACTAGAAGCTGCGAGTGCAACACCTAGCAGAGACCTTTAGAAGCTCTATATCTGACTGTACCACTCGGATTATGTCTCATGTACCCCAACTACACCCAATATGGATTAAGTCATAGACCGTAAGCACATGGGAAATACTCCGGATATAAATCGCCTCAAAAACTCAAAGTGCCGGGAATTGTCATCCGTCATCACATCCACATCCAAGCAGCTCACCGTCAAAGAATAGGATTACAATGACCAACCCAATCAAGGACTACGGCTTCACAGCCGTCCCGGCTTCGGCCACTGTCCTTCTAACCTCAACGCAAGCATACCCACGCCTCCACGCAAACCCACCCCCAATCCCCGTCAGCGAAACCCCCATCCCCACCACGGCTCTAGCGCAACGCATCAACGAATACGCACAAATCCACCTGCCCGAAGCAACCTACAATCACTCCTTGCGCGTATACCACTTCGGTCTCGCAATCAAGAAGCACCGCCTCGCTTTCGAAGACTGGGCCTTCTCGGACGAGACATACTTCCTCGCCTGTGTGCTGCACGACATCGGCACGACGGATACAAACCTTCACGCCACCCACCTGAGCTTTGAGTTCTTTGGCGGGTTCCTGGCGCTGCAGCTACTGCAAGATAGTAAAGGTGGCACTAGTGGGTCCGCCGCGCCGCGAGAGCAGGCGGAGTCTGTGGCGGAGGCTATCATCCGGCATCAGGACCTGTGCGAGGTTGGGAAGATTACAGCTGTGGGACAGCTTTTGCAACTCGCGACAATCTTTGGTGAGTGAGGTCCGAAAACTTAACCTTATCCCGGTGTGCGCTACCGCTACCGCTATCAATGCCGATGGAGACATCCAGAGGTAGTACTGCACTGCCACTCTTGGTGTTTTCTTGGTCTTTTGCTTTCCCTATTCGGGACATCAAAGCGGGTCATCTATCTGCACTAGAACTTGTTAGCCGATGAATGGGTCCATGATGTTACAACGCTAGGTGGATTCTCTACCTAAATGATGCGTCATTTCATATGTCATGAGTCCTAGCGTGACCGACATATCTTGTCTACCCTCTATATCTCTTCATCTTTTATCATATCACCTGGTGATTAGAGTTTTTTTCTCCTGCTAGAGTGGAGTTATGGACTGATCGTCTATTTTTCGGCTCTTAGATAACACCGGCTCTTATGCCGATCTTGTCCATCCGGATACGATCAAGGACGTTTGTGCGCACTTCCCGCGCTACCAATGGAGCGGGTGTTTCGCTGCGACGATCCGCCGGGAGAACGGATTGAAGCCGTGGGCGCACACGACCGCGCTAGGGGAGGAAGCATTCCCGGCGAAAGTGCTGGGAAATACGTTGATGGAGCCATATGAGTGATTTGTTGCAGATTGGCAAACTTTTCGACTTGCCGAGGGTCTTCGGAGTAAACGGGATTAACTTGATGAGTAAAAGCAACATACGAGGCATAAAACTCATTACAAAATGCATTACGAGAAAAGAAATGACGAGCTTAATAACCATGGCAAATTGCTGTGATCGATGCATTGTAAATTCTAAATCCCATACGTAAATAAATCCTGCCCACTCATTTCACTGTCCGGGCCTAGAGTTTGTCCCTTGCTTGCCGCCTGGGCACCTGCTAATTGTACACACATGATTACAGTCACACAATTCACTTGCGTGGCTCGAACACAGCCTCATCGTTCTCGGGCCCACTAACGCGCCAGATGCCCAATGTCTGCCCATTGTCGTAGACACGGTCGTCTTTCGGGTCGGTGAGAACCATAGCCTTGCTGGACAAGGCCAAGGCATCCATGAGCTCAGCCATACGTTTCGACTTGGTAAAGCTCCGGGTCAGGTGCGGGGTGCTGGCGACCCAAATTGACACCGTCATACATTGTGTGAGCAGGAAGGGCTTTTCAAGAGAATGGCTGGCGTAGTAAAGAGCGTTATGGTAATCCAGAATCAAGTCAGGAAGATAAGTCTGGCGAATATATTCATAATCGCTTTCCTCTTCGGCTGTAATGATATTAGCAAGGTGGACGCTTTGATTGGAGGAAAAGACTGACCATCAGTAGCTTTGACAAGCCACTCCTCTACGACCAAGCCCACATTGGTCTCCACTTCCTCTAACAAGGCCGCTAAATCTAGCAGAGAATCCTTGACCGTACCGGAATCTCTCCGCCGTTTGGTCCTAAAATGGCCGTTAGATTTTTTTTTTCTCCTTTTTTCTTCAAATCGCAACCGAGATATACTTACTTCGAGATTTGGTCGTAGGCAAGAGCGAACTGTTCCAGAGCATCGAATCCAAGGGCCAGAGTTTCAAGGTTGTACATCCGAGTAGCCTTTTGGTAAGCACTGCCATCGCTGTTTAAGATGCCATTGCTGCTGGACAGGCTCCGACGGTGAAGGCTATTTCTCTTGGATTTCGACGGGCTAGACGGCGTAGAATCGGCTGGCGGCAGTTGTTCAAGGGTTGGGAATTCAAAGATATCCAGGCCAAATGTTTCCTGTGACACATTCGACAAATTCATCCGGTGGCTCAACTCACGAGCGGCAGCAAGTTTACCAGCGACTACAAATGTTAGTAAATGAGCAGGCAGATATGAGAAGAAACCTACCGAAGAGCTTGCGGTAGAGCCAAGCTCCAAGCTTGCAGATCTTATCCCACTGGCCGCCAGCGGAGCGAAGCCACTCCAGACTGCGAATCATCTTCTCATCCTCATCTGCAATAGAAGTACCGATCAAATCCTTCTTCGGCGGCATCAGTACTCGTGTGCCGTCCGGTCGCCGCACGACCCGGGAGTAGCCAGTGACACTACTAGAATGTTCAATTGAAGAAACACCAGCGCTAAGCCACGACCATTGAGCGTCAAGAACAGCTGCAACATCAATACCGTGCTTTTGCATATGCCGAATTTGCTGCTTTCTATCATGGGGGTCGGTGATCTCAATCAAAATCTTTGAGAAAACACTGTGACACATGTCTGTTGGGAGGAGAGAAGCATAAAGAGGGATAAGGTCATATAGACCCCTTTCTTCCAGGTTGGAAAGGTATCCTGCCACTATGACAGAAGCCGTTTCATAGAATTGAGTGTCGACAGGAGCATACCCAATGGATTTCACAACAAGATAAACATGAGCGGCCATTTTCAAGGCCTCGTCGTCATCTGCGGCGATGAGGAACGATTCATCCACTGGTAAGCCATTCACAGCAGGAACAATAGAGGATGCCCCATAGTGCTTGACGTTAATTTGAGAGACTGCCGTTGCAAATAATGAAAAGTAAGAGTCATAGCCCTTGCTGAGAATTGCAGCCTGGAGATTGCGGAAGGGATTACGCGACTCAAAACCGACTCGCTCATTGCCTCGCAAGTACTCGATGAACTTCTGCAGATCGGCATGACCGGCTGGCTCCGGCTTGAATGTGACAGGGGATGTAGGAGAATGGCTGAGCTTGTGCTGGAACTGATTACAGAAGCCACGGTAGCGTGAAAGCACAACCCGGTTGAAATACACGTAAAGGAAATCGTCCCAGGTGCTGCAGGCCGTGGTGGCGGGCTCAGATTCACCACAGAGCAGAGCATATACGGCCCGCTGGAACTCATCTGTGTCAGGGTTGCGTGTCAGAGCAGAGCAAGCAGCACGCCATGAGTCGTGGGAGTGGCTGTTCATCAATCGGGTCATCCCATCGTCAATGGGTGTTCGGGTTTTGGCAGTGTGTGTATCGACACTAGAACCGCAAAGACTGACAGCCCTCCAGCTCTCGAGGCGGGCTTGTGCCCATTCTCGAATCTTGGTCCAGTTCTCGCCCTGTCTCAGCATCTTCCAGCAAGTCATCCATGTAGCTCGCTCAAAGAACTCGTCCTGGGGTTGTAGGTCCTGCTTCTGCCGGGTAAGGGCATCTGGGTCTAGCTGCGTCACCAAGGGTCGTTGCCGGTCGTTGCTTAACAAAGAGCGTGAGACACTGGGGTCATTTGGCTCCAATGGCTGTGGCCAAGCACGCAGTCGCTTGTGTCCCTTGATAGCTTCCTTAGTGAACAGCCATCCGTGAGCCCACAGACCCTGGCCTCTTTCCGCTTGCGCTTCCATGTCGGCGATCAAAACGTCCAAATCCTGAGGTCCGGTCTTCGCCGTCTCCTCCAGCCATCTCATCGCAAGAACGCACTCCAAAGCATACCCATCAGCAGCAAGGAATTCCTCCCAGATTTCGCGATCTGACGAGTATCGGTGAAGGTTCTGGAATGCCGTTTGTTGCCCTTCTTTGAAGCTGGCGCGACTGGCCGGGTCATCGATACTGATGAGATTGAGAAGCAGGCGCCAGGTATCAGCCTCATACTGCAAGCGCATCACATCCTCGTCATCCTTTGCATCATTCCCATTGCTCTGTCGGAATCCGGTCTTTGCGCGCTTGAGGGTTTGCTGTTTGACTAGGTCTTGGATTCCATTTTGTGCAAGATCCCGGTAGCTTTCAACTAGTTTGTAGGCAGCTTGAATGCTCTGGAACTCATCGGTGGAATTCTTTCGCTTGAATTGGTCCAGCTTATCAGCATACGCCTCGATTTGGCGAGTAACGCGATCCGCAGTGCGGCGGAGTGGATGGAGAGCTTCCTGTGCGCCCGCAGCGGTGAACAGCTGAGGCGAGTCTAATCAATGAGCCAAAACTTCCTTTTTAGCGGCAAGGCAAGGAGGAATCGCGAAGGAGCCAGCTATGACATACCTTGAGCTCTGCCTGTCAAGCCCATCATAGACTTCAGACTGGGCTCCAAAACTGGGAAAGCGGATCCAGTCTCCGAAATATCGCCATTGGTAACGTCCATCTCCTCATCCATCTCGTCCATCTCATCCTCTTCTGTCTCTTCCTCAGTTCCGTCGTCTAGCTCCTCTTCATTTTCAGAGATGCCGTTTTCATCCATGCGCTCCTCGTCGTCCTCGTCGATGTTAATAATTTCTGATGTCTTGGGCGCAGGTGGAACCTGATCAAGGTGTTAGTGAGAAGAAATTGAAGAGTAACATATAGCGAAACAAACCTGCGACCGCAAGGTACGCGAAGACCTTGTGAGGGGAGCCATGATGCGTTAGCTCCTGTTGTTGATGGAAGAGAAAAGGGAAGCATTCATGTTTGTCTCTTTTGGCTGAGAGCGCGTTCGCCCCAAAGTGGTTTAGCTTGGTCGGCACGGGATCTAGTATTTAAAGAGCACAATTTTTTTTCCTTTCACTTTTTTCTTTTTTTTTCCACAAATGTCTATAGGCTTTCATTAGAGTCTCGGAACGAATCCATTCAATGTTTGTTCAGGTCCTTGAGGCCTCTCTGCGTGCTCAAGATTGTCTTAGAAGAACCTGCCAGTCCTTACAAATAGTCTAGTTCCCTCTGATGGGAGCTTAGCTTGGAAGGGGCTGGTACATGCCAATGCCATCTTATTTACATTGCGAAAAATCAAACAAAATTCCCTCTAATCATTTCTGCTCCTTCTCTGCTGCTTGTGCCCGCTGTCTCATCTTCAACCGTAGTAGGTTTGCTTTAGGGCAGCTCACCACTGAAGCCTGGTCCCCTCGCTCCTGGTAGAAAGCGTTGCAACATTCGTAGAGGGCGTCAATCTGGGCCTGACATTTATGCTCCTGCCAGGAATTCTTGTTCAGACAATCTACATGGCTTCATTAGCATGTGGCAAGCTCAAAATACATATCTCTGGACGTGTGTATACTTTGGATAGCACACTAGAATGGTCAGCATGAAGTTCTTTGACTGTCCGAAGGAGGAACCAGGCATACGGCTCGCGGATGACACGGCGTATCGTGCGACAGATCTTGCTTTAAATCCCCCTGCAGGAACGTATTAGTCCACAGATACTTTATTGGCAATATTAATCAACCCTACCATTTGTAAATCTTTTGTTCCGGACTTCTTTTCCTGGCAAACAATTAACAAAAACCAGGAAGGAAGCTCATCGAAAGCGGCTTCCAACAGGTGTGACGCAAAATAGATTCTCCGCCTTCGTGGGGCGAGATTCTGCCGTTGATATCTCTCTCTTGCCTCTTCCACTCCTCCGCTTCCCTTTCCTTTCCCTTCTAACTCTCGCAATTTCGTGTTCCTGTAAGTCAAACTGCCCCCGCATTGTCATCGCCCCAATCTAACATATCTCAGAGAACCAGATCTACGGGACCGCCATCTACATTCATTTCTTTTCGTTTCACCTACCGAGTAAGCACCCCGCGCCTGCTCTGTTGCGATTCATTCCCTGACAGCCAGCCAGCAACCGCCTTTTTATTTTCAAGATGTCCGAGGGAGAGCAAGCCGCTGCTCCAGTCGAGCACCTTAACATCAAGGTGACAGACAACAATAATGAAGTGTTCTTCAAAATTAAGCGCTCTACCCCATTGAAGAAGCTCATGGATGCTTTCTGTGATCGCCAAGGAAAGCAGATTGCCACTGTTCGGTTTTTGTTTGATGGCACCCGTGTGCGCCCCGATGATACTCCCGATGGTGTATGTATACCCTCCCAAGCCTTGAAACTATGGATAAGATATTCTGACATTATGATGCAATATAGCTTGATATGGCCGACGGTGATACCCTGGAGGTGCACCAGGAGCAAATTGGAGGCTATTAAGGAAATTATACTTTCTTGAGGTGCTCTCGGGTGAACTGTCTTGCCCTTGTGGCCCTTTGTTCACATGCCCCAGAGCATACGAGATGGACGATGACTCGAATGGCGATGTCATGGAGAGTTCTTCGCAAAGAATTCTTAATGTTGTGGGTTAACGATTCAACGATTTTCAGAACACATCCGGTGATTGGGATGCGCTACATACTATGGGATGAAATCATATGGTTTTTAAAACAACCACTAATTCCATATATTGGAGATAAAAGTCGCTGTATATCACAGCAATGTGCTCCGTTGAGCTATTCCCTATTAATCTCAGCTAAGCTGATAGTCTGCTCCAGCTCTAGACAGGTATCGTCAAAGAACAAATCACTAAACGCCCATGTTCATCTGAAGCTGGCTCCAGCGCCATGTAGATCACATATATACAGTTGGAGTATGTATTAAACACAGAGCCCCGTAACCATTTAAATTAAACAAGAAGAAATATGATCAACTCAACCAAGAAACGCGATGACTTAGTCTGTCCAAACAGATGCCTTCAACTTCTCCTCATCCTCTTTGGCTTTAGCTGCCTCTTCACGCTCGCGATTCCGCCTCTTAATCTCCTGCTCCTTCACCGCCCGATCATAAGCCCGCTGCTCCTCTGTCCGCTTAGGCGCCCGAATACCCAGCGCACCAGCGATAAGTCTCCCAGCAACAGCGGTCTGCTTCTCCGGGCGCTTTGCTGGACCAGAACTGCCCTGCCAGCCAGCAGAGGGAGAACCTACGCTCACGGCACCCCAAGGTTGCGAAGTTTGTGGCGAAATAGGTGTTGGCGGGGGATCAAGTGGTCCCTCCGTACTCAAAGTACTCAAAGTAGGAGAAAGGAGCGATGGTGATGCAGCAGAAACAGACTCATCATCCGAGAGATCGGCGTCGTCTTCCCAGGAATCCGCGACAACCTCTTTAGCTTTCTTAGTTGACTTTGGCTTTGCAGTGGATGGAGCCGAGCTCGGCGTCGAAAGGCCTTTCACCGTAGGTCGTGAAATATCTTTCACCGGCCCTTTCCCGCCAATCGATAGATCGCGAAGTGTGTGCTCCAGCTCGATTCGCGGATCAGACATGGTGGGGTTGAGATGGGCCGGAGCGGAATATCGAGCTGGAATTGTGCTAAGCAGGGGTTTCGTGTGGGGTCGTGAATTTGTATATAGATTTGTTTCTCTATATATATTTCGGAAACAAGGGAAGAATTTGTTGCAAGTAAAAGACAATTATAGGTGATGGCGTCAGAGCCACTAGCGCAACCTTGGTCAATCGTGGAGAAGTGTCGGGGCTAGACCAACTCGGGTGATGCTGCCTGAGGCGGGAGGCATCACATGGGTCCCCGAGGCCTAAAGCAGGATTTGATTATTGGGTTTAGGTCCAGTTGTCCGAAACACTCGCGGTTTGATGTAAATTCACAAGACTGCCTCGGCTAGGAGCTCGTGGCACATTGCCGATTCCATCGAGTATCTGATCTACATACTCTCTCTATCGAATCTATCTAGAAATATCTCCAACATACGTTGGACTATACATTGTATACTTACCAAAGCCCCATTTATTTCTGAGCAAGGGCGATGACCTTTTTCGCTGCTTCTTCAAATCCATCAAAAGCATGGAGAGGAAGCCCACTCTCGGCAATCTGTAACAGCATTAGTCAAATGAAGCGTTGACGTGGAGTCTTCGTCTGCAAGACATACCATCTTCTGCCCAAGCTCCTCGTTTGTTCCACGCAGTCGCACCACAACAGGCACTTGCATGTTCAAGTCCCGGAATGCTAAGATGATCCCCTCGGCAATCATGTCGCATCGTGTCAAGCCACCGAAGATGTTGACGAAGACTGCATTCACGCGGGGGTCGGAACAGATAATTCGAAATGACGACTTGACCGTCTCGGAAGTAGCCTTGCCGCCAGTGTCAAGGAAATTGGCACAGTGGCCACCGTGAATACTGAGGGCATCGACCGTATTCATGGCAAGTCCCGCCCCGTTCACTATCAAACTTGTTAGCTGAATCAGAGGTTGAATGGGGTTGATAAGCCTACCGAGTGTACCAATGCTACCTTCTCCTTCCAGCCTATCTATTGTTAGCACTGCCTTGTGTGAAGAGTTCGGGAAGACTCACTTGACATAAACAATTCCGTCCTTCTCAGCTTCAACCTCCTCGGCGACTTCCTCGGCAGTGTTCCGCAAGGAATGGATCTCTTCCTGGCGCCCTGAGCTTCGGAATGCGGCGTCATCGAAACCAAACCTTGCGCCACGCACTTCCAAGATTCCATCGGCAGAGGTTCCAACTCGGGTCTCCAGCACGAAGGCCTCTTTCTCCTTGAAGATGTTCCATAGGGCTTGAACCAGGCTTGCGAGCATGCCGTGTGATGATTCGGGAAGGCCGACATATGAAGCCACGGCGGAGACAAGTGAGCTATTCTCCAAGTTGGTCTCGGTGTAGCTGAATGGAAACTTGCGGGATTGGGTATGGCTGAACTCTGCATTGGGTGAAGCGACAATGCACGGCGACAAAGAAGTACGGTCAACCGAGATGGACACAGACACGTCAGAGGGCGACGTTTGCTCGTTGACAGGAATATATTTCTGCTTTAGAATATCAAATGCCTGGAATTGCTTAACGTAGAGGTTGCGCTTTTGCTGAGCCGGCCTCGCGATCGGACTGACACGTCTCATTGTATGGAAGCCGCGCCGTTGAGCCCCAGTGGCTGAAAAGGACTGTAAGAATTAGCAAGATATAGTAACAGCCAGCTCATGAACCTACTTGTGTACCGGGTCTGCTCACTCCAGTACCCAAAAGAGTCTTCATGCCCTCGCCAAACTTCTCTGGGTGGTTGACCATGACAGCACCAGCACGTTCCAGTGCCTGATACTTGGTCTGCGCATCCGGCTCTCCAGGCGCACACCAGGCACCTGCGTGTCCCATAATCCGACCTGGAGGTGCTTCCAAGCCACCAACGAGAGCCATAATGGGCCTAGTAATGGTAAGCAAGTGATTTCCAAGATACGAGGATGAATGACTCACTTCGGGTTGGCAGTCCGCTGTCGGTAGTCCTTAATCCATTCCGCCGCATCCATCTCAGCGGTGCCACCAATCTCACCAACAAGAATAATTCCCTCGGTATCAGAATCATGCTCGAAGATCTTGAGGGCGTCCACAAAGTTGGTACCAGCTAGCACATCACCGCCCATGCTAATACAGAGACTCTGACCCAGTCCAGCACGGGTAGTCGAGGCAACTGTCTCATAGCTTAGAGTGCCCGACTTGGCCACAATGCCGATATTACCGGGAGCAAAACAAGGTAAGGGCTGGAAACCGATACGGCACTTGCCAATGGCTGATATAATACCCGGGCAGTTTGCACCGACAAGACGCGTCTTGGACTGGGTTTGCAGCATAGAATGAATCTGCGATCGTGGTCAGAATGAGTCTGCTGATGTCAATTTCAAGAGTCTCTTACCCGTAGAATGTCATGAATAGGAACATGTTCAGCTACAGCCACTACCAATGGGATCTCTGCTTCAATGGCCTCTTCAATGGCCTTTGCAGTCTGGTTTCCCGGAACATAAATCGCAGATGCATCGGGCTTTGCTCTTGCTTGAGCCTACACAAGGACCATCAGTTCACATCCTTTCAAACAGGCCCAATAGTTCCACATACCGCCTTTACAGAGGGAAATATGGGAAGGCCCAGATGTTCACCTTCAACTCCAGGCTTCACGCCGCCCACAATCTTGGTGCCCCATTCCAGCGACTCCTTGACATTGGCGGTCGCCTGTCGTCCTGTGCGCAAGTTAGCAAAGCAGTAGATGCACATTGGGATCTGAAAATTCTCACCCGTAAATCCTTGGAACAAGACTCTCGTATGAGCTCCGATCTTGAGGTTAGGAAGGGTATCTGCATATTTGGCATGGCGCGGGGATGTCGAAAAGCCCCGGGCCCAGCGCAGTCCCGTCTGGGGTACGCGTCTTGGCAAGGGATGCAGAGGCATAATTGAAGTGGTTCCTGCGGGATCAACGCAGTGACTATTTGTTTTCAGCCAATTGATAGTTAGCTGATTTATATGCCTGTTCCCAAAGCTTCCGGTTTCGAGGTGAACTGTCAAGTCGGCTTCTTGATCTCCAAGTCGGCTATATCCGGTCTCGGAGCTTCCCCGCACCGAGGATTCCGTATGCGCCTGTCGATTCAGGCATTAAAGTTTTAACCAGTCGATCTCGTACTAAATGCATAGATATAGATTGTTTAGACAGGCTGTATGATGAATGATGGCCAATCAAATGAGCTACTCAATTGAGAACATTCCAGTCTTGAGCTTTTGGCTCGGCTTGGGTTGTTGGCTCTGTAATTGTTCTAAGTGCTGGGGCACGGTGACACCGACATTGAACCAGAAAGAAAATTCAATTGATACATTCCCTGTGATATGAAGTGGCTTATGCTCTAAAAATAACAGTGCGTAGAGTAGGGATGCTGCTCAGTTGCTACACAATTTTGGCGGTTGTTATTAATAGACACCCTACCCAATTAGTCTGTAGACCAAGGAAGAAAATCTACCCCATGTCACCTCTTGCCAGTCTCCTTCTACAACAATTTACTTTTCCCTTCCATGGCTAACCTAACATGCCTCGGAAGCCTCAGTAAAAATTGACTTGAGCAAACTTAAACACTGCTTTCCAGTCATGAAGAACAAGGCGTGTTCACCCTCTTATGTCATGATCAATCTCAAGGCCGAAGGCGAGATTCTCCACAGATTATACAACCGAAAGTTTGAAAGATTATTCATGTAAATTAGGAATATATGTTCAAGTAAAGGTGGTTAAATATTTATACAATTTCGGAGCGATGGGCTCCCTCATTACTATTGAAGATGTTAGCAAAGACCAAATTCACACACGCAAGATCTCGGTAGCACAAACTTGTGTGAAGCATTCTCCCAATGCTGATTTAAAGAGACCATTTTTATGATGCCATCATTGCTGTCCCCAGCTGGCATTCCCAATTCTTCATGGTTCGCGATGAGCTGTGCGGAATCCGTTGAGCCCCGACGTGCACAGCTGCTCAAGTGGCTGTGAACGAACTGATTTCGACTTTGATCGTCGTTCGATGTAGGCCCATCGTAAATTTGGCCCGATTGCTGGTCATTTTTGCGGCGTTTGTTAAAATAACCTTTGACTGAGGGCGAGTTCCGGCGAGTCCAGCCCGTAAGAACGTTGATAGCGGGGAGACAGGCGCAAATCAAACCAAACCCCACCTCGGCATTTCTGTGACAGGAATCAATCGTCTATCAATGTAAAAAAGTCCCAGATCGATTGTATGGTAAGACTCACGCTGTCAAGATCGACTTCATAAACATCCTAGTTGAATCAGGATTATCTTTCTCGTGGACACCAATCACGAGTCTGTAGAGACTAAAGGCCACAGCCACACCACCAAGCCCCAATAAAACAATCACCTTGACCTTCTTCCAAATCGGCATCTGCAACGTACAGGTAAAAGCGACTGGAAAGGCAAATATGGCAGCGTCCGTTACGGTGCCGATGACCGAATCGGAAATAATAACACCTGGCTGGCTGAAGCACGTTGCGTCCGGTATTTCGGATTGTGACCAATATGCGGAAGGCGGGTTGCAGATAAAGATCTTAATGAATGTGATGATCGTATAATAGCCGATGACGGTGCCAAGAAGGACGTATAATGATACCATGGCTCGGTAGTAAGGCTGGAAAACTCTGATCAGGATGGTGATGAGGCTGATCTTCACGAACAATGCTGTCGGAGCATAGACAGCGGTAGCAACATAGGAGATCTGGAAAAAAAAGGTTAGAACGGAGCTTGATAACGGATATTTGAGGCATTTCACCTTAATGCATTGTTCATACTGATCCCCACCCAATTCACTGGCATGGGTCGCGCATCCAGAGAATCCGTCTTGAAAAGGTGTTAGCAAAGGTCCAAATTTTGGGTTGATCTGCGATCGGCCATACAAATTAAGGCATTCGTGCAATACCCCATAAAAATGAGCTAGTAATCCATGTGAGCAAGAAGGAAGCGCTAGTTCTTGGCGATCGGACATACCCATCCAATGAAACAAGATGCTGCATGGATAAATTAGCAAGGGTAGCCTTGGAGATGTGACGTGTCGGTCGCATACTTACCATCATCAATGCCCAGCCCACTCATGAGCTTCCATCGGACAAAAAGCCGAAGGAAGACAATGGGTGTCACAAGCACAAAACACAAGATCTGTGTGGCATAGTTGATCAGGAACAGAGAATTCCTATCGTGCACTTCGTTTGACATGACATTAGTGGCGCGTCGCAGGGGTTAGAAATTCCTTCCCCGGCCTAACCCCAGTTCCCGAAATCGCTTGTGCAGTTTAGTCAGCGAGATCTGATCGCCACTAATGACGTTTGCACTGGGCTATTCCCTTAACCAGGTGGAGCCTTCTCTCCGCGTTGAACTGCGTGGCTTTCTACATGTCCATTATCCAGAATTAGTCTTTCATTTATTTCACAAGCCACAAAATGTCTTTCGAAACTGCATGGCATTACCCCAGGTCTGGGAAGTGGATCCAGATCCACCAATTAAAAGCGCCAAGGCAATCTTAAGCAGGAGCCTGTACAGATGCCAAGTCTCGATCTTGATCCAGGGCCTACTATACCTTTGATTCGGTCAAACCTGCGAAAGTATTCCATTGACTAATTCAAAGGCCATTAATTTTAGATCAAATATACGCTTCGTCGTCAATATAGCATTTCATTCATAGATGGAGTATATTTCAAAAGACCCGGCAAACCAAAGACAAAACTCAATACTCATTCAGATGCAATTTCTTCCCAACGAACCTCCTTTTCTCAGGCGTAGCCCTATGATCCCGCTCAGCACTTACACCTTTAAGCGCATGAAGCAGCATTCCAGCATCAAAGAATCCATCTAGAATCAAGTCAGTCTACCATCCCACAGCATCAGTTAGAAGGTGTACTCACATCCGCCCATTCCATCATCATCCATTTCAGCACTATCAGTCGTCGTGGCAGGCGTATCGGCACCACGGTTTTCGCCATATACTATTCTACCTCGGCGCTGGGAATCAGATTGGAAGCGTTCGGCTAGTGCCTCTGTCTCACGGGCACGGCTCGTCCGGGGACTAGTCGTTTTGCGGTTTGCAGCGCGGAGAAGTTTTCGAATCTCGAATAGGTATGATTCGAGTGTCTGCATTAGACGGGCTGTTTGCCTGTGTTTCGAAGACGCACAGAAGGAAATAGTTTCATCTTTGATAATGTACCCAATTCCGAACCCGTCGGCGGATGTGGGGCCGAAGCCGAAATGGCGCAGACAAGGGTTTCCGCAGTTAGACGTGGACAGGATGGTATTGTTGATCTTATCCCAGCCTGCATCGCTGAAGATCGCTGGTGTGGGTAGAGAAGCGGATCTGTAGCCGCGGCTACTGCCGCTGGCAGGGGAAGACAAACCGTCGTCCGAGACCGCGGAGAGTTTAGGTGATTCTAGATTCTCGCTTGGGCTGGAGTATTCGACGGAGCTGTTGTCGTGGAAGAGACCGTCATCGAAGGAGCGTTGCCACAGACAGTACAATGCGTATAAGTGGCGGTCTTGCCCTTGGCCCTTGGAACAGTCTTTTGTGATAGCTGTGTGACGCTGAGTCGCGGTGCGGAGGGCATCAATCTTTTTTTCGGCAGGGTTGTCGCCCCAGAATGTGCGGACGAAGTCTAGACATTCGGGTGTTACGGTGCGAACAGCTTCTGTACGACCGTGGAGGAAGACTTTTGTCATCGCAGGTTCATAGGTATTCTCGACGCGGCCGTAGAGGCCGTAGTAGGCTGCTTGGAAGGCCATTTGCACGAAGGCGTCTGGGGAGAAGCCCATGGATGTGATGAAGTTCTTGCCGAAGCCTTCGAAGTCGAGAACTTGGAACTCATGTTGGTGGAGGAGGTCCGAGAGGTGGGATTCGGCGAAACGGAGGGCGATGTTGAGCTCGGGCATCATGTCCCATTCTAACTTGCGTGGGGTAGTAGAGACGTTTCCGAAGCTGTGGGGGTCACGTTTGGCTGGATCGGGGCTAGATGTTGTCCAGAGACTTGGGGCTTGACCGTTGATTGTCTTTGCGAAACGGAGAATCGTGTCGGTGTAGACATCGCTGGCAAATCGCAGAACAGTGTGTCCATCAACGCCTGTGTGCTCGAAATTGATACCCGCGCTTCCGTTTTTGCAGACGATGATCTGCAACTTGTCGTACCATCGGTTTGTGCAAGTGCCTACCTGCACACCCTTGATGACCTCGCTCGTACCGCACAGCATGTTTGCGCAAAGCTCTCCGGTGTTTGAAGGTTCGGTGTCATCGAGACAGAGCACGAATAATGCGGTGTCAACGATATTGAGGCACTCGGCATTGTTCGAAGAAGGATCCTTGGTCATTATATCCCGTAGACCCGACCAGACCTTTCGGTTCTCTGTGCTGAGAACTCCCAGGGCGCCTTTAGCAGCTTCTTGAACTGGTGTCTGGGCTGCATCGTCCACGATGACATGCAAGTTGAGCGCAATATCGCGTTCAGTCATAATGAGATCGCTATTGTCGTCCAAGACATCAAACCAATAGAATTGGCCCCGGCACAATACGACGATGTGTTTTGCCGTTGGATCTTGGCTGATGACGCAGCCATTTTCGGTGGGAAGGCGTGCTGTTCCGAAGAGTCGCGAGTACTGATACATGCATAGCGGTGTCCCCCGTACAGTGTCAGGTGGAAGCTCCTCCTTTCGGACCGCACGTACAAATGCCAGGGATGAAACAACCAAGGATGCAGCACGAGTGACTTGGTTATTGCGAGCAGGGGTTGGATCATCCTCCAACAGGAAGAACGGATTAAGATTTAAGACGACAGCTATCCAAGATCAGTCGTGTTCCAAAAATCAAATAGAGATGGGCAGCTCACAGCTATCAAAGTTCAAGTAGGAGTCGTACCCTTCTAGAGATCAGTTTTTCTTCTTTCCAACCCCGTTAATCGGAACTCACAAAATTGCTCAATAAAGCTCGTTTTCGAAGAGGCATAGTTCTTCAACTTCTCTTGAAGAACAGGTCCATCGGTCTTCAAAAAGTCCCTAACGGCCGCTTTGGTATCCTCATGTTCCCTGGGAGTTTGCAAAGCAACAAGAGCCTCCAAATGCCGGCGGCATGTATCCTCCAGATCAGGAATAGGAAGTTTGGGCAATGAATCCTGATTAGCGAAGGTTAAGCCCTGGTGCTTCGGCTTATGCATCTCCACAGCTTCGGATTCAGGTCGATCAGCCGAGACATTCGGTCTCATGACCGTGTGTCCAGACGGATCTGATGATTTAGCGTCAGGATCCATCGTATTACCGAGCGGCTTTGGCGCAGTAAAAAAACGGACTGCCACATTAGAATAGGACATGGTGTTAGTGATGTGAACTAGATCCGATCAAGCGTAACGGCAGGAAAGGTAAGTTGGGATGGAGAGGAGGCGTAGAGCGGTGCGGTAGAAGTAGTGGCAATCTTGGAGGTAATATGATGGCATTGAGGCTACCTCAGTTGCAGGGTAGAAATGATGGGATAAAGGAATCAAAGAGAAGGGGAAGGTAACGGAAGAGGTCAAATGATGAGCTTGGGGGCCCGAAGCACATGTTATATGCAACAATGTAGTAAACCATATTAGGCATCTCGGACCCCACTTTGAAATTTGGCGGCATTTTTTTTGGAGGATGCGGGTTCGGGTTGAAGGGAGCGGACAAAGGGACTAGACTTACTGCAAGTACCAGAGCCTTGATGAGATGCGGGATGTGGAGTTTGGGAGGCACGGGGGACCCAAAATGCAGTGATAGCGCCGGAGGAACGGATGCTGTCAGATGATTTCAGCTTAGTACGCTGTTTTAGCTTGGCGATTCACCTCCGCGGCAGGGAACGTCAAGTAATTTAGGGACAATCGGGGTCTCGATAACTAGGACTCCTAGTCAAGTTGGGAGCAAGAGACACCACTTACCAGTTAGGCCAGGTACCAGGTTTGCTTCAAGGTTGTTCTAATCTGAAGAAAACGTAACGTGGGGTTGAGCTAGCGGAGGAGCTATTATACAAGGCACGAGATCCTAGGTTAGCGTTGAACAAACTCCAGAATAGATTACACACTAATTAGCATCAATGATTCCCCGAGAGTGCCAAACCAATCCCGAGTGCGGGATGTGTGGAGAGCGGACTGGATTACGATGACGTCTCGGGTGAATGGAGCTGCGAAGCTTTAGTGGATTTGGGGGTGTTTGTATTGTTTGTATTGTTTAGCTAAAGGCACGTGATCCGGGTTCATCTCACATTGTACATTCACATTGGCCGTGTTTTTCTATCCACAATTGGGCACACAAAATCGCTAGGAGACACCAAGTCCAAAAAAGAGGAATATTCACAATTGGTAAAGGAGTCCACATGTCCTTCAGCCGAGGGAGGTACGGCATCAAGTACCTTCACAGTACATACAACCTCTTCAGGGATGAGATCCCTGAAGATAGGTACCCGAGGCCGATCTCTTCCCGGAGTCCCCGGATGAAATCACTCAGGATAGGACATGCAGACTATCAAGAATCGAAGATAAAGGAAATAGTAATAACTCAAGATGCAAAAAGCGAATGCAACAAACGTTGTCGGAGAGGGGAGTAAATGTTCAAGGGAGAGAGAGGAAACTCGCGATTAATGCAAGCTGACCTCATAGGAAGGGATAGGATTCTCCGATGCAGTAGGTACGCAGACATGCTTAGGCAGAGTAGGTAGCACCGCCATCAGGCTTCAGCACGTTATCACCATATTCACCACCGACGTTACCCACCGGGGAGTAGTTGCAAACAGTGAATGGTAGGGCCTCGGAGGAGTCAACGTTGCCCAAGGGGTTGCAAACCACAGTGGCACAGCCAACGTGGGTTGTCGCCTTCCAGACGATCTGACTGAAGTGACCCCACTTGTCGAAGTCGGTCATGCTGGGGTCGGATTCACCGTAAGGGGTGGGGAAGAACTCGATCTCATCGTTGTACATCAGGTTGGTGATCATCACACCGACATCACTGGCCTCGACACCGTAACCGATGTTTTGACCGTAGCCACCGCCATCAATGGAACTGCAAGGGGGAAAAATTAGTTTCATGCCTCAAGACGATCGGCTTGATGCATAACAAACAGGGTACTTACGTATCGTGCTCGTAGGTACAGCGAGCGGCAAGGGTCTGGGCGCTAGATTCAAGATCGGCAGACCACTCAAGCGAGGAGACAGAGTGATTGCTGCGGTGAATGTTATGGTTGTAGAGAACGGCCTGCTGGTAGGCGTTTGTGGCCGAGGCGGTAGCGCTGGAGGCACTGGAGGCGGAGGTGGAGGTAGCCAGAGTCGAAGAAGGAGCAGCAGCCTCGATAGTTGAGGTCCAGGCGGTGGACCAGTAGGAAGTCGAGGCAGCCTCGGTTGGAGCAGCCTCAGTCTTAGCAGCTTCAGTTGTAGCAGCCTCAGTTGATACAGGAACGACAGGGGCCGCGGAGGTAGCAGACTCGGGGGGAACAGTGGATTTCTTGAAGAGGTCGGTATTGGCCTCGACGTCCGCCACAGAGGTCGAGGTCGTAATCACAACGGGCACCTTCTCAACGGCAGGAACGGTCTCGGTAACGGTGGGCGCTGTAATAGTCTCGGTGACAGTAACGGTGGTCCAGTCGGTCACGTAGACACGCTTCTCAAAGGCGCTAACACAGCCAGCAGCCAAAGCTGCAAGCAACAAAGTCGAACGCATGGTGATGAAAATCAATGTTCTAACACTTCCCCAGGAAGGTTTGCGAGGGTTTGTAAATCAAAAGGTCAACACGCAGATCGACTGCGCGGACAGAAGGAGTGGATTGTTTGAGCGCTGATAAAGGAATGACAGGCCCGAACACTTATTTTCCTTCAAATGAGTGAAAGGAAGAAATAAGTGAACCCGAGCTGGGAAGTTGGATTGGAGAGCGATAGCCTTGGGGAGAAGGTGGGAAAGCGAAGTAAATGTAGAAAGGGGAGAAGGCAGGAGTGGAACGTTGTGGGGCCGTGCGATTTCAGGGCAAATTACGTTTAATTGATTTGGGGGAAATTGCACTTTCTTGATATCATGCTATGGAGAAAGAAGAGAGTTCTCAAACGCCGTTTCAATCAGTACTTATTGCTTTCCCGTTATTCTTTCCAACCTCACGAGAAACTGCCCGGCTCATACCAGAACCCGCCACTCGCAGGCGTGGGACATTCTCACATTCCAACGCGTCTCCGAAACGATTCGGGTTGGCCCGTGCTAAGAGGCTGGGCTATGGAGCAACGCGACAATCATGGCAATTATTCTCCGATTCACACACGATTCTATAGTAGATTGCTGAACTGGAACACCCTGGCCCCAAATTGGCCCTGAAATGACCCTCTGGGCGGATCCTCAATTCCACCCCACCATAGCGCCCTGAGGGGACGCGCTAACTACTTGCCGCGCGTACAGGGATCGATGATTTACGTTTTACTCAAGCCTAGCAGAAGTGCCGGTTTCACGGTTTGAGATGACAGCAGATCGAGATTTTCAGTTTCGGATTGTTTACCCCGTGAGATCAAAGGATGGAGACAACCGCTATATGCCCACATAACTTTAAGGGGCTTCAGGATCCAGGCACGAGTTTCAAGTGGTGATCACTGAGCACCAATCACGGTGGCCCCCGGGAGATTACCCACCTCAAGACGCATACGCTAAGAAACTTGGCTTCGGGTCTGGTCCATTCGGCAACGCCACTCTGCACAGGTCTGATCTGGGATTGATTAAATCGTAGACGCCATTGATGTACCGTGTTTCAGCCTTGAAATTATGCTGCCTTGCTCTCGAATCAGTCACATTTTGCTTCTTAGTAGTGCAACACCGTCACCGCATCACGTAGAGCTTGTAATCTGTACGCTGGAGCTTCGGTAGAGCACAACATAGAGCTCGGGTAAACACAGGGGCAAAACAGGGAAGCCCCATAGTGAAGTTCAGTCCACATCACTGCCGATCATCATAGTCAAGCCTTTTCGCCTGATGACGGAAATTCGGGCATAGATCCGATCATAATTGTAACAATCTCGGAGTTGACAGGGGCCTGGGGACACAAATGGAACACCCGTAATACGGGACATTTCCAAATTGCAAGGACTCTGAAGGCTGAAGGAGATGAAAAATGATTATGTAACACCCTGAATTCATCTTAAGGACAAATCTAGACTATATAGGTGGATCTTGTAATCACCCCTTTGAACCCCGGTGGCGCCCCAGATCCCAGGTACCATGCAAGCGCCCGGACAGGTCTCGAACCAAGAGGATATTTGTGCTTCGTATTTCCAGACGAACGCCATTAAAGTCATACCGCCCCAACATTGGGGATTTTCATCGATAAAAAAAGATGAAATAAAATAAAACAAAAACAAAAACAAAGGGGTCTTTTAAAGATCCACTTCTCTGCATGAACCGGCTTCACACGCTAGCAGATAGTTCTTCGCTGGGTCGGCAGCCTTCAAGTTTTTGTACATGGGGTTGCGCGACTTCAGCCAGAAGGATTGATTACCCACGAAATCCTTGAGGTGCGAGGGCCGGATGTCCACCAACGAGGCTACCGCGACCGTGGAAGATACGCGACTACCGGTCTCCTTCCGGAGCCGTTTCTTTAGCAGATCGTACGCCGTCCCAGGCGGGCCATTCTGGTGTTTTTCACGCAACCCAGGCGGTGTAGGGATTTCAGCTGTAGCAAAGACTCCGGTGACAGCTCGCGTACCGGTTTGTAGACCTACGATGACATCTAACATCCCAACAAAAAGGAAGGGATGTTGCATAATTTCGACTGCAAACGAATTCAACGTTTGTCGCGCTAAAATCCGGTACTCGGGGTCGTCAAGGAGAGCTGCTAATCGCAACAGGTTCCGCGAAATGACTGCATTGACGGAAGGTGTGGCAGATTCAGTACCTGTCTTTAACCGAAGAAGTGGGCCAGGCATGCCAGGAGTCATGGCAGATGGAGTGTTATAGTAACCGGCCGGCGTTGAACCATTCATGGCAAGGAAATTATCGTTCAGATATTCTAGTGATCATGTCAGTCATAACTCAGGAGAAAAATACCCAACTGATTCAGCTTACTCTGGAGTCGCTCCGCAAATTGCAAAAAGCTATCATCAAAGGTAGCTTCGTACATTTCCAGCAATCCGCTAATTAAGTATGCATAGTCATCAGCAAAGCCTGGAGTATCTCCCCGACTGCCATCGCGGTAGATGCGCCACAACTTCCCAGTTGCCTTGTCGAAGAGATTCTCTTTGATGAAGTGAATCGCTCGGGCTGCAGCATCCCGACACTGAACCGCCTTTGAGCTCTCAATCTCCTCGAACAAGACACTGCACTTTGCCAGCGCACCGATCGCTAATCCATTCCAGCCCACAATGATTTTATCATCAAGATCGGGTCGGCCTCGGGTCTTCTCACGGTAGTCACGGAGTTTTTGCTTTCCACCCTTGATTATTCTCACCACTTCTTCCTCACTCAGCCCAAAGTCTTTAGCAAGCTTGCTCGGGGTGGCTCGGACTTGCAACACATTCTGATTCATGAATTCATCGTGTGGATCGTACTCAGCTGCAACGTTTCCGTCTGGGAGCACACCCCAGTGACGAGCGCACACTGGAGCATCCCGGGTACCAAGCACCTGAGTAAGCTCCTTCAAAGACCAAACGTAAAAGGCACCTTCTCGCTTCTCAGTATCATTCGGATTAGGGAAGCTATCGGCGTCCTCAGAAGAGAAGAAGCCCCCGGTGGGGGATTGCAAGGGAGCAGTTGTCAAATAAGTGGCAAGGTCATATACAGTACCAAGCAATTCAGGGTCGGTGGTCAATCGGAACGCATCCACATAGACATCCAGCAGCTGCGCTTGATCGTACAACATTTTCTCAAAATGAGGGAGGCTCCAGTTACTTGTGACACTATACCGAGAGAAGCCGTGACCGATGTGATCTCGAATACCACCACGAGCCATGTTTACCAGCGTTGTTACGGCCATGGCAGTCGCCTTCTCACACTCATCCTGACCCACCATATCTATAACCTGACTGGGGTATGTACCCAACCGCAGAAGGAAGCTAATGTTGGCTGGCGTAGGAAATTTGGGTGCTCGACCGAACCCTCCATTGATGGAATCGTATCGGGAGGCAAAATGCTGATAAGCCTCTTCCAAGAGCTCCAGGTCGAGGTCTTCGTCTGTTTCACGGTCCGTATGCGTCGAATGAGTTCCTTCTTCGGCGAATTCTCGCAACTGTGTTGTAATATCCTTTGCGCTCTCCAGGCAACGCTGCTGCTGTGTCACCCAGACGTCTCGGAGTTTTTCCAAAATTTCGACAAATCCGATTGTTTCTGGGCCTTGCATTGTAGTTGAGTTTGGACCAGACCAATAAGTGCCTCCGAAAACAGGCTCCAGGTTTGGCGTAAGAAAAACGTTTAAAGGCCAACCGCCGGAACCCGTGGTAGCCTGGACGTAGTTCATGTATATATCGTCAATGTCTGGTCGTTCTTCACGGTCGACTTTGATGGGAACGAATGATTCGTTAAGTATAGCAGCGACCTCAGAGGACATGAAGGACTCCTTCTCCATGACATGACACCCTAGAGATTGTTAGAAGACGAACACATGGGGTGTCTTCCCCAACGTACAGTGGCAAGCTGAATAACCAATGCTCAGGAATATCAGGCGGTTGTTCATTTTGGCAAAATTGATCGCTTCTGCGTCCCACAGCTGCCATGCCACGGGGTTATTCATGTGCCCCCTCACCTGCGGCAGAGTTAGTCTATGTAGGTCTCTTGGTTCCGAGTGAGGCCGATAGTACTTACATAAGGGGACCTGCTGTTCTGGAGCCTGTTGACCAACTTGGGGCTTGTTTCTGCCATGTCGTGGAGCGACTGCATGTTGGATGTTGCCATCTTGGCGGGTTCCGATAGTTGCGGTGCGGGGAGGCGTGATAAGGTGTATCGGAGCTGAGTCGGAAGTACTAACGGAATCCGGCAATGTATCAGGGTTGAATACTACCCCGCGGGTGTGACCAGAGCAGATTAGCGAACCAGGGTGGTACAGAACAGGGGGGCGTGCAAGTGGAAGTGGGGGTAACGACTGGCAAAGCGGGCAAACGGGAGATCGTCCCTGTGCGTCATGGATGCATCAGGGATGTCACGTGCTGGGTCGCATCAGTGTTGATTGAATGTATTTTCTGATCCTTGCGATCAAGTGTTTAAGGCAGGCACACAACTTGATTTGATAGTTTCCTCATTAAAAAGATCCATTGATATGGGATCTGGGGTATCGTGGGTACATCTAATCATCTTCCATCAGCTCAGCCAACTCCCGCTCCTCCTCTTCTGTGAGCATCGACTCAGTACTGGGCTCTGGCTCTACTACCACAGGGCCCTTGCTGGCCAATTCCACGGCCTTTTGAAGTTCATCTGGATGAAGAGACCATTGCCGAATGGTGCCATCAATACCCGCGCTAACCACTGTGGAGCCCACTAGGACTAGCCCAGTAACCTCTTCAAAATGACCAGAAAACACGTGATGAAGCTCTCCAGTCTGCGATCATTAGGATTGATTTCTTGATGAATGATTAGGGAAACAAAACATACCGATCGATTCCACACTCGCACTTCTTCATCCCGACAAGCCGTTATAACCCAGCCGCCGGCCTCGTGGATAACAATGTCTCGCACAAAGTCGGGATGCTCCAAAGTGAGATTAGGCTTCCATCCATCTGCTCGAATCAAGCATTTGGCGGTCTTGTCGGCGGAAACGGTCCAAAGATCCCCGTCCTGGTCGAAGAAAAGCTTGTACACACTGGTCTCGTGCGGAAGGAGTGCTTCGGCGGAATCTCCACCACCAAAGATCTTGAATTGCCGAATTTCCCGGTCACTTCCAGCACTGAACACCAAAGCCTCTGATTCCTCTACTTCTGGGTCAAGAGTCAGATCTTGAATTCCTCGAGCATGGCCCTTGAAGGTCTCAGTGCGCTGGCCACTGACGATGTTGAAGACCAGCACCTGTGCATCAGCGCCGCCCGTAATAAGAAGATCCTCTCCACGTAGTCGGGCGCTCATCACCGCTCGGACAAAGTCGGCGTGACCTTCATACCTTTGCCGAGGCTGTGTTGAGGCAACATCCCAGCTCCAGACGGTCTTGTCCCAGCATCCAGCAAACAGAATCTTTCCATCGGGACTCAGACAAAGGCTTGTCAAAGGAGCTGTGGGACCTTTGTACAATGCAGCGGTTTCACCTGTCTGCAACGATTGTTAGAATCAATCGTATAAGAGCGGGGTATAGAGCTTACCTCAAGCACTACTCTTCTAACAACGCCACTACTTTGCGCAACATAAACCGAGTTCAAATTGCTCGGGTCAGCTTGAATGGCAAGAATCTTGCTCTGTAGCCGAATAGGGTTTCCATTGGAATTCTGAGACTTGGCGTCTTTCCTCTGCTGGTCATCCAAGGAAGCACTAGGGGAATTAGCCAGCCATTTCTCAACCTCCCTTACCGCAGAGAATTGACTCACGAGGTCTGGAAGAAGTGATCTCTGTGGGAAGAGGTTGTCATCTCTGCTTCAATTCCTTTACCGTACAAAAAAGGGGGGTAAAGTTGGATCTCTCACATAAACCGACCCACACCAGTTCTGGCGCACAACCAAGAACTGCTATCCGAGCTCCTGCAGCCCGCCGTAATCGAATCCACCAAAACCCGACAGAATCTGCTCCAAGACTTCTTTCTCTTTCTCTTCTCTTCTCATCCTACCCACTCCCCTTCTCTACCTTCCACGTTCCTTTTTTTTCTCCTGTTTCCTTGCTCGCTCATCGATTGCGCGAGTTCGCGCACCCCCCAACAAGATGGATATGAACCACTTAATAGGGTCAGTCATCTGCACCTCCTGGGAATCAGGGTTTGTGCGGCTGGGCTGGAGTTAACACCTGGCAGTCAGCGTTTCAATCTGATCTCTAAGAGTGACATTCGGTAAGCTCAATTGCCTTCATTCATTACTATCCATAGCTAATTGAATGTAAGCTATGTTGGCACACTCCATGAAATTAACCCAGAGGCATCCACAATCGCCTTGGAAAATGTCATGTCCCATGGTACTGAGGGCCGCCGAGGGGATGGGACTGACCTCCCACCGTCCACCAACGTTTACGAGTACATTGTCTTCCGAGGTAGCGACGTGAAGGACATTAGTATCGCGGAAGAGGAGAAGGAAACCGCACAGCCTGAGCCTCCTCGTGTCCCTGATGACCCCGCAATTCTAGGAGTAAGTCACCCGCAATGTTTTTCTTTTGTCCCATTGAATCTGGCCTTGACCCTTGCGGTCGGGCACTTGATCTTATGATGAAGTATTTTCGGATGTAAACACAGACCTGTTCTGAATGCGCAAAACCATGTTGCTATTTTCCGTTGCCTTCCTTCTGATTGATCAATATTCCCATTTCTGGTTATATTCAATTGCTTTTTGTGACGATTCAATATGCTGACTCATTGCAAATTAGAATATGTCGCGACCGGGTCCCATCCCAGGTCCGGAGTCTGGACCTGCCCCTGGCTTACCTCAAGGAACCCCCCAACAGCCACAGGGTGCTCGACCAACACCCCAGTACCCCCCGTACCCGGCTGGACCGTACCCTCAGGGCCCTTATGGACAACACTTTGATCCTCGGTTCCCTCCCGGTCCTAATGGTCTTCCTGCTCCTGGTTTCCCACCTTACGGTGCTCCTCCAGGATGGTATCCTCCTCCCGGTGGATTCCCTCAGGGACCTGGCCAGTTCCCTCCCAATATGCCCATGGGTCCTCCTGGTCAGCAGATGCCACCTCAGCAGCGTCCCGGTCCCCCGGGAATGCCGCCTCCTCAGGCCACCTCAGAACTCCCTGTTGGTGACAAGGTCACTAGCAAACCTGCCACTCCTGCTGCTGCCCAGGCTCCTACCCCTCCAGTGGAATCTAAGCCTTCTGTGGCTGAAGCTGTTCACGGTTTGACTGGCCCTCCTGCGGTGCCAGTCGGCGCCCAGAAGAACGGTCGGGTCGTGCCGGCCATTCCCATGGCTGCTCCCAAGCCTGTTGCCCCTGTAGGTCCTCAAGGAAATACCTCTGTCACAGACGCTACTGCCGCGGCCACTGCCGCCGTAGCTGCCGCGATGGCCAAGCTGCCTCAGCCAGGCATGCAAAAGAAGCTTGGACAGCCTGATGGCGCTATCGACGGCATTACCCGCAAGATGAATGACATGCGGCCTTATGATGGTACTCGCGCCCCACGCGGTGGTCATCAGCACCCTCGTGGCGGACGAGGAGGAGCCCCTCGGGCCCAGCATAAGAAGATCGAGGTCCCTGAATCCGATTACGACTTTGAGACTGCGAATGCGAAGTTCAACAAGCAAGACATGGTGAAGGAAGCCATTGCCACAGGAGCCCCTGCTGCTGAGGCTGAGTCTCATGCCCATGCCAGCGTTGGAGCTGAAGTCGTTGGTGAAAGTGATCCCGCTGCTGTCTCCACGGCCTCGCTTTACAATCGCACCTCTTCTTTCTTCGACAACATTTCTAGTGAAGCACGTGATCGTGAGGATAATTCCGCTACCCGTCCGGGTGGTCGTGAATGGCGCGGTGAAGAGGAGAAGCGCAACATCGAGACTTTTGGCCAAGGCAGTGTTGATGGTTATCGTGGCCGGGGCCGCGGCCGAGGATACGGTCGTGGTCGCGGGTATGGCCGTGGTTATGGCAACCGTGGCTACGGTGGTCGCGGTCGTGGTGGTGGTGGTCGCCCCTCATCCCAGTCCACTGGTGTCCCCTCCTTGGGCTAAATCTAGCCATTGGATGTTACTCGACTTTTTCGTCCGTGTCTTGTCTGTTTTCCCTTGTGTCTCGGCATGGCCAGACCTATGAACGAAACGAATCTTTATGCTTGAACTTTTTTGTCTTTTGGCGCACTGGGAACGAATCATGGATAGGGCATCCAGGGACGGCAATGCGTTATGTTGTTTTTTGTAAGGAAATATGGGTGTTCAAATACTGCGCCTCGATTCCTCTGGTTTTTGCTTTTTTTTCTTTCTTTTTTTTTTTTTTTTTTTTTTCTTACTTTTTTCCTTCACTCCAAGCATACCCTCTACAGCGTTTTTCTTGATATCCTTGTTTGAGCGGATATCTTACCCCGTCGCGCTACTGAAGACGCACGGAGGTCTACATGCAGCCACTCGGCACTAAGCATGGTTTCCAGGTCTGTGACCTCAAGCGCATGTACAATAACAAATTTGGAGACCACTCCAATGAATGAAAAAAGGAAAAAAGAGGGCCTTTGGGTCTAAAATAAGACTTACAAGCATTCCAATCGTAGTGAATTCATTAAGCTTCATGCAAGGCCACTTTGGCCATGCAGTAATCCGGGGTTCTTGCAGAGAAGCTCTCTGCATCGGCACTGCCTCTGAAGAGAACACTTCAATCGCAGTTGAATTCATATTTCCCAAAGAGCAGTTAAGATGGATTAAGATATATTTGGTAGTACCGCCACTTTACATCAAATACTCCGGGGTTTAATGTCCCTTGAAGCTTGTCGTTACAAAGGTCACCAGAGATGGGTACCCATCGAAAATGCATGTAGACATCATTATCTATGGAACCTCGGTCAGAACCCCCATAGCTTCGGTATCTTCGGCAGTCAAACTCATCATCTCCCCGCACCCCGCCTTCTCTCCACTTCATTCCAAGGAACCATATAATCATCCCACATTGCGTAATTGAGGGACACCAAATTTAAGTTTGTACCTCCTTCGGTCCGTATCACAAAATGGTGTCTCCCAATCCCTCTGCCAGACTTTCCTCCATCTCCAGTCACCTTGACAAGGAGAGAGCCTGTGAAGAATCTCCAGGTGCCCACAAAAGTATGAAGATGTCTGTTAAGATCCAGGATCCGAATCAATTGCCTTGGGATCCTAATTGCGCTCGGTTTCCCTTGCTGAAGGAGCTTCCGAAGTTGCCCAATGCGCCTGAAGGCGCAGCTTGGGTTTGGGGGGATGATGATCAGGTATGAGGTTTGGTTCAAAGATTAATTGTCTGTGTTGGACTGACAGGTTGCAATAGCTGGGAAGACTGAATCTCTTGACGAAGGAACGAGTTATGGCGTCGGCTAAGGAGGTTACAACGGGGGAGATGGTTCGACTGGAGTGAGTCTTCCATATCTCTGGCGATATGTTGAGCATTCTCTAAATCACTGATAGTCTTCCTCTCAATGTCCCACAGAGACCTGCATTTGATCGTGAGGCATTCAACCATCATATCAAGACCGTTGTCGAAGATATTGTCTATGACGACACATACACTCTCAACACCCAGAGTGGCACGCAGTGGGATGGATTCCGACATGTAAGTCTCCAAGCAAACTTATATTCGATCTCACTGACACTGTTCCAGTTCGCCCATATTCCTACAAAGACATTCTACAACAGAGTACTATCACCCACCTCACTGGTCTCAACACATGGTCCCAATCTAACCACTCCATAGACAACGGGCAAAGACATAACAGGCCCAAACGCCAATAATAACTGCAGCATCGATCACTGGGCAAACCACGGCGTAGCAGGCCGAGGTATCCTGCTCGATTATCGCCACTACGCCCAAACCCACAACAAACCCTACGATCCCTATACCACGCACGCAATAACCTTCGCCGAGCTGACAGCCTGCGCAAAGTTCCAAAATATCGATCTCCGCCCAGAATCACAAGGCGGCGATATCCGCATCGGCGACTTCCTCTTAATCCGCTCCGGCTTCGTAGAGCGATACCACGAGCTTAGCCCAGAGGTACGCCTTGCTGCAGCGGCACGGTCACACGATGATATCAGCTTCGCAGGTGTAGCCCGCGAGCCTGCAATGAGGACCTGGCTGCATGATTGCTATTTTGCGGGTGTTATGGGGGATTCGCCCACTTTTGAGGCATGGCCTGTTCCTGAGCAGGAGTATTTGCATGAGAGTTTGTTAGCGCTTTGGGGGTGTCCTATTGGAGAGATGTGGGATTTGGAGAAGCTGGCGAAGAGATGTCGAGAGATGGGGAAGTGGACTTTTTTCATGACTAGTGCGCCCGCCAATATGCCTGGTATGTATATCCTGTGGATATTCAATGGTTATAATGTTTGTGCTAATGTGGCTTATAGGTGGCGTTGGGTCGCATGCTAATGCGACTGCTATTTTGTAGATTGCGACGCCATTTTGAGCATAGAATACTACGATTGGTACATTTGGGGAGTGGCAGTGGCTACCAGGGAATGATCTTTCCTCTAGATTATTGCCTTGCCTTATATAGCTCTTCTCCAATGCAAAGTAAAGAGATAGAATTACATCGTTCAGCTCCTCCACGTTGTTTCCTACACCCTCATGGAAATCTCCATGTCCCTTGTCCTTTGCAGCTTGGGTTTGCGGCTGGTTCTTGGCCCGGCCTTTTACTACTTCCTTTTCGCCTGTTGATTCCATCCTGGCACTTCCTCGCTGGCTCTCAACCCCAGTAACATACAGCGCATATCCGTGACTGTAGACGAATCACCCGCTAGTTTCTTTCCAATTGCCTTTATCATCCCTTTGTTTTCCCATTTTCCTTCATCTATTGCACTTGTTGTATCTGACTGTCTGCCATTATGTTTAGCACGTCAACCTCTTGAACTACCGTCAAGGACTCTCTACAAAACAACGACAGCCAAACCGCCGTCTTTCCATCGAACTCAATAGGGTGAGCTGTGTCGAATTGCTTCGGGCCGCGCTGACTACTTGGACTGCATTATTTTATATCAGATTGCAGGCTCAAAAACATTGTCCGGCTGTTTGAAGTATTCGATAAGACTTGCTGGGTAGCCCCGGTCCATATTACAAGGAACACCTCACCCCTTGTCAGCAGCGCCAGGCTTGGATTCGAAGTTGCAAGAATACAGTTCATTTAGGAGCATTGCGATCTACCAGTGTTTTGAGTTTTCGTCTATGAAGTTGAGGAGAATAATTCGGTGGGCGCCGCGTATATACTTATGGAGTTGCTCCCCGGTTTATTGGCTAGTCCCGATGCTTAGGCGCATATCTTCCACCTTGCAGTGTCAGTTCAGTTTACTCCAATAATCCGAACACTTAACCGGAAACGTGAAGGTGGTACGAACAGGGATCAGGGACCATTTAATACAGCAACTGCATTCTTCCGAGGCACGGGCCGACGGCGTCAAACTCAAGTAAGATAATGAAACAATCACAAGCACGGTGTAGAGATCTCCGATACCGACAGAAAAGATGATCACCATTTTCGTCAGCTTGCCACAGCAGATTAAGGCGATGGCTAATCGACTGTCCTCATTCAATAAAGCGCCTCTTCCGTTTAGACCATGATGACTTTCTTCAAAGCAATATCATGGTAGATGAGATTTTGCTTCAAGATCACTGGAGTAGTCGACTGGGAAAGGGCATTTGCAGCGCCCTGGGGGCTCATTGGTTTCCCCGGATTGCTTTCAGCCATGTCTGTCTCTTTAGACCTGTCCAGAAAGACGGGCCAGATTGGCATTCGCCGGGGGAAGGACTACGAGAAACCTGGCGCGAACGAGGAGGGTGTAGTGAAATGGTAAACCAGAGCTTGCTGTTGGTTTGCCTCAGTAGGAAGGGAGGCCAGACTATTACTTATTCGTATGGGACAAGTACAGGCAATGGAAACTTGGGTTGTTATGATCAAATTGAACCGAGATTCTACGAACAAGCTCTACCCTTCCTCAGAGACTGTTTATACACTTTCATTCTTTTTCTCTCTCCTCGACCTCCCAGTGGGCTCCAACGACTGCAATTTCTCATTACTCACGAACCCATAGTAGTATTGAGGTACTACTATATTGTATCGTTTTCCAACGATGCCTTCAACTTATTCGTTACTCTAACTCATGGCGCATCGAAATTTCGGGCTTCAAGTTCAAACACATGATATCTGCGTCGTCGTCATTGTACGCTACAATACGGGAATTCAGGGTTGCCTGTGATATTTCAGTCAATTGATTTTCCATATACCGCTCGGTAATATCATTACATACCGGTGGAAGTTGTGGAACATCGAAGCTCTTTGTGATGCTGAAATCTCCTTTTGGAATCGGACAACTGACATCCGTGTCTTGGAGAAACTCATTGCAAATATCGATATGCAGGTCGTAAAGTTTGATCAAGCCTAAATTGACTGTAACTCGCGCATAGCTACCTTCCACAATGGGATCGCTAAGCGTGCCTTTGAAGGTGATATCCGCAGGTTTACCACTTTGTGATTCAATTTCTTCTTAATACCTCGTAGCTTTGAGAGAAGAGGAATCTTGGATCTTACCTGATAGGTGGATCTGGGATGATTTTCACCTCAGAAGCATCGAAGAGGGTACTTCCTGAGTTGCCCTTATTCCAGGATAAACCTGTGGTAGTCGTTGCTAGAGTAGAGACCAGACAGATAAGAAAAGAAAACTTGGAAACCTCATTGTAGAATAAAACGGTGTTGATTGAGTGGAGAAATTTATTCAGATAAGACAATTGGCAGGCGGGACTGAGAATTGGGCTGCTAAGTATTTATACGTGAACTTATGGGCAAATTCCAACCCCGAGATCTAACACCATGAGACTTTGAAACACCTTACGTCAACACTATGGCATCAGTAACTGATCATTGACTAGCCGGGTAGTTTGCAGCTACAGGCTACTGTAGCTGAGCATGACTAGCTGCAGTGAGAGGCTGCATGCGTCAAAGCCTGCATATCACGTAGCATATTGTTTGAGATACCCTCCTTTTTCCCGCTAATGATCCCTAGGTAAATCTACGATTTGAACCCAACTTTGATCCCTGGCCTTGATAATAGAGTTTAGATTGATCTCTCGTTGAGTATAAAAATCTGGTTGATTGTCCAATCATCTCAATGAATCAGGACACAGCGATCGATCTTCAGCCCTTTCATTTCATGCATGTTTCAGCTGCAGTCATATGCCCACCTTTCCAAAGTTGGTTGTGGTAAATCAGTACGAATTACTTTAGGAGAAGGTGACGGAATTGAAAACCATTGGGAACTGGGCAGGGATCTTCGAATGTACGAAGCAACCCAGAACACATTTCAATGCCCCGCCGCCCCACCCTTGGAGATCGAAGAGATCGGAAAGATCCAAAGCTAGCCACCTAGTATTTGGGCATGTGTGGCACGTTGGTACATCCCACAACACTGGTTTTATTCTATAATCCAATCTTGGCCATATCCTCCAATTAATTATTTGATGTAATCGATAACCCTACAGCTACTGTCCAGGCTTCTTGATCGGACGAGAGACGGGCATGTGGAGAAACCGCTCTTAATCTAACCTATACTCAGCAAAACTACGTAATGAATTTCTGCTCAGGTCTCCCTATATGTAGACGATCTGCACAATGCACGATCCTGTAAAGATATGGATTATTGTGCATCTATGGTGGAGCTATGGACAGTACTCCGGTCTCTCAGTGTCAGCTGAGCTGAGCAGTTCTCGGTACTACGTCTGATCGATTTATGTTACTATTCACGCGACAGTAGTAAAAACGTATAGATATCGAAGGCTATATAGGACAGCTGGCTCAAATGTAACCGGAGAAGAGACTTTTGATCGGTGCAAGACAGTAAAATTACATGGTATTGCAGGTTTGATCCCTACAGTACGTCGATCATTTTCCAATAACTCCATTTCGTCGGTCAAGGTATTAATGTATTTTTCTGAAGACTTCTTCAGCTATACCCCGCCTATGATGTAGACAGTATTCCGTGCTTGTTTATATTGTGCAGGGGAGACAAAACGTGAATTGCTGTGTACCAGACTTAAGGGTCCGTCCACAACGGACAACCCTTATAATATAAGGCAAATTCGTACACGTAATCCGAACTATTTAGTGGTTGGCCTACATGTAAAAGAAAAAGCTTAGAGTCGTCCGCGAAAATACAGAGACACCAGGTTTCGGAACCGTTATGCAGTATAAGACATATCTAGACATGGTCCACCTCAGTAACATGGGCTCCCTCCTTCTCTTCCAATGCAAGCGATCTTGTCAAGTCAACTTCTCGGTATGCTACAAACGCGTTAGTTTACATATCGAATAACCTCAAGCTCTGGGGGTGTGTACTCACTCTTAAACTTCCGAGCCGAAACGCCCTGCTGGAACATGACCTGGATCTCCTCTAGGGTACGCCCAGACGTCTCAGGCAAGAAGAAAAATATCCAAGTAGCAGCGCCAATCATCAAGCCACCATAGATGAACCCGACTCTTGCGCTGAGCCCAGCCGCATCTGCATCAAACAGGTATGGGAAGGTGAATGTGACCAGCCAGCTGCAGAACCAATTGGCTCCGGTGGATGTCGCCATAAGCTTGCTACGATTGGGACCGGTAGATATCTCAGACGTCACGACCCAGACAGCTGGTCCTAGTGCCAGATTAAAGACGATCATGAAAATATACACCATGCCGACGATCGTCCGGTCGAGAGCCAGGGTCTTGTCACTTGCTGATCCGGCACCACCGACGATTAATAACACGACTGCTACCGCAGACGTTGATATGAGTAGCATCGAGCGACGACCGAATCGCTCAACACAGTATTGGTTGAGCCAGACTGCTGGCATTGGGACAAGATAGAGTCCCATTTGGATGAGGAAAGAATTCGTCATCCCAATTGCACTGAAAAAGACGATACCATAGCTGGTGATGAAGTTGATACCCGAGGCTTGTTGCCATGCTATAGGGAGGTTAGATGGGCAAAAGAATGTGCAATGGGCATTGGGCATGGATCTACAAACCTTGCAATGCCATTCCAAGATAGGCCTTCCGGCCATCAGCATTCCATTTTAACAAGTCGATCCAGGATCCCTCAGTCCGCCTTTCTTCTTCGATAAGACCGGTGATATACAGGATTTCACTTTCAATAAAATCAGGCCGGTCCCCATGTAACCTTCGAAGAGACTTCCTCGCTTGTTCGACTTTCCCTTTAGATAATAGCCACCGAGGGGATTCGGGGGCAAACAAGATCAATCCAGGGACCAGGATGACGGGGAAGACCAGCTGCACCGCCATTGGGATGCGGTAGGCGCCACTATCATTCCGGTTTTTAGTCGCGTTGTCAACAATGACTCCAAAAAGCAAACCCAGTCCCACATCAAACTGGTACAAGGATACTAGAGCTCCGCGGAATCGGGTTGGGGAGCAGTCTGCGACGTATAAGGGGACTAGGCATGAGATCAAACCCACGGCGTAACCTGAATGGAGAAGTCAGTATTAACACACATTGGCTCTACCCTGAAGATATCAGATCGATTCACCTAGCAATAGACGCCCAACGATCAACAGGCCCAAGTCATCTGCAGCGACTTGAAAGATCACGCCAGCAACCACAAAAGCGCTGGACACAAATAAACCTCCACGACGGCCGATTCGATCGTCCACTAAGAACGAGGAAACGGCACCGACGAGCTCACCAACGTTAATAATGCTGGTAGTAAGAGACTGCATGCTAGCACTCAGGGTAAAAGCACCCGTCGCACTATCATAGCGGCCATATTCCTTGATAAACGGCTCCATGGCCAGGATACCTAGAAAAGAAATGAGTCCAATTCCAAACAAAGGACATCCATCCAGCGCATACCGGAGTAATAGGAAGAGTCAAAACCAAATTGGAACGCAGCAATGGTAATGAACAAGCAAATAGCAATAGCGCGCCATTCAGCACGAGCGCTAGCCGCGACCGACATTTGAGACGACATCTCGGGAAAAGCAGGAGACCGATCTCAAGAAAATTCAGGAGACAAACATGGCTGCCCCTGCCGCCTTATATAGGCAAAAGAAAGCTAAAGTCTGCCCCGGGTTTTGGAAGGAAGTTGGGGTTCAAGTTGCGGAGAAATCTAGACTAGTCAGCGGGCAATTAGCCGATCGAAACACGCAATTTCGCCGAAGAGAGTTTACTGTCTCGGTTGCTGATTGGTCATTCCTCGATCGGTTTGTTGTCCGGGATTAAGCTTATAGCACTTTTCGTCCTCAAACCACTTTCTTACTCTTTACATACACCTGGGGGGATTGGATTTAAGCAGCCGACTCCGCTACAGAAGTAAGAATTATCCGGTCGAGCATTTAACCTCGGGTGTTGGTCCTGTCTCAGTCAAATCAGAAATGGCTGCCTTGGAAGAACAGATATCATTATCGACCGGTGTCGGTCCGGATTTGGTGGAGGTCTTGCTCCCCACAAAGACTGTCCCTTCTTACGAGCAGCGCGTGATCGGTAGAGTGTCTGAGGTCGAGGGGGTTGAAGAGTTTCGTGGAATTCCCTATGCCGTTGTTCCGGGCAGATGGCAGCACGCATTGCTTCGGGACAAGCTACCTGCAGATATCTTCAATGCCACGAAGAATGGGTCAGTGGTCCTCCTTAACAACTTAAGACTTGAATGGACTAACACAAACCGGTATAGTCCGCGCTGTCCCCAGGCTCAAGTGTTTAACAACAGTGATTTTTACCAGTCGCATCTCGACTTCCCCAGTGATGTCGCAGAGTCCGAATTCGACTGTTTAAATCTATTCATCACAAGACCAAGCGCGCCAGCCCTGATTGCAGCGGGCATTGACAATAGAGCCGTAAAACTTCCCGTCTATATATACATCCACGGCGGGGCATACAGTTTCGGTGCAGGAACTGATCCTATATGGGGTGAGTAACCCCTCACAACAGCGCAGAACCATGTCACTAACAAAACCAGATCCTGCCCGTCTGGTTAAGAGATCCATTGATCGAGCAACGCCGATTATAGTCGCAACAATCAACTACCGACTGAACATTTTCGGCTTCGGTGCGTCTACAGAGATCATCCAAGCCCAGCCAGAGGGCCAACTTAAGGGCTGCAACTTCGGTCTAACAGACCAACATATCGCCATTCAATGGGTCCACCAAAACATAGCCGCCTTTGGCGGCAACGTGGCCCAGATGACGGTAGGTGGACAATCAGCCGGCGGAAGCTCGTCTCATGCGCACATTGCACAGGCAGTTTTCGGGAAACGAGATCCGCTTGTCCACCGTTCTATTATCCAGTCCGGTGCTGTGGGCGTTTTGGGCCCAATTACAATGGAACAGGCTGATAGACGGTGGAATACGTTTTGTAAACAGCTGGATGCACCTGAGGATCCAACTTCTCGCCTGGCGCATATGGTAAATCTATCACCAGACAGGCTTCTGAAGGCATTTTATGAGTTGGGATGGATGGTTAGTCCCCTCGTTCTGGATGACTTGACTATGTCAGAAAATGCTGGTTCGCAGTGGAGATGGAATATACACCTAGGTGGACCGGAAACAGATGTGATACCGAAAGTCCCAAGGGACGATGTTGACCCGATTGCTATTCTCATTGGAGATACGGACCTCGAGGTAAGTCAGACTCCTCTATGAATGCAGTGCCCAGTATCATAAACATGTGAACTTGAACTGACAAACCGACCCAGGGCACCATGCACGCTGGGCAGGTATCCAAGATCAAAAGCTACAGCCATCTTCAGGACCTACTAGCACGTAAAATTGATCAAACCGAATTTCGAGATCAGTTCTGCGATTTATACGGTATCCACGCCGACATGTCTCTACCCGAACTTCACGAACAAATTTACCACTTCATGACCGATCTCCAATTCGGGTTACCTGTGCACCTGGCTCGGAACGAATTGAGGAACTGTTCTACCATTGTACAGAAGGTAGCGAAAGACTTCGTTGCCCGTCCGACAAACACACAATCATTCCGTGTGAACGTTGGCAACCCATTCCCAGGACCGAATTACCAGAAGGCACAACATTGTGTTGATTTGATCTACATATACGATGCTTTTGCGGAAGCGTTGCGCGCTGTGGACGAAAATTTACCTGCAGGTGTTGTCAAAAACCACGCTTTGGTGGAGTCTTTCCAAGAAGACTGGATTCGGTTTATTGCTGATCCGATTGATGTTCGTGAAGATGGGCGGGGGACATACTACAATGCGGATAGGATGACAAATGTGGTGGACGTCGACCTTGATAAGGAATGGTCGGAGAGGAGAGTGAGATATGAATTCTTGAACGAGTTTAATCATGCTTCGCAGCAAGCGATGGAGGCATTGAATGGCAATGGACACTCTTTCTAATTTCCAAGCTACGATCAGTGCAAATCAGCTGTGTTCGTTTCAAGTGATGGATTCAAGTTGATGGATTGACCATCTATGTACAGTTACATCCCATTAATATCATTCCTTACTCATCGGACCAACCTGCAACCCTCGATACCCCGGTATCCAGCGATAAGGCAGACTTTCTGGGTCCAAAGATTCAGCCAAGAGATTATCAACGTGCATATCATCTTCCGACGAAGACTGTCCCAGATTATAGGACAGTGCCCGCCGGATAAATTTCGCAAACGTATGCTGGTAGTCCATGTTTGTCGTTGCAACAAACTTATCCAGAACCTGCAGGTTAATCGCGCAGTTGCGCATGATCAGATCGTCCGATTGGCGACCTAGCTTCCGGGCGAGGATGAGAAATATGAAGGATGATTGTAGGAAGTAGGTTCCGAAAAAGCGATACATGAGACATAATCGTGGGTCAACTTGTAGGATGTAACGTGCAACCTGGTAAAATTATCAATGAATGTCCTGGGACGGCTTTTTGATAGGTGGGCTTACGTTTGCGCAGGCAACTGCGTGCTCACCGGCTGTGATGAAATCTGAAGATGCTTGCCAGGCGTGATCTTTGTACATCCGGACTATATCCATTGGTCCGTGCAGAAGCACAAACATACAATGGTACATGTGTAGGCCGTAATATGCCACCTTTGGTATGTTCGGGGGAGGAGGCAAGGTACATTCTGGGTCTGCGATGGTGTAAAAGTCCGGACCAGCAAGTCCTATAAAAGAATTGAACCATTGCTCAAGATTAAGGAGAATATTTGACTTGATTTCAGCCAGAAACTTTTCGTTCTTATTGAAAGTCGGATGTTCACAAAGAAAGCGATGTTCGAGAATTTCTCCCAGTATCCTTTTTATGTTAGCTTTGGTAAAGCACCATTTTGGATTGAGCATACTTGGACAGTGGTAGATAGATGCCAAGCATATCAAGGCTTTTGACGCGGTAGCCAAGCATGGTTCCTTGGAAATTGATCTCCGGACTCCTCAGTAATGGACCTGGCAGGACCCAGACTGCATCAGGAGATGGAGTGGGAAGTAGCTGGCATTCTTGATCTGGGATATGTGGTCGTTCGTTAAATGATAGCGCCACATGTCTATCAATGATATATGAGGCCCACCATAGCCTTGAACAAATCAGCAATCGAGCTTCACAAATAGAGTAGATGATACACTACCTCCTCCTTTCTTCTCTGTCATCTTCGCTAAGAATTGGTGAATCCTTGTACAGCTGCAATTCCTGCACAATGAACTTGAGGAAAGCAAGCCAATAATGCAGACTTGACTCCACGGACTGCTCACTTGGAGAAATACTCGTCATAATAAACGCCGTCAAGGCATCATCGAAAACATGGTTCGCACCGGGCAACGTTCTCGGATGGAAATAATAAGTTAATTTGTCAAATAAATACCGACCCAAGGCGGCCCGTTCTTTTGAGGTCGATTCCGGGAGAGCCGATGATTCATCGGAAGGCATAAAGCAGGCAACGCCTATATCAGATCAGCCACGAATCTCATGTCTCATGCGGAAAACGGAAGACACACATAGCATTGAAAGAAGTAAAGTTGGCTCAGTGGGTCTTGGCGCCCGCTGATTGAGCAACCTTTCTCTTCGAACAAGTAGAGCATGGAATTCCTGGTTGGGCGAGGTAAAAAAGTGCTCTAAAAGTCGACACGCCTCGTAGCGTGTAAGGTGTATAGTAGAATTTCTGGCAGGCATTAACAGGAGTCATGCGGGATTCTTCACATTCTGGACACTTACCGTGCATGTTCCTTATCAGGCTTCAAAATCGAAAATTCATGAAGACAATCCAATACCGGATAGTCAATTGCATCCTACATAATAGGTATTAGGCATCTAACCCGGCACAGAAGAACCGAACTCCAGTTCGAAGCATGTTCAATTTACCGATGCAACAGTAGGCAAGCGCGGAATTTCTTTCCTAGTCGACTTTCTACCCCGTTTCTTAATCGGCCGATCAGAGGTACATCGAATGCGCAGTCCTAAAAAACGGTCACGGATCTTCCCACTGCCGCAGAAAAAAAGCGGGGACATACTCTTGCAACGCACACACCCCTGGGGTTGTGGAGAGCACTTCAATTTGTGGCCGTGACACTGATCACATGCAGACTCTGTCCTCTTATCCATAGTATATGCATTGCCACTGGATGGTATAGGAGAGGTGTTTAAGAAAGAGAGCGACGCAGCCTGTGGAACAGCCAAGACGTCTATCATCACCGCCTTGGTCACCGTGCGAACTGGGGCCGTGGCCAATGCTTCACACTTAGGATTATGTCAATTGTCTCGATTTTGGGATTGATGGACTATTGGATTGAATGACTGCTATTTTGGAACTACTTAACCTTGGAATTGGGTATTGAAAATCTTCCCTCCAAGTGCGGCACAATGGCAGTTTCGCTGTTACAACATGATCTTCTCACGTCATTCGAAATAGGATATCGTGCTGATTTCCTCGATATTCAAAGCACTAGAGACATGATTAGCATTATCAATCTTATCAGTCCACTGTTCAGAACACGATCTCCAGACCCGCCAATGTCATGCCCCATACCGGTTGATCCCTTACCCGCATGCATTGAGACATGCATGCAAGTTTGATTTTAGTGATGACAGGTTGATCAAATGAGAACATCGTATTCAATTCAAAATGCTAAATACTAGGTATCCACATGCCATGACGCCGGTAAAGAAAGAATTAAGCAAGTCCTCAAATGGGAAAGATCGCACTGGAGAATCTCCAATGTACACTATCATATACCAGTCCTCTGTACCCAATATGAAGGAGTTGCGTATTCGCAATGAAAGCAACCAAATAATCTCGGATAAATGAGAAAAGAGCAACCCAACCTTGCCGTCCTTTTGAACCGTCCGTTAATAGCAGCCCAAACGCAAAAATAAGGGTGTCGGATATGTACGCCAAGTCAGCTCCTGCTTCAAGCTTCCAACCCTCATGCCCAGAGGGTTCGAGAGAAAGGTGGCTGACTTTGAACGCCTCTCGTATCAACCCAAGAGAGAGTAAAAAACAATGCAATTCAAGTAACGAATGCGCATGGGGATCATCAGATCGGGATATCAGAGAAGCCAAAACCCAGCATAACCGACCGATTGCCCAAAATAAATGAACATGAACAAGAAAATGGAGTAGAAAGCTGCCTTGGAAAGGGGAGTGAGAGTACTATGCATCGGTATGTCTAGACACGAGGCAAGTAACAAGGGAGAGGGGGAAGAGGGATTGGGTGGCATGTACAATAATGCAAGAGCGCCAGACGCAGAAGATTGAGCCAAACTCCAAGTGGGGGCGAAGGTCAGAGCAAGCTCTTTGCGAAGAAAAGGATAGATCAATTAAATTCAAGGAGTGATCTGTGAGAGTGGTAATTTTAATGAGGAGTCTTCATGACCATCTTGCCGTTGGCTCGTTTGTAGGCCATCTCCACGCCAAGCTCAGCCATCAAGGCTGCACGACTTTCAGCGGAGAAATCTCGGTAGGCATTGGGGTTTGGTTCGGTATCTGGCCGCATGCCGTTCTGCATTGAACGATCATCAATGCCAAAGGAATCTTCGTGGGTGCGCTTAGAGCCAATGCTGCCTGAGTGATATACCATGCGCTTGCCTGTGAATGAGTCGTAGCCTCCAGGGCTTGGCGGGACACTTTCGATAGACGGTTGAACATTGGCGTATTCACTGGCTAGAGATTTCATTACCGGCATGCCCGCATGGCCCATGGCCGATGTCTGGTCATGGCGCATCATATGTGCCGGTGGCAGATATTGTGACGGATCTTGGATCAGATAGGGTGTCGGCTTCGCGGCCTCCACGCGATATTGATTCATATTGTTCTTGGGGTAGCCATTTTGCATCTGCGGTGCCATGGGGTAACCTCCCGGTGTCATATCGTACTCTGATGCGGTGGATTGGTGACGAAGATTAGCATACGCGGTATGAGGCGAATACATGCCAGGAGGTGGTGGAGTAGGCGGCATGTGAGTAGCTGCAGGGTAATGAGTGGGTGTTGAGCCGAAGGAAAGGTGGGATTGGTAAGACGGTGTGGTGGCGTTGGCCATGACAGGCGGCATTGGTCGCTGGTAAGGTTGTGGGCAAGCGAAGGCATAATCCTGTGCCGACGGCCGCCGTTGGATTTCGGGTGGGTAGCCATACGGTGATTCTCCCGTGCTGGTGTGGCTATTTGATCGAGGCCGTTCTACTGATTGCGCCACATAGTGATCTGGTGTAGAAAAGCGATCGGACCGAGCGTATGCCGCAGTTCTATCCTCGTTGAAATCATAATCCTCATTGTGCTTGTCGCCTCGACGTCTCATGCGAACATCACGACGAATGCGGACACGGCATCCTTGCTCGGCAATAATGCGACTCAACGAAGTGCTGGTGGCCAGGCCAGGGAACTTCTTTGCACTATAGACGACAAACGGAACTGATTTGACCTCTAGGCGAAAGTGAAGGAACGATTGTGGGGAGCCTGGCTTTGACGTATTTGGGCCGGTAACTTGGTTCGGGAGTGGCAGGTCCGAGTCTTTATCAGTATCCTTCGTGTCTTTAATTTCTTCATATAGGTGGAAAGTTAACCGATATCGACCCTCGTGTCGCACCGACAAGTCGGGGAAGATGAAATAGCCTGCCTGTAAAGGACGATCGAGATATGCAACACCGGCAACTGGCACGCCGGTCAATACTGGGCACGACGGGGGTCCAGCCATCCGTCCGTGAGCGATGTTCCGTGCATTTTCCAATGTCGCATAAAGGAAGAAATTGGCATTATAGGCGAAAGTGACGTCGGTAGCTTTGTCTGGGTTATTAGGATCGGTTTCGAATATACGCAATTCCACCACGGGAGGCGGGTCAACAGGACGTCGGTCGGCAGAGGCTACATTCCAAGTCAGCTGGGTGGAAAGAAACAGACGAAACAATGCGACAACAAGACTAACACTTGGCTCCAGCACCACAGGCCCTAGCACGTTCTGGCTGTTGCATGACAACCATTTGGTAGGTGAGTTCTCTGCCATCGCGCGTAACCCGTTTGGTGTACGCCTCCGACTCTTTCGGAGCCCTGATCGGTCCGCGGGTCGCCATTTTGACGTTATAGTTCAAACCCTTCGCGTCTCGGCAATTATTCTTTGTTGTTTGTGGATGAAGCTATCGTCGGGAGCAACATCAGTAAAAGCGAAAGGGAAGGATAGAGAGTTTGTGGGAGGGGGGCGTAGGGGTCGACAATTTGGTCGACAATTCGGTTGTTCTCGGGCGCGCGCGACGTACAAATCCAATTCAATCGAATCCACGGATCGACTCGAGGAAGTCGATGATGAACGCGACTCGGGAAGAAAGCAGGTTCGATGTTCCCTGGTTCCAACCGGTCGATCGGGTCGACCCTGGGGCAGGATCGGGCGGTCAATCGATGATGGTCGGGTGTGGCTGGAACATGCGAACAAGTCGAGGGAGAACCTTCGAAATATCACAGATGATGATGGACAACCTTTCGATAATCCTGAGCGACAGGAAGTGGATGAAAAGATGCGAGGAGAAGGTTGGGAGTGTGTGAAAGAGAGAAGGGAGGGGGTGACACGCAACTTCTGCCGTTGGTGACTCGCTGGGTACGAGATCTTTGTATGGTTCCCGGCGGTATGCACAATGTACCCAGGCGGTACTGGTAATGATACCACAGGCCCCCACCGTAACCATACACGGGTTTTCCAAGATTTATTACTCGATAAAGTTGATTTCTACGGTTATTCTTAGCTTAAATACGGGGGGTCCATGGGTCCATACGCTGTCCGTAACAGACAAAGAGTCTCGTCGGTGTCCCTATTCGTTCCTCATTACTCCGTAGGCGAGATGAGATCTGGTATGTGAAATCGAAAGGAAAGAAAAAAAAACCCCCCTCCATAACGATGAATAATTCGAACACTTCAGACGAAAATCGAGAATAGAGGCATGATTTCGGGGCTGTCGAAATTCTCTTCGTTATCGCGATCTGCGGTTTCAGGCAAGCTTCCTCCACTTTGGTCCAGTTCAGTGCTAGTGGGAGTTCTTAGGGCTCCTTCGTGTCAACTTGCTACCCGAATCACATCCGATCCGCTTGTCTTTTCCCATAGGCTCCAACCGAATGAATACATGGTCGATTCCTATCCTGTGGTCCTTGGGACTGGGCTTGTAGATCGTTTGGTCGAACATTCTTTCCGATCTACGGTTAGAGCAAGGGTTCTCCCTCAACTTCCCCGACATCGTGCTCTCTCCCTTATCCAGCCCAGTCCAACGGATCGGGGTGGCCTTCTTTTCTTTTCATTTTTACATGGACCAGGGTTATTGAGAAATGGTCGGATGAAAATTGACTTGTAATAACATGATTATTATTTTTAATATCCTCCTTGGCCAATATGCTAAGCCAAGGCAACTATACAGACAAGATGCCGTCATTTCCCGACCAAGTCTCTCTTTAAGGCCAATTAATTCTTTTCCCCCTGCTGACGTGGTGAGGCCCAGTACCGATCTTGTATCAAAAATACATATTTTGAGGAGAAATTTCTATATCAGATGAAAAGCAAAGACTACTAAACTCTTGAAACACAAGACTTGGAGATCCCAGTCTCCCCTACACGTTAAACTAGTCTGGAGGATTTGTATCCAAACCTTCTCCCCCTCCTCATCCGTGGACCACATCATCTTGGCAGCATCATCCTAGCAGCCAATCAGATCTTAGCCAACGACGGTCTTAGAACCGACTAGGCGGTTTTTGGTACAAGAGGCGCCTTTCGCCAGCTGTCCATTGGCCCCACATGTGGGTCGTGAAGCCGTGTAAATCCTGATCTGCATCCATTTATGATTTTAGACATTCTGTTTCTTTAAATCCCTGATTCCTGTACTCTGTACGCAGGTCATGGTCAGACTCCGCAAATCGGCCGGTGATTTGTTGCCAAGGCTCTTTTTTCTCCTGTACGTTGAATGCACATATACGCTCGTAACCTATAGCTGCTTCTGTGGCTGCATTGAAGAAGCGCTCAGGGAGAGTTTTTTTTTTTTTTTTTCTTGCATGGTGCGTTGTCTAGTCCGAGTCAATCCTGAAGAATAACCTTCAAACCTGTTTGTAATGGTCTCTAGGCATCTCGCAGTTCTATAGCGCACCACAAGCTCTTTCAAATCATTTGTGGCACGGGATCCCTTTGATTCCCCCACTTGGAGACGGACCGCACCGCTCGAAGCCACGGCCCCATTCCAACGTTTCCATACAGTACAGTCTCGTAACCGGCTTGTGGGCTGCAGGTTTTAGTTTCTGCACATCACCGGAAATGACCTTCAACGGTCCAATAGAAGGTGGAGTACATTGTTCAGATTTGTTATTTTCTTTGCAGGCACATACAATTCCCCGAGGAGCCCTTATTTTCAGTCTTCGGGGTCTGCTTTTATGCAGGTCAACGGGCAAATACAGCACATTATGTAGAGTCAACTTCAACCCATTCTAGGGCTGTAATGGTCGATTCGGATTGGAGGCCACAATCATGCATCCACATTCGCGCTATGGGAAATAGAGTGTCGGTCTCTTTTTGCCAATTCCAGTCTACGGTGCTTTCGGAATTGGCCTCGTGCTGTTGTTATTCGCAACAATCCTTATTCGGTCCGATGAAATCATAATGAACGGTGATCACCCTTAACGGTCGGCTAGTCGGCCATCGGCTTGTCCACATCCCATGCAAGGCTTTGGATTGAGCAGACTTACAAGGGTCTGTTGGTCTATGGCGTTCATTTCCCACCCCCTCATACACCCCTCATACCTCCTCACATCATCGACCACGTGTGATTAGGGCAAGGGCAATGATCCTTTGGAGAAAATGCTACTGCATATACGTACGGGCTTCAATGGAACATATTTATCCTTGGAACTGTCGAAGTGTAATTTCACGTTTCGGGATCGACGAGAAAAGCGGAAACAAAAGATTGACACCCCGTACTTCCCAGGATCGCCATTCCAGAAGGATACAGGATTAGGGGCAACGCGTGTCTTGGCAATTTATTTCGTTTGAGCAAAAGCGTGGCAATGTACTCCGGAGAACTGATTGCCCTATATCAGCAGAACGTAATTGTATCAGATTTCCAGGTTCATATCCACTATTTACGTTAAATGTCGGAGTTCCCCGGGCTCTCCGCGATCGCCCCTTTCACGGGCCAAAGAACAAAGAACAGATTTCACGGTCAGGTGAGAAGATCAATATGCACGTAACCTGATCTATGCCTAGTACGGAGTAGTCTCATAACCCCCATTCTGGACAGGAGGATTGGCATTCGATCTCGCTTTGAACTGTTATTTCCAGTTGAATTTGGCCCCCTTCTTGCATCTAGCCCGTGGAGCGATATGTAACCTACGCAATATCGAAGGGTTTTAGTCGGTTTCAACGGCTCGTCAAATGCAGTAATCCCTGTCTTTGGAAAATAGATGATTGGCAAAGTCGTGGGACAGCCACATGGTCTGACAGGGGTCTTGGGGGGTAATGGCGTAAGACATTCAATCCAGATCATCATGGAATTCCGAATCCCTAAATCCACCGGCCATATTGTCTGGGCAGATATCGACCTACTCAGATCAATCCGGGGTTTCTGGATGGGAAACATGACTCGGTTCCGAGGTTACTCGCCGCATATAAGCGGCAAGTCTCAGCCTCCCATTTTCTCGATCTGATATACGTTTTACGGGACAGTTGATATCCTTGCGGATGTTAGACCGCTAGTTAATAGGGGCTATACCACGTGGAATGATGGAATGAAGCGCATGAAACCAAGACCATCATGGCTAGTGCGGTGACATCAGAGATAGGGCCGTTCAAACAAAAAGGATTTCGGAAAACATGCTCCCGGACCCCGACTTCCTAGTTCGTTACGGAGGATATAATACGTGACTTGCTGCACTAGTAATAGTAGTTCGAAGATCAGCGAATCATGCGGACCTAGACCTTTTCCGCTTTTGGTACTTGAGTGCGACCTTTGTTCGCCTCGATTTTAAATCAAATCTCTTGGACCTCCATTGCATCGCTCATAGTTACCTACCTCGTCGTTGCTAATTGCTCTGATCTAGATTCCGTTGGCCCGGACTGTACAGGGATTCATAAATCACTCACATTCCGTTGCGGTGTACGAATCGATCATGATCGCCTGATCCGCGGTATGTGACTTATGCGATTGCCCGCATTTAAATCACTACTGCGCGGAGTGCACCGGGGAATTGTCGCACTTGAAAAGTTGATTACAGAGAGTCACATAGGGTTTTAGTCTTGAGTATGAGGATGGGGCTATAGGACAGCCGAAATACATACCTGGTTGGGTCTAGTCTAGGTGTACTCTGATTTAGTATGACCTTCGATTGTTAAGGTAGCGAATGGACCCTACGCCCCCGGGGGCCTACCTTGGGTCTTGCAGGGTTGTATTCGCTTCAACAGTATATTGCGGGTGCCGGTAATATTCTCCGGCTTCGTGGGCTGGAACGGATCGGGCTGATCCCGTTCGTGCTGAAATGTTTGTGGCTCTGGGATCTTCAATATGCGGTGAATGTGGAGCTCGATATATAGTGAGCTCTATCATAATCAGAAGCAAAGTGATCATCTATGCAGTCAATCAATTCCAAGCTTTTGAGGTTTAGTCATTTGCTTCACTACATGTGTCAATATATTGCTGGCTGTCTATTCCCTTTAGGGTATCTCGGTCGATACGAATTGCGGATCTTGGAGCGATAAACTAAGAGCTATGGTTTCTTTTTTCTTCACAAAAAAAGAACCAAGGTTGGAAGCTTTCGTGGCGGGAGCTCGTGCTTGGAAACTTCGATATATATTTTGGTTTTAGACTTGACCATTGATCTTCAAGATCGAAATTTCTTGACCTTAAAATTGCTATAATCGAGCAAAGAGAACACTTAGACAGAAGACACACCAGGAATAAATCAAAATCTAATCTAATCCATCATGATAATCAAATTGCGCACCAAAATGCATAAGAACTGCAGGTGTAAATGTTGTCGACATGTGCTGATGTCAACGGTGATTGGCCCCACACAATATGGCAAGAACCGCGTCTCCAGCTCCCGAGCTTCTGGCCTCTTATGGATCTTCTATCAGTCTTGCCTGCTTTCGCGACAAAACCATACGCACATATCCTGCCTTCGCTAGAGCGCAGCAAACTCACCACCGTCGACCTTATCACTCTTGACACGCTTGAGATTGCGAAACGCGCCCATGTGCCCCCCGCAGACGTCCGGCGGCTTTGCGTTCGCGTCGTCGAGGCGCTGCACGCCGACCTTGGATTCCAGAAAACACAGACAAATATAGATTCCACGGACGAGAATGACCCTAGCTCGAGTATCAATGCGGATGCTGCTGTTACCCTTGGTCCCTCGATCAAGCTTCAGCCGTCGCGATGGGACATGATCAGCACCCTAGACCCCACTATGGATGCACTTTTGGGAGGCGGCATTCCAACAGGATACATGACGGAAGTGACAGGCGAAAGGTCCGTGGTGATGGAGTTGTTCAATACAATGATTCTGACAATATTTCAGTGGCAGCGGCAAGACCCAATTCCTCCTGAGCCTACTCCTGGCTGTTCAGTTAGCCAAACCCCGTGGACTACAGAAGCGTGCCATCTACATATCAACAGAGCACCCGCTAGCCACAAATCGTCTTTCCCAATTACTCGAATGCCACCCATATCTCTCGACCCTCCCCAAAGACCAGATCCCGACGCTTGAGAATGTCCTCTCTATCAACGCCATGGACCTGGAGACTCAAGACCACATCCTCAACTACCAGCTTCCGGTTGCAATTGCGAAATACAATGTTGGACTAGTCATCATGGACTCACTCACATCGAACTACCGCGCTGAGCATACCGACCACAGTATTCTAGCCCTCTCCAGCCGAACCACCGCGCTCGCCAAGCTAGGCCACATGTTTCGCAACCTCGCCGTGAAAGAGAACATTGCAATTGTCATCGCAAATCAAGTCTCAGACCGGTTTGAGAGTGTCGAAACCATTATAAACGATGCATCACGGCCTGGCTTCCCAATCCCATTAACCCCAGCAGCTCGGGATTCTGGCGTTGCCTCGCCAATCCCTCGAAACAGGTCCGATATACTGGGACCATCAACCCAGTCACCGCATGATGCCCCTTCTTCTTCTTCTCCATCTTCATCCCAGTACCCACCCGAAGATGACCAATTTGCTGGATCATACCTCGTCGGGAATCCGGCTCGGAACGACCTCATGAGCCTTCTGCACCAGGAACGCTTCTTCACTGGCTGGGGAGATTCCGATTATCCTAATACATCGTCCCTCAAGACCCCAGCACTGGGCTACTTCTGGTCCACGCAGATCGCGTGTCGCATCGCGCTTTAAAAAAGAGACTCGTTCTATGTTTATGCCTTGGGACGGTGCCTACCCTCTATCCACACCTTTGGAGCAGATGGACCCTCCTCAAGAGCAAGCGGAGAAGGTATCCGAGGCAAAGTCGGCATTTGCTACTGCCCGGCAAACACATACAGGGGAAATCACATCAGAGGCTCCCGTCTCCAACGAAGAGAAGTCTGCTACCCAATCCCCCAAGGAACCAGCACCAACGCCAGTTCCAAGGACTGCGTCCCCGGTCGTGCCCGAACCGGAGCAAATCACAAGACGAATCATGAAAGTAGTATTCGCTCCTTGGACTGCTGGACCGAGGGAGCCGGGGGTCGATGGAGATGCAACTGGATCAATACCAAGGCCACGAATTAGTGAGACAGGATTTGAAATTTGGAAAGGAGGACTGCGGAGCATCGAGCCGGAAAAGTAATATTTACTTGATCTCATTGAACCGAGGATTCAAAGGGGATATTTACTTACGACCTTGTTTATATTTGCATAGCACGGAGAATAACAATTGCATAAACAGACAGAATTATTCAACTGTTCAGCGACTCGAAAACCTAGCCCTCCAAGGGATAAGATTAGGGTTCTCTGGGATATCTTACTGAAGGATTAAACCACTAGCTTCCGAATTTACGTTGTACTATTTGATTGACACCGAACTTAATATTATTCTCTTACGTAGGACAACCACCGGTCGATTACAGGCTGTGAGATGGGGACAGCATGCATACATCATTCTAAATAAAGAGATACAAGGAAAACTAGGAGTTTGACATAAAACCCAGTAGGTATTGAAGCTCTATAATTGATTTCATGGAACATTCAATAGAACTAGTATGAATCGCGCCATGGCATCCACAATGTTCTCGAGGTCATTCTCCCATTAAGAACGATCATCCCACACCCATTCACGAATAAACATCAACAAAACCCACCAACATATTCATGCAAATTTAAAGTGATGTCGAATTATGATCGTGTGACCAAACCAATGAAGTGACCCTGATATCCAATCCCGTGGATCGACTCGGACTTTTACCCCGCAACCCTGTTTCTAACGGCTCTTCCTTGTTTTTTCCCACGTCACAGCCTCGTTGCCACTGATCCACTGTGCTTTTCCAAGAGTGTGAGGATTGAGTTCTTCAACTCATCTATCAATTCATCGTGAAGACATCTTCTCAAGCTCTGGGGTTGATCTTGAGGTCGAAGCTGTCGAACGGGTCGAGGTCTTGATGAATGACCTCGCTCTCAAATATTGTTGCCTGGACTGACCTTATCAGCTTTGATGTCTCGTCTCAGTGCATGAGATCAGATTCGACTTGGCTCGATCAAATCAAGTGTCGATGTACAGCGACGGTGCAAACACTGCAGTATGAGATTATTCAGATTACAGGATGAAAGGAAAGAAAGAAGATTCGATAATCAACAGGTCTCGAATCATATTTCAAAAGATCATTATTTCATCCCCAGTGGATCACTCCCCTCTGCTCAGCTCACATCAAGAGACCAACGCAGAAAAAACAGGAAATCAAGACAATCTAAAGAGAAATTCAACGAGAGGAGGTTCTAGGGTTTATCCCTTCAACCAAACCATCTTGACATCTATGCCTCGCCAAAATCTCACATGTTTTGTGTATGCGCGCCAGTCAAGTATACACCAAAGATCAACAAAAAACAAACAAAGGCATCAATAAAGCAACGACAAATTTTCGCTTCCAAGTCCAAACATGAGAAAGATGCATATGTGACCATCTATTTGGCCATCTTGGCAGGACGAATACCAATGCCGTTGGTGTTGCGGAAGAAGAGCACACCCTGGCCTTCACCGGTAGCACCCTCCATCGGCTCAACCCACTGGCAGGTACGGGCACTGGTCCACATGGCCTTGAAGAAGCCTGTCCAGCCGGTCTGAGCCTCGGTGCGGTAGTGAGTGCCCATGACGCCCTTGATGGCCTCGCTAGCCTCATCGGCGTTGTAGAAGGGGATGTTGCTGACATAGTGGTGCAGAACGTGGGTCTCAATGATACCGTGGAAGATGTGGCGACCGACGAAACCGAAGTCACGATCGATGGTGGCGGCGGCTCCACGGGCGAAGTTCCAGACCTCGGGCTGGTAGTGGGGGAGGGTGGGGTCAGTGTGCTGGAGGAAGGTAATGGCGACTGTGTGAACGTTAGAATGCTGATATCAATGGAGATTTTAGGTTGACAAAAAACTCACCGAGCCAGTGGTTCACCCAGAGGTAGGGGATACCGTACCAGACCAGCAGGTTGAGCCAGCCGAACTTGGAGCCGATGGTGTACAGAAGTGCACCGGTGAGGAAGAGACCGAGATCACTCAGGGCAATCAGCTTAGCGTCCTTGGCCTCGTACAGAGGGCTAGCGGGGTCGAAGTGGTTGACACCACCGAACCATCCGTTGGCCTTGCCCTTACCACGACCCTCGGGCTGCTTGGCGTGGTTGTTGTGGCCAGTCACGTTGGTGCTGAGGTACATGAGCCAGCCGAACAGCTGCTGAGCGATCAGGTTGCTGGCAGTCAGGATGGGGGTCTCCTCCATGAGCTCGCCGAGCTCGTGCAGGGTGCGGCCGGTACGGGTAGCATACTCCTCACGGGTCTTGGGGACGAAGACCATGTCACGGGCAAGGTTACCAGTGGCCTTGTGGTGCTTTCCGTGGGAGATCTTCCAGGAGAAGTAAGGCACAAGCAGGAGAGAGTGGCAGACCCAGCCAACGGTGTCGTTCAGCACCTTGGAGGGAGAGAAAGCTTGGTGACCACACTCGTGGGCCAAGACCCAGACACCGGTACCGACGAGACCCTGGATGACAGTGTACAGGGTCCACAAAGCCACGCGAGCGGGCATGAAGGGGACAGTCTCGGGGGTGACATAGTTGTGGAAGAGGTAGAAGACGCATCCCAGAATGGCGAAGTCTCGGAAGACATAGTACAGACTGGTGATGGCGGAGCGGTGGAAGCAGTGCGCAGGGATGGCATCACGGATCTGCTTGATAGTGAAATCGGGGATCTTGAACTCGTTGCCCAAGGTGTCTACCAACTTGCTCGCCTCCTGCTCTGAAGCCATAGAAGACAGAGAGGTCGACGAGGGCGACTGGCGGGGGCTGTCGAAGGGCGAAGCCGAGACCGAGTTAGGTACAGACGACTCGGTGGTGGGGTTGCGATGAAGCGCCTGGCGCTTGGGAACAGCAGTGGACGACATGGCGAAGATGGAAAAGTTATACAGCCAATCTGTACAGTGTCTCCGGTGCTATTATACGTTCGTCCAATCGACTGGATCACGAACGACGGTGTTGAGGAAGGGGGGAGGGGGAGTTGCGTTGGACTGGAGCTAATCCACGCAGTTCTCTCAACAGCTATATGAGTGGGGGAGATCAGTGTCCAAGTTCTTGATCGGTCAGCTCGAAAGGACATCAACTCACCTAAAAGGATGAAGTGTTGACCTTGTGGTGACACAAACTTCAAGACTGATGATTATCCCCGAGAGTAAAATAGACAAGAGGGGAAAGGAGAGAAGAAAATTGCGCTAACCCCGAGCAGAAAGAAAAACGAGCCGAGCAAAGAAAGGGAGAAGATCAGCTTCGAGAATGTCAAGAAAAAAAAAACGAAAAGGGACCAAAACTGGGGGTCCATGGGTCCGTGGGGATGATACATGTACGGTCATGGTATGATCTGTACACTATCATTAGCCCTTTCCCCTGCACTTGGCAGTGTAAGTAACGTAATTATCGTAAGTAGGCTTTGCAAAAAACCAATCCCCACTTGATTCCATCCCCATCGGAATTGACGATGGCTTTTTTTATTTTATTCTAAATTGCACTCTTTCTATACCGCCATCTCCGACAATCCGCAGTGAAATTCCTGATTCGATCTATTTGATATTTTCCTGCATGAACTCAGCCGATCTCACAACCTTGCTCCCTGGTTGAAATACCATTGGATTATGTTGGGCAGATCGCGCCACAGCTGCGGCTTAGCCAACAATTAAAGGTGAAAAAAAATACTCGGCCCCACCGAGTGGTTCTTCAGGACTGGGGGAACTTCAAACCTTGAACTAGTGGAATGCCTATCGTGGCGACAAACCGGGATCGATCCTAAACCTAATTGGGCCCTCAACACTCATCCGGAAATTTCATTATCTGGATACACGGTCCGAAGGGTTCCAGTCTTTGCTACATGTCAACGAGCCTGTGATAACTGATAAATGATGAACACCAATTGACTGGAATCCAAGGGTCGCAAGGATCTCCCGATAAGAAAATGAGTAGGAAAGCAAACTCTCTGATATTCATCACATGCGGGCCTGGTTGCATAGATCGACTGCCTCGGCGGGTCATTTTCGTGCTCGCGCCCATGCTATATCACGCTGCGGATTGGCCCAGGCTGTTTGGTGGCAATTGACATGCGCCGACATGTGATGGTTCATTCGGAATATTGTTGATGGTATGGATATGTAATTTACGCCCGCGGACCTCGGAAGAATATTAATTGATGGCAATGTTTGGAGGAAAATCTAAACGATTAATTACATTCTCATGAGCCAATTCTAGACCTTCAAATGGCACGATCACCTTTAGACGGCGTAAGATTGGGGATAACTCGGCCGGTGTGGCGGGGACTCTCCCTGGGGCTTGTTGGGCCGTGGCCGGACCCGCCGAGTTTTTTGTTGAGGAGCCCCCACCAATCAGCGGGCCCCCACTTGTGTCTTTTTGCAAAACGGAAAACAGGTACGTGTACGGACCTTAGGGTTTATAGTAGGAAGCACTTTCTCGTGATCACGGACATGACTGGGAGAAAAGGGGTTAATTGCAGGTAACACGCTATGCTCATGGCAATGGTGGTACAAATTCATATTCATGTCTCGTAGATCTATTTACACGTCCATCTGGCATACGCAAGATCAGAAAAAAAAAAGTAAAGGCGAATGCGAACAGGTTGGATCATGATTAGTGCACTGCTGCTCGTCGCTCCGAATCCACCAGCCAGGACGCCCCACCGGGACTGCCCGAGGCGCTGAGGCTGACCGTGGTCTTGCGCAGATCTGGCAGCACTAGGACCGTCTCCCCGTGGTTGTGATAATCCACTTCACAAGGAATCGGGTGTCGCTGGTTAGCCCCTGCGGGGGCTCCCGTGGCGGAATCCGTCTTGGCTGGTGAGGGGGCCTGCAGCTGCGATGGGGCAAATGTTCGGATCTCCAGGCCAGGCAGGAGAAGATGACCGGGTTTCTGGGGGAGGAGAAGAATGGTAAAGCGGGTAGTTTCGCCCTCACGTGCTAGGAAGTTTCCGCGTCGACGACCTCCGAGGAGCCAAAGCTCGGGGTTGGCGTGGATCTCGTAGGAACATTCTAAAGGTTGTCCTGAATGCTCCTGGTTTGTTGGGGAGCACCAACGGCGGGTATGGCGAAGGGTCAGCTCAGCTGGAATCATCTGGCCAACGGCCGCGTGGGAAGAGTCAGAGGACACATCCAGCCCTGTTTGGAGCTGCAGCTCAGCCGTGTGGACCACTTGGATTTCGGGAATCTCCACAGGGATGATAATACAGCGGGTGGGGATGGTAGGTTGAGATGGAAGTCGAATGATAGAGTTGCTCTGTGGGGGATTAATATCAAGGAATCGGTAAAAATGGGTGAAAATGCATAGCAAATCAACTTACCTCGTGCCACGCCATCAGCCACTGGCGCACTTCTTCCGTGCGTTCCTTAAGCCCGTCCAACAAATCATCCCAGCGGACAGCCCGATATGGAAGCATCTCCAGTTCTCTTACAAGCCCAATCACTTCCATGTCTGAAGTAGAGAGTTGAGCCCGGAAACCGCCGATAAGATGTGAGGCAAGTAGTGATGCATATTGACTATAAGGGCTGGATTCAATTGCGGTCAAGAAAAGCTTTTCAATGGCATCAAAGCACTCATCATCCACGCATGTAAAGTCAACACGTAGGCGGAGACTCCGTTTCCCTGAAGCAGGGGCATCAATCGACGTGGCCGTGCTCCCCAACGGACGTATCTTGTATAGAAGGGACGCGGGTTGCTTAGGGAAGACATCCAGAGCGACGGGGCCCGTGATACTAGATTGCACGTCATAGGCCTCTGAGCTGGGCAGGCTGCAATTGGTAATTCGGAGAGGGATCAACATGGCGGGGCTGACTGTGAAACGTGAAAAGAGGATTTCATCCTTGAAAATGTCCTGCACGTTGACCGATATAGGGAGCGTGGCAACAATGTTATGCATGGTCGAAGAAGCGAATCGGCCCCTTTCTGTCTCATACGTGACTTCTGCCCGTGCGGAAAGTGTTGTGAAAGCTTCTTCCACGGTGTAAGGGATCCGTAGTCGCACAAACGATCGGGTTGGCAAGTGTGTAAACTCTATAGTTCCCGAGTCATTGTTGGCCACGACTTCTAGTTCGCCTTCCACAACCTCTGCCTCCGCGATCCGAAGACGAAGCCCTGCAGTGGCCGGTCGCACACGAACAGCGCCGCTCTTGATATCGTTTCGCCCACTGGAGAGTTCCAGCTCCAGCGTGCGCATGGCCTCTAGATTGATCAAGTGTGGTGACACAACCTTGGCCTGCAGACCATTTGGCGGAGGGTAGCAATATATGTATGGGCGGTGATCGGTGCTATCTGCATCATCGGTCTCCCGGAATCCAACTGGCAGATATGAATGTTGGTTACTGTTGAATGCGAAAACAAGATTTCCAGATTTCATCTCTAGGCGATCCACGACATATTTGCCTTGGAGAGTAGTCTAAGTTAAGTTAGCCGTGGTAGTCTCCACATTGTTGTATCAAATGTCGACCTACCGGAGAATCAATAAGGATTTTCGTCTTCGTCGACTTGATCACAACTTTGGTAGATCCTTCAATCCAATGCTCCACACTTTGAGAGGGGCTGGCGCTGACGAGCCTGACCTTGATCGAATCGATTTCGATTTGCGGACCCAGTAAAAAGCGTAACTCCATTTGAATTTGAAATCCATCCTTGTCATCATAAAGCCGGATGGCAGGGTCTACTTGGAAATCCGCAAAGAAATCAACCAAAGATGTCGTAACGTCCTTCTGTAGACAACCCAGACCCTGGAAAAGATCAGAAACATACCCAGAAAGCTGTTCCTGTTCTAGCATTGAAGTTGGCCTGGACAGGGCTCTCTGTCTATCTGACAGCTGGGATTGTGAATATGAAGCAAACTTGGAAAGCAACTTCAGCACCATACGAACATAATCTTCATGGCGTTTCAGTTCTCTCAAGCACCGGGCATAAAGCTCGAGCATGCTACCCTCAAGAACCGTCCAATTTCTACTGCCGTAAAATGGAGCCATCTGATGGAAGTATGAAGCAGCTGTCTCGTAATCCGCCTGGCGGAACCGCAAAATGGCAATGTCGGCGAGCGCAAGTTCAGCAGAGTTAGCACGGCTTGCTGCCATGTTGTGGCATATAATGCGGTCGGTGAGGTTCTCGTAGAGCGACCAGAATGTATCTCTTGATTTCAATGCAGCCTTAAGCGTAGGAAGCTCAATTCCAACCAGAGAGGACTGCTTTGTCTCTGTATCATCTTGTGGCTTAGATTCACTCTCATCATCCAAGGAGACATTCGATAGACCACCTGCCCCAGAACGATGGCTATCATCAAAGAGGAGGCCCAGGTCGGTCCATTTCTTCGACCAGCCACGTCGACGTGCAATCTCCTCGAGAGATCTCCGCGCGAACAAAAACAGCGCACCCCTCCCAGATGCCAGCTGTTCAGAGCCGGTCTTCTGAGTGATAACGGGAACTTGCTTTGGATGTTCCAAAGTCATTCTGCGCTGAAGCGAGCTTACATCAGACATATCCTGTGTCATCGGACGACCCGGACGAGAGGAACCTGATGCTAGTGAGCTAGTCCGGCGAGGTGCCTCAGCGCGGCTTTCTGTCGTTGGTGCACCAGAGTTCGAGGCATCGGCAACCTGTGCCACCGCATGAAGGGAGGATTCAGGAATCATAAGACTGGTAGTGAACGTCTGATCCAAAATTTGCAAGGCCGCCGAATAGGCCCACGAGGATACAGCATTATCAATGAAGTTTGCCTTGGCGTCGTTTTTAACATCCTCCAGTCCAGCCTCGAGATCATAACGAAGTGTTCGTGCGGCGAGACTGATGAACTCCGTGGACCTTTCACAGATCTCTGAAAGCAGCATGAGATTTTCCGGCTTCTTATCACGGGTGGCTGTTTCATTTCCAAGGAGCGATGGAGCTCTTGCAGCTCGTAGAAGTAAAGCCAGTTGCCGCGAGAAGAGATAGGTACGGAAATTGAAGATAGAAATGTTGCTTCCCAGGATCATTTCTCGATACGGCATTTTGGTGGAAATGAGTGGGTAATCTTCTGGTCGAATCTGCAGTTGAGAGGGATCAGTCTCCTCATTGTCCCCGGCGGCAGGTCCAGCCTCCAGTGCCTTTTTGGCTTCTTCAATCAGGATACTGCTGGAAGTCAGGAGTTCACCACCATGCTGACCACCATTTCCTTCGACCTGATCTCGAATGGCCGCATCCAAGCCGGCAGATAGCTCATCATACCCAACCAGCGCATCATCGAAGAGACCAACATTCTCGAAACCACGCGCGAGACCCTCTTTGAGTATAAAGAAGGTGCAAAAATTCCACCCAGGAAGACTGCGCTGGGAATCCTTTTCCTTGATATCCTCTTCATACTGAGCCACACGCAGATCGAAGGAAGCTAAAATTCCATTCTTCATCTTGTCAATCAAGTCTTCCAGCTGCTCAGTCAATTCAGGGGATTTGATCCCAGCCTTGGGCAGCCGCAGCTGTGCCACACGGTCCACAGCAGTTTTAGAAGACCCATTGAAGTCGGCTTTGACTTTCTCTAGAATAGTAGTTGTACCCCGGCCCCATTTCGACGTGGGCGTGGGTGCCTTCTCCGCACCATCCCCGTCCTGAACCACATGTAGAATAAGCCACTCAAAGGCATCGTGCTTCTCTTGACTGCTACCAGCAGTTCCAGTCGATTGTGAAGTGCTCGACGCTCCTTGGGCCTTGATCCATTCGCGTAAAGTTTTGCGCGCCGTAGCTTTGTAGGTGTCGTTATCGTCACAGCGGAGGAGGAAGACCTTCAGGTATGGAGTTTGTCGCAAGCCGGGGATCTGATGGCGCCTGTGTGCAACTGTGCCAGGGCCATCGCTAGATGGTTTGCGTTCAGCACTCTCAGTTTGCGCTGAAACAAAGCCGATGCGGAGCGATTCGATTGACCGAACGGGGCGGGTTGGTGATTTCCAGTGGAGGTTCTTCAGGGGGAGTTTCGATTCGATAATGGATTGAATTTGAGGGAAGAGGCCAGATGGATCCGTGTATTCCACTGTTCATCATAGCTAATTAGCTTCGATATCTCCAAAGTCCTCATACTTGGGGGTCGCTACCGGTCACATGGCTCGAGGCCGCTTGCGAGGGGTCCATGATTCCCGGGCGCGATTTGGGATACGGCCAATGGCACTTAGAGCATTCCGATCCAAGTACCACAAGCTACTGTATGCCTCAGTATACCTCGAGAAAGTATTGGTGAAGTCGCGGGGTTGTCGAAGTTGCAAACTCCCCGAGGCCAGCTATGGGGCGCACAGGCCGCATCTTGGCATTGTCTATAACTTGCCTTTTTGGGGTTTAAATCCTGAGTTCCCTTTACTTGCAACGTTCCAGACTTCCTTCGATGTTATATTCCACCCGGCTGTTGTTTCATTCTGCTGTTTTATGAATGATCGCAAATATATCAGAATTTTTCTTGGCTAATAGATCACCTATGGCTCATAGACATAACCGTATGGATCATGGTACTTTAATACAGTAAATGTGAGATGAACAATATCACCAGCATTATGAGGATACACACACCGTGAGGGTTTAACTTGGAGGAATTTACATAAATATTGATTGGTCTATGCTCAATACAAAAAGGCCAGCAAGGACCATGCTTCTGCAAGCTTGAATGTATATGTAGTCGTACCCTGTCATTATACGCAAAATATAACAGAAAATAGAAAATGTGCCAATAGGGGTAGATGGGAGGCGTCAACTCGCTCAGATAGAAACACCGGATTCGCAGATGAAAGGAAAATGGAAAAAACAAAAAAAAAAAAAAAAAAAGATAAGGAGATACTAGATACCTATTTCCACAGCCCGCTGTGTATAGCGAGTCTTCACAAAATCAAAGCTGTCCGTGACGCCTTGCCAAATTCCAGGTACATAGTTCCGTACCCATGCGCAAATAACCAGAAGAAGAAGGGGAATCTAAAAAGCGTTAGTTGGCTGTGGCCATGTACAGAGACTGGAGGACGTACCCAAATGAAATAGAGGTTTCGGTCGCTACCCAACCCCTTCATGCGACGGGCCTGATGCTCTCGAAGATGCTTCTGCTGTTCTCTTGAAATGAGCTTCTTCCCAATGGTGATGTCCTTGAGTTCATCGTTCGCTGATCGTGGGCGTTCAGGGGTTGTAGGTGTGGCGGCAGCTGCAGTCGCAGCAGCAGACGTAGAGGCGACAACTGTGCTCTGAGCTTCAAAGTGTTGATCTAATGCAGCCTCTGTCGCCGCACGTAACAGAGATGTTTTCTTCATCTCAGCCTCATCCTCACGGGCCTGCTGGTGCGGATAAAGTTCATCGTAAGAAGGCGGCTGTGTATGGGTTTGGGCTGTGTTGCCCTTCAAGTAATCCCACCAACCATCAGCCACTGGACGATGAGGCACAAGATTGGTAATGCGACGCATCATCTGGTTGGCCTGGTAATCCGGTAAAGCGGGCATTGGAGGTAGAGCGGGCATTGGAGGTAGAGCGGGCATTGGTGGCAAAGCAGGGATATTGGGGAAAGCATTAGCCATACTCTGCTGGAAGTGGTTGATCTGTGCAGCCAGCTGATTTCGCCAAGCGACGACTGCCGCGGGCGGGGAAAAGCCTGGTGCAGCATCATGTCCTACTACTTGCTCGCCACCATCCACAACTGGGGGAACGACATCTTGGTGCATACTCGATCGTCGAGAGGCGCTGAAATGTAGAGGCATATCGTCGGAATCCTCGCTGTCCAAATCTTCACTATCATCCAGTTCTTCCGAGTCATCAACGGCATGACCAAGGGACCCAGAGGCGGATGACGCCTCCCAAAGTGAGCTGAGCGAAGCAGAGCTGCTGTGCCTGCGGCGTGAAGTGAGGGACCCAACGCTGCGAGAACGGTAATGACGAGAAGGCAGCAGAGCAGCCTGGTGTGTGGGTAAGGATGTAGCCAGATCAGCAGGAGTGAAGCCACGCACACTCCGGGCATTAGCGTTGGCACCAGCCAAACGGAGACGATGAACGATGTGGGCATGGCTGTGAAGAGCAGCCAGATGCATTGGTGCATTGCCGGTGTTGTCTTGCACATCGGGATTGGCACCACGAGCCAACAATCCTGCGACGAACCGAGTCAATCCCAAAGAGGCCGCAAAATGCAGAAGGGTCTGTCCAGTTGTGCTGCGAGAGTTGAAGCGAGGCGGCCGCGGGCTGTCGTCAAGATCGATGAACTCAAGGTAGGTCAGCATCTTGGAGTCAAGATCGCTAAGCTTGCCCTGAGCCTCCATTCCTGGCACTTGCCGCTGATGGCCACCAGAGGAACCACCCTGCATGTCTTTTTGCATGTTCAAGAAGGCATTCGGATCGCTGCCCATGATTTGCTGGGCTGTTTGAAATGCGTCCGCCTGACTACCCAATTTCTGACCAAGAATATTGAGAGCCAGACGGTACATCTGAAGCTCACGATCATCCACGTATCGGAAGAAGAGTTGTTGCTTGGGCATGAGAGGCTGGGGTTGTTGCACTTGTCCAAAAGTCGGGTGTTCATGTTTGAACATAACCGACACCAGGCCTGGCTGGAGTGCCGGTGGAGTCAGACAATTGAGACACTTGTCTCCCCAGAATGTCGTAGTAGTCGCAAGTGTATCACCAAAAACAACCTCCATACCGGGGTAGAAGCCGCTACCCAATAATGTGACCTCTGTACCTCCAATAATTGAGCCTTCCGCTGGAACCAGCTTATGGATCACTGATGGGAGACGGTTGGGGGTGGTGGCGAGGGGGAGGCCATATTTGGCTTGCAGGATTGGAACTAAGAGCAAGCGCAAGATTGGGATCTTGGAACCCATTGCGACCAGAGGCACCAGGTGTTCCTGGCCGACTAGGCTGAGCAGAGTTGGGCGCGGACCCCAAAGGCTGATGAGCCAAGCTATCCAAGCTCTGGCGTTGTGCTGGGGTGGGATTAAAGAAAGGATTGTTGTCATGGCTTTGGTTGGGAGTCGGTGGCCCATTTCCATACTGACCGTTCATGGAAGAAGGCGTCACAAACGGTCGTTCTGTCGGGGAGGCATATCCGCGAGCAGCAGCAAGTTGCGCAGCATTCATTGCAGCTGATGATGATTGCGGTGTCTCCATTCTTGTCATGGTCAATTCTGATGGTAGTCTTCCAGAACTGCTGTGCTTCCGTCGCTTGGATTGTGGGCCAGGGAAATCAGTTGGAGATGCCTGCCGAGACAGGCTACGGGAGGTGTGTGAAGGTGCAGAGGTGCCATTAGCCGAGCCTTGAACAGCAAAAGAGCTTGGTGTAAGCTGGTATTGTGAGTTGAACCTTTGTTGAAGACCCTGGAGATCTGTGGGCGACTGAGGTGATGCAAACGCACCGTTCGCACCTTTGACGTTATCTGGATTCGACCCTGAAGAAAACACACCAACACCAGGAAGCTGCGTTCCATCTGGCAACGCAGGCGAAGGACCCGTTGGAACTGGAGCGGCAGGAGCCTGTGTTTTGTGGTCATCGGTGATCATGATTGAATTGGTAATTGCCTGAGAAACGACATTGTTTAGATGATCCTTGATGGTAAAGATAACCTGAAACCCAAGCTTCTCGTTCTGGTGCCGACAGTAACAAGCAATCCGCATCGGAAGCTCTACTTGCATCGATCCCTGGGGAGCGGGCGGCATGTCATAGCCATTTGACGTGTTCTTGGGCGGCTCGGTCCATTCTTTGATCTCACTGGTGTTGAAGACAATGACCCTCTTTTCCTCGTCTTTTTGAAACAGCTCATCCTCTTCGGGCTTCCGCTGCTTCTTTCGAGAAGCACGTTTGCGTTCTCGTTGTATACACCCACCGCAGATCACCACATCTCCACCTTCCAATGGCTGGTCTTCTTTCAAACCGTTCCCGCTTTGATATGTTTCACCCCTTGTGCGTGCAAAAGCTCGTTTTAACTTTTCACGGTCTTGCATCGCACTAGTACAGACAAGACTTGTGTATAGTTGCAGAGTGTCGGGCGAAGGTTCGGTGTTAGCAGAGGCAAGGAATTTGAGTTTAGAGATGGTGTGGGAAGGGAGGCGCAATTTCTTCACGCTGGCCGGCAGCGGGGAGAGCGTTAACCGGATCGGAATCTGGGTTTCAACACGCGATTTGAGGGAGGTCGGATGCACCGTGAGAATGGGTTGAACCGAATTAGTGGTATCCACCGGCTGAGCCGGTGACGAGCCAAAATTGACTGAGAATGGGAATGCAGCAGGCGAGCCGAAGTTCATGCTGGGCGACATCGCTTGGTTGAGAGGTGACTGCCCATTCATGTTAATGCCGCCGAAGCTTTCTTCCAACAGCGATGACGGGGACTGGGTTCCCCATTGTGGGGCAGCCAGCCTCTCCGAATCATTGCGAAATGTCCCTGAAAATGGAGACTGTTCTTTGAGACCAAAAGGAAAGAAGGGAGATCCAGGAGCAGGGGCCTGCTGCGGAGGGTTAGAACCAATTCCTGCCAAAAAAGAAATCCATTCCATGACTCACTGATGATCCAGCCGCGACGGGAGCTTCGTTCGATGGCGGTGCGGCGGGGGCTGTCGCAGGACTCCAGAACTGTGATTGGGATCCGTTCGGAGGATTAGGTTGTGGGGGGTTCTCGGTTTTCAATGGGCTCGGACTGCTCGCAGCGCTTTCGAAATCAAAGGCCGCATCCATAGCCTTGTTGCTCGACTCCAAGTCAGGGTCCATGGAGAACCCGTCCATGGGATAAGACGGTTCAATCGTAAACGGCGATTCTTCCTTCACAGAAGACAGTTCAGGACGCATCCAATCCTCTGTTGGGAAACCGGTGGAAGTCAACGGATTTTCGCTATGAGCGGCGGAGTTTGTTGATGCGACCGAGGCATGGCGATGATGATTGCGAGGGGATTCCGAGGAAGAGCTGCGGCTGGAATTATCGGGCGACTCTGCTGGCGACTCTGCTGCCATCAACGGTGGCTGCCTCAGGGGGTGTTGGTCTTGATAAGCCTTGGACGACTCCGGGGCGGCATTTGAGCGGCTGTGGGTGACATGGGCGAATAGATCATCGAAATCTCCTCCAGCAGATCCCGAGGGAATCTCAAGTTTTGTTGGGTCAAGGAAATCCATATTGGCGTTGCGGAATGTAGACTCCATCTCATCGTCCATTATGATGGGATCCAGGGCAGGGAATGTCGGCGAGGAGGGTGCGTCTGACGGTCCCATAGTTCGTTTGCCTTTTTCCTGATTTCTGTAAATCGACAGGTTGTTACTGCGACCACCCTCCAATCGTTTTAAATTTGGATGTTGCGATTGTCGCGTGGGTGGTGGGATAGCGATCGGGGAAAGACGGGGTTCGCGGAAACGTAGGATATGGTGTCTGTAGAGACTTTCACGTAATGTACCAGAACCGGTCGTTTATGACCATGGCTCCCGGAACAAGAGTGCAGCAAGTCGAAGAAACGGTTGGGATGAGTAAAGTCGCTGGGGTAAAGAAAGCGACTGCCTATGTGGAGTTGAGAAAGGAGAGCGGGAAAAGTGTGAGCGCGGATCCAGACCGGCAGAAACGGAACGTGCGAGGGGCGAATAAGAACAATCACTTTGTTCTTCGCTTAATGGCTGGGATCTTTATAAATGAGATAGAGAGAGGAAAAGAAAACGAATCATCAAGCGGTTGATCATATATGTATATCTACCCCAGATATAATCCCGAACTTCTAGAAAGTTGTTACGGTGTGGATGTGGATACCTGAGGCAATCAGAAGCGGTGACCAATACGCGGGTTTACAATCGTTGTCCCCAAGTGCAAATCATTTTGATTCGTTCCATTTCCCTTCCATTCTACTCTTACTTGAATTCGGATCTGGAGGTCTGACTGTGCAACCCGTGTAACTCCGACTTGACTTCATGTTGGCTTTCTCAAGTCGAGAGTAATGCGCCCGACTGTCCTTGGAATGATCCACCACGAATGATTAAACCACCCCCCCTCCTTTAAACCCTCGCGGCACTGAGCACAGATAGACCGGTGAGTGATTGGATGCAGCCTGCACTACTGAACAGTCTTCCGTATCTTGCTCCCTTGTGTCACATCATTGTGCCACTATCTTGCGACCAAGACTTCTGAGCGATACTGAAAATAAGACATCATCGTTGATGCAGATCGCCTGTTCTCGGGCATGATCGACTCCTTTCCAACGCTATTCACTGTAACCTCAGGGCTCCTTGTACATGGCATGGATCAATTGGCCTCAGAACGAGAACATACGTAGCTACTCGTGGACCGACATGGTTTGGATCCAGACAAATAATGACCAAAGATTTTACGACGTGCAGGCTTATCGGCTCAAAGGCCGCTATTTTATGCCCATTGGCGGCCAGATCCCAAGTCCCTAGCCCGATAATGGATTGCCGGGGTCAAAACGTCTTGACAGCTTGTCTTGGCTGCATGAGGGGGCTCTCTAATGTACGCAATGGACCTTCCGTAGAGACAGATCCCTGAAAGCTCTAGTTCCTTTGGTGGCTTGAGAATGGCGCCCTCTCTACGAGTATTTCTCTTATCAAAATTCCTCGTAGCCAAGGCCATAAAATTGCAAAGGGGACCAACAGGTCCGACAGCAAGCCCCACGCCAATGTCTCAAACTTGGAGCATCAGAGGTAAATGACTACATCTGGAGCTTGCTTCTAGAGCCTCGAATCAACGGGGGCTCGGACTTTTCCATGTGCGGCGTGCCGAGCGCACCGGTTGTTTCAGACTAATTCTCCGCTGCAGTTGCCCCTCTCCATTATGTTGCCAAACAAAAATTGGGCATGCTGGCTATTTGATCGTTTATTGCAATGAGCGTGGATCTTGGAATTGATGCTGGTTCCAGATCTCGGCCTCCGGTCATAACCAGGACCCGATCCCCGTGACCCAACGCGATCTGTTGGAATGCTGATCACGACTCGGGTTTTAAACCTTGAATCAGTTTGACGTTTGACAGCTCACTAGTGCCAATGCTGTGTTTCTGATGTTTATTAATTGAAGGCCGCGTAGTCGACCGGACCACTCAAAACACTTCCCCTTGAACCCGCTGAACTTCCATGTGGCCCCCTGGCAGGGACCAAGCTTTGTGGCCCTGGAATGAGATTGCTCTGGCAAAGAGCTCTGATACTAACTTGGCAGAGCAGATAATTCAAGTGACGACACATCAGGTTCGCTGCAAGGTCCAGCCAATCGAAAGGGGCTGGATAAAAGGGTGAAACCCAGAATGTCGCAGAGAGCCGCCCAAGATCGACGGCCACCAACTAGTGGTTTGAGCTCGGCTTGGAGGTCCCCAGAGCAGTATTAAGGCCATGTACCTTAATTAATGTGGCTTTTTGGCAGGACCATCGGCGCTTTGCAGACATTGCTTCTCATCTATCTCACACCTCGGCGCACTGCCGGTTTAGTCGCTGGAGATTCTCCACCTATGGCCAACCAAAGAAGTCAGGGAATATGACCGAGAACCATGAAAACAGAGACTTCGGTGAATTAAGGATGACTAGCCATGAAAGTGGAGTCGTTGGTGCGGATATCATGACCCGAAAGAAGCCATGCCCGTGCCTACGGCACGAAACTGGATATAAAGCTGGGCAAAGGACGGTCTTTAGGACTGGATTTTTTCATTCACCAGTCTTTTCTGTTCCATTCTTTCTTTTCTCCAGGTCCAGTACCTTCCGTTCTCTTTATTGGGTTGACTTGAAGTCCCCATTTTGTCATTCTTTTTTCCGTCCATCAAACGCTGTGCGTTCATTTCGTATCAAAAATCGACTGAAGTATGTCTCTGTCCAAGATAACTGGATTGATCCTCGGATCTGCTGCCTTGGTGGCTGGCCACGGCTACGTGAGCGGAATCGTCGTTGACGATACCTACTACGGTGGATACCTTGTCACTCAGTACCCTTACGAAAGTGACCCTCCAGAGCTCATCGCTTGGTCGGAGCAAGAGACCGACCTAGGCTACATTGATGGTTCTGAGTACGCCAACTCCAACATCATCTGTCACAAGGAGGCCAAGCCAGGCGCTTTGGAGGCGCCTGTCAAGGCCGGTGGCTCCGTTGAGCTCCAGTGGACCACCTGGCCCTCCAGCCACCACGGTCCTGTCATTACCTACATGGCTAACTGTAACGGCGACTGTGACGATGTTGACAAGACCACTCTGGAGTTCTTCAAGATTGACCAGGGTGGCTTGATCAGCGACACCGAGGAGCCAGGTACTTGGGCATCTGACAACCTCATCGCCAATAACAACAGCCGTACTGTCACCATTCCCAGCGACATCGCCGATGGAAACTACGTTCTCCGTCACGAGATCATTGCCCTTCACTCTGCTTCGGAAACCAACGGTGCCCAGAACTACCCCCAATGTGTCAACCTGAAGGTCACCGGCGGCGGTAGCGCCACTCCTTCTGGTACCCTGGGTACCGCCCTGTACAAGAACACCGACCCCGGCATTCTGATCAACATCTACACCTCCCTGAGCACCTACGACATCCCCGGTCCAACCCTGTACACTGCAGGTGCCGCCGCAGCCACCGCTGCCTCCACCGCTGCTAGCTCCACCGTCGCCGCCGTCACTACCGCCGCCGCCGTCACCACCGCCAGCGCAGAGGTCACCAGCAGCCCTGTTTCCGTGGAATCAATTGTGCCCACAACTACTCCCAGCTCTTCAATCGTCAGTGCCTTCCCAACCTGGAACCCCTCTTCCACCCCACCTTTCTCCAACTCCACCCGCGGATGGCGTCCGTCTTTCAGCCGCGGGCCTGGTGGTCCCCTCGTCACATCTGCTCCTGCTCCTCAGTTCTCCGCTCCCAGCGGTGCGCAGCAGAAGGAGTCTGCCACTGCTACCCCAATCGTGGCTACCCCTATCGTGATCACCATGACCGAGACCAGCACCTCCTGGGTCACCGAAATGGTTACTCTTACTGACAAGTCTGTTGTGCAGACCACCAGCGCTGTCCCGGTCGCCTACGCCGTTACCACTACTATCACCGAGGGAAGCGAGCCTGCCGAGACGGCCTCTCCCAGCGTTGACTCCGGCTCCTCTAGCTCTGGCTCTAGCTCTGAGTCGTCTGGTTCCTCCAGCTCTGGCTCCAGCTCTGAGTCTTCCGGCTCCGGCTCTTCATCTACCACCTCGACCTCCACCACCTCCGCTACTTCAGACTACGTCTCCAGCGACTGGATGTCCTACCTCAGCTCCTTGAGCGCCGCCGAGGTCCTCAAGATGCTTCGCCAGACCTTCCGGTGGATGGTCAGCAACGACAAGGTGCACGCTCGTGATATCACCATCTCAAACTAGGAGTCATTTGGTGGTCACGATCTAGATTGAAAATGAGCAGAAAACAATCTGTTTATTGATCTGGTTCGAATTGGTTTGATTGATTCTTCTGGGCGTGGATCGGGTATCCCGTCTTGGGGCTTTTACTCTCGGAGTGGCCTTTATGTAACAAAAATGCCTTATGGATTGGTATGGCGTTGCATTTTCTTTTCTTCCTTTTCCTCCTTTATGGGAGATGAGGGGCTTGCTTTCATGCCCCTGTTTATATTTTTTTCTTGTTACGAATGGAACTGTTAGATTGCTCAAAATCTTGGACTCTTATCGAAACCGTACAATGCGGTCGTAGAAGTATTAAGTTTCCACCAAATTTCTGGTCTAGCCTTTATCGAATGCCCAAATTTTATCCAAACCTACAACTCGGTCTCGATTCGACTCTAGATGATGAGGACAAATCAAGCTGTTCAAGCTGTACAAGTCGCACTGGCAATGGAACCTCTCCACAGAGTCCTTCAGGCGAATCAGTCCGATCTTCACACTCTACATCGCAGTCTACACCCTCTGGCACGAATACCAGATAACCATAATCACTGGGGTACTCGACGCGCCATTCGTTGTCACTATCGTCAGATTCAAACCCTGGATGGCAAACGCAGTGGATTGCGCTTCCGAGTCCTTCGCATGAGATCATGGAACCGCATTTAATATCGTGGGGTGAGCAGGTAGGGCATTCGGGGAGGTCAGTTGTTGTGGGAGTTGGTGTGTCCGTGGTTGTAGTGGGTGTAGCCTATTGTGGTTGGAGTGTCTGTAGTTGTAGGGGTATCTGTTGTGATGGGAGTGTTCGTAGTGATTGGTGTATCTGTATCTGTTTCTGTGTCCGTATCTGTCTCCGTAATTGTGGGTGTGTTTGTATTGGTGGATGCGTCTGTAGTGGTTGGTATGTCCGTGGTGATAGACGTATCACACGAAGTGGTTGTAGATATGGTTTTCGTGGTCCAGTCACTCCAGCAAGTACTGGTGTCACCCGAACCACATTTGTTTCCCTTGCCATGGGTATTCAACTCATTGTTTCCCGGGAAAGAGCAAGCTTGCCCATTGAAGATAGCTAGCAGAACAGCCAACAAGAAGATGCGGGTCATTCTGAATGGCCCCGTTTTGAACTTGGAAATGAAGTATAGTTTCTTGTTTGAAAAGAGTCAAAATAGACGAAGAACCATTTAGCATGGTGCTTCTTAAGTTATATGCTCCCTGCCAAGATAAGTATGATGGTGTAACCGTGAATTAATAGGGTTCACTCCAATATCTCTTCCACTTGAAAAGTAAGCTGGTGGGTTCTTGGAGCGATTGAACCATATATTGGCGATAAATAAGATTTTCTTAACGAACATTAATGATGACGATGATAAACTTTCGGGAAACGTAAACAACTGTCAATGCAATGGAATGAATATGGTAATATGGCCTGACTTATCTACTTTTCTTTACATTCAGTGCTGCCATGACATTCAATTTCTACCTGCGTCGTCCACATGAGTACCAGCCTTGATCGAATGTTCCGGGAAGAGAGCTGGGCTAGGGGGCTGCCGGTATATTCGAAATTGATAATTGTAGAACTCTACAGTGCAAGTAAAGTTTTCGAATGGGACGTGTAAGTGTAAGAGAGTTGCATCCGATTGTCTGTAGTGGATACCTGACCCACTCAGCACTCCAGATCTCCTTGTTTGTCTCGTTTGCATCTTGAACGAAACTTCGATGGGCAATTTAATCCCCACTTTTACCGCCTATCCCTCACCGCCTGCCTTATCAAAACCGCAGGTTACGATGTCCTCAATGGCTGTTGCTTTTCGGTCTACCTTCTGTATGAAATCAAGCTTGTCCATGGGCATGGTGTATGATCAGAACCTTTGAATGAAGATAGATTTGTCATTCAGTTGTAATCTCGTCCTAAGACAAGTTCACCTAATGCTAATTGGAATGCAAACAGATCATCCTTCCTAGATCTATTTCTTCTTCTTAGTCTTATCGACCACTTCAATCCATTGACTCTTTAATCCACGGCGCGTGAGAGCCGTATCCAGAACCTTGCGCTGGTCACCCTGTATCAAGACTTCCATGACTCCCTTGGGAGCACCAACAGCTTGCGTGACGCTGGTGCTGCTGGCACATTTCTTTTGGAGCTCTTCTGCTAAAAGAGTGGGGATGATGCCAAATACCTCTAGGTTGCTAATCTTCGTAACGGTCTTGGAACCGGTGCGCTTTTCAAGAGTAATGACTGCCTTTGGCGAGGCACCTGCCTTGGGCTTAACGTCTGCGAGAGTTTGACCGGGTTTGAGGATAGCATAGTGAGGCTGCAAGAAGGTATGGTCTTCGATAACACGTTTGAGTAGCCCGTCACGCGTGACCATTCCCCGCTTGAGAGCTCCTAGGTCCTCGGAGGATGAGGATGTGAAGATCGTGTTGGCAAGGTATGGGTTGAGGTTGATGATGCGTCGGTTGTCGCTAGAGACGAGAGGGGGGTCTTGTGACTGGACATATTGGTCCAGGTGAGTAGACACTTCGGAGTGTTTGTAGTAATTCTTTGGGCTGGTGGTAGAAAGGGCGGGGAAAATATCCGGTGTCAACTTCTGCGTTGGCCGGTACAGAGTTTGAACATTGAGTGTCTGTCCGACCGAGGGATCCGCGCCCCCAGTGGCAGCAGGCTTCTTGTTCTCTGAAGGAGGTGATTCCAGTGCACTCTTCGACGGAAGCCTGTAGGGCACGAATCTCTGCACGCGGTAGTCATCAAAGTCAACATCCCAAATGTATGTCTCTTGGCCACTGCGGTCTTTGGATTTGACCAGCTGCATTTTGTCGAGCTGCTTAATGAACTTCTTGACATTTTTCCAGCTGGTCTTTTTGATGTTATAGAACTGTGCTTGCTGTACAGAGTAGATAGGGAGGTAGGGTGTTATCATGTTCGCGATCAACATGGACGGCGATACTGGTAGGGTCAGTGCGTGATTGGGGGCGTTGGGGTTGTCCTGCTTGAGCTTGTAAAGGGCAAAGATGAAAGCTTTGACGAAAGCATCGTCGATATCTAAATAGTCTTAGCATCCCATTACGTTGCAAATGTAACATCGACGAAGGAAACCATACCATTTGTTGTGGGTTCCTGCAGAGCAGGCTCTTCAACAGCAGGAGCATCATCAACTGCATCGCCCACTGATGCCTCCTCCAAGGTTAAATTACCCACAGCTTCCTCTACATCATCTCCAGCTTCTTCGTCCCAGCCTTCTAGGTATTCAGGAGCTGGGCGTCCTGGTCGTGATGATGAACTCCAAGCCCAAAGCTCATCACCCTCCCAATGTAGACCCCTCACAGCAACTCCCTTTGTACCTTGAACCTCTCCAAGCGCAGAAACATCAATCTCACAAACTCCAACGAACAGTGGCACGCTGTGTTTATCCAGACCAGCAACAGCAACTACAGCTCCCGGGACAGCCCGTTCTGGGAAGGGCGGTTCATTGGCAAGTCCCGGAGTCATAAGATCTGCTCCAGCACGAAGCTTCTGCATCACCATCTCTGGCGTGTACAGCAGTGCCACCAAGCCTGGATTCGACCATAATGTATAAACGGTCGGATAGAGGCGCTTATCAGCCCCGGGGCCATGTTCGATTTTAAACCAAAGCACTCGCTCGTCACCATCTGCATGCGCCCCGACATATACGATACCCTGAACTTCTCGAAGGTCCGGTCCAGCAGTGGTGGTAAATCGTGCAGTCAGTGCATTTTCCGGGAGTAGTGCATTTCGTACTGCACTCAGGCTTGGAGCTGTACTCGGCGTGTCGGTGGATGTTTCGGAGGGGGGAACACCAATTTGGTAGTCCTTGATGATCTGATCGGCTATTTTCCTCCGGTCGGAAGATCGAAGGGGAGACAAGTTTTTGATCTAACGGATCATCAGTATGGGTTCGCGTCTTGGGTCCTCACGATGCTTGGTCAAAGCTGCAAGGAGGGGCAGTGCGGGGAGGGCGATCACGGACCGTAGGCTTCTTCTTGAACATTTTGAAGAGGGCAGAGGGTTGATGATAATTAAGGGGGCTATGAGATAGATAGATGGAGCTCTCGGGCAGCTGCCTGAAGAAATGGAGGAAAAGCCCGAGAGGTTGGAAGAATGCAAAGTTGGGGAGAAATGAATGACAAAAAAATGGCGATAACCCGCCAAGTTCCCCACACCCCTAGCGCCATAACCCGTAAGTTAAGCTCAAGCATACATATTTGGAGGATCTATAAAATCATTTCATTTAAAACATGATGCAGGACAAGGTCTACCCAGACACCCCTATAAAAATGATATTGTGGTGACTGAGTAGGTACATTGAAAGCTTAAGTTCGTCTCATACGCCGATATAAACTTTCGTGACGATCTATACAGGATCCTTGTAACAGGTTAACATTTAAGCACAATACTGGCATTTATGGAGCTCCACCCTCATCAAAGCTTTGAGATTCTCCTTAGATTCGTCGCAATACTCTGAGACTCATAGAACGACCAAGATTGGCGCATTTCGTTGCAGATCAGCCTCGTGCCGTTCCATAAAACATCCGCTTCATCGAGGAGCACTTCACATCACCAATATGCTGTCAAGGAGGAGAGCTGTGACACGTGCTTTGATAAGCTCCTTTTTGAAGCTTTTCATGATAATTCAGTGAAATACTATGCGTGGCTTCAATTGCGACTCGGATTCAAAGTTCGCCGGACCATATCCTAATGGGATCCAGCACATCTGGGTATCTGAACGGCTTCCATTATCATTCCTTGTCATTCATGTGCACTTACTTGATATTATGATGAAAATTTTCAGTTATGGCACCATTAAGGCAATATAGAATATCAGAGAGATCCCGAATCTCCGAGATCCAATCGCAACCGTCGGAGATGGGCCGACACCCCGCTCCAAGTTGTACCATGACTGTTCGCTCATAAGACCACTTCTCAACGGAAATCAATTCCTGACCTCCGTACCTTTGAATAAATTTGGAACTGAAACTACTGCCAGCCAAAATGCCAGTTTACCACGTTGGTTAGTCCCGAAATGAATCCCAACATCCCCGCACCCCACATCCGATGACGATGCGGAGACATCATCTCATAACTAACACCACGAAATCAACAGTGCTTTTTCGCCTCAAGGCAGGCGTAACCCCAGCCCAAGTTGAGACATGGGCACAAACAGCCAGGGGGTTAGTTGGAAAGATTCCCGGTTAGTTCATCATTACCATCAGCAACAGGAACCCCATTGCTTCACTTCAGTAACCCCGACTAGAAAGAGTACTGATAGGCTTTTTCACATAGGGCTTGTCTCGCTCGAAGCAAATACTCCGCTGCCAATCTGTTTGCCTCGCTCGAAAGGATTTGATATGGGACTGGTGGCCGTTTTGGAGAAGAAGGAGAATGTGGCGGAATATGCTGTGCACCCCGCCCACATGGAGTATGTATTCGGTTAACAATGATGCGCCTCAGTCTTGTTTGCTAACAATGATATTAGAGTCCACAGAATGCGGGAAGAGCTATGCGAGGATACTTTGGCTTATGATATGGAGTTCTAAGCTGGAAGGCCGGATTTAAGACGATGTTATATCCAGCAAGTGGACAAACTCAAGAAAGTCAGCAACAGCTATTATTCCTGAAGTGGCAGGCTCCTGGCTACTTAGCAACCTTGTCGAGATTAGGATCTTTTGATAATCGCTAGCGAACTTTAACATTTGACCAACGTAACAAAATCAGGTTCACTTCCACAACAAAATCTTAAGTAGGTTCAGAATTGACGATTTCTTCTGGTCAAAACGATGATCAAGGCCCATCATCCGAGATACGGCCACCTGCGCAGTACGAACGCCATAGCTAGTATCAACACAGCTATAATGCGGAATTTCAACGAATTGTCCAATCAAGGCAAGATTGGAGATACCCTGCGGTATAACCTGCGGACGGTCATTAAGTGAGCGAATCAATAACATGGCAGTCATCCGCGGCATAACACGAGGAATAGTTGTAGTCTTCGATGGTTGGGAAGCAAAGTGTAGATGCCCCAATAATTCCTTTGTGATCTCCGCTCCCGAACAATCATACATCGGTTTCCGGACATAATCTCCCTGGCGTCTCGGGAAGAGAGCAAAGCCCCAAAAAATACGAACATTTGCCGGTTGGTGGACGAAGACGGGTTGTGTTGGTATACAGAAACTCATTTTCCACGGACTCTCATCAAAAGAAATGATAGAGCCAGCGTCAGTGTCATTATGGGTCTGTAAGTCCACGTATTCGATGAAACCAGGATCTGAAGTTGTGATTGTGAAAGATTCCAGTAGTGATTCTGATTCGCGGGTGCAGAAGTTGTACGGGTTACCTAGTGTGTCATTTCGGGTTCCAATTTCCAGCCAGATTGCCCAATTCTCATCGAGCTCGTCGTGAGGCTCGAGTGAATGCCGACCTGGAGGATGATCGTTCGTCCCTCTCGTCATGCCCGAGATGGTAGAACCTGGTGTTATGAAGACGATGTCGTCCTCGCTGATTTTCTGCTGCATTGAGAATCCATTTTGAATCATGCGAAGCTGCGAAATTTTTTCCTGGCCACTTTGAACCGTCGATATGATGTCGGTGATTGAGGTATCGAAATGAAAATCCACGCCCAGGCTCTGAAGGTGCAGAAAAATGGGCAGGAATATTGAGTCTTGTTGGTAATATCCGGTGATATCCAGACAGCTCAGAATGCTTAAGCTGTGGAAATCGTTGAGATATTGACGGATAGCACGTCTGAATTCAATTGCGCTGTGCCATGGCTGAAATCCAAACCTGGGACTTATCAGCCTGAGAAGGTTAGTCGGGGACTTGGGGAATACACACTGAGCTGACCAGATGGTCCAGAATGTGCTTTGGAAGAACGAGTTAGGCAAAAAGTCTCGGATTTGATTTCTTCCCAGACGTTTCTCTCCCTTCAGCATAAATAAGACCAACTCTAGACGATGCTTGGCATTCAAGTTCAACGAGCTGGTATGAATGTCATTCAAAGCGTTGTTCTTCTGGACCAGAAATCGTGTCCGACCAGCCCGCTGCTTGATACGCTCCTTTTCTGCGGATTTGATATCATCCAGAACAGTCTGCCCCAGACGGGTCACTGAAGGCACCATGGAAAGAAGCTCCTTCAAAGGCTTTCCGAGTGGAACAGGTAAGCATCCTGCAAATTGATCATATCCATTAACGGGATCCCCGTTGTTATGCAAGACTTGTCCCATTGAAATATGAGAATCGAGGATATGCACCTGGGACGCAGGTACATTAGCGAAATGCACCAAATACAACGCCGACGCCAAAGGCGCAGTTCCACTACCAAGAATCCATGCTTCGGTTTTGTCGGGGGAACGCCTGTATTGAACACGTTCGCTCATGCTGCTGATATTGATTCAGAGAGTTTCCAGGGGAATATCGACATGCTCAGGTGTGGGAATCATGACAATTAAAGTCGAGTTAAGATCAGTCGTCATGCTCACCTGAATATATGGTACGGGTTGAGTTAGTGGTGGATATGACTAACAAATCCATGACCGTGGTGGACGCCACTCGTTTGCGTGAACTAATCAAAAATGTACTCCTGTTTCCGGTACCAAGGAAAATTGAGCAGCGACCAAAGGGCGGAGCGAGCTTTTACGTATCAAATGAACCTTGAAAGGCCTGGATCCAAGTCCATCACCTTGGACCTGCCTAAGAGGTCAGACAGGTACGTTTCTTCGGGTCCGACCTCGGAAAAGAACCTATAGCTTAGCTAGCTTACTGCAATGAGAATGAGCCAAATTTCATATATGATAACAATGAAAATGTAATAAAACATCTATTTTCGTTAACCAATTGACAGAAACGCCAAGGAATTCGCCCTATGTAACATGGCCTATTTGGACGGCCTGTTCCTATAACACTTTTGGATTCCGCCCAATGACTAGAAGAAAGGAAATCAAACCGAGAAATAATTGCGATTGATATCGTGGTTAAATGCATTACTCCTTAGCATCCACCTTCTTAGCAGGACGATCGCCAGCCTCGCCATCGTGGGAGCGCTTCTCGCCGGTGCTCTGAACAACGGGGACACCACTAGAATGTAATTAGTAATAAGTTCCCAATGGTGAACAACTGTGTGGCCTTACCGAGAGTCCTTCTCCTGTCGAGGTTCCTGGAAACCGTTCTTCTTGTCATCATCACGGCGTTCCCGCCAGTCACGGTCATTGCGACCACCGCGGCCACCACGGCCACGGCCACGACCACCGCGACCACCGCGACCTCCGCGTCCACGACCGCCACGACCACCACCACGACCACGCTGGTTGGGCTGAACTTTGCCGTTCTTTATCTCTTCAATCTTCTCGTCGCAGTACTCCTTCTTGCTCTTGATGAGCAGATCGGTGCCCTTCCACTGGGGCTTGGGCTCAAGAGCCAGGAACTCCTTCTGCTTCTCCTCGGAGGCGAACTCGACGAACACACTGCCCTTGAAGCCCCGGTCATCGCCACGGCGCAGACGGATAGCGTTGATAGGTCCATAAGCCTCGAAGAATTTCTCAATATCGTACTGGGTGCTAGGCTCTTCGCGTCCGAAGCCCTTGGCGTAGATGCTGCGGGGCATGGTCTTGTCCTCCCAAATCTTGATACCGGCCTCATTGACCTCGGTTGTGACGGACTCGGGAAGAGGAACCTTGCGCTTCACGGCGGTGTCGTTGTCAACCAGCTCAACGGTCTCGGCGGTCTTCAGAGCCTCGACAACTGCGGACAAGGGTTGGAATCGGCGCATGCGCTTGAAGGAGTGCAAAAGCTCGAGGGGCACGGCATTGTTGGCGCTGCCGCCAACCTGGGACAGCAGGAACTTGTCCAGAGGGAGGTTGGAGTCAGAGAGGTAGAACTCAACCTATAAAGCGTCGCATTAGTGATCTGTCTCTCTCCACGATTGTCATTCCTTTGTAGCTTCATACCTGCTTACGGATCTCGACAGGGTCATCGGTCTCCTCGAGGGTGGAGGCATCAAACTTCGCGGCGTTACGGGAACGGTGAGGGCCGCGCGACTCCTGCTGCTGCTGTGGCTTCTCTCCAGACTGTTGAGACTGCTCAGACTTCTCACCCAGCTTGGCAGCTGCGGCGACGATGCGAGCCTCCTCGGGGTCTTCCTGGGCGACGTTCTCGCCGCTGTTCTCGGCCTTCAGTTCGTTCAAAACGTTCTGGACATCCTTCTCAGCCTCCACATTGGGAGCGGGCTTCTGTTCGTCGGCCATTGTTGCGAAAAATATGTGTGATGGAAATCCGTTAGAGGGGTGTCGGGACAGATCAAAGAAAAGCGGCAAGATGACTCGGGAAATTGAGCTGACTCAACGGTCGGATAAGCGATCGGTGTCACAAAGGTAAAGCAAAGGAGCTTGAAGAAATGCGACCAAGGATCCAGGAGAATAAAATCGGGAAGACACGCGACTAAATAAGAGCTGGCGCGGGGAGTGAATTTTTGGATTTTTTTTTTTCGGAGCTGTTTCTGCCTGAGGCGTTAGCACTAGACCTATAATGGAAGTGGGTCACAGGTAGTATACTGTAGTCCTCTGTCAATGCATTCATTGTCAATCGGAAAGTTTCTAGACACTTACCCGTGCTTTCAAAGGGGTTAAGATTCAACTGCCTCACTAGTGAGAAAAAACAGGAAGTTTGGAGATCTTGGATGAAATGGACGCGAAATGCGAGGCTTTTCAACGTGCTTATCGTGCCTGCCATATAGACATTATTCTTTCACAAAACACAAACCTCTTCCTCCGCCATGTCAATTGTCTTACCGTATCCCAAATATCGTGCAGCTTTTCTCTTCCTTATTTTATCTATGTACATCCAGAGCCCCTCCTACCCGAGTGATATGGCTATCTGAGTCAATGAACCGCAAGTGCCTTCGTCCAACGAGATGTGAACTGGAAAATGACGAGACACACAAACTCACTTTCTCTGACTTTGCAAATCCGTCCTCAGAAATAAGACGACGTGTCTAATTTCTGAGTTCCCCCAGTCCTAACTCGACCTCTGACTTTCGACCGCTTCATTTGACCATGGATGGAGCTGCAGGGCGAGGGGTTGGTGGAGATGAATGGCCGACAAGAGACGTAGGTGACTCATCAGCTACCAGCATTGCGTCAATTAATACGTATGCCAGGTCGTTTATCTCGCGATTGTCGGGCCGTTTATGCTGGCAGCGGCATTCGAATGGGTCCTATGGCTAGCAGCGTTCATATACTGCTTGATCAAGGTCTACCAAAAAGCAGATCATTGGAGCATCAGGGTCCTTGCGGTGCTGATGATTTTTCTGTTCACCGCGCTACGGTAAATTCTCAGTCAAATCTCGAGCAAAACTTTGAAAGTGGTGGACTGACCACGATCGTTGATAGCCTTGCTTTCCTTCCGGTCATGATTTTCACTCTACCCTTACCATCTCAAGTCACCCAATTTCTCCCAGCTCGAGTATCGATTGGCTTCCAATGGTTCGCCTTTTGGTCCTTCTCTGCTCTTCTCATTGGACCCTGGTCGTTCTGTGTATATCGACTCGTAACTCACTCCTTGGGAAGATCAAAACGAATCAAAGAAGTGCTGGATGATCGAACAGCACCCAAGACAGTCGTCGTAATGCCGGTCTACAAGGAAGATGCTACGGTACTCATCAAGGCCATCGATTCGGTCGTCGATTGTGATTACCCAGCATCCTGTATTCACGTCTTTCTCTCATGGGATGGCGACACAGTGGATGAGCCTTATCTTCAAGTCATTCAACACCTTGGGATCCCAATATCGTTGAAATTTTACCCTCAATGCATCGATGTCTGCTATAGGGGCTCTCGGATAACAGTTTCTCGTTTCAAGCATGGAGGCAAAAGACATTGCCAGAAACAAACATTTAAGCTTATCGATAAAGTGTACAAAGGATACCTCAAAAGACATGATGATCTTTTTGTTCTTTTCATTGACTCGGACTGCATCCTTGACCGGGTTTGCTTGCAAAACTTCATGTACGATATGGAACTAAAGCCGGGGAGTAAGCGCAGTATGCTAGCTATGACGGGCATCATTACATCCACAACGGAAAGAAATACGTTTCTGACAGTTCTCCAAGACATGGAGTACATACATGGGCAACTCTTCGAGCGTTCAGTGGAGTCCGGTTGTGGTGCTGTAACATGTCTTCCGGGTGCATTGACAATCTTGCGATTCTCCGCCTTTCGCAAAATGGCCAAATACTATTTTGCCGATAAAGCCGAGCAGTGCGACGACCTCTTTGATTTTGGAAAGTGTCATTTGGGCGAAGACAGGTGGCTCACTCATCTTTTCATGGTCGGGGCTAAGGAACCATATCAGATCCAGATGTGCACCGGTGCCTTTTGCAAGACAGAGGCCGTACAAACCTTCAGCAGCCTTTTGAAGCAGCGGCGTCGTTGGTTCTTGGGATTCATTACCAATGAAGTGTGCATGATCACCGATGCCAGGTTGTGGAAGCGCTATCCGCTATTGTGTTTAGTTCGGTTCATGCAAAACACTATCCGAACCACCACGCTGCTATTTTTCATGATGGCCATTGCTTTAATCACAACCTCCAAAAAGCCAACCGACCTGCCGGTCGGCTTTATTGGTGTCTCTCTGGGGCTAAATTACTTGCTGATGTTATACTTTGGATTTCGTCTCAAGCGCTACAAGGCATGGCTCTACCCGGTCATGTTCATCTTGAACCCCATATTCAACTGGATCTACATGATGTATGGGATTTTCACCGCTGGTCAGCGTACCTGGGGTGGTCCAAGGGCAGATGCTGCCGCTGCCGATGAGCAAACTACTCCCGGGCAAGCGGTGGAACAGGCCAAAAACCAGGGAGATGAGTTCAATGTGGATGTTCAGACTTTTCGAACAAGCCTGGTAAGACGTCAATCTGTTCCAATCCGCCCGTCAAGTCATATCGAAGGACGCTTTGCGCCCTCCGAGCAGTATCTCGAGGGGTTCAACATCAGCACTCATGAAACCGACCCTGGTATAATCCAGCAACAGGGTGCACCAGAGGAGGCTCCTCAATTCCATCCACCTGATGTATTTCGAGACTCATTAGAATCTGTATTTACGGCATCTTCTGATGGTATTTACAACCGCGCTTCAGCTCCCCGCAATTTTGAGAGCTTGATGGGTGAGGAAGACCAGCGGAAGCTATACTATGCTCGCCAAGCTCGAGCATCAACCAGTCTCCCAATCATGGAGGAAAATGAGAAAGACATCAGTCCCAATTTTGACGAAGCTTGGCCTGCTGACCCTGAGCCTATCATGTTGATTCCTGGACCTATCAACTCCCCTGCTATTACCCTTCGTCCCGAAAGTCATCGATACACCTTGGAGGAATCCATTGTAGCCGACCCTCGTGAAAGCATGGAGCCCCAGAGACCGTCAAGGCCTATGCACAGGGGATCACGATCCCTTGATCCACCTCAGGATATGGTCTAATGACAACATATTTGGTCCGGCATAAACTCTGCATGGAGTTCTCGATCCACTTTTTATTTCGCTTGTTTTCGTTTTCTTCTTTTCCCACGTTGTTTCATCATTTTGATCCATTGCACTCTTCCTGTTCTAGGATATTTTTAATGCATTATATTAATGCTCGGCTTTTGTTATCGGCCTCTCCCCTGTTATCCTTTGCTTGCGTTGTCACGCTGTAACATCTGCATGGAATTTCAATGTGACAAAATGAGTCTTCCACTATCCAGGGATACAGAGCAATAGAAAGTAATTTCTTCATCGGAAGTAATATTATACCTAAATACCATTGTAAATATAAACGACACTTCGAGCAACGCAATATTGTAAAGTAGCCCGTCTTTCTTTTAGACCCTGAGATATCAACTTATTTCCTTGCCTTTCCATTCCTTATCTAATACCACAACACTCTCATCCGGCACAACTTCTTCCAGATTGTCGTCCGGAAGGATAGCCATGCTGATATTTGCATTGGTATAAGGGAAACAGAGGTTTAGACCAACATAAACAAGTGCGCTGCCGACAAAACCTAGAAGCCAGCCGAATTCATATGGATGGATTCCAACCCCAATTTCGATTTTTGCATTTACGGAATGCATCAAGCCTGGGAGACTGGGAACTGTGCCCGTCACAAAGGCCACCAGAGCATGGCAGTTAAATCCATGGAAATACCGATAAATATCCATGGGGCGATACAAAGCAAGACAGTCGTACTTCCGGTGCTTAACTATCCAATAATCACATAGCATAATGGCGGCAATAGGTCCAAGGAAGACCGCATAGGCTGACATAAAGTTGAGGAAATTCCCAGCGGATGCAAGAATCTTCCAAGGAACTAGTGCCCAGGCAAGCAGAGCACAGATAAGTTGCCCACGTCGGATATTAATGAATTTAGGTGCAATAGCGGAGAGATCATTTGCTGCTGCCAAGGAATTTGCAGAGATATTAGATCCAAGCGCGGCGAGGGCGAAAGAAAACGCAGCGAAGAATCGACAAGCCCGACTACTCCAGAGTGATATGAGAACGTTCGGGTCCCACGGAATAGAGTCGGTATTGAATTTGGCCTGCCCGGCGGAGGAAACGGCGATGCCAATAAACGCAATGAAAGTGAAGAATGCTGGGAGTAAGACCACGTAGAGTAGATGCCACCGAGGGTTGACGCAAGAATATCGCGAAAAGTCCGCTTGATTGACACTAAGTGTCGCATAGTTCCCAATGACCGATGTGAGAGCTGACATCATGGCCCATGCATAGGAAGACCCAGTCAATTGACTCTTCTGTGAAAAGATATCACCTGCATTTGAAGTACCGACAAAGGCCCAGATGAGCATAGCAATCCATGCAATGGGCACAACAACTGATTTGAAGAGAAATAGCCAGCGAAGCCTATTTGGGTGGAACAGAAGAAAGGGGATTTGAAATAGCCAAAAGATGAAAAATCCCACCATGCCCTGTGTCGTGATATCTGCATTCCCCGGGAGCGCATTCGGGATATCCAAGAAGCTTGGCCAGATAGCTCCGATCATGACAACAACAGAGTTCCCCCCGTTTACAACCTGAGTGGCAAACCAGAAGACGGCGAGAATCAACCTCGAAATAATTGGAATATACGAGCCCCAGAATCCCCAGCTTGCGCGTGCAATGACAGGAAAAGGGATATGGTAGATCGCTCCTATGGCTCCGTTCATGGATATCACAATGGAAAGAATAAAGAATCCTAGAGCCACCATGCCCAAAGATTCTTTCCAAGAGAGCCCGATGGCGATGATGCTGCTCGCCAGCTGCCAGTTCGCAACGGAGAAGCAATCCGAAATCCAGTAACCAATAAAACTGAGAACGGTCCATTTTCGCATGTCCTTCGGGACAGGATCAAGATCCCTATTTGTCCATTTTACATCTCCGCGTACGAAGTTGGACTCAGCCTGCTGGACCTGCAGCTGAGGCAAACGCGATGATATAAAATTCTTCATGATCGAAACATGTATGTAAAATGTCGCCGCTAACACTGACAATGTTTGCCTTTGAACCTTGAAACGTGTTGAAATGCATTTCTCATAGACAACCTTGAGCGCATTTCTATAAGTGGTACTGCATCTGCATTAAGACCCCATGTATTTGCAAGTACAAGGTTGACAATCTCTACTGATAAGATAAAGGAAAGCTACAGAGTCAGATATGAGCACCAAAGAATTGCATTAGCCGATATCTAATAAGATCTGGAATTCGATTGGACAACCCCTGTGAGACGTTGTCTACTTGGCCAGGAAAGGCAATCGCTTCGCCGCATTTGCCGAGGAGCATTGATGCCATGCGGGGTTCTGCTTATCTATGTCGATGGCTGGTGTGCGACAGCAGCGGCCTGTGCGTACTAATCGCTCTGATTGAAGCAAATCAAATGCGAAGACTAGCCCAGCATCAGGCTAAGGATATATTCTCGTTCTCTGTTATATCGGCGGATGCCGCCGCTATCGGTCTTATTGAAATGTCAAGTCTTCAAAGAAAGTATGCGTAGTATTTACGCCAGTAGAAAGTTTGCGTGCTACAATAATGTTCCTCTTCTCGCCAAAACATCCAACTTTTCGCTTTTGAACATTGGAACCCTCACTCTCAGCGAATCAAATTCTTCATTAAGTCATGGCATCTAATCCCACTTCCGGTCTCCATGCTGCTCTACCCCTAACAGAGCAACAAATTGGTTCTGCGGCAGCCAAGTGCCTCGCTCTGCAAACATCAGGTCGAGAGGTCCATTCCAAGCGACCATTTGCAGCACTCTTGCTAGGTCCCGACAATGAAACCGTGTTGATGACATCCCTCTCGCTCTCGCATGTTCGCCATGCTGAATGTGAATTGGCCCGCAATGCCGCGGACAACTACGACTGGAACTACCTAGCGAAATGTACCATGATTTCAACGTGGGAGCCATGTGCTATGTGCGCTGGAACAATCTACTGGGCTCATATTGGACGCTTGATCTACCTGGCGTCGGAGAAGACATTGCAAAAGCTCACAGGGACCGGAAACGTGGAGAATCTGACTCTGGATATGCCATGCCGGGAAGTTTTTACTGCCGGGCAAACGGTTGTGGAGGTTTTAGGACCATTGAAGGATGAGGGCTGGGAGCAGAAGGTTGTGGATGATGCTGCATTATATTGGTCGAAACATGCTTAGAACAAGGTAAGCATTGTTTCTTCGCACATCATCAATCACTTGTGAAGGCATATACTAAGCTTGGAATGCCTAGGTATCATTCATGCAAGAGCTGTTATTTCGCAGCACCAGTCAGAAGACGTATTAGGAATAAAAAGCATAAGAATCCAGAAACTTTTCGAGTCACTTCCCCGCAAAGATTTGCTTGGCGTATACCCCATAGTTCGGTACTTTTAAAGCCACAGTGCGCTTATCACTCTAGGATTTTAGTCATAGTCAATGCCGGATGATAAGGGGCCTCTGTCATATACCATGTCTATCTTCGTCATGGCAGGATCTCGCTTGCACGAATGTACACTCGGACCGCTTTGCCAATCTTGGGACCAACCTGTTGTTGGACCCCATTTTATCTGCGGGTGAGTCAAAAATCGACGTCCGCCTCTTGCAAAAATTGGAAGGCGGCTTGCTAAGAGAGTTCTTATCTGCTGAGAGCTCGAAAATTGCCATCGTGGAAAAGGCAAGTAGGTAGCTGGGGGTATAGAATATGTACTATGCCTTTCAGAAATTGGGCGAATATAATCAAAATCAACATTCACGGAAGAACTTGCCAACATGTGTAAACAACCACTTCATCCATTCTTTCTCAGTCTTCCAAAATGTGAACATCACATTCACCTCGAGGGTGCTTTGGCTCCTGAGCTGGTCTTTTCTCTTGCAAAATAGAACACAGTTGCTCTCCCTTATTTTTCGCACTACAAAGACCCGATTCTCTGGCAGCGAGATATGAAGCGTTCGACACTCTTGACGACTTTCTCAAGATTCACTACGCCAATATGTTTGTCCTAATCGCCGAGATTGACTTTTACGAATTGTCATGGTCCTACATTCACGCGGCTCATGCTGATGGTGTTCACCATGTAGAAGTGTTCTTCGATCCACAGTCACATACCTCACGTGGCATCCCCATAGCATCAGTAACCAGAGGCAATGAACGCGCCCTGGACCGTGCTGACTCCGAATTCAGGGTCTCATCTCGTCTCAATATGTGGTTTCTCAGTCACTTGCCAGTAGCTTCTGCAGAAGCCACCTTCGAATCTGCGAATAAACTTATCGATGATGGATCTATCCGTAGTGTTGGGCTACTCATCTGAAGTTGAACCCCCCCCCCCCCCCCGGGAGCTGTTCGCAGACGCATTGAAAAGGCCAAGGAGGCTGGACTACGGCGTACAGCCCATGAGGCGAGGAAGGCGACGTTTCATATATCAAGGGAGCTCTGGGCTCTTACATGCTGAGCGTAGTGACCATGGCATTCGCTTGATTGAAAATGGCGATTTGCTTACGATCTGCCCGCTGTCAAATGTTTACTTGCGCACAGCCAAGTCCGTCGCTTCTCTGCCACTTCGAGAGTTCACTTCGAGACTTCCTAGATTTGGGGGTTCAATTTTCGTTGAACAGCGATGACCCGGCTTTATTTCGGTGGTGGCATACTAAACAATTACTGCGCCGTTCAAGAGGCAATTGATTTCAACATGCATGAAGAGAAAACTGTAGCAATCTCAAGAGTCCGTAAAAGTTAGATTATAGATGAAAGAAAGACGCTCCTGATAGAGAAGATAGAAGATGTTGTTATGCAGTACACTTAGATTGATATCATAACTTGTCATTTCCAAGGATTCGGATTGGGTGGAGCATTATGTAACGTCATCTTGGCGGTCAAGCGTGAATATTTTTCTGCCACAAATTGATAGCGGTGAAGAAGGAATCTAGTAACCGCTGGAAGGTTCGATGCCCGCACAGTCCGGATGGCAAACATAGTCACTATATAGCCCAAGAGTAGTGTATGAAAAAAGTTAAGATCAAATCTTTAATCTTTCAATAGCCCATCTTATTGTCTCTTTTTCGGACTTCATAATACCCCCTTCAAAAGTTTGCTAGACCGCCAGATTACCCTGGTATCGCCTTCATCCCCGCCCAATAATAAGAGTGGAGTGGCGTGCAAATTCTCCCCTCCAAAACTTCCCTTTCCCTGTGATCCTCTCCTCTTCATCCTCCCACCCACATATTTTCCCCCCGATCCACTCCTCCCTATCAACCTACAATGTCTGTTGTCGGTATTGATCTCGGTGCGCAGAGCACCAAGATTGGTGTTGCCCGGAATAAGGGTATAGATATCGTGAGTATTTGCCCCGCCTATCGTTGCGGGACCCCTCGTCCCTCGAAATTACGACTACCCGACCATATAGATGTGAATTGATACTGACCGAATATCTTTTGAATCTTATAGATTGCCAATGAAGTTTCCAACCGTCAGACCCCGTAAGTTCTTGCGACCACGCTTACCTGACATCATAATCCGTCAGATTTTTTTTTTTTTCCGCTTCGGCCCCAGCAATGACTGACTCGAAAATTCGTGCCCAACAGTTCCCTCGTTGGATTCAGTGCCCGCAGCAGACACATTGGTGAGGCCGCCAAGACACAAGAGACCTCCAACCTCAAAAACACCATTGGTTCGTTGAAGCGCCTGATCGGCCGCTCCTTCGACGACCCCGATGTCAAGCTCGAGCAGCAATACAACAGCGCCAACATCTGTGATGTCAACGGACTTGCTGGTGTTGAGGTTAACTACCTCGGAAAGAAGGAGAAGTTCACAGCTACTCAGTTGGTTGCTATGTACTTGACCAAGATCAAGGATATCACTTCCAAGGAGCTCAGACTCCCCGTGTCCGATGTCACTATCAGTGTTCCCGCCTGGTTCACTGATGTGCAGCGCCGCGCCATGATCGATGCTGGTGACATTGCTGGTCTTAACGTCCTCCGCCTAGTCAACGACACCACCGCTACTGCTCTCGGTTACGGTATTACCAAGCTCGACCTGCCCGGCCCCGAGGAGAAGCCCCGCCGTGTTGTGTTCGTCGACATTGGTGCCAGTGACTACACTGCCTCTATCGTCGAGTTCCGCAAGGGTGAGCTCAACGTCAAGGCCACCGCTTGCGACCGTCACTTCGGTGGTCGTAACTTCGATATTGCCCTTACTGAGCGCTTCGCCGATGAGTTCAAGGAGAAGTACAAGATTGACATCCGCACTCACCCCAAGGCCTGGTCCCGTACCGTTGCTGCCGCTGAGAAGATGAAGAAGGTCATGTCGGCCAACCCCCAGGCCCCCATGAGCATCGAGTCTCTGATGGAGGACGTCGATGTTAAGGCCATGGTCAAGCGTGAGGAGCTTGAGGAGATGGTTAAGCCTCTCCTGGACCGACTTACCGTTCCCCTTGAGCAGGCCCTCGCCGAGGCCAAGCTCACCGTCGATGACATCGACCACATCGAGATGGTCGGTGGCTGCACTCGTGTTCCTGCCATCAAGGAGACCATCTCCAAGTTCTTCAACAAGCCCCTTTCCTTCACTCTCAACCAGGATGAGGCCATCGCTCGTGGCTGTGCTTTCTGCTGCGCTACCCTCTCCCCCGTTTTCCGTGTCCGTGACTTCGCTGTTCACGACATTGTGAACTACCCCATCGACTTCACTTGGGAGCAGTCCCCCGAGATCCCCGATGAGGACACCAACCTCACCGTCTTCAACCGCGGCAACGTCATGCCCTCCACTAAGATCCTTACTTTCTACCGCAAGCAGCCTTTCGACCTCGAGGCTCGTTACTCCCAGCCCGAGGGCCTGCCCGGCAAGGTTAACCCCTGGATTGGCCGTTTCTCCGTCAAGGGTGTCAAGGCCGATGCCAACGATGACTTCATGATCTGCAAGCTGAAGGCTCGCCTGAACCTTCACGGTATCCTGAACGTCGAGTCCGGTTACTACGTTGAAGACATGGAGGTTGAGGAGCCCGTTCCCGAAGAGGGTGACGTAAGTGTTTTTTTCTTTCTCGCTAGCCTATTAATCGGTTCATCTGTACTAACGTCTACTCTTTAGGCCATGGACACCGATGCCAACGGTGAGGAGCAGCCCAAGAAGACCCGCAAGGTCAAGAAGCAGGTCCGCAAGGGTGACCTGCCCATTGTCTCCGGTGTTGGCGGTATTGACCAGACCGTCAAGGAGGCTCTCCAGGAGCGTGAGAACGCTATGTACATGGAGGACAAGCTCGTCGCCGAGACCGACGAGAAGAAGAACGAGCTCGAGGCTTCTATCTACGAGCTTCGTGACAAGATCGACGGCGTCTACGCCGAGTTCGCCAGCGAGGAAGAGAAGGAGAAGCTTAAGGCCAAGCTGATGGCCACCGAGGACTGGCTGTACGAGGAGGGTGACGATACCACCAAGTCCGTCTACGTCGCCAAGATGGATGATATCCGCTTCATTGCCGGTCCCATCATCCAGCGCTACAAGGAGAAGGTTGACTCTGAGCGCCAGGCCGTCCTGAAGGCTGAGGAGGAGGCCGCCGCTAAGCGCCGCGCCGAGCTCGAGGCCAAGAAGGCTGAGGAGGACGCCAAGAAGGCCGAGGAGGAGAAGAAGGCCGAGGGCGACGCTGAGATGAAGGATGCGCCCGCCGAGGGTGAGGCCGAGACCGAGGAGAAGCAGTAGATTTAGTATGATCTGATCTGTTTTTTTTTCCCCCTGTTTTACTTTGGTATGGGCGTCGTACGCCTTTTTTTTTATGATTGGAAGCGACGTTCACATGATGACGAAAAGGCTCAAGAGATGTTTTCACGGACCTAGACCCGATCAACTGGCTTGAGTTGGTCACATTGTTTTCTTTCTTGTTAATGGCACCCCGTTATGACGTAGACCGCTTTTTTCTCAATGAATAGATGAATTCCATGTCTATGACTTGAATATTGATATAATCGTGTCGCGTAAAAGATCTTCCTGGGAATGTCGTTATGTAGTCCTCATCCCTGCTCCGATCATCGTCGATCCGGATCCCTGTTCCTGTGATCTGCACCGAAAGGCTGTGCTACCTGGCGATCACTTTAAATAACCCTATTTCTTCCCGTGCCTAAGAAATTTGAATATTCAATATTCTCGTATTCGGTCCCTGATGCTCATCGTATCGGACTTTGCCATGATTTATCACTCAGCCAGGATTCGGAGCAGGACCGAATGTGCAAAAAGTCCTTGGCAAATCCATGGTTCATCGAGCAAAACCGGGCAGAAGGGACAGGGACAGTGTCATTGTTCCCGACCATGAATTGTCCCTGCGCACATGGGATATAACCTCCAAATTGGCAAAATGTCGGGTGGCCGGGTATGCCGGAAAACTATAAGCCCCAATTGATTAAATGATGTGTCTAATGGAGTCCGTCGTTCTCACTAACGCGTTTACGGTAGTTTTCACCCCATTAGCCCTGTTCAATTGTGGGTCCGAGCCCAGGGTGAGCTTGGCGCTGCCAAGATCGTTCCTCGAATTTTTACTTTTTACAGGGTCCTCTGGGACTCAGGGACTCAGGGATTCAGGGGGATGCTCCTTGTTCCTTGGAGAGGGGTTTGATATTCCTTGATTATAGAGAAAGAGACCATTCGAAAAAAAAAAGTTTAAATCCAATAAGCTTGTTTTTTCTTTCGTGCTCGCTTGGAGCAGAATTGTTCCGAGCTTATACGCCATAGCTAAACGGAGCGGGGCCAAGGTGGGAAAGCCGGCACGCGATAGTTTTATGATCTATAGATTTGACCCCTGTACTCCGTATAAAGTAGTTCTTTCGTATTTACTGCAACTAGGGGGTTACATATACAGCTGCTTCACTGTCATTGATTAGTCCCCCCCGGATCATCGTATTCGTATCATCCCTTCCAGCTTTACCTGAAACTATTCCTCCCCTGTTGCGTAATTGGAAGTTCGAATTGGCATCTAGCGGCCCCTCCACGGATTTTAAGAACGCTGATCCCGAGCAATCTTCACGAAATTCGGCCCTATGTTTCCCGCTCTGGTATAATCACCCCTTGTACCCCCTATTCTTCATTCCCTGTCAGCAGATCGTGTGAACCTGGGTCCCAACAGTGGGGATATCCATCCGCTCCAAGCCGCCCCGCTCCAGGCCACCAGTTACCAGTTTGTCCAGTGCTTTTTTCCCTGAATCTCCATAGCCCGCCGGATTGGTCGGATGGATCATCGTTGGTTCTTGCGGAGTCCCTGCTTCTGCCCTTTTTTCTTTCTCGCAATCTTCTAGTTTAACGCAATCTATTATTTGACCCTTCATTCCCTATTTTCAACCCTGCGGATCAACGTCCGTTGTACATATACCTCATCCTCAACGCAGGTCCACCGCATAAACCCCCATCTTGGTCGATATTAAAGTGTACAGTACATCATCCGTTCACCAGCTCTCAGAAAGAAAGCGGAAGCGGAAGCGGAGCTCAATTCCCAGCTCGAGCATGAGAAAATCGATGCAGTCTTGCGAACATTCGTCAAATTTATAATATACACCATTTGAAACCGGCCGGAGATGCAGTGGCGAGCGTTGCTCGTAGCCGCCGTCCCTGCACTCTGGTCCACAGCGGCCATAGCCCTACCCAGCAAACCAGACCTACATATCCGAACCAGTCAGCCCAATCCCGGCCCAATACCAGACCCGGAACCAAAATCTAGCAGCACAAAATGGACCGATAAAACCCTCACCGACCCTCTCTGGTTAAAATATGGCCTAAACGCTTCCGCCGAATATAAATACTTCCACGAACCAGGCCGCGACGACATCCTCGGCCACTATGATATCCGTTTCTTCACCAGCCCAGTAGAGGACGCCGCCCGCGCCGAAACCCTCACGCACATGATTCGCGCATACTTGAATTTCTTCAACGAAAACGAATTGGAAACCTGGATTGCGCATGGAACTTTACTGGGCTGGTGGTGGAACGGCAAAATCCTGCCCTGGGACTGGGATATGGATACACAAGTTCCTGATACTACACTTACATACCTAGCGGATCACTTCAACCACACGATCGTCGAGTATACGGCTCCAGACTCGCGGGAGAAGAGGCAGTATCTGCTTGATATTAATCCGTGGGCGAGACAGCGCGATCATGGACAGGGTCATAATATTATTGATGCGCGGTGGATCGACATTGATACCGGACTGTACATTGATATCACGGGGTTGAGTCTGTTGGAGCCTGATACGGAGCCGGGAGTTTGGGGATGTAAAAATTTCCACAAATATCGGGTTGGGGATATTTATCCGTTACGACGGACTTCTTTTGAGGGCGTTCAGGCCAAGGTGCCGTTTGGGTATGATACGGTATTGTTGGAGGAGTATTCGGAGCAGGCTTTGATTAATACGAAGTTTCATAAGTGAGTTGATCCCTTTGGCTCTTCTAATGTTGGACGTTTATTGACTATTATCGCAGTCATACTTGGTTCCCTGAGCTGACGGAATGGATTTCCGATGAGGTCTTGGCTAAATTGAGCCTCAAGCTTTCCTCTGGTGAGAAGCAGTATGAGTGATTGGTTGGCCATCATCATCCTCTTCTCCGTTGGTTTTTCCCCTTCTCCTCTTGTCTTATCATCCCCTATTCTCCGATCTCTTGCATTGTGGATATTCATGATTGGTCCACTCGGAGTCAAGCACGGCCTTTGACTTGTTGCGACATTTCTGATCTCACTTTTTGTACATCTGGCATTTTGGTTAGCCCGGCTGGGAAACATGGGTCTGTTTTGATATCGGTTGCATATGTTCTCATCTAGGCAGGGCGTTTACAGGATCTAGCATAAAATTGGATTTCGCATTTTGCTCTTATAGAGCCGCTTGAATGAATTTTCCTAATATTGGGAAAGTTTGGTGCAGAAATTGGTATATTCTTTCGCTGCCTCATCTTTTCGCATAAATAGAAATTTTATGATGCTTTTGTCTTGGATCCGGTTCGATGATCCCATGGAAGTTCAATTTAAGATGGTGAAGAAAATACTACTAGACGAAGCTAGGTGCATGTGATTAGCACGTGGCAACACTTTATTTGCACTACTTTCTATACTCGTTAAACAAAACTTTACTTTGGCTCACATCAAGTCCCATGGAATGAGAGCTTGCAGTGCTTTTCGTAGAAATTCCACATAGCCCTGCGAGCGTACATTCAGCAGTCTAGGCATGATCATTTAAATCAGCTTACATCGGCCAAATACCGGCTCAAGGGCATTATTAGGCTTTGAGGGATCTAGTTCGGTAAGTTTGTTGTCAGCACTAGTGTAATGCTCCCGGAGAAAGGACCTCTCAGATCATCAGGATTAGGAACCAAGCAAACGTTTCAGACCCAAGTGTATTGATTTGTTAGAGTATTTCTGCTGGTATGGAAACCTCCGAGACTGTGTATGGTAATACCTCGATTTTCAAATGAGGGGTACATCAGCATCCCCCACGGTGTTGCACAGTCCAATGACCCACATCTTTTGGAAATAATAGCTTTCAGTAAGAGCTTACAGTGTGCTCTGAGCTCCTGTTCAGATGACGAGAATACAATCACTGAAACAGACTGCGGTAGTGGTATGAAAGTCACTGTACCCCTCCATACGCAAAGTAGTGCTTACCCGGATGACTCCAAAATTAGCCTCGGCCAGAATGAAGACCCACCATAACGACTGCTGGGGTGCAACCATACATGATGGGTGTTATACCGGGATCGAATAAGCCTTTTCTTGCTGCGGCACCACTCTTATAAATTTACCTACCTTTGAAACCCAACCCTCCCCCATATCCCCATTTCGTGGCGCTGGCCTACAAGAAGCTTCGACATGACTCAGAACGGAGCTACTCCGACACAATCGTCACCATTCATCTTGGTCGACGGTGTCCCCAACGTTCGCGATGTTGGAGGTCATGCATGCCAGCCTCTCTCGTTGACGAACGAGTCCCCAATCAGAAGCCGGTGCATCAGATCAGGCCTCTTATTTCGTTCTGCACAGCCGTCTCAAATCACCCCGCCTGGAGTGGAGACACTGACCCAGAACCTTCATGTTCAAGCCGTCTTTGACTTCCGCTCAAAGCAAGAGATTGAGCTTCTTATTGCCCGCTCTCCGGATTCTCTTCTTGATATCCCGGGGACAACTCGATACGCGGTCCCTGTTTTCCCTAATAAAGACTCTTCCCCCGGTGCGCTGGCAAAGCGATATGGAATCACCGGGGAAGGTGTAGATGACGAAGCTGTCTTCAAAGGCTTTGCCCAAGCCTACGAAGGAATTGCACGCAGCGCAGCAAAGACGGATAGTTTCCGTACGATTATGCTTCATATCCTGAACAACCCTGATACCCCGATCCTGTTTCACTGTACAGCTGGAAAAGATCGGACTGGTGTATTTGCCGCATTGCTTCTCAAGTTGTGTGGGGTTGCGGATGAAACTATCGTGGCTGATTATGCGCTTACAAAAGAGGGACTGGGAGCATGGGGAGAATACTTGATTAAGCGAGTTTTGGAGAAAGGCGAGGTCTCGACTCGTGAACAGGCGGAGGCTCTGATGGGCAGTCATCCCGGGTGTATGAGGGCGTTCTTGAACGAGATCGTGGCAGTTAAATTTGAAGGCGCGCGGAAATACTTTGTTGAGTTCTGTGGGCTGCACGAGGATGAGCTTGATCGGATTATTTCCATTGTCACCGTTGCGGGTACAACTGCGGAATAGATGGAATGTTCTAATTTGTTTATCGATGACTAAATTTGAAAGACGTGTTTTTACCTGACACTTTGGTCTTTCACGCTCTATAGAAAACATTGCCCTCGAAGAGCCGACGCGCAGTTCGTACTACAGCAACATGCTTCACGTCAATGTTCCTCTGTTCGTCCAGACCCAATACTGTTTCGGCCTGTATCACACCAGCGGGATGTCTAATTCCAACGGGTATAGCATCCGCAATCTTCTGACCTTCAATCTCCATCCCATGTCTAGGACCTTTATCGATCCGTGCTTCATTGGCCAAGTGCCATGCAACTGTGCCATGAATAGCCATCGCAGCACCTATACAAACTGCACCAGTAAGCTGCAGACTGGCATGCGGTTTACCCATGGTAAATGACAACACATCCAGATCGGAACCTTCATCAGCAGGTGCAGACAAGAACGCGACTTTCGGTGTGCCTCGAACAGTGCTTGCTTTCGCCACATCCGCAGCTAATCCGAAACGTACTGCACCTTCTCTTCGAATATCCTCCGCCACAAGGATGAACTCTGCATCTGTTGCATCCGGCCACTGGGGGCGGCCTTCAATTTTCAAAGAGCGAGAATCAACAAGGACAAACGGGTTTGCCGCGTCGACAAGACTCACGCGCACTTGAAATTTCCCCACGGTTTGTGATTGAACTGTCAATGTCTCCTTTGTTGCGCCGCTTGGGAACATCTTTCCTGTCATGCTACCCCCTGGGTTGAGGAATGCTACCTTGATAGGACTAGATGTGCCCTCTACACCGGGAATATGACAGGTCCCTTCCTCTCTGAAGAAACCACCAGAAGTCTGGATTGTTTCCACAATAGTCTGTCCAGTATTGGTGTTCAAAATACGGACGTCGATCTATAAGACGAGTCAGTCGGTATGATATGAGGATGTCATCGATCTACTCACTTCAGTTTGACCTGGCTTCGCCTTGACAAGCCCCTCATCTAAAGCAAATGGGGCCACACCAGACGCGATATTTCCACAGTTGCCAGTCATGTCCACGACTGCCTGATCAGGTGCAACCTGGACGAAAGTGTACTCGACATCGATGTTTTCTCGCTGAGACTTCGCAACCACTGCCACTTTAGATGTTGTCGAGGTAGCGCCACCAACACCATCAAGCTGCTTGCCACTTCCATTTGATGACCCCATTGCTGATAACAGAATCGGTGCCCATTGATCTACTGACTCGGGTAGATCTTTTCGGTGAATGAAGAGACCCTTCGAAGTCCCCGAGCGCATCCATACTGCAGGCAGAGAGTGCCTGGTCGGAATTCGGACATATGGTTTCAATGGGAAGAGGTTCGGTGCCGCGTAAGTGTCGGCAATGGATAGAGTTGCTGCTGGTGCCATGATATTTCTTTAGTGGAGTGTACTTGTTCTTCGTTGGAATGATACAATTTAACACCAGCGCTACAACCGAGGCTATATATGACGATGATTTTCAATTGAGATACTCCAATTTCAAGTTTTCCATTCATTCGCGTCTTTCCACTCGGCTCTATACATCGAACGGGTGGAACGTTCCCGTTCCGCGGCAACTCAGCTTCCATGGATGAAAAAGGCCCACGGCAAGCGACTCGTCAATCTCGCCACCACGTTTTTCGTCGATTGAGAAATATGGGGTCCCCAGATTCAATGCGGGGTGCGTCCTGGCATGCTGGACATAAAACCTTGATAGCAGCATGCGACAGAAAAAGCAACTGGAGTTTCCCAAAAGCTCTGAAGCAAAGTCTCACACTTCTCAATTACAACATGACAAATCCAGTTCAGGCGGCACCAATGGATGCTCCTCAACATAATGCACGTGTTTATATCCTTTCAATAGTCGCCTCCATGGGTGCATTTCTTTTTGGATATGATTTAGCATTCATCGGCACATCAATTGATTTGACTTCATTCCAGAGGTATGTCAATAGCACAACCACCCACAGTCGTTTACTAATTGTTACTAGGGATTTCGGACTAGAAGGTGCATCTGAGTCAGTTCATGATGCCTTTTCGGCAAACATTGTGTCGCTTTTACAAGCGGGCTGTTTCTTCGGTTCTTTAGCAGCAGCACCGGTGGGAGATAAACTAGGCCGTCGAGTAGCCCTGGCCATTGGCGCAGTTGCTTTCATTGTGGGATCTATTATGCAAACAGCATCCGCCGGAAACAAAGATATAATGTTCGTGGGCAGAGTCATTGGCGGCGTGGTAAGCATGTCCCCCAAAGACACATCATTGCCCATCATTGCTAATTTATTTTAGGGTGTCGGCTTCGCCAGCATGTTGGTACCTTTGTACACAGCCGAGTGCGCACCGCCACAAATTCGAGGCCGACTCGTTGGCATCTACGAGATCGGCGTGCAACTCGGTACCTGTCTGGGATTCTGGATAAATTTTGGTGTCGATCGTAACATGGCACCAACATCTGCACAGTGGATGACACCATTTGCATTGCAGCTCATCCCAGGTGGACTTCTTCTAATTGGATTGATATTTATGTCTGAATCTCCGCGTTGGGTAGCAAAGACCTATGGGAGAGCCCGAGCAATCGAAACTCTTTCGAATTTGCGTGGTCTTCCTGCTGACCACCAAGCTGTTCAGGAAGAGGTAAACGACATTTTGGATCAGCTTGAGGTCGAGCTTTCGGATAGCCTTGGAAATACCCGTGCTGCTTGGAAAGAGCTTATGGAGCCTGGACTCCGGAACCGTGTCTTCATTGGAGTAATGATTATGATCTTCTTCCAGATGTGTGGATCGAACGCAATCAACTACTACTCTCCTCGAATCTTCAAGTCGATTGGCCTGCAGGGTACTGAAGCGACTCTGGTATCGACTGGGATCTACGGTATTGTCCGCTTGGTAGCGGTCTTCATTGCGATGTTCTTCATTGTCGACCGCTTTGGAAGGAAGTCGATGTTGGTCGGTGGAAGCATCATGATCGTAAGGCCCCGTGCTTTCTTAATCCTAAACAAAAGCTGACATGATCAGGCAATCTCAATGTGGCTCATTGGAGCATTCGTCAAAGTCCAAAGCTCAACTGCAACCTCCTCGGACGGATCTCTCAGTGGAACTTCCTACGCAGCAGCAGTCTTCATCTTCGTCTTCGCTGTATCTTTCTGCTTCAGCTGGGCCGGTGTTCCTTGGGTCATTTGCTCTGAAATTTATCCCCTGCGCGTGCGTGGTTTGTGCATGAGTATCTGTGTTGCAACGCATTGGCTATTCAATTTTGTCATTGCGAGAAGCACGCCATACATGATCTCAAACATCGGTTTTGGGACATATTTTGTATTCGCTGCTTGTACTACCTTGGCCGTGCCTTTTGTCTGGTTTATGATTCCGGAGACGAAAGGCATGAAATTGGAAGAAGTGGATGCTCTTTTCGAAGGACGGGGGCTTGTTCCAAGGATGAGATTGGACCCAATCGCGGATGAAGGAAGCGATGAGAAGGGAGTCATCGAGCAGGTTGAAAGCGTTTAATAGTATTATGACTTTCCTTCTTTGTCTTTACAAAATATGAGCGATTTTATGTGACATTTCATCAGAACCGTGCATGCTAAGGAATATTAGCGGGCTTACAATGGGCATGAATCCAGGAATTCTCGTTGAATTGCCAATTTTGACCTTACTTGACTGATGCAACGATGATCTTGAGGGCGCTCATCTGTGTTCTGCTAGTAAGTATGTGATTCTTTATCGATATCGCGCAGTGAGGTCAATCCAGGTACGAGACTAACTCCCAGGTGTGAGGTGACATTAATTCAACAGAGGAAAATGCTCATTTAGTCCCCTATGTAGATACTGCGGTAAATCCTTCGAATTTATGATGCGGAATTGCAAAGCAAAATATTGTAGTAATTCTCTATTGATACAATATGCTATCTTGTACAGATCCATTGAATCCGAACAACATGTCATCGTCGAACTGGGCATCAAAATATGCGTCATTGTATCCTGGAACAATAGAAGGAGTGAAAATGCCTGGCGTCTGGACTGGGACCGTAGGACCAGGGAGAGCATGGTAGCTAGGCTCTTCGAACACCTGTCCTTCGCCTGGTCTTGCCTGCTGCCGAATAAAGCTCTGGATAATTCTGTCCATATCCAACTCTGAGGCCTCTGTTTCTGGAGGCGTCATTTGACTCGGTGAGGCAGCCGGTATAAGATCCCCATCTACGGCAGGAACTCCATCCAAATGCACCGTTTGCCCATTGATATCATGGCATGATCGGGGCTCGCGTTCCTGATGGGGGACACTCAAATCAACCCCCATTCGATCCATTAGATGCACAATCACATTCTTTGCTCTGCGAACAGCCCAATTCGTCTCTTGGTTCTTTTGGAATATGTCAAGGCATGTCCGAAGATTTGAGTGCGCTCTACTGCCATCTTTTCTTTGGGCAGCAACTCGGACGTAAATTGTGGCAGCGACATAAGTCGCGTATGAAATCAGATACGGAGCACGCCTTATGGAGAATGTGTGGTCGTAAGCTTGGAGGATGTGAATTATTCGATTTGCTGCTGTCGTACACGTAGTGAAAGAACTGACGGCAACTGAGGGATCTGTTGTATGGAGATGTCCTTCCGCCACAAAGGGTCGGTGGAGAAGGATGAGAAGCACGTTGTAGAGTGCCAAGAGAGAGAGGACATGGGGTGGTGGGGTAACTTGCGTTGTGGGAATACCGAACCGTAAATGCTCCGGCAGCGCATCATGCCAATCTTTGAGCTGCTCATTCAAGGCATTCAGTGTAGTGATTAGTTCCTGGGGGGACCGGTTTGAACTTCGCTCCGAGTATACTTTGTTCAGAATACCGTTCAGGATTAATGATAACTTGCAAAGCTCCGTAAAGGTTGAAACACTGTATGCAGGGGAGCCCGGATATGACTGCACATTTGTATATGCAAAAGGCTGCCAGTGTTCAAGCTCCTCATATTGGTCCAGAAATGTTATTGACACTTTCGTATCGAAATCCTGCAGGCTTGCAGGCCGACCCTGGTATAGGGACTGAATCTTATCCACGACAAAGGCCCCCCAGAAAACTCGACGACGGATTTCTATGTCTTCATCGGAGAGGCGACGTATATTGCTCAGCATTGTAGCATCAACGTGCATGCCCAAATCGATAATCATTCTAAATGCTGTTCCGGCATAGAGCCACGCAGCACTGCGCTCATCTCCCAATGCAAACAGGGAACTGGTCATCACTAGTAGAGCTTGAATTGTGGTAATTTCGCTTCGGTCCAAAGCACTGCCAAGCAACTCTTTCACTCGCAGGCGAAATCTCCATCCCGCCGTCCGAACATCATCGGGATCCCGGCGAACTTCGGGACGGTTGCTAAATTTTGATGCACCGAAGTAAATTGCGTTTAATAGGAGTTTCGAGAAGCATGGACCACCGTTGGCCATATCCCGCATAAAAGCCGGGCGGTACGTGATCAGAAATGAATGGTGCTGCCGATTCCAATGTAGATTCAGGAGATGCATTCCCAATTCGGGATCAACTCCATCAAAGTCCAGCTTCCCTTGTCGCATGTTCAATGTTTCTAATTGCCCTACGCGATGATTAGATTTTGAAACCTCTCTGATAAGCATGCGTCTTACGCTGGTAGGCAGCTTCTCCCATCAACTGCTTTCGAATATGCTCTATCGGCACTTGTGGATCTGTTGACCGAGGATGACCATGTCGATCAGTCGGCGCATCATCAAATAATGTGCTTGTAAGCCCATGATAGCTTGAATCACCATTCGGTGAAATGAAGATTCGCGAGACGGCCGAGTGAGACCAATCTGTACTTGGGACTGTATTCGACATCTCTGAAGGAGGTTGTGTATTTTGCCGCGACTGAGACGGGCTGCCTCTTGTGGAAACATCTCCATCATTCGAATGGGAATCAACGCGCCCGAGTTGCCGCCGTAGCTGTTCATTCTCTTCTTCCAATCGTGATAGACGAGCTTTTGTTGGTCTTCACACAGTCAGTAGAGTGATATTGGTGGGCTACGGATGACGTACCTTTGCTTCTCGGGCCTGGGTGCGTAGGTACAATCTTGTGCATATGTCTTGCAGCTGGAGCATGTTGGTTTCTCATTGTCGCAACGAAACTGTACTGTCTTAGCCCACGGACCAAAACTCCCGTCGCAATTGACTTACCTTCCTACGTCGGCAAAAAACGCAGGCCTTAGCGGCTCTCCGTGGTTTGGACGGAGACTTTCTGTCCATGACTATCATGGCGACAAGTCAAAAGAATTTCCACGGGTGAGGCAAATACCGGAAGACGGAACATTGTTGTCCGCGGCAAGTTACATTCCGCTCCCCGCTTTCCCCACAAATCAGAGGGTCTATAAGTCGGGGCCCGAGGACCAATCCCAACCCCCTAATCGATATTCACCCACCATGGCTGCTATTGTTGCTAAATCGGAACAAACCGAGATAAAGAAGCCTCAACGGGTAATTCTGATTCATTCTCAGTTGCTTTGTCACCCTTGCTAACCTAGTTCAGGTCAAGACGCCCCAATGGGTTTCCCTTGTGTCCGGCGGAGTTGCGGGCGGAGTGGAAGCTGCCATCACTGTCGGTGCCCTATTTCACAACTTCTCGTTCTAGAACTAATTTCTTGCAGTATCCATTCGAGTATTCAAAAACTCGCGTGCAACTGTTGAATAATAGCGCAGTTCGGACATCTAATCCACTACGCCTCATTTTCCAGGTTGCAAAGCAAGAAGGTGTCGGTGCTTTATACACCGGATGCTCGACTCTTGTTGTTGTAGGTATTAGCAATTACCTCAATTCCATCTTATGTTGATCGTGTATCCAGGGTACCACGGCGAAAGCTGCTGTCCGATTTGTGTCATACGATACCATTCGCAATTCCCTCGCCGATGAGCGTGGTGTGCTCTCACCTGGCCGGGGTATACTTGCTGGAATGACTGCAGGTGCAGTAGAGAGTGTACTGGCAGTCACCCCCACAGAGAGAATCAAAACTGCATTGTACGTAATTCCCGTCATGGATCCATGAAATAATTCGTGCTGACTGATCAACGCGCAGAATCGACGACGCGAAGGGGGCTCGTCAATTTAAATCCAGTCTCCATGCGACAAAGGTATTGGTTCAGAGACATGGTATCACGGAGCTTTATCGAGGTCTTGTTTCCACCATGATGAAGCAATCAGCCACCTCCGCAGTGCGTATGGGGACGTACAATATGCTGAAGGAGACTATCAAGGCCAATGGAATCAAGACGAACATGCTCACAACATTCGGTATCGGTGCCATCGCGGGTGTTATAACTGTTTATGCGACACAGCCGTTTGACACGATCAAGACACGAGCACAGGGTGTCCAGGGAGCTGGCATTATGGAGGCCTCCAGGAGTGTGATCAAAGACTATGGAATCCGGGGGTTTTGGAAAGGCAGTTCCATGCGACTGGGTCGTCTCCTTTTGAGTGGCGGGATTGTGTTCTCCGTTTATGAAGAGGTATCGGCAATCTTGTCGCCCGGATCGCATAGATAATTGTATTCACACTATAGACTTGATGATATAAGCTTGCCCCAAGGATTTTCGAGATGCGTATTTACGAACCGAAATACAACAGCCGCTCGCGTAGCTCAGTTGGTAGAGCGCGGCACTAGTAATGCCGAGGTCTTCAGTTCAAATCTGGACGTGAGCAGTTTCTTTTTGGTTTTCGAATTTTCTGCTCTTTTTTTCCTGTCGCAGGTTCGAACCCTGCTCCTGTCACATCTAACTATATCGTAGCAAAGTATGCATCTATATGAGCCCTAGGGTCAGAGTTGCAAGCCTTCACCGCACATTAATCAAGAAATCAACGGGGCAGACACGAAAAAAGAAATAGATCTATATGCTAATGTTGGATTCAGAAGTCATTCTATCAGCCTCTCAAAATAGTAGTCTTCATCACTCGTCTTCGTGAAAATAAAGATAAATCATCAGACCAACCAAGTCACCAACATAAACAAATTCAGAATCTAGCACTTCAAGCTTCAACCGACATCCGAGCCAAAATCTTTCGAATTGCAATATTCTCGCCCAATCCCTGTTTTTCCAAATTTGTGATCATCTCCAAAGCCTCAAGCTTAAGGCTGGAAACAAAATCCCTGGTATATTCAAAAGTATTGGTACTTTCCATATATGCAACTGCATACCGCTTGAGATCCTCATCTCGGGGCTTCTGTTTCAGAACGTTGATCAATTGGCGATTGGCAGGGTTGGACCGAATGCTGTGGATAATAGGAAAAGAGAATTTTCCCTCCGTGAGGTCTTCACAGAGACCCTTTTTCTGCAAATAGCTGGACGATTTTAGGTTCAAGTAATCATCGCAGATTTGAAAAATAATTCCGAATAGTCGAACAAGTGGGACTAGATCCACTTTCACAGGGCTACCGATCTGCAGCAGCTCAATAGCGAGACAGAAGAGCGCCCCGGTCTTGTTGCTGACCATATCCAGATACTCTTCTTCCGTGGGACAGATGAGCGAATCCCGCCAGAATACATCCATGCCCTGGCCGCGATGAAGGTGAATCAGTGCATCGACATAAATTTCAATTGCCTGTGGATTGTTCAATTTCTGGACCTCCCGCAGGGCGAGAAAGTAGACATAGTTTCCGGAGTTGAAGGTTTGTGCTGCGCCAAAGATGCTGTGTGCTACTGGCTGGCCCCGTCGCAGCTGGGAGTTGTCTTCGATGTCATCGACGAGAAGTGATGCTGTGTGCAGCATAGAGATGACCTTTTCAACGATCTCCAATTGCCTGGGGGGAACTTGAAGCCAGATATTGAAAGCTTGGATGAATGCAGCTCTCAAATTCTTCCCTGGGAGTGTTTCGAGATATTCAAAGGGTCCTAGCAAAATTTTTTCCTGTTCGTCGGACCATTCTGGTCGAAGACCAAGGCTGGAGGCACGGTTGGTACGAACCGATTTAATGCCCGTACTCTCTTTAGGATCGTCTCCGTTTAGTTGTTGATCTTGAATCATGACAGGGGCTGACAGAATATCAGGAGAAGCTCCCATCATTTCTATTGCATTCGCTTCAAGTCCATTCGTCTCAATTCCATTGACCTCAGGTGCGTTCTCATGAGCTCCATTGGCTTCATGGTCATTGGTTTGGGGGGCAGGCGTTGCGTTACCATTAGATTCCCGGTAATTGGAATTCTGATCGTTTATCTCCACCCCATTTGTTATACGATCAGGCGTTGTGTCACCATTTGCCTTGATTTCGTTCTCTTCGACTCCTTTTATTTCAGTGTGGCGCACTTCAAACCCATTTGTACCGTTGCTCTGAACTCCATGAGGCTCGGAATGACGACCATTTGCCCCATTAGCAACGACAGCTTTAAGCTCTAATTCTTCCGAGAACAAGTCCACCGCACCTTTCAGTGCAGCCAAAGTGTATGCCTGCGACAGAATTTCAGATTCATAAGTGACTTTCTCGACCCAGAGACGTTCTGAGCCCACCACAGTGTCCGAACGGAGGACTGAGCAACCATCCCGGATCGCCGTTTGAGTTTGGATATAAGGTATGTCAGGGAACTCAAATTGCACCGCATATGTAAGAATGAGAACTGCATATGCTGTTTCTTCCTTTGAACTTTTGGTACCCCATGTACCAGTGTTGTTCTGCTGGTATAGCACTGAAATCGCCATGTCATGTAGCAGAGCGGTGAGGTCTTGTTCTAGAAGCTCTTTCAGAGAGAGCAATTGCGAGCTGTGCCATAGTTCATGCAGGCGGGCAATGGCCTGGGTCATGAGCATCCAAGAGTATATAGGGGAAAGGTTCTGTTGTTCAGTGAATTAGATATCTGTTCTGATTGGGGGAGGAGGGGGGGGGGCCGAATATCCGTACCCATTTATCGCGGACTTTCAATTCGGATTCCAGAAAATGTGTGTGGAGAAAACGGGTCGCCTTCTCGATCTGATGTGCATATTGAGAGGGGTTGTTCGTGTGAAGCAGCGCCAGTAAAACGTTACAGTTGGCCGAAAAACTTGGGTCTCGCTCATGCGGATATGTTTTGAAATGATGTTCTGTTTCGAATGCTTTCAGCATTGCATCAGGTGACACTTGCTGCTGGAGCAAGTTGAGCACAAGGATGGTCTTGGCTGTGTCATCCGCATCGGCACAGACGTGAGGTACGAATCCCATAGTTCCTTCATTTGCGATAATTGTAGTGTGTAGCAACAAACGCGCTTTTTGGACAGAGGGCAGTGACTCCTGGTCCAAGGCAAAACCAGCCTTGAGAAGGGTTGAGAGTGTCCAGGTGATCTCGAAGATAGTGGATGGAAAAGCACTTGGAACACCTCCAGATCCCTTCCCGGACGCGTTTTGGATGACATAGTGAAGGTATTCCTCGCACTCGTCATCCCACTCGGAGGCATGCATGAGCACAGCAGCGGTGGATGATGGCGATGCCATGAAAGATCCATTGACCTTATGGTGACGCACACGGTCAAAATCAATCAACCCAATGAATGCCTCCAATGAATGCAAGGCAGTTGTTTGAATTGGTGCATAGAGAAATTCAGGCTTAAACCGGGCTAACTTCTGGTCTCGGATTGTAAAGAGTCTATCACGTCCAGGAAAAGAAAAATCGATGCCTTCTGCTTCTAGATAGCCCAGCAGCGCGGGAACGAGAATCTCAAACCCAACATGTAGCGTGGCATCAACATCCCATGCTTGGAGGAGAGCTTGCAATGAACGTGTGGCCCCATTGATGCGCTCCTCAAGACTGTCGTGGGAGATCGTGCTATTCTGAAGGGGTGCATTGAAATGTCGCTTCAGTGATAACAATGAGGCCGCAGTATTGAGGATCCCGTCAATCTGTGAGGCGTACGTGACCCAACCCCCATCCTCGAGCTGTTCGTCCAAGATATACACAAAGCACTCGGGGAATAACCACTTCTTTTCTTCACCAACAAATTTCTGGATCATTGACACCCATGCGGTATCATAGATGGCAGGGCTCATAAATCCCAACCCATGTGAGTCTTCAATACGCTCGGTCAGCCGGTTGACCAAGGCCGTCGCTGAATGATGCAGCAGCGTAGACTCCATACTTCCAAAATTCTATTTCAACCAGCAATCTATATTCTTGAGGGTCTTCCGATGCTTCTCACAGCAGTGATTGGAACCCTGTTACTTGAATCTTTATAGTAAGACTATTATCAACATAATAACCCCCGCACCAGCATAAAACCACATCGTCACAAGTTGTTCAAAGCTGACACCCACCCTTAACGGGATACTGTCATCGGTTTCACTCGGTACTACGTTAGGGCTCCCGATATCCCATGCTGCCCGTTGTGGGTCTGTTAATTAAGTAAACTTTACGCTAGCAAGGTCCGACATTTGGCCGCATTTGTGGGAGATCCAATGCATGTAACTAACGTGGTGTGCTTACCGGCTTACCCCTCAGGAAGGAATAGGGTCGGCACATGAAGTTGAATGGCTAAGCCTAATTCAACAGGTTTCCGCAAATACGAGTAAGCTTATGGCCCGGGGTAACTCCGCTGTCAATCTTGCCAAGTAATTGTGGAGGCAAATAGACGTGAGCCTCCGCTTCAGTGGCTGTATTGGTCACATCAATCAGCACCTGTACGGTATTATACGTAAATCCGTAACATTACATACCCAAGCGGCTTCAGGTATCATACACCATGCTACATGAACACCCTTCAATCTTCACCCGAATGACTGAACAGGGTAAGATCGAACACTGCGCCCCATGCACTTGGTCTAATGAAGCTTGATAACGAGAGGCCAAGAGCTCAAGGTCCACTCATGTCTCGATTCCTGTCCTCGATTGTGGAATGATTTGGCGATTGGACAAAAGAGGCCGGATGGGCGATATCAACCCCCAGCAAAGAAGCCAGACAACGGCTTCTTGTTGGTCCCAACTGAATCTTTCAGTGAGGGGTAGCATTTCTTCATCAAACTGAGGGGTTCGGGCCTCCAAATTTTTCTTGCAGAAGGATTCATCTGCTCGGCGATTGGTCTTACTCCCGAGCAACTATTGTTAGCAAGGGGCCTCGGGGAAAATATGACGCCACTTGCCAGCCCTGCAGAGGAGATTGCACTTCTGCCGGGCAAGATATCAACTGTTCTTTTGTGAAGTCTGAACTATATACTCCTACCAAAAGTTGGCACCGGGGCCGTTACAAACGGTGTAATCCATCTATTATGGCACTTTCGTGGATAATTGGTCTATCCCTCTCCCAGGCGGTCCTGTTGTTACTATTCGCGGTATGTTGTGTCGAGTAGACCTTTTCTCGTGATACTTCTGATGTTGATCAAATCCAGCTTCTTGCCTATGTGGTAGGAACTTGTATTTACCGAATCTATTTCCATCCACTGTCAAAATACCCTGGTCCAAAATTGGCAGCTGCAACACGTTTGTGGTGGACATGGCACCAACTGCGTGGTAAATTTCCTTTGATCGTGCATGAACTCCATCTCCAATATGGGGAGATTGTCCGAATTGCACCCTCCGAGCTCTCTTTTACGGGGGCTGATGCCTGGAAAGAGATATATGGATTTCGCACTGGCCTGCCTGAGAACCGTAAGGATCCAGGCGAGAATACGGACGCTGACAAAAAGCATCCAACCATTATCAATGCTGACCGCAAGACTCACGGTGATTTGCGCAAGCTGCTATCCAATGCCTTCTCGGATAAGGTGTTGAAGGGTCAGGAACCTGTGCTGCTGCACTACATTGACCTCCTTGTCGACCGGTTGCATGAGGTGGTGGAGAAACATGAGCCAGTCGATATTGTTAAATGGTTCAACGTACGTACCTATCAATAGTGTGAAGGCAATGCTAACGTGGATAGTATGTGACATTTGATATTATTGGCCATCTGGCCTTCTATGAACCCTTTGACTGTCTCAAAAATACCGAGTATCATCCGTGGATGTCCATGATTTTTAACGCAATCATGTACGTCCACTACATCCGTACCTTCCAAAGATTCATTGATGTCCGCTCAATCATCCTGGCAATCATGCCAAAACGGATCGTCGAGCGACGTAAATGGCACATCGGCCTAGTCGCAGAGAAAGTCAAGCGCCGCAAAACCCAACATCCTGATTACATCGACTTCATGAGCCACCTGATCCAAGCTGAGGAGAAAGGTCAGCTAACGGCGCCCGACCTTGTGGCCAATGCCAACCTCATGGTCATTGCTGGCAGTGAGACAACAGCCACTATACTTTCCGGGACGGTTTATTATCTGTGCACACACCCGGTTGTGATGCAAAAGCTGCTCGAAGAGGTCCGCACCTCTTTTGCTGCCAGTGATGAGATTAACATTGCGCGGATCAGCAAGCTCAAGTACATCAATGCAGTCATCGATGAATCCTTCCGTCTCTATCCACCGGCTGCAGGAAGTCATCCCCGTATCACGCCACCTGAGGGGGCTTATATCATGGGCCAGTGGTTGCCGGGTAATGTATGTATCAGTCTCCCAATTTATGTCATCACATCTGACATTGGACCTCAGACATCAATGGGCATGGCCCAATACGCTGTGTTCCGTTCTCCTGCAAACTTTAAAGATCCCGAGCTCTATCTTCCTGAGCGGTGGCTGGATAACGAAGGACCATATGCAGGGGATAAGCGCGATGCTCTCCAGCCCTTCTCTTTCGGACCCCGAAATTGTATCGGCAGAAAGTATGAGTCCACTCTTCGTTCTCTTTATTTCACTGCAGTATAACATGCTAACTTTATATACACTTCTTTAGTTTGGCCAATATTGAGCTGAGATTGATTCTCGCGAAGATGCTTTGGCATTTCAACCTAGAGCTGGAACCAGAGTGTCGTAACTGGCCTAAGGATCAATACATCTACACGTCATGGGAAAAGATCCCACTGAAAATCCGGATTACCGCTCGGGAATAAGGAGTGGGGAGGGCGGATTGCTTCGATAGTTACTCTCACGGTTCAGAAGTTCCTGAACTTGGCAGTAGAAACAGTCCCTAGAATCAAGAAACACTAAGCTTTCTGGTCGCAATTTCTAAGACATTTCGAACTTATCACTCAACAAACAACTATTTCTGATATTCTTCTCGCATCTAATATCATAATTGCCAGGAATGACGTTCCGTTAATATCTAGCAGATACGAAATACGACGAGCAATGCTCCAGAATGCTCCCCAGTCTCGATAGATTCCGCGCGATGTAACCGAGCACCCTCTATCGCGTGCCATGCATTCAGAATTAGGTTTCGGGGATTCTTGCAGAAGGATCAACGCCTCAAAGTCAAACAGAATGGGATGCATCTGACAAAAAGAGAAATCTTCTCTTGCAAATACTACTGGTGGCGTGGATAGGTGTCCAATTGCAGGTGGTGTTAATAATTACATGTATCAGTACTGTAATACAGACGGTGACAAAACAAGACAAATACCATATGGCCGACGGCCAGGTCCGCAGTGGAGGTACGTCTTAGCTCCATGCGGGGAGTAATCAATCTGCAGGATTCCTAGAGTAAGACGGAGACCATGAAATCAGGGAAAAATCGAGGGCAAAGCACTTGGGCTACTCTGTAGATTGATTTTGCTTCAGTCATCCTGTTGATTGACTTTTGTTTGTTATGTTCGCTGTGAAGGTGGCCGCCATTGGCTGTGTTTTGCAGACGGCGATTCTTTGTAAATCGCACCCCTCTCAATCGACGTTGGCAATCTGGAGCTCATCTGTAGCTCTTAATATCTTGCTCCTTCTCAGCTGGAAGCTATATTTATGGCCTATCTGGTTCAGTCCTCTGCGCAATTTGCCTGAGCCACCAGTATGTAAGCCTGTTTCTGCGCGAGAGACTGTATCACTGACGAGATAATAGGGCGGGCACCGACTCCATGGCCATGTGAGGCTCATCCCAAATGAGCGATCTGGAATACCGATGCAGGAATGGATCAATGAGGTACCCAACAATGGTCTTATTCGATATCGCATGTGGTTTAACAAGGAGGAAGTCCTTGTCCTCGACCCGAAGGGGCTTTCTGAGGTTTTGGTGCAGAAGAATCATGAGTTCGCTAAGCCATACAGGCTGCGAAAGGGATTAGGCAGGATTCTGGGTGTTGGCTTGATTATTGCTGAGGGGGAGGAACACAAGGTACGCATACTCGTTGTTTATGGGGAGAATGATGGGATCTAAACCCTGACACCAATCAATAGAGACAACGCAAGCTCCTCATGCCAGCTTTTTCACACAGGCACATTAAAGATCTATATCCTCTTTTCTGGGAAAAGTCCGTCGCACTTGCCCGCGAAATCGACGCGAACATCAAGCAAACTGCGGACCAATCAAGCAAAGTCTTCGACGTGGCAGACTGGCTGGCACGTTCTACCCTGGATATCCTTGGCGCGGCTGGTCTCGGGGAAGAATTCGACACGCTCCATAACCCAGATAATGAGATATGTCAAGCCTACCGCAATGTGTTCGAGCAATCGCCTCCTAAAGGCATTATTGCCATTGGGCTATTCTTGTTGCGTGAGGCCGTCACAACAGCGCTGAATTTGCAGCGGGATGACAGTATCTCTGTGGCGACCAAGACCTTAACGGGAGTGGCACGTCAGTTGATTAGTCGGAAGAGAGATCTCAGCATTGAAAAGCCGGAGGGCGGTAGGAAAGACATCATTTCCGTTGCACTGGAGTCGGGGGCGTTCACGGACTCGATGCTGGAGAACCACCTCTTGACGTTCCTAGCAGCCGGACACGAAACCACAGCGACTTCGATGACCTGGGCTTTATATGCATTATGCTTGTATCCCGACGTCCAACAGCGACTGCGCGAGGAGGTGCGAGAAAAATTACCGCGCATTCTGAATGATGGCCCCGCTTGTGCCTATGACGGCCGATCTGTTGGACAGTCTGCCGTATCTGCATGCTGTGTGCAACGAGGCCTTCCGTATTTACCCCCCAGCCGGAATGACTCGACGAGTGGCAGTTCATAACACCTCCATCATGGGCCAGTTCATTCCCGCCGGTACGGAGATCGTGATTTCCCCCCGTGCGCTGAATGTGTCCCGGGAACTATGGGGAGACGATGCGGCTGTCTTCAACCCTGATCGGTGGCTTGGGCCTAATCAGGCCAATACAGGTGGAGGAAAAACCAATTTTTCCTTTATGACTTTTCTTCATGGTTCGTCAGGTTTCTGTGTTTTCTATGTTGACTACCTTACTAATCTGGTCTTAGGCCCGCGGTCTTGCATAGGGCAGGGCTTTGCTCGTGGTGAATTTGCCAGTCTACTTGCAGCGCTAACGGGCTCTTTTGAAATGACTCTAGCCCAAGATAAGGACGTTATCATTGAGACGGGTCTGACCTCTCGGCCCAAGGGAGGATTGCGTGTGCGATTCCGTCCGCTGTGATCTATTTCATTTATAGCCAATTTTAGACGAGATATAAGTCAAACCACATACATATAGCCTGTTTCCTATTCCAAGGCCATATATTCAAGTACATTTAACACCAACAAACCTCTATCTAAATTTCCTCCATTGGCTGATGAGGGGACAGATCCGACATAACATCCTTCCCAAAATCCTGCAATCCCACCCGAATCCAATCAGGAAGTGCCCGTGTCGGTGGCGAGATATAAGCCAAAGAAGGCGTCATTCGATTTTGCGCCTGTCCGCTCCAGATTATCTCCGCGACCAGCGAGCCGACATCATCGGGACGCAAAAGCGTGACAGAGGCGGGTGTTCGTATACCGCGAAACATCTTTGTCTGCACAGCCGAGGGCGACACGCAGGACATTCTCACAGCAGGTGCCTTATACACATGACGCATTTCAGTCTGGAGGCCTTCGTAAATGGCTAATGCGGCAGCTTTGGTGGCGGCGTAGTCTACCACGCCTGCTGTAGCTAGATGCCCTGCCTGCGAGGCCATGATTAGGAAGTGGCCATGGTTATGCGTGACCATTGAGGGGAGAAATATCTGTGCTGTCCAAATAAGAGCGAGGTTGTTGACGGTGAACGTCCTATAAAATTGGTCAATTTCGGCCGTAATGTTATTGACATTGGGATCTTACAGTTCAATGTCGCGTGGGGTGGCGTGAAGTAAAGGTTTGCCGCGACAAATGCCTGCATTGGCTATTACGCATGTTGGATCACCGACCTCCCTGCCTTGTGATTAGTTTTTTCAAAGGTAGTAAGAGAAGGACTAAACTCGCACCGACGAAGATTCTCGGCAACCAACTCCAATTCGGACCTATTAGTCAAGTCGCATCGATAATAATGCACGTTTTTTGCTGGGCATACGTATTAGCAAAGCAAACATAGACCTTGAGATCCCAAAAGCAAATTCTCACGAGCATCGTAGGTCAAAGGCCGGATGTCGAGCACAATTACGGAAGTTCCACGCTCAGCCAGCTTCTGTACTGTTGCCGCGCCGATTCCATCAGACCCTCCTGTCACCAGCACGATTTCCTTTTTCCAATCGAAAGTATCCTGAACGCCATTGTTTAATGCTTGACAGCTGAGATACTTATTAACCCGGTAGGCTGTCCATAATAAACCCAAAGGAATGACTTTCCAAAGAAATGGCTGTCGAATGGCCTGGACAACGATATTTCCCAATTCTACAGCCATTTTGATTCAAGTGAGCGTAGTATGCACCTGCAGCCCTGGAGTAAGATTAGCAGTAGAGATGTATTATATGGGGAAAGTAAACACATGTGTGGCCCCGCACAAAACACTTACAAGTGCATACGGCGTATCAATGACCCCAAAACCGCTTGGTTTGCATAGATACGCAAGGGCCTTATAGTGGATCCGTCAGATATCACTATAATTAAATTAAGGGTCTAATTCTGACTTTCCGTGGCCGGATCCTATTATCTCCCCAAAGTCGGGCACTGGAGCCCCGCAGGAGTCGATTCGAAAGGATTGAGGGGCACCGGCATCGTCTCGTCAAGCGAGTCGTGTCTATTTATCCATAAAGCATAGACCGACGCGATGATTGGTCTCTATCGTGTAAATCTATTGTGGTTTAGGTCCCGGTGAAAACCTCTTCCCCCGTGGTCAGCTTTGAAGCGGGGTATATGAACTAAAACTATTGGGATTGCAAAGTACCGACCTGTGATTTACTATATTCCGTAAATTTTGCGAACCTAGATTTAGCTCCCTGATATGCCGTTTGTAGCCTCCTCGTCCTCTTGCCCCGACACAAAAAAGACCTGCCCTCCCACTTCTGACCCCTTTCACTCAACGCCTCTATCTTGCACTCATCCCTCCCCCGTTGTAATACCTCATGATGAAATATGTCTACGCGTCAGTCTTTTACTAGACAATGGACTTAATCTTGTCCTAATTCAAGAGCTCATCATATTTAAGTCTACTAAAATAGATATTCAATGACCAGAAGAAGATTCATATATTGAAAATTAATGTGAAGGGGTAGAATGAATACCATCTCCCACACGACAGTTCGCAAACAATAGATCTAAGACTTGCTAGCAAGGCTAGTTCTGCGTGCGATTCAGCAGTCGCACGGCAACAAGTCTCGTGGATCAATAAGGTATCTACGTATTGCACTGGTCCGGGGCGGTGTTCAATACTTGGCCGGATCATCAGGATGCGCCGAGTCCTTGGACCGCAGCGGGCTCATCAAAACCGAATACTCAAATTTTCGATCGACGAACTTCAGGAGCTCGGGATTGACATTGCTTGTATTGAGCCCCATTTTGTATTTTCCTCCGTCAGTAGGCGGAGGTCGAATGGGCCACCAATAGCATCTACCATACACAACATCAGTCTCCGTTGGGATGTAGCAGAAGATGCTTGACTTACACGCAACCGCAGTTATCGCAGAAGTTGAAAGACAGGTCTCGATCGCCCCAGACATACTGCTTGGTCACTGCGTTCGGCTTCGTTTCGATCTTTACTTCGTCAGGATGGTAATAGCCCCAAGCGGCGCCATAGCGTCTACAAATCGTGCATTGGCATACGTTGATGTACTCGGGGAGTCGGGGAACTGTGACTGTGATGGCGCCGCAGTGGCAGCTGGAGCTGATCGAGGTGTTTGTCGCCGCCATGTTGTCTCGTGTTGTTCAAGCTGGAGTATGTCAGACGGAGTCTGGCAGAGTGTGAACGTCGATTAGTTCTCATCAATTGAAGTCCAATATTTTCTGAACAGCAGATCGAGGGATAAGGAAGCACTGACATGAACACGTTTATATACGAATGCTTATCTATGCCATTTGCCTTGGCGCAAGGCAGCAACAAGCGGTCAACGGAGCATCTACCGCTACAAACTACGGGCGGAAACGCAGCCATTTCCAACTGACCTCAAAAGCTGTCATTTACGGCCTTGTTTTCACAGGGCTTATGTTCTAGCTTTAAGACTTGGAACCAAAGAAACGCCCGGTGGTCGGAGGTCTATCGACTTGCCCCGCATGTGCACAAAGATGGAGGCCTCTGGCTCGCAAACTTTTAGATGCTTGAAGGTCGAAATTGTAATATATCAACGAAAGGCAGCACTCAACACACTTGGAAATGGGTAGATATTGCTCTATTTTATCTGCTGGCTCTGGCGATATCAGGTATTAGTGAGGCGGACCAGATAATGTTCACTTTGTTGCTCAGGCGATGAATCTCTATTATGGCATGCTTTTGCGAAAGGAGGGAGCTTAAAAGAATATGATCACCAAAAGACGAAGTCAAAAATATTATGGAGGGTGTGGAAGCAGAGGAAAAAGACAAAAAAAAACAAAAAAGAATGGAATGCTTAGCATGTCCTGGTTTCGATCCAGGGTCCTATTGTGATGAGTTAGTAATCGTGATTTCCGAATTTGGAAATTTGAAGTGAGACGTACCTCCGGGTTATGAGCCCGGCGCTCTTCCCCTGAGCTAACATGCTTGGTATGAAAAAAGTCTGCCATTTTTGCGTTTATGAAGGAAGGCTGTTTTCTCTAATCTCTTTGATCCTGAGCCAACTTCCGTTTAAATCAGGTCTAAGCCTATCTTACTATATTAAACCATTCTAGCTAGCTCGAGCCTTAGCATAATATAATAGGCAACTTATCAGTAAGAGTGGTAAACTAAAAACTAGTAATACATCCATACATAAAATTTCCTACATTGTCTATGGTTTTCAACTGACTCATAAAGCCGTACCCTATGCAGGTGGGTCCGCTAAACGCATAGGGTACACCACACAAGAGAATATATTGCCTAAATCTAGAAATCCTTCAACCATCCCAGCATGTTAGCTCAGGGGAAGAGCGCCGGGCTCATAACCCGGAGGTACGTCTCACTTCAAATTTCCACATTAGGAAATTCAATACTAACCCACCACAATAGGACCCTGGATCGAAACCAGGACATGCTAAGCATTCCAATCTTTTTTGTTTTGTTCCATATATCACATTCTATATGTGTTTGCTGGCTGTTTTTTCTCCTTCTTTGTTGTCTTGCAGGCATTCACACTGGTTCCTGCCTTCATGTCTTCTTTTTTCCTGTCATACCAAATTATTTGTTACCATGCATGTAGCTAAATTTGCAGTAAGGTCAAGGTCTGTAAGGTTCTCGTGGAATTTCCCGCAGTCAAGACGGGATAGTTCCGATGCCCAACTGGATTTCTGCTTTGGTGTATAGATTGATCACTATATGACGTCGGCACAGGTATAGATCTATGCGTGCAACAACTATTGACAAAGCCCTAAGAGGCATTGGCACAATATGTTTATTGGTGTCTCATGTACCATTCGGAAATAATGAATTGACAACGATCTAGAGGGATATTTGGCGAAAAGGAAGAGTGTGTCCATCTAAATGGGTTATTCAGACATAAAAACCGGCAAAGGATGAATACTCTAAAAGGTATCATCTTCCAGCTTTTCCATACGGCGGATGACACTTGGACTCTGGTCATCTTCGAAGTCGTCAGTAATGTCACCCGCCCCAGCGGTAGCCAGCAAATCCGTCACAATGCGCTTGGAGGCTTCCTTGGCTACGCGAGAAACATGTATTAGCATGGCGGAACACAAACTGTAAGGTGTATGGCCTCCTCTTACCAGGTGTCTGCATCAGTCGACTCTGAGGTATATGGAACTGCATCGTCTTAGGAGGACTAGGGCCGAAATCCTCATCCAAATCATCATCACTATCCCACAGCGCACGATTGCCACCAGACTTCTTTGCTGGTGTCAAAACACTGAAACCCGGCTTGGGGGTACCGCGCATGCGGTTGCTACTAGTGCGTCGCTTACGGTCCGTTCCAGGGGTCAAATCGACGCCTTTAATTGGCGAAGAAAATATCTCAGAGTGCATCTGAGGAGCTTCAGGCTCGGGGCTAGACATCGGTGAATCATTAAAGGCATATCTCGAGCCAGACGCAGCTTGATTTGGGGTAACCGCGAATTTGGAGCGGGTGCTAGCGCCTCCGCCTGGGTTATGGTATCCCTTTCCGAGAGGGGTAGCTTGAACACGGTAAGTTTTGTCAAGCATTTGGTGCAGCACCGGGTCTGAAGATTTCTGATGGCGGTCATCTCGCGATGCGGACTGGTATCTGGCTGACGCGGGCGGAATAAAGGGAGATGACATCGGAGTTTCGGATGAGGCTCCGTGTGGGAAGAATGGTTGCCGGCCTGGAGTCGATGGGAGTGTTGATGAGTCGGGCATGTTGAAAGGCGCCTCTGTCTCGTTGATCTGCCTCCGTAAGTCCTCATATGAGGAATGCTCGACAGAAGATACGGTCATGTCATCGCCAGTTTGTTGGGAGGGTGCGCGCGGAGTACTATGCGAGGAAATAGCGAGAGCTGTAAGATCCAGATCATCTCCATGGCCGTGAGGAATATTGTGGCGTTGTGATGCAGGGGTATCGTAGGAATGATCGTCTTCGTGGCTCGTGCTTTTAGTTATGTCGACGTCAAGTTCCTCTTCCGTTGCCGTGGGCTCCTGAATTGTCTCGTCTTCATTTGGTCGTTCTTCATATCCAGACAGTGAAACATTGGCGCTGGCTTCGAAGAATTGTTTCCAGAACTGGGTGGTGGTTAGCATACATACCAGAATTTCGTTCCTCTAAGATTGGGCTACCTTGGCACCGTCCCAGACATCGCGGGAATGCTCAGTGTACTGCTCTACCAGTGGCAGAATGCTCGTTGTGACTATGCGGTGTGCTTGGCTGAAGTTTTGATCGATCTCTGCGAGTTGGCGTGCACTTAGCATTAAGTCCCAATGGTTTGTTTACTATTGGACTTACCCTGGAGCGTCAAGGTGATAGACTGTTCTAATTTCTCAAGTTCCTCTGTGAGGGAGAGCGGGCGCTCGGGATGAGCTGACGGCCGAGACATTGTGTCGGCTTCTTGTATTCGGTTAGGGACGCCTTCCAACTGATTAGAAAGAAAACAATGAAGCTCCGCGTTGACTCCACGCGCGGGGAACTCTGCCCAAAGCGGTGTGTTTTGAGGGCTCTAGATAAGGGCTATCAGTAATCATGTGATGACATCAGCCATGCTCCAGGCATCATCCGGTTCCAAGTTTCCAAGCTTTTTCACTTGTGGTCGAAGCTCACAAAGGAAAACCAAATCTTTAGGGACAGGCTTTATTCATCATGCCTGCACCACTTGCTAAAGGTCAGTCACCCTATATCCTCCTTGGTTTACCCTTACCGGATCATCCGGGCGGTGTATGCTGGGCTTATCAGTTCCCCGCTATGGATATATCTGACGATCTATGTAGGTATAATGGTGACGGTCACCGTCCTGGTCGCTGCCGGCGTAGCTGTTTATCAGTCTCCTCAGTTCCAGGATTGGATGAATAATTCCCGACGCAAAATTGCAGTTGCCTTGCACAGCCTGGGCGATGAGATACAACCGCGCAATTCCGCTTCTCCAGACCGGGACGATATCTCTATGACCGAAGAAGCAGGAGAGGCCGCAGCAGGACGCAGACGCATTGCACGCGAAGAGATTATGCGGCGGGCCGCCGTTCTAGAGTCTCATCGAAACTCAAGAACTTTACAACAACCACTGGATAGCTTCGATACTTTAGTAGAACAAGACGGCAGTCTCCGCAAGCAGGAAAATAATCGCGATCAGCTGGATGACACCCCCGTTGCCAGTTCGACTGGTGTAGATACGGGTATAATTCAGAATCGTCGCCGTGCGAAGCTTGAGGACGTTGGTATGAACCCACTGCCGGGTGGTATCCCCTCCGAAACTACATCTCATCACCTGTCCGAATCCGAATTGCAATTCACGCCCACTTCCGAGCGACATGAGGATACACTCTTTGACCCATTCTCTGATTCTCCAGTGAGGGGACAGTCACCTGAGCCTGTCTCGGCCTCCTCGTCGAGTCGCACAGAGGAAGGCTCAGCTTACTATGCTCATCCTCACCCAGCGTTCAATACCAGTCAACAACCAGAATTAATTGCCGATTTAGACGATTTTAGCCATGGGAATCAGTTCCAGCATGAGGTTTCATCGGCGCCCTCCATAGCGGGAAGTTTCAGCGATTTACATGAGCTTGCCGATGGATCATCGGACGGTACATTGAGTGAGTGGGGTGCACCTTCGGTTGATGGCATTTCTACTCCTGCTAGCTGGTCTGAAGTCGGGAGCGTAATCAGCGACAATGATGCTGGCCATCAGCAGTTGCTGTGATTGAGCGCTGTCCCTTATCGTAATCTAACCCTTGAAGGGCAAAGGTAACTGGCGCATGTCAAATGGGATTCGAAGGCTGGTATTTTATTGCTTTGGAATGGGAAATAGGGGATCATGCTCTGGCTGCTGTTGATACACGCGACTTTTATTGCGGGACCGTGCACCTTTAACTGCTGTATGTTATAAATTTATAGCCAAGCCTGCGAAGGCTTACGTTCAAAGGGTCCACGGATTGGGCTACTCTACCCAAGGCGGACTGGAAGTAGGTACGCATTTTTCAAGAAAAATGTTTCTCTGAAATGATCATCATGCTGCATGATCGTGCTATATTTGCGGCCACGCATGACCTTTCCTTTCCTTCAATATAACTTTATGCTATTCAAGATTTTCATTCATATTCTTTTAATCTCGTGTACAAGGATTGCTCATTATTTCTCCAGCGGTTGTATCATGCTCAATTGAGAGCGATGTTATCGGACTTAAGAACTAATGTCCGAGATGCGATTGTAGCCGGAATGTCCATCATACACCAAAATCGGATTTAGGGTGTCTCGTTCACGACGAAATCCGGCTATAAAGAGAGCTGGGGTCCCCTTGTGTAGAAAACTAATCTCCACCTTACCTACAAGTGAACTCTGTGAAGTTGCAACATGACTTCCAGCCCCACAACCATCGTGCTGATCACCGGCGCAAACCAAGGCATTGGCTATGCAGTTGCCGAGCAACTTCTCAAACAAAATGGCTACTACATCCTCCTTGGCTCGCGGAATGCAGAGAACGGCGCAAAAGCTGCCGCGGAGCTGGACCCCTCAGGCCAATTGGTGGAACCAATCACTATAGATGTAACAGACGATGCATCCATCCAGCTAGCCGCAGATCACATCGCATCAAAGCACGGCCGAATAGATGTGCTGATCAACAACGCTGGTATCAACAATGAGCTATCTCTTCACTGGAAGCAACAAGAGAACAAAGAGGAGAACAAAAAGCGCAAACCAGATCTCCCAGCTTTGCGTCAAATCTACCGTGACGCATACGAAGTCAACCTCTTTGGTGCAGCAATCACAACCGAGGCCTTTATACCACTACTCGAGAAGGCAACTTCTAAGCCTGCGCGTATTGTCTTTGTATCATCGCATACCGGCTCCATTGGTCTCCGCGTGGATCAGTCTTCTAGCTTCTATGAGAAGATGAGCCGGCCCTCGTTCCCAATTTACCGTAGTAGCAAGACTGCAATGAACATGCTCACGCTACACTATGCGGCCCAATTCCAGGAGCAGGGATGGAAGGTTAATGCATCGTGTCCGAATTTGACAAAGTCGGCCTTCTCTCGGTTCAGTGATTTGGGAAGGTCTCCGGCAGAGTCTGCAGTCAATATTGTGCGGTTGGCAACATTGTCGGAGGATGGAGAGACTGGAAGGTACTCGGATGAGAATGGTGCGGTTGATTGGTAGATGCTTTATATACCGAGGTATATAAATCATGACTCGGTTGTAGTTAATATAGTGGTTAGATGTTCCAAGATCATCGAAGATTGTTGTGAAATTGTCGATTCTTATTCTGAACATATGAACCAAGTCCTGGAGACATATCGCAATGTGCTTTCTTTGCAGTTGAAAGGTCTACCGCTCGATCATATGGTTGCTGATTGTTAATCATGGCGGCGAAGCCTATAATCAATTTTCGGGGTAAAGTAGTAGATACCTGGACTTAATATGTGGTGTTCGAAGTGGGGGAAGTAGCTGTTACATCCGGATAGCGGGCCAAAAGTGCCTCGGCATTTTCGGGGAACGTCAACGTAAAGCGGAGTCGTCTACTTAACTTCGAACGTCCGCCCGCTCTTTTCGCTATTCCTTCATAGAGAATAATTTTTTTGGGTGAGTTTCAAGCTCTTTATTACTGCTTCGCGTATGCTATTCGTTCCTACCGCCTTTCAAGATTTACTCCTTCCCTTCCATCACCGAGTCGCCACATCCAAGCTTCCCCGCAACAACCCCGAAAGCCCCTGCAAGCCCCCCATCAGCAAATATCAAGGAGAAGAGGATAGCGCTATTACATTTAACTAATACATCGACATTAGACTTTTATTTCCTACATCACATCATGGCCGCAGATCGTCTTAGCTCGCTTCTGAGCCACCTCAAGCCCGGCTCCAGCGGCGGCATCAACGCGATGTAAGCTTAGCAACTTACTATGAACAAAAAATTTGGTACTAATAATCGTGAAGTACCCAGAAGAATCCGGATGATGTGGTGATTACCGCATGCTTGCGTACCCCGCTGGCTAAGGCCCGCAAGGGCGGCTTTAAGGATACCGAGCTGGACTACATTGTGTATGCGCTGCTGAAGGAGACACTGGCCAAGTCCAAGATCGACCCTGCACTGATCGAGGATGTCTGTCTGGGCAATGTACGTGCACGAAATATCTACCAACCTGGCTCCCTAAGAGGCTCGCAAATTCTAACATGATCAACAGGTTGGCGAATCCAAAGCCGCTTACATGGTCCGCGCTGCCGCCCTGGCCGCTGGAATCCCCCACACATCTGGCGCCTCCAGCGTTAACCGCTTCTGCGCCTCAGGTCTGAAGGCTGTGCAAGACATCGCCAATCAGATTCAGCTCGGCGCTATCGATGTCGGTATCGCCATGGGCGCGGAGCTGATGTCCGCTGCTGGTGACCGACTCGAGCGACCCTTCAATGAGGAGGTGCTGCGCAACCAGGAGTCCGCGGACTGCATGCAGCCTATGGGTCAGACCTCCGAGAATGTCGGTAAGGACTTTGGTATCTCGCGTGAGCAACAGGATCGCTTCGCTGCGGAATCGTTCCAGCGTGCGGAGGCGGCGCAGAAGGCTGGCTTGTTTGATGATGAGATTGCACCTATCTCGGTTAAGGTTAAGGATCCCAAGACTGGAGAGGTTAAGCAGATTACCTTGACAATGGATGAGGGTATTCGACCTGGTACTACCTTTGAGTCTTTGTCGAAGATTCGACCTGCGTTCCCGCAGTTCGGTGACAAGTCGACTGGTGGAAACTCGAGTCAGGTTACTGATGGCGGTATGTATACATATTGTGTTCGTACCTGGGAATGGCTCACATACTGACATTGTACTTTTTGTAGCTGCTTCCGTTTTGTTGATGCGCCGTTCTAAGGCTATCGAGCTCAACCAGCCTATTCTTGCTAAGTTCTGCGGTGCCACTGTCGCTGGTGTGCCTCCTCGTGTGATGGGTATTGGACCCACTGCTGCCATCCCTAAGCTGTTGAGCAAATTCCAGCTGGACAAGAATGATATCGACATCTATGAGATCAACGAGGCTTTTGCCTCAATGGCTGTCTACTGTTTGGAGAACCTTGGCCTCGACCATGCCAAGGTGAACCCCCGTGGTGGTGCTATTGCTCTTGGACACCCACTGGGCGCCACTGGTGCGCGACAAATCGCCACTATCCTGAGTGAGGCGCGCCGGACCAAGAAGAAGATCTTGGTCACAAGCATGTGTATCGGTACTGGCCAGGGTATGGCTGGTCTGTTCGTTAATGAGCAAGTGTAAATATCATATGTAAACGGTCTATATAGTGGTTTATTGAAATGATGGAATCTGTTGATCTTCATACTCATTCTTTTTGATTGTTGGAATGGTTTGCAACCTCCACTCAACATCGAGTGGAAGGCACAACATCTCCAAATAAGGCGCGATCTTCGAGTATAGCCCTTTCTCTTCTTCAAACTCTAATCCTCCTCTTCTATTATTCTTTCTTGCCCTCATTCTCTCCCATCTACAAGTGTCTCCAGGTATCAATTCAGACTACAAGACAAAGCACTGAATGAAGACACAGAAACTGGCCATCGGGGTATCAATTCATATATTATCAAATGAGACATGCAACCATATAAACTCATGAATACAAATGCAAAGTTCACCGGGAATCATCCGGTTTCTCTTTCTTGCCCTCCTCCTTCATTCTCTCCTCAGCAGCTCGAGCAATAATCTCCCTCCTAGACTCAGCCCCAGACCCGGTAGATCCAGAAGCCGAACTCTCATTTTTCAAACCCCCGAGCACAAACTCACCCCCAGTCCATCCACACTCATCAACAAAACCCTCCCCATTCTGTGCATTCTCCCAATCTCCAGGATTATAAAACTCATCCTGCGTCAATCGATTGCCACCCGACTTCCAATCCGCTCTTTCAACTTCCTTCTCAATTTGCGATGTCAAATCCCAGAAATCTCGATCATGCGGCCCGAACACACAGTGCGCCAGCTCATGACATAGTGTTTTGCGAATGGTTCTGTAATCACGGTATCCGTCATATGCATCTGTGCGCAGACGTAGCTCGATCACCTCGCCTTTATTCCTGTTAAGGCCTAGGGTGCGCGATTCGCTGGTCGTGTGCTCTGCGGGGTTCATTTCTGTGAGAAGAGGCACCGAGAATTTGTGTTTTGTCATTGCGGCTCGGATGCCGGGGTCATCGCGGAGTCGTTCTAGGAACTGGAGAGAACGCTCGGGATTTGGGAGGTAGGAGAGTGGGAGACAACGGGCGAACGTGTAGTTATTGCTTGAAGAGGAGAGGGTGTGGACACCACCGGCGCTGCGGGATGCGTTCGCTTTATTTGTTCGGCGGGCAGCTGCGAGGGCGGAGAGGCGAGCTTCTTCACGTTTTTTGGTGTCTGAGGATTGCTTGTGGAGGTCGGCGATGTCTTTGGCTGGGGTGCCGAGGAGAGTGATTTTGAATTTGGGAGAGGAGAGAGGAAGCTCGCTGAGTGGCGTTGGTGGATAGGGAGCTTTTTTCATTCCTGGTTTCGGGGATATGAGAAGCTTTTGGTTTGAGATCGGGATGTTGAGTGTTGCTTCGATTTCGGAGCCTAGGTCTTGTAGTGTTGCGGTAGATGGGAGGTTGAAGCTATGCGCGGTTCCTTGGTGGTACACCGTCAGCTCAAAAGATGGCGTGGGGTCCATGGTGAGCTGTCTTTGAGTTCTGAAAACAATGAAAAAAAAGCGACAACTTCCCGCGCGACAGAATGTAAAAGATATATTTACGTCTGGTTTGTTAGATACTGGGGCGAATTCGACGGCCTTCCACACTGATGTTTGTCAGCGCGGGGATAAGTGAAAGTTACGGAGATAACATCATCCACTGAACAGATTTGGAAAAGTCTCTTGCTCCTTTATGATAGCACAACCGGCACCGTTTCATCATACCAAGCATGTTAGCTCAGGGGAAGAGCGCCGGGCTCATAACCCGGAGGTACGTCTCACTTCGAATTTCTACATCGGGAAATCAAGATTACTAACTCACTACAATAGGACCCTGGATCGAAACCAGGACATGCTAAAGCATTCCCATCTTTTCTTTTTTTCTTTTTTTTTTGGCTTTCATTCTTTTTGTTCACGTATTTATTTTTGAAATTTTCAGGCTCCCAAGTTCCTAATGCTTTACTATAGGCTTCTCTAGTGCGCCTGTGGTCCTATTAAAACCCCTAGGGCGGTCTCGGCAACAGATACTCACGATCTTTCAAGGTTGTGGTCTGGGCTTATATATTTCGTGACGATACCCGCTTTCCAGTCTTGGAACTCGCTTACCCTCCATATTTTAATGAGAAACCTTTGAACGTCAAATTGTCACTCTATCTAATCATATTGGAAGGCTGACCATTCTACTGTCATTCCCAGTCATCATTCAAGATGTAATCGCAGTATTCTGAAAGCTGTAGTCATGTGCATGTCTCAAGGGCTATAGCCTCTTAATGGGAACGGCGATTGCCCAAAAGTGACCACGTATCTAGGTAGCATGTCTTTCAAAAACAAGCGCTTTCAATATTCCAATCGAATCAAATAGCAAGTCAAGGCTCCAGTGCTACATTTGTCCGCGGATATCTGTATCCGCAAGTATCTTGCAAAGAAAACGATTATCTGCTCGATGCCTCCCTAACAGTTTGACCGACATTCTGTAGCTTGTCAATAAATAAAGTATCCAGCAAGTATTCGACCAGGGATAAGGGTTAAGAAATGGTGGCTAGCTAAAAATATGACCGTTTTAAGAATTTCTTCTATTCGAAGGTTCCCTTCCTAAGTAGGATGGTCTATGACGGCTTAAATCTGAACTAATGGTAGAAAAACTGTTTGAAAATTAGCTAATTACTTACCCATTTTGACATATACCAACCAGTACAAGGACTAAACTTGTGTGTAAGCAACGAAATAGTTGACAAAACTATTTGACATTGTTGCTTTGATCGGGATTTCGATGTCGACAAAACTAATCATTTATACTTGACACTAAGCACGACTACATTACTGAATCACTCAAATCGATAACGAGAAGCAACATTTTTACGAGGAGAGTAGTAAGGCAAAGGCGAAAAGTTAATATTAACCCATTTGCACAGCCAATCAAAAAACTCACGCTCTGCGGACAAATTGATTTTCAAAACGCAGGGCTATGTAGGCAAACAGGGAGCATGATTTCATACCAAGCATGTTAGCTCAGGGGAAGAGCGCCGGGCTCATAACCCGGAGGTACGTCTCACTTCAAATTTCCAAATTCGGAAATCACGATTACTAACTCATCACAATAGGACCCTGGATCGAAACCAGGACATGCTAAGCATTCCATTCTTTTTTTTTATCTTCTTTCCCTTCATTTTCTTTTTTTTTTTTCATTGCTATCTTTTGTTGGGACACTAATGTGTTACTCTGAAATTTGGCTATCATTTCTTTCCATCGCAAAAATTGGAAATGGCGACTGCATGATTTCACCATCTGTTGTTTTACGCTTACAGACCACCTGGAGAATTTCTAAACAAACATTACACCGTAGCCTTGTGTGTGTGGAGCAGTCTGCTAATCCCAATTTCTACATAAAATAATGTAGGACTAAAATGTCAAGGTTATCTTCCACCCCTTTGAAGTATCTTTATTTTTGAAAGATATCGAACGTTGTAGCTTCCAGGCGCTTGAACTATTGATTGTGTATCTTATGGAATCATTATTCAAGTTCTCCCCCAAAGTATTTTGCAGTAGTGTCAATTGTAGTTCACATGTTAGTCTCTTTTGAATACTTCAGACCCATCAACGAAACATACGGTTAGCAATTTGTCTACTTGACTGACAACGCTTTCCACCCAGGTGTGTCTGTGTGCTATTGGGTCTCCATTTCTCCGTCCCTTTTTTTTTTTTTGAAAGTTCAATCAACCATTCATTATCTTCCTTGCTTCTGTCGCTCTTTCTCTGTTACCTGACTACTGCCTACCCTCAAGTACAACCACTGTGTCGGTTTCGATTACCATCCTCTTATTGGCTTCTGAATCCGATATTCCCCCCTTTCACGATGAGCGCGCCTCCAGATGGTTGTACTTGCTTGACAGAAGGATATGACGAGTGCGTATGCCGCTTTTGCTGGATATGTGGATCTCTGGGCCACACGGAAAGTCAATGTGACGAGAGACCACGAGAATATCCTGGAGAGTGCCACTATCAGGACGAAAACTGTCTAAACAAGCCGCCAGAACAAGTCCAAGTGATCTCAAATAATGTCCACAAGGTCAAAACCCCGTTTTCTTTCGCGGGATAGTTTTAATTTTGATAGATGCTACCGATGTCAGAAAAGTGCGAAGACAAAATACCACCGAAAAATACACATGCGAGGGAAGGCTGGAAGGTACATACTGGTATTGCAACTGAACTCCAGAACTTGGGGCCCATAAACCGTGACGCACTTCTTGCTTGTCTTATCTCGGAAGTGCAAGTCAAAATGAAAGGCAGATATTCGTTCGTGCTCGAAAAATATGACATTGTCAATATCCTGGAAGAAGGCCTCAATCCAACCGTGAGGAATATTTGTGAAAATGGCAATTTCGACCTCGCAAAGTACGTATGGCCCACTAAACGAGTAGTTTATTGAAGGCTTCACTAATTTGGACCCCTAGCTTGATCAGAATTGGGCAAAATCCAGAGACGTCTAAGGATGCCGGTATTCATCTCCACATCATGTGGAGAAAGTCTGATCCAAGTAGCTTTTGGCTTTATATTGGCCAAGCAACAGAATTTTGCGTCAGAATTCAAACACACAATGATCCATGGCGCCGCCACAAGAACCCATCTCTTCATTATCACGTATGGGATTCACAGTTGGACATACAATCTGAATTTGTCAGGCTGGCGACCTACAGGCCGCCAAGTTGCTCGCAAGATCAGTTGATACTAAATTTAGGCGAAATGTGGATGTGCCTGGTTTTTCAAACATTGACTTCATTCCATTTGGATCAATTCCTACCCAAAGACGTCAAATCACTCTGGGCAGGACATCATCTGAACGTGGCTCTCCCACTTTGGCAAGGCTTCACAGATACAGAGGGAAACAAAAATATCAAAGAGGCAACCGGAGGCCGAGTTAACTTTCAGCATCACCTCAAATCTGAAGATCCTTTTGTCCGAGCGTGGGCAGAAAATGCCAGAGATGCGTTCAACGACATACGCAACTCACCAAATCCAGCCCTACGAAAATATTATCGAGATATTTTAGAAAAGCGGCTTGCCAAAGCCCGTAGGACTTGGGCTGCTAAGAAGGCCAAGAGAGCTCTGCAGGCTCTTTCGGGAACCAGAGAAAAGATCACAGTATCACACGGTGGTGGACATGTCGAAGTCAAGAGTGGTATGTTCAAGTTTACAGTGTCAAAGCGCCTTGGACTGGACCTTCGGCATAATGATACAGTTATCATCCAATATCACCTGACAGCTACGCAGCACCCGAAGCCTTATGCAATTAGGGCTTTGCCAACGGACCCCGCAAGTCGTCTTGGGGTTTCTATCTGCGGTCAAGATAGTATGGGAGCCTTTCATTGTTGGCTGGAAACAAATGGAAGTTGCAATGTTCTGAAAATGAACTCACTGGTGGATGTTCTCGAAGGATTTTCTTTGGAACAAAGTAAGAATTTCAAAAGGCGGTGGTTCACAAAAAAAGCTGAGAATCTTCAGGGACAAAAGAAGCAGAAGGATCATGTGTACACTTAGTATTGCTTTTCTCAAACACTAGCGCAGTTCCGTTTATCTTAACCATGCCCCGAGGCCTAGGTGATTGGACAGATGGCGACAATACTCGTTTTTCAAATTGAACAAACTTCTAACTCAACCCCCTTTGATTGTTCATCTGTACCTGATAGTGTATATATACAGGATAAATTCTTGGAATATCATATATCAGTCCATGACAAAGCCGCGCCCTGGAACCATATGTTAAAGGAATAATCGAAGTTTCAAACGCTGATTCGAGATCCAGCTCCTCAGCGATGCCTCTGACTGTGTAGTACAATCGCTGCGCTCGGTGTCACTCGACCGTCGTCGCATCGACTCGACAAACTTAGGCCACGTGTTTGTCAAAACCAGATATTTGATCTCCTCTTGTAGGTTGTTGAAAATGGCCATATCAAATCCAACGGGTATATCTCCCGTATACCTATCGTCGTATGACATCTGGACACCTTCAAAATCTTGCGGGTGTGCAAAAGGGTCGGCTTCGAAAGGTGAGGTAGTATTGATACTTTTCTCTCCAAACAGACTGCGAGCTGGCTGCTCAAAAACAGACTGCATTAGCTTGAGAGTTTGCGAAGATATGTTCAGAGGAAACTCGGCATCTTGCGTGCTGATAAAGTTGACATAGATCCGTAGTGCCTGATTGAATGCATCGGGAAGCTGCTTTTCATCCAGGCTTCCGGGCCAATATGATTTCCATAATGCCACTTCGCTTAGGAACGCGATATTCTCTCCCGAGAAATCACTTAATGCGGCAAATTTCTGTAGTTGCCCTGGACTTTGGTTTAGGACATGCTCGAGGGCATCCATTGTGTAGATTCGGTCGACCATGCATTCGTTAAAGGACTCGACCGGCTCACCCTTATCACCAAGTGTGGATGAAGATCTATTATTCCACCCCACTGAGGGTGAGGGGGATTTGTTCAGCATTGTCATTGATATCGATGCTGAATTATACTTGTTTTTCGAGGCGGTGGCTTTCTTGCTCAATGTCCATAGCCTGATAACGTGGAAGATGGGGACAAACACAGTGAATATCTCCCACATCATGATCGATACGTGAATCCTATGTCTCATTAGTTGATTGGTCGAATCAATTATGCTCGATAAACTTACCATTGACTCGGGGGGAAATACGTGTTGACCTTCGCAAAGGCAGGCACGTATGACGCAATCAAGTACATAGGGGTGGCATGGAGACTAGTTCATGTCAATAAGCAAACACCACTAAACGAAGACATCATAACATACCCAGAAAGGCAGCAGGCAATAGTTTGAGTTCGCCATCCCAATGTATCATGGATTCCCCATGCCCGCCAAATGAGAATTGGAGCCGCCTACAGAATGAGACACATTAGCGGGGACCTCTATGAATGCACTGGAGTACTCACAATCCATGTCCAGATTACTTGCCACAACAAGGATGGCCACCATTCCCATCCTCGACCCAGATACACCATCTGCTCTTGGACTGTCGTGCCGTGAATCTCTGTACCTGAAATACCGTAGGTTGGATGATACTTTTTGCATGCAAGCCACATCCCGACGGTGATGATAAACTGGAAGATTTATAATCAGCTACTATAGTAGATAGACTGGAAATCATAGAGAGTGGAAAGGCATACCTGCAACAACATGCCGATACCAATGAGCCACAGAGTCCGTTTCATATAATCCATGGTTCTCAGACGGCAGAGGCATGATGACTTTGCATCGTTGCACTTTCTCTCAGCCCGTATCTCGGGGTGGAGGAATTGCTTCTGCATCTTGGCGACATGAAGAAAGCGGATGTTGGAAGCTTGGAATAGGGCGATACCAAGTGGGAAGTAAATGCCCATGGCGAAGTACTGGATGTCATAGGCGAGAACAGTAGGGACAGTTGCACCAATTGGGTATGTGATCTGGCCCAGGATCCAATAGATATGGAGAAGGGCGATAGCAGAGAATGATAGAGGTAGGCCACGGACTTTGAGGATGGGGATGTGTCGGTTGACCAAGCAGAAGGTCATACCGGCGAGTAAAAGCGTGGTCCAGATGACGCAGAAAGAGATGTAAAAGACACCTACCCCATCCAAATTAGGAGGGGAGGTTGGCATGTCGTAGACCGTGATATCGGCCATGGCTGCCATGTTGGAAGCGATTGTGGTTGGAGAGTTGATACAGCAGTGAAGGAAGGCATCAGGGGGGCAGAAAGAGAGGGTATAAGACAGAGACAACAGATACCGCCAAGTCATGGCAGCAATGACTACATATGGAAATTCAATTGATCGGATCGATCGAAGTGCCAAGGGAAACGCCACCTCGGGCCAAAATAGTTTCCTGAAAACCGGGAATGAGGAAGGCATATGAGAGGGTAGATGGTAGAGGAACCATACTTTGCATGCTCCACTCCCTTGTCATGATCATGTCCCCGCTCTTGGACTCTGGAACAAGTAGGAAGTACTCCACGTTGGAAATGGCCTGGATTAGAATCTACCTTTCTTGAGATAGATCCTTCATTGAACTTGAAATTCAGAGGAATTCGGTGATTCGCACATAGTCACTTGCAAGAAGAGAAAATAGCAGAGAAAATCAAATGGTAGACTCGCATTTCAATTTTCAGATCAGAGTTTAGACTCAATGACCATGGCTTCCCCGCCGTTGAACCCTGGATCGAATCGGTCTGGGGCTGGACTCAAGTCTTAGAAATTCAAATCAGCCACTGAGAATAGAATTCACAATAGAGTATGGACCTCCCTAAAGCGGATTCATGCTTTCCACATACACGTGCAGGCCACGATAACCCCAACACCCAAAGCAGGACCCAAGGCCTTCCAGAGCCCAGCCTTTAACGTCATGACATGCAGCTCTCGGATTTGCTGACTGAAAACCGTTGAAGCATTTAAACGTGGAAACGGCTTATCCGGCACCTCCTTCCCCAAGAAAGCACAAAGCGGACCCCAATCCAAATCCTCCAGCTCAATCTCCAACAAACACTCCGAAGGCACCCTACATCGCACATAGTCATAATGCCGCTGATAAGCCGCCCACATGATCGCTCGATCCCGAGTCTTATCCATCCTACAAACCCCTAACAATCCCATATACATCTTCCACGCCGTCCGACTAATCTGCAACCCAATAAACGGCTCCATAACATTCCCACTCAACCAAGCCAGAACCCCCTCTGAAGTAGGTAAGATGAGCGTTTCCTGAAAACTTTTCACCCAGGAATCGAAGTCGCGGTGGACGAGGATTACTCGTGCTTCGGGGAATGCGTTCAGTAATGATTCGGCGAAGGGTGTTACGTCTGTAAGGGCTTCACTGGGGCCCAAGTACTGGTTCCAGTCGTCTCGGGACCAGGTTCGCCCTGTGTATGTTGGGAGGCAGGGAATGTTGTCGTCGGCTGCTTGATTCATACCGACCCATTTTAGATGGTCGTTGATTATACCGGAGGAGTGAAAGACGTCGCGGTAGCCCAGGATCGTGAGGGCTTCTTTTAGTGAGTGGGAGCCTGTTCGGTAGAAGCCGAGGGATATCACTTGTTTGGGGCGGGTTGGTCCCTCTACGTAGGGCTTGAATGTCATTGTTGTTTTTGGCAGGCTCCTACAGCGTGATTATAGAGAATTGTTCTCGAATTTATGTGCAAGCGGGGTTGCCTTATGTTATATGCAGGGATTTGGGGCTTTATGTTCAAGGGTGTGATGACCTGTGATATCTTGATGGCCTAGATCTAGCCGAATGGGATACTGTGCAATGCTGAGATTAATTTTGGAATTAATCCTGGAGTTCTTCTTCCATTTATAAACCCGAACGGAATATCGGTTGTATGGCCAGTTGCGAACTCGTAGATAAATGGTTGCACCGGCGAATAGTATACATGCGTGGTGACTGGTGACCACTACCCCGAGTCACCCTGGGTACGGATATAGGGGCCAAGTGTAGGAAGGTACGAAATATAGTGGGGTGCTAGTCTTGGAGCTAAATCTAGTTCAACAATAGTAACAATACTTTCAGAGAAATCTCCACAGAGAGTCCAATGAAGGATTCGCTAAAAGGGCCGAAAAGTAGTATCTCGGGCTCAATCAACTCCTCGGTCCCGAGCCTCATCACTTCGGTCCCGAAGACATGAACCATCAATCTATAAGAACCACAAACAGTACCTCTGGGAACTCTCAACACATATAAACCCAGAAAATTATAACCATTTCGAAAACTCAAGCTTTAGCCCATAAAGTTCGACAGTCCACCATGACGCTTCCAGTCCTAATCATTGGCGCCGGCCTAGGCGGCATCTGCCTTGCCCAAGCCTTGAGAAAAAACAACATCCCCTTCAAACTCTTCGAACAAGACGAGCATCACAATCTTCGCACACAAGGCTACCGTCTCAGAATAACCGAACATGGCGCAAATGCGCTAAGAGACAGTCTAACACCCGATCTCTTTACTTTGTTCCAAGAAAGCTGCGCTACCACAGCCGGGTTCGGCGTGCACGTGAAACCAGATGGGACATCCATTCCCTTCGGTCCTAACAGTCCACCAGGACCCCCACCCGGAATGACCTCAGATGAGGCATACACAGTGGATCGAAGTACCTTCCGTGAAGCACTACTCACCGGAATAGAAGAACATACTTTCTTCGGGAAGAGTTTTGAGTACTACGAGCTTACGGACAACGGCATCACGGCCTATTTCGGTGACGGCTCAGTAGTGAAAGGATCCCTCCTCGTCGGCGCCGATGGAGTAAACTCTCGAGTTCGGAAGCAGTATCTGCCGAAGTATCCTGCCATCGATACAGGGATGCGAATCGTTTTTGGCAAAACGCCTATCACATCTGAGTTCTTGGATTCCGTACCTGAGAGTTATCAGGTTGGTTTGAGTCTTGCTTCGGATCCAGGAGATAAGTCACAACCGGCGCTTTTGTGGGAGGCTATCCGGTTCCCGTGTACGGTTGAGAAAATTAAGCTGCCTAGTCCGTATATGTACTGGGTCCTTGTTTTTCATCGCTCGCGTCTCCCGTTCTCGGATGAGAAAGGGTGGCGTCTTAAGTCTGATGAAGCGGCTGATTTAGCTCGTGAGCTGACCAAATCTTGGATACCTTCTGTGCGGAGCGTGGTTGATATGCAGGATGAGAACCAGTCGTCTATGCGGTCGCTTTTGTCCGCAGAGATAGAGATTGGGCCTTGGGTATCTTCGGCGCGGGTGACGCTTCTTGGGGATGCTATTCATGTTATGCCTCCGACGGGAGCTATGGGAGCGAATACTGCTTTGCGGGATGCGGCTGATTTGGCGAGACGAATTGCTGATGCTGGTGGAGCTGAGAAGGTGGATGAGGGGGTCATTGGGGAGTATGAGGATGGGTTGCGGGCGTTTGCTAAGATGGCGATTGATAAGAGTTGGAAGGGTGGGATGAAGAGCTTTGGGCTTAGACCTGTTGAGGAATGCGAGAAAATTGTCCTGTAGTATTATGTTTATATACAAGAGTTGTGACATAATGAACACTCCTTTTATGAACTCCTGGTTTTCGCTAAAAACATGATGTTAAAGAATTTTGAACAAGAAACATATAGACAGGGATAATTAGGGTATATGTGCAATGTAATCATTGTAAGCATCTTCATAATCATCGTGATGAAGATTGGTGCTTTGGCCATGGCCTGGCATGGGATTGTCATACGACGGTATTGTCGGATCATGCTCTGATATGGATTGAGGATGTCCCGACATGGGATTATCATATGAAGGTATCGTCGGATCATGCTCTGATGTGGATTGAGGATGTCCCGGCATGGGATTATCATATGAAGGTATTGTCGGATCGTGCTCTGATACAGATTGAACGTGGCCCGGCATGGGGTTGTCATAAGACGGTATTGTCGGATCGTGCTCTAATATGGATTGGTCATGTCCTGGCATAGGGTTATCGTACGACGGTATTGCCGGATCATGCTCTGATATAGACTGAGGATGTCCCGGCATAGGATTATCATATGAAGGTATTGTCGGATCAAGCCCCGGTACTGGTTGACTATGCCCGGGCATTGATTGCATCTGTCCGAGTAATGGCTGTAGCGGCGGTGACCACGGGGGTGGTTTATCTCCATAGACCCCGTGCAGGTCAGTATCGGGGTCAGCTTGCCCGGATCCATTGGATCCATTGGATACAACAGTGGCCTGCTCAAATGCACCGACGGCGTGGCCTGGGTGATCTGGAGTGCCCGGAACCTCCGGTGTGTCGGGAGGTGGTCCAGCCACCTCCGTAGCATTATTCGAAGTAGCCAACTCTGTTGCTTCGTCGTCTTCTGATGGGTCAATGTTCTTCTTCTTTCGCATGCAACGGGCGACTAAAAGCCCAATGAGGCAAACGGCTAGTGCACCAGCAACACCGCAGCCAATACCAATGCCTATCTTTGCACCCTGTGATAGACCACCTCCGTGTGGGATAACGTGCCACCAGCCGGACCAGGAATCCTCCCAAGCACCCGAGCCAGGCACGACTGTGGTGTCAGTGACCTGGATTGTTGTTATAGTCTCGCCCTGCAGATTCGGGCCTGGAGCTTGAGCGAAAAACCAGTAGCCTCCTCCAGTTCCATTCATCCAGTTCGTGCCTAGGAAGGCTGCTTGTAGAAAAGCTCTGCCGAGTACATATTCATCCGATGGGTGACAAGGGAAGTAGGTCGTGTTTTGCTCAACAAGTGGTGCTTGTAGTGTAAGCTTGAGAATATTGAATGGCACTTTGATGGTGATATTTGGCGTAGATGCATCTGCACCTGCGTTGTTCTCAAATGTGAAAGAAAGGTATGCTGGAGAATTGGTGACGTGCTCGAATTGGTGGACGGAGGTGTTCCAGAAGTAAAGGCCAAGTCCTTCATTATAACTGACAGGAAGCTGCTCCGCAATGGCATCACAGGTATCCTTAGGAAGATAGAGATATGGTCTGGTGGGGTCAATTTGCACAGAGGCCGAACTATCCCCTGAACTATTATCTCTCCGGAAAAGACCATTCATGCTGTTAAACTTCCACGGCGACTTCCCCATAGCGACACCGAGTCCGATATCGAACAGGTTGATATCTAGGGTGCCGAGACCATTTGTGGAATTCACCGGCTGGCTGCTGACGTTGCCAATAGCCCTAGCCTGGTCATAACCCCCCATTACCAGCGATCCAGCAATACTTGGCGCCACTGAGCCGATATGCATACCCCACGAATATGAAGGAATCTGGCCGTTCTCCCAAAGATAAGACTCAACCAGACGGTAGGTCCCGTTGTCCACCGTCTGATTGAGCGCAGGCGCACCAAGTGCCAACGTGCCCACTTCCACCGGATATTTCTTGCCATTCGGATAAGTCTGATAGGCTTCGTAGATACCACTGACGCTGACATTGGATATCGACGCCCCAGCGATGTTAAATATCTCCCCAAGCTGGCCCTTCTTGACGTACGCATCGCCGCTGAATTTGTTCACAAAGACATTCTCCGTACCGGAGACCCACGTCATATCGCTCGCATCGTTGGAATTGCTGGATGGAATAAAAGCGGTGCGAGACGCCCCGACATTGTAGGTCCCAGCACTTTCGGCGAGGCAGGAGGATCCGGTGAGATTGGGCGTCGAGCATACGGTATCGAGGAGGATGGTGCTCGCCCAGCGATCACCAGGATAAAGCGCAACGGACTGCTTATTGTTACCGAAGCCCAGTTGGACGAGCACCGCGTTCCACGGACCATCGGGTCCATAACTTGTGCTGGACCATGACGCTGAGTACGGGGCCACAGCATTCGCGAGGGTCAACAGCCCGCATATTAACGCGAAAGAAAGACCTCGTGCCATGGTTTCCCGGTCGGTCAGATTTGGCCGGTAACCGTAGTGGGGGGAAAGAGTGTAGAATGGAAATCCTCCCAAGCGCCAAACGACCTTGGAAGACTTATTGAGACGATAGCCGATCGCCAATAATATCGAATCTAGGCATCGCTTTTTGCAGATTTGGTTGTCTCCACCACTGGGTTGCCAAGGATGAACAGGGGTAAACGTTAGTGCACTGTTAGCGTCATAGACACCATTTCCTTCTTGGCCTGGAACCCGTTCCTTCCCTTATTTCAATATCCTGGTGATCAATAATTACCCTGCAACCCCACTTCGCTTTGTTAGACAATTATGGGGTCAATTGTAGAATCATCGTATCCTCAATTGCAGGCGTACTATTTTTGGCCACCAGTAGCGTCGTCTGAGATTTATTTATAGGGAGAATCAGACCATTTAAGCGATTGGTGGAGTCTAGATCACCGACTTACGAAGTACACGAAAGTTCAAGAACGTATGGATGAAAGCATTCATTAGAGAAGAGAGATAGCGAGTATCATACACCACATTAAGCAGATTTTTGAAACCCTGCACAGAACGCCGATGAAAAGAGATGCAAACATATGTACGAGGTCAACAACCTTCAAATAGTCCAACCTCAAAGAAAACCTGCTCCTTGGAACCTTGGAATCTATCACATCCGCCCTGTCGGAAATATAATGCGCGCCAATTGCGCATGAAGATCGGGTTCAATTAAGCCTTCTTCTCACCCTTTCCCTCATCCTTCTCACCCTCATCCTTCTCCTCGTCTTTAGACTCAGTCTTGGTCTCCTTAGACTCGGATTCCTCCTTAGGCTTCTCAGCCTTAGCATTCTGATGATTCTTCCTCTTCTCGGCAGCTTCGTGCTCACTCTTCACACTAAGAGTCTGATGCTTAGACTTCAACCGCTGCTCTTCAGCAGCAACCATCTCCTTCCAGAGATCACCCTCATCCTTGGAATCATGGTGCGCAGGAACCGACTCCGCGGCCTCAGCCTGCTGAGTCCCCTTATCGCCCCTCTTAGAATCAAGCATACCGCGGCCGCGACGCTGATCGGAGATCTCGAACGCAGCAGATGCGCACAGAACACCCAATGTCAGGCCCTGAGCATAGACACGAGCTTGCACGAGCTTCTGCTGGCCCGATAGGAAGGGGTTGCGGCTGACAAGCACGAATGAACCAACCATGGACGCGACCCAGGTGGCACCGACGATCTTGTATTTCTCGCGGCGGGCGAAGGCGACAACGCGGTCGGTTATGCTGAGGCCCTTGGATTCCTCCATACGAAGGCGCTGCTCACGGTTCTCGTACCACATTCGTTCGGCATTGTGTTGCTTTTCGAATTCGCGGGATCCGTGGTCTGCCGCGATGATGCCCACAAAGGTCCCCGATGAGGTCACCAGGAAGGCTTTCATAGGAATGGTCAGGTTACGGATTGTGTGGTAGCGTTTGGAGGCGAAGAGAACTCCGGCTGCTCCAGCGGCGAGACCGGCGAAGCCACCCACTGTGCCGTACTTGAGAACGGTGCTGTCGTGGTTTTTTGTTAGTATGGCATGATGCGGGAAGCGGAGGAATTGGAAAACGGCAATCGTACCTGTAGTGGGCATCCTCTTCTTCTTTAGTGAGAAGCTTCATCGTGGTAATACGTAAGAGATATGAAAGTGTGGAATTCGATGAGATGAGGTGAGGGGAATGGGAAGTAATAATGTTATATAAAAAAAGTTGGAGATCAAACGCCGAAAGCCCGGCTGACATGACGTGTTGCGGGATCTGCTCTCCTTTCCGTCTGGCTAATTCTCGGCCGGTTCTCGCTCGGTTTTCACTCGGCCACCACCATGCACCTAATTTGGACAACTCGGAGAGCGCGATAACGCGATGATAGAGATTTACAGGAGCTCTGACTGGTCTAGAAAAATCTGCCTTATATCAAATTACAATGCTTATTCACTTTCTACGGCTAGCATTTGCCGAATGCGATCTTTGTTACATGCCCATGCCAGATATCAAAGTTCCCGATCACTCCCGAACGCCGCAAACACCCTAGAAAAAGAAAAGGAAAGGACGAAAACAGCTAAGACAAAACAGGCCGAATATAATTTATCGACGGGATGCCTTGGATGCCGCATTCTGCCGGGCCTGCATCTTGCGGAAACGATCCTCTCCACTGGCACCCAAGGGTCGGGCAAACCGACTCTCTTGCACGGCAGTTTGTCGGGGAACAACGGTATAGCTGACTTGGGTACGGTCAACACGGGCACGGTTGGCGAGACGAGGAGGGAGCTTGTCGCGAGCGCGAGCTTCGGCGGCGACAATCTCGGCGGTGGTGGATGTGCGCTTGGTGATTTTGCTATACAATCGTCAGAAGAAGCACGTACGGATACATGATTGAATACATACGTAGGGTCATAGTCAGCCTGCTGGAACACGCGCTTCGAGTAATCGTCGCTGCGCTGGAGAATGGGGCGAGTCCACTCGGCCAGTAACTTCTCCGCCATCATCTTGATGCTGTTCTCAGTCCGCTTGCTCTTGGTGTAGAACACCACGACCTTGCCGATTCCACTGGCAATCAAGGCATCCTTTTGAATAGGGAGCTTGGTCAGGGCGGTCAGCAAGTCGCGCTGGATGTTGTAAGCCGGCATTGATCCGTCATCCAAGGGCTCAAGAAAGAATCGAACGGCCTCCAGGAGATTGATTTCGGGGTCGACCAAACTGTTGGCATATTGGTTGCGATTGAGAAGTCTGAGGACATCGGGAAGAAGCTTGAGCTTGTGCATGGCCGGCTTGCCTTGCTGGCGGTTGATAGCGTCCATCTGAGCTGCCTGGGTCATCTGCTTTCGCATTTCCTCGATTTCGGCATCGGCCATAGCCTCAAGGTCCTTAAAATATAGTCAGTATAAGCCCTAGGGAAGGTATAGCGCAAGCGACCACCTACAATTCCATCCTGCTTACGAGCTCGTCTCTTGGTAGGCTTCTTCATAGCTTCGTCCATGGCACGGTCAAGAGCTCGACGGCGACGTGTCTCGGGATCCAAAGTCTCTTCATCAGTATCAGGCTCTGCTTCCTTCTTCTTCTTTTGTCGGCGAGCAGATCCTTCATCGCCTCCTGCGTCCTCCTCATCGCGCGCATGACGGCTCTTTTTCTCACGACGACCCTCCTTGCGACGTGGGCGCGCCTCCTCACCATCGGCACGCTTGCGCTTGTGTCGGCCAATCAATTTCAGGTTATCCTCATCAATCGCTAGCTGCGGGCGGTCTTCGACATCGACATTCTCTGGATCAAAGTCATCGAACTGCGCCTCGTCAACCTCGGACAAAATAGAGTCATCATCATCGTCGTCGTCATTTTCTTCCTGATCCTCAGCGACAGGTTCGGCGGGCTTGTCGCCCTCATCGTCGTCTGCAGTAACCGGGGTTGGGGCCTTTTCAGGTTCCTCGTGATCGGGGGACGCGGCGCGCGACCCAACCTGGTGCTCTGGTGAGGCAGACATAGCAAGCGATGTTTATTTTTCTCTCTTCGAAATGAAATGGTTGGGTAATTCAATGGAGGGAGCTCGACAACGTGGTACGGCGAAAAGGTGCGGCTGGTATTTCGTGAACCGTGACCCGACGCCTCTCCGCTGGACAGGCAGGAACTGCACGGATCAGTCGAGTAAAGCCAAACAAAGGAGAGCTGCAGATTATGCAGGATGGTAGGATCAGTAGTGAAGAAAGAGAAGAGGTCAACAGAAATGGAGGGGGAGAGAGGCGAAAGGTCGAGTAGATGAGAGAAGGAGAAGGTGGTCTGTGCTCCCGTGATTTCTTTCCTCGCCGAACTTCGTCGATAACAATTCACAATTTCATTCAATCCAACTCCCTCTCCACCTCCGTTTTATCCCATCTTTAACCACTCTTATACAAAATGTTTGCCCCAGGTATGATCCAGCCAACTCTCTCACTTCCATAACTCTCGTCATTCCCAAGACTTTTCGACGCAACATGCAAATCTAACACGACTCTTCGTTCGCCCAGGCCAGGAACAGCTCTCCAAGCAGGACCTCAAGGTGAGACTGTCTGAATGGTCTATGACCACTGAACACTCGCTAATTCAAATATAGGTTGCTGAGGTTGAGGCCTGCCAGACCGTCCGCAACGCCGTCATCGGCGGTATCTTCCTCTACCTGTGTAAGTGACGTCGTCAATGGGCTGCACAATTTCACCATGAATATAAGCTCTTGCCTTCTGTATGGCCATGGTCTAACGTCTATCAACTACAATAGCCCCCTTCGCCGTTGACTTCGCCAAGAAGTTCCTCTAAACGAATCGCCCTTCACCCTTTCCCTTCGACTGCCATGCACCTATAATTGATCCAACCGCTATTTATGATCACTTGAGGCTATTCCGGAGGAGCATTCGTTGATGTATTATTATTTGTACATGCCTGTTTATCTTTCTTATGGGTTTTTCTGGAAATAGAGAATGGTAAAAAGGACCTAATGGCAGGATGCCACTTGACAATCAGACCCCGATAGTAGGCATAATCACGAAGCAGCTCATGACTGGTGGGAAAAAGCAAATGTAGATGAAATCATATTGAACTATGCATTACGGAACTTTGCTCCACCCAAGATAACGCCGGTGCTCCCATGCCCATGAACATCTTTACGTTATGAAATAAGGATCGCATAGCAAAAGCGTGGGAATGAGTTTAGTTCCCGTTCACTTTCTGGGCGTCTTCAAACTCCTTCTTGACCGATGTCAATTCCTTCTGCAGATGCTGAATCTGCGCATGGTAATCATCGAGAATCTAAAAGATGGTCAGTTGGCAAACGTAGAATTGGTGTGCGGGAGTGTTGCTTACCTTCTTGGCTGTCTTCATGGTCTGCTCATCAATCTCATCTTCGGAGTTCAACGCCGCACTACCTCCGGCACGGTCAATTTCTGCCTGCAGGCGCTTGCCTTGCTCATGAATAGCTAGCATGCGGGCCCAGATCTCCTCGCCTCGGCCATTCAGAGATGGATCAAAGACTGAGCGTTCAAGGGTAGCCAGCTTTTTCTTCAATTCCTCTTCCGCCTCATCCATTGCATAGCCTCGGTTGCGCAACACCTGGGTCTTGGCCGCTAAGGCAAGACAACGCTTGCTAAGAACCATGTGCTTTCGCCGACAGTCTGCAATCTTGAGGGAAATTTTAAGATCATGGCGCGAGAGAAGGTCGGTCAAGCAGGTGTTGATTTCGTGAAGGCGTGACTGCATCATGCAGAGGAAATCCTTCTGTCGCTGTGCACGCTTGCCAAGCTCCCAAAAGCCCTTGACAAGAACTGGGACATAACTTGAATCTGGGCGCTGACGCAGAGCCTCCTCCCACTTGGTCGCATCATCTTCGGGACCAGGTTGATAAAATGGCGCAGCCTCTTCTCCGACACTGTTGTAGAGGTAGGCTCGGAACGGGGAATCGCGGTTAGGAGCATCCCACTTGTCCTTGACAATAGACATTTGCATAGGCACAGTCCGGTGAACTAAGCAAACAACGATCTGAATTAATATCATGGACTCGGGCCAGACTAAATATTGGATGAAAACTGAGCTTACCTCCTGTAATTGCACGACCAGGAGACCACAAACTCGACGAAAGCGATTGCTCTTGCTGTTGTCCCTGTGGCTGTACCATGGTAGTTTGTCCAAATTGTGATTGCTGAGGCTGCTGTCCCTGTTGTTGCTGTCCACCGAGCAGCGATCCACCGAAGAGGTTGCTCTGTTGTTGCTGGGGCTGTTGTTGCTGTGTGCTGGCACCAAGACCACCACTGAAAAGTCCCCCGCTGGATGCAGGTTGCTGTGCTTGTGTTGACTGCCCCAAGCCACCACCAAAAAGACTACCAGCGGGCTTTGGCGCAGTGCCAAACAGGCCTCCAGTTTGCTGGGGCTGTTGCTGTTGCTGCGGTTGCTGCCCTAGGCCACCACCAAACAAGCCACCCGCCGGCTTCTGAGCAGTAGTCGAGCCGAATAAGCCCCCTGTCTGCTGTTGTGGCTGGGATGTTGTCGTATTGCCGAAAAGTCCCCCTGTCGAGGCCTGCTGAGTCTGGTTCTGTGGCTGACCGAATAATCCTCCACCAGAAGCCGGGGCAGCGGGGTTTGTGCTTGGGCCCAAGCCTCCAAAGGCACTGGGCTTATTCGCATTGTTGCCGAATAGGCTTCCCTGGTTTGGGTTCGAGACAGCTCCAAACATGATGTGTCGCAAAAAAAAAAAGGCGGAAGGGTATCGTTAAAAAAAGCGCGATCGGTCAATGATCGGGCAACGTGTCGGTGGAATTGGGGCGTGTAGTGATATAGTCAACCAAAGGGGCACCAGAATTGGCGTAATCAAGATCACGGCAACCAGAGACCGGTGTTGGTTGAGGGTGAGCTGAGGGGTGCCGTTCTGTAGAGCTCAGAAGAAAGAGATCGGAGCTGGTTTGTTTTGGATCACGTGAGGGACGCTTCAATCCACACCAAGCCCTGGGTAATTCACTACCTGAGTTGGGAACGAAAGTATATAAAAGGTATCGCAGGAGCTGGTTTGGTTTCAGCTGAGTGAGTGTAAACTTAAAGTGATTAATTTCATTGCAAGTTACAATAAGCTGCAATGGCATTTTGTCATCTAAAGACCGTACAAACTAGCTTCATATTTTAAGTATTCAATATTTGCACCAAACATGTCCCCTACTTCTGCAGGTCTGCATTTGTCGATAGTTTTGTTTATAATTTAGATATTTGATTCTAATGTTATATACTCTCGCTTCATTTGTCACTAATATATTCCTACGCCTTATGGTTTTAGGGTAGCCAGAACCACTGGAAATACTATCCTAAAGGCATCCATGAATATGAAGATAAGTGAGTAGACGATTTCCTGTCTCAGCCAACACACTAGTTGATATCTAAACACCTAGATAACTCTTATAGGCTACCTTAGCCAATGAACCATTTCGTTATCAAGCATTTAGCCCAGCCTAGGTCTATACCCAAAAGCAGTACTACCTAGGCTCGAAGTAGCGGTACCTAAAGGCTTAGACGAGTAATAGTGTAGTGATGAGAATCTATCATTTTTATCCTGATATATACCAAGAAATGTTATTCGTTTATTCCATCTTACTTATATTTTAAGGTGTCTAGGCGTAAGATAGTCATCACGTAGGCAGCACCTGATATGTGGAAGTTACAAAGTCCCACTTAGAATTAACGCGTCTTTTAGTTGTTATAACTCATCTAGAATCTCTAATTTATACGAATGGTAAATGACTAGTCCTTGCATAGGTAGTGCTTGCCTTCCACTGCGGATCTAGATGACCCACCTGGCAGATTAAGATTATCAGAGCAGGCTGTTGAAGTATGTCTGAAGCACTATGTTCCCATAAATAGGTATCACGCTCTTGATATAGGTAGTTCAGCTGATGCTAGCTTAGCATCGAGCTTTTCCATCGCAGTATGTCTGCCCATTCTTTTCAACCAAACTCTAAGGTCAAAAACCCCTTCGCTCAGATCATTCCGATTCCCTTTGAATTTGAATGTATACCCGATGTCATCCGCTGGCTCCTTCCCATCAGTATAGCGAATGCGACAAGGGTCAGCATGGTAGTTATTTGTTTCATATGCCGCAAGCCTCTCCCCGTGTTCAACCGTTTCAACATGATATACTGCGCCCTCAACCACAGAGCCTGGGGCATGCAACAGGGCAGGATATTGCCCCCACAACTTGCATTCATAACCTGATAGGCGTGCAGAGCGTAGCTCGGGCTCAAATTCCAGCCCTAGGATTTCACGAACCATGGTAGGATCGGTCAACGTGCCATAGAAGAAATAGGGCCCCGTAGGTGCATCAAACAAGACCACGTGATGTGGAGGGTTTGGAGCTTGGAAGAAGTAATCGGCGGGGGCAGTCCTGAGTTTGAGGACGTAGGGGGATATTTTGGAGCCAGGAATTTCGGGTGGCGGCGGCGGTGGTGGTGGCGGACTGCTCATTTGGCCTCTTGAAGTGTTCGACATGGTTTGAATTGGACAATAGCAACAGGCATGGCTTCAAGAGGAAGAGTGAATAAGAGGATTTACAGTGGAACACAGATATGGCCTATTGAGGGTAGAGTTGTCTTCCAATCATGGAAATCTCTTGAAATGCTTCAACTTCTTCCATATGACTCGAAGAAAGGCAGCGCGACTCCAATGCTATTAGAATAAATCCCCCCAATCCATTCTGTCACCAAACAATAAAGAGAGGAACGAAACAGAATAGACAATGAGATATAGTTGATGTACTGTATCTATCTAACTTAACCTAAGTAAATGATGAGTAAGCATCATCCCACCAGCCAATCAGAATCGAGACAAAGAAACCGACCTTTCATTCCACCGCAACCCGTAGCTCTCGATCAACCAGATCCGTCAATTGCACCTCCCCCAGTCTCTCCACACAACACCGTCACCATGGCCCAAAGAGATGCTCGGTAGGACTCCCTGCTTCCCAATTGTTCCTCCAAACCGACCTATTCCGAACCCTTACCGCGCCAGAATGAACTCGGACTAATCATCCCTCTAGTTTCAACCAGCATGTCCTGGTGGACACTACCCCCATGCCGGACCACATCCCCAAGGTCGAGGAGATTGGCGCCACATCTGCACCCCTGTTTAGTGCAGCCTACTTCATCGGCGACCGCTGCAAGGCCTTCAACGACGACTACATGAAGTGCAAGGACGAGGCGAACGGTCGCGGCGAGTTTGAGTGCATGAAGGAGGGGCGCAAGGTTACGCGCTGTGCTGCTAGCGTGTATGTTTTCCCCCGATGTGCTGTCTGGCTCAGATAGCATTCCTACCCGACCAAACCAACGCGAGTGGTTTTTATTGACCGAGTCAACAGTATCAAGGATATCAACACCCACTGCCTAAAGCAGTTCAAGGAGCACTGGGAGTGCCTCGAGAACAACAACCACTATCTTTTCGAGTGCCGTAAGCCCGAGCAGGCGCTGAACAGCTGTGTTTTTGAGAAATTGGTACGCCATGTCTAGAACATGACTCCGTTCGAATCGGGTGACATGCTTACCATGCCCGCACGCATTGGCATTGACGCTGTCCCTGGGACTTGGGGTCTCTTCTTGGGCATTAAGAACACTCAGCTAACTCGAATTCTCAATAGGGCCTCAAGAAGACCATCCCCGGTGCCCCCGAAGGCGAGGTCCCCGTGCACCTGCGCCCGAAACAGAAGTACGCCCAGTTCCCAGGTCGGCAGTACTAAGAAACGAAAGAAAAGAAAAAAAGAAACAAATGGGAATTGCATGTCTTATTCCTATTTTATCCCTGTCCAACCTCGATTACATCCGCTCGCCTTCTTCTATTGCCGTCCAGGGCCCGGCTTTCCCGTCCGTTTTTAGTGGGTTTGATACACAGGTTACCCTTGTGTCTGATCTATCTGTGTCTGTCTCAGTCTGTTGTATGTTTGTGTAAATATCTATTGGCATCAGGAATGGTTACATGATTTCTGCTTTCTGCTTGTTTTGCGTTTAATACAAGTCCTTATATATCTTTGTATTCAAGCCGAGGTGCTCGGCTGAGACTTTGTGATACACTTATTGTGAGGATCAGGGAACTAACAGAATTGCCTAGACGGAACTCGGCCCATTTAAGTGCTCAGATGAAGAGAAGTTCGATCAATGATCTACTGGTTCTATCAAATCTAATGTTATAAGCTCTTCTATGGATTGATCCAACCTCCCGAGGTCTAGAATGATGTACCACTCAAGTCAAGAAAGAAAGAAGAGAACCAAGGAAAGATGACAAACCCCAAGAACCTCAATTGAAACCCATATATACTTGACAAAAGAAAAGACGGCCAAATGACCAGAACTCCAGATGAATATGGACAGGAATATGCAATAAACATGAAGTAACAAACACCCTAAAAGAGTGTAGGGAATATCAAGAAAACACCAATGAGCCAAAGAATAGAGCCAAAGAGCCAAGCCACCAAATCAAGGCAAAACGGGCATATCGCCCGCCCTCCTCAGCAGCTTAATCTGACCCAACTTAGCCTTCAACTCAGACCAGCCTGAGCGCAATCGGTTCTCAACCCGACGATCACCTCGTAGCCGCATGAAAATCAGCAATGCGCCCAGCATAGCCAGGTCCCAAAGAATTTGACGCAGAACCGTCCACAGAATCCATCTTAGCCATGCCAAAGCACCGTTCCGGCGACGAGTAGCCAATGTCCGAGCCTCCATCTGCTCACGCACGGCAGCGATTTCCGCCGTCATTTTGGTCAAGGCCTGCTCGACTCTGCGGCGCCAGGGGCTATTTCTCAGGTTGTGGGGGTCGGAAGCGCGCGTATGGGAGTTACTGCTACTTGCGCCGTCGATGGATTTAAAAGGATGAGTATGATGGCGATGTCGATGTGAAGAACGGTCATCGTGTGAGGTATGATCCGTAACAGACCTTGTTTCTGCATTAGTACTTTCATGGTCGTCATGTTCCTGGTCTTCGTAGAGGCTATCACGAGCCTCCTCGTACTCCTCGTCGTCGTCGTCATCATCTTCCAGCTCATCCTGGTCATCGATAACATTCCCATCCGGTGATCGACGATAGTATTCATCTTCTTCGGGTTGACTAACAGGACTGAGAACGCGGAGTCTTGAGTTTCGATCATCGGTTCGCATATTTGGACGATCATAGTCCTCCATAGAGCCTGCTAATCGACCTCCTATACTCCCGTATGCGCTGCCAGTATGTCGTGATAACGGAGGAACGCCAACGGCGTTTAACGGGCCTGACGATGAAGATGAGGATGCATTATATTTGATCTGATCCCAAACGAATTCGAGCTCGGCGACGAGTTCTCGCGCTTCGGGTGTTTGTGATGCGTATTCGTGCATGGTATCGATTAAAGTAGAGATGTAGCGGCGTTTGGCTTCGGTGCGCGTGATGCCGCGCTGGGCATACCAGGCGTCCCTGTATCATAGCGCAAAGAGTTAGCTTTATGCGTCTAGTAGGAAGCGAGGTGATAGAATAAGATGCTGCGACAAAGATTCATAGTTTGCAGCGTTGACGTACCATTTCTCGCACTCCGCATGCACCTCTGGTGTATTCCCAATCGGTCGATCCATCACTCCTTCCACGTCCCCCTCTGCATGAAGATCAGCCCACACTCCTCCGTGACTATTGCAGAGCATATCCGAAGACCTCACTCACCCATGCTCTGCTTGTATAATCCATAAAGCTTCAATCGTTCCGCTGCCGGAGGGCGTGCGGTGCCCGTCCGCGGAATCCTCTTAACAGTATTCAGGGCATGGACGAAGACGCGATCTAATCAAGAAAGAAACTTCAATATTAAGGCTTCCAAGCGCAAAAAACAAGACCAGATTCATGGGCCTAAAACGCACCTACAGAATCCGACATCCTGACGCGAAGAGAAGCAGTCCGGTAATCAGCCCTGTCGTCCTGGAAGCGGGGTCGGGCATCGGCAGGCGCGGGCGAGCCTCATGGAGAGCGGAATATAGACAAAACTGGCCAAGGAGAGAGAACGTGCCAATGCTCGGGATGGAATGATGCAGGGGTGAGTCGTGGAATCGGGTTGCGCCTTTCGTGTTCGTTCCGAGGGTTAATCTCCCTGGTATCCGGGAAAGTTGGTTCAATGGGGTAATTCCCAGCGATAGGGTATCTTCTTTCCCCAGGTTTTGGAGTGGGTTAGGGAGGAGATGGGGCCTATCCAGAAAATATGGAGTGGATAGGCCGTCTCGTGCGTAAAGGCCGAGTTAGTGGCGTGTTTGATTTGATGGCGCTGGACCGCGGCTCTCGGAGAAAGATCGTCAGGGCAAACTTGTGATCCATCCACCCCCAGTATCGGTGATTTACTTTATCTAGACATTTGATAGGAGTTTGGAATACATGCAATTAATTCAATGAGCTAATGTACAAAGTTCATATGTGCAAGCACAACATATCTCGTTATCTACTGGCTACTCGGAATCTTCTTCAAGTCCGAGACCTCCATCGCGTTTTCCGTATCCACCGCAGCACCCGAGATAACACCCACAGCTTGGGTCTCCTCTGCCGAAACAGGGGGTCCAGTGAAATGCTTGCGAGCATATGCAAAGTACCACACGATACTGATAGTAGCAAATCCAGCAAATACCACGCTCGCATAGTTCATCGACGCGGCAGTAGTAGGCAGAGTGTAGGGCATGCAGAAGAGCACAACGGCCAACACGATCCACGCAATTGTGATCGCGTTGATAGCATAGCCAAAGGCACCCAGGGAAAAGCCGGAGTTACGGACATCCTTCCGACCCCGAATCATGGAGATCAGAATGGGCAAGCCATACGATGTGGACAAACAAATAGTAGCCACACCCGTGAAGGAGTTGAACGCCGCCGTGGAACCGAAATAGATCAGTCCCAAGAGACCATCCACAACAGCCGACAGGATAATAGCCCAAACAGGCACGTCCAACTTCTTGTTGACGCGGCGCCAAAGCTTGAAGCCCGGGATGGCACCGTCACGTGCGAAAGCATAGGTGCAACGGCTGGCAGCTGTGAGAGATCCAACACCAGCGAACATCATGATTCCCAGAATCAAAAAGAGCAGCCCGAACCCGCCTGCGGCTGACCCAGTGGCAATCTTGAAAATCGTTCCTATCGGCTGTCCGCTGGCCACACTGCGCAGCATTTGCAAGCCTGCCGAATCACTAGGCATGACAAACAGGACCGGAATCAGGTAAAGCAGACCAGTGATACCTGCCGCAGCCACAGAAAGCACAATAGCCTTGGGCACCTCGCGATGCGGGTTCTGAACCTCCTCACACATGGAAGCGACCATACCATATCCCGTCAGTGTGTAAGCTGCCTGCAGCAAACCGACGAAGAAAGCCCAGCCAGCGGGCCATCCACTTTCCGAGGCGTCATAGTGGGCGAAGACGAATTCGCCTGAGTTGCGGCCATTATCCGCCATAGTCAACAAGACGACGAGAATGATAATCACGCTAGCTGCGGTCCAGAAGATGCAGACCTTGTTGATCAGGTCGAGGTAACGGGAACAAAAGACATTGATGAGGACGCAGACTAGCAAGACGGCCCAAAACATCAGGACAGTCTGCCATGGCGTGGCGACGAAGTCTTCATTCCACAGATTGATGGCGCTGAGAATTAATTGACCTCCTCCAAAGATAATACTCAGAGTCACCGTCCAATTTCCAACTAGGGTGAGCCATCCGTCGATGAATGACATCAGCGGGGCCCACTTGGGGGTCGACAGCATCGCGCTCCAGTAATAGACACCGCCAGCGGTGGGATAAACGGCGCAGATCTCAGCGAGCGAGGCTGCGATAGCGAGGGAGATAAGGGTCACAAAAACCCAACCCCAGATGATCGTGACTGATATACCGTCGTAGAGAGTAATGTATAAGGTAGTGCTGAGACCGTAGGGTGCGGCCATAATGGCAAAGGATAGACCGAGGATACTGAGCATGCTCAGGTTTCTGGGCAGTTCACTTTGGTAGCCCATACGCGCCAACGCCTCATCGGCGGCGTCGACGGAGGAGCGCATGTTGAGTGGAGACGACTAATTGATGGAGACCGGCATGAGACGAGAAGCTTGCCTTATTTAAGGTGTAGACTAGATAGCGATGGAGAAATGATATCTTTAACCCCGCATGATAGGCATGAAGGTGGAATCATCGCGGTCCGGGACCGCGGTGGGAAAGAAGGTTTTCTTAAGTAGGAGGGACGAATCGGATAGCAAATCAGCGCCGTGGGTGCAGACGTAACGCCTCCGAGACATAGCTTATCAGGGTTCAGCAAATGTCCGGGGCCATTAGTCACTAGTCAGATAAGCTATCTTGGGTCGCGGTGGACCCTTGGATTGGGCTATCTTAGCAGCCTAAACATATTAATCGATGATTCTACCATGAGATTCTGAAATCATTTATCATTTGGCATTTAGTTACATGAAAATTGTCACCGAAGTGACGGCTGCCACATCGTTGTTTTCGGAATACCCTCGGTAAAAGGTTCCGAAGATGAGCGCCAGGTACAAATATTAAAAGACACAAAAAAGGGGGAATTGAAGCTGAGGACTGGAAAAGCTTGGACCATGCCAAGGCTTCAACTTCCATCCACGACAGCGCCCCGGGGGAGTGCAAGGGGGTATCAAACAGGGGACACACAAATTCCAGTGGGCTCGCTGGGTTTTTGGAAAGGAATTTTTTTCTTGTTTGGAATATCTAATCGGACATGGGGCGAAGAGATGGTCTTGCGGGCGGAAGTAGGCCCTAAATGTTGGAGGAGCAGTCAAGGGGGTAGGAGGGAGAAGAACAGGAGATGGGGGAAGGAGAACGGCAAGAAGAGGAGGGGAGGGATTTTGGGGGGGGGAGGTGGATTTTTGGGAGGGCAAGAAATGAAGCGAAAACATCCGGACTCCAGTCTATACGGCCACACCGGGAAAGGACCAACCAGAAGCGGGTAGACATGTGTGAGAGGGGATAGGATGGGGAGAGAAGAAGTGGTGAATGGGATAAGTAGGTAATGGGGATCAGACAGGAGGGGGAAAAACAAAGAACGCTGAGTCGGAAACCAGCCAGCTAGTGTCAACTCCGAAGATGATAAAAGATAAAAAAAAAATGGAAAGAAAGAAACATAGCCCGTCGTGTGGAACGATCGTAAATCGAGGTCGAGGGGATGGGGGAACGAGAAAACGCCCAATCATGCAGTCGTCAGTCCGGTGAAGTCGTTACAGGAGAGATGCAAGTATAATCGCAAATGAAGGCAAAAAGTGCGAACAAAGGGCCTAGGGGCTGAGCCCGCTAATGAGATCATCAGGACCGTCGAAGCCGAAGCCGGCCATATCGACGGAGTGTAACGAACCCGGCCCCTTGCCCAAGGAGATGTCAGAAGATGCATAATCATGCTTGAGTCGCTCATGAGGACCAAAGAATGGTCGGTTCTCGTCGTTGGGGGTGTTGCCATCACCAGCAACCCATGGCCCGTTCTGCCAGAAGCGGGTATTGGCCTGTTGATCCCCAAACAGATCGTGGTGATCAGGGTGGGGGTCAGGACCGTGGATTGGGAATTCGTTTGGCGACTGGAGCCGCAGATGCGACCGACCGAAACTAGAGCACGGTGAATCGGCATGGAGAGGCAGATCCAGACCGGACAGTGGTGGGTCATCGACGGTGGTGATGTCGATCGTCGGATTTTCCGTCTGCTGGGCGAGTGCCGACTGTAGTCGAAGATTTGATGCTGAACTATGCCGGCTGTGGCTGGTCGAGCGATCGATGGCACGCTGCACAAAGCTACCGCAAGTCTTCATGATCTTCTCTTGGTCTTCTGGGGAGAGACGAGCAAAGAAGTCATTGGCTAACGATGATTTGGGTGGTTCGTCCGGTGATGGAATCAACTCGTACGTGGTCTTGGCGTACTCGGATAACCCCGACGGCATGTTGTACGGAGATTGGTAAACTTTGGGGGCCAATTCCCGCTGCTGATCGAGAAAAGCGTATTTACCAGGCATCTTGGCGGCGGCGACGCTTCCTCGATCAATGGTCTCTAGCTTGACGCCTTCTGACTCCTTCCTCTGAATGACATCCAAGCGCTCGCGGTGGCTGACTAGGGAGAACCGAAGCATGTTGAGAAGCCGCGTTACCTCTTCAGACCGCATGTTGAGGGTCTGAGGCGGTAGCAAAGTACCATCAGCTGCCCGCGGCTGCACCCGCTGCTGGGCCATGGCCAGTTCGAGTTTCTCGAGTCCATTGGGCGGGGGGATCGATCCCATAGGACCCAACAAAGTCTCTACCACCAATTCGGGGCCTACGATCGTATAACCAGCGAAGACATTGGCGTGGTCGGTGATCTGGGCGAGACGCCGGCGGGCAATGAGTTCCCGAACATTGGCAAAGGTATTGGTGGCGGGAAGGTGGTGCTGCTGCTGAACGTGCGACTTGGTGACCGAAGGGTAGGGGGCATGGCGGGCAGTTGTATTCGGCAGAGTTCGAAAGGCCGACGGCATCGCAGGACCAGCAGCAGCAGCACCGGTGGAAGGAGCAGAATGAGGGGGGAGGGGCAAGGTTCTGCAGGGAAGCGGCAGAGGAGGGCGGTCGGGATTGTAGGTGAGGGGTTTGGTTGGCGTGGGAGAGAGGTTCGTGTTTATGTTGTATTTGCGGTCGGTGTTGGGCGTAAAGATTTTGCTGGTAAAGAGGGGCAGGGGCGGTAACAGCATGGGAATGGTGGTGGGGTGAGATCTTCAATGCACGAGCACCGACTCCGGCCACGCCAAGCGACTTGACGCTGTCCAGGAAATTGGCCAGCGGGTTGTGGATGAGTACGCTAGGGTTGTGCGTATACTGTGCCCTACTCTCGGTGGACTGCGCGCCTAGGTAATGCCACACCTGTTCCGGTTTGGCCAAGTCGACCGTAGGCAGTGGGGCGAATTGAATCTTAGCTGCATCCACTGTCTGAAATTCGGCCCACTGGTAAGCAGATCGGCCGTCGCCAAACGCACTACCGGCGACCGGTACTGCAACCTCTAGGTCCTTTCGTTGTTCAGGCTTTCGCGCTAAGTGGGCCGGTAGAGCCTGAATTCCCGGCGCAAGGGGCGCGAAATTGCTCTTGCGCACCACGAGCAACCAGCGATATGGTATCTCAATTACGTCTCTGTTGACAATTATCAGTATTAGGACAGGTACAAGCCAAGAATTTCCTTTTTTTTTCGGTTCGGGTGTTCGGGAAGGTTTCGGGAGAAGAAACCTCCGGTGGGGTTGGAGGGGCAGAGGGACAAAAAAAAGGAAAAAAGGCAAATACTTACCCTCTCGGGAGAATCTTAACCAACAAAGCCCGTTCATCGGATCGATTCTGGAGAACGATAGCACCAGTAATCTCTTTGTCCGCCTGGAGTTGGATCAAATCGCCTTGAACCGAGCGACGAGCCGCCTCAATTACACCACGATCCAGATCAAAAGATTCTCTCAGCAAGCCTGAAGGTCGCTTCTGACGGTGGAACTTGCACTTGAGATCCACACTGGGCAGGGCGTACTGCTTTCCATCATCGGCATTCACGGCAATGGAACCATGCTCGACCTGAACACCCGCGAGAAGAGCACAGGTAGGATGGTAGGCACGAGTACACTTTCCAAAATTACACTGGAAGCAGGCGCCACGAACCTCGCGACAGAAGAGACACTTCAGACCCAGGCGAGCCTTGGGAATCCTGTCAATGTCGCACACCACCTCATTGCCTGAGTTATCCCGAAGAATGCTGGTTTCTTCGATAAACGCTGCGCATCGCCGATGCACATGATATTTGCCATCTTCTGTTGGCAATAGATCCTCGTAGTCATGATCATTAGGGCATAAGAGACACGGGAGCTTCCGCTGGCCTTCGGGGTGGAGCTTGGGTCGTTTGGTCCTCGGCCCGTCACCCGCGTCTTTCCTCTTTCGGCCACGGGTGGAGGTTTTCTCAGGCACGCTGCGCGGAGGAGTCAAAAGTTCTGAAGCACCCTCGAAGCCCTCGAAGCCGCTGTCATAGTCGACATAGTATTCGGGAGTGGCCTCACCACGCAGTTTGCGTTCAACCTCATCCACGTCAATCCAGACGCTGTCTGCTTCACAATTGCATTTCTTCGCGATGCGACCATAGTCCAGCCATCTTTCTGTTGCAAAGTTAACAGACTCAGCACAGTTGTAACCGATATTGTAGCCAGAGTGGTACCCATAGGGGAAAGTAATGACAAATTCCCCTTCGTAGTGGACCAATCGGTTCACAGTGATTCCATACTGTGACTTGAGCAGACTTGGTGAGACAAGGTAGGTCTTGTGCCGCAGGAATTGATCACAGTTCTTGGCATCGCTCGACCAAATACTCCGCATCGCCGCCTCAAAGCGCGGAGCATCTTCCTGGGAGATGCTGTACCACTGTTTGGGCGCACCGAAATGGATGTAGTTGATACTGTAGAGATCCACATCCTCCAAGTGCCAAGCAAAGGTGGCCTTCCACATTCCCAGGTAGAGGTAGGCTGTATTGACACCGGGCACGTTCTGTCCAAGGACATCCAGCAAATTTGGCAACTTGGCAACGTTCCAGGAAGTGGTCTCATCATCGAAGAGAGAGCCAGGCATGTCCGCACCGTACATGGGGTTGTTGTACATGAGTGACTTCCAGTACGCAGTCTCAAGTTCCTCGCATCTTTCCGCAGTGTAATCTTCATGGTCATGAATGCGGTAATCAAAGGTCTCAAACGCAGCCTCATCAATGTGATCGACTGTTTCTCCGCGGTTATTCTTTCGTCGTGATGTGATAGACTTGGACTGTCTTCCTTTGGGTTTCGTAGCCGGGAGCGACTCTCCATCACTCAGGTCTTCGCTCTTAGTCTCAACCGGGTTTGATTCAGGCGACACGGGTGTGGGAGGGCCTTCAGACTTCGACTTCTCCGCCTCATCTGTGGGCTCTTCTTTAATTTGGACTTGGTTCGTACGCTTGGGAGGACGACCGGGTCGGCGTTTCTGACCTTCTGCGCTAGACTGAGGTCGTGGTGTTGCGGTCACTCTTGCCCGTTCTTGGTTGCGACGCCGTTCTCCACGGCGAGCGGGCGGTTGGTGGCTACTTTCCTCACACAAGGCCTTCCATTGAGGTAGGTTGTAGGTTCGTTGGCGTTCAATATTGGCTTGAGTGTAGGTACCATGCGACCCATGGAATTCTTGCATGATAGGGTTCTTCACGCGAATCGACTTCACTTGCTCGTCCAGCGGCTTTTGGGCGTCGATCCTAAGGAGGGAAAGAGAATGAGCATGACCATTCAAGTCATTGGGCATGACCTGCAGACTAACCATTCCTTTGGAGGAACCACTTTCACAATACCAGCTTTCATTCCATACTTGTCAATCTTGCTGACGTAGGATTGGAAATCGCGAAATTGATCCATTGTCTAAAAAGTCTCGTCAGCCACGTCACCATCACTGATGGGAACATCCGGGTCCCCCTTTTGTTTGCAGACCATCTTGGACTTTATCCACCGAGCGGATGTGAGGTAGGGGAGTCAACTCACCGGCTTGAACACTGGGATTTTTCCACCGCCATAATAATGGTCGGGTTCGATTTCTGCTTCTGCTTCCAGCTCTTCCTTTGCTTCTATCTTTATGGGGGTATCATCCTGAGCGGTCGCTGATTTGGCATCTAGCTCAAGGTCTGATAATTCCGTAGGTACCCCTTCAGGTGCATCTTTCTTCCCGTTGGCACTCTGCGGTGGTGTGATGGACGCAGAGTTTACCGGAGCACCCGCAAGTGGGTCACGATTGGAGTGTTCGAATATAGCCGCCATAGTTGACAGCAAGAGGTAGCTGTTGAGGAAGGGGAGGCTGTTCAATACGGGGTGCCGTCGTCGGATAGAGCGACCGCTGATCGACGGCGAAAGTGGTGGTTCCCAGCGGTCGGGGAAGTGAAATAGACGATCAAACCGGGGCGTAAAAGGATTCGGGCGATAACTCGAGGGTAGGGATTCAAGGTTGGATCAGGAGAAGTATCTGAGAGCAGAGGGATGTATGGTTCGATGGCGCGATAAGCTCTGTTCGGAGGCTCTTTTTTCCTTGGAGCGGGAGAAGGAAAACTGGTCTAGTTTAGATCGCCAATTAGAACGAGCAAAGGAGGTCCGTGTCCGATGATGTAAAAAAGGACTCCGGGGACCCAGGCAATAAGACTCTTGTTGCAGCAAAAATCATCAAGTTGCAGACAAGTTCCACATGAAAGAAATCGCGCTAGACTGGGAATGGGGAAAAAATATGAGCAAATAATACCAGGGTGGGCCAATCATGCAGGCGCCGGAGACGCTTGAAGGTGGACCAGAGCACGATGGTCTGACACTTGGAGGCAGGGGCAGACGGGGAATTACGCTAAAGAACTGGGAATGATGATTTTTGGGATTGGACCAATCAGAAGTGAATGAGCAGCACAAGTGGGCAATGCTAGATCAGACGGGAAAGGTGGACAAAGTGGATTTGTTGGCGGCTCCCAAGGCGCCAACAGAAAAAAGTGGATGTATATGATACCGTACAACGTACCTGGATTAGATCCGAGTCTCGAATGCAATCGGCATTTCCCTGGTGGATGGAATATTCAGGGAAACAAAGAGGAGAAGCTTATCAGATATGGAAATGAGGTGAGTAGATCCAGAACAATGGAAAGCGCGACAGAATGCGATTGCTTCACTCCATGAGTTTGGACGATGCGGAAAGTGAGCGAATCACGTGCACATCATGTGAATGTATATGTATTACAGTAATTACGAGTATCTCCAACCTTTGAACACTAGTGAGTGTGTAATCCTTATTGTGACTAATACCCAAGGGGGCTGTGCGCAGCTCTCGGATACCACCGAACCCGAAGTGATCACATCAAGGGATAGATTTCATGTGGAAATATTTCATTGCCCTGCCCCTACCATTGCGTCAAGGCAATGATAGCCTTGAGGGTTGATCAATCACAGCTCTTAGAATCTCAGAATCTAGCCTTGTGCAATCTATGGAGTTATCCTACAGTACTGTAAAAATTCTGGCGTCCGACATCGCTCACGTCGATCACGTCCGTGTGTAGATCTACAGATCAGTCCACCAACCTTAGATCCACGCACCTAGCTGGGCCCATTCCTCAAGCCATGGTTTCCGGCTAAATTTTAGGATAATAACAAGAAGCCTAAATATCCCGCCAATACATTCTATTAATTATATCTATTTACCATGTACCTCGTGCTCTAATTTACTGTCAATGTTGATATATGGTTCTACCACCTGCAGTCCTCGGAGTCTCTCTTGTTCAATCCGCTCCCACGGCCACTCCTCGGAATTCCATGAATCCGAGTTGGCCATCTTCTCCTGCTCAAGGGTCTCGTCATCGGGAAGTTGGTCTGCGCTAATCTTAAGAACCTCTCGCACCAAAGAGCCATCCACGCCTCCAGCGGCCGTAATCCCTTCCCCACTCGCAGGCGTGCCAATGGCAGATGCTTCCGCAGACGAATCTACCGTTGTGCCAAGTGTCTGGACCCCAGCCGGTCGAGCAGGAAGAAAACCGCCAGCACGTAGAATTCGCTCTGGTGCCACGGTCAGTCGACCCTTCTTCACCACATACTTGCTCACGGCGATGGCCAGTAGGGTCTTCTCGCCACCGGCTTTCTTGGCAGGTCGCAGGAACACCGTGAGCGTGTACAGCCATTTCTGATCCCATGAAATCACCTTGGTCTGCATCTCATACAGTTCAAACGGCTTGATCTCGCGCTTATAAGTGCAGTAAACAGACCCGAGTACGATCATGATGGGCAATCGTCTCGGAGGTTTCTTCCCCTCCTTCTGACTCTTAGCCAAAAATTCCTCATCCAATTCTTTGCTGGTAAGACCGACACCAGGGCTGTAGATTCGGCTCACGAGTGCCGTACGCGCCACGTCAAGGTCGCTGAAATATGTGCTATTGGACTTGTGCAGGTTGTAATCGGTCTCGAGTAACGGAGTTCGTGATTTGACGGTGACTGGGACGAAAACCGGATGTGTCGGGTTTCCATGGGCATCGACAATGGCCTTTCCTTTGGGGAAGAATGGGTCATTCGGCTTCCAACGTAGGTTACCTAGGAAATGATACAATATACGGAACTAGAGACGCAGTTAGCGCGTGACATGTCAGCTAGGCGTGCCGGATTTCATAAAAGTCAAATTCAATGGAGTCAATGGGTAGCGCGTTCACACGTACATGCCAGGCAAACGGGAGGTTTTTCAGATTGATGATGGCCAAAATCAAGGCCAGAGTTCGCCATGATGCGAGCGACGCCGCAGATGATGCGAGGCTCCGCATATTATCAGAATAAAGCGCTTCTGATATCACTGACATTGTTAACATCATGGGCTGAAAGGGGTGGTTCGCATAGACAATGGTTTGCGCGATGCAAACAGCGATTTATCACTTACCCGATAAGCGATAAGGAAAACTATATTCCGGCACTGCCGTAGAGGTACCAGATCGGTACCCCTGGTTCGATCTGAAGCGACAGGGCCTTTTATAAGGGATAGAATGGCAAATGACGAAATGGTTCGTGACCAATCTCACGGCCGATCTCTTCAGCTGGTAAGGCGCGACGCCTATCACATCAGACGCAGCCTCGGCCCAACATCTGCACGTGATGCTAAATCGAGTAAGAAATACAACCCACCCATTCTGCTGCTGATTTATTGCGATAGTTGGAAAACATCCCTTTGCTTAAAAAGGCTAGGCCATGTGCCCGGCGTAACTGACGGGACACTGTCTAGCTTCAGTGAATCTCCCGACTTGCCATTTGCAGCACCCAATTGTCATTTTGTACGTTCCAGGCCGTTACGCGAGCACTACGAAGGCAATCTTTAGATCAAGCTGAAGCACATGTGCATAAGACTTTAGGGTCCGATCTACAATAGAATATGTTATATCTTAATGAACCGTGCTAGGTATAGAATCCTGCATAAACATGTTTGACAAAGCAACGTGCCGTAAACGTGGGCGGCTCGATCCCGACCAATCATCATCCCCAACATCAACTTTGCCCATCCGGCCTCCGAAATCTCCGAAACTTATCAAGTCCTGGCAACTGGACATCACCATGCCCCTGAAGAGACCGCTGCCTCAAAAAAGAGCTTGTGATGTCTGTTACCAGCGGAAGGTAAGCTTCATGCTCCAATTCTCGCATCTGACAATTTCCTATCATATTCCTAGCCGTATTAATTCTCGCACTTCATTAAGATTCAATGCATATTTTCACATCCAGATGGCCCATGTGAATGGTGTGTCCATCGTGACCTGGAATGTACCTTTAATAGGGAGCGGCCACGGAAGAAGCGGCGGAACAGGTAAGCCATATTCTTTAAGGAGCCGCGCTCAAGCTCTGCGCCAGTACAAGGTTGTCCCAACACAACTCATCTCTATCTAGCCTGAACACAAGTGATATCGAAACTCTCTCCCAGCGCGTTGATCAGCTTGAAAAGACCTTGGCTCATGCTCAGTCACTAGCTGCTCTTTCGCATGGAGCCTCTACGCGGGATTCTACAGATGCGAGAGATGCGAATCAGACCGGCTTTTCTAGACGCCGCTCTTCACATGATTCTATTCTAGAACCTACAAATGAAAGAAACTCGCCCACAAGCAAGAAATTTGCGAAAATACCAGTATCTGCAAGTCAATTGGGTCCCAATTGGTTTTTCGATGGGATGTCCATTTCATCAGAAGCGGGATTCCAATGGATGTCAACAAGAACTGGTCAGCCTGTGTCCAGAACTGACTTTGCTATTCTTGATCTCAAACCTCCCCCCCAATCAGCACTTCAGCCATCAATCTCTCCAAATTTATGCGAATTGCCAGAGCAGGAAGCTACACGAAGAATATTGAGTACTTTTTTCAGATCCCCGTTTAGACTCGAGTTTCCCGTTTTAAACCAGGATTTATTTGAAAAGACGATTGAGATTGCATATGGGCCTGTGGATGACAATTCGATGTCACTGGATCAGCTTTCAGCAATAGCCTGTGTTCTCAGTGCTATCTCTTTCGTATCTTGCCACAAAACCAGGGGACAAATACCACTTTCTGTGGATGTGGAATCATGTGCAGCCGAGGCAAACCGTCTTATTTCGTTAATGACAGCAGATATGGATTTGAATAAACTTCAAACGGCTTTATTATTGGTGAGCTCAATACGTCTATCAAACTGGCGTTCATCATGCAGAACAACCAGGCTAAACTAGCATACTAGGGACTACGATGCACATTCCATGGCCATTGGCAAGATGCTGCGTTCTTTCATTCCATTGCATGTCGAATAGTCTGCTTCTTAAAAGGGCACATTGTTCAACCAGCCACCCAATTCATATCTGATAGTTGCCGTGTAAGAGGGGAAGAGAGCCAGCATATTCGAGTACTCTTTTGGTTATGCTACATGCTAGACAAGGACATATCTCTGCGCACAGGCAGTCCCCCCTTCTTGTGGATGATTATTGTGACCTTGATCCTCTCGATACCTCCACATATTACTTCAGCTACCTCCAGGATTTGCCTAGAATCCCTGCAGCCGAAGAAGGATACGAAAACATTATCCCGTTCTTGCCAGCAGACCATCGTTTGAGCCATTTGAAGGAGGCGGTGTACTTGAGACTGTATTCCGCTCGAGCAATGAAAGAGGACGATAACCAGCTTCTTTTCCATATTCGAGAGCTGGACGATCAGATCGAATGCTGGCGCTCCTCAATGCCTGCTAATTTCCGACCAGCTCTCTCGTTGTCTCAAACCACACCACCAGACCCCTCCGAACAAGGTGTCCCATATATAATTCGATGCATGTCTCTACAGCTAGATTACCACCACCTCATGACAATCATTCACACAACGGTGCGAAAATGCACCGCCGAGTCCAGTGATGGAGTTCGAGATCTTCATGACGTGGTTCATTCCAGCTTTGATCTATCGTTGGAAGCCAGCCGCTCAACGTTTTGGTGCTTACGGGTTCTCATCGATTTAATTGCAGAAGATGCATTTCGGTCTGTATTCCTCTCTTTTCTCAAAACCACCATAATTGACTCGAAGATAGGTTCATCACTGCCTATTCCACAACTGCTGCCACTTCACTCTTTCTCAATATTGTAATACATCCGCTCGATAAACAAGCGCAGCACGATTTGGAACTATTGATATCTGCAGCAAACATGATACGTAATATGCCTATGGCGAGTTTAACACAGAGAGAGGCCAATAGAATCCAAGGAACTGCGAGCTTTATGATGAGGTTGGTGTGGCTTGGAAGTTGTGCCGTGACTAAGGTTGAAAGAGAGATCAACTCGGAGATCAATTTAGTATAGAGTCCACCGACTAGGCTAGACCTGTTGACGCCTTTATCAAAATATAATGAAAAACAAAAGATCAAATGAGAATCGGTCAGACTTTATATAATCATGAAATTCATTAGTTCATGAATTCAAGTTTTCAATCCCCGGAAACTATACTAAGCGCTATGCATGAGATATAAAACAGAGTCGAGATGGACAGAATCCATCTTCTAATAAAAACAACGTCAGTATACATTGGTTATGCAAGTGGTCTTCAAGGTACTAAATTCTAAAACATGGTGGAGGCATATTTCGGCGTTTTCGGAGGACGTCCTCCATACTCTGTGGGGCAGCAAACCCGTATCATTGGCTACCCGGGCAGTCTCCCGTAGCTACAGAGCGTAGCGGCGATTCGGAACCTTAGATCTCCGTGATTGTCAGAAAAGACGCTTGAACAACTCATTAGGTGCCTGTCACCCTAGCTAAGCCCTTAGAATTTAGCCATAAATATAGCTTCACCTCCAGGACTCTTTCATATCTACTTGGATTTATCAATCACGCGCAGTGACCAACAATACAATCATTCACTTAACTTCCTTCCGAAATGGGGATCACCGCTCAATGTTACAAGCTTATAGAGGCCGAAGTCCTTCAGCGGTCTTCACACATTGTCTCTGTGGTAGACAACCAAGCAGTGATCTTTGGGGGAGAGCTGCAGCCCCGTGAACCCCGCGATAATGATGTCCACTCGGTGTCTTTGGACAGCGGTAAGTAGCAGGAATCTCCAAAAGCCTCAAAGACAACGATACTGATAAGGCCATTTTGTTAGCTACTACAACCATGAATCTTCAGCCCGCAACACCCGAATTCCCCTCAGCACGCGTCGGTACCGCCTCCGCAGTCTTGAACGGAAAGATCTACCTCTTCTCCGGCCGAGGAGGCATCGCCATGGCCCCCATCGACGAAAACGGCGCGATCTGGGAATACGACTTGTCCACCAAAAGCTGGACCTTCATACAGCCATCGGATATAGGCTCGAAAAAGTATCCCGCCGCCCGCAGCTATCACTGCATGACTAGTGATGGCAAAGACACCCTCTATCTCCACGCAGGATGTCCCGAAAAGGGAAGACTCGGAGACTTATGGGCCTTCAAACTTCTCACCAAAGAATGGACTGAGCTTGCGCCGGCCTTTGATCCCCCTCGTGGGGGTACATCGATTGCTTTTGCTGATGGGAAACTGTATCGCATGAATGGCTTTGATGGGGAGACTGAGCAGGGCGGGAACCTGGATATCTATACGCCGGAGACTAATTCTTGGGATTCACATTCCTATTGCGCGGATGGCAAGGGTGGTCCGACGCCACGGAGTGTCAGCACCTTGTTGCCGATTTCACTTGGGGGGCGATCTTATCTAGTTACTATGTTTGGAGAGCGGGATCCTAGTTCGCTGGGCCATCAGGGTGCCGGGAAGATGTTGAGTGATGTATGGGCCTTCGATCTTGGAAGCAAGATGTGGGGTCAGGCTGATTTGCAGGGAAGTGAGCTTCCACTTGCGCGGGGCTGGTTCGATGCTGATGTTGCGGCCTCCGATGCAATCGTCGTTCACGGTGGGCTGGGAGAATCGAATGAACGACTTGGAGATATCTGGAGACTTGAATTTGCATGAATGAAATTCGGTAGTACATAGGGATGCATCGAAACTTATGTATTCTTATATAAACGCGGTGGTCGATAGCGCGGCTAATAAACCCTGCTTGACGCTGCATGGGAATACAGCATTTCTCAAGTGAACTGTCTATCACGCTTCTCTCCATAGTGATTTGGCACACCAAAAGTCACATTGCTAATGTCACCATAAGAGACCCCAAGCTGTATGCCCGCATTCGTATTGTTGTTACCAAAGGTCACAGTTACCGGTTGCTCTTTCATCTTCGCTGCCATTTGGGAAATAGCCGGCTCCTGGATTTTTGCCAGCAATTCCTTCAGCAGTGCCTGGGATATATCCAACGCTTTCTTCTGTGCTTTGAACTGCCGATATGCTTCATGGTATGCATCTTCAAGCTCGTCATCTTCCAAATCGGCCATGGGCACTTTAAAATCCTTCTTGCGCTGGGCAATGTCTGTCTCTTCCGCATCCCCTCTTTGAATCGCCAATGTGACTTCCTGCTGTTTCCTTTCCCGAGTTTCTTCCGTGATGTGAGAAGTTCGCAAGGTGCTTATGCTATAAGAACCGTACGTGAGTACACAAACTTTAATCTCAAGGTCTCATCCTAGTCCCACATACAGTGTGGCTATACTGACTACTTCGGTGATAGTGACTTGGCAGTTTAGAAGTTTCTTCTCCATAGATTCAATATGATGCTGCTTCCAGAAGCCAATCTTTGATCGGTCCAGTAAGGACAGTGAATCGTGTTTCGAGTGTTTGGTCCAGCGCTGCAGATCGAGTCTGAATTCGTCACACGTTTCACCGCATGTTTTGATGGTCGACTTGGTATTCTCAGCAACACCTAGAGATTCCCATGTTTCATCACCAACTGAATCAAGAGAGACAAGAGATCGCTCGACTGAGCCTATACTTTCTCGCAGGGTGGCAACGTTCTCTGGGGCATCTTTGATCTGCCTCAGGTCCTCTGCTAGCAATCGGACGCCGTGTAAAGCGGGTCCGACGATACCTACGATGCTTGCCGTAATGCTTAGTGGATCGGCCATGGTTTTTTGAGAGATTCAAGGGCCTTGGAGATGAAAGGACCTTGGCGCCTCCGATCGCATAAGAGCGGGGTCTCAGTCACCTGATGAGGTGCCAGATGGGGGCTATCATCTCCCGTGTTGTGAAACAGCATGCATATGTAATTTGTCCAACCTGGGCATAGAACCGGTATGTCTTGTTTATTTTTTCTGGGCAATGAACTGGCTTGCAGGAGTGAGACAATGGCAACTGAGAATTGTATACATCTCAGGTGTCCGAAGTAAGTCCGTTCTGGAGGGTGTTCCTATTTAGTACGTGTGGGGTAGAATTGTTTCAACTGTGTATAAGAATTTGTCGCAGATTCGTAAAGTCATGACGTATTTCATGCGGAGTCATCACCCTCCAAGGCTATTGCTCCTTCATTCTGTGAATTGTTGCGCAAATTAATTAGAGGCGAGACGCTGACCGCAGGCGCCCAAACCAAATCCGAGTTATTACCGACTATATTGCCGAGAGTTTCCCGAGACCGGCGAGCTCGGCAGGCTGACAACGGGATCGAGGTGCCTTGCTGATTGGCCCCTGGAGACATATCTCATGCGGAGAGTCCTCGCTTCCCCTCATGAGGAGACGCAATCGGTCTGACTTGCAGACATTTTTTGATGTGTTAGTCGTCAACTGGCATCCTGTCAAAACTAGATTAAGCAGCCCTCGTAAACACCGCATGTGGCTCTATGCATCGGACTTCACTCGGCACTCCGCAAGGCATACCGGAGTATCGGCAATGAAGCAGCTATCTAGAACAATGTTGCGTCCAATACAGAATATATAAAGTCAATGTTGATTCTCATCTGTTTTGGATATTCACAACAATCGACAACAAAGGCTTCACAAGCCCACACCTCTCACGCATTTATCCCAAGGTTCTCCCTTTACCAAAATCAACCACTCAAAATGGCATTCGTTTCCAACGGCTCTGAGTACGACTTCGTCATCGTGGGCGGCGGTACAGCTGGCAACGCAGTAGCTGGCCGCCTCGCCGAAAACCCCAATGTCCGCATTCTAGTAGTTGAAGCTGGCATCCCAAACCCAGATCAAATCGAAGAAATCACCACCCCAGCCAAGGCTTTCAATCTCCGTGGAAGCAAATATGATTGGGCCTACAAGACGACCATGATCAAGCGCGACGACTACGAGCGAGTCGAAAAGCCCAACACTCGTGGAAAGACCCTGGGTGGAAGTTCATGCGCCAATTACTTCACCTGGATCCCAGGTTCCAAGCCGACCTTTGACGACTGGGAGCAGTTCGGTGGCCAGGATTGGACCTGGGACAACTGCGTCGATTACCTGCGCAAATGTGCGACTTATCACGACGACGAAAAATTGTATCCCAACGAACTGAGCAAGATTGGAACTGGTGGCCCTGTGAACATTGCCCATGCCGATTTGGTGCCCGAAATGCAACCATTTCGCGATGCTCTCACTCAAGCATGGGTTTCTAAGGGCGAAGCTTTGACTGAAGATATCTTCTCCGGTGAGATGAGGGGTCTGACGCACTGTGTGGACACTATCTATGGAGGTCAGCGCCAAGGCAGCTTTTTGTACCTCAAGAACAAGCCCAACGTGACCATTCTCTATGGGGTCCAATCAAAGCGTCTGATCATTGACCCAGAAACTGCTATCTGCTCTGGTGTTACTGTCATCAGTGCTGACTCGGACGCTGAGATCAGCGTCTACGCTAGCCGGGAGGTGATCCTGTCTCAAGGTGTCTTCGAGACCCCTAAGCTCCTCATGCTGAGCGGCATCGGCCCAGCTGCTGAACTCGCCAAACACGGCATCACTCCCATTGTGAAATCTGCCCATGTCGGCCAACATCTTCTGGACCACCCAATCGTGCCCTTCGTGCTCCAAATCAAAGATGGAATGGGTCTAGACGATCACATCATCCGATCCGGCCCCTTGAATGACCAGGCAGTGAGCACATACAAGCGTGACAAGACCGGTCCCATCAGCTCTGGACTCCTAGAGCTAGTGGGATTCCCACGTATCGATCAGCGCCTAGAGAAGTACCCGGCGTACCGCGAGGCCAAGGCAGCAAACGGCGGACTGGATCCCTTCGGACCAGCAGGCCAACCTCATTTCGAGCTTGATTTTGTCGGACTGTTCAGCACAGCCTTCCAATGGCATTACCCAGTTCCCGAAAAGGGAAGCTACATGACTGTCATTGTTGATCTGCTGCGACCCCTGTCTGAGGGTGAAGTTACCCTGAACAGCTCCAACCCTCTTGTGCAGCCAAACATCAACCTGAACTTTTTCGGTAACGATTTGGATATCCTGGCTATGCGAGAAGGTGTTCGTTGGACCTACGATGTCTTGACTAGCGGTGCTGGATTCAAAGACATCGTTGTGAGCGAGTACCCGTGGAAGATGCCTCTTCACTCTGATGAGGAGATGAACCATGCTGTTCTGGATCGAAGCCAGACTGGATTCCGTGAGTGACCTTGACCCCCTTGATACACTCATAACTTTACTGACGTCTTGCAAGACCCTTGTGGTACGGCCCGTCTCTCGAAGAGTATCCACCAGGGTGTGGTTGACTCGAAGCTCCGGGTGCACGGAGTGCGCAACCTGAGGATTGCGGACGCTTCTATCATCCCTGTGATTCCCGATTGCCGTATTCAAAACTCGGTTTATATGATTGGTGAGAAGGTAAGCAGTCTTCTCAGACTCGACTACTCTTTGACAAGACTAACACATATTTAGGGTGCGGATATTATCAAATCTGCTCACAAGGATCTTTATGACGTTCAAATGGTCTCGAGCAAACTGTAAACTTTGCCACCATACTTGAGTCCATATGTTTCTTTCCAGTGTCTTGCCATTTTGTCTCGATTGAGTTATTTGATATTTAGAAAACAGAAGAATCCCGCAGATTAGACCTAAATTCATCCAAAAACCTATGAAAGTAAGGCTGATAATGACCGTTTCAAATATTTTGACACCTGAACGGCCAAACTTTAAGGTCTCTGGCCGTAATGATTCCCAATCTGCTAGTGAACTTACCTTGATATCGGAAAGGTCACCCTTATTAGCCACATGAATGTGAAAAGTAGGAATTGCTTGATTTATTACTTCTGAACTGGAAAGTAAGGAACAAGAAAAGGAAGAAATCCTTTGGCGTTGCCAAGGATAAAGAGAATAATAGGGAGCTTAATTAGCGTAAACTGTGGAATCTGGGGGATTTAATGCATCGATAATATACTCCACCTACTAGTTAGACCCTGGGTGGAAGCTAAAGTTTTGACTCCACTTCAGACATTTACTAACTTAACTGATACGTGTATTATTGAATAGAAAATAACTCATATTCCATATTTCCAAGCATACAAACAATTACCTAAATTGACAATTCCATTCTCTCAGCCTCACATTTCATCCAAATCAGGAGCCCTCTCCGGCTCAGCCTGAGCCTTCTTCGAGGTACTAGTAGCACCTTTGCCACCCTTCGCTTCATAGCCATACAGACTTTCGAAAATATCCCTCTTATGAGCTTCAATAGTAGCCTGCAACAGTTAGTCCCCTTATCAAGATTACCCAAATACCAAAGATCTCCTACCTTATCCCAGGGTCCAGTAGTAGCCTCAGCTTCAGCCTTCCTCTGCTCTAATTCTTGCTTCAGCAACGACGAATTCTCAAAGTCATCGGGGAAGGTAGTGTTGACGAAGACTAGATGAAGAGTATCACCCTGGTCACTAATCAACCGTTAATGTGGGAGGTACAGACAACATACATTGCTCTTCGGCTTTCGGATCTGCGTGGACCTTGTGGTGGACGGACGCCCGTGATAATTGGGCAATTCGGACCGCCGAGGGCCGGAGGAGATGACGTTTTGTTAGAGCTGGATACATTTTGGAAGTCGGACATTTGTTCATCAAAGTATTTGAGAAGCTCTTGATATTTATGTCTGGGCCTCTGTTCACATGGTCACGATGATGATGATGTCAGTAGTCATATGACTCCGTATCAAAGAGCTGGATTGACCAATCAATTTTGTAGATTTGGTTCTAGATTCCGACGTTTAGTTGCTAGAGAAGTAGGGATGGAGGTGTCATTGGAGGATTTCGGGAGCTTCTTGTGGAGGTGGCGACTGGAGATCTCGCTCCATGGTACTTCTATCCCGATACGGCTAGACATGCTTGGTTGTTTAGCTTTAAATATGATAAACCTGTGACAAACAGCCTAATATTCTAGATGCCGTTCATTCAAAAAAATGATTCAACGAGAACCTTTTATCGTCTCCAGCTAGTTAGTGGAGATGCATTTATCAAACCTACGATCTACACAAAATACACTGTCACGAACACAAGCACTCAAGGTTTCCTTTGCGACTAACATTTAAAGAACCAGTATCAAAGCATTAAATAACCCCTCCTAGAAGATAGCCATACAATTAGGCGGACTAGAAACCCCCCTGGCACAGTTCAACGGGCTACTCGAAACAAAAAAGCTCCACCTCCCAAGCCTCTGACAAGTTTCAGCCAGAACATCCAAATCAAACATCTCCCCAATCGGAATCCCCCATCCAGCCAGCAGCCAATGATGCAAATCAAACTCCTCATTCAAAGCCGGGAAAACCTCAAAACTAACCGCATCCGACGCAACGGCCGCAAAATGATTATCCCACATAAACCTCACCACCCTCTCACTCTGCTCAATCCCCGCATGCTGCGGCATAGGCTGCTGACTATATTCCAGCCGCTGCTCAGCAGACATACCCGCCCAGGTATCCGGGAGCCCGACACGGAGGAAAAAGATATCACCGCGCTGGAAGCTGATGTTGCATTCGGCGGCGATCTCTTGCACTTCATCTAGGGTGATGGTTTGGCGGGTAAGTGCGTTGAGGGGGATTCCTCTCTTCTTGGCGTAGGAGACGTAGTCTATTAGGACGCCGCGGCCTGCGATGCCCTTTTTGGCCCAGAAGCCGATGCCGATGCGGGGGGAGTTGGTGTCTTTGATTTCGGTTGCTGTTGTGCCGCCGTGGAAGAGGCGACGGTTTGGGTCTGTTGGAGTTGGAGCTGGGGCGTTGTGGTGTCTGAAACCATCCCATTGGGAGGACTGTTGGGGGTTGAAGTGGTATTCGTCGTCCAAGGCGATACCTTCGGCTACCCATTTGATGTTATGTTCGAATGGCTTGCGGCCGAATCCTGGGCGTGTCATTAGTATCGGAGCCATTGAGTGAGCCTCAGTTTGAGCTTGGGTCCGATTTCTTGCAAGTGTATTTGGCATACCTGGTGGGGTCAAGTTCTCGATATCCCAGTTCAGGCACACGCGCTCGCCGGTCTGGATCTGTGTTCGTGCGGCATCTGCTACTACCTCCGGTGTCAATAGGCGCAGCATGCCCAGACCTTCTTCCTCAGACCCAGGTGCATCAGGCCAATATCGGCGCTTGTCGAGTAGGTCATCGAATTTCTCTGGCAGTGGTGCGGCCATGTTGGTAGGTGGGTTGTAGCACAGATTAGGTAGATGCAATGTTGAACAGGGTTTCAAACAACCTTTACGATATCCCTCAGTGGTTGTAGAGACCTAAAAAGGAATTGGAATGAGAACTGGATTGACTGTTACGGGTAAACAACTGATAAATAGCGGTAAAAGAGACCCAGAGTCGGAGGAAGTCCGGGCTGACGTGGGGATGACCCCGCAACTCAGTCAGCGAGTGGAATGCATAGCTACCATCCTAAGCATTCACCAAGCTTTACCTCGGTTTATCTAGCTTCAACTAAATACTTTAATTCCACTGGATAAGAGATTCAAATGCATGGGTTCATTGTTTAGTACATATCCTCGGGGCTATTTGATATCCAATGCCGCTATAATAAATCTAACTCAAGAGGGAAAAATACAAGATGTATTCGTTGCAAATCAGCAAGTAGGAATAGAATTTACAAGTCATCCAGGTCGTCGTTGGCCTTAGAGCTAGGCTTTTGCATGTCGGACATCTCATACTCTTCCTTGCGGCTTGAGGAACCTGTCCGGTCCGCCGACATGGCCATAGCCTGTCGACCAGTATCGGAGGACTCGAGGAAGTCGCGCAGGCGGCGTTTGCCCTCCACAAGAGCCTGCTGCGATGCTGCCTCGGTCATCTTCAGGATGGGGCCCCACAGGTTAAGCTGGTAGGTGATGTAGGCGCCTACAGCGCACACAAACAGCAGGAAGAAGTAGGCGGGGTTGCGGAGAACTAGATGGCCGTGTTAATCAATGTCGGATGGGATGAAAAGGTATTGAAACTTACCTGCAACAATCTCGTTCCATCCTAGGGCGATCAGCAGGCCATAGAAGTAGAGCGGCACCTGGGTAATGCCACCAATGGCACTCCGCTTGGCCTCAACATACACGCCGTCAGCGGTTTTCTTGAAGCGCACAGTGAGCTCCTGGCGCTTGGCATCGCCAAGGATTGTCATCTCCTCCTCTAGGCTCTTGCCTTCATCCTCATCCACTCCTCCGATCGGAGGCAAATCCTCCTCGTCAGCAGCTGTTGCCGAGCTTGGGGTGTGCCCAATCCACCGGTCCAGTGGCGGTGGTGCGGATGTTTCGACAAGACGGAAGCGAGAAAGAAGAGGAATTAAAGTCAAGGTGGACTCGCGAGCACGAGTGTAGATGCCCTCAATATCATCCGTCGGGCGCCAGATGCGTGGGACACCTTCATCGTCATATCGGAACTTGTCCTCAAAGTTCTCCCGCAGCTTCAGCAACAAGTTGCCTTCGGTCATTTCCTCGTCAATCTTAGCGCGCAGAACGCCCCATGATTTGCGACGCAGGCGCCACAGACCAACGTCAACTTCTTCGAGGCTGGCATCGAAACTACTAGCCCGGTCCGTGAATCTCCGTTCCGCATCAAGAACAGTCTCCACAAATACATTCCAAACGCGATCCCAGAATGCCTTCTCGGTGGGCTTGTCTCCATTCTCTGGGGCGCCACCGCCAGCACGGCCGGAACCAAGGTTGTTAAATTCAAGTCCGACGGATTCACCCAGACGAGACTGCACCCAACGCTCAATACGGCTCGCCAGGCGTCTCATCTCATCCCGCCGCAGGCGAGCACTGGCCTCAGAGAGCTCTTTCTCGTACAGCTTCAACTCTTGCTTGTAATTACTCCAAGATGTGCCTTCCACCACGGTGGATTTAGCAACTTCCATAAACTTCTCCAGCGAGATCTTGGTTTCTTTGTTCACAATTTCAGCGAAATCGTAGTTGCCGCCCTTTTTCTGGCCAGACTTGACGGATTCGGTGACGGTGTCACTGAAATCGCGGATACCGGACTTGTGCGCAGCCGAGAGCTGGCCATGGAACAGAGCCTTCAGTCGAGTATCGACCTTGCCCTCCAGCTCAGCCTTCTTACGCTGGTATACGCCCTTGTGGTACCGACTGGCCTCGACTTCAAAGCCTTTGATAGTCTTGGAGCGGGCTGCCCGCATGGCCGCACCCAACCCTCCGAGCACCTCTGGGGCTCCCAAACGAACAGCCTCTGCTTGCTTGTCCTCAAACGCAGTGATGGCCTCATCAAATCCAATCATAACCTCACGCAGAATTTCATCGCAACGGAACTGAGCGAGCAGTTCTTGTTGTGTAGGAAGATCCAAGTCTTTGTTGTTGACAATCTGGTCCCAGATGCCCTCAGCGTAATGCGAGAATCCATCAGCCGGGATGCGTCGGTGGTACTCGGGTAAGAATACTCCTCCCTCAGAAAATTCGCCTCTGAGCGCATCTCTCTTGGGGTCACGGAAGCCATCGCGGAACCGCAGACCAAGCTTCTTGGTTTCCGCCACAAACTGATCTGGCTGGTAGCCCTTGTGCGGGAGTCCGTAGAACTGGAAATCGAAGTAGTCGTGAATGGTCGACTTCTCCAAGCCAGCTGGCTTTGAGATCGTATCCCAAAGACGAGACAAATCTTCCAATAATGTCTTCTGGAGGTTCTTGAGTGGGGTGGTACCGATAAAGTCGCGGATAACAAAGAAAAGGAGGGATCGGTGCGTAGTACTAGAAACCAATTAGTGCTCTGATCAAGTATCGAGCGAGCGCAATCGAAATTGTCCTTACTTTTTGTCCTTCAGAAATAGTTGCAGGTTCACTTCAAAGACGGTCTTCAGGAGACCCATGTTGGCTCCCTGGTACAGGCCCACCTGGTGCTCCCAAATGTTGACAATGAGTACCTCACTTGTCGCAAGCGCGAAAAGAGCACTCTTGCGCTCGAAATCCTGGTCTTCTCCTCGTTCGCGACCATCGGTACCTTCAACATCCATCACCAAAATATTATCCGCCATGCGCGATCCATCGGCTGTGGCGCTTTCCTCCTGCTTCTTATTTTTCGACAGCCAGATACCCTTGGTGGTCTGTCTGCGCTCCAGCTCTGACATGACAGAGAACTGGGTACCGAAGAGCTGGTTCAACAGGGTGGACTTGCCAGTGGACTGCGAACCAAACACGGAGATGAGGTGGTAATTGAAGCCGGCCGGAGTGACATCTTCGAGGGATAGGTACTTGGAGAGGTTTGGACTGTCGAGTTTCTGTTAGTAGCTGTAGGCGCAGGCCAAGCGTCAACAAATCGAGGGGTCGTACTTGAACTCCTTATCTCCATCGATGACCTGCACACCATGCTCGTAGGCGGCGGCGGCGTCCGCATTGTTACCGATCGTAGCGAAATGTCCGTTTGCCATTACAGGAGGCGCTGTTGGATTTCTGCCCAGTCCCGACGGGCGTTCAGACATCTTCAAAGCGTTCCCTTGAGGGTGTGGTGTTGTGGGGACAGATCGCCGATGAGGAGTGGCGAGAACAAGGAGAGCGGGAACTAGGAGGTTGGGGGGAGGAAGGTGGATCAAGTAAACACCTGCGCCAATACAGCGGGTCGATCACAAGGCCGATGCACAAGTGCAATTAAAAAAGTCCGAGGTCGTCAGTAATGACTCTGAGCTCGGTGACTCGTGAACTCAAGATGAATTGTTGAGACCAATAACGTTTAATTACATAACCAGTGTCTTTGTGACCTATGCGAATGACTACATGTCATTTACTCCAGAACCCCAAAACTTCGGACTCTAAAGGCGCAAAGTGTATCTAAACCATTATTAGAAGACTAATAGAATACTACGTACCTCGTATGTGTTTTAAGCGACAAGAAATTATTATTGAGGCTCGGGCTGCAAGAATGTATGCACTATGACGATTTCACAGTTTAGCTACACGTATCCGTCGCTAGTGTCTATGTCTTCCAAGGTTCAAACTAATCCAAATATTCCTTCCACTGTGCAACTTGAAAGCCCTGAAATTATTGTTAGCTTGGGCTTTGTGGCGTTTGAAAGTTAATCCAAGTATCCACATATAACCTCAGTTACACTCCCCTCAAGCGATGACGTAAGAATTAAAGAGGACACGCTGAGAAGACTGCATATATTTGTGGACCGTAAGCATCCAGCCTAACATATGGGTGCATCAAGCCTAGAGGAGATAGGAGATACCACTATTGAATTTCCAGAGGATTCAACGCTCTGCATATGCTTACCGCCGGAGAAAAGCATTCCACTTTGGAGCTCAGTCTTTTCATAATTCACATTGATCATAATTGACATTGATAATAGATTAGCCATTTTTGATACTTACCATTACAGAATAAAACTTTGGTTCTATCTGAGACTTCTGTGCCGACATAGAAAACTCAATGCCTTTTAGTTGCCAAGACCTAGAAGATTGACATTCTGATTTGATTAAGCTTGACATATAGAATGTCTGTCCGACTGCGAGATTCAAAACACTATATATTTCAGTTGCGGTAGCTTCATAATATTCTCCAATAGCGTTCAAGCCCAAAGCGTTCAACACGGGAAGTGGTGTCTGATATGTGAACACCGCAAAATCAAAGTAAGATTTAGCCCTTTGGCTTAGCTACCAGATTAGCACAATTTATCCTTCATTGGCTGATTACGATGTTGCGGCATCTACGGTAGTTGCTCAACTAACGGTTGTACTGATGACTGGACAAATAGTTGCCCGTGATGTTGGAATACTCGGCCGCTGAAACCGTCGTGGGTCAAGTGCAAGATACGATAGGCCAACCTTTGCGGATATGTAAGCATCGGATACAAGTGTGAAGCAAATCAGTATCTTGATGACAGTGGTGATTAACGTATTATGTTTTCTGCAGGCTTTCAGAAATGCTGCGGGTTTTGATGGGCTAAGATACATCCTTTCAAGTTAAGTGACCCACCCGCAAGAGGCAACTGGATTTCCTTTAGTGGGTAAAGGGCTATTGAAATGAATATCACTGGAGAAGTTATAATTCTTGCGTAAAATTATCATGATCGGGGGGAGGAGAGATAACTCAATAGAGCAACCCATATGCTGAATATCATACTGAGAAGCTTGAGGAGAGCCTACGAATCAGGCTTTAGCTCCTGTATTATGATTATTATCATTCTTAGGCAATTCTCCTGATGCCCTCTGGTCACCTTGTTAAGTGCAGCTAGCAAGGTGCGATGAAAAGAAAATTGGTAAGTTATCCAAATTCACCTATATGGAAACATATAGTTAATTATATTCTTCTAAGTCATGCGTGGGTAGCTTCATGCTCCTTTGAAAACTTTGCATTAGGCAAATATCGGTCCCATTGCTGTGTTAAGGGACGGCCACGCCAGCACTTCAGGGCCATACAGGATGTTTGAGTGCAGAACAGTGGTGTTTAGGGCATTTAGGTAAAGAGCTGAAGCTTAATGAAGGGACTGAAGATCCCACTCTCGACAGCAATTCCCTTTATAGAGTGGAAATTCGGCCTGCGTAAACATCTGACTCTATGGGATGCCGGGATGTGGCAAGACAGTCACCTTGATCTGCCCGACATAACCGGCATGCTAATATCCATGACTTGGGGCCCTTGCACAGACAGTGCGGCCAAATTCAGCCAATCAATGTGGGGCAACAATGACCTGATGTAGCCAGGGTGGCATAAGGAGAAGTTCCCTCCCACACCCTTTATAATCTCAAATGCCTCAATATCCATATATAAATGGTTCTTTGTTAAATCAGTCTAGTTGCCATTTCCCAGCACTCAAATGATGGCGCCCCTTGAAAAGCCGTCGCTGTCAACTGCCATCCAAACTCAAGGGATAATGCACCCTGAAGCTGTTGAGACTTACGGCAAGAGTAAAGTTATTTTAAGCATCGGGTAAGCTGAGGATTGATTTTGGAATTATAACACTTTTTTCTAATCTCACTACCACTCAATAGGAATGGCGGACCGGGTATGTGCACAAATTGATGCTCGAATCTGCTTTCTTTTTAGACTAACAAGTTATCAGGTGCTACTGGTCTTTTAAAGGCACTAGCGGAAGATTATCTTGCTACTAGAGAGGACGATGGGCTCGATAGAATGGATATGCAACCACTCGCGCAATAGTCAGCTCGCCATGCTCATGGGACATGTCGATCTAGCCCTGACTTACGAGCGCGACCAGGAGCAGATCTCCGTTGCGGAAAAATGGGCTGTCAATGCAGGCTGTGTTTCCCATGATCACTTCTGTGTAGTTTGTCCATTTGATGATCCGGCGATTATCAAAGACGCAAAGTCACCCCAAGAAGCATTTTAACGAATCGCCAGAACCCAAAGCCTTTTCCATAGTCGAGCAGATGATCAGCAACAATGCACAAGGAGCACAGTATTTGGCAAGGGGCTCATTTGGCACCTTGGAAAGATGAAACCACCTCTAACTGGTACAAAACGATCTCCCAGAGTCCAGCAGATGCTCTAATTGAGGCTGATGCTTGTGGGCATATCTACTCATCGACCGATCTACACTTCTCGCTCAAACCATTTGCCAGAGTGTAGTGGCATCTACTGTTTATTTTGAACCTACAAATCCTGATCATGTTTTGATGAACTCCTGTCATGCTTTATATCCCCCTCATGCGCCACTAGAGACTCGAACTGAGATCAACAATTTTCTTGCCTACGTCCGCTCACCACGCGGGCAGCGAGTCATTGCTCAGTTCGGCAAAGATCAGAGCGGACTATCTCTTTTCGCCCCCATCGTTGAGAGGGCAGCGAGGCCTGAGCTCACGGGGGGTATGCCAGATTTTCTAGTGATTATATTATTATTAATATAATAGCACGGTGTATACTATAGCTTATATTATCACTTATATCTAATCTAACTATATAAGGCCTATGCCTTAATAGGCTAGAACTAGTGTGGAAACGTGATGGGGTGACAAGAGATAGCCATAATTTCGAATTATTTGCTAGGCCCCCTAGGCTATAAGGACCATAATTAATTAGTTACTTATAACGAGATCAGAAGTGCCTCTCCAGCTCCAATCAACACCCGGCCCTTATGTACCTTCTCAGTGACTCGCCGCCCGACGATTTCACCAGTTGCATCGACCATCTGCCCCGCAAAAGAAATGTTGCTAGCAATTTCCACCCCCGGACTAGTGAATCTTGAGACCACCCCCGCAGACAGTGAAGACGGCAACTCGACAGCCGTGAATGGCCGCTGAGACGCAAGCTGAGTCGAGTTCCACATGGCAAGATTGATCAGAACAACTGACTTAAGGGTCTCTTTACCTTCGTATACGGCATAGGCCGTGAAAGAAGTCTCGTTGATCAGAACCTCGATCTGCTTGTTTCCGCCTGCAAAAGCCGTCGCCGTAAACAAATTCCCATAGTAAAGTGGCTTGACGTGGGCGCCGACACCATCCCACTCGACTGGCTGCCACGGACTATACCTGTATCGTGTACCCATGTGGTAGTACATTCGAGAAACGGGAAGAGCCGCCACATAGAGCGTGTAATCGATCGCCCAAAGTGCAGCCGCATATACATCGGATATTCCAGCCGTACCCTGGCAAGAAATCGTATTGGTTTCGCCCAGCACGTAGGGCACACCAACAGATGCGGCATAGCTCCCGAGCACTTCATGATAATACATCAGCGACGTCATATGGAAGTGATTCAAGAGGTTTCCTGCAATAGTGGGTGTTGGCGAGCCCTCACAGGCGGCGCCCATATACTAGTGAAGCATTGTGAGCGACTACGTAGAAGGGATCTTATAGGGTAAAAACATACGTCGTGGTCAGCAACCGTCTTAATATTTCCCGCCTCGGCAATTCCAGATTGCAATGCACTCTCAACATTCCAGTACGGTGTCTCGTTATAGCCCAGTCGACGAGGTGCCTCAAAGTTGCAGCCTTGGAACAGGGGTTCGCTTTTCTTATCAAGCCTAGAACCGATATCCTGACTAGAGATGGCCGCAGCATACTGCTTCCACTGCTCGACATAGCTAGGAACCGTCCAGTTGCAAGGACGGTGGCTAGTGCAGGGAAACCCTCGAATAAAGTCAGCAGATATCTTTATCTCGATTTAGGGAAAGTACCGTCAACTTCATTGCCAATTTCGAACGCATATAGATCATCTTGAATTGCATCAAACGCGTATCTAGCTTCGAGCACTGTCTGGAGTAGCCCGTCTTCTCCGTCATTAAAATTCAGTCCGTAGATGTACTTTGTACCCTTTGGGAATTGATGGAATGACTGCATCCATGCCGGTCCAATACTCAGACTGCTTGGCTGGTCTGCGTTTGCCGGATCGAAATCTTCAATGAGCGCCTGTGATTGATTTGCGACAAAAATGGCTCGATTCTCGGTAGTTCCTCCGGCACGAATTATTGGGTATGCTCCCGAAATCTCATAGAGGTTTTGTAGCAGCTTTTTGGACAATGTATTTGGTGAGCTGTTGGTAAGTCAAAGGTTAGTGGTTGCCACATGTCCATGCAATGGGTCGCATACGAGTCATTACCCGCATAATCTAGCATGTATGAGAATTCAATCGAATAAGACTGGAAGTTTCCATCAACGGTTTGTCGGCTCAGCGATGGAGCCTGAGGGATAGAGAGTTTTCTGGTTTCTATTCCTGAGTCTACCGTGCGAATCGTAGCCGATAGAACAGTGTGAATGATCACAGAGATCCATAGCAAAATCCGAGAATCTGCCATAGCTGATAATAAGGGTGTTCTCAAAAAATGTGTGCAAAATAGCCAGCCCTTCGATGATAGTGGCCAAGTCCTCTAGCTTTTATATAGTCTGCCATGGGTTTAATGATCGATGTCTCGGTGTCATTCAAACCGAGAAGCGGTATCTGAATTTACTATGCTCATTCGTGCAATATCTCATGAACAGCTAGTGTTTGGTATCTGGGTATTTATCGGCGTTTGAATCCATTGCCGGTCCTTGAATTAGAAATGCGGGGTTTAAAGATCTGCGGATCCGGGGGAAATGGACCACCAGTCTAATTTTGAGTTTGCTGATGATGTATCCTTCACCTCGGACAAGCATATCCCGAGGAGAAGATAAGAAGCAAGGCGAATGATTTAGCGTGGTAATTCTAAAAAGGGGGATAAGCATCATCTGTACCGATCTGTCACAGCAATTGTTGACACTTTTGTTAGGGTCCGTCACAATCATTGTAGTTTGCTTTATTAACATATTTTTGAGACTCCTAATGATATTTCGACGACGGAAGATTAATTCGCGGCATGCAATGGTCTCTCCTTGGAACCTGCTTTCCCACGTTTTTAAGCGCAACAACGTGGCGAGTTTTCCCCACTCCCATCTCTTTTGTTTGCGAAGGTGAGGCGTTGTATATGTCGTCTCGATGATACAGCGGCTTGGACAGGGGATGTTAGTGGAGCGCTAATCTCGAGATAATTTGGTTGTCAAAATGTATGAGAGAATGATTAGCTTATTTATGAAGCTAGAGTTACGATACGTTTAATGTATGACAGCCGATGTCGGTTCTGACAGATGAAAAAGAATGACAGCAAATAAAGTAGCCAAAAAAAAACATCGAAAATAAAAAAGCCATTTTGTCTGTTCCAGCTCGATCTGCTCTGCGAGCCTGATGGCCCGGCTGGTTTGGTGACAAGGGAGACCGTTGGCTTGATAAGAAGCAATTCTCGCAACCCTCCCGTCTGCGAGGTACCGGCACCGTGTGTCCACTTCACCTCCTGAGCCTCATGTGATTGCTTCGGCTCTCCTCAGCCTTGGACAGCGCCGTAGGTGGCGGGGCCAGAGTAGGACAGAAGGGTCGATGTCGGCGTTTGCCCAGGGAAAAAGGAGGTCGCCAAGGGGGGGATCGTAAAGGACGCAGTGGGACTGAGTTCGGATGTAAACTCGCCGGCCATGGTACCGGGCAGTGACCAGCTCCTGTGGGGCAACGTCAGAATGGGGTCGCACATGTGAGTTGTCTACCACATGAGAAACGGGATGTGACCTCACGGAGGAGGCTGGCGATGGAGACTTACGATACGGTCGACACAATGGAAGAAGTGGTATAGGTGCTCAGCGACGTGGAGCCGCTCTTCAAGCAGGCCCCAGATCCGTAGGCATTCTGGCAGCTCCACTCGACAGAATCCCCGTCGCTGGTCCAGAGGTGGACGCCATCAAGGATGATATCGTAGCAAGGCACGTCGGGATCGCATTCAAGGCGGATGGTGGGTCGAGAGTTATCGGAGTTATATCCATACCAGTCCTAGAAATTTTGCAACAAAGCAATAAGTCAGTGTTGACCTGTTCTTAGGTAACCATCACGGGTTGGCGCAAAAATGCTCACCTTGAAACTTAGGTCACTGATTTGCACACCAATACCAGTACCAGCATCGCCCCAGGCTTCGTCGATGGCTAAGGGGTAGGCACTGCCATTAACGTAGACAGTGTCCCAGCTGATGGACGAGACAGTGCCATTGCCACCGTTGGTCTTGATGAAGCACGCGTCGGCCCCGTTCATATACAGGTTCTGGTAGGTGATGTTCTGGACCATAGTGTCGCTACCCAGGGAACCAATGGCCGTGCCGCCGCTCAGATTGCAAAAGATAGAGCCAATGCGGAAGTTGGAGGATGGTGACTTGACCGTGACGCACTCGTCACCGTTGGTGATTTCGACATCGTGGACCCAGATATTAGAACCCGAGACGTCGAAGGCGTCAGTCTCACCGATGGTTGACACACCACGGATGAGCATGTTATACGCTTCGAGGCTTGTGCAGGTTTTAATCACGACGTAGTAAGCGGGTGAGTCGACCAGGGTGAGACCGTGGATAGAAGCATTGTTGATGTTGTGAAACAGGAGTAAGCGCGTACCGTAGTTGCCATCCTTGAGGTACTCGTAACCATAGCCTTGGAGGGCACCCTTGGAATTGCCGCTAAACAATTCAAAGTTCACAAGGTTAGTGAAGGAGAAGAAGTAGTCCCCTGAGACGTCACCGTCGCGATAGACAGTGCCGTCCCACTGCACGGCCATGTCGTCAGCATCCTTGACATTCACACCGGTCGAGATGGGATACTCGCCCGGGGGGATGTACACGAGGCCACCACCAGCTTCAGCACAGGCATCCCAAGCGCTAGTGAAAGCTGGTCCAAAGTCTGCGCTGGACGAGGCGCCGTAGTCCGTGACGTCGCAGAGCATGACATCAGCCTTGTGCACGAAGCTGCTGGTGGGCCCGACGGTGCCGGAGAGGTCGGCATTCACCAAGCTGATGCCGAGAGGCAGGAGCACGCTGAAGGTTTTTTGAAGCATTCTGGGCAAGCTACTGTGGTGAGAGTCGCCCTTTGTTTACCAAACAAGCTGCAACTATCTGTCGGTTCTCTTGGGCTGGGCGAAAGTGGCAATTTACAATTAGCGTCATAAAACAGATATGTCGAAATTGTCATGTATAATGAGAACACAAAGAGAAAATGAACGTAGGGTTTAAGGAGACAAAAGAGAAAAGGAAGTCTGGCCCGAACAAGAGAGTTTTGTAGTTGAAAAACTTGGTCCGGAGACAGACCACTGACACTACTTCGGTGCCAGATACCACGAGCTCTGTACCCCTCAATTTCTACTAGTTTTATTCACGTCGAACTATGCGCAGTATTTTCCACAAATCAAGTCTATTTAGCATTGACTCTCTCTCTCAGGATCGAAGTCCTCCCGGAACGGTCGTGCATCGCGCACTAAAAACGTCCGTGCGCCAGGGGCGGCAGGCGGTGGCGGCGAATGTCCGCGAAACTCGTCGGCCATTGGCCCCGACCGCTTCCCCGGGTGGTGTGGGTAGGGAGCATTGTGGTACCGGTCGGTCATTAGCGCGTGTGTGGCTGCCCACCTTTTAAGTTAGGTCCTCCTTACCCGCGAATCTAACTCCGCCTCTATAACACCTAGTAACTCTATATCCTCTATTCTATAGTCCTCTACTACCGCTACCTCTATAACTATATTAGTAATATCATCAGCAATATTATCCTTCCCCGTTACATTAGGCATAACAGGAGTTACTACGAATTTATGCCCCGGGCAGAACCTAACTATAATTACCGGCTTAGACGGATCGATATTCACTTTACTATACGCCATTAACTAGCCAAAGGGCGTTATCTCATCATCCAGCAATGGAACAGTTAGTGATCTAGGTTTTCCATCAATAGAGTATAGTTTAAGATCCTGGGTCAGGGAGGAAACTGTTTTTTGAAAAGTAGTGTTGGGAAGTATTTCCCTAATCCGGAAACAGGTATATCCGCGGGGCTCCTGGGCAGTTGAGGTACTGCTTAGGCCAGCGGTGTCAATTATGTACAATTAAGAGAAACTACGTGATGATCTATCCTGTAGTGCCATAAGAGTCGAATCAAATAAGAGGAACTCAAAGAATGGGCTGCTGAATTATCGGCTCACTTTGGCTGTTAATTAGTCAGGAGTAGCAAATAGGATGTCATAGCCAAGCAGTTAAATTTTTGTCTGATTTTCGAGACAAAGGCACTCAATAAGCATCTACATTGAAAGTTACGATATCATAGATATTCCAACGGAAACAAACCCCGTGACATGGAAAAAGAGTCTCAAGGTTCATGTGCGAGTGCTTCAACTATGACAGTCCTGACAGCAATACAGAAGACACCATTGCTTGGCGACTGTGATAATTGCAGGCAAAACACACCTGTGCTTTCGTTATAGGCAAGATGTCAACGATGTCGACGTGGCACAGCAATCGTGAAAACCCGTGAGATTCAGAGACAATACTTGACGATCGTAAGAGACGGTTAGGTGTGACTGTGTTGACAAATCGGATCGATCGCCTTCTCCGGGATCGTATGCCCTGATCTAATATCAGGAGCCCTATATCAAGCCCCACCTAGCACATGAAGCCCGAAGTAATACAAGACACTGCGCCAGTTATAGTACGCTGTTGTGATCTAAGGAGCATGAAAAGCATGAAACAGGAAGGTACTAGCTGGCTACATGTGTAAGGCATGTGAATACTTACCCCTCTATTGAGCCCCAAATTTTCCCTTGACTAGTTCGATTTACCTTTTGGTATATGAAGCTCTCTGCCCACTTGATACCTGCATTCCTCGTGCGACGCAACAATATTGTCAAAATCAGCATTCTCAATCTGTTTTGAAAATCATATCAAGGCAAGGAAAAAGTCAGAAATATGAAGGTATTGACTATCCTTTCCGCCGTTATCTTCGCCACATTTGTGGTAGCAAGTCCTGTGAATGAGGCGGAAAATGGACTTAACCACCAGCTCGAAAAAGGAGCGGTATGAACACGAGATTTAGAGTTCATTTTGAATGACTTCAAGAATACAGGGCTGACTGAGATAAATTGGGGATAGGATGTAAGTGATTGAACCTATCTCATATTCGTTGACCGCTGCGAAGCTCCGAAGCGATGAACATCGAATTTCGTCGACCAAGTGGCGTTTTCTTCTAGCGAGATAAGAGCAAGATTCGGAGATTCCTGTTGAAGTAAGCTTTGTGAAGCTTTTGCGAAGCTTTTAGCGTAGCCTTGTCCGAGTGGGGAATCACATGCGGAAGGTTTTGCGCCCTGAATGATCCGGAGGTTCACCCGTGAGCGACAGCTTGGCAAATCACAGGTGAATGAAGTGGGCCTTTTGGGGCCGCATCTCGGGAACCACGGATAAGACGGAGATAACCGAGAACAGAGGGACCACGTTGATACAGAACAGTGTCGAGTTTTCCTCATCTCTGCATGTTTATTAATTACGCCTCAGTCCTACAGTACTGTAGGATCATGGACGTTCCCCGAACCCTGTAGCCGATGTGCATACAGTGCTGCTAACTGGATCGAACGGGGGATTCCGTGTGATTGGTCGTCACTGTTCGGAAAACCTGCTTGACCACGAAGCCACGATCGGTGCAATTTCGATTGTAGCAGGGCAGCGTGATCATTGGTTGTGCATTGCAAAACGGGTCCCTGAGTCCCTGAGTCCCGTGCGAATCCAACTTAAACTAACGCCTCCCCCGGGAGGCGGAAAGGTTCTCCGAAAAGACTGCAAGGATTTACATAACGTAATTCACATGCGAGCGGGACCACCCCAAGACACATAGTAAATGGAATAAATTATAACTTGATAATTCAAAAACAACCCATGTAGATCGCATAAAATTGTCGGTGCTGTCTCTCTTAGAAAGCTTTGGTTTGCCTTTGAAGTTTGGTGGATTTTGATGGAGGTTTATCATAGCGATATCCTACTACTGTGCACGAGGATGAAGTTGTGGGCAGTCAAACCCCGAGGGGCTTTTTCTTGGAGGAGATCGGACATCTGCGGGTACGTAGTACACAATGCAAATAATAACATAAGAATAGAAAACCCAAGCAATAAAAAACAGGTCTCTTGAAACATCTGAGGTCGTCTGGACAATCCAGAATAGGTAGCAGCCCATTGCGTGCTCTATATACTCCTTCGAGATTAATTAAGTGGGCGAGCTTAGGCCAACCAGGGCTTTGGTCCGCAGGCGAGCGCATGCTAAGATGGGGCTATTGTAATTAGGCGAGCAAAAAAAAAAAAAAAAAAAAAAAAAACAAAGGAAAGGAAAAAAGGAAAAACACTGTGAAGTCCGCGAAACAAGATTGATATAATGGAAAGGTACTAAATACAAATATTACGACTAGTGGCTACTACCGATGGAAATAAGACCCGCGGCCTTTTCCTTGATAGGGGTTGTAGTGCATCACCCCCTTCTTCTCACCCACAATGAATCAAGTTGGTCACCGTGGCCAGTAGCATCAACAAGACCGGTGCTGTGGCCAAACGCGATCGACCCGCAGGATTGCTGGCAGACGTCGCGCTGGGACAGGTCACATTCGCATTCCGCGATAAGGGCGTATAGACTGGAGGTGGCTGTCGAGTTGATGGTCACGGCGCGCGGATTGGTGGTAGGAGTCGGGCCGAGGTCACCACAAACATCTCCGAAGGATGTGACTTTAAACGCATATGCTTCCATCGTGCCACATTCATCGGCAGAAGTGGCGGCCACCAGATCGGGTTCCCGGCCCGACTTTGCTGATGGTAAAGATGGCGAAATCACTTCGCGTGATGTCGTGATAGTGGCCCTCAAGCTGAGAGCAATTGTAGACACTCAGGCTCCACGCCAGGGTCCAATCCCCATCCGGGTAGGCAACGGTGTTGACGAATTCCGAGACCAGATGAGGTTCACTGGACGAAAAGTCCATCAGACTCAGCTCAAAAAGTCCCCCGCCGATGGAGCCGGGGGAGGTCTGGTTGTTGCCTTCCCACAGGCTCCAGGTAATTGAGGCCGTCAATGGGGAAGCCAGACTTGGATTTTGCAGCGCCCACACGATGGGCGTCAGCGCCTGAGGGGAATAAGTAGCATTGCGTGGGAATAACAAGTCCACTTCAAAGATGCCCGGGCTGGCAGTAATGCTCATCGTGGTGGTCGGGCCAGCTATCGACGCAGGGCAGAGACGTTGAAAATGTAAGTCTAGTGAGTAGCAATGAAGGAGGTACAAGGGAGACAGTATCAGGCACAATGACTTGACGGGGTAGAAAGAAAGGGCAGACCATAGGATATCTACTTTGACGGGAGAATTTTTGGGACGTACCATACAGAGAGCTGCATAGTTTACCTTAGTTTACCTTAGGGTTCCTTAGTGTACCGTGGTATACGAAGTCCACTTCCCTTGACCCCCGGGGCCGCGCTAGTATCACCTGGGATCTATATTTGCTTCGCGAGCTTCCACTCCGATTTCCATCTCCACGAGCACCCCTAGTGAGGCGCACTGCCTCCGATGAGGATATAATCAAATGACAAATCGACCACGGATCATCCTATAAAGCTCATGGGTTCATTGCCCATCGTGAACGAAGAGCAGTAAGCAAACCCAGCATTGGGTGTGCCAGGTTTCTATCCGTTTTTTTTCTGTTCCATAATCCAAGTCGTCTCCGGTGAGAGCTGTGGTCCTTTGGCGTCGACATGTGGTATCACACCAACCGAGTTCACTCAGTACAATAACGCAACGCTAGATTTCTGTCTTTTTCCACTACACAACGACGTCAATAAATCTGCGTCGTGAAATATCATTCCTTTCCTTCTTCTATTGTTAACAAGAGAAGAGTCATCCACAATCAGAAGGGCTACATTAAGGTCCTAGCACAAGATAACTATCTATTAGGCAGGGAAGCTGACGAAGTCACTAGCAAACAAAGCCTGCATCATACAATTCGGCTTTGTAGGAGACTCATACATTCTGTTCTGTAGAGTTGGACTGAAATTTGAGAACCATTCGCCTCCTGAGCACCTAGAGGCTCGATGGATCATGCCATTGAACACGACTGGTATCCCCCTCGCTCCACCAGCCTCTTCCACCATTAAGATGGATATCTGATCGTATCTCGAATGAATTAAGCTGTTGGGCATATTCCTGATCGTAGTTCTCATCATCGAATGTTTACCACTCAATAGACTTCTGAGAACCGTCAAAGCTAGTCATATCCTGTTTACGCGAAAGATTCATCATCACGTACCCAACCTTCCGGCTGGCCCGATAAGGCTCAGCTAATACGTACTGGGTGCTATGATCTCCCTCATGGGCCTGAAACCATATTTCTGCTGGACCGGTGTCAGGGTCGCACGCGGCATATTGGCTTGGTAATTGACGCAATTGATGCATAGCGTGATCGTCGAGTTCATCTGTCCCTCCAAGATACAAATCATTCAATTCAATCAAACAGTCTGCCAGAGCCGGCTGAGTATTAGCGAGTGAGAGCTTTTCATCCAGTAAACGGTGTCGCTCTTCATAGGTGGAAGCTGTTGTCACTTTTTCGAGGTATTTGACACCTAGTGAGAGCTTCGGTAGCGTTAGCGTTGAAGGAGAAAAACATCACTGTGAATTTGGTTCAACTCACGTAACCCTGTATCCATGAGCTTTCATCCCCAACCCAAGGAATGGAAAGTTCACCAAAGTTGATGTCATGAGCGGCCACTTCATTGAAGGCTGAATAGTAATGTTAGGAACGTAATCATTCAAGGTGAAGAGAAACCATACCGAGCTTCAATTCTTCAAGAAGAAATTCAAGAACACAGGCAAGCTGCTCGTTTTCCCAAGGCGTAAATTGTTTGAAAAATACATCGAGCTGATCATTGAGCGACAACCGAGACCGAGATTGTCCAAATAGAGAGCAATAAACTTCATAAGTATAGAAGCTACGCTCTATGCGATATATCTCCGAATGACTGAATGAGCGCATCGAGCTTTTGAGAGGCTTCTCGTCCTGAAGATGGGACAAAGCCTGCGCTGAATATTTCGTAGTGAACTTTTGAATCGCCTTGTGAAGATCCGTGACATGCAGAGCCTCACGGAGGGCTATTCGTGCTAGCTGCTCACTAGCTTGAGAAGTTGTGCCAGAGAAACATCTCTCAAGGATCAAGGAAACATCCTTGTGATGAAGTTTAATGCGAGGGGCTCTATCGAGCTCAAGAAAGGCTGCCGCATACGGCAGGAGTTTAGAATCGATTTGCTTGTGTAACACGTAGGCAACGATGGTGTTGTCTTCTTGAAGTGCCTCGTATAATGATCTACTGCTTTGAATGGCGGACAAAACGTCCTCAATCATGGGCAATTGACGCAGGATATAGCTGCGAAGCTCCACAGGGGTACTCGGTATTCCGCAAGTACTCATGGCGGTTATCACGAACTCGGCGGTATACGAATGCTTGGGCAGATGAATGACATATATGAAGAGTGATGTGGCTCACAAATTTCCAAGATAACTTGACAATGGATAGATGGGCGGCCGTCCAAGCGGTAGATTTGCAAAACTTGAACTGGAGAATAAACCGAGACCACCTGCATCCATAACAGCTACGATGGTCAGGCGATACTAACTAACTATTGGAATTCATGATTAGCTAATGTGTGGATCCGGGCACTGGCCGAGCCGGTGCTGACATGAATATCGAATGCCTGACTGCGGCCGACAAGCCAACATTCCAGGAAAGGACTGGACTACAAAGAAAGGTGATCCTAATTTGCATTCAGTATTTTGTAATCTGGTCTTTTATGTGCGCAAAGGTCAAAACACGAGGTATCTCATCAACAGCGCCTTCTGACTTTTGACAGCTGAGCACTTTTATCTGAACAGTACAACCAGAAAGGATATAGAAAGGATATCATGAATGGCTCATGTAGAAAGTATCTGATATGTAAATACACAATCCCAATACAATATGTGTGTATGTATGGCATGATTTACCCTGACCCCTCACCGCAAGAGAGATGCACAGGCAATCATAATAATATATACATGTGGGGTGTGCCACCTGCACTTCCTGGAAAAACTCAGTACCTAGGCGAGGCTTTTTATGGCAAGATTGCCATTCATGTTATCAGATTGCCCTCGCGGCGCACCATTTCGGACCGTTGTGACGCTTCTGCAAAGCCCAATACGGCACGGCATCGACCGTCTTAGAATGTGAGGCGTGATCCAGCTGACCCCTTCTTTCTCCTAGAGAACCCCTCAGCAAGTTCGACACGCTATTGCTTGCGTCGCCAATTTTTCCCTGCAACTCACCAAACACGTACTGAAAACCTCAATCGAGGCCTCGCTCACAAAGTTCCTCCAGGCTGGATATTGAGCCATAGGGATAATTGAAACCCTATCACCTACCTGAAGCTTTTCCAACCAGCCCCTCTGCTTGACCGCCGATTCACCGTATATTATCTGATGACGCCTCAACTTCCTGCTTGCGTGAATATTGGTCGTCAAGACGCGCTCTCCCTCTTTAATATTAATAGGCGGTCTGTGAGGTAGCTGTTCGATGCCGACGTCGAACCAAGTGAAGGAGGACTCGAAAGTACCATGGAATTCAGGATAGGAGCTGAAGCCTTGGTCATGACTCCAGATTACAAACTGGACCTCCCGCACGGGTCTGTCTTTTCCACCTCGGATGGGCTCAGAGATCAAATATGGCCGACGATCTTGACATTCTTTCTCATCGCAGCTTACTAGCCCACTCTGGGATGTTTGAGATCGCAGCCAATATCTTGCCAAGTCTAGAATCCGAAGCAATATCGGTTGTGGGGGCCTGTGTGGAGCCCACGCTAGCTGTAGAACCCAATAAACCTCAAAAATATCACGGGGATGTCTAGGCCAGTAGATGGATGGCTGTGTTGGCATCACTGGGTCAACTTTTTCCATACTTTCCATAATCGTATTAGCAGCTTGAAGTCTCTGGATGGCACCAGAACAATGATTCTCAACTGCGAGCGCGAGTGGCGTTAAAGACGCTTCATTTTTGATATCCACGGTAGAGTGATTTGCAAGTAGCAAGTCAATCATTTCCATGTTTTCATCAATAATTGCGTCATGTAATGGAGTGCAGCCATCCATAGATCTTGCATTGACATCTGCACCGGCCTGGAGCAGCATCATTCCAATCTGCGGTGGATGTTTGGATGCTAGATGCAAAGCTGAACGACCATCGTTACGTCGAGCCGACACTGAGGCACCGACACTAAGAAGCAGATCAACAACGCTCAGCTTATCCCCTGTCGTGGCACATGCGTGCAAAAGTGGTGTCTCCCTACCCGGGACACCCTGAGGACTGGAGTCGTGCTTAGCTCCATGCTCAAGTAGGAGCTTGACCAGGGCTGCATTGCCACAGATGGCAGCCCAATGAAGAGGAGGGCGAGGATGACCTTGATCTATCACAGCCTCTGCACCGTGCTTTAACAGTAACGAGACGAAAGGAAGACAGAATGGATCTTGGGGAAAAGAGCTTTGGCAGACCAATGCTAAGAAGTTGTTGTTACAATCCCGAGATATCCTCGCGCCTGCGTCGAGCAAGATTTGTCCAGCAATGTATGGTACTGGATATACTGTGGGCCAAGCCGAAGGTCGACTTGTCCACTGTAGGGGAGTCATGTTGTGCCAGCCTGTTGCATTTACGTCTGCTCCATGTCGTAGCAAAACCCTCATGCTGTCGAATGAATCACCAATGGCAGCAAGAGAGAGAGGTGGCTGCCTTGTGTGAGATTTCTGATTTACATTCACCCCTTCAAGAAGGTAATCTTCGACCAGCTGAGCAAAGTCAAAGTATGCTGCGACGTGAATTTCGGGCAAGAAGTCATTTGCTGCCCCGCAGAGGAGAAAATTTTGCCATTTTGTGAGGTTAACTCGGCTGTGAGGTTCACGACCAAATGATTTCAACCAAGTAGAGAAGACTGTGTCTTCCGCAGGAAGCACTTCTCGGAGAGAAGCAATCTCCTCCAGGTCTGTTTGGCCCTTACTCGAACCCCAAATGCCACGATCACCTTGGAAGTATTGAACCATTTGGAGCCATCTGACAGTCTTTCGACTCGAGTGGCACAAACGTAGAAGAAGATTGTAACTCTCTGTCCAGGACGACGAACGGGTGAGGTGCCACCACCAATGGAGAGACGAGTATTCCAGAAGTGGATATTTCTCAAGAAAGGCAGCGAGCCGACTTTCCATGTGGGCCCTCATTGTACTGTGGTCCCACGACCTTGTATCTCTATCTTCTGACATCACCACTTCATCGAATACATCGTATGGGGGAGCTTCGATATTGTCGTAGCAGAGATATGTTAAACATATTTGCGTTAGAGCCAAATGGGCATCACCCCCATTGATCTTGAATGGTGTCTGAGCACTAGCTTCTTGGGGCTCAAGTAAGAACTCTTTTAAGGAGGAATGAACCAGGGTTGCCGTAGGGTGAGCGCCGGGCCGTTTTTGTATTGTGACCAAAGGTCCACAGTATTGAAGAATGGTCCGTCGAAGTCGCTTCTCAGACATGGCCGATGTGTCGAGTTTGGTTCCACCAACAGTGACCTTCATGGAAGCTCCAACCTCATGCAGAGTTAGTGGTCTACGCGCACACGCCATGAGCTGCAGAAGACTTCTCGAGATTGGAATATCACGAGGATGAGACGAGAGGCCCCGCAGAATTTGGATATACAGCATATTGAGATCTTCCGGCAGATATTTCAATGTCTCGAGGTAATCGGCGTCGCTAAAAAGCGGCCTCCGTAACTCTTCAATCATCAATGCCACCCATAAAAACATCCCATGAGCCCCCGATCGCAGAGTTGTATCAATAGTCTTTCTGATATCATCGTCGTCGATTTCAAGATCAGCCACACCTTCCTCAATGTATCGGTGGATATCAGTCAAGTTGTCATCCTCAGAAATATCATATAGAATGAGGCATTCGTCTGGAACCATCAACTTGTTGGAAAGATTTAGGCTCCTTCGAAAGACCAAAACCCGGGCATCCTGGGAAAAGCGAGCTAGGACTCGATAAAGCTTCGCTTGCTCTTGATCTTCGCATTCGTCAAACCCATCGATGACGAGGATTGCATCCTGTAATCTTTGGAGGATAGTAAATAGGATATCCTCAAGAACAGCTTGGCTGGCTAACTGCTTCTTCTCTATGATCGGAACCACATCATCCAGCAAAAACGGGTCTTGTTGAAGTAGTTGCCAGGTCCAGTTGCGCAAGATGCTGGTGACAGACACACGTCTGTCATCTTTGGCATCGCAGTAGAAGTATGCGAGCTTGCTAGCTGACAGCTTCAACTCTTCAATAATCCGAGCTGCTAAATGAGTTTTGCCGGCTCCCGCCTTGCCCATGATCCAGAGCATCCGATATCTATCGTGAATTTTATCGGCCGACTTCCATAAAGCAAACTCGTCTCTATCAAAGAGCCACTCGCAGGAGCTATGAACTAGGCTGACGAGTACTCGACGATGATAATCCTCAAGCGGCAGTGGATTAAACCAGTGTGTCACTTCTGATATCTTGTGCTCACACTGCGCCCCTTTCGCTTGTTCTTCACTCCCTAAGGTAGTTGCTGAGAGATTGGATAATGAGATTCTCAAATCATCGACAACAGAGTGTGTTTGCAGTGCAATTTGATGAATCTGAGCGGCGAGGTTGTTGTTGTCGATACCAAGGCCAACAATGACATTCTTCAACGGAATATCAATCCTACGACGTAACTCGTCGACTTCACGTGAGACAAATAAGCCATATTGGATCATTCTGGGAGCACCCTTTAGTCTCTCAATAAGAGACTGCCTGTTGCTCTTGTTATCGCTGCCCAGGCTGTCTCCGAACCTCGCGCTCAGTCGCTTTCCAAACCGCTCCACGGACTTTTTGAGGGTGTCAACGCCTTGGGATGCCCAAGGTAGATACGAGTCATGATCCTTCAGATGCTGGAGGGTACTGGCAAGATCCACCAAATATGCACTTTCCTGCTGGTAATGCTCTTGTGAACCGTCGATCTCCTTCAGTGAAGCGGCCACGCTCACTAGTAGTTCGATAGTGTTCACGAGATCGCCAACTGACCACCCAAAGGACATCGTTGGTAATGAAAGACTTGGGAATCGAGGAATACCAGTAGCCGTGGGCTTGCAAAAGCTGGACGAAGTTAGGGTTTCATGAAACTAGCTCACCTATATAGAGGAGAGGGGAGATCCAAAGCAGGGGCGGATCAGACAAATAGATATAGATGTTGGTTTTCGACCCTCCCTCGCCTCTTTTATTCTGTCTTATCGCTAAGCCCCACACGGCTCGATGGCTGCGGCTAACAGGGCCCATTCGAACTGGGCGACCACCTGTAGCCTGGGCAAAGATGCGTGGCGCCACGTCAAACATGGCCCCATCGGACACCGCAAATCAACTTTCAATATTCAATTTCGCTATTTGAATTTTGACAATTACTGTAGTTCCGACGAATCATTCTGGATAAAACTCTTGCAGTCATTGATTAGCATCGAAATCGAGGGGGCGCAGCACTTAAGCGCCGACCAGGAAAGGTGGGGGGTGATTAGGCACCCAGACACGAATCCGAGTCCCAATAGCACGCTAGCATGACCAACTATATATATCATTCAGCGCTACTAGCCACCGGCTTGTGGTGCTAATGCCGCAGCAGTGCCAATATCCTTCAGGCGGGGCTTTCAGCAGGGCGGCAGGAGACAATGTACAGACGAAGGCGAGCCGCTTAGGTAAATTTCCACATAATCACTAGACTAGCGGGCGGGGTTCCGGGAACGGGCCGAGGACCAAGTGTCCGTTGAGGATTCGAACTGTATTTTATGTACATAGTTTTTACATGGTTTTATGTGGTACAGTATCAACAAACGAAGAAAAATGGATGCAGCCGAGAATCCTCTTGGAGACCGCACTAATGCTCTCGCTCTTCAACGACTTCAATATCATCAAGGATGTGCCATCATCGACTCGCGGTATCTTCAATTTGGGGGCGAATGGTCTCATCGGAACCAGAGAGGTAGATGAAGGAAATGTGAAAAAAATGCTCAAAGATTTTGAGATCGAAAGTTGTGGTAGTTTAGAGCCGGAGCATAAAATCGCCGTGATTGCTCACCGCTGGAGGAATGATCTGATAACTGTGAGCAGCTTGGCCGGATTTCAAACTGTTTTTGGTATCCAAGATATAGTCTAGGATACTGCATAGGTATAATGGCATCTTTAATCTCAATAATTTGAGGTGTTGTTGAGAAAGAATAGCCTACTGAAAGTTTAATCGGGTTACGTCAAGCGTCTAGTATCCAAAGGATATTACACCTACACTGCCGACGCGCCGAGGCTGCTGACTTGTGAAAGCTAGGTGTAGTGTGGTCTGAGAGCTTGCTTCTTACCACTCTATTCGGTCATAAGTGGGCGATATTTTGCTGTTGGACTTTTATTGATCATGCGAGCTTTTGGCGGTAGTAGGCCACCCTAGTGGAAGCGTCCACTGAGCCCCTCTGATTATCTTCAAGGTTCTGGGTATGTTTTCATAACTCATGGGAACATTGAATGTCCCTAATTATATTTGATTTTTTGGCCGATCTTCAAAATATCTTTTGGTTTAATACAAAAAACCTTAGTATAGTTGAGTGGCTTGTTAGGTACGCTTTTTAAACCCTCTTAGCGGGAGGGTAAGTTTGAACTTCCCAGGTGGCTGTATAGATCCTGCGTGAAAAGGACGGATACGATTCCAGTATCGTGGCTTGTATGCCCTTATAATATTTGAGAAGGGTACGGCATCAAGAATTATATAAAAGAATGATATATAAGCAATTCAAACATTATATTATATACAAGTACAAGAGACTTTGGTAGGTATATATCATCGACATCGACATCTACCTATCTCCAAGGTTACTGTGGTAGCACGTTACCGTCAAACCAATTTAAATTCCACCCTTGATCCAGTCCCAGATCGACGTTGGTGGTGTTCGGGAAGATATACTGTCCAATATCATCAAACAGTGCACTGAAGGCATTGCCCTCCAAGCCCGTAAAAGCATTGTGCGAGCTATCATCATTGGTAGGGAGCGGCTGGTTTGAGTGACAGCCTGCAGAATCGGCAACCGGGGTATGACCGTTGGTGTTGTTATTTGGAACAGTCATTACACCATCCGGGTCTGACATAGGCGGAGTATAAAGTTGGCCGGGAGTCCTCTGAGATGACGAGGTGCTTAGACCTGGACTAGGCACTGCGGGATTCTGTCCCTTCTTCCTCATACCCGCAAACTTGGCACCAGCCCCCACAGTAATCGTCCCAAAGTAAGGCACGGTGATTTTGCAATGAGCCGCTAAATCCCAGTCACCCTTTTGTTGATCTAATCGACATTTATACATCTCGCCGAGGATATGAGCTGATTCGGCAGCGACGGATCCGCCACTTTCTGACGCGGCTTGACGGAGAATCCCGACAAGTTCTCCGATCAGGGCCCAGTCTTGTTCGTCTTCTTCTTTGCTGTGATCTGGCCACTCTTCCGAATAGCCATACAGATGGACTACCAGCAGCATACCCATGGTGAAAGCCATGAAATCAATGACCTTGCACATATTGGATCGGGCTGCTGATCGAATGATTTTGTAAAAGATCTGCGCCTCCCGAGCAGATTGAATGGCCGTTTTATGACAGTATCTGAACCGTGGATCATGAGGATACTTCAGCATAAAAGGTAAATGGAGAAGAGCCCGCAGAACCTTGGGCATAAATTGCAAAGGTATTCGTTCCAAATACTGCTCTCTGCTTTCGTTCGAGCCACGCTCTGAACCAAGGTAAGTATTCGGCATCGCATTCCAAGCATCCATGAGTTCCTGATCGAGCTTCAAGGTGGTCTCAAGACACATCTCGGTGGGATTTTGGTTGCGATCTATCATGTGGCCTGTGATGACACCAATCCGGAGCATGTATTGCTCAGCAGCAGACTCCGCAGACTTCAAACGTCGCTCCACTTGGGGTAAATAGAATGCATCGGAAATGACATAAGGAAGACCAAGTATGAGACTGATAGATCGATCCGAAGTAGCCAGCGAACACCAAATTTTGAGTCGCCTCTCAAACAAACTGTCTGATGGCTGTGGAGTCCTGGTAGACAAGTGCATCCCCGCTAAGTGAGCCAAGTCAATAGCTCGACGATTGATCAGCCATGCTTTGCGCAGCCGGCCCTCATTCATATGAAATTTGGAGAGCAGCAAGTGGCATTCTATACCAGGCAGAGTTGCCGAGAAGTCATCATCACGTACAACCAGCCTGTCAACCGCTTCACAGCACCGAGAGGCAAATACTTGCACATCCATAGGAAGTTGCAGCGTGTTGAAATCAAATTCAGGAGGACTTTGCAGCATGCTAATACAGAGACACACTAGCGCTTTCCCTAGATCGGCAGGTGCTACCAGGGTCTCTGGGGTATCATATCTTGCAGCGAAGACCTTGTGCAGTGCTGAAACATCCTCTTCCCACATGCACCATAAGTGGGAACACTGGGCTAGGACTTTTTTGATGTCTTCGTCGGAAGGAAACAGTGATATAAGCTCGAGTCTTACTGCTCGGGCCTTATCTGACGTATCTTTGGCGCCCATAAACTGGTCATTGCTGGATGGGTCATCGCGGCGACTGACAAGATAGTTGTCGAACAGCTGCATTACAGGCGCATTTTCAATCTTTTCACTTGACGGGCCAAGTCTATCGGGTTCTGTAGATACAGGTGTCAAGTTCCCTGATGTCGTTTGGGCAGCTATGTAGATCGTTAGCAAAATGTCGAATGCACAAGAAGGTCCAAGCCATTCTGCAAAAGTGCTAGTTATAACCTCACATTTTGAAATAGAAGCATTAGTTTCATCTAATCGTTTCGCCAAGTCCTGTACTACAGTCTCCAAATATGCGACCCGTTCCCGGAGACTATATCGCTCCGACGGGCCAGAGCCAGGCCCAGTACTTGGGTCATCCGAGCCATGTTCCTGATCGAAACATTTCGAGCCCCTAAAACGACATTCGTTACATATCTCGCAGCGATCAGAATCGTACGTGCAGCGAATCTTTCGTCGTCGGCCTGTCTCAAGTCAGCACTAGTCCACAAAGCGAAGAGGCGGTCGCCGTCACATACATTCCATACAGCTTCTGGTGCCCTTCCGCATTCTTTTGCGGGGTGGACCATGAGCATCGGACAAAAGGTCGTTCATATTGTCAATTATGCGAAATGTCTCGCGACGAAGTTGATATTGGTGCCAGTCAGCTGAAAAGGAGAAGCTGGTTGAAAGACAACTTATGGCGTGATGTCACCCATGAATTGAAGACTAGGATTCCTTGTGCCGCAGCGAATGATGTATAGAATATATGACAGGCTCCAAGAAAGGGTTGAGTCTTTTTTGAGCAGTATCAGATCAGAGAGAAAAGACAAGTTGAACGTAAGCAGCGTCGTGGTGCCATAACTATGCACGTTTTGGAACGAATCATTGTGGGTCAGAGTGCGTGGTGATATGATCATCTGCCAGACCCATGCTACCTACAGTGTTATTATACATTGAGTATCAAATTCGGGGCAAGATGACAAATAAAGGTTCTAAAATCATGTTCGAAGAGCCTCGTAACAAAGAGTCAAATTGTAGCTGCTGATTTTATTCCAGTCTTAGCAGCTTCCAGCCGGGAGAAAACGCCATGCATCATTTATCCCCCGGCGCCCTACGCTGAAGGTTTACTCAACAATGCGGAGATATCGATAAAATATCACAACGACGCTGTCCGGAAGTGGCAATAAGCGCAAGAAACAGAACAATTGAATCAAGGCAGGAGACTACGATAGTCCCATCAGCTATGCCCGGTCAATCTACAACTACTAGATGCGCGACTGAAAGCATGTAGATGTATAGTTCTAAACTCCACTCACAATCTGAGCTATGTCCACGACCCGGACCAATTTGGTCCGAAAACTCTGACGTTCGTCCGTAATTTTCGGCCGAACGTCAGATGGGTCCCATTGTCCAGATATCAAGATAACGTGTTATCGTAGCAGCTCTGGCTGTTATAGAATGACAAAGAAATAGTTAACAGGAGACATTTAATTATTAAGAGATTTGATTTGATCTTAAATTTTAATACATTTCCACAGAATGAGGGGAGAAAGTACATGAATGAGATGTCAAGCGAAAACTCCGGCTTCCTCCCGGATCCCTTGTGCTGATCGATGATTCCCACGCTGTGAATATAAAGTGGCAGACAAACAGTAAAAGAAAAGGGGTGTCATAATACAAGGACTGGACTGCGGCAGCAGTTCAGTCATAGGCTCGCATCGAAGGGAACCATTTACTCCTCAAGAACACGGGTGATCAGACCAGTGGCGACGGTACGGCCACCCTCACGGATGTTGAAACGCTGGCCAGCCTCGGCGGCGACAGGGCGGTGGGTGGCGAGAACCATCTCGACGTTGTCACCGGGCTGGACACGGCCGGACTGGTCCTCACCGACGAAGGTGAGGTCACCGGGCTCATCAGCAGTGCGGAGGTAGACCTGGGGGCGGTAGTTGCTGCCGAAACCAGTACGGCGACCACCCTCAGCCTCAGTCAGAACGTACATGGAGACCAGGAACTTCTGGGCAGCCTTGGTGGAGCCGGGAGCGGCAACGACCATACCACGGCGGATGTCCTCACGCTTAATACCACGGAGCAGCAGACCGGAGTTGTCACCGGCGCGGGACTCGTCACAGGTCTTCTTGAAGGTCTCAATGTCGGTAACCTTGGTCTTGATGGGGGCCTCGCTACCACCAACAATCTCGACCTCAGTATCCTTCTTCAGGAGACCGCGCTCGACACGGCCAGAGACGACAGTACCACGGCCGGGGATGGAGAACACCTCCTCAACAGACATGAGGAAAGGCTTGTCCATGTCACGGGCGGGGGTGGGGATCCAAGTGTCGACGGCCTCCATGAGCTTGTCGATCTGCTGAGTACCAATCTCGGGGCGGCGGTCCTCAAGGGCGCAAAGAGCAGAGCCGAAGATAATAGGGGTTTCCTCACCCTCGAAGCCGTAGGTGGTGAGGAGCTCACGCATCTCAAGCTCGACAAGCTCAAGCATCTCGGGGTCCTCGACAACGTCGACCTTGTTCACGAAAACGACAATCTTCTGGACACCGACCTGGCGGGCAAGCAGCAAGTGCTCACGGGTCTGGGGCCTAATTGTCAAATATTGTCAGCACAAATCCTTCACTACGCCAATATAAAAAGGGGATCATTGCGATTCTTACATCTGACCATCAGAGGCAGCAACGACAACAATGGCACCATCCATGTTGGCGGCACCAGTAATCATGTTCTTAATGTAATCGGCGTGACCGGGGCAGTCAACGTGGGCATAGTGGCGAGAGTCGGTCTGGAACTCAATGTGGGCAGACGAGATGGTGATACCACGCTTGCGCTCCTCAGGGGCCTTATCGATGGAAGCATAATCCAAGAAGTTGGCCAGACCCTTGGAGGCCTGGTGCTTGGTGATGGCAGCAGTCAGACTGGTCTATGAGAATCAGGTTAGATGCGCGCGAACTTCCGAGATATCAATGCGATCATCTCACCTTGCCGTGATCGACGTGACCGATAGTACCAATGTTCACATGGGGCTTGGTACGCTCGAAAGCAGTCGCCAGGCCACGAGCAGCCATCTTGTCGTTGGCAAAGACATGGTGGATGGGGTTGACAGCGCTGGGGCGGAGGAGGGAAGCCCGGCTGGAGCGCGCCAGGAGGTTGAAGGAACGAGTGAGGCCCGACATCTTGCAATTGGGAAGCAAAAACGATAGAAAACGGTAGCAAGAAGAGCAATCGATGAGAAGAAATGGGGAGAATCAACACCCAATTTTTCCGGGCCCAGGGGCTTAGTCATGCACCCACCAATCAGAAGCTACGAATTGCGGAGGTTAACGGCTGTCTTCAAATGGGATGATAAAGCAGGTAGATCGTGAGTGGCTGACCCTTGAATAAGGCATATCCCAGACCATAGACATCTAAGTACCCAGGTATTCATAGTTCAAGGTAAGCAGCCCGTAGACTACGAATTGAGGAACGTCTAGTAAGGGGGGTGAAGCCATAAATAATTTCCCATTGAAAGAACTCAGGTAGCAGGCATGAGGAGTATAATAAAGATAATCATTCTGATGATAAAATGCCCAAGCCAATCGACTGAATTGGGGATGTTAACGCTTAGTATATACATATGTCACAAAGCCCATGATACAGAATCCAGGCTATTCCTAACCCATTCAATTGTCACCCTTCTTCACAGTAAGCAGAACACGTTTGCCCGGTTCTCCCTCCATTGCTTTGACTTGTGTAGCTCCCGCCTCTCGTGTGGTGTCCAACACAGTCTGCATGACATGCTTGATCTCATCGACCGTGGGGGGCCGCTTGTGCTTCTTCCGAGTCAAGATGATCTCAACCTTCCGACCTTTCTCCAAAAAGGCAGCCAACTGCTTCAAGCGATGTTCAAGATCATGGGCATCGATAGCCCAGTTCAGCTCAATTTGCTTGAGAGACTGTTTGGCTGCCTTTGCTGCCTTTTCCTTCGCTTTCTCTGCATTCCGATACTCCAACTTGTCCATGACTTTGCATACCGGCGGTTTTTTGAAAGCTCCTGGGGACACTTGAATAAGGAAGTACTTCTTGCGGTCGAATGTTTCAAGGACATCGGATAAAAATTCGGGTGGATCAAGATCTCCCGCAGAATTGACTACCTGCACAGTTTGAGAGCGGATCTCTTCGTCCTTGATGGGCCCCTTAACAGGTGGTCGAGGTCTATGAAGGGCGAGGCAGCGAGAATGCTGGAAATTTCGGATTTGCAGACCATTCTGGAGGACATATGGCTGTATGAAGCTGAATCTGGAGCTCTGGAAAGGTGTGAGGAAGGTCTGGCGCAAGGCTTGCGCGGTGGATATCAGACCACGCGTATGGTTCATGGTGAGCTCGGTAGGGAGGGAAGGAAAACCGAGTGGACGATGACGGATATTGAGGATAGGTTGGCAGTTTGAGTGATTGGGGTAGCTTAAGCGGCTCCAAGCCAAGAGAATAGGCTCGCGTGTCAAATGAGGAGAAGAGTATTGAGTTGACCGGATCGAGTAATCCTACGCCACACCATGCGCCACAACCCTGAAACCCTGGATCTCCTTTCTCTTGTTCTCCTGTTTCTCTTCCCCGACTTTGACCATATCTACTTCCCCAGTTTCTTTCCTTTCTGGACTGTTTGGTGTTCCTGGAGGCTCAATGGTTCCTTGTGTCTAGTTTGGCCTTTCTTAATCCTTGTCATTCTTTTCTCCTTCCCGGTGGCAACAGCGCCTGCCTTTTTCGCTTATCGCCTCGACGATTGCTCGCATGTCGACTGGAGTCGACGATCAACCAACCCCTAATCAACCTCTAGATCAGAGCACATCTTTCCGACAGCGCTCCTTCTCCCGGAGTAACGATTCTCTCTTTGCGCCAACCGTCGAGTCCGGTCGAGTATTCGACAAACAAGCCGCGACCATGGCACAGACCCAAAGAACGCGCTACGTTAAGACTGGCGCCATTATCGCCTTCGTGTTTATGGTTCTTTTGTGGCTTTCCCCGTCCCGCTCAACTGTTTCTAGCTACACTCAAGGTATAATCCCCTAGTAAATTTCAGTGAATGAGAAAACTAATCATCTTTTCCATAGAACAAGCCCCTTCGACCCCCGGTTCCGGAAAGTGCACCAAGCCTTTTGATTCTTCCAAGCCACTGATTCAGTATGCACTCATGATTGATGCCGGTAGCACTGGCTCCCGAATTCACGTCTACCGATTCAACAACTGTGGTTCTACCCCGGAATTGGAGAACGAGGTCTTCGAGCAGACTGCTAAGAAGGAGGGCGGCGGCTCGGGTCTCAGCTCTTACAAGGAAGATGCCGAGGGTGCTGCCCTCAGTTTAGACCCTCTCATGGAGGTTGCTATGCAGAACGTCCCCGCCGAGTACCGGTCTTGCACGCCAGTTGCGGTCAAGGCTACCGCCGGTCTGCGTCTACTAGGCCCCGAGTTGAGTGGCAACATTTTGGATGCTGTGCGCCACCGTCTGGAAACTGCCTACCCCTTCCCCGTTGTCTCTAAGGAGAAGGGTGGTGTGGAAATCATGGACGGCAAGGACGAGGGTGTCTACGCTTGGATTACTACGAACTACCTCCTAGGCAAAATCGGTGGTCCCGATCAGACCCCAACCGCTGCCGTCTTCGACTTGGGTGGTGGTTCCACTCAGATCGTTTTCCAGCCCACATTCGAGCAGAGCAAGGCCGGTGGTATGCCCGAGCACATGGCTCCGGGTGACCACAAATACGAGCTTAACTTTGGTGGCCGTCAGTTCGAACTCTACCAGCACTCCCACCTTGGCTACGGTCTGATGTCGGCTCGTGAGGCTATGCACAAGGTTGTTCTGGAGGCTATGTTGGCCAACAGCCCGAAGGACCTGTCCTGGTTGAAGCGTCCCATCTCCAACCCTTGTATTGGTCCTGATATGGAGCGGGAGGTTACCGTGAAGTTCCCCGAGCCCCATCCTCTTAGCCCTTCGGTCAGTGTGAAAATGGTTGGTCCCAAGGACTCGACTGCTGCTCCTCAGTGCCGTGCTATTGCCGAGAAGACCTTGAAGAAGGATACCGACTGCAAGCTGGCTCCTTGCTCGTTCAACGGTGTTCACCAGCCGTCTCTCGAGAAGACTTTCTCTCGCGAGGACGTCTACATTTTCTCCTACTTCTATGACCGCACTGCCCCTCTCGGTATGCCTTCGTCCTTCACTCTGGGTGAGCTCCACGACCTCACTTCTACCGTCTGCGGTGGCGAGGACAGCTGGGGTGTCTTTGAGAGCGTCGAAGGCGCGATGGCTGAGCTCCGTGATCGTCCGGAATGGTGTCTGGACCTGAACTTCATGCTTGGTCTTCTCCACACCGGTTACGAGATGCCCTTGTCTCGTGAGGTCAAGATCGCCAAGAAGATCAAGGACAACGAGCTGGGCTGGTGTCTTGGTGCTAGCTTGCCTCTTCTCAGCCAGGAATCTGGCTGGACTTGCCGCATCAAAGAGGTCTCATAAACCTTGATACGACGCCATGTTCAACTTTAATCAAATTTTAATTATATGGCTCTGCCATAGTATGATGGGATCATGCATATAAATAGACACTTGACATGCTTGTTTTTGTTTTTTCTTTCTTTTCTTCTCTTCACGAGTGTCTTATAGACTTTCTTGGTTCCTTTTACAGGATATCGGTGATGCGGTTGCATAAAATGTACGAAACTATATGCCTATTTGACTTTGTTGTCCTGGTATATGTATTCATTGTAGCTGCATCTTTAGAAAGGTCTCTAATAAAGACTGGACATTGCATCACAAGCTATTCTACTGACCAAGCTCCTCGATCGACGGCTTATCGGCATCTAAATCCTTCCCGCCCATCAATTGCTCCAAAATGTCATCATCAAAGCCAGCCTTAGCCTTCTTGCCAGATTCCATCCCACTCATGGCCTCATCATCGGCTTCATCACCGCTGGCATCCCCTCCGTTGTCACGCTTTTCCTCCAAAACTCCCAACCCAAGATTCTACATAAGTCAGCAACCATCCAACAGATTAAACCCCCAACCAGTATATAGGGAAGACATACCATCTCAATATAATCCTTATTCTCATCTTCGTCGTCCATAACGACATCCTTCCCTGCGGCGATATCCTTCTCCAACTCCTCATTCGCACTCTTCATCTGCGGCAAAAATGCCGATAACCGCGCCAGCAATTCCGAGTTCCCCTGCATCTTGTGTATTTGTGGCTTCGGACGACCAGAGACATTAGGTATTGACGATTTGTTCGCAGATGTAGCCTTGGGTTCGTGGTGAATGGACTCGTTCTCATCTTCTGAGTCTTCGCTGTCGCTTTCTTCTGAGGAGCCGGACGATGAAGTTGGGTCTGAGTCTTCGTTGTTGGGAATAGGCGCTGAGGGCCGCATGGGAATAGTTGTTTGTCGGTTTGTTAAACCCATTTTAAGAACGGTTATTGAAGGTGTTTCGAAGCTGCGTTTGTTGAAAGGTAAAATGAAATATTGCGCTGCGCTGAGATGATCGTTTCGTTGCCACTGTGAGGCTATAATGTGCGTAGGAATGACCTTGATGTCGCTAATATTCAAATGTGATAATGCTTGTGATTGATTAACGGGTTTCGACTTTTAAGGCACGATAAAACCTTTTGCAAGTGGATAAAAGCGGTTGAAGAAAGTTTAGTCGCAGTCGATTTCAACTTTTTGGGTGGAGTGGATCCCCGATAACGATAAGGAAAAAGGCTAAATCTATAGATCGAGAACCAGACTCAGATTGATCTTGAGTCATCGCTTTTGCTAGTCTGCTAGTCATACATGAAAACTATTAATACATGAGGAGTAGATCCTGAGGTTTGTCGGGTATCCCTTCATAGCTATCCTCGGCTTCGCCGGCGAGAACGACTTCGTCGACGTGAACGACTTCGACGTCGGCTCGGGCTCCTTCGTCGACTACGACTCCGCCGACGAGTACTTCGGTCATCCTGGTCTTTAATCGGCTCTGTTGTATTTTTGACCTCTCTTTCCTTGCCGCTCTCTCGCTCGGAGCCAGGGACGTAACGATCAATTTCGCCAAGTCGTGGTCTTTGTTCGCGATCTGGGGAGCGGGCCCGACGACGGGGTGATTTGCTTCTGTTGCTAGTCGACGGCACATAACGGTCGATATCAAGAGAAGGGGATGCTTTTCTGGTCGGAGAGGCCCGTCTAGCGGGGGAAGGCCGTCGAGTGCGTGAGGCACGGCGAGATCGTGACCTTCGTCGCGGGGCGGCAGATCGTGAACGAGAGCGCTGTTCTCGGGGGGCACGAGGACGAGATCGAGATCGTGAACGTGAACGTCGGCGTGAAGGGGATCTGCGACGTGGGCGGTAGTCATCACGGTCACGATCACGGTCTCGGCTTCTGTCGCGACGGCGGTCGGGGTCTCGGTCACGGGATATGGACCGTGGTCGAGCTCTGTCTCTGTCTCTATCACGATCTCGTTCCCTGGGTACCGATCGACTGCGAGTGCGACGGCTTGGTCGGTAGCTTCGATCATCACGGGAATCACGGAAATCACGGTAGCCACGTCGTTCATCACGAGACCTCACTGAAGCATCTCTAGACCTATCTCGTCGACGGTCAGGACTATACCTAGATCCGCGTCGGCGAGAGCGGCTTCGACTCCGGTCTCGGGTGTGGTGTCGAGTCCGATCTCTTCGGTCGGATGTTGAATCACGGGGTCTGGAGTCGCGGGATGGGCTGGTCACCCTATTCGAAGTATTACCCAACTTTGAATCGCTGCTTTTGTTGTCTGGTGGTTTCAGTCCACTTTCAAGGGCCTCGGCCTTTTCAAAGTCGAAGTCGGGCTTTTGACGGGCCTTAGCTGCGAGCTCTTCTCCCTCTTTCAGCAGCATTTTCAAAGCAGCTTCCTCGAGTGACTCCTCGTCCGCAGGAGCAGCTGGCGCAGGGGTTGCATCTTTTGAGACGGCAGACTTTTCTCGTTTTGAATCCCGATTGCGTGACACTCCACGATCAGAGCGATAGGCTGGCGACCAATCATTATAGCGGTCATAGTCGCGATACCGGTCCCGATCCTCCCTTCTGCGTCGTTCTCGTCTCTCTTCGCGCTCCCGGTCATCAATAGCCCTTTGCTCTTCGCGCTCACGCTCACGCTCCGCTCGCCGTTGGTCATCGATCTCTTTCCTCCTTGCCAACTCTTCATCTTCCTTCTTCCTCTCCAATTCACGTTTTTTGCGGCGCTCCTCGTCCTTGATGCGTTTTTGTTCCTCGTCAATTTCCTTTTGCTTGCGCATTTCCTCGCGCCAGATCTTTTCCCGCTCCTCTCGTATGGCTCGCACATGAGCCTCGTACTCTGCATCGGTTTTGTTGCCAGCCTCTTCTTCTTTCGTAGCTGCCTCATCACCAATTTCTAGTCGACGGATCTCGCGCACCGAATCAAGTATGGACTGCAAATGGTTGGATGCTAGCTTGTCGATGGATAGTTCGGCATTCTTGTAGACATCGCTTCGGTCGACGGCACCCTCGATCAGAGTTGCAGCTTTTCCTCTCTCACGCGAAAGGAGGGCTGGTTCGCGCTCGATTTCCGACTCGGCCAAAGCAAACAGCTCTTCGGTGAACTTGACTTTGGACTCCTGCAGGGATACATTAGATATTGGTCTTAAGAAGAACAGAGCGGTCATTGGCAATTAGTGATATAAGCATACCCCATCATTGAAGTCAGCCCAAATTTTCTTGCGAATGCTGTCGAATCCACCTTTCTTCTTAAATGAATGCAGGAGTTTATCGATGCTTGCATGCTGCGCCGAAGACAAAGGCAAATCGTCAGCTTTGAATTTCTTTGATTTGAGGCTCTCAATATCCAGCGCCGGTCTCTTGGTGCCCAGCTGCACATCTTCCATAGCCTCCGAATCGGCCATTGTTGGACAGAGCAACGAGCAATAGAATGAATGCCCGAAGTTTCGAATATCGGAAGTCGCGCGTAAGGGTGATAAGCGATAACAAATGGGGGTCGTGAAAACGGAGAAAGGATGTTCCGTGCTTGGTTACTGCGGGTGTCTGATTTGCTTCCAACCACACTCCTGCCGCCCCAGTACGACTCCAAGCCCCCGAATCTAACTCCGACCCCGGGCGACATTACACTGCGAGCGCGCAGAGTCTACCTCTTCTATACGTGTCGGAACGACTCGCCCCCCTTTTACATCTTCCTATCCGCCCCAAGCCGGTCGCGATCATGGTCCACAAAGTCCTCTTCTGGAGCGGTTTCGGTACGTGACGATATTCTACTCAATTGCTCTCTGCATCTTGGAATTAGCCCAACGGTCGGGTTATTGAGACAGCAGGCCATTGGATCGAATATTCAAGCTAACATGGGCTATTCAGGCATTGCCGTCCGCCTTTGGCAACTCGGAATCGAAATGCGTCCCATCCTCGCCCGGGAATCCCTCTGGGTCTACCCTCTCTTCGCCGGAGTCGGTGGAAGCTTCGGTTACTGGCTCCAGGGTGTTGAGAACCGACAGCTTAAAATGCTTGCACAGCGCCGCGAGGCTATTTTGGAGAAGCGCCGACGACGGGACCAGCGTGAAGGCGTGACTCAGGTCGAGGAGGGTGCTATTCTTTCTGCCACATCATAAATGAGTTCAAATGTGTTTGTGAGATGGTAAAGATTCAGCATCGCGTTGTGTATTCCCTTGTTTCTATCTTCTTGTTTCTTTTGTTGCATGTACCAAAATTCCACGGTTTGATATCGACATCCTATCTGGGAAGTCTTCGCGCGGGCATTGTATCCGACAGCGATGTGTGCTATTGAATATGAAGAAGGCTTTTCGTCAATTAAATTATATTTATATGCCTACATTTTCCACGCTAGTAGTTTATAATGCCAACTGACCCCGCTTCGAGTATCAGAAAAGTATTCTTTGGGTGGTGCCATACAGGATCAAGTTTATTACAAAGAAAAAGTTTTACATAAATAGTACAACCAATGCTTGAATTTGTAATGTACAAGAAGAGTATATCCAAGTAGGTCCACACATTTACTTCAACATGTACCATCTAGTAGATTTCAAGTCCGCTCAATAGTGAACTGAAGGGAGACCTCCCACTTCTGTCCTCCAGTACCGTAGCCCCCACCAAGCCGATTTCGAATCAGGCTGGATATCTTCTCTCGCAAACGAGAGATATTGTCCTCACTGCCCGAGACACGTAACTTGACGTTGGCCATGCACAACCCATAATGGACCTGCCAAAATCGTGCATCATCAACGCCAAATACCGAAGGTTCTGCTTCAATATCCTTGACAACCTCGGCTACACCTGGGCCCGAGTATGACATCAGAAGCATTGAGCCCAATGTCTTTACCAATCGAACTCCGAGGAAGCACATTGAGAGGGCGATGGTACCTGACAAGAGCTTATCGAGCCAATTGTAAATCTGAATCGACACCAATGGGAGCACAAGCAGGAGAACAGAGCATGAAAGAGTCAGGAAGTGGGTTGGATTGCTCAGGACGGAAGGAAGAGAGTCGATATATGCAAAACGCATGGCTTTTCCAATTCGCGCATGGTTCTTCAGGCCAATCGCGGAGACAAGAGTTGAAGTGATAGCCAGAACGGCAGTCACGTCAACGCTTCCTAGAGGCACGCGGTCATGGGGGTGTGGGTGGTGAGGCTCATGGCCCGACTTCTCCAAGAAATGCTGCAGATTATGTGATATCAAGTCGAGGCCCATGAAGAGAAGCAGGACACACATGGCGAAACCGGCGAGAACTTCCGCCCGTTCCAGACCAAACGGATGGCGGATGCTGGATCTTTTCCAGACCTCGAAATTGCCCAGAACATCCACAGCAACACATAGAAGAGCTCCCAGGGAGTCAAACAAAATCAAATGGGACAACGCAGTCATCGCCAGCGAGCCATGCGCCGTCCATAGTGTATACGCAGCTACGAACATATGACACACACTCCACCAAAACCGTGTTTTCTGCTCCTTGGACATGCTAGCACGGCATTCACTGAGTGTTGGGATAGGGAGTGAATTGGGAAGAGCCAAGGGCGCGCGAGGGGGGGGGCTCAAGGAAGATCTGGTGCGAAATACTACTGTGCTTGTATTTGTGACCACGACGTTGTCCGATATTCTAAAAGAAGAACACCGTTTAGCAATGTTTTGGAAGCCCTTTGCAATAAATAATCCTTACCGATTTCACCACAGGGCTCTTTGCCATCACTGTCGTATTGAAATTGAAGGGGCCCGCTGGCGTAGAGTCGGTCGAGCCATTCTGATCAGATGTCGATTCTGCAGGCCCGGAGCTTGAATTGAACGATGCCTTTGTAGGGCTTAGATGGTCCCGACTTTCTGAGTCTAGCGAGAAGCTTTGGGAGAACGTATCCCGCAGTGGCGACAAGGCATCGCGATCAACAGTAACTCTAGGGTTTGTGAATGCATTGTAGGATGAATCGTCCGCCGGCGGAGTAGGCGTGCGTGGAGGAATAGGGAGAGGCATATTGGAAGCCATCATGATGACTTTCCGTGAACGCGTTTCCACAAATATGGTTGCGGGGGGGACCTGAATCTGGAATAGGAGATCTCCTATCATCCTTAGCTAACGGGGTTAAGGTTAGAGATCAACACCTGAGTTCCAAGGTGTCGATGCCAGCGGAAGGGGCGGGGACCGAGGCCTTGTCGTGTACATCATCCACTCTTCATGCTCTTCATGTTACCACTTTCATCCTCGTCATTCATTATTTACTCGAGCCTGCAGGTTTGGTTTTTCTGAACCCTACTTTAAAAAGGGCCTATTTCCGTGCTTGCCTCCCCGCTCTTCCCGCGATGCTTATCGTGCCGTTCTGAAGTGGAGAGAGACGTCCGAATCGGACACCCCGTGGCGTCAATGGATAACCGCGGCTCCTTTTTCTTTCTTATGTTGATTTTCTACCTCCTTCTTAGCTCACAGTCGCGTCCACCTTTGATCGATGAGAATCGTCAGCGTCAGCGTGAGCTCGCTCGCTCAGAACATGCACTCAAGCTCTTGAACGAGTCAAAGTATGGGGACTTTAATCCGCCGGAAGATCGATGGCTTCCCTTTCTAGGAGTGCGGAAGAATGACAGCTATGCATGGGATCTGTTTCCGCACGTCCAAAACCGTGCGCGAAACCAGCTCCAGTCCATTCTGACAAATGCCGGCCTCGAACCACCAAAAGGTTTAGACGATCCAACTGGGACCTTTCCGTTCAATCTGACCAATCTGTACCTACCGGTGTATCGCAATGCGACGGGCAAATTACGCGGTGATTGGGTTCGCCGGACTGGAGATCCTCAGCGCCAGGCACCTCTCAACACCACCGCCATTGCCCGCGAACACGAATACTTTACCCATGAATTTAGCTCCAATATCACGGGTGCCGGGGGCTCACTATACTTTAATTTGGAAGAAGGTGGCGGAGAGGAGCTCCGAATTGGCGAGGGGCTTGTACGTGAAATCCGAGCGAGCGTGACTGTTGAGAGCGACGATTTTTGGGGAAGTACCTGGTACCTCTCATTATTCGGAATGCACTTCCCAGAAACCGGAGGAATCATTTTGACTACTTCGAGTGAGAAGTTTGGTGGTATATTTTCTTTGCCGCACTTCGCATTATCTTCCGACACTTATGAATTATCCCAACGGCTTCTGCTCAAGTCACTTACAGACTCCATGTCTGATAAGCCGAATCGACCTCCCACTCTGTTTCCATGGGCTTCTTTAGCAGGAAATGAGCAAATGGAGTTCCCAGCACCCAAATGCGAACATGTGGTCTTCCTGCAACAACACCCAGTCGTGATCGATGGTGTTCTTGCCGACCGCTTGACCCTAGAAAAGATCGAAGCGGAACTCAGGTACCCCATAGGTGCACCTATTGCAGATCCCCCTTTGATGGCCATGTCTGCCGTTGTCTTCTCTCCAGACTGCGGTTACGTGCTCGAATCGAAAGGCACTCCGGAGTTCCCACCGACAGACACGCTCTACCTCTCTGGTCCCAAGCATGAAGAGTACAGTAAATATGCAGCTCGCCTTATATTTGTGGTTTCTGGGGCTTTTGTTGCACAAATTACTCTGCTTCTGCGCCAGATTAAAGAGGCTTCAACCCCTTCGACTCGGAGTCGAGTCAGTTTCTACACAATCGCATTGATGGCGCTCGGTGATGCTCTCGTCCTCATATTTATTGTCTTGGAGCTCTACGAGGCTGTGTCATTTTTGGTTTTAGCAACTGCTTCCTTTTTGGCATTCCTCTCTGTCAGTTACATTGGCATGAAATTTATGATGGAGATATGGGCTGTACAGGAACCAGAACGACGCGAAGAACAGTCAGCTAATCCACCGGCCCCCGCTTCACGCCCGGGGACTCTACCTTTGCCTGCGACTGCACCCCGGGACTCTGGTGCTACTCCGATCATCCTGACGCCTGATCAAGATCCTCCAGACAATGAAACGGATACACCACCTACTAACCGCACTGCTGCTCCAACCCCCGGACAAATGCGCAGTGACGTTGGTGCCATGTATGCGCGTTTCTATCTCGCTCTTTTTGGCATGTTCATACTCTCAGTCTGGGCATTCCTCCTGCCTCGGCGTTTAGGGTCTATCTATGTACGCCTATTGTCAGGAGTTTATCTTTCTTTCTGGGTTCCACAGATTCACCGCAACGTCATGCGCAACTGCCGTAAAGCACTGCGGTGGGATTTTGTGATTGGACAAAGCATTCTCCGATTGTTCCCCTTTCTGTACTTCCTTACAGCCCGTGGCAATGTACTTTTCATTCGACCCGATTGGACATCCGCGTTTATCATGGCGGGGTGGATGTGGGTTCAAGCTTGGATGCTAGCGAGTCAAGATATCTTGGGTCCCCGTTTCTTCGTACCACGTGGATGGGCTCCCCCGGCCTACGACTACCACCCAACCTTGCGGGATACTGCCGGACCTGAGGACGATTTGGAAGCCGGGGGTACGATATCTATTGCATCCCTTCGGGCTGATAAACAAGATTTGGTCAGCGACTCCAAGGATGATGATAAGCAGCGGCCAAAAGATCGCAAGAAGGTGGTGTTTGATTGTGCAATTTGCATGCAGGATATTGAGGTGCCTGTTCTTCCTGCACTTGCTTCTGCTGGCGGAAGTAGTGTTTCTGACGGGGCTTCAAGTATTTTGAGTCGCCGCAATTACATGGTAACTCCGTGCCGACATATTTTCCATACGGCCTGCTTGGAAAGTTGGATGAGACTTCGTCTCCAATGCCCTATTTGTCGTGATACTATCCCTCCTGTATAGAATATGGTTGGTTTAATGGATATCCGGCCTGTACATATACTAAGATCGACTCTATGTGAAAAATCTGATCATGATCTCGCGCAACCTGCATCCATCTCAAATTTTGAAATTCCATGTTTGAAGTTCCATAGTTACATTCATGGATACGTAACCAGGTTCAGCACACCCACTTCATTGAGCCAAAGCCGTGGAGGGCCTGACTAATTCTAAACGCCATTGTTGAAAAGGGACAAATTGTCTCCGTTGGGACACATACATAATATAAAATCACAGGACAACATAAACTCGAGAGGGATTCTTCATAGAAATCCGCCCCGCATATCTAATTCCACCATATATGTCTATGACCTCATAGTCTAGTGGTCACCCTCAAGAGTCGCAAGGTAGGTCTCCTCGCTCATAAGGCCATCGACCTCAGCACTATCGCTAACCTCAATCTCCGCAATCCATCCGTCCTGCTCGGGGCTGGAGTTGATGGTCTTAGCGTTGTCCTCCAGAACGGCGTTACCCCGGATGACCTTGCCAGCGATGGGGGAGAGAACATCAGAAGCCGACTTGACGGACTCGACAGCGCCGACGGGGTCACCAGCTGAGACCTCGAGGTCTTCCTCCGGGAGCTCAACGTAGACGACGTCACCGAGGGAGTGGGCCGCGTACTTGGTGATACCGATCTTAGCTGTAAATGGACCGAATCAGTATTGTTCGCATTGTTCGTAACCAGTTTAAACGATCGGAGCAAAGAAAATGACAATAAATCAAATACTAACCAGTTTTCTTGCCGTCGGCGAGCTCAATCCACTCGTGCGACTCGGTGTACTTCTTCACCTGCGCTGTAATGCCAATGCATAGCTACGTCAGCGATATGTCTCAAAGAAAAAGAAAAAGCTTGCTTTAGCTCCATCAGGGCCATAAGAAGACCAATGCCATTGTAAAAGGCCTTTTATGACTCTATAGCCAGCCTGGGAGAGCAATTTCACTTACCAAGAGGGCTCTGCGAGAAGCTCCGGGTTCCCCGCGGAAAGCGGAAAGCAGGTGTAGCACGGCAGCTGGAGACCAGAGGCTTCTGGGCAAGGGCCCGGGAGGTGAGGGGACGGAAAGCGCGAGCGACACAGGCCATTTTGGAAGTGTAGGATTGGGGTTTGGAGAGAAAAGAAGAAGTGAAAGGGGAAGAGGGGAGAGTTTAAGAAGGAAAGGAATGCGTGCTTCCCCGGCGGAGATGGTGGTGCACTGATAAGGGTATCCGCATTTGCCAAGACCGCCCGATAAGGATTCAGAACTTCGATAGGATTTTGCGCGAAGGAGAACCTCCCGAATTCCCCCTACGTCAATCATATCGGGTTTTTGCACCACCACTCGATGCCATGTTGTACGAGCTAATTGCCATTGTACGTGTTGATGGAAACGGGCTCCATCGTTGAGATGGGGAATGGCGATCGCACTAGGCTAACGTTCTTCCACAGGTCCGCCCGGGCAGCCTCAGCGAGGTTCGGGAGTATGTGCCACCATGAAATCTCGGAGCTTTAATCATCGGCGGTCGACTAATGCTATCAATAGGATTGCCCGTAACGCCGGTGCCCAAGTTATCCGCTCCGGCGGTGTTGTTCGGGGCTTCACCAACTGGGGCACTTTCCGCCTCCCCAAGGTCACCACCAAGCACCAGGCTCGATACAGCGAGGGCCACCACTTCATTATGCGTTTCGACTCCTCCGGTCCCGTCCAATCATCTATCCGTCGCACTCTCGGTCTTGATCCGCGTATGATCAACTTCTCGGTCGTCAAGCTGGGTGACAAGCTCCCTGAGATCAAGGATGTCGAGGGCAAGGTCCAGTGGAACAACACCCGCAACATCAGCGATTCCATCTAATCGACTTTAAATGCGGTCGAACTCGAAATGCCGTTTCCATGTTCCACTGCCGCGATGACATTTTAGGGCTTGGTGATGGGTCCGGCATCTTTTCTTATTTATCTTGTGTATCATTATTGCATGGGGATTTGACATTACTCAGCACTGTCAGCACAATTGGCGCATCTTGTACAAAATTACAATCTGATATCACTTTCTTTCTCTTCAATGCTTCAGTGTTCTCCCGTTTATATAGATTCCTGGTCTCCATTTCGGCAAATGCTGCCACGTGATCTGTTCATATAGGCCTAGTCCAGAGGTATGTTTGCCGAGGTTCCCCAGTTCTGAAATGTCAACCCCGGAAACTCAGTGCTTTGTGTTTTTTCCCCTCTGATCTCATTCATAACACTCCTTTAATAAATCGGGCTTCTCATCTCGTCGCGTTCTTATCTTGTGAGAGCTTATCCGGCCTTATCACTTCGGCTCGAGTTCATCGTCTTGGTTGAATCCAACTGGCAATTGAGATTCATATCGAAATTACGTATTTTGTGCATGCGTACATGCATATGTCTCCTGCTTGTTTGTGCGTAATCAACCATGTCATCTCATGATGCAGCAGACAATGGCCCGAATGAGATGCCTTCCCCCGCTTTCCTTTGTGGAGCTAATGGCACTGGAGCGACTGGACGATACGGAGTCTAATACCAACCCCAATGAACCTGAGAAAGTTGAAATTTTCCGATCTTTATCTGCTCCCTATCCTCCCGGTGAGGGTGACCGAGCGTTCGGAGGACATGCATACGCCCAATCAGCCTATGCGGCATCTAAGACAGTCGGGAAGGGATTTGTGATTCATGTCAGTCCCAAGGAGCTCCGACCCCCGAAATGAATCTCAAGCTCACATTTCAATAGGATATGACCGGCTCATTTATTCTCGGTGGCCGGTTGGATGTTCCGTACACATACACGGTTCGGCATGTTCGGGATGGATTTATGTATTGCACGCGCTCTGTTGATGCCCGGCAAGGCGGCCGAATCTGCTTTTCATGCCTTTGCTCGTTCAAGCGTGACGAGGGAGAGAGATCTTTCAGCCACCAACCGCAATCGGTTCAAGAACGTTTCAAACATATTCTCTCCGCCAAACGGCCCGAAGATCAGTCTGTTAGCCCTAGCATTGATGCAGACTGGTGGATTGAAGGTATTCGGCAAGGTGATATCACTGAGCGAGAGTTTCCTGGTCTCGATGTGCGCAAGACCGATATGCAAAGTTTTAACGAAAGCAAGGGAATCAAAGCAAGTCCGGAGAAATACCGCCAATTGTCACAGTACCGCCTCAAGGGATCGCCGGATGCAGATCCCAACGCAACACTGGCGCAGATCAGAGAGAGAGAGCAGGCTGGAGAATATGATAACCTTTATATTTGTGCACATATGTACTCCAGTGACAGGAATTCTCTCTTGCTGATCCCGCGCGCTTTGGGGATCAAACGTTGGACGGCCATGTCTAGTCTCACTTTGATGGTGGTTATTCATCGTCATGGCGAGGCATTGCGAATGGTTGATTGGGATGCAGTTTCCAGGAATGGAAATTCGGAGATACACATGAAGTGGTTTATTCAGGAAGGGTGGACACCCCAGTCGGCGGAGAACAGAGCCGTGCACGAGAGCAACCTATGGGCTCCAGATGGCACATTGGTTGGGACCTCGATGCAGGATAGCATGCTGCGATTGCAGAAAGCTCAGCGCAAGGGTAAATTATGAGGGGAGGGTCCTCGAGAGACTGCCGAGATCTGATGTCCGCCGGAAACCAACATATAGATGCATTTGATACTCATACATCCATGAATATTTATACAAGACATTTAGTGTTACACTATGTAAATGTAGATTGCCCACAACGTCTCACCTACAGCCCTTGGAGGTGCTTCAAATGACTGGAGGACTTATATACGCTCCAAAGTTACCTCAACCATGAACAAAGCAGATTTTTAATGACATTCTCATGAGATCTAATTCTAGATTCCATAGATTCCTCTGCACGTGACGTTGGGATTCGGTGCAGGTGACGTAATCCGTCCCATATCCACTTTTCTACTCTCTGTCGTTTGGCCTCACTTAGCTGTGTTTAGCGAGCTTTCCAGGCGGTTATGTGCCAGGAACGGCTGCGTAATGCTTCATGACCACCAATAATAACCTCAAAATGCATAAGAGCCTTCTTCTGGTTTTTATTCATGGTTTCAAGGTATGAAATGCCCCACTTCATCGCGGATTGAGTTCCCCGCAAAATGCCGCCTCTGCAGCACAACATACCGAGACTTTTCGAGACCCTCGCTTACTTTTGAACCACTTCAGGGTGGTGATGACACCTTCGGCCAATTTCCAGATCATCTCCGAGTCGTAGTCGGCAAGGCACTCCCTGCCGTCACAGTCACAACGGCTGTGTACCCCAAGTATGAGACCAAAGGCGACCTGAAAGAATGCGTGGGGAGATTCCGAGAATGGTAAGAAATCCTGTGTCATGATATCTCCAACTATACATTTGATTTCGAGTCTAATAAGTTGTGCATGGCAGGCTGCAGAATACTGTGATTGATCTGGAGGTTGCAAACCACACAGCATCACCCACTGTTGATCCATCGGTCCATGTTTTCTTGATTGGGCATTCGATGGGTGGAATCGTTGCAGCAGAGACACTTCTATTGTTAGCAACTGAGCAGCCCATTCACCACAACTCAACATCGGATGCACAGTCGGCGCCTGGATCAGATGACCAGCCCCCCGCTGTGGAACCTGGTACATTCATGTTCCCTCACATCCAAGGGGTCCTCGCTTTTGATACTCCATACCTAGGCATCGCTCCAGGCGTGGTGTCATACGGAGCAGAAGGTCATTATCGAAACGCTGCCACTGCCTACAACACAATTTCGGAAGTTGCTGGACTTTTCGGCTACGGTGGAAAGAATGACGCATCCAAAGAAGCAGCTGCAGCTGAAACTGCGAAAGAACCTTCTAAAGCCCTGCCAGCCTCCGCCGACGCTGCCGCAACGCCATCTTGGCAGCGGTGGGGTCGATACGCCATGTTCGCCGGGGCTGCGGGGGCTGTTGCCGCGGGGGGTGCGGCTGCTCTATACACTAACAGACAGAACCTGTCCGCCGGTTTCAATTGGGTATCATCTCATCTAGAGTTTGTGGGTTGCCTAACGAGAACCTCCGAGCTGCGCCAGCGTCTTGCAGGCTTGGCTCATGTACAGGATGAACGGGGCATTAAGTGTGTCAACTTCTATACATGTCTCGGCAAAGGAGCGTCATCTCTCGTCCAAACCTCGGGGCCAGGCAAGACGTCATTTAGTGAAAAAATCATCCGCTCAAATTACCGCACGTTCTGTACGCTCCCACCTGAGGTCGAGCATGGGCAACAAAGTGCTGCCCCAGGGCTCCGATGGGTCAAGACCATCAATGATCAAGCTCCAGATGAAACCCAGGCCCATGTCAGCATGTTTATATCCAAGAATAACCCGGCATTCTTTGACTTACTCAGTGAGGCTGGCAAGACCTTGGTGGCCTCCATTGACATCGGTTGGTATAATACGTCCACCGCACCGGAGGCACGGAAAACCCCCTCATCAGAGCAGGCAAAGCCCAAAGGTGACGAGGACTTCATGGACGCTGATGACGTTGTCGTTGTGGACTGAAACGTCATCGATCAAAAAGCTTAAGAGTTGTGGAAATTTACCAATTCACAAACGCATACGTTATCATGAAACCCGTGGAAAGCATGATGACCTTGTGCTCCACATATGCGTTCCGTGATGCGATACTGCCCACATTAAACCTCGCCCAACTATGTCGTATCAGAGACCCTACCTATCAAAACCAGTTTATACTCTGTAAGTCTCAAGCATGTTCCGCAGTGTAAAAATCTTCCACGGCTTCACTTGCTAATTCCGACAGTCGAAACCGAAGCTTACCCCAAAGAGGAGCTTTTAACCTAAGAGTTTACCCGATTTAACCACACCGAACCAAAATACCGGACCAACTACTTGTTTCACCCCTATGTCGATCCTCTGGGCATCCAGTTGGATCTTGGGAAGCTTTTTTTGGTAGCATAATTTGCAAGAGAACCCCGAGACTACACCGGCCTAAGTTGCCTCGCAAGGGAGGCTGGGCTGTGCCCCGGCCGGAGATAGCCCGCTTTGAGCATACGTCTTGGCATCCGGGATTTCAAGTTGGGGTAGGGTGCCTGGGAACTTCAGTGGGCCTGATTCGATCTTCAAACCCTATCAAAGGGCAATTAAACACATTGATAAGTCTCGGTTCTGGTCTCTTGTAATATAAAGAACCAGTAGATACTCTACAAGCCACCCGTGGCCTACTAGTAATATCTTTAGCTGCATTTCGGAGGTGATTCGGATATACTGTTGTGGATATTAAAGGATTTCTCATTGGGTGCCTCGCCGAACTGATTATGTAGGAGGGCTTTTTCCCCTGCACGCGTAGATGTTCACACAAGAAGCCTTGTAGTTTCCCGGAAAGTGAAGCGAACCTTGGAAGTTTCATATTAGGCCAAGACCATTAATTAGGTCTGCTAAGCCAATGATAGCCCTTACCCCCGGGGCCGAATCCGGTGGGATGAGAAAAAGAGCTCGATAGAACCGGATACGAAGGAAGTTTAGAGTGGATTTGTAAAAATGGATAAATGAAATCTGCCTGATTACCCGAGTCTCGAGACAAAACGCCCCCACATGCTGCTCCATGCTAGTATTAACAAAAGTTGGAATGTCTGATCGCATGCAAATAAATTAAATACAAGGAATGACCTTTCCAGTATGAGAAAATGAGACAATAAAATAAAAACTTGCTAAGTACTGGTTTTGTATACAAGCCACAATAAGAACGTCTAGGAGCGGTGGCCGTAATTCGACGAGCGGTGGTGTCCATTTGCACGCATGCTGCCCCCATATTCGGAATTGGTGTCCTGGTAAACGGTTTGACGTCGGTCTTCTTCTGAGAGAAGGTCCTTAACCTCCCAAGTATTAGCCTTGACGCCGACGGAGAATTCGAGGTCTTCTGTTGTGATCGAATCCCAGAACTACATGGCCAGTCAGTCTCATAAGTTGCATCAGAAATTCGTGTAACATGACGGGTTCCCACCTTGTAGACCATCATCACAGCGAGTAGGTTGCAGAAGGTTGCAAAGAACAGGCCATCCATGTAATGCTGGACGTTGTTACAGATGAGATCGCTGAAAGCGTACAAGAGCACCTGACCGATGATAAAGACTGCCACACCGAAGCAGATATGTCCGAGGGGCCAGCGGTCATCCAGTGTGTTCACTACTAATAACAATTGCATGACAATGTAGATGGCAATACAGATGGCGTTTATGATGTAGAGTACCACGAACATACCAACGGTATTCTCGGGTCCTAAAGCACCACCTGACCATGACTTGAAGGTCAGCAGGGAAATGACGAAGGTGATGGCAAACATGATTGCGGACGGAATGCGGATCAGCCACACAGATAATGCCGTGCCATCTTCATACAGTTGGAACCCGACGAAGCCGTTTACCAGAAGGCAAGTGCATAGGGCGGAGACTAATCCATTTTGGATTGCCACGAAGTAGGGGAACGGCCCGCTCCTTGGTGGAACGACACCGGCATCGATTATAAGTGAGAAGATCGTCAGAGCTAGATAGAGGTAGAAGAATGTGAGAATCTCCTTGCGTCCTGTCTAAGAATTAGTATTAAACACCACGCCATCAGTCAGAAGATAGTACGGACCGACAGCGGTGAACTTGGAGCGAATGTGTAAGATCATGATCACTGTCATTGAAAGCGCAATAATATGCATGAACGAGGCGGCGCCTTCAAATATCATCGTATTGGCGACCTCGATATTCCGGGCATAACAATTCGACACTATGCCCCTCGACCCGGTTCCAGATATCGTCGACACCGGGCCTACGAGAAGGCATAGTGGCATAGGCGTCTTCTCACATATCGAGTTGAAATCCCCGAAACCCATGATGCTTGGTGGGACAGTAGACGGTGGGCTACCTGTTGTGGTTGGCCGGTCACCGGTGAACTGGTCTCCACAACGATGGAGAAGTGGGCACAGTGGAGAGAGAAAGTGTGACGATAAAGACTACACACAGGCAACCCAGCAGTCTCTTTGTTATCTCCCCAGCTTCAGCTGTCCAACCTCAGCCGTGATGGCAAACGAGCGGATACGTGTTGACGGTGTCAGGTTTTCTCCAGCCAAGAAGTTTGTCTTTCAATTGTTACTATTTCAAGCGAGGGGGGCAGTCACGGGATTGCCAGCCCAATGGAGTTTAGCGTGAACTTCCCCGGTGACACAGCTTTCATATCACGTGGCAGGGATCGGACCCGACATTGAGCCGATGATTTTACCTTCGACACAAAGTACTTTACTGCCTTTAGTGACTCCACAGGAAGTATATCAATGCACTAAGATGCTCACTAACACCTAGTGGGCTCGGAATACACTGTGCCGACTTTGATGCACAACCCCCTCTTCCGATAGCGACTTCCGGAGCTGTACCCGGAGCGGAGCCACGGCAAGCTACTGGAGACTATCTCTTTTAAGGCTCCACAACCCGATATACTGTACTTGGGACTGGGGACCAGAGCGGTGCCGCTCCGTATGGCCCCGGTGTGATCCATTCAAAATTAGTAGCCCGCCACACCACGAGAAATGGGCCCATGGCCCGTGTGCTCTGTTCTGGAAAAAAGACAAAAGGCAAGGAGTGACGAAAAAAGGAACCCGAGATCAGCATGTGGACAGAACCACCCGCAGGACGTCAGTCGATTGTCGCACCATCTCGTTTTTCTCGTTTGACCTTTACAGTCCCCATCAGGTCTCGAACGTGTAGGAAGATTCTCCGCCCTCCCCCCCGTGCACAACTTTCGTCTGCTAGGATACTCCTTGATGACTTGGACCTTGTACCGCACAAGCCGCAAGTAACGCAACACAACCCTGCACCTATTTAGCTTCAGCCAATCACTGGGCATCGGAGACTTTCCAATGCCGATTGCAGACCCCGTCCTGGTGGGCTAACGGCGATTAAAACGGGCGAGTGACCATTGTTCTCGAAGGACGAGGCAAAAGAGGGAACGCCCTTGTACTAGCGTGCTTTGGTGGGGTAAATATTCGCTGGAGCCTTTTTCTTTGATCTAAGGAGGAATGCCGAAAGAGCTCAAACCTTGTTTTTTGTTTTCTTATTTTTTTTTTTTTTGATTCGTGGAGTTCTGAATGGAGTCAACGCGGCACAGAGAACAAGGCGCAGGGCGTCAGAGATCGGAGACGAGCTTTCCGAGATTTTAGTCTGCTGCCATCACCGTTACTACCCTGAACGACCCTGATTTGTCAATCTCTTACCTAGAACGGTCATTTTAGATCCTGTACAAGGATGATAATTTATTTATTTTACTTTTCTCTCTCCCTCCGCAGCTCATGATTCGTTCGAGCTGACGAGGTAGCTCGGTTTTTTCCAGGCCGATTGGCATTTGAAGCTCCTGTGGCAAGTTGCTCATCAATCTGGGCACCAATCAGTCAGAGGACAGGCACAATTGACAGGGGGTTCGTGGTGGAAGTGGGACAGAGGCTGAGGTCGAAGCTCCATTATTGAAACTTACCAGGACTGGTTGCCCACTCTTTGCCATCGGCTTGATGGATCCCTTTTTCTCATCCTCAATGCCCAACGCGTCGTGTCCCCATGTTTCTAAAGGTTGCCCAACCACCCCACGAGCATTGTCACCAGACATTGCAGTAAAGAAAAGAGATTAATCCCTGCTCGTCTGACTTGTCCTTTTTTTTTTGAGCAACAAACCATTTGCCGAGGCTTGTCGCTACAAAAACCCCCACATTTGCTACAGTAAACAATTCGGGCATGCCTAACGACGTATTATGCATGAAGATCCTGACTAGCGCCACGTGTGTATGGAAGAAGCATCAACGGCTGCGAGGAACCGCGTCGATCTCCCATTACCCGATAAACACTATGCCATCTCGTCATCGGAAGGAAAAGAGGGCCGAAAAGCTGGAAGATCCCTGATCACGGGCAAATTTCCGGCTGTGGTCCTTTGGCCTCTAAACGGTCATCGACAGAGATCAAAGCTACTTTTCATGCAGGACCCGCTTCCTGACAAGGATTTTAATTTTTAATTTTTTTTAATATATAATTTTTTTTTTTTTTTTTACTATTTTCCATATATTTTGGTATTTTGTATTTTTCTTTTTCCTTTTTCCTTTTTCCTTTTCTTTGGTGGGGACCTGGACAAACCTACTTGCAGAATTACTGTAGATGGTACCAACATCAGGTATCAATGTGTGGAGTAGAGAAAAATTTAAGTAGTTTGCAATTGACGTTTTTCTTCTTGCATATTTCTTTTCCCTTCCACCCATCTATCATGTTCACATCATGTTTCTCTATCCCTATTGACCTCGATCCCCTCCATTGTCATAGGCACACGCGAGCCTAATCCCAATTCCCTCCCCCTCGGTGGGAACCAAAATGTGCAGCTATTTCAAAAACTACTATGTCTATAGCTCCTGCACCCAACCCAACGTGCACATTATCCGTACCGACATGGACGGCCAAAACGAGTATCACTGCTCAGAAGGACCACACGACCGGATTATCATAGTAGTAGGCAAATGTCTACTCTGCGTTGGCAGATGATAAGATCTCTTCGAGCTTTTGGGCGCATCCCACCCGCATCTACACAATGGGAAACCCCAAACCTTCTTGCCTCCGAATCCTCGGCCATTACCGTTAACCGCGTTGATTCGATTCGATCCGGGCCCAACCGACCTCTTCTTTATCCACAAAGCCAAATGCCCGCCGCTTTCCCGAACCAATTACTGAACCATCTGAAACCATTCCCAAACTCTGTATCGTACCGGCTCGGCAGCGGTCCTGATCGACATCGACTTTTTCTTTTCTTCTACCCGGCTTCGAGGGCCACGTCTTGATTAAAGTTTATTTCGCCCTGGGGGCTATACTCTGAGAGTATTGAATTGAACTTACGACCATGGATTTATTTATTTTTTGTTTCGTTCGAGCGTGCGCCATGAGCGATTGGGCATGTTTTATTTTTTCATTTTTTTTTCATTGGTTTGACACACCCTGGTCTTTCCTATGCTTTATTCGGCGTCTACGTAGGCGTCAAGGGAAAACCGGGAGCCTGGATGAAATGGACAGGAATCCATACCAGGGCTGTACTTTGAATTTGGTGCTATGTTAGACTACTGGGTCTGATATTTGGGACGTTCCTGATTTGCTGTTGACTCAAGGGTGTCTTTCGCTTCACATCGGATGTGCCGTGTATGATATGTTTGAAGAGATCATCAAGGGTCCTTGAACAATAACGTTAAGAATAAATATAAAAAATAAAAAGCATGTGGATAAATCACATGTAGGTCACTAGAGCCGAGTGCAAGATTAAGGACTTGGGACCATTTTCGCGGACTCCGGGTTGTCCAGGGGGGGCGGGCAAACGTGGTTCTACTGGAAGCTCAGGGGTGGGAAGGGGTCCCAGAGCATCGGCCGAACCGGCAATTGCACCTAAGGGATCCATCTTGACCCTGAGTTTCAATTTCACACCCTTAGCGACACTGCCAAGAAAACAAGGGGCTTGGTTTTCTCCGATCGAGTCCGTGCTTCAGTAGTTTGGATTTTCCAAGAATTTTTATTTTTTAACTCCTGGTGTGATGAGCATTTGCAGAGGTGGAGATGGAGGGAAAGGGAAAAGGATGAGGGGCCCTAGGTATGGTGGATGTCCCCGTCTCCTTTAGGCTACCCGTTAAGGATATTATGGACGCCCTTAGCCAAATCAAATCCAAAAGTCGATAGCGCTATCCCAGAAACAGGAACCGCCAAGTCTCGGTTTCTGCAGTTCCACGCAATCTCCAAGCCTTTCGGGGGGTGCGGGTTGAAGCGAAGCTTCGAGTGTGGGACGCCCCCCTCCTCTCTCCCTGCGTCTTACACATGGTTGGTCTTCCCCGGTTTCAGATTATGGAACTGCTGGGGTTGGACGATGAGTTGGCAAAAGACCTACCGTGTGGGACAAATGTACAGGATGCTCGGGGATAGGATACTTGTCTCCATTCGGTACTTCAGCCCAAGTCTTGGGGCCGGCAGATGCAAGCTAGCAGTCAACAGCAGGGATGTCAAAAGTCATGATGCAATCGTGCCTATGAGGGATCGGGGTTTATGTATGGGATGATTAGAGCTCATCCGAGCGCTAGCCGGGGAGAACGGATCCCGGATAACAGATTCAGATACCGGCGTACGGAGTCGAAAGTGTGCGTAATGGTGAAAGGGGGAATATTCGTGGTTTCTAGAATCCAGGCCGTCTTCGGGATCTGCACCGATGCACGAGGGGATTCTAAGGTCAAATAGGGTCAAGGGCAAGTTCAATTGTCTGGAACACTAAGTCCTTTTGATGACGCTAGCGTAGAGTCTTTGTTATCCCGCGCTCGGTCCACAATACACTTGAGTTTAGTTTCCTCATTGTCATATGCTTTTCGATTTTTCGTCTTTCTGTTGGGAAATCTCCATCGCGAATCCTATTATTCCCGTTTATCTAACCCGCTAGGACGCACATGTCTCCGGCATGCGACAATGCGCTCGTCAACAGGGTTATGGCGCGGGGCTAGGAAATGGAGCAATCAACGGCGGGTTAATTAATTTACAGTTCACTCTTGTGGTTGATTGGGACAAGAGAAATGAAATTACTCGTTCATTGGGTCTACAAACCAACGAACCAAAGTAATAGTTCTCTGAATTAATGCCGTAGCCCCAGGGGTTTAAAGGCTTTGCCCCAAGGCCTTGCGGGACTTGATTTTCGCCCGTGAAGATTATGGGAACATTTGGAAATGCTGGACGCCGTATCGGGTAATCACTATGCATCCTGATCTGTAATCGTCAAGGTCTAGAAGGCAAACCTGCCAGCAGGAACGGGGCTGTCATGAGCATGCACGCTAGTTACATATTTAAATGAGTCCTGAACTTAAAGTCTTGTGTTAGCCATTTTCCGTGATACCGATGTCGTGCTCATTATACTATAGGTAGTGGCGCATGTCCAGCCTTGTTGCTAGGCTGGAAACCGCTCAGTGACACGGACCTTCCGGTACATGTGATAAGGCATTTGGCAAGAGCTAGCGGTAATTGCTTTCTGCAAGGGTACTCTGGTCTGATTAGTCTAGATCATTCGGTGGGCTTGAATTGGTTTCTTAAAGAGCTGGACCATTCAAGCTCAACGATCTAATTCCGACCAATCAAAGGCGCTTATCTCGGCCCGGCATCATCGGCTGACTCATTTCTTTAATTTTATTTCAGTATAAAAACTGCCCATGCCAGCCAGTTCTGTCAAGAAATCCTAAGTTCGGCTAACATTAGTTTCCATTAGGGAGTAATGCCCGACCCGCTTTCATGTGTAATATAACATTTATCCGGCTCTTGAACATCCTCGGCAGTTTGCCAAAAAGGGTCTGGCTTTGCATGGAAGTCGTGGTTAGCTGATTTCCTTCCGCCTCATTAGGAAAATCAGACCATTCCAGTCGGGATCGGCATGATTAAACAAGCTACGAACCCGAACCCAAGCCCATCTTCGGCTCCACATCAACATGATGAATGTCCTCAGGCTCTATCTGATAGCCCTGGTTAGATCCACTCGGCTTAATTCACACGGTCTGTGCAGAGTATCGAGCTTCTCGGGTGGAGTACCGAAGCCACTGCCGTTATCCACCTTCCACATGGGGGACGGTCTCCAGTCGATGATACAAACTACTGTACTCTGGCCCGGATACGCGTAACCTAGAGAGCAAGAGCGTCGTGTCCGTATAGTAGAAAGGAACGCATTAAAATGAATAAGGGATCACCTCCGAGTGGAGGTGCCAAGCCGAAACAATGCGAAAGCGATTGTCGAAGGATCCCATCGTCTCGGGACCAGCCGAGTGGGGTGTTGATGGGACAATCAGTCGTCATACCTGCATTTCTTTCTTGTGTTTTCCTCTTTGCTTATTCCTCAGTGGCCACCTCACCAATTACCCCACTCTAAGTCGGCCTATTTCCGAATAATCTGCGGGAGTCGTCATTGTTGCTATACCCTGGCTCAATATATATCCTTTGGACCCGAAGTCCACCTCATGCCTAAATTGCCGATGATCTTGGGTAAATTAAACCACAAGATGAATAGAATTTCAGCCAAAAAATTAAAATTATTAAAATAAAAAGTGGATCATGGAAAGCCGGCATTAAACCCCGTCGACAAACGTCATCTAGTAAGGATTCGACCCTGAAACGCACCCGACGATCCCTCCCCACCTGGCGTTTCTAATCGCTGTTGGCTGGGGTTCATGCAGGGTTCTGTGCCGCCCTCTCAGATATACATGTACGCGTCCTACCGAGGTCACTTGACAGTCGGGTCATGCAAGCTATAGTATGATTGGATCGGATTTGACATCATGGCGTAAATCGCACTGTCTTGATATAATGGTAATAGAATAGTAAGTAATAAGTATTTGTTTGTATTGTACATCTATTCCCTTTCCAGCCCGAAACCATTCCTGCTCCGTGTCCCTTGTTCAATGCGGAATGGATCGGGGGCGGGACAAATTCGGTAGGTTGGGTGATCTTAGAAGCGGACTTCCGGGCGGATGGAGATTGGCTTGGGTGTGTAGGCTGGTGGGAGGGTCGTGTATCGTGGCGAAGGCTTCGATTTGCGGGCCTTTGGTGCGAATGAGAGGCCTGGGATGTCGAGACGGAGACTTAGTCTGGATGAAGCCCTTCTGCGACGGAGGGGTGGGACGTGAAGGGTTTGATTGGTAGGTGTGTTCTCAGGGTTTGGTGTGAGATATGAGATGGTGATGAGACTTCTGAGGTAGTAGAATGATTCTTCCTCTTGATCTTTTTCTGAGTATATGCTCTGGGTCTCGGTGTGGCACAAAGGATATGAATGGGTAGTGGTAGGACTAGTCGATACTCGACTGATGGTGCCAGCTAGGGTGGCTGGCTGATTGACGATCAAATCTCTCTCATTGTCTTTGTTGTCTATGTCGTCCTTTTTATTTATGTTTGTGTCTTGGACTGTTGTCTCTTGACGTGTTGAATTATGAGGGCACTGTCGGCGCCTGCCGAGGAATGATCGTAGGATGGCCAGCACCCCACGACCACGATGTCTGTGAGAAATAAGAAAAACCATGATTGAATCAGACAATTTGGCAATGAGATATGCCCGGCAAATAGCTGGCTGATTCCGGTTTTGAACTGTGAAGAGAAAGTGAATAGGCACAGCGCTAAACAGTGAATCAAAGCCCTAGATTGAATTGTGAATGGACAGAGTGAATAAGGTCATAGATCAGAGCGGACCCTCGCGTTCCTATATGCGCGAGTATTTACAGGTACCCCTTTGCCTCGAGATCAAGGGCAAAGCTGCAGTCTCATTGCAAATAGAAAACGCCGCAGGGAAACTGCGGAAAACACTTGTCGTCGACATTAAAATCTGACTGTACCTGAAACTCAGTGGGGAATAAAAAAGTACCATCAGATAGGCTTATCCTGAAGCCCAACGTCAAAACACCTTCAGCGCGTAAACCTAAACAAAACTGTAAGTCTAACAGCAACCTGAATGAGGTGTATATGCAGGCCCCCTTGGATTATACTTTGTGATATATCATACGCGCTTTCTTAGCAAACGCGGCTCCGGCACCAGCACCACAGCCGCGGGTCTAGATACATCCATGCGGCTGTCGCGATAGAGTTCAGATCGCGGCAGACTCGGTCTGCTTGTGGGTCTATAAGAGTGGCCCTGGGGATCGTGCAGCGAGATGATGGGTCTGAGCGTTAGGGCAAATTATCAATCGGGCCAACGCAGAGATTAGGATATGCTTGTATCCGGTAGCTGGGAAGTATGAGATTGGGTTGTGCTATCTACCAGTGGAGGCTGACAATCCTTGATTAAGATTCGAGGGCGCTTCGAAACGAACTGATCTGTATTATCGGACATCACAGTTACTCGGTCTTCGGGTTACGCGTCATGCAATACAACTATAAACAAATTAGCCTCTATCTTAAACTTCTCCGTGTCCAGGTGATGTAGAACGTCATGTCATGGGGACAAGGAAAAGTAACATACCATACAAACATCCCCTCCATCCCGACACTCCATAGTCCTACTCATCTCAAACCCCATTCTCTCATAAATCTGCACATTAGGCACATTCTTCGAACTCTCCAGATAGCACTTAACGCCCTCCTCATCCGCAATCTTCGTCACAGACTCAAAAAGCATCCTCCCCACGCCCTTCCCCTGTGCCTCAGGGCTAACGGCAACAATGTTACAAAAATAATATCCACGCGGGTCTACCCATATCTCTGCTTGGGCTTTCTGCTGCTGCTCTTTCCAGATCCAGTACCTGTTTGTGCGGAGCCCTCCACGGCCTAAGTAGAGGATGTTCGTGAGGAATTGGGTAGCTGATAGGACCCAGCCTTGATACCAGGAATACCAGCTCTCCGGTTTTGAAGGTGGGTGGGGTGATAGCCAGCAGGATACTCCGAGGACAGGAGATGTGGATGAATCCTCGGTTGGGGTTATCTCCTTTGCAACTTGGAAAATTGCGTTGTTTATGCCCCAGCGACAGCGTGCTGCGAGGGAGCTGTAGTTTCTTTGTTTGTTGAACTGGAATTGAATTATCCATTAGAAGGTGCAATGGTGGTAACTATGGGTAGTCTGGAAGGGGAGGGGGGTTGATGTATATGTTATGTACCTTGGAGCCGTCGAATACCCACTTAAAGTACGGATCATCGGCAAAAGCGTGTTGTATCACCCGGATTGCACCTGGGATATCGGCTTCCGTCAGGGGAAGAATTTCGATAGCCATATTGTAAATATTGGACTGGAATAGAGAAGAAAAGATCTTATCGTGGGTGCCTGCTATGAGTGGAGCCGATCTCTGGCAGGTAGATAAACAGCGTGATTTATCCCACTACCAGACTCTTGTTAGATATGACCTAGTTTTTGGGTGAACAGACGATAGTTGGATACTGGCTATTTCACGTGAGCAAGTACTACCTTCAAGACTAGAAGGCGTCTGATGACTTACTCGTGATTCGGTTCGCGTTGATTACTGGTGGATCACTGGACAAGGGTGATGACAGGGGTCGTAAGCCGAGAGGTCGTGTTTCACTATAGATGCCGAGCACAGTGAGGCTCAAATAAAGTGCTCTGCCACGCGAAAAAGGAGAATTGACTAGTTGCAGAATGGAAGAGGAAAATGTCATCTTCGAGTCCCCGCTTAGATGTGGGGAGCGTCTAAACCGGGGAAGGAATGTAGATGCGGTCTTATCGCTCTATCGGGATCGCTGGCATCGTTATCCGGATCAAATATAGCTCCGGATCGTAGATAGCGCCCGTGTGTTAAATCATATTCATAATCTTTTTTTTGTTCAAATTTATTTGGAAAAAATGCAACCATGGTATGGCAGTATACACGTTTTGCATGCATATAATCCATCTGTAACTTCCTAATAACCATAATCACGCCTTTTGCCCCGAATGATATGAACAAAGCCTAATATTCTGCAAGACTCAATGTTGCATGTGGCATGTTTGCCATGATAAACGTGAAAATCCAAGCCTGATCCAAACCAACAGAATGCAGTATATAGACCCAGAGCCAGGCGTGAAACAAAACCCAAAACAAGTTGCCCCCTCCCAATACACCAGTTCCCGATATGAACAGTCGTAATTTCATGGCTCGGATATCGTGAAACGTAAGACGGCTGTACAGCACGACCAAAGAAAATCATGAAGCGGTAAAGTCATCCAAGCGTACCCATTCTCGGGGTACATCCATACTACGGTTAACACGGCCTCCCGGGGTCAAGGGGACGTCCACCCGTCCGAGGCCCCGGTCGTCGTCTCCTTCCTCGTAGAAAGAAAGGCGAGAGAAATAATCTTCCAACACAGCCTCTCGATCACCATTGCCAACAATGGTGGTGTACTCGGGAGGGGGTGTGATAAGTGGAGGGGGTGGAGGGACATCTTCGAAGGCAGGAGGAGCGAAGGATGGCGTCCGAAGGAGATGCATAGGGCGAGGAATATCTCGTGCGGGAGCATCGTGCGCTAGATGGGCTTGCGGGGGACGTGCCAATCCACCGGATCCATTTGTGAAGCTTCGCGTGACGGCGCGGCCGATTGAATCCCGGCGGGTGAGATTTGATGTGCTGTCTTCCCGATCGGAATTCGACTGGGTAATGGAATACTCCCTTGATGCCAAAGGTGCACCGGGGCAGCCACACTCGTGTTCTTGCGCAGGTGGGTCTGGGTCGGTAGCCGGTCTAGAATAAGCCGGTAGGTAGATGTTCGCTTGCGTCGCCTTGCAGGAGAGAATATGGAATGGGGAATCGATGGAGATTTCAAAGTGTCTTCGCTTAGTTGGGTCTCTCTCATCAATCTTGGACAGCCGGAGCACAATCTGTAGAAGGATCAGTATCATGGCTGGAGATCGCAGAAATTGATAGATGGAGGTTATTTACCTTGATCCAGTGGTTGATCTGGATGTTTTCATAGGTAGTGTCAAAGTGCAAGCGCTGTCCCTCATCCCGTCCTCTCATTTCATGGCAGCTCGGAAGTTGCACACTGAACTCCATCTCAGTTGGACCAACCCCGGAATCGTTCGCTAGATTGCCGAGCAAATTCGTCCTGCCACGATCGACAATCTCCTCTCCTCGCGCGGCGGCGGCACGGTGATCCCAATCGATACCGCCGCCCGCAGTGATTCGCATCGAGCTACCCGGATAAGTACTTGTGCTGGCTGACTCGGCTCGTTTCTCGAACAGAAGCACCTTCTTGGCGGGCTGCAGACGATGTACACTCTTATCTGCCGTCCAGTGCTGGATATTTTCCGTCACATACACTTTGATGCGGTGGCATTCCACCTTTGCGAGCGGGGTGAGTTTAAAAGCAATCGGGATCTGAGAACCGAGAGGGAAGGATTTCCCGGAGATGACAATATCGTAATGAAGCTGATCTTCCCAATTTCGCGAGATTGCAATCGGCTCGACTTGCTCCAAAGAACCTTCAGCTGGGGTGCGAATCACGGGAATTTCCATCGTGCCAAGCAGATTTGGCCGGAAGGCGCCTGATCGTTCCACGATAGCCTCTAGGTCATACCTCACGGACCCTAGATCGGTTTTGATGGTTTCAGGCAACGATCCATCAATTGGGAACTCGAAACTGTACAGGTAGTCACCCACGGGGAACATCCGGTAGTTGCGCTGCTGTTGTGTCTGAGCACTGGTAGGTGGTTCGTTTCTGCTGAAGCTCCGAGAGTGTCCACGAGTGGTCGGTATGGATAGGCGCCTGGGGTCTCGGGAAGCGATTGCGGGGCCAAGTGAGTTGGTTGAACCACTCTTGGAGAAGAGCTCTCGGCTTGTGGCAATCACTGCATCCTTTCCAGGTACAGGTGAGACGGGCTTAGCGTGCTGATAGTAGTGTGCACCGTAGTCGTTCTGCATGAGTGCGGTATCACCGTGGTTGAAGTATACGACACCGTGGGTAAAAAGGTCTTTCTTATCGTGGAAGTGGATCTTCTTCGGGGGAATACCTAGGAATTCGTGTTAGGCTGTACGCGGGAGGGAGTGGAAGATCCAGCTCCTGGGCTCGACTTCAAGACATACCATCTGGCCAGTCCGTTTGCGCATGACCCTTAAAACAGATCGAGATCTTCTTGATTTTTACACATTTGGTGACCTTGAGGTGTATTTGGCCTCGCAAGATAGCCGACTTCTTGGAACTCGGGTCATGCTGATCATAGCCCTGGAGATATAAAACTGGCTCAGTGAGCGCAATACCCAGCGTCAGTCCGCTTCCAGTCGCAATGATCTTCTCGTTGCGCAGCGGCGGAAACGGTGTAGTTAGCTCGGGAACGGCGTTGGGCTGTTCAGCCACCGCCCGGGGCAACACGTCGGCCATGATATCGGGCATTATTTCGTCAGGCTGTATTGTCGCAACTCTGGGAGAGAGTATGATCTCCGAGACAGGCCGAGCGGTGCGCTGGCGTGGGAGTTTTGATTGCGGGGGAGCGGGTGCCGAGATTCCGGATGACCGCAGGCGAAGGAATCTCTTCGCGTTTTCACGTGGGCCCGCCAGCTTCCTCAGTATGGAGCCGCGACGACTTTGTTTTGGGAATTGCTCTTCGACAGCGTTGAGACTGGTTCGTGCCGATCGAGTGCGTATGAGGTTGGAGATCGATAAGGGAAGCGGGGAAACCTCGCCCGATTGTAAGGACACCTGCGCGGGGATAATGTGAGCCATCATTGCCGTGCCTCTGGCGCATCATAGAATGGGGATTTTTTGTTTCTTTGGTGCTGCGCCTGCCCTTTTAATGGTAATCCTTTGCCCTCTAGACTCTTTCCCTGTCTATTGATTTTTGCTTTTTCTTTCTGGCAGGATTGCAAAAAGAAAAAGTGACAGTGAAAGGCCAGGAATGCAAAAAGGCTCCAAGGCACCACAATGGGAAAGGAAATTCCAGAAGAAAAGAACAGGGCGACACAGAATCCACTTACCTCAGAGCTTTAATCTTTGTGAGACCGGTTGTTATGCTAGAAAATAATCCCTTGTACACCCCCTTCAATGGGATCAAACTAAAATGCAAGGAGCACACCGATCTTTTGCAGGAGAGGAATTCCTCGGGATTGCTGACTTCATAACACGGATCCTCCCCTCAAATGATCATCGGCTTGCAGATCTCTAAAGCAGTGGATTCGATTGGCTAATGGAGGGGCCAAACTGTGGTTCCTTTGGGAACTTGCTTGGCCTTGTTTTACCAGGCTTGGTGGCTTCCTGGTGGCGCTCGGTGATTTGAGATGATGATCAGTTCCTGTAAAAATGGGAACATGCAATGCTTATGTGGCAGGTCATATATAGTCAGATTTTTTCTTTTACTAATAATACCTCAGGGCGGGAAAAAAGGTCCAGATCCGAGGTCTTCAAATCCGATCGATGATGACATGATATCGAATTGGGGAGTTTTCATCCGGCGATCCGGGTCTTACTAAGACGTCCAGAAAACACATCTAGAACCTTTCAAACCGTCTCTACGGAGTACTCTCGACAACGCATGTTGTGCTTCGTTCTCTCTGTAGGACGAACCTTATACCTAATTAGACAGACCTACCTTTATCGGATAAACGTGTCTTGAAAAGATGCAAAGGGAAGATAACATCAGCATGAAACGGCTAACCCGGCACCCAACCCAAGTTTATGGCCTAGAAACAGCCTCCGACGGCACTCGGCTGCGGGGACAACACTCCCATCGGGACTTGCAGTGTCGCATGTGAGGGTCGTCACACCGAGACCTGGGGACACCTGGACACTTGATCGAGGGGAAGATTCCCATCAGCCCATCTATTTCCCGCGTTGTACGCGTCAAAACGTATAAACACCAGACCTCCCTCGTGCAAGTCCTAGCCAAGATAATCATCGTCGGCGAACAGGCCCGGATCTTCAGAGTTTACTTTCCTGCACGGCCCAACGAACAAGGCCATCTGAGTGGCCGGAAATGACAACCCCCCAGAATTCGAAGTCAAGGCCTCCATGTTGGGGGAGATCATTGCATCCGATCCCCATCTGCATATGCACACGGTCTTGCGACACACAGAGCTCAAGACTAGCGCATGAGGCTACCCGGCTTGTTCAATCTCCCCAAGCGGGTCCGTGCCTTGACAGCTGGCGATGACCTCATTGGGGCCAAGGACCCAGAATTTCAACGCGTCCCCCCTCATCTCGGCATCCACGTTCATAGGGCACATCTAGGCTTTGACGTTGAGGTTCATTTTAAAAATTTCTCATCCTTGGTTTTCCTTCCCGGAGAGAACCCCCGTCCGTGCGCCTGGGCTCGTGGCCCTGATCTCATCTCTACCCAGTATTTATAGCGTAGTCAGCCCTGGAGATCTGCCGTGGTTCCTCGCTCATACGTCATTGAATGAAGACTTGGAACTGGTTTTTTTGAAATTCAATTTTTTGAAGTACTTTGGCGCTGTTGTCTCGTTTCATTCCATTTCTTTTGGTTGGAGTCGGGTCCGTCACACAATCAGGTCTTGTACTACCGCCCCCTATGTTTCCCTATGTTCCGAGGTGTAGGTTAAGACTGTGATGTTGAAGATTAGTGCGAGATTTTGGTACATTGCCCGATGTACGGAGCTGTAGTGGGCATCTATTCCGAGTATGTCGCCCCAGGTAAAAGAGCGGTAGAGCGGATAGGATAAAGAGATACTCCGTAGATAAAGCTCTAGTCACATATTTGAAAATATCCAGCCCACATACCAATTATCACATTGGAACTATTGATTATCATTTTCGATAATCTACTGGGGCTCCATGACTCGTGAGCTGATCTATCGCTCTACCTAGTAGCTAAATCCACTAGTGCGGACTGCAGACGCATGTAGATCATAGGGGACAGTATCCCCGCCACTAATTGTTCGTAGAAGAGATCAATTTTGTTCAGGCCTGGAAACTCCTTTCATCAAATCCTAGCTGAACCAATTATCCTCTAGCTCGTTGAGATTCATCAAACTATCGCCTTCCAGCTGATTGAGATCCCCGGTCCCATCGTCACCCATATTCTCGGTCTCCATGAATAAATCATCAAAGCTAGATTCCCCGGGTCCCATCAGATCATCCATCGTATTGCCTTGATCAGGGAACGTCTGGGGTTCGCCCTCACTTTTCTGGAGCTCCATGTCGAATGCAACCCCGCCACCAGGGGCCATAGCTGCAGAATTCTCCGGCTGTGAAGTGCCGGGAGTTTCCCCGGGCGCGCTAGTCCCAAATGCGGTCCCAGAAAGGAAAGCTTGATTCCCCATATCGTCGTCGCCAAAGTCCAGGCTGAGTTGAAAGGAATTGGACCCGCCATTCTCATTCAGGACCGAATCAAAGTTGATGCCGTCAGCGTCGCCGAATCCTTGGCCCATGGGTTCGTTGTTACTGGTCTTGTTTTCTTCTTTCACGACTGCATCCTGACTGGGCTGCGTTTCTGGGACAGAATTGGTGGGAACTAGCGGCTCATTTTCAGTCTTGGCCTTGACCCCGGGCTCTGTACCCATTTCCATCTTCACGTCCACAGATTGAGGTTGGATGTCCTGCACCGTCTTCTCATCTACGTCACCCATGGCCACATCCTCCGTGACCGGCACGGATTCACGAGCTTTGATCGCCTCATAGTCCTTTTCTAAGAACGCTTTAGCGATGAACTGTACAACGTTAGCTGAGATTCAAGAAGAAAAGAAAAGAAAAGACTACTACTCACAATCTGCTCCGATAGATTATCTAGCGCCTCCTGGAAGCTCTCATAATATGATGGAATTGATCGCTGTAATTGTGCACTTGCAGGCATAGACCCTGATTTTCGAAATAGTCGCCCAGTGTCAAGTAGCTACATGCATGTCAGCCATCTGGATCTTTTAAGTTTCTTTTTGGGGGGGGCAAGGGAGTAGCGCTTACCGTCCGCTCCACCAAAGTAGAGAGGTCAGCCAAGGAGCGTGGATTCTCCATGCTAAATAGGTGGCTGGAGCAATGAAAAAAAGAAAATAAAGATAGGGTCTGAATAATGGGACAAGGGAGGAAGGACAGAGGATGTGAAGTGGTACGGAGAAGAGTTGTACACACGAACTGGGCGCTAATCCCGTTGAGGTCAGGTGGGGGAGCCCCTAGCCGCTAACCACCGCTAAACATCGCAGCGCCCTTTACACCTCTTCCTCTCCGTGCATCCTTTTTTTCCTTTTCGTGTTGTGCTTCCTCGTCCGCGATCTTGTCGGTATTGGTGTGTGTGTGTGTTTTTATACTGGCTTTCCTTGATTCATTCTTGTTGGCCTTCTTCCTCCTCGCGAATCTCTCAAGCGCTTTATCGCTACTTCCAGCTGTGACGACCTTTGTCCATCCTGAAAAAAAGAAAGAAAAAACTTCCTTTCGGTTTTTTTTCTTACTTAACCGATCGACTGTATTCGTCCTTTTGACTGTGTTCTGCATCAGGGAAAGAGTGTCTCTACCGACAGACTCCTTTTTTTTGTTGTCTTGGCTCTTTGTTTGGATCGACTAAGCTTGTGCCGTCATTCGGATTCATCCATCGAAACCCCAACGTCAAACCAACGTCCCTATAGTATACTTATCAGCTTCATTTCCACGCTTGCCGGTGCTTTCCAACAACTCTGAACTGTCTATACACCAGACTCGTCGTTTCCCTGATACCTCTGCGCCCCTCAGCTTAGTTTGTGCATCGTGCTCTTGCAACACTCGCTCATCCCGCTTCCCACCCTTTCCAAAGCCCATACACGATGGCTGAAAACGTCTCGACTTCAACTGCTACCTCTCTGCCATCGGCACCCCAGCCTGCCGCCGGAGCTCAGAACCAGCAGTACGAGACCGCCCAAGGCAACGGCCAAACCAACCCGTCCCACATGCCTCCGCCGCCACGCCCCCCGGTGATCATCCCCCAGAACACCAACCCCATTCCCACGGCCATGACCTCGCCGATGTCTGGCAACATGATGTCTCCTACAAGCGCAGGTGGCTATGTCCGTCGGGCCGCTCCCGAACCTAACAAGCGCGCTCTCTATGTTGGAGGTCTAGACCCCCGGGTGACAGAGGACATTCTCAAGCAGATTTTTGAGACGACTGGCCACGTGGTTAGCGTCAAGATCATCCCCGACAAGAATGTGAGCGACTCCGATACCTCGCTCCCACGACAATTTCGGGATGCGCCCCCAACTGTAGGGGAAACCTCTCAACTCCTATCCCATACCGGGCATTTTGTCATGGCTTCCTGCTTGAACCAGTACTGACCTTTCCAGCAGTTTAACAGCAAGGGCTACAACTACGGCTTTGTAGAGTTTGATGACCCTGGTGCCGCCGAGAGGGCCATGCAGACTTTGAACGGCCGTCGCATCCACCAGTCGGTTAGTTTGTTTACCCCAGAATGGCTTAGTGATCAACTCTAATTGGATATAGGAAATTCGGGTCAACTGGGCCTACCAGGGCAACAACACCAACAAGGAGGACACCTCAAACCACTTCCACATCTTCGTCGGCGATCTGAGCAATGAAGTTAATGACGATGTCCTGCTGCAAGCCTTCTCCGCCTTTGGTACCATCTCCGAGGCTCGTGTTATGTGGGATATGAAGACCGGTCGCTCGCGTGGCTACGGATTCGTTGCCTTCCGTGATCGTGTAGAGGCTGACAAGGCGCTCAATGCGATGGATGGAGAATGGCTGGGCTCGCGTGCCATTCGCTGCAACTGGGCTAACCAGAAGGGCCAGCCTTCCATCTCTCAGCAGCAGGCAATGGCTGCTATGGGCATGACCCCCACCACTCCTTTCGGCCACCACCATTTCCCTACCCAGGGCATCCAGAGCTACGACATGGTCGCCACGCAGACCCCTCAATGGCAGACGACCTGTTACGTTGGCAACCTGACCCCGTATACTACCCAAAACGACTTGATCCCGCTGTTTCAGAACTTTGGATACGTTCTTGAGACTCGTCTTCAGGCCGACCGGGGCTTCGCCTTTGTCAAGATGGATTCGCATGAGAACGCCGCCATGGCTATTTGCCAGCTCAATGGCTACAACGTCAATGGCCGTCCCCTCAAATGCAGCGTATGTTCATCCTTCTCCAATATGCTGCCCAAGATCCCATTCACTAACTATCACAGTGGGGCAAGGACCGACCCCCTACAGGTCAGTTTGACAACTTCACTGCGCCGCAAGCCAATGCCGGATTCAACAACAGCCCCGCTGGCTTCTTCCCCCAGTACGGCGGTCCTCAGAACCCCATGAATCAAGGTCAGTTTTAATTCTCAGTATTACCCCTTCTAGGAAATCCCCATCCAACCTTGCTGACAGACGAGTAGGTCCTGCCCCTGCTGGTCGAGGCTGGGATCAACAAGGCAACAACTTTGGCGGACCTGGTATGCCCGGGCAGGGCTATCCCCAGGGACCCCAGGGTAATGCTGGAGGTTATGGGCGTGGGCAGCCCATGTCCCCGTCTGGTAACTGGGACCAGTCCAACAACAACTTTAATGGAGGCTACCAGGCGTAAGTTCCTCCAAGGTTATTGCTGAGGCAAGTTTGCAATTGTGCCGGTTCATCCATGCAACCATGCGCGAAATTTTGATACCGGCTCTCACTGGCTGAAGCCATTCTGCGGTTTTGGAATCGCTTTTCTTCCTCTATCCCCCCACCTCTACTCCTACCAACCCTTCACACTATTTATTCTGTTCTCTTCTTCTTTTCTTCTAGTTTTCTTTTGAAGTTGCCCTCTGAAGTGGATTTTGAGCGACTGAGCTGCCTTTTTTTTTCTTTCTCATTTTGCAATGGAATTTGTGTGTTGTGCACCGAATACCCCAAGTCCACTTTGTTGGTTTGATCTTTCTTTCATCCCCTTTCGAATGTGCGAGCACCTGTTCGAGGGGTTTGGACTCTCGATTCCTATGCAATGCCTCAAATAAAAAGCGACTTCCCTACTCTGTCTCTACTGTTTGTGCTTGATCTATTCTTGTCAATTGTTTCTTGCTAGCTTTGTATTGCATCCTTCCCAGTACATGTTCTGTGTGCTGTATCAAATTTGCTTCATCGTTATCCATACTTCCCTTTTTCTTAGGCCCATACCTTTGTTGAATATTGGTCATTGTCTTCTTTTCCCATCCAAAATATTCTCGACCATGGGTTGCCATGGTTTCCTTCTCGGTTGACAAGTTGGTCTTATGAAACGTTGTTCTTGCCCCCTTTACCCCAGTATTCGTATATGCCGCGATGAGTTTCCTTGAAGTGCTTGACCTGATCGGTTTTTGATCTTTTTTTTCACTCTATTCTCTGCCCGCTGGCCTCCTAGCCGATATACCAATTTGTTCATTTCCTTTTTCCCTGCATTATGATATCCCTAAAGCGTCGGCAATGCCTTTCTGTCCCACCTATGTTGCCCCTATGCATGGTGCTTAGACTTCGCGATGTGGTGCTACCTTGATTGAAGGTTGCCAAAATCCCTTTAGCTTGCTTAAAAAAGAATTTCAACAACTTGCTTCGACCCCTATGGATCTGACTGGGACAATGTCTTATTTTCAATTAGATTCCCACGCTGCCACTAAGGAGCTGTGATTAGCGGTGGCTTAACTAGCTGAACCCTCTCCAGAAAACTGTATTGCTGCCTGGGGGACCAGGCATCAACCCCAGCTCCTGACGCTTGATCCCCCGGATCACACATGTGAACTAACCAAATCTGACCACCAAGCTCGTTTTTGAGCCGAATTGATCCATGTTGGGAGACTAAAAGCCTCGAGCAGCGGTCCCAGCTCTCGGTTATACCCGCACCAATGTACAATAGCGAGGGTCAGAATGCGGAATTCGCAGCGGCCGACAGATTATCCAATCGAACACGCTCCGCCAGCGGAAGCAGCACCCACAAGCGCAGCCTTTCAGGCTCACTATTCTCAAGGCTCTCCTTCTTGCGCATGAGCCAAGCGACAGGATCAGAATCAGGTGCCCGCATCATGGACCACGATGGTGATAACGAAGACCTCCCGTCCATGCCCCCGATCAACAGCGAAGCGTCGGAACGCGGGAAGGCGATGGCAGCGGTTATCCAACAACAGCGAAGGACACGACGACGACGAGGATCATTAAGAAAGACTGCATTGTTGGGTACAAGGCTTGAGTCACGCGATAAAAGGGCTTTCAGCAAGAATGTCGAGGCCGTTCGTGCGGAGGCCCCTCGGTTCCAGGCCGATGATGACGCGCTGAGACCGCACTCTCCGAAGGATAAGGCCTCTTCACCGCCAATGGAAAATAATGACTTCGCCTCGCCGAGAGGAGGATTCAATGATGATGCTGAGGATCCCGCTCAGCCGAGTTGGTTCCGTCCCAGCTCTGCGCTGAAAAACTCCCGCCCGACTGTCGCGCGGAGACGCCAGGGTCTCGCGCAACATACCTCCAATACCAAGAACAATAGCAACAATAACCACCTAGGCGAAGAGACTGCCACCGACGATGAAGAACTCGTTTCCTTTCCACGCATCAACACCAACAACTCTTCAGCTGTATCCGGTGCCCCCAATCCCTCCACTAAAACCACATCCCTTCACGCCCACCCCTCCAGTCCCGACTCCTACTACCCCCTCCAACCAGATGCAGCATACCGCCCTGTCCGTGCCAAATCCTCCCCACTGGCAACACACCCTGTCGAGATGAAAAGCAATACAGATATTACATGGGATTACTCTGAGACTGAATCGTGGGGCTGGATCATCCTCATGGTGACTTGGCTCGTCTTTGTCGTGGGCATGGGCAGCTGCTTTGAGGTTTGGAGCTGGGCGTGGGATGTTGGAGAGACACCCTATGCGCCTCCAGAGCTGGAGGATGATCCGACGCTTCCGATTGTGGGGTATTATCCTGCTTTGATTATTCTTACGGCTGTTATGTCGTGGGTTTGGGTGGTTGTTGCTTGGATTGGGATGAAGTATTTCAAGCATGCAAATATATCGGGAGATGATAGTTGATTTTGGATTATGCGATACCCCCTTTACTTCTATACATAATATAATATGAGTGTACACTCTGTTCAACTTTCTTCAGACGACACATGGGGTTCTGACTCTGGAATTCTTTGAAAATAAATGAAGTTTGGTATTTGAAAGCGAAATTACTCCTTGAGCGATAACAAATTTGCTACACCCGCTTTGAATCCCGAAAATATCACCATTCACATGCATATGAAAGCATTTAAAATCAAGCCCCAACGACGCCAACTTGCTGCTAAATTGGTATTATGTCGCTTTTCAAAATAGTTTCTCTGACTCCAATAGGCAAAAATGCTTCTCGTTCGGTGTGCTCAGGGCATCGTGTTGTTGGTCATTTGCACATAGCTTGCCGTACACCACTTGCAGAATTATACGGTGCACTCGGAGGATTGTCCCAGTCGAGATGCTTCTAAATCAGGATTGTTGCCACCTGGCGACGGGGTCCAGTTTTCTTTTTCTTTCGGCGGTACTGTCTTGCCAGGTGCGGTGCTGACAAGGCCTTTCGAAGAAGCATAGCAAGATGATCGATCGTGATTCATATCCTCGCTGTAAAATTCATCCAAGATGGGGTGAAGTAGGACTGTCTGTTTGTGGATAGTGACTACCGAGTTCGTAGGGACAGAGACCCAATTGTCTATCAAAGATTGTCAGTTCATCAACGACAGTGCCACCTCATAGAACCAGTGGAGAAGATGGATGTGAAGTAAACTCACGTCTCTCGAAAGTAATCGGCTCGCTAGCCACCAAGACAATATCAGCACCCTTATCATGGCGCTCCATCTTGTAATGACCCTTCGTCTTCCCCTCCTTCCACTTCGTTCCTGAAGAGAAATACAAACTAGCCGGCTCGTCAGTCTTACTGCTGATATACCTCGTGCAAATAACAGAATGACCATCCGTCACTGCAAAATTGAGCAACGAGCGTGTCTCCACATCAGTAACATTATGCCTCGCCACAGCCTCGCGCGTAAACTCATTTATGCGCGCAATTGTCTTTATCATGACTTTCCGCAGCAACGCCTGCCCAAAGCCCTCAGGCCCAGGATCCGAGCTGGGATCCACGCCCTCTTGCTCCAGCAGATGAAGGAACAGAGCAAAAGACCATTCACTATCAGTGCTGCCTTTCACACCAAGGAACCACTTGTCCCCAAGAGAAGATGCTAGCGCACGCTTGATGTAGGTCCATCCGCCGATGCCGCCGTTGTGCATCCACATCAGCGTCTGGTGTTGGAACGGGTGGCAGTTGATCTCTGCGAGGTTTCCCTCTGTGGTGGCGCGGACATGCGCGAAGACAAGATTTGAGCATGTCTTTGCGGCGAGACGCTCTAGATTCTCACAGTTCCAGGCTGGGATTGTCGATGTGAAAATGCAGGGCTCTGGGCCGAGTGCAGGGTCGGTGTAGAAGCCCACGCCGAAGCCGTCACCATTCACTGGGCGGCGATTGTCCTGATTTGCGTGTTAGTTTAGGGATTGGAACATTTAAATGGAGATTTTGAGGTCTTGGGTTGGAATGGTGCTGATTTATGTTGTAGGACATACCAATCTTAACCGTGAGTCGTAGGACTGAGTCAGAATGGAATGACTGGGCTCTGTAACCAGCTTACTGAGACGAATCTCATTGCGGCCTTTGTAAATCTGCAATTGACGTTAGCTTCTGGTTCGAGAATCTAGATATGTGAAAATGCTTTCTACTGCACCACTATAGCGGTCAACTCACAAGAAAACGACACATTTGGGGAATTGATGGTTTCCAATGACTTGATAAGAGCCAAAGATGTAACCCCTAGAGATCCAAGAGACTTAGAAGCTCGAATACTTGCAGTGAGCGTGATTCAAGGGGTTTTCGATTCTCGGACCCTGGGTTTGATACAATCCGACGATCAGTGGTTGGGCGTTGACAGGTGAAGAGTCACCGACAATCGGGGCCGAGATAGGACACCTTTGAGCCACCACTTGACAACGGCCAAAAAGACACAGAACAATAGCAAAGGTAGATCCTAAATTATCACCAGCCTCACTTTCGTATTGAAGAAAATATAGAATTCAAAACAAACAACTACTCACTTCCCTTGCACAGCACGTCATCGATGGTACACGTGACATTTAGCTACGGTCGGTCAAGCGGCCACTAGCGCAAGTCACGTTGATGTCAGTGATCGACCTCGGGAGCATCATGATATTTACCTTTCTCTCCCATCTGGCTTTGAATGCGATCTCATCACAGCCATGAGCGGGAGGATACTCTCTCATCGACTCACACCGCTGGTGCGGAACGGCCTGGCTCGCCATATCCATAATGCAGGCTCCAGGACCGGAGGTCTTCTTCGCGCGAATAGTGGTGTTGGCCTGAGGGGACGCGCCTGGCCCATAGGTGCTAATGGAATTCACAACAATGTTCCTGCTGTCAGGGCCTTCTCTTTTGCGCGGCTTCTTCCAAAGCTGGCCCTCAAGCTTGTTCGGCTCCCGGCTATGTTTGGAGGAGCAACTATTGCGGGCCTAGCTTATTTCCAATACCAAGCAACTCGTACGTGCTGCAAGTGACCCGGCGGAAATGGAAGGTGGCTACTGACGAAATACTATAGAGGCTGGAAATTATGCGATGGATATTTTGAAAACGGCTGGCGAGACGGCAGGAAATACGGCATCAAGCTTATTCCAGGGCATACAGGATGTGGCGGATCAGACACAACGTGGGTGGAATAAGACAACGGGAGATATCGAGATGCCAGAATGGCTGCAAAAGATGTTGCGAGGGGAGGAGGAATCTCAGTCTCAGAATGGAGGAGACAAGGAACCCAACGAAAGCCGCGGTCTGACTGCGGGAGTTGCGGCCGGATCGACTGCAGCATTTGGCTACGACAAGTCTGACGAAGACGACTCTCGACAAGAAAAGGAGGTCGCCGAGGACGACCAGATGATGCTCCTTACCCGCAAAATGATCGAAATCCGGAACATCCTCCAGACAGTTGGTCAGTCTGGTTCCCTGACTCTGCCATCGATCGTTGTGATAGGATCCCAGTCCTCTGGTAAGAGTTCGGTTCTAGAAGCTATTGTTGGACATGAATTCTTACCGAAGGGCTCCAATATGGTCACCCGCCGACCGATCGAGCTTACCCTGATCAATACTCCTAATGCTCAATCGGAGTATGGTGAATTCCCGGCCCTGGGCCTCGGCAAAATCACCGACTTTTCACAGATCCAACGCACCCTGACTGATTTGAACCTTGCGGTACCGGATAAGGACTGTGTTTCAGATGATCCTATTCAGTTGTCCATTTATTCACCAAATGTCCCAGATCTTTCTATGATTGATCTTCCTGGCTATATCCAAGTTGCTGGCCACGACCAGCCCCCGGAGCTGAAACAGAAAATCAACGATCTTTGCGACAAATATATCCAGGCCCCCAATGTCGTGCTAGCCATTTCAGCTGCTGATGTCGATCTTGCAAACTCAACAGCCCTGAGAGCCAGTCGTCGTGTTGATCCCCGTGGTGAGCGTACCATTGGTGTCATCACTAAAATGGATCTCGTTGATCCTGCGCGGGGCCATGACGTACTCACTGACAAGAAATACCCTCTTCGTTTGGGATATGTTGGTGTTGTCAGCCGCATTCCTCAAACAACAGCTCTCTTTTCCCGGGGATCTGGAAACATTACCAGCGCCATCCTAAAGAACGAGAATGCCTATTTCTCGGCCCACCCCGCCGAGTTTGGAAATCACTCCGATGTCGCAGTTGGCGTCTCGACCCTCCGCAAAAAGCTTATGCAGGTCCTCGAGCAGACGATGGCAGCCAGCCTATCGGGCACCAGAGATAGCATCAGCCAGGAGTTGGAAGAAGCGACCTACGAATTCAAGGTCCAATATAACGATCGGCCTTTGAGCGCTGAGTCCTACCTGGCTGAAAGCCTGGACAGCTTCAAGCACTCCTTCAAGGCATTCGCCGAGTCATTTGGCCGACCCCAGGTCCGGGAAATGTTAAAAGCTGAACTGGATCAGCGTGTCATGGATATCTTGGCGCAGCGCTACTGGAACAAGCCCGTTGAGGACTTGAGCCCGCCAATGCTAGAGCTTGATCCGCTCAAGGACCTACCGAAGGCTGACGTTGAGTCCCTTTATTGGCACCGAAAGCTGGACGCGTCCACTTCCTCCCTGACAAAACTAGGCATTGGTCGACTTGCTACCACCGTAGTTGCCAATGCTCTCCAAAACCACGTCGAATCGCTCCTGGCATCTTCCACTTTCGCCACACATCCAGGTGCTCATAAACAGATCACAGATGCCTGCACAAGCATTCTGAACGACCGCTTCTTTAGCACTAGTGATCAAGTCGAGAACTGCATAAAACCATACAAGTTCGAGATTGAGGTCGAGGATCCGGAGTGGTCGAAGGGCCGTGAAAATGTTAGCAAAGTGTTGAAGGAAGAACTCAAGGCGTGTGAATCAGCCATCAAGAACGTTGAGGACAACGTTGGCAAGCGAAAGCTCAAGGATGTCATGTCTTTCATCGACAAGGTTCGCAAGGGTGATATCGTGCTCGAGGGCAACGGCGCTGGTGGTGCAGGCGGTTTCAGCGCTGCTCTTCTGGAGAGAGGCAAGAGCCCCCCCCTCTTTCCCCCCATATTTTAATTTGATCTCTTGACTAACAAATCGATCAGGTCGAGACGGTGTCTTCCTTCGCGATCGAGCTGATCTCATTAAGATGAGACTTATGGCCGTCCGATCCAAGCAGTGCGCCTCACAAAAGAACAAATACTACTGCCCCGAGGTCTTCCTCGACGTAGTAGCAGACAAACTTACCTCAACCGCCGTCCTCTTCCTAAATGTCGAGCTCCTCTCCGAGTTCTACTATAACTTCCCCCGTGAACTCGACATGCGACTCGGTCGACATCTCTCTGATGCCGAAATCGAACGCTTCGCACGCGAGGACCCTCGAGTCCGCCGCCACCTCGATATCATCCGTAAGAAGGAGCTCCTTGAGCTGGCCCTGCAGAAAATTGAGGGGATTCGACAACTGGATGGTCGTAAAGCGAGCCGTGGCCCCGATCGTACCCAAGCTGCGAAGGAGACTCGTGGCCGCTGGGGCATTTTCTGAGAAAATTCATCATGACTCTTTGATTGCTCGACTCCATTCCCTGCTCGATACCTTTTGTTTCTTTTACCCACTGATTATAATCTTGATACCTTCCTGCCTCGTGCTTCCATATTCCCCTCTTGTCTCTAGATTGACTTCCCTCCCTCTCTCTCTCGTCGCTCATGCTGGGCGTTCATTCCTGTCCCTAGATGGTTTGGTCTTTGTACATACTTGATCCAATTTATACTACTCGTAGAGTGGCAATTATTCCTTCCTGAGAGAGCCTGAGCGCCAGAGGGCAAAGGTGATGAGCCGGCTGCAATTGTTTGAAAACTCTGCTATTCCTTGAGGCTCCCCGTATCTTTCTCTGGCTGATGCCTTCGTAAATTGAGCATCGTATATCAGGTCGGCATCAATCTGGCGTTCCAGGTCTGCGTTCCCACCCTAAAGCTTGGCTTGGCATTTCTCCGATGGCCATCTCCGGAGTCGGGCCTTAGCGGAATAATGAAAAAAAATGATGGGTATTTTCGGGTCATGTCAACGGGTCCTTATGTCGATGTTTTGGGTCGTTGGCGATTTGGTATGCAGGTTGTGGAGAAGGAAAGGAAGTAGAAGGAAGAAAGTGGTCGAGATAAGGTTGGCTCTCGGAAAATCCCGAAGTATAACTAGTCCCACAGTAGCTAAAGTGAGAACATTGATTCCACGTCAACCTTCACCCTTCTGCTGTGCACTTATTTAGATGTATTAGAATATCATTAGCTAATATAGCGCATACTAGGCATTGGATTTTCTTCGTCGGGGTAGCAACTTAAGATCATTTATATGGGGACGTATTACTATAAGGGCAGGGATGTAATTAGATAATTATTATTCTTGTTCTTTACTTGTATCACTAATGGGACCTGATACCTAGATGCCTGGGGCCTTGTGCTGCTCTTTAAGATAGCTGCACACTTCTAATTTCCTTCTTCTTCTTCTTCTTCTTCTTCTTCTTCTTTCTTCCTTCACTTTCCTAGCTTAGTTCTTTTCGTACAATAGACTCTTTCTTCTTTTTGATTGGCTTTCTCAATCTAGTTATAGCCGGATCTTCTCTAATTGCTAGTATCTTTTTGGTCATCTCGGGAAACATATCCCTCCACGCGTCTACCTTATTCGGCACAATGGATAACAGAAGGAGGTTTGTGAGTTCCCTTGGCTAAATAGTCATCGGGCCTACCTTGTTCTGCCTCCTAATTTTCTTTCGTCATTGACTTTGGCATCAGGCCATCATTTTTATGACCCGTGGTGCTTTTTGCATGTTAGTGCTGTCATGAGAAGATAATTTCCTTGACACAAAGTGGAAGGACGGAACGCCATTTGACTGGGATGGCAAGCCGACAACTCCTAATTTCGGTACCAGCAACACTTAAGACCTGGAGTAAGAGAGACGATTCTGTTATCCATTCTGTTCTTCGGCTGAGTGTGGTACCAAAGAAATTCCGGGTGTCTACTGGTTTTAGTCTCGGAAGTGAGCCGTGAGCCCGCACTGGGGGGGAGGGGCACAAAAGAGGTCCGTGGGGACCGAAAGCCATTACTGCTTCCAGCTAGATTATTATATAATAGCAACTAGCGCATCATTCTCTATCACCTTAGAGACACAAAAGTATCACGAATCTCAAGGACTGGCGAATCAGGTCAATGAGGCCTACAATGTCCACTACTGAAGAAATCAATCCTTCTTCTGAAGACAAGGTCACCCGATGAAGTCGGAATAAAAAGCAGCCAAGTTAGCAGGTTAGCAGGGGAGGCTTTGCAAGCGTATGGAAAGTAAAAGCACCCTATTTCTTAGAATTATGGTATGAAAAATGGAACCCGGCATTTCGTTCATCCATGCAGAGAGAGAAAAGAGGGACAAATACATTAGCTCTGGCAAAGATCTCAATTGTATTGGCCACGATATGCGTCAGTTGCAAACATGCCTGACGCATACACAATCAAAAGAATAGAGTGGAGAAGGGAAGGTGCTGTCAGATCGATATAGGGTTAAAAGTAGGAAGGGAGGGGGGTTCTTTGAGCTACGCGCAATGTCGATTGAACCCCTCAGTAATTCTAGTATTATGTAGTGATTGCAACTTAGAGAAAATGCTACTATACGTGATTTTCAGGTGTTAAAACAACATCCAACCTCGCTTGTTTCAAGTCAATACGTAATATAACACTGTGTTCGAACTGGGATATACTACACTACGATTTCAATCTTAGGTAAGAAAAGGTAGTTATCACTTCTAATCAATTTCGCCTTAGCTGCCTGGGCATGTTCTTGATAATATTGCTATTCTGAATTTCGAATACTGCGCCTTGGCTGTTACTTTCAATGCGGCGTTCAACTATTACCGCATAGATGGTGGTCAGTGAACAATTCCCTTCTTGACTAATGCATTAGCATAGAGCAGAATAGAGATGCGCCTTTTCAGGTTTGCGGAAACCATATCCACCGTCATGTGTCATCCTCGAACCTTGGAGATGGGGTAAGCTCTCCTCACAGCGCCGACTTTCGCCGACAAGGTTAAGCTATTCCGGAAAGTTCCAAGGTTATGGGGAACCAGGAAAATGTCGGATCGTCAGATGTGTGTGCTTCATCCCCAGATTTATGTCACTAGGGCCTAGTCCACGTCAAAGCGAGATTTGGGCCACAAAAGAATTTGAAGCGTGGTTCTCCGCACGATGCGGGTCATTTCGGAGAGATTGAGCATCTCAGGCAAGAAAAAAACCCAAAACTAGAGGAACTGCGGAGATAGGTATACTCTCAGAGTAGGGACAGAAATCATGATCTTGCATCCCTAGTCAAGAACATTGAGCAGCATATCCTCGGGAGCTATGAAGGCCAGCTTTCCCAATGTTCGGTTGATTTCTCCTCACCGGCTTCCCCTCACCTCTCCAATTTTCCTGGTCCAGATTTCCCCTTTTTACCGCAATTTATCCTGGCGGCAGAAAAAATAAAATAAAACTGGGGCTTCGGGTTGGGGCTCCTCATTGTGGGTGATCGGCATTGGAATAATTCATAAACTCAATTGGTCTGTAGAGAAGGTATTTTTGGTTCATGATACAGCATAGAAGAAATATGACACCGTCGAAACATTGGAGAAGTCGAGAAAAGTGATAGCGCAATTGAGCCATGAGTCAAGTAGCGGGTACCTAGGGGCCCATACAAAACCACGCATAACGCAATGTACCGGCGACATGGGGCAAAAAACCCGTGTCTGTCCCGGTGACACCGATTACACCGATTCGCCTAAAACAGTAAACCTCGACGCCCTTATCAAATTTTTGATCTCGAGCATTTCTCCCTTTCTTCACCCCATCCCAGCTTTCCCCAGAGCTCCCTGGTGTGCTCTCCACCACCCACAATGGCTGGCACCACGCTAGCAATGCGCTCAATGGCCTCTAAGTCCATGATGCAGCTGTCCTCGGTGTCGCGCCCATCCATCGCGACATCGCAGGCTCTTCGCGCAGACCCCCTTCGCTCCGTCCAGTCCGTGTCGCGCATCGCTCGCCGCGGTTACGCCGATGCTGCGCCCACTCCCTCCCCTGCCCCCAAGCCTAAGAAGCGATTCCGTGCCCTCCGGTGGGCCTGGCGATTGACCTGGCTCGGTGGTCTCGGTCTGACCGGTGCCCTGGCTTACAGCATCTACGAGCTGCGTCACCCCGTAGAGCAGGCTGAGCCCGACCCAGAGAAGAAGACTCTCGTCATTCTTGGTATGATGCAGTCGCGATCGATGTTTTTTAATCTTCTCTTACGTTGAACGGTCGCTAATACCCCCGCTTTGTAGGTACCGGTTGGGGTTCCGTCTCCCTGCTGAAGAAACTTGACACTGAGAACTACAATGTGGTTGTTGTTTCTCCCCGTAATTACTTCCTGTTCACTCCCCTGCTGCCCTCATGTACTACCGGTTTGATTGAGCACCGCTCGATCATGGAGCCCATCCGCAACGTCCTCCGCCAGAAGAAGGCTGCCGTCAAATTCTACGAAGCTGAAGCCACTAAGATCGACTACGAGAAGCGTGTTGTGTACATTAGCGATGACTCTGAGATCAAGGGTGACATCTCCCAGACAGAGGTTCCTTTCGACATGCTCGTGATCGGCGTTGGTGCTGAGAACGCTACTTTTGGTATGTTCCTTGGCACTTTCTTGGGCGCCGAATGAAGCGGCTAACAGATGTACAGGTATCCCCGGTGTTAAGGAGAACTCTTGCTTCTTGAAGGAGGTCAACGATGCCCAGAAAATCCGTAAGCGCATTATGGACTGCGTCGAGACCGCCATGTTCAAGGATCAGAGCGACGATGAGGTGAAGCGCCTGCTGCACATGGTTGTCGTCGGTGGTGGCCCCACTGGTGTCGAATTCGCTGGCGAGCTGCAGGATTTCTTCAACGATGACCTGAAGAAGTGGATTCCTGAGATCCAGGACAACTTCCACGTGACTCTTGTTGAGGCTTTGCCTAACGTTCTTCCCATGTTCTCCAAGCAACTGATTGACTACACCGAATCGACCTTCAAGGAGGAGTCGATTACTATTCGCACCAAGACCATGGTTAAGAACGTGACCGACAAGGCCATTGAGGCTGAGGTTACCAACGCCGACGGAAGCAAGTCTCTAGAAACCATCCCCTACGGTCTTCTCGTGTGGGCCACCGGTAACGCTGTTCGCCCTGTTATTCGTGACCTCATGGGTCAGATCCCCGCTCAGAAGAACTCCCGCCGCGGTCTTGCCGTGAACGAGTACCTCGTTGTGAACGGTGCTGAGAACGTTTGGGCTGTCGGTGACTGTGCTATCACCAACTACGCCCCCACTGCTCAGGTTGCTGGCCAGGAGGGTGCTTTCCTGGCTCGCCTCTTCAACACCATGGCTAAGACCGATGAGATTGAGAAGGAGCTTACCAAGCTCTCCAACCAGCAGGCCCTGTCCAAGTCTGACGAGGAGCGCAACCAGACCTTTGATGAGATCCGTGAGCGCCAGAAGCAGCTGCGCCGCACCAAGCAGATTGGACCCTTCCAGTACTCTCACCAGGGTAGCTTGGCCTACATTGGTAAGGAGCGTGCCGTCGCCGATATCAGCTGGCTGAGCGGCAACATTGCCAGCGGTGGTACCTTGACCTACCTTTTCTGGCGCAGTGCTTACCTGAGCATGTGCTTCAGCTGTAAGTTCTATCCCCTTTGCTTTGCGCCTCTTGAATTATTTTACTAATTTCATATAGCTCGCAACCGTGTCCTCGTCGCCATGGACTGGATCAAGGCTCGCGTCTTCGGCCGTGACGTCTCCCGGGAGTAAACGCATTGCTAGTCAAGCTATGATCAAAAGCCGTCCGTAAAATCCAGGCGTGCTTTGCCATTTCTTTATGTCTTCCACTTCAATGCTGGATTTCACATCCTCATTGATTTTATCTTTGAAACGCCACGCCACCTCTATGCCACCTGTTGCCTCCGCTTTTTCTTTCTTTCAAGTTTTCCTCATCCTGTGATAGACATATCCACTGCTCGTTTTCGTTTTTGATGTCCTTCCTGATCTTGGCGCTGATAGTCCGATTCCTCGTTCATCCCAGCATCTCATGTATACTTTTTGGATTTGGACCTTTTGTCCATTTACCAAACCTCTCATGCTGGGGATGGAGAGGGAAAAGCATTAATTCTCGCTCTTTTCTTGTCAAGTCTAGTTTCTTGTTCTTGATTTGTACGCTATGGGAATATATAGAACGGGTCTGGAATCGTTGTCTTGTATGTGTCATTACATTATTGTTATCCACCTAAGCACCCAATGTTCAAATGTCACTGAAAATGTACCCTGGTACCTACACTTAGGTAGCTCCTGATGCCCAGTACCTACTAATAAGGTACCGAGGTACTCAATTTCCGATATTTTGCCAGTTTCCGCTGTCCTGGTCAAGGTTTCCCAGGGTATACCAGGGATCATCGCTGTTCCAAAGGTGTCGTCACACAGCTCTTTAAAGTTTGCGTTTATGATGACAGTTTTCAGAATCGTGAAATATCCGTTTTGAACCCCAAACCTAACGATTCATGTGACATGGGCACCGCATTTGACATTGGAAGCCAATTCATTGAATGAAGGCGTTGACGGAACCGCGGCGAAGTGTTCCTGTTTCATAGCACCTTGGGATCATTCTATATATCTTGTCAGATCTCTGAGGTGTCATCAGAGGTTAGGCAAAACTTACTGTCCATTGAAAATAGATTGGAAGCTCAATGGAGAGTCCACATCCCCGTATGGTCAAAACATTCGGTTTCATCATGAACACCGCAGCAGCGATCGGGTCTCATGAGAGTACCGTGTGTGCGGGAAGTCCTCAAGGTTGACCTCTTTTAAGGGGGTGCGAGGACTTTTCAGGGCTTATCACCATGAGCCTTTTCTTTGTGCTTGTTGACGCTGTAGTTTTCAACAAATAGATGTGTGGTTCCAGGCCTCAGAAGCTTCTAGCTAGTTCGTGCACTGGGCAGCATAATCGAATCGGTGAAGGCTCATACGTCTACCTACAACGATTGAACGCCGGCCTCGTTCCAAGTCTCGCTCCATGGCACATTGAGGTAATAGCTGCACCAAATTAGTACTCCCAAGGTCTGATATCCTAGGCTACGACACTTTGGACTTTACATTTGCACAGTTCGCGGCCAAAGTCCATATATAGTACTGCTTGGTGCAACTGAAGCTCAGCCGCGCTTTTTCTGTTCAATTGACCTTGACTCATAGTACCTACCTCCAATGAGTGAATTAATTCCTCCTTCCCTGGCGATTGTGTTTCTCATGCGAAATTCCAAGAACCAACAAAGTTGAACAATGATACACAGCTGCCCAGGTGTATCATTCCATCCGGCGGTCTCAGACATTTCCTTCCTGCCCGATATGCTGGAGTGTATATGGATGAATTGGGCCATGTAAATCATGACAATCAATTCCTCCGCAATATTCCTGGGCCGGAGTCTCATCGATGACTCGCATGTTCTCTTTCAGCCATCTCTATCGGTACCATGGCCAGCCGCAAGTCCTCAAGACAAGCGATTAGCCGGGTATGTATCAAATGTTATCGCTTGATCTGCCTTCTGCCCTTGATGTGGTCATATCGAGCTGCAGGATCCGATGCTTGTAGAAGAATGACAGTGAAGTCGACCTGCCGCGGAGTGAACTCTCGAATAAGGAGGCACGGAATCTGATGGACGTGATAACATAACAGACTTGAATCCCTGTTTCAAATCAATAAATCATGCACGAGATTGGTTAATTGACGGTTAGTGCTCGCCAACTGAGCTACCAAGATATGCATCACTATCAGTACGGGGCAACTTCTGTGTTCATACCAAGAACATTCGTTTCTCTTACACGGCCACTCCGTGTAGATTCAATATCACCGAAACAAACATAGATTTCCTCTCACATCAACCCATCAACTCCCAGTGAAGTACAGAATGATATATCATTTTATCCCCCGATATGCAACAATATACCAGTCAAATTCCAAATTCACCGGCCCCATGTCCACACAAGCAAGCCAATGCAAGGCTGAGACTGGACTAGCACTGGGACTTGGACCACGACCCGGGCTGACTGGCCTGACTCCCGATTCTATGCAATAGGTAATGTTCCAGGCCACTGGGCTTGGTGCAGGAGGGAAGGAAGCAGTAGGATTCTCCCCCGGGGTTCCAAGGTTTCGGCGATTCCGTGTTGGACGAACGGTTGAGCTGGACCCAGCCCGACTATGCTGGAATGTCGAGGGTGAGAAAAGGTGTTGGTTAGCTTCTGCATTGCTTATGCGGGTGCGTCGTTTCGTTTGTTTGTGCTACCTGGGCTGAGAGGTGAATCTTTGCTTATGTGGAAGGCCCAGCTCTAGACTTGGTTCTTTTGGAATTTGGATTTGAATTGATGGATTGTTGATAATCTAGGTCCATAATCGGTAACTGGGCTATGTCTAGTGTGGTACTTTGGTCACGGTGGAGATGGATTATTATCGGAGGCTGGGCGGCACTAGTTGTCTTTCAGTGCCGGCTTGCTATCTTGCCTGGTTGACATTATGTGCCGAGAAAGCAATGTTGCTTGCCAGGCGGCGCGCAGTGTGATATTGCTTAGTCCTGCAAACAGACTTAGTAGGCGTGGTGATATGGTCCCATTGATGCGGCAAATCCGGCTTCAGACCGGCATGTGCAGATATCAATCTGGGGCAGTATTAATGGCTAGATAATGTTAGAGAAGAGCAACGTGGGCTTTTCTTCCGTGTCTGATGAAACCCTCCGTACTTCGCGATGGGCTGAACATGACGATCTTCATGTTTCATATTATTTCGACCTCAACAGCGGCACCTAGCACGGGGCTTCCACTAAGTGCTTCAGGTATGTTCCACACCATCTATTCAAGGCAGAGAGGAGCACGGAAAGCCTTGCAGAAGAAAGAGGGGGAGCTGATAAATGCACTGCCTCGAAATGGGGTATGCTCCGGGTGCAGGGCAATGTGTCGAATATGGACATTGAACATGGACATATTCACAAGGCAAGCGACTAAGCACTAGGGTCAGTCTGCGACGAGGATCCGATTGTACACATGCGGATAGATCAGAAGGCGCGCTTGCCGATGCGATGTGATCAGAACATAGCTCATAGCTTTATGGCGTGCGCCTGCCATGGAACGTTGAATTCTAGTCTGGATTTGGATACGATGAAGAGGCGTTGTCAGCCACCCCCTCATTCAAACAAAAGCAGGGGGCAAAAGGGCCAAAGTCCCGCCATCTCCTGGAAGTCCCGACTAGAATGCACATCTGCTTAATTAGTCCCAATAGAGTGGAAGACGTATGTGATGACAGTGACCGTGACAGGTTTCCGGGATGGCAATGGCCATATCGGAAATCCGAGAGTTAAGGCATGGTGAAACTCAAATATTCATTGTTTGCCAGGCGCGTCAGTCAATTTTCAATCTTGCTTTCGGTTTCGATAAATCCGACGCCGTTTTCGTGATCATTTCGTGTTTCAATTTCCGTGGAAAGTGAGAAAGCAAATCGGTGTGGGATATCAGACGATCTCGCCGATCGAGGGCACTGGTGACATAGGCTTCCCAGCATCATCCGCGGTCCGGATCTGAGTCTTATCCCCGCCACCACGTTCTGGGTCATGACTCAACGCGAACCAGAAACTAGATGGAATTGACCGGGATTTAGCTGTGGCATTTACCCAAGTGTGATACTTTGGTCCATTAGTCCGACGTGGATGTCAACAAGGTTGCTCCGGGCCATGTCTCGTTGGTTAGAGGCATCCCGGTTTCTTCCCAGTGGTCTTCCACCACCACAAAGAAAGTGGATGTTTACTCCGCAGATCGATGCACTAGAAAGCCAAATGGTAAAAAAAAAAAAAAAAAAAAAAAAAGACACGAAAACACAATAAAATCAAAACTTGAAAACGCGACTCTCCAAGTCACAACTCCCCCGGTGATCAATTGGAAATGTGGCTAGCAGTTCGCCTCGGGACTGTACCTGGCATTGCAACACCTGTCGAAGTACGCGGGACAATCAGCGCCCAGGGTTATTTCCCATAGGCGGAACCGATCGGCTTCGGTGTACAACGAAAGGACAGCTTTGATGAAGGACTCCATAATGGAAAGGAAGAAAGAAAGAGTGGCGGCAATACCGGATGGAAACGGCACGCACGGGAATGTGATCATGAACATCTGTGTGCCCTGTCCTCCGTATGTACGCGTTAGCGACTCCACAAGTGAAGACATCTGGACCTTGGTCACAGGCAGAATAATAGAATTTGGGGGTATATGTTTTCTATAATTACAGCATTCCTTCTTCTCGGATGCCGGGATACTGCGCGGGAACTGGGATGATCGTCCCCGTCGAGGGTGTGCCGCCACATTGGAATCTTTTGAGGGCGGGGCTCTAGACCCGAGGTCTGCTTGTCTAATCTTAGTCGCAACTCCTGAGACACGGCTACGTAATGGCCGTTTCCCCCACATTGATATACGGTAACAGAGAAAGAAACGCGATACTCTGGTCTTCGATTTCACCCGAGCGGGGACGGAGTAAAGGGCATCTTCTATGGGGCTGTCGGAAACTCAAAGAAAAAAAAGTCAAATATGTACCCTGATATCATTAGAATCGACGATTGTAATTAGTTTTTTTTTTCATTAAATTTACATTAATCTCGCAGACAATGTCAGACAGTGGGTGCTTGGGGCGCTTTGTTCACGATGGGTCCTCAAAAGACTAATATCAAACCTATCAATGATACATGAGGCGAAATTGCAGAATATTTGATTTCTTTTTTTAATTTCTCAGCAACTATGGCCCCGGGAAGGAAAAGTCTAGATCCGCTGGGGTCAATGGGATATTCGTTGCCTTCCTGCAACCTGTGAGATGGGAGTAAACATATGTCTCGATCAGGAAGCATGCAGTGCCGCGGTGTCTCATAGGACCTCACTTTGGAGTCGAACCATACATATGATAACACCTGGGCACTGGATCAACGTGAGCACGTACTCCATAAGACCCTGAACATAAAAAGTAAAACAATAGGTCAAACGATCAAGGAGTGACGAAGTATAGCCCGGGTATTTGCTTCAAGATCGTCCTCGCACCGTATTCCATGTCAGTTGACACCCCCCCTGCTCATGGGGGCGATTCCAATTTATTTTTCGGGGGTTGATCTTGATTCACCTGAGCTTAGCGAGATGGGACCAGGACTGGTTAGATGGCGCTAGGACATTCTCACCGCGCAAACCAGAATATCCACTTGAACTACGACGTACGGAGTATGCCCGGATGGAAGTTTCGGGCGCATCAAACTCGGGGATTACATTACGGTGTTAAGTCCGTGAGAGGTGTGAGGGAGCAAATTAAATGTCGGGGTCCAAAACACGCGAAGAAGATCCAAACCTGAATCAGTAATTGTTTGAGGGGATTGGTCCAACATCGTGAGGATTTGAAGCCCAGCCGCAAGGACGAGGGAAGATGCAAGGAGCCTTGTGAGGAAGTAGAGCGGCAAGGTTGAGAGTTATCGCGGAACGAAGTACTATCATCAAATTGAATTAATCCTTACCCACGCATGAGATAGGTTATGAGTTCGATGTTGGAGGGGGGGGGGGGGGGGCAAGCGATGCACGACCAGGCCCCGCCCGTGTAATAATGATATGAGGAGGGCAAGGGTTATGGATCGAAAAGAAAAATGAAAAAGCAATAGTGTCGAACGGAGTTATCCGATTCAGGAGAAGTGGAATGAGAGACTGCCGATCCCTCAACCTCAGCTCTAGAATTCATCAAGTTACGCTGTACACACGGTAATACGGGCTTGAGTTTTTCTAGGGCGTTAGGTGTACCAGATTCTGGACTTGTCGTAGCCACCAGTCGTCAGCACCAATCACAGACGGCGCATTAAGTCCTGCGGAGTATTGCTCAGGTACCGGAGCACAGAATTGAAAGTGACTTGGGACTCATATCGCTCGGATGACTTCCACGATAGGCGAGACCCCCCGTGTGCAGGCCAAGTTCCCCAAGTCCCGATGACGGGCCCCCGAGTATCACAACCGTGGCGGTCGCGGTCGCGGTCAGCCTGCATGCACCAATAGTCGAGTGTAGAACCCGGCTGTGACCCGGGGGAAAATGAGTGATCATCGGTGGAAATCCTGGCTACACGTTGAGGAAGCGAGAGCGGACCTCAGAGGGATCTTGATCCATGATGCGTCCTTGTGACTGCACGGTCTGCAGGTCGTACCGGACACGGACAATCTGACCTTGCAATCGATTGCGCATCTTTGTGTGGAGCACAATATACTTGGAGAGCAAAAGATGAATCTTCGACTCTTTTGCTCCGCATTAACCGCAACCGGGATGACCAGTGGCGACGTGGAGGATCCATTTTGGAACAGATTTGATGTTGCCTTTCTTCCCCACCGACGTGCGAACGGTCCACGTTGAGCCGCTAAAAAAGAACGATAACGGTGAATTTATTTTACTTTTTATCCTGATTCTGGAGTTACGTGTCGATCACAGAAGATACATCGTGGACGAGCTGGACATGCCCACGGACCTGTGACGAGTCTCTTAATCATGGGTCAAGTTCGTGTTGAACAAGATCATCACAGATCGGCTAGCAATGACATGTCTCTGTGTTCGTGCAGTTGATTGCAACTCCACTTTTTCACCATCTCCATCTGGGGTTCTGGAAACACCGAAACGAGGGAAAAGAAGGAAAGGAAACAAACCCACCACCGTGGCGGTGGCTTGGGAGACCAGCGCGAAAGAGGGAGAAATAGGACGGAATACCAAAGAAGTGGAGACCTGGACCCAAAGTCGGTTATTCCTTTCTATTCGGTGACTCTTCAGCTCTCCCCCTAATTGATTATGTACTCCATCCACGCCAAGGTCGAGATTGGATCGTCCGAATGGAAGTTTCAGAAGCCAGTTGAGCTAGTGGCGTGATGACCGAGATTCGACGGGTTTGCCCCTCTAACTAGATTAATCGACTTGGTATGCGTCTCGCATCCCGCGAACCAAGGTGGTTAGTGACATGGTACTGGGATGGGCTATCACTAAGGTGCATCAAAGTATACAGTCCATTCACAAAGCCCGATCGGGATTGATCCATCCGAAATCAAATGTACGAATTCTGTAGACACTCGAGTCAAACGACCCTAAAAAAAGGTAGGGGGGCCAATATGCGGACAAAGGTTCGTTTCCGGTTTTACGGGGGCGCTTGGAAAAACACCTTTTCAACCTGCATTGGACGAATGAGCGCCCGGATGGTCAAGGCTCCAGATGCTTTGGAACTATCAATTCCCCCCTGAGATAATCATCCTTACTATGTCAGAAAATTGAAAAAAAAAAAAAGGTAAAAGTTATTTGATAAAAGTAAAAAAAGAAAAAGGAAAAGAAAAAGACTAGTTTCTCTGTACCGAAAAAGGTCAGAAGAATAGATTCACGGGGACCGAGAGCCCCAGTCAGACTTCATAGTCTCATACCAGATCGTCCAGCTTCGACGATCAAAAGACGGAGGAAACAGAACCGGAAAATAGTTCGGGAGGCGAGGAAAAAAAAAGAAAAAAGAAAAGAAAATCAAAGAGCCCAAATGTGCCCGAAAGAGAAGAGGGCCAATCAACGAACGGAGGGAGCGGCTAACAGCCTCGGGGAGTACGCGATTAGTCACCTGTAGGGTAACGGTATCATGATTGCGGCATTCAGTTGACGGCCAAGCTCCCATGGGATCATGATTCGGCCGTCGCACCTCCCTCGCACGAGAATTCAGCCACCCAGAAGGCGGGTGGTTCGGATTATAGTGAGACTGTGGTGGATCCTCGCATCCTGGAATTCCGCCAAAAGGACAGGATCCGAGCCAGTCACTGTTGCCTGTGTCTGTAGACGATGATTGGGTCTGGTCCACTTTTCTTTTCTTTGACTTTTGTTTTTTTTGGAGAACAGAGAGGTGTTTAGGTAAGTTTCTTCGTGTTCGCCTGTAACCTGATTAGGAAGTCTCTCATTACCTCAGCAGAATGCCTCGTCCTTACATACACCATTCTTACGCCGATCCAAACCAGAAACTGCCCCTGCCGCCCGATTCCATCCCTGGAAGGCTGGAGGTCCCTTTTGATTACCGTCACACCGGGTTTCCGGCTATCCTTAACCCGGTAATTGATCGTCCTTTGGCAACTCTCCAGCCTCTCAACACTGCCTTTCCTTCCTTTTTTTGGTAATTCTAAATTACCGCCTGTCTTTGTCTCCCATTCCTTTCCGCCTGGTGACGACTCCGACTAGTGATCAGCCACCGTGCTTCAAACCCTGGGCCATCTTCTGCTTCTGCTAACTGACCCCCCCCCTTTAACCCTGTGCAGGAAAATGGCCCCGGAGGCGTACATGCTTGCGCACTTCCCAGTAGCAATCATACCTGGTAAATTTACCCACAAATTGACGGAGCCCAGGCATTGGCCCGACGGTTGCAACCACGCTAAACCTCGCCTGATTATTGGATCTGATATGGGTCCTACAGACCTTCCTTTCCCTTCCAGCAGGTCTTGGATCTGTCCTCAGATGCCCTTCTGTGTTCCAAATAATCATTAAATTCATAAAATTAAATTTGGTTTATTATTTTTTTTCCCTGGACTGACCCATATTTTCCTTTCCCCCTTCCCACTTCCAACTTTGCCGCTACGCCCAAGGGCCTCCGCCCTGCTCCGCCCTATGGGAAGCCTCCGTAAACATTACTCTGCGACCTACCCTTTCTAGGCTTGCATCCACCTGTGACCCGGGCTCTGACATCAACCGGTATTCTGCATTTTACTATAGTAATTTAATTATATCACTTAAAAGAAGTCAAAGTACAATGTTTCTTGGACCAACGAATTAGGGAAGGAAAACCGGGAAAGCAGACCCAGAAGAACAACGGTGGCTAGAGAATATAGAAAGCTACATGGAGTACCAAAAAGGATTGTTAATGTATTTTACGATTTGATTTTCTAGACCATCTAAAGATGACCAAAACCGAGCCCAAACGAGGAGAGGATCAACCTGGACCTGCGTTCGGGTCAAACTCTGTCCCGTAATGACTGCTTTCTCCGGATGGGTCAACCTACCCTGGTTCTCCCTTTTTACTGGACTTTTGAATTTCTGCCGTAAAAAAAATGGAGATGATGCCTTTACTTCATAGTCGCTTTTTCATTTCCTCATTTAATTATTTTTTTATTTTATTTCCCGGCCCGTGAACGTTCCTTTGGAAGTTTACCTAGTTACCTAGTTAACTATAAGATTCTCTTCTTGCGTTTTCGTTTTTTTTTTTTTTTTTTTTCATTTTAAATTACTCTGACTGGCTACTTCACTTTGGGTGGTTCCCTTAACTCAAACCTGGTTTAGTTTGTCTATATCCTTATATGGGACTGGCTTGGCTGTTTCCATAGACATCATTCTTCCGTTGGAGAACTATCCTTACTTCTTTCATTCTCTATTTGATTACCTTGATCAGCCTCCTCTTGGTTTTCTTTTTCATTTACCCCGGTCCTTCATCTCCAATTGGACATCTCCACACAACGCAGGGGCAACCATCTACAACTTGACGTTCCCTTTTGTTCGCTTCGAACCCCATCTCCGATATTTGCATAGAAGGATCATGGCCCACTGAACACTTTGCTCGGTTCGCTTTTCCTACTGATCAAAGCCACCGACCCCGACCATCCCACATGTGTCAACCTCTCGCCCGGCTATACTTTACACCTCGTCCATCCCTATGTCTTCATCAGCGCTGCCCTCTCAATCTTCGATCTTGGGCCCCATCACTCCATCCACCGGTCTGACCTCCCACGGCCCTTACCCTGCCAAACCGGTCTTCACGGGATCCTGGACTGCTCCCTTCCGGGACGGTCTGCCCACCCCTCCTACCGACATGACCGGCATTACTTACAATGCAATCCCCCCGGTGGGCCACGGAGGGAAAGTGCACGGCATTCCTTCTCACCATTACAACTATATGCCACCATTCGACGCTATTTCTTCTTCGATGGCTGTCGCTATGAAGCCCACCCACTCAGCCCCCGCCAAAGATGTTCCCGCATCCGAACCAGTCCAGAGAAAAGCATCGAATGGAACTGCCAGTGGCTCCAACTTGCGGATTCCGTCGTCGATCAACAATAGCAGAGCTAGTCTGGCTGAGTTCGCTGCTCAGGTAAGAAATGGCGTCTTGCTGAATTCTGTTATTAATTTTTGTACCACATGCTAATCCTCATGGCCCCGCAGATGACCTGTTTATTCTGGTTTGAAAAGACATCGAAACTCCAATCTATCGAAGACCGACGGCAGCCAACGACCAACCTCGTTGCGGAAGCTATACCCACCGTGGGGTTCCAGAAGTGGGTCGCCACAATTCTTTCGACCACCCAGGTCAGCCAGAACGTGATTCTGCTAGCATTGCTGTTTATCTACCGGTTGAAGAAGTTCAACGCTGGTGTCAAGGGCAAGAAAGGCAGCGAATTCCGGCTCATGACGGTCGCTCTGATGCTCGGCAACAAATGTAGGTAGTCTCTTATCGGCTCACCGCCTTGGCATGATTTTCTATGATTGGTCCATCCTTGCTGACTTATCTACAGTTTTGGACGATAACACTTACACCAATAAGACGTGGGCCGAGGTCTCGGGCATTGCGGTCCAGGAGATTCACGTCATGGAGGTCGAGTTCCTTAGCAACATTCGCTACGATCTTTTTGCCTCGGAGGCAGAATGGGATCGCTGGCATACCAAGCTGGGTCTTTTCGGTGATTACTTCAACGCGGCGTCCTTGCACCCCGTCGAGTCAGAGGCCCCGGCCTTGCGCGTCTCGCCGCCCCGATTGCAGCCCCAATCGCCTTTGTCCAAGTTGCCATCGCCCCCATCTGATTACCGCCCGCAGGCTCAGCCCACCTGGCCTTATGTCCCCCTTCCTGGAATGCCCTACCCTGCCCCACAACTGGGCGAGGTTGCTCCTGGAGGATCTCGCAAGCGCAGCCGTGACGACGAGAATGAACTGCAACCCATGAAGCGGATTGTCCGCCCGGCGACCCAGCCTGCCCACCAACCGGCACCGCTGAGCATTCCTGTGAACGCAATGAATACTCTCCCGCCCGTTCTCACGCCGACTTCTGCTCCAGTTGCGCAGGGTGTAGGACGTCTTCCACCTCCAAACCTCAGCTTGACTCCGACATCGAATCCCATGTCTCAGCAGCCACTTCCTTCGACCCCAGTCTCGCAGCTCCCAATCCCAGCTCGTATGCCTCCGGCTTACAACCGGTCTGCCAACTGGATGCAGCCTCATCAGATGCCCTCTGCTCCATTGCCGCCCGTCGCATCAGGTGTTTACAATGCACCCACCCTGCCCGACCTGGGTCGTCATCACCAGAGCAGCCCATTCGGCGTGTCATCCTCGACCGTCTCCCCAGCTGTCTCGGCATACTCCGTTCACACTCCTCAAACCCACCTTTCCCCCTCCTTCTTCCTCGCCAACCGCAACTCCCCTTACCGGCCTGTTCGCTCAGTGCACACTCTATTGATTCCACCACCCTCAACCTCAATGCAACAGCAGCGCAGTGTTCCCTTCGACCACATGCACTATCAACCATTGAGCAAGGGCTCCACTGATCGCAAGACCGGTCTTCTACCCTTCATCCCCTCCGACCCGTGGTATCAAGGCCATGTGCCCCAACCATTCTACACTCCCTCCCAGACTTTCTCTGGTTGAACCCCCTTTTGATCTCTTTGACGATGTGATTGCGTTTATGACTCCTCTCACGACCCCAAAAAACCTTTAACATTCGCTGTACACCTTTTACCTTCTGTTTCTGTTTGTCTCTTTACCATCATCTTTGACCTTGTACAGGGTTTTCCATCATGTTTTATTAGCATCTATTTGGCGTTGCAACCTAGAAGGGTTATGTTCCTCTCCCCGCCAGACGGGGATGGCCTGGGAGGCGTTTTATCTTTTGCTTATTCTGTTGGCATCTGGCAACATGAGTATCGCTGCAGTGGCATTTGCATGATATTGGCGTTTACTTAGCAGACAATGAGTCTTGCAGCATGAGAAACTACTAGATTTCTACAACCCTTATTTTCTTTCCTTGTAAACGGCAGATATCTGGTAGTATTCTGGTTTTCTAAAGACTAGTAGCGTCTTAATGGGGCGTCGGTCGGACCTTAAGCACTGAGGTCTTGTGTGAATTAGCGTGTCTAGTTATGCTGGACTTTCGGAGTCAGTGCGTATCCCGCCATTTTCCCCCCACAAAACCCTACTATGTGTATGTACTGATGGAATTTACCAAAGCATATTACTATCTACGTCCCCTTATTATTTCTTATATTTCTTGAATTATATTCGTTTCAAGCTATAGAGTCGCCGGTATCTTCTCTGGTCTCATCTGCTTGTCTGAGGCCTGGCAAGGTAGCTAATCTGTAACGGAGAGATTTCATAGGGGATCGCTGGCTAGAAGTAGGGGGGTTTCTCTATATCAGTGCTCGCCGAATCGCGTATCTTCCGATCCTTGGTGGTCGTCTCGTCGATTTGCTCCGGTTTGAAAGCTTGCACGAGCCCACCGATGTTCAGGCCACGGGTGTACATTGAATTCGGGGCTTTCATAACATACCAAAGGACAGCAACAGTGACGGACAAGGCAACTATTGCTGTAATTATCATTTGGAGAATGGATGTTCGATCCGGCGCACCGCTCATACTGAATATGCTAACCGCAAGTCCCACAGGCAGAAAGAATACAGTGGCGTATGTGAAGCGAGTAACATCTCTGGCTTGACTGAGGGACTTTTCATTATTCACCAAGGAAATGAGAAAATCGATGTTGGAAAGCAAAAGGTTGATTTCACGATCATGTTTGACCAACTCATTGGTCTGTGTTTGGATGACTTTGCGATACTTTTGCTCGTCGCTGCGCGTCCAGCGTGGCCTTTCCCGCCCCTGAGAGCTCTCACGCTGCTTCCAGTCGTCAATCAAGCCCCTGACGCCTTCGATACTGTCTTTCAAGATGCGAAGTACTTGGAATATTTCATCAAGTAGCTCTTGTCTCTTGTCCTTGAAACTTGTGGTTGAAAACAGCTCCTCGCTTGGTTCAGATGAGCTCGATTGTGGATCTTGTTCAACCTTGTTCAAAATGTCCTTAGTGCTGCGGTGGACGTTTCCTAGGAGATGGTTGAACAAGACGAGCTCAAGGACTTTCCTTTGGGGGAAGCTCGGATTGTCTTCACGCCAGTTATCTTCGAACAGGCCACTGTTAGTCGTCGATGTCTCGAAGACATGACATGTCCAGTATCGATCGCACCAATCGCCCACCATAAGCAAGCTGAAAACATCATCCACGATATAGAAGCCGTTTCCGAGCGTTCGGCATCGCTTATAGCCCAGTTTCCGGCTGCATTGAAGCTCCGCTCGTGCATTTGCGCCCCCAACAGATTTCTTTGCTTCCAACATCTTCCATTCGGGGGACCCTTTCCTGATTGCTCTGTAAAAGCGACAATGAAACTCTGTAGTCCAGGTGTTGAACCCGATCATAACGTCATCATGGAAGAAGCTTGCTTTGATGTTTCCATGTCTTTGGATGAAGGACGCCAGGCTCGACCTGTCACGTTCTGGGGTGGCGAGATAACAGGTGACACCCATATCCCAAGTAGGGAATTTCAGGTTTATCAATCGCTTTTTACTTTTATTAAGTCTTCGCTTGCTCAGTGAGATAAACTTGAAACCCGATTCGTGGTCCTCCATTGGTATGCAATAAAGCGAGGATTTCTGAGAGGGCCGAAGCTTCTTCTTCCTGGTTTTGCAGATGTCAAGAACAAACGCCGATACTTCTGCTCCTTGAAGTGTCTTTCTCAAAGTCAGACGCCGAAGAAAGTAATCAAAGAGTGTGTTAGTGTTTTCACCGTCTGCAATATCCACTTTTTCCCATGACAGATCAGGACAGTCACTTAGGCCGAAAGCCTCCCAGGCCCTTTCCGATATAGTCTTTCTCTCTTGCGGGTTCTGAGGAGGCACGAAGTCCAGGAAATCGGGGTCCTTGAAGAGCCACTCATCTTGGACATCCACGATTTTGTTCACGTCGAAAAATGCGGCGTAGGGATTCTGCTTTTTCATCATAGTTGATACTACCCGTGGTTGTGCGCCAATTTGATTCTGACGGCTTTGGTCGTTTTGAAGCCTCGAATCATTGTAGATCTCTTGTGAATGGGTGAAAGGTATAGTATCCGTATATTCAAATGAAGTGGAAGTTTCGTCTTCCTTGGAAAGAAGTGGAGTCTCGCTGGGATATGTGCATCGCAATAAAATGTAAGGGATCTCAAATCCAACGTGAAAATAATGATCACGATCAATCTCCTCCTCGAACACTGTTCCTTGTTTATCATCGCTGAGCCGACCGGGAAAAAGCCCATTTGCTGAAGATGAATTCAACAAGACTTTTCTCGCATGTTGATAGATCGTATGTGCCGAATGCATTCTTTCTAGCTGACAACGCTCACGAGACAGCAAAAGAGCCAGTCCATAGCGGAGGGGGTCCTTCCAAGCTACCTCATCGCATAGCTCATCATCATGCTTTATTTGAATTTTTAACATCTCTTTCAGAAGCTCGCTCTGACCTTCATAAAATCCCCAGAGGATTCCATAGCACAGTACAGTATCACGCGAATGTAGTAAAAACCGAGTCTCGATTGCGCTGCGAGTGACACTCAGCATGCGTCGGTTGAAACCATCGTTCTTGACGGTAAACCGTTTGAGGGTTTCCTTTCGAATATCTTCGGAGTCGAAAGGAATGGTGTTTTGGTCCGTTGCTGTCATAGACCATGAGTCACTGGTCCGAAATCTCTCAGCTTTCAGGGTGGAAATTAGGGGTTCTAGTTCCAGAAACTCTAATAGGACAACTTTAAGTCGAGGGTAATCGTTGGCAGAATGATCACTCGTCCATTTTACTTGAGAAATCAAATCTTCAACACCTTTGAGCGTCCTCCAGATCCAAATATGATCGCTCAGGCGATATATAGGTATGTCTGAGCTCACGGTATGCTGCCAGGTTGGCGTCCGTATGTTCTTTGTACTTTTAAGTCGCGAGAACCACTGCTTGCACAGCTTTAACAATTTGCTGCAAACAAAAGCCATCTCGTGCAGATCGTCGAATACCTCCACATATTCTATGGCCTTCATAATGTGGTAAGGCATAGCATCTGGATTGTCACTCGGGAGATCCGTCAAACCTGTGAACTCGATGGAGTTACCATCAATCCAGACATTAGCAGAACAAGTTGCATCGGGATTAAGGTCGAAGACCCACTCAAGGTGACCCTTGCATGTCTCATGGATTCTTTCGCACAATTGCGCGTTGCCGGAGCTGTTAGATAGACGCTTGTACATCTCTATCATAAATGAGAAAGCGAAACTGCCCAGATGTTATCGTCAGATACGCGTAGGCTGGATCACCCTGAATTTTTTTTTTAAATTTCCGAATGACTTACTAGCTTCCTGATACACTGACTCGATGGTCTCCGAAATCCCCACAAGTCAGCGCTATTTTTCTCGCATTTTCCGCCGGGGTAGAACAGCTAGTTTGTTCCCTGAACGGATCACATTCTGTATCACGGATAGTCGTGGGGTCGTAGGTTGCCAGTGGCTTTAAGTGAAGTGGAATGCTGCAGACAGACAGAATGTGCTCCAAGTTTCGATCACAATGCCAAAAAATCCTCTCACTATGAGTTTGAAACTCTCCTGATGCGCCCTCTGAGCCAGCCAAAAGCTTTTCAGGCAGGTTGGGGATCATCGTATAGGATGGGTCCATTTGTAACTCAAGGAACTCAAATGTCGCCGTATATTGGACAGTCTTTTTGTCTCCAAATTTGTGCGTAAACGGAATCAACCATGAGTGAGCTGTGCTTGAACCAGGTAGACTTTGAGTCTCAGGGTGCTGTTTAGGGGCTTCAGGGGCCTTGGGTTGACCATGTTCTGGAATAGGGTGAGGCACCTGGTCTTTGAAAAGCCCCACGAGCACCCCAATCTGACCTTGCTCGACTCCGGTGTCTTTGTTTTTTCCAGTAAACAGAATCCAATTTTCGTTCTCTGATTCTTCTGATATTTTTTCTTCTTTTTCCATGTTTGCCACAGACCGCATGTAGTCTAGATCCTGCATCGCGAATTGCATATTCAGATTCAAGTCTAGTATATCTGGGCCGGATGCTTGATCAATTTGTACTTGTTGCACAATACAGCCATCTTTGCAACATACAAGAACCGTGACCGAGAATCCTTGGATTGTCTTATACTTGATGATCGGCCACCGATTGTTCAGGAACTTCAGAGTTGATGGTTCGCTTTGTATGTGCTCACCCAGCTGGAGCCCGAATCCAGATTTGAGATCTTCAGCGTTCTGCAGAAAACTCCTGGCTCTACTGGTGACCAGATATGCCTCGCTTTCACTATATTCGAGACAAAGGATCTTTGACTTGAACATACTGATTGGGCTCTTATAAGCCGAGCTTAGAAAACTTGAGTTTTCATTGTCTGGACTTTCGCCGCCTGAGCTTGTAGGGCCTTCATCAACTGGTATGTCTTCGTCTGAAATCTGGAGTGGAAAGCAAACACGCAAAATGGAGCCGTAAGCCCCCACGCTCGCCGTGACGCCCTTGTCACCAAAGGAAGCATAAGATTGACGCGTGTTTGCTATAAGGACATATACTAATCAGCTTCTTTTCGCGAAAGTGAATATTATCAGACGATAACTGACGAGTCTTCCAGACCTCTTCGCTGGGGTCATTATTGACCTCAGCGGAAGTAGTAACAATACCCTCCATGGCCTCTGGTAGCGTATAGTCTATCGAACGGTATGGAGGACCGGCAGCCGTATAACCATCTCAAATGCAAAAACGCAAATCCGGAGATAAGTTGACAGGAGCGACAACTTCTTATCCACATTCTGCGAGGTCGGTGCTGATCATTTAGGCGAAGCGGCCCCGGTCAGATCACAACCAATACGAAACCGATAATCTTGGCAACAGGTCACAAAGTCACCTGCGAACTACTGGCTGGTGATGTGTTGCGGCCCGACGCGCGGTAACTTGGCGGCATATAGATCTAGCCAATCCCACGGCCTATGGTGGGCGGCATATCTATTAGTATCTAGGTTAGTATCTTGGTAGGCACCATACATGTCCACGAACGCGGGTCTGTGATCAAATATCTACATATTTGCTACTACATATACCCGCGTGGTACCCTGCACCTCTTGCATTTACATCACAAGCCACTCAATCGCGTCCACAAATCATTTCTGTTCTGGCCCTGTTAGTAAGCGTCAGCCTGGGAGGAAGAGCCCCTGTACGAAGTCTCGACTTGCTGGCTGTTTGTTATGCATTTCTGGTTAGTTGGGTCTCAAAGCATCTTCCAAGGTTGTTACTGAACAAGACTGAATAAGAAAGCCTAGTCTGGTATTGATAATTATGAGTTTACTTGATACGCCGAAGCTAACCTTAATTCCAAGGATAAAGCGGGCCACCAAGGGGGATCTGTCACCAACCCAATGGCAAGATGGCCCAGAGAGGGCGAAATGAGTAGCATCTTATAAACGCCCGACCGGGCCAGGCGAAGGGACGTCGTTTCTAGCGCCAATTCCCGCGTCATTTGTACAGGTCTTCATATTCTGTTTGTAAATCCCTTGGGATCAATATATTAGACCGTGATAAGCTGAATGAAATAGTCGTTTGCTCTTTCAGTATCTCCAACAATTCCAGATATCATTTTATCAAGAAATCTTGAAGTTTAGCGTGTTAATTATCCTGATGCTCTTCCTTTCGTGCCGCAGATTACAGTTTATGCGGAACCCCGGCCCGACTATTGTTCCGCCCGATCAAATATCTCTCCATCACCATCCGCAACAAGCCAACGTCTAGTGACCAAACCAAACCCGCAATCATGTCCCCTCGACTAATGGGGCTGCCAATGCAGCTTCAACAGTTCATTGCCCGGCCCTTGCAGCAGTCATCACCACTGGTCTTCCTGGCACCGCAATTCCAGCAGACGCGCAATGCCTCCATCCTCTCCTCGCTCTCCGACAATCCCTCCGCCTACAACAAGCGCATCCGTCGTGGTCGTGGTCCTGCCTCCGGCAAGGGTAAGACTTCTGGACGTGGTCACAAGGGTCAGAAGGCGCACGGAAAGGTTCCGGCTGGCTTCAATGGTGGTCAGACCAAGGATATTGTCGTCAGCGGCACACGGGGTGAAGAAACAAACATGTATGATTTTCTTTTCCATTAATTTTCTCTGTCCAGGGAAATCTAGGCACATTGTTTTCAAGGTTATTTAATACTAATATCATGATTCTACAGCTTTGCCCTCGAGATGGCCCCTGTGAACCTCTCCCGCATCCAAGAATGGATCGATCAAGGCCGCATCGACCCAACCCGCCCTATCACCGTCCGCGAACTCACCCAATCGCGATGCATCCACAAGCACAAGGATGGCGTCAAGGTTCTCGGTGACGGCGCCGCATCCCTCAAACAGCCTATCCACCTGGTCGTCTCGCGCGTCAGTGCCTCCGCCATCGCCGCTGTCGAGGCTGCCGGTGGCTCCGTCGCCACCCGTTTCTACACCCGCAGCGCGATCAGAAATATCATGGCCAATCAGACACACCCATTCATCAGTATGGCGTGGAGTGCTGAGAGCGGATCGAAGGAGTTGCTTGCGGCCGAGTTTGCCAAGTTGAATCTTGGTGCTGAGGTCGAGACTGTTGAGGAGAAGAGTATTATGGAGGCTAAGGGTCTTCGGTACAGATTGCCTGATCCTACGAGACGTCGTGACATTGAGTACTACCGTGATCCGGCGCATCGGGGATACTTGAGTCATCTGCTTAAGCCTTCGGAGGGTCCCAGTTTGTTCTTCCGTTCTCCTGAGGAGCGTAAGTCTGCAGCTGGTACGAAGAAGGAGAAGGTTCTGCCAGAGAACAGAGTTTGGTAGATTGGGAGATGAGATGTGTTTAGATTATGGTTTGTCTTTGAGCATCTGTACATGTATAAATATAGCCCCTTTTGGATATGCTTGGTCATACAAAATTAACATCGTTTTGCTTTGAATTATTAACATAAATTACTCAGATATAGTACGAGCAGATTATATATCAAATACCTAGTTAAGAGTCATGCCAAGTAGCATCATCCCCGAAATTGCCATCAACTGCTTCCAAATATTCTCAATCTCAACCCGAAGAACAGCAGAAGACGCAGTAGCATCCCATCCATCCGAATGATTCTTCCAACCAATCCCAGACCCATTAACAAAAGTAAAGCTTGGGTATTCCCCGCTCGCATTTAACGAAATAGGAGTATAATTTCCGTTATTATAAGGATCAACCTCAGGCGTCTGCGAAGTCGAGCTCTGACCACCATCAACCCGAAGGCCAGAGAAAAAGAATTCCACCGTACCAGAGGGGGCAGTTAACGAAAATAACGCTTGAGCACTGGTATTCGTGAAATTCAGCGCGTATGTGAAGGGCGTAGTGGTATTCCTGTCCTCATTAATATTCAAATCAGTAAATACTAGCCCTAAATGTGTATACCCCAGCCTTCAGATATGTAAACAAGTAAATACCACGTACCATTCAAAAGTAAGAGTCTCAACGCACTCATCCCTCTCGGTATAGTTATGCGGCCGTTGAAAATCCATCGAATAATCAGAAACAAGATTATTCTTCACAAAACTCGACTGGTCCCCGATAGTACTATACCCCTTCTCCTCATTACCATCACCAATCGAGGCCGTAGTAGCAAGATTCAAATCCAGAATCTCAACAGGCTCAAAATAATAATCCCATTCTATAAATTCACATGAAGAACCATCATCAGCAAGACAGCGATACCACGCCGTCTCCAGGAATAAATTGTAGATGGAGTCGTAGGTGCATCCGCCCAGACTGAAGCAGTACTCGTCTGAATCATATGTAGAAACTTGTTGCCCATTGTGCTGTATATTGAAGTAGAAGGGATTTGTATCCCAAGGTGGGTTGGCGCCGACTTTGACGAGTGCATTTTCGAGGGAGCTGAAGTAGTAGGTTGGGGTTGGGCAGTCTGGAAATTGCTCGGAGTGTTTGAAGGTACCGGAGATACTTCCGTTATAGGAGATGAATTGGGTTCCTGATTCATCTAGGTCTGCGAGGGAGAGTGTGTACAGAGTGAAGAGGGAGATGAGTATGAGGATGGGGTGGGTATGGCGCATGGCTGTGAAGTACAAGTATATATAGAATATTCGTCGTTGATGATGATAATGATGGTTGCTTTAGACTGTGGGGAGCCGGGGAAGATTAAAAGAAGACCCTGCATATCTGCGAGTGCATCTAACTTTGCTGGGCTTTTAAAAATCCGAGTTCAAGCCTCTTCCTAGTTTCTTAGCTTCATGCCCCGAGGGTTGTGCCCGTGCCGTGTCTATCTTGGCGGCTCGTATTCATACCGCTACCGCTAAGTCCTCTCCAGCCCTGGAGGAAGTGTGGAGCCAAGATTAAGGGGACAATGTGCGCCTTGACTGTCGTTCGCTTTAAGTTTAGGCTGGATACGAGAAATCTCAAGTTATTGTTGGCCCTGGGTTCCTGGGGACTCATTTATATGTAGGCACTTATGCATGTAATCAAACAGCGACTGGAGTTGACTCAATGTAAATGCGCATGCTTTAACCTTTACCTGACAGAGATCCATTTCTAGACCTCATAGAAGGCATTCAAAATATATTTTTTTTACTAGTATCTTGGGATAAATTTCACCAGCACCAAGGTTCACCTGTGCATCTGGACTTGTGATATAACTGAAAGAATGATGACAAATAAATTGAGATAAAGTCATACGCGGATCAAGGAATAGTCCGCATATATAAGGTACATCAGAATCGCAGAAAGCAAGTGAATAAATACATGCCTGGTAAACGCCATGCTTCCATACTGAATAGCAATCCGATCCCTGATACCAGCCCTCCATCAAATGCATACCGAAGAAAGCCCGAAGATCCCAAAATATAACATGTTGGTTCGCATGTCAAAAAGCGAATGGGTATCAACCAAACAAGAAAGGAAAAAAAAAGAGAAAATTGCCATCGCTAGTGAAGAATGAGAAAAAGTAAGCATAAGAATCATAACATCATTTTCAAGACCATAGCTGAAATATTTTGACCAGCAAAATATTGGCAAATTGCCATGAGTCAAGATGAAAGGTAGAACCATTAAAGGCCCCACATAGTCTCTGGCGAGCTATCATTGAATTGTGCGACCTCGCGTAGCCAGGCACAGTCGAGAACGTCACGGATAGTCCATCGCTTGTCGACGTCCATTTCAAGGCAGCCTTGAATCAGGTCAAGAGCGTCTTGACGGTCCTGGTGGGAGAGTTTGTCGGCGAGCTCACCGAGTACAGCTTCCCGGTTCCATTTACCATTGAGAATATTGGCTTGAATTCGCGGCGCAAACGAGTCCTGGAAAGGCCGTGACCCAACAACAATAGTGTAAACGATAACGCCAAAGGCCCAGATATCGACCGAAGGGTGAATAACACCGGCCGATGATCGAATCAATTCGGGAGAAGCGTATTCGAGGCTACCGGCGACGCTGGTACTCGAGCCGGCTGGTCCTATTCTGTTGGGCGGAGGACGATCTGCGACTTCGTCATAAGGATCCGGACTATCGCCTCCATTATCGGTGGCCATCCATTCGGCCATTCCGAAGTCACACAGCACTAGGTTCGAGGAACCAGTGCCGTCAACGGGGTCGAGAAGGCAATTCTCTAGTTTGATATCACGATGAACAACCCGAGCATCTTGGTGCAAGTAGCGGATTGCAGAAGCGAGTTGGTATGAATACTTCTTGGCCAGGGTTGGATCAAGACCTTTTCGATTCTGACGGACCAGGTCAAACAGAGTTCCACCAATTGCAAGTTTTGTGAAACAGAAGGTGGCGTAATCAGTCTCGTACACCGAATCAAGAGTCAATATATGCGGGTTGCTGAGGTACCTCCAGACTCGCACTTCGTGGTCGAACTCTGCCTGGACATCCTCATTCTCGCTCTCGGTGCGACCTGTCACCAGCTTTTTCACAATCTTGACCGCGAGTCGTCTGGTGTTGCCCTGTCCTTCGACCTTGAAAGCCTCTTTGACCGTGCTGAAGCCCCCAAAGCCAATCTGCTTTCCGAGAACATAGTCGGTTCCCACCAGTTGACCTTCCTCATCTGGCGTTGAGGGCGGCTCGTCTGTCTGACTTTGACCGGCCCACATGGACAGAAACATGCTTGCTGGAGACTTGCCGCTCGAGTTGGTAGAGCGCCGAGAGCTATGCGTATTCCGCAGACTGCTGCTACGGTCTAGTGTCGAGCTGCGAGACTTGCTTCCGAACGAAGCCATCATCCCTCCAGACCAAGAATTGCGATCCTCGGGGGAAGCGTAGGGCTGAGTGGGCGATGTGATGCAGAGAGGTGACAGGAGATCATCTTTGGCACTTCCGGGAGGAGTACGCACTTCTTCTTGAACTGGCGATGCCGTGGATAGAGATGTGAGTGAGGTTGGATGATCAAGTTCGGTGCCCGTGATTGACTCATCATCCGGGCGTAAGACCGGTTGGGCTCGGGACGGTCCCGCTAGACTGCTCTGCTGTCCCGGAGATTTATTTGAGTCCCATCTCCATGATTGAGGAGTTTGAGAAGGGTGATCATCATCTTGAGAGAGGGCGTTTCGGAGTCCAGAGGTCCGTGACTCAAATCTCTGCGGGGGCCGGTTATTCAAATCATCCTTTGTGAGTGGTTCCCCTAACGGTTCTTCGCGACCAGAATCCAGAGACACCTTTGGATTGAATGTAATGGAGGGGCGACGTGACTGAAGATAGTTGTCCAATGGGGAACCTTGGATATCGCTTGGCTTATGAGGGAATTCGTCACCACCTGCTGGACGGCCATCGGGTCGAGGGACCGAGATGGGAGGCGTGGCTGAATGCAAATCACTTATCACACTGTGGTCTTCATCAGTATCGCGGCGGCGCGCGTTATAATCTTGAGATGTTTTGGTGCGGTCGCTCTCGATACCATCGCCATCTGTCGTCGACCTCCTCCTCTCCTCCTGCCACCCTGATCTCTGACCAAACGAGGTCTCAATCCGTAAACCCGCTACCCCGGTCCTGTCCGGGTACGCCATGCCGAGTGTGTGGAAGACGTTGTGTGTTGAAGCCCGTAGTAGGCTTGCAGTCGGGTTCACTTGAACCCTCTGCTTTCCCCAGATGATCAATAATTTTGGGGGGAGTAGAAAAGCGGGGCGATAAGGGTTTCGAGCGGGGTCAGTCACTGTTAAATGACAAAAACACTGTGGGGAGAAAAAAATGAATGATGTATTGTTTGGAATATTCTTTGTAAGAAAGTGATTGAGTTACTTATAGAGAAAAGAAAAAAAAATCGAGGTACCTTCCCCGGTGAGGTCAGTGAGGAATGTACGACGAAGGATTGGTCGCCAAGGAAGAAAATGGAGAAAGTCGGGAAATGACGGAAGAACCTTACTTCACGTTAATCAGTCACTTTGCTTTCATTATTCACCTATCCTAATTGGGCCTAGTGGGCGATCATATGATGAATGACATCGCGAGGCGTTCTTGACTCCAGTTTCCTGGTGATTCACTGGAGGCCCCATAGAGGCTTGGACGTGATCTCTCTAATTGGGTAATTAGCTATGTATGCTAGACCACTTAGGTGCTCGAATCAAATGCCTTTGAATCCATACAGCTGCCTGGAAGACCCCCAAAGGCCTAGGTAATTGAAAAAAATGCATTCCACTCATTCTTCTGCCGTTAGGATCAATTTAGGAGAAATGTATCCATCCCAGTGGACTACTAAATAAGATGCCAACCCAGGAGTGAGGTCAACTCGTCGTCTGGACCTCGATACCCTAAGCCCTAGCTACCCAGAAGAGGAAATGTGGTTTCAGGGGGAAATCACCTGATTTACTAACGGACATGTGCTTTGAACCATTAGCCGCGCGCAAGGGGCGCTTGTTTAGCAACACCTCCTTATTGGTTTCGTCCTGTGTCTCCGGGGATTTGACCCTGAACTCGATCCTGTCCTTTCTTCGTCGCTCTGGCAGTACTTTGTTTTCCTTTTTCCTGTTTCATTCTTCGAGCCCTGCCCAAGTGCAGCGCCCCGGCCCACCGCTTTCCCCTCTCCACCTTTGTTCATCAAGGCGCAGTCTTTCTTTTAGGGGTGACCCCCAAACTTTAGAACTCCGTGGGGATTGGGAACAGATTGAATCGTATGGCCCTGGCATTCAATTACAACTTTTTATCTATTCTCTCTTCGCTTTACTTGGGGGAACCTGCCCATGGTTTCCGCTTCCAACGAACGCGCTTTTATCCCCGAACGCCCCTGTGTGACCTTCTCACCGCCGATCCCACGTTCCTTTAAACTTGCAACATGACGAGACCACAAATGGTTCGAGCTGGTATGGAAATTATTCAGAATTGCTTATATGGGAGTGTCAAATACTAATGGTCAGGTCGCTTAGACACCTTGGACCTTCAGGACCATGATGCGCCGTCCGCAAAGGACCACTCTAAACAGCCCGAACAACCTGCTCCACTGGGGGCCGGCCGGCCTGCCCCCCACCAAGAGCTCTCTATTCGCCATGCCGAACAAGATACGAAATCTGAGATTTCGAATGGTCCTGAAAATGGTCATGGCTATCAAGACGATGGGATATACAGTGAACGCGAGACCGAAGACGAGCTGGATCGAGATTACGAGCACGAGGATGGAGACTTGGCAGATGGGGAAAGTGACGATCTGATGGATGACGACCTGCTGGACAAAATCTCCAGCTCCCCTTCAATTGATGATGGTGCGTGGACATTTTGAGATATCCCTCGACTAGAGCTAACACCCGTGATGCGCAGAGGATATCGATTTTGAATTCGTTTATGCACTCCATAACTTCGTTGCAACGGTCGACGGTCAAGCAAACGCCGCTAAGGGTGACACTATGGTGCTGCTGGATGACAGCAACAGCTACTGGTGGCTTGTGCGAGTGGTCAAGGATGGGAGTATCGGTACGTCTACTCTGAACCTTGAAAGTTGTTTTTATTCGCTGATGATATAAAGGATACCTGCCAGCCGAACATATTGAAACACCTACCGAGCGACTAGCTCGGTTGAACAAACACCGAAATGTTGACGTATGTGTGCCTTTCTCCATGTTGCCTTGTCAAGAGCCAGACTGATATGATAATAGCTCTCTGCTACAATGCTCGGCGACAATAACGAGAAATCCAAGAACCCCCTCAAGAAAGCCATGCGCCGACGGAACGCAAAGACTGTTAACTTTGCTCCACCAACATACATTGAGGCATCGGATGTCGAATATTCTTCAGATGAGGACTCTGAACATGGCGACTTCTTCAACGACGACGAAACGGAAACGGTTGAATCAGAAGAAGGCGATAGCCAGGACCAGAGCGAAGATATAACTGTGGAACCTCTACGACCAAAAGGACAAAAAGAGAAACCGACAGAGCAGGCAGATATCAGAGGATCCACAGACAAGGAGAACTCTGAAAGAACGAGCTACGACCCCCGACCATCAAGTGAGGAATTTTTTGATCCAGAGGAACCTACCGTCAGTCGGTCCAGAAATGGCACTGTACGGAACACGGATTCTTTCTTCAAGGATGATACTGCCGAACCAAAGAAGATATCCCTCACGCCAAACCTACTGCGCGATGAATCCAACAACAACAGCAACAATAACGGCAATAGCAACAGTCTGCTTCATGAGTGGAAAGAGGGACGCGGAAGCTTCGAGACTATCGACAAAGTATCGAATCCCCAGGACAAGGTCAAAGATGATAAGAAGCGCAAGGAAAAGAAGCCTGGAATGCTCAGTGGACTGTTCAAGCGCAAAGACAAGAAGACAAAATCGCATGAAGATGACTTTGAAGAGGCTCTCACATCCCCAACTGAATCCACATTTAGCCAATCGAAGACATCCATGGAGTCATTTGACTCGAAGTCCTCCAAGTCTCCAAGACAGACTACCAACAAGTTACAGAAATCACAGCCGACTACCATGTCTCCAACATCCACAGAATCAGTCACCGACGCCAGTCAATCAATTCGACGGGTGGTGTCACAGGAGGCAACCAGTTTTGAAGAGACCCGAGGAGCAATCACCTCCCCTATCGGCCAACAAAGCCCTTCAAAGGAAAGTTTTGTCACTCCGATGGAGTCTCAGGATCCTTTTGCATCTCCAGTGGAACGGCCATCCAGCGAAGCCCAATGGAGAAGCCCATACGAAGCCCCCAGTCAGAAAGCAGCCTCGCAACCCTCCGTGGCGTCCCCGCCTCAACGATTCGTGCCAACACTGGTGACCGCGCGCCCAGAACCAGAACCGGAACCAGAATCCCCCGTCAATGTCTCACCAATGGAAGGACATATCCCAATTTTTGCCCCGGGGCTCACCACGGAGGCTGCGCAGCGGGCGCATTCTATCTCACCTCTTTCCCCACCTTCTTCGCCTGAAACCGACACTCACGACCTCAAAAATAGCGAAGCTACCCCTGGTTCACTGGACACTCTTTCAGTGGACACTCCAACCTGGAGTGATGCCAGTCTACGATCATACTTGGACGAAGAAAACGACATTCGCGACCTTTTCATTATCGTCCATGACAAAACAAACATACCCCCTGCCGGTGTTGACCACCCTGTCACTGGCCGCCTCTTCAAGGAAGAGAGTAAGAGACTGAAAGAGATGAACAATCAACTCGATGATATGCTCGTGAAGTGGATGGCTCAGCGCAATCGAAAGTCTAGCTCGGTACGAAACGTGCAGAGCCCAAGTGCATAGTCTCTATCTGGTGTATATGTTCATCTTTTTCAGCGTCTCTGTCGATACATGTATAGGCCCGCCATTTCGCCTAAAGACATCGGCCTGACAGGTTATATTTGTGCTGGGCACATCACCATTGGCCTCTTCCATTCTTTCCCTATTTCTTATATCCGTCGCACTCATGCCCACTTATTCGACACACTTGCACTTCCGTTTGATCTTTTTTTCTTTACCAAGGAGAGCGATCTTTTGATATGATCAACAGCCAGCCGTCTCCTTCTATCGTTTGTTCTTTTTTTTTTTTTTTTCTGTTTGCCGGAATACCCCGAGTCATCCGTCTCTACTTTTTGCAATTTTTTATTTTTTTCCAGGGTTGATCATCTTCGACAGATGACGTACTGCAATATCAACTCTTCAGCCATGTGCTATGATCTTAGTAGCTTTCTCTAGTCGCTTAAACTTGCAAGTAATGATGCCAAGAGTGACCCCATCATTATAGGTTTAGTTCGCAGGCTCTTAAAGGAAGCGCATTCCACAGTTTTATGCAGCCGAGGGGTCGTGCGGGCAGGTCAGCCGCACCATGATGTATGGCATCTGACGGCCATGTCATCAGACTAGCGCGCCCACTAGTATATAAGCCCCGGTCCTCTCACTTCTACCGTCAGCCTTAAAGAAGAATCGATTTTACAACCTTCAGCACCGCACCATGGCAGACCCTTACAATCCTTACACTTCCTACTCCACACCAGCTCCGGGTGGAGTCGGTTATTACCCACCGGATGAGCATAACCAGCAGCCTGCATATCCGCACCAGCAGCCATATGACAATTACAGTAACACAGACGTCCAGCAGCCCCCAAACTACAACTACAACGCCCAGCCAAGTCCCTACCACCTCGCCCCAGACGCTTATCAAAATGGCGCCCAAGAGAGAAGCTACACCCCAACAGGACAACCAGACCACTTGGGACCGGTATCGATGACAGGAATGCCACCGCCTCAACCCCAAGGAGTAAAATCTCCTGAGAACTCTGGATACTAGTCGGTCCAATCCTTGAACAAAATCACCCACATTTTCACTGACATTTCTTCCAGTGATGGTCACCCAGAGCAACAGCCTCGATATACCCCATCCCCAGGCCCAAATCCTCCAGCAGTGCATGTATCAGAAGCCCCAGAATACGCGAAATACGACGAAGAAGGCCGTCCAATGGAATCTGCGGACGGAGAAACTGATCGCGGCTTGGGAAGTTCTCTTGCTGGTGGTGCGGCAGGATACTATTTCGGGCATAAGAAGGATCATGGACTGTTGGGTGCTATTGGTGGGGCTATTGTTGCCAATTTCCTGGAGGATAAGGTAAAGGACCATCGTGAGAGTTCGTCTAGTAGCCAGGGTCATGGAAGTGAGCATGGTCATCATGGTCATCATGGTCATCATGGTCACCACCATCATCACCATCATCATAGTCGCAGTCGGAGCCGGAGCCATTCACGACATCAAGGAGAAGATGATTATTGAGAGGATTTGATGATGTATTATGATGATTATGATGCTCATTATGAGTAACACTGAATTATGGCTAGTTCCATGGTACCTAGATGGTTTTCTGGGGTTTTAGGTCGCGTGTTCGCTATCGAACCAATTATGGTATTACGCCATCGAAACTACTTCTTGTCCAACTTTATGACGTGCTTTGGTGTATGTTCTTTTTCATCTTGACACTTTCTCAAATTCTGGTTTTTTCTTTTCTTGTTATTCTTCTCCCTTAGTTGTTCATATGTCCACCAAGGACCGCTAGGCACCCTTGTCGATCAGGGTCCCGACACTTTGCCAGGAACAACACTAAGTTATAGAGAGAAAGCAGATATCTAACAGAGTATGACGCACGGACATATCTGCCATGATGTTATAAAGAAGCACACTCAGACAAAATCGAATCTCAAAGCCAGCTACATTGAATCTCTGTGCCTGACAGGCTCTAAGATTACTGAATCGAGCCGTTTCTCAATGGAAAGAACCAAAGCAGGCTGGCTCGGTAAGCCTTAAGGCCCCCCAGGACGCCGCTCATTATACGAACCCACCAATCATGATGCATTCCAAATCCCTGGCAGGTCTGCCCTTGGCTCAGCTTCAGCTTTGACTGCCAATATGCTGTAACAGAAGTAGTACGGCTATGAATATGACGATGTACCGAGAAAGGCCAGACGCTGAGCCCAATCGGACTGTATGTGCCCAAGAACCCCAATTATCGTTGCAGCATCTGGTCTGACAAGCAAGCAGGGATCAGAACACCAACTATATGGCATGTCATACTGAGTAGGGCGACCCACTGGGATATGCAAATAGCCAACAGGAGATACCCTGTACGTGCTAGAAGTGACCCCTATGCAGGAGACCACGGAGTATTATGGCATGCCGGATGTCACCTCTCCGCCGAGCATGGCGATCTACCTCTGCCGTCCATTGAGCCGGGGCTTGAGACTGCCACCCTGCCTTCGTTTCTATCGAATGTAGCAAGTTCCTCTGCAACCTATTTGGTTACCGACCTGGTTGGCGATGATAATGTTCCACCTTGTTACAAGGATTTCCCACACAGTGTGAGCATGGCTCACAGAGCATTATGCGACCGACACCCTAGCGCTTTCCACGGACTCCTTCGAACCGGGTGCAGAAGAAACCAACGCTGTTCCTCCGTCTGGCATGGTTGCTACCAGATTGATTGGTGTAGTGTGTATTCTGGCTGTAGCGGTGATGCTGCAATTGTCATGTGGGGATGCAGAACCCCTGATTTGGTTCATATTTGCTTTTTTTCCTTGACTAAAAGCCGGTTGCAATTTTTTTCTTCATGTCATTATCTGGGGGCAGGGACAAGAGACAGGTCTGTTGATATTAAAGGATGTGAATCATGGGGTGATTAATGCCAAGGTATTTCCCCGGACCAAATCGGTTGCGATGTGATAGGCCAAGGTTTTAGCTTATCTCGTGAGTCACGATAAGCCCCGATTTGGCGATGATCGCTTTGCTATTCAGCTGAGAGCGACGGGTGACCTGTCCTCGCGCTCCCCGCATAACTTAGACTCTTCTCCTCATCTTCACGTCCTTCATATACTCTCTTTCACCTTGGCTCTGTGGTTGCTGGCTCTACATCGTTGCCGCATTCCTTATCGCTAACCCCGGATCGGCCATCTCCGACAGACTACAGTCATCGACGTGACCGCCAGACTCCCCCACCTTCAGACGTGCTCTCCGAGCTGAGAGGCAACTTCTTATATCATGTTTCCTCCATTGTTACGAAATCTGGCAGCTGGGTCACTTCCCGACCACTGTGAACCCACGTCGCCCTTCTTGACCGCTATCTCCTCACATCTCCACATCTGTCTCCCCACACCTCTCGCGTTGGTGTCGATCATCCTAGGAAACCTGAGTTTTGTGTCATGGCTCTTCGCACAACTACCACAAATCTTCAAGAACTACCAGCTGCAGTCAACATCAGGACTGTCTATTTTCTTCCTGATCATCTGGTGTGCAGGAGATATCAGCAATCTCATAGGTGCATTGTTCACCCGGCAGGCAGGATGGCAGGTTATGGTTGCCTGCTACTACGTTTTCGTTGACGTTACCTTGGTCATCCAGTTTTTCTGGTATACACACTATAAGACCCGGCGTTACGAGGGATACGATGATCTTCAATCCTCTCATCACCACCACCAAGAGTCAGACGCACGGGGTGAATTCCTGCAAGGCAACAATGCGACCCACCAACCCCATGGTCCGGTCGACATGACGATTAAGACAACAGATGTTCATGATATGGGTGTTCAAACAGGCTCAACCTTCAATTCTACAATTGCCCGGAGCGCCTCTTACACAAATGAGAAGCAATCCTCACGTCGACCCGTGCGTTTGGGGAGCAGCGCTACCAGCCCACCATTTGCGCTACCCCGCACAATGCTAATCGCCTCTTTGGTCTGCGCCGTCCTGGCAAATGCAGCACCAACCGAGCCCAAACCCTCACCTCATCCACCCATCACTCACGCACCCAACGAGGCCATCCTTGAGATCGTAGGCCGCATCTTCTCCTGGGCGTCGACGCTCCTCTATCTCGGCTCGCGCCCACCACAGCTGTACAAAAATTACTGCCGCAAGAGCACAGAGGGTCTCTCACCCTTGATGTTCCTTGCAGCTTTTTGTGGAAACCTGTTCTACTCGACTTCGTTACTGACCAACCCCAACGCTTGGTCTGATTTTGCACCATATGGCGGCGGAGGCTGGGCCGATAGTCACGGAAATGACCGCCTGGAATGGATCGGGCGGGCGTTGCCTTTTTTCCTGGGTGCCTTCGGAGTCTTGGGACTGGATGGATTCATGGGTGTGCAGTTCCTCATGTACGGAGCCCTCGATGAGGACGACGAGAGTTTTGTTAGCTCGGATGATGGAGATGGAAAGCGTGGTCGGGGCCGGTGGAGACGCGTGCGGGGATGGATGCGTGGTTGGATCCCTTCGGCTTCGCCCCCTCCTGGTGATCGCTCACGCTCGTGCTCTGCTAGACCACAGGAAGGGCAAGCTCTTCTTGGTGCCGAGCAGGGGCGGTATGGCACTGTTTAAGCTGAGATATATTGATACCCTTTATACACCTGAGACCTGCTTTTTCCCCCATCTCTCCTTGTATAGAGTGAGATGGGGGTATGATACATCATGACTTGACGATTGTCGAATGGATCGACTTTGATTTCCAGCGCATTGGCTACACCTTCTTTTACTGTTTTGCATGACTGCATTTTGGTTGCTACGACACCATCTCATATATTCTGGGGGTTCTTGAATATACATGTTTCTTGGAGTTCATTTTGATTGGGGGCAGGATCAATAGACGGGGTGTCTATACATTGAACCCACCGTATCCTCTCGGGTTGTTCTTGGAACTGTGTATGGATTGGCATATGGGAGGCGGGGGAGGGTTGTACTTAAGGACTTGCATAACTATCATAACCATGAAACTTTTCAACATTACATGGATTTACGAATTCCAGGAAGAAAGCATTACACAAAGACTACTCTGATAATAGCAAGTCTGACTGACACGTATCCCAAGGCACGCTTACGCAAAGACCGAATTCAACCACAATTTTAACCAGCAAATTAGACAAGAAGTGTTCAAGAAGACCATTCAATCCAAGAGCTTGAGGTCCACCTCTAAACCCAACCATCTGAACAGCTCCTTCGAGATGATGCTTAAACATCACCGTATCCCGAACAAACAACTAGCAATCATCAGCACCGAACTCCGATATTTGAATGGGAAAGGATATCCTTACTTCATCAAAAGCCAACATGATAGCCTGTGCAACGGTTGAATCACTAAAAACCGGCGTCTCAATCGAAATAGCACATCGCAGCGACTGGAGACACTTAAGTTTATACATGAAGCCCAGTTGAATATAATACTCTTGCTGTCGTTCTAGCGGAGAGCTTATCGCTAAATGTCGACACGATAAGAGGAACATGATGTCCAATAGACCTGTTTCACTAAGTGCATGGGGTACCCATGTCCCTGTCATACGCTCGAAGAACGAGAGGGGTGGTTCGTCGCAGCTCATTAAGGGTATGATACCCGTCACATCTGTGGCAAGCGCAAGGATAGGCATGTCAGTTGTGGCGACTAGCTAATGTGCAACACACGTACAGTGATCGAATAAAATCTCTTCGATTGGTTGCAACTTTCTTGCATGGCTCATGAATGGATCCCTTCTACTAGCTGACAACAGTGTGATAATCTTGGGTGTAGGTAAAACAAGCGCACTTGGTCCGGTTTGTGTGTCATCTCGCAGGGTTCGGATTCCTTCTTCGCGCCTTTTCTGGGCTTGGTATTGTAGAGTCCGCTGACGTCGTTCCTTGGCATGTGCTGCTCGAGCGGCGTGTGAGCGGGCGGTTTTCCGTTGTGCCGGGGTTGGTTCTAGGCCTGTGGAATGGGCCGAATTTATGATGTACTGTAGCTTTTGCGGTGCCATGAAGATCTGAACGGATGATTGTCGAAAGTTACAATTATGATTGAAAAAGTATCAGGGATACACATATTTGTAATAGCTAGATTGGAATTCATGGGCGCATCGTGGGAGCTTACTTGATAAGCAGTAATCCGGGTCCTCTTCTAACCGAAACGAGTTAGCAGGTTTGCTTAATGATGATATTTGACTTTGCCAAGGCTTGCGCCTCCCGGAATAGGAAAAGCTCAATATATTGTATCATGTGAGATAGAGTTTATGATATGGACAAGTCGTCTATTCATCGGTTCTCAGGCGAAACTGCTCCAAAGTCTATAGTAACCTCCGATCCAATTCAATGTGTAAAGGAAGGATCGGCAGCCTCGAAAAACCGCATAACCGCCAGAGTCATGATTGGATAACCCATAACAACGTCATTTAAACCGGCCTTCATTATTTCCTCTCGAAGATCTCCGTGATCTGTTTTCCACTGCATCATCGACCCAGCAGCCCCCGATTCCGCCTTTGCATTTGCTTCTTCTTCTCAAGCCCTTCATAGCTAATCCCCGCCGGTATGAACGCGTTAATCGCATACCAAAAAAAAAAAAAAAAGTTCATGGTACCACGGAATATCATAATCCTCAGCATGAACAATCACAATTGAATATTTTGCCCAATTATACTCGTTCGTGCGAACGAACTGCGCGATAGAGTCCCTGTTCAATGATTTATCGTTGAAGGGCCTTATAAGATAGGAAACCGTGCAATCGGCGACATTATCAGGATAGTGCCTGCTATTCGGTATGTCGAGACTAATGTCGCGATATCGACGATTAGTGCAACGAGGACAATACCCGCAAAGACGACAGGTATGTCTTACAGTGCAAGGCGCTTCGATACAGCAATGGCTACGGCTGTGCCCATTAATTGATTGAATGTCAGAATGCGGAATGGTGGAATTCCTACGAAATTTATCGCCCTGTCTACCATAGCGAGAGCATCACGATTGACGCCGTCTTTGAGGCAACCCCCCATTACTTTGTCAAGACCTTGATAGTCGAATGTAAGTACATGAATTTTTTCGGGTCGCCAGCGGACAGGGCTCGATAATTGGGGACTCTGTAGCCTGATGCAACTGTTCCTTCGGCGCCGTGCCTGTGAGGGACTAATCTGGCATTTATATCGATACAGAGTAATTTGGATGCCAGTCGAGATTTAATATCGGCTACGAAGCCGACAGATTCGTCGATTAGAGATGCTTCATGTTTGCGACATATATTTATCGGAAGAATATGCCAGGCGTGTATTCGTCCGGAGTCTAGTGATTTGATGGGAAGGGAGTGGCTTGAAAGGAAAGCGAACCCGATGTAGATTGTAGTTCTCACCAAGGCACGAATAGGATTATTCGAAAACCCGCCTGAGCGCCTCACTGAGCATAGACCTGATTGGGTTTTGGCCAGACGCATCTCTCGTTAGTAATTCTATTTTTCTTATATATTTCCTTACCAAACTGAGGAGAAAGAAGACCCATGTTCCAAAATTCTCAGCAATCATTTCGGTTTCCCTAAGCTTTGCCCCTCCTCGAGCGGGAACATACTAATCTGAGCTCTTGGCTAAAATGAACCATGCTGGAACAACACCAAACATAGCATTGGTGAGCTTGGAAACCAATATGTATTACATGGCTTATCTCGATTACGTATCCGGTGCCGGTCAGAGACGGCGTTCGGGCCGAGTCGCATCTCCACCTCTTCCCCGCACACAATAAGGGCTTCCCCTATTTTGAGTTTCATATTCGGCATTGAACAATGCCATCAGGTTAAATAACGCATAAAGGGCTTGCATATCACAGATACTGTTCAGTGTCGAAGGCGTCCAGCAATGGCACAGAAGTCTCGAATTTTGTTAGTTGGTTGTGGAGGAGTCGGGACCATAGCTGCCTTGAACCTTGAGCATGGAAACAAGGCCGAGGTTTCCTGTGTCTTGAGATCGAATTTTGAGATTGTCAATATGCAAGGATTTACAATTCGGTCGTGTGAGCACGGAGATCTCACGGCTTGGCGGCCAAGTCAAAGTCAGAATCCCTGCTCGTCCGGTATTTTGCCAATTTTGCTGATGAACATGATGAGCAGTCCTGGATAAAGTTCCAGACATATCAGATCCAAAAGTTCAACACTTCGATTACATCGTGTGCTGCACCAAAAACACGCCAGACATCAATCCCATTGGCCAAATTATTGCCCCTGCGGTGTCACCCAACCACACGGTCATTGTTCTGATTCAAAATGGGCTCAACATCGAAAAGCCGTTGATGGCTCAGTTCCCCCATAATATGATTCTGTCGGGAGTTAGTCGCATCGATGCTCATGAGATCAGCAAAGGTGTCATTGAGCAAAAGCAGCGGGATCTCCTTTATGTCGGACCCTTCCCTTCGCAGTCTCATGACGCAGAATCGCTCAGCAAGTCTTCCCTGCATTTTATTGATATCTACGGCGCTGCAGGTAAAACCACCTGTCTCTACAAGCCTGACGTTGGGTATGACCGCTGGGCGAAATTGGTCTACAACGCGACGCTCAATCCCGTCTCCGCTCTGGTGGATCTAAACACGGGAGAGCTTCAGATGACTAGTGTGATTGACACGCTGGTCATTCCAGCCATGAGAGAAGTAATGAAAGTTGCAGAAGCTGCGGGTCATAAGCTCCCAGATGAAATCATTGAAGAAACTATCCGCAGTAATCCTATTGAGAAGATGATTACGCCTAGTATGCAGGTTGACACTCAGATGGTAATTCAACAATAATGCCCACTATTGAACAAATTTCTAACCGAAAATTAGGGATCATTTATTGAGCATGAGAATTTGCTTGGGGAGGTATGCCGTGATGCCCAAAGACTCGGCGTGGATGCTCCGATTCTCTCTACTCTGTACTCCCTATGCGTTGCTGTTCAATGGCGCACCAAGAGGAATAAAGGCCTGAAAGATTCAAATTTCTCTTAAATGCCATTCCATTATTATCCAACGACCCCTTCATTTGGTTTTATGTCAATTTCGGTTGCTTTTTCCTTCCTCCCAAGAAAGGTGAAGTTGTCCTCCCATGCTGTTTCGCCAAGGCTTGTGCCTTCCCAAAGGGGAAAGGCTTCTGGTTCTATAGTCGCGGTCTCCATCCACCAATTTCCAGTGGCGACCACTTCTTGCCTTCCCGTTCCATCGAAACAATGGGACCCTTCCAAGCCCCAACCACGAAGTATGCTAAACGAAACATGATGAAGGTAATTATTCCTATTTGTACAAGAAGGGAAACTATAAACCTACGTAGTCATGTGATTAGGGTTTGAAAGAGCATATCCAGAACCCCAGAACTCCAGACATGGAAAGCGAGAACGATTGTATTAATAATGGGACACACTTTTCAGTGAACCTCTTTTTGTATGTCTATTGCTAATACAAATGACGATAGCTTCAAAGTGAGACGTCATCAAGTTGCCAAGACCTGTGCTTTCCAACTTCAGGAAAGCTGCGGAGATAAGCGACAAATCTGATAGATCCAGGCCATAACAATGAATCGCCGGATTTAAGGACGCCTCAGCTAGCTCTTATAAATATGCAGACTTAACCCTTAAATTCACATCACCCAAGTTTCTCATTCATAAATCAAAGGTCACCTTCGAGGATGAACGGGACAGTCCTTATAACCGGGGCCAACGGCTCTCTAGCCCTTGGCTTCGCCAAATCGTTCCTATCGCTCTACCCAAACCATACACTCATAGCAACAGTCCGAAACCCATCACCAGAAAAGGATCCCAACACCGCCAAACTCGCCCGGCTTATTTCCAAATACCCGAATGCGAACGTCCACATCGAAGCCCTGGATCTCAGCAACCTAAAGAACGTTCGTTCCTTCGCAGAGAAACTCTCCACCCGCATCCATGCCGGGGAATTTCCCAGATTGACCGCTATAATCTGCAATGCTGCCGCGATTTCTCTAGGTGGAGGTCAGAAATTCACCCCCGACGGCTACGAGACTACCTTTCAAGTCAGCCACCTATCGCATTATCTCCTGGTTTTGAAACTGCTTGACAGTATCGATGTTCACTCAGGACGAATCGTTATGCTTGGATCAATCACTCATTATACTGAGAAGCCGAATCCTTTTTACTCCTTGGCAACTCACGTCCCTGATGATGTCGAAGAACTTGTGAAGCCCGGTCCTGATCCTCCGTCTTTGGTTTATGATCGGGGGTTCCAAAGATATGGTTTTGCCAAGCTTGCGAATGTGACATTTGCCAATGACCTTAACAGAAGACTAAAGAAGGTAAAAGAGCCCCGGCATGAAGTTTGCTGAATTAGAAGCGGGCGGCTAATTTCTCGATGCAGGATCCGAAACTTTCGAATGTGTTCGCAATGTCTATGGACCCTGGTGGGCTTCCTTCATCGAGAGGTCAAGCAGAGCAAAAGTTTTCTCTCAAACTTGTTTTTGCGGTGATCAACTTCCTTATGCCGGTGGTTAAGCACTTGACTACTAATTTCCGGACAACAGATGATTCAGGTCGGGACCTTGCTGCTGTTAGCGTTGATCCGGCGTTTCACGGTCAGTGTGGGTACTTTGATGGACAGAGAAAGGGGAGTTGTACGACTGCTAGTGAGGATTTAGAATGGCAGAAGAGGCTTTGGAGTGCTTGTTGGAGATGGGCTGGACTTAGTGGTGGAGAAACAGTACTTCAGGATTGCTCTTAGGCTGATATCAGCCACTCAGATTTGTATACGTGTGAAAGCTATTGTTGTGCCATTTGGAAAGGAAATCCCGTATCCCAAGGCTAGTGTTTACTTTTGAAAAGCTCAGTGGGCTCTTTAGATCTCTAATAATTGTTTCTTATTTGCATAATGAATGACATTTGATACAACCAGAGGAACAATTTAAGTGAGAAAGACGTTGACTTGAGCTCTCAAGGAGAGATACAAAGGAAGAGATCTAATGTTAAGTCCCAGGTCTAGTGTTCACAAAGATTAAAGTCACCCTTCTCAAATCTCTCGTTTTGCTCCAGAGATTTTGCGCTCCTCTCCTCCATAAGTTCCAACCGCAACTCCTTTGCCTCATCCATACTCATAAGTTGCTGCAGTATACCTTCATCACATACCATGTTTCTCAGCTCAGCAGGAAGCTTCTTCGAGAGTACCTTTTGAGCCAGATCATACTTCTGTCTCCCCCAAGCCTCCTGCTGCGGAGGAATGTTCGCAGTCGAGATGATCCGTAGATGTGGATCAACGAGGAATAAAGCCAGGATCTTTCGGTGGCCCGGCTTTGAGCGGTCAGCCAGCGAGAATGGTGCCACACAGTGCTGAATGACGTTGGGGAAAGTAAGAAGACGGCCTTGCCGGCAGACGACACCTCCTAGGTCTTGTGTGATTTGGGCATCGTAGGTATAGCCATCAATGTTGGGACTAAATCCGTAGATATCTTGGAGGAATTCGTGTTCTCCTTGGTCGTAATAGACTTCCTCGATTGCGTTCTCGTTAGCACGTTGGCGAAATGCAAGGATACTTTCTGTGATATTTTCGCTGTCGTAGTAGTAGATAGCTGTTGCACAGATGCGCTCATTCTATACGTAGAAAAGGTTAGTAAAATAAAAGATAGGCAAGTGATATTGCACTGATATCCATTTACCAGTTGACCTTCAATATGCCAGGATCCTCCTTCGTACTCGGGCTTTTCAGGAGATAGCTCAATGTTGGCCAACTTTACAATAACCTGCAGCCCAGTATCGCCAAACTGCTTTTGAATATCCATTCTCTCATCGGGCTCATAATCCGTAAACTCTTTAGGCTCCGGCTGTTTGATCGCGCCTGTCCTTTCCCAGGCCACACGACGAAGCCAGTATTGGCGATCACTCTCCTCGGGCTCCCTCTCTGGCTCTGGCTCCCCATCATGGTCTTTTTCAACTCTAGAATATTCAATCCGATGATTGTTATATTTCTCGCCAGTCAAAGTCCTGTTCCACAAAGGTATGGTGCGTGCAATGACTTTCTCAATGACATTGTACAAGGCAAGATGGCGCCCGGGATGCAGGTTGTTGATATAGGAAGTGATGCGGCACTCAGGCTTCGTTTCTGTGGATCTCAGCTCCACGTCGCAAGGAAGCCATTGGAATTTGTGACTGTAGAGGTCTTCATCCCCGGTCGATGGGACTGTGAGTAATTCTCCCTGTCCTATGGTACCGAGACAGTCTTCGAGACCAATCGACTGATCGGGTAAGATACGGCTGCGTCCGTATACGAGCGGGAAAAGCGATGGATGTACAAGATCAAGGACCTTTTGGTTGGATCTTGGATGGTAATCCTTCTGATCGTCTGGTATGTTTTCCAAATGAGCCACTTCATCTACTAGAGCTTTTCGTAGTTCTTCTGGGATGGCGGTGTCCGATTTGACCACGCCAATGTCAAATACTGTGGTGAATCCATCGGATTTGGAGTGATTGGCTTTCCATTGTAGTTCCTTGATGATGTAGCCCATCATTGCCGCGGAGATATCCTCGCCACTGTTGGAAATCTCCTCGCACCATTTGGCAGTGATTTCCTCATCAAAAACCTAGTATGATCATTAGTGTTTGTCACCCTTGGTAGATTAATGTGGTTAACCTTTAGTTCCCACTCTGGTTTGTCAGTGATGACATTCATCACACGCATCATTAGGATCTCTCGGTGAACGATGGCTGATCTAATAAGAGTTATTGCATGTTCCAGCCCCACAGGCAGATGGTTCTCCTACTTTACGGGATATTGTAACGCATGTGGACAAAGTGGAAGGGGGCGAAATAGAGACTTTCCTCGCTGTGGATGTTAGTGTTTACCATCCGTGTTGTATAGGTCAATGGTCTTACTTTAGGGAGATAGTCAAGAGGCAATGTGAAGCCGGGCAAGCCGGACTGTTCCGGAGCGGGCATATCTGGTGCAAGTCCCATTTTTGCGGTCTGATTCTCAGAATAAGAAGTGGGGAGTGGTGGCTGTTATATAGCCTAGCCGATGGTTTAGCCAAGACTGAGGGTTCACGCTAGATCTTGGCGCCAAAGGCTGCCAGGCTGACTGCCTAGAGTCTGCCTGACTATTGCCCGGGATCCATGGATCCACATATTGATTCCAAGCTCCTTTCGGTTAGTGCAATCAAAGTGTTTACAATTCCCAAATCTATCTTATTTTACAGGATGGATCGAAATCAGTTTCACCATTTTGCTTTCATAGAATTGTTCTCGAACCCTCGTCTAAAATACACTAATCCATTTCCGACTTAGCTTCGTTTCAAGTATTGAATCGTATTGAAAGGCATTATTACGTGCTCTGATTTCCACTGATTAAACTGTAAATAATACTCTTACCAGGAATACCTGCATCTTGCAGCCTCTTGACCTTATAGACGACCTTCTATCTCCTTGTACGATATTGCAGTGTGAACTTCAATAAAGCGAAAAGTTTGCCTCTTAAAGAATGCATCCTTAGTCAATATATAATATGGCATCGATTTGGAACTTACACATGAGGTATCAAATGCAATGTAAGCATAAAAACCCTAACCAGATTATCTGCGCATTGATGAACTACCCCTTCGTCACCATTACATATCGGTTTCCCACTGCTCATCTGATTCCCACCCCCTTCCCCCTTTACTATCTCATATTGCTTCGGTTTCACATTCTAACAATGGATCAGAATTAGGTGTTATAGTGGTATGGTTGGGGCCGAATGTTCGCTCCTGCTTGATCAAGCAGTCTCATAGTAGATTGATGGTGTCGGCATCATGAGCACAAGATTTCCAGGTGGAATTGAGATTAGCTATACTGGTCAGCGTGTCAGGATGATCCTTGTTGAGCTTCTTCTTACGAGTCTTCATTATCTGCTCGTCCAGCTGCTCGGCCTCGTGCCATCGGCCATCAAGTCATTAGCATAGGGTCGACAACCTGAGTAATAATTATGAATAAATAAACCCTCATGTCGAATTTATCTTGAATTAACACGATACGCAGTATCGAAGCGAGCAAATTGAGTCTTGTGGTCCGTAACCTAGAATTACTACATGCTCCCTTCGGTGCACAGCGACAACGACGGTCTCGACCGCAATATTTCACGAAACGTAAAAGAAAGAAAACTCAAAAAATCCAAAGGTACTGAGGACTTACGTTTAGTCACAATCAATCTCTTCATACCTTTCATATCAATGTGTCCTATCCAAGGTCATAACATTAGAAGAGGTCAGTGCAAAAAGAAGTAGCCCCACGAGCTGATCAGGGCTAGGAGAACCAGGTGGCAAAAATGGCTCTTGTGCCGATAGGGGCCAAGTTATATATATCCTCTAATTAGCGAGTGTATTCAAGCTTTTTCATGGAGCGTAGGCAACATTGGCCCCCATATCAAGAACAAAGCGGGGCCGGCCCCCTGCCTTAAGCTGACGTCACCGCCCTATTTCTATGCTTATATAGTATGGCCGTCTCTGTTCACTTTCATATTCAATTTGTTTTTACGCTCTAGATCAAAATTGAAAAACTGCACCAAAATTCTTTATCATGTCAAGAATTCTGCTCTTTTGTGTTGCCGAGGAGGCTAAATCAGTAAGTGCAACCCAGGGGATCAGAGATGTCGGGTTCGGCCGAACTGGATATGCTTTCCCACCGTATGGATATTGAAGAAATATTAACTGGAACTTGCAGCTTATACCGAAGATTTCACGTGAATTCAGTCATAAGGAGAACGTACCTCCTCCGTTCTGGCTTGTTGAATCGAACGTCTGCCCTAGAGACCAAGCCGGGTTCAAAGTCGTGTTGAAAGACGACGAACCTTTTGAATCGGATTTTATCAACGCTTCAAAGGAGCAGTGCCAGAAATGGGCACAGGAGAATTGGGACAAAGTCGATGGTATCTCGCACGAGGATATTGCTATCGCAGATGAGCGAACGTCTCGGGATGGGACTTTACTTATGAGTTCGTGGCATTTTGACAATGTCGATCTTGATGGCTGGGGACCTTTGCCGCCAAGGGTTCCAGCCTGGTATGATTTCAGAGTTCATCATCGTGCGGTTGATGCGTTTGAAGTCAGTCAGCACTGGTGTCCACTTGATGAGGCCCTTCCAATCTACTATGGACAGCCAGAAAAGTATACTGATGAGGCCGGGGTGTTTGATTCTATCAAAGTGGAGTTATGGATGACAGGCAAGATTGAAAATGAGAACTTTATTTAGAGTCCTAGGATTTAGCACCTGCTCATATATTGTCCTTATCATGATTAAGCAAGGAGTTTGCATAAAGAATATGCGGTCACGTAATATTTTGCTTGGTAGTTATTTAGATACTATCATACCTTATAAGCAAGTGAATCATAGAAATTTATAGATGGGGTTAGCTGATCTACCCGCTCATGTCTGACTATGATATCTCTACCAAAATGCGAAAAAATTAACGATATTAGCTATCCAGGCCTATCTAAAGAGTTATTTCTTCTATGCTCCGGATCTCAATAAAGTATGGGTTATTTAGGCCCAAGTGCGATGTACCCAAGCTAGTAGAAGACATGAAAATCATCCATACTAGACTTTATATAAGAGACCTTTTGATGACAGGTAGAGGCAGCAATATAGTCTAAGTCTCTATATCTTTTACTGAGGAGAATAAGAAAAATTGTTTGACTATGTTGCCCGAGATTCATAATCAACTCTCAGGATAGTGCGAATAGATCACTGTAGATCTGGCAAAATATGTAACTAGGCATACATTGTAGTGCATCCTTAGATGTGGAATGCGGATTATACTCGGGAAGAATGGGGTTTTGTGACACGACAATGCATCAACCGATAAGGAGTCTAATTGAGAGTCCTAACAACAAGATAAACTAGACGAGCAGAGAAACAGAAAACAACAAAGGACACAAGCCAATCCTCCAAGAAGTCACTTGGGTATTTGCTCAATGCCCAGCAAGCAAAGACAATCAACAATCAGTTATAAAGCATCACTGAAAGCCAAAGACGAAAATCAGACTAGAAAAGACAAGCTCGCTAGAGATAGGAAGAACGGAGATCTATCCAATACATAAGAGAGGTAAATCCACTGATCGTTTATAGCTCATTTCTACCGCCATTGCTTCTCTATTAGCAATGCGTTCCACGGTTTGAAACACAAACAGAGTTACAATCATTGCCAATCCTCTTGTAAGCGGAAACAATATGGATACCCGATGTCTTGCCCGAGATTCCATTCGAGGTACAATCGGATACGACTTCGCACAATTAGTATGATATAGCATTATAACACAAATTAAAGCAAGAAATATTGACTTACTTTTGCTAGCGAAAGGTGCTAGGTCACCTTTGGTCAAAATTTTGACTGGCTTGTCCCATGATACGCAGCAGTATTCGTTACTAGCTGAGTCGCCTAGGTAGCAAATCTGGCGTGGCGATTCCTGGACCTTGACATCGGCGTCATTGTAGAGCTCATTTACAAGGGTAGTGCACACGTCATTCCGTGCTGCATGATCTGTGCTGCACGTGGGGGTGGTGCTGGATGTTCCACAGCTCGCACGTTTCTGGAGACTTTGTGTGTTGGATATATTGGAGTCTCCAATCTCAGTGCTATTTGCAGGGCCGTAGTAGATCAAAGTTCCGCCGTTTTTACCGACTTGACGATAATGTTCAACAAAGTCACTACCTTGTTCCTGGTTTGCAATAGGAGAAGCAACGAGACTAGTAACAAACATAGAGAGCAGCATAAGCTTGGTGGTGTTGAACTGCATTTTGAATTGGCTTTGTGTGTTGTTTAGGCGATAGAGGAAAGGAAGTATGAAGTGAAAATATGCTGGATTGAGGATTAGAAGATATCGGGAATTGTGGAAGTATTTATAGGTATCTCGAGATCTACTCGAACATAATGACATTGTTTCGTGGAAATCTTTCCTCATCTTCTCGTTTGCTCCCCAAATCCATTGACTCTAGTTGGCTCTCCTTCATAGTCGTAAACGCAGTGTACCTAGCTTCAACTGAACTATAGAGAAGCTATTATTAGGCAGTGGCAATTGATAGTGCCGTCTGCCCGAGCCTTGCCCGTGGGATTGACGGCGGCCCGAAAACCAACATAATTTTACCCAATGAAAATATTGCGTTGCATCTGTGATGATTGAATAGACTTGCGGGTGGCAATATTGACATCGTTCATGAGAGAGGGCAACTATGAATTACTGTGGTTAGAGCTATTTTTGATAGAACCACATCATATCCACTAAATGCGATTGCTCCCTCGGTTAAAGAACAAAACTGGGGCCATCTTCTTTCACAAGGTTATACTACCAGATGGCTGAGATCCTGACTAATTCGAGACTCCTTCATTGTTCGTTTGAAGACTTCATCCCATTTTGTATAGTTATTATCTACCTATGAAGTTGTATGCACTTTCAGATATATATGGAGACCTACTTTAGCAGGCATTGACTTGCCCCGAGTCTGGCTGTGATTTCTATCATTTCCCCTTTTCTCCCCTCCGGCCCGCCCCGCCCCGCCCCGCCCCCATAGCCTCCCCCTCCACACACCCCTCTATAGTATACGATTGGTATGGTACTGCAAACCCTCATTATCCAATGTCCCTGCTTGAGCACGTAATTACTAATTGGCGATCCCCAATCCTCCGTTTCAAAGGATTTTGGCCCGTTCAAAAAGCCGTCGTTCATGACTTCTTAGCTCATGCTAGCCAACATGATCAGGAAAGCTCTAGCAAATTAATGAACTGATTGGCCTTGAGCTCTAACTACGTCACCTCTGCCCCTGTCTCGAGCTATAATCCTTCCTATGCTTTTCTCGTATCTCGCTTTGTCCACGCGTAATGTGCCCCAAGCGATGAAAATAGAACAAACAGATCGTTTCAGCTTGCCTAGAACTACCCAAAGTAAATTCTAATTCGAAAGGTTGCAACAAGTCAAAATACACATATATCAATGGCCTGTGGAGCATTTAAGAAGTTCAATAAAAGCACTTCAAGGTCACATCAAAGACATTCTTAGGTTTATTGACTATTCATTCAGCTTACCGATCCGAGGCAAAGCGCACTATCAGTCACTATGCTTTCCACAAACTTGCCTGGCAGGCTTTGTTTGCTGTCACTCCTGCTCTCTGGATCTTTTGCTGCTCCACACAATGCTGTGAAAGACACAGGGCTGGTTGCACGAGCCAACGATGGATCAAGCAAAAGTAGTCCAATAGAGACAACGTTCGATATTACTGGGTGGGAGGACATCGCCGAACAGAACTGCTATGTAATGCTCTGTTTGAATGACGCAGAAAGAGTTTGGTGAGAACTGCTCAAAAGAGATGCTGATATGTTTACTGATTGAGCAAACTATAGGCAAAAAACTCCGTCAACTACGGGTAAAAGTCATTATGTACAATCAGGGGCGTATATGACGCCTTTCCGCAAGGATCACACGGCACAGCGCCACACGGAAGAAATTAATACCCAAGCCGGAGGTGACACGGAGACAAACAGCGCAGAAGAGTTTCCTTGGGAGAGCATGGCGCAGGGAGGTACGGGTGCCTATTTGGCTCCAGCTACTAGAGCCCAACAAAGTAGTATGCTTCCCCTTTTGGTCTATCAAAAACGAAGAAGAAAGTTCCCTCTAACCAAAAAAAAAAAGAGCAAATGAGAGCTATCAGGAACGGATATCGCGCAGTCAATCCAATCGTCAGTGAAAACAAATGGTTCAGAATCACATTCACAGGCAACTTGGGCAAGATGTGCACGGCGTTGATGTCAGACCCGCCCGACACTAGTGTTTGCGACGACCCCGAGGTTGATATCTATGGTAAAACGGGCGTCAATCTTGCCAACTTCGTCTGGGTTGCGCAAAGGCTCAGCAAAGGCGTCATTTTCACACATGCGGCTGGCCCAAACAAGGGAAAGGTTGGAAAGCGCATGAGTCCCATCGAGATGCGTGCGGCACAGGAAAATGATTTCAGCTCAGTTGCCACAGGCAATGAAGGCTTCGATAATGACCAATCTATCCCGATCGAGTCGCGTGATACAGATATCGAGTTTGAAGATTGGGACAATGAAGATTGGGAGGCTTTGAATGAAGGCTTTGAATAGACTGCTATACCCTGTCCGATAGGGGTTGTCGTTGCCTACTTCCAGGGTCATACAACGTTCGCTGGGGTTCTTCAGTGCTTTTATGTCTTAGATCGCTTTCTCTATCTTCCATCTCTCCATAGCTCGATATATCAGACGTTCTTGCTCTCCTTTTCCCGTTCCGGTACCTACTATACTAGATTTAAGTTAGGGTCAAGGTCTTCAGCAATCTAGAAAGCAAATTGTGATTTCGACCTCCATCACAGAAAATGATATTACCTATAATAAGCAAACTATGACAATGGTTACCTTCCCGATAAGAAGAGACAATACTTGCAAAAGTATACACTTTTCAAGTAAGATTTTTGCCATTAGAATCATAACTTTACAGTGAAAGATATTCCTACGAGCAAAAAAAAGCTTATCAATTTTTAGAGGACCCCATCGCCTGAAAGTTGATATTCGCGTAGGCTATTAAGTGTATACAGAACGAGTAAATTTTGTTGCGTGGAATAATCATCGAAATAACGCGACTTTGTATGTCCACCGTAGCAGTCGCCTCTTTGCAACATGGGGCCAAGGCTCACTATCTTCCAATTTTTTTACAAGTTCAATATTCTAGAAGCTCATAAAGCCATACAATCGTAATATGGAACCTATTTCTATGCTGTTATTTACATATAGAATATGATATTGCCAAGAAAAGGACACAGGGATAGAGTAATTGTAAGTGTGTTTCAAGAGGGTTCGAAAAAGAATTTCTCTGTGCAAAGTGCGAGTGGTGAAACTGATTTCGATCCATCCTGTGAGTAACCCAAACGACAAGATAGACCTGCCATAGTCAGAAGCGAACTTCTCAAATGGAAAGGCAAATAATATCTCAAAAGTCACTCTTAGTCAAATCTACAGGAGCAGCAACATAATACAATACAGTGTAGGTAGAGAGCCAAAGGAAAGAAAAGAATAGCCAGCCTGTGCTCTGGGTAACAATGGACAAAGCATTATTAGGCAATGTTCTAAACAAGGTAAAAGGTGACAGAGAAGAGAAAAATACATGGAACTGGATTAAAAGGGGATTTGTATGCAAGGAAAAATAGGGGACATCTTCATCAAACCAGGGAAGTATTATATGAGAAACAGGGGCATATTCATTCGTTGCTTGTTCGAATAATTCATGACCGGAAGATGGTTTTTTTCTTGGCTTCGGGTTCCTTTGGGGCCCCTTCTCTCTTTCATTCCCCAGTGACATCTCCTGCTTTATTTCATGATACGACATTTTATCAAAGCCGAATCAACGCCAAAAGCAAGAAGACCGAGCAATAACAGACAGGAAAAGGGAGGCACGCGGGATTAATAGACCGTTACACGGCGTGACCAGCACCAACCGGGCTCCGGGGGACTCGGGCAGAAAGGCAGAAGCTTAAGAATGCAGCATGTTCCAAGGCAGCATCGCAGAACAGGAAAGGTCAAACTAATACAAGGGTGACTTGACATCCTGAACTCCACGTCGGACAACGTCTTCAAGCCGCCATCGGGGAGGGGAAATGTGAGCGGTGCGCTTACGCACCCACTCCTTCTCCATCTCGGGTGGGGGAGCCATCTCTTCGGCAGGAGGCAGCGCACCACCGGCGATACCGGTAGAGAACTTCAACTGCAAGACATTGCCGATTTCATCACAGGCAGTCAAAACTCGGTCGAGATCATCCTTCGTGTGAGCAGCTGACACACAGAAACGAGCACGGGACGAAACGAGAGGAGTTGCAGGGTATCCGACAACCACAACGGAGATCTTGCGCTTAAGCATCTCGTGGGAGAAAGCGGGCATCTTTGCGGGGTTGAAAAGCAGAACAGGGATGATTGGCGAATCATCGTGGCCGTATACTATAAAGCCAAGACGCTTGAGGCCCAGGCGGAGGTATCGTGAGTTGAAAGCCAACCGTTGCAATCGTTCCTCGCCCTGCCCAGGAACAAGATCGCCCTTAATGATGCGAAGAGCGGAAGAAATTTGGGTGAGAACTGCCGGTGCGGGGGCCTCTCCGTAGAAAATACCGGAGCTGGTAGCTCGGAGCTTGTCAATCATCGCCTTATCGGCCGCAATGTATCCACCGTTGGCACCAAAAGATTTGGTGAGGGTTCCCATCAAGACGTCGACTTCCGAAGTAGGAATGCTGAAAAAGTCACACACGCCCTTGCCCAGAGGACCAATAGCTCCAATAGAGTGAGCCTCGTCAACGAAAAGGTGGAACTTGTAGCGGTGCTTTAATTCAACAAGACCAGGCAGATTGCACATGGATCCCTCCATCGAGTAGAGACCCTCGACAACAACCAAGATCTTCTTCCATGGGCGGTGAGTACGGGGTTGGCCTTGAGAAATGGCTTCGCGGAGCTTGACTTCAAGATCCCGCATGTCATTGTGCTTGAACATGGCAATTGAAGCCCCGGAAAGACGAGCACCGAAGCGAATAGAAGCGTGGTTCAATTCGTCGGAAATGAGGAGACAACCCTTGGAGACGAGAGCGGGGAAGATGCTGGCGTTGGTGCCGAATCCCATGGAGTACACCATGGATGCCTCCTTGCCGACAAACTTCGCAATAAGATCCTCCACTTCGACGTGAAGATCCTGGGTTCCAGCCTCTGCACGAGTACTAGGCGTGCTGATACCGTATTTCCGGACCGACTCCTCAGACATATCGGCACAGGGACCTTCCGACTGTGCGAATCCCAGGTAGTTGTAAGAGCTCAGGTTTAGTGTATCAGTGGTGGTACCTGTCAGGTAGAAGTGGTGGTTGTAGTCGTCTGTGGCCCGGTCGATCAGAGTTATGGTGCGGCCGGGAACACCGGTAACGGGACGCTCAAAGCAATCGTTGATACGCAACTTGAGGCGACGCACATAAAAGTTGTCAAAATCGCTGTTCAATGCACCATAGCCATTGCGAGCTTTGAGGTGACGGTAGTTTTCCTCGCGGAAGCGCTTTCCAAAGAAATCACGAACGTGACCGAAGGCAATTAGAATTAGGTAGCTGATGTACGTCGTAAGCAGATAATAATACGGCGGTTCGTCCATCACCGGTTCCGGAAAAACACCGCCAGGGTGTCGACTGGAGTAGCGGTGACTCGCATGACCAATGGGACCGAATTGAGCATGTTGCTTAGCTAGCCGGCGAGCCTCCTCCGGAGTTGGCGGCTGGAAGAGTGTGGTCGGTGATTCTTCCATGTTCGGGTTATCAGCGGTAGCGGTGGACAAAGAAATTGTCGGTAAGGACAGTGATGCCGAGCTGATCGGCGGGGAGGTATTAGGATTCCCACTGGCCGACTGAGGGGTCGACTGAGTAGGTTGGGATTCGGCCTTGGATTTAGGCGAGACCGAAAAGAATTGGGACAGGCGATGAGACTTGACCGAGGGCGCCTTGGTGGCGATATTGGCCTTTCCCGTGGAGGGTGAAAAGGAGGGAGAATTGGAAGGGGTGTCGATGGAGGAGGTGTTGCTGAACCGACGAGGCATCGCAGAGGGAAGTAGCGACACGGGGGGTTGACAAGATGACAGCAAGATTTCACCGTCGGCAACAGGGGGGCGCGTGGGTTCCTTCACGCGTCCAAAGTCAACGATTTGAGGCAAGGACTACCCGAGATAGTGCAACGAGGCGATCTTCACGAAACTATGTGTGTCTATAAGTCTCCGTGATTCTAAAGAGTCCGACAGCAAACGGGGTAATCTGGGAGGGGGTTGCGGCGCCAGGTTAGTCGATGGTTCTCAGGAGCGTGTGGGTCAAGCGAAATTCGGGTGGAGATGGTGAAATTGTGCGCGCTGGGAAAACAGAGAAATTGAATGGCGAGGGTGAAGTCACTCTGAGGTTTTCACGATCGTACGTACTCTGGGCTGAAATTGATCGCGGGAGGCAGATCCGACGACCTCCGGGGCGAGGCGAGGCTTAGAAAAGTGTGGCTTCACACGTGGAATGGGGGGGTAAAGAACACAAGAACAAAGGGGCCAGTGCCCACAGTTCCGAGAAATTGAAACCGATAAGAATCTCCCAAAGATATACGGGTGGAAGGGAGAATCGGACTAAGGAAAAGGAGGAAAGGAGAAGAGGTGATAAACCCGTTGTGTACCTGCTGCGTCTCAATCATCATGCAAAGCAGGATATGCTGCCTCCTGGTATTAAAAAGGAACGTGGCGGGTACAGACTAAAAGAGTTTTCATTGGAGCAAAGTCAATATTACGCGTAAATTACAAAGGCATTACGGATGGGGCTTTTTCTTTTCTTTTCTTTTTTTCTTTTTTCTTTTTCCGTTAGTGCCGGCAGCCAAGTGGTCCCCCAATTTAAGAATACAGGTACCAGCTACCTTCCATTGGGCTCTAGACAATTGGCTGTTCAGGTCACGTCTACCTCCAAACCCTTAAGCCCCCAAGTCTATCAGTCATGATAGCAATCTATAATTTACTGTCTCCAAGCCAATAGGTGCACGCACAGCGGATGACCTTGGTAAGCCGAGCTACTCCGCATTGTGGATACATTGCCCCTGGGGGAAATCGTATGACAGGTGCGAAAACCATCAAGTTGTGTAAATTTTGACAAATGGTCATGTCGGCAAATTTGCTTTGTCAAATTTCAATCTCTGCAACTTTAAGAAGTAGCATTAAATTATGAACCTACCCAAAGGCTTACCCTACCAGGGTTACAACCTCGAACCCTGGAACCAGAAGTATGATGAACTAGACTTCTAACTTAGTACAACATCGTTCGTCAAGCCTGTATCAGAATCTCGCAATGAATATTGGAAATCCGCGACTGAGGAGATCCGGTCGAGTCATATCAAGATGGCCTTTGACAGACCCCGAGTATGACTGTATGAGTGTAAACGTTGGATTAACACATGGGCACGGACACTGTTGACGTAAGTTCCGATGACAGGGCAGTATGATGGATCTTTCCACTAGACCAGATACTACCTAGGAAACGCTCCATTGAAAATTGCATGAAAACGGCCGAGGCCGTGGAGATTTGATGTTGATGCCCGAGGCAGAGAGTGTCACTTCCGCATTCCGCACTGGTTCCGCAAAGGGGGCTATCTCCAATGTTGTCCGATGATACTTAATAAAAGGGTGTGAGACCATGGACGAGAAAGAGTTGGAAACATTTTGTCACCAATTCATTGTCAATCTCTCTTACATCCAATCGTCATCGTTGCATACAGTACAGTGCCGGCTTGGGCCTCTTTTCTAGTAACCGCCTTATACCCGCAGCCGCGGAGAGCGGCAACTGAAGCCGCCTCGCAATCCCTTGTTGGGAAAATTGCATGTGTGACTTGCCCTTTTCGTCTTCAGGTTGAGTCAGCCCCTGCAAGATCAATCCCAAGGTTTTTTAGTGCGTTTATAAAAAAGCGCGCCTAGAGCATACACTGCAGACCTTTTTCACTAGACTCTCCCACAGAGCATTTGGAACTACAGGTTCTCTAGCACACGCCCTTGTAGGAATAAAATTGCACAGGCGCAATCCTGTCGGTTGTCTGCTTAATTTTCATTGGCACCCACGATGCCACACATCGATGAGGATATCACTCTGGAGGCGAAGGAGCTCTGGCGACCTTCGTTCCCTGAGAAAACGCAAATTTACGATTTTATGACAAACGTGAGCGCTAAGCATGGACTATCTTTACATGACTACAATGCTCTTTGGCAATGGAGTGTCTCAGAGCCCGCCAAGTTCTGGGAAGAGATCTGGCACTACACAGGAATTAAAGCCCATGAGCCATATCAGCAGGTCGGTGTAGTGATTCTCCGCCTTGCGATCAATATACTTACTTGATGTTTCAGGTTCTCGAGTCTGGTCAAGCGCTTTTCCCCCGGCCAGCATTCTTCGAGGGGAGCACTTTGAACTTCGCCGAGAATCTCCTGTACCCAGCATCCATGCCGGATGAGAATTCGATCGCTGTGATCGGTGCCACCGAAGCTGACCGCGAGTTTATCTCTTGGAAAGAGCTTCGAGAGCGAGTTCGAAAATGCGCCAATGCACTTAAGGAAGCAGGTTTGCAAACAGGCGATCGCGTGGCTGGTTTTGTTGGCAATCACGCTAACACAGTCGTGGCAATGCTGGCTGCAGCCTCTATTGGTGCTTTCTGGACCGGGGTCTCTCCGGATACCGGCGTGCATGCCGTCCTTGAACGTCTCAAACAGATCGAGCCAAAAATTCTTTTTGCTGACAATTCGTCATTGTACAACGGCAAAGTGCATGGGTCTCATACAAAATTGCGCGAGATAGTATCTGAATTGCCTGATTTGGACTTTTTGGTGGTATTCGAGACAAACAAGTCCGGAGAATTTAGCCTCGACCAACTTCGTCCGGAGAATGGCAAGGCCATGACTTATTTTGACTTCGAAGCTGCCGTTCAGGATGAATCGGCACCTTTGGAGTTTGCGAGCTTAAGACCCGATCATCCGGTGTATATCTTGTACTCCTCAGGCACTACGGGGGCACCAAAGCCTATCGTGCATGGATCATTGGGTACATTATTGCAGCACAAGAAGGAACACCTTCTCCATTGCGATATTCGACCTGGTGACCGGCTATTCTACTTCACAACGACAACATGGATGATGTGGCATTGGCTAGTATCTGGATTGGCAAGTGGTGCTACTATTGTCCTGTATGATGGATCTCCGTTCCGGCCCTTTGATGTTGAAGGAGGAAATGGAGAAATGGCCATGCCACGACTCATCGATGAGCTGCAGATCACTCACTTTGGTACCTCAGCCAAATACCTCTCAATGTTGGAACAAGCTTCATTGAATCCCCGCAAGCATGCTCATCGACCAGTCTCCCTTAATACTCTTAGGGCAATTTTCAGCACTGGGTCCCCGTTGGCCCCATCAACATTCGAGTATATTTACTCTTCAATTCATCCCGATGTCATGTTAGGCTCGATTACCGGTGGTACAGACATTCTCTCTTTGTTCTGCTCGGGTTGCCCAATTCTTCCCGTCTATAAGGGCGAAATCCAGTGCCGCTCCCTTGGTATGGCAGTCTCCGTGTTTGACTATGCCGGGAATGATATTAGTGCGTCGGGGGAGCCTGGCGACCTTGTTTGCACTGTGCCTTTCCCTGCACAACCGGTCATGTTCTGGCCATTTGGCCCCAAAGGCCAAGAGAAATACCGTAAAAGTTATTTCGACGTTTTCGGTCCTTCAATTTGGCACCACGGAGATTTCGTACGTGTGAACCCACAGACTGGAGGTGTGATTATGCTTGGCCGCAGTGATGGTGTCCTCAAGCCCTCTGGTGTCCGTTTCGGAAGCGCTGAAATCTATAACGTACTTCTGAAGCACTTTGCCGATGAAATCGAAGACTCTCTGTGTGTTGGTCGGAGGCGTGAGGGTATTGACACCGACGAGACCGTGGTCCTCTTTATGAAACTGGCCCCAGGCAGTCCCTCTAGTGTGCCAGAACTGGCAGCTCGTATTCAGGCCATTATTCGGAAGGAGCTAAGCCCCCGCCATGTACCAGGTATCATTGATGCTTGTCCTGAGATCCCGGTGACCTCTAATGGCAAAAAGGTCGAGAATGCGGTCAAGCAGATCTTGTGTGGACTCAACATTAAAATCGGAGCCAGCGTTGCCAATGCTGCTTGTCTTGAGTGGTATCGTGACTGGGCCTCGGAACACCCTTAAATATGTCCACAGATCCATTTTTAGGTTAAACAAAATGAAGATAATAATATACAGAATTAGATTGGGGCCGATACACAAACATGTCGTCATAGCAATAAATTCTAGATTGCGAACCCTTGGTAAGCATTACAACCCGACAAAGAATACTTTCATAAGATGTTCAAAAACAGGCCAATTAAATAAGGCTTGAATGAATGCTCCAGAATTCTTATTAGTAAATACACCCTCGTAAGATCCATCGATCACCTTGGGGGAGAGATCATGCAACGGCTTAGGTAATCATGCCGGTGCTGCGCTCCGGAATTGATTCTTCGCCGACACACGTTTCCCGACACCCCCGGATTCACTGCAAAGAAGGCGTGCAAGACACTCTTTCATTTATTAACTGCCGCGCGTGTCCCAATGAAAGGAACTATGCGTCGTACTGCATTGCGGGTGGCCGAGTCTGCAAAGCCTTTGACCCGAACGGCTCGTTCGGCGAGAAGCTTTGCTACTCAGAGTGACTCCGCTAAGGTATGTTACCTTGATTGTCTCTGCTGTGAGCACCTCTAACTCCCTATTCTTCCTCAAAGGACCCCTCTGAGCTCGATCAAATTACCACACTTCCCAATGGAGTTCGCGTCGCTACAGAATCATTACCGGGTCCCTTCGCTGGTGTCGGAGTCTACGTCGATGCCGGTTCTCGTTACGAAGACGCAAGCTTGCGTGGAGTCAGCCATATCATGGACCGACTGGCCTTCAAGTCAACCAAAGCACGATCAGCTGATGAGATGCTAGAGGTGCTTGAGTCGTTGGGTGGTAATATTCAATGCGCGTCGTCGCGAGAATCGTTGATGTACCAGTCTGCTAGTTTCAACTCGGCGGTGCCTACAACCCTCGGCCTCCTTGCGGAAACCGTTCGAGATCCTCTGATCACTGAGGAGGAGGTGCTCGAACAACTTGCCACAGCAGAGTATGAGATTGGTGAGATTTGGGCGAAGCCGGAACTTATCTTGCCGGAGCTTGTCCACATGACCGCTTTCAAGGATAATACACTTGGTAACCCTCTGCTGTGCCCCGAAGAGAGGTTAGGTGAAATTAATAAGGCTGTGGTGGAGCGTTACCGGGAGGTCTTCTTCAACCCGGATCGCATGGTCGTTGCTTTTGCTGGCGTGCCTCACGCCGAGGCCGTCAAGCTCACAGAGCAATACTTTGGAGATATGAAGAGCCGCGACGTTGCCCACAGCAAGGGGCCCATTCTGTCGGGCTCCGGAATCGATACTACACTCTCCGATTCTCATGACGCCGCCAATGAAGGCCAGATCCCAACTGTCCCCCAATTCACAGCTTCATCGACCGTGAGCAGCCCGGCCGCTTCACAAAACACCAATTCCTCGTTCCTGTCGAAGCTTCCATTCCTTAAGAAACTCTCTCCACAAACTCAAAACTCGGTCGAACCACTCCACCACTCTTTGATCGTGCCCTCCACGTTGGATCTCCGTCGACCCGCTCACTACACTGGTGGCTTCATCGCCCTTCCCCCAATCCCGCCGCCAGCCAACCCCATGCTGCCTCGTCTGAGTCACATCCATCTTGCCTTTGAAGCCCTTCCTATCTCCTCTCCCGATATCTATGCCCTTGCTACTCTCCAGACACTTTTGGGTGGCGGTGGCTCTTTCTCTGCCGGTGGCCCCGGTAAGGGCATGTATTCTCGACTCTACACCAACGTTCTAAATCAGCACGGCTGGGTCGAAAGCTGCATGGCCTTCAACCACAGCTACACTGACAGCGGTATCTTCGGTATTACCGCCTCATGCACCCCTGTCCGGACAACGGAGATGCTTGAGGTTATGTGCCGCGAGCTACAGGCTCTCACTCTAGATACTGGCTACAGTGCTTTGCAGACCCAGGAGGTTAACCGGGCGAAGAACCAGCTTCGGTCGTCGTTGCTCATGAATCTCGAGTCTCGCATGGTTGAGCTCGAGGATCTTGGTCGCCAGGTTCAGGTGCACGGTCGTAAGGTCAGTGTGAAGGAGATGTGTGATCAGATTGAGTCTTTGACTGTTGAGGATCTCCGCCGCGTGGCTCGTCAAGTCTTTGGCGGCCAAGTGCAGAACAAGGGCAAGGGAACAGGCAAGCCTACCGTCGTCCTGCAGGAAGGTGAGCTTGAGGGCTACAAACTGCGCTCTTTCCCCTGGGAGGAGATCCAAGAGCGCATTGCTCGGTGGAAGCTTGGCCGGATGTAAATATTGATCTCAATGCCGTGATATAGAGCGCCCTGAACAATGTCGGGTGTCTCCGTGACGAGTCCAGACTCACCATTGACATCGATAGAGGTCAAGGGAAATCAATGGGACAAGATGTGTATTTTAGATAGACATTTGAACAACACAACTCTGTAAATTATTCAATCTATAATTCGTCTCTCAGCTGCTTGCTTTTCTGTCGTCATATTGTTCGTGTTCCGAGCGGGTCCAAAGTCCCAAGCTCGCTCGCCGCTTTTGCCCGGCAAAAAAGTCGGAGCGTCCGAACTCGCGCTTCCTCCATCATCCATCACCCTCTAACTACACTCATTCAACTCCCCCATCCCAACCCACCAACACCGCCAAAATGGTCAAGCTCACCGAGGTCGAAGACGAGGCTTTCACCGATAAGCCCACCCCCAGCAAGCACGATGCCCTGCTGGTCTCCGATGACGAGGAGGACTACACCGACACCGGTAAGTACTCGACACTTCCCTCCGCCTGGTAGTCACGCGAGTCGCATCGCGCGGCCGTCACGGCTTTACACACTGCGATGGAGCTTCTTCGATGGGAACGTGTTCACCCGGATTCAATTCACAATCGACACATCATCCGGACTCCGGGCGCGAGCCCATCAACCCCCGAGAATCAAGAATGAAATCACCCATCAATTCATCTAAACAATATCTGACATCGCCTTTTCATTATGAACAGACTCGGAAATCTCGGATGCTTCAGATGATGAGCTCGAGGAGGAGACCCTCGCCGACCGTCTCGCGGCCTTGAAAGACATTGTCCCCCCCTCCGCCCGCCGCACTGTCTCTAGCTCTATCTCTTCTATCACATCTTTCGGCAAGGCCAGTTTGTCCTTCAGCGGAAAGGCCCTCTGGATTATTAGTACCAGCGCTTTCCTGATCGGTGTCCCCTGGGCGCTTGCCTACGCTGAGGAGGAGCAGTACATTCAGATGGAGCGGGAACAGGGTATGATTAAGGGTGCTAACGAGGTAAGTTTCTGCCGCTTTATTACCACTGTTTATTTCTTTCTTTGGACGGCCTGTCACTTCTTGTACTGTTCAGCATTCATTGAGTATCCTACTTGGTTGAATTTCCTACTTGGAATATTCTCCTTTATGAAGACCAGGAACTCTTGAGTGGTGGCTCTGCAACAAAATCAGTCACATCTTCATCTGAATTAGTAGGAATATATCTTGATCCGAACGCTGACAATCCAATCTCATAGATGCTCACCCCTGGCTCTGAACCTGAGAAGAAGGAGTCTCAACAAATTCTGTAAATTAATACCGCTTCGAAAACCAGCACGGGCTAGGACTGGAACTGAGCCAATCGACCGCCGATTGCATCGCCATGAAGGAAATCTATGCCATAATGACGTGATCCAACTGGCGAAAGAAAAGGGGTCGACATCCACCCATCCTCGATTCATCTATTGGATCCACAATTGCCATCTTGGCCAATATAAAGCCTCAGAGCATTACACAAATGCTTTTGAGATGCTGGATATGGTTTCCAATGGCTCAGTATCTTGGCCAGCCTACTGGTTTTGTTCTTTTGCTTCCTTGATGTCTTCTTCCAGAATCTTGGCTCCGGCAGCTCATGCATGCATGTATTTGTACAACAATCACCATTTTCTTTCCTCCATGTCCTCTATATACTCTTCTGCCCTTGTTTTTTTGTTATGTCATTTTTGTTTGTGATTGAATCTAGGTGGTCAAAATGGATGTTGGAAATAAGCATGTGATTTGTGTACCGCGCATAAAGCACTAGCATTTCGATATCAAGATAGGTACCATAACACCCAAACACGTACCATTTCAAAACCTTGAAGGGGAAGAGGTATTATATAAGAATATTGAAGCACGTGGTGGTGTTTATGCTATCATCATGGCATTTTCATATATTGCAATTCATTGCGTAGAAGAGTATATACAGCGGTGCAGTGGACATAACTCGCGGGGGTATAGTGCAGAAATGGAAAAATCGAACAATTCAAAACTTGATAGATAATGCAATGCAATCTCAACATCAGTTCACAAGACAGACTAGAAAGTCAACATTAGTTGCATATCTTTCAATTTCAACAAATAGATAACATACCGTCTCTCGGGCAGCCTTCAGATTCGTATGGAAGTCCCGCCAAAGCTTCTCGACTTCTCCGGTCGCCACCATCCCATCAAGGACCGCGATCGCATTTCGAGTCTTCCGCTTCTGGCTCAGACCGTTACGACGCAGGATCTCGGAATCGGCCATTTGGCCCATCCGGTCGAGGTAATCCACGACCCATTCGTTAAGGTGGAAACGCCAATGAGTCAGGGTATGTGCTAGTCGCGATCTCGTTGCACATTGTCTGCTTGAATAAGTCTCATATTGATAAAAGTACAGTCAAGAAACTCACCGGCCCAAAAGAAATCTCGAACGTTCATCTGGCAATGCATGCCCTTGTCGATCACGATCTACGCCGGACAATTTGCTCTCCTCTTCATCTGAGTCGCTAGCTTCGCTGTCGTTGAGTGGTTCAAGGGTTTCGAGAGAGTATGGCTTGCCATACAATTTCATATCGGTTGATGCTGGGTGGCCAGATCGATTGCAAGCATCGCACGAGTGATTATCGAATGTGGGATAGGATGTGATCTCGATGTGCGGACGGGCTAGTAGCGAATACCGGAAATCCGGGTTCCAGACTGAGGAGATTAATTGGGAACCTGCTCGTCCCCTGACTTCGTCCTCTAGCTTCATGAATGCCATCTCGTACATTGCATCAGATCGCGGGAACGCTGGGTCAAGACGGTTGAGGACCATCCAGCCGACCACATCGCGGAAGTAGTCCTTGGGTTTCTTGTAGGCGTGGCGGGTGAATTCGAGGGGAATCTCTTCAGTTGGGACGCCCAGTAGCACACTATCGTCGTCGAGGACAAAGTCGTCTTCATAACGGTCGAGATCTTCGTTGCTCGGAGCTGGTTCAACGTCGCTATTGTTGTCTTCGTCTTCATCCGAACCTTGCTCGCTCGAGCCATCTTCAACTCCTTCCCTGTCAGTGACCATTTCGGGCTCGTCTTCGCTTTTTGGTTTCAATCCCAATCGCTTGCGGCGGATAGCTTCAAGGGCTTTAAATCTCTTATCTCGTGCTGATTCAGGGATTCGGCCTCGGTCTCGGGTTCGGGTCTTCTTGACCACTGGAGTAAAGTGAGTTGACGTGCTTATGTTGATTTATGAAGTGAGTATGTACCTGAGTCCTGGAGATCCCTCACGTCCTCCTCAATGTCCAACTGATCCTGGTCACTACTGTCACGAGGCGTCTCAGGTGTCTTCGGGCCTGCGACCAATCTCTTTCGCTTGATGGGTGAAGACAACACGGGCTCTTCTGAATCTTCCGAGTCGAGATTTGTAACTGGCGAGCTCTCTGCCTTTCGCTTCAGCTTGCGACGTGGGCGAGGTGTTTCTATTGGGTCGGGGGGCTGGGCAGATGAAGTCGCGCGACTTTGGGATTTCTTCTTATACTCTTTGGAATTGATGATTTCAACGACCGGGGCACTTCTTTTTCTTTTCTGGGCGCTGGGAAGAATTATTTCGTCATCGGAGGACTCGTCCAGGTTTAGTAACGGTGGTTGAGCTTTCATATTATTTAGTCTCTGGAACAGCTGGACAGTGGCCAGTAATTGGTCTGGGGACATACAGCTGTCTTGATTCAGGCCCTTTGGAGCTTCCTCCTCGGCTTCTTTGTGTAAATTGGGGCGCTTGTCTCGTTTGGATGGTTTGGAAGATCTCTTCTTCGGAGATTCTGGCTTGCTTTTGCTGGACCTTTCCGGACGGACAGAAGCTAGACTTGGATGCCCATAAGAGAGAGTTCGAAAGCGTTCCCCATCATCTTCGTTGTCGTCTCCAGATGGTGCGGCGGGTGCGGTAGCAAAGGCGAGTCGCGTTTGCTTCTTTTGAGCTTTCCGAGGCATGATGGGCGGAGAAAATATCCAACGTTGGGATGAGATCGGGCAGTGGAGTGGGACTTGATATAGATCATGTCAAGGACATAGGATCTCCTAATCTCTACAGAAGGCAGTATGGAATAGATCAGCTCTTTTTTTTGATGTCGCGCGGGACCGCGTGGAGGGGCGCGAGAGCACGTGATGCATTAGGCAGTATCACTTGAGGTGCAAAGCTTTCTCCTTTCATTTCTTTGCACTTTTTGTGCGTCTAGACTTGACTCACGACCCAAGACGACTTAGAATTTCTGTTAACTGCACGAAAATCATGCCATGACCTGCAACATATTCGGCAAGGTAGCTTTTGACAAGTTTCTATATTCTGGATGAAAGAAGCTATGCAAACGTATAGTCCACCATCCCTTTAGCCTATACGACTCTAGGAACAAATGTGAGGTCAGCACCAGATTTGCACGTGGCAAATGAAACAGCCATGTCAGATGACGATGTAAGCCACTGGACCATGTTGGATTTGGGGAAAACTCGCCCCTAAATCATAGCTCCAAGGTTACATAGACCTATACAATCAAGACACAAAAAAAATTTTTTGGGAAAATGACCAGTTTTTCATGAAGCTTGCTCCTTCTTCTAATTCACACCAAATTTATACACATCTAATTCGAGATGTGACATAGAATCACGCTGTTCATCCCATCCCTTATCACAGCTTCATTAACGAGAGCACCAAGCACATGGCAACAAAGGGATCCGCTTCCCCGGATTCAAAAGCTTGATAAGCCCTGGAGGTAGACTTGAAATTTTACAACCTCGCTTCGCTTGACCCAATATTTCCTCCTCTCCACCTCTATTTGGCGCTTTTTATTCAAATTCCAATTTTCGATTGGTGGAGTCAACTTTCTCCCCAGACCCCGGTCCACGCCGCCTCTGATTCGTGGAACTCAAAACTATAGCGTATCCGGGGACAAAATATCCTCGAACCCCAGATCATGATTACCCCAGGTCCGCTCAATGCGCTCTAGAGAGCTCGACACCAATAAGCAGCCAACTTGGCACACCATGCTTTGATCCATGTGTGGTTGACTTCCGAATACCCCACCACTCAGCGACTCCGGTCTGACTGCGCTCCCGTTATCAGGAATGCAAGTCGTGCTTAGCGGCGCCCGGGGTCTTATTCTGGGGCATGAGTTGATTGGAGCCGTGACTATTTCTGCTTAGGGTGCCAAGGGAGCGGTCGTCTCCCCCAGGATTATTATATATCTGGGGAACTCCGCATGTTTCTTTCTCTTCCCCGGATAACTCGAAGCTGTGCGCAGATCTTTTCTTTTTTATTGACAGGGCTGGGAGGCTGGTCCAAGCCACATAGCTTCACGACTGCATTGATAGTGCTTGCAGATCACTTTTACCTCTGGTCACCTCAAACCAATCTGGGTCACTGTCGCCAAAATGGTCCACCTTATGAGCTCCAAGCGGGCTTACAACTGGTATGTACCTCGTCAATGCTAGCATTATAATTGTCAATATACTAATATAATCCTCCAGGTTCGTTTCACTCGTTGCGGCATCTTGCATGGTGTTGTACGGTTACGATGCGTCGGTCTTCAACTCCGTCCAGGGATCGGCTAATTGGGTAGCCTATTTCAACGACCCAGATGAGAATACACTCGGTTCGATCAACACTGCATACACAGTCGGTGCCATCTTCGGTGGTTTCTTCGTCGGAGGACCTACGGCCGATTACCTTGGTCGCAAGGTCGGAATGGCTATCGGCTGTGCTTTTGTCATCGTTGCTACGTTCATGCAGACCTTTTCTCCGCGTGGTAATATTGGTTGCTTCATCGGTGGCCGTGTTCTGATCGGTATTGGCCAGGGTATTGCTTTGAGTAAGTCAAGCTTCTATAATTCACTTATCAAATATTGACCATTTTTCTATAGCTGCTGGTCCTATCTACATTGGCGAGCTAGCTCCTGCAGAGATCAGAGGAAAGATCATGACCTTCTGGCAGATGTTTTACTCTGTTGGCTCGTTCATCTGCTTCTGGATCGCCTATGCATGCACCCGAGCTCCTCAGCTGGGAGAATGGGACTGGAAATTAATCATTATCTTCCAGCTTTTCTTTCCTATTCTTATTATTTGCCTCCTTCCCACTGTCCCCGGCAGTCCTCGTTGGTGAGTACTCAATGCGATGGATCCTATGTTGAGATTCATCTAACGCTGGCGATCTACAGGTATATCAAGCGCAATAACGACATCGAGAAAGCACGATCCGCTCTCCGCCGGGTCCGAGACACTGAAGAAGAAGTCGAAGATGAAATCTTGCAGATTCGCGAAGCCCTCGAATACGAGAAGGAAGCCATCTCCGGCGGATACAGCGCTCTGTGGAAGGACAAATCTCTCCGCAAGCGCATGTATCTTGCTCTAGTGATCAACGCCGGTCAGCAACTTACCGGACAGGGCTCCCTGAACACCTACTCGACCAAGATCTACCAAAAAGTGTTCACTCACGAAAGCCAGATCTCTCTGATCAACGCTCTCAATGCCACTTTTGGTATTCTCTTCACTTTGAACACTATCTGGTTCATTGACCGATTTGGCCGCAAGGCTCTTCTGATCGGAGGTTCTATTGGTATGGGTCTGTGCATGATCATCGTTTCCGCTGTCGAAACGGAGACTCCAAATATGGCGAACGGAGCCAAGTCTGAACCCGTCGGCATTTCGATTGTTTTCCTCTTCTTCTTGTTTATTCTATTCTGTAAGTTTCACCATTGACCAGCCAGAATTATTATATTTGCTCACAATTCGCAGACAAGCCTTCTTGGGGTGCAACAGTTTGGATTTGGACAGCCGAAGTCTTCTCCATGAACGTTCGCGCGCAGGCAGTTGGCATGGCTTCGCAAACACAAAACGTTGCCAATACCATCTTCCAGCAATTCTTCCCTATCTTCCTCAAAAATGACGGCTTCTATGCGTTCTATCTGTTCGCTGGAATCAATTTCTTGCTGGGTCTCTTTGTATTTTTCTTTGTTCCGGAGACTAAGCAGGTTCCCCTTGAAGAGATCGATGCCTTGTTTGGTGGAGCCAACCATGTGACTCAGGGAGAGGAGGTTCTCGCAAACCAGAAGGCTGTTAATGCGCGTGAGACTCATGAGAAGCCCGCCACTGTTAACGTTGAGAATGTTGATTCTCATTGATTGAGACAATATCTGGAACAACGCTAAGAAGCGAGCTGGACTGGGTCTGGACATCTGAAAATCATCAAGTTACTAGCATGAATATGCCATGCAATTGTTAGTTTAATATAGGCGGTCTCGCCAAATTCTTGGAATAATGGCTCTTGCATGCCCGTTTACTACTTCTATATGTACATGTATCATGATACAGGCGTTTGCACGTGAGTAACAACAAAGGCTTGTTTTCGTCGAACGATTCCAAGCTGTACCTTTGATCAGTTTAACTCTTCGGCTATGGAAAACTTTACATTGCCTATATGGGAAAATGGTACATAGGCAAATGAGGAGCTTTTGGATCTTGGAATGAAGCACATATAGTACGTAATGCACGTACAGAAAAAGGGTGTTGCGTTTCAAAAGCAAAGCATCAAAGTAGCATTACGAGTAAAAGTGATACAGAGATGAGTGCCATGTGACAATGTGAATCGGTGAATCTTTCTTCCGGTCAGGGGAACCAAAAGTGGGTCAAATTCCTTGCCATGAAATTAGTCCACCCACATTCTTGCTTTGCCAATAACAAAACAAAAAAAGAGGACTGGCCGTGGATCGAACACGGGACCTATAGATGATCGCAAATTGCAATCTATCGCTCTACCGCTGAGCTACCAATCCTTTTTACGATGAGTGGAGCTTATAAAGCTGATCTATTCCACTTAAAATAAGTAAGATCTGGTTTTGAACATTTCCAGGCACGGAATTACCAAGGTTGCATGCTACTCCGATTACCCTCCTCATCCACCAAATTGTTGACTCACCTGGCATTTCCCTCAAGTATTTCCATTTCTTTTTTAAAAAGTTATTATGCCAATTCTTTACCGTACTTTCATATTTATGCCAAGATTGTTAGCATCTCCCAAAATCAATATAATAAATGCTCTTGGATTACGGGAATATATATTGGAGCGGTCAACAGAGATTCTCGATGTCATCAAATGGATAATGGCAACCATTAGCCTCTCTAATTCAACTTAAATATCAAAATATCATGTAAATGACATGCGAAGTTTGAATCCATGCATACCTACTATCAAAACAAACCAAATCTTATCAATGGGTTTCTATTTTGAACGTAGTCGATGGGAACCCAGAAATCGCACCAGCATGAACATCAAAATTCCCAAATGCTCTTTTCTTAAAATCGGATAATGCCCACATTACTCGCTTCATTGCTCGTTTCATATTTTCCTAGCTCTACCGTACCATCTTCTTCTCTCAAGAATGTATTGGGTTGATCGGACTTCTATTGTGGCTCTTATTGGTGATGACAATCTTTCGCCAGGTTTCACACTGACCGTCGACGGTGCTTATCTACTGAAACTCATCTAACTTAAGAGCTATTGACTGGAATGCCAGGAAGCTCCTAGAAATGCAGCTAGCAAAGGGAATTGAGCGCGAGCATCAAAATGTTTCTATAAATCCAAAAAAATATCAAATAAACAACCTTGGAGTCCAGGTTACCCAAAAAGACAACGAACAGGAAAGAAATCTATAATGCATCGCTATTTCCAAACAAAGGTCAATCTTCCGATCTACCGGTTGACACAAGTACCGCTGTTCCACTGGGTGTAGCCAACACATTGAAAGTTGTCGCAGCAAGTATCGCTAGGAGTGCAAGCGTGGTAGTCTATCGAGAGCATATTATTAGTGAGGATAGTTGAGACTGTTTGTTTCGATGGTCTGAACCCACGGGCAATGCAAGATCCATCAGAGTCGCCAGTAGGGCTGGAATCATCGCTGGAGAGCGTGCTAGTGGTAGTGCTCCAGGCGCTGCTGGAAGCAGTAGTCTTGAAGGTGCTCCGGGTAATGTAATCGGTTCTTGTCACTGTAACAGTTTTTGTCACGGTGACAGTGTTGTCATCGTCATCATCGTGATCGTGATCGTGATCATGACTGGCAAAGACGGAGGCGCTGAGCGCAGTAAGAAGGAGGATGGAGCTTGCGAACTTCATTTTGAAAGTAATCTTGGAAATAGAGAATTGAACTAATGGATCGGAATAAAGTGCTTATGGCTGTTGAGGTGAGTGATGAAGTGGAATAAACTGGGGGAATCTTGAATTATATAGCTACTTGTGTCCACACCTAGTGCAACATTTCCAAGGTTGGTAACATGTATTTTCCTCACATCTGAGGCCTGCGTGGTGGTAGATCCTTCCATTGCTCGCCTCGATCAAATTTGTTTTTTTCCTTCTTTCAGGTGTTTCCCCATAAGGCCCATACATGCTCAAGGACCGCCCCCACTTGCCATATGAAGAGAGGCACAATTTCAAAGATACTTAGTATTCTGCTCAACAGGAACAGAGTAAATAGATGTGCATATTGGCATTAAATACATCTTGAGAAAATAAATATGTATGTAAGATCAAGCCCTAGTAATAGAAAATCAAGCTGAGGCCACTTTTTCTTTAGCTTGGTATGCGTCCACGGGCATATGGTAGGTACACTACGATGCCGGAGGAGTACCTTATTTTTCGGCTATTATCCACAACTGGAATTCTAATGATAGTAACCATTATGGATCTACGAATCATAGAGGACATAAACATATGAGTGGTCAGTGCTAAGAATGAAGAAGATTGAATTTCTCGATCTAGAAAAATTACCTAAACAGGCAACCCCACTCTGCACATCGATCTCTCTGGTCTGCCATCTCCACCGCTACCATTTCAATGTTTGACAACCGTCGATTACAATTAATATTTCCACTACCCAGGGCAATTATCCGGCTGTGGAGCAAGCATATGGATGGTTTAAGTTCCTCCGCTATTTGTATCAATCCTGATAATGTTAGAGCCGAGTATTGGCAGAAATGACCTCTGCAAAATAGAACATGGCCAAAATTGTTTGAAAAAAATCATTGGACAAATGCGGCTGGAGAGGCTGAGAAAAGTCTCCGACCACCTGAAATCAGTGCGGAGATTAAAAATTTCCGCTAGCCAGTAATCCGTTAGAGCCAGTTGATCCCTCACCAATAAGAAAACTTCCATAAAGTACCTCTCTATACGAGGATTACTCATCTCACTGATGACATGTTATCAATTGACTTGAGAAGTCTCCATTTGCAATTTCTACTTCTTCCGTGACTTTATTTGATCATTATCGAGAATCAAGCAAAATGGCAGTTAGTGAGAATCGCTCCATCGCTATCGTGGGCGTTGGCCCATCCATGTCCCGCTCTCTTGCCCTGTGGCTGGCGAGCCTGGGTTGGAACATTGCTCTCATCTCTCGGTCCGAAGAGAATCTTTCAAAAATTGCGACCGAGATCAAAAATGCACAGACAAGCCCCGATGCTAAAGTGGTTTACAAAACTGGCGATACGAGTGATCCCAGTAGTTTGAAGACTGCCCTCGACTGGTGTGTTGAGCAATTCCAGTGCAAATTGGACGTTTTGAATTACAACGCCGCCCATGTTTCCGAAACAAACATCATGGATCTATCTCCTGAGGTTCTAGACCTCGATTTCAAGATCGCAGCTGTTGGAACGCTCGTTGCGGGGCAATGGTTTACGCAAAATGCCCGACTTGATCGAGTTGCACACGGAGAATATCCTATGTTTCTAGTGACAGGTGGTCTCCTTGATAAGAACCCGCCGCCAATGTTTGCGTCACTCTCTGTTTCCAAATCTGCTTCTCAGAATGTGAGCCGATTGTTTGCCCAGTCGCTTCCAGAAAGATACAGCATTCTTGTTGGCATGCCCTTGATTGGGGGAACAGTCATCGGCTCAGCAACAGGTAAATTCGACGGCGGCTTACATCCGGATGATATTATTCAGAAATTGTTCAAACCGTTCTTTGAGGATCGAGAGAATCTGCAAGATGGGACGGGAAGCTGGACTGTTGAACGGATTATGTGATATTGGCGTAATTCGGAAATGGAAATATTTGCGGCTGATGATTAAACGGCACGAAATTAAATGGACACCTCACTAGCTCGTCTCTGAGCTAGTACGGTATACGTAATTCAGAAAAGCTACGATTGAATCTGAGTCTCCAGGTATTGAGGAGTGTATGACCTCACTTGATCCAAGTCAACATACAATCTATCGCTTCATTTGAGCCGGAATATAGTTAAGAAAAGTCGCCAGTAAAAACCACTCCTCCATTACGTTCACATTGCCCGGTAGCCTGATATGAACAAGTAGGTACCTGTGTTGTACTCGATAATATTACTATTTGAAAGTACAACTACTGCACTAGTTCATACATGGGCTAGTGAGGCGTCCAGCTAATATTTTGGTGATCAATCATAAATCTCCATATTTGCCTTCCTGAATATGAACAGATGATATGCGGAGTAGAATGAAGACCCGACTTACTGATCGCTTCTAAGCCAATTCCTTGGCATCGGCTGGAATATCCTCACAAAGCTCGGTCTTTAATTGGTTCTTCGAGCCCCATCGAGATTTACTCGATCTTTACTTTCCACACAAAATTTGATATACCTGAAATGTAACAAAAATACCTTGAAGGATCCCCATACCACCTAAAATTCAATAAGTGTGGGATTTCATGCGAAGGGTTATTTTGTTAGGTGAATTGAATACCGCCGTGATTGTGGCTTCTCGATCGGAAATACTTGCCTAAGTGATGCTTACTGTGCTTATTGTGCTTACTTTCCACACTCTGCATACTCTGCATTAGTGAATTAATAATGTGTTTAGCATCATTCTTTCATATTTTACAATAACATAGGCCTATTTACGATGAGGTTGTGGAATATGTACTCCACTTTGTAAGAGTAGCTAGACCACTTCGGCAAAAGCTAACTTCTCTTCACCGCATATGTCCGTTCGGTTGATTTGAATAGCAATTTGCCTTAGCGCGCGACCTTTGTAGTATAAGTATAAATATGGTTAACAAACCCCTGCCCTTGTAACACTGAACTCAGGATCGGGGAAAAGTTAAAGGGGACATTAACTGATAGATATCGCAAACTCCCAAAATGGCATCATCGTGGATCCGCACTTTGGCTTCCAGCCTTCTTTCAGCTATGATGATCATTAGCTTTGTTACTGCAAAAGAAGATCTTGAATTGCGGCCCTTCAAGATTGACCTCTCTGACAGAGTTCCTCGAATGGTCCGTCAGATTCGTGAAGCTCGCCTTCCCGAAGCTCCGGTGTATACAGACACTGGGACATCTGCAGGCATCACCCTGAGTGACCTGAAGTCCTTGCAGCAACAATGGTTAACAAGCTTTGACTGGAATAAAGAGCAAATCTCCTTGAACAAGTATGTTTGACCAACCTTAGAAGTATATGTCTCGGTTTTGAAAAGTTTGGCGCATACTGAAAGCTGTTACTCGAGTAGGTTCAGCCACTATACAGTAAAGATCGAAGATTTAACCGTGCATTTCATCCATCAAAAGTCCGGCGCAGCAGACGCTATTCCTTTGCTCCTTATTCATGGATGGCCAGGTTCCTTTCTTGAATTTATTCCTTTGATCGACGATCTTAGCCAGACGGGAGCAACAAAGTCAGGAAAGCGTGTTTCATTTGATGTCATTGTGCCGTCTCTACCAGGGTTCGCTTTCTCCTCCCCCCGCCAACAGATTGGACCATTGCAGACACAGCTCGGATTTGCAATACTCTCGTAACCAAGGTTTTGGGTTATGAAACGTACGCCGCCTTTGGCACGGATTGGGGCAGTGGCGTTGCATACACAATGTATGGCAACTTCAATACGACTCTTCGCGCCCTGAGTCTAGACTTCCTGCCATTCTTCCCATTGAGCGCTATTGAGTTAACCGCCGAGAACATCACTCTCACAGGACTGGAAGAGTTTGAAGAGGGTGTGACCACGACTTGGAGTAGCTCAGGGACTGGATATTTCAGTGAGCAGACCACAAAGGTATCAAAAATATTCTCTTTCCTAGTGATGCAGAGGAAGGATTGGCTAACAAGTACGGGTTTTCACTAGCCGAATACTATTGGTCTGGCTTTATACGATAGCCCAATCGGGCAGCTCGCGTGGATTGGAGAAAAGTTTATGAATTGTGTGTATTCATCGAAATAATGCAGCGGCAAATACTAAGTGCGTGATTAAGGGTCTGATCCCAATGCTGGGCATGCGCCTTCGGTTCTAAGCAGGAACGAAATTCTGCGCAGTGTCTCCCTATACTACCTTACAGAGAGCTTTGCATCCTCAGTGGTGATTTATGCACAAAACCCCAACGGATTCAGCGAGGTGTATACCAAAGCTCCTAATGATGCTCCACTTCTTTTTAGCGCTTTCAAGTATAACCCGGGATTTTGGCCACCGGCTCTCGTTAACAAGGTTGGAAACTTGGTTTATTATAAAAGTGAGTGATCTCTTCCATGTCACAAAGAGCGAAAAAGGCAGGCTGACTTAGTATCATCAAGACCATGAATTTGGAGGCCACTTCCCGGGGTTGGATAATCCCCCGGCCTTGTTGAAAGACTTGCGAGAGATTGGGAGTTACTGGGAAGCCTAAACTTGAACATTTGTAGCTACCGATGAAAGATTACCCGGAACTGCGACGATTTCGGGCGCTCTCAACCATTGAATTAGTGAAGTGACTTTCCCCGGGTTGCTATGGAAATGTTCAAAATATATCCATTATGAAGCTTGATTTGAATGCATTAGATGCCAACGCAGATCAGACATTTGTGCGGTAAGATGCTACGTGACACATATCTACTTGAATATCAACTTGCAAAATGCACCAACCCTAGTAACCTTGCATCGGTCCAAAATTTATAAGTCTATGTATAGATACCTCTGAACTTGGGTATCTTGGATGAGTAGACGATATCCAGTGTTTAGGAGTAAGAAGGTTTCAAATATTCACTGCTACCCTTCAAAAAACAAAAGAGTTCACCCTCCATGGAACATGCAGCCAGTGGCTATAGGACACACAAAATGTAACACAGCACTTCAAGTATTTCAGTCATCATACCTATGGGCCTCGATAGGAATGGAGCAGCCAGCAGGTGAACGTTCATTGACATAGTCATCAATCCAAGGACCCTCCGCTTTGCCATTCCACCAATCAGGCCCCCCCGATGGTCCACAATAGTAGTCAACCTTTCTGTCAGAGTCTCCAACACACTGCTGTACACCATGCTTCACCACATTGATTCCTCTTCCAGCGATGCTGCCAATCTGGTTTGAATTGGGCGCGTAAACAACAGCTTCGCCACGATCTACAGTATTGGTGCCTCCGCAGGCGCAAGAGTTGACTTCCTTCACAGTCACCGTGAAGGCTGTGACGGCTTGATAGAAAAGAACACATATGTCTCCATCTTCATCGGCAACACCAGCGCAGGTGAATATGTTTGAAACCGAATAAGTCTCGGAATCGGAGATACTAAATCCAGCAGATTCGAACGGCGTGTTGACGCCCAGGCTCAAACTCCAGCCAAGAGTAGTTGAGTATCCAGTGCCTGTAGATGTAGTCGATGTGTCACAGGCAACAAGTGTTCCTCCTTTCTGGGTGATCACAAAGTTCTGGTGCGGATCTCCATCTCCAATCTTGGTATAGCTGTATGAAGCTTGGCACCCCCCACAGACCATATCGATCGAAACTGGCTGATTGATTTGGGTACCGTTCTCCAAAACGTGGATATCCCTCATCTGAATAAAATCCTCTGCCCTAACATCGATGACCTTGGGGAGCGAGAGCCCTACTGCAGATAAAGCCAAGAGGCTGAAGAGTCTTGTAGGGAGGTTCATGGTAGATTTGATGTTGGCTGAGGGATAAATTTGTAATGTATCCTAACAGATTGCCGAATACGTTAGTGATACAAAGCATATAGCTAAATGCAGATATATAAGAGTAAATAATCACCTTATTCTATCATTGACAGTAGATTGACAGAGGATCAAGTCAAGGAGAGCAGTGCTTAGGATTCCTGCTGCAAGAGGGAGCAATCCTCTTATATGAAAAAATTCTATGCAACCCCCTTCTATACCGACGCTTCGGACCTGATCAGGGGCTCGGTTAGAAACTACATGGGCATGAAAATAGATACATGCACAAGGGGCCATTCCTACGAGCCAGACCAAAAAAGAGGGACTAATACAGACGACGTCACGCTACTGTCCAGGTCATAACATGTTTGATCCACATCGAAGGTGTTGGGATTCGTGGGGGCTGACATAACATAGTCAATGTTTCCATCATTTTACAATGAGTCAATTGAATGCCTCATAAGCCATAGAAAGTATATTGACCACAGTAAGATTGATACTGTGTTGAGATGAAATTAGCATATTAAGCCTTCGTAAACGGCTTGCGAAGGTAGCAGCGAAGGTTGATCTAGCTAAGACGTAACCCACTGACTATTTCTAAAGGATTTCGCATTGGTCTTGTCACAGAATCTTCCTGAACGGTCCTTTTCATCCTCTCTTGTAATTTAATCTAGTATCTATTAACATCACCAGACTGGCTAACTAATCCTTTGCCTTAAGGGCCGACTTCGAATTACCATTTCGGCAGGGTAAGGATGTTTTATTTTCCTTTAGATATTGGGATGCCCGACAGGCCTGAGTTATCTATTTATCAAGAGGGAATATTATTAAAGCACTCAGTAGTTGGTCTGTAGCAATGGGGGTGCTGTTGATGTTGGTTTTAGCCTAGATCTTGCTTGATGCCATAGATTAGTGAATCGTGATAGCCGAAAGGCCCGAGATCAACTAGAGCCTGCGTAGGGCTTAGAGGCTGTCACGCGTGTCTCTTTCTCGATTTGTAGACTGAAAAAGAAATACCAATCCGGTCCCCGCATATCAGAGCTTTAGTGGTCAATACTTGAGCCTCACTTGCATTACATCGTGTATGGCCGTGGAAATGCTACAATGACCCATGTCCTGTAACTTTCTAATCTATGGAAAGTGCTATTTCTAGACCAACAGATCCCTGTAATTTTGGGCTCACTTGCCATTATTGTGGTCTTTTTGAGCGTATCGTTCAATTCGGCAAATTGTTCAACGTACAACGGGCCATGGCATCCACCTCGCTTAGACAGCATAGTAATCTTAGTTGACTGCCGGAGAGCTGGTATGATGAAATTTAAACACTTTTTTGTGTGGTCTTGACCGCCTTAGTTACTGTTTTCTAACTAGATTGGCAGGGCGACTACTTAGAAATCCCAGGATGAAATCAGGCGATGCAGGCAACCTCACTGGGGTCTTCCCAGGAGGTCTATGTTACGAATCAGGTTATTATGCTGAAAGGTGCACTCAATACATAGATTAAGGGCATGATCAAACAGAACAAAGAATCAAGAAAAATCATATAAATGAGAAAAACGAGAAGTATCGGGGGACCGGCAAAACTGAGGGGAAACAGAGATAACGGCATCGAAAAAAAGCCCCACACAAAGATAAAGATCCACAGAATGTGGCTCAGCGTAACAGTTGGCGGTTTTGTTGTTTACTTGTAGGCTGTCGCGCCCTGCCCAGCCAACCCTAATTGGATCAAGCAACGGAGTTGCCGTCGGTTCCGATGTAGACCGGGCTTGGCCCCCAGATGCCACGAGCCCCGCAACGGTAGCCCCTGCAGGGGCCAAGATATCCCGCGGCCCCCACTTCGTTGAGCCTAGTTGAGATGCGAAACAGAAGTGCTAAGATTAAACCTACTTATCTTTACTGGCTCCTTCTGTTGGAAAAATCATTGGACCAAGAAAACAGGGAGAAACGGGTGGCGTAATACACTGTGTATTGACCATGAATTCAGTGATCCGTGCCCGATCGTTCTTTCAGTCAGATAGCGCCCCATAATTTTGATTTGCAAGCATTCCCTAAAATAACTAAAATGTATGGAGCTAAAAACGAGCCGGCCATTGCTACCTTTAAATATTGTCTGGCTCTTTGGCCTGCTTTCCTCCCCAATTTTTCCAATTCCTTCTTCTCAACATCAGTCCTCTTATTTCGGTTAGAAGATTCTCTTTCAAGTTCCTTGCGCTTTTGTTGTGTCCATCCTTGATTCCCCCAGTCACACCTTACGCTGTCTAATCATGGTCGAGCCTATGACCCTGGAGAGAGACGCCCCACTTCCCCCCAAATACTCAAAGTCATCTTTATACTGGACTTCATTCTTCAACGCGTATCTCATCTTCTCCTCTTTCTGCGCAATCGCCGGTCTCATTATCAGCGCAGTCTCGCTCCATAAAGCGAACGAGGTCAAAGCCTTTCAGTCCTCCCGATCTATCACGGACTTGGACCGTACCTTCAACAGCACCATCTACGCCATCGCAAGCAATGGCACGTCCAATCCAGATTGTGATGAGGCTCCCATTGAGCTGATCACAGGTCAAACTTCGATTCCAGGTCAATGTGTCACTGTCACTGCAAGCTATACAATGTGGGTGACAAGGCTGGCCGCCAATTGTGTTCCTATTGCCTATGAGAGCGCAAACTGCACAGGAACGGATAGAGAAATCGGTGGCATTAGTGCTCCATCTTGCGTTGTTGCAGCTGGGGCATCTGTGTTGGGTGGAGGTGCTGGTGATTTATTCGAGAGTTTCAAAGTCTTTTGCTCTTGAATATTGAAGATTTGATTTCTGGGCGCCGAGAGAATATGCATATTATACACTCCGATCTCCAAACTGCAGCATGGGCACCAAATTGTGCTAGAATCCGGGTAGAAAGCGGATATGAGATCACTAGCATAATAACGCTTTGTATAAACGTGATGTAGTTCTGATTAGGGAACGATTGGAAATGAGCGCTGAGAACCTGAGGCCAAAGTCTACAGGATATGAATACCTCAAATGTTTGGATTCCTGGGATTACTTTAGGGATATCTTATTTGATGAAAAAAATACTCCAACTTCACCATCACTAGAGCGCTCTGCGTGATACTAAACTCCCATTGGGCAGCCTTCGGAGTGATTTACACTAGGCTCATGGTCTAATCAAAGCCTTAAAGTCGTATTAGCGCTCTCAGGAATAGGAAAACACAGCTGAAAATATTTAAAAGCCCACAGATATTATGATTAGTACACAAATTTAACGGTACTCGATTGTTAAATAAATAGACCATTAGCGATCCTTGCAACATTTAGCTTCCAAAATTGCTCCTTGCAACAACACAACTGATCAAAGATAGGGTACTTATATACGAAAGGCTCCCTGACTAATCATCTAGGAGCGGTAGCTCAGTGGTAGAGCGATAGATTGCAATTACCTAGCGATCATCTATAGGTCCCGTGTTCGATCCACGGCCGTTCCTTTCTTTTTGCCCCATTATTGGCCGTTCGAGCGACACTGTGGACTGGCGGCCCGCTTTCAGTCCAAGTGGAGAAAGGTTCTGCCGCTAGTCACATGACCTATACTGTCCGTGTACTAATAGTTTCCTCTTTGTTTTTGTTGCTTGGCCTTCGAAAGGTTGGTATCTCTAGGGCTTTTGATATTATTGAACTATAAGTATTTCGTTTAATATTCCCAGTGTGACCAAAAATTTCATGTCGTGTTGGTGACCAGGCCCCCTAGAAAGTCAGTGGAGAGGTATTAATTGAAATTCCAGATTATATCACTCAAAATGAGGGCGGAGGATATCTCCTTCCCTAATGAAAGTATCTAGATCGGATTGTACTTCAAACAGGAAGCAGAATTTCATTTGACATAAATTTGGACCGCGTCATCTATCGCGAATGTTACGTGCTGGAGTACAGGGCCAAACCCCGCTTTTGCAGAAGGACGAACTGCCCATATATCAGCCATTGACCCGAGGTGATAATTTGCTGCCTACTTCTTAACCCCCTTATTCCTCTCGCCATGTCTTCAACTGAAACTATCGCTCGCCCCCGTCAGCCCGATATCCAATACCATCCTGACTGGGCGAAGTATCAAGCACGATCCCGCCGACGTAAGAAGATTGAAACACTTCAGACTAGCTTGCCAGCAGGATTTCCTCAACATCTTGTCTCACCACTTGTTTGGGATGGCAAAGATATTGAAAAGCGTGATGACTGGATCTATCAGCTCAGCGATGCTCAGCTTGATGAGATTGACGCCGCCTTGATGAGCTTCAAAGGTAAGAACGTATTACTTCTGGCTGAATTATTTTACTAACAGCGGTAGCTCTCAGGAAGCCCTTGGGTCATTTGAACGAGTTAAATTTCCCTCTTCCAACCTTTCGACCCATCCTGAGAGGTCTTTCAAATGAGCTTCACAACGGCCGAGGATTTTTCGTCCTCCGAGGTCTACGCATTGACAGTTATTCTCGAGAAGATAATGTCATCATCTACACGGGCGTTTCATCTCATATTGGCAGTATTAGGGGACGTCAGCAAGACACAAGACTGCAAGATGGAACATCTCCCATGATTTCGCATATCAAGGATATCACCGGCATTACTGAGGAAGGAAAGATCGGGGCACCATCCAACACAGCGGATAAGCAGGTGTTTCATACAGATGCTGGAGATATTATCTCACTTCTCTGCTTGAGTCCCGCCGCAGATGCGGGCGAAAGCTATCTTTCAAGCAGTTGGAACGTATACCACATTCTTGCAAAGGAGCGCCCTGATCTGATTCATACACTCTCGCAAGACTGGCCGGTTGATGGGTAGGTCCCCCAAGGCCAAGTTAATATTAATACTCATCGGCTATAGGTTCAACAATCCTCAGAAGCCATACACACTTCGCCCCCTTCTATACCACCAACCAGCTACAGAAAACACGCCCGAGCGAATTTTGATTCAGTATGCGCGGAGATACTTCACCGGATTTCTCGCTCAACCCAGATCCGCGGACATCCCTCCCATTACCGAGGCCCAAGCAGAAGCATTAGATGCGTTGCATTTCCTAGCAGAGGAGCACAGCGCTGCCTTAGATTTCCAAAAGGGAGATGTCCAATATGTCAACAACCTCAGCATATTCCACGCCCGTAACGGCTTCAAAGATGCACCGGGAAAAGAGTAAGTGTCCTTGAACAATGCCCGAGTCTTGGCTAATCATGACAGACGACATCTTTTACGACTCTGGCTGCGCGACCCTGAGAATGCTTGGAAGACGCCTGAGCCACTTCAGCATCGCTGGGATATATTGTTCAAAAACGTCACCGAGGACGAACAGGCATTTCCTCTTAATCCTGGTAGTCTGCGTAAGACAGTGGGGTCTTAGTGCTCAAGGATGTATTCCTTCGAGTGGCGAATTGCGTCGCATCGCGTGCCGTCTTCATCGGGCTCAAAATGAAATATCGCACAGGCATTATTCTATTTTCTAACACCCTGGCATTCCTCATGGGGTTGAAGCCAACAAACAGATGATGTCGTTGTGGGGTACCCTGCATGATCATCATTGCCTATCTATTGCGGTGAGCGACTGGCAGCGACATAATAAATCCTGGGCAAGACTTGAGATTTAATTGATTATCCAGTAATGGAGTTTCTATAGTATTCTACTATCTCTATTCAAATAGTCTTCTGTTCTCACCGTTTGTAAAATTCTCCGTCGTGCTCTTATACTTGAACTGGCATGGGCTAGTCTAGACGGCGCTCGGATAACGTTCCGACTGACCGGGAAATTAGAGAAGGGCTGATCAGGACGTTTGGTCTTGGAACCTACTGTACTAGCCAGGGTCATGGTGGCGATTTGAAAGTGAACAGCTAATTGGCTACTGTATAGTTGCATACTGACAAGTCAAATCTCTACCCTATACAGAAAGAAACTCTCTGCTGCCCAAAAATCCCCGGTTGGAGCCGGTGAGATTGAGAAAAGCCTTCTATTGTTCCATATACGAGGATGATCCATGGATCATCCATAGTCTAACAAATAATGGCCGTCCTTGATCGGCATCTCTCTGCCGAGATGACGTAACTGGCTTAATGCAGACCTTCCACGCACGCTCTATGAGCAGTTGACTTCGCGACCAAAGTCTGTCTTCGCCAAGAGCAGACAGAATTATTCCAAGGTTGAATTGCCTTTGCCCGCATGCCGCAACCCGACAAGGCTGACCCGTGGGAAGCCCTGGCCACGATACTTCAATAAGACTTGACCTCCCGCGCGTCCCGCGGAGTTATTTCAAGAGCTGGATCGGCGAGCCCCAATTTCAATTTTTCTGTATTTAATAATCCCTTCTCCCAGGCTAATCTACAATTCTGACTCTGTCAAGCACAATTCGAGCTCCCTCTTAAGCCTCAAAATGTCCCGCACCCGGGAATCCCCCAACCAATCCCCTTCTACCTCTGATGGTCCATGGAAGGTCGACACACCCTTCGGACCTCCAGAATTTCCACGTTCAGTCCCCGGTGGAATCCGACGCCTACGAAACACATTATCAAAACTGTCACCATCCGCCATGGCTGAAAAAGAAATCCTCCGCAAAAAGAATCAATATAAGATTCCCCTGACGCATAGGAATGTGGACACCTTCGTTACAAACCAAGAATGCAACGACATAGCTCGACCCAATCAACGCACGCCAGAAATCCAGGTGGTCGAATGGCTTGAACGTGTTTCTTGATCGGGCGAGGTGCATGTCTCCACCTTTCACGCTTGGTCGACAGACTTCGACTAGGCTTTTTCTCGACCTTTCTCGAACCCCGCACGCGATCCGCGAGTTTCTCGGGGAACCCAACCCCGGTACTTTGTTATCCATGTCGTTCGTATTGCCTTCAAGGGAGGGGGTAAATAGGGATCTTGGCTTGGCAAGGCATTTTGCTCCTTGGCATTTGCGCAACATGATTCAGTCAATTATGTATGCCGAGATGGGCTCGAGCGCATCGTGGAACTTTGTCTCGGCATAATTGCCGGAAAGCTACATATCAAGTGAGTGTGTCAGCTGCGTTCCTATCTTTATGCATGGGGCTAATTAAGCAATAGCCGATGTTCCCGCCGTGATAGTGCGCTGTGATCGACGTATAAGTGGACCGCATGGTTGGCTTTGCAAGGCATTCTCAAATTGAGGGAATGCCAAAAGAATTTCTTTCCTAACATCCACTGATATTCTTTTAGATTAATAATATTAATAATATACTGACCTGGATTTAATACATAATAATATGGAATGGGCATATTAATGCACAGTAAGATGAAATATTGAAGGAACTGACAACACTGCGGTGGAAGCCTCAGCGTTTGGCCACAGTTGGGCCGAAACATCAGAATGACAAGCCGAGAATGCCGCTTTATCCGGATTTTCGCTTTTCATGCGCAGCGATTCACAAGAACAGAATCGCCTATTATTTGCTCTTCGCTCCACCAGTAGGCGACTAAGCACATCCCGTCCTCAATCACGTCGCCCATATCCATCATAGTCATGCCCGGCGAAATCAAGTTCCACTCCTTGCGTGAGGATTAGACGATTGGGATCCGGAACAGTATATGGAGGAATCAAGTTCAGTTTAAATATTGCTTTGCATAAATGAGCTGACTGTCACTGCGTTCCTTGTGGATGAAGGTGGAAAGCTAAATTGAAATAACCCCATATACACCTATTTCGGCTCACCCAGTAAAATCACGGTTTTCACTACTTTATCTCATATCCCTTAGTTAGTTATTAACTGCATTAGTCTATAACTAAATGATAGCCTAATATGCCATAAGCTGGCATCACTCTAACACTCGATTAGTCCTAACTAAGAAGGAACCTAACCAGGCTCTTGCTTGACGATGTCAATGACATGACGGCATCAATGTATGCTAATAAACCAAACCCTACACTATAACCAAGTTGCGATATAGACTGCTTTCTTGACCTAGAAGTCGAAGCGCCCCTGCACTGTTCAAACAGGTCCGTTGCTTTGGAAATTTGGGTGGTTTACTGAAAACTTTAACCAAATGTCTCTTCTCCCACATAATATTGCCCTATATTTATAGTAGATAATGCGACCCTTCATTATTAGGACCTTGCGCTTATGAGATGAGAGCTATCATTAGAATGGTAGTTATTAGACCTTATAGCTTTCGCCGAAATGACTTATCTACCCAGCAAGTGCTTTCAACGTCCAAAATTTACCTCCACACTCTTACTTTTATTGCCGAGCCCTATCTCAAAACACGCTAGCCAATTTAGCCATTCCCCAGTAATTCCTGTCAGGCAGTCTGTGATTCCTTGGTAACGATCATGAGCCATCTTTATGGTTCTGTAATTTAACTTGGAACTTGACAGAATCTCTCATGCATGGAGAACCCAAAAAAGGGAATATCCCTCGCTATAATGTAATGTATCTATAACCTTGGAACCTGATTCTTCGATTCAGCTTCAATGATTTGGCCGTTTTATTTTGGAGGGCTTCTGGGGATAAGAGATAACCCTCTCATTAATCAGTCAGAACTTTTGTATTGCCCTATTGGAAAAGGTTGATTATGATCAACAATTAACGACTAACTCGACTAGCGTTTCAATTCTGTATGCTACTTGAATCATCCATCGTAAAGTATCAGTACGTAACGGCTTCGATAAGTCCTTGCTATGAGCATTTTAAAACACTTAATACGTGCAAAGCGAATGGTGGTAAACTATCGCATGTTGCGGTTCTTGGCTTAGGGCGGTTATCCCCGCACTAAGGCCAAGAAGGTATGCAGCTAGATTCTGTGCCCTATCTCAACATCTGACTCAGCTGGGACCCATGTGGTTGACTAAATAGGCATAAATATGACTCATTACTATTAATTGCTTCAGAACTTACTCTTAAATTATGGAGGTGGCTATAATGCGCTGTTCGTCACTTATCTAACGTTAGGCTTTTTTTCAGAAGGATTTTCTCATGAGTTTGTGAGTCATTCGTAATCGGAAATAGATAAGACGGAGGTCCGCCGGAGCTTTTAAGGGTAAATAACATATATAAGCAGACATTGAGTGTGATCAGATTTTGAACTTATCCGTTGAAACTACCAACATTTAACCCAAACACAAAGCCGCTTCTAAAAATGTCTTCAGAAGTCATTGATATTGCAAGGATTTCGGACGGCGGGTCATCCCAACCTCAAATCCAAGCGAGGGTCGACCTTTTCAAAAATTGGAATATTCCAATTGGGTCAAAGATAATTGAAATCGGCTGCGGGCAAGGAGATTGCACCCTAGTGATGGCCTATCTAGTGGGAGAGCAGGGCCACGTCACAGGAATTGATCCGGCACCCTTGGACTACGGTTCGTTTGTCAAAAAGCAAAAGCAATCACATACGGCAAGAATCATGCTAACAATCCAAGCAGGAGCGCCCACAACACTAGGCCAAGCACAAGACAAGCTAAAGCAGAGTGTGGTCGGTAATCGGATCACATTCCACCAGTCAGATCTTAAAAGCTTTCTCGATTCCAGCGCCTCAGAACCACTTTATGACTATGCCGTGTTCGCGCGTTCAACTTGGTACTTATCATCCGCTGAAGAATTGACGCCGATGCTGGTGGCTCTGCGCGGAAGAACGAAGCACCTCTGCATTGCAGAGTACTCAACTGATATCCAAGGGGATATTGCCGCTCTACCACACCTACTGGCGGCAATTTCACAAGCGGAATTCAACTCCAGGGATAACAACTTAGACCGCCATGATAATATCCAGTCAATCATACCCCCGCAGAAGTTTCGTGAGCTGGCGTTAAAGGCGGGATGGGTATTGGAGAAAGAAGATCTTATCAGATCCCCAGAGGATCAGGAGGATGCGCGGTGGGAGGTTGCTCGCGTCCTCTCGGAAAGTTATCGCATCAGGTCGCAATCAACTAGTGGTGCTAGTCGTCAAGAGTACGCAGATGCGTTGATTGGTGCTGTTGAGGAGAGCAAGCGTGCACTTGGCCCGAATCCTAAGCTCAGAACTTTGCCTACGTGGCTGGCCTCGTGGGCGTGAGTGAAGCATGTGCTTGTTTATAAATTGGCAGATGACCAAGCAATAATTAAACTTGAACATCTCTCAGTGGAAACAGTTTACTAAAAGAGAAGTTTTTGACTTAGTAGATTTAGAAAAATCGTTCAAACTCCATGTCATACAAACTTTGGAGAGTGGCTTTAAACTGGTAATTCCAGAATCAAGTGGAGATATAGCGGGGTTCCAGCTTTCCCGCGGCGGGGTGGAACTTGGCAAGATCAGCCCAATAATCCACCATCTCACCTCCAGGGACAGCGACGGGGAAAGGCAAAATGGGACTTAAAGTCGCGATTATCGGTAAGTACTAGTCTTGGAAGCTTAAAGCAGCCTCCGCTCAGACCAGTCGCAGGAGCCGGACCTTCCGGTCTTGTCACTGCAAAAACACTCCTACACAACTTTCCACAAGGCACATTCTCTCCCGTCATTTTTGATAGTCGCCATGAAGTCGGTGGTCTTTGGAGCTCTTCAGGCACAGGGACCTTAAACCCTTCCATGAGGACTAATCTCAGTAGCTTCACGGTCGCTTTCTCTGATCTTGCATGGGAATCGGTCATGGAAACGTCGGGGGTCCCGATGTTTCCACAAGCGAGACAAGTCGGCCGGTATTTGGCTGTATATACAAAGCGATATATCCCGGATGATGTACTGAGACTCGGGCATCGGGTCTTGAAGGCTGAACGGACAGCCGAGTGTACATCTCCATGGAGGATCCTTTGGAGGAAAGAGAGGTTCGCGCGCTTTTTCATGCCTGAGAAACTGTAATAACATGATGACAGGTCCGACGGGAATTGTTCACACGAAGAGACTGAGTCGGAAGAATTCGATCTGCTCGTCGTGGCATCTGGCTATTTCGCTCAGAAACATGTCCCGTCGATTCCGGGATTGAAAGAACTTACCCTCGCTGGTCGGGTTGTCCACAGCTCGGAACTTCAGACAAAGGAGCGAATCCAAAGCGATAGTAATCATTTGGCCCATGGAAATATCGCTATTATCGGTGGAAGTATGTCTGGAGTGGAGGCTGCTTCTGCAGTGGCGCTCCACCAATCTTCAGATGCTCACAATAAAGCCCAGGTTGACAAGCACGTCGTACACCACATTCATTCGCGCCCTTTCTGGACCTTGCCAACTCATTTACCCCATGAAACCTCAGAGATTTCAGAAACCGTTTCCTTCTTACCATTAGACTTGGCAATGTATGATCTTGGCCGTCGACCTCCAGGCCCAATCGAGTATGCACTGGGAGTCATACCAAAAGATAAAATCGCAAAGACCAATGAATATTTCAGCTCACTACTGGGAGCTGAATACAAAGAATTTGGACATATGCAAGGAAACCCAAGTCAAAATATGAATTCTCAGCCACCGTGGGTGGCGATAGGGAACAACTACGCGGAGTTTGTTCGGTCCGGAGCCATACAATCCACAATGGGACGTGCAGTGTCTGTGAAGACCAATCAAGAAACTAAATTGTCTACTATTGAGATAGCCTCTGCTGATGGACAAACAAATACCCTGGATAACATTGCATCCATTGTATTGGCCACAGGGTTTACCCCATTCGACTCACTATCCCTTTTGCCCGCGGATGTCTTAGCCGCTCTAGAATACAGCAAAGAGGACCCGTTCTTGCCGCTTGTACTGGACAAGGGTGGTACAATCCGGTCTGAAGTGCCCGATCTCGGCTTTGTCGGGTTCTACCGAGGTCCTTATTGGGGAGTGATGGAGATGCAAGCCAGATTCCTCGGTGCAGAATGGATCAAGAAAAGCCGCCAACCTTTGAAAACAGAAACGCAAAGACAAAGCCTGCGAATCCTAAGAGGCCCGGATAAAAGTCTCCAGCGCGGGCAATTTCCGATGGGAGACTATGTAGGGTTGATGGAGTCATTTTCCAAGGACCTGGGAATCGACCGTACGGGACTTTCAGAGAATGACAGTCGGTCTGGCCCGGCCATTCCTGCTCGCTATACATACAAACACCCGTCCATAACTGCACATAAGGACATGTGTAATGAAAAAGAGCGCACTCTGAGCGCGTTGAAGGCTTTGTCCGATCCAAGCCATCAAAGCTTACAAGATGCCGCTGCATTGGCCGTGTTCCGAGCTCTCCATGGAACCTGGAGATTCTCCCGGGAAGAAGTTGCGGGAAATAAAGAGTCTGGAACGGCCACACTCTCTCCTCGATACCCTTCCAGTCCGGCGTATGACCGAGAGTATGTCTGCGATGAGTACTTAGATTCAGACTTAGACGAGACATCTTTTTCATGTTCTAAGCACCGCTCAATTTTTCGGTTATCAGAATCTGGAGCTCAAGATGGAAACACAGATATCGAGATTTGGGGAGGTGATCCTGTAGAAGCTGGTGAGAATCTCCAGCGACTGCATCTCACACCTTTCTACCGCAAGGAAGTCGATGGGGAATATACGCCGGGAGAACATGTGATCTATGCCAAGAGCTCTGCAAGCTCTTTGAGAGTTGAGTCTGAAACTACAAAGGTTTCTCCAAGAGGATTCGAGTATGTCTTCCATTTCAAAGGTGTCTCAATTGCTAGTTGGGAAAAACTTGAGCCGGATGCCGCGGGAGCCGAAGGCCAAGCACTTTCGCGAACCCGAACCATATACACAAGATAGACCTTCAAATTCTGATCACATTACTCAGCCTTACAAGGATTTCTAGATACATTCTCTAGGTACCTTCTGGATTTGGAAGTTGTAAACGAATTGGGCTTGGGCCGAGGCAAGAGCTCAGGTCCAGCCCCTAAAATAGAACCCGAAGTTGTTGGATAGGACAATCTGGCCTCAGATTATAGTAGCTAATATATTACGCCTAGATCTTGTTCTAAGAGTCATATATTATCTCTGTTCTGATATGGTACCTCGGCAGTGGAGGTATTTGCCACTCGATGTTACATCGAATATGACAACGTCAAATGTTCAATGAAAAACTCTACCCAGAGATCTGGACAATCTCAAGCTGCCCCTTGATTATGCATAGATCATTAATCTTGGTATCCCCCTTATCAACTGAAAACTCATCGATAATGGCATAGATCTGAGGTGGATAGTCGGCTCCGAACCGGTGGCGCTGCTCCGAACCAAGGTTACAACAACGAATTATCGATACCGAGCGAATCAAACCACGAAATCAAACAAGGCAGGAGATTTTAATAGTTTAATTGATCCAATTAACGCGGATATATCACAGTTTTCTTCCGTCTTGGCCCATCGCTACCAGCAGAAAGTGGCACCTGGACGGGTCTAGTCCGGGGTCGAGCAGGGTCGTCTACGAGCGGATTAATCATCCGGCCTAATTCACCTCTTGAGCCTCAAAATTATTCTGGTTCGCCTTCGGCCGAAAGTATATTTTGCTACCCCGGCTTCGACTTTAGATCATCTATATAAGATAAACTCCCAGGATTTCTCCGAGATAAAAAATGAAATCAAAAAGCCACTTTAAGCATCGGACTTGTCCGTACAGCAACGCCGGGTCGCATCTATAAAACCCTCCCTTGCCCAACTCAACCTTGCTTGAACATCACCACGGTATCACAAGTCAACCGCAGGTCAAGCACAATGGCAATGACACCAGAACTACCGAAACTCAACCTGGATCCTATCTCTGAATACCGTGCCTGGCAAGCCCTCTCAGTCTACTTCACAGTCCTCGTAAACCGCCAACTTCGCCGCCGCTGGCAACTCGAGCACAAATGCATGCAAGACAGACCTGTCTCAGCACGGTTCAGACCAGTCATATTCTTAGAACCGATTCCACAATTATGCAAACCACTTCGAACCCCTGTCTCCTCATTGACAATGGAAAATCTCAAAACCAAAGTGCATCTTCTTCGTGCCCGAGTTGAGAAGGGGAAGGAACTGACTTCTGAGATTGAGCGGAGGATGCTGAATCCGAAAATCGTTTTCCCAACACACTTTTGTCACACGTGTGTTGTTGGGAGTGAGACGGAATCAGAGATTTTGCTTACGAAGTGTGGGCATCGGGTTTGCAAAACTTGTCTCTCTTTTGGTGTTGATGATTGTGGGGTTTATGAGTGTAGTATTTGTTTTGCGCCGGCTTCTTTTGTGGCTAGGTCTGCTTTGACGATGCCACGCCGGGCTAGATCGGAGGAATGGGCTCCTGTTGGGGTTAAAGAACATCAGAAGAGGGCCTCTTTTGGGACATATCTATAGGACTGATTATTTTGGTTGGACTTTAATGTTTGCATATGGCGTTCTGGTTTCGTTTCCACTTCAGCGGGCATCTGGGCATTGCATACGATATACAACTTAATGAAAAGCTCTCATATTATGGTATTGATTCCTTCTTGATTCCCAGCAGGGATTAGGGCTATACAAGACATAATGTCTCAACAAGATATGTACCAAATCTTCCATGTTTGATGGCTTCTATTAAATGAAAATAGAGAGAACCCGGAAGTAACAAAAGCAAAACAAGACATCAAATGATTCATGAGCCACGGCCTGTCCAACCAGACCACCACATCAATAAACGCCTTTGCCAAACAGCAAATACCAAGGAGAGTGAAAACAGTATATCGCTGGGACTGAGACATTATACAGGAAGGATATGCAACCATGCCAGCTGATCATCAGCTATCCAATGCACTGAGCAGATCGTAGATATGAAAGACAAAAAAACAAGACGAACGTCTATTTGGGTATATGCAGGAAAGCAACAGAAAAGAACCCACAACATCAGGTTGTCGGGGTAAGATGAGAGATGAGCCGACTGGCGGTCTTCACCGATCTTCTGCATGTTCGCCATCGTCAATCACCATCTGTACATCCTTGACTGGATGTAAAAGCATGGGAGGAAGACACATGCGGCCTTCACCAGCTAATTCCTGTTGTTCACCGCCGTCGTTGTCAACGCGCATGCCGAGCCAGCGGCGCCAGAGATTAGGGGAGAACCCGGCGGAGTAAAACCAAGTTGTACCCTTGAAGTTGTGTTCCCTGTCTCCGAAAATTGAGGTACGGGCGCCACCCGAGGCGCCATTGCGGCCAGCATTGAAGACAGTCTCGAGGTACTTTGTCGGCCAGCGACGGTCGATGTAGACAGCGTGCGGCACATAGACTGCCTTGAAGCCATGGTGCAAGGCTGTAGTCGCGGGCCACATCTCGGAGAACATGCTGTGGTGGCGGAGTGCGGTCTCCTTGTGCATGGTTGTGAGCAGCTTGCGAGACAGACGGGAAGCCGTGATGATTGCAGTCCGGCGTGGGGGCATGCCATTTTCCTTGTTGTATCCAGTTACATCATCACGAAGCAGCCAAGTCGTGCCTTCGGGGTCGTACAGTGGGTTGAAGACAATCAAATCCGCATCCTCACCCACACCCCATTGGTACTGGTCCTTTTCCATGGTTGTGGGCGGGATGCCTTCACCTTCTACCTCGAAGATATCGGGCTCGTCAGGTCGGAGAGGACCCCAGACAAACTTGTCACCCTGCTGATGCAATCCGTTCATATCCCGATCCTTCTCGGTTCCATCGGGCTTGACCACGGACCACATGTTGTTAGGACTGTTCGTGCCGCTCTCTGTTTGCACGCGAACCATTTGGCGGAAGTCGTCCCACGAGCCGTGGACCGACGGGACGTAAAAGCGAGAGTTGCGCTCCCAAAGACCCTTTCGAGGCTGCGCTCTCGCCCAGTCGCTAACCTTGTCGAAGAGATGGTACCAGTGACCAGTGTAACGAGCATCCATCTCCCAATTCCAAAAGTAGTCGTATTCCGGGTGCTGGAAGGCGAAGTATTGCATGGGCATATAGGTACTGCGGTAAACGCCGTGGATGGGCAGACCCCGAGTGAAGGTTTCCTCCAGAGCAGGGTACATCAAGGCCATCTGCGCCTCAGACCAAAGGGTTCCCATTCCCCGGAATTCCTCCGGAAGTGCATCGTGAAGCACGCGCTGGTAGGTTTCATCATCCGACCAGATTTGGAAATCATTGTTCTTGACATGAATGAGGAAATGTATAGTGTATTCACCTCCAGACATCAACGAGAGCTCCGAGATCACGGATCGCATGTACATGATATCCTCTGGGGTATAGTTGAAGTCGTGCCAGGTCCGGATAACCACAGCGGTTCTCGGTAGGCGATCAGAACCGACCTTAGGCTTCGATTTGTAGGTATCCTCCGGTTCCTGCACGGTCACTTCGGGGATCCCCACGGGCATGGAGACAAATTTGTTCAAACGCGGCTCGGGCAGCTCTTTGAAGCGATGGCGGTTTGCTGCGCGACACTGTTGTTGCGCATCGGCCCAATCCACCTGCCGGAAGTCTACCGGGGGAATATCTTCCCAAACTCGCTCTGCACCATCGCGGTGGCCCTCTAAACCGGCGCCAATGCCTCCCTTCTTAGCCCCATATCCAAGTCCGTACGGTCCCAAACGTCCGAATCGGTCAAAGCACACGTCATCGCGGATACCAAGCATAGCGTTCGAGCCCATCACCGGCTCCGGGAACCCTTTGGGAACTCCAGGATAGCTCTGCGGAGCCGGGATTCGGACTGTACGATCCTTATTCAAGAAGCACTCGCGCTTCTCGCCGTATTTTTTGATGTATTCCAAAGAGTCGTAGTCCGGATACGGATTAAACACCGAGCTTGACATGCTGGGCTTCATCTCCCGCTTGTTGAGTTGCTTGTCTCCCGAGTTTTCTTCCACGGGATCGGGCATTCCATCCATACCGCTGCCAGGGTATTCAGGAACATTATCGTGGCGAGAGACCAGATTTGTGATTCCACCATGGTAACGATTGAGGAAGGGGAACCCTTCCCAAGTCGGCGGTTTTGGCGAGACAACTTTAGGTAGCTCCACAGCGACTTTTGACACGGAGGAGGAAATGGTGAATCGGAAGAGAGTGAGGATAAATACGATGAGCGATACAAATAGCGTTAAGCAGAGCCATCGCATAATCCGTTGCGGGACGCGAAAGCCCACACCGGGGTGGGTGTGTCGGAGACTCCCGCCGCTTGCGGGTGGGTAAGAAGTCGAGGAGTAACCAGGGCCTTTGTCGGTATCGGTGTCGGACTCGGAGTCATCACTGCGGTTATAATGGTGATGTTGGGGGCGGGCATTAAGATGCTGTTTTTCGATATCGGTGTCGTGTGCTCTGTAGGGCGACGGTTTGCTGTAGGCCGCGGAGGATCTCCTCGCCTGGACGGTCATAGTGGCGGGCAAAGCATTAACCTGAGACCAAACAAGATAATAAAATCCCAAGACCAAGTTGGTCTAAGCACAGATCGAATCGCCAGAAGAACAATAAGAAAGGAATTGGTAAGTTGTAGGTTTTTGAAAAAGGGGGTCTTGGTCTAGCACGCGATGACGATGTTCGTTTGGTGTTTGGGGGTTCGAGATCGTCGGCCAGGCAATCGGGCGCGGGCCACACCACCAAGACTAGAGGGTCTAAAAGTGCCTAGACTCAAAGACTGGGGGAAATTAACCGAGTAAGAAAACAGCAATAAGACTAAACAATAGCCAGGTACAAGGTGTGAAAGGGACAAACAAATACGAACGTCAACAGCGGAAAATGGCCACAAACGTAAGTCTCGGCGCTGCCAAGCCTCCGGAACTGGGAAATGAGCGATTGCGCATATTACGTGCTAAATTTGGAGAACCCTACAGTAACCTAGCAGGCTTTAGACGCATATAGATCAGAATCTACTATCATATATCATATCATTCTTGGCTCCTATATCACTTTTTTTCTTTACTGATACTCCAATCCCCTGGGAATGTTTACAATAGAAAAAAGACGTAAAGGAACAGCAATTTTGACGTGGCGCCAGGAATAAAAAAAAAGAACAAATGAGGCTAATAGCATAGCGAAGAGAAATAGAGTGGAGGGAACACACAACCGGTTGAATCGTCCTCCTAATCGAAGGTTCATTCATTGTTCCCATGGCCTCGCGAAAGAACTCCATAGTCATCATCCATCATTTGCAGATTTCCCGTGGTATTTCTCTTGCCCTGCTACATACACACACACACTACTTCCCCTTGGTATTATACCCGCTTAATCGCGGTTCGTTTTCCGGAGAGTGTCGGCGAGCCACTCAAGACCCTCGTAGAGACCGTCACCGGTAGTGGCGCAGGTAGATTGGATGAACTAGAAATGGTCAGTAAAGAAAAATCGGGGTGATATTTGGTGTAAATCTGGACTGGGGGCATACCCAAGCGCGGCGGGTCAGGCTCTGGAGACCAAGCTGCTGTGTGATCTCAGCGGGGCTCATGGCGTTCTAAATCGCAATCAGTAATCAGGTCGAACACATCTCGGGTTCATGTCCCTACAGGCAAATCTTGCTTGTTGGCGAAAACCAGGAGCAGAGCGTCCCGGAGCTCGTCCTCGTTCAACATGCGCTGCAACTCCTCACGGGCCTCGACAATACGGTCGCGATCGTTGCTGTCCACCACGAAGATAATACCCTGGGTGTTCTGGAAGTAGTGGCGCCACAGAGGACGGATCTTGTCCTGACCACCGACATCCCACACGGTGAACTGAATGTTCTTGTATTCGACAGTCTCAACGTTGAAGCCTGGAGCCTAGTCAGCACCTCCCTGTTTTGCGTTTTGCGAGTGTCCGGCTTATCGGTCTTGCGACGAGTCGAATGGATGGACCGGGGCGAACTGACCGATGGTGGGGATGGTAGTGACGATTTCACCGAGCTTCAGCTTGTACAGGATGGTGGTCTTTCCGGCGGCGTCAAGACCGACCATCAGAATACGCATCTCCTTCTTCCCCCATAGTCGGTCGAACAGCTTAGAAACGGTGAGACCCATGTTGGCGGTACCTCGAAACCTGAGTGGGAATTAGTGGGTGTTGTCGGAGGGAGAGTTGTAAGGAGGGGGAAGATGGGTGCGGATAGGGAAACGTGTTGTGGACGGATTGGGAATCTCAGGGGTGTGGGTTTGGCGAAAGCAATGCGGAAGGGGTGATCGACAAGGCAGTGCTTACCGGTAGAAAGGTATGAATGGGGTTTCGTAAAGTGGATAAAAGGGGAAAAGAGATGAAGAAGACAAAGTCCGGGAGGAAGAAGAGAGAAGGGGAGAGAGAGTCGGTGTTTTTTTGTTTGGGATTACAGAAATACGCTGAACGGCGGCGGTGGGCGTAGTCTCGGTCACCCAAGATTCAGTAAACGCTCAAGACAGATCCTCGATTGATGAGCTGATCACTATATAACAATATCCGGTTGAGGTTTCTATAAATTCAATGTTACCTAGAAATCTAGAACCAACAATGTGGCTTGATCGCTCTAACGCACGAAAAGAAAGGACACGGTGTCGTACGTACTGAAAATACCGGTCGGAGGCGAAGGGGCCCCAGAACCAAGGGACCCAGATCAAGGCCCCGCTGATAGGTTGATGACTTATCGCGGCGCCCCAGTCTCGTGCCTTTCACTCTGCAATTCTGGGAAACGCCATCAACTGGGAGTCCACCGCCGCGTCATGACATGGCGGCTCGTGTATACGTTCTGCAGATCGGTACGCTTTTACCGTTGATTTTCCAATATTACAAGCAAAGTCTTCCTACCACCGTCAATTGATCCTGAATCTCGCTTACCACACACACACTACACGATAACTCGGCAATAGATTCAACCCCTTCAAACCTGCCAAGTCCCCACTGGGTCTCCGCTCTAGAGAGGGCAATGGATCTAATCGTGCCTCGTGGAGACCAACGCCGGCAACTGCATGGGCCCGTGCAGTGAAGACTCTAGGGCTGCGTAGATGGAGCTACCTGGGTGCATCTTTGGTGGCATGATATAATCCGTTTCGTTCGTTGTTCGTCGGCATAAAGTGATCTATAAGAAAACTTACCACATTAAATTGGGTCACGAAAGCGGTTCAGAAAATTACTGGAAGACTATGCGGTGAACAAGAATACCTAACGCACGACCATAGAATGAGGTTTTCTTATATCTTGGAAAAAGCTTTTCAAGTTCTAGAAATCTTAGGAACGGACACATAAGAAAAAGAGCTAATAACTCCACCGAACTCCTTCTAGATTGGCTAACATTTGTGATATAAATCTGGAGCTTACTATATTATAGGTTATTTGGAGCCGCTTGTATCACCATAGATAGAGTTGACCAGTCGAAATGTCAAGTTACAATCGGCGGCATCATTTCAATTGCGACAAGGTACATGCACATAGTCCACGAGGGAAAATATTCCTAAAGCCATGCATTATAACTCAACAGTGTCCTTTCAAAAGCGAAGTCTTGTGCGTGATCGACTTTAAACCTTAAACCTTGTCTGCCTGCTCTGTCAATCCTTGGATATCACCTATCTTCTTTGACCACGTACACATCGCTTAGGTTCAAGCTGACCACGACTGGATCTTACAATTTATACAGCGGTCTTATATCTTACCCATTGATGTCCTCGTGACAGATATCGTGATTGCGCTTACCTGCGGCCAATCAGACCCTACAGACGCGCTTAACCATATCAGGCAAAGCGTGGATTGTTTTCACATAAGGATTGAAGCGAATATTCCACTCCGACTCATTATGACTGCTACCTGGGTACAAATTGGACATTTAGTAACTAACGATCTGTTATCGCCTACTTGACTACATAGGGTATTACAATTAAAAGACGCCATTTTCATAATAACTGGAGGTACATGGGCAGTCGTACCGGAGACTTTCCCAAGGTTGGTGAAAATATATGTATGCCATGGAGCAAGGCTTGTACAAATTGAAACCACTCCTCTGGCTTGATTCTTTTTCTCTTGCCTCTCAAAATTTTTTGCTTATTTCCATGTTTCGTCATGAATGCACCTGTGTTATTTTTCGGACTAGGCTCCTCACAGACCTCATTCTGAAGTGCAGATAAGAACCTAAGACTCAATCAGCCACGGGTGCAGTGAGTCACCTGGGTAGACCTCGGAAATTGCCCATAAATACCGAGGTTCTTGAAACTCCCCATCCTAACGAGAAGCTTGAGCCCATGAGTAAGCTGAAGAGGAGTCAAATCCCCATTGCACATCTTTTACGCTACGTTGGGAGTTCAGTCCTTGAAACCTCCCAAGTATCCGGCTTCACCATGAGTGCCCCACAAACCCCAGGGGAGGCCATCCTCATCCCCAAGACTTTTCATTCGCAACAAAGCCTGAACGAGGTCGTGGAGAGATACAAAAATCTCCGGCTGCACGGCCTCCAAGTTGATCCGAAATCATTTAGCTCAACTTACGAAGTAGAGTCCCAATTTTCTCCTGCGACGTGGCGATCCCGGCTTCAGAACCCGGCGGGCCAAACATTCGTCTCAGTCGCCAACTCTGACACGAACAATGATACCCAAATCGATACTGTGGTATCTATAGAGCCCAAAGACCCCGACACATCACTCCAGCGACTACTGAGAAAAGACTGGATCGGCATTGTCACACTGCTAGGTCCAGTCCTATTTAAGTCAGATGCCGATAAAGGGACACCTACCAAACCATGGAATGTTTTTATTGAGGACCGAAACTATGTCATTCCCCAGTCTGATCTGAACAGAGATGCCAAGAATGAATACATTGTGTACTTGGTTGTTGCGATGTTTGTCTTACCCGATGCCCGGCGAAAGGGACATGCTTCTCGGTTGCTGGAAACTTTAGTCCAGACTGTTCGGAAAGATGCTAATGCTCGTGAAGCATCCAAGGCGAGCATCACAATTCAGGTTGAGCCTGAAAATGGTGCTGCGCAGCGACTGTATGAGAAGTTGGGGTTTGAGGTGTGGGATAAGGCGCTTCCGTTGGATAATAAGCGTGGAGAGACAAATTACGTGGTCGCATTGGTGAAAGAGATTGACCTGGCCTAGTTCAATGGCATTTGCCTACCTGCTTATCTTGGTGCAATGAATATGAAAGCATTATAATTGCAGTATCTCTAGGTTGATTCTAATTCGCCGTCAGGTGACCCTAATACGCTGAGTCATCGGCCTCGTTTGAGGGCAAGGCTAGTCCGTATTAGGTTTAGCGCCTCCTCGTGCCCACAAGCGGAGAAATTTGCGGTAACCTTTTTCTTCTCTCTCAAGACACTTGCGCTGAGCCACACCTTAAGTATTCTTTTGGAAGACTGTCGCCATCATGTCCAAGATCACAGTCGGTATGTTATGGTCCAATACATCTTTACATTGAAATTGAACAATCTCTAACACCCTCTCAGCCGGAGTGCGCGAGAATGTCCAGTCTCTGCTGGAGTACTCGCTCAACGAGAAGAAGCGTAACTTCCTCGAGACCGTTGAGCTTCAGATCGGCCTGAAGAACTACGACCCCCAGCGTGACAAGCGTTTCTCTGGTACCATCAAGCTGCCCGTTGTTCCCCGTCCCAACATGGCCATCTGGTGCGTTCTCATACCCTGCCACAACCCCGCTAAAGGCCGGTGCAAAACTCTGAACAATTACTGACGGATCACAGTGTTATTGGTGACCAGCACGATCTCGACCGTGCTAAGCACCACGGCATTGATGCTATGTCCACCGACGACTTGAAGAAGCTCAACAAGAACAAGAAGCTCATCAAGAAGCTTGCTCGCAAGTACGATGCCTTCCTTGCTTCCGAGGCTCTGATCAAGCAGATTCCCCGTCTGCTCGGTCCCGGTCTGTCCAAGGCCGGCAAGTTCCCTACCCCCATCTCCCACAACGAGGACATGGCCAACAAGGTCAACGACGTCAAGTCCACCATCAAGTTCCAGCTCAAGAAGGTTCTGTGTCTCGGTGTTGCCGTCGGCAACGTTGGTATGGCCCAGGAGGAGCTCGTTGGTAACCTCATGTTGTCCATCAACTACCTTGTCTCCCTGCTCAAGAAGGGCTGGCAGAACGTTGGCAGCCTTGTCATCAAGGCTTCCATGTCTCCCCCCAAGCGCATCTACTAGATTCTCATCACTTCACTGTGCTGAGGTCTGGACGCGTCCGAGAAGTGAGGGTGTCATAGTTTAGTGACCCTAAAAAATAAAATGAAGCTCACGACTTGGTCTCAATCATTTCCCAAATACTGTAGACTGCAGATGTAAACATATGTGTTCAGTGTTATGTATTGCTTTACATGGGATACTATAGTACATGTATATCGATCCTTATTGCATGCCCGCCATCAACTCTGTCTTATCCAGAACCATGCCGCGCATGCCAATAAACTCGCGTAGACTCTCCCACTCCTCGCCAACTTCTTCGCCACGCATATAGGGGTCCTTAAAACCCCAGGCCACCGCAACCCTATCCATGGCCGCCCGCTCTTCTTCACGCAGCCATCGCTGCCGCAACGGGATTCCAGACAGCCAGACCACACGCTCCATCTGATCATTGGCTGTAGTGATAGCCATAATTCCAAGAGACGATGTACCACCAACGTAAGCCAGGGAAGCAGCAAAAGCAATTCCAGTCGCGGTGCTAGGATCCATAGTATGCTGGAAAGTGGCTGCCCATGTAGCAAGGGCATAGCATGCAGCAGGGGCCACAGCTAAGCCAGCCAACGGAACACTGGCTTTTTTGAAGACCTTCGCACGGTGGAAAGCAGGCGCACAGAAGGTATTATCGATGATCGCCAGAACCAGCGAGAGGTTCTTCTGCGCAATAGCCACATTCAGAGCCATATTGGCCAGATCAGCGGGGACAGCACTGTTAATGCTCTTAGGATTCGGCTTGAGGTACTTGACTGGCGAACTACCTTCCTCTGGAACAGGTTTATTGGCGTACATGTGGAAGATCTCCGGAAAGTGCTCTGCTCGCTCCAAGAGGGTTTGTGTCTTCGTGTAGCTTTCCAGGGCTTCCGGGGTGATGAACACCTTCTCGTCCTTCAAAAGATCGGTTATGATACGGGAGATCTTGTCGGCCAATCGGGGATCTAGGTTGGGTGACGATTTGGTTTGCTGCGTGGGCTTGGTGCTTTTCTCCTCCATGTCAAGTAGCGATGAGGTCGCATTTCCTTCATCATTTGCGGAACTCTCGGGTTTGTCGTTCTCTCGCGATGCTAAGGACTCGGCGATCTTCTGGCATTTCTCAAGTAGTTCCACCACGGCTTCGTTGGAAGGGACTTGGTCTGACTGTTGTAAAGCTGATGCATCCTCTTCGATTTGTCGGATAGCTGACCCGACATTGACAGACTCCGATGCCAAGGTCCGCGAACTGAGAAGCGGGTAGGATAACGGGGATCGAATATTTGTTCTTGGCAACTGTAGCGCAGGGTTATTGTTCGAGGGTCGACTTTGGGTCGTAGTGGGAAGCCGAGCGAGGGGAAGGCGTTGCGGTGTCGCGGACGAGAGTTGACAGAATTGGCAGACAGGGCCTTGCGCCCTTGAGCCACGTTGGGCTCTCAAGGCTACTCTTTTCATGGTGAATTGGGCGTTGGGATAAAATGGGCGGGCGAGGACCGAGCTGCGGATTTTTAGGAGAGAGGCTCTCAAGGCGGAGGCGGCGCCCCAGCGCTCTGACGTCTACTTCTGCCTTACACACCTTCTAGTGCACACCTTCTGCTCAAGGAAACATCATTTCCCCTCTAAATACGCGATTTGCACTCCCATGCCGCATCATAAACACTACTCTTGTCATATCTAACGCTCTCTTTTGACATGCCTCCTCCTCCTCCACCTCCGCCGCCGCCGCCGCCTGGAGGACTAGGTGGCCCTCCCCCACCACCTCCTGCAGCTTTACCGACCAGGCCTTCGAAAGGTGAAGTCAAAGACAGGGTATGTACACTGATCCTGACGTAGCTATGATACTTCTTAAACCAGCCATATTGGTTCGGCCACTGGGAAATGCAGTCGATTAACGACGTGAACAGGGCGCTCTACTCTCTGATATTCACAAAGGCACTCGATTGAAGAAAGCCACCACCAATGATCGATCAGCGCCTATTATTTCAAAGTCTGGAGGCAGCTCAGCTGCACCGCCCATGGGAGCTGCACCTCCAGTTCCAGGCATAAGACCACCTCCCACAGGACTTGCACCCCCAGTCCCGTCTGGACCCGCCGCCAACAGATTACGAAGCAACAGTGAAGGGGTATCTGGCTCGGATGCAGCGGCCAGTGCTGCAGCACCACAATTAGGTGGTCTCTTTGCGGGTGGAATGCCCAAGCTGCGTAGTCGCGGCGGTGTCAACACGGGCGCCAACCGAACAGACTCTCCATATCTATCTGACTCTGAAGCGTCTCGCCCGGCGCCTTCTGCAGTACCTCCAAAACCTCCAGGCGCCCCTAGGCTACCTGGAGCACGACCCCCGCCACCTCCGTCTTCAGAGTCAGCGCCTGCACCACCTATAAACCCGTTAGTCGCAAGCTTGAAGAAGGCCCCCCCACGACCCGGCTCCAGGCCATCATCCACTATCTCTTCGGCAACTGCTCCCGAGAGCCCTCCTCCGCGTGCTCCTCCGCCACCTCCTGCGGTAAGCAGGGCACCACCACCTCCGGTGTCTCGAAAGCCATCTGCACCCCCCCCCCCTCCTCCTACAGCTAGTCCAGCGGTGCCACCCCCTCCCCCTCCATCTGCGCCCCCTCCAACAACAACACGAGCTCCGCCTCCCCCTCCACCTGGAGCCCCGCCATCACTCGCCGCGCAGGCTGCCCGCAGTGCTCTTGGACATCCGCCATCGGCACCACCAGCTGCAGCACCAGCAGCTCCTCCTCCACCTCCACCAGTCTCTCCTCCAAGCGCTCCTCCTCCGCCCCCCAGTGAGCCATCGCCATCACCATTCCGTCCATCGCCTGTTGCTTCCCCGGCGCCAATGAATCCCAGTGCTTATACTCTCACTAATGGCGGTTCATCCCATGCGCCAGCCCCGACCCAATCCACCAATGGCCACATCAACATCGTGGATCCCCGCTTCAAGTTCCCAGGTGATGCGATGCTTCCGGCTCCTCGAAAATTCACCAAGACCCTTCCTGTCAAATATCGTGCCGGGAAAATCAGCAGCGTTCCGTACCATCTTAAGTGAATTACGGATTGATTTGAGTGCATGGGACATTGCGGGCGATAGATATGCACAGACAGTAAATTGCTACATTATATACAACTTTCCAAGTTCAATTAGGACCTTAAAGCCTTTTTACTATACATTCCAATGATCTTGTAAGCTCAAGTCCTGTATTGCCTAGATGGCGCAGGACCGCCGATAACCGGCTGTTGGCGGATCCCGTGGAGTTCAATATGAGATTACCAAATGCTGATTTTCCACTCCATTCATTAGAATTAGTTCGTGTCAATCGATCAACTGTGGTAGTGCCAGCCCTGGCAAGAATATTTGGAGTATCGCAAATCCGTAGAAAAGTTGACCTATGTGTCAATCTGTTCCTAGATGGAGACTTATTATTGGAAATGTGATGTACATATATCTTTAAAGTCGATGGATTACTATTTATTAGAGTACAGTATAGGTATTGATAACACTCGCGTATGTAGGAATCAATTCAGATGCACAATTGCTAAATTCCATGAAAACATTATCTTAACAATATACTCTTAAAGTCCCAATTATAACGTAAAAATTTGGGCACCGAAGGAATCATTAAAGCCAGCAGTGAAGCTAACCGTTCACAAAGCACACAGCTGCGTATCACGTGACAACATACAAACAATGCAAATATTCAAAGGTTGTCCATCTCACGACGAGTGCTTCGCGATTAGCCACTTCTGCGACTCTATCTTCGATTCTGTGTGGCCTCATTTAGTGCTCAAGATTCTCAGCTTTCACCCGTCTCTGAATAATTGAAGAGGACCTGGGAACCTAGGTTGCGCATTCGTCTTGGAACCACGACCAGAGCTTAGCTTCGCAAACACCATCTTGCGGCGAAAAGCTCCAATTACACCACGACATCGGCAAGGCCTAGCATTACCTAGCTGCCAGCTGATTTATCACATCAAACCTTCACCATGTCTCTCCAACCCTACATCAATAGTAAGCGACCTGTCAAAGCTGTTTCCGAAGCTGTCTGCAACCTGATCAACATGCTAATATACCATTGCTCCTGTAGAGAAAGTCCTCATCTTGACTGTGGATGGCCGAACACTACTCGGAAATCTTCTCTCCACTGATCAACTTACCAATCTCGTTCTCACTGATACCGTCGAACGCATCATCCGCACCCCCGACGATGATGAGCCCTCATCACAAATCGAGCACGGTCTTTATTTAATTCGAGGCGATAATGTGGTAGCATGCGGTGAAGTGGACGAGAAGATTGATGCCGATATTGACTGGACCAGAGTGAAGGGCGAGGTGATTCGGGATACGAAAAATGCATGAACGGATCGCAATGATTTGAATTTAACATATTGGGCGTTGGTGGCTATGGGGATTATTTGCATACAAACAGAGACTTGACTCCAGCAGATGTCACTAATAAAATAAGTCTCGCTATCCTTACTCACCTATACTCTAAACATGAACAATTGCACTTGTGGCTGTAGTTTAGGCAAGTGAAATGTCAACGCAGAGTGCGAAGAGTGTTCTGGCATACATGATCAGGACTGGCTTTGATGACATCGATTGGTGCAATATTGGGAATACACGTGGATTCTCTTATGAGATGGAAGTAGTGACCATTGACCCTGAAATGTCTCCAAAACGGACTATATCTATGCGTGTCTCAGAGCAGGGGCCCAAGGTTGCCTCGTATCTCTCCACGTTTAGCTGACCATCTCAAATCTGTCCAATTAGGGCCTGGGAGAGACCCTCCAAGTAAAGCAGATGAAAAGGAGAACGTACCGCTGCATCGATACTATACCTACTGCTAATTAAGTATTAGCGGGCATAGGTCTCAGGAACCCATCCAATCTCTTCTATGGCCCATCTAATCCATAGACGATGCTCTCCATCCAGTAGCATATAAATATCTTGAATGAGATGAACCGCCCAGCCCTCTACCCACCAGTACCTCTCTAAGTCTTTCACCAAAACAGCATAAAAAGCAAGTACACATAAAGCCCCATTATCGCCGTTCCTCAAGAGTTCCAGATAACCATCATCTATCTCGAAGAGCCATTGAAAGAAACCCCGCAACTTATCTTGATCTTTCATGTTCTGACTGTATAGAAACGAGTAACTTCGTCTCAGCGCCAAAATCGCTTTCTGTAAAACAGGCAGTCTTCCTTCACCATCCTTCGCTTCAGCACACACCTGTTCCTCCAACTCCACCAGAACTTGGCATTCCTCAGGCGTATGAGTCTTCCAGTAATCCATACTTCCCCACGTACTCCGGAAGATCAAAGAGACAGGTGAAGAAAAGATTGAAGTCTCTGCCATGACAACTGTATCGATGCCTCTCAGAAGGTATAGCCATTCGGGGATGACTCCATTTCCTAGAATAAGCATATCGTCTTCTTGTATCGGGCGTGCTAGACTAAAATAGAGCATTAACACCCCAAAGACAAAAAGAGCGCTACAGGTTTGGGGCGTCACCCCGGGTATTAGCGGGAGTGCCTTGGATAGGGATGCTGATTGACGTTCGATGGCGTAAGCCAGGAGGAAATGTCTCCGTCCGCTGTTATAGCGTGCGATGTGGAGAGCTGCAAGGGCGAGAATGCCGTCTAGAAGATAATCGGTGGTAAATGCCATTTGAGGGATAACGACTCGCCAAAGATCTCGAATCTGTGGATCGGGAGATAGCGTCATGGCGGTGGAAATAGTAAAGTGATGAAGGAGCTCGAGCTTAAGTGTATCTGGATTTGGAGCTGTCGATACTGGACTTTCGACAGTTTGGATGAAGTCGCAATGGAGTCCCTTCTTGATGCAATTGAGGCATGATGGGCGTCGCTCATCGCACTAAGATCGATTAATGCCAATACTAGGTGGCAGGGTAGTAATCAGAAGATTGCTGGAGTGAAGCATACCTTGATCTTTCTAGAGCGGCAAATTTGACAGCCCGTGCGGGATTTAGTGTGCCACTTACGACGACTGCCCGTAGCACCAATAGACTGCGGCATTCCAGAAGAATGTATTATTCAAAACTTCAAGAACCGTACGCAGTTTTCGAGTACTTGCAACATGCGACGATTAATGATGATACGCTGTGGAGATTCCGGGAACGAGGGGAACGAGCGAGCGTGAGCGAGCGAGGATTTCAGATCGATTGATTGGTTGAATGCGGGACCAAGGCCCACTATGGTGAAGGATAGTGGGCCATGATGGCTCGCTCTCATCAAGCTTGGTCATGTCCACCTTTTCCTACATAGACCACACATCAAACACTACTGGAAGGTAAAAAAGACCGAATTGGCTAGTCTTATCCAAAAATAAAAATAAAACAAGCATTTTATTGATACAATCTCTCTAATTCTAGCAACATGCTGAGCCTTAAACATTTTGTCCAATTCCCACCAATCTTCTTTCTCGATTTTCTTTTTCTCTTTTTTTTTTCTCCTTTCGAAGTTTTGTTCTCTGCACTCCTTTTCTTCCTCCATGTCAGCCGGTGTCAAACCTTGTAAGCTGATGTAGTCCATCTGATCACGGGAGTTGAATGACCAACACAATTAATTCGATGAAACAATGAGCTTTCTGATGCTGTTCACTCCCACTGCTTCATGAGAGCGTTGGCCTCAGTCTCGTTGTCAAAATCGACAAGATGAGTCGAGTGGCACCAGGGCTTGATGGTCTCCTCCTTGCGAATGACCCCAGCAAAAAAGGCACACCATTTGATTCGTGGGTAGGTTTCGTTGATCTGAGTGCGAGTCGTTTTGTGAATCAGTTCACCGAAATCTTTCACATGAGAGTGGACACCGGTATTGTCGTAGGTCGTGGCCAGCTGGATGAGTTGACCAATGTACGTGATCGTTCCATCAACACCCATGTCCTCATGGCGGATGATCGTCTCTGCAGCTGCCTCTGCTTGATCCGTAGTGGCTCCAAAATCCTTGAGGACGTGGAGTGCCTTGATTCCGCCGTAGATGTCAAAAGAAATTCGGGTGGCTGTCAGGTTCTCCTCGGCCGTACCAAGGTCGTGCAGCAGGCATGTCAAAGCCCAAGTCACCGGGTTAAGGGCAGCATATCGCCCCGGGAATTGCTGCTTGGTAATAGCCATTCCTGTAAAGAAGTCAGATGCGAAGCTCGTATTGCTAGTATTTGAACAAGATATAGACATACCGTAGAAAAAGACCCTCATTGAATGATTGAAGGTTTCCGGATGGAGGACTTCTTTGGCGTATTTCAATGTCTTCGAGACCACAGGATCATCAAATGGAAATTTGATGTCGTTGAGGGAGAGCTCATCGGGCTTGTTGATGAAAGGTTGGTCGGCGAATATAGCACCCGCATTAGCCGGCGTGCTAGTCCAGCCATTGGTAGCGACTTCGTGTTGGCACATGATGAAGTGGAAAGAGTTGGAAGAAGGGGAATATTCCTGTTGAGTGCGGAAGAAGACAGACGATAGTAGTCTAAAATGTTTGTTGGATGAAACCAAAAAACCATGAAGAATGGATGGGATGAGGCTGTTAAATATTCTCAACATTACACTTCGACTATACATTTGAGTTGATTAAGCATGCATACCGGATTAGGAAGTTACGGCATGTGGGGCTTTGGTGTCAACTCGCGGCTAATCACAGTTGCGCGCGATGATCTCCATCCATCGCCTTTTCGCTCTTCCCGGAGTGAGCGTCAAAGCCTGGACGAGCACATTTATCAGCACTACACGCCCTTTTAGGAAGTTAGAGCATGTGGAATAGAGTTTATAGAAATTTGTTATGTCACAGATGACAATATAATCAGGCTGAAAAATCATTTTAAAATCCCTCTTGTAGTTAATCAAATATATTAGCAACAACCTTGAAAGTAACTTAAAAGACGATCGATCGACAAGCCTAGCAGAACAACATTATATTTGTAAACACTCCAAGGAGGCTTTCATACTTCAATGGCTCTAACACATCTCGCCAACCCAGTGAGTACTGCTTAGCTAGTACCTCACCCATCATTTCAAGACGAATATACTGATCTTTATTCCAAGAGTCCGCTAGGATTTGGCGCATTTGCAACTACCTTGATGACCCTCTCGCTTTCTATGATGGGGCTCCGTGGCGTTTCAAACCAGACAGTGTTCATTGGAAATCTCTGTTTTCTCGCGGGGATAGGGCTCTTGATATCTGCACAATGGGAGATGGTGAAGGGAAACACTTTTGCCTATACCGTACTCGCTGCATTTGGTAAGTTACCACCCATTGACACATTATATAAGGTGGCTTATAACGCGTTATAGGATTTTACTACGGTGGTTACGGTGTAATGTTAATGCCCTCGCTGGGTATTGTACAAGCTTATGGCGGGGAAACGGCCGAATACCATAACGCTTTTGCATTCTATCAATTGAGTAGGTCCCTGATACAATCCATATATCACTGGTATGGGCTGACATCCAATCGCAGTTTGGTGTGTACTGATTTTCTTTTTCCTCCTTGCCGCTTTACCAACGTAAGTACATATCCATATCTGAGTTGGCGGTGAGGTTTGCTGAGGTTTCTATAGAAACATTCCAAATATCGTCATTTATGCTGCTTTAGAGATGTGCTACATCTTCAATTGTACAGCTCACTTTTTGTATGCTGACGGTATGTCAGCATTGGCCGACGCTTTCACAAAGTCGGCTGGTGCCTTTGGCTTCCTATCAGCGCTGGCTGGATTCTATTTGCTAGCACATGGATTATGTCAAGATGCAGTTCCGTTTCAGATTCCCTTGTGTGTAACAAGTGGTCGATTTCGACGAGCATCTTCTGTGGGTGGGAAACCTGATGAGATAAGCCCCGTTTGAAGACTTGCTGAGGTGCACAGTTCAAGCAGGCAACGAAGGCATAAAAGCGTTGTGACCAAATCGATTGCATTCTCACTAGTTAGCATTGCCTTAATGAGTATAAATGTTGACGTCCATTCTGGGACTAGTGCCTTCCTCTGACTACTTAAGCTTCATTTCCGTAGACTCCTTCTTCCTTCCTCGTCGCTCTCAATCAAGTTCTTTCGTACTCAATTGTTTCAGCTTCAATTCTCTCTTTTCTCTCCTTCACCAATAACCCTAGCAGCAAAATAGTCGATTCACCTTACAGTAACCTGACGCGCCTAGTGGCTTTATATTGCTTTGAAAGGAGCCCATTGCTGCTGCGACCTAGAAAACCCCAGGCGTATTATAGCATCATTGTGTGGCCCAAAGGCTGCAATATCAAGAAGTATACCCGGAGAAAATGGGATAACGGTTTCAAAACGTAGACCATCGAGAAGATACCATGGATCAAATGAGCAACCACCCCTCTTCTATCACGTAAAGCTCCGATTCATGCGGCACCAAATTGCCATCTGAATTCTTTCGCTTCCAATGTTCATGCAGAATCCTTGAAGCACTTATCACATTCAAACAGCAGGTCACATCCCAAAGCAATCTTAGAGACCCGATGACCAGCATTTGCTCGCCATCAGTCTGGCACTCAAGACCTGCAATGAAAATAGGCCACAGCAGGCATTTGAATAAACCCTCGTCAAATTTGAGAGACTCGATCACGTCAAGTAATTGCGACACCAAGGTCTCACTGTCGAGCTTTTTGGTCAATGTCGGTGTTACAGCACAAAGTACCCGGTTTCCGTAGAGTATGGTGGCAGTTTTATATGCTTGAGATAACAAAGAAAGCTTCTGAATCTCCACTGTTGAGGTAGCTGTTGACTGCACAAAATACGATGCCCATTTCAGACAATCAAAGTCCATAGTCAGCTCAAGCATGCGTAGTGTATGTTGTATGTGCTCGTGAATCGAGGTGTCGTCGTGCACGCCTGTCTCAATAGCGTGTCTTTGGTTCGAAAAATAACTAATAGCCCCTAGTAGAAAAACAGGGCAACCCAGAAAGCTTCGAATAATGAACTCTTGATACTTGCTCTCTTCAAGGTTGGCACATAACTCAGGACTAGACTTTAGACCTGAAAGTGTACCTCCCATGGTTGAGACGCTAATAAGGCCAGCGGCAAATCATCATGTCAGTTGTTTAATGCGATAATGATTTAAAATAGGGAGAGAAGCATACAGCGCAAATAGACGGGCAATGAAGCGCCTCGTCTCATCTATTGCTTGTGAAGGGCCGGTGATGGAATGTTCACCGGCACCAGAATCCAGCAGTGCGCGCGAAAGGTCAAGGAGACCTTCTGCACCACGGAGATGATGCTTCCAACCATCGATACCCGACTCGAGAAGATCAAGAAAAATTAAAAGAAGAATACTTGCCATGACCTCATCTTTCTGAGAACTGTCTGGATGAGACAATGACGATGACAATGCTTGAATAGTTTGCCTCTTGAAATGGAGCGCATCCAAATTAGCATTGACATATCGAGGGGATAAAGCGTCCTCGGTTCGATCGAATGAATGGCCTGCATTCGCGTAATGCCGTGCGGCCACAGCTATGATACTCTATTGTAGGGTTAGGCTCCCCGCAGCATGCGTGAGTAAATTCCTAAACGGATTGCTATCGCTTTCATATAGAATGAACAATTTGGCGATGCGCACATTGCCTTTCTTTTGGAGTAGCATGTCTACACTCAAGTGAATATGATCGTTATCATACAATAGTCAAGATAGAACCTCGATGACCAATCGAGATCGTGGACGCAGGGGTCTTGCAACGCGAACCGAGGAGTAGGATTGATTGCTAGAGACGTCGCGCTTGGATGTGAGGTTTGTTTCGGCTTGGAGTCCGCACATGGATATTCATCTGAGGCTTTGGGACCCATTCCGAGGACTTGACCGCGCATTTTCCCCCGGATTGCCACGCCTTTGACCCATCGAAGGGGTCTTTTATCAAAGCATTCCAGCCCCGCCTTCTTGCACTTGGCGCAAGGTGTGCTGGTTTGGTCGCATTGGATCGTACGACTGCGGCATGCCCAGCATGCTGCGTGCATTCTTCAAAGTACCGATTGGAGCTGAGCAAAGGAACGATGGATAAAAGGAGCTAGAATTTAAGCTTGGAATGATGACTCTATGAGCACTCGGAAGGTTTGCCGCAAGTACCTGGCTAGATATTTAATTCTCAGCTCGGCGGGTACATGTTATCTAGGGGTCTTGTGAATTGACGCTTCAAATCCAAAAGCAACAAATTTCTTATTCTTATACCTATTACTCTCCTTTGATTCTGGAGACAGAAGTGAAGTAGATTTTTTGTAAGTATAAATAGGCATTACTCAGCAAGAATCTTTTAAGCTTGTTAATGCTTAAAGGTGCGGATTTGTTTCTTCACTTAAACGCTCTTATTCTTTAAACCTGCATATTCCTAGGCTAAATGCCTGCCTGGGTAAGCGGAGAAGCGCAGGAGTGGAAGCGAAGTTATCAGAAGAGGTTGCGTGACGGCGTGTTTGGACGCTAAACCTACCAAGGTGAACGAGCTCGAACAGGTAATTCACATGTTCACAGGCCACATGTGGATATTTCAAACTATGATCACACTTATATATGAAAAGAGAGCGAGAAAAGGAAACATGGAAACAGTACTGGGGTTGGGTATGACTGGAATCACAAACACATAGCAAAAGAGTGAAAGTATGTACAAAAGCGCTTGCAAAATAGCAAAAACACCAAGCGTGTGCCAAAATTCGTTCATATGGATGGATACATTTGAAAACTGTAAAAAGATCCTCATTATGGAGGTGACTTGCTCTCCTCTGACGAGGATCCACGACGCAAACCACTGTTGATCTGCGCCGCAATCTGAGATTGCTTGAATCTCTCGAAGCCCTCGGCGTCCTGATGCTGGTAAGCCCAGAGCTCGTCAACTGTATTACCGAGTTTCTCAAAGGCTTCTTCGGTGTCAAACGGTATTTGAGACTGCTCTTCATGTAGGCGCTCCAGTTTCTCTCGTAAGGCAACGAGGTGCGAATGGTCTTCTGCGTCGTCTTCGCCTTGGCGATCGGGTGTTTTCAGCAAGTCACGGCGGAGGTTTTGGCCCAGGCGATGGACGTGGCCTTCTTCTGATGTCATGGCGCGGGCGTGCATTGATGTCATTGAGCTACTTCGGGAAAGCTGGAAACCGTCCTGCTCGCCTTCTTCATCGTCAACGGCAGTTTCATTGTCCATGAAGCTGCTGCTCAGGTTGCCATTGATAGCGCTCGAGCCGGTTTCTGGCAAGGCGGACGGGATGGGTGGAGGAGGCAAACGAGTTTCAGGATACTCATCCTCAAAGCGCTGAATCATTCTATGCAATGTAATGTCCAAGAATTGGAGACGTCCTGTGAAGTAAGTTAGTAATCGGAACAGAGTGACATCGAGGTAGAAATCTTACGGTAATTGGCATCGTTACCAGCCCGGTCTTCGCGGATAAGAGCTGATTGAATCCGAGCTCGAATGTTGCGAGCGGACTCCAGCAGATTCTTCGACATGTCGCGAGGCCTCTTAGTAACCACTCCTCTAGATTTACGACGCCGAGGGGTCGTAGTGCCACTAGCAGGTGCTGAATCTCCGGGGAAATCGCTTCCATGATGGTCAAGGTTTCCGAGGCAGACACCTAGTGCCTTGACCACGCCTGTGCCACCAATGACATAGTCCTCATCTGGAGCGGCATCTTCTTCTTCGTCACATGGCTCGTCCATGCCAATGGAGTGTCCAACAATGTGCTGCAGAATCTCTGGTACTGGAACATCATGCGGCACGTGTGTTTCAGCCAGATCCTCTCCAATAGCAGCACCTTCCAGATTTCGAAGCGAGTAAGCGACAATCTGGGACGCCAGTGCCTTTACAACTTCATTATTTTCCGCAGTTGGAACTTCAATGTCCACTGCGATCATCGTACCTGAAACGCGGACCGCAGCCATCATAGAAGCATACACTGCACAAGCCTCTTCCTGAACAGCAGGGTCCACGGCAGAGGCCAGAGATGCAATTTGTGGGTTCTCAAGTATATTCAGATGGCAGAGGCTGGGACATTCTGGTAGCACCTCAGCCAGACCGATAACATGATCGGGAGAAAGATCGACATCAGCAAGATGAATACGTTTCAGTGAAGGCATCTTGGGCAGGAAGCGCCGGAATGCTCCAAGTGCATTGGTCTGCATCGAGAACAAACCAGGATTATGAGAGAAATCAATAAAGCGAAGGTTGTGGATCTGAGTCAGGGCTTGTAGCAATGGAGAGACGACGGAAGGATCCAAGGAACAATCTGCTAGACTGAGGGCATATAGGGGCTGCTCGGGCTCAACAGCATCTGTGATAAGATCAAGGTCGTCTTTGATAGGATTTCCTCCTAGATCCAATCCTTCACATTGTCCAGCTTTGAGATACTCAACAACATGTTCCAAACCTTGTCTTGTCAGATCATTGTTTGCAAATCCCAATCTTCGCAATCCTAGTTTGGTAGATGCCTCGCAAATCCGCTTGACCTGTTCGACGGAAAGCTTGCATTCACTCATGAGCAATTCCTCAAGGTGATCACCGCCAAACCTTTCCGCCAAAGCACACGCAAAAGTATCGCAGACATCGGGGACTGTGCAAGGCGTAGAATTTTCACTTGGAGCCCGGGGTTTAGGAAAAGGAATGCCGGAAAGATCAATCGCCCTCAAGGACTTGGAAAGATGAACGAAGAGGCCAATGTGGCGCCACCCCTCCCGTCCGATTTTCGGGTTGTCCTTCAATGATAGTTTCTCCACAACACCCCATCGTTCATACTTGATAGTAGGTGATTCACACCTGCGATTCCGCTTCCGCCGATAGCGCATCTGCTCCACAGTTTTTGTCGAGAGTAATGCGGCAAGAATAGCCCGCACAGACACGTCGGTCAATGCACAGTTTTCCAACAACAGCTTACGGACAGGTACCACAGCAAGCCAGTCACTCAACGTCACGATATCTTGAGGCGTCATGGGGAAGTTACTGAGATCCAGAGCGGCAACAGTACCCGGCGATTCTGCCAGAGTTGAGGACGGCGACGAAATTTCGTCAATCACTCGTTTAAGAACAGGGGTTTCTCTCAACTGGCAGCATCGACGATAAATGCGCGCCGGGTCTGTGGTAGGGTGGCTTTGGGTCTTAGAACGGGAGGTACCGGACTTCGATGCTCGACAATCATCTTCGTCGTGCTCTGGATCTATTTGGAGCGGGATTGAGCCGTTCGCCACAGCCTGTCTGCGCTTACGCTCCTTACGCTCCTTTCGTTCTTCTTCCGAGCGCTTCTTCTTCTCTTGCTTGCGAGTCGGGTCTTTCTTTTCACCCGCTTCGCTCTCGGTGGTAGGATTTGGGGTAGCGGATTCAATAGTAGAAGTTGTGATCTGAGTGCCCGGAGGGCTGTTCGCTTGAGTGGGGGGTGAGGATGAAGGAGCTGTTGGAACTGCTGGGGCCGCTGAAATCGCTGGAGCTGGAGCCTCCTTCTCGGCCACTGCGGCTTGAGGATGCTTCAGTGCTTCAGCCTCCTCCTTGCCCTTTTCCTTATCCTCTGTCTTAGTATCGATCTTAGTATCGGTGGTCACTTCAGCCTTCTTCGCCTTCTGGCGGTTGGACTCCGGCAAAGGCTTTCGAAGTTGATTTGTTGGAGGAGCATCTTCATCCGAATCCCGATGCGATACACCAGCAATTTCAACATCCACACAAAACGCCACCCTATTTAACTTTGCTTGGTTTAGTTCTGCAATTTTGCAACGGTCACGACCCTGGTCCAGGTTCATCACTCGGCGCGGGCATGTTGCGGCATTTGGCGGCAGCTTGGGCAAACCACCAGAATTCGACGAAAACTTGCGTAGTGCACTGTGTATGAAGGAGGGGCCTTTAGGCGACGAAGAGGTAAACGGGTTTGATTCATCTTTCTTCTCCTCTTCCTTGTCTTTGGGGGAGAAGGCAGCGCCGAATGGGTTATGGTCGAGAGGTCCAGTAGCCTTCGGACTTGCAGGGCTTCCTTTCAGACTAGACTGCGATGGCGGAGTGGATCCAGAAGAGAACTTGGAGCTCAGACTGGATATCCAGGGATTTCTGCGCCCAGTGACTGCTTTGGGTGCAGTTTTTGGTGTCGCAGGCGAGGAAGTGGATGGTTTCTGCTCTGCAGGTTTTTCTGCAAGTTTTTCTGGCTCCGGAGCCTGTTTTTCTTCCTTAATTACTTCATTCTGCGGCTCATGCTTTGTTGTTGAGCCGTTCGATGATGGTGGACGAGCTGGGCTACTATTCGATCGGGATCGTCGGTGTGGTCTGGAAGGGTTCGTCGCAGGATCCCTCTCGGCGCTCGATTTGTCGCTACCTCCTGAAGTTACTGATTTCGTGCGCGAAAGATGATCTGAGAAGAATATTCGAAGTTAGCTTCAGTCACACACGACTAAAACATTCTATGCTCGCTCTCGCTCTTTCTCCTCAATTTTGCCCCAGACTCGGCACCCCGGATCATCCGCATCACTAAAGTGGAACTTGCCTTTCTGCGAATGATGGAGCCAGCTCACATCCACAGTCTGAACACCCTCCATATTGTTCCTTATTACTCAAGACCACTTGCGACGCAGAGAGTTCTGTTCCTGAGCTGGTCGGGGTCTTGCGTCGAGGGTGGCCAGTTGTGTGGCGCTATGTTATGGTCGAATGATGGGTAGGCCTTAGTTCGGATGACGCATAGCTGGCTGATCCCCCCACTTTCTGAAGCACTTCTCGACAATGCCGCAATGATATCCCGCTCAGCGGCGATCAGGTCGAAGCGGTACAGGAATTCGGCAGGTATCTAACCGAAGTGGAGGAGGTTTGTCGGATTGGATTCAGGTATAAGGGTATCACTACAGGTGACAGAACACAGGTCTCACCAGTACATGGAGAGGCAACATGGTGGGAGAGAAAAGCGAAGTAAAGTAATGGGAAAGTAAAAGTAGAGGAAAATGAGGTATTGGAAGCGACCGGATGTGGTCAAGTAGCGATGAAGGTGACATAATCTGCTTCCCCGTAGTGGTCGACCGTGGTCCACTTCTTTAGTAGTAAACTATGCGTAAACTATAGGAACTCCGCCTTGGACGTGAGCACGTGAGGTAACATACAAAGAGCTGAATTACTCCTCCGTGACCGGCGAGCTGGGTTATTCTGCACCCTCGTACAATTAAAGTGGATAAAGAGGCAAAAAGGTGGGGAAGAGCCGAAGATCGGGAGTGCAACGGGTGTTCTTGGCCAATTGTTGAGCGCGAAATCCTCTCTAGGGACCTAAATGACCCCCTTCACGCCAAGTGCCCACAAATTTGGTCTAAGCATGCCTGTAGACCCATAGTGAAATTCACACCGACCATTCTAAAGGGGCGCTACACAATAGCGGTTATTATTTGCGGAAACAAGGTAATAATGTGGTATAAAACCCCGTAATGAGAAAACGCCAGGTCTCTCCAGTGGGAGAGGCAAAAAAAGAAAGCAAAAGAAAACGCAAAGCGCCCGCCAGTCTCTATGCAAATAAAAGGAGAAATAAAGAAAAGAAAGGTCATCACGGCGTGAATATATCCCAATTTCGCCCCTTTTATTCTGCAGAGACGTCCTTGAGGATCTCCCACCCGTACTCCTCTTCGGGCTTCTCGGGCTCCATTCCAAGTGCGTTACGGTATGCGCGAACCTCGTTTTGGAGCCCCGCGATGATTCGGACGGGAAGCTCATCCTCTTCCGATCGCATCCGGTGGGCTTTGCGAATCATCTCTGCGCATCGCATTGTTTGGGCGTGCCAGTAATCTCGGTCCAGCCGACTCTCCAGATGAGCATCCCGTTCAGCCTGCAGGAGGTTGTTATAGTGGCTCTTCTGGTATAGGAAGTGCATGTTGTTGCTTTGGCAATAGTTGCGGATCTGCTCCACCATAGTGCCCACGCCGGCTTCGTAGTCACCAATCAGTTTTGTGTTTTCTGTTTGCTCGCGTTTGAGATCTTCGACCAGTCGTTTTTCCTTGACGAGGGCTCGTTCCAGTTCGGCGATTCGGGCAGCTTAACGCGTCATTAGTATCGGTCGGAATTGGGGTGGACAATGAAGGAATATATTTCGTGTTTCTTCGAGACATACCTGTCAATTCACCGTTGACTTGCTGCAATGCAGCACTAGAACCCTCGGAGGGACCATGTTTCTATTCGGCCTTGTCAGCTCGGTCTCCCCAACGGAACTTGACATCAAACATACCATAATCTCCTCCGCACTTGAGACAATATTCTTTGTTACCTCACGATTATTCTTTAGGACGTCACTCAGCTCCAGCACCATGTCATAGAGGTGATGGAGATCCATCTGATGACCCGCATTCATGGGACCGTTGCCATTCATCACTGCCATGCCACCTCCGTTGACTTGAGCTGCAGGGTGTAGGGGTGCAGGTGAAACGGACTGCCGAGGGATGCTACCCATGTTAGGGGTCCCAGGGGAGTTGTCCACGTAACCGGAGAACATGCCAGACCCTGAATTGCCCGCCATTCCTGTACCGCTGTTCATCGACATCAGGGAAACGTCAAAGGCGCGATTCAATTCTGCAAGCTGGGGATCGTAGGGGTCGATCGGGTGTGAGGTGCCGTTTTCCTCGTCGTAAAAGGAGGCGTGGTTTTCGACGCCTAAAACCTCCTTCTGAAACTTCTCAAGGTCACGGCGAGTAACGTGGGTAGAACGGCGGCGGTGCCCACGTGCTGAAGGTCCCTTGGAAGGGGAGGAAGGAGTGTCGCCCTCGATGATGGCGGCGCAGTCGATAAGTTGGGGGTGGTCTTCAATCACGTCGTGCTCGAGTGCTGCGCTGCGGCTGTCGTGAATGCAATTGATGTGGTTGGCCGAACCATTCCCGATCGGGCTAGTTCCCCGCCCGTTCAACCCGACCAGACGCTTCATTCTATCTAGTGTACTCATCGATTCATGAGGGACAGGGGTTGGCGGTAAAGGTATTGGAAAGATTGGTCATGGTCTGATGATGTGTCTCTTGCTGCGCTAGCAAGGTATTTTCACACACATGAACAGATGTGGGTGTAATAGAGTCGATGACGGGGAGAAGGTAGCAAGGAACCGGCGAACTTCTCTTCAATCGCACCTGCTGAAAACCCATTGACAACCGAATTCCTGCAGTCGTAATGGTGAAAGCACCTTCCCCACTTGACATCCCTTACACTAGCTCGGTCTTATAGGAAACGGGCTTGCCCAATTTCAGCTACAGTACGTAGGGAAGGTAACCCAAGTAGTACATGGAATTTTACAGGACCTGCAGTGCTAGGTACAAATTTGATGCCGCATGGACCAGGGTTCTCGAGAACACAAGGGAGAATAAAAACGTTTCAAGGGAAATTATGGCATAAGTCATTCCTCCGTATCCATTAAAGCTTCAAGTCGTCGATCTGATCCGGGGAGAAGGTATTCCTCCCCACCTTGTGTTTGACTGGGTTTCATTTGCGAAATTCTGCCGCTAACTCGCGCCAGGAGCATGCGCATTTTCTCCAATTCCTGAGCCAACTCTCCATCACGGGTGACCAAATTGGGCTGGATGGCCACCTGAGGCTCTTTGAAGGGCTCGAGCAAGCGGTGTAAATGCTGCAGTTGATCAATACGCCGTTGTTTCTGCTGGCGCTGTTGATCTAGACTGGCCAGTCGATCCCGGAGACGCTGGTATCTGTACAACGGGGATTAGGTAGGTGGAACTTCAATCAGTGAACCTTCAGATCTGTGTGGAGACTGACCTCTCATTTTGTTCCTCACTGGCGCCTTGTGATTCCAGATCCAATGGCAACCCGAGGATGTTCCTTCAAGACCAGTCAGTACATTCTAAATTCAACCAGGGATTGACAAAGCGATGGGGAGAAGTCTCACAAATGTTTAGAAAGATCTGCCGTCTTTTCAACGCCTTTTTTGAGGATAGCTTGGTTTTGTATATCCTGGCTAACAGAAGCCCAGTAGAGATTGGTAATCTGGTGGGCTACATGGTGAATCGCTTGGGAAGAATAAACAACGCGGTTGTGTTGCTTTGCCACCCCATTGACTAAAGGAGTCAGTAAAGGTTATCCGGGAGGAGAATAGAGAGGAAATTGCATGAGTTGCAATGCAATAGACAGCCCGTACCTTTGTGTAGCACATCTTCAATCACCTTCTCGGGCAGCGCTTCTTCCTCAAGCTCCACTGCATAGTCCCTCCAGTTTTCTGGTGGCTGAAGATTCTCGGAAAGAATGCGGACTTGGCTCCAGATGAATGCAGATTTTAATTCGGAAATTGTCCGCGTTGAATCCATCGCTTCATCGCGGGAGAAGTAATCTGGAGTGAGATTGGACTCTCGTTGCGCTCCATATCACTTAACGCGTCTCTTATCGATAACATCACGTGTACCCCGCCATCAATGGTTACACTTCAGCCCATTTTGCAGGCCCTTTTGCTTCGTTCCATACTATTTCTCTTATAATCATCCGTGGGCTCCTAGAATGAGTTTGCGTCTCTTGTGATTTGGTAAAAAGCATGACTAGAATACGATGATATCGCCTTTCATGTAGACTAACTGTCAGTCCCCGTTCATAGTATTAGCAATGATCTCGTCTGCAGTTGTTGATCAAATAACTTCATAAAACAGTATAATGGTATGTAAGTGTACTATTGCTTTTATATCGCATAGTTCGTGTGAAGTATCTAGTGGTGGATGAAGAACAGTCCCTCGGCCCCTGCACGTACCTCGGCAATAATCAAGACCGCATTGGGTCACTACTTCTCCGCAACTATCACCGCTGTATACATCCCACCCCTCTACCTGCTAGCTGCCGCTTGAATGAATACCTGATTGAAGATCAAATCAACTTTAAATCTTGAGGATGGCAGCCACTAAGCGCCCTGTGTGTCTTCTGTTCGACATTGGTGGAGTGTGTGTAAGTTCAGATACTAGCATCAACCCCCATCGCCTCGATTAGCATCGCTGATAGTTTCAAAGGTCGTATCTCCATTCCAGGCCATTCTCGACTATGAAATATCACAAAATATTCCTCCAGGATGGGTGAATTTCAGCATATCGCGCACTAAGCCCAACGGGAGCTGGCACCAGTTGGAACGTGGCGACATCCCCATGGATGCCAAATTCTTTGCCGGCTTCAACGAGGATCTAAGGAATCCTACTCTATGGAAGGAATTCCATGAGCAACTGCATAAAAAGAAAAACGCAAGTGGCTCAGTCACAATCCCACCACTCCCGACCGTGGACGCCGAGTGGCTTTTCTGGGAGATGATGAGAGTGTCTCGCACCCCTGACCCATACATGTTCCCAGCGTTACGAAAGCTGCGGGAATCGGGTAAATATCTCATGGGTGCTCTGTCAAATACTGTCAAATTCCCCGAGGGCCACCCATATAACAACGACGTGTCCGGGGTGAGATCTCAGTTCGACTTTTTCATTTCGTCTGCGCATACCGGGCTTCGCAAACCAGATCCCCGTATCTATGAGGTTGCGACTCAGGAGATGAAGGCTCTGGCGCAGAAGCGTGGACTTCCTGCAGTGGAGGCGTCGGATATTGTGTTCTTCGACGACATTGGTGAAAATTGCAAGGCGGCAAAAAAAGCTGGGATGCGTACGGTTAAGGTCACCTTGGGAAAGATTGAAGATGCAGTCAAGGAATTAGAGAAGATTACTGGGCTTCCATTGCTTGAGGGTGACAAGGCTCGACTATAGAATTAGACAGCACCGTATTTCGGATTTTGATTTTCTTATTCTTATTTTTGCATATTGAGCAGGCTAGTTCCATATAGTTTAACAGATAGAATGAATCTTATGATTATTGTGGAAATTCTAGCTTTTTTTTTTTTGTTGCAGACTGTGATAATGGTCCTTAAATCGGACTTTTGTGGTGGTCGTCGACGCTCGTCGCCAACCGCACTTTTGGGTTGCGGGATGCAGCCCACGCTAAGCGAAATCCCCCACAAAGAACCGTCGCACTTTCGACTTCTCTTTTTTCTTCCCAACCGTCGACCACAGGATCAGCACCGGCAACCGTCAACATGGTGAGTGTCTTTACCACTGCAAATGGTTGAAATACACCATTCTGCGACATTCTTTTTCCCTCCGTTTCGATCGGAGCAGGGTCTTTGCAAGATGCTTCGGACAAAATTCTGAAGCGCTAATTGCTGACTCGCGGATTTTTCTTGTAGCCTTTCACCAAGACTGTCAAGAGCAATGCGTACTTCTCGTAAGTCATCCTCTCCCCATTGACTGAAAAGAAATATCTCTTTTTAAGTGCCTTTTTTTTTGGTCGTGTGCTGATTTTTTACCCCTCTAGTCGCTACCAGACCAAGTACCGTCGTCGCCGTGAGGGTAAGACCGACTACTATGCTCGCAAGCGCCTGATCACCCAGGCCAAGAACAAGTACAACGCCCCCAAGTACCGCATGGTCGTTCGCTTCACCAACCGTGACATCGTTACTCAGATCGTCTACTCTGAGATCTCCGGTGACAAGGTCCTGTGCGCTGCCTACGCTCACGAGCTCAAGCGCTACGGTATCAACCAGGGTCTGACCAACTACGCCGCTGCCTACGCCACTGGTCTGCTCCTTGCCCGCCGTGCTCTCACCAAGCTCGGCCTTGCTGAGCAGTTCAAGGGTGTTGAGGAGGCCACTGGTGAGCACTCTCTCGTCGAGGCCGTTGAGACCGAGGACGGTGAGCGCCGCCCCTTCAAGGCCTTCCTCGATGTTGGTCTTGTCCGCACCTCCACCGGTAACCGTGTCTTCGCTGCCATGAAGGGTGCCTCCGACGGTGGTGTCTTCATCCCCCACTCCGACCGCCGTTTCCCCGGTTACGACATCGAGACTGAGGAGCTCGATGCTGACCTCCTCCGCAACTACATCATGGGTGGTCACGTCTCTGAGTACATGGAGACCCTCGCCGATGAGGATGAGGAGCGCTACAAGTCTCAGTTCGCCAAATACATCGAGGAGGAGGTCGATGCCGGTGACCTTGAGGAGATTTACACCGAGGCTCACTCCGCCATCCGTGAGGACCCCTTCAAGAAGGATGAGGATGAGGGTTCCAAGAAGACCAAGGAGGAGTGGAAGGCCGAGTCTAAGAAGCACAAGGTCCAGCGCCTCACCCGCGAGCAGAAGAAGGCCCGCGTCCAGGAGAAGATCCGCGAGCTTGCCTCCAACTAAGCGCTTTGTCGGCTGTTCCTGACGAGTACTTCGGTTCGCTCAAAATTCTAAAAAAGTTCCACCACCATTCAATGAGGGAACTGGCTTTGGCCACTCGGCGTTTATTTCTGATGTGATGTTGATCATGGCAAATACCACTGTTACGTTTTAAGGGGATATCTTGGGAGCAATTAGTTCGGTGTTTCATTCAAGGCAATTTTTCGTTCACAGTTCTATGCTCCAATGTCCATGCAATCTCATCGTTCCCTCACCCACTTCAGTTCTAGTATTGGTCTGGATCTTACGTAGATGGGAACCAGTAAAGTGTAGATGCGTTTCCTTGATAACTGAACTACTGAATGCAGTCAGACTGAACAGCGTTGGTTGTGTGCGTTTTGCATCACGTGATCTCGGTGGCAACGACTTGGACAACAAGCCTTGATCACGCCAATGCGAGCCAAGCTACCTAACGATGAGGCTTTTTCTCATCCGACATGCAGAAACAGTGCATAACGTAGCCCAAGCATGGTAAGATCTAAGCACTTCAGACTATATCACCAACACTTACAAGGCAACAGGGCGGGCACCACAGACTCAGCCCTGACAAACCACGGCACACTCCAGATAGAATGTCTTGGGAAGCATTTCGCCTCCAATTCGATTCATTTCAATCGAGTCTTCGCATCGGATCTGAGCCGAGCCAGCCTCACCGCTACAGGCATTTGCCTTCATCAACCGCAAGATCATGATATACCCATGACACCAACATTAACAGCGAACTTAAAGGAACGAGACTTCGGTTCATTAGAAGGCATTCGTATTCAGTCTGCAAACTCCAGACCTGAACTGGGAAGTGCGCATTCTACGAATGCCCAGTCTGATGGCTCTACGCATATCGAAAGCGAGACAGTGATCTCAATGAGACAACGAGCAACATCCTTTCTGAATGAGCACTTCTTACCACTACTGTTCGACTACTCAGATACCGACTCAAACATCGCCGTCGTCTCACATGGAGTATTCCTACGTGTTATGTGGAATCGACTTGTTGACCTATTCGACCCCATGGATATATCTCTGGCGACCGGCGACGCCTCTCGGGATCGTGGCCCAGCAGCTCTATTCTCGCCAAGCTGGTCCAACACAGGATATATGACATTACTCATCCAGCCAGCCCAGGAATCGCAAGAGGGAATTACATCCAGTTCCAGGACCGATGCTCTCCTGAATGGCTGGGCCATGAAGATCGTTGCTGTTGATAATAAAGAGCATCTAGCCGGTCTACATCGGACCCGTGGAGGCATTGGCAGTGCTGTGAATGACTCGCGCCAAAAAAGAATAGATCATTTTTTCAAGCGGTAAAGCGAATATTGGATATGAAAACCAGGCTGATCAATACTCTATTTCGTGATAATTTATATACATGTTAATTGATTGCCTACTACATAATAGGATCACTCGGTATAGAAGACTTCGTCCAATAACTTCCACCAGCCAGGTCCATCGGCACTACCCACGGCACCGGGGATGGGGCTCTCCTAATTACGACTCGTGCATTAGTCTCAAAGTCTGGGCAATGTAATTGATTGTTCATAGAACTTACCTGCATGCCATCGGTCATGGCCCACCATTCTCTCACTTTCGGGTTGGCTCGCATGGCCTCCATATCACCCTCGAAGTCTGTGCCGACGTACTTGAAAGTCGCGAAAAGGGTGCGGTCATTGTCGAAAAAGATTGAGTCTGAAGAATTGCAAAGTGGATGTTAGTTGAAGAAATTGACTAGATCCCCATAAGACTGTACTTACAGTCCACAATATTGCAGTCCTTGATCTGTTGCAGAACCTCCGGCCAGACATTAGCGTGGCACTCCTTGTATGCTGCCACGGCAGAGGGCTTGAGATGAACGATCTGGGCAATACGGCGAACTGGAGACATGATGGATTGAGAACTGAAATTAATCGGAATCCAGGTAAATGAAATGAACTAAGAAAAAAGTGCGCCAATCTCCGTTGACATGCCCCGCGTCCCCTCTTCGCCGCATCGTTAACCCATGCTCGGGAGGCACTAACCCGAATCCCGTTACCCGCGCCGGAGTCAGTGCATTGTGATACTCAGACTACAGCCTAAATTGACATTGAAGAATGACGTAAATAATTCTATCACTTTAACTTAGTCATTATATCTACCATTGTGAAGTTACATCTTCATTGAATCACGGGAGCCTTGGTGACCGGACGAATCCAGCTCACAGCCACATTCCCCACCAAAGCAATCACGCCCATAATCCAGATCGACCGACCATAATGCGTTTCATTGTATCGGAAGATAATCGCAAAGATAATTCCACCAAGATTTCCAAATCCGCCAACAAGGCCAGACACGATACCTGAAGCACGAATATTAGCATAATTCCACCAAAGTGGGGGTATCACTCACCATTAGCATAAGGATGCACATGAGGAACAAGGCCAAAGTTTGCCCCATTAGCCGCCTCCAAAAAGAAAGCCATACCGGCAATAAGACCAAACATAGTGGCCTCATCAGACGGATTCGTCAACCCAATAGCCAGCAAGAATGCACCCATGACAACACCCAAAAAGACTATAAGAAGTTTCTTGGACCAAAGACTACCAGTAGCACTGAAAACCATATCCGCCATGAAACCGCCAGCGGGACGGAAGACAATATTCAATAGCCCAAACATAGCGGCCCACCGGCCTGACTCTGTCTGTCCCATTCCCGGGAAGTTCGCTGCGTAATAAGTACCCAGGAAACTATCCAGAGCTAGCTCTGCGCCGAAAGAGCATGCGTATGGAATTGCGACGGCAATTGTTGGGAGGCTGAACGCGACGCTTAGAGCTTCTCGGCGGGTGGGAGCGACGACGATGTCTTGTTTGAAGCTAGCTATTTGGCCCACCGGTGAGGCGTCTTTGTCGGAGGATTGAGTAAGAGATTGAGTGCCACCTTTCTTCTCCATATCGATTGTCATGGTACTGTTGTAGATGGAAGGGGGGCCGGAGGGGCCGACTGAAGTAGTCCCAGAGCTTAGGTCGACAATTTTGCCGTCTGTTAAGTGGGTGTTTCCATTTGATTCTTTGGCCCAGAGATGACGTTCCGACCATTTGCCTGTTGGGGTGTCTTCGCAAAGAAATAACATCCCCAGCGCGACGGCTGTGATGATGATGAATGGGACGATATAGGCGACACGCCATGCTTTATGAGCTGGTAGACCTTGCGAAGTGACGAGGGAGTCAAAAATGGCTGGCATGAGGAAACTAGATTATTGTCAGTAGCCTGGACTTTGAACTTTGACGTGTATGCTTTGGGCTTGCGAGACATACTAGGTGATACCACCACCGGCATTTCCCCATCCTCCAGCGAGAGAGTTGGCCGTGCCAACGATGGTCTTGTCGAAGAATCCGGTGCACCATACTTGGCATGGGACGAATGTACCACCGAGAATGCCGATGAAGAATCGTAACGCAATTAGACCATTTGGAGTGGTGACTAGACCGGCCATGGCGGTTGGAATGGCTCCGGCTAATAGTAGTCCCACAAATACTAAGCGTGGACCAAAACGGTCGCAGAGTGGGCCTGCAATAACACGGACAAGCAGGCTAAGACTTTGTTAGCAAGGCTGCAAGATCCAGATGTGGGTACAAGCTTATGTGGCTTACGTCGCTAGCAATGCTACAACGTTTGAATTTGACACCTGTGTCGTAGTCATATTGAGGTCTTTTTTGATAGTGTCCGTCAACTGATTGAGACTAGTATGAGTTTTTTTTTTTTCTCTAAAAAGTCCCGACAGCAAGACTTACCAGTGGCGGAAACGCATACCACGACAGGAATGCGACCATGAAACCCATCCATGAGAAGAAGAAGACGCGTCCATATTGATCAAATGGGTTCAACACCGGAATCGACTTGGCTTTGCGTGTGCTAGGGTTGATTTCGGGAGAAGCGACGAGGAGTTTAAAGAAGGAAGCAGCCATTACTTTAGTCCAGCGAGCTCAGAAGCCGCAAGGAGAGAAGCTGAAAATCTGATCGAATTTGTTTGGGGGACACTCAGGTAAATTTTCGCTCTCTTAAAAAGCTATGATCAGTAGTAGCAGATGTGATCTGTTTAATCAGTGACGTCTCGTCAGCGACCAACAAGGAGATCTATATAGAAGTCCAGATACTCACAAACACAGAGATGCACATCATATAATAGGAATTGGGTTCTTATGACACAGAAACCCAAAGATGGCTATCGGTTGCCTGTCAGTGGCATCCAGAAGATTGCGCAGGCAACCAAGCGATAGATTGGCCGCGGAGCACAAGCAAAAGTCCCATGCCTATTTTATCCCGCGAATCTGATTCGACGGTAATTTGCTTTTCTGCACTGTGGGTGTCAACACGGCGTTAAACGTTTTGCCATGCATTGATAGCGATAAGGGGAAACGCTACAAAAAGTGGATTGTTCAGCATCAATGAATGGTGATAAGAGAGGAACTCTGCAACTCCGCGGGGCTCAATTACAATGATGATGATGTTTTGGAAATATCTGGGGTCAAGTTCCACCCCTGTGGCGTTCCATGGTTCTTTCAGGTCATTGATAAATGTACCGCTTCTCATTGGACGTCAGATGGATCACGATAGGAACTGGATAGCGAGCCCAGAACTCAGCTCAGTGGGGTCCCACTGAGATCTCAGTACGGTCTGGACCTAAATTATAAGGCATCGAAGGCTGTAAAATATTATATAATCAGTGTTTTAGTCCTTACATTCCATAAAACGCTTGGCGTAACCCTTGGTAAATTACTAGTATTTATTTACAATCCCATGTACATTTTATTCAATATTCATCCACAATGGCTTCAGATAGAAACTCCTCCTGATTAAGCTAGTGGCAATACTAAGACATCGCTATAAGGAGGCTAATTAATACTACACCACTCCTAATCAACCAGGATATTGATCTAGAGCCTAGTCTTGACTCTTGAGCTGCCTAGGCAGAATGATTAAGAATAAGATATAGTACCTAATGTGGTAAATATATATATCCACCTACTTTCACTTTTTGACATCTACTTTCTTTTATTACCGGGATTAATTTACTAGTAATATACTAGTAGCTAACTAGTAGTAGTAAATTTACTTACCTCTTTAGGGCAATCAGGAGCCCGGCAAAAAAGCTCATCGTAGTGGATGCGGTATGTTCCCATCATCTAAGCAAAATTAACTTTATTTACTAGTAAAATATCTATTTTTACTAGTAAACTTACCTCCTCTTTAATACCAAGGAGATAGAGCTCTACCTTATTACGAAATAATGTATATTACTCATAAGTAGCCTATTATAGAATAATTAGTTAAAATATATTCTAAAAACCACTAAAATCGCTTAGAAATCGCTTAGAAATCGCTTAAAAATGGGTTAAATATGGCCCAAAATTACTCAAAATCATCACTAGATTAGTATATTAATCACGTTACCAACATGCTACTTGACTCGAGGCATGCTGGTTGGGGGGGGGTGGGTGGAATACGCGTGGGGCCGTGTAAAAATGGAGATGATGAAGATGGTAAGAGGAAAAGGGGGGGGGGCAAGCGCCTATGTAAGGGTTGGTAAAACAAAGAAACCGGTAACAAAGAAATAGATGGCCTTAGGCCACCATTACCCTACTGAGATCTCACTGAGCTGTAGTCACATAGCGAGCCCCAGGGCTGTGGGCCCTCCCGAAGATTGATCGGGTCGATCTCAGCTCCGCGGAAATACCTTAAAGAAAAGATGATCTCGAATCAGTTTCGTCGTGAACTGCTCTATGACGACTGTATGATGACATAATCTTTGCCCTAGGGTTACTGTTCGCCTATCTTGTCATCGAGGCGTTTCTTGTCAGTGATATTCTCCCAAGGGCTGAAATGTGCGCTTTCCGCGGTATCATCACTTCAAGACATTTTCTTTATGCTAGAGGTTGTAATCTCCATGTTCTCCGAGGCCCGCGGGTGTTGAAGCTTCTGCCATGCATTCTCAGAGATCTGCCCGACGATGCTCATATGAGGGCTTGGGCATTGAATCTACAGGGCCTAGGTCGTCTGGTCTTTCCAACGAGTTCTGCTTACCTCCGCGGAAGCATGGGCCATAATTCCTTTCCCACACCCGGATCTATGAAAGCAAGCAGAGAACTGAGGACAAATCAATGACGCATATTCGCGCACGGAGACACTACAATTTAATTCAACTTCTGTTTGAGATACGCTATCCGTAGTGACGATGCATAGACGGAAAAGTTTCCTCCAGATTGGAGGAGTTCCAAGATTGACAGCGGAAAATAAGGAATCCTCGGTTCCCTTTCTGAGTGGAGATTTGTCACTCTTTATTATCATTCCGATGATCCTATTGTTTCTTGTCTGCAGGTTCGCTTTCTACCTGATAGTGTTTGTTCTTTCTTTTGACAGCGGGCGGTTCCGGTAGCTCCTTCTTGAGTTCAGGCTCAGGCAAGGCAATAAAATCGTCCTCGACAGATGGCTTGCCTAAGATCTGGCGTTCGATGAAGTTATCACCGTTTGTCACTTTTGCAATATAGCCACCAGCACCGATAGCTATAGGAAGTAGACCTCGCATTGCAGGTGGTAGAGCAACTTGGGCTTTGTTGAGCTTTGCAGATTTAGAGAGAAGATTTTTGAGGTCTGTGAGTGTTGGTGGGTGGGACATGGCGCATCTAAGTTGATATGAGAGTTAGCCCTGCACATCACATCTAGTCAGTCCTCACGATAATTCTATCATACATAGGAGCGTACACGATACTATTGTTGCCGTGCGCAACTAGTAAAGAGGGCAGTTGAAATATAATAAAATGGGTGTGAGGTGGAAGCTCAGTTGCGACCATTAAAGACATCAATAGTCTACGCGTCTTACCGTTCCTGGCCACTGAATATATGAACACCATGTTTCTCACATTCCGTCACTGCTGAGAGGTATCTGTTTGGCTCAGGCATCTGCTGGCTGTTGAAGTCACATGAATGTGACTCATGCGCTAGTAGACGTGCTGCCTATACTTCTCACTATATCCAATGATATTCTTCATTTTTTTGGTGACCTCTATCTAGCTCATAGCTACGTACGCTTTAACCTCATAGTACCCCCTCTTGATCTGTTTTTGTTCAATATACAGTCGGAATATTGCGAATCCTCTTTATAGCACTGTTTTTGTCATAGAAATATTGTGTTATTCACATTTATATTGCATTAGCCATATCAGAGGATCCATGGATGCACCATAACACCGTCGCTTGAATTTTCAAAATCTCAACGCAGTCTACCAGTCAATCCCCTGAGCTGACTTAACGGTTGGCCGAGTTACGTCGCCATCAGCCACCTTCTTCCCTCTCATTCCCTTGTATTTCTTATCAATTTTATGGAAGGGATCGGGAGCTTCTCCCTTCCTCACCTTCCATTTCTCCGTCCCAAGAACCGAATCCAACTCCTCAATAGGAGGTAGCTTGATATAGATCCAGCCATCATCTCTCTCTTCCACCGGGAATGTGGCAATGTTCATACTTTCATCACTCGAACAACGACCTGCCTGTTCACCATTGAGGTCGAAATTACGCTTGTGATACGGGCACGAAACCCAATACTTCCCCGCATCATCATCGCCAATCAAGCCATCAGACAACACAAACGCCCGTTTATGCGGACACATCTGCTGTGTCGCGTAGAACTTTCCCTTGATCTTGAAAACAGCAAGCTGGGTATCCCCGCGTTTCACATTCGCCGATGAGACCTGCGGCGGCTCATCGGAAAAGTGATCTGCCTTGACAACGGGCTGCCACGAGAGACTTGACCATTGATGACCCTTGAAGTCCTCCGTGACAGAGTCTTTAGGCCAGTATGTTGGACGCTGCTGTGAACGTTCTTGAATGACTTCCACTGTATCCACGGTCTCGTCCGTGTTCGCGAACTGCTGGAAAGTCTTCCGCCGCTTCGGGTCTCGGACTGTCTCTGTCCATTCACAGAAATAGCTGTCGACTAATTCCTGCATTTGCCTCTCCATATCGGCGCAGATACCGAGCTTGTCGTCGATGATCACCTCTCGTAGGTAGTCGATGCCACCGGGTAGGTTCTCGATCCACCGGGCTGTTCTTTGTAGCTTGTCGGCGGTGCGGATATAGAAAATCAGATACCGGTCTACAATTGGCATGACCATCTCGGGTGGAACATCTTTGACTAGCAGCTCAGAGTGACGGGGGTTTGCGCCTCCATTACCCCCGACAAAGAGGTTGAAACCTTTGTCCGTAGCGATGAGACCGAAACTAATGGTAAAAACCGATGGTCAGCTTTGGCTGTCAAGTCGAAACAATGGATCACAACTCACTCCTTGTTCTGCGCTTCGGCACATTCACGTACGCAGCCGGATACGGCTGCCTTGAATTTGTGTGGTGCTCGAACACTCTTGTAACGCTCTTCCAACCGGATCGCCATACCGACACTGTCTCCGATACCAAAACGACACCATGTGGAGCCCACGCAACTCTGCAATGGAAAGATCAGATATGTAGTGTAAAGCATAAATATCAAACTAACCTTGATAGCACGTAGCGCCTTTGCGTAGGCATGACCACTCTCCATACCAGCATCAACAAGCTCGGACCAAATAGGCAGTAGATCCTGCTTCTTAGCACCGAACATGTCAATTCGTTGCGCACCCGTAATCTTGCAATAGAGCCCATATTTTTTAGCTACTGTACCGATAGCAATAAGCTTGTCAGCTGTGATCTCTCCACCGGGCACTCGAGGCACAACGGAAAATGTTCCATTTCTCTGGATGTTGGCCAGGAATTTGTCGTTAGTGTCTTGCAATTCGTTGTATCCTTTATCCATCACGTGTGGATTGAATAAGCTCGACAGAATAGATCCAATGGCAGGCTTGCATGTCTCACAGCCGAGGGAATCTGGCTTGTTTCCTGCTGTTTGCATCACCTCGACGAACGTCTTGAGTTGTTTCACTGCAATAACGTTGTAAAGATCGGCTCGAGAGTAGGGGATGTGCGAGCAGACTTTCTTCTGTTAGTGCTTATCTCTCGCCCATACAGTGATTCGTTCAGTACTCACGGTGGTTGGAAACTTCCTGACCCATTTCAAGCATGGTCTTGTTGAAGATTGATTGGACCAGCGGCATGCATCCACCACATCCTGTACCTGCTTTCGTACAGGACTTGACTTCGCCAATCGTCGTACAAGTTCCACTTTTGATATTTTCAACCACATCACCCTTGGTCACATTGTGACAGGCGCAAATCTGGGTACTGTCATCGCTACAGAACTCGTTAGTATAAAGCTCTGAAGCAACTGGTCGTGCACACTAACAGATCATCTGCGTCTTCTTCACCATCAGCTTGAGCCCCGAGAATAAACTGACTGGGAGCAACTTCAAGCTCTTTCTGTGCCTTGACCATCTGGTTCAACTTCAAGTAATCTCGAGTGTCTCCGATCATCATACCACCAAGCAAATATTTACCATCCATGGTAAAGAGATACTTCTTGTAGACGCCACCAAATGGATCTTTGTAGGTCAGCGCCTTCACGGGCCCATCTTCAATCGTGCTACCAATAAGAGGTCGATCACCCGGGAGGAACTTTGGCCCATCTCTGTCAGCGAAGAAATCTCCGAATGAGGCGACGTCCACCCCGAGCAGCTTCAGTTTTGTACTCAGATCTGGTCGAGTGAAGCTCTTGGGCTCTTTGTCCACGTTTGTGAGGTTGTAAGCTAGCACGTCGGCCATTTCAATACCGGGCGCGATGATTCCAAAGGTTTGATTTTCCCAGCTAGCGCATTCTCCCACGGCATAAATACCCGGGACGGAAGTCTCAAGGCTGGATAAGTCAGATTAAAGCTTCTACATCTTTGGGGGCGTAAACAAACCTCTCATTGATTACAAAACCTCCTCGCGAGGCGGACAGAATACCAGCTGAAGCTCCTAATTCATCTCTGGGCCTGACACCGATCTATCATCTCATCAGCATCTTCACGGAGTAGCGATTCGAGTCAACGTACCGCAAAACAAATACAGCAGCAATCAATATGTTCACCGTCCTCAAACGTGATGCCAGTAACATTGTTTTCGGAATCGGTGTTAACAACCGCCACTCGCTTCTGATGCAACACATCAAGTCCCAACTCCTGAATCTTGCGGGAAACCAAGCTTCCCGCATCACCATCCAACTGGCGCGCCAGCACCCATTTGTTGCGGTCAATCAGCATTACATTTCCAAAGTCTTCCAGATCAGTCATCGCCTTGGCAGCTTCGAGACCCAATAGACCACCTCCGACGGTCACGGCTGTTTCGCCTTTATGTTGAGATGCGAAGTCAATCAGCCGCTCCAGATCGGAGATCGTGCGGTAGACGAAGACGCCTTTGGCATCGTGGCCTGGGGTGTGGGTGGGGAGGACTGCATCGGAGCCGGTGGCTAGTACGAGGATGTCGTAGGTGACTGTATCGCCGGTTGAGGTTTGGACTGTCTTGTTGGTGGGGTTTATTGATGTCACTGTGGTGTTGAGGTGGTGGTCGAAGGCACGCTCTTTGATTGAGTCGTACTGTATAGGTGTTAGACAATATTATAAAGAAAGCATGTTCTGTAGTAGGGTTCATACCCATTCCGTCGGATTCAAGTAGAGATCTTCGATCTTGCGGTGCTCGAAAAATGAAGATAGGCCAACACGATTGTAGGCAACATGTGCCTCTTCTCCAATTACTAGGATATCGTATCGTCGCTCCGTATCTTGTTTGATCAGTTTTTCACTTGGAGTGTTAGTTTAGCGCTGCTAGGCAGATTGGAAGATCCCTACATTAGAGAAATAGCCACCATTCCTAGGCCAACAATTACTATCTTCTGTCTTGGACGTTCTTTGAAACTATGGCTGCCGTCCACCGGCTCGCCGTGTCGAAGCCCATCCAGCACCGGCATGCTTACTGGGCAAGATGGAATCGAAACGTTGAAATCCTACACTACAAGCTAAGGCTATGGATTCTTTTTAAGACAAATTGAGCGTTGAAGACGTATAGTGGTACAAAGTAACATCTCTTACGGAAGAAGTAGGGCGGCGATCTTGATAAGCATTGACTTCCGCGGAGATCGCAGGAGCGATAATAGCCTCAACATGATTGGTCACCATTTGACCTCTAGATAACACGACAATTCTTCATCCAAGATGATGTGTTGTCTTTGTGACTAACATAACTCGATCAGGTCGCCACTTTTCTTTTGATCGAACTTTGGAAATCCGCGGAGATACTTGTATTTCGGCCGTGATGAGCCTCGGAGTTACAAACACGATCCACGTTGATCCCCACGACACGAAAACCTGGGCCCAGATTACTTTAGAGAACATTATTGCTGAAATGAATAGCTGCTCAATCGATTCTTGATTCTTTCCTAGTTTAACGTCCACTTTTCTATACATTTATTATATAAGCAGAACGGGGCAGTGGGCTTCAGCAAGAAAAAAATTATAGCGTGAAAGATCGCCCCTCCATCGCAATGGCGACAATGACACAGACTATCATCGATACAGATGAGATGAACGACATCTCCTTCAAGACAAAAGAGATCCAATTTCATGATTTACCTACTCCTCAGGAGTACGATATCCCCCTTCCTCCTCCATCAGTCAACCCGACCGAGATCCTAGAAGTGGATAAAGGAACACCCGACGGCCATGTCCCTCGAGATCCAAGACTTATACGATTGACTGGTGTTCATCCGTTTAACGTTGAGCCACCTCTCACGGCATTATATAAGGAGGGTATGTTATAATAGTCAATCTTTAAATACACAACAGCAAATAACACAACCAGGCTTCCTTACATCGCCCGAACTATTCTACGTTCGTAACCATGGTCCTGTACCACAAGTCCGAGATGAAGAGATCCCTGATTGGGAGCTCAGCATAGAAGGGTGAGATCATCACCTCGATATCCATATGCGTACCACAGTGAAAGAGGCTCATAGAATACAGATTAGTGGAAAATCCGATAACGCTGAGTTTCCGAGAAATTCTGGAAAAATATGATCAAATAACTACTCCAATCACCCTGGTATGTGCCGGTAACAGACGAAAAGAACAGAATACCGTTCGAAAGTCCAAGGGATTCTCATGGGGACCGGCCGGACTCTCAACGGCACTATGGACAGGGCCCATGATGGCCGATATCCTGCGAAGTGCGAAACCCCTTCGAAAAGCCAAATACGTCTGCATGGAGGGAGCCGATAAATTGGTAAGCTTCTCGCAAGCTACAAGATTCAATAATCTTTAACTAATCAATCTAGCCAAATGGTTATTATGGCACGTCCGTTAAACTGAACTGGGCTATGGATTTCAACAGGGGAATCATGTTAGCACATAAGATGAATGGTGAAGACTTGCGTCCAGACCACGGAAGACCGTTAAGAGCTGTTGTGCCGGGCCAGATTGGAGGACGAAGTGTCAAATGGCTCAAGAGACTTATTGTTACCGAGGCACCGAGTGATAACTGGTATCATATTAATGATAATCGGGTGTTACCGTAAGTCTTGCTCGCGGGAGTGACAACATTTACTAACTTAAATTAGGACTATGATTTCGCCAGAGATGTCGGCTACGAGTACCGAGTGGTGGACCGATGAGCGGTATGCTATTTATGATCTCAATGTCAACTCCGTAGCGGCCTTCCCTGAGCATGAAGAAGTATTGGACCTAGCAACTGCCGGGTCAACATATACGGCAAAGGGATACGCTTATGCGGGAGGGGGTCGAAGAATCACAAGAGTTGAAATCTCTCTTGACAAAGGCAAATGTAGGTCCGATGAATTTTATTTCTTGTATCGAATCTAATTTTCCAATTCTAACTCTATTTCTAGCATGGCGACTTGCCGAAATCGATTACGCAGAAGACAAGTACAGAGATTTCGAGGGCGATCTTTTTGGCGGAAAAGTGGACATGTGGAAAAGAGAAAGCTGTTTTTGCTGGTCATTCTGGTCTCTCCAGATTCCAGTATCCGACCTCGAGAATAGCGGAGCACTGCTCGTTAGGGCTATGGATGATGGCATGATGGTGCAACCTCGCGACATGTACTGGTCCGTCCTGGGTATGATGAACAACCCCTGGTTCCGGGTCACAATCACAAAGGAGGGGAATAGTCTCAAATTTGAGCATCCAACTCATCCTGCGAGGGCTGGAGGCTGGATGGAAAAAGCCAAGAAAGCCGGCGGTGATTTGACTAATGGGAACTGGGGCGAGAGGGTTGAGGGAGAAGCTCCCCTTGAGCCGGAGCCTGTGAAGGAAATCAATATGAAGAAAGAGGGGCTGGCTCGTATGATTGATTTACAAGAGCTCAAGGCGAATAGCAGTGCCGAAAAGCCTTGGTTCGTGGTTAATGGAGAGGTATATGATGGTACCAAATTCCTCGAGGGTCATCCAGGTGGAGCAATCAGTATTACCTCCTCAGCCGGGTTGGATGTCTCGGAAGATTTCCTCGCTATTCGTGAGTATACCTCCTGTCTGGGGGCCATTGATAATCTTACATCGCTAACTCCTACATAGACAGCGAAACCGCCAAGCTGATGATGCCCGATTATCACATTGGTACATTAGACAAAGCTTCTATCGAAGCTCTCAACAGCGACTCGACCACTGTCTCAAACGACCCACGTCCAATCTTCCTTCAATCACGCTCATGGGCAAAGATGAAGCTTTCCGAGGTGAAGACTGTATCATGGGATACCAAAATCTTCATCTTCGACCTAGAACACGACAAACAATCCTTAGGTCTACCAATCGGCCAGCACCTAATGATCAAAGTCCCAGATCCAACCAACAAAGAAGCAATAATTCGATCTTACACCCCAATCTCCGACACAAACGTGCAGGGGAAGATGGAGCTACTTGTCAAGATCTATTTACCAAACGACAAAATTCCAGGCGGAAAAATGACCATGGCACTCGACGCACTGGCGATAGGGGCCGAGGTAGACTGCAAAGGACCAACAGGTCGATTCGAGTATCTTGGAAACGGCCGCGTCACCATCAGCGGTAAAGAGCGAAAGGTTCGCTCATTCAACATGATCTGCGGTGGAACTGGTCTCACGCCCATCTTCCAGGTTCTGCGTGCTGTCATGCAGGATCCTCAGGATCCTACTACTTGTGTTGTCCTCGATGGAAATACGTTGGAGGAAGATATTCTATGTCGGGCTGAGCTTGACGCTTTTGTGGCGCTTGACAGTCGCAAGTGCACTGTTGTGCACACTTTGTCGCAGGCTTCAGACAAATGGGTTGGTCATCGTGGACGTATTTCTGCAGACTTGATTAAGGAATATGTGGCACTTGAAGAAGAAAGTATGGTCATAATTTGCGGACCGGAAGCGATGGAAAAGTCTGCTCGAAAGATTCTCCTTGATCAGGGCTGGGCAGAGTCAGATCTCCATTTCTTCTGAGTGATTTGTGTTGCATAGGCTGGAATGGTTGCTTCCTTCATTTTGAGTCACTTGTAGTCATATATTGGACATGGTGCATATACGAAGCCAGGGCGCATGAGCAAGCGTTTACATTTTCAATCAAAGAGAAATTTCTTGGTCAATATTCATATTTCATCAATGGTAATAATCGTCAAAGGTAAAGTCAATAATAGTCCTTGACCTCCAATCTTACTCGAAGATGTTCAAAGACACTAGTTGGCTCAGTCCGAGAACCGAAGAAAGCCGCCGACTTCGCCATAGTTTTAGAAGCGCCCTTCCCAGTATCCAAGCCACGCAAATATCCAACCAAGGCGGACACCTGTTTTCGGAAAGTAGAATACAAATGACGTACAGTGCCTTCGTTTTCATGGCGAAGACCACTTCTACCATCAGCCCGCGACAATGGGCCGAAGGCAAGAATAGTACTGAAAATATTGTCGAGCAACTTCGCTGCGGAAGCATGTCGTTTACTTAGGAAGAAGGCGAACAGCATTTGGTCGAGGATGTCTTCGTGTAGGTCGCGGAGACGAGGCACAGAGTGAGCGGCCTCGAGTGTGCCGTCTATATCGCCTCGGTCAAGGCAACGCTCGATCTTATCAAGCGTGCTTTGAAACCGACTCCATATCGACCCGATTCCGACGTGGAAGAAATAGTCACTGACAGCGAGGACGAAGTGCTGAGCGTCGATGCGGAACTTCTGGAACACATTTCTTGTATCGCCTGAAAGAGAGTCCCGCACCGTAGAGTCGCGAACAAGTCCTTTGACAACGGATACCATGCGAAGAAGACGGAGCAAGTGCTTGAAGAGGCGATCATATTTGCCCAGTGACTTCGGTGTAATGAGAGTCTCCAGAGTGTCTGGTGTTTTGTACTGGAGTCGAAGGAAATCAAGTGCTTCTATCGCATTCGGGTCCTTACACCGGTCAATCTCGTCGACTGATAACTCGCGAATCGCAAAGTTAAGTCCACCGGGAAGTTCATTATCCCGCGGCTGTCCATCGGATGCCTCAGGATCCTTTTCAGAGAAGTAACAGTCTCCTAGTAGGCCAATGAGCACGAGACGTAGCTCGGAGCTTGCAGGTGGCCAGGTATCACGACTTCCTAGCCGCAAGCCAGTATGGACGCCACCACGTACTACGCCCGCCTTGCGCTCTCCGCTGTCCATCTCGGGGTCAAAAAGTGAATGTGAGAGGCGTGAAGTAAATGAGCCATCGCCAAGTAGTTGAAATCGCCATTGCAAGTTCAAATGATGTCGCACCTTGTGTTCCTTGAACATATGATGAAGACATGAGAAGTCGATGAGTTGCGCTTGGGATGCAATCACAGGGGCAAACGATAGGTAAAGCTCGGATGCCAATTCAGGCCCAAAACGTGTCCCTGCATCACTGAAGCCAAGCTCGCCCCTAGCTTTCTGAAGCATATCACTGACTTTGTCGGTGGACAAGGCTGTTTGATCCATCGCAGCACCCGAGACATGCTGCTGGTCATCGATGTCGAATAGCTCAAATGTCTTCTCCACAATTTCACCCTGACTGACCTCGACATCCTGTGAAGCAGGCTCGACAGCTGTTGTCGCTAATTCTCCCCTGTGATATCTCAATATTTCGGCGCGGAGCTTTGCCTCATATTCTTGGGCCTTTCTTTGGATTTGTTCGATCTCAGACCAGGTAGTTGCACAGTGCAGACGAAGATGACCAGATCGAACCAGAGCATCATATCGAGCGATAGGGTGATTTGGGTGTGACTTTTTGAGCAATCGCAGACTTCTCCCACTCTCGAAAATCAACTGTGCCTGATCAGGAGGGATGAATGATGGCATATGTTCTCCACGATAGGTGTACTCTGTCCTTGTAGGACCAGTTCTAAATTTGCTAGGATCATCGTGCTGCTCCACCTCGAGGAATGTTTTGCCGTTGATGATCAACTCATTCATGGATGGTTCCTCGGGTCGAAGCCCAATCCATCCCTCGATAAACCCTAGCCAGGGATCTGTGACTCTGACAACGATTTCTTGTACAAGATTCTCCATCCAGCCGTACTTATGAGCAAAGAAGGCTGCATGATCCATAGTAATTGATATAACCTGGGCGTCCGAGTTGGCATTTTCGGTTGCTCTTATCATATCTGCCAGGGCTTCAATCATGTCGCCACAGCGATTAAACAATGTAGTCGCTTGCAAGAGCGAGACAACAGTATCCGAATGACCAACTATTTGGCGCTCGAGATGATACACGCTAACAGCAATGGTACCGCGCAACGCAAATACAGACGCCAGATCCATTGATTTGGTCTGCAACTGCCGTGCGAATGTTCGAGCATACTGCATGTTTGTACCACACCGCAGCACATCTTCAATAATAGCGCCAGTGACTGGTTGACTCACTCCAGATACACGGAGATCTGGCAGGGATTTATCGAATTTCGTGGTTCGGGGATTGTAGCGAAAGAGCGCGGAGCTCCATCCAAGACCTAGGCGTAGCAGTGATCGTACAAAAATATCTTCTCGAACTGGTCGGGTCGTATTTTCCAATCCTTTCATGCGATTCTGGTTTGCCAGTGCCGCATCGAATCCTCTCGTTCCTGACTCGCTGAAATAGCCTGATATAGGCTCCTCGAATGACCGCGTCTGAAATTTCTCCCATGATTTGAGAGGGGCAACAAAGCCAGGTTCCACCTGCAGCACATCAAATCCCCATATGTCATCGTCTTCATTTTGAAGAGCATCCGTCGTTGCATCGGATCGGGCGTCTATGGAAGCATCGAGGCTCGAGTCGGCGGATGATTCCGGACGTTCAATGTCATCCGAAAAGTTCAATTTCCATATGTTGTCGATCTTATCAATTGGGGGGAGCGAGGCTGCGAAACCAGAATCCGAAAAGTCTATAGATCAACAGTCAGTACCACTTGCGCATAACTTTTGGGCGTGACGTACCAGGCAAGCCCGCGTTCCACGGTAATTCGTCCAAAGGTTGTAGAGCCTCTGTTGTGAACCTCGATAATCTCCAGAGACTGGCACTAGAAAATGGATCGTGCTCCTGTTCAAAATCCATCATGGGCCCATATCCAGGGCATAGACAAGTGTGCAGTTGGTCCGACGCGTAGTGCTTGATTGATTCCAGTCCCGCGCAAATGGCTATCGTGCACGGACCACTTCGATAACAGAAACTCGCGCGGCCTTAATGTTCATTAATCATTCACTCTCTCATTCCCCCGCGACTCGACTCCTCTACTTTGTTTTCTTTCGCTCCATTGGAGCTATCGAAACCACAATGCCTCCTCGGAAGAAAACTAAGCGTGCACATTCCACATCACCGCCAGCTGAGGCAGCGCAATCTAGCGCGGACACTCCGGGTTCCACTGACAGCGTTGAGAAGCTTGAGGCAGATTATGACCTGCTCACAGATCCATGGTCTGATGAGCAAGAGACTGCACTTCTAAAGGCAATCATAAAATGGAAACCAGTTGGTGAGTTTAGATACGGTATGACGCGCAATGCGATAACCATGGAGCTAATTCCTTTGATCGCATTCCTGTAGGCTTTCACAAGCATTTCCGAATGGTCGCCATATCAGAGTTTCTAAAGATTAACGGATATGGCCCTGCTAGTGGGGAGCACCTGGGTATTCCAGGAATATGGAAGAAGTTGGGTACTCTCTACAATCTGGAAGCTCTCAATGAACGGGTGAGCAAGCTACCCCAAACTTGGCGGATTTTGCCTTCCCTTGCTAACTGGACTTGTGCATCAGGAGGACTCGTGGATTGCAGATACCAATGAAGATGAAGAGCGATACTGTCCGTTCGAGCTTCCTTATGACGAATACGGCGACCTGATGTTTGAGAGACGGCTGGCTACGGAGGGCTCCTTGTCCCCAGTAATGAGTCGCACCGCTGATTCTCGACGAGGGAGTACAGTGGCTGACACCGATGGTATTTATCTTCGTCTGATCCCCTAGGTTCCATCGCACGACTAACTCAAGCCCGTTGCAGAACCGCGCTCCTCTCCCGCTCCATCTCGAGGTCGAAAGTCCACCCGTGGCACTCGTCAAACGGCTCGTGAAACTCGATCCACAAGACTCCATGTGGAAATTGGTCCTGGCGGCCAGGAGAAAGCATCCGACGAGGATCTAGAGTCCGACGAAGACACTGGTGGAAATGACGATGATGATGAAGAGGGAGACGAGGGCAGCGATGGAAAGGAGAGCGAGGACGAAGAAGAGGGCGATGATGAGAAAGAAGGGTCAAGAAGCACTCGGGCGCAAACGTCTCGAACAAAGCAAAAGGATAAGAAGCCTTCCACCAATACGGGGACTCGGAGAACTGGCCGTCGTCGCTGAACCCACCTGGGCAGTTCATTTGTGACTTGAATTTATGTTTTGATACCTATCGACCATCGACATCGGCGTTTGGGGATGAGCCTTGTGTACTATGTGTACTATTATGAATATTTGTATTTCTAAGATCATTTGACATTTGATGAAACAATTTTTAGTTCAAGACAGTTAGGATTAGGCATTGAGCCACTCTATACGTATCTGCCGAACTCCATACAACCCGGCAACCTTGGCATGAGGCTAGCGCCTGGTCTATACATGCATCAGTTCGTGCGGGGTCCCTAAAAGTTCAGGAGCCCAATATACGAGATGGAGGTGTCCCAGAAGATTCCGGCATGTACCCCGCAATCAAAAGAATCTTTATTTGCGGGGAAAAGGCTTAAATACAACAATGTGATTCTCTGCTTTTTGTCACTCCTGCATAATCATTATTCTAGAGAACATTATGGCGCAATCAACACCAATCGGAGTTGCTCTTATCGGAGGAGGTAAGTCAGCATGACCATTCGAAAAAGGGCTCGCTGACTTTATATGACAAAGGCATTTGGGCGAGAGAAGAGCATGCTGTGAGCATTATATACTCCCTACATCTCGTTCGACTGACCTAAATATCCTAAATAAGATAGCCTGCCATCGAAGCTGCCAAAGACACCCTCGCTCTCAAAGCCGTTTACTCCCGCTCAGCAGCTTCTGCTAAATCTTTCGCCGAGAGCGTTTCTTGTCCCGTGGATCTCTATTCTGAAGATAGTGACAAGGGTCTTGATGAGCTCCTACAACGTCCAGATATTGGTGCCGTCATCATCGCGTCAGTTGAATATTCCAGTGACTTTGAAGAGAAGTACTAAATTAATCCACAGCCTATCCATTGAAAGCCAACCTCGCTTTATCAAAGCCGCTCTACTAGCTGGCAAGCACGTTCTGTCCGAAAAGCCCGTGGCCGAGAATATCCAGGATGCAGAGGATCTGATCAAATGGTATCGCGCTGATATCAAAGGTCCAACGTGGGCAGTTGCCGAAAATTTCCGGTACTTGAACAGCTATAATTATGCAGCGGAGCAGCTCAAGACAATGGGCAAGATTAAAGGTTTCCAGGGACGCCAGCAGGGTACTATCCCGATAGATATGAAGTTCAATCGTCAGTCACCTTTTTCACTGTTCTTCCACAAGCTAATATTCAATCTAGTCACGCCTTGGCGACGAGTTCCCACCCATCAAGGTGGATATCTTCTTGATGGTGGAGTTCACTATATGGCGAGTCTTCGACTTTTGCTCGGTGCGCAGCCTGGAAATGAAATCGCCACTCTCTCGGCATTTACCAATCAACTACAGGCTTATCTGCCTCCGGTTGATACTGCCGACATGATCCTGAGAACGCGGTCTGGTGTGACTGGAAGTTTTCAGATTTCTAGGGGCACAAAATTGCGAGCGGATGAATGGACTGTGGCGTGTGAGGATGGTTGGATTAAGATTGAAGACGAGAAGGTGACCATCTCGAGGGATGGTCAGGAGGAGACGGTCTCTGTTGCCAATGAACGCACTGGCGTCCCCCCTGAAGTTAGAGTATGGGGTGCGAGTCTTGTGGCTGGAAAGATTGTTCCTGAGCAGGAGCCTGAGGCTGCGTTGGGTGATCTTGAGCTGGTAAGTTAAAACATGGAATATCGGACTTTCATACACCGCAGATGCTGATGGCAGATCTTTTATAGATTGAGCTCATGCTTAGGAGTGGAGCTCAGGATGGAACTCCTTTAACCTGTAAGCACCAAGTCGTTTAGTCATTAATTCGGCTCAAAGCTTCAGGAGCACTGCTTCTCATGTGAGGTGAATATCTGAGATTTCGCAAGCATGAAAATGTCTTAGTCTGAGGATGTTATGGAGGTTTCTTATATAAAGATAGCTTATAATATTCAGTTATAGTTGTATAGTTATATAGACATCGTCATAGATATCGTCATAGCTAGAGCAAAGCAAAGACCCTAACAGGCATCGATAATCGTTTCAGGCATTAAATAATTTAGTGCTTAGCAGCCTCTGGACGTTTCGTCAATATCATGTACATAGCAATAACGAAGATTATGACATACCCTTGTGGACATCAGCCTTGGTGTCGTGCTTGGACTCATCGAACTTGTCACTGATGGCATCCTTGGCGGCCGAGGCACGGGTGGTGACGTTGGCATCGTTGTCCTTAGCGACGTTCTTGTTGGCCTCCTTGGAAGCGGTGGCACCAGTTCCCTGGACAGTCTCAGCGACGTAGTTGGCGGCGTTCTAGTGCGATAGTCAGTATCGAAATACCATAGACACGTCGTGGAAGGGATTAACCAACCTTAACAGTCTCCATTTTGAATGAGGAAGAAAGTGTTGTTTGTTGAGTGAGTATTGAGTAGTTGGTTTGAATTAGATTGAGATGTGATTGATGGGAAATGAAGATGCTGGTCGTTGACGTGCTATTTATTCTCATGGGTGGGACAGACGTCATCATATTTAGTTCCTACTTTTTGTTGGTCAAACCTTATTTCTCCGCCATGCGCGTCATCCTCAATCGAATCAAGTTGGTTCCCTGGTTCATTAGGGGATGGGAACTCTTCCGGATCTCGTTTCTATTTCCAAGGCTTTCTAGCACATGTGAGGTATGAGGCGTCCTATGTAAAACAGGATTCCCTTACAACCAATGACACGGCCGTCTGAGGCTGTCCTTGGTCCACGGACCCACTGTTGAACAACCTCGGCCGACACCATAGAATGGTTTGGAAGTCATGACACTGCTACAAGGAATCATCGACGTAATACGTAATGCAGTCTTTTTCTGTCCTACAATGTCATTGACTCTCTTCTGTGCACCATGACTTTCGGCCGAGCGTTCGTAATCGATTGATCCTGGTACTCGGGTCTTGGTACCTTGTCTTTGGGACATGTAAATCATGTCACTGGCATGGTTTAGTTCAATCACAATGAGGTGTCCCTGAGTGAGGGAGGAGCCCGCTTCCTTTGACCTTCTACTAGATTCCTCTCGCCCAGGTTAAGTTCAACGTCGCTCTGGATACAACCAAGAGCCATACTGGAAGTTGTCATGCTTAATCAAGCTTCCGTCCAGTCTTAACGTTGAATCGTTGTTGGGTTTGCCGGGGATCTCCAAGCTCCTCATATCCATGGAGGCGTATGTCCATCTTGAACGCATTTATACCACTGTGGTGCGGGCTGAAGACAATGATTAGCTTGATCCTCGTTGTGGATCACGCGACGTAGGCCGTGCGAGCAAGGGTCCAGACCCCTTAAATTTACATGACCCCGCATTGCATATTTTGGCTGTTCCACGCTTCTTGACTATGGTGAAAGCATAAGATTGTGCCTGGACACCCCTGAGGCCCATACAGCGCCGTTTGAGGCTAAGATCGACAAAGAGTTCTCGCTGTCTGGGTTGCTCTGGTTCACAACAATTGGATAAATAGCTAAGGGCTGGAATATAGAAATCATTATCCCAATTTTTCGACATGAAATTTGACCAAAAGAATACATAAGACAGTTGGCACTCTCCTGTTAATTTGCGGCAAGAATCTCGTAACTACACAAGTAGGTATATTTCGATCGCTATAGGAAGTCTAATGTCGTTCGAGGGGCACATAGAAAAGAATCAAAGGGTCATAGTACAGAAATGCGAGAGGCGACGCGTTTACAGACGGCTCATAATGGCACCGGCGTACTCGTGAGTCTTGGCGGAACCACCAAGGTCACCAGTGAGGTACTAAGAATATTGTCAGTATCAAGATGAACAGTGTTGAGATTGGTGATGCAAAACTAACCTTGCCCTCAGCCAGGGTGTCGAAGGTAGCCTTCTGGATGCGAGCAGCGTGGTCGTGGAGACCCATGTGCTGCAGCATCATGATACTGCTCAGAAGCAGAGCAGTGGGGTTGGCAAGACCCTTGCCAGCGATATCGGGAGCGGAACCGTGGACGGCCTCGAAGATGGAGCACTCGTCACCAATGTTACCGGAGGGGGTGAGACCAAGACCACCGATGAGACCGGCGCACATGTCAGACAGAATGTCACCGTACAAGTTGGGCATGACAAGGACCTTGTCGTTGTAAGGGGTAGGGTCAGTGACGATCTTCAGGCACGAGTTGTCCAGCAGCTCGGCGTCGAACTCGACGTCAGGGAAGTCCTTCGAGATGTCACGAGCAGTGTTGAGGAAAAGACCGTCGGACATCTTCATGATGGTGGCCTTGTGCACAACGCGAACCTTCTTCTTGTTGATGGACTCGGCGTACTGGAAGGCGAAACGCAGGACACGCTCGGAGGCCTCCTTGGTGATGAGCTTGATGCTCTGGACGACACCATCAACAACGACGTGCTCAATACCGGAGTATTCACCCTCGGTGTTCTCACGAATCAGGACAGTGTCGACATTATCGTAGGGGGTCTTGTAACCGGCGATGGAGCGGCAGGGACGGACGTTGGCGAACAGGTTGAAGGTACGGCGCAGAGTCAAGTTCAGGGAGACGTGACCCTTACCAACGGGGGTCTTGAAAAATCGTTTAGTATCGCGTTCAACAGTGTATAAACGGTGGGCGTGGGTTAACATACGGCCAGAGGACCCTTGAGCGCAACGTAGTTCTTCTCGACGCTGCGGATGGCATCATCAGGGATGGCAGTCTTGCCGTCCTTCAGGATAGGACCAACATCGACGGGCTCCCACTTGATAGGGGCCTATAAGAATATCTTTAGTATTTCCATTGCAACTCGAATTGGTGATTCAGATTCGGCAGCTCGTACCTTGGCGGCCTCGAAGATATCCTTCACGGACTGAGAGATCTCAGGACCAATACCGTCACCCTCAATCAGGGTAACAGTGTACTTGCCCTATAAGAACAGTAAATCGTCAGCATTGGCGCTCTTGTAAATCGTTGATAGTTGTGGTGGAAGATTGGTGCGCGACGGGTTTTGCGCGGCTGGCACCGGCATCGAGGAAGAAAAAAAGGAAAAAAAGGGTCGACTGGGATGTCAACGTACATCAGAACCCTTCTGGCCCTTGAATTTGGCGACGGCGTCGTCAGCGGAGGCAGCGTAACCGCGAATCTAATTAGGCAAGGCGCAAACGGTTAGTCAATGTGTTTCTTTGAGATTTTAGAGGGGGCAGGGTTTCGTGGATACCTGCGACACGGGGGCCACGAAGCTGGGAGTGATGCGGACGGAGCGCAAGCACTGGCGAGCAGCAGAGAAGTTTCTGGCGGCAAGCATCGTGAACAACTTCAAACGGCTTAAAGCAAAAAGTTGGAATTGGATGGTGGGGAGAGGAGGAAAGAAGGGGAAACGGCGAAAGAATCGACTTTCTCGGCGCCGCACCGATCCGACCGGGACGCAGACCGCATTGGTGGTTTGATTCTCCCCCGGTAACCCGAGTCCACAATCCCTCTCTCCATTGGTCTTCGGTGAACCCTTCCAATCTGGAGCTTCCTAACAGGCTATCAGCTCTATCTGATCCATACTCCATTTTCTAGCCTGCATCTGGAAGAGAAGCCCCCGGATTTGTTAGAAGATCCTGCCTACGGCTCTGACGGGCTCACCCGATCGAGCACTACTTTTAATTCCCAGTTCAATTCGTCCCGTCTCCACCTTCAATTAACCCATAGCTGGCATCATGGCCGATCTTGATGTCGCCAGTCACTATAACCTACCTTCCGAATATCCCGAAGAATGGCCAGCTACCCTAGACGAGGACGATGCGTCAGATGAAGAGCCCCTGGAACGAACCAAATCCCGACCCCGCAAGTCGCGCTACTTTGCTCTCGAACGCACCCCCAGCGACTGGCGGAGTGGCTACGGCTCGCAACGGCGCGGAAAGGATAACAGAGAGAATACACAGAATGATGAGCCGGATCCACTGGGGGGAGGAGATAGCGTCCTGCGTATCTTGAAGCAAAAGGGTCTAGGTCTAGAGGAAGAGGGAGGTAAACGGTCACGGTTTCTGCTATCGTCAACGTCCTTCTCCCCCGCGCTCTTCCTATCCCAGGCCCACCAATCGGACTCAATCGAATCGCTCATGGCGGGGCTAAATCACCTGTCTCAGTCTATCGATCAGAAGTCAGCGTCCCTAAAGGTTCTGGTGGAAGCAAACTTCGAGCGTTTCGTTCGCGCCAAGGCAACCATCGATAGTGTATACACGGAAATGAGAGATCAAGGTGTGACAAAAGAAGCAAGTCTGGCTCCACGCAGATCAGGACACTTCCGAAGCTTATCGGGGCAACGGGGTCTATCTCCGTCCCCTGCAACTGTAGGCCAGGCTCCCCCTCGCAAGACTGCCCTTGTCAAGGAGAGCGATTACGGATTGAAAGGCATCCGAGCCCCCCTTGTGGAGGCGTCTGTCAAGGCCGAGGAGGTATGGGGGCCTGCTTTAGGAGGGCGTGACCGGGAACAAATACTGAAGTCAGTCGTGGAAACGATGGAGAAACAGCGCGACGTATACGAGATTGGAAGCCACCTATCCAAGTCAATCCAGCAGCGTGACTACGACTCTGTTTTTGAAGAATACACCAAGGCAAGGACTCTGGCAAACCGGGCGAAGAGTATTGTGGAGCAGGCCTCCAGCTCGCGTCGGCAGCTATCTGATCTTGAAGCGCATACCATCTTGGCGATGGGACGGATGTGGATGGACGTGGACGAGCAGATCCATGCTTTCAAGCGTGAGCTATGGAGACGACTTGGCGACGCTCCCACCACTTCCACGACAAGTACCGTGTCGGGTCCAGTTGAGGAGCACATGGAACTTATTGGAGCGCTATTGGAGTTGGGCGTCAATGATAATCCCATTTGGGTTTGGCTTCACAGCCGCTACGAATTTCTCAAGACTAGGATCACTTCATTCTGTGACCGCTGCAAGGTGGAAATTGAGATTCTAAGACGCCGGCTTGCAGGCGGGGAGAAACCCACACCTCAAACCGTAGCATCTTACCTTCGCCTGGCACCTCGTGACGGCTCCGCGGAAAGCCCTGCAAACCTCGATACAGACCACGTCATCGAGCTTTGGGATTGCATTCAGGCGTTTCTCACCCGGCTCCTCTCGTCGCAAGGTGGCTTACTGGGCGAGGTCCTGGACCTCTGGGAAGTTGCGCATGCATTCATTGACGGTAGCCGCCAACGACTTCTTCCAGTTGGCTTTGAAGGCGAAAGCCGGAAGCATCACCGCCTTACCCCTGCGAATGTAGAGGAGCTCGAGAAGGGCGTTGTGGAACTTGTCAACTTGATCCGAGATAATGTTCTTGCACTCTTCAATGATCCCCCAACTGAGGATATCTCTCTCCTATCTTCTCCTGTCCCACAAAGTCCAACAAGCCCAGCATCCCATGGAGTCACGCCGACTGAGTCCCGATTCAAATTGGACCCGAAGAATCTTCCCATACCTGCCCCTCAGCGTGGAGAGCATTGGGAGGGCTGTGCCTTCTGGCCACCTTTCTCTAACTCCCTTAGTGGTGTTCACTACCTGAGTAAATTCCTTATCATTATTGGTACCGCCGCGAGTGAGATGGCAGCTTTGCGCCCGGTAACCCATAGCGGTTCAACCCATGATCTCCTTAAAAACCTCGTGAGTGTCGCCCGGGATAAATCTGCCCGTGTCGCATGCGCCGCCTGGAGTAAGGATGCGGAGTCTTGCAAGATGCTGGAAGACTGGACGAGGGATTCTGAAAAGCGTGACTTAACCAAGATGCCTGGCTTGTTTGTGGGCTTTGAGAGTGCCATCTTAAGTGGAATGCAGAAGATTTTGTACATCTCTGAAGCCATGAGCAAATCTGGGACAGTTGATGTCGTCACCCAGCCACCTGCGAAACTGCTCCAGATGGTTCGCACACAGTTTGTCTCCAGTGTCTACAAGGCTCTCAGTGGATTAGTGGAGAATGCAGAGCGAGTCACGGCCTCAGATGAAGAAAATGAATGGGTCATTAGCCGGCCAGTCATGACAAGTCAGGCCCTTGATGCCACTTTGTCTGTGCTCGCAGCCGACTCTGTGGACTCGCAAAACCGGGTAGGTCCCTTTACTCCCAGATCGCTTCTATCAGTCACTAACCATAACCAGAATGTGCGGATTCTCCTGACACTGTCCAACCTCAAGGCCCTTCAGTCCGAATATGTGCCGCAGTTGATTTCCAACTTTGAGACCTGCTTTTCCGTCAAATTGACGGAAGAAGGCAAGACGGTTCGGGACGTCCTGAAGCAGATCGAAGATCGACTGTTTGTGTCCTATACCAGTCCGACCCTCTCTCTGTTGAAGAAGACCATCTCCAGCGGTATCGAGTCCCCAGATTGGGTGCCCAAGACCGATCGACCTGACCAGGTTCGCCCTTACGTCTACAATACCCTGTTGACCCTGGTCCTGGTACACACCGAGATCTCCACTACTGTACCATCTACTGTTTCCGCAGGTGCTAGCCGTTCATCGCCAAATACCCCATCGTCACTGCTCACCACCGTACTCACCCATCTACTGGGACAAATATCGACGGCTTTACTCACATCCTTCCGTTCTCGATCCAGCTTCTCGCTTGCTGCTCTCATGCAAGCCACTCTAGATACTGAGTTTATTGCACAGACCCTTTCTCAGTACTCGACCGAGGAGGCATCTGGTATTCAGAGTCAGATCTACGTGGAATTGGATCGTCGCACGACGAATGAAGCTCGCACCAAATTGCAGGCCGACCTGGGCGAGATGAGAAACGTATTAAAACGACTGAGAGACCGGACGAAGGGCGAGTTTGCCTGTTTCCGCAAGCCTCGTACCGGAACTAAGAATCCTTCCGCATAAAGTGGATTTAGCACTGTCAAGCATAATCAAGCGTTCATGAATTTTGTTTTGCATCGGGTATCACGAAAAAAAAAAATATAGATGCTGTAGTTCGTAGACAAAATGCTATTAAGACTGCCCAACCATTCGTTGCACCCGACTCAGCAACGCATTGCTTTCCCTTCCCAACCTCCGTTTGCCAAACTGATCCGGTCGCTTAGCACGATTCATCGCCTCCCGTTCCTTCTGCTTGGCCTCAATCTCCTTCTGTCGAGCCTCAAAGGCCTTCCTCCGCTGTTCCGCAATCTCCATCTCCTTAGCAAACGCCGACCGTTTCGGCTTTCGCTCCCTCTGTCCACCTTCCTTCCGTGGGCGGCGTTCTGGCCTCGGCGCACGCTCTGGTTCCGGCTCCGGCTCGTTCAACATCGCCAAACGAGCAGGGTGAAGTTCTGTCGATGCAGGCTCTGCAGTGTCCTGAGGTTGTGTATCTTTCTCCTCGTCGGCAAGAGCGTAAACGGACTTTGGTGTGCCGGCGGCGAGTTCTTGTGCTTTGATCTTAGCGTAAGCTTTTTTCACTTTGGCCTTTTGAATTAGGTCGGATTTAATTTTTTGAGCTAATAGAAGAACGAGGTTAGTATCTTGTGTCGTAGTCCAGGGAACTTGAGGATTGCTCACTCTTGCGCCGATAGGTGCCATCGGGGAGATTGGCCGGGCCTACGCTGAAACCCTTGCGCTTCTTTGTGGAATCGGTCCGGGGTTCTTTGGATGCCTTTCCAGCATCGCGGTCGCGTGTTGGTGCCATAATTTATGTAGAAGCAAGTTGATATTGCTTGCTAGAATTGGAGTGGTGCTGCCGGGCAGTTGGAGGAAAGAAAAAAAAAAAACCGGCGATCGAGGTTCCGCCCAGAGATCAGAGACCAACGGTCTCGACTTCCGTTCAACAGTATATAGTTGTATAAAACAAATTTTGGTATAAATATTCATTCCGATAAGGCTGAGTCTCTTAATTCACATCGTCTAAATTTACCATTAGTATTATTTCTCGATTTCACGTAGTAAAATTTGGATTTGGAACTGAAACTTTCCTAATCTTATCGGGAAACCCCATGACGATGATTCACCCCCCGAAACCGAAATGGACCCACGACATGACATGATCTCCGTCTAACCTCTACTTTCCCTACTCCCCTCCCGGACTCTCCCTCCGACATCATTTGCACTCAGGTACCCTCTCTTTCATATCCTAATTCCCATAGATTAAACCAAAGACCGCTTTCTTCCCTGCCAATCACTGCATCCTCTGACGGCAAATCCCCGCCCCAGCGCACACCGCATCCCATTCCACCCCACCACGGCCTGTCGGCTCTGTCTTTGTGCTTGCCACATAGGTAGTCCTGAAATGCCCGGTCCATTGTTTCAGGCCCTTTAGCCCTGCCAACCACGTCATCATGCCCCTATTTCATGACCCGGACCGCCGGTATTATTCCGGATGGTCTGGTGACCCAAGCCAGCATGAGCTCCAGGCTGCCCAAGGATCCTCCGAACATGCTTTAAGCAACGAGAACCCTTGTGATCCTCAAAGCGGAGCATTCATTATGGGCAATACGCGGCCATCTTCTGCGGAGCACTTTCCAACGAAGCTGTGGAGCAGTGATGAACGACAAGAACTTATACAACGAATCAAGGAATCATCGCCCTGGAGGCTCCAATATAAGGTATGCCAGATCGAACTATCGTTGGATGCTTTCATTTCATATTTAGAATAACCTTGTTGCCACTTTCACACCCGGATTGAAGAATTAACGCTCTATATAAAATCGCAGAACAGCGATCATAGTGATGAGCTTTGCTCTGTACCCCGTAACTCTGGGGAGCAAAATGCAGAAAATAGCGACGACGGGAAACTAGCGGGCATAACGGGACCTCAAAATTATTTAAACTCGACACACCAGACAGAGGGACTAGAATCGCCAGCCGATATCCAAAGACCTCGGTCTGCATTACACTCCGGTGATTTTCGTGAAGGGGTAGTGAATATTCCCCCGTCGTCCCCTCGGCCTAGATTCATACAACCTAGCCCCTTCTCTCCTCATCTAGGGACATCGCCAACGACACCATGGTTTGGGACGTCCGTCTTCCCGGCCGCTGGGCAGCCTAATGTCGGTGAACAGTGGCCGGAGCTTGGTCTACAAACCCGTTCCAGAGCACCGTCACTCGGGTCCTTCTCGTCAAGTTACGTTCTGAAGGCTCCCACAAGCCCTCTGGTTTATCAAGCCAATAATACCGACCTTGACTTTTCGTCGGTTGATACGAAAGAGCTTGGGCCGGAGGATAGAGCTAGCAGAAGAAGAACCCTACCACCGGGGTCTTTTCGACACCTCCAACCTTCTCCCCCCAACATCCGAGCTGTCGACATCCACACACCTTTTCCCCCCGTAGGCCATGGTGGGGACTTTCAGTCTCATGTCCCTCGAAGGAATTTGACATCGGCCTATAGCCTTCAGTTGGCTCCGTCGGGCAATACCACTGTCTATCGGGCAAGAAGGCCATCGCTTGCTTCTGATCTGTGTCCCACAGCTCATGCTCCGATGGTTGGATCCTATGAGGAATCGATCCTGCGAGGTCGAATGTCGATGAGCCCTTCCAAGCCTCTAGACTTCACTGCACAAATCGGAGTTTTGGGGAAAGGCAAATGCAAAGGGCATTTGAAGTGTCCCCCGCATGTCACTGTTCCCTTCCCGGCAGTTTTTTATAGCTATCCCACTTCAGGTAGTGGTCGTTCCATCTCGGATGATAGTCCTAGTCCTTACGTTGGGCAAATTGATCTGGAGAACTCGCTGCCCAAGGAGGATCCAAGCACTACCCGGCGTCGTAGACGCCATTATAGCCCTGCAGCTATTGATGACGGCCTTCAACATGAGACAGGAGCTCCTAGGACACCTCGGGCTTCTAGTGCAGATGCTAGACGTCGCCGAGAAAAGAAAAATCGCAGGGCAGAGTCGCCCAAATGCCCCCCAGGCGGGTGCTACCGAATCCCTCAACAGGGACAGTTACAAATCATAATCAAGAACCCTCACAAGACCGCAGTTAAGCTGTTTCTTGTACCATACGACCTCGGCGATATGGAGCCGGGAACTAAAACCTTCATTCGGCAGAGGAGCTATTCGGCTGGTCCGATCATCGACATGCCGCTGAGTGCCCGGAAGAACTACGGTACTGATCGTCCGGAGGCCTCACTCAACGCCACGGAAAATCCTCATGATAAGCCTACTCTGCGATATCTCATCCACCTCAATATCTGCTGTCCCTCCCGAGGTCGCTTCTACCTCCACTCGAGTATCCGAGTGGTCTTCGCAAACCGAGTTCCAGACGGCAAAGAGAAACTTCGTAATGAGAATCAACTTCCAGAGCCTCGCTACAGCCCATACAAACCTACTCGAGAACCGAACCTCTCAACATCAGCCAATTCTAGGCTAGCAATCGAGAAGGCCGCTCGCAGACGCAGCGTCGGGCAAGGCATGATCCCTTTTCTGCGTGAAGATCCAAGCGAAGCGCTGCATTGGACTCCAGAGTATATGGGCTTCCCAGAGTCTCTGCAGACCGATGCCACTATCTACAACAAGCTCAACAAGTTTTCCTCTGGCAAGAGTACTTCAGATACCGGTGAGAGTTTACTTGCCAAACGGCTTCGTGGCCTAGATGTCCACAGACAAGAGACATTTGACCGTAAATGAGCTGAACTCAACCTCACAGCCACCCTCCGCAAGAGAGGTTCTTAATCACCACAATCCTCGCCGGGTATGCCCAGGACATCTAGTCAAGTCGAGGCACGGGTAAAAGAAAAGAGAGAGAAAACAAAAAAAAAAAAACTCAAACTTGAACATCATCCATGGCTGCGCCAGATGCAGCTGCTCGGGTATACTAACCACAGTCATCTACAGCTTGATCGACACTGGCTGTCACCAAGTCCCATTTCCGATAGCGTCTGTCTTTTCTACCTTTTTTACTTCATTTCTTTCAACCAGGGTAGACCAGGCGCATGGGTCATTAAGCATATACCCTTTTTCTTTCTCTCCTTCATTTGCATAGCATGGTATCATTGGGGTTGCAATCACATGCTTTTCTTTCTTCCTTGATATTTGAGAATAAATTGGAAATAGTAATAACATCGACCTCGCTTCTCATTGGAATATCTTTTTCACGCCAGTAAGTCTGCGGAATACCTAGGTAATGGGGGCTTTAAAGCATAAAGGCTTTGGGTCTTTTCCTAGTACTTACTTCACAGTAAACTGCCCTAAAGTACCTATAGTCGAAAATCTTGAGTGTGGGAAAGCTCTTAATTCATTGAACAAGCTGAGCACCAAGCAAAGCGCTATTATTTCTATGGACAAGGTTTGTTCTTAGACAGTTACAGGAACAAAAATGATACTTCTCAATCGAGGTATAAGCTTAACCAGCATGCTCGACAATCTCAGTCACCAAAACACCGTCCTTGATGTAGCTCTTGAGCTGCTCAGGAACGGGGCACTCCTTGGTATCGTCATCAGTTCCCTCCTTGGGCGGGAGTGTGACGTTAACAGCAGTGCACTTGCTAGTGAAGACCTCCGTAGCAAGACTCTGCTGGCCAAGGTAGATAGTAGCGCCATCGACCTGGTCAAGCATGACAGTAGGAACGAAACCATCAATCTGCAAAGCAAATTTGGGCGACTTGATGATATCCAAGCAGCTGACAAGAGAATCAACAATGATCGACAGACCAGTGCAATTATCGATAGCGATAGCATTGGCCTTGCCATTAACCTTGACGATGGTCTTGTTACAGCGCGAGATGAGGATGGACTGGTTCTGGGCCGCGGAGATCTCAACAATATCTTCTGGGGCCTCGAAGTTCTCAACCAACCACTTGTTACCCTCAAGGTCCTTGCGAGGGGGCTTCTTCGTGCGCATGCTTTCGGGCTTAGGCTTCTTGCTGGGCGCCGGGGACTTGCCCCGAACGGCGCTGGAGCCTGCACGAAGGTTGGGGTTCTTGTGGGTCATCTGTGACTTGTCGACCTTGCGTAGGCCAGAGGTGATCTCTTCACCCTGGTTGAGCTGGTCGAACACGGCGGACATGTCTGGGGCGGGAGCAGCAGGGGGAGGAGGCGGAGGTGGGGGACCACCGGCACCGCCAGGGACGTTAAGGGTTGGGACTGGGGGAGGAGGGGGAGGGAGGGGGAGGGACGGCACCAGCGCTGGGGGCTGGTCCACTCTTGATTTGCTTCAAGGCCTCCAACGCATTGATTCCAGACTCGTCGTTCCATGTCAGGCCCTTAGGGTAGTGCTTGTTGAGATAGGCGGCGAGACCCTTAAAGTTCTGGTAGTAGGCTTGGATGTACTCGATGTGTGTACGGTCCCTAGGTATGTTAATTGGATGTTCCTCACGGTAGCACGGGATCGACCTACTTGTCCTTGTACTCCTTCAAGACCTTATTACCATAGTACTCAATACCACCCATCATCTCCTTCACGAACTCGGCGGGTTTACTCTCAAAGAACCAGCCCAAAGAAACAATTCCCTCTGCAACAGCGCTCAAGTGATTGAACAATGGGGAGGCGCGGTTCGATTCGCGAATGTTGTTGATGTTATCTGAAGCTTTGTGCAGGTCGGTCATAAGCTCCACGGGCTGAGGCTCCGGTTTCTTAGCCTTTGTGGAGACATAGAGATAGCTACGCTCAGCCTGGAAGGCCTGCAGAACTGCTTTGGACTATGGAACCAGTCAGCCATTGGCCAATATTCTGATATACTAAACCCTCGGAGAATTCACCTGCTCTGCAACCAATCCACCAATCTTGTCACCCAGGTTCACAAAGTTCTGTACATCTCCTTTGATTAATGCGTCGAAGTCTTGGATCTGGGGCGGAATCGGGGCGGCTGCCGGGGCGGCCGGCGGCGGAGGAGCAGGCTTCGGGGGCTCAGGAACTACAGGCGCAGCAGCAGTAGGGGTTCCGGCACTCTTTGGGTCGTTGGGATCATCCAAAGACATGGCCATGTCCTCCAAGCGTGAGGTCGCCGCCTCGAGCCTGTGGGGTCAGGTCAGTCGAATGTACTAGGGCTGGGGGAAGGGGGAAGGGTTCGGCTGGATTGAAATTCAAATCCAACTGGATGCTGATATTCATTTGCGATCAACAATACATACCGCTTGATGAGGGTGGTGAAATTGTGCATATGGTTGCCGCTCGCCATGTTGGGCAACACCTTGTTCTCTCAAAAGGAAGATGAGGTAAGGCGCAAAGGATGTGGCTGGAAAATTTGGGATGAGATGAGTGTTCAAAAGTCTTTGTGGCGTTGCAGTATAGCAAGACCGAGCCCTCGCGCTAAGTGTCAGGGGGGAGAAGTTATAGGACACGAATGATGTCGAGGCCTCCGAGCTCTCCTGAGGTTTCCCGCAGCTTGACCCAGCAACGGTAACTTACATACCTCAACGCCGTCTCCACTTGCACAGTGCATCAACGTATATTTTGTAATTACAGTACCACTGCTCCACTACAATCTGGCCCACTTCAACTCATTCTCCGATAGCACTGATACACTCGTTCTCTTCTTCTCCTATTAGCTGTGTCCTACTACATCATAACAACCATGGTCGAGACGAATAATCCTAATTCCCAAATGGGTGAAATTGAGTTCTGCACGTTGGGAATGTTTATTATAGGTATGCCCAAAGTATCTCGACACCCCGCAGGCCATATATTGACGGATTACTGTAGATGACATAGAATTCGGAGGCTCCAGACCTGACGTCAAGAACGTACTTGGAGGAGCTGCCTCTTATGCAGTTGTCGGCGCCCGTCTGGTTGCAGGGGCCAAGCATGGACGGGCTGTGAGTTGGATTGTGGATATGGGATCCGACTTTCCATCAGAGACTCTCGCAGTAATCAAATCCTGGGGAACAGACTGTGTCATCAGAGAGGACCACAGCAGACTCACAACAAGAGCTTGGAACGGATACCACCCAGACGAAAAGCGAGGTAAGCAGATCACTTCACTTTACTCGGATCTATGCAGATCGTTAACCTGATGCAGATTTCAAATATCTCACTCCGAAGCTGAGATTAGAGCCGTTCATGCTCTCTGACGCACAGGCGTGGTCTCGCACCTTCCATATGGTGTGCTCTCCGGCCCGTTGCATATTTATTGTAAATGAAATTCTCCAACGACGGGAACAGCTGCGAGAAGCGGGCAAAGCACCTTCTACGGAACATGCTTCAGAGCGCCCCATTTTCGTCTGGGAGCCAGTTCCTGATCTCTGTACACCTGAAGAGCAAGAGAAGTTTTTCGAGGCAAATCGAGTTGTTGATGTGGTGAGCCCTAATCATATGGAGCTGGGCATGATGTTTGATCAGCCCGAATGGACCGTGGAAAGTGAAGAATGCGAAGGGCTAGTCCGGAGGATTCTTGACGCCGGGATTGGTCCCAATAAAGATGGATGCATAGTCATTCGAGCGGGTAAAGAGGGAAGCTACGCCTATTCAGGAGCCCAGAAGCTTTGGCTCCCTGCTTACCACCAACCTAACACTTCAGGTGCTACGGCGGTGCTGGACCCTACAGGTGCGGGTAATTCATTCCTAGGCGCATTGGCACAGGGAATGGTAACTGCCGGCCGAGAACCGTTCGAGGTCATCGAGTCTACCTTGTCGCCCTCCGAGAGCTGGAAACAAGCCATGGAATCCTGGGGGCCGCGTCGCGATGTGTTAGGAGCGCTCATCTGCGCTACTGTCGCTGCCGGGTATGTGGTGGAGCAAATCGGAGTGCCTCAGATCTCTGTGGCCAATGGAAAAGAGCTGTGGAATCAAACTGAATTCACGGAACGAGTCCGCCTATACACGCAGCGATTATTCAAGACATTGCAAGAGTCTCCCCAGAGACACCTGTTGACCAATTGATCATGGTTGGTTGGGAACGCTCTTCTATTTTCGTACAGCCAGGGAATGATGAAATGATAGTAAAAATAACACAATAAAGAAATGTCCCGTCACGCTGGAAATCCTCCCATAGCTGTGTAACATGGTACCGTTCTCTATGATTCGTTCTTGGCGGCCTGTGCTGCCTCGTGCTCTCTGATCTGTCGGCTCCAGCTATAATCAAGGAATATAGGGTCAGCATTTAGATTGGTTTTCGGGTCATTAGTCGGAGGGACTAACTATCGGCTGGGGAAGAATCGACCAGGCTCGGGCATCTTGTCGCGGTGCTCGCGGTCAGCGCTGAGACTGAAAGCCATAGCAGCAATGCCAATCACAAAGGCACCCATGACAGCAGTGTTGGCCTTCCAGTTCGCCGGGCGGGAGTACCAGCCACCAGCGGGGGACCAGACTTCCTTGGGGTATCTGCGCAGCGATAACTCATTAGCATCTGACATTGAAATTTCCAGAAGTTCTGACATACGCGATCTTTCCGCCAGCACCCATTGTGAGGATTGAATTGGAAGGTTGTTGAGGATTGAAAGAGGGACGAGTTGAGGGAGGTCTCTTCTGCGGTTGAAGCCGAGAGGGCCGTTCAATTCGAAGGTCGAATGCCAAGACTCAGTTACCACATATGTACTAGCGTGGACTCACACGACCAGACCAAGATCCCGTGACTGGCAACAATTTCTCTTTTCTCTCCCCGTGAATTGGCCGCACGCCTCCGAGTCCCATCCCCCATTGACGCAGCGTGGCCAATTGTTTTTAATTTGATTTTGTGTTTCGTTTTCTGTCCACACTCGCCGTCCAGATGAAGCGGCTGCAGCTCCAAAGATGGAGCAGTACAGTTCTTTCGCCGCGAGCTCGAGCTGGTAACAGACTGCATCAACATCTCTACTCTGCCAGTTTACGGCATCAATCCACTGCCGCGCCTCTTCAATCTGAGTCAGCCGACCACGATGCCTCAATTGAAACGACTTTTGAGGATCCCGAGGTCATGCGCCAAGTCAGGAGTATTCACAAGCGCAAGTCTCAGCTGCAATATCCATCCCCTCCGGTAGAAGCCGCAACCAATTCCGCCAAACTTGCCGCCCTTCACGCTCGCCTTTACCTTCCTTCCCGACTACCCGTTCAGACACTTGCGCGGACTTTGGTGGACGCCTCCGCGGATCCTAATGCCGATTTCAACAATGAATCGCTGGCTACCCTTGGTCACGACCTCCTCACCTACTACACCTCCGAATATCTTCTTTGCAAATACCCCCGCCTGCCTTTGACCGTCATCTTCGCCGCCATGTACGCTTATGTTGGTCCCAAGACCCTGGCCGCCATGGCCAAAGAATGGGGTGTTGACCTCGCCGCGGTGCCAGGTGGAGAAGTCGACCCTGGTTATCTGCAATTCCGGAGGCTCGAACCTGGAACCGATGTGAATGCAGTTACAGATGATGTCAAGACACCACGGCCGTACGCCAACGCCTCGAAGTGGAGGAAGACGGTCACCTCAAAGATCTTCTACGATGATGAATTCGGTGACCCGATCAAGGGGGCGTCTACACCAGGCGAGGGTGTTACAGCCGAGCAGGCCAGTGCTACCTTCGTGCGGGCTTTGATGGGCTCAGTTTATTTGCATGCAGGCCGTCCCGCCGCCAAGCGTTTCTTCGAACAACACATTCTCTCCCGAAGCTTGAACATCTCAGATCTCTTCAACTTCTCCCAGCCGGCCCGTGACCTGGCTCGTCTGTGTGCGCGTGAGAACTTCGAGAAGCCCGTAGCCAAGATCACCAGTGAGACTGGTCGTCTCAGCAGACACCCTGTCTTTGTGGTTGGTATCTTTTCTGGCCAGGACCAGCTGGGTGAGGGCGCTGGCGCCAGTCTGCTTGAGGCTCGGGAGCGTGCAGCCCTCTCTGCGCTGAAGAGCTGGTACCTGTACAGCCCACTTAATGTGCGAGTTCCCAGCTCTATGGAAGAGGATGGTGCCTCGCCCTGGGAGCCGGCCCACGTTGACTTGGGTGAGGTGATCACTTAAGTGCGAAAAGCATACCCAAATATTGGGGCCGCGTTACCATATTCTTCCATGTTTTTTTTTATTGTTCTTTATTTCCCTCCCTTTTCCGGTGTGCGGTGATTTTGCATGGGAAGCAGGTCTGGGAAAAAAGAGTCTTCTCCTGTCTTTTGCATGACTGGATACTGTATAGTATGGGACATTTGATTCCTCCGATTCATCTGGTGTCTTTTATTTATTTTGGATTTTCCTTGTGTCATTGTTTCATTTGCTATCTGGCTACACTTCACTCCCAGCTAGAAATTGGTCGAACCACGAGATCAGACCATTGGTCTTGGTCTCGGCACTGGTGTATAGAGGTGCTCACCAAATGTATTACATCAATAAAATCATATTATAAAAGGACCTTCCAGATGTCTGTCTAAAGGGTAGTTTCTATGACTCGGGATTGAGAATCTCCTCTTCCCAATTTCCACGAGCCTTCTCATCTCTAGATTGACCATCTAACCATAAGCCATACTCCTCCCATAAAGTCTCAACCCCAGCACCAAAAAGACTTTCCCAAAATCCAGGGCTCACCTTTTCCTTATCCTTGCCCTCACCCAGATACCCAACTCTTAACAGCCGATCATTAAGCATCCCAACAGCCCCGGCTCCAGCAAAAACATCCTCGATCCACGCTAAAAAGTACGCTGTATGCTGATACCCAGCATCCCAATTTTTCGCTCTCTCCGCCGAGGACTGCGGCTTTTTCCAATGCGGTGGCTCCAAGCCCGCCTTTAGCCGTACGAAATCGGCAATCCCCTCAATTAAGCCGCCCGGCGGACGAGGGCTCTCACCGTTGCCAACGGTTTTGGGCGCAGTATGCTGGTAGCAATGCACAAGCTCATGCGTCAGAACACCAAGCAACTCATGAAGTGGATCAGCCTTGGCAGATGGGCCAGATGTGCATGATCCAATGTACTGCAGTGATAGATGGATCTCTTTGTGATCGTCGTCGAGCTCCGTGCCCGTGGTGTAGGCCACGCCGCCGAAATCCCGGAGGAAAAGGGTTACAGATCGCGTTGGGGGGACTGATGCTTTGAAGGATAGGCGTATGTTATCTTCTGTTTTGGTATTATCTTCGCTGGACCCTTGCGGCTCTGTGTAGAGGTATTGGACGATATTGCGGAGGGCTGTGTCGAGGGCTGAGGATACATCTGGGATGAGGGTAAAGAATGCTAAAGTTGCTGGGTGTCGGAGCTCTTGTGCGTGAAGGCGCAGTTTGGGCTGCGGGATTTTGTTTTTGTGGAGGTTCTGGCTGTCTTGTTTATCGGGGCTGGAGCTTGGTTCATGGGAGTTGGGGATCGCTGTTGGGGCGGGGTTTGGAGGCATCGTAAGTTCGGTCATGGGACATTCATGTACTTCAGTATAAGAAGGTTGTGTTGGAAAGACTGTGAGTTAACCGATCATGTTTTGCTTTATAGGGTAGGGAGGAATTGGAATTGAGGCTCTGTTCAGTGAGTTCAAAGCGGAGATAAGATGAGACTGAGCACAGAGGAAAGCGGGGATCCGGAGCTGAGCCGGATATCGCGCCCGCTCCGCTAGCTTTTATGGCTTTGGATCTTGTAGTGTTATTTCCACTGCGGCTCGAAGTAATTAATAGTTCCCAGTAAATAATTTCAGTTTGATGTGTGTTACTTCGTTTGTATCATAGGTGCACCCGGGGCATTCGTGAACCGAATTCCAAACATGGAGTATTCCACCTAAATATATTTCAGAGGTCTGATCAGCTCTTAGGGAAAATGACAAATCTGCGTAGGAGGCTGATGATATCCGACATTTGACCTGATTCGATTTGAATATTGCATGCACCCGCATCAGTTCGAATGATGTAAGATATCTACTCGAAACTTGTTAATGCATATCTATGATCCGTGTAACTGGCTTTGCTGATGGTTGCCCTTTGCAACCCCAAGGTAAACAAAACAACGTTGGGCTGGAACTGAGTCAACTTGTGTACAATTCCCAGCCGGAAGCCTTCGAGTAAACTATATAGAAGTTAAATCATCTATGGAATCCACACTAATCTTTTCAAATCGAGCTGAAATCCACAAATCTCCCAATTTAACCCCTTCAGTTCGTCGGAAAGCGCATCAGTGGAGACGATTATCTTATCGCCCGATAAGCCCCTTGTTTTCCCGGGAGCAAGGTTGTCAACATCCCACCATCCACGGTTTCAAACATCCACGCCCACGCCCACACCTTGAGTCTCAACAGTCGCAGCGGTAAGTGATTATTCAAAGTTTTCTTACATGCGCTCTTCCTATGCGCTTCCTGTAATATTTTCTCGGCCTTGTTTGCGCCACGGGTGCCTAACGTCATCTGTTGTCGTGGACACATTTCCCATCGCTGTGGACTTCGCGCGCATCAGCATGTGGTATAGATGGAACTAATTAATATAGCAGGCGATTCTGAACCCACGACTTGAGCTTTCCCTCAGCCTTCTCTTTCCGGCGCACCCCTTCGAAGATTCCGACTCCATATCCCGCACCATCGCTGGTGCCCTCACAGACCTGATTAACAAAGATTATTTGCTTTTCAGTGTCAAAGATGGAAGCCAAAGCCGCAGAGCTGCTAGCAGCCTTCAAAAACCCCAACCTCTCCGTTGACGCCAAAGTCGCCCATCTCACCGGCATCAAGTCCGATATCAAACAGAAAAATGTACCCGAGGGTGCCATTGCAACAATATTCGAAACAATCCGGCTTGCTTTAAGTTCTCAACACTATTCAGTTGCCAGCGGAGCCTTTTCTACACTGGGTCATTTCCTAAAGCGTCTGGCAATCCAAGACCAACAACAATGGATCATTTCACAGGCGCGCAACTTTTACCCCATTCTTACAGAGAAGCTTGGCGATCACAAAGAACGGATAAGAGCACAGGCTGCATCGATATTCACCGACTTGTGGCCCTTGGCTGGTACTGAGGTCGAATATCATGTTCTCGAGGTTGCCCTGGTGGGTAAAAACCCAAGAGCCAAAGAAATGAGTCTTCTTTGGCTATCCAATGTATGTCTTCTTCGGACCAGAGAAATTAAAGAGGCTCTGACAATCTTTAGATGACAAGAAATCATGGTCTTCTGTTCCGCCAGTATGTGCCATCACTAGTCGCATGCTTGGAAAGCGCGGACAGCTCCGTTCGAGATACGGCAAAAGTGGTTGTGATTGATTTGTTTCGGTATGACGAACGGCAAGGATATCCATCGATTTGACACTAACACAAAACTCAGGACTGCTCCCTCAAGAGCCAAATCTGACTTGCAAAAACAACTGGGCGCTCGTGGCGTGAGGAAATCAATTGCTAGTGCTATTTTGTCCGGAATTGGACTGACATCTGCCGAGTCCGAGAGCTCAGCCCGCCCCATATCCCGTGCTGAGCGACCCATTTCTGTGATGTCGTCACGTTCACATGCAGTAGACCTACATGAAGATGGTCTGTTTATCCATAATTCGCCATCACCAAGTTCCAACAATGACATTAACGACAATCCAGAACCAGAACCTATGAAAAACCGACCAGCCTCAAGGAATCATCTTGATCGACCGATTGCGAGCTCGACTGATGCCCCTGCCAGACCAAAAACCCCAGCTGAACAACCGCTCGTTCAGACACCATCCCAGGAAGATGTTGGAGTGGAGCCACATCTTGTTAGCTCAAGCAGAGACATTGATGAACTTGTTCGCGATATGCTTCCTTGGTTTGATGGTAGAGAATCTGAGGATAACTGGCTGAAACGTGAAAAGAGTGTGATCCTGTTCCGAAGGCTTACCCGGGGGAATGCGCCTCATGACTTTCCTCAAAGCTTTTTGCAGGCCACTAAAACTTTACTGGATGGATTCTTCAAAGTGGTTCACTCACTGCGGACTACCCTTTGTACCAACGGATGTCTTTTGATTCAAGACATCGCACGAACTTGCGGCCCAAAAATCGACCCTATGGTGGAAATCATCATGCAGAACTTGATCAAGCTGTGCTCCGCCTTGAAAAAGATCGCTGCACAGAACGGCAATGCGACAGTTGATGCAGTCATTGGAAATGTGACGTTCAACATTCGTATTCTGCAACACATTCATTGGGCATCACAAGAAAAGAATGTCGGGCTACGTCTTTTTGCTGCTGGATGGCTGCGGACATTGATCAGCCGACAGGCTCACCATAAGAGTACAGTTGAACACGGTGGTGGTCTGGATCTAATTGAAAAGTCCATCAAGAAGGGATTAGCTGATGCCAACCCTGGAGTACGCGAGGCCACTAGAGGTACCTTTTGGACTTTCTTTGGTGTGTGGCCTGATCGGGCCAATGGGTATGTGACCTTTTCTTTAATATCAATTCATTGACTAACATTTTGAAGGATTTTGTCCGAGCTGGATGCAAAATCACGGGGCCTTTTGGAAAAGGACCCGTCAAACCCAAATGCGGCCCAGCAGGCTAAGCCTGCTAGCAAGCCAGCACCCCGCTCTGCCCTCAAGGAAGCCATTGCTGCTCGTAAGAAGGCTCAGATGACTTCTCGCCCGGAGTCTGCTCAGTCCGCATTTACTGACAGCCAATCATCAGAGCCTGCACCCCGACCGGCTGTACGGACCGTTCCTACTGGTGCACCTCTTTCATCCATGTCCTCTGCACCCATGCGGCCGGCTATGAAACCGCGGAGGCCTGAATTGAGCCGCCCTGCGACCGCTGACCCGTATGCTCGTCGACCTGAATCTAGAAACCAAACGGCTAGACAGGCAACTCTCTCCCCACGATCGGTGAGATCCAAGACATCAACGCCTTCGTCAAAACCCCTCAATGCGCCTCGTCTTCGACCGCATGAGACTGGACAGTCGGGACAGTCTGGTACTACTAGGGGCAAGCCTAAGAAGCTTGACCTCTCGAAATCAAAGTCGCATGGGGATCTGGCAGGAGCAGCAAACCATGGTCGTAGTGATTCCATTGAGAGCATAAACCAGCTCTCGCAAGCCCGTCAAGCTGACCAGAAAGCCTATGAAGAACCGAACTCCCCCGCTCATATTGTGTTGGAAAGCCCCCCACTTTCTGCGACGCACCCTCAACATCATACTGAGCAGGTGGATACTCGTACTGTTACTCCGGAGCCCGTAAGAGAGCCAGAGCCAGCGCTAAAGCTAGAGTCCATGTCGCTAGAAGACCCCCCAACGGCGGATACTCTACGTCGTGAACCATCAACGCCCTCACGCAATTCAGACCCATTCTATGTTCCTGAGTCCGCCAAGGCACAACCCGAGGAGATGGTGATATATGAGGATCCTGCCACTCCTGTTGCTGCCGAGCAAACACCGCGGATTGACCCTGTTGAGCATTTCACGCCTACAAAATCACCTCGTCACATTGAGCCAGATCAGCCAGATCTTGACGAGACAGCGACAGCCACACCCGCGGAATCCACTACTCCAATCAAGAACCCACCTCATATGATTCCTCACCAGGGCTTCTCTACTGACGGAACCAACGAGCCCCAGTTCCCATCCCCAGTGCGAAGGACGCCACTCCGGGGCAGCCCTTCGCCGTCACGGAATCGACCCCAGGCGATACCTGATAATGGGGTGAGCAGAGACTCTACATTGACACACGAATCTATCATGGGTAGCCCTGAGAGGACTCCTACCAATGAGAATGTGACAGAACATGTTGCTAAACCAGAATATCCTGGAACCCCACGGTCCGCAGCAAAGCCCGGTGCTCTGGAGGAGGTAACATTGAACGAATCGGCCCTGCGGACCTCAGAGATGAGATATCGATCTGTTGAGCCTCAATTAACAGGCGAGGATACTCTCCGCCGAAGCCGTAAATGGGCTGAGCGTCATCGCAGCCCTAGTCCTCGCTCAAAGGATCCTGCCAACGCGAAGGAGATGCTCCCAAAGGCTCTCACCCGAATTGAGACCAAGACCATGGACATCTCGGGCTACCGCAAGCTACAAGGTCTTTTCCAATATCATGGCGAGGAGCTTGTAACCCACGAGCAAGACTACTACGCAGTTCTCGGGGCTCTACTCAATGAGTTGGAGTTGGCCCCCACGAACCGCAAGGATCATGACGTGAAGACCCAGATCCTTGCTACCATCCGGTCCATGCTCATCCGCACTAGCGATCTATTCCATCGGTACGACGCCCCTGTCATTGCGGCAATCGTTCGGGCCCGCCAGCACTACGAGTCGAACTCCCACTTCGTCACGTGCTTGGAGGAAGTGGCGGAACAGTTGGCGTCTTTGATCCCTGCCCCAATCTGCATTGAAGGCGTGCTGCAAGGATTGCCCGAGATGGATGCACAGAATGCCAACTCGTATCGACCGATCATCCTGGGTCTCTCTACGATCCACCAAGCTCTCTCGCAAGGCCCCGTCGAAATCTCCGATGAAGTTCTTGCCAGCGTTGGTAACGTGGTCAGCCGACAACTCGGTCACCCCTGGCCTGGTGTGCGCAAACAGGCTACGGAGTTGTGCACGCTCCTGAATCTTAAATTTGGTCTGGATCGAGTTCAGAAGGTTACCCCCCGGCTGGGGAGGGATCACTGAACCTGCTTACATACTTTATGGCCCGGCGGTCCCAATAGGTGCTGTTTTCATGCTTTTGCCATCGCTTCCTTGTACAAAGCCCATTTCTCTGGTTCTACCTTGTTCTTCTTTTATGGTGGGTTGTATTTACGAGGTGGCGCTCGACGATTTCTCATTATAGAACATAACAAAAGTTTTTTGGACACGAATCGATCTCGGAAACGTATCGTTTTTGCTTTGTTTCCTGTTTGATCGGCACTGAACTAATTTCCTGAGCCACACAAGGCACTGAACCTCGGGCCTTCAGTAGGTAGTAGGTCCAGGTACATACCATCGACTAGGCCCAATTACATGACTTAGTACCCGATCAAATATTCTAGAGCCAATTCTTCCATTCATCCTGTATGAATCTGTTGATTTGAAATAGCCAACACGACCCACGAGGAAGCAGCGGGATCTAGCGGATGTCGCGCCACTCGTGCGGGGACACCAAGGTCAGTGCACATGGGAACGGAGAAAGAAAAACCTTGAAACCAGGGCAACTTTAATCCTCAACAACCTTCATGGCTTGTCACGGTGGCGTTTTCAGGAACTTTCTCTGATCAATCAAATCAGATTGAGATTAGATCATCTGATAAAGAAATGAATTTTCCGAAGCACAGCTAAACCGCGTAAATTACTATGGAAACGTTGGAAATAGATCATCAGCCTGGATGCAACCGAGACCCGAAAAGCAAAAGTTAAATACCCAAACAGGCAGGTCGAGTGCCTACAACCAAGAAACGAGGTTGGAAATACTTTCTCAGGTTTGCTTAGGCGGTTCCCGCTCTTGCTGCGGATTATCAGATGCGCCTATGGAGTCGATTTATGCAGGGTCTTCATACACCGCACGGTGGGAGCGCTTGGGCCTCGAGATTTAGTAAGTAACTTGGCTTTTTTTGGCATTGTGCGTGCTCGTGTTGAGCACCGTTACTGCGTTATATGGTATGGATCTTCGTCGGAGTTATACGGTTTCCACTTCTGACCTTTCCTCGGGCATTGTGTGGCTTTGGTTCCTTGGGTCACAGTTGTCTTTCTTCATGTAGGATCCACTGGATGGCGGCCATTGTGTTCCAGTTTTGTTGCCTAGGCGTGTCATCTTGACGGGGCGTTTGGAGTCTTGGTCTTGATTTCCCCTTTTTTGTTGCGTATACTTTCTTGGCTGGAATCGACGTGCTGTAGCTCTTTTCAAGCCCGCGATTCGAAGATCTCTTCATATTTCAGTTCTTCATACTTCATGGCTACATGTCTTCCAAAAGACTCTATGTTCATGCGCAGACTTGAAGCTTTGTGGAGGTGGTTGTACCTATTGGATGTGGAGGACAGACTACTCAAACCGGTTGTGACATCGAGCTATTATTGCTGAATAGACCGCGAATTATGGCTGGCAACATGGAGACCAATGCACATAACGAGAAGAACGAAAGTCGGATGGTAGGCGCTTCAAGATGATAATGAGGTCTCTGGTACTGTGCAGTTGACTTACAGACGCAGGTCACTTGCATTAAGAAATGCATGCCCACGCAAAATAGCACAAGCAAACCCTTCTCCTACATTCGGCTCCTATTCTCTCTAGAATACACATCCACAGACGTGCTCCTCATCGCCGCCGGCCTCTTCTTCTCCATCGCTGCTGGAGTCCCCTTCCCGTTGCTCGGCATCGTTTTCGGCGATCTGATTAACGACCTCAACACAACCAGCTGCTCTTCAACACCCAGCCAGACAACAGATGTATCGGGTGCAGTACGTCAAAAGGTATTATACGTGATCTACATCACAATTGCCAATTTCTGCTGCCTATACATTCACTGCAGCTGCTGGAGCTACATCAGCGAACGCATCGCACGCCGCTACCGCCGCCGATATTTCGAGAGTATTATCAGACAAGAAACAGGGTACATCGAGAGTCTTCCAACGGGCGATGTGATCTCTCGCCTGGTGAGTGATATCGAAGTCATACAGTCCGGTACCTCGGAGAAAGTGGGGATTGTCATTTCCACAGTCTCATATTTCGTCACCTCATATATTGTGGCATTCATCAAGGTCCCTCAGATTGCGGGAATGCTGGTATCTGTTGTACCATGCTATTTTCTCATGTCATATGGTGGAGGCTATTTTATCAAGAAATACGCAGGAAGAATAACAGAGCATGTTAATGCAGCTACTTCCATCGCATCGTCAAGTTTATCTCACCTGGCTCTCGTGCACGCCTTCAATTCACACGAGCGTCTCGAGAAATTATTTGCGGCGCACCTTTCTGGGTATCGTCGTGATGCTTTGAAGAAAGCCTTAGCCCACGCTGTGCAGCTTGGGCTGCTATACTTTATTGCTTACAGCTCTAACGCGTTGGCCTTCTGGGAGGGATCCCGTCTCATTGCCGATTCGGTAGAATCGAATGGCTCAGGAGTTAGCGTCGGCGCAGTCTACACTGTCATTTTTGTGTTGATTGATGCATCCTTTATCCTCAGTCAAGTTGCCCCATACGTGCACGTCTTTGCATCTGCAGCAGGCGCATCTGAGCGACTGATGGTGGTCATCAATCGGGAGTCCCAGATCGATGGGACCTCAGAGTCGGGAGATAAATCTGCTCCACTCGATTTTGGAGATATCACTTTCAACGATGTGCATTTTACTTACCCGTCTCGACCTGATGTGCCAGTTCTACAGGGTGTGACATTCTCGATTGCACCTCGAAAGCATACAGCTATTGTGGGGCCATCTGGAGGTGGAAAGTCTACTGTTGTCGCCCTTCTGGAAAGATTCTATGATCCGATGTCGGGGAATATATGTATAGGAAACCAAGACGTTCGGGACGTGAATGTGCGGTACTTGCGGGGAAATATTGGATTCGTGCAGCAAGAGCCGTCTTTGTTGAATCGGTCGATTTTGGAGAATATTGCGTACGGACTGGTAACATCGGCCAGTGAAAAGCACCAGAACCTAACGAAATTTGTTCAAGACTCCTCTTTGTCCGATTTGACAGAGAAAATGCGCAGCGGAATGACCGAAAAAGCCGCTCTGGCGGAATTTGATCCTAGGGTTGCTGAAATTGTGGCTCTGGTCCGAGATGCCGCGGCCAGTTCGAATGCTTTGTACTTCATCGATGCTCTGCCATTTGGTTCTGCGACAGGCGTCGGATCATCTGGTGGCCAGCTCAGTGGTGGACAGAAGCAGCGAATTGCACTTGCGCGGGCATTGGTCCGTGACCCGTCAATCTTGATTCTCGATGAAGCAACGGCGGCTCTGGACTCGACCAGTGAACGACTGATTCAGGATGCGTTAGCTAAAGTAGCCGAACGCGTGACAATAGTATCTATCGCGCACCGTCTGGCCACTGCTAAGGATGCCCAGAAGATTGTGTTTATCCAGAAAGGTCGAGTCGTGGAAGAAGGTACTCATACGGAGCTGGTTGCGACAGGGGGCTCGTATGCTGAGATGGTGCGGCTCCAGAACCTTGGGAAGCTGAGTCCTGCGAGGTCCCCCAATCAAGACCCTATTCGTGAAGTTCTCGAGACGAGCGAAACATTTATCGACACGAAAGAAGCATTTCTTGACGTGAGCGGTGCTGATATTACAGACGAGACGTTGCCTGCATATACCGCGACTGCCATAAAAGAAACCAAAAAGCAGCAGAGGAAACGAAGGAAAGAAGAAAAGAAGCACAAACCACCAGGGTGGTTCACTGCCAAATTCACTTTCTCTATCATTCGCCCTAATCTGCTCTACGTTTTGCTTGGTCTTGCGTTCGCTGTGGTGATTGGCGGCAGCTATACCGCAGAAGCAGTTATCTTTGGCCACACTGTCAGCGCTTTGAGTCCCTGCATCGGAGCTGAAAGCATTCGCCATAGCGGTCATCTCTACGGGCTTCTTTTCTTCATCATAGCAATCATCGAATTCTCGGCCAACGTGATTGCAGGCTGTGCATTCGGCTGGGCTGCGGACAAGATTCTATACCGTATGCGAGTCCTTTCTTTGCGATCTCTGTTTGGTCAGACCATTCAATGGCATGGCACAGAGGATCGAACACCAGGAACACTCATTACTTATATTACTAGTGATGCAGCGGCGCTAGGCAGTATTACCGGCACTACTATAGGGTTACTCCTAGCCACAGCTGTGAACCTGATTGCTGGCTTAGTGGTATCATTTATCATTGCTTGGAAGATCACCATCGTGCTACTTCCAACAATTCCTGTCCTTCTGATAGCAGGCATGATGAAGCTCCGAACGCAGGCCAATTTTGCAGAACGACACCAAAAGGCTTTCGCACAAGCCACTGCTGTCACAATAGAAGCTGTCGAGAATATTCGAGCCATTTCGGCATTCAGCCTGGAGAAGCAGTCCTACGCTGTTTATGAACGCGCACTGAAAGCTCCATATCAAGAAACCTTGCGGTCTATCGCATTTGGCAATGTATTCCTTGCGCTTTCTTTCAGCATCAGTGCACTCGTCTATGCATTGGCATACTGGTGGGGTACTAAGCAGATATTAGCTGGTCTGTACTCGCAGACGCAGTTCTTCATCGTGATGCCTGCGATTCTTTTCAGTACACAATCCTGCGGACAGATGTTCGCTCTCGCACCAGATATCTCAAAAGCCGGCTTGGCTGCCTCGAACATCACAGAGCTACTTACTACCCACTCATCCGACGAAGAATTGAATCCTGATGTCTCAGGAAAGATCGCCAATTCCGACTTACATTTGCTCGAAGAAAAGCTCACGGATCCTGAAGCATTTCACCGCGAACAGCAAAATGCGGACATAGCTGGTCCGCCCCCAGCCTTGAATGGTATCGGGGCAGAACTGCAGAACGTGCATTTCGAATACCCCTCAAGACCAGGAGAGCCTGTGCTCCGCGGTCTTAATCTGAAGATCAAACCTGGTCAATTTTGTGCTCTGGTCGGGCCAAGCGGCTCTGGCAAATCCACCACTTTCGCCATGCTGGAACGATTCTACCGACCCGAATCTGGCGCTGTGATAATCGACGGAGTCAACATCACCCGACAACTAGGCACACAATTCCGCGACGAAATAGCCATCGTTCCACAAGAGAATGTACTCTTCGAAGGCACAGTCGCATTCAACATCGGTCTCGGCGCTAGACCAAATCATGAGCCAACACAAGCAGAGATCGAGGAAGCATGCCTCATGGCCAATGTTCACGAAGTGATAATGGCACTACCAGAAGGATATCAGACACCATGTAACCGAGATGGAAGGCAATTCTCCGGCGGACAACGACAGCGGTTATCGATTGCGCGCGCGTTGGTGCGTCGGCCGCGTTTGTTGCTGTTGGATGAGTCGACTAGTGCGCTGGACGTGGAGTCTGAGAAGCGCATTCAGGATGCACTTGCGACTCTTGCTGGTCGGACGACAATAGTGGCCATTGCACATCGACTGAACACTATTCATCGGGCTGATTGCATTTATCTTATCGAGGAGGGGCGTTGTACGGAGCAAGGGACCCACGAGGAATTGATTGAGCGGAGTGAGATTTATCGAACTAGTGTTATTCATCAGTCTTTGGAGACATAGTCATCATAATGATAGGGCTTGGGAAGTCTCAGCGCTAGATAGAGATCCATATTGGCATTTCATTACATGATCGTCTTTTGCCCTCTTGCGTCTCCTCGTAGCTTCTTCGCCTAACTCACTACTTTAAGCCTTTTGCATAATGTATTTGCATTTGTTCAACGACTGCAAATTTAATAGGCCCTTTGCCAGAGCTAGTACTCAAGAGCTGTCGTCGCTTCATCGAGGCCCAGCAACCGACTCACCCTGCGTAAAAATAACGATCGACTCCGTCAAACAAAGATGACTTAAGACTGTATCTTGTCAATCATCGGAAATTGACCAGCTATGAAAAATGTCGAATTAGGTTTAAAATTTATGGTGCGAAAGTTGACACCTGACAAAAGTGGATCCCGTGGTGATAACGACCGCGTGTTAACGCGTTTCCCAACGCGACGTATCCATGTCTACAAAATTCTTCTTTCCCTAAAGATTCAAAAATTCATCTGTGACAACATGGACGTGTCATCTTTGATCGGCAAGAATGATGAAGCTCAAAATGAAGAAGTCACATTTGACGATGCTGCTCTCGGTTTTTCCATCGACACTGTCTCCAGCACAGTACTGCAAAGCCTTTTGAGGTCCATTTGCGAGACAATACCGGAAGCGAAAAAGAAGGCCATTGAGCATCTGCTCGTCGAAAAGAGCCAAGTTCCGACTCCACCAGGCTCTAAAAGAGACCACGATGCCTACAAAGGCACAACAGATGCATCGGGCCAACAACTTGGGTGCAGGAGGCCGAAATATTCACATTGCGAGACCTGCAAAAAGGAGTTTAATACTCTGACGAACAACTCGTCAGCTTGTCGATATCATATTGGTAAGTTTATGAGCCGTGTTATTAACAGATAACTAATATAATTTTAGAGGACGCATATGCGGACGAAGACTCCCACTTGTTTGTGGATAATGATTTCTTCGGGCCCCAGGAAGCGGACTCTAACGACGATCTGAAGAAGGATCATCCAGATTGCTTTATATTTGAATGCTGTGGGGACAGTTTGAAGGATAATCCTCACGGGTGTGAGACTGATTGGCATAAGGAGGCGCCGTCACATGTTCGTGCCATGACTGAGCATATGGCACGCGTGGCACCAGAAACACACGTGGCAAAAAAGGCCCGTATACTTTAATTGGTGTACATTTCTTCTCATTTCTTCGTCAATCTTGCCTGTACAGCGGTTATTATCCACCTGGAAAGGAATGTGAGGATTTTCTTGGAGCTTTGCATCCCATTATCTCTCTACTGCTACGAAAATTTGTCTCCTTAAAAGGCCCATGAAAAGCAAAATGATAAGGCAACTTATTATTCTATTGTAATTCGATTGTTCAGTCATTCTCATGTGTGATACTGAGAAGAACTCTGAACACCATGAGAAGGATCGGTACTGGGATTATTAATAGCATAAGGAATTATTTAAAGTCATCTCTATATCAGAACTTGGCCTTCCACACCAATCCAGTATGATGAATTCGAGCAGCCAGCACTGCGACACTTCCAACCAGCAAGAACACACCAGAGAATATCTTCACGCCCGTGTAAGAGCCTCCATCATGCTGCAAGATAGCACCCGCAATCGGGTTAGTTGTCAGACCGCCAAACGAGGAGAACAAAAATAGCAAGCCAGTCCGATAGCCAATCTCAGGGAACGGTGAGATCTTGACCACCAAGGCAGCAGCAAGGGACACATAAGCACCCGAAGCAAACCCAAATGTGCAAGCAAAGACGATGATGGCGGCATTGCTTGCCGCAGGAATCCACAGAGCCAAAACGAGGACACCAGCAAGGAAGCACGCACTGACAAGAATATTATAGTGACCAACTTTGTCCGAGAAAATACCGGCTGACATACGACCGAACAAACTGCCGAAATCGGTTAGCAAGATCTTGAATACCAAAGAGCCGAATCTGAACCCACCTTGCAGCATTGAGCATAGAAACAAGATACTGGGCAAGATAAGAGCTCATACCAGCACTCATAGCCTGGACTACCAAATAGTCAATGGGAATAAAAATTCCAAAAGTCAAGAATATAAATCCCAAAATAATAAGCATCATCTCGAGTTCTTTGAACGGCCGCAAAAGCGTGTCCCGGCTCATTGCCTGCGGTCTTGGCGGCACCCTCGACTGAACAGTAAGAGTAGTAATGACAAGAAGAAATAAAATCAAAAATGCAGCCACGCGCATTGCCCAACCGTATCCAATCTCGTCAATCAATCGACTAACCATGATCGGGAAGATCACGCCCCCGAGACTCGAGCCCGTTGCAACGATCCCGTAGGCAGCACCTCGCTTCTTGTCAAACCAGCTTGGGATCGCGTTCATAGAAGGCTGAAAGATTGCGCATACTCCCATTGCGCTGCAGACTCCCTGAGAGAGAAGTAGCTGATAGTATTCTGTGGAGATGGACGCCATCATGAGGCCAAAGACGTGTAGGAACGACCCTCCGAGGATAATGTAGCGAGGGCCGAATCGGTCGTATAATTGTCCTACGATTGGTCCCTATTGCATGAAACAGTGAGTTCTATGATTGAGGAGGATTCTTCAAGGGACGTAGTGATAGGATGTACCATGGCAAACATGAAGAAAATCTGTAGACTAGGAATCCAAGCAATAGTGCTAGAAGAGTACTGGTGCAGTAGAGAGGTTTCATAATAGCTCTGGAAAATGCCCACGCCTAATTGATATCAGCCATGAGAACCAAAGAAGTTCTAAGATGCCGAAGAACATACTGTTGATCCAACCGAAGGTACAGAACAAGGCACACCATGCGCCTAGCACAACCAACCAAGCTTTTGCACCCCCATCAGGCGCGGCGTCATTATTCCAAGACTGCTTAGGAAGTCCAGTCTCAATGGGCTTTGGCTCTGGAGTTGCTTCGTCAAGGGTATGTTGGGAGTCTGGGGACGAACTTGCAGACTTTGGGTGTTCCGTCGACATGTGGAATAGATTTTTAGATGGCTTACTCCTTAAGAAATCAGGAAAGATTGAATATGGATTTTTGACCCATGTTTATCTGATGAACGGACAGAAGGGCTCATTTATATGAAGATCGTCTTCGGCGGCCATTTACGCCGAACGACCGCTCCGAGCGAATTTCCGAGGTCAATGACCGACGAATACGAGAGATGATTGGACCTGAATACCTCTAAGAGATTTTCTGAATAAATAGAGATAAACAGAAGACAAAATCGTAAAATCACTGTAGTCTGTTATAAAATAGGCAAAACTGATTTTGATTCATTCTAAGGTATCATGATGCAAGGCTATTATTCTAAGTGATCATTATTATCGTGCCATGTAAATGTAAGCACAGATAGCTCCCAAATGCGAAGGACAAATGAAATAAAGATTAACAAAAACAAGAAAAAATAAACAGAAGCTATTACCAGAAATTTGAGGGAAAGCCCCGAGGTATACCTAGACTTCGAGCTCCTGAGGCGTGCGTGTCCCACTCGACGACCTCGAGGACTTCCGCAACTCAATCTCCAGCAGCCGCTGACAGAAAGGACTCTGTTTCCGAATCCAAGGCCCATAATAAAACAAAGCAAACGGAATCGGGATGCAAGCCAGACTAGCAAAACCAAGAACCGAAGTAGCCCATGCAACACCAAGCTTCCCATAAAGCGGGTCAGCAGCAAGAGGAAAAAGCGCACCAGCCACACTGCGCATAATGACAGAGGCTGCTAATGCGCTGGCAGAGTAAATCTTGTATGCATCGGTAACGTATGTCAGAAGTGATATGAATACGGTTTGATATCCCAGCCCGAATACTATCCCCGAGAGTACAGGAATAATCCAGGGGGTGCTGGATTTTGCGGACCAAGCGAGCCAGAAAAGACTGACTGTAAGACAGGGAGCAGCTATACAGGACATTGGGAGTCTTTGGGATTCAGGCCCGGACGCCCACCGCTTCCCAGCCTTCTTGGCTTTGTTGTAGATTTTGTCGTAGTAGAGGGCGAATATGCAGGAGGATGCAGCGCCAAGGCCGACTGCGATAGTTAGCTTCATGTTAGACCTTGTTTCAATTGTTGGCTTTTGGAAAACTTACTAGGAATGTATGTGAGGGATGTGTACTCAACGGTGAAGTTATACGTGCCTTGAAAAGTTAGTCTGGGTCCAGATCAGACTGCAAAAGAGAACATACCCTCAAAGATTATGGGATATGCCTGGAAGTAGAAGAATACCATGCTCCATGCCAAAGAGAGGTAGACTGATGTAAAGAGAATGATGGGCTCAAAGAGCAGCATCGCAAGAGGGCGGGTGATGGTCTCCGTCAAAGTAAACGCCTCATCGGACTTCAATTCCTGCGGAGAAAGATATCGGTTTGACCCGGTCTCTTTTCTCAGTCTTGCCGCTTCTTTTTTGAGTAAAGTCGGAGCAAATGTTTCTTTGAAGAAGCAGAACCCCACCCATGCGATTCCACATAGTATCACGTCAATTCGAAATGTCCAACGCCAACCATACTTAACAGAACAGCCAGATATGATGGGTCCAATGATTGGCCCAAAACTTGAAGCCTGAAGATACATTTAGCCATTTAGTTTCCAGAACGCAGAGAGGATTCCAGGTTTTCAACCTACCGCCATATAAAGCGCCATAGCCCTGCCGCGGCTTTTTGTATCATTGAAAAGATCCGAAAAAACTCCCCCAACCACTGTCTGAGGCGCAGCAGCCATAGTCCCGCATATTAATCGAAATACCAATAGTGCGGGCCAATTGGGCGCAAAGGCACAAGCAAGCGTGCCAAGAACAAAAACAGTGAAGGTCCAGAAAAGAATCGGTTGACGACCGATGGTCTCGGATAATGGGCTCCAAACTAATGGGCCGACACAATACCCTATCAGGAAGATGGCAGTTGGCAAGACCTTTTGTCCATCTCCGCTTACGTTGAAATCTTCCATGATGGCGGGCACTGCGTTGCTGGGCAGAGAAGATGATATGCCGCTGTTCAGTACAATGAGCTGCGCCACGACTGCATTATACAGTTTTTTATTCTATGCCAGTTAGTATCGGGGTTTCTTTTTGCAAACAATATATGATAGCTTACAAAAGACCAATTGTTTGGATTTGCCTGGGAGTCCTCTTGGAACTCAACCAATGTTTCATGGGGAGAAAGATCAACTAGTGTGTAATCGCCATCATTCTTTTCTTTCTCCGTTGAAGAGGCTGACTTCATTACAGAGTCAGCTATAAGCTTTGACATCTTGTATATGGATCAAAAAGAGTAGATAACAGATGAAGAAAACCCACTGAGCCATGTGTCTATTCGAAGACGATCCCAATGCGAGGCCTTCTCATTTAAAAGAACCGTCGATTGCCACTAGTGGAGGGTAAGTCTCTGCAAAACTTGACTCAGAGCTTCTGGACCGTGTCTGTGCATAGCGTTACCACACTATTATGTTTGCATACTTACAACGGACCAGTAAGATGGGCTGCTGTCTGGATCGGCGAATCGGCGCCGGACCGGGGCCGGACCCCAGGGTCTCCAGCCCCGGGACCGGCCAGGAACCGAGATGGTCGAGGCCTTACCGACGTCCTGTTGTTGACGGCAGTTTCGATGAATTGAAGATCTACGTTATTTCATGTGATAGTTGATGTGGAAATGGCATGCATAGTGGCCCAACGCTCTTCTTTCAAGAGTCTGGTCATGGTACTAACCAATTGTGGAATCGTTTTTGCAGATCAAAAATCGGATAATTACAGTGTCTGGCCACGAAATTTATCGATTTGCTGCTCCGTTGACGTTTATGTGACTTATTAATTAACTTCTACTACTATGTCATTGAATCATGGGCAAAAAATCGAAGATATCGTTTTGCCCTTCCTCAAATAGACCAAATGAATCCGCGATGGAATTTGACATCGTCCAGTTCGGAGCTTCCATCGTGTCGGGCAGCCTTGGAAGAGGGGGTCTGGCAGGTGCAGATGCAGGTGCAGGTGCAGCATCATGATTTGGCATGTTCATCAAGTTCGAGTCTTTGTCACTCGGCACACCGGTGCCGACCCTGTACCTAGGACCATCCAAAGTTGTCAGATGCGGGGCATTTTCCACAGGGCTATCTGGGCCTGAGTAGGAGGCCATGGTGGCATCTCCCTGGCTGGACGAGTTGGGAGGATCACTATCGTGGCTTCCTGGGCGTTGACTGGCGATCAGTGCCCTGGCATAATTCACGAATATCGAGACCGTCCGGTGAATGTCTGGATATGGAGGCTGCTTCAAGAAGTCGCACATTTTCTCCGCTCTCTCAAGAAGAAGATCTTGATCAATGAGATTTGGTTGCCAACGCGCGATGCGAAGTGCAAACGTGGCTGATTGCGAGTTAGTATCCATGCGCACAGTCATGGGGCAGGTGCTACTCACTGACAAATGCCATTGTAAGCGCGGGGTAGGTTGGGGCCCAAGGTAGTTGGCATCGATAGGATGGCTCATTGATCAAAAATGCTAACTGATCAAGGATAGTTGTGACCAGAGTTTGCCACAGATTCATGACACTCTGGTCAATCACTTCTGATTCAGAGTTGGAGCCAGTAGGTTGCAGTTTCTGAATACGTGCCAGAGACGTACACAATGCAAAAATCCTGGCGTAGAGAAGCATCAATTTAAGACTACTTCGTTGGAATGCCCCAGCATGAAAGCCATTATCTTGAAGCTGTCAGCGACTTTGTCTCAGAATAGTTGCAAGCAAGATAACATACTCTGATGGATCTCGTCCCAAGTCTTCCACCATGTTAAAAACCTTGCCATAATAGCTGGAAGTTCTACCATTACTATCTCACGGACAGTTGCTGCATTCTCCAGGATGATCCGCGAATGACCTATCTTCCGATTAGTCATGAACAAAGCTGGTCACGGTGAGAACACGAACCCCGAAGCTGATGTATCTCGATGATGCATACAGTTCTCATATCGCACGGTAATGAGAGTGGGTAGTCCAGGAATTTGCGCAGTTTCGTGATATCCACCTCCCCGATACGTGATTTGCGGCCGGTTCCAGAAGCTACATCGAGTTCCAAGGTAAAAGTAATGAGCCAAGTCCGTGTCTGCCAAACCAATTGACGATCGTCCATGGTGGCGGCAAGCGAGCTCCGCGGGACGTTTTCTTGTGAGAGTAATGTGTCCAAGGACTTTTCGAGCCCAGAGTCTAACGCCGTGCGTAGGATAAGTGCGGTTGAAAACCAAGTTTTCTCTGAATAGGCCGCGAGGAGAATCATTCCCTGAACTGTTTCAAGTTTAGTTGGGCGTTCAAAAAAGCTATCTTCAGCCAGTCGTTGTGCTTCGTCCTGGAGAACACATTGCATATGGGTGTCACCGCGTAAATCCATGACTGCCCGACTGGAGAGATAAATAATCACAGTGAAGCAGAACAAGGAGCGCGATCGGATCGAGTCGAATGTATCACGGATGGGGTCGAACAGAGGTAAGAAATTCTTGCTCCCGCCGGTAAACCTGTGCCACGAGTTAATTTTACATACGATGTTGTTTTTAACTCTGGCCAATCGTTTGTCATACATACCTTTCATACATGACCCGAGCTCGCTCTTCTGTCACGATACCTCGAGCGATAATGTCACCCCTGGGATCGCCATTTGTTGAGTGCTCCATGAAAATCTTCAGAGGTTTTTGGTTAAAGAGGCAAAAGTTTTCTTGATTCGAGTCGACTTACGTTGTTTGAACCAAGCAAGTTCACAGACATGGAATGAACTGCTGACTGCGGCGCAATCATATCATTCGGGCTTAGCTGCTGCGACTCGGGGCCATTATGATCTGCCGTCACAGATCTCCGCAGATCCCTCAAGGCGGAGGAATCTGGAAGGGAGTCAATTGAAGCGTCAAAGCTAGCATCCTGCCTAGTGATGGGAGAATATTCTTGTTCTCTTGACACAGGGGTATGAAAGCCACCCCTTTGGTCCAGGGGTGAAGCTCTTGAAGAGCCACTATATCTAGAGGTGTCAGACTATGATCTTTGAGCAGAGTAAACAAGACACCAGATCTCACCGTGCAGGGGTGCCTTTTCTTCGGCGATCACTACGCCGTCGGTTGTCTTCAATCGGATCTAAGATACAGTCACGGCCCGTGGAGCGACAGCGAAAACATGGCACCTGGTGACGTGCGTCGCATCGCATCTTTTGTCGGCGACACCATCGGCATGCTTTGAAGAACCGGATCGGCACGTTCTCCGCACGAAACACAATCTCCGAACCTCGCTCACTCATGATTGTGGAAGACCGATGATGGAATTTTCGGCTTTCCGGTAGCGGCTTTACTCGAGCAAATCAAGCCGGCACCTGTATCATACAGGCTGGATGATGCTCTGGTCTCTAGGTGACTCGGATTCGGCGATAAAACGAGGAGCATCGGGCCCGGTCACGTGCTCACCTGCCCATGGTTCAGGCCGAAAATTAGGAGATTCTTTGACCAATCAATTATTATGAGGCAGATTTGGCATTTAGTTTCTGGTATTATCTGGTCAACTATGATATCTATACAAGCATAGGTGGCATTTGACTGTCACATTCACACTTCGCCTTGGGCGCCCTAAGCATTCTTTGAATCTCACCATCGTCAGCATAGTATATCTCCAAGTACAAGCATATTGACAGGCATTCCAACCGCGCTCGTCTTGTTATGAACCACACAGTGCTCGATAAAAGCGCATACCAATACGCCATTATCAGTAGCGCCCGTGGATCTTTGCAGCCCAATAGTGATCTGAAGTCCGGTTTCATAAGGCCCCAGAATGACATATATCTCCCGATCATTACTTTGGTACCTTTTGACTGCCAAAGGTCTGACAGCATAGAGACAGGAGAGTAATAAGGGTTTTGACAGTAAGCAAGTGGTTCATCCAGTAAACATAGCGGAATGAAGTCAGGTGCGAGTTCTGATACCTCACGAAGAGGTGGGCCTTTCATGAACTCGATATATTCGTCTGCCATGGGATGAAAGATGCTGTCCGGTCGAAGTGGGTTGGTTGCTCGCCAGATTGCTTTTTTGCCCACTGATAAGTTTAACCAGTCAAGGTCTGATGGATCGTGGGGCTTGAGTGGCCATGCTTCTGCTGGAGTTGATGCATCGATGGAAGACATACTAGCGATTCCCAACATCGCCGCGGAGGACCAGAGAGCATCGCGATCCTCATATAATATTGGGCTAGATAGCTTTTGGCTGAGAAGTCCAGCGCCCTGAGCTGCGTTATAAACCTCGGCGACTGATTTTGTGGTGTTGTCTGGTGCTGGCAAAAGGTAGCGATCATGAGTCGCAGTGACAGCCAAAATGATTCGCATTAGAAACGGGTGCTAGAATAACATGTCAGTCAGGTCTTGTTATGGCAGCCTGGAAATTATATTACCTGTAGCGCGAGTCTTATAACGTCTTCTTGATAGATATCGAAGGCCAGTCTGCCTACAAAAGTGAAAACAGTGCGATTCCTAAAACGATCCAGAAGCGCCAGGCTGTCTGAATCCATCTGGAAGGAGCCAGGACCATGTCCAACTATGATTGTGGGAATAGATATAGTTGTACTGGGCTTTAAATCAAAAACCAATTGACTAAAGGGACTGTCATCGGTGTTGTTCTTCGCGAGCTGCAGGTCTGAGCTATGGCCCATTTTATAATTGCAGATGACGCCAAATGACAGGCATCTCTGACACTGCGGTTCGGCTTCGTCGCACTGTAGTAAAAGTTAGTAATCATGTCCAAATATGTCAAGTGATCGGGGCTCACTTTGATTCTACGGAGTTTGCAGTTTCGGCAGCCCCGACGCGACTTAGTGTGTGCCCGGCGCCGTCGGGACTGGTCCATGGAGTCTGGCTGGCTTGGCATTTCAATTTGAATAGAAGTTAAGTGTGCAGGAGCAAAGAGGAAGAAGGTTGATGCCTCTGCGGCGTGGGAATGGCCCCCACTCTTTAACTCCGATCTAACCTCCGTTCTGATCTCTGATTCGCCACAACACGTGGAGCCAGGACTCCATAGAAAAGACGGTCGTAGACCATTATTGGCTGAGACTAAAAGCGCGCTAACCCGCAGTCGTATTCCAGTGCAACTATTGTCAGATCTGGCTCATGCAGTTCCTCTGACTTCATAGAATTTCAAGGAAACGTCAAAGCCGAGTTATATGGACATGAATCCCTAAGTCCGCCGGAATTACGGGCTTGGATTGCCCGACCAGGATATAAATTCTTCAAAATCCCCCGGCACTTACGAATCCTACCCAGATCACTCTGGAATTTAGACACCAGCCTCGATTTTCGTTGGAATATCAACAGTCATCATCTCTTTCCTCTTGTCCTTCCACTACCAATCAATTTGATCATTTATCCAATTGAAATTCATTACCAATCCATTCCAGCATCTCAACCTCAACATGCACGTCTTTGTTACTGGTGCCACCGGCTTTATCGGCCAAGCTGTCGTACAAGAGCTCCTCGATGCTGGCCATACTGTCACTGGCCTTGCTCGCTCAGAGGCTTCTGCTAAAGCTTTGCAAGACAAAGGCGTCAACGTCGTTCGCGGCTCTCTTGAAGATATCGATTGCTTGAAGAGCACAGCATCCAAGTCAGACGGTGTCATTCACCTTGCTTTCAACCATGACTTCACGAAATTTGCCGAAAATGCTTTGGCCGAGCGTACAGCTATCTTAGCTATTGCTGACGGCCTTGCGGGATCCAACAAGCCTCTGGTTTTTGCTTCGGGTACAATGAGCCTAGCGAAGGGAACAGTGGGGACAGAGGATAGTCCTGCAGAGCCCAATACGCCATTTAGTGCCCGCACTGATACAGAGCAAAAGGTGCTCGATTGTTCATCTAAGGGAGTACGAGTATCCTGCATTCGCCTGTCGCCTACAACCCACGGCGATGGAGACAAAGGGTTCGTCTGGATGATTGCCGAGTTCGCACGTGCAAACGGCCAATCCGTTTATGTTGGCGACGGACTCAACCGATGGCCCGCTGTTCACCGTCGCGACGCGGCCCGTCTGTTTTGTCTAGCGCTAGAGAAAGGGGCCGCGGGCAGCAGGTATCATGCTGTTGCTGAAGAGGGTATCTTTATGAAAGATATTGCTGGAGCTATTGGCAAGGCCACGGGGCTTCCGACGGTTTCCCAGGATTTTGAGGCTGCTTCGAAGCATTTTGCTGGTTTCATGGTTCATCCTGTCATGGCTGACAACCCGGCTTCAAGCAAGAAGACGCAAGAGCAACTGGGATGGTCACCTTCTGAGCGCACTATTCTGGGAGATATTGAAGCGGGCGTTTATAATTGAGTTGAAGCGAAATTGGCTATGATTGTTTCTACATTTTCAAAGCTTTGGCACGCAATTGCTTCTTTTATTCCATTAAATGACAGATTTTATCTACCCATTTTTCTTAACTCGAAGCATTAATTCCAAGAGAGTAACAATGTCAAATAAGAACACTTTTCCGGATGCCATAAATGTTCATTCACACATGTAGTGGGTCTTTGTTAATGAAGTCACGTGTAGCATTGCTTACACGGAGGCAACAGGCTTGTCTCGATTTCCCTCAACCAACTATGACATAATGGCGAACCGGAGCTCAAAGACAACCAGGGCACTCGAAGAATTTTCGGGTTCATCAAATTGCATCTTGAAAAGACCAAAGCTGCGAAAAGGGACAACAAGTTGCTGGGAATGCAAGCGCCGCAAGAAGCGGTGCGAATTTGGAGCCGAATCCACTACTTGTGATATCTGCCAGCGACTTAGGCTGCCATGCATCAGCCAAGATCTCGCAGACCCTGTGCATGATGATGATCGCCTTGGCCACCGTCTTGACCATGTCGAGGCGCTGGTGACTCAATTAGTGCGCCAGCGGAACGTCCAATCTAATACTGAATTAGGGAGGACTCGAGAGTCTGATATACCAACTTTGCGGTCGGTTAGTCATGAAAGATTGTCCCGAGGTTGGTCTCTTACAGGATACCTCTATTCGGTCCTCCCCGACCCGTCTACTGCTGCAGTGATCTTGAACAGTATCAATTTGTTCTCCTCGCCTCTACAGATATCCCAATCAAAACCTGGCAACTCTCCACCTCATACAAGACCGAGTCAAGATAGCCTATCGTTGACTTCACATCCTGTTCTTTTTGCTCGGAGACTCGTTCAACTCGCCGTCTGCCTAAAGCAATTTAACGAATTATCCTCAGAGCAACTCAAATCACGACTCAATGAGTCCATCCACGATGCTGCAAAGCGCTATTTCACTGCGGCGTCTCATTTTGTAACCTCACAGGACTTTCTAGTAGCATCTCTAGATGGACTAGAAACTTTGATGCTTCAAGGAGGCTATCATATCACCAATGGTGACTTTCAGGCCGCCTGGGCTATTCAACGCCGTGCAGCAAATATTTCCCAGGTAATCGATTTGCCAAATCTGGCAAAAGAACCAGGAAGCCGATCGGAGAATCTATGGTTCCGAATTATCTACAGTGACCGCTTTCTGTCCCTTATACTCGGCTTTCCTTTCACTGTTGCCGATAATACCTTTGCAAGTGCGTTCAATCTTGCAGCTAATGCTCCAGCGCAAAGGCTAGAGCGCATCCACGCATATTTAGCAGGGTGTATCATCGCGAGGAACTTGCAAATGCAAAAGGGTACTGAATTTGAAGAGTCATTTCTTTACGAGCACTACGCAGAAACGAAGAGAATAGATGGCCATTTGAAAAAAGCCACTCGGATCTTACCAAACAGTTGGTGGTTGGCTCCATCCTTGGACACCGTCTTAGATGGCAAGCTGGAAAGAACAGCCAAGCTTCTAGTGCAAATGCACCAATATTATTTGCTTGTCCATTTGCACCAGCCTTATACTATCCATAATCAAAACGTGGACTTGGACAGGGATTACACATACAGCAAGCTTACTGCGGTGTCTGCGAGCCGTGAGGTGCTTTTACGCTATCTCATACTTCGCGACCACCATCGATCACCCTCGTATCGAGCTCTTGATGAGAAGGCTTTTATGGCCTCAGTAACAATACTATTCGCCCACTTTGTTGGGCATGAAAGTGCAAGTGCCAACCTCCACGAACATCAGCGTTCGAGTGATCTTGGTACAATTGAAAAAGTGATTGATCTTTTTGAAAAGCTCTCTATAACACTGGAAGCTTCTGGCCTCTGTGGGTCTAAAATTTTGAGAAAATTCATGGAGATCGAGGAGGATGCTGCAAACGGCTCTCTTTATCGCACGTGGAATGGAATTGAGGCTAGCACAGATACTGATAAAGAACGGTCTGATCGCTGTGTGGTTCAAATTCCTATTCCTTATTTTGGTGTGATTTTCATCTCAGGTCAGTTATCTATTAAGCCTTTGACGACAGAACTGAATGATAATACAGAGTCAAATTCATCGGAAAGCGAGTTCTATGGCCCGTTGTCTCCTTTAGATATCCCGCGGCAATCCCCTATAGAGCGAGCTACTTCTAGATCTGCAAATCGTGAAACAGACACAGAACTGTTTAATGATTGGATACACGATGCGCCTACAAGCGAAAGAAGATAATACGCTAGGCTCCGTCAATGAAAACAGGTGATTATTCCAAAGCTGGTGTGTCTGCAAAGTCATACCCAGTCATAGCCTGAAAGCGGCCACCGGCAACTTTCTCACCCAGCTGGCGGATTTTCTTCTCCTCTTCCTCGGACAAAGATATAAAGAGACTTTTCAAATTCTCCTCTAAGCGCTGAGTCTTAGAAGCCCCGGGGATAGGAAATATGTCATCTCCTTGGGCAAGCAACCAAGCAAGAGCAAGCTGCGGTGTCGTCACACCTTTCGCCCTAGAAAGTGCAGCTATCTCATTGACGAGAGCCACATTCTGCTCAATATTGCCCTCTTGAAGCCATGGCAAAATTCTGCGCTTGTCACCAAGCCTGCTGATGTCTTCCTGCGAACGAATATTCCCGGTCAAGATCCCGTTTGCAAGGGGGCTGTAGCAAACAATCGCAAACCCCCAGCTCCCGTGCCGTCTCCAGCAACTTTCGCTGCGGAGATTCGATTTCCGTACAGAAGATACTGTACTCCATCTGCACACATGTAATCGGATGAATAGCATACGCGCGACGCAAAGATTCCGCGCTACATTCACTCAAGCCGATGTGCTTGATCTTGCCGGCATCCTTGAGCTCGACCATCACCTGCATGGTCTTTTCGACTGGGGTGACTTTATCCAAGCGATGGACATAATACAGATCAACACAGGGGACTCCAAGTCGGCCAAGGGAGGCCTCAATAGCAGTGCGACAATACTCAGGCGTCGAATTCATGGTGAATCCAGGTGGCGTGGGAGTGTGCACAATACCAAATTTCGTGGCAAGGAATATGTCCTGACGCTTTCCAGGGTTTGCGGCAAACCATTTTCCTATTATGGCTTCGGAATCGCCATACTCATCGGCTTGAGACAGCTTCAGTATTGTTTTCCTCTGTTTGCATATTGCTTGAAACCCACCTGTATCCCAAAATCGCTCGCCTCTTTTGTACGCCTCATCTAGGAATTCAAGCATCTCTTCATGCGAAAGGAAGGACTGGCCATACGTGCCACGAAATCCCATGAGGCCGAGGCCTAGTCGAGGAACCAGAGGGCCATTTCCTAGCCGGCGGGTTGGTAGTGTCTTGAAAGCGGCCATGATTCTCACTGAAAGTTCGATGTTATGTTGGAAGGGTAATTGAGGGATCTTGTAATTGTTTGACTGTTAACGTGATGAATACATGCTTCAAAGCTAGTATTTATCCTTATAGAGATTCGGATATAGCGGCGGATGAGTACTTTGCAGCAAGCATACAACGGCCAATCATATTGTTCCGCCGCCAATCTCCGTTAACTCCGGATTTATACGGCAACGTTCTATTGATTGTGGGATACTACTACAGTTGTCTATCAAGATTTAGTCTACCGCGAGAAGTGTTTTGTCTTTCACTTAGGATTGAAATTGTTGATAGACTTGGTGACTACATATTCGAGTTGATACTTGATAATCAGTAAATTGAGGCCACTGCTAATCTAACTCTGTCCTATACCTTATTTAATTCTTATATGCAGTCGCTCTAATGCCGACGATTGCCAGTCGAAAGGCCAGTCTCAACAGCCTTTATCTGGAATGCCAGGAATTTGGAGTAAATCCGGCATAAAGCAAGGTTGCCACCAAAGTAATAGAAGCCAGGGTGACCACTAGGTCGCCACATCCCTCGAAGCTCTCCCTCATTATCCAAATCCCACACATCCTGACAACGATCGGCAATCTTATCGCCAAGTACTTTCCGAACAGTAGTGCGCATATTATCATACCCGGTAGCCAGGACAACAACATCGGCCGGCAAAGTGCTACCGTCCTCGAGGAATAGCTCACGATGCCCAAAGCCTGTGATCCCGCGCGGACTATGCTTGACCTTGATCTTGCCATCGATAATAAGTTGACTACAGCCAACGTCAATGTAGTAGCCACCACCGCGTGTGAAATAAGCACGCGCAATACCAGCACCGTCCACACCAAAGTCAAGTTGGAAACCTGCTTTACGGAGGCCATCCAGTGTTTCTTTTTCGGCGGCTGCGAAGCGCTTTGTTCCGTGTACGCTTAGGGCGAATTGGACGGGGAAGGGCAGACTTTCGGAGACGATATCGCATTCTTCGGTTGGGGGCCTGTATGTTCAATGTTAGTGGATCTTCCATAATAATAAACCTATATTAGTAAAAGGGACGAAACGAACCCGCCATCTTCGTGCAGGCCTTCATGCATCATAAACACGCCCTTGTCGGCAGTGATAACATATGTTCCGCTGCGCTGTAGCATAGTCACATCGGCACCGTTTTCATAGTAGTTCTGTGCAATGTCGTGCCCACTGTTTCCTGTGCCGACAACAACGACCTTCTTCCCACGCACATCTGAGTCCGAGGCATCGGTGTGTTGGCTGCCGTGGTACAGAGTTCCCTGGAAGGATTCCTGGTTTGGGAAACTTGGAATCCGGGCTTCACCCGAATGTCCCGTACACCACACTATATGGCGTGGCCGTAGAGTGCGTGAGGTTCCGTCACCGCGAGTAACATTTACCTTCCATTCAGCAGTGGCATCATTATATTCGGCAGATGCCACGGATGTTTTGACCCAGACATTCAGTTCCATTATGCTTGCATAGGCCTCGAACCAGTCGCCGAGTTTGTCTTTAGGTGTGAACTGGGGCCAGTTCTGTGGGAAAGGGAGATATGCCATGTGCGTGAATTCGGCCGGGTCGTGGGTGACCAGAGTCTTCAAGAATGCAATCATCAGCATATTTCTGTTCAATGGCTTGAAAAGAATGACTTACCCGGTACCGCTTACGCCAGTTATCACCCACGTGTTGATGCTTATCAACAATTAGACAGGAAAGCCCAAGGTTTTGCAGGCGAGCACCCATATTCAATCCCGCTTGACCAGCTCCAACAACCAAAACAGTTGGCTCTGAGTCTAGGAATTCCTTCTGTCTCTCTCTCCGTTCAATCCACGTCCCACCAGCCATTCCCCCGGGCATAGACTCTGTAGTACCCTCTGCTCTTCGCTTCCCCATAGGCTCCTCGGCCCCCGTCATCTCCTGCAACGATGTATACACCGCATACGCTCTCCAGCATTCGTCGGCACCCTGGGTCAACCGAATCATGCCGGAGCCTTTCCCAACGGCCGTTTCAAAGAAGAACATACTAGATATCCAACTTAATCCATCAATAACCTGTTCCACCTTCGGCTGCCATTTGCCTTGGGTTTGAAGCTTAAAGCCAGACAATTTGGCATGGGCCTGACACTTGCGCAGGAAGCCTTGGATCTCAGCGGCTGTATGGAGAGTACGCATGTCCCAGTCCAAGGCTAGCATGTCACGCCACCATGACTCGGGGTGAAACAAATATTTCAGATCAATTGAGTCGGGCTGCGATAATTGTGCTTGAAAGGCGTTGAACCATTGCTGAATGATAGCTTGGGGGTCACATCCACCAAGACTTGGAGGCGTCGTAGGGAGTTGGACAATATGTGGGTTACCCCCGGTCAAAGTTGTCGCCATTATGGAATGAGAATTGAACCAAGGAACTTTCACTGAATACGCTGACGAGAGGGTGTCCGCCTCACATTTATAGTTTGCGAGCTCGTCTGATTATGAATTACCCCTTTACCCATTTTCCCCATCTCCATCAACATCCACACTTTTTAGAAGGCAACTCTACCGATGCTACGATGCTGGAGCATGAGGGGCAGACGTGGGGATCAACGTCAGATCTACCTCCACTATCGTTCTCCCCGACGTGGGGAAATGCTCGGAGTAGAACCAACCGAGGGCAGGTTTGCCGAGCCCGAACAGGGAAAATCAGGTGCGAACTTCGATTATTCCGATGTTTCTGGAACACGAACTGTGTTTAGTAACCTTGAAATTACTATTCTAGGCATATCTAGGCACCTTGACCTCTTTGGGACCGGGCCAGGGTCCTTCTCCTGGTCAGATTCCACCTTCTATGCTCATGTTCCGACATACACCAAGTCTGCAATTAGGAGTATACAGCTCATTCCTGAAAATGAAAAGGCAATGAAAAGCTCAAATCAGTAGATGATGTGAAAGCTGAAGAGAACAAAGGCTGGCCAGAAGTCCCTGCTGATCATGTGATCTCCAATGATGAGTGTCTTCATAGTGAGGTGTCGGGTAGTGACTTTCCGGCCGGAACCCCAATCCTAATTCAACGCTTTTCATGTCAGATTTCTTCCCCAGAGCTTCGCAATCGAACGGTACAGACTTGAGAATTATTTTTGTAACCGCACATACCGCATATTCTCAAACACTTACCTAAAAATTGCATTAAATTCCGATTTACGGTTAATATGCTAGGCTAATCATAATTAGTGAAATGTGGCATCGTCAAGTTATAGTGTCTGACTACAGTCAAAAGACGCTCCATGAAAAAGGCAGAGCATTTGCAATAAGTTAAACTGTCAGGTGGGCACAATGATTTTGCATTCTATGGACAACCAAGGACGGCAAGATAGCGATAGGGAAATAATGGGATGCAAAGTACTACATGGAGAAGGTCGCCGAGGTCGCAACATGTTACTCCAGATTCGGTGAATGCTAACCGTTGTACCAGGTGGCAAGATTGGTGAGGAAATGGGAAAACCCATACATGTATTACAGGTCAGAGATCTTCTTCGCTGCACGGGCTTGCTCATAGCGTGCCGCGAATCTCTCATGTTTGTCCAAAACATCATCCGGAATATATCGTAGCCTGGATGGTATTTCATCATCCGATGATTATAGCTCTATATACCTTCATCATAGTGATCGCATGGGCTGCCCAAGTCAAAAACAGAGTCATTGTGAATTTGACTTCTGCATCAAGTAAACATTCGATGATCTTCTCCTTTACTTCTAATATCGCAAAAATACTTTTATAGGCCGCGTGGTACTGTGTTCGAAGTATTGCGGATGGAAAAGGTGAGAGTAACCTCAGCAGCTTCGTCATATTTTCGTTTGGTTGAAGTTGGCACGCCCATTTTGTTTAATTTTAATTTTAATGTATCACAGAATGTTAATTTTTCGGTAGACCTAGACCCAAATAGAAACCTGGAAATGCATTCAAACACCGCGCTCTAGCGCCGATATCCATCGAATTGTCCAGAGACCTGTCACATATGCACTACCCATGAGTATAAGAATTTGGGCAAAGGCCACCCACTTTAATAGATCCCCATAGCGTATGATCATAGAAGCGGATCGCTGTGAATGTTCAAAGCAGCGTGAACATCACTAGCAAGCTGCAGGGTACTAAATGCCCCCATCCTGATTCATAATAGCAATGCCCTGCGCCAAATAATTCCAATCGGGAAACCCCGACCAATTAAAGTCCAGATTATCCAGATCCAAAAGTGGCGCCTCGATACCATACAGTACAGCATCATCAGCCGAAGACAGAGGATCCGCAACAGACCGTGTTCGTTGCTGCTGTTGCTCGCTCTGCGCAGCAGAAGTATTCGTATTCGCATCCGTATGCGCACCCGTATTCGCATTCCGAATCCGCATCGCCTTCGCTCGTAGTAGCTTGAGCATAGGCCATTTAGGACCTGGATCGGGCCAAGAGGGATCCCGCTCCGTAAGCTCGAAATGCGTATTGACTCCGCGCCAGGCCTCCTCCACGAACGGGCCTGTTGGGAACACACACAAGTGCCACAATATATAGGTCAAAAGGTGGAATTGGGTGTATGTAGACGTTAGCCAGCGGAAGCCGCGTAGGAGCTCGTCTTGGTACATTCTCAGTCCTTGATTTAGTGCATTGCAGGCCATTCCGAGGAGTTCTTGGGCTGCTTCGATATCTACTGCTGATGAGGATGGAGATGGGGTTTGGAGCACCTTTTGTCGGAGATGGACCTCTGCTTTGGCGACTAGAATTTGGCTGAGGAGCAGTCCCATGCGCTGGATGGGGATGTCTAAGTCGCCGTGTTTGACGTATTTTTCATGTAAGTCGTTGCGAAATTGAGCGATTAACTGTTCTGGTCGCGTGCCATCTTTGGAGTCGACTATTGTCTGTGCCATTGGAAGCCACATTTTGTTGACTTCGGAGATAATGAGGGGGAAAGTCATTTCTGTCCAGCGGGGCTGGGAGGGAACTGGTTCTGTGGATGTTTCGGTGAGATTTTGGTCGTCGATGTTGGCGGGTAATTGAGTATCGCCACCATATTCGCGCTCTGTTACGGTTATCCCGTGATCCTCAGCCATGCGAGCGTCGGTCGTGGCTAGCATCCACCATAGTCGACGGCGAATCTCGCACTCCAAAGGTGACAGTTTAAAGTGCTTGCCATCGCGGTGGAGGCCGATTGATTGTGCCGCTCGGATAGCTAGCCCGCGAAGCGTGAAGCCTGATCGGCCTGAGTTGCTGTACCGTAGACATGTCTATGCAAGGTTTGCTGTTAGAGGCAAGATGCGACTCTAGACTGTGAATGAAACGTACCAAATAAATTGCTAGCCCTTGTAGCGCTGGCATAGTCGGCGAATCCAGAAAAGAGGACTGGTACATAGCAATTTCGATGCCCTGCCTGTACCGGTCCATGTCCGAGCGAATGCCATCATTATCTGGGCTGTCTGCAGCCATAGCAGTGGCAGCACCGAAGAATATTGCAAAAAGTAAACAGTGAACATCCGGTGAAACGGATTCAGGCCTACTGATCGCAGCAAAAATGCGAGGCTTGGTTGTCGGCACATGGATAACTTTGACCACGGGATCAACCCGACTCAAAAATGTCTCCCAGAGCACCGTAGCCTGCCATCTACTCGGATAAAATGACTTGATATCCAGCGGGATAAGTTGCGGATTGGTGATAATACCATCCACCTTCATTTGTGGGGGTTTTCTCGCAGCATTATCGCTGATATTGGGCGACCCCATCGCAGACTGAAGTTCATGCTCTTTCTCCAAGACTCGCGATAAGAACGGCTCATCGACATAGTTACCATTCTTCACTAAGAAGCCTGGCTGAGCCGTGGTTTGACGACTCAGCACCACAGCACTAGATTCCCTCGAAGATTCCTGTCCAACGCTGGCAGCAGAGTGACCCGATTGCGCGTAGCTAGTTGATTGGGGGATCGACTGAGCTGATTCCCCAGTGATGGAAGTAATAGACCGCTCAAGTTGCTCCAACCGCGCCACTAGTTCGGTGGAGGTTGAGGTCCTCGGAGCTCGGCGTTTCACCTTTTTCGGGCCGGGGTATTCGCATGAAACATTGATGCGAAGACATGTTGAACAGGGTACGGCCCTGTCGCAGCGGACTTTGCGCGCGTGACATCGAATACAAGATCGCTTTACATTGTATCGACGTTCCATTGTTCTTTTCTCATAAAGATGGCCGCAGAATTCTCGGTAGCATATACCGGGTATGGTTTGATGCGCATGGGCTCTTTAAGTCACAGATACTATGAGTGTTGCGTGGAGGCGATAAATGCTTAGGCCAAAGTGATGATGTCGGCGTTTCGGATTTTGGAACGACCGAGGCCGAGCCAATAGTGACATAGTGGGTCTGTGATAAACTGGGGTAAGCACGGAGTACTGAACCCACACACTTCTCAAGTCATTCTAAAGGGATAGATCGAAACAAGATATTTTTTTGCGAGTTGTGCCCAAGCGGGCGCGATTTGGTTATTTCTAGTCTTATCGTGTACATGAAATCTGGCTACGCTGTAGGTATATCCAAGATAGCCTCATTTCGTCTTCTGAAAGTATTAAAATGGCCGAAGTTGGCTCTCAAGCCTGTCCAAGCTCGGTCATACGTCAATGGAACCAAAGTGAATTTACTGAGCTTTAATGGCTTGCTACTAATATTGTCAGCGGCAAGAGCATGCGTTCACCAACAGGGAATCTGACAACCCCGAATGACTAATATCCGAAAACACTCAAGTATACATCTTGTCCATACCTGAGCCCAGAATAATGCTTTCCATCTAATATTAGCAGGTTTGCGAAGGCAAATACAATTAGGAGTTGCCTATCTTGTCGCAAGAAATTTGCCTCTACCGCCAATTTTCCTAGGTCATGGTGGTCACAGTGTGTCAGTAACTCGAGCGAGTGTCTTGGGCACCAGGTCATTCGCCACACAGGAAAGCCGACCAAGTTCAATATGATGGATTCATAAGCTATCTGGATCACTAGCCTGCACGTGTCAACTAACACTTATAGATACCTTGGTGTCTTTTTAAGTCAAGCATGTCTTTCAGGACATGTATTATGTGTGGCATAGGGTTAGAGAAGGAACTTTTGTGAGTAGTGGTGGCGCCGATTTTGATTTATCCGGTAATATCTGCCTATATACATAGCAAGTTTGGATCTTACTTGATAATTGGCTCGCCAGTATAAGACTGAAAGCCTTGTAGCGTGAGGGTTCACTGCTAAACCCTACCTAGCTACTCTACCTACAAGCACTGAGAGTAATAAGGATTCTGCTCTTGGCACGTGGTTCCCGATGCGCACGCAGTCGGGCCAGTCCACCCCTGTCCTCCGCACTGACCCCAATGAGTCTGAGTTGCACCGGGAGCGGTGGCAGTCGAGGTCGTGGTCGTGGAAGTCTTGGTGGTGGACGTGGTCTTGGTGGTGGTAGCGGTGGATGCCGAGCTAGAGCTGGAGCCGGAGCCTGAGGGGTTGGTAAAGGTCGAGTCTATATCTCCCCAGCGGATGTTGGAAAAGACCACGTGCGTGGTAGGGTCTTGGGCCAAGATAGTGGCAGGGTTGCCTGCGGTGCTGGTGCACGGGCCGCTGCTTCCACTGTCGAGCCAGTTCATGAACTGGCTTCCATCGTTCCAGATGCTGAAGATCAGGACCATTCCCCGACCGAGCGCCTGTCCCATAGTGGTCAAGCCGCCAAACGTAGATGCAGAGCTGTCAGACGACTCACACCACGACTGCGTGATAGAGTCGATGCCGGAGGACGACTTCGCGTTCGGGATGATCTCACCGTTCTGGATATATTGTCGTCGGATTTCAGTCAGGGTGCCGGTCTTGGTGCCGTCGTCCGTGATGAACTGGGTAGTGATGGTGAAAGGCTTAGAGGTGTCGACGGTACCGCCCGGCCCCCAGTAGTTGGTCACGCCCTGCGCGTAGGGGTTGAAGCCGCAGCCGCCCTTGTCGCAGTCGGTGGCGCTGCAGGGATGGGGGGTGAAGGCGTTGGCCATGGAATTCGCCTCGAGGATATCCATCTCATTGCAGCAGTAGCTCTGGCCGCTGGGGTTGAGCGTTCCATTCCTCCAGGTCCCGACCGGGCACTGTGCATCGCAGTATCCCGAGCCGTACTCGGCACCACCGGTATTGTATTCATTCCTTCCGCCAGTAGCGCTCATCTCGGACAGGTAAAGGGCGCCATTCTCACCGCAGGGCAGAGTAGACATATCAACGTCGAAACTCAGCTCCCCGCCGAGGAGCTGCATCATCTCGTAGTCCCCCTCGGCTCCGAGGAGGTAGAGTCGTGGAGAGGCATTGCCGTATACGCCGTTGCTATTGACGTATTGGTACATGGTCAGCGAGTCTCCGGAAACAGAAACACCCGCGGAGGTATAATTGGCCGCTTCGATAACACAGTTCTCCGCACAGGTGGCTTCGTCGGGGCACAGTGTCGTGTTGACACCGGAGGAGGTCGTGCAGGACTCATAGCCGTCGACGGTATGAATCCAGTGGTATCCCCAGTCCAGGACGATCGAAGTATCCTGTTTCACGCAGCCCCCGGCCGTTGAACACTTCCAGGTGGTGAGAGCAGGGTTTCCAGGATTAGATGTTGCCGGCTCTTGCGCCTGAATGAGAGGCAGCAAGGCCAGCCCCGCCGTGATAATGCTCGACCTGATGGAAGGCATGATGGTCGATTGCGATTGAACTGAATGAGAAGCTTGCCGATCTCCTGATGTCAAACGTCGGCCCTGGTGTATTTATACATCCATCCCACGGGCTCTACATCGTTGATGCGGGCCCAGAAGGGAACGGATGAGGGGGTGCGTTTCGACGCATTGTGCGACCGTGCCATCGTCTCTTCAGGGAACAATTTGCACCAAATTTCAGCCGAGAAAGACGGGAGAATCTTAGCGACTGTGGTGAATAGCCTGTTTGTGGGGGTCTCGTGGCGAGCAGGAGAAATTTAGTTGACCAAGCTCTGGCGGGCAGCCAATCCGAGTCTGGGATAGACTGGAGCAGCGTCCTCAATTGCCGCTGAAGAAGGCAATTTGGTGGACCCTGCATCCCATCCTTGCTCCACCCCTGCAGCCAGCTCCCCGTGTCCAGAAAAACAGAAGCCGACGTGGGGGAGTTGCCTGTTTGGGTCAGGGGGAGGCTTCATTTGTCACGGTCGTTACGCCCTTCCGCATACGACTAGGTCGTTCCGTCTAGTCTTTTGATCCTGAATTTCGATGAAGGTTCGGCCAGCCCAAGCCATGGTGGCAGGGGCTACAACCAGAAACAGCCGGACCGCCATCGAGTGTCCGGGATAAATTGACCCACCTGCTGTTCCTGAAATGACGTCTCAAAGGCGAGTATCGATATCGAAGATAAGAGAGAGAGAAGCCAAAGAGCAGGCAAAAGAGGCAAGGTTGGGTCACATGACCCAAAATGAGCAAGTTCAAAAATGCAAACAAAGAGCCGAGATCATCCTCCAGGCCTATACTAGTCTCTTGTGAAACTAGGTGATTTCACTCAAGTTGATCAAATACTAGATCATGGAAGAAGCTGATTCTAAAGTAATATCAGTCGATTCCTAGAGCTGAGATCCTCATGGCTATGAATGAATGAATAATGAAATGGAATCAAATATGTGAAACATCGAATCATACGTTTCTACTTGGAAAAGTTATGTACCACATGGTAGGTTGTGGGCAGTCCACCCGCTCACGGGTAGATCTCGGGATTACCCGCAGGTCTACCTTGGGAGGGTGGCTGTGGAGGTGGCGCCCTTGCCTGGAAAGTCAACGTGGGGACCATTTCATACTGTTTGCCGTTCTCGTCGACCACAAACAGACATTGGGGCGCAGGCTTGATTCGTGAATGATGCGTTTCGTAATACGCTGCTCGATAGACGGGCTGCTGTGTGTCATCCAATGTGATTCACTGAATCCGTACCCAGAGGACGCTGTTTGGAAGTATCTGAGACTCTCCCGATGTCGTCTCGTGACAGCATACAACGCCACGCGGCTGCCAAAGGCATCAACATCGATGTATTTTCAAGGATCGTCTGGCTTTCTGGCATACTGCAAGCTGGCAAATTTTCGCAGAGTTCGTCACGTGCAGAGCGCCTGGTATGTGTCGCAGAGCGGTATACTGGCGGATGTGAAGGATATCGCATTAAGATCACGGAAGCATAGAGTGAGAATTAGGTGAAGGACATGAAAAGGCCTTCGATAGAACTGAGATACTAGCGGGAGCATGGTTGCTTGAAGGGCACTGGGAGGAGGCCGAGCAGCTCCATGTACAGGTGGTGGAGACCAGCAAGACGAAGCTCGGCGCGGACCATCCTGGCACACTGAAGAGTATGGCGAATCTCGCTTCTCCTTGGGATCTTCAGGTCAGCCAGCCGAAGTCATCATTTCACTACAAATTACCTAACCACGACCTCCAACCACTCGTTGGACTCATGGAGTTCCTGCTGTTCTTCATCTAGGTGAATCTTGTCGGCCGATTTCACGACATAGCTGTCCCAGAGACAAAAGTAAAAATCGAGAAGTCTGAGGGTGGGCATGGCAAGGTCCGCCTGGATGTGAAGAATCTGCATGAGCTGCGTTGTTAGTGGACCGGCTGGGTGGATGGGATCCTGTGAGTGTATATTTAGTGATGCTCATAAGCTGTCGGGAAGAAACTGACCTTGAGAGCGATCGTTGCGTGACCTGCCTCTAGCTGGAAATCTTTAACATAGATAACATTCATAGGCTGTTCGGATAGCCGGCGCTGCCTTTTAGCGGGTTAGGCTATAGAAGGAGAAGGTGGGTGATCTATTGATTGGTGGTTGAATGAAAAGTATTACGCTGCTGCGGGAGTATTTATATGAAGAGTAAGGGATAAGCCTAAGGAATGGCCTAGCGAGACGACTAGTAAGTGTGAGTAATTTTAATAGTCTAAGGTTGATTAGTGAATAGTTAATGAATCTATTAATTATGATAGGCATAGTAGAAATAAAATTCCTTAGTGAGATAAGTAAATTTAGAGAATTACTATATCTTATTAAATGTGAAGATAAAAAATAGTCTAGGTAGATAATCTATCTCTCTAATTTAATATATTTAAATCTTTTCTAGAGGTTTATTGCGCCCGCTCTCTCTACTATAGGCCTGCCTATAATGCACTATATCTATACCGAGGTGACTAGAGTGGAAATTCAATCCATGCTAGACACCAGTCTATCCTGAGACATCATATACAGGGATGAAACCCATAAAATAAAAATTAACTCGTACCGAATCATAAAATAACCAGGACCACACCGTTTATAACGCTAAAGAACAACGCCGACCCGAAAATAAACTCCTGCCAAATTTAAGCCTTCGATGGCTGAAAGAAACAAAATCGACCCAGAGATTAAGAAGTCTATCATGATATAAGGAGATCACGCACACTCATGCCCTTTCTTCTTTGGACATCGACACCTCTGTTCTGCTCGGATGGAGCAGAAATAGTTGTGATACCAGCGAAATGCTCATTGATAGAGTCGGCGGTGCCCCTCCGGTCTTGTGTGAGCATGAGCAAAGCAGCAGACGCTTCATGGTCGATACCCTGGAGCTCATGCATCTTGTCCATGGCCGGGTTGATAGGGCCCAGTGCCGGACTGGGAAGAACGGATGAAATATCTGGTAGTGTGTGTACGGAGGGCATGCGTGTGCGGGGTGAGAAGGAGGGGGATGCATCCGAAATCATCCCGCTGCCGGGCATGATCTCCGGTGATTCAGAGGCGGAATAGGAGTAGATTGAAGAGGGAGGACGTTGAGGTGGTTGTTGGGAAGATTCACCTCCTTCGGTGATGAACTCCGGGGATGTGGGTGATGGTGGCGCGTTTGTGTGGGTGGCACCAGCTGTCTTGAGGTCTCGAATGCATCGCTCTAAGTAATTTACATAGTCGATGCTCGCCTGGAAGATGTCAGTCTTACTATATCAGAAGATTGCACGATGATGGGGAAAGTACCTGAAGAATTGCCAATTTGTGCATCTCTTGCCCTGTACAGGCGGGGATCATGTCTTTCAAAGTACCAAACTCCTCGTTCATCTTGGACCGCCGACGCCGCTCGATCAAACTATGGGCTGTCTTGCGGGCAATCTTGCGTCCTGCAGCACTTGTGGCACTGGGTTGCTTTTTTTTTGGCGCAGCATCCTTGGTGCCCGATTCAGGCGATGCCTGGGTCTTCCCGTTCTCCTTGGGCTTCGACGGAGATTTGGTGGTTGGTTGTGGTTTGGGCTTCATTTGAATGATCTTGCGTGTGCGGGTAGGAGGTGGTGGAAGATCAAAGTCCTCTAGAGAGCGCTTGGCAGTATTGCCGGAGCGGGACTGCTGTGTTGATCTGTTGCGGGCCATGAGATCGGGCGATGTAGGTGACGCCGGTACGTATGTTGGATCGGATTGAGACGATCGTCGGCTATAAGGATCATCGACTTTCGAGCCAAGAGCTGCCGGGGGTAGGGTAAAGGTGTCTGTGGCATCAGCCGCTTGATCCTTAATGATGAACTCGCCGGACATGGCTGGGGTAGGAGGGAAGCGTGAGCGAGACATGGTCGACAGTATCTTAAGTAAGAAGTAGAGAAATGCACAGATCCCCGGGGAATGAGAGAAATCCAGCAAAGCACGAAGTGAGGGGGGAGAAGGGGCACCAAAAGCCTGGGAATTATATACCGAACGGATTTGTATAGAACGGCAGTGTCGCGTGCTTGGAGTGCCCACGAGCCGCAATGGACGGAGCTGATTGGCGGGGGAGCGGAGCTCGTGCCCCAGGGAGCAACGGGCATTTGCTGGCTACGAGTGGGGCGAGACGAGCTTATCAGCAGGTACAGGGTTGGCTCCTTCTCCACAGTGACACCAATCACTACAAGTCCGTCCTTCAACCAGCACAACCGCCCATGATTCTCCCTCGTCCAGAGTGGTAGCCCAGCACGTGTGCTCTGGACTCGTAGTTAGTTGTGCACATGCTACACGCGGGGAAATGCTGAAACTCTGTTGCTCTGTTACTCGGGGAATTCTGCCTCTGAAGACTCCTAATTTTGAGTTCTCTGTATTAAGGAGAATCCCGGGACGAGTCCGTGCCGACCTAAGCAATTGTAACGTAGTCAACCCGAGTTCATCTCGTCAATCTTTTGCATCCATGGATATCGTCAGGGATCTACACGCTGAAAGTTTTCCGTTTTTGCCACCTTCATGCACTAACTTTTTGTCTGCATATCTTTCAGACCGCCTACTTGCATATTGAATCTGAATCAGTCCTCTGTACAACGTACTGAATCAGAACCGAATTGGTTATTATTGGCTACGTTAAGGCGGCATAAGCATTATGCAGCGTAACGAAACATCAGAGAAACCTAGTAGACATCTGACTCCCAAGAGTAACTGGTGATATGCTGAGTTTGATTCGATATTATTTGATGCTATATAAACCACATGTCCCTCGCTCAAAAACAGATACTCCAATCCTTGCCCTTATTCACAAATCACAATTTCTTACAGTTTCTTCTCCGCCCCCCTACTGGAAGTTGTCCGGCCGACACTTGCCCATGCAACGTGTGTAGATTTGCCAGCTACAATCATCTCTTAGCTAAGTCAAAAAAAAAAAAAAAAAAAAAAAAAAAAAAACTCCAAGTGATTTCAACTTACCAGTACTTATCATCTTCTGGCGTAGCAATAGTGCAAGTCTGAGCTTCCAAAGAACACAGCTCATTGCAATGGTTGCTCCCCTTAGTGGGCTTATCAATTGAGTTCAACCCATGCGAAATACGGTTGGCGGTATTATTTTTCGGGGTCGGCAATCCCGTAGTCAATGGCAACTTGCTACGAGTTCCCGTTGTGGTGGCATTGTGTGCGCGAGTCCCCGTTGTGGTCGCATTGTGTGCGCTTGTGGCATTGGTAGGGATGTTGACTGCGAGGCGGTGGCCATTGTAAGGGCCGGCGAGCCGGGGCAAAGCAGTCGCAGTGCTGGCAAGGGCGACCAGGCAAACACCAACGAGACTTTGGATGTGCATGGTGGATCCTAGGTAAAGTTTGATATGACAAGGATGAGCAGCTGATCTGATGTCAGGATAGTGGAGAGAGAGAGTCAGTTATGATGGTGAGCGAGATCCACCATGGGTAATCGGTTTATATAGATCGTCCTGCTAGCAATGCCGGAATTTTGAAGGCTGGGGCTTTTTTCTATGCAGCTATGCTATTGGTGCATATGGCAAGTATACATCAGCCGATTACTGGGTTACAGCATTCCACATTCCTCTCATGGGCCGGGAGGCCATACCTACCCTGCCGCACGGAGGATTGATGACCAAACGAATTACTCAAAGCAGTCTCAATGGCGTTTTAAACTCCATTACCCAGTGTGCTTCATTGCCCAAAGTGGTGGGGTGATGATTTGGTTGTAATTCTGGCCAATCTGCTTCATCGCTCATACATTCCAGGCGACTTTGGCACCAAGGAAACTAATTACAGCAAACGGAAATCAGGCACGGTAACTTGGTTTGAGTTTTCGAGCAATGCGATATGAACTGTGGGCTCCTTGATATGACAGGGAGCAGTGACCAAGTCCTGGTACATGAGTAATTTTGCCCACTCTACACCCAGATGCTATTAATAGTAGCCACATATTTCTCCGCGGTCTTTTTGTCCCAATCGCTCCAGAGCTCTTTCATCGTTACTCCAAAACCAAAGAATGAACGCAACGCTCAATATTATCGTGTAGATGTGGTTTCATTCATTCAAACGGGGTCCACATTGATATGATGTCTATCTAATTCCTCTATATAAGCGTCTAACCAAACATACGATCCATCATAATCTGGCCAAATGTGGCTTCCGCGGGCGATGCGTCCATCCGCATGATACGGTTGCCAGCCCGAGAACTCAACCACAGGCCATGGTCGCTCGAGCTCTCTTCATCACCTTCGATCTTGTGGCGACTTCTGCGATCAATAACGCACATACCACGAGACCACTGTCCCTGTGTTTCAATACGAATATCCTCGGGGGAGTTGGCTGAAGGAGCCCATTGCGGATCCTCAGCTGTGAGGGCATACCATACGCAGACCGGATCGTGCATGCTCAATTCGGCAGCATCACCTACATGACCCGGGTGCAGACGCTCTAAAGTGCGGAAGGTATGCCCCATGAAAGCATCAACCCATTCAGCTAGAGGTGAACCGGCAGCAAGAAGTGGAGTGATGGCCTTGCGGAACTGGCCACGAGACAGGTTGTGACGCAAAGTGATATCCAGTGGGAAGAGACGCAATGTCAATTGCCGACTGAGATTTGCCGGGTAAGGCGGTAGCAGGGGGGTTGTTGTAATTGGCAAGGTTGAGTTGGGGCTAGGTGACGTCAGCGCGAACACTCGTGCAGCGGCGACGGCATCCGCGTAAGCGTTAAATTCACCAACCGGGGTGACCTAAGACATTTAGTTTACTCACACTGGCTGTAGGAATCTTTAAGGCTTCTTACATTTCCAGGCTCATTGATTGCACCACCCATGACAACAACCTCCTTCACGCGGAGGAAGGTCTCTGGGTCTTCTGCCGCAGCCAAAGCTAAATTGGTTAGTGGGCCAACGGCCACTAGAGTTACGGTATCGGGTTCATTGGCGCGGAGTGCTCGAAGAATCTCCTTGTGAGCAGGCAGCTTCGAGGGAATGAAAGAATGGTCACCAGGAACACCTGTCTGCACTGGTTCAATGCCCTCCGGATCCACTGCCGGATCAAAAAGATGCTCCCAGGAAGTACTGGGTGTAAAATGAGGGTGCTGGTTTATCAGTTAGTTCCCTTTCTCGACAGCAGAGTGATCAGGACATACGCTAGCATGAATGCCGCCAAGGCCATCGGTTCCATCTGCGGGGTTGATGTCAGTGTCTTGTCACTCCATATTGATACATAAACACGTACGGAAGTAGTCTGCGAGCATCTTTTGGTCTTCCAGCGGGTTCTCTGCACCTACTGCGACCACTGGGCGGAAAGCACGCAGAGTACCGTAGCCTTGTGGCTTGCCGGTTTCATGACGCCATTGCATCTCCCGCTCGAGGATGTGGAACATGGATACCACATTACGAAGACAGCTATACATAATGAGCGTATACTCGTGCTGTTTAGACATACATACTCACTTGTTTACTTCGATGTTGCCAAAAGTCAATGAAATCAACAGAACTTCGAGCTCCTCTGGCTTGGAGGACAAAGCCAGCAGTAGTGCAAGAATGTCATCGATGCCCTGATATGTATCAGTACACTGCAGGGCAAGCCCAACCATATTTTAAACCTACTGGGTCGGTATCAATGATAATCTTTTTGGGAACCATCATTAAAGAATATATTGAGAAAGTGGGATATAGGACAGAGAGTTGACAGTTATCGCCGATTAACTGTTCCCCCCATCTCGACACCCTAGGCACCAACTAGATATGTCATGCACGTGACCTTTGCCCGCACTGGTCCGCAAGATAACCGAAGCCTAGTCAGGTGATTTTTACCTGACTAAGGGGCAGTTTTGGATCGTCTCCAACAAAACAGACACATCAAACACAATTTCTGACAGATCATGAAACATCGATGATGTTACCACTGTGTGCCTCTTTATAATTGATCAGTTGGATTGTACCTGCAGAAACGCGCGTAGATGCATCGGCGACCGGCAACCCCTTTCCGACCCCTCGTGGCTGAGACGGCGTAAAAGTACCTACATGTAAGGGGATGGAGATGGCCCGATCCCCTGCCGGATCGACGCGAATCTTCTCGGCCATACCGAGACATATCAGAAAGGATAAATAAGACAAAGACAGGACTTTGGAGACCAATCATACGCCAGTATGGATAATTGACACGGTTACGGGAGGGGAGACTGGAGACGTGGCCTGTTCGCGATCCCCCATTTGTACGGCTCTCCACTTGGAGAAGCGCATGGGCGTTGTTTGGTGGCCTTTAGATCCCAAGGGGGGAGTGCTCGTTAGTGTATTACTACGTGTATTGATCGAAGATAAGTTGATAGAGCCCATTTTGGGGGCCAATGGATGTTCATTTTGACGAGGATTCCTTAAAGAGCATTACTACGTGTAATTGATCAAACGAAAATATTGAGCCTCTTGAAATTCGGATATTAGTTCACCAATATCTCATGGTTCACATTGTGGGTAGTCTCGCCCAGACCGTGTGATACGCCCCGTTTACCGTACCGGCGGACACCCCCTCGGATCCTCAGCGTGTCCTTTTCTGGCTCCTCTTCTCCTGTCCTTCCTCTCGACGTTTCTTTCCCTACCCTCCCCTTCCTCAAGTGCTTACGCCAAAGAGCTTTAGTGTTTCATTTGGTCTTGTTGGTTTGCCATTATCGGAGCTCAGTTGAGCGTGAAGCGCTCGTCGCCCCCGTAATCTTGGTCTCAACTACCTCCGTCATTGACCCCCATTGAATTCGACGACGACAACGGAGTCGACTTTTGGGCCCAGAACTGCTTGGATATTACGTTGACCAACGCCTCCTAACGGTCAATCTCATCGCGCCTAGGCTCCGAACACATCGATGTGTGGTCTTGACCTCTAAACCCTCCCCTACCTTTTTCGATACCGTGGACACTCGATTCGGTTTCGGTTGCGCGTGCCAAATTGATCGTGCGCGTGCCACAACTGTCCTACCTTCGGATACCGGCGGCTAAGTAGTGTGATCCTCCGTCCCTGATTTTTTGCCGAGACCTCGCTCAAACGGTACGTGCGGCGCACAAGACTGGTATTCAAGTGATACTGATTGGCCAAAGCATCATGACTATGAACCCTTACCTCAGCTGGGCTCTCCTGCTCGTTGTAGCAGGTGGCCTTGGCTGGTACTACACCAATGGCAACTCCCCGAAAGCCACCAAAACTCCCATTCGAGCTGTTGTGGAAAAGGCCGAGGCTACAGTCGCACCCAAGAAGCAAAAGCGGAAGCCTGCTCCTCAACCGGCCAAGAAGGCTGAGGTGAAGACCGTGATCTCGCCTCCTACCACCGAGGATGAGCAGCCCGAGGACGATGTTGACCGCAAGGAGATGGCTCGCCGCCTGGCCGCGATCAAGAACGGCACCTCGCCCGCCACTGCCCCCTCCAAGAACAAGAAGAAGGCCAAGAAGGCCAATCTGGAGAGTGGCTCCCACGCTTCCTCCACTACCGGCGCGGACGCCGACGACGACCTGTCCCCTGCTGTCTCACCACAGGTCAACGCTGTCCCTTCCGCTGGATATGTGTCTGACATGCTGGAGTCTCCCGCTCCTGCCGCCTCTGTCCTTCGTGTTACCGGTAACGTCGAGTCGGAGCCCAAGAAGCAGAAGGTGCAGTCCTTCAAGCAGGTTGAGAACAAGAAGCAGCGCCAACAGCGCCTGAAGAACGAGGCCCGCAAGCAGCAGGTCCAGGAGGCGGAAGAGCAGCGCCGGCAGTTGCTCGAGAAGCAGCTGCACACCGCTCGTGAACATGAGCGTCGTGAAGCTGCCCGGACCCAAGCCCCCGCCACCAATGCTTGGGAGGCCCCCAAGGCCAACGGTACCAAGCCAGTTCCGGCCCCCGCGACGACCTCCGCCCCTGTGCAGCTTCTGGATACCTTTGAGTCCGCCCCCACCCAGAAGAAGTGGGCTCAGGAACTTCCCTCTGAGGAGGAGCAGATGCGCATCCTAGGCGCTGCCAACAGCGTTGACGAGTGGACCACCGTCTCCAAGAAGCCCAAGAAGAAGACCGGCAAGGACGAGGTCAGCGACGCCAGCGCCTCCGAGAGCCAGCCTGCTCCTGCTCCTCTCCCCGTTGAGCGTAAAGTGACTGTCACTCCCACTTACCTTCCCGATAACCTGCGCTCCCGTGAGAAGGGTCACCCACTGGACTCTGACTGGGCCGCCTAAATTCCTCCATACGCCATATCCATTTTCATCTTCCATCTTCACCTTGATATGTATTTATTACCCTTTTGACTTGGCTTTGGCGTTCGGGACTGTCCCATAATACCAGCAGTTTCCCATCAAAAATCTGGGGAAACTGCTCACAGCGCAAAAATCGGTGAAAACCTTTGAGGTCCCAAAAGCACCATTGGGGCAATCTGTTTTTTTAGTTCAGCTGTATTACAATTGAGGTATTTCCAATTTTCAGTCTGTTTCATCTGTGCATAGAATACCTAAATAGAATAAGAATGTGTACCGTGTCGTCACATTACCCGTTACGGTTTAGCGCCGAGTTCCGGTCATCGTGGCCTGAAGTGAGCACGGCTTTGTATACAATGGATCCACCAGTTATTTACTCCTTCAACCCTTCTTGCAACCTACCTACTCCTCTTTTCTTCTACACTTTTTTTTTTCTTTCTTCTCACACTCCCATTCTCACCTCTTCCGCCATGGCCCAAATCCGTGGCACTGCGGGCTACAACCTCGGCCACCAGAACCCGTTCGGCGGGCCCGGTAGCGCAGATGCTACCAGCGATCCCAGCCCGCTCGACGCCATCCGCGAGCAGACTAGCAAGATTGAGGATTGGCTAGACACCATGTCCGATCCTGTGAAGCCGTACGTGATTTTTCCTAGAGCTTTAAAGCTCTCCCGTGCTCTTGAGGTCGCTGGTCGCATCACACAAACACGCCCAATATCCAAACAAGGGGTCTCAAGCTTGACCTGACACGGTGTTGACTCGAAACAGATACCTCCCTGCGATCGGCCGATTCCTCATTGTAGTCACTTTCCTTGAAGACTCTCTACGCATTCTCACACAATGGAACGACCAGCTGGTGTACCTCAACGATTTTCGTCACAGTAAGGACCCTGAAACACCCCAGCCGCGGCCCGCATTGAGCCTCGAGGGCAACACCACAATAAATCCCATTGTTGATTTTACTGGTAAATGTCTAACTCGATCTTTTAATTAGTTCCGTGGGGAATCACACACCTTTTCCTGATTGTCAACGTCATTGCCATGTCCATCTGTTCAACCCTCGTCATCGCTCGCAAACAAACTGAATTCGCCGTCGCTGGATTGCTAGTGGTGGTCGTTACACAGGGTATTGGATACGGTCTCATCTTCGATTTGAACTTCTTTCTGCGTAATCTCAGTGTCGTCGGTGGTCTTCTCATGGTGCTGTCTGACTCGTGGGTGCGCAAGAAGTTTGTCCCTGCCGGCCTGCCCCAGCTCGACGAAAAGGACCGCAAGATGTACGTCCAGCTTGCTGGCCGTGTGCTCTTGATTTTCCTGTTCGTTGGATTCGTTTTCTCCGGCCAGTGGAGCTTCTGGCGCATTCTGGTTAGCCTGTTCGGTCTGGTGGCGTGCGTCATGGTCATTGTCGGCTTCAAGGCCAAGTGGAGCGCCATCGTCCTTGTCGTGCTTCTCAGTGTGTTCAACGTGTTGGTGAACAACTTCTGGACTGTATGTTGGTCTTTCGTCTCTGGTCTAGCAATGACTAACTCAAATCCAGCTCCACCCCCACCACCCTCACAAGGACTTCGCCAAGTACGACTTCTTCCAGATTCTTTCCATCGTGTATGTCCCCCGATTCCTAATCTGCTCTTCGTCTTTCTAACCTCCGGTAGGGGTGGTCTTTTGCTGCTGGTCAACACCGGCCCTGGCCAATTCAGCATGGACGAGAAGAAGAAGGTCTACTAGAGTGGAGTAGAGGAAAACAATCCCACACTTCTCTATATACCCCTCTCACTCTTCCACACTCCTACAAATAATTCGCCGAGGACTAGAAATAGTTCAAAGAGAGCAAATGCCCATGCACTCCAGGATAAGCCTATACCAGCTTTCCTGAAACTCCGTTTTTGATCCCCTAGGTTGTATGGTCTCCAGCGATCTGATTATTTGTCATTTGAATGCTCGAGACTATCATCACGCATTGAGTTCACCCCTTCCTAACACTCATCCCTCTGTTTACCATGTTTTCTCCTGCATTTATCATGTGCCTCAAGGGGTTGGTTTCTGGTCTGGTTGATCTTTTTTTTCTATTTTGGGGTTGCAACACTTTCAAGCAAAAAATCATGTACATGAGATGATTACACTCGAGTTCATCGTGATCAAATTAACGAATGAAGTTGCATTGAATTCATGAGTCAGTCTTTACAAATCGCAAAGTAGTTCCTTGAGATGTGTATAGTATTATATGTCGAGTAGCCAGAAGATGTCCAGAAATGCTTATGAATCTCTCGAACTACGTAAACGCAGCCAAACGATGGGGTCAACTAATCTGCATTGATCATGGGGTTAGCTCTGCCCCTTGACTGGAAATTGATGTGGAGGATGTTCTTCCAGGTGCTCTGCGAGGCAGTTTCCAAAGGTGGACTAGTGGAGGCTGAGCGGTCTGCGACTCGAGAAATGGCACACAGCCATCACTGAACAGTAGCAGTATCGTCGTAACCTGAATAATCTGTGCTTCCTTGATAGGATCACGGAGAAGATTGAGTTCGAACCAACACGGGAGGTTTTGGTTGTCAGTGAAGATAGGAGAGGAATTGCTGGTATGCCAATTTCCTTAATGCTTGTTTCGCTCACAATAAACCCCAATCTACAGTAGGCAAGATGTCAGGAAAATGAATAAATGGCATAAGCTTGATAAAGCCGCTCAGTTTCAGCAAATTTCAAATACAAAATGTCCGTATCGAATCACGTTAGAATCATCCTCGACGTAATCAAGATAGTAGTGGCTTTCAACCGCAGCCTTTGACTTCAATTTTTGGACATTGGTTCGACTCCAAGGCGCATTCCGAAGGCAGACATTGAAGTTTGAGCCCGGAAATTGGGTTCTCATCTCACGTTCCATCTCACGAGCATCGAGACTTAACTTCTCGCTCGGTTCTCCAGGGGCATTAGACATAAAAGACGTGACTAGGTTAGCCATCAAAGAGATCTTTGGTGCAAGGACATTGTTTTCACTAGCTGAGCTTGATCTGAGCTTCGTGCTATTATCTTTCGCAAGTCTGTCAAATTTGTCTGTATAAGAACGAACTTGCTTGATGAAACTGTCAGTCCATTCCTGCTGCGGATTTGGCTCAACTGCTGGAGAGTTGTAAGGCACCGTGAAAGATTCAGCATCCTCCTTGTCCGCTTCACCTTCGCTAGTCGCGTCGTCATCTTCGTCTTCGTGGTTGCGACTCATAGCAGTATACAGTTCTGGTATGATACTTCTCAAGTCACAGAGACTGCTGAGCCGCGCCGTACCAATGCGACGGAACACACCTTTCTCGTCCGTTGATTCCAGAAGCAGGGAATTAGGCGTAGCCTCTGGGAGTCGCTGGTTCCAGCGCGTGAAAATAACTGGGACAAGAAAGGTTTCTCTCACTGGCACCTCAAGTACCGATCCACTCCAGAATTGCACAAGTGCTTCTTTCCGTACGACACCCTTGGGCCAGGTGCTGAGATCAAGCTTGATGGGAAGCAAACGGCCGCGTATGCGAAGACGTCCACTTCTCACCTGACCGAAAGGCATGTTGTCATTTTCCAGCACTCCTTCGACGTTGACAGATATGATTTTTATGAGATCCATAGCTCCCTTCGTTTCCAGTATGGGATCTAGCCGTCCTCTGTTTGGCATAAACCCAGGATTAGACGCCCATGACCAGGATGGTGCCACGTACTTCCCATGATTTCCACGAATTTCCCCATGGAAGGCATTCCACAGTAGCTGCCGCGGGATTTGGGTCATCCAGAGTCCTGCAGCATAACGAATACCCGTCCTGTTGGACAGAACTTTCGCCAAACCAGCGATGGCAACCAAACGGTCTTCGATATATGTCAGACTTGAGGGGCTGTAGCTAGTGATAATCACAGACCAGTATTTGAGGAGCGGATGCGTTGGCTGCCAGTTGTCCCCACCGTAACACATGCGCTTGGCATGTTCGAGAAGACTTGAGTCGCTAGATAGATTTTCTTTTCGAAGATGAGTCTCATCACGGCCATGCAACGCTTTGAAGGACGACCAGATATAATTTAGCCCCAAGTCTCTCTTTTTTGGCTCATTGAGTAAAGCCGGTGAGTATACATCCCAGGTCTTGAGATCTAGTCTCACCCCCCTGGCCGCAGGTTGTCGATTGTCGACCTTAACGGATGGGGCTTCTTCTAGTGATTGAGACATTGTACACTCCCAGAAGAGCTGCTGCTGGGTGAAATGCACGGTCCTTGGAGCCAAAAAACGTTCTTGGAACACCCATCCCCGTCTGCAGAGCTTTGACTGTGCGACCTGCCCCGACCATTTGTGATAAGCATTAGTGCCCACATCGAAGAAGACTTGGGCTGCGCAGCCATCTTTGTGAGGCTGTAGCTGCTCTGAGTCCCAGCTTATGAACGTAGTCAGCTGGATGCTATTTTGTCTCCATAGCCCGTCCATTGTCCTAAGTTCGGCATGCAACGTTGTGCCAACGAGAGACACATGCCTTGCACTGAATGCGAAATTCTTCCCTTGAACATCAAAAGCGCCGTTGCGATTTCCGAGACATCTGTTCAAGTCGAGAGTGCACTCAGAGCTTTCAAAGTCGGGGGAATACAAAAGAACTTCAAGTATGGAGGTCCCCTTAAGCCTGAAGCGTGATTGATCAGACGTTTCTACAACTTCCCTCAAATCTATGCTGCTTTTCTTCCACTCTTTGCAACGCGTTCTGAGCTCGGCATACAGTGTAGTTCCGATCAGTTCAACGCTCCTCGCAGTCTGAGAAAAATTCGCACCACTCGGACGCAAGCTGCCGTCGCTATTACCAAGATAGGTGTCAAGATCGAGCTCTCTCTCAGTGACTTCAAGTGGCGGTTGTCTGGGCGACGCGACCAGTAGAGACTTGCCTTCCAATCTTAGGAAGGGAAGTCCTTGCTCTTGCGGTACTGTGACCCTGGCGGGAACCGTCACATAGATCGAGACTCGAAGTGGCGTGACAAGAACTGGGTTCCTTGTTGTAAAAAGCCCGCCATATGGATCCGTGGACTTGGTAGCTGCGATATTCAAATAAGAATATTGGTATATATCACCCATAACGGCCGACTGTTCCAACCAGTCTTCGCGAGAGTCCTGAATGATGCATAGAGAGTCGATCCATAAGTATCGAATTCCCAGGCGATGAGTCAACTGGATTGCATCTTGAAATGTCTGGGGAAGATTCATGATAGCAATGCGCTGCAAGAATTCTTTGTAAGTTCTTGTGGTCAGCGACGAAATCTCTGAAGTAATGCCTCCCCAGCAATGGCTGAGAGTCGCATATTTAGCATCATGCCCAAGTTCATCAGAAAGACAAAGATTGACATCCGGCGCATCGGAGACGTTGCCAACGTCCTAAATACGAGAAAATCGGTCATTTGTATAAGGGGCTCCCTGCCGGCGACAGCCAGGGTGGTTTCTATCACAATCCTCAATCCAATACTCAATAGCCTTCATAGATGATGTATTGACATTATTTTCTGCCTCTCTGACCGGTAAGTCATGTAAGGGAGCTTGTTCTTGAAGAAATCAGAGGCCACATACATCTTCTTGCGGGGTTTGACTTACCAGGGGAGAGAAACAAATGCTCTGTGGACGTTTCACTCAACTCTGCGCCTGCTTTCTTCGCATCAAAAATAGCCGAGCATGTGATGACTCTGCGACTAGGAGCACCATAAGCAAAGCGATATTGCACGGAGAAAGAGTCTGGATCGATGTCCGGGAGTAGTTGGCGCCCAGTCAGAATTCGACTTCGTCTCTTTGAGTTGAGGTCATCGACGAGTCTATGACAGAAGCCACATTTGGCCTCCAACGCCGCTTTAAGAGATGCATAATTGGGATGCAGGACCTGCAGGTTGTACTTGCCCCGGCGGGCATGATGGTATGGTCCGCGGCCCCACGCGGGGTGTTGAAAAGCTGTGGCGCACTGACCACAGAGCATATTCAGGGGCTGCTTTAGTAGCAGCCAAGATCAGGGACAGCTGATGAGTAGCATGGACACTTCGTACTAACACAGTAAACGTGCTGAAAACTAACAATTGCGGGGGGAGGTGTTGAAAAACCACAATCTACCACATCGGTTCACGAAGTAGCAGTGCGCGGAAACCTTGACCCTCAAGCTCCACAGCCTCCCAAGGGTTTTGGGGGCCATTCTCAATGAGTCGACGATCCGCATTTACCGAGTCTCTGTAGCTAAGCGAAGTATTAAAAAGAATAAGAAAAAGTAAAAACAAAATCATACAACAGCAGTGATTCGCTGGTGGTCATTCACTAAGGTACTAACCTGCCGGCGTGCGGTTTTAAGTGTAGCCCGCAGTTGGGTGAGAATCCTCTGGGCGCGACCGCCGCATTGACTCTCCCAGCCGAGCGATGTTGAACACTATTAGGTCCGGAGATTGTACTCTGGGCTTTGAGTCACTCTATAATGTCGACAATGCTGTAAATAGTCATAGTTGTCTTTGACGCGACTAACGTGCGGTTGAAGATTTCCAAATCCATCGTCGTTAGAACGCCTTTGTGGAACAGGATGTAGCGACCATCTGAAAATCCAAGTTACATGCTTCGCACAATTAGCATGATATTGCCTTCAAATAGCCTGTTCAGATTGACAATACAAAGGAACTTCAGGAGCGATGGGGAAGCTAGAGGGACATTGAATGGGAGGGACAACCTATTTTTTGTCGAGCGGGAATTTCTCTATAAAATCACGGGGACTGAAAGCTAAAGAAACGTGCCTGTTGAGCTCCACTACCCTCGTTCTTTCATTCTCTCATTTGAACTACAAATAGCAAAGTCACAGTGTCGGAAACAAATTCTGGTATTGTCTATGAAATTACAAATAGACCAATGAGTCCTCTGAAATCGACGCCGAAAATGACAGCGTCTGGTGCCAGAAAGAGCGTCAACCCTTGAAGACCTGCCAGGTAGCCTCGAGTTCTATCTACCCAACGGGTTGGAAAGGGTTACGAGCGATTCCATCTCATTAGCAGCTCCACGCCCAAAGTCATTCCGATCACCGCGCCCTTGGGCCCTCTTCTTCTCATCTTCTCGCCGAATACTCGTCACGTAGGTACGGAACCGATTACACATATCCAGTACATTCTGGAAATGCGCTTTAGTGACAATCGTGACCAAAGTTTCATCATAGTCAGGATCTTCTTCACTCTCAAACTCCGCCAGTGTGATCGCTGTTTGTAAAGCATTGCGGATATCCCGCCCGTTAAGTTGCGTGTCGCCTGCGGTTTCCAAAACCCACGCCTTTGCGTCCGGGGCGATCTGAATCTTGCCCGCACGGTCACGGACGAGTTTCCTGAAAAAGCCGTTCCAGACCTTGCGACGTGCGTCTTCACTTAGGGACGGGTATCCAATTGCGATGTGGACTCGCGATATGAAAGCGTCGTCTATTTGGCCGACGCGATTGGTGGTTAGAAATAGGAGGCCTTTGAAGTATTCCATTCGCCGGAGGGAGGCTGCGCAGCAATCGTCAGCCTTCGTGGACAAGATGATGTTGATACTATGATTTGGCATATTTACCTGATACCAATCCGTTCCGCGCGAGATCTCGATTTTGTCGTCGTTCGAGGAAGATATCGGCTTCATCGACCAGGAGCACGGCATTCCAGGCTTCTGCAAGGTTAAACCACTTCAAGAGTTCGCCTTCGACTAGCGTTTCGACCGTGCCGATATCAGCGACTGTCAGTGCAAGTAGCGGTCGGTGTAGCCACTCAGAAATAGCCTCTGCTCTTCTTTAGTTGACTTCGTCAACAGCATGTTGGAGTTGAGGTTAACTTACCGACTGTATAGGTTTTGCCAACTCCGGGAGGTCCTGCCACGACACTATTGGTGATTGTCAACATTTAAATATTAAAGAATGCCCTACATACCGTGCAGTAATATAATCTGCCCCGATCCTTTTCCCTCGATAAAGTCCGCTGACCAATGTTTTGTCTTGCTATTTTGACGGTTTGAAAGGGCCTTGATAGTTTTCAACTCGGCCTCTCCGATGACCAGGTTGGAAAGACTCTCAGATGACGGTACAGATTCTTGAACGTGATCTAATGAGATCAGAACTGTAGGCAGGAGTTAGAGGAATTTTCTATAGGATACAATCAATAAGGCTCACTCCATTGTTTATGTTTCAGTGCGTATGCCAGGGCTTCTGGGCATAACAATAGAAGTTGGTGTTCCGTGAGTTCATCAACAACAGAATCGATGAACTCACCACCATCCATGTCGTTGATTTCAAGTGCAGGACCAGGGGACCATCTTCGCCCATTGTCATCCCAACCGTTGACGGCCACATTGCTGTGACGCCCAGGAGAAATAGGTCTAGAGTCGTCAATGTTGCGGAAAAACTGCTGTTGAGCCTCTTGCCTAGTGTTAAAAGATCGATCATCATTGACTGTAATATTATCGTAGTCCTTGAATAGATCAGAATAGTCACGGATCCGTGAGGGAGCAGGCAGGGCGAGGTCAGGCTCTTCCTGCCCTCTCCGATGGTCGATCACCAGTTTACCAGTATACTAGAGAAATTTTAGCGTAAGAATCGATGCACGGCCTCTAGCAAGTCGGGAACGCACATATTGGTTGCTTCCTAAAATTGGCCCGTTATAGTCCACAAGGAGATTGCCCTGGCGCAGCGCCTTGAACAAGGTGACACTGCGGCATAAGATATTCTTGCGCCGTTCACCATTATCGTGGGCGTCCCAGGTAACGCATGGACAAACTGAAAGACTTTTCACCTCTCGTAGACCAGCATAAAAGGTGATTATTACCGAGATCGCACCACGCCTGACTCTAGAGCCATCGGTCTCCAGTCGCCACAGGTTGATAAACCACCAATATGAATCTTCCGGGCCCCAGATACTAGACGAATCACCACCACCACACTTCACATCTATGATCACTCCGGCTTGTGGCGATCCGTCGATGAGAAAATAGACATCCATGCCAGGTTTCAGAAGATACCAAATCATGTCAAAAGCCACTCGGGCAGTAGGTTCGGACAAAGTCTCTTCGCATCTCAATATGCGCTCTTCACGGATGGGTCTCAGAAAGTCTAGCAAAATTTGAATGTGTTTCTTTTGCAGGTCAATCTCGATTTCTTTGTTGTCGTGGGGGCTCTTGCACATTGTAGCCGAGACGGGAGAGCCTGCCATGGCTTCAATGGAGTCAAAGTAATGGTGTAGAACGGCATAAGGCTCTGAAATATCCAGCTTACCCATCATGGAATGAAATGATGGATAATACCCAATTATTTCCCGAAGGCAACTGGCCAAATACTTGGAGTTCACCACCAGGCGTCGCCTGGACACACGTTTCAGAGCCAACTGATCAGTCCGCGGATTTCTCAAGAGTTCTGAAACATTGCGTGGCATGAGATCAGTCTCCACAAAGACTTCAATGGTTATCACTGGACCGTTCCATGACGCTGACGCTTGCTGGATGCGCTCCTTCGCTTTCCCCTGCGGCTGAGTTGGAGCCTCGTCAACGGAAAGCTCAATTGGTCGAGTATCAACGAATATGAAATCCGGGTTTTCCAGATCTTGGACAGCCTCCCTGCGTCTACTTTGTCGGTGAAAGAAATTAGCGTGCCAAATGATGCCTGACCCGCTGGAGAGGTCATCCGGTTCTTCTTCCTGGCATCCACGGAGCTCCGCGAGATTAATCTCTTTTCTACGTGAATGATAGTCTCGATAGGCCCGTCTTTCGGGCAAATAGGATCGTTGAGAATGTACTGGGACGGTGTACTCAGTGGATTCATAGTCCTCGGCGGACGAAATGCCAGGCTCCTCATATTCTACGCGGGTTGCCATGACCAACGAAAAGAGTTTCGAAGAGTAGTCAGATCTTAGATATCAGTTAGATGGAATGAAAGGGGACGGATTTCGTGTTGGGGAGTTGAGTTCAAGAGGTGCTTAGGGTCCTTGGAGTTCGCCAATTCCCTTGAGCCGCGCTTCCCCTCCTCCGCTGCTCTCAGCTACGCTTATTATGCACGTCTGGACACATCAAGCAGGGTTCTCATTGGAGACCACGTCAGCCGCAGTTTCTTCCTCGAATAAATGTGTCACAAGCCGTACTGCTCTTTACTCAAATGAGAAGGCCAAAACAGCGAAAGAAAGAAAAAAGAAAAGAAAACCACAAATCTACCGCGACCTCTCTGCCTATGAATGCGGTCGCGATATTCAAACCAAACTGACATATGCACCATCCTGAGTTTTCTCTTCTCACGAAGATAATTTTATTTATTTTAATCATTCCTACACCTCATCTAGCATATGAATTTCAGTCGACCAGCGGAGCCCAGCGGGGAGCTCATCCGCCGGTTCAGCGATGACATATCAGAATCATCCCCAGGAGAACCCCTTGGCCGGGCCCTGGCAGCCAAAATTGCGGTTGATCGCAATCGAGGACGATCGGATTCACTCAGGGCTGAATGGGACCGACTCCTGATGAAGGGTCGGGAACTGGCCGAGGAGTCTGTTCCAGATGAGGAGGCCGTTCTCCTTCAACAGAGCCAGCGACTCTATGCCGCGTGGAGCAAATTTCGGAGCAATCTGCCTAGACACCAGCATTTAGAGCTGGAAGATCAGGATAGACCAGATATCAATTTTCTGGTGGCCACAGTAACCAAGGCTTCAGCAACATGGAAGCAGGGACAAGATGAAACCAAACTGGGCAGGTTAAAGTCCAAATTCTCAGGTCTTTGCAAGACCTTCTCGTCGCACAGTGCTTTGCTCTCTGTCATCCCCAAAGATGACAAGTATGTCACATTGTTAACAGGCTCTCTGTCAGCCATTGCCCAGGCGACTATCAACCACCAAAAGATTGCCGAAGGGGTGGCTGATACCCTCGAAGATCTCAGCCACGATATTGATATCTGGAACCGGCAGATGAAGGAACATGGTGATATCCCGGCTCTTCGTCGATATATTCAGGAATTATACGTTGTCGTCTTCGAATTCTTTACCGAGATCTTCACCAAATGGTCCAAGTCGGGCTGGAAACGCTTTATCACAAGCTTTGATGAGAGCGCCTTCAATGAGTTGTTCACGTCCAAAAAAAACCGAATGTTGGCCATCCAATCCCGTATGAACAGCCATATCAGCCTCGACTTCCACCGCCGCACCACCCGAAGTTTGGAGCTGATGATTCAACAACAAAATATGCTGTGCCAAAATCAGGAAAGGCTTAGCCAGATCCTACCGGACCAAATTACCCAGCTCTGCAAACAAAGATTGATGGTCGGTGAATCGCTCGAAAGGCTTTTGGACCAACAACAATCCTTCCGCCTAGAACTACCTCGTCCATCCTTGATCACAAGCATACAAGAAGATACAACAGGGGAAATATTACCATCTGCTTCTGCCGGTTATGATCCCGAAATGGCAGATCTAGAATCTGAGGCATCCCCAACCTCACAAAAACATTATCAGTTTAGCCGCATGGAGATCCAGGCCGAGATCAAGTGCTTCATAGATCAGTGGAAGAACCAAGTCGACCGCTTGATCCAGATTACAAACCAGGCACCCCTTTTGCAGATTGATAAAGATGTGCAAATTCGCTTGGGAACATGGCTACGAGCTTCTAGCTTAATTAATTTCTGGATCCAAGGCCCTCATGATGTACGGCAACCGAGCCAGAATTCGATGACCGCGGTTTCTTTGGCCGCACTAGCGCGCAAAAACAGCATCCCCTGCATCATCTATTTCTGCAGTCTCACAGAAATCCATGAGCCAGGTACTTCCAATGCCATGTATCTAAATTCTTTCCTCACATCCATCATAACCCAACTTATTCAACTGGTCCCGGATGATGGCTATACCGAAGCAGATCTTTCACCCGCCCATTTCACAGCCCTTGCACAGGGCACACTCAGTGTTCCTGAGACGCTCCAGCTGATGCTTGATGTTCAGAGTCTTGCTCCAAGGGTGGTTTATGGGTTCATAGATAACATTCAGGTGCTGGAAGATCAGTCTGATCAGGACTACACCCAGGACTTTCTGAGAACGATCGCGACTCTCTGTAGGCTTGGTCGCAAGGATCCCCACTCAAATAGCGCGATTGTGCAGGAGGATGAAGGAATGGCTCTGGGAACGAGAATTTGTTTCACTACGGATGGGTATGTGGATGGTCTCGCACAGGCTTCAGAGCTACAATTGCTCGATAAGGTTGAGTTTGATCTGGAGACAGATGATCCTCTGTCAAGGGAGACAGGTGGTGGAACTGGATGGGAGATGGATGATTGACCGATCACACCGAATTAACATTTCTATAATTATTTACAAGCGATGTTCAAGTTGTGGTTAATCTAGCTAACGAGCTGTGTCTACAGTGAGATGAAAGAGGCAGTGCGCTAGACTCAAACCCAACGCATATTGCTTGGGAGTAAAAGGTAGAGGCCATGGTTGTAAGGAACAGTAGATAATTGAAGGAGACTAGCTAGTCGAAAAGGCGAGGGTGTGTCTTTATGTCGGGGCGATGTGAGAGAGAGATTGAGGGTGTTGGGAATGGTGAGCACCGCTTCGTCGCGCGACCCAGGTGATAAGGGTGGGTGCGCAAATGATAGGTGAAAACTCGTGTGAAAATCATTCCCCATCGCGCGACAGTCCCACAAACCTTTTCAGCTGAGCGATTAGAATTTTATTGAGCCGCATATCTCCCCCTAACGATTGGTCTCTTGGCATCTGCACATTGCCACAACTAGAAGCGTCATCATCGGGCTTAGCCTACTGCTCTCTTTCCCTGGTTGCTGCGCCCTTGATACCCAGGCCGAGCCATGCTGGCTTGTTTGGGCATCTAGACTTAATATGTCCAATACATGGGAATTGAAGCTACTGCCATCGAATCATCGTGATTCTTTTCAAGATACATGAATTGTTTGTTCAATCATCAAATTTCCACGTCTTGAATAAGCTTCTTCATTCCAGACTGAACTTGGCATGGCTTCTTTTGCAACTATTTGGCCACTGTCACTATCTGTGGTTTCTCGATGAAGTCGAGAATGCGCGCAATCTATTCAAATGAGTCATCAGTCGAGCTTAATTTCAGACTATCTGCAATACTTCTTAATAGCAGATCACTGGTTATATAAGCAAAGATGGCAGAGAACTCTGGTAAACTGACGATATATTCTCTGACGATAGATTTGAACGAGTCTCTTGCGCACAGAAAATGGGTTTCAAGAATCGCGAGATATATCACAACACAGATTGGGATGCTGTCGCTAAGAACCCGGAGGTAATGGGGAAAATGGTTGGAGATTGGCTGGTACACTATGACCCAGAACAATACGCATATGAGAACTACAACAAGTGTGCAGGGCACCTGCATAGGGGTGCGCCATTCAGAAACACCAATTCCGTTCCAGGCTATGAATATAGTCCGTGGACTGTCAAGGAGCTCCTGGGTGCTTCGGAGAGTGGCGAGCCTGTTCAGGATGAAGGAGATTGGTCCTAGTTAAATTGGACCTTCTGGAGTGACGTGCATATGGCAGAAACTGTCAGCGCAGGTTCAATTTTTGATTACCTTGATAAACCATTGGATATTGAATAGAACGCAGTATTGAGTATCATACCAACGATGTTAGGCAAGGCGCAGTACCTCAAGTTCAGTCATATCATTGAGTACAAAGTACCCAAGTACCCACTTTGGTCTAGGCTCTTTGTCACCAGTCCTGTAGACGAACTGAAGGGCTCTGAAGATGGTCTTGATCCCGCTGACTGAGCACTGTGACTGGAATCAGATTTCCTTATGTCACGTCACGTCTTGATCGGCGAGGGCCCTCACTCCAGTATTCCCGGGGGCAAATAGACTCGTGCGCTGTGGCCCTATATTGCCTTGTGGCACATTAATAAGACCCATTGGGCTGGGGGACTAGCTGCTCCACAGGTACATCACCCACGAGACATTCTCCATCATTGGAAAGGATATGAGCATTTGGCTGTTTGAAACGAAGGGCCGTACATGGAAGTTCTTCAGCTTACTTTTTCTGTTGTCTTTGTCTTTTTCCATTCTCCTTTTTTCTTCTTTCATTCTTGTTTTGATTTTTCACTTGTGCGTATGTTAGTCGATATATAAACGTGCAAGGGCAGCGGCCTTATCGGTATTGGTAGCTTCGGGCTTTGTTAGGGGAGAAACATCTCCTTGGCCTTCTACAGTAAATTTGGGGTTACCAGTCATATTGAGTACATATATGATGATTGTGTAGTGGGTTTGCTTGGTACTGGTTCCAAGAGGAATGATAAGGATGAGAAACCGTGGGAATGAAAAGGCCGAGGCGGAATAAGCAGAGGGGCCTGGAACCAGCATTAATTTGCGATAGTCAACGACTAAGCGATAGTGAGCTAGCATTCACTGTTCCGTTCCTTGACTCTTCACTTCACTCTTCCCTCTTTCCTCTTCTTCACTCTTGGCACTTGACTATAATTATCTGCTATAATTATCTGGCTTACACCTCACATCCTGGGTTGATCAAAAACCCATACCTACCGTCTCTGAATATCGTGAAGCTGAAAATTATAATGCTCACCTCATTGGATATTCTGCAAAGCTTCGTTTGCTGTTGCTACCACATCAGATACACGACGAATTTCCTTATTGTCCAATGCAAACGTATTGGCCTTGAAGCCCAATCCTCGGTATGGCGCGACGGTCTTAATCAGCTACTCCAAGACCTGACGACTACTCATCGAAGGTGAGCTGATCAATACGGAAAACCGGTGTACGGAATTATCGCGATAGGAAAATACGTGTGATTTTACAAATACGATAAAGCTTCGCAAAAGATTTCAGACACTCGTGTCCCATCTGCATATCCTCAGCCGGAAATATCTCAACCTTGTGATCCCAAACATCACCATATCATTTCCAGCAAGACCTGAGTCATATTCGAGCCCACCACTAGCCCTTTCAGTAGCTATTCATGCATGCCTCATGGGTCAATGTCAAAATTTGAGTCAATACGGTGGGATTATTTTGCAGAATGGAACTTGAGAGGTGGGAACGCGCATGATTTTGAAAGCGGTGGGAGTAATAGAATGGGATTCCTTCCTGACCAGCTTCCTTTCTTTTTTATCCTTTTCTCAATTTCAATTGTTTTTCACTGTGACATGATATAGAGCAGTTAGTCTTTTCCTATTCCATAATTCAGAGACCTTACCACCCATTGATATATGCTGCACGCGTCCTTCGTAACAATTGACTTGTATCGTATTCCAGTCTGGGAAGGTGAATATGGGTGTGTTTGGGTGTAAGCCCGGTTTTGTTGTTTCAATACTTTCATGCTCCCCTACTTTTCTTTGTTTCCATAATATCTAACGATTGTTCCAAATTCACATTTCCATGCGCCATGATCTGGGTCTTTGACTGAAGCTACGGCGCCAGCTCTATGGTCAGCTCGTGACGAGTTTCTTCAGTCCCATGGTAAGTTATTTCTGAATTAATCGTACCTGGGAAAACAGTCACAGCAGAACTTGGAATGTGCAAAAATACCCGCTCCTGAGTTTATGGTGCAGAAGTCAACCGAGTCAACTCACACAGTAGAAAAAGCATCCTGCCACGGAGAACGATAAGCCGTTAGATAACATTGGCATTTGCGCTCAGAGAAGGTAGAGTGAGGGCTATTAGGAATAAAAAAAGGCATATAGGTGTTGCCATGAAACAAATTGAAGACGAACCGCGAAACTTGTCAGGATATACGAAGACATTTTTCTGTCCCAGGAAATCCAGCTTCACTCTATCACTCGCGGGGATGCATGAAAGGGATACTTGTACACTTCATCGCCAAATATCTCAGACAGTATGCTAATGACTAAGCTCCAGCCGCATTATATTGCTCGCTTATACATGTAATCACAAACTACCATAAGCACCTCATAACAGCAACCATCACCGGCCCATCACATTCAAAATCTTCATTATACTGCGGATCCTTCTCGCACGTAATACTATCCACCCCGGGACAGGCCATGGTTCCGATCGTATTCTTCTTACCCGCCGTATACTGACATCCTGATATACCATGACTCTCGAACGGTCCGATGTCCGAGTCGGGATAATCAGGGTTTGGCCCTACCGTATCGGCGCTCGCCTCGATGTCGGCGCTGGTGTCGCAAACATCTGTGACGCTTTCAGTATTTTCATCAATCACCCACCATTGGAATATCCATGTGTCACCCGCGTACTCCGTAAAGAGGAGGAATGCGGCAATGTTAGATGGGGTGGCTGTGGCGCTTGCGGTGGTTGCAGTGGACTTAGATGTGGTTTTTGATGATGTGGTATCAGAGCCAGAGCCAGAACTAGAACCAGAGCTAGAGGTAGTGCTCAGGGGGAACTCAGAATTCCATGCCGAGGAAACAGAGGTAGCAAGTGCAGAAAGATCGGCTGCTGCGGCGTATGTGGCGGGAAAATCATCGTCGACCTCTTCAGCATAAAGAACTGTGTATGTGGCCAAAGGCTCGGTGCTCGTACTGCTGGATTCGCTTTCTGTCTTCGTGGAAGAGTTATCGTCGTCACCGCTATCACTGCCACCAGAACTGCCCCCCTCAGAGCCAAGAACGCCAGGTGGACAGAATGGACAATCCGAGTCGCAGAACAGAATACCTGGATGGAGTATGATGTTAGTAATTTATATAAAATTTCATTCTAGCGGTGGACATAAAGGAAAGAGGGGAGCCCACAAATAATACCACATCCCGTACATCCAGGGGAACTGGTAGGGGATGGAGGACTTCCAGAGGTCCAAGATGTTGTCTTCGGGTTCAATTTTGTGTCATGCGTGGTTGGAACCGTGGTTGGATAGGGGTTAGGGGTGACAATGATGCCTGTGGGGGCCATTGTCGTGCCACCGATGATAGTGGTACTTCCGCCCACAGTGTCAGTTTCAATCGATCGGATGTATGTGTAATCTCCCCAGACGACCGTGGTAGCTGGGTCAGTAGTCGTTGTTGCCCCAACAATGGAAGTAGTACCATTCATGACCCTATGATATCAAGTATTGTCAATTCTGTGCTTCTCTTTATATCGACACGAAGACAGTAATGGTAGTACATACGGAGTCACAGTTATAGTGAAGGTATCTGGCTGGACTGAACTCGTCAGGTAAATCAATCCACCGGCTGAGCCGGTTGGCAGAGACACGCCCCAGACAGGAATGGCGGTAGTTGTCACTAACTCATTGTGAGCCTAATTCCTAGTTCTTCCGTAGGAATTTCAGAAGAGAAACCAACCTGGGGGAATTGAGATAATGGTTGGAATAGACACGTAGAGATACCAGGGATAAGTCGATGTCGAGCCATCCGTGAGAGTGTTTGTGAGGGTGGTAAGGCTTGAGTAGGAGACTGTGGTGGCCCAGAGAGGAAATGTGATAGTCGTTGTGCTACTCAAAGGCATTGGAGGCCATATGAGTGTGTCACCAGGCAGTGCTGTTACGATTGGAGTTGCCGAATTCCAAATATCAGGATTCACATAGATAGTCTCCGCCGAGGAATTAGACGAAGAAGAGGATGAATCACCGTCACCATCATCTGACTGTAGATCCACTGCCCAATCTGCGACTCCCAGGAAATTCAGACTCTCGTACAAAATAGTCCGGACCGCCTTGTTGGAATCATTCATGTAGGCAACCCACTGGGTATCGTTGTAGACCAGGATGTTCGAGAAGGAGTCCGAGTCGAAGAGAGATTCGGCCGTAGGATTCTCTGCGATGATCAAGCCCAGCTCATAGTCGGAAATATAACCAGCAGTATCCGTGCAGGGTCCTGGAAGGGCACCTGAATCAGGCCCTGTGTACGTGCACATCTCGGTCCAGCAGCCGGCCTCGGTCATTTCAAAGGAACGTCCGTAGCTGGAGACACCCACAGCAACAGTGTTCGCAGAAACACCAGCTTTGGTAATCATGGAAAGCGCGTTGATAGTTTCCGTCAAGTTCACATGGGACCGCAAACAGTTGCCAGCTGAGCAGCCATCATCGGAATAGGCATGCCCATAGTCCCACTGTCCGTGGAGGTCGTATGTCATGTAGACAATATAATCCACCACATAGCTGAGTGCTAGTACAGGGAAATACTGCAAGTACCAGAACGAGGCTGGTGCAGTGAAAGAAACCGTCATATCGGACGTGGCTGAGCTCGAAGCCAGACTGGTTTTAAGTTCCTCGAGTAGCAGAAAATAACCCACGCTATCTTCGGCCGTGCCAGCTGGTATACCTTCAATATCAGGCTCATCGGGATACTCCCAGTCCCAATCCACCCCATCCAGGTCATTGTCAACCAAAAAGTTCACCACGTTTGTGATCAAGGTTGCACGGTTGGTTTCCGAGCTCACCACATCCCGGAAGATCATGTATGTGTCAGGATCAGTAGAAAAATCCCATCCACCTATTGATATGATTCGCTTGATACCACTCATACCGAGCAGGAAGGGCAATTGAGGCTCAATGGCAGTCACATTAAGGGAATAATCAGCATTGATAGCTGCAAACCCAAAATGGATATGGGTATAACTTGACGTATCGACTTGGTCGACCGACATTCGCAGGCAAGGTCGTTCCCAATCAAAGCCCTCAAAATAGGCAATGGAGAAGTACTCAGCCGGGGCATCGGATGTCACTATATCAGTTCCGCAGTTGGATATACAGCCATTTTCATTCGCTGCAGCCGTTCCAGGGGCCCCAGTAGTTGAGTTAGAGATGGTGCAGAACTCAGCTGTCGTTCCACACTGCCCCCAAATATCACAGCAAGCATTGAGGGGGCATTCATTCAAAGTACTCAAATCGGTACCATGAGGTGCGGTTGCAGTACCGTTTACCTGGGGGCCGCAAACTGCGTTGTCAATAGTGGTGGGCATTGGAGGCCAGCCGCTGCTTAAACACATATTGTTTCCGATCAGCAGATCACCACACCCCATCCATCCCCACGTGTCGTTGTTATAACTTTCAATCTCATCCACAGTGATATAATAAGTCGCGGCTAACGCCGAGCAAGTATCTCCTGTCACTACCACGTATGCGTAGCAATTATCGTCAGAATCCGGTTGCGGGGAATTGTCAGGCAGGGTCCCACTGGAACAACAGACGTATTCCCCCACTGGGAGATCGGTACAGTCATCAATGGAGTTATAGTCTGTGAACTCTGCGTATGTGATGCCACATTCTGCGGCAAGAGTTATACATGTGTCCCCTGAGACAACCTGAGCTGTGGTACAGGTGTCGTCGCGTGGAAGAATAACACGACCATGTGATCTCTTTGCCAATGTAGTCGAGTTGGTGATATTGACACTGCTGTTGCTAACAGAGGAGTTTAATTGGATATGAGATGTGGCGAGGAAAGTGGCTTTTTTCCAGTCTTCGGTGGTTTTGTCCATAGTCGTAATGCAAGTGTTGTTCCGCCATGATTGCACGGCGGACTGCACCGACGAAAGATTCGCCTGGGTATCGATGAAGACTCCTAAGGAGTATCTGGCCGTGCGATTATCACACAGCTGGACGAGGAGAGTTTCGGCCACGGTGCCATCGCTTTGGACTTGCGATATAAGGCTCTTCAGGATGGAGGTAATCACTTGTTGACTGGCAAGTCCGGAGCCAACATAAACACCCACCGCAGCGTTTCCAGACAAAGAAAAATGAAACGTCTCATTTGATGCCAGTTGGGCGACATTGAGAGCGGATGATATTTGTAGTTGCTCCAGGGCGGCAACGACATCAGTCAAAGAGGCTTCGGAAGTCGATCCTGACGAGCTGAGCTGCACCGATGAGGTCACTTCAGTCAAATTCGCACCATCAGTATTGGATGTAACATCACTGGCGATGGATGCCACTGTTTCCGTCGTCGAGGAATCCAGATCGGCAGTACAGGCAGAAATACTGATGTGCGTGTCCGAGTTTCCAAGGAGATTAAAGACGGCGAAATTCAAAAGCATGGTACTATTGCACAGCGAGAGACGATCCACACTATGATAAACAGACCAGTTGGACGAATCGACAGCCCCGGCACTGGTGCAACTCACGGGGCAACGCTGCCTCGTAAGATTGGACAAGCGGGAGGTATAATTGCCTGCGATGACCGCACTTCTGAGTGACGCCATATCTAGAGCCTGAGTTGAGGCCGATGCGGATTGAGTTGACAAGGGCGCATCTGCCAGAAATGCTGACAAGGCATTGCTAGCCTCACCCACGAGACTTGCATCAATGGCCAGAACACATTGGGCCGTCCAGCCTACTGCCATTAACACAGCTCTTGCCAGCAAAATGGGTCGCATGGCGGGCAATGTTGCTGACAGAAAGGAAGAAAAGCAATATCAATGCACAATAAAAGAAAAATAAAAACGAATGATGACCTGGTTCAAAGGCTCAACGAATGAAAGAAAAAACAATGAGGAACCATGGGCCTTTTTGCGGCTATGTACTTGGTTGGAAGACAAGTGAACCACACATAAGAGGAAGTCGACTGCTTCTAGTAGGTGGGAAAGATAATATAGTCTGGTGCATTGAAATGGAAAATTACTAAATGAAAGAATGAGACTGAAGCCCGTAATATTCCAAGCCATCTCTGTATTTCTGAATACTTGGTCCTCTCGCCCCAAGGCCGCGCGTCGTTATGAATCCTGATCCTCATGGTCATTAGGTATTTTCTCCGGTGGACGATTTTCCCGTCGAATGATCTGTATCTGTATATCTTGGCGGGCGTTGATTTAGAGAGAATCTGTGCAACAATATACATTAAGGGGCACTTGTAAGCACTACCAAGCACAAAGAAGCGCTAACTGTGATTGAAAATAAGCACTAAATCAGAGCCGACAGAAAGGAAACCTCACCTTTCCCGAAAAGGCAAGAAACTGGGACATCCGCTATTCTACCACACATTGGGGGAACCAATCATTCTCCACGCCGCTAGTACGCAGCATTCCGGGGTAATTGCAATCATTCAACATGGCGAGTCAATAAGAGGCTATGTTGTAGCGTTTCCGGCAATGCACGGGAAAGAAGCAGGGGGAACGAGAGAAAAGGGGCAGTAACCAGATGAAATCACACCGGAAGAGAAAATGGAGCAAAGACCGAGAGATAATTGGACTAGCTTTTTTTCGCAGCACAAGATATGTCTAGAATGCTAGTTCTAAATTTTTCTTCTTTTCTTTCTTCAAGTCCGCGTCTTGCTTTTTTTGGGAATTGTAGGATAGGACATTTCTCACCGTTTATCAATTATGTTTATCTCACGCTCATTTTTATTGTCCCTCTTCTTGGTAGCTGACATCTGTGCTGCTTATCGTGATGCATATGCCAACTCCAGCCTATTCCGCCGTGTTGACTATGATACCGCGCCCACCACTACCGAGATCTTCTCAACAGGAACCGCAGGCGACGATGGAATATGCTCTGAAGCGCAAATCACAACTATTGATTCTTTCTTGGAAGAGGTTTGGCTTTTACATCACGCTGCCCTCACCGCATATTCCGAACACCAAACGGATCTGGGATACCGGATGCTATTCACCACCTACCTGGGTGTGGGGTTCGATGATGAGGAAGTCGATGACTTTAGTGCGGGTTTTATGGATTCTATTCTCGGTATGATTTCCAGTTCTCATTCTTGACATAATTTTAATAATAATGTTATTAACGGCCAAAACAGATCGCCTAAATGCAGTCTCGCAGTTCCTCTACCGCGAAGGGCTCATCGATCCGGTCACTACAGAGAAGCCGTATATATTCTGTGGCGATGCATTTGCGACTTATGCGCCTTGGGACCAGCCAGCCAAAGACTCTAGCGGAAACACAATCCCAGATGGCACCGACGATAATGGTGATATAGTCTACATCAAGGTCAACCAAGTCTTCCCAGCGGAATCGCAAAGGGCAGGTTGGATCGCCTTCTGGTTGAGCATTTTTAATGCGTACACATTCGATATAGGGACCAGTACTTCCACAATGTGCTCTCGCTCTGATCGCTTTGCTGCCACTTCCAAAGCGTCCACCCAATACCCCGCACAATTAGTCACTGGGGGTACCTACGACCGGCATACGTTCTTATGTGATGCCACATTTGATCCTATCGGGAATGGAAAGCAGACTCATTCCGTTGCAGAGCTCGCAACTATAATCTCTTACGATGGCTATCCCGTGGAGGGCAATGGAAAAGGATTGGATCAATATGGAACCTATAGCTCCACTTTGTACCATGAGATTATCCATTTGACTGATTCCGCAGGGACAACCGGTGATCCATTTGGTCGGTTTTATTCTTTTCCCTTTGTCCGATGGCCGCCATGTTAATGCAGTTGTTCCTCTAGTGGGAGTCTTGTCACAGCTCCAAGCCTCATACAATCCAACCACAACAGTCAGAAAGCAGATTCCAAATAATCCCGAGTCTTTCGTTTCCTTCGCCTTGGCAGCATATATGTATGCTAATCCACCGGATACACCAGAGGACTCGACGGCGAAACCAGCCATCTTGTTTGCCAGAGATGGCTTCCCACACATTGCATCAAGCATGATGGCTGGTCGCAGTTAGGGAATAAATTGTCAATTGCTCTCATTCCAAGGTTCTCATGTCTCAGGGATTTTAGGTCACCTTTGTGTATATGTGTTCTCTTTTTCAATGATAGTCTTGGCTTTATTTGGTTCAACAAATATTAAACTCTGTGTTCACCATGTTTAATCTATCCTTGACTACTGAAATCATACCATATTCTTAAAATGAATAGGGGGTTTGTTGTACCTCGACATTTGTTGTGCTTTTGGGTGAGTAGCCTAGCAACGTTCTCGGCTCAACCGTGCCGCAAAAGAATGTACCCATCAAAAGCAAAGATGACATGGTCATATGCAATGTTTAAAAATCAAGTACATATGGCGGTCCACGTCAAAAGCATGAACTGAACGATGTAGATTGAAATTTGGGTTCCAATGGCTACGGTGATGCGGGGTAGCATGTAATCTCGCTTTTAGGGGCCATGGTTTTTAAATCCTTCATCCTACGCCAATTCTCCCACCTATCAAAGCATAAAGGGCACACACAGGCTAAGGGGGCAACTTTGACGGGGCAACGACTAGGACGCCTGATGACCCGTGCAATCTCGCTTATGGGGGTCTTGTGGACCATCTGATCTTCAGAACAGTCATTGCCGTATCAAAATAGCTGACTATAGGGTATGTTGGTTGTCAGCGCCACAGAAAAAAAGGGGGAAAGAAGAAAAAAAACGCCTCGCAAAATGGGATGGCTGGTTCTACAAAATCAGTCACGAGCATGAAATATCGATTCAAAACAGGCCGAAATTACCGCTAGACCAAAAGGGTGCGCATCCTCCATAGCAAAGAGAGCCTGATATGACATTAAAGAGGAACAAATTGGTCTGTCTTCTCTTTCCAATTCCTTTCTTTCACTCTCTTCGCTATATTTCTGGCATCCGGTTACGATGAAGCATTTGGCCTTGCTTTTGTTAGCCCTAAACCTTCGACTGGGAGGTGCATATTTGACCAGTCCTCCCGGCGCTGTCGCTCCCGGAACTACGTCAGAATGCAGTGCATGGATTGAGTATTCGTCCAGCTTAACATGTGCCATTATCGAAGAATATTTCGGAATGACAGAGGCCGAATTTGAAGCATGGGTGAGTCCACAATTTCCTAACACATTTCCTTTCAAAACAAGTCTCTGACTGTATTGTTCCAGAATCCCATCGTCACAGAGCTGGGATCGGGCTGTACCCTGATCGCCGATCTATACTACTGTGTGCAGATTGACTATGAAACAATCTCAGTGACGGTGGCATCTACTTCTACTTCAAAGTCTGTCTCTACTGCTATAGCTTCCACTGTATCCACAACGTTGGTGACTGCTACTCCTACATCCTCTGGAGACGGAATTTCGACACCCACTCCCTACCAGACGGGTATAGCAGCCAATTGTGATGAATTTTATCTCGTCGTAAGCGGAGATGAGTGTGGTACAATTGCAACCGATGAGGGCATCTCACTTGAAGACTTCTATGCCTGGAACCCGGCAGTGGGTACATCATGCGCCTATCTCGACTTGGGAGATTATGTTTGCGTGGGTACAATCGGTAGCACTGCTACAGCTACCCCTACTACATCTCCTGCAACCACTGGAGATGGCGTGACCACTCCTACACCCTACCAGACCGGTATGGTATCAGATTGCGATTTATTTCACTTGGTCGTAAGCGGAGATGGGTGCTACGATATTGCGGCAGCGGCAGGTATTGCACTCAATGATTTTTATACCTGGAACCCGGCTGTGGGCACGTCGTGCGCCTATCTTGACTTAGGGGATTATGTTTGTATTGGTATAATCGATAGCACTGCTACAGCTACCACTACTTCATCCTCTGCAACCACTGGAGATGGGGTGACTACTCCTACCCCTTATCAGACCGGTATGGTCTCAGACTGTGATTTATTCCACTTAGTCGTAAGTGGAGATGGATGCTATGATATTGCGGCAGCGGCAGGTATTGCACTCGATGACTTCTATACCTGGAACCCAGCTGTTGGCACGTCATGTGCCTACCTTTATTTGGGAGATTATGTTTGCATTGGTATATTATAAGTGGTTCACATATCAGCTTGAAAGTATTATGAAGGGCGAATGTGGAAGTTGATTTTCCCAAGTTGAGGGTGGGATAGATGTTCTGTATGTAGGACCAGTGTGCCCAATCGGTGATAATTGATGATTGAATTTGGAAAGCTATGTGTAGATGGAGTTGAATTCATTTACGGAGATTTCTGTGATCACCTGCGGGCTGAAACTGGCCAATAAAGTTTCACCGAAATTTATCCTACCCAATCTTGATTGACCCTTTGTTGAATCTCCACCTGTCCTCTCGTCCTGCTTAAATTCCCTACAACTTGCCAAGTGCAAATGTTTCCTCCTTACACCACCCTACAGGCTTTCCTCCTTCAAAAGGCACCTCAGAATGTCTTTGAGTACACTTCCCACGGAATTAATAATGGCTGTTTTCCAATATATGCCATCAAAAAGCGACATAGCCCACCTCGCACAAACCTGTCACAAACTTCACGATTTACTCATGCCTGAGCTCTACCACCTGAGCTTCCAGGAACATGAAGGAGATACTCTTCACTGGGCTGCGACGCATGGTCACAGCCAGATTGTGCAATCCTTCCTCATGGCCAATGACCATCTAGGACCAAACTTATTATTGCCCCATATGAACCGTGCACTTTCACTGTCAGCACAATATGGACAGATAAGTGTTGTGAAAGCTCTCTTGTCTATGGAAGGCGTCGATCCAGATAACAAATCGAGTACACCCGAACGCACGCCGTTGTCATACGCTGCGCAAGGGGCATACGTCGATATCGTCAGATGCTTATTGGAAACAAACCGTGTCGACCCGAACTCAAAGGACCGAACATACGGTCACTCGCCACTGATCTGGGCAATGCGATACCCCTCGGTTGAATCTGGTTTGAAACCTGAAATGGCACCTGGTGCAATAAGGCTTGCACAGGACCGGTCCATTCCTGTCATACAATTGCTACTTAACAACGGTGCCAATATCGAGTTCATGGGTTACGATTGTCGAAATGCCCTTTACTGGGCCACTGCGGGGGGTTTTGGCTCGAGCACCATAGTCCGACTGCTTCTGCAACAAGGCGCACGGCCGGACGGCCATGTGGATGAGAAACAGCGAGTGATGGTGAATTCAAGACAACGGTCCAGAATGAAGCGGTGGGACGAACATCCATTTTTGATTAAGGGAATCTACCTCCCTTTATCATTTGCGGCTTGGGCAGGGTACGATGAGGTTGTTCGGGATCTGCTAGAATTCAATGCGGATATTGATTGTACGAATATCTCCAGTATAATTATGAATCGCCATCCTCTTACCTGTGCTGCGGAGAAAGGTCATTTATCGACCGTCCGCCTTCTCATAGAGCGAGGGGCGTGTTACCAGTCCCCAGGATGTCCTCTCCTCTGCGCAACAAGGAACGGTCATGCGGAAATGGTCCAGCTCTTGTTAGATGAGATGATGCACCATAACTCCCTAATTACAAGCGAGGGACAGAGAGACGAAGATAAGGCAGGAATAAGGGTATGCACTCGAAATGGACGCAAGCACAGCCCCGGTAATCAGGCCATGTTGGCCTTGCCAGAGGCTGTGAGATTTGGGAATGTAGAAGTTGTCAAGTTACTTCTTGCTGTCCCAGGAGTCGATATCACCGATGAACTTCTACAGGGGTCAAATACGCCATTGATGATTGCAGTACGATCTAAACCGCCAATTATTCAGATGATCAAGGTTCTTCTGGCTGTCGAAGGGGCTGGAATCAGGATTAACGAACCTCAAGACCTGGAGGGAAATACTGTGTTTGACTGGGCTCATCACAACGAATGTGGTGAAGAAATCCTTCAATTACTCGTTGATAATGGGGCGCAGCGAACAAAGGAGCCACTTCGTGTTGCTTCAGTGGCTGCTCCACAGGATTGGCAAACGGAGGCGCCACTAATGACGCCTGGAGATAGGACTATTTTTTGAGTTTTTAATGAATTCCACTGGATTTTTGCCCATAACTTTTTCAATAGGCGGTCATATTATTTAAGCCTTATAAAAACCACTTGCCTCTCTTCTACATGATCACCCCTTTGAAGGATCCATAGGCTTCTTTAGGGTTTCTAGTCGGTTGACACATGCCTTCTTCGAAGTGGCCCTAGAAAGGTTAACTCAATATAGATTAGCGATTGCTAGACTATTTGAACCCCAAACATTTATCGCAGAATTAGAAACTACTAACGGCGTCGACTGATATATCATGTCCCCTCCCCTAGACACAGGCTATTTACTCTTTATTCTGATTTACTTTTTGCCTTGAACTCTCGACTTAAGAAACTTATATTTTCTATCATTTTCTTGTTTTCTACTTCACTACAAAGTATTTACGGTTTCTAAGGTTCTTTATCTACCTTTGTTTAGTATAGTACCTATTCTCAGTAAATAGTACGAGGATATAGTGAATTCATGACGCCGTTAGGAATTCTAAATCTTTGCGATAAGCTTTTAGAGTGTGTGACTAGGTAGCAGAAAGGGGTGTGTCTAGCAGCCCCTTGTAGATTAACCAACCACCACGTCAGAAGATCTATGGGCTTCCTGAAATTTTCTTCTATCAAGACGTTGTTCTTGATATTAAGGCCCTACAGCTTCTAAAATCTCCGTTAAGAACCGCCAGACCGCACCCTGTGGGTCACCCAAATCTGGAAGTCAATTGTCTTTGACCAGGTCTAACGGTGACGTAAATAGTTGTGAGTAATCGTGAAGAAGTTTGAATACTAATTTATTGTATAATCCATTGATCCAAATTAACTTGTCTTAACGCTAAAGTAGCGGCCATTACGCGTGGATGAAAGTTAGGGCTTGCCGGGGAGCGGTAAGATCGAGCGGTGTAGACTGTAGAATAATGCCAGATCAAAAGGTGATCCTGATGGCAGGAAACCCCACCTCCTTACAGTCCCCTTCTGGAAGGTAGCCATCATTGGCCTACATTCGATTCGGGGTCATATACATAACAAAAATCCTTGAATATACATAACAAAAATCCTTGAGGTCTACAACCGACCTATGGACAACGCCAACGCTTCCACTGCTCTTCCGAGTCCTCTGCAATGCAACCCCAATGCAGTTCCCTCGGCCTCCAAGCTCACATATGACGGATTCCACCCTACTCCCTCCATCACACGTTACCCTCTAAATATATGAGCCCTCTCCCGGCCAATGAGACGGCTTCTGTTCATTTTTTGCCTCTCAAGGGACAAAGATGGCCTGGTCATTAGCCAGTTCCGATTGCCGTGTTCTATTCTCAGGATCAACGACACCTACTGCCTTGAGGATGAATTTGTAGAGACTGACTTTTTATTGGATGGGCATCAGTTTTCTTAATACAGGGCATAGGTCACCCGATGAGCGGTGGCCTATCTAACACGTAGCACTCAAATTGTATCAAGTATGAGAAGTCGGTAGGAACTAAGACTCAGGGTTGGCAGTGTGAACCGAATTCCGTGCGACGTTGCTGACACAGCGTGACGGGATTATAGCGAAAATTGAGGAGGTTGGCATTCTCCCAAGTTCGCGTCTGCTCTGCGCTATTAGCTTTTGTCTTTTGCATATAAGGAATGGGAATGCTTACTTGTCGAGCCTCTTTTGCCACAACATAGGCGAGGTTACATGAGTCGTCATCACAAGACCAACAGAGCGCATGAAAGCTCCTTATGGCTCGCTTCATACTTTCAGCGAAAGATGAACTTTGATTCTCGGTATTTTTTAATATATTGACCTCATAGATCAAGTCTTCTAACTTCCAATTCCGCCTGGCAACTCCCCAATCTCTCATTGTTTTTTCAAATGTTGTCAGCACACTTTTTCCTATCCAATCCAAGACGGCAGCATAGGAGTTACAATAAGATGTCGACAAAAGAGAGTCGTCATGTTACTAGTGCGCCCGAGGAATATTCAGCACCTCCATCTGCCTGACGATCGCAAGGCTCCCACCGACCTTACTAAGCTCAACCCCTTTATCAATTGTGCATCTTCAGTAGTATATAACAATTCACACTCTCAAGTATTCAATTGGCTATGCCCGTACTAGTCCGTACTGTAACGACCCCGTTTCGACAGAATCCCCTTCACAAGCTTTCTCTATAACGTCTTCGTCTGAATATTCACTCTCAGATACATTGGGAATCTAAGGAAATTATTAGGGTCTGGGCTTCATGGATTGGAAAAGAAATTTTGATGAGTTGGCCTCAGGATTTTGTAGATTCTCGTCGGAAGTTCGCCACATTTGTCAGGCTTCCAATTTCACTGCTTGATCTGGGAATAATGATATCATATTAATGTGTCATCTCCAAAAAGCATTGTAGATATAAAGTATCAATTGCCCCTTTATGGTTGAATGCAGAAAAGGCTGGGACTTCTTTATATAATCCTCTGGGTAGGCCGAATATCGCTGATGGAACAGCTGCTTCTTCGCACCTCTCCTTTCCAGCTAATTTGCAGTCAAACACTCATCTCACACTAATGCTCGTGGGTAAAGGCGAAATCCAATGAATATGATCCAGGAGATCATGGCCATTTCGAGCTCACTCGACGAAATTACAACACCGATCTTCCCGCTTCTTTCTTGTGGTAATGAAACACTGAATAGTTTAATTTATTCAATGTACCGTCCAGCATTAGTTACCGGGAATTTCCAATGGCTGAATGGTATTTTGTAATAAAATCGTTGAAAATCCAAACGAAACCAGCTGATGGCGAGATAAAGCCGGAAAAGTCAATGGCGAGAGCAAGCTGTGTAAGAGTAACTCCGAAATATAATCCAGCATCATACTGAGTCTAAGAGAATATTAAGTTGCTTCTGGGATTGGTGGCTAGTTCCCTGGATTGGGACAACGATCTGCTGATAAGTTGAGCCATCGTTTACCTGTGCCCACGACAGGTTTTGAATCCAGAAAAGGAGGGACAGAAACTCCAAGGTCTCCGAGCATACTAGCGAGGCAGGCTATGATGTCTAGTATATTAACTGCACGAGTACAGAGTATAAGGTAAAAGTGGAGAATCCCGAGGACTAGTTGAGTTGATAGTTGGTCGAGCTCGTCTGAATAGTAAAACATGCCTTGGAAGCAGGGCCTTAGATTCAGACCATTTTTGTGCATTTTGAGGTTACCGTAGGGGTAGTGAGAGAAGATAAGTGCTGTGGATATTCCTAAGTCAGCAAAATTTCTAAGGCACTATCTAGGCAGAAAGAAATAGATGTTACTCGTAGCTCCAAAGCAGGCTAATTGGTGAGCACTTGCTGGTCATAGGGCCGAAAAGTTCATAAGCTTCTGTTTCTCCCTCTCCAGGTTTACGTTTTTCTTAATTTACATCTTCTCTCTTCTCGTAAGAGATAGACCAAGGTCCATTCTAAAAGTGAACTACACTCACTCCATCTACCACAATTTCTACAGGTACAAATAGTAACCAAGGGCTTCATAGACATTTAATCAAAGCGCTTGTATCTGATGAAACCACTCAAGTTCAAATTTAATGACAGCCTACTACAGGTGCGTTTCGGCGCTCGATAACGGTGCTGAGGCAACCGTTTAAGTTATTGTTTCTCACCACTATCTCTAGAAAATCAGTTGTATTATGTCAGCGAGTTGCCGAAGTGTGCATAGCTTCACAGAATCCCCGCTTTCTATTTCACCGGCTCGCTTCCACATCTAATTCGCCAGCTCGGCATCAAGTGGAGCCAGCATGATTGTGCTTCGATCTCTCAAGAAGATAAAAGCCCAAAAAAGATTAGTTCCATCCAGATTAATGTTTTTCCTACATTTTACAATGTGGTCTGACCCTCCACTTCCCTTACAATTCATTTCCTGCACTTACACCGTTTCACAATGCCGTCTGACTCTGCGTGTGATAGATGTCATTATATTAAGGCCCGCTGTCTAGCAGGACCTGCGGGGAATTGCTATCGCTGTTATCGTCTGCATCACCTCTGTACATTTTCTCGACGACGAGGTAGACGTGGACCGAAGCCAAGAGTTGCTCCCATATCTCGTCCATCATTTTCTCCTGACACCGAACTACTTTTGTTGACACCTGATTGGTCAATTCATGCTCCCTACACTGCATCAAACCAGGACAACACCAATCAATGCGGCGACACCACAAACATAACTCTCAACACCTTATATTTCGAGACATCACTTTCGCAAATTTCGGAATATACATCGTTTCAAATTTGCAAATTCTTCTCATTTGGACCTCTCCTAAGCATGGAGATGTGTCAACTGATCCGTTCTCGACTCAAAGAGGCCCCGACTCTCCTGCTGCGTCCATACGCCACTGTAGCCCGGGTATTTATCAGATATGCAGCCAACCAAGCTCCTTGTAGCGAGTTAGATTGGTCAAACTGTGCCTCCGCATTGGAAACTCTTCGAAATGCACAGATCACCAAACCCGATCATGTAGGCAGCTTTCTTTCCCTAGGAATGAGCCTAGTCACATTCCACCGATTGATATCAGGTATTTCCGCGAGCAATATTTGCCGGTACACTTTATCTTGTGTACGTTCGTATTACTATGCGGGAGTTCTAGATGAGTCGAACACCAGGGAGCTTCTGTGTCTTATTTTTTTGGACACTACCCAATCACTCTTCCGGGCTGAGGTACCTGTGATTGAGTATGTAGTCCGAGACCCCTATGCCGTCGACCAGCATGCTGGACTCTGCGGCCCACTTCTTCCACTTCTTTACCGCGTCTGTGTTCTAGCAGTCATTCGCAGGACAGCAAAGGGGAGCAGCCTACCTCCTCCCAGCCACTTTGAAACCCTTGCGAAAGAAATTGAACAATGGGTTCCTAACATCTCGCAATCCGTTCTAAATCGATTTTCGGATGTTGAAATGTTCGTTCTCATCTCACAAGTCAAAATTCATCGTACATCAGCGCTTTTGATCTTGCACCGGATACAATATTGCTTTGGAGAACGTGACGACGAGGCAGAATCTTTTGCGGCTGCAATTGTCACAGATATGACTCGTTGTCTAGAGGTAGCCGAGTATTATCCACCCAATATAACTCTAGGTCTACTGGTGGCAGGAGCAGAGATAAAAGACGCGATTGGGAGACAGCAGATACTGTCTTTAGTTTCAGGAATCCGAGGGATGGGCTTCTACCCCTTTGTGATCAACTTGCGCATGTTTCTCGCACGGATCTGGGCTGATAGGGATAAGGGGACCGTCCGGTATCTCTTTCGTGTATTTGAAGATAATCCTGATCTTGGTGTTCCGCTCTGAAATGATAAGAACTCGATTATACTACTCTCGAAATCATTGGTTCAATTCTCATGATCTTCAAAACTTTTCAAAACTCTCGGCAATTATGCAAGGTATGCACTAGTATATGAAGGTCCACTTTAGGACCCCATCTCTATTTCGCCGGTTCACTCAAGATGTTGATTGGCTCACTTCCTTGTATGTTTCCATTTGGCCGCGTATTGGTAACTTTCCCCACACTCCAAATTTACAATAGAACACGCGTGATGCCGCTTCCTGGCCTTGATAACAGAGTTAGAATTGCCATAAGAAGGTTCATTTCCCCAGCTGAAGTCAACAGTAATCTTAAGTATAAACTGCACCTCTTACTTTTCTAGATCACTATGCAAGATCATATGTCTTCCGACGGCTTCCCCCCGGGTACCATCCTGCTAGAAGATAGTAAACTGGACATGTCTCTAGTCTGAATCCCCACACTAATGGTACCGTAGGGCATGCGTTGATTTCCGAGCTAATTTTCTGCCCCACTCCCTCGAGTGATCCGGATGATCCACTAGTAAGGAAGACAAATCCACTCTTCAACTGCCAAACTTGGGCTTACATCCCCACAGAATTGGTCCTGTCTCAGAAAAACAGTCAATTTTAGCCTCACTTGCACCTACGTTCTGTTCACCTTTGTACTGGTGGATATCAACAGTCTCGCATATCGCGGCTACATAACCGAATTGGGTTTGACTTACGCAATTTTCAATGACGCAAGTGGTGCCAACTTCGCTGGCCTGGCAGCAGGATGTCTTTTGCTAATCCCGTGCGTACACAAATTTGGTCGTCGCCCTCTCTACCTTATAAGTGCTTTATGTCAATTCTTTTGTGCGGTCTGGTGGGCGAACTTTCACCACGCCGGAGAATTGATCGGCGTGAGCTTGTTGGCCGGTTTGGCCGGCTCGATCAGCGAGGCTATTGTGATGATCACCGTTGTTGATCTATTCTTCGTGCATCAACATGCTCGTATGAATGGAATCTTCATTTTTATGCAGAGCTTTGGGTCCACTGGCGGTCCGATTGCAGGCGGATATATTATTGATTCCATGGGCTGGAGATGGATGTGGTGGATGATTGCTATCTTTCTCGGTGTGAACTTCATTCTGGTTCTGTTCTTCTTTGAGGAATCAAAGTACATTCCGTCCTCATTTGAGCCGTCGAGCAATCCGAAGGATCATGAAATCATTCAGGTGGGGGAGGACGACGAGCAGAAAACGGAAGCCCAGTCCACTACCGCCCGTATGTCCGTATATCCTCGACGAAGCCGCAAGTCATATCGCGAGCGCCTCGCTTTCATGACTAAAACGAATCAACCGGTTATCCGACATTTTTACCAACCTATCTCCGTTCTGTTTACCTTCCCTGCAGTGGCTTTTACGGCATTTAGCTATGGCTCAATCCTTGCATGGTTCTCAGCAAATGCCTCTGCCGGATCTTACTTTCTAATATACGAGCCTTACAACTTCGGACCCTCTGCTATTGGGCTGTTCCACCTTGGAGGCTTAGTTGGTTGTACACTCGCTACCTTCACGGCCAATTTTTTCAACGATTGGCTAATCGTAAAGCTGGCTCGACGAAACGGTGGTATATTCGAGCCAGAAATGCGTCTTTGGATGATGATCCCTGCTGCTGTACTAAACACGATTGGGTTATTGGTTTTCGGAATTGGGCTTGATCATGTAAGTTGGCCGTGCTCTAAGATTCGTTCATTTCTCACTTGGAATGCAATGACTGACGCTTTCTCACCAAGGGATACCACTGGATGATTCTTGCAGTAGGACAAGCTATCTTTGGATTTGGCTTCATAGTCCTTGCCGATGCTGCCTTGACTTATTTGACTGACTGCTATCCTGACGTGCGTATTACCCCTTTCTTCTATGCTATTCTCAATTCTCTCTTCGTTCACCGCGGCACAATATGCTGATTCGAGACTTTCAGATCCTCGGCGATGCTCTGATTGCGGTTGTCTTTGTCCGCAATGGACTGGCAATGATAATCAGGTTCTGCTTTACTTTCTGGGTCGCCGGGATGGGCCTCCAAAACACCTTCATTCTTATTGGCGTTATTGCATTCGCTACCGCCATAATGCCTATTTTGATGATTGTTTATGGCAAAAAGAGCAGAGCAAGATCGAGCGCCAATTATCAAAAATTTGCTTCCCGCCAACGTGCTCAGAGAGCAGTCTAAAAAGACTGCGTAACAAGCTGGAAGGAAGCCTGGTGCTGAGATGGAAGCTCTCGTAGGCGGGAGGAGTACTAGAATATTGGAAGACTGAAGGTGCTGTTCCAAAGCATGTTGAGTGGGAAAATATCGGTTACAGGGAGCGCAAAGCATCTTGCAGTATCCAAAAAGATAAGTTGGAGATTTATGAGAAATGCTCAATTCAGTCATACTCTGGTGAATAAATGACTCGCTTCCCAATAATTCTATGAGTTGATAAGTCGTAATGTCGGTATAAAATGAGATCGTATTTTGGGTTTCGACGTATACGCTAGATCCATCATTTGGCGTAAATGAGCTTGACGTCTTCCTTTTCACCCGAAATCATCCGCAATGCCAACCAGAATTTGGTCAGCTTTGAGCCATGCAAGCCAGCATATGTGCTCTTCCTCTTGGATTGGCCGTTGTAAAATGCCATCGTCTCGCCTGGCGCTCTTGACAATGTGTAATGAGGATTGCAGCATTTCGTTGCTTCATTTGGATATTTTGAGCCTTTTTGCGAGCCTCGGTGTATGAGGCCCTTTACTTTGGAGCCGAATCCATTGCAGACCAACCTCTCCGATTCTGATTAATGGCTGAGCGGATAGGCTTTTCGATCGGGGTTGCGCAGACCTCTCAAGGTGCTTTCGTAAAGCCTTGATGCTCTATTCGATGTAAGCATGATGAATTCATAGGTATCAAAGTCAAATCAAGCTGGGTGATGCCGGGAGAGAGCAGGCTTTTCCTGGCTGATCGGATTGTCCAACTCCACAGTCTGCCCCGCAGACCCAGTTCCAGCCATCGAAGTTCCTCTATCTGCTTTACTTCTCAATTCACTGGCAATCCGGAAATTGTCATCAACATGGAATCAATGGGTTGATCCTTCAAAAGCCTTTAGTAGAGAGCCACAGGTATAGGAAAGATCTTGGCTGGAGGTGATGAGAGAGTTATAGGAAAGAAAGAGATGAGACAGGAGCTGATATTTATAATCTCGAGATTTGGCAGTGATGTTTGTTCATTGAAATTTTTGAAATATTTGAAATTGATTTACTTTGGTGAAATTTTATCTAGATGATGGCTAGATTATTGAAACTCCTTCCTTATTTAAGGATCACATGATGCACACGTAAATTTTAAGGAGGTCTACTTATTTTAGGTAACCTTCTATATCTGATTCCCTAGGTTTCTTTAGGTACTTGATATGAGATTGCGTGTTCACGACATGTGTATCTCACGGCCCGAACGACCCTAGTGTAAGTACAAAACAATCATATTTCACTCTTTTGTTTCTTGCTCTCATTCATCATCCACACCTGCCTCGTATTGAATATTCATAATTCTATCTTTATACTTTGTTTTAAATGCCTCAGTAGCTTCCTTAGATGCCCTGTATTATAAGAAAATAATATTAGCTAAGCCATTCATATTATAGTAGCAACATAGTAGGCAAGACCAGGGGCCGTAACTTACGTGAAGTGTAATATTATAGGAAATACCCGAGGGGCAGGCATCATTTTTCCGCCTGATTCCTCAATTTCTCTAAGAAATAATCAGTATTGATGCTTTTAAGCCCCCTCTTTAGTACTTACTTGACGATATCGTTAACAGCGTTGCATACCTCTGGTAGGAGCTGCACCATCAAACGTTGCTAATGAACCAATTCCATATAAGCTAGATGAATCATTTCAACTTAAGGTTTGGATACAACTAAGTTTGAAAATCACTGACATCAGACATAATGGGAAGGCAAGACGGTGATAAAGATGGATAGATGGATAGTTGATAGATCGATTGACTGATAGGATCAATGAGACTCAGCGTAATAGTCGGTGCATCAGAGGTTATGAAAGAGACACGGAGGACTATAAATACCTAGCGGTGGATCCAATCTACTAATCTTCAACTAGTATCTTAGACGATTGTCGATTCCAATAGATCTGATCGGCATTGATGGCTCCACCTCTAGTAACGCCACTTCTACGGTGTAGAGCTGCTATGTAGGTACCGCGGCGAGCTGAACTTGGAAGCGGTATGTTAAACTCAGTAAGCGGGTCTATCCGGGCTTCCACTTTTTCCTCGAACTGTTGTCCAAAAGAATGTGCCCTCTACTACAACACCCAGCTACAAATCTAATTATAGAACTAATTTCAACACGGATTGAAATCAAATAGCCATCATGCTATGTATACGCCATGTATGTAACTCGAATGGATGTAGTGATTATGGTACAAGAGGTAAAAAGGTGTCTAGGGATAGTGTTATGAAAGTAGAAATTGTAATAGGCAATGATCGACGGGTTCAAGAATAGGACGAATTGGAAGGGAGAAGAGAAAGAATGACTTGCTGCCCTGCGTCATCATGCGGTGCTGGGAGGTCTGTGATTGGATTTGGATCCTTAGCGTTCCGTTCTGTGGCATGTGCTGGGCCAGCCACGCATTTGTTCAAGCCAGGGAGGATGAGTAGGAATGGGCTTGCTGAATTGGCGAAAATGGACAAAAGTAAACGCTCGCTGTTCTTTTTGCTCGGAACGCCTGGTAGCCAAAGGAGAAAACTGGAGGGAAAGAATTCGGATCGATAGAGATTGATGAGGTTGACGATTTCGAGGATTGTATGTTTGAGGAGTAGAATGGGATGAAAGGCCGTTAGATATCCATGCTCCAGCGCCACGGGCGAATGCGTTCTAGTTGGCCGAGACCGACCTCATCATGGATCTCATCATTGATCTCGAGGTGGAGAAGATGGACCTTGTGTTTATTATCGGGTCGTTGCAAGGTCGAAAGGGTTTTAGATATTTGCGGACGGTGCAGGGCTTTGTCGCTTTCGTCGATGGATTTGGAAGCCCGCCTTGTCTCAGGGGTGTCAGGATATTTCCAGGAAGAGCTGGGGGATAGATCGTCGCTGTGGGCCAGAGAGAACATAGAATCGGATCGAGAGTGTCGTGAAAACTCGAAGTCTTCACGCGAGAAACTATTGGAGCGTTCGCGCACGCGGCTTACAGATGGCCGTCGCGGCAAGTTCTGATGAATACAATCCGTGTCGACGGCACCGTCATTACTGAACTGTTCCGCAACTATTTCGTTCCGGTGGGGACCGAGTTGGACGACCCGGGATAAACGGTCGCTAGGTAAACCGCCTACACTGTCGCGAGGTGAATTGGCAAAGCTTGCTTTGCCTTCCATGACCCTCGCGCTTGGTGGTGGTTGGAGCATCCATCGAGTGTCGGCACGGCTAATCGGACCGCTCACAATCGGGGGATGGAGCTCGTTGACGGGCGGGGCACGAGCAGCGTAATACTTAGGCTCACGATCTGCACGGCCACTGCCTGAAAACCCAATGGATGATCCGCGTACTTCCTGTTCCTGGCCCCAAAGTGGTTCGTCCTCGCGTTGGTATCGCATTCGGTTCCACCGCTCGCCGATCGGATGCATCAGACTGCCACTCTTATCTTTCAGTTGCGAACTTTGATCGGTGTTCCAGCTGTTCGTCCGCTGTGGGTTTCGATTGCCACCTCGGCGAGTTGGAGGTCCTGGACCCAGGGCAATTTCCTCCCGCCAGCCTTCATTGGTACTGAATGGGGTCGGCTGAGGGAAAGGACGGGGTTGATCGGTGACGACTTCGAGGTCATATTTTTGCTGCTTGCGTTGTGTTCGGGCGGCATCGTTCTTGCGTTTGCGGCGGTCAATGCTCATAGCACAAGGGGTACAAGTGGCATAGTAAAAGACGGCACTCTGCGCGCCCCGGTAGAGCCACATGACGCGGGGGAGGGGTACCCTTCTTCAATGTCCCTTTTCTGATTTCTTTGCAGATAGATTTTCTGTTTCTGAGGGCGTTGCCCAGAAACACGCTCACGACGGGCTTTGTGCCCGGGAGAGTTGGTGGATTTGACCCGGTAGTGGTATGGTGTTCAGGGATAATAAAGACCACATGAAGGGCGTAGTGAGATAAAGGGGGAAAAGGAAGGGTTGGAATGAGAGAAAATGGTGAGCCCAAACGACCAGCGATGGGGGCGGGGAGTAGGGAAATACTAGTAGGGGAGGATGAAACGACAGAATCAGGGGAGGTTTGGGGACAATTTGGGGTGGGGCGGTACTTCTGCCTAGACTTGGTTGGCTATGTGACGCTCCCGCACCTGTACCCAACCTTCGCTTCTTTTCTCTTCATTCTTTCTTGGTCTTTACGGGGGTTTTTTTTTTTTTTTTTTTTTTTTCAATTGCGTTTGGGTCGGAAAGCCTTTCGACGTGTCTCATTCGTGTCCTATGCGCTGTGTCCGTTTCTATTCCCAGGCTCTTACCCAGGTCAACTACGTATCTGCACCTACGATGCATGCGATCGGATAATGTAAAATCTTTTGCTGGGACAGGCAACAAGATCTCTGACAGGGATTAATATTTCCTAAACCCAGGTTGTCTTGGCATATCCCGTTGTGGGGTGCGCGTACCGCAAACGGCTGGAAAAGGGGGGGTTATCATGATTAGATGATAACAAGTATTCAAAGCCGATAGGATTCATATTTAAACTAATCATATGCACGTCTCGATTTGGTGTTCTCTAGTCTCCACTTTGGACCGGATGGCGTAGGTTGTAGCCAGTTGGGCAGAGTATTACGCTTACAAGTGAAGTTTTGACAAAAGTACCCCAAGTTTATGTAATCCATATTTGACATGTCGGAAAGATCTTTGAACACTTCCGTCTAGAGAGATACTCGAGCCCATGGGAATTCGGAATCGTTCTTGTCCTGTTGGTGATGGCATTGAGCTTTCGTGACACGCCATTTCAATCAAGGAGTCGTATTCCCAAGCGCACCTTTCAAATGAAGCGACATACTCATGAGTCATGTGTCACTTCTGGGCAAAGAGGGCAGTTTCTATTGGAAATTGGGGAACGTGAGATATTCATGTTGCAAGTTCTGGAAACTTTAGCCCGTCGAAAGATTCAAATCAAGCTTGTCTCAAGCCCTCAAATGAGGGTGACTTCATTCACATACTTCCAACCCATTCATCTTTATACAGGACTTGAGGAAAGTCGCCTGGCTCAATTCACAGCCTTCTAGAAAAACTATAAATTTATTAATTCTTCCTTTCTGTTTTTCCTTCTTTCACTTCCTTCTTCACTCTCTCACTTAGGGATATCACACCGGCAATAGTATGGTGCGCTCTGCTTCTGGTGAGCCGGTTCACCATGATTTCAGCCCAAGAGACCCCACTATCACCTAATCAATACACAGAGACAACGCTCGTTACCCCCTTGCATATGGAATCCGGATATTCTGATTTGTCCCTGAGAAAAACTCAACGCCACACAGCTATTGAAGAACTGTTCAGGGCTCCAAGAGGCCACCACCTGGACATCCAAAGCGCCCCTTAGTTGCCTCAGAGGTGGCTGGTTTGGAGTCAACTTCAACCTACACTCTGATGTTCACTTTTGGCTGAATCCCAAACGATGGTGATGCAAGGGCTTGCCTCACTGTACGAATCGGCAGGGCTAGGCCTAGCATACTTCTCGGGACATGACAAGAAGCGACAGACTACATTGCTCGGAGTATCAAACTCAGTGGATGCCACGAACGACCTTCTCATAATTTTTGAGGACTTTTTTATTTTCGACCGTCATCTACGCCCACCAGCTCACCAGAAGATATGTCAAAGTGTTTTCTTTGTTCTGGAGCTATATGCGCCCTGAGGTGGTGCCCTTTATCAGTCATGACTCATGGTTCCCTTTTCAGAACCAAAAATTCACTGCAGACCATGCTGCTATCGGAAAATTCATGCATATGAGTGGCCGGATAATACGGTTGAGATTAAGCTATTTCGGCACCTGAAAATCCGATTTTGAGAGCTTCAAATTGAATTTGAATCTCAAGCAAAGATTTCTAGCTATGGCGAAGCAAAGCATGGCAGGCAAGCAGCCGGGACAACCGCTTATTTATAGCGTTTTGGAGAGAAAGGATGAAACAAGCGTTCCAGGGAATGCCAACGAGAAAACCATTCAGTCCTTCAATCCTTCCACAATCTATCGCGAATGATTCAGCATTTGAGACCACGTTGGTACTCGGCAGCTCAACAGCCACTTACTACGATTTGGTCAACGTCAATGGCACAAAGGTTGATAAGAGGTTCGTTTGATTCGCCGATTGATTCAAACGCAAAATTAACAGGATGGAAGACTGTCTCACTCTTCTTAAATATAAATCAGCCACCATCAACACCCAGCTTGCACATTTCAAAGCCGAGATGAGCCAGTGGCGAACCCTTCGCCGCTGCTGGGAACTTGAGTTGATTATCGGAGAATGGCAATTCGGGTCAATGCAGTGCCTGCCTCTTGGGTTCACGCTCGGCGATATTATCGAAGCCAGAATGAAGATGAGGCCAACGATTTAATCGCCCCTTTTGCCACCGTTCAATTTTCCATCAAGACCTCTGGCGGTCATTCTACCGATTCATTCAACGATCAGAAAGAGATCGAACGCTTCCCCGACAGAATCAAACAGCTATAGAAGGACATTGATTACTTCCGCCGCAAGGGCAGGTCTCGTTTGCGTTCAAGGCCGACAAAAATGGATCCAAGACCTATCTCGCTTACATTGCCAGATTTTATGATCGCGGCTCATTTCATTTACGTTGCGTTCCAAGGCCTATAAGAATGGATCTAAGGCCTGATATCTTTTGATCGATACTCTTTCTGCTTTCACCAGCGAAGACGCTGATTTTCTTCTGTTCCCGGCCTCTGTTATGTGTACAGGGCTTGCAGACGTGAAAGGACATTCCACAACCTTCATTATGATTCACTCGCTCTTGGCGTCAAGTAGACCTTCAAAGGGCCTTTCTCCCACATAAGGAAATTCCTTTGTTTAATCCAGTCACAACTTTCATCTGCGATTCTCATGTCAAAATTGAAAATGATAAGAGCAAGGATCAACCGCATTTCACTATAAGCAAGGCTAATAAAATATCAGTAAACGCGCCAAAATGCGGCAGAAAGATGACTGACTTTCTTCCAAGGCAATTTCTCGGTCCAATATGAAATGGCTGAAAGACATCTCGTCGATCATTAATGAACTCTGGATACCCAAGGAAACGTTCTGGGTGGAATGAATTAGGATCTTTGAAATACTCTTCACGGCGGTATAGTGCCCATTGATGAATAGAGAGATTGGTCTGCGAGTCAACATCAGCATAGTTTAGAAGACCAGAGCCCCAAAATGATACACATACGTTCTCTGGGATAAATATTCCCAAAACCTGAGATCCTCCCTTTGGACAAACACGGGGTAGCCCATTGGCGATGGGAGGATACATGCGCATTGCTTCGTCGAGGCAGGCTAGCATGTAGGAAAGTTGATTGACACTAAGCAAAGTGATATCTTCCTCGCTATGGAATGCTGATCGGACTTCGTCTTTCAAGATTTGATGAGCCTCGGGGTTCTGTAGCAACAGATATGTGACACCACTCAGTAAGGATGCGGTTGTTTCTGAACCTCCGATGATCAAGATCTCGGCATTTGAAACGAGTTTGTCCACACCGAGATTCTATCTCAGTTAGATCATTCCTCAGGTAATGTGATCTGTCATTGACTTACCAATTCATCTTTCTTTTTCAAGAGTCCTTCAATCAGGTCTGGACGTTCCTCGGTGACAGCAATTCGACGAAGCATTTTCTCCTTCGTCATGACTTTATGTCTCTGATGAGCCTCCTGCATGGACTTCGGAACCAAAGACAAAAGAAGACTTTTCAGTGATGGAACAAACGACAAAGCCTGCAATATCGAGCCTAAGTGTGCACCTTCAAAAATGCCTTTTATCCACGCATCATAGTTGCAGCCCTCAAGGCAGCCGAAAGACTCTCCAAAGGCGAGGTCACCAATGATGTCAAATGTTGTAAAATTATACCAATCGGAAATGATCACACTGCCCTTTTCACAGTTCTCATGCAATCTTTGAAGTAATTTATCAACGTATTTTCGGATCATCGGTTCCTGATCCCGCATACTCTTCTCAGAGAAACCATGAGCCATCTGTCGGCGCAATCGTTTATGCTCCTCATTGTCCTCATTGACAATATGCAACGGCTCATCGAGAGGGCGGTAGAACCAATTGGCTTTTGTCATTTCTGGTTCTCCGTTCTTGTGGCCCATTATGTCTTTCCATGCATCAGGATGAGAGAAGGCCAGCTCGTCTGGCGCAATGCGGACGATATCTCCGTAGCGCTTGTGTAGATCAAGCATATCAAAGGGAAGAGTACCGTTGATCGCGCGGCGAAAGTACGGAATACGGGAAATCGCATGAGACTTTGGACCAGGGAACCGACTTAGTGGGTGAAAATAGACATTGTAGATGACCTTGGTGATAAGGTAGATGATTGCCTGTCATTGTTAGAAGACACTTTGCTTTCTTGATTGTTTGGAAATACCGTGGAGACTGCAGTTGCTAAGCAAGATCTTGCATCAAGAAACACACTCATGTTTTGCAGCATTATGTCAGTAAGCCCAATAGACTTCCGTTAATCATTGTTGATCGAGGTCTTGAATGTAGGGTTTTATATACCCTTATCCAGAGTCCGTAGTCTTATTTCAAGTTGTCGAAGCGGGGAGAAAGGCAACAGTCATCTCAAAAAAGCTGCAGAGTATAAGAATAGAAAAGGCGACAATATTCCAGGGACACAGCCCCGCTTTTCGGATCATATTTTGGAGTCAAAGAAGCTTTAAGTTTAAGTTCTGATTCCAAGCTTGTTACAAGCCGAGTCCGATGGCGAACCCGAACCCGAGTACGAACCCGATGTCGAGCTTACTAGATCCACTCTCTATACTGCCCTTACCAAGCCAGCCCAATAAAAGATAGTAGAAGCTTTAGAGTATTTGAAAGTTAAGCTAAGTCTGATATCCATGGTACCTAGTGCATGGCTAAACCATTCTGATACAGTAGGCACCCATAAAATCCACAGGGTGGGCGACGTTTGAAAATTTCGTTGAACAGAAACTTTCCCTAGCACGCCTCAAAATAACTAATTCATGCTGATCATTGTTTCTTATTCTAGCAGCCTAAATCTACATCCTATAAAGTATCTTCATGGACACATTTTAGAGCATCTCATTCCTCTACAATCATCTTAAGTGTATCAATCCTCAACTGTGACGAATTCATCTCAGAATGGCTTCAACAAAATGCGAGTTGTATGTGTACACTCCAAGCATAGCACTTGCTGTTGTTGCAGTCATCGCTTTCTCTGGCCTGGCAGCTATTCATTGCTTCCGCATGATCCAGACGAGGACCTGGTCCGGCATATTTCTTGTTCTCGGTGCCTTCGGTAAGTAATTGATTCACAGCATCCTTTGATGTCAAATGTCTTACCACCATCTAGCCCAGCTATCTGGCTATACCGCTCGTCTTTTCTCGACGCAAGATGTCTGTAATCGCGTTGCATATGGGATTCAGTCGGTTCTTCTGCTACTGGGGCCGACTCTAATTATGCTATCCGTCAACATGATACAGACAGATTTTGCTCGAGCTTTGGAAGCCGAGCAATATTGCCTAGTTCCAGTCCGATGGCAGAAACCTCTCTATTTGAGCCTCAATACAATTTTGGTCATCATTCAAGCTGTCGGAGGCATTTTGATCGTCTCATCCACCTCAATCACAACGATCAGCCTAGGAAGCAAGATCACAATCGGTATTTACGTTATCCAAATACTGTTCTGGGGCTTTGTATTTGCAGAAAATGTTTGCATGACTATTCGACTCCGTCGTCAGCCAACAGAGACCAGCGTGGAATCACTGAAGAATTGGAAAATGTGGAATCAGCTGTTTGGTCTTTCGACCAGCATTATTGGGTTTGGGCGCAATGTTATGTGCTTGACTATGGCTGGTGGAATTGCCTTTCTCAGTGAAAATGAATGGCCATCCTACGCTTTCGATGGCTACCAAATGATCATGGTATTGGGCGCTTGGGCGGTTTGGTATCTTCCTGAGGAGTGTGAAGCAGTCAACGATAAAAGGGACTATAGGAGCCTTACCAGGCTCGAGGAAATCCGCCGCAGCCCTTCATAAAGGAAATTACGTGTCTTATGTATTCAGACGCTTTATTCTAACAAATAATCACATTGTTTTTGCCAGAAGTCGCAAGTTAATTTTCCTTTCAACCAATCTCTATCCTCTAACACGAGACATTCTGTAACTGCCTTTTAACTGGTGAATAAAATGTTGCCATCTTGGTATACATCTCCTTACTTTTGTCCTAAGCCATTTCATGTTGCAGATCTCAAACTTTTCTGTACACTAGAAAACCTAAATTTTCGCCTAGAATAAACCGGTAGCAGTACCTGACGTATTATGCGTCGTCGTGTGGAAAGCTGTGTATAGATACTTCGGCTATGGGTAAGTATTACATGATTGGTTAACCCTCCTCCCCACATCAGCATAGACCCTTGAGGCCCACTTGCACCAAACCAATGAGAAGTCCCCAAATCCGAATACGATGTTTTCCCTTAGCCAGTATGTTGCGGTGACGCTACAGGCTCATTTGAAACAGGTGACACTTGACGCCTTTCTATTCACAATTCATAAAATGGTCTCCGGAGACTCGAATCTCCGAGCACAGCATTGTTTCCCATAATATAAAACAGACAAGCTGCCAATACGCGTTCTGGCCTTCAAAATCATGAAACTGTCTGCGACCAAGACTAAATCTCGAAGAAAGCTCCGGAATAATGTCGCCTGACAATGTTTCTCAAGAATCGCAGCTCTCACACCCTACGCTTGACCAAGATGGTCCAGAGAGTAAACAGAGGGAAAATGTGGAAACAGAAGGGCTGGACGTATTCTGGGACGAGCCTGTCGATCAAGATCCGGCTAATCCAATGAACTGGGGCTTAGCGCGCAGATGGACTATTGTTGGAGCGGTATCTTTCATTACTTTCTTGACGTGAGTCCTGCACTGCTCATCCGATCCAAAGAACGAGCTTCACACTGACACCACGGATTCCTAGTCCCCTCGCCTCATCCATGTTTGCACCTGGGGTACCCGAGGTAATGGCTGATTTCAATACCAGCTCAAGTCTCCTCGCAACCTTCGTTGTTTCCGTCTATATCCTCGGTTTCGCATTCGGTCCTCTTATCGTTGCTCCGTTGAGCGAGTATAGTGGCCGTCTCGTCGTCTACAACGCATGCAATGTGCTCTTCCTGATTTTCAACATTGCCAGCGCACTGTCTCCAAGCCTGGCATCGCTAATAATCTTCCGATTCCTGGATGGTGTTGCTGGTGTTGCGCCGACGACTATAGGAAGTGGTACAATTGCTGATATAATGCCTATGGAGAGTCGAGGTAAAGCTATGGCTCTTTGGTCTTTGGGACCGCTTTTTGGTCCTATTGTTGGTCCGGTTGTTGGTGGATACTTGGTTGAGGCTACGAGTTGGCGATGGGTATTTTGGGTTCTGGCTATTGTGGTACGTATTATGCATTTCGGCGTTCTTTCAATTCTCTGATGGTCTTCTGATTCTAGGGTGGTGTCGCGTCGATTGTCTTCTTTTTTATCGTCCCTGAAACACATGGTCCTACGCTCCTGGAACGGAAAGCAGCGCGGGTACGAAAGGAGACTGGGAACACGGGCTATAGATCTCGTTTGGATGATGGGATCCCCGCGAAACAAAGATTCATGCAGAGTCTCGTTCGTCCGACGAGAATGTTGCTGCTCTCGCCAATCGTGTCGTCAATGTGTATCTACATTGCTGTTCTCTATGGCCTTTTATACATTCTTTTTACCACGTTCACTGAGGTTTTTGAAGGGCAATATGGTTTCTCATCTGGTTCGAGTGGTCTCTCCTTCCTAGGCAGTGGTGTCGGCATGTTACTCGGATTGTTATACGCTGGTATCCTCAGTGATCGTGAGATCAAGCTGCGAATTCAACGAAAGGAGACCACACAGCCAGAAGACCGGCTGCCTTGGTATATTGCTCTTCCTGGATCACTGAGTATTCCTGCTGGGTTATTTATCTACGGATGGTCAACCGATAAGCATGTTCATTGGATTGTTCCCGAGATCGGAACCGCTGTGACAGGTTATGGTATGATTCTTACATTGATGGGTATTCAGACTTATCTGGTCGATGCATTCACGCAGCATGCGGCCAGTGCCATTGCAGCTTGTACTGTTCTACGGAGCCTGGCAGGTGGTCTTCTCCCTCTTTGTGGATTGAAGCTATATGACAAGCTGGGTTTGGGTTGGGGCAACAGTCTGCTGGCATTCATTGCGCTAGGCATATCCCCGATTCCTGTTTTATTCCAGTCGTTTGGAGCGCAGCTGAGAGCTCGATCCAAGCCTCCGAAATAGGCCCGTCGTATACCCCATATCTAATAAAAGAGTATTAATATTGTTACATGTTTTCATATCGTTATTTCCGGTATCTTCATATAGATCCAGGAGCCCAGCATATCTGTTCTTGCGGCCATCTTAGCCACCCTCGGTATTTCTCATCAATAACAGAATACAGCTGCGACATGAGCCGACCACTCAATCCTTCCATCCACCACATCCATTCAATTTGACGCAATGCGACGCAGAAATACCCAAAGATAATCAGCGCAACAGGCTCCTCTTTCGCAAGTAACTCCAAATACTCATCCGAGGCTTCTAATAACCACGCAAATACATCTGCAGTTTGAAGCCTCGGCCCCTCGCCCGGTTTCATAACAACACCCAAAGTCCTGCTGAGCGCATCTAACGTCTCCTCATAAATCCCACGTAACCGCTGATCTTGCATGAACTCATGACCAATCATCTGTTTCAATTCCCAAGTATACATCTTCCCCTGTTCAAACGTCTGCGGATCCCGCGCAGCCGCCGTCTGGGCCCCATTCATAAAGATCGGGCCCAATTTCCCCTTATTGAAGTCATGCCTACTGTATTCAATAACAGTCCTTGTGCCCCGGAACAGAAGAACCCAGTTAGCAAGACGGCCTTGCTCGAATAAGACAAGGAAGCTTCTCTCTGAGGGAACGCTGGCACAAGCAGAAATGCAAGTTAACGAGGAGAAGAGAAACAGTCCGACTCCATTGTCGGAGGCTAGAAAGGGGATATTTGGCGTCACGGATTGGACCGCTGTTTGGTGATGCATGTGTGCTTGTGCGATACAGCTATCCCGGCGAGAAGGGTCGGACCGAGCGAGGTGTAAAGCAGCTACAGCTAACATGGCGTGTAAGACGGCCGGCATGGTGAATCCTACTCGAGGCACTTCGTCCCGATAAATTGCCTGGATGGAGGGGATTCGGCTTAATGTGTAACATGTTGAGACCATATAATGGTGCAATAGTTCCATATCAAAAACTGGCAGACTTGTATTTAATGGAGCTTGTGGAGCTGGAGGCCCAATACTTGGGCTGGCAGTTCCTGTGCTGTGCCTGGCTGGAATGGCTGGGCTTGCGGCTTCGTGCTCTAACCGAACAGGGTCGGGTGTAGCTGTGAAGGAGCATGGCACACCATGTCTTTCACAGTTCCCACAAGTAGGCTTTGCCTCGTCGCACTTCAAGTATTCTATTTAGTGCTTTTTCTAACATGCAATGGATTGCAGGGCTTTACCTTGACCTTCCTTCTTTTGCAAGCGAGACAGCCGGCTCTAGACTTCCGGTGCGAGCGGCGTCCAATAGGAGTGGATCTCATACTGGGTACTATAATTGACCAAATGTGTATATATTAAGGTGCATAATCCGAGCGGGGCTATCAGATATAGTGAAATGCGGCGTCATCCTGAAGTGACGATGGACATAAGACCGAAGCTTAGGGGTCTTCGAGAAGATTAGATAAGCAGAGTCCGGGCTACTTAACTAACAAATATGTAGTTAACTAAATAACTAACTGGAATGGCTAATCGAGGGATTTACTAGAGTTTACTGACTCTGTAAGCAGGTAATCTATTGTAATTTCGGTTTGTATAAACTATAGTACATTGAGTATTAAGTCGACCAGATGAAGTGGGGTTTTCTATCTAATGGCAAATCATGTGCTCATTCCCGTTTATAAGTTCTTTTTCTCATCGTTCTTTTTCTCATCGGAGCTGGCTTGTGCTTTCGCTTTCGCTTCCTCTGCATGCGCTTTGAGCTGTGCGCTCACTTGGACGATGGCTCGCTCAGCCTCTAGAGCAAGCTCAGGCGCATCCAAGATCGTTGCAAGCTTCTTGGCATCGGGCATCTTCAGGAGAACTCTCTCGTCACTCTGCTCGATGTCCTCGACCATCTCAATTGCAGGGGTATCAATCGGGGTATCATCAAGGGCGTATGATGCACGCTTGGCATATAGTCGCTCCAATTCGGGAAGGGAAATAGGATTGAGGAGATTCTTCTCCACCAGGAATTCCAGGTGTTGCGAACCATTCAATGCTAGCACGTGGCCATAGGTTAGTATCTCGCAAATAAAAACAGACAGAATAAGTGCTCACCTCGCCAATGGGACCAACCCCTGTATGCTAGATAGAAGAAAGGAATATTTGGGACGCTGCAGGAAGTCAGCACGCTTGATAGATTGAGAGGAAAGCAACATTGGAGCAACATACATTGGAATCAGGCCGAGAGGCGCTGTGAACGGGGCAATCCCCAAACTCCATCGCATCTTCTTCCGGTGGAATTCCTGCCGTTCTGTGGCTATGGTCCGCAACAGAGCGGGCAGTTTCTCCAAACGCAATGAGTTTCCTGGGTACAGCACGTCGATTTTCTTGGTTCCGTGTGCCTCATCGGTTCGCTTCTGGGATTTGAGTGACGGAATACTCTTGAGTCCCCATTCTTCAAATGGAATCCGTTGCTGAACCGTATTGCCCCAAGTCACCAGGCGCTTCTTCCAGCCCCCATCAGCTTCTTCCCATTTTGCCCACGTTTGAGCTGCCTTGCTGGTCACGCGATCGAGTATTGAAAGCTCCTTCGGAATATCTTTACGTAGCGGTCGAGAGTATATTAACGCCCGGCGTGTCGAGATGGGGATCAAAAAGAGACGCATGGTGCGAAAGGAGGGGGTGGAATTTCACAAATAAGAGATTATCGCAAAGAGAGAGATAAAAGGGAGATATTGTAGCCAGGAGATATCAGGCGCATTCCTCGAATATTTTATGCGATGAAGCTTGTAAAGTGAGCTGATGTGGGACAGGATCTCGGAGGAAATTAAGCAGGGGGAGACGTCATTACGCGCGCGAACTCGTTTTCCTCGGTCGCTTCTTGGCCCTGATCAACAATCCGCCTTCCAACCTTGTGTTTATTCTTTCTTAGCCCCCGACCCCTCGCATTATTAGCTTACTCGTTTCTTTGGCAATTGGCGAGCACTTGCCCTGGACTCGCCTCTAGAGAGGTTATGTGGACTTTGAAGTAATCATCTTCCGTCCATCTCCGAGTGCCCAGCCTTTTGTCGTCAGTCATGGATGTGCATAGCTCGAAAGCCGAGGCCCCAGTCTTCAATGAGAAGGCGTCCGAGATAATCAATGCGAATGGCACGTCAAACATGGATCCAACGCATCTTGCTATAGATACGCATGCCAGCAATCTCCGCAGTACTTCGAACTCCCCAGCCGCAGCGACGCATACTCCCAATACTCAAACAGCCGAGGAACTTGCTCGATTTCAGAATGCTGATCTGCGTACTCTGCCTGGTACGATCATGAATACTGATTTCTAGGACTATTCCTACTTGTTCACTAACAAGTATTTTCTTTCTAGCCTGGATCCGGTCGGTCGAGGAAGTCAGTCGGGAAGATGAGGAAGAAGCTACCGCGACAGATCACCTACTACCCTCTCAACCCAATGATGCGCTTGTCGCCCAACATAATCATGCTCCGCACCCTACCTCCAGACCCGAATATTCTCAGGAGGGTCAACTCGAAGACGGCGTGCCGACCTCCCCACGTCGTGAGTCTCGGTGGAAAACATTCTCCCGCAGCATACAGTATCCTCGAGAATATGGCGACGAGTACAAAGAGGTATCTCCGGAATGGATGAATGATAATTTGGGAAATTACATGGAGCCATGGCGAGGCAATTTGCTGGAAGGAGATAGCCCAGAGTATCCCTTGCACAACAGTACTCGCCGTCGAGAAATCTGGTTCAAGCGCTGCCACAACTTCTTCTTAAGGAGTCCGATCGCTCCGCTCATGTTGCGATTGACTGTCTGGTGCTTCTCGCTTGCTGCCTTGGCATTGGGTGGAACAATTCAACACTTGGCCGACAAGGCGCATGAACGCCAAGGTGCGTCCGCACTAATGGCAATCATTGTCGATGCAGTTGCTCTGGTATATCTTGTTTATATCACCTTCGATGAGTATACGGCAAAACCTCTGGGCCTGCGATCTCCCTCAGCTAAAGCACGTCTTATCCTGCTGGATCTGTTTTTCATTGTGTTTGATTCGGCCAATCTCAGCTTGGCATTCAATTCATTGTCCGAGTTGACCGGTGCGTGCACTGAGGCAGAGATCAATCAACTAGTTGAACCTCGTAATGATCAAATCTGCGTGCGACAAAAGGCCCTTGCGTCTGTGCTGCTGGTCGCCCTGGTCGCCTGGCTGATGACGTTTGCAATCAGCGTTCTAAGGTAAGCGCTACAAACAACAGGTCCTTTGGAACTAGCTGACATTTGCACAGACTTGTTGAGAGAGTGAAACATTGAAATGCCTTCACTCGCAGCTAAACCAAAAGAATTATGTATAATGACTATCTTCCGAATATACGCTCTGTACCTGCTTTCCAAGGTTAGTAGGTATACGATCAGAGCGAGCGTAGCATATTTCAGTCATACCAACGAGCAGTGGTTCGGTGCAGAGCTTGAGCTATATGTTCAAGGTAGGGTCATCGTCTCTGGAGAGCGGATCTCAATTGGACCGCGCCACATATTGAATGCCTTGGGACTTTGCCCTCTTCTCCGGCTTGCCCATAAAACACATCCCACTGCTTGTCATGTGGGTAGGAACCAATCATTTGGAACAGCTACTCTCCCTCGTCAGCCAACAATCAATTTCCGACTCCCCCAGGCACAATGATCAGATCCCCGCACTGCACGACTGGCTGGGATCTTTCCGGTTTCCCTCGCCTCTGAAGCACAGTCGCGCACGCCCAGCAACGATGCTGAGGACCTCGTGGGTAGTGAGTGAAAATGGGTCTCACTGTACACTGTATACGCCCACCGAGGCTTGAGGACGCCTACCGCCTGGAGGCGCCGCTCAAGCTCGGCGGGTGTGGCGTTAAAGACACTTTGGTATATCAACGGTTTGTGGTGGATTGATACATTGGGATACCCATGGCATGATCTGGCGATCAGTCATATGAGAGACCGAGACTACATAATCATCCGTACATAGCTTCTAAAGTCGTGCATACCCTGTTCATGTGCTTGTTTTATCTATACCAACCATGGACTACCTTATCGTACTCCTGCTTCTTCGGGAGTCCCAAGGACCGTAAAGGAAGATTTCGAATTTTCTGGGGCCTCAAATATATTTGTCGCAAATCTTTAAAGCAACTCTCGTAGCTTTCAATGTTGTGTTGTGTACCGAGATTCTGAATATGACGCATGTATGTACTCAACTCACTGAATAGTGGACCTCCTTTGACCGCCTTCCTCAAACAACCGTGGGGATGCTCGTCCTCTCAGCCTCATCCACTCTCGCCGCCACACCTTCTGCCTGATCGTCTGAACCCGTCTTTCTCTCTTGCTTGCTTTCGAGTCCTGTGTGGCCTTCTTTTAGCCGCCTTTATCTCTAAATTATCGGGGTTGGATACCTTTTCCCTTCACCACAAACCCATCTTGTGCCCGGGAATTTCACGACGTCACTCGTCACTCGTGGCGCTATCTTTGGTCTCTGAGGGGTGACCGTCCTGTATGTGTTCTGGTTTATAGTTCTTTGGGCGCCTGGGGATTTTGGAGCTCCGTACTGACCGTTTATAACCATAAATCAGATCAAGCCCGCTCCCTTCAAATTCCTTGCTCGATCCCGCCCCTTGACACCATGCCGCCGACAATGCCACAGGCGCCTCACAAGGATGACCTGGACGAAACGTGAGTGAGGGATTTTTTGTGAGAAATGAGGTCAAATCTTCAGGCGCTAACTATGGCTTAGTTGGTCATTCTTGGAGTCCGGTATCAACAGTGTGATGCACAAGTTGGAGGAAGGCGTTGACATGAAACATGTGAGTGAAGGTCTCTTGTTTGCTACTAGAACCTCGATTACCATATGCTGACTACTTCATAGTACATGGCTCTTTACACGTTCGTCCTTTTCTCGACCTCTCTTTGTCCTAATACCTACTTACATGTCGCTTAGGGCCGTTCACAACTTTTGCACATCACAGAAAGCCGTTGCCAGCAACCAAGGTCTGCAGGCTCACCGTGGTGGTACGTCTCTCTTCCTACAGGCTTACAGGATGTCTGGTCCAGGAAATTGTTCAAATGGTGCTAATGTCTCATTCATTTAATCAGCTCACCTACTGGGCGAGGAACTCTACAAATTATTGGGCGAATACCTCTCACGCCATCTCAGTGAAGTACACGAGAAATCGCTAGCGCACTCCGAAGAAGCCCTCCTGGCGTTCTACATCCGCGAATGGACTCGATACACGACCGCCGCCAAATATGTTAACCATCTTTTCAGCTACCTCAATCGACACTGGGTCAAGCGAGAGATCGACGAGGGGAAAAAGAACGTGTACGATGTATACACCTTACACCTTGTCAAGTGGAAGGACGACTTCTTCGAAAACTTGCATGCGAAAGTGATGGACGCAGTTCTAAATTTGATTGAAAAGCAGCGAAACGGCGAAACAATTGAACAATCACAGATCAAGAGCATCGTCGATTCATTTGTGTCGTTGGGTCTTGACGAAAACGATAGCAAAAAGTCCACCCTCGAGGTCTACCGACACTACTTCCAACGGCCGTTCATTGACGCGACAAGAAAGTACTACGAAAACGAGTCACGGCAGTTTGTGGCAGAGAACAGCGTTGTGGAATACATGAAGAAGGCTGAGGCTCGCCTCGAGGAGGAGAAGGCCCGCGTCGGTCTCTATCTACACTCGGATGTGACTAAAAGCCTCACTGAAACATGTCTGGATGTCCTTGTCACTGCCCATTCCACTCTGCTCCGCGACGAGTTCCAGATTCTACTTGATAATGAACGCCAGGATGATCTTGCTCGCATGTATCGCCTCCTGTCGCGCATCAAAGAGGGTTTGGACCCATTGCGTTCCACGTTTGAAAAACACGTGAGAAAGGCTGGTTTGGCTGCGATCGAGAAGGTCGCTTCGGAAGGCGAAAACTTTGAGCCTAAACTGTACGTTGATGCTCTGCTTCAAGTTCACACGCGGTATCAGAATCTTGTGGATGAAGCCTTTAATGGCGAGTCCGAGTTCGTTCGTTCCCTGGATAACGCCTGTCGGGAGTTCGTCAATCGTAACCGTATCTGCAAGTCGACTACCACCAAATCACCTGAATTGCTGGCCAAGTACACGGATTCGTTGCTCAAGAAGGGCTCCAAAGCTGCCGAGGAGTCCGAGCTCGAAGAGATGCTTGTCCAAATTATGACTGTCTTCAAGTACATTGAGGACAAGGATGTCTTCCAAAAATTCTACTCAAAAATGTTGGCGAAGCGTCTCGTGCATGTCAGCTCGGTATCTGATGATGCGGAGACCAGCATGATCAGCAAGCTGAAAGAAGCATGTGGATTTGAATATACCAATAAGTTGCAGCGCATGTTCCAGGACATTCAGATTTCCAAGGATCTTAATGCCAATTACAAAGTCTACCAAGAAAAGGTTTTGGATGATGATGACCGCAGGAGAATGGTGGACGCACATTTCCAGGTCCTTGGAACTGGCATGTGGCCTCTGAACCCTCCAAACACCGCCTTCTCTGCGCCTCCAGAGGTTACCAAGTCTGCCGAGCGGTTTCAGAAGTTCTATTTCGATAAGCACAACGGTCGTAAGCTGACATGGCTCTGGCAGCTGTGCAAGGGCGAGGTCAAGGCCAACTACATCAAAAACGCCAAGGTTCCTTATACATTCCAGGTATCCACTTTCCAGATGGGTATTCTGCTGCTATTCAACGAGACCGATACGCTTTCGTACTCCGATATCCAAAAGGCCACTACTCTCGCGCCTGAGATTCTCGACCCCAACCTTGCTATTTTCCTGAAGGCGAAGGTGCTTCTGGCTGGCCCCGATGGTGCCAAGCCTGAGCCAACAACCACCTACAACCTGAACTACAATTTCAAAAACAAGAAGGTCAAGGTCAACCTCAATATTCAGATTAAGTCGGAACAAAAGGTAGAATCCGACGACACCCACAAGACGATCGAGGAGGATCGGAAGCTGTTGCTCCAGGTATGTCATTTCTTTATCAGTACCCTTCGTTCTTTACTAACCTCCCACAGTCTGCCATCGTCCGCGTCATGAAATCTCGGAAGAAGATGAAGCACGTCCAGCTTGTACAGGAAGTCATCCAGCAGGTCAAATCACGTTTCCCACCCAAGGTCCCGGACATCAAGAAGAACATCGAGGCCCTGATGGAAAAGGACTACATCGAACGTTTAGAGGGAGACGAAGTTTCCTACATTGCTTAATCACCTCACCCATCATTCCCTCTACCCAAATTCCCTCGCATTTACCTAGCTTCCCCTTTTTTTCTCGCCTGTCTAGCTCATGACCCCTTTCTCTGCCGATATTCGTTCTTGTTTCTATGTCTAGAACGTAGGGCTAAGCAACACCTGGAATGGGCTTGGGTTTTGCTTAAGATATTTTTGGGAGCTATGGAGCAAGATCGACGCATTGTCTGTTTTATCTTATTTTATGGTCCATCTTTCATCATAGCGTTGAGACGACAGATCAATGATAATCCTGAATTTCAAGATAAACATCTACATGTATTTAGGTGAGAAGCTTAGAACCTTGGAAGTAAGGTAATGATCCAGTGATCCATGCAGAATGCAATGCAACAAATACTATTATCTATGTCCAACCTCACATGCACACACATCAAGGTACCAACCTGAACAGATCCCAGCAATTTCCGACCGGGGTATAATTTACACAATGAAAAGACTGAAGAAAGAAGACAGAAGTAAAACAAATATAGACAAGGTAGATCAAGTCAAATGAGAAGGGTATGCCGCTGGAATGTAATGCCAAGTATCTGGGATTGGGAAAGAGACGGAATAGTAGACGGAGCACGAAACACAATACTATTTTAAAGGTCGTCATGAGATTGATCACTTCTCTACTTTAGCAGGTAGAGGGGTAAGATCTTCGTCCGCAGGTTTCTGTGTGTTCTCATCCGGTTTCAGATTAACTCGGAGTCCTTCCTCGGGCGTGAGAGGCACAGCGCTGAAACCGTCGTCGGCAGGCGCTTCGGGTTTATTGTTCTCATTGTGGAAGATGACATCTGAGTCCTGCGGCTCATAGGCCGGGAAGCCCTGAGACAAGGGGGATCTAGGAAAAGGCGGATCAGTTGCTTCGGGGGTATCGTCAAGCTTGAATTCGCCGCTCTCGCGACGAAGGAGGATATTACTCCATCGCTTTCGGCGGCTGTTGCTACGGCTGAGACCATCTGAAGCATCTTCGCTGGGGGTGGAGCGATGTTGCTGCATGGAGCGACGACGACCACGGTCCGACTCGGCTTCGGTCACGATCGGTAGAACCGGGGTAGGAGGAGATTGAGCGGTCGTTGTGGGTGTGGTGATTGTGTTGGGGTTTGGACTCGGGGATGAGCTGCGTTTTTCCTGCCATTCCTTACGCTTTTCGCTGGCCCACGAGCCCCACGAGCTGAAGTATGCGCTTGCTTTTTGGCTGGCGACGCTGACTGAGGCCTGCGCTTGGGAGACGTCGATGGGAGGTCTCTGGCGAACGGGGAGTCCCCAGCCTCCGGAGGACTCCGAGGGAGATGCCTGTGAAGTTGGGGGTGGGGAAAGCGAGGTATCGATGGAGTTGCGCTGTGATTGAGCGGCTTTCTCCTCGTTACGCCTTCTTTGGGCTTCACGCATAGACTCGATATCCGACCAGAAGGTATTGAATGCGGCGCTGACTTTCTTTTGTCCTGTAGCAAGTTGGCGGCCGAGTGCCTCGCGGCCTTCGCGCACTCGTTCATCAAGGTGGAGATCGGCTACCTGCTGAGATAGACGGCGCTGAATATCCTCCATGGTCAGCCCGCCAGCACTTGGGTGGCGTGGCTCAGTGATTGAGAACAGGAGTGCGTCGGAGGTAAGTCTCGAGAAGAGGGCATAGTTAGAAGTTTTCTGCCATTGTGCCAGAAACTCTGCATTGAAGTCAAGAGCAGGATCGCCTTCAATATTGAAGTTCTGCAGCTGGGCTCGGCTTCGGTGTGGCGAATCACCCGAAGTATGCGATACGAGCTCTTCGTGATATTTCATACTAGATAGCAAGGCGAGCAGGTACTCTTCAAATTGGAGTCGAATAAATTCCTCCGATCCCATGAAGCCCAGCGTCTTTGGACGGGATGGATGAGCATCATCCCAGGTTTCATTAACGATCTGAGTGAGAACGTCAATCCAGCGTCTGTCGGCCACAGATAGTGCTAAAGCCCTTTGGAGGGGCAGTGACGAGATATTGATGCTGTCCTCGTCAAGCTGATGTCAAAGAACCACGGTTAGTCTTTTCAAACCACTTATTTTGAAGGTGTGCACTCACGTTGATTAAAATGTCGCTATAGCGATCTTTTTGTTGAAGGAGCAAGGAATTTGTTGATCCCACAACATACGACTTTGTACCATCATCGGCCAGCAAATCCAGTTGCTGGAGGGGGGGTATATGGCCCAAACATACTTCCCTGAGAAGAGAGTTAGGACATCGGATTCGGCGCGAGAGAATGTGTATATAATTACCTTGCCAAAAATCTGCAGTGGTAAACCCATATAGGCCAATACTAACATACTTAGTGCACCGTTCACAGTAATATTAGAGATTTGACCTACAAGAGCTGCGGTCACTTGTCTTCAGTGAGGTTGGCTTCTCGACACTTTGTGTATAGCTGTCAAATGCCGGGTCTGCACAATCTTGCAGGCTATTGATCAAGCCAGGTATCAAGGAGATAAGCGAAAATTGGATCATGCATAGACGTTCACATCGAGTACCAAAAAATAGCATCTGCGGAGGTCAGTATATCATGGAGTACACAATATAACGCAAATATGACTACCTTCGGCTGCAATAATAGTCCCTTAAAGAGCACTAGAGTCTGGTATTTGAATTCATGAATCATCTCTCGCAGAGAAAGGCCTTAAATCAAGTCAGCGCATTTCGTAGCAGATGATAGTTGGGATATTCACCTAAGTTTTGATCTTTTGAAGAATCATTGGATAAACTAATAACCAAGCCCTCTCGGAATTTCTGCACCGTCTTTCAGTCTGTGGTTCGATATTCCGGGTTTTCAGCTTATTCTTACCTTCAGAATATCAATATCTGCAAAGTCACTGCATATTCAAACAGATATCAGCAAGCTTGCACCTTCCAGGACCCCGTCGTATCATGGAAGTCCTCACGGGGCCATCCAACATACCGCTGCGCAAACCACGCCGAGGTCACCACAGAGAGCTTCTCCCGCAGTTGTCCAACTCTCTGCGGACTATCCGTTACCACCACAACGGCCTTCTGCACGGTCGAGCGCGTCACATCAGGATGGCGATTAATCAGGAGCTTGGCATCGAGTTGGCGCGAGCAAGCAATGCCGAAGAGGGACGTCGCCGGTACTTCAGGTGTTTCTTTCCGGCGCAGTGTGAAGTATGAGAACTCCTCGGTCGATCTAAGGTAGGCGATAGGCCAAAGTATCAGTTACAGCCGTCCAATGACGCAAAGTGAAATTGCGGGGCTACTTGGGGGGAAAGAGGGTGAGACTTGATTCACAGCCAAAAGGCCGAAGTCCCGGTCCTTGTGCTGGATATATCTTATCGTAGGGGTTCCATACAGATGCGCGCCATCAGAAAGTGCCATGAAGGGTAGCAATGACCAGTCATTGTCGGTGGCCGGGTTCGTCCCCTCATCGCCGATGCAGTGTTCAATTTCCGGGCCCCTGAAGATTGCGCGGACATATGTTAGTATCACTCGAGTCTTTTTTGAAATTTCTTTTGTCTGGGAACGGAGCTAGGCAATTAGATAGCCTGGAGGACTCACCGTGCATGGTGGAAATCAATCACCAGCACAATCGGGTCTTGTTTATGCGCGACGGCCATCAGGGCAATGATGCGGGGGTTGGCGCAGAGTTGGGGAGCGGCAAATGCAAGGGTCACAGAGTTTCTCCAACGGGAATTCCAGTCGCCATTTACCGCGCAAGGAGGAAGCTTTCTGGAAGCGCGCTCTTCAACAGGGGAATTCAAGACGGTTTATCGCTCACGTGTTGATTGTCGGCGGTCAACAAGATCACTCAGTCCAGACCCCAGACTAATCTCTCCTACCTACGTCAGAATGTTCTACATAGACACATAACACTTTACTTAATTATGGCTTGATTGACTCGGGAATAAATATTTTTTCACAATCAATCAACGCTCAATCCATGGTTCGCCCCCTTATCACCAACCGTTCTTGACGACGCCGAAGTAGGTATGGACAATGGCTTCCAAACCCAGACCAGAGGAAAAGGAAAGGGAAAAGCAAGAAAATTAAAAATAGAATCACGCCAAATTTGCATAAAAATCCTCAAGTATATGGATCTGGCCGCGAATACCAACCTAACAGAAAAACAAGTATAGAAATGTCAACCCGAAACGTTTATGCGAAACCCTGGGGTGCTGGGCCTCCCGGTGGCGTTTGGCCAGGGACCAGAGCCTGTCCGGCCTCGGTGCCTTGCTCGATGTTATGGAAGTCGAGGATTTCCGAGTACCTGTTTTTCCAGTTAGCGAATGTGGCGTTAATCAGTCCACACGTAACCTACATCATAATCTTCCAGGTATCCACAGGCAGATCCGCATCGTTAAATGACCAATCGAACTTCTCTTGGGCGACGGGCTCGTCTGTGGGATCATGGTAAGGGGCAAGGTATTCGTGCGCAAGCGCTTCTCCGGCTCGGATTCGCGTCTTCGGGTCGAAGACCAGCATCCGCTCGAGCAAGTCCACGGCTATATAGATAATATTAGCAAATAATCGTGAGTCGAAGGGTGGACATTGACGGACCATCGGAATCGGCATTCCTGAACTTGTGGGCCAGGTTTTGGCGCTCGCGTTTTGGGAGGGACTTGACGAAACGCAAGGTCTACATTTATTAGCCGTTAGCAGAGATTCCATTATTCGCGTGGTGGAATTTCAACTCACGTTTTCGCTGCAGATAGTCTGGATCACGTCATCTGGGGGAGTACCCAGAAGCTCAGTGATAATGGAGAATTGGTTCACGTGGTCCTTTCCAGGGAAAAGCGGCTTGCCCTCCAGCATTTCGGCGAAGATACAGCCTGCACTCCAGATATCCACCTCCACATCGTACTTTTGCCAAGTGAGCATGATCTCGGGGGCTCGGTAGTAACGTGTGGAGACATAACCCGTCATCTGGGGATCCTGGATTCGCGCCAGACCGAAATCGCAGATCTTCAAATCGCAGTTCTCATTGATGAGAATGTTGCTGGGCTTGAGGTCTCGGTGGACCACACCGGCGGAGTGGACATATTTCAAGCCACGCTGTCAAGCCGTCAGTGGCTGTGCGGCTGTGCGCGAATTTCCACAAAAATCGACTTACCAGAATTTGGTAAAGGAAGTACTGAATAAACTGCTTCTCGAGAGGTCGAGAAGTCAGGAGGCGGTGGAGGTCAGTTCCCAATAGCTCGGTAACGAAATAGCTGTGAATCGTTAGTATGGGTTTCTATTTCTATACTGGTGTAACCCGGTCGAAATCAGGAGACGCACATGTCTTCGAGAGGGGAGATGAAAATATCGCTCAGGCTGATAATCTATGACGAATTGTCAGTACGCACGCGCGCAGTCCGGGTGCCCCGCGAGGGGTAGGCTTACATTCTCATGGCGAAGATGCTTGAGCAGCTTCAACTCTCGGTAAGTACGCTTGGACAGGACCGGGGTACTGAATGGCTTCATGATCTTCTTGACCGCCACTGGCTGATCGGTCAATTGGTCTCGCGCCGAGCTGTTTGGCGGTGCCGGGTTAGCAGCGCAATCAGCGCAAGGCGGGGGATTATGAAAGATGAGCCTACCAGACCAGCCCGAAAGCTCCCATGCCCACCGGCTGCAAGTCCGTATACCTAAGGAAATTAGTTTTCGCGATCGAATGCCTCTGGGCTCTGTGGGCTTCGTGGCCTGGGTAATGCGCACCGGCTGGTGATCTCAAAGGTGGTGCCAAAGATCTGGGATCGCACGAATTCCGCCATTTTGTCGAGGGATTCAAACGAAAAATTATTATGAAGTTAAAGACTAAAAAGCAAAAAGCGATCGAGAAGGGAAAGGGGCGATGGTGGGCTGGAAAAGCGATGTGGGGAAAGGGCCCTTCAGCGCAGCAGAAAACAAGGCCGATGACGTTCGTGATGGTGGCAGGCAGGTTTCTCGGTGGCTGACTCAGCTGGGCGTTCCGATTGCCCACCGATTTGCTACTACACCGTCGACACTAGTACATGGTTATCGATATCTACTCGTTTCAAGGAAACTTCGCCGTCTATCAATACTCTATCTAGAGTGAATTTTCTAGCTGTTGGATGTTGTGTGCCCTGGTTTCCAGTTCCCAGTTTTGACCTCCACCAACCACGCGGCCAGGGCCAGACCGGTCCAATGACCCGGAAGTGATTTACTCATAGTCACCGCTTCTACGGAGTACATAGAAATATATGGAAACACCCAACTATGAAAATATCAAATCTATAACCATCAAAACATAGAAATATATCCTTTCTGTAGACCTCGGGACATGTAGAGAAGGAGGGAAAAAGTCGGATTCTGGCAAGCCCTGATCCTAGAAGTTGAATCCTTCACATACCTTAGCGGACCAGATTCTTAAAATTGCCGCGTTTAGCCCGCCACTATCACCTGCTGCGTTGTGCGGCTGCCATTCGTGGTCTCAAGTGGTATCTCGTCGCAAGGCTTGGGCCGCCGAACTTGGGCCAGCTTCCCCTCATTAGATTCCACGCGCCCGGGAAATTTGCTGTGACTCGAAACAAATGAACGGATGTCAGTCCTGATGTCCCCAGGATGGTTCGTCCAGTCATGGACCACGGGTGCCTGTATATAGAATAGGTTTCAAGATAAGGAAACCGCTAAGGTTACTCCGGAGGATTGAGATAACGAAAAGAACCTGCCCAGGAAACCAAGAAAATCACTTGGGTTGCATGTGAAACATACGAAACAAAGGCATTTCTGATGGGGCTGTCGGGAAATGTTTCATGCCCAAAAGGAGGGGGGTAGTCAGATCTCGGACATATATATCGATCGAACTTTACTGTCCGCTACACCGCAACCTAGTGCCTATTCATGTTGCATAGGGCTACCTGATCATCAATGGGTTGGGAATGTTCCCCTAAAGTTGCAGGAATATGGTCAAGGGCCATCAAGAGATGTAGAATTCCACATAACCATTCATGATCATCAGCATATCTTACTTGCATGATTTCCATCCATTGTATGCTTGTCATGTCAGAACGTGGGGAGTGCACGTGATTGGCACCTGAGGCCATCAATACCGTCGCCATACCTCAATACCGAATTCCCCCATGTGCGTCACGACTCTCCACTCAAACCGAGCTCCGGTGGGTTTTCGATACGAGCCCACGAGGGAGTCATGTATACACGCCATTACCAACAACGGAGCCTCAACCTTCCCATCAGTTTGAATGGCTTTTTATCTAGGTATTGTAGGTACCTCAATTACCAGCTATAGGCATAGGATGTGCACAAGACATGAGACTTACTCAGCCTCAATGATCTGGTTCATGTTTCGCCCCAAGGTTCTGGTATTTAGGGGAATTTACCTTGGCACAGCCCCCAAGGCTTTGAAATAGTGAGGCCTTTTTGCGCTCTTTTTTGCTGCAAAAAAATACATTGGCCCCGAGGGAAACTCTATGCATACGGGGGGAAAAGTAATCAGAAGTAATTTTAGTGGTAAGAAAACTAAAAGAGAGGGTGTAATTACGGGTAGAACGGCGTAAGACTCATGTTTCTTACCCCCATAATTCCCTCCTGGCATCTCCACTCACCCCAGCATGACGATGGTCGCACTGACTTGACATCTTTCCCTTGAACGTCCTCTCACTCCTAACTTCATACCGATCAACGCCACCCCACCACATAACCCCATCTGCAATTCCAATCTCCTCCACAGAAACAAGGATCGACACCCCGGACTCGCTGGCTCATCACGAAACTTTCGCCTGTCGCAAGTCCGCAACCCTTTGAACCTTCAAACCCCCGCCTTTCCTCCGTTCACTGAAATCCTCTACGAAATTCCTCTCATTGCAACTGATCCTATCGGTTTCAGGGCTGCGCCATATCTTCCCTTCCGTGTGTGTGGCGGGACTCCCAACCAACCTACGGCTTCGGCCATCCCGGCTGACACCGATCGCTTCCGCGCGCGGTGGATGGGTTTTGCTTATCCCTGCTGGTCTGGGATTGTGAGAACCACTCGTAACCATGGGTTCATGTTTTAGCAGCGAGTCCGATGGGGACGTGGAACAGAAGAAGAGAAGTCAGTTGATTGATCGGAAACTTGAGGAGGACTCTAGGCGGTTACGCAGGGAATGCAAGATTCTCCTGCTGGGTAGGTGACCTCGAGTGGAATATTGTGCAGGTGATGCTGATTGACTGACACTCGAATCGCAGGCTCTGGCGAAAGTGGAAAGTCAACCATTGTTAAGCAGATGAAAATTATCCACCAAAATGGCTACACCGTTGAAGAACTGGCCCTCTATCGCTTGACCGTCTACAAGAACCTCCTCGATTGCGCCAAGGCGCTCATCGAGGGATACCGCCTTTTTAATCTTGAGCCGTCGAGTCAAAAAGTTCAGGATTATCTCACCTTCCTCGACGAATATCATGTCGATCCGGATCCCAATATGCCATTGGATCCTAAAGTGGGAGATGCCGTAGCATATTTATGGAATGACCCGTGCACATCAACGGTCTTGGAACGCCAGAATGAGTTTTACCTGATGGATTCGGCACCATAGTAAGCTTCAATTCGACAGCGTCAAATTGGAATTTACTAACGGAACTAGCTTTTTTGATGAAGCCAAGCGAATAACGTCCCCGGACTACATCCCCAATGTTTCAGACGTACTTCGAGCCAGAACCAAGACCACCGGTATCTACGAGACACGCTTCACTATGGGCCAATTAAGCATACAGTATGTGGCAGCCTCCCTCCATGCCCTTTGACACTTGCTAACGGGTCGCGCAGCATGTTCGATGTGGGTGGCCAACGCAGTGAGCGAAAGAAATGGATTCACTGTTTTGAGAATGTAACATCTATCATCTTCTGCGTCGCTTTGAGTGAATACGACCAGATGTTGCTAGAAGAAAGCAATCAAGTATGCTTAGTCCATTTGGCCTTGATATGCAATGGCGCTGACAGTCTCGATAGAATCGTATGATGGAGAGCTTGGTTCTCTTTGACTCCGTGGTCAATTCCCGATGGTTCATGCGAACAAGTATCATTCTGTTCCTGAATAAAGTCGATCTATTTCGGCAGAAGCTTCCTCGGTCTCCTCTGAGCAATTATTTCCCAGACTACTCTGGTGGAAATGATGTGAATCGTGCCGCCAAGTATCTCCTTTGGCGATTTAACCAAGTAAATCGAGCACACCTCAATCTCTATCCACAGTGAGTTCCCGAGAACCCGAAAGCGTGATCATGTGTTAACACCTTTCCTAGCCTTACCCAAGCAACTGATACCACCAATATCCGACTTGTCTTTGCGGCCGTCAAGGAAACCATTCTACAGAATGCCTTGAAGGACTCGGGTATCCTATAATTGCTAAGACATTTACACGTTTACATCCCGACATCTTCATCTCTCCCCTCAGTTCTCCTGGGGATCACTATTCAACTGGTTGCCCCAGTTCATCTTCTACTTTACGATCGACCATACCCCTACATTCGACCTTTCATTTTCAAACTTTGGCTTTGGTTCAGTTACAGGCGTTTATGGTGCCATTTCGTCCTTGGATAATATTCCAGGCGCTGATTAAGTGATACCCCCATTTGGTATCTAGGAGGTTCCTAGTTTTCTTTCGAGATGGATCTATGGGTTATAGGATCTCGGGCGTGGCTTGGAACAGGGCTTTGTTGCCTCTCTTTTCTTTCCTTTTTGTGACTTGACATTTATGCTACAGCTTCAACCTCCCGAATAAGGGTCCTTTTCAACCCCTAAAAGTCGATGGCTCTTCCCCGGAAGAGCCACTGCCATACATTTGACCCTTGTCTTTATTTTAGTCCTTGGGAAGTGATGGGTCTTTGATATACTGTGATCCGCTAGGATCTTGCCACATCTGTTTTTTTCAGCCTGTCTGATGCATATTAAGGCGGATTGACATTATTTTTTTGTGTTTTATTTACTGGCTGTTTCTTTTGAGCTGAATCTCCAATGCGTTGCAGCAGCGCCCTCGAGCGATTTGATGCATGATGTTTACCTATTGAACTATATGTACTTTTGGTCTGCTCGCGGCTAGCCGTGAATCTAATTTAGGACCGTTTCATAACTGTCTTCTTTATAGATCTGGTAATTCCTCTGCCTTGTATGGTCTGATAAAACATGCCCTGGATGAATCTTGCATGCGATCGGTATAGGATCGAAGAACACTTCGCATGAGTACTGTATTGATGAAAGCCAAATTAGTCAGGTCGTTTGTTAATTGAGGTGTGAGCAATGGTCCTTTTGCATGCATTTGCTAGGATATAATCCAGATTTCAAGGAACTCTCGCGTACGACCTTGCGCATAAGCGCTCCACCAGAGATAGCACGTCAACGGCTAATCGATGCTCCACTTGCAGGATTCAGAGATACGCCAAATATGCCAAATATACGATTTAATGTAATGGGTGGCATGATGAACACGTAAATAGTCCATACTAATATCACGATGGAGGCCAAAGCAAGGCAAGAAGGGCAGCACGGACCGCGAGGGACTAGCAAGGGCTCGAGCCCAATAAGATCCAGGCCATTGCTTCTCCACCAGAGCTATACACCTGACGTATGAGCTTCAAAACCCACAGCGGGGAAAGAACATACGACTGCGGAGTGCATGTTCCTTCCAGTACCTGGTCACTGTCCGGATTGGGCAATGTTCGCTCGGACGACTTTTCGTGTCCTGCACTTCCGAGACCCCTCTCAAAACCAGGGTGTCACCATGTACTCCCCTCTTTCTCTCCTTTTTTTCTCTTTCCCCCCAACTTGCCTGAGTTGATTACTTTTGAACCGTGACTTTTCTCAACATGTCGGAAGCACGCCGTGAACGTCGTCCTTCTGTTGGAGCTCCCATTGCAGATCTCCAAGGTCCTGTTGGTCCAGGGTTTAGCCGCCCGAAGCACAAGCGTACTCCTACGGGGTTCGGTGCTGCCGATATTAAGAGCGTTGAAGCCAGTATCCCTGAGCCGCTACGAGAGGCGTGAGTCGTTTTTCTTTCTTGTGGTTGAGTGAAGCTGACTTTAGAACGGCTATGAAGATGGCTCAAACACGTAAGATCTACTACGCCTGGTGATGAGATCATAGAACTACGCTCACATAATTGAACAGTCTGCTTCCGAGTTCACGACCAAGGAGGAATTCGAGGTGGGTCTCCGAGAGGAGCCGGGTGCATTCCAAACTGACCATACATGTTCTATAGAAAGAACTCGTGCGCCACATTGAGACGACGCTGGCTCGTTCGCTGTACAACTGCGATGAAAAGTGCGTATATTCTGGATGTCTGGGAGCCACTTACTGGATCAAGATTGCTTACCATTTATAGTGCGGCGTACTCGGGAACGGCCCTTGCGTTTCGGGACCGACTCATTATTGAATGGAACCGAACGCAGCAGCGTCAGACGCTGACTGATCAGAAGAGAGTTTACTGTAAGTTGGAGCATTGACTATGATCGGGATTCTGTGATCGGCAATTGACGATCTGTAGATCTCTCTCTCGAGTTTTTGATGGGGCGTGCTTTGGACAATGCTATGCTCAACGTGGGCCAGAAAGAGAACGCCCAAGGTAAGTGATCTAAAACTTGCTAAGGAAAAGCCATTAATACTTTGACAGAGGGATTGAAAGATCTTGGTTTCCGGGTCGAAGACGTCATCAGTCAGGAACATGATGCGGCTCTGGGCAATGGCGGTCTCGGACGCTTGGCAGCATGCTTCTTGGATAGTATGGCTACCCTGAACTATCCGGCTTGGGGATACGGATTGCGCTACCGCTATGGAATCTTCAAACAAGAGATTGTGGATGGATACCAGGTGGAGATTCCTGACTACTGGCTTGATAACAACCCTTGGGAGTTCCCGCGACATGAAATCACGGTCGATATCCAGTTCTACGGCTGTGTACGCAAGTATCAGGATGCCAACGGAAAGTTAGTGAACTCTTGGGAAGATGGAGAGATCGTCCAAGCCGTCGCTTACGACGTGCCAATTCCCGGCTATGGAACAAAGACGACCAACAATCTTCGCTTGTGGTCCAGCAAGGCCAGTACTGGAGAGTTTGATTTCCAGAAATTCAATGCTGGCGACTATGAGAGTGCAGTGGCAGATCAGCAGCGTGCTGAGACTATCTCTGCGGTTCTCTATCCCAACGATAACCTGGAGCGGGGCAAGGAGCTTCGCTTGAAGCAGCAGTACTTCTGGTGTGCTGCATCTTTGCATGATATTGTGCGACGTTTCAAGAAGACCAACCGAGCCTGGAGCGAGTTCCCCGACCAGGTGGCCATCCAGCTCAACGACACCCATCCCACCCTTGCGATTGTTGAGCTGCAGCGCATTTTGGTTGATCTTGAGGGTCTGAGTTGGGATGAAGGTTGGAGCATCGTCACCAAGACTTTTGGATACACCAATCACACTGTTCTGCCAGAGGCTTTGGAAAAGTGGTCTGTGCCTTTACTTCAGAACTTGCTTCCAAGACACCTCCAGATCATCTACGACGTGAACCTCTTCTTCCTGCAACAGGTTGAGAAGAAATTCCCCAATGACCGTGAGCTTCTATCGCGAGTCTCTATCATTGAGGAATCGCACCCGCAGATGGTGCGTATGGCTTATTTGGCTATCATCGGTTCCCACAAGGTCAATGGTGTTGCTGAGTTGCACTCGGACCTCCTCAAGTCGACGTTGTTCAAAGACTTCGTGGATATCTACGGACCCGATCGTTTCACCAATGTCACGAATGGTGTCACTCCTCGGCGTTGGCTGCACCAGGCCAATCCAGCACTGTCTGCTTTGATCGCAAAGAAGCTTGGTGGTCACGAGTTCTTGACCGACTTAACTCTGTTGGACAAACTGGAAGCCTTCGTGGATGACAAGGAGTTCCGAGCGGAGTGGTCTCAGATCAAGTGTCAGAACAAGCTGCGACTCGCCAAATTCATCCAGGAAACCACTGGGTACAAGGTGAACCCTAACTCTCTATTCGACGTTCAAGTGAAGCGTATTCACGAGTACAAGCGTCAACAGCTCAACATCTTTGGTGTTATTCACCGCTACTTGACCATAAAGGCTATGACACCTGAGCAGAAGAAGAAGGTCGTGCCTCGTGTTTCCATCATTGGTGGCAAGGCTGCTCCAGGCTACTGGATGGCTAAGACTATTATCCACCTTGTCAACAAGGTTTCATCTGTAGTCAATCAGGATCCGGATGTCGGTGACCTCTTGAAGGTCATCTTTATCGAAGATTACAATGTCAGCAAGGCCGAGATAATCTGCCCAGCCTCTGATCTCAGTGAGCATATCTCCACTGCCGGTACGGAGGGCAGTGGCACGAGCAACATGAAGTTTGTCATGAATGGAGGCCTGATCATCGGCACTTGCGATGGAGCCAATGTGAGTTGCTTCTTATCTGTGTCAAGAATATAAACTAATCATAATCCATCTAGATCGAAATCACTCGCGAAATCGGCGAGCAGAATATCTTCCTCTTCGGAAATCTTGCAGAGGATGTCGAGGAACTCCGCCACCGTCACCTTTACGGCGACTTCCAGATCGACCCACAGCTCGCCAAGGTCTTCGAGGCCATCAAGAGCGACATGTTCGGCGATAAGAAGGACTTCCAGGCACTTTGCTCGTCCATTGAAGAACATGGTGACTACTATCTCGTGTCCGATGACTTCAACTCCTACATCGCCACTCATGATATGGTCGATGAGGCATTCCAGAAGCAGGATGAGTGGCTCGCCAAGTCCATCACTAGCGTTGCACGCATGGGATTCTTCTCGACGGATCGTGTTATCAACGAGTACGCAGATAGTATCTGGAACGTTGAGCCTCTCGTCGTCAAGGATTGAATGCGCTCCTTCAGCCCCTTCGGGTATCCCTTCATTTGTGCTTGCATGCGTTGCCGCGTTCATTGCATTTTTAACCGCGAACATTCTTAATTCAGTTATGGATTTACTTACGTACTCAATTTGAACTCCTAATTTTGGCCTTTTCCTTTCACATGAATTGCCACCCTTCGTTGCTCTTTGCCTACCCAGTAAAGCCGAACAAGCTCCCAAGCACCCTGATTCGCTCCTCGAGCCTACATCTCTTTGAAGCATGACCTTGTCTATCATGGGGCTTGATCCAATGGGAACTTTTTATATCAAATATAGCACAGGCTTGCTAGCTAGTACCGCGAGTGGGACTTCGTTTAAGTGAAATTAAAGGTTCATTTACGCTACCCGAAAAAAAAAAAAAAATTTCTCAATGGGGTCCGAACTGAATGAAGTCTGTGGAATTCGATGCGAGCAAGGAGTGGTCACCATCCTACTCACTGCTTGCGAGCTACCTTCATTTTCTTCACGTCAGCTCCAAGTGTTGGTGCTCGTTGAGTCGCTCGTTAAGAACTCCACGACCACCGATTTCAAGCATTTATTGTTGAAGGTGGAACCTTGCTTCAGCTTCCAGTATTTGATTCGGGTCAGTAGATGCTGAACATCGTGGTTCTGCACCTCCAACTCCATGTCATTGGCCTCGGTTTCAAGCTGGCTGCTCAAATAAACTGCGACCTTCTTATACAGCTGAACAAGCTCCTCACATCCCGGAGAGGACACAGCCGAACTATCAGCCTTGATCTTATCTTGATGAAGAGGGGTATTTTGGCGGCTAGACTGAGTTGATGGATTCACTGCATTGTGTACTTGCTTGAGGGGGGATAATAGACCTGACCCCGAGGTGGATGTCATGGTGTATCCTTGTGCATTGAGTGGGCGATTGGGACTGGGTGAAATCGCACCCACTTTCACGTAGGACGTGATCCTTTTAGCTGTCGAGTTGCGCTGGGTAGTATGTGTAACATACCCCATCGCCTCCGCAAAGGATCCACATAATACGTAAGCTGATTTGACAACACCAAACTAGGGCAGCCCATGTGCCCATACAATAAGTGGTGGGTCTTGCGGGACACGCGCCTGACGGATGCCACCGTGAGATTCAAAGTCCCAGGGGAAGCGGGCGGCGCGTTGCGATGCGGATAAGTGGCCAAGTGCCCAGAAGATGCCTTGGTCTGAAAGACGGATGTTTGCGAGTTGCATGTCTTGCGTCGTCTGGATGTCGAAATGGTAGATTTAATAGTCTTTAAGGGAAGGATCTTCAGTAGATGTCAGGGATCGCCCTTCCTTATTACCGATAATTGGCGACATGATGCCCATGCGTTCCTCGTTCTGTCGGTTAGCGAAAGACGACGTCAGAGGATTGATTGCCTATCAAGGCCCACGCCATGATATCAGTTCTGTTTGAGTGAAGCCTCTCTGTAGGATAGTGAGTGGTAGTGGAAGGGAGTCGGAAATGAGTATAAAGTGAGGTTTGTGGTGAGACAAAAGTGAATTCAATGATTGGAAGGTGTGAAGGTCAGAGAGAGTTGGAAGAAAGAAGGAGAGAGTAAGCGTTAGATGCCGAATTTATAGTTGTTGACTGGCGGAAAAATATCAGATAATGACTTACAAAAATGTGTTCTGGTGCTTTCTGACTAGTCAGCGTTCGAATCGGGACGCCTGCTGCCGTTCATAAACTGCAATGAGTTCCTCGGCGCCTATGGCCAAGAACCGCGGATGTATGAATTCTGGAGCTCGGTCCAACCAGATGACAGTGGACGCGTCGAGAACGCCGCTTTTTTTTGTAAATTAGATCGCATTGGTTGAGTGGATTGATCGACTGAATGTTCTCCCGAGTTGTACATGCGATCCTCTTCCCGCATCACAATGGTTGGATCGTACGGAGGACGCAAAGATAGCTTAGACCGTAGAAGAATATGGTAGAGTTTAGTGAGCAGATCAGTGATCTACAAACTGGTCGCTGGAAAACATTATGAAATATTTTGGTTCTTTTCCCCCAATACTTTGGTAGCGTAAGAAAGAGTTTCACGGAAGAAATATACTCGCCTGATGGATCCCCCGCTCTTAAGAAACTATGGACCATGGGAAATATGGGAGGCAAAGGTGGCGTTACAACTGATGAAGAAAATTTTATTGTAAATTGAATTTTTTTATGATTCTATTAAGTCAGTTCTAAAGATAAAGGAGAGCCATAAACCATAATATTGAATCTTCCACTCCCAAATTATTCAATATACCACCTCGAAATTTTGGGGGAATTTACACAGCAACAGGCTCTACGCCCTCCTCAATAGTCCCAGGCTTAGACTCCGAGAATGTCTCGGGCCAGAGGAACATCTTCTCCTCATTGGAAGGCGTAGCAGCAGCCATAAGAGTAGGGACAGCCTCCTTGCTCGAGATCCGTCTCCAAAGGTTGGCGCGGGGGTTATATCTAACTGGCTTTCCGACACCACCGGTCTTAGCCTGATCCTCCGCACTCAACTTCTCAATATCGCGCTTGATATCGGCAAACGTATCAAATGGCGTATAAGCAATACCGTGCTCAAGACAGTACTCTTCAAGTCGCAATCCGCGTCGCGCGAAGAGTACATCCGCTTCACGGGCTGCGGGTAGATCCGAAACACCGTCGCCGATGAATACAATTAATGGCATCTCATCAGGTTCGCATTGCGCTTGCGCAGCCGCCCGCGCCTCGTTCACAGATAGCGCCTTGTCATGGCCTAGATCTGTGTCGTGGCGCCAGATGGGTTTCCATTCTGAACCGTCGGGTTTGATGATAGCGTCATTTGCGACGATATCGATTGATGATGCCTGGCATCAACGTTAGCTTATGTTCCTCCTTCTTTCCCTGTTTCATGCCCATGGGGTGGTGCTTACCTTATCCGGACCAAGATAAGTATCAAGAACTCTCCTCAAAACAGGCTTTAGACCAGCACTGATAACGTTGAACGGGAATCCGTTCGCAACACAGTATTCGTGGAATTCGCGGAATCCAGAATCCATTTCGATTGTCTTTTCCATAACGATGAAGCCGTCGTCAAAGGGGACGTGGAGGGATGCCCACATGTCTTCTGAGACTTCGCGGAAGGAGCGTGTGCCGGCTTTGATTTCTTCTTCGAGTTTGGCTCTAGCTTCTGTTCCGCAGCCATGGTTGTCGACGAGAATGTGGCCTGTATCTTGCATGCAGATTGTGCCGTCGAAGTCTGGGTTTCAGTGTTAGTTTCTTTTTTTTGCCTCTCATTTTTTCCCCATCGGGTGGGGTTCGTCTGTAGTATAGGAAAGGTACGTACCAGAGAAGATGATGATCTTTCTCTTTTGGTTGGCCGGAGCCGCAGAATTAGAGTTGGAGCTGGTCATTGTGATGCGTTTATGGGTTGAAAGATGTTATCTGGGAAGATATTTTCAGGGATTAGCGGAAATATATATGAATTCGGAGAAAAGGGATCACGCGAAGCCACGATGTCTGGATCTGGTTTTCGTGGCAAATCAGAACAAGATATGGTGTATGACGTAGAAGAGGAAACGATATCATAGTGGGTCTGTGGGTTGTGGAGAATCGTATTGACACAACGTGCGCCGGATGAACTGAGGATGCCGAAGGTGTGGGATCTGATTGGCTAATTGATGACTCCTGGCCCGAAGACCCGGCAGAAGTGGCTTCCGATGCCGACGGTTGCATTCGATTGGTGGATAGGGCCCCATCGGTGGGGAATGCGGTCATAGAACAGGGACATTCTCGGCTAGGAGTCTAGAGCCTTCTGGAGTCTATATGCGAGGTCGAAATTTTCATATCAGATTGGCCACAGGGGTAAATGCTAAAATACAGAAAACGCTCTATCTAATTCGCCGTTAATTCTGCGACTCGTCGCTGTAATTCGGGGACGGCTCGCAGCTGCAGATCGAGTTCTTCTTTCTCACTGGGATGAGTTAGTAATGCTCAAGTTGTGGAGGGTTTGGTACTCACTCCTCCAATTTCAATCTTCGCTCCCAGTCCAGTCCAGTAAAGATGTAACTGCCTTGGCCATCAAATTGCAAAATTTTCTTATGGTATTTCCACAAGCTGCGGCGGTGCGACACCGTCATCAGGGTGATGCCAAGCTTCTTGGCTGTCTCATACATGACCTTCTCAATTTCCAACGTGACGGAGGATGTACATTCATCTAGAATGGCGAACTTGGGTCGGTGGTAGAATAATCTGGCCATTGCAATGCGCTGTTGCAGACCACCCGACAATACGTCGCGCCACTCTTCCTCGGCGTCCCAGCCGCCAGGACGATCGACGACAGACGCGATCTCGACCACCGATAGAACCTCATGTAGGTCCGCATCCGTGACACCTTTGGCGCGCATCTCACGTATTCCATCGGGGTAAGTGACTTGCTGTCGAAGCGTTCCGCGAGACAGGTATGGACGCTGTGGAATATAGAAGATGTCTTGGAATGGGGGCTTCTTGACGGATCCTCCGTAGACTGGCCAGAGTCCACCCAAGATACGGAACAGGGAGGACTTGCCGCATCCGTTGGGACCAACAATCAAGAGATGGTCGCCTGGATGAACAGTAAAGGATAACTTGCGAATCAGAACATCTCCGTTGGGTGAGACGATCGGTACATCGGTGAACTCGATGGAATCACTCTCCATGATCTCACCGCGACCAGACAAAACTGCTGCATTCTCCTCGGTCGATGCTGATGATACTAGCTTCTTCTCAAATCGACCCGCGACCAGATCATCCATCACCTCTAGCAGGGACGAGACTCGGGCTGTGAAACCTGCCAGTTCCGAGATCTCTTTGTACGAGAACATGAGACGACCAAAGGCATCAGACGATGATAACAGCATCCGTCGGTTGGTGACAAAGTCTGTCAAAGGGTTAGACGATATATGCGACCGGGGAAATATCACTCACTTTCAGTTCGGTCTCCCATGGTCTGAGTGATCTGGCCGGGGATCTTAAAGAAAACGGGCACACTGCAAAGAATTAAGCCGAGAGCACCCCAGAAGTATTTGATCACGAAATCTTCCATAAATCCATGATACAAGCGCCGGCGCAGAATGCGATTCACATGCTTAATCAAGGTGAAATAGCCCTTGTCGAGGGTATCTTTCTCAGCCTCGTGGCCATGATAAAGGGCCACCTCCTCGCTATAGTCGATAAGTCTAGAGTGAAGGAAACGGAACTCTCCCTCTAGTCGGGCTTCATCCGCAACATACTTGCCAAATGGCGGCGTCAACATGCGCATGACATTGGCCGAGAGCTGTACCAGCAAGCTCATTATGAATAGGCCTTCTCCTCCAACATTCTTCGAGAGTGAATAGTTATAGATGGCCATGTCCAGAATTGGTTTGGCCAAGTTAGAGTACAGTTCTGCTAGACTGTCGGAGAAACGAGACACATCGACTGTGACAAGCTGATCGGGGTTCTTAACCCGATCATCTAGGGCGGAGATGGCATAGAAGGTCATATTCGACAAGTATTTATCATGGATATAGTCGGTCAAGCGCTTCCGGTAGCTAAGGGCGAGCCTGCATTGGTGGTAGGAGAGCTAAGAGCGAACGGATTAGCGGATCAGCGAACTTCCAACGGTCGCATGGAGTGTTCCCCGCAGTAACGAGCAATATCCTCAGTGGGTGACTAGACTCACCATCGAATTTGTAAATGTTGCTGGAACAGCCACAATCATCCACCAGAAGAGTCCGAGCAGGAAATCCTTGCCCCTTCCCCGCACGAGGTTGCTCACCAGCCTGCCGTCCAGCTCCGCGACGTACAGACTGAGGAGCGTTCTCAGTACGAGGAAGACGCTATGGCTCACTAGGAGCCGTAGCTCCTTACTGCGCCATCCCGGTATGACAATCTTCAGCAGACGGAGCAAGCTCTTAAAGAATTCGCGGTTGATCTCCACTCTTTTCTTACGCGGTTGTTCATCGTCGCCTAAGCTGCTAGTACCAGGACGTCTCCGCAGATCCACCTGCTGGGAGGCGGCTTTCTGTTCGGAGATGGCATTGTGGATTCTTTTCGCAAGGGCTGCAAAGAGAGCGAGGTATACACCACGGGAGATACGCGTGCGGTTTCGGAGGTAGAGGGAGGTGAGGCTGGAGAGGATCTGCTTGACAGAGCGGTCGGGCGGCAGCAGTTTAGACTGAACCGCCATGGCGACTTGATCAACAAATCAACCAGAGACAAGCATGGCCTTGGAGGGAGAGTGTAGAGAAGTTGGGGGATGATAAGAATGACGGAGTCCCTTAACATGTGATAACCCCGGACTCGTGGGGAAGTTGAACCGAGGTGCTCCACTATTAATTCCACCCGTCATAGTAAGAAACTCTTTGAAGAGTATGCAGTGACATATCCTTTTTCTTTCTGGAGGAGTGATATGTCCATTTTGAGGGGAAGAGGGTGACCTCTCGCCTGTGTCCACTTTACGCAGTTGTCAGAATCATTGGGTAGCTACACACCTATCCGTACTACATGTATATATATATACATGCCAGAGGGGGGGGAAAAAAGATATATTTAAAATATTTGAGGAATAAGGACCAACTTGGAAACTCTACAAGGCGACGAAGACATTTGTCAATACAATATGGACCTCACTAAACGGCCTAGACGCCCAGGGCCGTGGGCACGTTCGCACAGGTGCATTTGGTACTATTGTACCTAATTGTGAAACCCAGACTCTAATGACAACTCATAGCTGCAACTCTGACAAAGAGACATAGAATGTATCTAGGATGAACAGCGTCTTTTATGATCTCTAGAGTTATCGTACGATAAAGCAGGATGGCTTGATGGTTGAATGTAAACGGCCAACATTGTTTAACAAATCATACAAAAGTCCACCACAACATACCTCGATCCACATGTGGATTTAAATTGCTTTAGAAAGAAAAGAAATTTCTAAAAAGGAACCAGAAGATATCCATAGACTTCTCTGATATTGAAGATGGCAAAAAGAATCCAAAAAAGAATAACGGAATGTGGACACGCCGAGAATCGAACTCGGGCGACGGCTATCAGGTCCTGCTTTATCAGGAAATTTCATGTCACTTCCGGTGAGGGAAAGTCGCATAAGAGCCGCATTCTACCACTAAATTACGCGTCCCTTTTTCGTAAGTCTTTCCCAGAAACTGATTCAAGACCACCTCTCCATTTTCGCTTTTTGATCTTTCCCAACCAACATCGCGGCTCCACTTGCTCAACTCTATCATAATTAGATTTACAATATTCCGAAGACTCCTGGCTACTTAAGAAAATTATTCAAGAATTATAATTGCGCTGTTTTGCAGGGATTATTTGTACGCAACACTTTTTTAAGCTCACCCTCCGCGGACGTCCGACCAACATGGGCTAATGTTTGGGGGCCATAAAGACTGTTCATTCCTTAACCCGGGCATATACTCCTTCTCACCCATTCATACTCAAAATCCATAGCAAAAATCATGTCGGAGACAGACAATTTTCATAATCCCCACATACTGTCCCATCGATCACCGATTGAACGTTAAACCATACGGACCGATTACGACCAACCCCTGCTAAGCGTCGAGACAAGCCTCAGCTTAGCTGCAATGCCTGCCGGAGACGAAAGTGAGTATCGAATCCAGAGAATGTCTATTTCTTTCCAAGCATTCAATTGTTTTTTCCTTAATTATAGTAACTTTTACAATGTGCTGTTCGCTAATATTGTCCATAAGGTTCGCTGCGACCGTTTACATCCATGAAGTAATTGTTCAAGCAGAAGGGTGGGCTCATCTTGTGCATACAATATCCAACATGCAGGGCACCATGGAGCAGCTCATGTCTAGGAGCGAGTCAACCACTTGAAAAGCCTCGTTCTGGGTTTGATGCAGCAAACAACCTTGAGCCCGAAGGTAACATCTACTCCAACAATAAGCACAGACGATTTCCAGCAACAAAGCAACTAGAAGACAAGCTATCTGAAGTGGCACCATCCCCGTCTGATTATGGCAGTATTGAAGTCGGGATTTCAGATGTTCGCTACGTTAGTAGCTCACACTGGGCAGCAGTACTCGATAGCATTGCAGAGCCAAGAGATCATATCGACCAAGATGTTAAGCTGCGTGAAATGATCAGATATAATCCCATTTCACAACTCTTCCCCAGTCCACAGCTGTTCTATAGTGGTAGATGTGCGCATGTCACCATTGAGTCTATTCTCGAGTCGATACCAGTACCGCCTGTCGTGGACAGGTTGATTGCGCGTTACTTCAAATATATTCCGCGAAAAGATAACCCAATGCCTTATCCTAGGCCACTATACACAAGGCGGACCCCACGTCTTAGAAACCTTATCCCTCTAACTGATGACCGAAATCTTCCCCTCAAAAACACAGCACCAGGCATCCGCATCCTAGTCAGCACAATGATAACAAATACAACCCGAATGGGCTACCACCTCGACGCCAAACACTTCCCCAACATCTTCGCATTCACAGCTGAAATGCGTCGACGAATATGGACACTAATCATGCAAATCGATTTCCTCCAGGTGAGTCTTACAATGTTATGCGGATAGTGAACCATGCTGATGCTTTTTGAACTTGTAGAGATGATGCCTGAATTTTTGAGTTTAGGTTTCACCCTCGATGAAGGCATATTTGCGCAGAAACACTTGCAAGTGGACGGCGAGTGGGAAGGTGATTGGCAGGAAATGAAAATAGTATGATTCAACTATATATACTTCGGAATAACAAAACACCGATGGACCCTTAGAGCCCACCAAGATCTACGAAGACGGTTAGCTTGAGCCAAGAGAATGCTCAGCCTCAGGGATAGACAAGCGGGGACGTTGTGAATCGTTGTATCCTCATCGGTCGGCACTCACCATGACCTCCACTGCAGCCCCCCACTCACGACGACGTTCTCTCCACCAGCAGCATGCACCACTGACACATGGCTAATCGAGAATCTGTCTGGTACAGACTACTACACCACAACAATCACCACGGGTAACACTGGCTGGTGGCTGAACCTCGGACCAACCGACTGGAGCAGTTGCTTTCCAACCAGCTATGAAACAAACACTGAATTCTACTACTCCCCGGGCGTCTGCCCATCTGGATACTGGGCCGCTGGTCAGGGGGTTTCGACAATCGATGCAAACGAAGAGGAAACGCATGCCACCTGCTGCCCTAAGTAAGTCTTAAAAAGCCGATAGGTCAATAAGTATTAATTGTTTAGTAATTATATCGTACAAACCGAGTCCCCCACGTTAGATTGGCAAAAGACAAACCTATGCTCTTCCCGAAATACCCACTCAACCGTTTGGTACTACACGCAAGGGGGCACAACAACAAGCTTGACGACGACAGCGGATGGCATCAACGCGAAAGGGATCTCTATTCGCTGGCGATCGGCTGATTTTGCGGCGCAATCAACCAGCGCTAGCGCGAGTGATACCCCCGCGACCGCGACTGCGACTGCCACCGCGACTGGGACGTCAACAAACCCTGCGGACGACTCAACGCAATCGAGTGGACTTTCAACAGGGGCAAAGGCTGGGATTGCAATCGGTGTTGCCGTTGGTGCCATTGCGATCATTACCGTCCTTGCTCTTCTCTGGATGCGACGAAGGAAAGAAAGACTAAATGCCCAGGTGGATCGACCAGCTCCACAGAGTCCACAACCACGGGAGCTTGACGGGTCGCATGCATTCCAAGAAATGCCCTCGGGTAGGCTCCCGGCAGAGCTAGGACCGGAGCCTGAGATAAAGCCCCATTATGTATCAGAGCTACCGACTGGTCGGGATTGAAGATAATCCAATCTGAAATCGAGACGATATGCTGATCGGTCATGTGGTTAAGTCTCCAGAGCACATTTCTTTTTCTGTGTTGAAATTCCTCCTTGGTCGCGTCATCATCGCTTTGGCCCCAAATTAAGATAGATTAAACAATAAACGCCACACCATGTACCTAGCTTGTACAGTAATGTTAGTCCTCGTGGGTAGTGGTCTATACGGTAGATCTTTTCCATGAAACCAGCCACCGCTCGGACATCACACGTAAACAATGACATCATAGGTGTGGACCTATAAGTATCACGGCTGATGTCAAAGAAGTGTTGAACATTCCCTCGAACCTACTTGCATTCAATATCCTACGCGCAAGACCATCGCAAGCATACCCCATATTGAATTTATACCAACCATATTCAAAAATCCACATTCACCACATAAATTCCTCCAAGATGCCAGGTAGCTCCCAAGACAACGGCGTCACCGGTGCAGCCAAATTCGCTACTTCAACCGTTGGAAACCTCGTCGGCGGAGTTAGTCGTACCGTTGGCGGCGTTACCGGTGCCGCGACACGTGGAGTTGGCGATACCATTACCAGTGCTACCGGAAGTGCTGGAAAGCCTGTTGGTGATGGGCTAAGCAATGTGGGTAGTGGGGTTGAAGACGGCGCGAAGAGAGTTGGAAAGGGCGTCGAGGATGCTGGGCAGTGGAAGTCCTCTTGGTGAAGGTTGTCTTCGTTCTAAGCTTTGACGTGGGTGGGCGAGTGTTCTCGATCTGTACTATTAAGGAATGAATCAAGCGTGTCTGGATACTTTATTGATCTATACCTTATTTGGAGCGATTTTCAAGATATTATATTTGCATACCTAGCTGAAGTCTACCTACTGCCTGCTTCCAAGCACTTTGGGCTGCAATCAACACAATCCACAGGACAGTCACAGCACATTTCCGTCAACGAACCATGAATCCTAGCCAGGATATCCTGCACAAATTCATTCTCATCAACAACGCCCAAGACCCCAAGTTGCCAATTCAAGGTAATCACCATATCACCACCTTTCCTCGTCACAACCTGGAAATTCAATGCACTTCCCGTGACATTAGCCGGCTGTGAAAATGCGACTCTCTCGATGTCCCATTTTCTATGTTCGACGTGCAAAGTCGTATCCACATATTCATTCAGCGGATCAAAATTAACAACATTGCTAATCTCATAGGATGATTCACGCTCTTTCCCTAGTTTTTCAAGAAACCAAGGCCGAAATTGAGTTAGATATCGTAGCAACCCTATTGGTTGATTGACAAGGGTACTTGCGCAGTCGGCCAATCGAATCGTGGTCCTTCGCGCTGCGTCCCAGAATGCGGTGTCGTGCTTCAGGCTAGTCGTCGGTCTTTCGTGTGCCCCTAGGATTTTAGGGGAAGAAGATGTTTCGTAGAGGGCCGAAACACAGTTGACCATTTCCTTCTCAGTGTAGACAGGGATTAGGGGTCTAAGATCAACGACGATTTGTCCGAGGAAGGTCCTGGTGACATCTTGCGGTAGAACGGTGTCTAGAATTTGCACAATGAGATGGTTGAAGAAGCCAGTGAATCTCACTTCGTGTTTTCTGCAGACCCTCAAAGTGGCGTCTAGCAGAGACTTGTTGACTAGGAGAGCTTCCGAGCCGGTACGGAAATTCGAAGGATCGTAGCACATCTCTTTCCCAGTCCAAGTATTGGTTGTTGCTGGAATTGGATATCCAAGGACCCTCCATGCAGAGGTTGGTATATGACCACCGAAGAGATTGAAAAGTAGGTAGGACCAGGTGATCCTCAAGTCACATGCTTGCTCCAATGGCGGTGGAATAGGCGATGCAGGAGGCTGATAGATGGAACTTTGATCGTAAAGCTCATGCGCTGTTTGAAGCCCCTCGAGCAAAGATCTATGAAAAGCTAGACCTGACTTTCCATCACCATGAGAGTGGGAGTATGCGAATATGATATACAGCTGCTGAGTTCCCGTGGCTGTGTCAGTGGCTAGGGGGCAAATGACAATTTTCCATGGAGGAGTCTGGTCCACATTAGGGAAAGGCTGGTCATGTACATCCCGATTCACTTGAGTGAGGATATTCAGGTCATCCTTGAGTGGGTATGATCCAGTAGGAGAGACGGTATCAACGAGATGAATGTGCTTTTCAAGGTTGAGGAATGCGGGTCGAACAAAATGCGGAGTCTCAGTGTCCTCCCCATGAATAGCAGCAGCCAAGATAGGATGAGCTGCGATGCAGTATTTCAAAGCAGGGATAAAGTTGCCAATGTTGCTTGCATCGAATGAGTTGCCTGGGTGGTGTAGTGTGTAAAGGCCACTTAGAGTCAATGCACCGTAGAAGCCAAGTGCGTGACGCATTATGTGACGCCTCTCGTTGTTGCCTTTGACGTTGTCAGCACTGTGATAAATAACTATAACTTGACTGACACTTACTTGCAGGGCGTATCGTTTCAGCGTTGCTTTGGTTAGACATGTTTTCATTGAGCTCAAAGTTGCTGTATCTGACAATGTTTTTGCCTCGGAAAGGGGCTCAATTTATATGAGTGGCACGTTCTGACCAAGAATTCTATAAATTTGGTAAACGAAAGAGCGATCGGAAAGGCGGCACCTAACCCGAGCTCCATTCTATGAAATTAGCGACGGCTCGTTTAACTCGGTCGCTTCGTTCAGTTCGCTCCGGAAAGTAGCCAATGAGAGTCCCTGCGGAGCAATTAAACGAAGTAAGCACGCCAAACACTTGAAGTTTCAATACATCATTTTACAAGAATGAAAGTGTTCGTAATTAAAGGAAGAGAGAAATTGACTCAAATAATGATAAAATAACTAGCTCAAGCTGGTCCCATCTCTTCGGCGACAGGCGTGCCGTGCAATCCTACATTAAGAAGATAGGACCTACCTCGACTCCAGGGCTCTCTCTGTTCCAGCATGGATCATATTTAGGATTTAGAATCTGTTGGGTTAATATGCCCAAGTTACCGTTTTCTATTAGCAGATTTCGCTGTTCCTAATAATTCCGTGACTCCAAACTACAACGATGACTTTACTTGATGATTGGGGAGACTCAAGCCAAGCTGTTGAATCGAGTGCGTGTTTGGAGACCGCCAGGTGCATGATGCAGCTTAAGCGGTTAGAGATAGATAGAGCCAGGAGTATGAAAGAGCTTGGGATATGCCATGCAGTTGTCATCCAACAGGCAAGTGCTGAAACCTTCCCCCAGGACCATCATGTGACTATCTCGTCAAACCTACATCAATATTCCTGCACTTCACAATGCGTCAACTTATTTATCTAGTAACCCTAAGACTCCTTCCAGTAAAATGCTAGATATATACACTCCCGTTTGATCACCGTTGTATTGCGGGCATCATGTCTTCTCATTCCTTGTCTTCCTCATCTCGCGAGACGAATTCGAAAGAAAGACGGAAGAACCGAGACATTTTTTGGGCGATATGGCGGAAAAATTGAAGACTGCAGATGTTGATAGGACCCTTGCTGATCAGGGTCTTACGCTTCATGAGATGAGGGCTATCATTAGAATGATAGGATCAGATCTTGTGGCCCTCGCTGCAAATGGCCTATCTACCCAGTGAGTGCCTATGTATATAGTATAACGGACAGGAAAAAAAAACCCCACTACCTTTGACTGTGATATAGTTCTTACTTATCTCATTTATGGGGAAGCAGAATGGCAGAATAACTCAAGTCACCGTTGAACAGGGGCGCAATTTCCTCCAGTATTCCAAGCTCTGGAGCTTTGAGGTCGAAGATACAGTGCCAGCCAAACTTTTCACTCGCTATATTATGAGTCAAGCTGTGAGATTCGAGAGGCCTTCCTCTAGCTCTAGCAATGGCTCAATTTTACGAATAGATCCCATTACTGGCATGCCGACGCTTTAGTCATCGGGTCGAGAACACACACGAGAAAGAGAAAATTTCTATGACCTTGAATACGCTCAGATTTCTGTGTTTATTTCACCTGCCTACAAGTTCTGGCAACCTATTCGGCCGCAAGTGAGTATGCATTCTGCAACGGATGGATGTGTGGTCAGGTAAGGTAGATGGTATCGAAGATAGTATTAGGCACGCTACTACGTATATGAAAAGGGGCTAGGATCTAAATGGTAAAGCCTGACAAGTCCGTCCCTCTCTCTATAGTCACATGTCCTCTCAGGTTGTTCTGTATGTACTGAATAGTAATCACCTAGTGATCACCTCATTCACCATATACGGGCATGTTAATTTCCAAATGTTGAGATATGGTTATGGAGAAGCGTCCAAGTATATGTATACCGCAATGAAAACTCCTTCAATTGGATATTAAGCCACATAATGGATTGAGCCCCAAACGTGGATGAAGGGTAAACACGATGACCTCAGGGGAAGGCGGACAACGTTGCGGGATCCACCCAAACCAACCCACCTCTCCAAACTCCCCCATTCCTCCTAACCAACAGACACCATGTCAGCCAAAAAGATCGAACAATGGGAGATCGAGCGGTACTGGGAGATCTTCGCCTCCCTTTCTAATGGCCACCCCCGTCTAAACAGCACTCAGGCCGCCTCAGTGCTGCGCAACAGTCGCCTGCGCGATGACCAACTCGAGAAAGTCTGGGACATTGCAGACGTCGATGGCGACGGCGAGCTTGACTTCGAGGAATTCTGCGTAGCCATGCGCCTGGTCTTCGATCTTGTCAATGGCGTATGTAACCCCGACCAGCTTCAGGAGAACGCGGAAATATGCTAACGGCTTACAGGAGCTCCAAGAGGTCCCGCCCGTGCTTCCCGACTGGCTGGTCCCCGAATCCAAATCACATCTCGTCCACGCCACGAGAGCATTAAGCACTCGGCCCGAACAGTTCGAGCGGATAGAAGACGAGGACGACTCGCTCGGTCTGAAGGATGGTTTCGATTGGTACATGAAACCGGCCGATCGGTCCAAGTACGAGGATATCTACAATGCTAGCCGAAACCCGCGCGGCCAACTTACCTGTCAGTCCTCCTTAACTGCCACAATGATTCATGCTAACAATTGTTTGCAGTCGACTCCCTAAGCGCCCTCTATGACTCCCTCGATGTTCCGGATACTGATGTCCGCTCTGCCTGGAACCTCGTTAACCCCTCCGCTGGCCAGGCGATCAACAAAGACGCTGCGCTCGCGTTCCTGCATATTCTTAACTACCGCCATGAGGGATTCCGTATCCCGCGCACTATCCCTGCATCCCTCCGCGCCTCGTTTGAGAGTAACCAGATCGACTACCAGATCGATAACAACGCGCGGCCTGCGCAACGGTGGACTGGGGAGGGAAATACCGAGACGGCTAGTGGTCGGAAGGCTAAATTCGGTGATACCTACCTGAGTCGACTAGGCGTTGGCGGTAAGGGTGCCTACCAGCCCAAGGGAACAGACTTTAGCGACACGATCCAAGATGAGGAGTGGGAGAAGGTGCGGCTGCGTCGGGAGCTGGCAGAGATCGAGGAGAAATTGAAGGCAGCTACTCAGGCCAGTGATAACCGACGAGATCATCCACGGAATGACGGACGGCCCAATTGGGTACTGATTAAGAAGGAGGCGCTACAGCTCTTGGAGTACAAGGAGCGCGAGTTGAGGGAGTTGAGGGAGGGAGTTGGGCGGTCAAAGGATGGACAGGATTTGGAGCGGTTAAGGGAAGATGTGAAGACTGTTGCTGATCAGGTTGATGGGCTGAAAAATCATCTGGCGCAGCGGAAGGGTGTTCTCGCGGATCTGCGGAGCCAGATTGAAGACGAGAGGGCTCGACGATGAGTGCAGTCCTCTTCCTGCTATGGTCTCTTTTCTCTTGTCTGTCGCATCTTTGGCCTTTGCTATGTTATTTTGTACAGCTATAACCCTAGGAGCTGGGCGCTCAATGGATTTATTGGAAGGAAGTTACTGTAATTTCAATCGTGATTGATTGCAAGGCCAATTCACAATTGAAGTTGTTGCCAGCTAATGGACGTAGTCTAGCCATGAAGATCCCAGACCATGTAACAAGAACCCCAAAATACATACTCTCTAGATACGCAATGCGCAAGCCTTAAGTAGACAAGATATCCACATAACGCCTAACACATCAAACAAGCCATGATACATCGCTCACATCGCCATGCCGATGAAACCGAGCACGAACACCAAAGCCACAAAACACCATTCTTTGTAACAATCCCAACAAAGCATCAATTAGCCCAGAAGCGTCTCACCTGCATCCCGTTTAGTCTCAACAGCAACGAACGCCGGGCCACTCTGGTCAAGACCCTTCTCAGCACGAACGTAAGCTTCCTCACTGCGATCAGTAAGAATTTCCAAGTCCTTATCAGAAAGGACAGAAGTAGGATCAGCCCCAGCCTCAAACCGCTCGAACTCATCCTCGCCAAGAACCTTTCTCAACTCCTCAATATCTTGAGAATTGGCATTGTTATCCAGAAGAGACTTGAACTTGCCTTTTTGGATAACCAACCGCTCAAGTCGACGCTTAGCATCCGCTTTCTCCAACAAGGTCTGCTCGACAGTGCCCTTAGTCGCAAGTCTGTAGACAATCACCGGCTTCTTTTGTCCAATGCGATGGGCTCGGTCTTGCGCTTGCAGATCTTGTTGCGGGTTCCAATCGGAGTCAAAGAGGATGACTGTGTCGGCCGCGACGAGGTTGATACCCTGGCCACCGGCTCGAGTACTCAGGAGGAAAATCTTCACATTTTTGTCGGTGTTGAATGCTTTGATCTGAGCCTGGCGATCGGTTTGGGCGATTGCGCCGTCGATCCGGCAGCATTCCCAAGAACGGAGGGTAGTGGCCCAATCTTGGATAATATCTAACTGCACCTTGAATTGGGAGAAGATCAAGATTTTGTGACCCTTTTTCAAGAGGTCAGGGACTAGTCGGTCTAGAAGCTGCATCTTGCCTGAGGCGGATACGAGGGTCTCGTCGACCTCGCCTTCCCAAGGCCAATAGAAGTTGTGTGGAGAATTGCAGGCCATACGAGCTTGCATAACTGGGTTCTGCATCTTCTTCTGACTGATCTCTTTCTCTGTGGGTTTGTTAGCGTTGACACGTATCACGCAAGAGGTTAACACGTACTTGCAAGCTGGAGGTTCTTCAATTGCTCCTTATGCTCCAACTCTCCCTCGCTTTCCTCCTCCTCTTCTTCCTCCTCATCAACTCCCATCTCCATATTCCGCAGCTTTGTGTCAAATTCTGCATCGCTGATATCCTTATAATTGCGGACAGAGCGTCGGCGACCAGAGGCAGTGTGCCTAGTCGGGGTTTTCTTTCCATTTGACTTCGCACTCTTATTAGGAGAACTTTCCGTGGAACTTTCACGGCGACGCTTCTTTCCTTGCGTCTGGTTTTGAGTCGCGCTCTTGGCATTGAGACGCTCCAAAGCTTTTGCCTCTAGGTATTGGCGGCCAGTACCACTGATGATCTCTCTGTAAAGTTCCTTCTGCTCAGAACTCAATGGGGCATACAGAATATACTCCCGTTTCTTTGGAAGAGAATGCTCAACATCGGTTTTGACGCGGCGAAGCAGGAAGGGCTTGAGAATTGCGTGCATGCTGGAGACCAGATTGCGCTTTCGCTTCTCTATCAAATCTGCCTGGCTGTTTTTGTCCAGAACGGATGAAAAATCGAACCAACTTTCGAAGCTGTCCAGATCATTGAATACATCGGGTAATAAGAAATGCAACAACGACCAAAGCTCGGAGATGTTGTTCTGAAGGGGTGTGCCAGTAATCAAAAGACGGTTTGCGGAAGGGTAAGTCAACAGCTCCTTGATCAGTCGGCAGTTCATGTTTTTCAAACGATGACCTTCGTCCTACAGAATGATTAGTATATTCAATTCCAAGATCGACTGGAAGGACATACCACAACAATGTATCGCCACTGATACTGTCCGAGGAATTTGCGGTCGTTGATACACATCTCGTACGAAGTGCAAACAACAGGAAAGTCCATATCCGCCTGTTTTTTAGGGTTCATGAACTTTTTCCGAATGGCTTCACGCCCCGCTTTGCCACTGCTACTGTGGTACATAACGGTTTCGATATCGGGAGTCCATCTTTTGAACTCGTCGATCCAATTGCTGACCGTGCTGAGGGGGCCAACAATCAGGAAGGGACCAGAAACACCGTTTTCTTTCATGAAAGCAATCATAGAGATTGCCTGTACAGTCTTTCCAAGACCCATTTCATCAGCAAGGATACCACACAGTCCGTTCATCCAAAGAGTCTTCAGCCATTCCAGGCCCTCTAATTGATAAGTCCTCATCTGGCCACCTGAGACGAGCTTGGGCTGTTGCGTGGCCACAAGCTCTTGCTCTCCAAGGACAGTGGGCTTATCCTCAAACTCTTCGGCTGCTTGCTTTAATGCCTCAGGCACTGTGGGATTATCATCTGGCACCTCGACTTTGGCCTTCTGGAAGTAATTCGTAATACCGCCCTTGCCGGCGTTTTTTCTTCGGGCGACCTCGTCCTTTCTTTACGACAGGCTCGCTCTCTTGGGGTGTGTCTGTGGGCGTATCGGTGGGTGTATCTGGGATTTTGTCTTCTGGCGAGTTATCTTGCATTGCGCTATGTCGAGTCTGGCGGCGTTGGGTGGCCTTTCGAGGCTGGGATGCTTGCTTTTCGGGTGTTTCCAGCTTTCGTGCGGCAGCTTGCTGACGAGCCTCCTCTTGCTGCTTCTTCATCTTCTCCGACATGATTGCGACAAATACCTACAAGAAGTTCAAATTAGGTGTATCCTCGAGGGGCCGAATCAATGGCTACAACTTACGGAGCTGGTTCGCAGCAGCGCCATCAGCTGCTTAGTATTGTGGTCGAGCTCCTCAATATTTGAAGCGGGATCAGCATCCCCATTTTGTACAGTTTCTTCATTTACTCCATTGGCGGGCTTGGTGTCGTCCAGCGCAATGTCACTTGCGGCTGACGAGGGAGCCGTTGACTCGGGAGGCATGGTGCCGAACCGTGAATCGGTAGCGGTCAAAGGAGATGCGGTATCAGACATGATAGATTGAAAGAGAGTGTATGACCGATTGGGAGGGCGAAAAGCGTCTTTGCGAAAGAGTGGTAGATCTTGATCCGGTTTTTGGAGAACGTCATTCACAGGGGGAAAAATCCAAGACCAAAGGACAAAGGAGCGTAAGTAGGAAACACCCAAAGGTCACACACAAATCACACCCAAAATCAATGCATTCACGTTCTATAAGTCGAATGAACCACGCATTAATGAGAGTGATGAGATGAAGTTCGAGACTCGAAACGCCACACGTGTGGCACGCGGTTTTCGCGTTCGTGCACGGACCAGGTTTTAATGATGGCGATCCTTACTTAAGAATGGAAGTATACAATACATCGATTTTCCTAACTCATAGTAATACACACATGATCATACATCATAACACATACTGCGGCAGGGCGGAGAGTTCAAAGTAAGATATCGAAATCGACGTTGACTTCGACTTCAACCCTCGACCATAACCATCTCATCCTCATCCTCATCTTCATCTTCCATTGGAGCATCAATTGTCTCCATACTATCATCGTTTCCATTCATTCCCTTCAACTCATTCATGTCAAATTCATCTTCTCGTACCATAAATCCATTCATCACATCATCATCATTCATCTTCACACTCTCAGGGCTATCAAACGAACTGCCAAGATCGATATCACCCATCAGGGTTTCATCGGAAGGTGGCACACGCTGATCAAATAACTTGCTGAACATGTCATCGGACACTGCGCCACGAATTGGCGAAGAAAGAGCGGGCTCAACTCTCTCTTCCTGCACCTTACGATGTGTGCGCTCGGTATCGACGTCGTGAGTGAAATCGGTCTGGAACTTCAGAATCTGAGCTTCGTACTTGGCCTCCTGGATTTGTTGGGAGTACCGATTTTGTCCGATGGCTGGGTTGACATAATGGATGGAGCTCATGGACCAGCAGCCGCCCATCGAACGTTTCAAGGGCATTGATTCACGGCGTTTGAATTCATGCGCACGTCTAACAGAGAAGATTCCCTGCTTGGGTGGACTGTACGTACGCTTGTGTATTCTCGACTGCTTCGGATGGATCAACGACAATGCCCTGTGGATCTCTTTGCCCACTTGAAGCGTCTCTAGAGGTCGTCCTGGAAGTGCCGCAAGCTGAGCGGCTAACATCTTGGGATTGATGGTCCTCTTTATCGGGGTATCATCAGGTGCCACGTCAGGCGACCACGCTGGATTGGGGGTGCATAATTGTCGCTGTGGGGTCCCTGGGGAAGATCCAGAATATATCATTGGATCCTCTTGGCTTATATTCCTGCCATCCCAATCAATTTGCGCTGCTCGCCCGGGACTAATGGTTAGACGGATCAGTCCATCACTTGGACCGACGATTTCCACCTCCGGAACTTGAGCATCGGGGACCGGATTGCCGAATGGGAAGTATTTGCGCCAGTCCACGATCGGCTGCTCTTCGCCGGGCTTGAGACCCAAGTCGCGAATGTAGGCTGTGCCCTTACCAGCAATGCACTGGATGTATCCTCGTTTGGTTCTGATGATGGGATGGTCTCCACTTCCTATCACCTTGACCTCATCTGTGAGTTCCGGTGCTAGATTGAGATCCTGTTTCCACTCGAATCGTTCTGGTTCCAAGCTGGCATCCTCTCCCGGCTTTCGCAGCACCACAAGACTGTGATCCCAGTCTCCCGTTAGGCTTCGTGGGAGTGACTTGCGGGCCAGGTACTGTCTACCGGCGAGGACATCGGCGGCCTGGCAGAGCATGAAATCGGGGATTCGATCTGCCATGTTTTCATGAGCGGCCTCTGAGAAGAACCTGCGAAGAACCAGCTGGTGTGGTACATCGTTGGTCTTGATGTCACTGTTATCGATACGCATCAGAGCGCGCAGCTGGTTCTCACGCATCTTGGTTAGGTGTGCATTTTCTCGTCTGATCTGCTGGTTGCGAGTTCTCAAAAATGCTTTGAACTTGTTTCGGCCCTCTCTCGGAATCTCAAGCTTGGTACAGATGTGCTTCCAGCTCATCCCGCCTCTGAACATATTTTCGATGATTTCGACCTGCATCGGGGGCACGATATCAGCCCAGGTGGGATCGGCAATCTGTTTGACAAATAATTAGTTAGTTTATTTTATGGCGTGAAGCTGTCGTCGCTGGGGGTATCAAACTTACCTTCTCTCCCAGGACCACTGAGGCGTCTTTAGGCTCGTTCCGGTCACTATCCTCAGAATAAAGGCTATCGTCTTCATCTGAGTTATCATGAACCTGCCCCGCTATGATCGCCATATTCTTCTGGTAAACAGGGTTCAACTCATTGTTGCTCGCGACATGATTCTCAATATCATTCAAAGTCGCCTGGTCCACATTATCGTCATCATTCTTTAGTTCAGGACCCGTTGGTCTCTCCAAAAAGAACGGTTTGCGATCAGTGTACTGACAAATCGACACAATGCTTCTGGGAGGTACAGTTGGTTTGGTCATGTCCAGCGTTGGAAATGCCGCTGGAGGTAAACTTGGATCAAACTCGACGAGGGGCTTTCGCTGAAACTCAACTTTGACCTCTCGTCGTAACGAATGCGACCCATCTGGGCTACTAGTTTTTCGAATCTCATCAGTGGCTTCTGCTCGGGAGCGACGCATCGACTGGAGCAGGGCAGCGGTTGGTGACTCTTCACTGCATTCGCCATAACGCGTCGGAGCACGAATCTTGGTACGAAGATTCATGCCGCCCATCTTGATATCAGAGGTAAATTTTTTTGGTTGCCCTTCTTCAAGCCTTGATGACTTGGCCCAGGGATTACCTCCAACCGCGGAATGAGAGTGATTCTCGATTCCGGGTAAGGTTCTCCCAGCCCTTAACGCGAACAAAAGCTCAGATAAATTTGATGAACAAGACGTATAGATCTGTTCGATATTTTGGTTGAAAAAAGAAATCAAAGGACGGTATTGAGAGAAAACTCAAGATAAACAATGAACAAGACTGGCATCGAATACTCGGATGGGGACGGGGATGGGGATGCATCAACTGAAAAAGAAAAGAAATGGTTGATGTGTGATGGAGGACGCGAAGACGTGTTTTGGTAACTCAAGACATTGATGCTATGCTTCCAAATCTACAATCTCACTTCGCTCGCATTTGTCTCCCAAAGGTAAAATTTGCTTTCCATCTCTTGAGGCGGATGAGGCATGTCTACACTGAGAATCTACATCATCCATGGGAGCTTCAATGAGCCGAAATGACGAAAGACCAAACATTCGAAATTTGTATGAATATTTTTGATTTATTGGGATCTATAGCCAGGTCATATCTTGGAAAAGAAAAGAAATAACAAGAAATATCTCATGGATGGTTCATCGCTGCCGGCAAGTTTGCACCAGAGCAAGATCACAGTCTAAGCCACCCGGTCTTGAAACGGAGCAACAGGCTTCCGGTCTGGTAGGAAATCATCTACATCCATATCCATATCATCGTCATCCATCGCCGCATCCTGAAATACACAATCGTGAAAACTCCGCTTTCTCGCCAACAAAACGGGCGGAATGGGCGGAGGAGCAAGAGTCGATGCACCCATTTGAACGGCATTACGCTTCACACGCTCCACATCCCGCTTAGCAGCAAGAATAGAATCAAAAGCATGCAGAATCCGCTTTAGGGGTTCCTCGATAGACACGCAGAACCGATGCTGCTGAATCAACTGAGTCGCCGACATATAATCCTTGTTCAGCATAGCCATGACATACGCAATGACCACACCAGCCGAGCGCTCATTACCAGTCTCGCAAAATACCAGGACCTTCTTCTTGATAGCAGGCTCCGACGAATCCATCGAACCCGGCATATCCAGGCCAGCAAGATGATCATTGATGCGACGAATAGCACGCGGAAACGCAGAGATCAACTCCTGATTATCAAGGACATCAATGGTGTCGGCCAAAATCCCGATATCAGCAGCGGCCTTATCGCCCGAAACTAATTGCGCCTGAGCCGAAAGCGTATTTCTGATTCCGAGTAGAAGTGTGAAGCCTTGGTTGCGGAGGTCTTCTCGGGGTCGAAGACAGGAACAGGGTCCTAGATAAAGGAATGGAAGTATAGGCTGTGCCTGACGACGCATTTCATAGCTCCATTGAGAATAACTGAATCGACGCGTGAAACCGTCTAGTTGCGCGTGATTGAAGAAGCCTGGCGGGATGAAGTCGCCTTCCGCGAAGTGGTGGGTTGCGGGGCGGAAGAGTTTGTTGTCGACGATGACGGTGTCATTCTTATCATCAAGTTCGTCGTTGTTGAGGAAAGCTAAAGTTCCATTTGCACTTGATTCAGATGGATATTTGGGTGTTGAGGCGTATTCTTGTGTGCGCATGTATGGCGTATTGGCCATTTGAGACATTGGTATCTCTTTTGAATTGGAGCCCATGATGTCGGTCCACAAAGATCGATCACCTCCTTAAGGCTTATGCGGGATAAGTCTGTCGCGCTGATGCCGTGAAGATACTAGATGATGCGAAAACTGATTCTTCCTGTCTTTCAAAAGAGCATTGGTCGATGCTCAAACCGGCAATTGGGTGGTGTACATGGGTAGACTGCAGCTAGAATTGGAGATTGAGGGGACGTTGAGAATCAACGATCGACCATCCCTCACTTTCTAAAGCCCGTGCCGCTCTGCGATGGATTCCAGTCTGTGCAAAGCGGTCACGCACCCCTGCATTTGAATAAGCAGTGGTCAATGCCTTTCTTTTGGCCATGGAGGGGGGAGATTAGGTAAGCTGTTTATCGTTGTCATCGATTCGGATGTCCGGGTGCCTCATTACCGCTTCTGTAGTTATCAACTTATCAAAGTTATCAAGTTATCGTGACAACCCAGGGCATTTGCCACACACGTGCTTGGTTTCCAACTGTGGCGCATTCCAGAAGCAACCTTCCATGATGCCTATCAATCTAAGGCTCGACTCATCATGACTCACTTGGTTAGTCAGCACTGTCCCACAGTCATTCCATTCCAAGTGCTAACCAACACCAACGCTTTAAGTAGCAGCCTGATCCACAAAGATCTAGCCCTGGCTCGTGCGAGTATGACTCGTAGGGGCTTGACCACATGGCATGGCCTTTGGAGCCTGCACGGCGAAATGCTTAAAGCCGAGATCATGCCTCCATCATGGCTTGAAAGGCTGAGGCTGTCAGCAGCGGCGATGGAGCTATACCTGCCGCTCGGGGCTTGATCGTCGTATCCTTGCCGTGCCTTCCGGCAGCCTTGCGAGTTCGTTGTGTCATTTTTTACTAATCAGTACGGCCTTGATGCCGAGCGGGGACCGTTTTGGGAATAGCCAGTCTCGTCTTTGTGAGGGGCCAAAGTAGGCATAGGGTGAGGCGAATGTAGTGCCCGTGTGAGGCAGGTAGCCTGGGTATATGCCTGTATTTGGTCATCTTTTCATGCCCTAGGTTTCAAAGACAGCAGTATGATACCTACGAAGATTAATGGAAATTTGTATCAAAGTATGACTACCAGGAGGTCTATCATGTAGATTAATCATAAATACATCGTAGCACACCACCGGGATCATAGACAAAGGTATAGTGATGGATAGACTCCTATGAGTTAGAGAACTAAGGTATGAGTGAGAAATACAGCTCATCACCCGGTCCTTTAAGGATCAATTTTTCTATTGAAGGGGACAATAGTCTAGCAGTAAGGATGGTTCACTTCTTTGATGATTTGGAATCAGTTGGGCGCCCCAACCTGGACGCGCGTATCGATTACCCGATGAGCGGCTATGTGAACAAAATTATTATGTACTGTGCATATATTGTTGTTTTCTTACATTATCTATTACTTTTGTCATACGTTCTCGAACCTTGCTGGGCTTTTTGCCGGTTGCGTTGCCCAGGTGGATCTTTGGTGATGAATAGTTGGACAGGAACGTGATCGTCCAAGGCTTGTGTGAGGCTGAAACCCTGAAGATAAGGTCGATATATCGATATGGTGTCTTCGGTAAATCAGGCAGCTCTGGAGCCTGGGTGTCGTGTCGACTGCGTATAGATAGTTGATATTGGCCTAGTACTAATGGCTGTATCATTGCGTGTTATGAGGCGCACTTAGGTCCAGACCTGTCTGCCTTGTTTTGCTTTGTTTTTAGGTGGCCACCAGATGGGCTTATGGGCACCAGTCTTCTGACATTGTGCCAATAGCCCTGGAGCTTGATCAAAGCCGCAGAGTATCATGACCTGGTCAGCTGATAGGAATCTAGGACCTGTATTTACGAAATTGTTCCTTAGAAAGTATAAGAAATCGGATACGATGGGAACGGGAATATAACTGGCTATTACTCATGTAAGAGTTGACTCATAATACTAATACAAATTGTATGAGATATCGAAATAATAAACTGACATTGAGGGAAAAAGACATTGCACGACATCCTCGAAACCTGGGTATATGAGGTGACACAGCACGAGCTTACAACCTCTGGAACAAAAACACTCCATCAATGTCACGTAAGAACGCCATACCGATAGGCTAGGGAGATCCAGCCAGAGGCATTGAGCACACCGAACCCAAGATGCTAAACAGAAACAAAGACAAGCGAATTTCCAAGCCTTTGGAGATTTGGTGAACGCCCACAGAATGCACGAGAAAACGGAAGATAATAGATATAAAAAAAGCCATAAGGAGCGTGTAGACGTGAATGTAGATTATTAGACTTGGGGCACAGCAACCTGAGGAACGGCAGGAAGAGACTGTGACACAGAGGTATCGGGCTCGGGCTGAGCAGGCTGAGGTATCGCTTGTCGGATATCCGCCACAATACGCTCTAGTTCTTCGAGGCGACGGTCCTTCTCTTGAACTTCGCGGCGCAGTCGCTTCACCTCGTTGTGGAGGTCCCCATTTTCCTCTTCGGGCAATTGATGCTCCTCGTTCGGTGAGTCAAATCTGCGCTTGACTCCAGTGGCGGGAAGTGAGTTGGCACGGACACCTTCGAGCTCATTGGCGCGATCCCAGGGCATTTCGACCATAAGCCCCTGAGAACTGTCGTCAGTGTGCATGTGGCGACGGCGCAAATGTTCCCGAAGATTCTCCTGGCGCGTAAACCCGTTTCCTGTACTCCGGTTGCAATCGGTATAGGGACACATGAGAGGCTTCTTGGCGTCCGTATTCTTCTTGTGGACTTCGCGTTGGTGGCGAAGCAGGCCGCCTGAGTAGGTGAATCCTTGTATCTTGTCACAGCCTGGCTCGTAGCATTTGTAAGGACGATCATGTTTATCCATGTGTTTACTAGTGGTATAATGTTAGCACGATCTGCAGATCAACGAAGGGTGGCAAAAGAAATACTCACTTCCATTCGCAGGGGCGACGGAAAGTTGGCGGTTGAGCCTGGCATTCTGGGTGATCACAATAGATCTGACCCTCGGGGTTCTTGGGAGGATCCCGGGCGCGCCGAACAGAGAGGCGCGGGCGTGTGCCTTCTATGTTGTAGTTGATGGGAGGCTGTTGCTCCATTCTGGCAATTGAAAGGGATTCAGCCGTCGAGGCGAGGACGGCAGCAGTAGCTCCGTGCGGAGCTTCACTTCGAGGACTAGGATAGTCAGATCCGTCGCCCATATCGCGTTCGACCCCACACTAGCTGAGGGGATTATGATGGAAATTGAGGTACCGACAAGAACGCGTCGATCAGTCAAACCCACAGGTGGTTGGGGGAGAGGAGGGAAGAAGTTAAGTAAATAGAGCACAGACGATGAGTCTGACAAAGACGAAATAAAAAAAATCTGTGGAATCTGGAGACTGCAAATAAGGCGCGTCTTCTGTAGTTGAGGAAGAGATGTGGAAGTTGCCAGACTTTTCAGGTTGAAAACCAGGCATCCCCTTCGGAACTATGACTATATATACGCCGGGCTGAAAAGTACCTCCACTTGACCGGGATTTTACCGCCACTGTGGCGCAGCGCGCTTCTCTCGGATTCGCTCTGCCGCCTTTTTGCTTTGCTGTACTTACAGGCTTTCTGTACTAACGGTGACGCCGATCAGCTGAAATATGTATGTTTCAATTTTGCAGGGGAAATTCTTCGGCCTAGTCTATATACTTGTAATCTTGTCCGCCGGAGATATTCATTGGTTTATTAATCCTGTACTGAAAGCGGCCGAGCGTGGCAACCCACTTCAAAATGAGTCATAGATTATCAGGTGCTTCCAAGTTCTCGGAAAACCTTCAGCCTTTCAGGTACCAAGCCTTGACAGCCTTGGAGCCCAGTAGATTCTCTATCAGGCAGCTGTTGCGGCCTGAAAGTTGAGTGGCGGTGTTTGTTTCGTGGGGAAGGTTATCTAAGCGCAGTGATTTACAGGCCATTAGGCTCCAATTTTCTAGATGCACTTTTTTCTAAGAAAAGAACTCTTCAAGAATTTAAGCATATTGATTGCGAATCTCGATGGCTATGCACATAATCTATTCATAGAGAACGAAAATTCGATGGTTATGGCTATGGCTATGGCTATGTTAGGGCGTAGATCATAGCCTGGCTTCATAGGTGGATATAGTCCACAGATCCATTAGTGTTATATTTAATAGGCTCCAGGATCTCGATGATCTGTCTGGCTGTCATATTGGGCTTCCAAAGCCAACCATCCACTACCACTAGCGTCTGGTAAAACTCGGTGAAACGAAAGAAACGTCACAGCTTCTGCACAGGGCCCAACTGTTCTATCACCCAATGGATTTCCTCCGCCACCAACTCTGGCTGTACGAGGTGGACATTATGCCCACAATCCGATAAGTGCACGAGACGGGTCGTGGAGGAAAGCCTCAGCTGATCCTCTTGAAGATCTCGATCAATACCCGGCCAACGATCAAGTAGCTCGCGAAATTCCTTCTGCTGCTGTACAGACCCATAGCCCATCTCCACGCCCCGTTGGTAGATACGCTCATAGTCTCTGGCGCCATTACAGCGAATCACACTCACCGGTTTCGATCCCATCGCCTGATTGTGCAACTGCTTTTTTTCCGCCAACGTATGACAGACTGCCACGAGGGAATTTGCCTCCGCCTGTGCCGCCTCAGCTCCGCGGGCGATATCAATTGCACGATCCCGCCACTCCTCTCGAGACAGTACGGTGTCGGCGCGAAGCCCTGTTACCTGGGCGAATTTGAGATCGCCTTGTACGGCGCTGATGCTAGGATCTGGGATCCGAAAATAGTCGCTTTGCCGCTCTGTGGAACTATCGGCTAGCACTAGTCCGGCCACGTCGCCGGGGTATAGGTGGAGATATTCTCGGGCCACAATCCCCCCATAGGAGTGGGCTGCTAGTACTAAAGGTGGGGATAGTTGCATGGTGTGGAGCAGTTGGTGTAGTTCTTTCGCTGCCGTGACGGCTGATCCTTTGGGGCCAGGCTCGCTACGCCCGAGCCCCGAGCGGTCGTATAGTAGTATACGAGCAAACTGGGCTATAAGAGGGGCCAGGGCTGTGTATGATGATGCGACGTCGCCGGCGCCGGCGAGAATAATCACTAGTGGATCTGATGCGCGGGGAGGACCGCTGACCGAGGCAAAGAGACAATGGTCACCGATGCGAACCATCGAAGACCCAGTCTTGATTGACCAGTCTGGTCCAGTTTCCATGATTTGCTTGTTTTAGGGAGATAAAGGGGTTATGTTTGGGGGATCTTTACTAATGTTAAGCGAGTCACCCGCCATTTAACCTGCCATAGGCCGTTCGTCCCGACATTTTTGCCAGAGCCAATGCCATTGCATGTTTCAGAGAGGACCTCCACCTTTTCTGCCCGATCAGTCTTTGAGGCTTCCACTTAAGTTTTCAGACTCTTGTAAAAACAAGTCACAATCGTCGCATCTCCCTGAGCCGTGTCAAAGTCAATCAAAGTAGCCTTCGAATCACGGATGAGAAAATTCACTCGATGGGTCTCTCTATGACGGACTCCTATTTTATGCAATCGAGACAATACCTCTTTACAGGCCTCTATCCTTAGCAACAGCACGCCGTACGCCGGTAATGAGTTCCACTAAAACTCGATAACGCGATCATGTTCAGCCACATTACCAAGGAATTGATGCCCGATCTTATGACCTGAAATCCATTGATATGCCGTGGTTTCTTTCTCACTGTATTGATCCCATCATGGTAAAATAAGCAAATTTGACAACTACGTCATCAGATAATGAGGATCCGGCTTCACTAATGCCTGTTCGTAAAGTTCGCCCGATCGACAGATCAAAGTAGCCGACAAAGCTTTCGTGCCAGATATTTCGAACGCCAGGAAATGTGGTCAGACAGACACGCGAAAAATATGGTCTGCCATCACTTGTGTCTTTAGCTACTGGGCAGGGGATGACTGTTGAACAAGTGCCAAATATTGATGATCATTACTAACGGTAGGTGCAAGATAGCGGTACTGGCAGCGAAGTGCCAACCCACTAGTTACGAAAACACGATAAAGTGACTATCGTCAATTTCTCAGGTCCTCGAATCCTAGTTGCAAATTTCTATGTAAACATAAAATCTACCAGTCTGAGTCATTGTCTTATTTTGAAATGTCTCTCTTTCCATGTATGTCTTAGCTGAGTGCAAACAGCCAATTTTTAGTCTATACTGACCAAATGTATAAATATTCCTTGTGTGCGGTAGCCCAGGTGTGTCAGGTACTTACCTGTAACTACCTTGCATAACTAACCAAGGATAACAAAATGGAAAAATAGAATCCTAACTTGTGCTTGTTCGGATGTAGCAATGGATCTATTTTGTGCCTTGGGGCTATAGTATTGCCTATTCCCTAGGCTGTTTCCCCCATGAACATCTTATGACCCTGTCTTTCAGTCTTCGACAAAAGACTCCAGATGCCTTTGGACCAAGAACGAATCCTGAGCTGCCCACTAGGGTCACTTTCGCTCTCCTAAGTTCGTGGTCTAAGCGCCTTGGGATGGAAGCAGTCTGCCATTCTTAGCATGCAATTTCTCGATGTAAGTTCAGGCTTAGACCCCTGTAGATTTTTACAGGCAAATCCTTGCGTCACCATCGCTTGATTGAACCAGACCAAATACAGATTTCAATTTGAAGTCTGATTTCGAGTAAGTTCACCTTTGCCTGTCCATTTGTGTTGAGATGGTGCAAATCACCGGTCTTAAATTCTTGAACCAAGACCTCCAACTGCCAGTTTCAATTCACAACTCTCTAGCCTGACATGCCTTCTTTGAATATGATTAACCGAGTAGTCATGGAAAAGACATATCCAGGGAACACAAATTGAGACTCAATTGGGGACTCGTAGATGAATATCCTGTTCTGCCTATCCCGGCTTGTCGCAGATTAAGAAGAATAGCTGCGCAGCGAGACCGTCATGAATTCTCGTCTTTAGAGTACTCGGATGCAGAGCCTGTGCTCGTCGAGAATGTAGATATCTTGAAGGCTTTTTGGGCTCTTCAGCGTTCGTCCTGAAGTTTCCCAAGTGTTTCTTCAGGATATCAAAGAACCATCGAAGTCAGGAAGTAAAGGCTTATACGACCGTCCACGAAGCTCCAAGGATCCTCCCCGGGTGAGTGTCCTCGGGCTCATTGAATAGCTGAACGCTATTGGCCAGCCGATTCCCGCCCCATACCTGATATGTGCGCATGGCTTCCAAAGAGCGAAAAGGATGGTTGATTGCTACCTGATCAAGTGCAACTGAACGTGAATGGACTTAGGCCAAGAAATTCCTGGACTCATTCTCCAACCATCGCTTGTCGAGAGCGCTCTTTGCGAGTGCGTCGATCATGCCATTCTTATTCTCAATTCGCCGGTCGATGGCTAAGGTAAAGTCATTGGCCCAATCGCTCGCTGTTGGAACCCATGGCTTTTTCTGCACTCTCCAAGCTCCATTAATCAATCACTCTCGGACAACGGATGCACGATGAAGATATTGGATGCGTAGATATACAGGAAAGGTGATACCTTCCCGTCCACTAAGCCCCACTTTGGTGGCAGGCATCTAATAATTCACAACGGCCTGAAGTGAACTCTGCAGTTTTGGTAATAGGGTCGTAAAAGGTGATGCTGCCTTAGTCGTAGAAAAACCTTTATTCCTAACAGGAATATGATTCTTGTTGTCGTTCGACCGCAGGCGCAGTACGGCATCAGCATGGCTCTCTGCGATACCAATACCCACTTAATGTTTCTAGTGACTAAAGTTAGCGTAGGGGTCTCAGAACAGTGGAGATGTAGAGTTAATACCTTGACGAGTATTAAGCTTGATAAGACATGCGAAGGATGAGCAAGAAGAGAGCCATGCGCAGTGTTGACCTCTCGTTTGCCCTATGGTGTTGGGAGGAAGCCTGACGCATGAGAAGAGTATTGAATGGTAAACGTGAGGCGATAGTCAAGAATTGAGTACATGTCTAGGGATGTGTAGACAGAGGATGAGAAAGGTGGTGCGGGGAGGAAGTGACTTGAAAGCCAAGAATCGAGTGCATGTCAAGAGACGTGCAGACAAAATGAGCGCCGTGTATTGCCGGAGTCATGGCGCAGCTCTCTCTTGGACAGAAAAATCCGGGCAAGACTGCGGGGCCCCAGGCCTGACTGGTCGAATTGAGTCGGCGTTGTTACGCTCTGGGACGCTTGGAGTAGGACCGAGTGGGTGAAAGATATAGTGATTCCCGGCAAACTATGGATATGATGACACATGTCACACACAAGGATGAGAAGATGGCTTAGAGATCAGATTAGCCATATTTATCAGGCTTAGACCGTATTGAATGACAGGTCTGACCTCAATCCTGTGATCCACGTATCTCTGAAACATTCAGGAGGAATGAGAAACCGAAAGTTCTGATTCTAGCACATTTTATATGACATTTAAGAATGTTGTTATATCAACATATTAAGGAATCTCATGTTACTCCGGCAGTACGCAAGCAATGTTACTTGTTTTTTCCAGCTCCGTCAAGACCTAAAGCAGTTCTCAGCTTAATCCTTTCTTGTCTCGGAAAGTGACATCTAGACTTACGGGGTCGCAGCATGCAGCATGCTGGTCTGCATCGCACGAGCTATAAGTCGTCTCTCCATCTTCAGCCGTACTCAAAAGATTCGCATGTGTACCTTGATCAAACATTAGCTCGAATAAAAAGCCCCAGAGAACATCAAGCAGCAAGATCCAAGCGGAGATCATACACTCATTCCCTGCATACACAAACGACAAAATAGGATAATTATTCAGCTGTTGACAGCATAAACCAGGCGGACCAGCATGGATCGGGTTGACAGGCTTAATGCATGTGAATTCGCAGGCCACAGTACCGACTAGTCCGTATAGCGTAATTAACTTCATTTCAATTTTTATGTCTTTGAGTACATGCTGCATTGGCATGTGGTCTGGAGAAGAGAGTCGTCTATCCGCGAACGGGTGTTCGCGATCCGAGATTAAAGTGGATCTGGATCGAAAGTCGAAAGCTTATGTAACGAACGACGACGTCATTAAGGTACACACGCAAGTTAATTGCTGAAGATGCGGTGAGCGGCTAGACGGAACTGCTGCAGAAGATCGACCGGAGTGTCCGATATGCAAGGGGCAAGACCCCTGCAAGAGGACGTCATTGGTGCTTCGTACCCAACCTATCAAATGTATGGCGTTCGATGCAGTCCCTTCTCGACACGTAGCCTGTGGTGTTAGAGATGTGTACTCCGTGCTTGGTATCTAGTAGGTAATTAGTGCCTAGTAGGTTGGTACTCGGCAGTCGGAAGCTACCCAGCATCGGATAAAGTACCTGTGATATTGCCACTGCGTTCAATTTAAATCAGAAATAGGAGCTACGGTATGAAGGAAACAAGACAAAAACATGTATGGTCTCGATTGCTCAAGCAATAAGATAAGAGCTAGAAGATCTAAGACAAAATTGCTAAGAAGAATCGAGCCCAAAAGGATAGGGTAAACTCTCAAAGCTGCCCGAGAATCCTTACCAGCTCAGTTGGGGGAGAAAAATAACAACCGGCGATTGCCCGTGCAGGATAGAACCTGGGCGAATGATGCCTGGGGAGCATCGCTGAGTTGTTTCAGTCCAGTGGTAACTGTGCAGGGGTAAGAACGTCACGAGGGACAAACATCCTATCTGAGCCCAAAGGGAATCGGTCCATCAAGACCGAAGGAGTCGACATCGACAGGTTCGGTGAGACCGAAGTGCCCGAAGAGTAGAGACTGACCTTAACCTCGGCAATGAAATGTTCCGATCGGCTTGGAAGAAACGGACGGACAGACTCTGTTGGAAGAAACCCTGACATTTCGTGCGAAAATCTGCTTCCCCGGGGATGTACGAGAGAGAGAGAGGGCTGGCCTGTTGGAGGCTAACTCTGACATGCAGTAGCTGTGGTGCCCTCTGATCAATCGTAGTTGCCGCCGACCTGGCTAGCGAACGCAGTGGAGACACTGCGGGCGTCATCATCGTCCTGCAAGTGCTGACCTGGGACACCACGGGTCACACGAATGCTAGCGGAGCTTCCTCCAAAGATGCTGCCGCTGTCAGGAACGCCAGTACGGTAGGGCTCACGGCCACCAGACTCCACGTAGCGCTTGAGGCGATCGGACTGGCTGAGACTGGTCTGCTTGCTCATGTCGTTGATGCTCAGACCGGCGAGACTCACACCACCTTGGTCGGCACTTCGGCCATCAATGATGCTTCCAGTAACATCGGACTCAGTAGCGGCAACGGACTCTCCAGCAACGCTTGGCGCGCCCTTAGCCCGAGTACCGTTAGCACGACGACCGCCAGGAATAGAGGGCCAGGTGTCCTGGAAGTTTTGGAACATAGACGGGTATCCAGAAGGAATGCCGACTCCCCCACCAAGAGCAGAGGAGTGGACCGAAGAAACGTCATCAGGGATGTAGCCTACGACAGAGCCCGAGTCATAGTCGTTGCGGTGACCATTGCGGCCGTTTACAGAGCCATTGTTGGCATTAGCCGCCTGGTTGAACGACATCTGGAAACGCTGAGGGCCGCGGTAAGCCTGCTTGGGGCGACTGAACTGGATCAAAGACTCCTGCAAGTTGGACAAAGGCCCCTCCACAAGACAATGCTTTTCTTTGAAGTGCTGGAGGAGGCAGTTCCACAGAGGGTGCTTCGAAAGTACCTTCGGGTTACCGAGAATGACAAGACCGTATCGAGCTCGAGTAAGAGCGACGTTGAGACGACGTGGGTCACTCAAGAAACCAATACCCTGGTGGTCATTGGAACGAACACAAGAGAGGATGATGTAGTCCTTTTCACGACCCTGGAAAGCATCCACGGATGCCACTTCGATTTCCTTGTAGTGCTCCTTTTTGAAAGTCCCATTGGCCTGCATAGAGCTAACAATGTAGCTTCGCTGGCCCTCGTAAGGCGTAATGATACCGATGCCTCCGGGCTGCACGCCCGCTTTGAAGAAGCGAGTGACGATCTTCTCTACGTTGGTGGCCTCGGTGCGGTTCAGGTACGAGGTACCAGAGGCCGAGATTTCCTCATTACCCAGGTTGGACCAGAACATCATGGGGTCGTCGATCATGGGCCATGGGAAGTCCACGTCGCGGCGAAGACGGTCTGCAATAGTGATACCATTCTGCAACGATCCCTCATAGAACATGTTCGACGGGAATTCAGAAAGACAAGGGTGCATACGGTACTGTACGTTAAGACGAATTGGCGAACAGCCCAGGATGACCAATCGTTCGAAAAGAGACTGGTTCAGACCAGCCTTGGCGGCCTTCTTGTTCATGATGACAGGTCCAAGCTGCTGGTGGTCACCAACCAGAACGACCTGTTTGCAACCGAGAACCAAGGGAATCATGCACTCCGGCTCGGCAGATTGAGTGGACTCGTCAATGAGGACTGTGCGGAACTTGAACTTGGCGAGACGCGGATCACCAGCACCAACACAAGTACAGCAGATGACATCGGCGTTGCCCAGGATCTCGCGCTCAGCCGCTCGTGTCAGCTGTTTCAAACGCTTTTCATCTTGACTGGACAGTTCGCCAAGTTCTGCCTTCAGCTGGTTGAGCTTGACCAGTTCGATGTTACTGTCGTTCATGCGCACTTGCTCGTGCAAAGAAAGGAATCCAACGGGGGACTCCACATCCTCTCGAGACTTAGCGGTCACTCGGACAGTCTTAAGGCCAGTCCGGTGGATGCGCTCACAAAGCTGGTCAACCGCAACGTTAGATGGAGCACAAACCAGGACCTGGCCACCATTGAGCTTGGCAAGATGGTAGATAATCGTGGCCGAGGTCACAGTCTTACCCGTTCCCGGGGGACCCTGGATCAGACTCAGGGGTCTTTGTAGCACGCTCTTCACGGCATTGATCTGACTACCGTTCAGATCAGGCAGTCCAGGAACACTAAACTTCTTGGGAATCTGCGTCTTCATGGGAGCGGCTGCGACCTCATGACCAAGGAGGCGGTGAAAAATGTAGCCAGAAACACTCATTTCATCCACGGCAAAGGTCTTCATGGCAAGTTGCATACGATCGAAGGATGTCGATTTCCAAACGTAGTCCGCAGTGAAGTTGTGGGTGCACTCTGTCGGCACAGATTTATGATCGCCCTTGGAACGCAATTCAATCGTCACCTCGTCAGACTGGTTGTTCGGGATCTTGATGACATAGCCAACTCCCTCCCACTTGGACCGAAGTTCACCCGTGTATTTCAATCGCATCTCGTCGCCAACGGCTAGCTTGACATCGCCAAGTTCAAGCTTAGGCAGGACAAAGCTTGCAAGGTGCTTGTTGTTAAGACCCAGATCCCAACGCACGATGAGGCCATCCTGCGACTGCGACTCCTTGAGTTTCCGGTCGTAGTCGGCCTCGATCTTCACAAGTGGACCAAAGATATTCTGGTACTGGTATGCATCATCGTAGCGCAAAAGAACAGGGGCGGGTTCGTCGTCCACAGCGGTAGATTTCTCCAGGTCCTCCAAAGTTGCCTGGGAGTTCTCTTTCCACATCTCCTCCAGCTTGGCGATCAACTGAGGGCTGAGGTGGCGAGCACGGAGCTGCTCCTGGTCAGTGGGAACACCCACAAGCCAAGGCAGAAACGAGCGGTCCTCAATAAGTGGTTGCCAGCGAGAGGTATCCCAGTTCATATCCTTGGAAGATGGCATGGCCGCACATGGCTGTCGGCACAAAAGGACGACAACGGTATCGGATTTCGCGGGAATAAAGCCGAGCAAGAAAACATTCTTTGTACCGCAGTTGTAGCACTCCAAAATAGTATCACCGAGAGACGAGGCTGGGTGTAGCTGGACCTCCTTGTGACGAGCTCTGACAAGGTGATTGACGATATGCGAGGAAGAAGTATTACCACGAGCACTGCAGAACCATTTATTGCAGGAAAGACACTTTACCACGCTGCTAGGGTTATGAATACCACAGTAAGCACAGGCATGAGCAGGAAGCTCTTTTTCTTCCTCCGCGTGTCCCTGGCCCTTTCGATTTCCGTTGGTAGGGCCACCGACCTGGCTTTCCAAGTCATCATCTTCGAGGATATCGGACCCATCATCTTCGTCATCATGTCGGCGCGGTCTAGCGCGGCCTAGCGCATCTGTCGTATGATCATCCAGCCCCACCACCGAAGCATCATCAGCCAGTCCCGGAGGATAGTTCTCCATTATGCGAGTTCCTGAAAGCGGCCGAGGATAACGGCTTGTAGAGTTCAATCAAAAGGCAAAATCAATGTGAGAGTATCTTGAAGTAGCACGTCAGGTCTGAATAGCGGAAGGAATTTTCGAGACGTGAATCAAAGGAGCGTAGAGGACAATCGGTCATCCAGGGCGGTTGTCAAGTGCCCGTCTGAATGTGTGCCTGAGGGGCAAACGAACGGGGAAGATCTATGCAAGAGAAAGGTAAGCTGAGGCATTAACGGAGAGCAAAGATATCCGCTTACAAGCCCAGCTCTCTCTGTCACAAAGACGACCGACCAAAGAGAGTGGAAGAGGTAAGGATAGACGAAAAGCCTCTCCGCAATCTGCGATCCGGATTCTCTATCAGTGGGATCCCACTACGGTGGCGGAAGGGAACCAAAGGTGCAGCCCCGGAGTTTAGAAAAAAAAAGTTGCCCGCCTCCCTCAACTAGAAAAGGACATTCAAGCCTCTTCCACACATTCGCAAAATGCTGGTACGTGATTTCTGAGAGATGGTCCAATTACGCAAAACATGCTAACCATTTTCTTAGCGCCGTCAAGCCCGTGAGCGCCGCGATTACCTCTATCGGAGGGCCTTGCTCCTCCGCGATGCTTCTATCGCCGAAAAACGAGCCCAGCTCAAGGCCTCCCTGGCATCTGGAAAGCCTTTGGACCCCTCAATCGCCAATGACAAGACCCTCCGTGAGGATTTCAAATTCGATGAGTCAAAAGAGGATGGCGTGGATATCGACGACGAATATGCTCTAACCTCCGGCGTCATTGATCCTCGCCCACTGGTCACCACCTCTCGCTCACCCTCTGCTCGTCTCGGCGCCTTTGCCAAAGAAATTCGCTTGCTCCTGCCCACCGCCATCCGTCTCAACCGTGGTAACCTCGTTCTGCCCGACCTCGTCTCCAGCGCAACCTCTGCGGCTCTGACAGACATGATCCTGCTGCACGAGCACCGTGGTACCCCCACCGCCCTCACCATTTCCCATCTCCCTCACGGTCCTACAGCCAGCTTCTCCTTGCACAACGTTGTTCTCCGAGCCGATATCCCGAACTCTGCCCGCGGCACCGTCTCTGAGAGCTACCCTCATCTGATTTTCGAGGGCTTCAAGTCCAAGCTGGGTCTCCGTGTTGTGCAAATTCTCAAGCACTTATTCCCTCCCCGCGAGCCTGGAAAGGTCGGAAACCGCGTTGTTAGCTTTGTCAACAAGGAGGACAGCATCGAGGTACGGCATCACGTCTTCGTGAAGACCGGTTACCGGGATGTAGAGCTTGCCGAGGTTGGTCCGCGGATGACCATGCGCTGCTTCGAGATTCGTGGTGGTACCCTTGAGAAGGGCAACAGTGGTGATGTTGAGTGGGCTCTTACTCAATACACAAGAACTAGCCGAAAGAAGGATTACCTTTAAATGGGTACTTTGCATCATGGTGTCGGAAAAATTTGTGGTATACGGACTTCGTTTTACTAGACTTTGGTTAGTCGATGGGCGCATTGGTGTTTTACGGTCAACTAAAAGGCATGCACCGCCATCTCATGTATCATTTTTGCTGCTATGTTAATACCCTTCAAATTATATGGGCTCTCAATCATGAAACAGTAACTATGTATAAAGGACATAAAAGTCGAAAAGGGTAGCTACCTCGGGTTACTTGTAGGTATTCGATAGTACGCACACAAATAGGTTGTAAATTAATAATCAATGTGCTATTTAATAGAAGCTACGGCGTTTTTCAGAATGTTTCATACGTGTTAAGATGCTCATTGGGGGGTAAAGAATGCACATCCACATTACGGCCTCTCTCGAAATATTCAATACCCTGTCAATCAAACTTCAAATGCAAAAATGCAAATAAAAAATGCGAAGCAACAGATTCCCCGAAATGCATGCAGACTCCACGTAGACCTGCATATCCCGATGTATTCAATCCCGATTTCTTTGGTTTTCGTTTTCATAACCATCATTTTCAGTCTTCCCGTTCTTAAATCAACTAGCCCTTGCGACGCTTTAATAATGGATTCAAGGTCTCTGATCATCCTCATCATCCGCTGGACATTTCAGTCTTTCAACCTCAAAATCGTAATAAATATTCACCTCATCCGAAGCGACATTCTCGCCTTTTTCACCTGAGAAAGAACCCAGGGCCGTACTGCTGCTGTTTAAAGACTCCACATCTCCATCAATGTAATCATCTGGTTCACTTGGTGGAAAGTTGCATAGATCCGGTATGCTACTGTTGGAGGACTCAGCATCATCATCAGTCTGTGCTCTTGGCGCGGGATCAAGCATAGACAACGCTTTTCTTTTCTTGGACAAACCGTGCCCATAACCGACTTCATCGTCTGTCACGGACTCAAGAAGAGCCAGAGCGTCCTTTTTGATGTTTTCAACATCGTAATTGTCAATTTGTTCACCTGGCACATCCTGAAGCGCAGACAGAGTGCTAACGCTCTTCAAAGACTCAACATCACCTTCGTTGCCGCTATCCAGACCAGCGGCGATATAGTCTTCCTTGTCAACAAATGTGAATCCATCGGACTTCGTTGAATCATTGACATTAGCAGTAGCATGGGTTTCCTCTGGGGTAGCGCAGGGCTTGGAAGGCCCCTTCATGTATGCAGTCATGATGCTTTCGGCTTCGAATGTATACCATCCTTCATGGGATGGCAAGACATCCCCTTTGTTGTCCTTTTTAGGGAACCGGAGTGTTAGGTTCATTCTTTCCCGCCATTCTACTCCTGTCTGAAGCAAGAAGAAGCTCTCGAAGCCTGCCTTGGCGAGGGTGAAGCAGCTCTGGGGAGGGGCTAGAATAGAGATATTCGACGTTCCAATGCGGCTGTACTTGACATAGGCCGAGAAGGTGGGTGGCGTCTCGTTTGATTGAAAAATCTGGTAATTGTGAGTGGCATAACTAGCTAACAAGTCGTAGCACACTTACCGCTAGTCGAAATTTTTCGCGTTTCAGGGATTGCAATGTCCGTGTCAGCGTGGCGTCCCAAGCCTGGTTTGTGCTTTCGTCGATATAAATCTTGTCTTTTGCTATGTATCAGTCAGTAAGTCCCCAGTAAAAATTTGACGGATCAATTAGATACGTACATAGAGCATCGGTTTTCTTGGAAGCGCGGACAGGCTTCCTTTTTGTCACCTTTTCTTGGACGAAAGGATCAGGTACAGCCGCAAGAAGGCTAGTTGTATTCTTATTCATTGGCGGTTGGCGTGGAGACTTTGGGGTGGCAGCCACTTTCTGCTTTTTCCGTGGCTTCAGCTCTGCTTCTAGAATCCTTGCCCAGAGATATGATTTGGGATCTCTGGGACGAGGCTTTTTTTGCTGAAGCGAGTCATAAAGCCAGTCGGATTCCACGATGTGAACTGTCCCGAGATCCTTGGCAGTTTGAACTAGAAATGAGAGTAAATCGGATTAGTTTAATTCAAATAGCGAAAATTTTCACAATAATGAGTAAATGAAAGAATGTCATACCTGCTTCGACATTCTTCTTGTACGCTTCTGCTGTCACAATAAGGTGGGTTGTCTGCGAGTCAACTTTCCTAGAGAATGTACCGCCATGTTTGCGTATCCATTCAGGAATTTTGCCCGCATCCTCAAACTTGCCGGCGGTAGACGCAACGACCTTAGCAAAGGTATTTGGCATTTTGCACGCTGGTGAGAAACAGCTCCGAGGGAAAAGTAAACCTTGAGAGAATGTTGGATGTGAAGCCGAGCAATGGCGCCTCAAGGTATGTGAGGTAAGAAATCTAAAGGGCTCAACTATATGGGTTAGGACAAGAGGTGATAGTAGGATCAAAGAGCTTTCTGACCTAGTTCGATGGTGGAGCTGTGGACTTTTATTCCACTTGCGAGCTAGAAGAGTGGAGCGAGGTGGAGGGTTGGGATGGGTTGGGATGAGGTGGAAGAATTGGAGGAGGGTGGACAATCCTTGAGCTCAAGTAGGTTGCGTTGGTTGTATCAGACGTAAGTGGAAGAAAGAGACGAAAGAAGTAAAGATTTCATTTCCAAGGTCATATTGCTAAAAACATAATCATGCAAGGTGAAATGAGAAGGGTGAGAAAAGAGGTCATCCCGAAAACCCGAAATATCTACTAAAAGCCGAATATCTACTAAAGAATAATCACGAAAGTCGCCGAGTTACTTACTGGCTAACACTCTTGGCAGCCGTAACAAATGCACGAATTTTGTCCAAATCCTGAGCCCCGTTTGTCTCCACCCCGGAACTGGTATCCAAGCCTACCACCTTTGATCCTGATTTGCCAAGCTTCTTGACAACGTCAACAACGTTTTCTGCGGTCAATCCACCGGCGAGAATAACCCGCAGACCTTCATCGCTATCAAGGGACTTCTGGACATTAGCTTCTTCCAGAAGCTGTCCAGAGCCTCCTGACCCAGAATCGAGTAAAGGAAGAGTATGGTAAGCACGGCGAGCAATGCCAATGTCTCCTGGGGCAAATTTGCGGATGACTGGCACAGGGATCAAACTAGCCCATTCCAATGGTTCAGAACCGTGGAGCTGCACGACATCAAGGCCCAACTTTTGTTGTTGAGCAAGGACATATGACAGTGGCTGATTCATGAAAACACCCACAAGCAATGCCCGGGAGGGATGCCGCAGGACAGCGGCAGAGTGGTCAAACCACTCCGAGGCAGTTGCCTTAGATAATTGTTGAGAAGCGTCGGATGATTGAATGTTGGGTCGTGGTGTCGACTTGACCACCTGAGAGATGCTGAGGGCGACATCATCTGAAACCGTCCTTGATCGACCAGGAACTTGAATGATGCCAATTAAATCAGCACCGGCCTGAATGGCAGCCTGTGCTGCTTCTGCGGATCTGGTACCACAGATCTTGACTAGGGGAGAGCTTGACGATGAAGCATGGACAGAGGGCGCTCCCAAAAGCTGCGCAACAAAGGCAGAGGTGTCCGCTGCCCGCATCAAGGCCTCTCCTACCAGAATAGCCTTGACACCGTCCTTCTTGTAAGCCTGAACATCCTTAGGGCCCGTGATTCCACTCAAAGCGCAGACGATGGTAGTCTCTGGGACTTGGTCCATAAGACGGCTAGTGGTGGCAAGGTCAACCTCAAAGCTTGTCAAATCTCTGTTGTTGACTCCGATAACCTCGGATCCCAGATCGACCGCAATCTTCATCTCCTCCGGGGTGTTGACCTCAACTAAAGGCTCCATCCCGAGGCTTTTAGAGTAATGGAACAGCCTTGTAAGAAGCTCTACGCTGAGCATCTTCACAATCAGCAGGACGGTATCAGCACCAGCCAGGCGAGCCTCCAGGATTTGGTATTCGTCAAAAACAAATTCCTTTCGCAGGATAGCTGGTCGGTTGGTAAGACCCTCCAGACTTTGGCGCACAGCCCGCAGGTCATCAATAGTACCCTTAAACCACTCAGGCTCTGTCAGAACCGAGATGACGCTAGCACCAGCTTTGGCATATTCGCGAGCCTGAGCAGGTGCGCATACATCGGCTGAGATAATACCCTTTGAGGGGGAGGCACGCTTGATCTCCGCCATCAATGACAGAGGGTAGTCGGACTGCCTTAAGCGGTCAGGAAATGAGATCTGAGGAGGGGCAATGTTCAAATCATAGGCAGCCTGAAGAGCCTCTGGCCTCAAAGCGGGGATCTTCTTCTGCTCAGCAACAGCATTTCGGCGGTGGGCGTAGATCTTCTCCAAAATTGACACCTTCTTATCAACCGGGGCAGCAGGCTTAATGGGGGCTGCGCCTTGCTTAGTGCCATTCCAGGTGCCTGCAGTGAGCCTAAGGAAGTTTCCGAACATGGCCCGGCCATATTCAGTCAGGATACTCTCAGGGTGAAACTGCACTCCTTCCACTGTGAACTCCTTGTGGCGCACTCCCATGATGACGGTACCGGTACCGTTCTCGAGTTCTGCCCACGATGTTACTTCTAAGGCATCCGGAACAGTGGAGTTTGTACCCGCAAGGGAATGGTATCGGGTAATTGAGAAAGCAGTAGGGAGTCCTTGGTAGACGCCCTTTCCATCGTGCTTCAGGACCGAGGTCTTGCCGTGCAAAATCTCTCCTGTGACATCCACCTTGCCACCGAAGGAATTGATAATGCATTGTTGACCCATGCAGACACCAAAGATTGGGATCTTGCCCTTGAAGTATTGAATGGCATCATTGCTGATCCCAGCATCGGTTTCGGGGTGACCAGGACCGGGACTGACAACCAATTGCGTGGGGTTCTTAGCGGCCAGCTCCTCTACCGTAATCTCGTCATTGCGAATAACTGTGACTGTGGCACCCTCAAGGACAAGATACTGGTAAACGTTCCAGGTGAATGAATCATAATTGTCAATCAAGATGACATTGGAAGCAGTGTCCAGGCGGGCCGCTCTGGTGGGATGGTGGGGGGAATGGATAACAATGTCCGCCATGGTGGCTTGGATTCTGGAGGAAAAACAAAATGTGAGTACCAGGTCAATTCCAGAATGTAGACAACAAATTCCACGAACCTCTTTCACCAAACCAAAGACTAGGCTTGTTGATTGTAGATTATGAGTAAGAGGTAGTCTATGCGATGTGACACAAAAGTGAATCACAGCTCACCGCCTAACACTAGTCCCGGATAGGCAATGGTGGATTGTTGACCGCAGGCGCGCCTTTTGAGTCTGAATAATTTGTTAAAAGCTCCCGAGCTCTGATCTACCTTTCAAAGCTTTTTTTTCGCCCAAACATATTTCCGGTTCTTCTCTCAACCTCTTGAACCCTCATCCTAGGGCATACTTTTTGTCTTGTGCAATCCTATGATGATCTAATTGCCTGGCCAAATGGCTCCCGTCCCGGAGGCCTATTTTCCGTCCCTGGACAAGTGCTTCGCCGGGGACGCTCAACTTTTGTATGCTTGACCCTATATGAGCAAATTTAGACAAATTGCTAATTTTCAATTGTTCATAGGTCCTGGAGAAGAGCTTTCCTCTATACCAATGACCCCGAAGGCCATGCCGACGATGGCGGCCATATCGAGGCTTTTCTTTCACATCCTGAAAGTATCCAATTACTGTCGCAGAGCCTGAACTCCTTCGCTCGCCCTTCCGCCAAGTCAAAATCGGAATTCGAATCAAAGACTGCTGCAATTCATGTGGAAACCAATTCTAAGAGCTCCTTCGATCTGAATGAGATCAAAGCGGACGCGCAATGGCTCAGCCAAAAGGCGCAACTTGACGAGATCACTGCTCTGCGAATTACTGTGCTTGAATGGCAAAATCGGCCCGCAACACGCCTTACCGCGAATTTCTCCAGTGAAGAAGTGACCAGTGTACAGAGTGCAGCAGGGGCCGACAAGCTTAGCGCCTCTGTAGCTGGTCCAAACCTGGCAAACATCCTCAGACAGGTGGCAGGTGACAACAATAGCGCGTCATTCGATTCAGAGGTAAACCGACGCTTGCGATTGCGCTACACCTACCTCTCAGAACGAAGCCACGTCGTCAAAACGTACCGCAAGCTACTCGCTATGTCCTTGCACAACGCCCCCAGCAAGACCATTGCCACCCCTTCCACTGAGAGAAAGCTTGCTTTGTGCAAATTGGGAGCCTCTCTCTTCAAAGAAAAATCCACAGGGAGTTCCTTAAGTAAATTCCTAGAAGAATGCATGGCCGCCATCCGCAGTCGCCTGACTGATTTGTCGGGGAGTGGCGGTTGGTTGAACACAGATGAGAGCAGTGAAGAGGCAGAGATTCTCTGGAGGAGCTTAATGGCGGAGGAAATTGGCCACATCCTTCAAATTATGTTCCATCAGCTTCATGCATCTGCTGAAGTTCCGTCTGGCGATCTCCTTCTGTCCTGGCTCAAATTGATGGCCGAGTATCAATTCCTCGAAGGCTTGGGTGTGCCCTGTCAAGATCCTGTGGAAGTCATGTTTCCAATTCAAGCTTTCGTCTCTCTGACGACCTTGGCGTTCTTAAAACTTCCTCTTGCTTTTTCCTCGATCACCAACAGAGCGCAGCCTCAGACATTCCCGTCGGGACAAACTGCTTATTTCCTTTCCAAAGAAAAGGTTTCTGAGATCAACGAAATTTTCCTGCTTGCCTGCCACAATGATCTGGCCACGGTGAGACCTGCGGCATTCTCATGGGGCATAATCTTACATGCCATTCAGGAATTGGCTTTGAGCGACAAAGAAACCCGGGAGATGGAACAACTTCATAATGCCGTGGACTCGTTTCAATCAAATAACCAAAATAGACGCTTCTCTCGGGGATCAGAGCCATCCCTTTATGAAGAACTCCTTGACTGCGCTCGGACACCACAACACTCTGTGGATGACACAATTTCGATCTTGACATCTCACGATGTCAAAGATTTGGCTTTGACAACAATGATCACTTTGTCTCAGAAAGTCGGGTCGCTTTCGGCCATCGACGATATTCTGACATATCAGTGGGTGCGTCTGGCATTACTAGATCTCCTCAAAGTCGCTGTGGTCTTTTGGGACTATTCTCCAGAGCTTGTAGAGTCGGTGCTGGCAATTCTTACCAACACTTCCTCTGGCACTTGGCTGAAATCAGCAGACTCGCTCGGGGTTGCAAATGATCCTAAGTCCGTCTTCATCCAAGACAGTGCCTTGATGGATAATGTTTTCCGTCTCGCGCGGTCTAGATTCCCCTATGAGATCATTCCGTTTCTGAAGCTCTGTCGCGCTCTGGTGGGTGAGCATGCGGTAAACGAAGACGGTTTGCCTTTAATTTTTGAGGAACTGGATGGTATGGATACCTTCACTCAGATGGTTCCTCAAGAGTTCCAGGGATACGAGACTATCAGAGAAGATGAAAACGCCAACTTCGTGTCGCTTAATTGTGCTTTACCCATGTTCGAAACTCCCACGCGCAACCGCCTTCCAGGGATCGAAGCAAGCAGTGCCTTGATTGTGAGAGGATCATCTGAAATTCCAACAGCCACAGTCGGTCAAGTGATTTCCGAAAACAAGCCAGCGGTCATCATGTGGCAACACCAGTACTCGTGCTTGAGCTTTTTGGGAAGCTGGCTCGAAGAATGGAGTGAGAGTGGTGGATATTCCGGGGATATCGAATCCAGCACAGAGATCATTAGTCTGCTGGCAGATCTTGTGGCTAGTGCCAAAGACCTTCGCCCAAATAACGCTCCGGGTACCAACGCCAAAAGAATCCTCGAGATGGCCAGTGATGGACTCTCTCGACAGGGTGATATCATCACTGTTATTTTTGACATATTCGAGCGAAACCTGCAGAGCGCTGGGTCACAAAGTGCTGCAAATTCATTGGAATTGATTATGGCTTGTCTACAATTTATTCAACAAATTGTCAAGGTCCTTCCGTGCCGTGTATGGCCGTTCTTCAGCCGCAGCAGCCTTGTTGGGTCTGATGGCAAGGGGGGAATGATTACAGCGATCATTTCAGCAACCGAAATCCCTTCCGGTGAATACCCATTCCTCCTTAGCTGTGTGGACCTTTTCAAGGCCACAGTCGAAGATGCCGGGTCTCGGGCAGTCTTAAGAAAAAGCCCCGGTAGCGTCTTGGGCAAATCAACAATTGCTACCGACTGGAGTGCCAGTATCCCCTCCCATGTGATGAGAACCATTCTGCTGAATTTCACTCGTACAATGGTGGATATTTTCAATGGCAACGGAAACTGGCGATTCAATTTCTCAGAACAGCGACTCCAGGTGAACGCAGCGTTGGCTGCTACTTTTGATCGAATCCTGTATTACGCCTATGGGATCAATGACAATGCCAAGCTGGACTCCAAAATCACTGGTGTCTTTTCGTCCTCTGCGACCTACATACTGGATATGTTGCGACCTCGGTCCACCGCTGACCTGCCTTTCAACCCACTCCTTCGTTTAGTCTCAGAGGGCCTCCAAACACCATCTACCCTTCATTTCCGCCATCTCGCAATGGTTGAAAGTCAGGTTACCTCTATTCTGGGCCTGTGTGTGAAGCTCGTACAGGCATCTCGACTGGCAGAACTGCCTGGATCGCTTTTGGAAGAGCAGCTTTTCAAGGCTTCGCCTGTTCTGGTGAAGCTTTACGCGTCCCATGACACATACAGGCTACCGGTTGTGAAGCTTCTTGATATTCTCATATCGAGTGCCGCCTCGAACTCCGAGAGTGAACCTCCATCTCTTGTTGGTCATTTGGGAGCGGAATCATCGTGCTTGTTCCTTGATGTGCTCTCACAGCTCGACAAACCGCTGGGTGACAAGACTCTGTTGCTGTCAGTTTGGCGATTGCTGTCAACTTTCGTCAGCAAGCGTCAGCAGTGGCTAGCTGTTTTTATTCTTACTGGCGCGTCTCCCCGGCAAACGCTGAAAAAGTCCGATAAGGCTGGAGATCCCAGTATGAGGGGCGTACCGTTCCTGCAGATGGCCCTCGATAAGCTTGCCCAGATTGATCAGGAGGAGCCTGAGGTGGCTTTGGAATTGCTCGAATTTGTCTCTCGTGCTCAGGAACACTGGCCATGGGCCACCCCACAGTTAAAAACCCATTCCCAATTCCTCACAAGCATCGTGAACCACGTCTCGAAACTGAAGATCTCATCTTTGCCAGTGAAGGATCAAATCTTCGTAACGCGAATTGCGGCTGTTGTCGCCGACATTTGCGCTGTGTACTTGCACTCGGCGAAGGAATCAAACGACCGGACCTTTGTCAAAACCCTCATTCCGCTGGTGCAGTGGTATGCTAAAGATGCGGTGGATGTCGCGGCCTACAATGCTTCCTTGCATGCGAACTTGAAGAAGAACTTTGAGGCTCGGTACCAGGGCTGTAAAATCATTGATTTCAAGCGAACACCGTTGGAGGCTCGTACACTGGGTCGTGATTATTATTACGATCTGGATATGGGGCAAAAGTTATTGTCCTACGACTTTGCTTGGGCTGGAACACGGGGTCAAGGGTTCTCGGAGGAATTTGAGCGAGCTAATATTAACTTGTCGCTTGTTGAAGCGCAAGTCAGCCTCCTCAACAGCTGGAAGTTCTTTGCCATTGAACATTGCGCGGACTTCCTTCCGGACCGTGAAATCCAGAAGTCAATGGCCTTAGTAGCACAACATTGTCTTGAAGCAAACAGTCGTGGCGTCCCGCCAGAGTCCATCTTTGATCGGATACAACAAACACGCGTCGACTTTGCTCAGGCTCTCCTCCAGCGATTGGTGCAAGTGGAAGCCCGAGGATCTGAGGTATTCGCCATGCTTGAGGTGACTTGGAAGGCTTTGCTTGCTAGGCACTCAACCTATGAAGAAGCCCTGATCAACGACGATACCGAGTACTACCGCTGCCTTCTCAATGTGCTATTCCTGGCCCTTCAGTTCCATTTGAAGAGTCCCTCTCGCACTGCTCCTGCGGCACAGAGCAAGGTCGCCGTCTCTTCGGACCTTACCGTTGTCGTTGAAATTGTGAAGACCATCGTCGCTCAAGGCTTCAGGTCACTCACGACTTATCTACACGAAGAACCCGAAAAGTGTACGCCCAAGGATTTCGCCATTCTGATTGCCATTCTGCAAAGTGCTCTGAGCGTCAAGGATGCCGATCGACTCTTCGAGCATATTACATACCACATTGAGGACAATGATACCGCTCGACATGCGACTACGCTGTTCTCTTGGGCTGACCAGCTCACTGTGGCTGGAGACCCAGTCTACGGCGAGTTGAGTTTGTCCATGCTTGTCAAAATGTCGACCATCCCCATGCTGGCCGAGCACATTGCTGTGGAGGCCGTCCTAATGAAATTGTCGACTTGTCGTCTAACAAACATTCTCCGCCAACCTAAGGGATTCGGACCCTTCGACCCCGTACCCCGCATGTACACAATCTGGACCACCGGCTTCCTCCCCCTGTGTCTGAATCTCCTCTTTAATGTTGTTCGTGCGGCACCTGAAGTAGCCGCATTCCTCAATCAGTTCGAAGGACAGCTCGCCCGTGCAGCCGAAGTCTTCTCAGCTCCCCACGTCGGCACCACCTCAAAACCCTCATCAGAATGGATCACTCTAAGCATGGCATCCGAGGCATCCTCGCTATCCCTCATCTCCTTCATCCTCGCCCAGTTCCGCGAGGCAGGCCCCAGCGCCGGCTTAGACCCCCAGTCAATCCAGGCGCTGAATTGGGACCACGCCCAGGTCAAAGAGGACATCGAGTCCCTGCTTAGCCGTCGACAGTCCCTGCGATCCCGTATTGTCGCTACGAATGAGAAGGAGGCGGAGTGGTCGCGGCAGAAGCCTGTTTCTGCGGATTCGGGCTGTACAACCCGGTTGGAGGAGAAGGTTTTGGCCGAGTTGAATGCGGCGTTGACTTGTCTGGCGGATGAGGAGGATTCATGATACATGTCGTTTTTATAGCCTTTTCATCTTTTTTTGTCTTGTATTTGGGCTGGGTTGGGGAATGTGAGTTGTGGGTTGAATTAAGATCATTTCTGCATTGTATGCGTCGTGCCCGAGATTTTTTATCATTCGGTAGCTAGATTCCAGTCTAAAGGACATGAGTTCAGCTGATATCATCCAGACCACTTTCCAAGATTAGTCTTATCAATCACTCGGGATGCCCCAAGAAAGCTTACACCGCTCTATTTATAACCGTAGATGTAAAGACCAGACCAAAAATGTTCAACCTTCGTAGCAAATGGAAATGTAGTTGGAAAATCAATGTTCTAGGGTGAGCTAGAGTCAATCTATGAAGTGCGATGTTTGCCCTGAGGGCTAAGGCGACTCGAAGATGGGCCGAGGTCGTAAAGATTCATTTTAAGATTATGGGATCATTTATACTTCAAGAGACATAAGCACCATCAATCCATTCACGACAGCAGACGATTATGGTAGCAACAGGGTCTAAGCCCCATAAATATAGACCAAATGGAAGCTCAATTCATAAAATTATGAACAATGGCACCAATGCATTTATCCGTGTGTTCACCCGAGGTGATTTCCAAGCCTCGGATCCCCCGCATCCATAACCGATTTATGCGGGGAAATGATGCGCTCCTCCCCAAACAGGAAACATGGACCTGAAGTAATACGGCTACATCCAATAAGCGGGGAAATCGTATGATCCCATAATCCCATCATGATCCTTTTATCCAGCTCATCCCTACAATCTTACTACCAATGCCCTTGCTATCTTCATCATCCTAAACCCTAGTAAATTCAAAATGCCCTACAAATCCCGCTGGACAATCGACATTCCAAATGCCCATCTAGCAACCCTCCTCCTTAAATCCCCAACAGAACCCCTATCCAAAACCCAACCGTGTTTCCTGGAAGCCGCCCGCCCAGAATCTCACTACCTAACTCCCCACACCTACCGTCTATGGAGTCAACGCTTTGCAGCCGGACTCGTCAAATCCGGTCTGCAGACCGGTGACCGTGTCCTCCTATATTCTGGAAATGACCTGTTCTTCCCAGTCGTCTTCATGGGTATAGTAATGGCAGGCGGAATCTTCACCGGCGCAAATCCCACATACGTCGCCCGTGAGCTCGCTTTCCAGCTAAAAGATAGCGGAGCAAAGTACCTCCTCTGTGCAGCCGGTAGTCTGGAAACAGGTATCGAAGCGGCGCGCCTAGCCGGCTTACCCCGTGAGAAAGTATACGTATTCGACAGCGGGGTATATGATAATACCGGTCGAGCAATGGAGGGATGTCCCTACTGGGGCGATCTCCTCGCCTCAGCAGAAGAAGGAGAAAAGTTCACCTGGGATGAACTTTCGACGCCCGAACTTGCGGATAGGACGCTAGTCCTCAATTACTCCAGCGGAACGACCGGGCGTCCGAAAGGCGTGGAGATCACGCATAAGAATTACACGGCCAATATGTTTCAGTATACGCACATGTTAACGCTGTACCCGGATTATGAGGTGCGGAAGGCTCGGATGCGTTGGTTGTGCTTTTTGCCTATGTATCATGCCATGGCGCAGACGATCTTTATTGCGGGTGCATTGCATTTCGGGACACCGGTGTATATTATGCCGAAATTCGATTTCGTGAAGATGTTGGAGTATACGCAGGCTTTCAGGATTACGCATTTGATTCTGGTGCCGCCGGTCGTGGTCATGTTGGCTAAGCATCCCGTTGTGAAGAAGTTTGATCTGAGTAGTGTGGAGAGCGTGTCTAGTGGAGCGGCGCCTTTGGGGAGGGAGGTTTGTGCTGATGTGGAGAAGCTTTGGCCTGCTGGGGTTATCAATGTTAAGCAGGGGTGGGGGATGACCGAGTATGTTTCTTTTTTTTTTGTTTTTTGTTTTTTTGTGTTTCCTTTCTCCCGGGTTCATCCTCCGGGGTACTTGGTACTTTCTTTGCTTTGGAAACTAACAGGTCTAGGGCTACGTGTTCCATGCTCGGATGGGATCCCACGGAAAAAAGTGACTCTGCATCTGTCGGGGAACCTAATGCCAACTGCGAGGCGAAGATCATGGCGGATGAGGGTACCGAGATCGTGGCTCGCAATCAGCGTGGTGAGTTGTGGGTCCGCGGACAGAATGTCATGAAGGGTTACTGGCGGAACCCGACGGCGACTAAGGAGACCAAGACGGACGATGGTTGGTTGCGAACGGGGGATATCGCGTATGTGGATGATCAGGGCAAGTTCCATGTAGTGGACCGGATGAAGGTAAGTCGACCAAGTGGGGTGAATCTAGACTGAGATTGACAAATTGTGCAGGAATTGATCAAAGTCAAGGGCAACCAGGTGGCTCCCGCCGAACTGGAAGCGCTGCTGTTGGAACATCCGGCCATCGCTGATGTTGCGGTGATCGGTGTGACAATGTGAGTCATACCATTTGTTCAGGGCTCTATGCTTTTTCATATTTTGATATTTTTTTTTTTGTGGTTCATGAGATGAAATATTCTTGCTGACGATATAGTCACCATGACGAACGTCCACGGGCATACGTCGTGTTGAATGCGGGACAATCAGCTACCAGCGAAGAGATTACTCGTTTCATGGACGGGAAGGTCTCGGCAACCAAGCGGATCACTGGCGGCGTGATCTTCCTCGAGACGATCCCCAAGAACCCATCGGGGAAGATCCTGCGGACAGTACTACGCGAGCAAGCGCAGGCGGAGCTGAAGGGTGTCACAGCTAAACTCTAGTTCAATTATACATTATACATAGCTATTTCAGATCCATCTTCCTCTTCCGAGATTCGTATTCCATATCTATTCTATATTGTGGCTTCCACAACTCATTTGTAATTCCTTGTATGCCCCTCTCTAGGTGCCGATCCCTCGCGGGGATGGGGCAAAAAGTCAAAAGAAAGCACGATAGCCGACCGCGGCATGCACGACGCTGATTCGTCCACTGGGCAAGGTTAGCGCGAGGCCCTAAATCCAGCAGCTGAACGAAAACGATCGCGATCGAGCCAGTGACCAGGGACACGCCTCGTCTATTAGAAGATACGATCAGCCTGGTACTGGTGGAAGACCTTGGAAGCGTTCCGGACAGTAGATCGGATCTCAGTGGCGCCTGGAGGCGGCAGCTGAAGTGGCTGGCTCGTGCCTAGCTGGACACTGATTTAGTGTGGTCTAATTGTGGTTCGCCTTGGGGCTTTTTATTTTTTCTGACTATTTTATCCACTTCATTTCCTGTTTATCGGGAATGTGGAAAGATGAATGAGCTGCATGTGTTTCCTTTTTCTGGTTTTGTAATTTTTTTTCCTTCTTAGTCTCGTTCTTGCGGAGTACAAGAGCATCACCGGTCCGAGGATTCGTAGCACTTGACTTTGACTTTGTGATCGATCAGAACAAAAGGCAAAGGACAGAGGACTGAGAACAAATTTAAATTTGAGCTCAACAAATTCAAAATGTAAATCCAAACGCAAATCTGATATGCGAACCACTGTATCACTGCAAGCAAGCCGTACATACATCCGGCGCCTCATGGCAAATAATAAAAATAAAATATAGAGCCCCGCCATGGGACACTGTCTTTGTTGCCGTCGATCATGGTTGACCAGATCTCCAAGGCCACCTACAAGAAACTTCTTATATTACGCCTAGATCCCCCCTGTAATGTACTCTTAACTCTTCACACGGTACCAGCATCCCGGACGACATACTACTTCCAATCACCTATACTGGGACACCTATATACATATACTACCTCATCTACACATTACCACCCAAAAGGCATCACTATAGAGTGATAGCCCACCAAAGCCCGGGTGGAAAATCCACCCAAAAGCAATGCACACAGCAGCAACTCTACTCAAAGCCAATTGCACCTTCATTCCATCCTGGTGGTGGGCCGGCATTGCCCTTCTCTGCTTGATCCTCGTGGTGGCCACATTTCGTCCGCAGGGATATCCCACCCATTCCGTGTGGTCCGCACTCTCCGACATGGAAAAGGCGAACTCTGACTCGCCCCCCTGCTTCGGCCATGGATGTCTTAAAGCCATTATCGCTGGGTGGAAACTTCCCTAGTAGCGGGGCGGTGGCTGCTAGAGCGCGTGAACAGATGCAGAATGCTGCATCTGGGACGCCTAAAGAGGTGAAGACTGATGGGGGCGGAATGCAGCGGACTGAGACGGTGCAGACAGTTTATGAGAAGGATAAAGATGGGGAGAGGACGTTCCGGCGGTTAGTTGTCGAGTACAATTAGTACCGTCTCTACTGACTCGTCCTGAGTACTTGTGTGTTTTTTTCTTGTTTTGTTTTTCTTTGTGTGATTTGGATTTGGATTTGGAATTGGGCGGCTTTCTGATTTTTGTCTCGTGCCTCTTTTTTTTTTTTTTTTTTTCTTTTCTTTGACATTTCTGAAGTTCTCATTTGATTTGGTTCTTTAACTGGGGTTTGGTTTTGGTTTTGGTTTTGGTTTTGGGAAGAATCCGAGCTTCATTTCAAGATTTGCATCATTTGCATACTTTGATGTTTTGTAGATGTCCCGTGATCCTGACTCAGCAATGACGAAGTGGCCTCTTGAATATCACTTTAGTTCCTAAACTCCACTATATACCGATAACACACTTCCCAACATGGCTGTGACTGCCTTCCCTTCACTCGGGGATTCCCCCGATCTCACCCTCCTCAACACTGCCCGCCTCTTCACCCGCCTCGAACACAATCTCCTATCACCGGGCACAGAGCTCCGCACTCTACGCGGCTCCGAGTTTCAGCGCATGCGCGTAGCCAAGGTAAGCTACTATTTCCCAGAAGGGCGGTGGTATTGATTATAGCATACGACCTTGACTCTGCCATCCTGACTTTTTCCGAATCTAATTCTTTGATAGAATGTCGAATACGCACGCAACCTCCTCTCACAACTTGAACGATCTCTGCCCCAATTGAAATCCCTAGACCGGCGACATGAGGCACAGGAAGAGCTTGTGCGCGACAGACAGCTTCTGAAGCGCATGCAAGCCGTACTAGACGAAGAGGAAACCCGATCCAACGAGAACGAAACCGAGGTAGACGCAGAATGGGAGGAATTATTCTCGAAACCGCTCGCGGAAACAGTCACAAAAACCGAATCACAAGAGCCCCAAATACACATTAAAGAAGAAAAAGTCGAACCCGTCACCTCAGTACCTGCAACATCTACAGCGGCACCGCCTACATCCACGGCACCACCAACCCTCCGAAATAGAACAAATCAAAAACCACCGGCAATGGACTCTGCACAAGCATCCGGAAGCAGTGTCTCTAAAAACGAAAAAGAGCAAGCGCTTAGCACCCACCGCCTCGAACAGGAGGATCTGACTAGTTCACTCGTTTCTCTTGCTAGTCAACTTAAGGCTTCGTCGCAGTCGTTCCAGATGACGTTGGAGAACGAAAAGTCTGTGCTTGATCGGGCGGTGACGGGAATGGATAAGACTAGTGCGACTATGGAAGCTGCGGGGAAGAGGATGGGGATGTTGAGGAAGATGTCTGAGGGGAAGGGGTGGTGGGGTCGAATGATGCTCTATGCATGGATTTTCGGGTTATGGGTTATTGCTATTTTGATTGTTTACGTTCTGCCGAAATTCAGGTTTTAGGAACCCTGTTTTAATGGGAGATGGTTTGTTTAGATACCCGGAATATAATTCCTTGCATTAATCTTTAACCTTTAATCAAAATGTTCTCAAGATCTACATGGAAATATAAAGGTCGGGAACCCGTTCAATTCCTAACGACGATAACCCAACGACCGACCTGGCATGACACATGAGAAGAGACATGAGAATCCGCTGTCATTTCCCCGTGTTCATCACGGATGAAAGCGATGCTTCCAACGGACGCGAGACCAAGGAACATGAAGGGGTGAGACGGTATGGTTACATACAAAACACGAGATGGAATAAAACAAAAAAAAATTGGGAGGGGGCAACCAAGGAGGATATCCAGCGTTCAAAGACAGGGAAAAGGAAAACGTGAAAAAGAAGGAGAAAGGGGTCAAAAAGGTCCTGCTCCGCGTCTTCGAGAGCAGGAGAAAAGACGGCTAAAGATCGTGTCAAGGATCGCAATTAGAAGACACACAAGAAGGAAATAAAGAACAGATGTTAACGCCGAATTCTTGGACACGAGGGCTTTTGGATCATATCTCGGGAGACCTGATGGTAAGCCAAAAGAAAAAAAACACATGCGATCTAGTTTGACACCCGAGGAATGGCAATTCATTAGATCAAACCACAGAGGCGCAGGTTCTCTTGGATGATGATATCTGAGAAAGAAATTAGTCTGAAATCATTGCAAATCCAATGGGAAATAAAAGCTTACCGTTGACAGCGGCCATGACGAATCGGATCTGAGTGGTGTCAGTGGCACATGTGAAGTGGGTGTAGATCTGCTTCTGCTCGGCCTGGTTCAAAGACACGAAGCGGTTGAGAATGTAGTCGCAGGCGGCGGCGTAGTCGGCACCACCCTCGTAGTCGGGGAAGTAGTTCTTCATCGGGCTGACGGGCAGCTTCTCCTTGAAGCGATCGATCTTGTTGAGGAAGAGAATGATGGAGGTCTTGACGAACCACCGGGAGTTGCAGATGGAGTCGAACAGGGTCAGGGCTTCTTGCATACGGTTTACGGTCTCGTCCTCAAATAGCAGCTGGTCGTATTCGGAAATGGCGACCAGGAAAAGAATGGTGGTGACGTTCTCGAAGCAGTGAATCCACTTCTTTCGCTCTGATCTTTGACCACCCACGTCGAACATGCGGTAGGTCAGATCGCCAATGATGAAAGTGGTCTCGGTAATACCGGTGGTCTTGACACGGGAGCGGAGGACATCCTGGTCGGTAGGGAGGTAATCGGGCTGGCCAATGCGGTCAATGGCATCGAAGTAGCTAAAAATCTGTTAGCAAATCGCAATTGTGTTCGTGCCTGGGTCGAAGACGCACTATTTGGCCGAGTCGTTCAGTTGGTATTCACGCGAGCGCTTGAAGCACTCCTGAACACCAGTGTCGCGCCAAAGCGCACCAATGGCGTTGCCGACCTCTGGGGGAATGCTGTCACCCTCGATCTGAGCGGGCTGCATGAAGATAGTCTGGACGTGGTACTCATTCCGGGCATCCTCCAGAGGCAGCTCCAAGGATTCCATGGCCTCCAGAATAACGCGCATCGACTGGACTGTGTTGCTGTAGATGATCTCGCGGAAAGATTCCCGTTCGTCACGCGAGTAACCGCCCTCGTGAATGAGCTTCATCTGCTTCAGAATTGTCGACTTGCCCGACTCTCCGGCACCTATACCCCTATTAGTCAGTCTTGTGTCGAATCACCTGGCATTGGGGTCGAATCCTACCGAGAAGGAGCATCTTGATCTCGTTCCGTTGCATCATCTTGTCGCGCTTGAGCTGGTTCTCGATCTCCTCGTTCCGGGCCTTCCCCTCCTTATCCTCAGTGCTCATTCCGCAACCCATTTTGGCGGTTGTTTTTGGTGTGTTGGCTTAAAACGATCGCGATAAATGTACGAGCCGATCGACTCGAGGGGGCCGCTGTTCAATCACAAGGGACTGTTGAAGGGACGGATGGGTCAGCAAACTTTTTCTCTGCTGTTTCTTATTCTCGGATCGCGTTTTAGGAGGGACGGGTAGCGAGGAGGTGGTACAAGTCGCCGAGGACCGACGTTTCAGGATGCAGTCGAGTGAATGCAAGGGTGAAACAGAATAGTTGACCACGTAGGAGTGTTGGAGCTGCACGAAAGGGGGAGCTCCGGGGGAGAAGGTAATGCGCACCTTAAGGAATCCAAGGTCCCTGGTAGTGAGTGTAAGAAAGAGTGAAGATATTCCAGCTGGAAGAGAGGTTAAAGGTAAGGGGGGAGGGGAAATTGGAAGTTTCAGCAGAGAAAGGGGAACGGTACGATACTTACACTAATACACAGACGCCCGGCTTTTCCACAGATTGACCAGACGGTGACCATGAACTGCAGGATATGATTGGCCCAGACGGATCCAGGCCCCACTTCCACCAGCACGAGCCCCATCCAATCACTTCAGGATCAACTTTTCTGCCCCCTATTTGTTCTTCGCTCTTCAGGTTTTGGTCGCTTTGGGGCCAAATCGTACAGTTCTGCACGGTAGTTCTGCAGACAAAGAGATCTTCGACAAGGTCCTTCTTTTCTTCTCTTTTTTTTTCTTCTTTTCTCTGTCTCTCTTTATATCTATATAAGGGGGAAGCACAAGTCCCCAATCCCAAACGCAGATCCTCGGTGGGGACTCAAACTAATATTGTCCGACAATGACTGTATGTCCGGAGTTAGGATGACACTATGTACAATGATACGGGAGGGGGCTATTTTTCATATACTTTCCTGTACTTTCCTCTATGTAGAGAGTTGCCGATCTTCTGCACACAGTAGACCCATACCTCCTGCTGACCGTTGTGCTTTCCTCAGCCTGGAACACTCCTAGGATCTCACTGTGACACATGGTCGAGACGGGCAAGCCGAGTTTGATTTTCTTACTGTTTGTTATTGCTGCATAAGCAATTCCAGCCCCATCACTAAAATAGTCTCAGTTACGACGTTGAAACTTGGGTGATACATGGGATGCATGTCCATGGCACTACGCTACACTCTACCTTGGAGGTCCACTGTCGATCTGACCGGGGAGAGCGTACCGCCCCCACGAGTATTGAGTATTTCCATACAGACAGATTAATAATAGCCCCTGGAGATTGTGCCCTACCTTAGTGAACGAACTAATGCAAAGGGTGTCGATGACATAGGAAGTAATTGCAGCGGGTCAGCGTCGGGAAAATCAAAAACCCATCCACATGGCAAAAGAAGGAAAAACTGGGCTTAATCCACATGTGTGGCCCCTGAGATGGAATTTCTGGAATTATTTCGCGCCTTGGTCTCGCGCTATTTGTTCCCTGACCCACTCACTAGCTAGTGCTTCTAGCCGTTCTTTGCCGCGCATGCCACTAGGGTTCCTGGAAAATGAGACGACCTGTATAACCTTGTTTGGTTTGAAGTTTGTGAAAAGGAGAATAACATTGAGGTTGAAATAGAATCATTCCCGGTCCTACGCGTAGACTGACCACCAATACGGAGGCTTTACGACATGACCAATAACTACACCCAGCCTTGCCACGGAAATCATCCGCCAAGCTTCACCTCTACGGGCTTAGTAGATGTATCGTGTACGTATACCTAAAACATGTTTGTCACAGAGGAACCGGCCTTGCAAGGTTATCATCTCCGCATTCCCGAACACCTAAAAAATGGTTCTTGTACATCTCTATTTTGGTGTTTCCATGTCTCCGCCTATGTATACTCGCAAAACACCCAATCCCCTAACCTTCAAACTGCTCACAACACAAAGCCTATCACAACATCCGTATCTATCACATTCCCAAATTTGGGCTCCACCAACATCGAACCCGTAGCCACCGCCACGGCGCATTTACCCGCTCAACCGGCGGGTGTTCCTGATTCCCAAAACTCCACAACCAATGTACTGAAGCCCGAAGTGCTGGTACAGCTCACCGTTTACCATAAATGGACAAACGGTATTGCTTACAATCACAGTAAAATTGTTCGAGTTCTTCTTATCTTTATCTGCTCTAAATACTCCACGTGGCCCAATACCTGGAGCTGCAAGGTCTAGGTTTGTCTGAAGACGCTGGCGCTTACATAGTGGATGTCGAACAATGGGTCCACCGAAGCAATAGCGTCGAGACTATTACAGCCGCACCAGGGCCATGGCTCTGGATCGGTCAATATTCTACTCTGTAGCAATTGAACCCCGGGCACAGTACGCGGATTCCAGCTTTGATTGCTGCCCGTTTATCGTTTACAATGTCTATTGTATGAGGCTGACGGACGACAAAAATTAAATCACGGTACAGTACATACAGTATCTAATCTAAATGCTATGGCAAACACAAATTGCAATTGGTTGAACTCATTCAAACACAAACACACCATTTTTAAAAGGGGCTTTTTAACCGAGTAAATAACCAAACAATACACAAACCCAAAACCATGGAACGAACGATCGCAAATCGAAAGGATCGATCTGATTTGATTTTTCGGGGTCCCTCGCGGCTCCACTTTAAATTGGATGCGACCCCTGCCAAACCGAGCACTGTTCAATTCACCACACTCAAGACACCATGTCGCACGAAATGTCCCACCTCGGCCCTCGGGGTACGTCCAATACCCCCAATGACCCAACCTAGAATCACCAGCTAACTCAATTCAGCCTTCAACCACGACCAGAGCAGCGACGCCGAGGCTGAGTACGACCGACTCCGCGACCTGGCCCGCCAGGAAGCCTCGAAGCGCGGTTCCTGTTTCCAGAGGGTACATACTCAGCGCGTTACATCGTCGCAAAAATCGCTAACGGTTTCTTCAGTCGCAGGAAGCGTACTCGAACGGTGATGGCGCTGGCGCTAAGCAGTACTCCGAGGAGGGAAAGGCGCATGGGCGCAAGATGGAGGAATATAACAGACAGGCGTCTGAGTTTATTTTCCGGGAGAACAATGCCAGCGGACGTGTAGCGGCCGATACGATTGATTTGCATGGACAGTTTGTTGAGGAGGCGGAGGAGATTTTGGAGGAGCGCATTAAATATGCGAAGGCGCATGGTCAAACTCATTTGCATGTGTATGTTGCCCTATCCTCAGTTGCTCTTATCGCATTTATCTGTTTCTCGTCGGGAAAGAGCGGTGCGATCGGAGAATTTTGTTACGGGAAACTAAATGCTCACGTCTTCTAGTATCGTGGGTAAGGGTCACCACTCTGCAGGCCATATCCAAAAGATCAAGCCACGCGTCGAAAAAGTCTGTGATGAGTTGGGCTTGAAGCATTCGATTGAGGAGAACGCTGGTCGTATCTACGTGAACTTGACTGGTGGTGAGGCTGTCATGCCTGAGTACCCGCAACACCAACAGTACCCCCAGCACCAGCAGCACCAGCAGCACGGCTACCCTGGTGGTCAGCAACAGCACCAGCAGCAACAGCAACAACAGCCGGATGAGATTGAGCAGGTTGTCAATGCTGTGTTGCCGAAGATCATGCGGAAGTTGGAGAAGGCTTGCTGTGTGGTTATGTAACTTGAAGCGTTTGAGTAAATATAGTACGAAGGATGTAATGATAAATTTTAAGCAGACCGAGCTTCCAACGAACATGCGGCCGTGCATACGATTATTTCATCGATGTCAAATTTCACGGCTAATCTAGGTATCGAAAATATCGAAAATATCAAAGCTTTGAAGGTTCTTTGCACAAAGCATGCTCGACAGCATTGCAAGCGCGCTCAAGGTGATTTGATTCGAGTTTCAATTTCTGCCTCTGTCAGGTCATTCTCAATAGTCCTCAGGTTTTCACCTACACCGGCGCCAAGTTCCTTAGCAATGACCACCAGCGATTACCCATAAGTTCAAAAGTCTGCAGCGACTCGTTTATCGAACATTGCATCTGCAGGAACTTCTTCGGTGTTTTGTCCAATGAAAACTTCATCTCCGGTGAGAGCCATTCCCAATTGTGACACCCGGTCCCACTGATATCGATGAGCAAAGCATTTCCCTGATCGTCCAAAATGACATTCAAAGACTTGATATCAAGGTGACTAAAGCCCTTCCTGTGTAATGATTTCAATACTCTCCCACCTATAGTCCATTGCATTTTTAGTGAGTCATTTACGCCACCCCCACAAATGACCCGCTCTAGCGACCTCCCAGCTTAGTATTCAAGAAGAAATTCCGTGATCTCTGGTGGCATCTCAATTGATGGACAAGTCCCATGTAGATTTTCCGATATGAATACGCCGACTAGCTGCGCAATATTCAGCCCTCCACGGAACTCTGTAAGTGCATCGATCTCGTCCGAGATAGCTTTTGCGTCTTTTAACTCATAAAGGACGATCGATCATTTTGTGAGCGTATTTTTGGTCGTTAAATTGAACCATAGACACGATAGGAGCGTCAAACCCGGCATTTTCTAGATAACTTGCTTCAACCACTTGCAAACCTTCAGCTTGTCAACAGCTGGATAGATAATTCTTCCTGGATCTCCCACAATTTTGCGGCGCCTTTGATGGGAAATTACAATGCAAGGGTTGTCGGCAGCTTGAAATTCATTTCGGATTGGCCCTCCTCAGTCAAAGTCACTTGAAAGATTGACATGGTATTTCTAAAAGCTGTAGTTGGCTGAAGCCGCTGATTGCTTCGATGAAATTTCGCAAATTGAAGCGGAGATCAATATTCAATTTTCTTATTAATTATCTCCAAACATCTAAAAGGTAAACGGAACGCTATATTGAATGCCTGATGTCGGGCGGAGACCAAACCTTCAGGTTAACAATTTTCCACCTAGCAATCCCAGCAATACTAGACTAATTACACATCAGACACAAACACAGTGTCAACAATGATAGGGTCAGACCAAAACAGACCCGCCAAGCCTTTTCTTTCGAGTTCCTCTTCAGAAAGCCAAGGCTCGCCATCAGCAAAGATATTGTACTCTCCTGGAATAAGCTGCTGATAAGTTGGTTCGATAATTCCCCCTAATCTATTTTGAACAACAAGTGTTCGTTGTGCATCCGGTCGAATGGGTACGGTAACCAAGAAGATCGACAGCAGATCAAAAAATTTGGCCTGGGTCAGCGAGCCATTCTGATATAGGCCACCTAACTTGACCCCGGACAGCCCGTTATAAAAGCGGACGTTCTGCTCATCTGGTGGAGCGAGTTCAACAGTCGACATGGTAAGTATGGCGTGTTGTTTCAAACGATGACAGAAGAAGTATGGATGAAAGGGTGAAGCTGGAATGAGACGGTATCAGCTATCAAGTAGATGGTGAGTGATGAAGTGGGCAAATAACAGCCATTTAACAGGGTCCTCAGATTGTCGGAGGTCCCAAGATAGAAACAGTTTAGTGGGAATTGATCAACTTGGTGTAGTATGAGGACGATGTATGGCCGTTTCCTCTTTGAGTGGAAACTAAACTCGAAGGGGAATGAGGTGGAGAAGCCCTGCATATTCGCATCCACACCGCCCTTCCATATAACCTTACATCAACAACTGCCAGAATGAATTGGTCTTCATAGTCTAACTTTCCCTTTTCTTCCAGTGTGACTTATTATCATTCTATCGAAATTGTGCACTCATTTAGATTACAGCCCGAATGTTGCGAGTAGTATATAGGTAAAAATTAGGACGAGTCAATGAATTTGGCTGGGTAAAGATCTTCTAGAATATCCCACCCAGGCTATCTCCGCTGTATTAAGGACATCTAGAACGGTTTTAAGGACCAAAGTATCTACAGTCCTCAATATAGGAGCTAAGTCATGTCTTTGAATACAAATAGCCATTCAAGTATGTCATTTCATATGCTAAATCGAGGAAATGACAGTTCTGTTGTAGGTATCATGACATCGTAAATCCTCCAATGGGAGGGATCCAAAGAGCAAAAGCCACTCACCAAGCCGTAGATCATGTGCTGTCTAGAGTAGAATTCACAATCTTATTCAGAACCGCTCGCACCAGACTTCCATCACCAGCACCATTCTTACTCGGAGTAGCATCAATCTCATCAATCAACCGCAACGCCTGCTCCCGATACCCCTTAACAACAACGCGACAATGCTCAAAGCTGCCCGTACTCTCCATGTACTGCACGGCATACCGCTTAACCTCTTCGTCAGTGGTCTTCTGCTTCAAAATACTAATAAGCTGGTGACTCCCTGGATTCGAACGAATACTGTGAATAATCGGAAACGAGAATTTGCCCTCCGTCAGATCTTCGCACATGCCCTTGTTTTGCGTGTACGTTGTATTGCAAAGATTCAAATAATCATCACAGATCTGGAAAATAAGGCCCAAGACATTGACAAGCCTGACACAGTCCTTACCCGTTGCGCTCTCCGCTTGCATCAGCTTCACCGCAAGTCGGAATAGTCCGCCCGTCTTGTTGCCCACCATCTCAAGGTACTCGTCCTCCGTCGGGCAGTTCAACGTATCACGCCAGAAGAGGTCCATTCCCTGACCGCGGTGAAGATTCAGGAGCTCGTTCACGAAGATATTGATCGCGGCCGGGTTGTTGAGTTTTTGGACCTCTTGTAGCGCAAGGAAGTAGACGTAGTTTGCGCTGTTGATGGTCTGCGCTGTGCCGAAGATGTTGTGTGCGACGGGGATGCCGCGGCGGAGGATTGAGTTGTCTTCGACGTCGTCGATCCTGGGGTATGTGTCAGTTAAAATCTTGAGGTCAGTTGCCAGTGCGGGTTGGGGTTTTGGGTCGGGGCCGGACGAACAGTAATGAAGCTGTGTGTAGCATAGCTACCACGCGGGTGATGATCGCTAGGCTGTCTGGTGGGACCTGGAGCCAGGAGTTGAAGGCTTCGATCATTGCACGGCGGACGTCCTTGCCTGGGTGCGCCTGGAGGTAGTCGTAGGGACCCATGAGGATCTCCTCGTTCCTCGGTGACCATGTGCCATCTTTGTATTTGGTGCCATCCACGCTGGACTTGTTGCGGCGATGCTTCGACTTGCTCGACGGACTTGTCAGGCCGTTTGTAGCGTTGGCAGAGCTGGTCCGTGGTGGGATGGAGGATGGGGGTTCGAAATTCATGTTGGAGGTCATCTCGGAGGATTTGGAGTCACTGACGTAGTGAGGGGAAAGGTCGGAGGGGTTAAATCAGTAAAAATGAGGGAGGGCGGAGGGGAGAGTGATTTCAACAGAAAAGTATCAGCCTGACTAGGCACCGATGAAAATACAACTCATGTCACGCCCGTCTTCTTATATCGCGAGATATTCTTTGACAGTTTCATTCTTTGACTTTGGTCAGAGTTTAGCTCTCGAGTGAATCTACAAATGCGAAAGTGGCATGGATGGCGCTAAGCCTAATCAGGCCACCTCCGGCGGTTGCTGCGACAGAAATCCATGGGTGCTTATCACCACGACAAAGACGCTGGTCACAAAGTGTGATCGGGCGACATATCACATTACCAGTCACCGTGCAGCAAGTGGGGAGAACAATAGTTACAGTCGGTACCCTGGCGTCAAACAATACTAAGCTCAACATATTGTTGTTCTGTAAGGACCTTGGGCCCTCGTGCTATGGCAACGAGGAATTTTTCTTTTTTTATGTAGTTTTAATCGATGATATCAGAGTCGAAGTCGAGGCTAGACGAAGGGAGGTTAGGGTCAAAACAAGAATAGTCAACCCCAGATCTCAAAACCGGTTTTGGAGTGTCAGAAAATAACCTTCAACTGACGATGGGAGATCAAAAACCAATATATAGTGGGTCGTCCGGGGCAACCACCCTTTATTTACTGCCGCAGCCCGACTGACCTCATCGGCCAGACACGGACCACTTGCAAATCTAAATCTCTAGATGTTCTCAGCTGAGCTGACCTTTTGTTTTTATTAAGAGCTGAGCCTCTTTTCTTTCAATTCCTCTCTTCATTTTTCTTTGCCACAAATCATCTATCCCCCTCATGGAGAACCTACTGGCTCACTCATTCGATTATCTCTCCTCGTACGAGCCAAGCAAAGTCCGCAAGGGCTTGCGTCAGGTTGAGGGCCTACTGGCCCAAATCTGTCTCTCAAAGCCGAAATCCACATCTGACCGAAGAAGGTCTTATTTGACCACGGAATCACAACCGGTACCAAAGGCCCTATCTGAACTACGAGATGACCCGGCATTTCGCGAATTTTTCAAAATCCAAGATGGGTTTCAATTCAATGGTGCGTTTAAAGTTTCCGTGCAGATTCTGATCCTATGTGTCGGTGTGATGCATATTCAAGCCTCAATATCAAAACAACAACTAACCATGTATGAAAACAGTCGCTATGCGCCTAGTTTCCTGTCTAGAACACCTCCTCGGCCGCGGCAGCAATGGCACAAACGATATGCTCATCGTGTGCACCTTAGACCTAATTCAAGGCGCTCTTCTCCTTCACCCACCATCCCGCACACTTTTCGCCCGCGAAATCTACATGAATCTCCTCCTAGACCTACTCGACCCAATCAACTGCCCGGCCATTCAGTCAGCAACCCTACTCACCCTCGTCACCGCCTTACTGGACTGTCCAGCCAACACCCGTACCTTCGAAGACCTAGATGGTCTTCTCACCGTGACATCCCTGTTTAAACAGCGCGCTACCTCGCGCGAGGTCAAGCTCAAGCTGGTCGAGTTCTTGTACTTCTATCTCATGCCCGAGACCCCGATTTTAGGACGTGGCGCGAGCCTCAGTCCCCCACCCGGCCTGCAGCGCAGCCCGAGTAAGATCTCGAATCGCCCGATGTCGCAAAGCTCTCATACCTCTGCGGGCGGAGCTAAGATGAGAGATACACGGACGACGGATGAAAAGCAGGCTTTGCTGGGTCGTTATTTGAACAATGTTGAGGACTTGGTGGAGGATCTGAAGGAGACGGCTCCGTTCGGAGCTACGGTTTACTAAACCGCTGGCGATAACACCAGCTGCCGCATTGATGTTGCGATTTTCCCTTTCTTTTTTTGCCTTCTATTCTTAAGCCCTCTTTTTCTTCAGCCTGCTTTGATCGATTCTTCACGAGCTTTACGTTCCGTCCGGTACGGCGTGGTTATGTGGACAAGACTTGACGTTTTCCTGAATCCTGGATATTTGATTTGACTCGACAGATGTTGCCACAGTGTTTTTCCGACTTTCGATACTTTTTTACTTCTCTCGTCTCGTCCTCTTTTCATTCCTCTCCATTTCTGGAATTCTGTTAATTCCCTAGACCTTTGCGTCTTGTTTTCCTTATCTGTCTATGATGGCGGCATGATCGTGTACGAATTCTTTTTGTGACTATTTACCAGATAGAACTTCACCAATTTGATGAAACAAATAATCAGAATTCTCTTGTGCATTCCATAGAGCTTCGGAAACTGTAGGTGCTATGCCCACGCGGCTTGCATATTGGAACCTTGGAAGTTCGTTACTAGGAGAATTTTTCGTACCCGGCCTTGCAAGGGAGACTAATCTTCAAGGGTTAGGTTTGTTGCTTCGCCAACATCCCTTCGGTGGTGATTGGCAATGTAAGGAACTTTGATCGACTCTGTGCTTGAACCTTCTTCGGTTGGAACTAGATAAAAACTTCAATTGAGTCATCCTGTAATTGAGTTATCCTGGTACGTGGTGACTCGAAATGACTCAACATCGGGATCCATTCTCTGCCTAGTGTAGAGCCGAGGTGCGGGGTGGAGCTTGCAGTATATACATCCGCTTCCCCAACGTAATTGACCAGAATGTTTAACAGAACATCAAAGACTGGAAGTTGGTTTGGACAGATAGCAATATGTCGAAGACAATCCAAGAAATACTAGCTGGGAAGGTCAACTCTGGACATGATCAGCCCGTCAAATATATGGGGACTGTAGAGGCATATGATAAATGGGCAGAGGTAAGTCTTCACCTACCAAAGCCCTTCAGTCAGATATATGTCTAACAAGTTGTCTAATGAGTTGAATAGGTCTACGATACAGATGGAAACTTTCTTCAAAAACTCGATACCATCGAGATGCGTGCGCTGCTCCCCCGGTTCCTAGACCTTGTGAATGCTCAATCCCAAGCACAGACACCAGGTCAGCAACTGAAGATAGTAGACCTGGGATGTGGAACAGGCAGAAATACCATCCAGTTATTGAATGCTATATCTGCGCGACAGACAACCCCGGCGGCCCTCGCAGCGCAAGTTGAAGTTGTAGGAGTCGATGCGTCGCCGGGGATGTTGGAAGTTGCGAGAACAGCGATCCAATCTGCCACTGCCAACAATGGACCAGGGAGCGAGCAGGAAAAAGTTTCGCTGGATGTTTTCGATCTTCTAAACCCGGTTTCGGATGCGCTACTGCCTGCTTCCTTACAAGGGTCAGGCGCGGATGGAGTCATTTCTACACTTGTGTTGGAACATCTGCCCTTGAAAGAGTTCTTTGAGAATGCGTCGGCGATTATGAAAATCGGGACGTATTTTCTTGTGACGAATATGCATGCGGAGATGGGGGCAATCAGTCAAGCTGGATTCACGGATCCGCAGACTGGAGTTAAGATCCGGCCTACGAGTTATTGTCACTCTATTCCAGAGGTACTAGACGCAGCCAAAAAGGTCGGGTTCCAAGTAACAAACTTGGTCGAAGGCGAGGACGCTGGTGTTTCGGAGAGAGCGGTCGATGAGCACTTGTCAGAGGTGTTGGGCGCACGGGCGAAGAAGTGGGTTGGGGTCAAAGTATGGTTTGGAGTATGCTTTAAAAAGGTATAGCATAGCGGGACATAGAAAGAAAGAGAGAATGGCAGAGATCAGTGGAGATATTATTTCAGACACTTTGTCGCCGGATCTTGGGTAGTAGATAATAAAACAAGTCTAGAAAAAGCGCAAAAGTCTTTCACGGTGTTGTACAAGGTTGGTGTGCTCTCGGAGCAGTTGTGCCAATCGATTCCGCTTCCAACCCATCCCCTCATCCAGGATCAGATGTGTGTAGGCGAATACGCTGGCGTCAAAGAGGCCAGGATTTGGCCGGCCGAAGAAATGGTCATCTTCGCCGAGCAAGGCAGATAGTGCCTGGAATGCGTTGGCTGCGTCGGCTTCCAGGTCTGCAACGTCGACGTATGGTGATGTCTTGAGAAGCTCGTCGCGGGCGGCTGTTTGGAGCTGGAATCCGAGGGTGGTACGGACGAGTGAGTTTGTGCTCGCCGGAACCACGTAGAGCCGACGAGCTACAGCATTGAAGTTCTCACTATCCAGGTACAGCATGTACAGCTGTTTGTGGATTTATATGTTAGCGATAGCCTTAACAGTAGGATGAGGGTGGCTAGGTCGAAATAATTGCAGAGAACAATGCCCGTACGTACCCATGCATTTCGTATCCGGTGGTCCAGCAGAGAGGCATAGACTTCGAAGCGCAGATTTAATTGCTGCTCCTCCTCGCAGTGAACTTGTTCAATGGCCCATTTCTGGAGCTTGTGTGAAGGAATCGCTTCCGGTGCATTGGTGGGAAGAGCTGGAAGGAGGAAAGGTAAAGCTCCAGTTGGTGATGCATGGTTGTTAGACGGGGTGATCTCGAAATCGACTCCGACAAATTTTAGGTACGCCTATTACCGGATTAGAGATCAGTATACAGTGGAAACCTTGGGTGCAAGGATCGCAACATACCTGCCATTTGAGACATTGAGGGTTAAAAGACGGGCGACCATGGCGCGCATTGGCAGGTTCACTGAAGACAAACAGCTGGTTATCTTGTCGGCGGAACGGAGTACGTTGCGGTATGTCGTTTGCAGGGTAAGTAGCCAAAGGAAACTTGTCAAAAAGGGCTTTTATGGGAGGAGGAACAGTAAAGAATGAGGTCGTATTGCTTTCAGGCTGTACAGCCTCGGTAGCCGGAGGCATTGTGTAGTTGGTGTCTGAAACCAATCATAATACCGTAGCTTCAAATCCAAGGCCGCGGCGAGTCCAAGGGGGATTAAGTAATCCCCCCGCAGTGAGCCACGTGACCAATCACGTTCCTTGTCGAGTCCTTCTTCAGGTACCTACCGCTTGCTACGATTTTAATGTCAAACGCTCTTTCCTTCCGATTTTTTTCCCGCCTCATTCGTACTTGAGTATTCTTTCGCATATTGTTTCTCAATCACAGTGCTACGGGTCTTGTCGAGTTGTCGTCACCGATGACTCGACCCCCCGGTCTATTCCGCCCGAAAGATCTGCCGCATTTTCAACCCCGCCCAATCTCCAGTTCAATCCCAGCGCGTATGGAATTAATACCCGATTTACCGCGAGAAACTCCTCAGTAACGGAAGCCATCAAGTTGCCTTCACGTATCAAAAGCGGATATCCCTACGTTGATACCCCGGCGCCTGCGACCCGTTGCGATAGCGCTTCGTCATCTCACTCTCGAGTCTCGGTCAGACTCAATTTGTTTCGAACATACGCCCGCCTTTGAATATGCCTTTGGACGAAGAGGGAAACAAATGGTCTTGGTAGGATAAGAAGAATTGGCAACTGAAATGGAGCTGTGCTAATTGGATTTGAATTACAGTGAACCATGCGTTCGCGGCCATCGGTCGTCCAAATGTATGCATTTCGAGCGGGTGATGGCAAAAGTACCCAAAGCAGGGCGACCCTTATCTAAATGCCCTCATCCCCCAGGATCATGCGGCTGTGTGAAGACATGGTTCGTAATGGTGCGGATCCCTAGAGGTAGGAAAACTCGACTCCTAGTTTGGGACCATATTGACTTTGTCCCTAGGCTCAGGCTGCTTGTGTGCACCGCTCTATACAGTGCCGGCTACCCCAAACGATTCAGATGAATCTACCCCCGCCGCACCGCCAGTTGCATCACCTGCGCCGGGCAAAGTCCAGAAGTCCGCACGGAGGCAGAGCCATATCCAGGCAGCACCGGAGAACATTGCTAAGGCCTTGGAAGCCATGCCGGACGATCTCAAGTTGGAGGATCGGGCGCCTAAATACTTGGCTGGCCTCCCTCAACACCAGCATGTTCGGAATGAAAATCAGTCTCCCAACCTCAATGACAAACCCTCGCCTCCATCTGTCGCCCCGAATAGTGAAAGATCATGTTGCGGTGGGCAGTCAAGTGCTTCCGTAGCACCGAACCCCGTGACTCCACAACAGTCTAGTCAAAACCAGCGACCTGTCTTGGATGAGACCGGCTTGCCATACGTGGGCTACCCATGGCAAAACCTAATGCATTCGACGCAGCCACCGCTCATGCAGCCTTTTGGCATGCAGAACACCCCCATTCCACAGCCGTACGTGGAAGATTACTCGTCAAATACGCCCTCTGCACCATATGTGCACTCAATGGATCGCCTTCATATATCTGAAAGCCCCATGTCTCCGTTTGCCGCCCAAATTCCCTATGCTTCGGCACCCGCAGCAACTCCTGGGGACTGTCTTGATTGTGAATGTGGAGATGACTGCCAGTGTCTAGGCTGTATCACTCACCCCTTCAATAAAACAACTCGCCGGCATGTACAAGAAATGAGTGCTATGATGTCGTTTGACAGAGATGAGCAATTCACCGAATCCGTGACGGAACCCTGGAGACGCCATCCTTTGCACGGCAATTCAATGACTCATGAACAATTCATGCGACAGCCACCTATAGACCCTCGCACGCACCAAACCCTCAACCAATACGATTACTTTGATCTCAACTCGGCTGTGCCTAGCGGGTATGCGTCTCCTCTTCCAGGAAACAACCAGCTGATGAACACATCGGACTACATTACTCTGGAATACCCCGTTGGAATACCTTCGGCTTGTTCCGACGTCACAGGCAGTTGCCAGTGTGGAAACGACTGTGCCTGCTTTGGATGTGCCACTCACAGCGGCCATAACGGTATTCCCTTAAATGCACCCTTGCCCGTATCATCTAGTGTCAACACTACAGGGTCCCAGACTCCGTCTCAGACAATGGCCGTCACAACGCCCGATGGTTCGCAAAGTTCCCGTTTTTCAGTATTGGAAAACGTTTCTGCGCCCTGCTTAAGTCACCGCCAGTTTCACACCCATTGATCGGATCTAGAAATGTCTGGATGCATAGCTGTTCATCGACTTTGCTCTCATTTTCACGATCTCACGGATTTACGACGAATATTTATTGATACCCAACCCCATTTTAGACAAATCTCCCTCCCAAGGATGGCTCTACAAGTGTTCAATCTTATTTGACACATTTCTGAGCTTTGACCCATCTACCTTCATAGTTTGTCTTGAATACAATTTCATTTTTTCAGGCATCTTTGTTCAATTCACACTAAATTGCATGGGTAGTCTCTCACATCTTGTTCCAGTAAACCCTGTTAAGGAGCACATCCTATATTAGGACTGTATGAACTCCGACTAAATTAAAAAGTGTTTATGCGACTACCAGTAGTTATACAAACTTCAGAACAATCATATGCATTCGGGGATATCATAAGTCTGAGTAGAAAATGTTGTACAGAAGAGAAATGGCCCTTTTCAAGCAAGAAAAAGTCGATACACCGTAGAATGCAGAACAAAAGAAAAAAAAGAAAACAACAACAACAATCATGCCTTATTCCACTTTCCAAACTTGACATAGTCATCATAAAGAGACTTGAAGATAGCCCGTCCAGAGACATCAAGTCCAGCATTGAGTGCACGCAACGACTCCTTGGACATCACATCCAAAGCCGCATACATACCAGGCATCAACGCAGCCTTAACATCTGGCAATAGCGATCCGCGCAGCGAGCACTGCGCATACTCCATAACGACATACTGCAAATGCTGCCCAGCAATACGCTTCGCCTTCTTAGTCTCGTCATTAAGGGCGTCACGCGAAGCACCGGCTTGAGGGCGGAGCACAGCGGACGTAGTGGGGTCGCTAAGTGTTGTAAGGAGACGGGTGTATGAAGATGTGTGCGAAGCTTCAAGTGGAGCGAGCCAGAAGGGTTGAGAAAGGGAAGATTGGAAATGGGCTGAGCGGGAGCGTTTACGGGAACGCGCGAACAGACAGGATAGGAGACGCTGCATGGCTGGGACGACAAGGTGGAAACGACCGCCGACCTTTAGACGCTGGAGACCCAGGACAATACCCATCAGTCGGCAGAGACGGGTGAAAATTGTCGGCGCGTATTCGGGCGAGATGTGCGGTCCAACCTTTGAGGCGGAGGCGGCGATTGCGGCTAGGATTGCATCGATGTTGCATTGGGCCAGGGCGCGGGTATGCACGCGGAGGAGGAGGGCGAGACTCTCGACTGCGAAGCAGAATTGTTCGATTGAGGTGCTGTGCGTCATGGCGTCTGCTAGAGCTGCGGAAAGGAGGGACAGTTCGCGTGCGACGTCGCTGTCCTTGTCGTCGACTGCTGGAAGAGAAATGACGGCGAGGTAGATCACGAGGATGCGGTACCCGGCGTTGTTGCCGGTCAAACCGAGTTCGCGGACTTCACGGATTGATTGAGTCACTTTGGCAGTTGTCATGGAACGGAAACGCTCGGTTGTAGCCCGGATGAATAGCTGTTGGTCCTCGGCGTAGAGAGACTGAAGCGTGATGGTCTCGGCGCATTGCAGGACAGGCTCGGTGATGCTTCTCTCAGGTCCCTTGGTGGCAAGAAGACGACGGCGGATCAACCGAGACGGTTCTGAGTCAATCGACATCTCCATGTAATGCTCGATCTTGGACAAGAACTTCTCCACTTCAATGTGGTTTGTTGCGAGATCCTCGAAGTCCTCTAGAGCATCAATCGTTTTGATGAGAGTAATGGTTTCTTCTAATTTTTGTTTTCTGCATTGATCCTTGACAGACTTCATATCTGCCAGAACCAGACCAAAGACATGCTGGCGACAAGAAGCAAGCTCGTTTTCAGAAATCGATGTTTGCAGCTTCGCGCGGTGTATCCAGAGCTCTGACAACGTCAGACGCAAGAGGAAACAGGGCATGGAGTCACGATCGATCTGTCGCAGCTTGGAAGCCTGCTTGGTGACTCTGGCAAACAACTTCTTGAAGATTTCAGACCGATCATCCTTTGCGAGAACGAGCAGCTTGGCAAGGATTGCACGGTACAAGCTTCGGAACGACTTCATGATCTGAAGATCCAGCTCAGTGCCTTCAAGGGAGATGGACCGGGCGGCAGTCCATATTGGTTCCCATTCGCCAGTGACGTTGGCATCGCACTTCGGCATGGCGGCCAACTTTGCCATCATAGTCAAGATCCCAAGAGTAACCTCGGGGACGCTATCCTGCTGGACTAGTACATCGTTTAGCTTGTCCAAGAGAGCAGTTCTCAAACCGCGAGTGATCAAGGCAGTTGGGATCCTTTGCAAACTATCCACATAGATACGACGATCAGAAGAATCGTGCTCGATGCATTTGTTAAGGAGAAGTACCAGATCAGGCACGAGGCATGGCACGCTGAGCAAATACTCGTGGCACACGATGCTCGCCCATGCCTGTAGGAACCGAGCATCATCTGCCACAGCTTCAAGGGGCAGGGAGGTGGAATGATACTGGGCAGCGGCCAGAGAGAGAAGCTGCTGGAAAAGACGCGATCGATGATCGGCTGTGATGCGCTCCCAGACCTCTGGGACCCTGATAAGTGCGAGAATATAAGCCAAAGCCAGAGTTGTCGCAGAATCGAGGGTATCTATCCGGCCATTCCAGGGTGCCTTCATCGATTTCTGAGCATCTTCACGCGAGACAGAGGTGACGAGGCATGTGATATCCTGGGAGATGGTGTTGAAAGCCTCTAGTTGCTCCTCATTGAGTTTTCCTTTGACGGAGACCAAGGCAAATCTGTACGCCTCCCAGGATTCTAGCGGGGCAAGAGGCGCCTTAGTCAGGTTCTTATGGTTACGATGCACAGTCTTGGAGGCAGCAATCACAAGGGACTGTGCCGCTTGACCCAGGGCATTCTCTGGCGAGTGGATGTTGTTCTGCAAGACATTGCGCACAAACCGCCACAGGCGCCAGCGCCAGTGCAAGCTTTGCTTTGAAGAAAGGGTGGAGGTCAATGTTTCCAAAATGTGGGCCACTGTTTTCTCTGAGTCGGTAAAGTGAAGCGCCTTTCCTCGGGAGCTAGCCTCCATGACGACAATCTTGGCATATGACTGAGGAGCATTGGAAACCTTGCCATCTTCAGCCCTAGTCTCCACAGCGGCAGTTTGCATAAGAGTTGCCAAGATTGAACCACTGAGGGTCTTTCGGATTACTTCACTGAACGTATTGCAAAGGTCATCGTCTTCCCAAACCGAAAACAAGGATAAAGTCTTATCTTCAGCTCGGGCTTCCTCGATCACGACTAGCTGATTGTGCCAGACCTCCAAGAAAAATGGCAGATCTCGTGCAGCCGCGAAACCACGCAACAACGGGAGCGCTATGTCATTCTTGATGATATCATAGTTTTCAGAATTGTTGGTAGCATCATTCCGCCATTCAAGAAGAATCTTGCTAAGTAAAGCGTCAAGGAACTTGCGGGAATCGCGAAGACCAGAGTTTGGTAGAAAGACATCGACGCCAAGGCTGATTACCAAAGCGGTGACAGTCCACTGGACCTTCTCTAAGCCCTCCTCAAGCAGACCTGTGTAGCGCGCATGCGTGAGAATTGTATGAAGAGATAGGCCAACATTGCGTTCAAGAGCCACTCGAAGAAGCTCCTCCAGTACAGAAACAAAGCGAGAAGAAAAGTTGTCAGGATCATCTTCCTGAGAGTTATAGTAGGCCAGCTCTGCCACGGCCACAAACAAAGTCTCTAACCACGGAGCTTCATGAGTTTGGCGTCTGAAATCATCCCTTGGAACCGCTCGTACAGCAATATCAAAAAGCTCTGGAAGAAGCTCAATTGATTGCCAAAGGGCGTGGAAAGATCCATTCTTAGAGTCATCGGTACCCTGAACGCTCGATTGCTCGCGAATAATTGGCCGCAAAGCGGCAGTGACTGGTTGAACTGCACTCCAGTCAGGTTCTTCCGGCGAGTAATCGATGCCAGAACCACCTCGTTCAAAGAACGCTGCTCGGGCTGGGAGTAGCACATGAAGCGCAGTTATCCGTTCAACAGCATGGAGCAGATATGCCCTCTCATCGGTATCGAGGCTAATCTTCCGCAAGCAAAACTGAAGTCTGAGAGCGTGGGAGAAACTGGATTTCGCGAAGCAGTCATTGCTGATTTTGTTGTCCGTATCATCGTGGCGGAGAGACCTCGACTCCCACAATTCTAGCATTGCTGGAAACACGTACAGCAGGTGTTGAAGATCGGTAGTTTTTCCCGCGTGAGTAAATTGGGCGATGGCCACGGAAGCTAGCTGGAAAGCCCTACCCAGCAACAAAGCAACCACATCAGGATCGCCTCGCAAAGCTAGCTTGAGATGGGAGTTGGCAATCTCATCTGTGCCGATTGTTCGTTGAGCGAGAGCCATCACCCCGTGCAAGCAGTCCAGTGCGCGGATGAACGTAAGGAAGCACGAGGCGGGGTCCTGCGGCGGGCTGTCGATATCCATAGCATCTGGGTCATTCTCTGCACTGCCCCTCTTGCGCTTCATACCCTGCATCCCATGCTGCTCATCCACAGAAGAGCCGGACAGCGTCGAGTCCGAATCCAAGCTCGACAATCCATTCCCCACTGTCGCATAAATGTCGGTCTCCAAGTCCGCAATCGTCTCGCATATGATTGACAGGAACTTCTGGTCCTTCATGATTGTCGCCATGTTCTTTGGTGAAATCAAGTCGATCAGCTGTCGTAGAAGCAAGAATGACGCAGGATCGACGCGGTAGTTCTTCCCCGTTCTCAGTCTCTTCAGCAACCATCGCAACACCCACTCCTCCTTTGGAGTAGCCTTGACTTGAATTCTGTCATTTCGGTGTGTCTCTGGGTGACTTTCGCACAACGAAAGATCCAATCCTAAAATCTGTGCCGCTTCGTGTAATTGGGTACTCGGAGAAGCGCTGCCTTTTTCGAGGCGGAGGAGCGCCTCTTGCGACGATCGCGGGCGCTGATACGTGTATTAGTACCAAGGAACTATTGACGCATATATATGGAGAATATGGAGCTTACCTCCACGAGTGAAGGCATCGTGAAACCGAACCGATAGTCTGGAGGGGTTGGTATACTCAAGAAACAAAAAAAGATGTCCAACGGGAAAAAAAACCGCGGCGAAATCCCCCACCGCCTTCGACCCGATCTTCCTCGTGAACTCCCGACTCCTTGCACTCTTCTCTTTCGACCCCATCTACCTTCTTCAATTGCCCTTCTTACCTCTACGTACGTACCTAGGCTGTCCCAAGCGAAAGATATGATTTCGAGTTAACACATCGTTGTTTAGATTTTTCACAATGGCCGATTCCAGCGAGTCCCGGCCGGTCGCGCGGGCCACCAAGCCCGTCAGTGAGGCTTTGCTTAACGAGAAGGTATATACGCTTCCGCAACCTGCTACCTTCCATGCATCTTTGGCGCCTTTCCAAGGCATAGGAAACGAACGCTTTGGAAGCTTCGAATTGGAAACGTGGGCTAATTCTTGAACTGCAACTGTATAGTGGGACCGTGCCATCTCCTCGATGATCATCAAGTCTTCCCTCGGCCTCTCCTTCGGTGTTGTCTTCTCAGTGCTCCTGTTCAAGCGGAGAGCTTGGCCCGCTTGGGTTGGTCTTGGTTTCGGTGCCGGTCGTGCCTGGGAGGAGTCTGATGGTATGTTTACCTCTACAATTTCTTTGATTTAGCTTCGCGAAGGTGTCCATTCAAGGACTAGGACTGTCGGATCTTGCGGAAGGTTGCTATGGCTTCCCTAAGCATTCACCGGCATGCCATTGCCCAGTTGATTTCTAGCTATGAAAGCTGCATGTGGAATCATCCGACCGCTTGAGGGTGACAGTGTTAGACCTGAGCTAGCCCTGTGGAGCTTTGACAGCTTGGAAAATTGCCTTTCACGTCCAGATCAGCTAACTGACCATATAGCTTCCTTCCGCCGCGGTGGCTCATCCATCACTGACGCTCTGCGCCGTTAAACAATTGCCAATGTGTTTCCCATCGTGTACGATACTGTACAGAAGACGGGAGATCGGTTCCGGGGTTCTTTAAAGATAGAACGAAATCCTAGATCGATATCCAGTATTGTGACCAGTCGGTCAGCGTCCACTGCTTCGGCATTGAAGGCGTTCTTTTCTTTTTTTTTTTTTGCCGTTTGAGCTTTTATATGTGTTCAATGGATCCTGTTTTCCGAATTCCGAACTCGTGTTCAAGTGCTGAACGTATTCCCAAATTGAGGTGTATATGAAAGGACGAGGCGTAGTCGTAATAGTTCGGTCATGATCTCCTAGGTGGGATAATATCCAAGTGAACCAGTGCTCGGTACAGATCTCTATCAACCATGTCCACGTGATCAAAAGTATTACTCGATGGCATCGAGTCAAGGAAGAATCCACTTTGAACTAATCTTTCGTTCCCCATGATTAGATACGCCGTCGACCAATCAGCAACGGTCCTGGTGGCTTGCGGAGAAAGTGGATCCCCCGTTCGCACCCGCTTATCATTGATAACGTTGGTCTTTTAGACAATCGGCGTAATTGAAAATGATAGGCACATACGCCTCAGGTGCTCAAACCCCCTGCCACAGGGCAATCTGGGGCAATCATATCGCATGTGGCGGGTCAGGGTGTCGATGATTATCCCGATGGGACCACTCGCAGCCCACCCTTATCATCATTCAAGGTTGTAGCTTGGATGTTGGAATCATTATATCATAGGTCTCCTTCCACATGGATTCTAGAGCGTCACCTTTTTTTCTCTCCTCTCCCTACCCCAGGTTATACCCTGGACTCTGTCTTTTTTCTCAGAGCCGGTTCTTGCTTGCATTTTTGCAGAATAATTTGGCATTATGGATAAGATTAGATGGGGTCTCAATAAACTTTCCGTGGCTCATGAGCCGGGGCTCACCAATGCCCAGTTGATGTTAACGAACGATGATTTACGGCCTGGTAAGATCGCTCTACACTCATCTGACAATGCTCGAATTTTTATATTTTTTCTGTATCTATTTCGTCAAAAAGAAGTTGCGCTAATCTGGACATTCTTGTGCTATAGTCGAACCTGAACGCCGCCAATGGAGCTGGTTGAACTATATCGCATTTTGGATTGCGGACTCGCTGAATATCGTGAGTCCCCGCGCCCTCGATCTATTATCGAAATACCTTTGACACGGCATACCCAGAACACATGGATGATTTCGTCTTCAATGATCATCGCAGGTCTTTCGTGGTGGCAGGCATGGATTTGTGTCTGGATTGGATATTTCATCGCCGCCATTTTTGTCTGTTTGACCGGTCGCATTGGTGCTGTCTATCATATATCTTTCCCAGTCACCGTTAGAGCATCTTTTGGAATCTGGGGTTCTTTCTGGCCGGTGATCAACCGAGTGGTGATGGCTATCATCTGGTATGGCGTGCAAGGTTACATTGGAGGTATGTGAATTTTTTTTCTCCGACATCCGCCACACTCATCATCTAACCGTTTACCCAGGCGAGTGTGTGACCGTGATGATCACGGCCATTTGGCCCAGCTATAAGAATCTGCCCAACACAATTCCTGCTAGTGCCGGCGTCACAACTCAGGGTTTCGTCAGCTTCTTCCTCTTTTGGCTTTGTTCCCTTCCGGCTCTGTGGTTCCCTGTGCACAAGGTGCGCCACCTGTTCACTGTCAAGGCAATTTACTCGCCAATTGCTGCTATCGCATTCTTTGCCTGGGCAATTTCAAGGGCAAACGGCATTGGTCCTATTATCCACCAGCCCAACACGGTCCATGGAAGTACGCTGGCATGGCAAGTCGTCACCGGAATTATGACCTGCATTGGTAACTTTGCAGCCCTTATTATGAACGATCCTGATTTCTCACGATTTGCTCGTACGCCGAAGGATGCTTTGTGGTCTCAGCTTCTGACCATTCCCATTGGATTTGGAATCACATCATTTATCGGTATCATCGTGTCTTCTTCTGCAACAGTGATCTACGGCACGCAAGTGTGGAACCCTCTTACCCTGCTAGGCATGTTCTTAGAGGGAGCAAGCTCTGGACAGCGCTTCGGTATTTTCGTTATCGCGCTGGGTTTCACCCTGGCCCAGTTGGGAACCAACATCTCTGCCAACTCCGTCTCAGCCGGAACTGACTTGACAGCATTGCTGCCTCGGTACCTGAACATTCGGCGTGGTAGTTTCATCTGCGCAGGTATCAGTCTGGCAATGTGCCCGGTATGTTCTTATAAGATATCATATTGATTATAAAGAAAGCATCTAACGATCATTTTTAGTGGAAACTTGTCACCGGATCTAGCGAGTTCACTACCTATCTTTCCGCCTACTCGCTCTTCCTTTCCGCGATTGCAGGACCCATGATCTGCGATTATTACTTCGTTCGCCGTGGTTTCCTAGATATTAAAAGCCTCTACAGCGCCCGCAAGACGGATTCATACTACTACACCTATGGCTTCTCCTGGCGCGCCTACGCCGCTTACTTTAGTGGCATCTTGATCAACATCGTCGGATTTGTTGGCCAAGTCGGCCCCGAAGTCCCCATCGGTGCACAGTACATCTACAACATCAACTATTTCTCTGGCGTCATTGTCTCTGGTGGCATGTACTGGATTCTCTGCTATTTCTTCCCTATCCCTGCAACCAGTGACAAGTGGAACGAAGTTGACATCGATTATGAGGATGTTTCCGTCGCCTACGGACAGGAGGTACCGGATGGAGACCGCACACTCAACTACGGGGAGAGGCGATCCATCTCGGATTCGCTCCCGTCTGATGATCAGAAGGGACTAAGTTCTGCCTCGAAGAAAATCTAATATGCAGATACCCTGGGATATTTGGAGCGTTTGGTTTGAATTTCTGTATTTATCTTGGTTGATTCCCCACTGTACATCACCGGTGAGAGCTGGGTCCGATGTATAATACCGAAGCTCACTGCTTTGAGCATTATGACGAGACGATATTGAATCTGATTCAGGACTTTGAGGCTGCCTAGAAGCCCGTCCTTTGCAACAACCGTTGAACAAAGTTTCTATGGAGTACCATCTTGGGCTTAGTCTGCACCTATTGGAATTTACTCTACTTACAGTAGGGTGTTCATTGGCAAATTCCATATTTCCTGTGGGACCCGCAGCCCAAAATCCTGAAACTTACCAGGGTCCACGTGGCTTAGCACATAAAACGCCATATTAATAGAGCACAAATCCGTGCAATTGCAAGCCTGCATTAGCTCAGCCTATTGATTGGTTGATACGTGCTCCTTGGACAAGGCTGGGGGACGATCCCCATGTCAGCCCCCACACTGCAGGGGGTCATGCACTGCTCACCCAATCACATCAACTGAACAACACCGAGTTTTGTAAATACGATTTGGCCCCTTAATGGCGTGAAAATATGAAGCGAATTGTAGGACCCTGCAGAATTTCCTTCCTTAATCTTTCCTTCAGGAATGAAGGGCTCCCCAAAGAGCAGTGATGCACACGCATCTCTGCTAAATAACTCATCCGCAGAGCATCCACGCGAAGAAACACCTATAAAGCTCACGACACTTCATTCCAAATGGTAAGTCCCATTAAATCTACCGATGCGCCCGAGTATAATTAAGCTTCAATGACAGGATACCCCACGGCGACGTATCCTCCGAAAACCACAAGTATGAGAGTGTTGGAGCAACCGAGCTTCCAGATGACGAAGCACCGAACGATGGTTCAAAACCACTTCCGAAAATAAAAGCAAAATGGATGACCGGCTTGCTATTCTGCGCATTAGGAGTAGCCTTGGCCCTGCTCGCTCATGTCATTCTTACCGTTAAATTGGCTACCAAGGCCGCGTCGCATGGCTATGGATGGGGTGACTCGTCAAGTGTGGTCTTTCATGGAGAATGCAGCACTGCGAATTCAACCGCGACTTGGTTGCATGTGTTGATTAACATTATTGTCCTTACACTTACTGCCACAAGCAGCTACTGCTGTCAGATATTGGCTGCGCCATCACGTGCAGGGGTTGATAAGGCTCATGCACGCCGGGTTTGGGTTTCTATCGGTTCGTCGAGCTTTACGAATATCTGGTACGCACCATACTGGCGCAAGATACTCTGGTTGTTGGTTCTTTTGTCTTCGCTCCCAGTTCAAATGGCGTAAGTATCCCTCTACCAAATGTGATGGTGTGTATGTTGATGAGGTATCCAGGTACAACTCCTTTGTGTATGTTTCTGTCAATGCGCAAGACTTCGGAATGGTAATTGCCCCAACGAACTTTACGACTACAGGCTCGGACTGGAACACGACTGCACATTTTGAGGATATGGTGGGAATGAGCGCGGGGAGCTTGCGTACTGCCATTTCTTCTGGAAGTTTGGAGAGATTGAATATTACCGATTGTGCAGATGAATTGGCCAGCTTTCAGACACGCAAAAATCTTGTGGTGGCGATGAGCTCAGAAGTCGATATGCTCTCCGGTTGGACGTGCAGAATGAATACATACAACGATGGCCCCCAATTCAATTCCACTGAGGGAGGTTGTTCATTGACAGAAGCATGGAAAGGTGAGCTGGAGTTCGATTGGTTTATCAAAGACCCTTTGTCGCTATCAACGAAGAGCAAGATCGAATATTGCTATCATCAACCGGTCAAAGCCACCTGTCAGCTAGAGTGCAGCTTGCCAATCGGCGTAGCTGTCATGACCTGCATTGCAGTCAAGCTCGTCTGCATGTTGATTGCGGCTCTTGATCGTCGAAAGGAGATTTTCTTGACGATCGGGGATGCCCTTGCTTCGTTCCTCAGACGGCCAGATCAGTATACGGCGAACAATTGTCTTATGGCAAGAACAAACAAAGGCCAGTCCAAGGTCAAACTCACACTCAACGAGTACCCTTGGGTATCGATATTTTCGCGATCAGTACCTTTTCGATACGGAGAAGCATCTCCCCCACAGCCTAAAACAGTGAGCACAGCACGTCGCACTTGGTCATCCGCCTTCCCGCCAAGGATGGTTGCTTTCCTCGTCCTCTTCAAGGCCGGTCTGGTGGTCCTGGGCGCTATTGCTATAAGATTCAATACCACCATGTTTGGTGAATCTGGGTACAATTTAGCCTTGATTGGACAGTCTTCTTGGGACAAGAAAGTCAACACGCTATATCATAGCCAATTCTATCCAACTGTGGGACTGGGATTCGTGGCCGTAGTGCTCATTGCAAATATTCCTCAGCTTATTATTTCCATCGTCTACACGGTCTACAATAATGCGCTGACGCGGATGCTTCTTGCGGCCGAGTTTAACAGCTACGCTGTCAAATATAAGCCTCTCCGGGTTTCGTTTCCTACTGGTGAACAACGGTCAACATACTACCTCTCCGTTCCATACCGATACAGCATTCCATTCCTTGCGATCTTCACGCTCTCTCATTGGCTCGCCTCGGAAGCTCTTTCCTTCTACCAAATCGTCCCCATAAATATCAAAGGCGACTTCGAGCCTGACCGAACAGTCAACGGATTAAATGCTTCTTCTTTGGGATTTAGAATCATGGTCGTCCCGTGGTTCATAACTGTCGTGGTATTTTTTATCCTGATGCTACGGCGTTTCAAGTCAGCTTCTATTCCCCTTGCGTTAAACTGCAGTGCGGCGCTCAGTGCGGCCTGTCATCGGCCGCCTGACGACAACGATGCAGCAGAAAAACCTGTCAAGTGGGGAGAAGTCGTTGGTATGAAAGTGCCAAATCTATCAACCCACATCGGACCGGGAATTGCGGATCTCGAGACTGAATGCCGTCATTGCAGCTTCACTTCTAAAGATGTCGTCGACCCAAGGCCCAATTGTGCATATTATTGAGTTTGTGGACGTATATAGATATAGACACGCACATACAAAATAAGCAGATTTTTCATAATGTCTTCATGTTTCTCATGCCTCAATAGTCTATCTAAATCTGATGTCACTCGGCATTTAATAGCACAAGTAGTTAATCCCATGTCTGAAAATTTCCTTATACTAGACTCTACTTCCTAAGCCCCTCCTCCCTCAACCTTGCTCTAACCTCCATAAGAGCCTTCCCCAACAAATTCAACCCCCACTCTTCCCTCCGCATTCCAGCAGCGTCCTTTCCAAACCCAATACCCCAGATCCTATCTCGCGGACTAGCCTCGACCAACTCTCGATCCCCAGTCTCCAGCAACAACAGCTTAAGGTCCTCATTCTGTGAGAATTTCAAATAAGATCCCTCCAAAACTGCCGCATATCTCTCCGCCTCCCAGACACTGTCGACGAAATTCGGGATCTGGCGGCCTAAACTGCGGAGGGATCTTGGGTGTATTTTCCAGCCTTCGTAGATTCGTTTGGTTATTGGGTGAGTTGGAGCGAAGAGGAGGGCTTTGCGTTAGCGTATACGATTTCACTACATGGAAAAGATAAAATAAAATAGCTTACCAGGGGGATAATAGTTGCACACAGTATACCACATCCTCAGAGTAGAGCCTCGGCAGTCAACTGTTGCACATCCAACCTTGCTGGTATCCCTCCAAACAACCTGCGTAAAATGACCGCAGGTCCCTAAATCTCCCCCGGGAGTTGGTTGTCCGTAGTAAGGATCGAAATTCCTGAGCTCGTTATTATACCAGAACTCAGAAATGTGCTGTGCGAGACTAGCTGTGGGAGCACTGCCGGCTAGGTTCTGACCGTATCCGCCTGGGAGCATAGAGCTAAAAGAGAGAGAATGTAAGTGGGACGAAGAGAAGAAGTACGAGATGAAGGGTCGGACCAAACCACTCACGTATTGTGTCTGAACTGGCATGTAATTGCCCATGCATGTGCAGTGTCAGCCAGTCTCTGATCCCAGCTCAGATTAGTTGCGCTATGATTTGCTCGATGAACATTGTGCGTGTACAGGACTTTATCGGGGTAACTGCCTCTGTAGGGGTATCCTGAGGGTACAGATGCAGATGCCTTGGTGGAAGCTGAAGTTTTCGATTCAGAGAATGTAGTTGAGCTTGCCGATGCCTCAGTCTCACCAGGGACGGGGGCTAAGACGGATTTTGCAACGTGTGTAGCCTCGGAAGTCGCAGTCGCCGATGTAGCATGACCCACGTTGGTCGAAGCAGATACCTTGTGAGTGACAAAAGTGGTCAAGTGGCTACCTACACTCGAAATTGAGGTCTCGGGTTCCGAAGCCGAAACCGAAGAAGCGGCTTGAGTCTCTGGCACCACTTGGGTAGTGGTAAATTTTGGATAGTGGCTAAAGTCAGAAGTATGACCACATCGGCGAGTGATACCATTTACAGAACAGTGACCGGCTGAGCTTCCATCTTCATTGATCGGGCTTGCCGGCGGATTGGTAACTTCAGTTGGGTAAATTAGCTCAGTGACGGTGGCAGGAGTAACTCCACAGGCCTCCACATTCGCGAGATTCGTGCCGAGCAGCAGGATGAAGGTAAAGAGTACACTCAGATGGAACAGGGAAGGCATCTTGGAACACAGATTTGCGAGGCGAATAGCTAAAGGAACGTGTTGAAGAGAATGAAAGTGAAGACTTGGTTTCTCGAGTGAATGGAATAGAAAGAAGAGAACACAAACGGAGGATGGGGATGGGCTGAGCAAAGATTTATCTCTTACTTCTACGCTTGATAAAATGACTAGTAGGATGGATTACGTTTCTTTAATATTGATGGTATTTTTATGGACGCAATTCGTTCTATGAGCTCGGCGATTTATAGGTGTAGACCATATTTAACTGCCAGTGAGAATCGATGTACCGATGAATAGAGATAATCTAATGTCTGTCCACTCTCTATCTCGAGGTCATTAAGCACAGTTTCAATAGGACTTGAGCCAGATAGATAAGCTGGGCTACATCGTAAATTGCTCAGCATTATATCATCCTTATAGTACATGCCAAGTCTCCGTATTCAACGATAGGACTGCTCAGGACCAATCGAGTTGCACCAATTTGACAGAGATCCATAGGCGAAAATGCCCGGCTATGCCTCTCATCATCGACCAAGAGGTTCAGAACAGAAAGCACGGTGGAAATGAGTTCAGCCCGGGGCGTGTGGTCAATGAGAGCACATAAAGAGCTGGCGGTGCTTATATGTAGACACCGAGATAGCTACCCAAGAGCCAAAAGGAAAGAAAACATCTATAGAACATGACATGGAATATGAATGATGAGATTGATCTATCAATGGAACGGCCTTTGAATGCAGTTGTGGAAAACAGACCGGAATGAATATAAAGCAAAGTAATTCATGCGATCCAGCGCGTCATCTATTAAAACAAACGAGATAAGACGAAAAAGACCCAAAAGAATGAAAGTGAGTGATATGAAATCCCGCACCCACGGCCTTACATCTGAATCCCCGAAAGAATGACAAAACTCTTCCCAGGAAGATAGGATATAAAGCACATGCTAAAAGAAACCAAAAAGCAAAAGGCTAGCCACATGAATCGGCGCCTCCAGGACCCAACCGAAATGCGAATGAGGACCGACCCCGATGTCGTGTCCTGTCCTGTCCCTGAATGCCGATGCCCGAAGATGAGATGAAAATGTGATGATGCGCCGGTGATCCAGCCACGATGAATTCCCCAGTATGTGTTGTGTGTGACTCCCGCAGATGCGATTGGTGGGCTGTGTCCGCCGTAACCGTATTGAATTCCAGATATGATTCCCATGCCCGTGAAATGAGACGCAAAAACGAGATAAAAGAAATGAGATACCCTGTCAGTTACAAATGGCCTTTCGAGAGCTAGTACAAAAAAAAATGACAATGATACACGGCAGAGAAAACATGGGGTATCGATGCGACAGGGTATAGCAATAGCAACAGCAAATTCCGTGATAATGGTAACAGGCAGAGATGGAATGAATGTCATCAGATGCAAGAGACTGTCTGGGCTATGAGCCGAGAAGGGGGTGTGGGTGGTGGTTGAAGGAAGTCTTGGCTAGTAGTAGATGGAGTGGAGAGGGGAGGAGGTAGGGCCTTTCAAGGCGCGAATGATGAGGTAGATGCAGTGGAAACGGTCGGAGTGAGGTTTGGAGAGCTGTCCTTTTCTTCGGGGCTCACTGGTTCACTGCGATCCTGAGCTTGGTCCTTCTCCCGGTCGGTAGATGAGGAACGCTTGAAGACTGTCTGTCCAATCTGGCGCAAGATACCCATGCGTTCGGCACGGAGTTCTTCCAAGTCTAGTCGTTGGACAGGTACAGGTTCCTCCTTAGAGATCCGGCAGAACAATGTGGAGAATAGATACTGGTCCCCCTTGCCATCGTACAGAGGCAGGTAGCGATAGCCTTGAGACAGGCTGGTGAGCTTAGCAGTGAACGTGGCCAATTGCACGCTATTGTTGTTGCCAGCGCTGCGACCGTCCATGGAGCTCCACACGGTCCAACGCACAAAAACCAGGTCGGGATACTTGGTCTCAAGAGACAGCTTGAATCTATCGTTGAAGACAGGGCTATAACCATTGCTCTGCTCGATCTTTGTGCGGCGGCGATGCGGGTATCCAATACCGGACATTCCGCTGCGCGCAGAGGCATCCATACCGCCTTCGCCAAATGCTAAGCTTTGGCCACGATCATCAGCGCTGAAAATCTCGATCTCGACATAAGGGTTGATGTTGTCTTCCGGACCAATGGTACGAGGTCGAGGAAGCTGCTGCGCTGATATCACATCAACGGAGAATCGGACCAATCGCCTTTCAGTCTTGCGCTTCTGGTTTTCGTTATCCCGGACTGGCAGTCGAAGACTCTCAGGCTTGAGAATATAACCAGTGCGATCAGTTCCGGCCGCGAACATGGCTTGGTTCATCTGCATTCCAATATCGTAAGTCTGCCAATTCAAAGCCGCCATCTGAACGCCACGACGCCAGAATTTGTTGGGGTCAAAGTTGGAGGAACGAAGTCGGAATCCTGAAGGGTATACTCGGGTGAGATATTTTCTGTTGTGTGATTCCAGTGCAACCTTGTTGTCGTGGGTCTGACAAATGCTTTCGAACGATCGCTCGGCAAAAGAATATATGTGGTTATATTTCCTGCTCTCCACCGATGAGAAGCTGTGCCACTTGTAGCCACGAGTATAGACACCAAGGTCTGAGAGAGGCTTGGTGATTTTGCTCTTTTGGCGCCGTCGCTTCTTCTTCTCGCTGTGGGCAGATATTAAAGCCCCGTCACTATCCTCGGTAGCACTGCTCAAACTGGTTGCTGTGAGTGAACGTCTGTCTTGAGGTATGAGAGGGCTTGAAAGTGAATGGACCGGTCCATTGAGAGACTCAGGCGGAGGGGTCGGGCGAACGAAGGGCGAACTAGCGCTGCGCTTTCTGCCGTGAGTGCCAACAGTGCTCACAGTGGTGCCCATAGTGCTAGAACTGTCGATTCGGGAATCGGTTTGTGGCTCGTCGCAAGTCTTGACTTTAACCAAGATACGTCCCTTGAGCTCCTCTGGAGATGGGAGAATGAAGTAGTTGGTCATGATGGGCTCAAGGACTAGTTGTTCCTTAAATGTCTCTTTCATGATCTTGACCATAGCCAACTGCTGCTCTGAGTTGCAGTGAACCTCCAAGGAAAGGATAAGAGGGAAGTCGGTCGAGATGAAGGCGTATCGGTTGATAACCGTAATGCAGTCGGCAAACAAGACACTAGTGGTCATAGTCCGTCCGTGGGAAACGATTGGGCGGCCATCGGCACCATCCCAGCAATCGATCTCGACACAACGGCAACCCTGCTGAAGAGCGCTAATGTATGCCTCGGTACTGGAAGCTCCAGCAACTTGACGGCCAAGCAGGTAAGTATTGTGGGAGCTTGAAATGAAATACTCGTTCAATGGGCGATCGAATCGGGACTGGGGAGCACGTGATGCGTAGATACCATTGCTCGACGAAGCCAAATAAGAGGTGAACATGTCAAGGGTCCATCGGGTCGGCGTAGGTGCTGCTTCGGAAGCATCAGAGCCACGAGGCCTCGATCTGCGAAGAAACTTATCAAACAGGGCGACCCAGTAATCGCGATCTGAGTCGACATCTTCTTTCTGGACGTCGCAAAGAAAGCCCAAAAACTCATCCTGGGTCATGCCAATCTTCGGCTCCTTGGAACGGCTCTTATAAACCTCCTTGACATCTTTACGTTCCTTCAGGCGGCAAAGGAAATCTTTGAATTCATCGTAGTTCAATTTGCCGTTGTGGGTAGCATCTGCTTTGGCGAATTGTGCCCGAAGCATGTTCTTGGAGAAGTTGATATGAAGACCACGGCACACGCTCTCGACAGCAGAGAAATCCAGACCTTGTTCCTCACCGGGGCGAGGTCCTTGTGGGAATAGTCGAGTCATCTCACGTTGCCAATGAGCCTGAATGACAGTCTCACTTTGGCCCGAGCCGGCCAGACCGGCCATCATGCCGATCCGATACCGAGCAATGTGTTCCAAAGTGGTAGTCCACAGCTCGAAGACACGGTCAGAAGGAGCAATCAGATGGAGAGTCTTCACTGTCCGACCCTTGAAACTTCCCGAGTCTGCAATCACAATGGTAAACCACCGACGCTCCGCATCCTCAGGAATTTGATGTTCTTCACGATAATTGCGGGCGTCAGCACCCACACGGATCTCTTTGATATCATCGATATAAAAGCGTTTCGCGGGGTTTGAAAGATCCCAAAAGACCTTTCCAGCGTCCAAGTCCAAAAAGAAGCGTACTTGCTTGCGGCGTTTCTTAGTGAGCTTTGTTAAGATAGTTCCACGCTGCAGCGCGGAGTCCACTTTGGGTGCAATGACAGAAGCAGCGGCGGCGGCAGCGGCAGCAGCACCAACCTCACGAGCGGATGCCATTCGGCCTTCGCTGCGGAGGCTAGAGGGCTCAGAACCAGCGAACGCACCCAGGCTGTCCAAGGCTTCGCTGGCATCATCCTCATTGCTCGAGTCCAATGCGGATTCACGAACGGGCTGGGGACCAGTCTTGCTGTCACTGCGCCGGCGCATGATAACGGGTCCGGAGCTTCGGTCTCGTTTATCGTTTTGAGTAGCAGACTGTCTCCTTCGAGTGAGTTTGTTAGCCGCCCCCCGAGATATCCTGCGCATTAGACCAGGTCCCTTGGAGCTTGGGGCCATCCAATCGCTTGAATTCGCGGAACCCTGGTTGCCGGGTATGGCCATCATTGATTCACCAAGTTCAAGTGGGGCTGGCATCTGGAGAGGATATTCAAAGTTCCGGCCTCGCGGTCCCTCGCTCGGCGGTTGTAGAGGAGTGCCGGCGGGTGTGAAGCCATTTGGTGTGCCAGGCGCGAAGTATGCCGAAGCGGGCGTAGTCGTGGGGGAGGAGGTAAATGAGGGCGTTGAAGAGGGGTTCGGCCCGGCGGGCAGAGATGTAATAACATGAGGTAGAGTGGTAGATCGAGGTAGGGAGGTTGCTAGTGTTAAGCTGTGGTGGGTATCGGCATCCAGAGCCGGTGGTGAGGTCGCCGTGGTGTATGCCATGGCGGCTTGTGTGTTATCAGGGCGACAGCTCAGCTGTCGACAAGGGCAAAATATTTTGATGGGTCGTAAACCGTGCCAGTGGCCGAGTCACCTGGACTCTTATAAATGGCAAATCGGTAGCAGGGCAGGGAACCAGCCGGCCGTTCAAGGGTTGATAGAAGCTAGGGTTGGAGAGCGACACGGGACCAGGAAGAAAACGGAATAGCCTGACACAGTCAGAAAAGCAGAGATAATGGTTCAGCCACGTTCCTCAGCAGAGATGACTTGTTTTTGAACTCTGCATCTTGGCCTAACTGGGATTTAATGCGGAGAGCTCTGCCGGAGAGCACCTCACGGAGAAAAGCCGAGAGAATCAGGAGACTTTGGATAAGAGTTTCAGGATCAGGAAGAAGTCCCAGATAACAATCGCAAAGGGCACTGGCCCCGTTGCAATGGCCGATCTCTCAGGAGAGAAAAAAATCTCCCGATGCTAGCCACAGTAGACGTCACCCTGGGCAGAAAAGGGATCAGACCGGAGGGGGATGATCTCCAAGTCCAAGGTTCCGGTCCGCAGGGTATGTAGCCTTCTTCTTTGGGGAATCCAGCTGAAACTTCTCAATGATAACCAGCACTATGACCCCTCTTTTTCCGTCGATCTGCCGATTGCGTGGGGAAAGCTGTCCTGCAGGCGAGAGGGGAAGGAGGTTTGAACGGTTGCGATATGGACCAATTGATCGCGCAACGACTAGGCGAACCAGGAAGGGGCAATGCGCCGTGTGCTCGGTGGAGAAAGGTTGACAAGGCAAGTCAGAGGCCGGACGATGCGCGCATATGCGGATACAATCCCGGCGATCAGGAAGAGCCCCAAAAAGTTGCAGTCGCGTGTTCGGAAGGCGGCGCCAGCAAGCTGTGGTCAAGAAAAAAAAACCCAGGGATTATGACCTTAGTTCCACGCCCCCCGGCCCTTCGATTGGCTGACGAATGTGAACTAACGATGCAACGGGCTATGGGAGTACCCGTGCTAGGGTGCAGGGAACTTTGTTGCGGCGCAAAGTTGAAGGCGACTGCGATGAGGAAAAAACGGGAATTGCGACACTGCCAACGCAGTGGATGCAGGCCGTCCAAAGAGGAAAAACGAGTAATCGGCGAATTGGCCAAGCTGAGGGAGGAGTTGCTGATGTTGGATTTTGGAGGATTTTGATTTTCTCTTTTAGTGTCAGTTGAATTTAATATTCTTTTTTTTAAGAATAAATTCGCAATTTTTGATGAGCTGATCCAGTTGCTGCACGGTTACGTGGTAGCCACTAGGTATGCGCGGTGGGTGCAGGCGGTAATGGTAATGGTAACGGTTGATCGAAGAGTCAAAAGAAGTCGAACAGGACAAGACCGGCGTTGTCTTTTGTGATTCTTCTGTAGGAGAGATGAGAAGGGAGTTAAGTGAAAGAAGGGGGAAAAAGGAAAAATAAATGCGAATGAATCAATGCCATTCCGCCGTGGAATTGAAGCTGGAGTGGGTACTGGTACTTACTGTGCCGTATGGCGTACTCAGTACCTGTACGGGGGTGGTAACGGAACCCAGTGGGTCGGTGGTATTACAGGTGGAAACTCCCCGTAATTTTGACTTTGGATGCTGTTTCCGGTCATTCAATCGTCAAGGTGATTTGTGAACCTTGCTCGGGTCCCGTTTGGAATCAGAATCAGATATGGGGGTGTCGAAAAGTGTATTGCTGTTTTTGATATACCTCGAGTGTCACGAGGAGTATTGGGGGAAAGCACACAAATACGTAGATTCGACGTGCGTATTGAGTTTATCTATAGGATGAGGCTTAAGAGTGCATAAAAGAAGAAAAAAAATATATTGAAGCAAATAAAGAAGTTTCTTCTTTTTGCAAGGGGAAAGACCACACATGGGCAACGCCCCCAATTAAATAATTTAGAAACAAGGACAACGCATAGCAACGGCCCAAAGTTGAATTTAAGAAAGCAATTTCGTTCAGGTATTCAGGCACAAAAAGTGTGACTCTACTAGCTAAAAACATCCCTGAATCATCCTATCATCGTGTCGGGCCAGCTTGGGTAAGAGATGGGATGACGATGTGGAATGACTGGCACGCCAACCATAACCATCACCCCGGTAGATCTCAATGCATGGGTGTCATTGGCCGATCCCTCTGCATCCTGGGGAATGCTATCGGCCAAACGGGGGCCGATCAGTGTTTCAGATGCGTGTAAATTGAAAAAAAAAAAATAAAACCATGACGACGTCTAAAGGAGACAAGGGGCATCGGGAAGAGGAAAAAAAGGGAGGTCGGAGGATTTCTTAGTGGAGCCCTGGGGCATTCTATTCCGATCAGACTTCCATAGTGTGAACACTCTACTCCGTACTGGCCTTGCCGGGCTCCAATTCCCCCACATTCGCCATGTTTTTGAGTCTGTACTCCGGTAGCTATTTTTCATTTCCAGCCCCACTTCGTCAGCACCTTTATGTCATGTATTTCCTGGCCCCGACACGCTGGTCGCTGGGGGGAGAGATGATGCGGAGCCCTCGGATTCCTCTGCGTTTTGATCGCGTAGACCTTCATAACTTGATTGAACCTTGTCACCCCTTTGACAATCTTATCATGACGATAGGTTAAGTTTCTGTTCAACAGTTAGGCCCCTATCTCTGCCCAACAGGGTACCACAGTAGAAAAAGATTCGCGAGGGTGTGTGCCACAAACGGTCGATCACGATGCACATCTTCATTCCCTCCTATTCGACAAGACTACTAGTAAGTGGGGAACAGAGGGGTGGTCCAACGAGTCCTACCCTGCAGAAAAAATTATACGATAAGGATAGCGGCACACCGTCATTTTCTCGGGACCGAAAGCAGGAAATTTAATACCAAAAAACCAACCAGACTGTCCTAGCGAACCCTGTGAGGCTGGAGAGTGGCAGTGAAACGTTTTGGGCGGTGCAGATGGAGCTTGGTGGATCCCCGCATTACACCGGTTCAAGATCGTCGGAATGTTTGGAAGCCCGTTCTTTGACGAACCGTCTTAGTGGAGGAGCATTATGATTTTAGTGTCTTTTTCTCCTTTTTTTTTTTAGTTTTCTTTTTCTTTTGTCCCTTTTTCATTTGTGCTCTATGGTCTCCTGTGGAGAATGCCACTTCCTTTCCCCTCGCTTGAGCTTCTTGACCGCATCTGCAAATGAGCGGTCTGTAGGGGTTTCAATATCATAACCTAGGTTTACCACTAAATCACTCTCGGTTCTGATAATCATACCATTGAGGGGTACTCGTCAGCTTCCGTATCTGTAGTCATGATACAGACTATCCGAAATGCGACAAGCCGCGCTATGCACTTTCTGATAGCGTCAAGTACACTGCGGGGGCTCAAACCCCCGCGTTACTTGATGCGCTGGCCAAAGAAGACCTATGATTTCCTTGATTCTTTCTTTTTCTGGTCTTTCTTTGTTCGGGTTGATTCGCATCCCCACCCGGGTAAGAAGGTGGCCTCAGTCTTAACGACCCCTCATTGATCTGAACCCTCGCATGCCTGCATGCGCCGTTGCAGGGCGAAACACTTAGCGCGACCAGGCAACAGGGAACGACTCTGTGCCAATCGATGTGCCTCACCCTGGCACACTTTGACATGACCGGGGACTGAACTACGCGGTCCTCGGATAACGACGCGACCCGGGATCACGTTTCCCAAATAAGGTAAACGTGTCGACACATGCATAGCTGCACTCTCGCAAGGCTAGTTCACGTGGTGATGACTCACCTGGAAATAGATTGCTGGAAACTTTCTATCCACTGTTTTTTCCTATTTTCTGACCTTCTCGCCGATCCGTGCGCGCTATCGTGGACTGTCGAGCGGTTGTGGCGGCTTGACCACCTCGGCTGGTCGATAAGATTAGAAGATAATTAAATTGGCAGCGTATGCAGTCGACGACGCCACGTTATCAGTGAAGCATCATGACACCTTCGTCATACTTCCAAATTTGTCGACCAGTCAGATGGGGAGATCGAAGCAGGGATCTTTAAATATCCGGATATGTACTCATGAAGGCGTTCACAGTCAATGAATGAAAATCTCACGTGCTCGAGCTGAGGTCAGAGCTTCATCAGACCGCTCCCCCGTATCGCTGTCCGTTCTCAACATCCCAATGACCAGTCAGCGGCCAAGAGTGAGGCAAAACGGAGCGGGCGACCGACAATCGTGATGATCGCGGGCGGGAAAAGAGGGGGGTTTAGTTGAACCGTGGCAGAATATTTTTCTTAGCTCCTGAAAAAGAAAGCTGTACGTTCCACTGTTTTTTTTCATTTCTTTTTTCTTTATTTACCTCGTGTAATGCAGCATATACTTCGTTGCCTTGATATTGCCTTGGATTTCGAAATTTGTTCTCGTGACCTATAATTTTAAATGGAGGATCCAATCATGATCTTAAAATAGTCGCCTCAGAAGTGGAAACCGAGATGCTGGGTACATCAAGAAAAAGAACAAAAACTATTCCATACTAGGCGTCTCACTAACCTAGTTGGGGATTAATTGGGGCCTGTCTGAGGATGATTTCTTCCAAGATTCTTGGGTTGTTCCATTGGCTTAAGGAGGGGCTTAACGTTGCGCTTTTCGTGAACTGGACCCACTTGTTGACAGGGTCGTTCTTGGTATTAAATGGTATTTATTCGTCATCACTTAAGATACAGTAGCTGTATCCATGGGAGCCCCAGAAAAAGGTCTACGTATTCATACCCCAATCTAGTTTAGTGAGGAGTCATGCATGCTCAACATTCTCTGTACGATTTAGGGGGAAGATTCAATCCTTTGATGAGTTTTTTTCAGTTTCTTTGCTTCAGGGGTTCTCGGTGGCAAATGAATTGGGACCTCAAAGGGTCAAATTGTTAGTCTCCACTCCCGAATAGACAATCTAAAGTAATAATCACACAAGCGTGACCAGGAAATGAAATGAAAGAGTCCCACAGTGATGCGCATGTAAGCAATACCAGTCAATCTCGCAGCCGCTCCCTGCTACGATCAACAGCCCTAGATACACCCCGCTTTATTGGCGTCCCTGCCCTATGGGACGGAACCGTCGGTGCAAAAAAAAGATTTAAATTAACACTTGTTCCCCCTTTGTTCTTGGGATTCTGCGGGGACTTATTGGATTAGTCGGAGTGTTTGGTCGTACACTATGTTAGGGCCAGATTTAGCTATTGATCATATGACACCTCGTAGACTGGATTACCGTAAGATCATTATTCTTCTTATCTTCATCTCTCCAATGCCTTGGTGACGGGATGATGAATATCCAATGACATCATGAAGGCGTGCGTCAAGAAGCCCGCTCTGCTCATCCATAATTACCCAGTACGGCAAGCGGTAATATTACGTGCAACGCTCGGTTTTCAAAAAATATTACAGTTTCTGACCGGTATTGACCTTTGCCAGCGTGTATCTCGTACTGCGGGAACTTAACGTTCATTAACGGTACACAGCGTTAAGCTAATAGGAACCAGGGGATCAAAGTCCGCCATTCACCGTGAAAGCTTCAGGGGTTCCGGGGAAGTAGTTTCATTATGAATTAAATAACAAAACTTTGAAGAAAATAGAATTTGCTCAATGAAATCCATCGGATCTTCAGGAGAGAAGGGGCATTCCAGGAAGTTTGACTCATCTCCCTTACCCCGATCTCCATGCGGATCCGAGCATTGATCCGGTCTTAGCAGCAACTCATTGTGCACTAAAATGACCAACTACATCCAGGAGGACCCAGCGGAATGGAACCGTTGCGCCTCATTTTGGGTCAAGTACGTTTGGACCTATCTATCGGTATCTAAGCTTAGGTTATACGTGAATCAGGCAGGTTGTTACTGCATCTTTGCGGAATTTCTGCCAAAGTGTTACATCTTGAGCAACTCTATTCCTAAACTATCAATGAGTTATTGGTGCACGAGTGGGTTGATATCTCCACGGAATACACAACCTTCAATGCCACTTGACCTATGGACGTGTTGCTGCACGATCCTGGTTAGGACATTCTCCCAACAGAAAGACAAGAAATCAAAACCCAAATCTTCGAAACAATCGGTGAACAGCGCAGTTTCCCCTCAACTTGTCTTTACACGGCAACTTCAATTCCGACTTTGTCTCATCCTGCAGCCACCCCTCGGCACAGCCCCAGTTAGATCCTTCGATGCGTCTTCGATGCTTCATAAAATCCAGTATTATTATCATAAATGACCCCCACTCATCAGCCTTCTCCTGCAAGAGGGTCATTCTGTCATTCTCGGGCCCTCCACGAATGCGGTGGCCCGTCTCTTCGCTGAGAAATCCAGTTGCTAATCGAATAGCGTCGCGTGGCTGGACAGCCTGGCCCGAATTACAATGCTCCCGAGGTGCGAGGCTCGCGCCTACATTCTAACTGGCTGTGCCCATGTGACTCACCAGACCTGGCCCTGCTCCTGTTCCCCTGTCCCAGCCTGGTAGCAGTTGGTGCAACATTGCCATGGCAGGAGGAGAAATGGTTCGCGACGACAAATGGCGTGTCACCGTCCAGGATTAACGATGCATCCCCGCCCGGTTTAAAATGACGGCTTGTCGATGGAAAAAGGCTATCCTAGCCACCAATGAGAAACTCCCTGATGCCCGCTACCTCACCTCACCGCTCGATGCGATCTACACGAGGTCATTGATGTGAGCTCTCTGAATTTCACTCCGAGAGATTCCGGTGCCTTTCATCGGTGATCAGGGACAATCTACTACTTGCAAAAAGTCTATCGAGATACTTCTACAGGCTTTGAAACTTAATTTTAGGTCATGCGACCTCAAGACATCCTACTTCTGCTGCGATTGTACAGCAGACTCTGGAGATTAGCGGGTGGATGGACCGCTAACCCGCTCGCTATCATTAAGCTCAAAACAGCGTGACCTTAAGCAAGCAATCTATGGGAAGTTCATCATTCTCCTATCTAGGAAGGTCGTCTGATGCCATATATCATTTCCGACCTGCCGACTCCAACGAGAGATGTGGCGCAGATAGCTGAGCTGAAATGCCAAAAACAATCGTATACTGGTACTTATCATTCATATTGGACCCAGTAGCAGCCCATTTGAGCCCACTTTTAACTTCCTTGCTTGACTTTTGCACGGCAGCACTTGCCGGTATTAGTGTGGTTTCAGGGCTGAAGTATAACAAGCCGGTACTCCTTATACGAGTGTCTGGAACCTGCTTGTACACTCCAAATCTTGCTACTGGAACCTTGTTTCATACATTCCAGGACATCGCAAGTGATCTGATGGACTGTTCTAGTCCACGACGCGTGACATCTATTTATGAACCCGTTATCTCGCGTTTGAGAAGTTTAGGGTTGTTTGTTTCACCATTCGACCTGCACGGCATTTCGCGGCTGCCCTTTCACCTGATTGATATACATTAGGAGCACAGCCCTAGGTCATACGCAACCCCCGGCATTCATTATTCTGCCAAGGAGTGGGACTTTGAATTGTTACCTCAAACGGCCTAGAGGCCGGGAAAAACACATCACTCTACACTGGGCTTGCTCTACGACCCATCATGTGGATCTGGGGCTGAACGAAAAACAAAAAGTATCCACTATTCCTGAGCCAATCTAACATCCACTAGGAGTTCCGTTGTAGTCAACGTGGCTTCCAGAATTCGCGTGGAATCTGGCACCGACTCCGCCTTTTCTTATTTCTGACACGATTACGTGCAGGAACTCAGGCAGATGGATTATCGTCCAGTTAAGGGTCTCTGGTTTATACCTTTCTATTTCTTGGCATCTTGCTACTTGACACTTATTCCTGGATCTCACGTACTCGCAGGGCAAAACTTCCTGAAACGGTGTGCTAGCCGGCACGGCACGGTCGGCCCTCAGACCGTTTTGCTAACTGCTTGAGCGCAGCCTTGGCAACTTTCAAGTCTTGCACGGTATCAATCTGGGGCGACGTATCAATCCTTGTGGATATGCGTCGTGTACGAAGGGAAGGGAAGGCTTACGGTAATAGTGATGGGCGGTTGCTCGGCCCCAGTTTACAGGGTTGTGGACGGCATTGCAAACCCGATCGCAACTATTATTAGTAAAATTTCCCCATATATCGTTATTGCATGCATTTGACCTTGTCGTGTTCGCATGTCTTGAAACGCGGCGAATCCAGGAGCTCGGGTTATCGGTATGAACACTATTCCGGAGTGACAACACATCTACACAGCCTTGCATTATCCGGTTTTTGCCTTGTTCAGCCCCTGCTCGGGGTTGGGTTTAGTTCGCTTTAGTTCATCTATTGAGGTTTTCATTATTCAATTGAAATTGAATCAAATAGAACCCGCGAGAATCTTGGTAAAAGTAATCTCTGTTTTTGCCCCGCGCTCCACTTTTCATATCGTTATCTGGAACAACCCGAGGCTCAATTTATGCGAAACTACAACCGAACACACAAATTACAGTAAAATCCGGGTAGGGGGTTGGTTGGGGTAGTTCGGATGCGAAACAGGAAATTTCAGATTGGAATCAAGGTCAAGTCATAGAGTCATGGAAAAATACATTCGGGGCTTCTTACAGTGGTTCCAGTAATAATGATCCTGATTACCGGGGCCCCTGGGTCGTGTGTCTTAGCCAAGTATCCGTATTGTCTGAGCAGATTCTGGGGACAATTTTATTCGACATGAGACCTGTTTCCAGACGCGGCGCCCTCGCTACCAAAAACTACGTAGTGTGGGAGCTCCGATTATACGAGCGGATGCGGGCGGTACGGATTGACGTCTCTTTCGGAGCTGGAACCATGGTTGCGGGTGTTTGGCAGTGTGAAGTTAATCGCTTATTTGTGAGGATAATATAGCATACATAGAGAACAGCGACTTGAGGCTCTGTAGGTCGATAGTGAAGGGTTTACGCTGGAGTTTGGATGCTGGCAATTGGTTATCGGATAAGGCAGCAAGGCAGGCGATATCTTTCACTCTTGCCCCTCCTCTGCAGCTTTCAGTCTTCAAGCGGGCAATGATCATGGCCACGATGGAATCACCTAAACAGGTTAACGATGGCTTTACGAAGGCTTTACCGAAGGTTGAGGTGAGGCAAATTGCTATTTCTATGTATCCTAGTCATTCAGAATGGTCAAGCTGATGGCTTCTCCACACCAGCTCCATGCCCATCTCAGCGGGAGTATAAGCCGCCAGTGCCTGCATGAGATATGGAAGAACAAGAAATCAAGAGATCCAAATTTCCCAGTGGAGGATCCATTGGTATTAATGCCTCCAGGCAAAGTCGACTACACTCTACAAACGTAGGCGATAAACCCAAAGCAGCAGAAATCTACATCCAACTCTCAAAAACACCACTAATACCCCAAACAGCTTCTTCCAAGTATTCTCCAAACTCATCTATCAACTATGCAATGACCTAGAAAGTCTAGCCTACGCCACCAACTCCGTCCTGGAAGATTTCCAAAATGACGGAGTCCGCTACCTAGAGCTCCGAACAATCCCCCGCGCATCCCCAAACACAAACATCACACGAGAAGAGTACCTAACTACAGTCCTGGACACAATATCAACCTTCAAGGCCCGCACCAAAACCCAAATGTCGGTCTTCCTGATTCTAGCTCTCGACCGCGGAAACACGACCGCTACCCAAGCACAGGAAATAATCGACCTTGCTATCGCCAACAAGCAGCGTGGGGTTGTAGGCGTCGACCTTTGCGGGAACCCGACGCAAGGCGACGTTACCATTTACCGTGCCGCGTTTGCAAAGGCGAAGACCCATGGGTTAGGTCTCACGCTGCACTTTGCCGAGACACCGGCCTCGGGCGTGCGAGATGAATTGGCGGTGTTGCTGTCGTTTCGGCCTGATCGGCTGGGTCATGTTATTCATGTTCCTGATGATATTAAGGCGGTGATTGTGAAGAGGAGGCTTGGGCTGGAGCTATGCATGTCTTGTAATGTACATGCAAAGTTGATTGATGGTGGATTCTTGGATCATCATTTCGGGTCATGGAGGCATGAGGATTGCCCAATTGCGTTGTGTGTAAGTTTTTGCCTAATCTTCTTTTTCTTTGACTTTGATATCATTTTCGGTTGGTGGTCTCGGACTAATTCTGGATTCCGTTCTTCTAGACAGATGATGTGGGTTTCTTTTGCAGCCCTGTCTCAAATGAGTATCTGCTCGCGGCTCAGCATTTCGGGCTTGATCGTGCTGAGCTAGTCACAATGTGCCGAAAGTCGGTTGATATGATCTTTGGTGGGGAACAGGAGAAACAGAGACTGCGTGCAATTCTTGACGAGTTCGCAGGATCCATGTTAAACATGGAATAAGAGATCCAAACATCCTGGCCGGGGCTGACAGTATCCAATCACTATATTACTAGAATGATCTACGTAATTCGGTTCCACAACATATAGATGCTGGAAACAAAACCATCGATAGGACAGACATTAGGCATGGGTAAGCACAGAGGTAGAAAGAACTACGTGTATACTTCAGTGTTGTGTTCCAACGCCAATTAAGCAGTTGCAGCTTAGGAAGTAATGGGATATTCCGATAGTCCTCATCATGCAAGTTGAATTAGCATACCATGAGTCATTGGCATTCTCATTAGACCGCTCTCCTTCCTCTTCTCCCATTCTTCTCTTCCATTACCCACAATCCTGTTAACAGTTGACTTCAGACTTTGGGCTCGCTCCTATCATCCTCATTACCTAATTTTGTCATGTAATATGCAAGGATGATAATATATAGGTAGGCACAACCTTGGAATCATCCACTTGACTCCCCCAGCATGGCTTCATCATCAGGAGAAAGAGTGTTCCATTAAGGGGTCCGCATTGTGGAAAGATGTTTTGCAACTCAAGTTCTGGACGGGAAAATGTGTCTCTGACATTCACACTTTCCGATCACTGCACGACCACTGACTCGAACACACAACACCAGCACACTTACGGAAGACCACTCTTGCAGAAGAGGTATCTCCCATTGAATTCACTTTTGCCTCACTACAAACCTCACTTTATACTCATTACCGACTCCCTTCCAATACCACTCGCCATCCTACAGTGAGGCTTCACTCAAACAGAATTGATATCATGGCGCTATCATTCGTTGGCCTTGATAGGCAAACCTGCACCATCAACACTCGTCAGCCTGACGCAGTATACCTTCTCTCCTTCGAGATGGCCAGTTGTCAAACCCACGCGGCCACTCCGCATTGCCCTTATCGAAGACCCGGTCGACATCGGTGTCACGTACAGCGAAGACAAGCTGAGTGCCAAAATCAGCGCGCTTGCCGATATCGACGGATTGAAGGAACTGCAATGGTAACTGTGGACATGGGAAATTGTCAACGATGAAATCGATAAGTCGAATCGTCTCTTCTGAAAGGTGTGCGTCGCCGTTCTGCGTGCGATGTAGCTGCGGCTGGTGACCGAGTCTGATGGCTTAATTTTTTTGCTTTGACTGTACCTTCTTCTTGGCCCTGCACTATTCGCGGAGACAGGACATAAAACATTTAATCGCCTATTTCGGTGGCGATGTCACCTTTTTAGTGTGCATGAATAGCTTCAATCAAATCCCGTTTGTGCTGTATGGGTCAATATCCGTGGACAATTGTAAGATTACATGTAAGACCATCGCCTGGAAATTATTTTTCTTGGTTTCGACCCTGGAAACATCGATCCTAATTGCTATTGTCCTCTGTACTACTTCTACTCGCTTCTCGGTTTCTTGCTTGATCTAAACTAATGTCCCACTTTATGTCCCTCGCTGATACCCAATTGAAGAAGCCATCTTATTGCATAAAATCATTGTCGTACCAATGAATTGGGCGCTCAACTTCTACATGAAGACATAGATTCACGGCATAGGGTGTTGTTTCTAGATCTTCTTGGCTGCAGATTATGGTCATCATATTGCATCGGGATGTGGAGGAACCCGAGCATACAGTACAAATTGTCCACTTTTCCCGATGAGGTAGTTGATTGATAGGCGTTAGGACAGAAAGTTTAATTGAATGTTATTTTGATCGCTGAGATATGTTCACTGTGAAATGCAGCTTATCGTGTGACATTGCAGTATTGATTCTGGCATTGACAAGGCGGTTGAAAATCTGGTCAACGTCTCATTACGAAATTAGGCTTCTAGGTTAATAGCAATTACGACCGTTAAGTATTGTTCTAGCTGACGAATTTCCCCGCATTTGCAGCTTCGGAACATGTGGGCCATATCAAGGGATCCCAGCAAGGATCGTCCCTTATATAGACTAGGGATATGAAGCATAGTAAATATTCTCCCACGAAAAGAAATCCGTTGCCCCCGATGAGTGACATTGAGATTCAGAGTCGTGGCAGTACTGTTAGCAATGACAGCTGTGCGGGCTCTATCGACTTGAAAGCAAAACATACGAACACACTCGGAAGCGTTCAGCTTCGGAATCCAATTACAAATGACATTATACTTGTGCCTACTCCTTCAAGAGACCCCAATGACCCTTTGAATTGGTATGATCATCAAAAATAGCATTTTCTCAGCCTCTTTTCACGGATATCTAACTGTTGCAGGTCGAGAGGCTACCGAATTTACATCGCCATAATCTCCTGTGCGGCCATTTTCCTGGCCCAATTCCTAGCAGCTGGACCCAGTGTGGACATGATCGGAATTATAGAGGACCTATTCGGTATTACATCAACGGATCCGGGATTTTCATCTGCATTGACCAAAATGTCATACGCGTTTAGTGGCACCTCATTTGCGCAAGGGATGTCAAATCTTGTCTACATGCCACTCATCATCAAATATGGACGGCGACCGGTCTACATAATCTCATTTCTGATATACGGTGCATGCTCTCTCTGGGCAGGTTTGGCGAAGGATTATAAGGAAGAGCTGGCGGCACGAATAATCATGGGTTTTGCAGGTGGTTCTGCTGAATGTCTGGCGCCTCTCACTATCGCCGACATATTCTTTCTCCATGAACGTGGCCGGATCATGAGGTCTGTCTTCAGATGCAGCAACTCGGATAACTTCAGTCTCCAGACTAACATGATTACTACAAACAGTTATTACTCCGCTGCCCTGTCTTGCGGCGTTTCCGGTGGTATAATTCTTTCGGGCTTGATCACCATTCATCAAAGCTGGCGGGTTATATATTATGTTGCGACCGCGATGATCTGGGCCTTGGTCATTCTAATCACATTTACCATGCCTGAGACAGCATATCAGCGAATCTACCCCGATGTCACAGACGAAACCGAAACCGACCCAAACAAAGGCCAAGTATCCCACGCGGAATCTACTGTTCCAAAGAAAAAGACCTATGCCCAACAAATGCGTCTTTTCAATCCATCCTACACCGATGAATCTCTAGTTACTCTCTTCTGGCGCCCCTTTCCTGTCCTGTTCCTCCCGTCCGTGCTATGGGGAACGCTATGTATGTCTGTCTGCATCGGCACGTTTGTTGCCATCTGCTCCAACTTCGCGACCGCATTTACAAACACATATGGATGGTCAACCTGGCAATGTGGATTAGCCTACATCGCCGCTCTCATCGGGGCCTTTGTCGGTGTTTACGGAGGTGGCTGGCTATCCGATAAGATTGCAGACTGGATGACCCAGCGTCATGATGGCATCCGGGAGCCAGAGATGCGTCTACCGACTATAACCATCTCTTTGATTTTATGCCCGCTATCCTTGATACTTTATGCGGTTGGCATACAAAACTCTTTACACTGGATAGTTCCAGTCATTGGCCTAGGATTGAGTGAGTAACACTACCCTTTCCATGGTGTCTGTTCCTGACAATTCCAGTTGGCTTTGTGATAACCCAAGTGTCTAATATCGCTATTGTCTATGCGGTGGATGCCCACAGACCGATTGCAGGCGAAGTAGTTGTATCACAACTAAGCTTTAAAGGTATGCATACCCAAATGAATAGAGAACGATCCATCTAATAGCCTTTAGCGGCCTTTGGCTTCCTTCTTTCATTTTATACAAATCCCTGGATTGATTCTGCTGGATACCTTAATGCATTAGGAGCGTTGGCTGGTATTTGCGCGGCAATCCTGATTCTGTGGATTCCGCTATTCATCTGGGGTAAGCAAATTCGAATCTGGAGCTTGGGATTGAGAGCCATGAAAGGAGTTCGTTGGGGCGAAGATCGGGAGGTTGGTGAATAAGATATTCATAAATATCAAACGGTAGGTATGCTTCAGAGTCATTTTGGTTTTACTGGATTAGCAGAGTCGCATGTACGTGCGGTACCTTTGAGAAAAGAATCATAGCACATACAATGATCAGGCCCTATCGCAAATTTACATGATGCTTGATTTAAAAAAATCAAGAAAAAAAAAGAAGAAAGATTTGAAATGAGCTCCCACGCCGGGAATTGAACCCGGGCCGGCCCGGTGAAAGCGGGCAATCCTAACCACTAGACCACATGGGAATTGATGGAAGAAAGTGTTCGTAACAAGATATACACACCTACTAATGAGAACCCAAAATGTGTCGCGTTGACCACTCGGCCACGCTTGCACATACGCAGACAAGTAACTAAGATCCTTAGTTTTGCGGACACGCACATACAGCGACCGGGACTCGAAATGCCGCAACGTCAGATGATCCACTATCACATCGCTAAAAAGACAAAAAAGTTAAATTGACTTTCGGAAGTTGTTGGGGTAAAGGCGCGGCGCGTCGCTGCCATTTGGTCTTTGGGGGAGCTGACAGGATATTGTAAGATACAAAACAGGAAGTTTGGTAATGAGGTCCGCATCTTAATTGACGCAGACGCAATTCGATATTGTCGTCAACGATATACGTATCTTACAGTCTCAAAGCGACGGGTTAGAGGTCGATGCCCTGAAAATAGAATAGATATATTTCATGCAAAATCAACATACAGTATCAAAGAGGACTATAATAATACCGTCCGAGACTGTCGAAGGATAATCAAATAGGATAAATCATAGCATGGCTAACCTTGGAGGTCACTCTTACGTCTGGTTTCAGGAAATGATAGACTAAAATATGCATAAACTCTCTTTTCACATTGTATACATTTGGCCAGACTCTATCTTGGTGATAATTGTTATTGGTATTAATGGACTACCTAATCATGAGTCGATGTTCGCTGACATTCTATTTCTCTTCTCTCAATCTGCATATTCTCAGCTGTCACCCTACTGCCATGGTTATGTCATTTAAAGGACTGCAAAGTCGTAGTTTCTCATTTAGGTAGCGGAGCGGCGGCCTTGTTGACGGTCACCGTAGAGGTCTTTAATGAGCTTAGTTCAAAATAAATATAGCTGCGGGTATCAGCCAACTATTCCTTTTCAAGAAAGCCCAATCTTCCAAATAGGTTTGGTCATTTCTGGATATTGGTAATATAGTAGAGGACCACTTGAGCTTTGTATTCTTCCTTCTTCTGCCTCCTTTTTCCAGAATATATTCATTCCAGGATATTTTCACTTCTATATTTACTTCTCTGTTATTCAACTCTCTTCGAAGCTTCAACAAGCTTCACATTACTCTGTACTCATACACTGTTCCATCTACTTCCCTCACATACCACCGGCCACCTAGGTAAGTTCATATAAACCGCACTTATGCCTATCCATGAGCCTCAGTACTTCTCGTCCCCGGAATCATGTAACTGGCTTGATGCCTTTTTGAGGGACAGATCATTCATTGATCCACGGACTTACGAAGTCCATCAAACTGCTTGGACGCAGTATCCGGCTCGCTGGAACTCGAGACCTGCCAACTCCAACCTTGAAAGGCTGGAATATCGAACGAACACCAATTTCGTTCAAAAATGGGTACAGAATACTGTAGTCATCACAGAAACAGTGGGATACGACCCAGTCCCACCCAACGATGTCAATGACATCGAAAGCGAAAATGAAGACGGCGAGTTGGCGGAATCAAAACGCATATTTCCTATACAACTTGAGGCGGTTCCTCCATTTGCAAAACAAAGTCACGGTCACTGGGACAATAGTCTGTTCGCGACACATATGCAGGCTCGTGGATTTAACCATCTACCTGACTACAGTTCGCATGAGACCTCTGATGGTGAGCCTCGTCCGGCCGGCCAGCCGTTCTCTGAGGCGACGAGCATTGTGGTGTCGTCTCTCCCAAAATCCGAGGAAAGTCATGAGGAGCTTAATATTGGGAAGTTGATCATGGGCAAGCTTCGACAAGCCGTTGTTTATGGAAGAGAGGCTTACCGATCACTCCATGATCTAATGAGGAGCTAAGGGTCTCTCGGTAGTGCCAGCCCGATTGAGGCTGGCTTTATCGTATACCCTTTGGGACTCTTGTAATAGATCTCTACTCTGTTCGAGTTGTACCCATTTCAATGTATATATTGTGTACTTCTTCTGTTTAATGTTTTCTTATCATTGTGTTGACTTGAATACCTTTTGGATCTCTCTGCACGCATGCCATTATACATTTGCCTATCAAAGGCTTTGGATCCACCATACATGTCCAAGTTTCTTGGACTTTCATCCTTAAATAGAATATCTCCATGTTTATCTCAATATTGTTACCACGGAGCCATTGAAACACTCGCCCAAGAAACACAGAAACTCTTGGAAGTTATGAATCCCAATAAACAATTCCATGTGTAAATGGCAAACCTCTCGAACTGTGGCTCTCAAGCCCATCGTACGAGTGTTTGACCTCGTGATTGTCTGTGTGATATACCGTCTGGCCCCGGAGAAGCAGTTCCCAATATGGGATCAAGAATACCGAGGATGTACTAGTTGCCCTACCCATTTCTCCAGAAAAAGTTCTCGGTTGAAACGAAAACATCAAGGTCGATCTAAATCGACTCATCTTAGCCGGTTCCTCCTCTGGTGCAGGAACAAGCACCGCTCTCTCACAAGTCCGTCATGAAAAAGGCATTCCCATCAATGATGATAGCCTCAATGTTCCGTTGCAGCATCTGTATATAGGACACTTTCGTGGAATTCCTTGAAAACCTGACTGAATCCCACTTTGGCTAGGGAGATATCATAAAGGACTGTATTATCAATTCTTAAAATGAGAGATAGCTCCAATAGGGTATGGTTCGAAATACATTCACTGCTTTGAAAGTACGTCTGCGCGGAGAAGAGACAGGACGATGACGAAAAATGCATATACTAGCTTCCCAATCAGCCTTCCGATCAACTCAATAATGACATCCTTGTCACAATACTAGGAGCACGGCTGGATCCATTACTGGATAGATGTCGAGATCGATTTGGAAGAGGCTGAATATGAACTTGATCTTCAATATCCTGTATGACTTTCCTTGTCAACCGGGTGTACTGTTCTCTCCGAATCCTTGCCCCATTTCCCTTCGGGTCCTCAGCCCCATCAACTTCCGGACCTCGACATCCGAGAATTACTTTCTTGTGCGAAGCAGGAACTTCAAAGCCACCAGGATGTAGGAGAATCCATTGGTAACAAAAATAACATGCCGGCTTACTACACCCCACGTACTTGTCGTTGTCAAAGAACTCCAACTTCTTTCGACTGAAGTAGTCGACAATTAGCAACTCCGCATGGACACGGGTGCTTTGGGTGTTGGTTTGCGCAAGCTTGCTAGGCATGACAAAGCCTGAGAGGAAATTCCTATTATGAAGCCGCGTATAGAGATCATGCCCTTGATCCCGAAGATAAGGGCTTTTGGAAATATCTTTACAGATCGTGTGGAAATTCACCGATTCTGCCGGAAGAGTGATATCCTTTACGTTTGCAGAGGGTAGGCGTATGGCTTTGGTTTTCCGTAAGATTGGCACATTCATGTACGCCGCGATTATCATCGAAACCGCATAATGATGTGCCCCGAGTCGCCCGATATAGTGAGTTGCCTCAGCCATGTCGATATTATCTTTTGTCCTCGACTTCAACTCATCAAGCTTCCCTTCGCGGCCGCTGTAACACAGTGCAGATAAGCGGTACAGATCAGTTTCGGCCTGAATATCTTGAATCCAGGTGAGTACATCATTATCTTTGTTATGTTAGCGTACGTTATTATCTTGCCCTTGTCAATATGACTATATGCTTGCCTCTAAAAAGCACACTGATGTCGCGATTGCATCTTTTCAAGTGGGAAATTACTTTATCATGATAATTTCTCACCCTCTGTTGACCTAGAAAAAGAGCCTCGCGTAGTATTTTCTCCTCCTTTTGGCCACGATTATCTGGAGTAATATCTCCCAAGTCCCGCAACATCTTCACAACGAAATCATAAACCTTATCGAGGATAGGTTCATTCGCAGCAAGATATAAGCGAGCTTGAATTTGATTTTTCTGGTAGAACTTGCGTATTGCCGCCGCCGTCACGGTGCCTCCCTTTGAGTTGATATCGCAGAGATAGGAAACACCATCGAGAAACGAACGACGCAATTCTTTCGTAGTATATCGATTTTCGCCACACTTTTTATCTTCTCGGTCAATCCTCCCTTGTCCTTGGAACCCATCAAGGCAGTAGAGAAGGTTCAGGTATTTGTGTAGTGTGACTTCATTTTCCTCTAAGCCCCCAGAACCATTCAACATGGCCCTTGGGGCCGCTGGAGGTTCTTTCACCCGCGCCTGAGTTGACATCGCTGCTCTGTCTTTGCTCTGTCTTGGTTGCCTGTTCCTGACAAGTAGAAATAAAATATCGTCCCCAGATACGAAGGTCGGCGCAAATGTTAAACTAAGCAGAATCGAGCTTTAGATTTCACACCCAGGGAGAATGGAACAGAAAGGAATTTAGGAGATGATACGGCGCATACATGCATATTCACGTGATAGAATCACTGGGATGTTGCTTAGCAAGCCCTAGAGATAAAGCTGGGTACCCGATTCTAACATACATGGTGTACTTTACCCTGTGCTTCGTTGAAACGTGACCTGGTCAAAAATATATATTCATGCTAGGGCTTTGGGCGATGAGTCCGAAGATAAATATCAATTTTGTATCGATGGAGCAATTTCGAGAATAAGATACTCTAGCAAGCTTACGGCGGCAACTTTTGATGTGCCTTCAAGAGCACCCGACTCACAACTATGGACTTTCATGATATGCTCAGTAAATACAGAAACTACAGATATTTTGTAGAATAGGCACCAGAGATTAGTCATTCCATAGGTTTAATAATGTGTTGGTACTGTTATCGGTCAGTTATTTCATTTACTGGCGCGTTGGTGGAAACTGATTTCGCTAGTGACTGTAATAGAAGATCTAAACAGGAATCCTGGTAAGCCTGCCAGTGTTACTCAATATAACCCCATTTGCTGATACTTATGTGCCTCTATCTCCATAATCAAACATGATTGAACACCGTACAGTTATCAGACTCATAGATGTGGATGTACAGTAGAGAAGGCGGTCGGCCCACTTGCCCTCGGCTGACCTTCCCGTCCCGCAATAAACGCCAGCATGCAATCGCAGCCCAGGAACATCAACACCGCTTCCTCCGCATTACCCCCCCATTGCTAATCCCCCGTTAATCTACAAAATGGATCCCTTCTCAGCAGAGGGCGGTAAGCATCAAATGAACCCCATGCTACAATCTCAGTCCACTCATACCCCTTTTAGAGCTCCTCAACATCCACAATGCCTTCCACTCCGGCCAGTACCAAGAGGTGATCGACTTTGAGACCGCCGCTCTCTCCCCCGAGAACCAGCTCCCTGCTCGTGTGCTCAAGCTCCGCGCCCAGATCGCCCTTGGCCAGGCTGCTGAGGTGCTCGCTACCGTCTCCAGTGAAGAAGATACCCCCGACCTGGCCGCTGTCAAGGCCCTGGCCCAGCAGGTCTCGGGCAAGACCGACGCCGCCCTGCAACTGGCCCAGGATCTCGCTGAGAACTACCCGGATAATGCGACTGTGGAGGTTCTTGCTGCCACTGTCCTGCAGGCACAGGATCTTAGTGAGGAGGCCCTGGCCCTCCTTGCCAAGCATCAGGGTAACCTGGAAGCGTGAGTTATCCCGTCGCATGCTTCGCTGTACCCCTAGCCAATGTTCTGACTCCTTCTGGTTTAGTGTGTCCTTGATTGTTCAGATCCACCTTCAACAGAACCGAGCCGATCTCGCGCTCAAGGAGGTCCAGGCTGCCAAGCGCTGGGCACAAGACTCACTGCTGGTTAATTTGGCCGAGTCATGGGTGGGCCTCAGAGTTGTACGTGACCACAAACAAGACTCCCGACAGCCATCTTCTTGCAATACTAATATATTGATTCCTACGAATAGGGTGGTGAGAAGTACCAGTCCGCTTTCTACGTTTATGAGGAACTCGCTTCTGCCCCTAGCACCTCTGCCCCGCTCTCCATCGTCGGCCAGGCTGTCGCAGAGCTCCACCTCGGCCGTCTTCCCGAAGCTGAAGCCGCACTCACCACCGCGCTGGAGAAATACCCCGAAGACGCCGAGTTGATTGCCAACACCATCGTGCTGAACGTCCTGTCAGGGAAGCCCAGCACCGATCTGGAGGCGTATGTGACACCTTTTCCCAAACCTAGTATTTTGTTGATATGCTAACTCTGGTATGTAGTCGTCTCTCGCAGGTCCAGCCATCACACGCCTTGCTCGCCGATATCCAGGAGAAGAGTGACTTCTTTGACACCGCTGCGTCGAAGTACGCGCCCAAGGTGTCTTCTTAATAATGGGTGGTATTTGATTTTAGGAGCCTTGTGGAAATCTTGCAAAAAATACACCGTTTGATTTTGTGGAGCCTGTTCTTTGAAGCCAGGGTGTTCATATCCTGCTTTGTTTATGAGTTGATACGACCTCTGCTTAGTGCTATTGCTGGAAACATTCGTTTTCACTTTATATTTGACTGAACCAATCAATAAGATTTTGAAATAACACCACTGAAATACTTACATGACCTAGCAGCTGTTTATAATCCTTAGCTAAAATATTACATGCGGCTGATACAAGAACGGGGCCGGAGATTTTAGGAGCTAAGTTTAAGCTTAAGTCTGGTTGGCTAGATCTTAATCAGCCCATGTGACTACAGATAAAAATGTTTCTGCCATAGTTGTTATCATCATAAACTATCAGACAATACCCGGCATTATCGAACCAAACATGAATTCAGAATGCTATCCAGATGCTCATCAAACCTGTGATTAGATACCGCACAATCAAAGGCGAGCAGCAATCCATCGTCGCAGCTCATTTCCAGTCTGCGTCCCCTCCTTAACCCCAGCATCAACATAGAGATGCATATCATGGGACTCATCACTTCCAACAACAAAAGTCGTATTGGGGAAGACAGACTATAGCCGTAGATTAGCCCTAACCCATTCACATCCAGACCCAGTTCAAAATCGTCGTGGCATACCTTGATATTTTTCGCAAAAGCCTCAATAGGCGAAAGCAATATCTCATCCCCACCAGCCAAAATTAAAATCCTCTCCGTCATCGAATCAGCCCACCACTCCACAGGCGCCTTACTAGGCTCGCTCCAATAATCTCCCTCCTTCCCATCCAGATACATGTCCGACCACTTCTTCAAGCCGGGCACGGTACATATGTCTTTATACGCATTCTCGGTCATGGAAGGCCACTCCGAACTAAAATTGACCCAAGGCGCGAACCCGAAGACACCCGCCAAAGGTGCCGAGAGCTTGAGCGGCTCGATTTCTGGGTGTGGGTGTGAGATGTGTAGCAGTGTTGCCATGGCTAGGTTTGCGCCTGCGGAGTCGCCGCCTAGGATGACGTCTGCCGGGGATCGACCTGTTTCGTTGAGGATATAGCGGAGGGCGCCGACTGCTTGGCGGAGTTGGGTCGGATATGTTTTGTGAGGTGTTAGTGTATAGCGTAGGAAGAAGACTGCGATATCATGGCCGTTTTCGTTCAGGATCTTGATGAGATCGATCCAGAATGAAAAGTGAGAGGGGCGGGCGGCCATGGCGAAGCCGCCGCCTGTTTTTCGAGTTTTTGTAAGCTTCCTCTTGGTTCTGTTCGATCTTTGATCGCATATAGGGCGCTTGTTGAGTATTGGGTAGGGTTGGCTTACCGTGATAATAGACTAGTACATTCTTTGCGGTTTTATTGCCGATCCAGTAGCCGTCTGCGTCATGAGGCAGAGGTACTTGTTCCGGGATAAGACCTCTTTCCTTCATGGTTGATTCGTAGGCTTCTGGAGTCGACAACTCTGAGTATCTGGCAACGAGTTGTTAGCGTTAACGCTTCGTCTTGTTGCTTGTGTTGAAAATGCAAACACGTACTGTCTTTGACGAGTGGAGAACGGATCATTGCGTATGATTAAGCTTATCAAGTGGTGCTTGAACTTCTTTGGGTAGCTTTTACCGCGGAACGGGCCTATGAGAGTCGCATAGAGCGCACTAGCGATGATGGAGAACTTGGAGAAAGGCAGATCGACCTTTTCCCAAAAGCCCAGCTCAGGGACGTCGACTCTCTTGAAGGTAGACATTATAGGCTTGGACCAGATTGAAATAGAAGAACAGGAAAACTTGGGCCAAACATAGTAGAAGTAGTGGTAAATCCCCGCACTTGCCCTGGACCCACCGAGCCCGAAGAACCTCAGGTAGCCTCGGTTGCTCCCGGCGATCCGGGACGCGTCGAATTGGTTGACATGCCCGTGCAGGGAGGGGGCTCACATACCGTTGCAAGGGGGTTTGTGTTAGGAATTTACGTATGAATCCAGTCTCTCCATATGTCCGATCATCATGCATTACTTTCAATTTCCATAGTACTAGTTTATTTCTCACAGATTTGCACGGCCAGCAGGAGCTATTGAGAATTAGAACTGATAGCCCATCATTGGTCGGTTCTCTCACCGTCCAGCTCGCAGAATGCCTTGAAGGTAGTGAAGACATCCTCCTCGCCCTCGCCACTACCAGAGTTCTGAATGATGCACTCCGCGTCGGCTCCCACGAAGAAGACGTTACCCTCCCGAACTTCCTCGGTCTTGTGGCCGATGCTGATGGTGCCCTGACCACGGGTACAGATCAAAATGCTGGGACCAACGATCGGATCAAATGTCGCCTTGGCACCCTTGCGGTTCAGGTCGGTCTTGACCACACTAAATTCCTCGATCGGGGGGTTATACAGCAGCGATGACGAGGCGCTCGAGTATGCCGTCGCATTTAGAACCGTGTACGGGTAGTCCACTGGGCGGAGCTTCTGCTCCTCAATGGGCGCGTACGAGTAGGTCAGCATCTTGGTGAGGGTATCCACATCCTTGAACTTGGGGGTGAAACCCGCACGCACGACGTTGTCGGAGGAAGCCATGCACTCGATGATATCACCGGAGACGTAGGCGTGGATGTCGTCAGCCTTCAAGAACATTGCCTCGCCGGGCTCGAGCTTGATGAAGTTGAGGAAGAAGAACACAAACAGGCCAATGTCGTTGGGGAATTGTCCGTTGAGTCGCTGGATGATAGCAGCCAGCTCAGCTGGGTCGCTCGGGTTGGTCTCGACCTCCTCGGGCAAGGTGCCGAAGCTCGCAGGCGAGCTCTCTGCCGATGCAACCAGGGCATTTGAGGCAGCCTCGATCTTCTCTGAAGGTGACTCCATGAGGGTGGTGAACACAGAGCGCAGAGCGTCTTTGTTGCGTTGCACTACAGCCTCATCCTGCGACTCTTCGTTGCCTTTCACGGTTTCCTCAAACTCGCTGGCGGCCTGTTCACCGATCAAAGCGCGGAGGGGCTCAATTGCTTTCAGAGAGTGAACGATCTCGGCGAGGGGACGGAAGCCACACAGTCCCTCGAAGGGTGTGATGGCAATAGTCATCTCGGGCTTGTGGTTGTCATCTATCCAAGGGCATGCGTTAATTTCCAGACGAAGTACCAAATTTCAGCATCGTCGCATACCAGGGTAGTTCTTAGAGTCCCGTGCATGGAGCTGCTCTGCCAGCTTCTTGTTGGGGTGGGCCTGGATGCTGAGCGCCTTGCCAATGGACAGCACCTTGAAGAGGAAAGGAAGCCGACCAGCATAGCGCTCACTGATCTCCGACGAAAGCAAAGCCTGGTTGTCTTGGACGAGATCGAGGAGGGTGCGCTGGGTTTCGACATCTTTCGAGGGCAAGGAGGGGTGGGTGCCCATCCACAACTGAAATAACTTAGTCAAACTAAGAGACCGAGGAAGATCGTCAAAACCAGCTTACCTCCGCATAGGGCTTCTCAGACTCGATCGCAAAATCTTGGCCTGCCGTTGTGGCCGCATAGCGAGCTGCAGCGGATGTCTCGCCGACCTTGCCTATGACGGAGTTAGTGCGGGGCATTCGATGGTATTGATTTGAGCTCACCCCAGTCGTAGCTGTTGACGCCTGCGAGAATCTGTTAGCGAGATTGCTAAAGTGAGTAGAAATTTGGACATACCGCATTGTAGCCTAAGTAAAGGAATCTGCATCGTGAAGAGTGTGTTTGAGGAGAGCAGTTGGGGCGTCTCAGTGATTTTCTATTACGCAGAATCTCCACGCCAAGACTCTCGGTGAGCTGCCACTCAGGGTCCGGGGGTTCCTTTTATTAAACGAAGTGGACACCGGTGACCCGACATTATTCCTGTTTGTAGTAGTTCCCACCAAGCAAAGACAATGCTACTTAGGAACGTACTGGGTACCTGGTGTTGTCCGCAAACGTCATGTTGAACTCACTGGTATACTTCCGCTTCAAGGTATTGGAACATCTTGATGGTTTCGAACAAAGGACATTGTTAGAGTCAGACTGTGTGGCGATTCCTTGGGTAATATCGCCCTACTGCTAAATACATAATAAATACACATTTACGCTCCCAAATACTTATGTAGTGGCGGCATGGCCAATCTAGGGCTTTTTGATGTTTATACTCCGTACTATACTAGGATTTACGTCATAAAGTCCTCCCAAGGTCTACTGTCTTCGTCCAAGTCTTTCTCCATGAATTTCTCTATCTCTCTATTAGCTTAGCATATAGTTCGTGTTAGACCTTGAAAGATCAAATTAATCGACTTTGTATGACATGGATAGGCACATTGAGTCCAAATGCCAAGAACGCGGTTAATCCGACCGCCTTGCTTATCGGAAGTGAATCTCCCGATCCCCAGCTCTCCAACACCTCCGCTTTCGCCTCTCCCCTCTTTCCTAAGGTTACCCCGGGCACGCTTTTTTCCTGCTCGGAATCCGAGATACAATCCTCACCATGTCTCGCAATCGACCGCGGCCTAGAGACAATGGACTCGGCAACAACGAGGAGATGGAGCTCTGGACCCGGATATGCCAGGACATCCGCAAGTCCAAAGACAAATTCGACCAACAAGCTACGCTATCCGCGCAAATAAAAGCCTTGGTAGAGAAAATCACCGTCAATGGCAACAGTGAGTTCTATTTTCTCTCCCGCGTCGCGCGTGTACCTCCACAACGGACGACCCACCGGTCAACCCCCGCGTTGAGTGACGCGTGCTGATCGCGGGATACCCACATGTGCGATATGGACTAAAAGTAAGACTTTGAAACCCAAGAACCGACGATGACCGAGCATGACCAGCTTGATACGTGGTTACGGCAGAGCCAGAAGCTCAGCGAGGAAGAACGCTCTATTATGATGGATGAGCCGTGCGACGTGATCAAGAACTTGGAGCTCCTTACTGCGCTGAGGAAGGCTTCCGAAGCTGAAGCGCCCCCGAATCGATCATCTGCGCTCTCCAAATCTCGAAAAAAACGATCGGATATGGAGAGCTCGGCGACTGATTCTCCTGGTGCCTCGGGTGTTGATAAGTCGAGTCGCTCCAAGGGTATTGTTCCACGCAGCGCTAGCGTGTCAAGCACCCAGGCGCGTGAGGGTCGCAGTGAAGGAGTTGCAGTGAAGGTTGAAGAAGGGTCTGAGGGGACCAAGGGGACTGTTGCGGAGCGCAGTGGTCTCCTCGTCGTGGGGGCTCAGGTGGTCTTCAAACACAACAAGAACAAACAAGGAGTGGAGGGAGAGGGAATACAATGCATCATCAAGAACATCTCTGGTGATGGACACAAAAAACGGTATGTATCTCTCTGGATGCATCGACTGATTGCACGCTGACAAAATTCTTTGCAGGTGGTATGATGTCCAGGATCCAGAGCCAAATGAAAATGGCGAGCAGGGAGCTGTATACAAGACCACCGCCTCATCTCTCATCCCCATCCCACAGATGAGCGGCTCTTTACCTTCGTTTCCAATGGGTAAGCAGGTTCTTGCGCGATACCCGGATACCACTACCTTTTACAGGGCAGAGGTAATGGGCGCAAAGAAAGATGTCTATCGTCTCAAGTTCGAAGGCGAGGAGGATGACAAGGAGATGGAGGTCGACCGACGCTATGTTTTGGATATTCCTAACAAATAGTCCGGTCGACTCGGAGATTATTCTATGATATGATGATGATACCCGTTAGCGAGGCGCAACTTTGGAGTTTAGCAGATCCCCCTGAATACCGGGCAACCATTTGTCTTGGCTTCCAGGATTAGCAATAAAATGTCTTTTTATTTTGAAAATTTCAAACCGTAAGATGGAGTTTTGTACGTGACAGATTGTCGGAGTGTCTTTTTGATAGACCTAGAGAATTACTCGAGGATTGCGCCCCAGTTTTGGGACGTACGGTAGATTATTGTCGTTTCATCTCATTGTCAAAAATAAGAAGGTCATGTTCACATTAATTAGTAATTCTGCTAGCTCGCTGTGCCTCTAGCTTCAAAAAAGAGAAGAAAAAAGATGCCCACCCAATCATGCAGGTGCTTCTAACATATTCACACATAAAGATTAAATTCCAGAGTCTTCCTGTTCAATACCAAAAGCATTGTCATATCTGTTCCAAGCTTGACAGTTCTGGTTCAGCGACGGGTAATCAATCAGATTGTGGATCTTGTCATACTGCTCAACAAACTGTAATGCAAAACCTTCCGACGTGTGCCAACCAATATGACAATGCATAAGCCAAGCCCCAGGGTTATCCGTCTCAAAAGCAATGAGCAGATACCCCGAACTGTACAGCATGGCCGTGTCACGCCGCGGTGGATTCGATATAAGTGTAGTGCCATCCCAGGGATTGGTTCCCTGCGCAAGAACAAAAAAATCATGTCCGTGGAGATGGATAGGGTGTGCCACAGGCATGGTAGTGTTGATCATTAAGTATACCCATTCACCTGCATTTGGCACCTCGATGACACCGCTTGAATTCCCGAAGTCGGTAACGTGGTTGTGGATCTGTAGCAGTGTGGGATCATTCCATTCTATCTCCATTGTGGTGCTGTTCAGGTACCAGCGGAAGAGCTTGTCTGAATTGAAGTTGACGGTTACATCCTCTAGACCTTCCCAGTTCGCAGCAGAGACGGATTTTTGGACGATTGGGACGATATTGCTCATGTCTTCGTCGACACAGCCATCGACGAATTTATAAGCGCTGGTTTTGGGGGTTCCGGCTTTCTTTTTGTAATGCAAAATGCCTTTGATGTTGTCAACATTGTCGTTCTCGGAGCACGAAGTCTGAGGAATTGCTCGGATCCAGAAGTCACTGGCAACCTTTGCCTGATCGGCTGTTACGATCACATCGTAGCGTTGACCTGTTGTAAAATTAGCTTGATCATTTTCAAAGGAGATAGTTGAAACGAACCCATTCCAATGTTGATAAACTCAGTCGTATAAGGCTTGATCGGCACCAGGTCAGTAGAAATGACGGTCAATTTATGATTATCGATCATGAATTTGAAGTGAGTGTCAATTGCAGCATTAACAATTCTGAGCCGATATGACTCGCCCTTGTTGACCTGCATTTTGAAGCGAGAACCGAGGTCGCCATACACATTGGTTCCGTTAATTAAGCCATTATCAAGAGTTGGCGGGCCGTTTGTTTGCGCTGAGAGGTAAAGCTCGTCTGCGGTCTGATGACACCAATCAGAAAGAATCATTGTGCCTGTGTCGTGATCATAGTTGGCACTTGCAGGCCCGTTGATGACAATGCCGCCATGGACACCCTCCCAGGCTTGCAGCCCAATGTGAGAATGATACCATGAGGAGCCATATTGGGTTGCACGCCATCTGTAGGTCATGGATGACCCGGGTGCAGTGGGGCACTGAGTAATTGACACCACGCCGTCATTTTGGTTCGTGTTCAATTGACGCATGCCATGCCAATGAATGCTGGTTCCATTCTTGGAAGTGTCCAGGTGGTTGGTGACATGAACAACAACCTCATCACCCCAGTCTGCATAGATTGTGGGACCAGGAATCTGGCCATTGACTGCCATAGCACCGCGAGAGAATCCATCTGGAGCAACAGTAACCTCGTCAATGTTAAACGTATATTCTCTTATGACGCCAGTGTAGGGCACAACAGAATCATAATCGGTGTGTATGTCGTAGCTGCACCATTTTGATCTGGTCTTGGGAGTATTTCCAGAGCATCCTTTGGATCTTGAAGGCTGAAGACGCTCAGCTAAAGGAATGTGAAATGCAGCCGCACCCAAGGCATAGACCAGGCAAAGTAATGATTGAAGCTTCATGGTAGATTATTCACTCAGATTATCGTAAGAATTGGTCTGAATGTTTCTCTCCCATTAAGGTAGGACTTCAAGACAAAAGTAGCGAGTGAGAATGGGGCATATAATTCTGATGTCCCTTTCTCCGTCTATATATACATTCAAATATTTCGGAAGTTTGAGGTGTCTGGCACCTCCAAAGTCCGCCTTATCCACAATTAGACCTGCATGTGGTCCCCGTATTCATGCCAGATGGACCCAAAAAAGAAAAGCAAGACCAAGCGATGGAAGCACGCCTAAAATTTGAAAGTGGGGGCTCTGGAGGCCCCAGTGGGGTCGGTTACTACCGGTCTTAGTGCAATCGCGGCTGAAAGATTGGTTGGGTTTGCTTCTGTCGCAGGGTCCAAGCAATCTACAATCCCGATGAACTGTACAGTCTCCATATCTCACCGCCAGCCCTACTATCCCAAAAGTACCGTGGGCCATCTTGGCATGACTGGCACATATGCATGTCTCACCTCGGCCTGGAGCAAAGCCTGGTTTTCCTGCAAGAGAGGCATCAAATTGCTTCAGCTGCAGCTCAACACGTGTGAGTTTTCAATCTACTTCGGAGTTTTACCGTCAGATACAAGGCCAGCAGCAGCGCCACGAAACAACATGCAATCCCATCTGCTTGTTTAGCGGCTCTTAGATGAGCCCTACTTTCTGTGGCGTCGGCATTGTAAGACTTCATGTCTCTTCAAACCTGCTACGACGAGCGAGAGATGTCCCGGGAGTTTGGGATCCAAGTTGTCTCATGCAGAAGAAGTTCAACAAGGGAATTCTAAAGCGCAGGCTATTTGGACTTTCCGGAGTATGAAATGTTGAATTAACTTTCGTATCTATACCCGAATCCGCCAGGGCAGATGCCTGGGCAGGGGAAGGCGTACGTACACCTTCTGCGAGGTACGGAATTTATGAAAACTTTCAAATCCCCAAAATATAACCACCGAGGTCAGCTCGGCACCGCTGTCCAACTTATAGACATACATACCCGTCTATACACCACCAACCTGATTTTTACTTGAACACCATTGAATTTTACATTCGAAATCCAACCCCAGCCTCACATCTTTAATACCGAAAATGCGGTGGTTTACTCCCGTACTCGCTTTGGTGTTTACGGCATTTGGCCGTGTCTCAGCTCGTCCGTTAGAACAACGGGGAGGCATTGAGTACAAAATTTATGCCTATGGAGACAACATCGGCGGTCTTCAGGTCTACTACTCAGATGGTGAGAAATAATTTATGTTTTATCCCGGGTATTTCTCGATACAATACTGAATAAGTTCATCTCTCCTAGGTATCGCCATGATCAGTGAATCGACTGATTCGAATGAGACACCTATCTACCGTAAGCAGACCTTCCTCAACTTCCAAAATCTCAATTGCGATGACCTACCCGCATCCAGACTAACACAATCATACGATCATAGTAACGGTTTCTGACTCAGACGCCTATACTTGGGTCGCGCATCCAGATTCCAGCAGTGCCGCTTGGACCACCAAGCTGCTGTATATGGCTAGTAGCGGCACAGGTGAAGTTGGGTTCACGTCATCTGACAATACATCTGGAAAGCTCACTGATGTGTGGTGGACCTATGGAAACTATGTCATGGCAAATGTGGAGAGTGCCACTTTCTACGCTGAGCCTGTTTCTGGAAGTAGTGGGGTGTATACTCTGAGCTGGAGCAATGTCGATCAATCGGGGACTAACAAGGTGCTTGTGACCCTAAGGACGATTGCGCCGTCCACTGACAGTGTTCTGAGCTAGTCAATTGGGGGCGAAGCTGTAATGAGGTGTTCGAGACAGGATGATTGGACTCAACGAGAAGTGTTGGTGCCCAGGCTCGCTAATATTTGGCGATATTTGATTACTATGCGAAATCAGCTTCTGACATGTGCTTGTCTGTTTATGGTACTTGTTTAGCATTCAATAATAGTATCATTGCTTTCACGATGCTTATTGCACTATTAAGAAGGCCTCTTATCATATTGTATTTACAAGATCCTGTATTAGAACATCAGGCTGATCATGAGGCCAAGGAAGTACCGGTGTACACGTCATTGCGTGCTGCACGCCAAGACGGCAAAAAAGGGACGTGCCCTAAGAACTTGAGTAACGCCAAACATAGCACATCCTTGTTGGAGTTCATAAACAAGTGCGATTTCTGATCCCACATGCATAGTGCACATAGTGGATACCGGTCGATCGATCAGATCCACTGCCACGTCAATCTCCCCCATCTCGCCCGCATTAATTCATGTTTGACCAAACCTACCGAGCTCTAGTGCACATCGGCACTTGTAACCCATTAGCCACATATCCACATCTTCTACCTTTACCGGAGTTAGATCGTCGACCTTATCGATTTTCTCGGTTATAATTCCCGAAGAGCGAATTTGAATGAATCTAAATCAGTACAAAATGTGATCTGTGAGCTCGGACATTGAGGCGAAGGCTTTTTTGGCCCCAGATCGTACCGGGGCTTTTACAGCCTCGTATCCTGGGGCCGGTCACTATGCCCCCATATACAGGCTGCACCCTACCCCACACAGGGGCGGCCTAAGTTGATTCACAACGGCATATACAGTAAGGCAGACGAGTGTTACATTTTTAGTGAAATGGAAATAATCAATCCTCCTATTGGTGGCCATGTGGTCTCAGTCGGCCCTGATCTAAATGGTCGGGCTTAATCCCACCTCATATAACTAGAACTTTCGGATCCTGTTTCTTTTCTATCCGAGAGCCAGCGGGAAGTCCGACAGGCTCGAACGAGTCATATCCAACACATGAATATGTTCAATGAGGCTCGGGGCCTCCGAACACGACCGCTGGTCAAGTCCAGAATTCTTGATGTACTAGCAAATTCGATATTTCTTTCTGCTTTCTAAATGACCGATCGCTGTCATTTCAAAGACAGTCCCGAGGAATAACTTGCCATGCCGAGGCAAGTGACCCGGTGATATCTTCAAAACCACGTTAAGTCCGAAGTCGGGCAGTAGCAAGAGCGCTCAAGCTCAATACGAATCGAGCTATTTATAAATGTTATGGGGCACAATACTATGAATTGCCATTCATTTCTATACCTAGACATGACGAAATAATTAGCGTTTCCACGGGTCTCTAGGGTTGGGAATTGATTCGTAATCCATGGATATTAGTATAGCTATATGGAATCTCTGGACAATACTGTTTCTGTGTTGGACCTTGGAAGAAGAGATATACATTTCTTTGAGTAGCATAATATCGGGAATAAGACCTCGGAATCTAGATTTTGTATTTATAGATATGCAAGTGCTAAACGGTTAAAAGTCAACAGCCTTTCAGTTTCTCAACATTTTTGATCCAGATTATAAATCTTAACTTGATCGGCTGTACAATGTACAGCATAAGCACTAGGTACTGCCCGTTGTATCAACCAATATACCAAGGGGGAAAATTGCAAGAAGAAGATTACATACAACGATTAGGATTCGCATGTGGTCACTCACCATACTACTAACTGATCGACGTGTGGCTTCAAAGTGGCTAGTGGTTCAGTGCCTAGGTAGGTGCCGCCCGGGTGATAAATGGGCGAGAGCCGCTCTAGCGTCGCGCGACCAGTGGTGAGAAGGGTGAGTGCGCAATATAAAAGGTGAGATGCAAGGTGAAAGCGGGTAAGAAATTACCCTCCGTCTCGCGATGGCTGCGATAGCTGCATTGACCCTCCCAGCTGAGCAAGAATATAACATCATTGGGCCACGATCCTTCATCTGGAACAGCCAATCACTAGGAATCTGCACATAGCCCCTTGGTGGTATGACTTCTGACTGAGGATCAACGGGGTGATTCCGAAGACCGTTCGGGCAGACATGAAGTCTATCCTCCCAAATACAATCGATGGCAAAAACAGTGTCCATCCTACACAAGCACTTTCTTTTGTCGAGCCCCACTGCCCAGATACTAGTGCTGTACTTGTGTTCGCTAAAGACCAATACTATACAGTATACTGGGTTTGGTGCGGCACGCCCCCCCCCTTTTCTTTGTTGAGAGGATCTGCGACTGCCAATAGAGTTATGTCTCTTGCCGCCCTGCTGCTGCGTCTCATTTGTAGCGCAAGGCTGAGCCGATGGGGGCTGAGAATCGCCTCTTTTGCCTACAGTGCTATATCATCTCTCTCTCCCTGATATTAAATCCCATCGATTTTCTCTTACTCTCTTCCAGCGTCTCTCTAGGGTTCTACTGTATATGACCAAAATTTTCGACTTGACCTGTTCCCCACGAGTGACATTCCAAATTGGTTGGATATGTGCCCTACCGATCGAGGCTGCCGCAGCCATGGAAATGCTAGATGAAAAAATTTCGGCCCTCTTGATTCGCAAGATATCTCTGACTCGAATACCTACACATTGGGCCGAATCGGGCAACACTCAATTGTAATCGCCTGCCTCCCCGCGGGACAATATGGCAACACCTCGGCTACTACGGCTGCAAACAATATGCTTCGCATGTTCTCAAAATCGCTTCGCGTCGGGTTTATCGTGGGTGTTGGAGGTGGGATTCCATCAATGACTCATGATATACGACTCGGTGATGTTGTGATTAGCTGCACAGAAGGCACTGTCGGGGTCTGGTCCAGTGTGACCTAGGGAAAGTTATCTCTGGTGGTGAAATTCAGCGAACTGGGTCTTTGAATAGCCCTCCAAGGTCACTTTTAACGGCAATTAGCTCGATGAGGGCTGCTGAATTAAGAGACGATCCCCGCTTTCTAGACTATATCACTAGTGCGACCGTGAGAACTACACAAACCCGGAAAATTTTTGGCAAACCTGATATAAAACAAGATCGGCTGTTTAATCCGGAACACGACCACCCTGCGACTGCAAATAGCTGTGATAGCTGTCTAGCAGAATGGGAAGAGAGGAGGAACGAACGCGAGAGCTGCGATTTATAAATCCACTACGGTATTATTGCGTCTGGGAATTCTGTCATTAAGTATGCTCGAACCCGGGAATAGCTAAGGTAGGACACTGGGGCATTATGCTTTGAAATGGAAGTAGCCGGACTGATGCTAGACTTTTCTTGTATTGATATCCGAGGGATTTGTGATTATGCCGATTTATATAAGAATAAATAGTGGTAAGGATATGCAGCTATCGTAGTAGCTTCGTATGCTAAGGAGCTACTAGGATACATACTAGTGGGTCATGTTTCGCAAGAAAGCTTAGTACATATTTAGGTACCTATCAGCACTCTCACTTGGTGAAGTCAACTGACTAATCAAGCATGTCTCGGTGATACATAGAGCCGTTGCCGGAGATATATATATATGTATTGGAACATGTAACGTTAGAGATATGATTATACTTACACTTCATAACAATCTTATCACACTCACTACTAATATATATATATCCATACCTTCCTACTACATATTTACCTTCAGCACAACTCTCCGTCCTATAACCCAAGTCGAACGCTTGCCAGTGCAACTCCGTGATCTCCGACCTATAACTTATCTTCGGTTCAACGATTTACCTTTTATCAACCACTCTATTTATCACTCTTTGTCGCTTCGGTTCTTTCAATCTTGGCTTTATATCGACACTTGCATCAAGGCATCACTATCAATGAGAAAGCTAAATACCACACCAAAGAAGCTCCAACTGAAGCTGATATCCAGCCACCACAGCCTAGCAACCCTGACAACCACAACCATTATATTTAACTAGCGTCTACGGCGAAACGTCCTATCCGATGGTTCACAAGGATCGCTTAGGACCGCGCACGGGAGAAATAGAGGACAGGCAGAGTGTTGAAGTAACTACTTAAAGCGCCAATAAAGAAAGTCCTAAACTTCTAGGATGGTTAGTGGCGTGCCGTGCATCATCCTCGATTATGTTGCAGACCCGTACTAACATCATCAATTTTAATCGGCATCTCTTAAAGGATAGGGAAACTTCCACACTGCTCGTGATCCCTTCTACCCGCGCTCTTCTATCCCACAATATCTCGCACATCGTCCTTACTCCAAATGTTACGACTGGAAATATGAACGTGGCGTATACTCAGGATGATCATGAGGCCCTCCTGCGATCGCGCACCTCAGTACGAACTTTTTGGAGAAAGCTTCGTGGCTTGAGCAGTTCGAAACGAGAACCGTTGTAGGCGTTTGCGGAAGACAGCCCGGTGGGTACCGAGACCGACATGAAAGTTACCGTTATGGAGGGCTAACAAGAAGACCTTGGCCCGCTAAAGAGAAGGCTTGACTGTTGCGCCTTTAAAACTGCGCGCTATTCTGCACTTGAAGGCTGTGGCTCTCTAGACGTGGAAGACTCGGAGATACCGACTGAACATTGGTCACAAAGTTGGGCGGCCTTTTGGGTCGACGTGTGTATCACATGCCCATCGTACGCTCTCTGAAACTTGGAGAAGCGGAAGCAGATGAGCTTGAGCGCATGTGCCGAGCATATACTATCTTTGAAGTTGATGTGCCTCGAGTACTTCATCGCCGGTACATCCACCGTGGGACGCTCTCTACATCGTACTTTGCAATTAATTCACAATCACGCCCGTGATATTGTTGATGAGAGCGATTAGAACTTCAGCGTCAAGTTTGAACTCATCTATACTATGGGGGCTCAACGGCCTGTTGAACTTAGTCCACAACGGTGGATTATGATACAAGAGCTACTGTACCTGGTACAAGAGTATGCTGGTCGGGTTCATTCCGAATTTCCCGAGCCAAACCTTGCGCCAGAGCAGATTGCCGCAGCTGAGTCAGAAGACTCCGCCGGTTTCTGGGGGAAAGCACACGAGCTTATCTTCTTTTAGCACGAGGCCTGCTAGCTAGGGGAATTTTGGCCTTACTTCTGGGTCAAAAGCAATGGCGCGTTAATTATGGGCCTGATACGAGTCGGAATCCACCCACAAAACTTTGCGTGCCATACCGTGCCAAGGATAACCCTTCACTTCGTTCAAAATTCAGTTACCACGTCATGCTGCCTGTGGTGGAGGGATTTATGGAAGACGACAAGCTTTTATCCATTAGCACCTCCTCCCCCTATGGAGAAGCTTGGCAATTGCTACCGAGATTGGAAACGCCAAGCTGGCGAGAGGTCGAGTGCGTTCCTAGATCGCAGAGCTGCTTAACTTGTGGCTGCACTCGTTTCTTGCCTACACGTGTTTGAGCTACCTCTCTATACCTCCTCCCACTTCTTCCTCCCACTTCTTCCTCTTATCCCCTTTCTTCCCTCTTCACTCATTCTGTTGTTGAAAGGGCAGCTTCGCTTAGCCGCTTGGTTCATGCCGAGACTATCAACCCTGTGGGTGAGTGAACCCAGAGAGAAAGCCTAAAACAGCACTAACCACTAGATGCAGGAGACTCGGGTGCGTTCCGGTGCTCTCGATGCTTTTCTAGGCCTCTCATGCGATCTGCCTTCTTGTGTCTTGACAGTCAGCACAGAAAGATGGTCTTCACTCATAGACTATCACCCCACGGGCGTACTACGACCTCGTAGGCCCCCGGGTCAAGTCATCCTTGATGATTTGACCAAAACAAGTTACCAGTACTTTTTATTTTTTGTTTCATTCACTTTGATGGCTTCATTGTTTGTCTGCCATGCTGCCTAAATCACTTCATTCACTACTCGTCAACCCACTCTTCCATCTGCCTCTCTCACTATTTCTTCTTCTCTCTCCCTCTCCCTCTTTCTGTTTCTTCTACCATCTCTCTCTCTTCCCACCTTCTATTCTGCTTCGAGCCACCCATCCATCTCCACCACTCATTCATCTTCTACATCCATCTTCTACATCCATCTCTTGTTCTTCTGAGTCAGAAGTCATCATGGTCCTCCATGATGAAGACTTCGTCGGCTATTCCGCCGAAACGAAGGAAGACAAAATGCAGAAGAATCCATGGCTTCAGTCTCTGAGATCCAGAAAGCTGATAGACTACATTGTCGGCCAGGCTCGTCTTGTAGGCCTGAATGATGAATTGATCGGTACTTTCCACATCGACAAGACGAATCCGGGAATTACATGGACCATGACATTCTTCCACGATTTCGAGAACCCATTCATCGAACTTGAAGCCCAGATTCGAACTGCCAATGAAGATGGTCACTTCAACAGTCATTGGCCTTCTCAAGAAGCATCTTTTAAAATCTTCCGTGAAAACATCAAAGGCTTCGAGGTTAGAAAAGTGATTATGGATGAAGACAGTGACAAGGTATGGTCAAAGCCATCTTTTCTTGTTATCATTAACACTAACCTTCACTATTTAGGATCCTGGTCCTCTTCCTTCTATTCGTGACCGTATGACCCATCCGAATGACCAAAGTCTACTTATCGCCCCCGCCAGTCTCATCGAGAATCAACCTGAATACATCGAGAATGGCCGGATGTGGTGTTTGTTGATTCATCTCGCCAAAGAGAGCGAGGTGTCCCGTCAAGGCGCCGGCCTTTTTTGCGAACGTGACTATGGTGGACTGACGAACACGATGATCAACATTCGAGATCACTTGCATGAAACTGAGGCCCTCTGTATGTTTGTCCAGACCAACGTGCTTGAAAGTCGCCTCAAGGATATCATCGCTGGTTTCGAAAGTCAAGTAATTCATCCTTATGGGCCCTTCTTCGGTGATCATCCAACAAAGCCATTTCTCCAAATTGGTCAACTCAATCTCAGCCCACCTCGGGTCACATCCCAGGCGACTCTGTCATTCCACGATATCGATGAGTACATCGTGAAGGCTGGTTACGGGACGGTTATTGAAAATAGTCAGGAGCAGCAATTCATTGGTGTTGGAGAGGCCATCCAGTGCGACTTGGTTACAGTACTGCCTCCTGGAGTCTCTACCGACAGCCCTCCAAATGAACTGTTGGGCTTTCTGACTATGCCGGAAGGATACTCAATTCCTCAACCTGGTGAAAAGTTCTCTCTCTTGTTCTCGAAATTCGTCGCCGCCATTCCTCAGGTTTCATGGGATGTTCAAGAGCAAACCTCCACTTTTCACGGTTCGCCTCAGCGCAAGACTACGGAAGACTGGGGGCGGGGGGAGGTCACTAACACGAACGACTGGCGAGATGTCACTACTACAGACAATGTCCCTCATCCAAAGTTCAATCCTGTGGAGGCCTTGAAGCATGCTGATCTCCACGGAGAGCCTACCGTCACCGAGGAACAGCACCAGACTCAATCTCCCCCCGAATCCGACAGCGGCATGCCCCGGGACGCTGAGGAATATTCATGGGAACATGGTTGGCGATGTACAGTATTGACACCCGCTCCATTTTCACCGGACAGCACGGTGACGATCTATATGCGCTGTAGCTTGGACGAGGAGACCAACCAGCCATTTATCCCTGAAGAAGGTCATGCACCGCGACCAATTACCCCGAAGACCAACGACCCAAAATTCGACTTCCACGATGTCTTATCTAAAGAGCAACCCCACGAATGTCTAATCAACAGAACCTGTAGCCAGAAGCCATACAGACAGCAGATTTCGGCTTGCCATGCATTAGTCAAATGGGGAGGCTCTATTCACCCGACCTTACTCGCAAACAATGCCATGAGGTTGCCAGAAGTGAACGTCTACCAGTCGATCACTCCTGAAAACTTGGTTGAGTACGCAAATCGGGTCAAAGAGGATAAATCGATGAACAAAGAACAGATTTCTTGTTTTGAGAAGTTCCAGAAGCTCCGGGGTCCGATCGGGGTTGTACAAGGGCCACCTGGAACAGGCAAGACTTTCACACTGGTGAAATGTGCGTTGCCTTTCCTTCTCTACCCCAAGAAGGATGTGAGCCCAAATGAAACTTCTGAAGCGCCTGAACGCAGTAAGATCCCTGATGCAAAGCGCACTCGCCCTGCTCGACATCAAGTTCTTCTAGTTGCTCCGACTAATGGCGCCGCCGACCACCTTGCCCAGTCAATGAATGAAACCATCAAGAAGCATTCAGATGAATTCAGCAGCGGGATACCCAAAGTTGTCCGGGTTTATCCTATTCATGCAGAGAAGGACTCCTACGATAAACCTGATGCAGCTCTCCATTCCATTGATGAAGCGACCGTGACCAATGCAGATGTCGAGCAAGCTCTGCAGACTGAGATGGTGTACAAGCTGTTTATGGATTACTACGCCGAGAACAAGCCTAGTCGTCCAGGAACCAGAAGCTCAGATTCGCGCATCACTTTGCACGAGTTGAGTCTTGGCCATCAGATCATTGAGTTCGCTCAGAATGACGCGAGGTGGGACCCATGGCTCGAGGATCGCGATCGATTGGCGAATGGAAACCTCGATAGTCAGCAGAAGCTAGACTATATGGCATATGGGAAATACATGCTGCAACAAGTGCTCGCGGACTCAGACATCGTTGTCTGTACCTTATTCTCGGCTGGTCAACACATTATCCGCGAAGCCATCAGTCCCGACGCCATTTTCATTGACGAAGCCGCTATGACGAAGGAAACCGACCTTTGGCCCCTGTACACCTTCTACACTTCTGTTCCACTATTGCTATTCGGTGATCATAATCAATTGCAGTCGGTCGTTAAAAGTAACCCGGAATCAAATCAATTCTACACGCAATTGCGAGTGTCGCCGTTCGCTCGCTTCGTGTATGCCGGCTTTCTCGTGGAGCTTCTTCGTGAACAGCACCGCATGGCTCCTGACATCTCTGCTATCGTGAACCGGATCTTCTACGCCAATCAACTTCGTGATGCGCAAGAAGTCACTCTCCTACACAACAAAATGGCTCAGAAAATCAGGGAGTGGAACAAAACTGACTGCATATCCTGTGAGTCGAACGCCATCTTTGTGGATGTCCGTGATGCAATTCCCGAGAAGATGGGGTACTCCATCTTTAACAAGAAGTTTGCGGAACAGGGCATCATCCTCTGTCGAGCATTGCTTTGCGCAGGTCTCGTCAACCCGAAAGACATCGTGTTCCTGACCCCGTATGAAGCCCAATACCGCCTTTATCAACGGCTGCTGGTCCAGGCTCACGTGCAATCTCCACAGCGTGGTTTCAATCAGGTTGATGTGCGTAAGGTGGGTTCTTTCCAGGGTCAAGAAAGTCCAGTCGTGATCCTCGATGTTACGTTCACTGAGAAGCTCGGGTTCATGTCCGTTTCGAACAGATGGAATGTGGCGCTCAGCCGAGCTCGCAACGCACTATATGTCCTTTGCGACCGTTCGGGTATCCGTAAAAAGGGCAGTCGTATTTACAGTGTTGCCGAGCTAATCAGAATCATCGATAACAAGAAGCTGTGGGTCGAATCACTGCAGCAGCTGAGGGAAGCGCGGCGCGGAACTAGCAAGGGAACCAAGGGCATGGGGGAAAAAAAGTCGAAATCGAGGAAGGGGAAACCGCCGATGAACCGACAAGCGCCTTTGGGAAGATTCCTTTTCGGTTCATTGAATAGGGCGAGGTCTCTGAATGTGTGAGCTGAGGGGGTGAAAAAAAAAAAAAAGATTGTAAAATAACCAACAGAAAAGCAAAAAAAAAATTGAAAACCACACAACGTGCAAAATAACTACTAGCCAAAATAGAGAGCCGTGCATAAATGTCCACCAGTACGGAGTACAGATGATTTCTGTCCGAGACCATTGCATCAAGGAATTTTCAAGTCGCACCTACAGCTACGTGCAACTTCCACGCTTCGGCAAATCCTTCCTGGCTGCCACTGGAGCTCCGATCAAGAGAGTTCTGCGCCTGATAATGCAGCTAGCAGCACGTTTATTCTTTGACTGGAGCCCGCCCTCAGTTGAGCTGTTCTCTCTAACACACTTTCACAAGGGTCGCGCTGAACGATTCCAGACTACCACACCCTCCGTCAACGAGTTCTTCAAGGCTATGATGTCTTCTAGCGACATGAACAAAAGCGATTTCTGGGAGCTTCGATGACAATCGATACTGGCTGTGTAAGTAGACATGACTGGCATTACTACGAGTACCGCTAATGGCAAACAGTCCGGAAGTATGATAGCAATATGCCTAGTAGCCACCAGTGCAGGTCAGGTCTTCGAGCTGCCCTCCATCGATCATCTGGTACGAGTTGGTATTACGGGCGACAATGTTGGCGTCGGGGTCAGAGCATGCCGGTGAGCAAGGCGTTCCCACCCCCCTGAAACCCTCCCATTGACAGGTGCCCATCGTGGTTCCTGGAGCGCAACATAATGTCTGAGACTCACCCGGAGAGCAGACGGAGTTCTATTAGAAGCCAGCAATTTGGCCGCGGGCATCAGTTACATCGAAATACCCGGTCATGGAGGTCCCTCCGCATAGTGACCAGTAGCAGCTCGACGCAACAGTGTTCTGCAGCGTAACATTGCATCAAGCATGTCTCACTCTCAAAAGCGGCGCGTCAAGGACTGCTATTGTAGGAGGTACCGAGCTGCTACTGCATCCAGATCAGACTATTGCCATGAGTCAAGTTGAGTATCGAATTTCCTCAAGGCACCTAATTCGCTGGTTCAAGCTAACTCTTCTGGTAGTATGATCAACCCGGACGGCAAGTATTAGGTGTTTGACTCCCGTGGTTCTGGATATGCACGTGGAGAAAGCGTCGGGTCCATGGTTATCAAACTCCTCAACACGCCATCGAAGATGGTGATCCTATCCATGCAGTTATTCGTAACATTGCCTTGAACCAAGATGGCCGGACGGCCGGCATTTCTCTTCCCAATTCCGAAGCTCAGTCCGATCTCTTGGAGTATGTTTATGCCAGTGCTGGTTTAGACTCAAATGAGACTTTATACGTTGAAGCCAGTCGTCCGCAATGACCGGCTGTGCACACCAAGGTACACGGGTCGATTCAGCTCCAGATGGCAAACCAACACCAACATGGCTAGTGAGAAGACAAGTACCGAGGATACACCCGTAGGAGTATTGATGGAGATGTGAAGAAGTTTTTTATTCTGAGACCGTAAGGGCTGGCAATCTTATAGTACAATCTCAGCGCATGACATAAGAAAAACACATCCCGGAACATGATACAATACGCAGTACAATCTGTAGTGACAGCATACTCATGTGTCGGGGCAGGGCTCCCCACTATAGTACATAGCATTCATAACCCTCTTATAGTGATTTTATACCGTAAGAAACATTTTTGAAGCTCGTGTAAATAGAAAGAAGAAGAATCCAGAAGCTCCACCTGGGCAGAGCTATTAATTTTTAGAAGAGACAGGTCAAGCCTCTAGCTTACGACCAACCATCAGATACATAGGCGTGAATAGCTTCTCCTTTCCACCCGCAACAAGACAGTCTGCGCCCTAAGTAAGCGAATCGGCAGTCTTTCGTGATCCCTTTGGCGCAACGCCAATCACCTCAAGTGCGCCAACAATGCCATGCGCCAGTCCACGGCCAACATGGGTCATGCGGATCAGGGTCGGCAAGTTCCAAAGGCTCTCTGCGTGTATCCACAATCTCTTAGATCCTCATATGATCGCACCCCTCCCCCCTCCGCCCTTTGGGATCTCTAGTCCTCCTTTATGGAACTCCTAGTGTGGGGAGTCGCGTGGCTTGATTTTCCGGAGGTAAGCGGCCAGGGCCATCCTACCTGCCCGAAGCTGTATCATGATCGAGAAAGTTACCATTCGCTGATGCTTCCAGTAATACATGACCCTTTTCGGAGCGTTTCCGATGATATATCTTGTTCTTCGTGGGACCTTTGACGCTTTCCAGACTTTCTCCCATTCCTCTTTGGCCTCCTTCCGGACACGCGTCTTCGCGGCTGCTCCCAGCCACAGCCGTCGGTTATACCTGATGTGGTAGTGAGCACGACTCGCGTGGTGTACTTCTGGAGACACCCTCTCTCACTTATTTATCTCACTCTTCACTCATTCATCTCACTCTTCACTGATTCATCTCACTCTTCACTCAATGATCAACACTGTTGACATTTGCAAACTTGTCGATCTCCAATCTTCAATCCCATATCTCCCCAAGACCGTGCCCAATCACCACGGAGGTGAGTCGAATGCTGGGTTATGTTTGTTTAGTACTTGCCATCTCTTTTTTGAGATAGCAAGCACACTTACGGGCGTACTGCGACCTCGCAGGCCCCCGGATCAAATCATCTTTGATGGTTTGACCAAAATTTTGTGACCGGTTACATTTTCTTTATGCTTTTTCTGCTCTTTTTCTTTTAATTGATACTTCCCAAATTTGCAAGCCCCGTGCTCTCGAGTCAACATTATGTGGTCGTTGCTGCCAATTCTACGCAGAAGAAAGAAAGAGTGACTTCTCTGCGAGCCAACCCAAAGTCCATTCTCAACATCACCATCCTCTCTTCACGGTTCCCACCCAGAGACTTTCCCTTTTACTTACGCATTCTTGTTACTTTTCACTTAAACAACTCAATTTCTTATCATCATGCCTAAGAAAAGAGGTAGCGCGGCTTCTGGAAGAAGCTCTGGAAGAGGTCAACCAATGCAGCTACGGACTCCTTCGGCCGAAACCCCCCAGGGATCTCAGGTCAGTACGCATCATCTTTACGTATGGCTTAGCTAACACATCCCCCGCATAGCAGCAGCACCTGCAAGACCTTCAATTCATTGTCTCTGGAATACTATCTAACGAAAATACGATTCATGATCAGAGAGCCAACATCGCCGCTGAAGCAAACCAAGCCACATATCGCACCGTTCGCGATCATCAAATCATGGCCAATGAACATGGCGTATCTATTTTTGAGTGGATGGAAGAGCTGAAAGAAGAGGTCAGGGACCTTCGCCGAGAGCTTCACGACGTCAAGAGAGAGCTTCAAGACGTCAAGAGAGAGCTTCACGACACCAAGAGAGAGCTTGAGGACACCAAGAGAGAGCTTCAAGACGTCAAGAGAGAGCTTCACGACACCAAAGGAGAGCTCAGTGAAGTGCGAGAGTCATTAATGAATATTAGAGAGCGAAACTACCTCACGTTTTTACGTGACCATGTTACCAGCTTCAACAGAACACACAAAAACCGTATCTACATCTTGAATTCATCAGAGGTTCATGGTGGCGACGCTCTACTAGATGCTTCTATGTTCCTATCACGACGAGGTGACTGTCCAGAAGAACGACGCCTCTTTCAACGGATCTATGGCCTAAGTGCTGAGAAGCTCCAAGAATTTCGTGAGTTCTATCGACTAAACTCAAGGGAATCATAGCTGACATGACTCATAAACTAGGGTCTACTCCACACCCGTCTATTCTCCGTGTGTTAAACGCTGTTGGCTACTTCCACCTATCAGGCAAAGTCGCACTTAGGGAGGAAAAGCTAGAGACAACATTCGACCGGGTCGTGGAGCTGGTGGAAGACGGAGAGATTGAGGAGGCAGAGAGGCTTGCGAGCGCACTCTCTCCGAACGATTTCTCCTACCAATGCGATGAGTAAGAACCTGGATGACATGGCCTCGATTCTCCAGCTTCTTAAGTGCTTCACTGTTTGTGTGATTAGGTCTTATGTGTTTCGCTACCTATATGACTATCTTCTTGCGTGTTTCGCTGGCTGTATGATTAACCTCTTGCGTGTTTCGCTGGCTGTATGATTAATCTCTTGTGTGTTTTGCTGCCTGTATGATTAGCACTTTGGGTGTCATTGTAATATCAAAATATTAATATTACAAGGAGAATTTCTCACTGCAATCCTTCAAATCTGTTTCGGTTCTTTCAGACTAAGTCTTCGACAGCTTCCACGTCCAGGGTAGCACATGACATCGGGGGCGATACCGTACATCAATTTGAAGCTTCCCATAGTCATCGACTGCGAACCCTGACATAGATCGACGTGATCAATTTGAATGGTACCACCTTTCGAAGCGAACGAAGGCGTAAATGGCGGTAGGTCTGAACACACTATGTGATACGCCAGATGAGGATCACCGCGTCCATTTTCGAGAAAGTTGCTCTCGGTTGTGCACCATAAGCAGAGACTTGCAGGGACTGAGCTAGCTCGGCGGCCTTTATGAATTACAGCTCTGGATACGTCGGACAGGGAAATATCTTTCATCGAATTCCCACTCTGATCTATTGCATATAATGAAGATTGCGATCGCCTCCGGAAACTTGATAAAATTCCATTTAAGATAGTCTGGGGTGCGCATAATGCCTGACATGTATTAAATCGGGCCAATTGACTACATCACGCCATGCCCGAGAATCATATTTGGGATCATCTGACTGCGGCTATTACCATTTTTCACAGTCTTAAACGGGCCGATTTTTTCCCTTGATCAACGTGGAGAAACGAACATATGAATTTCGAAGATAAAGCTGAACCAACCGATCAGTCTGCGCGCTATGCTAAAGCAAACTATTCACCTCAAAGATAGGATTCTAGATGAAGTGGAGAAAGTCGACCGCGTTTGCGATGGAAGCTGCTAGAGTAAGCATTGACAACGATGAGTCAGCCCCCCTCATGCCGAGGGCCCCGGTCTGACTTGACGCCATTAACCGCCGCTTTCAATTTCGTGGAGGAAAAAAAAAAAGGAAACCAATTGTCTAGGTGCTTCTGTGTGCTCTGTTTGCCTTGAATGCACAAAGCAGATTCATAAAGCCCCCTCCCATCTATTCCTTCCCACCGTCGCAATGGCAAATCTACCGGCCCACGCCTCACCCAAACTCGCCCCGCATTCGACCCCTCCAACCAGCCGACCAGATGGCCTCTTCGCCGACGATGCCAGTCAATCAAGCAGCACAGCCGCCGGTGAACAGACACCGGTGCTACCGGACTCGCTGTTATCGCCCGCATTCACCCCGCCTGCAACCCCCGGTGGCACATTAAACTTGGACTTGAATCCTACACAAATACTTCATCACAATCAAGCCGCAAACCTTCAACACCCAGGTGAACATGCGAAAGCGCCGAAGCTCCTCCAACAACTTCCGAAGGTAGAATGTATCGTTCGGGCGCGAATCCCGACAACCAACGGCGCCGAGATGTTTCTACACCTCTACCTTAATGATATGGATAATAAAGAGCACTTGGCCATTGTATTTGGAAACAATATCCGCAGCCGCAGTCTGGATCGCGTACGGCCGGGGGAGACCGAGATGGACCGCATGATCCGCGGCGCATATATGGGCAAATTGCACCCGGGTCGCGTGAGCAGTTGGGTTGATGATGAAAAGCCCGAGTCCCAATCAACAAGTCAGAATGTTGAGCCCCCACTGGTGCGCATCCACTCAGAATGCTATACGGGTGAGACTGCATGGTCGGCTCGCTGCGATTGCGGTGAACAGCTGGACGAAGCCGCCCGACTTATGTCGTTCCCTGTGGAAGACCTGGCGTCTGATGCACCACCGGAGGCGCAATCGCTGAAGTCGCAATCTGCCGGAGGTGTCATTATTTACCTACGACAGGAGGGTCGAGGAATTGGCCTCGGTGAGAAGTTGAAAGCTTATAATTTGCAGGACCTCGGATCCGATACCGTCGAGGCCAATCTTCTCCTGAGACACCCGGCGGATGCTCGGAGCTACGGCTTGGCGACAGCCATGCTGACGGATCTTGGCTGTGGAGCGGATGTCAACCCGGAGGGTGTTCGCTTGCTCACCAACAATCCGGATAAAGTACGCGCCATCGAAGGACCTAACCGCGAAGTACTGGTTAAAGAGAGGGTACCGATGGTTCCCCTTGCTTGGCGGACTGGTGGAGAACGAGGAATTAAAAGTTCAGAGATCGAGGGCTATTTGAGGACTAAGGTTCGTGCATGCATTAACGTTGCAGCCTTTTCCGCGCTAACAAAGCCATGATGATAGATCTCAAAAATGGGTCATATGATCCAATAAACATTCGACTTAAACGCTCAGCCCTCTATTGTTTCCCTTGTTGTTTTTTTTTTTTTTTTCCATTTTTTTCTTCGTCCTATCTGACGAGAGGGTGGCTTGTTCCGTTATTTAGAACTTCTGCCTTGTACATGATCGACATGACCTATTCTTCCAGGTTTTTCTTTTTCTTACATATTCCCTACTTGACCTTGGACATGATTCCCTTCACTCGTGTGCGCTGGAAATCTCTCGATCTCTCATCTTTATGGTAAACGCTGCATGACTATGTACAGTCTATCTATTATTGGATTAATGGAGTTTGGATTTGTTTTAGAAAGGAGTGGAGCATTTGTCGCGTATTATATACTCGTAAATCATGATGCCATGACTCATGACTCTGTGATCCACCATGAATCCGGTCTAAAGAGAACTTTATCAGCTGTTAAAGCTATCGGAAACACTATTTTCAATCAATTCAATAGTTGGGAAATGTTCGACGGGCCTCCCCGCTCTTCCCGAACCCAAAGCTCGCTCTGATGGGATTCTCTCCCTGACCCACCCATTCCCGAATGCCGCCTTGCTGACTCGATCCCATTCGGAGCCCCCAAATCCAAATCTCCCTTTCTCCTGAATGGCCTTTATCGTTGTATAGCGTGAGTGTGAGGCATGTCCGGCCGCGCTCCGCCTGAGTTGAGCGACTATGCCGCGCCTTCGCCACCAATTGAGATGGGGATCGAGGGCGGCTCACATCCCCTCATCGCAAAGTCAGAAGACTCACCAGTTCCATCCCGCCCGACCTCACTCGGCCCAGATTCTCTGTTAATGGAAGAGCACGATAATTCTAGGCCCTCGACAACCGCTGGGCGAAAACGCAAGCTGAACAGCTCCTCCGCACGAGGCGTCGCCAATCTTACCCCGGATCAATTGGCCAAGAAGCGTGCGAACGACCGTCAGGCTCAGCGGGCGATCCGCGAGCGCACAAAAATAAATATCGAAGCATTGGAGCAGCAGGTTCGGGAACTCTCGTCGCAGAAGCCATTCCTCGACCTCCAGGCCGCCTTGAAACATAATGAGCGAATCAAGGCGGAGAACAGAGAACTTCGACGGGGACTAAAGGCAGCAATGGACATCATACAGCCTTTGCTTGCAAGGCCGGAGGTCTCGGGTATGTTACAATTGATCTTTTACTGGTGGACATGAATTGACATCTATAGATTTGCCCGCTTGTTTAGCCCAACCGCGATCCGTCCCTCCATCCCATACACCTCCCTTCCCCGACCCCGACCAGTTCACCCCAACTCCCCACGCCGCGGTCTCCTCCGAAAGGCCATACGCCGAGTCTTTGGCCAGCCTTGATACACCCTCTCCTACCCATTCCGCGCCAATTGTGGGAAGCCGTCGTAATAGTAGCAATGGAATCCCCCAGCCTGCGTCATACCGAGCGGCATTCTCCCAGAGCATTGCCCATGGACTTGATTTCGGCATGGAAGAACGACTTGGCTTCAACTTCCTCTTGGACCCTACCCATAATGTCCCCAGAGTCGACCGTCTCAGGCGCAGCAGCTCAGAGAACCTGCGAAGCTCGCATCCCACTCCTCCACCACTTTATTTGCAACCAGTAAACTATCCTCCGGAGCACACACCCCTCGCATTCTCCACACCTATTAAAAACACCGCGCCGACATGCACCCTGGACAGCATCTTGATGGACTTCCTTGATAATCGACAACGCGAGGCCGCACAAGGAATCCCTCGACAGAAACTTGCCGGACCACCTTACCCAAGCGTCTCCTCCCTTCTCAACCCGGAGAAGAGTGCCAATTCGCATCCCGTATCAAAAGTCTTTACTGATATCCTTCGCACATTCCCGGATATCTCCTCCCTGCCAGAGCAGGTAGCCGTTCTATTCACAATGTTCCTCCTCATGCGCTGGCAGATCTACCCTACGCAAGAGAATTACGACCGGCTCCCGGAATGGCTTACCCCACGACCAACTCAATTATTCACACCACATCCTGTATGGATAGACTATATTCCTTGGCCACGTATGCGTGACCGGCTTGCAACATCGCACCAAGACTACCCGTTTGAAAATTGGTTCATCCCATTTACTCGAGGCATGTCCGTGAATTGGCCATACGAAGCTACGGATTGTCTATTATCGGCTGGCGACTCAGACGAATTGCTCATCAATCCAGTATTTGAGCGACATATGCGCAATCTCAACAATTGGACACTTGGCACATTGTTCGCCGAGACATATCCCGGTCTGGTAGACACTACACGGATAAAACCGGATTTGAAACATGCCGCCTCTCCATCTCAATCTTTATAGGCGCTGTTCTCTCGATGCCTCGGCCAAGCTGGACTTGGTTACAATCCAGCAACCTTTTATAATGCTCGTAAATTTAAGCGTGGGTGGTGGGTGGTGTTGGACTTTGTCAATCCCCGTTATATTTGAATTTTTTTTTGCTTTGCTCAACTTCTCTAGAACTCATATATTGGTGAACAACTACAATCACGCTTTGATGCATACAAATGCTTTGTGCTCTTGTTCTTACTGCCCTTATACTTGGCCTTAGCTTAGATGAGAAGAGATATATGCTCGTTTATAAATGATCATCTCTGTCCAAAGCGAATACTTAATCACATCCAGAGAGAAACCAGATATGTTGGTCATAGCTTTACTTTGTTATCACATTCATAGTGTTGGGAGGTGCAGTAGCAGACCCCACCTTCAAATGGCGTCAGGGGTTAGATCCGGGGCCAAATCTACTCCGGAACTGAGCCTTAATCCCCGTTAACACCGACCGATCACAACTCTAACGTCATCTACGAAGTAGTCCACTGGTACATAAGTCCAGCCAGTCGTCTTCTATCCTAATTTCCATTCATCTCAAGTTCTATAAGATCAGAATGCCACCAAATATCCTTGTCACCGGTGCTGGTGGCTACATGTTTGTTAAACGATCCAGTTGTCAAGTCAGTGAAGCTTGCTAAAATTGTCTAGCGGAGGGTCCATCGTTACAGAATTCCTGGGTCTTAAGGAAGGTTTAATCAAGTCCGCCAAGATCCACGCTGCTGTACGCTCGAAAGATCAAGCTGTGAGCCTGGCAAACCTCAATGTCGCTGTGATACAGATGGATCTTCGGGATGAGAAGGCCGTGGCAAGCTACATCATTTCAAAGGAGAGTTAGTTCACACTCCTCAATCCTTGTTACACTGAAACACGGAGCTCTGATTCCTTCTTAGTTGACATTATCATCAACACCGCAACGTCTATAGACAAATATGTCATGCTAAGCCTTATCAAGGGACTTTCGAACCGTCGTCTTGTGACTGGGAAGGAGACCTACCTTGTTCATGTAAGCTTCTACCCTGCTTCAAGCTTGACAGCATAATAATTCCAGTAGACGTCTGGGTTATCTGCATTCGATGAGGTCACAGGCTGGCCTTATGGTACTATCAAAGATACCGACTCGGTCTATGATATGGAGAAGCAAACTGCAAACTCATATATTGTCAGACATGTAAGATATACTATTCACCAGGTCTAAGATTTCTGTGTTTTCTAATAGTCAGTAGGTTGATACCTTCATCATCGACCAACTGAGGAACGCTGGTATAACCGGGTTCATCGTCATGCCACCAACTATCCACGGGCGTGGGAGTGGTACATGGAACCAGCTTTCACCTCAACTACCTGCTCTAATCAGAGCCAGTATCCAGCACAATAGAGTACACAAGTTTGCAGAAAACCGGGTGAGTCAGGTGCCTACTTTCTTCCTTTGTGTCAACTTATCTGCTAAGATGTGTGCTAGAATCTTCCTGTGACACATATATCGGATTTGACAAAATTCTACGCAGAGTTGATTGAAGCAATTCTGCAAGGAAAGAAGTTACCAACAGAGAAAGATGCTTATTTCTTCGTCGTCTCGCATGTTGTTCCCTGGTGGGATATCCTAGACCGACTAGCAGAGAGACTGTATGCTCGTGGTCTTGTCACGACAGCTGAGACGAAGATCTGGCCTAGTGATGAGGTCCTTTCGGAAGCAGTGGGGGTTCCAGCAAAATGGGCTTATAGCATGTGGAATGCTGGGTGAGTCAATGTGGGCAATAAAAAGCATGAAGAATTATGCTAATGGCTGAATCAAAGAACCGATGTCATTTGCGAAAACAAGGATATTGTAGGATGGCAGCCGGTCTGGGATAAAGACAGATTTCTTGCGAGTCTGGATGATGAGATTGACGATTTCTTGGAGCTGGGTTTGCCAAAGAGCAGTCTTCTGTCTAGTGTGAGACCGGGGGCTGGGAAATGAGTGAACAGATGGAACAAGGACGTAGTGATCTAGATTCTCTATGGATATAGTAGCGTGGGGATTTTTATGAATAATTAGTCTATTGCTTCCGGCTCTTCTCATTCCAGAATGAAAGCCCAGCTTTTTGTCGCAGTGTTCCATACATAGAACTGCTGTCAAGGCATTCACCACCATAGTTTCTAGCAGCTTCCATATTGGCACGAGACAACTCGAGACCGGGAAGTTGAACGCCTTCTGCCTTTGCCATAGAAATGGCATGGTTGGCATCTTTGATAGCCAAAGATACGCCGAATCCGGGGCGAGAGTCAAGGGGCGGCGCGTAGGCTCCAGTAGTCAGTCTATAGAAAGTCAGATATCGCATTCTGATACTGGGAGCAAATAATCATACCTCTTAGAGTATCCTCCAGCCACAGGACCGAAAGCCTCACCAATCAACTCTTCCATTGGACCGGTGCCAAGTCCAGTCTTTTCAGCAAAGACTTGGGCCTCACCAACAGCTTCCATCATGTTGACAGTCACGATGTTACTAGCAAAAGGTTAGCAATCAAGCCGCAATCCATTCTCGCAAGCAAAACACATACCCAGCAATCTTCAACAAGGAAGACTTGGTAGCATCCTCACCACACTCAATGACCTTACGACCCATCACATCCTGAATAAGAGGTTTCACAGCATCGGTGGCGCTCTTGGGGCCACCAATCGCAAACACGAGCTTGCCATCAACGGCAATAGGATTCCCACCGAAAACAGGCGCAGAAACAAATGAAGCACCGGGCCCTTTCAGCTGCGCAACAGCTGAGCTCACCATATCGGGGTGAACGGTCGAGCAATCGACAAAGATCTTGTCTTTGAGTGAATCACCCGATTGAACAGCCGAAGAGATAAGGCTTTGTAAAACCGAGTCATTTGCAACCTGATAACTTCGTTAGCTTATGTCCATCCCATTGCACGGTGAGGGGGGCATGGTCCATGTGGCAGTCAGTCTACATACCATAGTGAAAATAATTCCGCAACGCGAGACCAGCTTCTCAAAGCTTGGTTCGGCGATGGCGCCAAGTGTCTGTAGTGGTGCACCACGCGACATTGTGCGGTTGGTGTAGAGCAGGTTTAGGGACTTTTTGGTGACGAGGTGTCGCTGCAGGTTGCTCGCCATGGCGAGGCCCATAGACCCGAGGCCATACTAGTTATGCGTTAATTATTATTCCCTTTGACCTTTGACTGAGGAACCACTCACCCAGCCGATTTGAGTCATTGTGTTTGTTCTAATGTCGGAGCTGGCCGTGGTTGGCCGTGCTGTCAACCCCTGCAGACACAACTCACAGTTGAAATCAGGGAGCTGTGTAAGATATAGTTATGCAAGCGTAATTGTCGGAGGAAGTTGTGGGGAAGTACTGGTTATAATATATCGGTTGAAGAGGCCTATCTGGTGGAGCGTGCTCGGTTGGTTTCCCGAGGGAATCGGAATCGGCCGATAGGAGACGAATTTGGCTGTGAAGGAGGCTAAGAGGCACTTGTAATGATCTCGGCCCGACTATATCTTCCAAGATCGTCGGGAGAAGAATCCGATGGTTATCATTTTTTGAACAAGAGTCATAATGGAGATCAGTGAATCCAATGGTCCACAGCTAAAGCTTTGCTCTCCGTTAGGGTGGATGTACGTAACAAGCTACAATGTCACAAACTGTCCACCGGTCGGAGGTAATTGATCTTCCTTTGTTCTTGTTGTGTTGAAGCTCTGTAATGAAATGTCTAGTAGAATAGCTATGGCTTGGTTTAGAGGTTAAACGGACGCTTATAATGGGACAAAATGGGATTGAGATGTTCGGCATGAAACCATTCTCAAATGCCCTGCATTTAGCTGACATTCTCTGCGGATTTGAGGTTTGTGGCATTATCAATTCCTCACTCCTGGGATGGTCTTGATTCTTAGATAAATAAACTGTTTGTACAAATTTGTTTACTATAGCCTCACAACGCGATCCCTGGGTGCGACAGTTATGCATGAGTCAATGAATCCTCGACCCAATTACCTTATTGGCTTTCAGTTCGCTGCCTCTTTAATACGGCGAATGTCTCATATCCAAATACTTTCAGTATAAGATAAATTCTTCCAAGTCTCATAACATGGCATAGCTATTAATTTAGAATCAAAACATAGTGGCTGATGCAATTACGTCGTTGTAATGGGGGCGGCTGGTGCCCGCTACTTGCGGTGTTTTGCGGGGAGAATTGACGTATTGTAATGTCACGTAATTAACGATGATGATGATGGCGCAGCAGCCGACTTCAATGTGTACCTCGACTCCCCATCATCTCACCCTCCCCACCTCCACACCTCCAATTCCCCTCTCCCGGGAGCTCCGTGCCTAGAACTCACCCGGAATCTGATATTTCCATCTGCCTTCATAATGGCGGATACGCCCATTGGTATGTGCGCCCTCTCCTTAGGCGACCGTGTTGTCCCCCCAGCTCCACCTAGCTAACATCCCGCAGTCCTCGATGGAGGAACGGGTTTCCTTAAGGTCGGCTATGCCGGTCAGGTATGTCACAGGATAATATCCAACAATTGGACCACCCACTGACTCGAATCCGTACCTCAGAATTTCCCAGAGCACCAGTTCCCATCGATAGTGGGGCGGCCCATCCTGCGAACGGAGGAGCAGGCTGGCGACATTGTTGTGAAGGATATCATGTGCGGAGAGGAAGCTGCCGCTGCTCGATCAATGCTCCAGATCAGCTATCCGGTACGTCGCTGTTGCATGAGGCTCCGGCCCTCACCGTTCCTTACCCCGCCCCTCTCTCCGCAGAAGGCAGCAAAGTAAGGCATAGCATATGTTAATCGGTCCGTTTAGATGGAAAATGGTATCGTCAAGAAGTGGGATGATATGCAACATCTCTGGAACTACACCTTTTACGACAAGTTGAAGATCGACCCTGCAGGCCGCAAGATCCTCCTCACCGAGCCGCCGATGAACCCGCTCAAGAACCGTGAACAGATGGCCGAGGTTATGCTGGAGGGATACAACTTTGGAGGTGTCTACGTGGCGATCCAGGCGGTGCTGGCACTGTATGCCCAGGGTCTAAGCAGCGGTGTGGTCGTGGACTCCGGTGACGGTGTGACCCACATCATCCCCGTCTACGAGTCGACCGTGCTGAACCACCACATCAAACGGTTGGATGTTGCTGGTCGTGATGTCACCCGCAACCTGATCGCCCTTCTCCTGCGCCGTGGATATGCGCTGAACCGTACCGCCGATTTCGAGACCGTTCGCCAGATTAAGGAAAAGCTGTGCTATGTTTCGTACGATCTTGAGCTTGACAAACAGCTGTCGGAGGATACCACCGTTTTGGTCGAATCTTACACCCTTCCCGATGGCCGTGTGATCCGCGTTGGTAGCGAGCGATTCGAGGCCGCCGAGTGCCTCTTCCAGCCTCACTTGGTCGACGTGGACCAGCCCGGTATGGCCGAGCTGCTCTTCAACACAATTCAAGGCACCGATGTCGACATCCGATCCAGCTTATACAAGGCCATCGTGCTCAGTGGTGGTAGCAGCATGTACCCCGGCTTGCCTTCTCGATTGGAGAAAGAGCTGAAGCAGCTCTGGCTGACCCGTGTTCTGGGCGGAGACCCAGAGCGTCTGAACGTACGTCCAATGAAGCAAATGCAAGTCTAGAAAACGGAGTCTAACAGTCCTGCAGAAATTCAAGGTCCGCATTGAGGATCCCCCACGGCGGAGACACATGGTCTTCCTGGGAGGTGCTGTGCTCGCAAACCTGGTAAGTCGCCTGACTATTTTTTTTTTTTTTCCAATTCGTTTTACATCAAACTAACATTAATCACAGATCGCCGACAAGGACGACATGTGGGTATCCAAGCAGGAATGGGAGGAGCAGGGAGCGCGTGCCCTGGCAAAACTTGGCCCGCGATAAGCGATGTATTTAGGCGGTTGTTTACCTTGGTCTTTATTTTCCCGTTTTCTTTGCTTCGCACTCCGCATGATCTGCAAGCCTTCTTGTCTCCTTTTCTTTTCTCCGGCTATCCGTCTGTCGATATCCTTCCCATCAATCTTGTTTCCCTCACTGCCTCCTCTATATTGTGCCTAGACTGGTCTGGTGCGGGTGGAATTGGGGCTGTTGACCGAAAAGAAAGAAATATTCTACCTACATTGCTCGTAAGTGCTTGACCTGGATAGTTTTTATGTCTATGCTATAGTCCTGGAGTACCTAGTATTTGCAATGATTTACCCCAAGGTTTTTGGGATCGAAACAACTTCGAGGTATCGCGGAACTTCTCCTTTTACTTAGATCCATCTCCATTTTACTATAAAATGGTAAAATATGTAACATCGACCAGTCTAATGGTTGTCTTATTTAATGGTATCAAGTCAAAATAATAATGTAAATAATCCCGAAAAGTATGCCCAAAACCCACAACCGATAAGGGAAAAAGAAGTACAAGAACGAGGAGACCTCGAGGGCGCTATGACACAAACAAGAAGGTTTAGGACTCATATGAATTTGGTGATACAGCCAGAATCACCGCAAACGCCGCAATAATCAATGCAATCGCCACGAAAGCTGTAAGTGCCACACTGCCTCTGCTGGCAGGGAATTTCCCACGAATAATCCAGTACTGGCTCTCGAAGTAACGGTGGAACCCAATTATTAGAACTAAAATAGCAACGCCTATAAACGTTGAGCCGAGAGGTTTTCCTACATTGCGGAGTCTGGATGTATCCTGTGGTGAAGGGGACATTGCGAAAGTATCGAGGATAGACGAGGAATCGGAAGGGGGTTGAATCCCGGGGTAATTATCGTAGGTGCCATGGTATTTGGCATTCGTAGACGTATTGGCCGTATTTAATCGGAATAGTTGAGTAACGGCGATGCCGATGGAGGCAAACGCTAGCGATGTGCGCATCCACGCAAGGAATGTTCGTTCTGGGAGCCGCGGTTAGCGAGGGTACTCCAGATAAGAAACTAGCTAAGGTATCCCTACCCAAGGCCAAGTGATCTCGTGCCACGCTACCCTTGTTCTCCAATTCTAGAGCGCCAAATCGGTCCACGAACCGGCCTAACAGGGATCGCTCGTGTTCCTCTTCTGGCTCGCGCTGATTAGTCTGAGCCTTTTGGTTGGAGGAACCGGCAGCATTGCTAGATTCAGGGTTACTGGATTGACAATCCTTGATGAAATCGTGATTCCCAGGAGTCGGGTTTGGAGGCTCGGTGGCCTGATAGCCACGCGATGATGAGCTAGCGCCGTTTATGGGGGTGTTCTCATTGAACCGCTTCTGTGATTGCGGGGACTGATGAGCGGAATATTTTCGGGACGTAGCGCTCGAGCGGGATCGGCCGCTGCTTATCGACGAGGATAGATCCGACTCTATATGAGTGGGTGAACAAGACAATGAAGTGTCTATATCTCTGGCTGTGCTCGTGTGAGGACCTGTCGGAGTCGACGCCGATGGCTCAGTAGTATTCATGATGGCGTGCTCGCGCCGTGACCGTTGACTAGGGGTTTTGTCCAATCAGAGAGGCTATAAAGGCAAATGGTATGCGGCCAGAGAAGCGCCAGGCACCGTCGAGGGGTAGCGAGGGGCCCGTGGTGAGGTGAAACGGGTGCTGCGGTTAAGGTCGAGGATTGTTGATAGTTTGATCTGGAATGGTTCGCAGCTGGCATGCCTTAGACTAGAAATTCTGGGATGGATTATCACTCCATTGAGGCGCCCATCATGTGGCCTCTTTCCAGCGTGACTGCACTGCACATGAGAATAAGATCGGTCGATCACTGTTTTCCGGGGAAGATCACATGCTCCACTACGCTAACTTGATATGGCGTCATCTCCATCATGCTTCCAGTAGGCGGTATAATTATTCTGCCACTGATGCCGGTTAGATAATTGTAGATTGTGTTATCGTTTCCCAGGGTCCCTCAGTTCACTATTCTTCATCCCTCACCTCACCTGCTCAGACATAATGGCGCAAACACTGCCACCCCGAGCCGGAAAGGTGGATCTTTCCAAGAAACTCTCAGAGTTGCGGTCAAGCAACGGCCGATCCCGGAACTCCTCATCTCGTGATTCAGCCCCAACCACCCCTCCTTTGCCTTCGCCGCCAGACCTCTCCGCCCAACAGTACACCCGTCCCGTCCGCCGCATTCTTTCCCCGAAAGACCATGACCTCTTTCTTGCTTCACCCACATACAACCTGGTTCTAGCATTTGTTCTCGGCCTTTCCGATTCTGTCAGAGGCCGCCCAATCCCAGACCAGACCAACCCCGATTCCGATGCCATCTCCAAGATCCTCAGCGTTGTTGGGCAACTCCGGGCCCTTGTAGAGAAACACCCCGCTTTGGACCAGGGTGGGTCACGATTTGGCAATCCTGCATTCCGCACCCTTTTCGACGACGTCGCCACTCAGAGCCCGACATGGCACACCGACATCCTTGGGATGGCAGACACTGCCGCGATCGACGAGGCGTCCACATACTTGATCCACTCACTAGGCTCCAAAGACCGAATTGACTACGGATCGGGTCATGAGCTGAATTTTATGATGTGGCTGCTTAGCCTTTACCAGCTGGGTCTGCTACCAAAAACAGATTTCCCGGCCGTGGTCTTCAAGGTTTACCTCGAGTATGTGCATCTCATGCGCGACATCCAATCGACATACTACCTGGAACCGGCTGGATCCCATGGTGTCTGGGGTCTGGATGACTATCACTTCCTGCCGTTCTTGTTCGGGGCCAGCCAACTGGTGGATCACCCTTATATTACACCATTGGGGATCCACAACAATGCATTACTGGATGAAGAGGGGGACAAGTACCTGTATCTGGATCAGGTGCGGTGGGTGGACAGCGTTAAGACAGTGAAGGGACTGCGCTGGCACAGTCCCATGCTGGATGATATCTCGGGTGCGAAGAACTGGTTTAAGGTCGAGAGTGGTATGAAGAAAATGTTTGTCAAGGAGGTCCTGGGGAAGCTGCCCATCATGCAGCACTTCCTGTTTGGAAGCCTTCTTCCTGCTGCGGAAGGTATGGGTGAACTCTCTGAGGATGGGGCTGATGATCACGATCATGATCATGCTGGGCATGACCACCCTCCTGGACAGGCGCACACCGACTACTTTGGAGACTGCTGTGGTATCAAAGTCCCTAGTACAATCGCCGCGGGCGCGGAGATGCGCAAACGGATGGGCGGGTCCGGGTTGCGTCCGATCCCCTTCGATTAAACATTATATACATAAAAAAGCTTTATTGCCTGAAAATAATGAAAATTTTTGATCTACAAAGCATTCGTTGACTAGTGTTCTATTATTGTGCAAATCCACTCGGAAGGATCAATAAATGAGCATCTCTCAATCAGCTGTACCTTCCGCGTAAAACTGAATAAGGTTTCAAATAAAAAGACACTCAATAATCAGCCCAACAAAATATCTATTTTAAAGCATTATCAAGATCAACCTAACATTGGACGGCTGTAAGCCAAGAAACCTCGAATCCTTATCGCGAACCAACGATCCTCCACCGGCAACACCTGATTGGTCCACCGCCCAAACCCAACTTCACATCTCCAACGCAAGCACCTCTTCCACCAGTGGCTTCAGTGGCACACCCAAACCAAGGGAATAGGAGAACAAAGACAATCAACTCCACCCATAATAAGAAACAGGTGGCAAATCACCCAAGCCCCAGAGGTCCTACATTAAAATTTGCTTTGAGGGAAGAGTTCGTTGCCAAAAGGTGAGACCTTGGGGAATCCACGGCCAACCTTTGAATCCCACCCTTTTCCCAGATCAGGCCCACTATGGCGCCGGACGAGTACGCTGCTGGCGGGGGCGGGAAGCTCAAGTTAAAGGGGAGCAAAGTGAGTGATGGACGGGTGGAGAAGAAGAAGAAGAAGAAGAGCAAGAAGAAGGATGATGTGAAGCCTACAGAGGGAGGTTCCGCCGTGGAAGATCGTGAAGACCGAGCCAAGAGCGAAGATAAGGATTCTTCGGCGGAGAGATCCGGGTCTGTTGGGAAGACGGAGACGGAGAGGAAGCATGAAGAGATGCGGAAGAAGAGGGTATGTTCATTCTTTTCTTTGTCTATTCCGTGGACTGGAAGGCTAATGAGACTAGATGCATGAGCGACTCCAACGAGAGGGTGTTAAGACGCATAAAGAGCGTGTGGAGGAACTCAATAAGTATCTCAGTCGACTGAGTGAGCACCATGATATGTATGTCTATTTTTGCACATTCTTTGTCAAGCCAAAGCTAACTATGAACAGGCCGAAGATTGGACCGGGCTAGACCACACCAGGATGTTTGCTTCCTGACATGTATCATAAGACCGAATTAAAATTGGAAGATTGAAATGTGGTATATTCACGTAAATCCCAAAAAAAAAAAATCAAGTAATAAGGCTAAACAGATGATAGTTAATGCCCATGCGAGTCCCGCAGGATCTCAATGTAGCAGCCCCGAAAAATCAAGGCAGATTAAAACCATCATGCCGGCGAATGCAATCCCTATTAAAGGGTGAAATATAGATTAGAAAAGAACGCCATGTAGATGAGCCCACCCCCAGAAGCGACCAAAGAAAAACCGCAGAATCAGTCCGGCCGTAGCCACAACAAAGTCATTTACAAACACCCCCAATAAGAAGCGAAGCAGATTGGAAAACGGAGCGCAGAAAGAAATATAACAGGGAAACAAATGAACACCGCGCTAAAGATTCAACCGGCAAGTTGATCAACACCGGAATCCCTTTCTCCTCTCCTAGTAAAGAATCGAAACAAATACCTAGATGGCGGTGCGGCGCATCTAGGATCAAATCCCCGGAGAGAGTTTAGGAGTGTGAGATGATGGTACAGCCTACCAGCCGCACTCTCATACACCCTTCACAACGACTGTTCGCTCGCTGTTCAACTTATCGGCGTTCCGCGCATGTGACTCCTTCTTGCAGTCCTCCAGCCCGGTACAGGAGTGTGCCTCGAGCATGCGGTGCTTTGAGCAGAAGTGCCCGTGGCAAAAGCTACAGTCACCCACGATACGCTGAGCGGCTTCCTTGCACTCCTTGAAGTTGCACCTGGGCTTGCGAGGGGCCATTATGGATGATTGGAGGTGTGGCGTCGTTGGTGAGGAGAAGGTTTGTTGGGGCGGAGCGCGAGGGAAGGCTGACTGGACCAGTTACAGCTGAGGTTTGAGATAAGCGCCGGAGTCGGGTTGAAGGATAGGCGATTCTGGGCTGCTAGACAAGGCTAACGCAGAGGACGCTGGGAGAGAGGCGGGTTTCGTGAAGGTTCCCTGGCGATGGGGGGAAGAGGTGGAGAGAGTAGGTTGGAGATGAGGAGAGAATTGGACTGGGTTGGAGACGGGGGTAGAGTTCCACGGGGGAGAGTGATACAGGGGAAAGGGGGAAAGAAGAAAGTGGGCGGCCACGTATTATATATTCGGAACGGACGGGGAGAAGAGAAAGTCAGTTCTTTATGGCTGACTCAGTTTGAGGCGTGGAGAGTGACGGAATCAGTCTGGAGGCGAGCGGGTCCCGAGAAGGTTCGATAGGCTCCATATCCTGTATACTTTAACCCCCAATTTCCCTAATTGCTCCCCCTTTTACCGGCACCGAATCTCGGCGTGGCGTGGTGTCCACCTCCCTAACTTAGGTAGGTAATGGTATCCCCCTACGGTATGGGCACACTATCTCTAGACTATTAATCTGCACCACCCCCCTTTCTGCGCTTGCTTTTTGTCCGCACGCGACCCGAATAGTTGCCCTTCAAGGCTGATCGGGTCCAATGATCGGGCGTCCGTGCGAATCGGAGCGGCTAATACATATCCAAGTACTCCGTCTCCTTCGTCATCTAGCATGACCCTGTGAACCAAGAGATGTAGACCCGTTTCTGCAAATCGCCAACTCGAGCGGCTAGACTGGATGAGGTCTAGTTGAGTATTTGCGAGTATTGGGCTCCTGCACGGAGTACTCCGTCTGGTACTACTGGCCTGGAGAAAAGCGGTGTTCACCTGACTTGGGTCCCCATCACGTGGATTCCCAGCCTTGTTCGTTGGGAATCCGTTTCGAAACTCAGGGAAACCCGAGAACCAGGAATGCGAACCTGGCAAACTCGGGAATTATTAATCGCGCGTAGATTACCCGTTTTCCTGATCCAGTGTCTGCGTTACCCGAGGAAATGCCTCCAAGGTTTTACAGGTGTTCCACGGGCATACGCCACCCACGGGCCCAGTATGTAGTAAGTGGCAAAGAGTAATGGAGTTCGTCGGTAAAAACCTTGATAGTTAGATCATTTTTGCAGCCCAAGTCTCCGTATCGGAGGACAGTCGAAGCAGGAATGTAACGGGGCCCACAGGCCTCTTATGTATGCATCAGCTATGGCCCGCCATGAGGTGTCCATGAATTGGATCAGTCTCCTTGGTCAATGCGCCTCTAAATGAGGCACGATGATCTGCGGGGAGCTATTACATGGCACTAGAGACGACCACGTACGTGAAATGTGAAATCGATGTGGTCGATCAATTTTCCATCTCCCCCTCACATTCGATTGGTTCCCTTTTCTTTTTTTGCTTGACTCATACCCAACCCAACTTACAATTAATCTACTTCTCGTATACCTCTCCTTCTCCACCAATTGACCAATTGCCCACTCAACCCATGCACAAACCCAACCAGCTTAAATCTATACCCATCCATTCTCTTTTTTGGGACCGGCTTGCAGTTTGCATATCTCCACCGCTGCAGCAGCCGGCCCGTTGCGACTGTGCGGATCATTCGGAATCCACACCGGTTCCGTCTACGTGTCTAGGGCGTATTTCAAATGTGTTGGCATGGCCGAGGTGTAGGCTTTCATGAAAGTTTCGGTGTATGGACTAGGACGAAAAAAAAAAAAAGCAAAATAAGAGACAAGAAAGAGAAGAAACGCCCGTGGCCCTGCACCTGAGTATGCGCCCGAACCCCTCCTGCCAAAGCAATGAATCATGAAAAATGAATGAAAGTTTTCTACCCCGGGTTTCAGGCTCCAGGGTGAGTCTCTTTGCCCGCAACCGGATCTAGATAATCCTCTCGTTCGGCGGCCTCGTACTCGTGGATGAGATCCATTACCACCGCGCGGGCTTCGTCGAACTCGCCCAGTCCGTCCGCGAAGGGTGCGGATTTCTCGTACTGTTGAATGAATGCATTGCGTTTGCGCAGCGGGTCGTACTGTTGAACGATCCGTTTGAAGAGGGTTGCCACGGAGGTGTGGTTAGCTAACATCAGACCGCTGACTCGGTTCGTGTGTTGCAAGTATGGCGATTTCTTAGTGAGCGCGACCTGGATGCTAGCGGGGCCCCAGGGAATAAATGATGCCAGGCGACGTTCACGAATACGCAAGAGGGACTTGTGTACGTCGGTAGGGTCAGCCTCGCCCTGGATGATGTTGAGAATGCTCATATAGCAGCTGGTCTTGCTTGGGTTGATAGAGACCATGCGGTTTTTCGGTTGGAGCAGACGGCGCATCACATCTAAAACGGTGGTCTTGCGGACAGTCTTGGCCTGCTCGATATTGTCACCGGTGAATGGCGTGTATGAAGTGACCAGGAAGTGGGTGCGTGGTGTCGGGATCAGCGAGGCGATGATTCCTGCGAGGTCATTGTGCATGTAGCCTGGGTATCGTAGGGGGGTAGTAGATGCCGACATGACCGTTGACACCTGCGAACGTCAGCTCAAATCCATGTTGGTCTTGGCTATAGACTTACAAGCTGGTTAGTCTGGTCGAAATTGGGTTTTTGGACATGCAGTCGGTCGGCAACAATGCTGGCCAATGCGAGATTATCCAGGACGACCTGCCAGCGATTTAGTTATTTGAGCAGATGTATTCCAGCAGGCGTACTTACCACAGAGTCAGCATCTTGGGTCAATCGGCGCAGAGTGAGGAGACTGTTGTAAGGGTTGACAACCACATCATTGGAATCCGAAAAGACGGAGTATGTCTGAATTAGCTTTTTAGGGAAGCGATCATTCATGCGCTCCAGGAGGAAACTTCCTAGACCGGAACCTGTACCTCCTGCAATCGAGTGCAACATCATGAAGCCCTGTCAGTGACGAGTCAGCTTACTAGAATTGCAGATGGAATTTTGTCAAATGCACCTCTAGAGAATCACTTCCATCTGCCTCTCGATCAATCATGTCAAAGATCTCCTCCTGTACACCCTCGCCTGCGGCGTAACCGGCACCCCAGTTATTACCAGCTCCAACTCCATTTTCTCCCATAAAGAAATTCTCGGGGTTATAGATGTTTTTGTAGGGGCCCGATTGGATGCTGTGGAGAACCTATTGTTGTATCAGTCATAGTCCGATTGTTTATAAACGACACATATTTGTTTTATGTCAATATGGGAGAATCATACCCGGGGCTCTAAATCGAGAAGGATTGCGCGGGGAATGTATCTGGTGTCGTCACTCTGTGGGGATCTGTTAGCCTGGATGGTCGAACAAAGCAGCGCAATGCAAACAATAAACACAATACAAATATCAATTACACACCTGGTAGAAGAACACGTCCTTGCGGTCTCCGCCTTCAGTCGCAAAATCCTCCAGGTTACCATCCTGGCTGATTCCGTGCTCCAGGCACAGTTGCTGCCAGAACTGGCTACCGACTATGGAAATAGTCAGCTTTGGTGATCAGGAAGTAGCGTCGCGTTTTCTGTTTCATTTCCGTGCTATATGAGCGGTAAAGGGGCCGCAACGCTGGGATTCGGTCGAGAGTTGCGGAGAGGCACGTACCGTTGTTGCCGCACTGGCCGGCTTGGATCGTGATGATTTCCCTATTTCACACAGTCAGGTCAGTTAGAGTGCTCTAAAGGAGCTTCATGTCATCTTAGAAGCTCTCACCTAGGCATCGTGGTCCAATGGCGCCGTCGGGAGAAAGATGGTTCACGCGTAACGCGTTGTTGCGGGGAACTTTTTGGCTGTGATCATAAGCTGTCGCCTCAGGCACCAACGAGTTGGACATCAACATCACCACCCAAGTGACTCAACGGGCTTATATAACTTTAGAGTACCTTTTATTGTACTTAAATATGTCCGGTGATCAGATATAATGGATGGTAGTAAATAGTGCTCTGCAATGCAATCATTATACGTCAAATATTAGAACCCGCCATAATTATTTTGAAAGATCGTCTCGCCTCGTCTGTAGAATATCAAAATCCTGCTTTGCACGATGTCACCAGTGTTCCAGCTCCTGCAACCACACCATCAACAATTCTGACTTGGTGGCCCTTGATATCACCATAGGCACGCACACATCCCTCTCGCACGGCCTCTTCCATCCCTGCCATGCCTGCACATCCCATACAGATAGCACCGACAGGAACTGCCGACTCCCGAAGCAGCTTCTGAGTGGCATTAATGATCCTTTGCTTCACTTCTTCCGCGGGTGTTGTGTGAAGCTCTCCGGCCGTCAGCCCGGTAGTCTCAACACCTGCGAACCGAGTAGAGCCATGGGTGCCGAGCATCTGGGTAACCGCCTTGGTAAGCTCGGCTTTCCAGGCACTGCCAGTAGTCACAATTCCAAATGACTCCTCAACTTCTTTTTTGTCCAGCTCGCCCATTTTCAGAAAGTCGAATGCGCTGATCAATGATAGTGAGGCAGTAACACTACCCTCGAAAATGCCGGTCACATACTTCTTGCGACTTGAGGGATGAGTCTTCTCAAATTCCTGGATACGCTTTCGTAGTACACCCACTAGCGGGTGAGCTGAATAGCATGCCACCAGGAACGCATCAAAATGCGAGATTCGGTCCAAGACTGACCAGCAATTGAGTGCCGACTGGGCGGATTCTTCCCCGGAGTTGATGCTGGAGATGGGTTCGTAGGTGCGTCCGTCAACCGTGACCGGTTCATTCGGCGCCGTGAAGTATTCGAATTGCACATCAGAATAGTTGAGGCGATCTAGTATTGGCTTGAGGCCATCTGTCATATGGGTGGAGGTATTGGGGTTGATGACCAAAATCCGGATAGCGCGCTCGGCATTGGTGGACATGGTCATTGTGGCTTCGCTGGCAGGAGTGTTGGGAGAAGTTTTCTCCAAGTAATAAAGCATCGCAGATCGTCAATCAATAGAAAGCACTTCGAAGCTGCGGTCGGTTCCGAAGTGAGAAGCATTGCACAATGGGTCCCGCCGTTATCGACAATCGGCTCGCTCCGCAACCCCTCCCCCGCTCCAAGTCATCTGTCTCCAACTCACCCAAATAACCAAACATCCCTGTCTGCCAAGCCACCATGCCTCTTATCGCACAGAACCCATTGCCCCGGGTGATCCTTGGGCTTATGACCTTTGGTCCTAGCCCGGATAAAGGTGCCCGTATCACCTCTGTGGAGGAACTCAAGAAGTCCTTGGACTATTTCCAGCAACAAGGATTCACTGAGATCGACACTGCCCGCATCTATGTCGGCGGAGAACAGGAAGCTTTCACAGCTCAGGCTGGCTGGAAAGAGCGTGGCCTGACCATTGCTACGAAATGGTACCCTGGTACTCCCGGATTCCACAAGCCTGCCGTCCTGCGCGAGAATCTCGAAAAGTCATTGAAGGAGTTGAACACCGACCAGGTTGACATCTTTTACCTGCATGCGCCGGACCGATCGGTTCCTTTCGCAGAGACTTTGGAGGAAGTCAACAAGCTGCACAAGGAGGGCAAGTTTGTTAACTTGGGACTGAGCAACTTCACGGCCTTTGAGGTAGCCGAGATTGTGACCACCTGTGCCGAAAGAGGTTGGGTTCGCCCGACCATTTTCCAGGCCATGTACAATGCCATCAGTATGTGATGAACATGTCATTCAATCGCTCTGGAGATAGACTAACACTTTGTTCCCTAGCTCGCAACATCGAGGTCGAATTGGTCCATGCTTGCCGTCGCTACGGCCTCGATATCGTTATCTATAACCCACTGGCTGGTGGCCTTCTCTCTGGAAAGTACAAGACCATCGATGTACCCGCCGAAGGACGCTTCGGAGAAAACAGCTCAACAGGAAACAACTACCGTAAGCGCTACTTCAAGGATTCCAACTTCGAGGCCCTTAGTATCATCGAGCCCGTTGTTGAAAAGCACGGCTTGACAATGATTGAAACGGCCCTGCGATGGGTGCACCACCACTCGGCTTTGAAAATCGGCAATGGTGGCCGCGACGGCATTCTCATCGGTGTGAGCAGCTTTTCTCAGTTGGAGGCCAACCTTGCGGATGTTCAGAAGGGGCCTCTCCCAGAGGAGGTTGTTGATGCTCTTGATAAGGCTTGGCTCGTCGCGAAGCCACACTCTCCACCATACTGGCATTTGGACCTGAAGTACACTTATAACACTCAAGAGGCCCTGTTTAAGCCCAAGGCTTAAGAGAGGTTCTTCGTACATAGGATGAAAAGGAAGGGATGTAAATTGGGGTCCCAATATGATACAACGTAAGCCCAAGTTCACTATTTGAATCCATGCAAATGAGTTTGCATACGCTATCGTTTCTTCTCTTCTTCACTCCCTGTACTGGACAGATAGGGGCGTACTTTGGATCATGTGGATTTCTATTTCAATGAATCTCACAAATCAGGGCTTGTATTTAAACAAAATTACAGCGCATGCCCAGATACCAGGTATTTGCTTGTCAGGCGATGCTATTTTGGTCACTCGCAATGGACGCCTGAGACTCATGAACAACGCTAGTCTAAATGAGGGCTAGTGTCTGCGTTCAGGGCCAACGTCACATGACCCACTTATTCCCCAAAACGGTCTAGAGCCACGATGACGAAGGCGTCCAATTCCACGGGGCATCATGTTTCCTCAGTTTATAATCCGTAAATCTTCCCATTTTTGTCCCGTCTGAAGGTGCCGGACAAGTCTAATCTAAACCCTACGAGTCCATTGCATTCCGCTATCCCTCCTGTTATCTCTCGTGGTCGCAACCCCTGCACCCTGTTCCATCTACGTGGCTACAACGTACAGCTGCATCCCAACAACTCGATCGCATGCAGCCTCAGCCCCGGCTTGTGATCGATTGATTTCACAAGCAGCAACCCTGTTTGAGTTTTCAAGCCTCATTCAGCAATATTTTTCTCTGAATGTATTGAATATCTCTACTGATTCCTTATCTGTTATCTTTGCGGCGCAAGGGTGACAGGTGGACCCAGTGATCTTGTCCTGATTACTCAAAAGTCACTCGGTGGTGAAACAACCCCCAGCCAGAACAAAGGCCATCGCAATTGTGGCTTCGGAGAACATCGAGCTTGGAGAGTCTCGGGTAAACCCAAACTCAACGGGCCGTAATTCCCAGGATTCAGACGACATGAATCGCCCCCCGATGCACCGACCAACGGATGGCCGTTTGGAACAACCGTTACTCAAGGATGATGAACGTCTCTCGAGATCTAGCTTCGACAATGGTGATGCAGAAGGCCGGCCTATGTTGCACCACACCCGTCGGCCTACCATTCGGAGTCAAAACTCGGAACATGATGCCGCTCAAGCCACACGCAAAAAGTACATGATAGCTCTAGGCTTTTTGCTGCTGAGTTTGGCTAGTTTTGTTGTTCAAACCGAAACTGCTGTGTATATCCAGCATGAATTACATTGGGATAAACCGTATTGCATGCTGTGAGTTATAAAGCAACTGTCTCCCTCCACACCTACAGCTATTCTATCATCCTCTTTCTGGACTTGCAATGGCTGACCTTCGTTTCCCGCTCGCAGCTATATTACCCACGGCTCTTGGATCTTACTCTGGCCGTTCCAGCTGCTTATTCTCCGAATCCAAAAACGAAAGTTGTCATGGGAAGCTTTCTGGCGCCGCCATGTCTCCCTCCTCCGAAGTACCGCCCAAATGGTAGAAACCCAAGAAGTCCACCTCTCGTCTCGTCACTCCAACCGGTCCCCGGTTCCATACATGCTGAAGACAACTGCTTTTGTCACCAGTGCCCTCACCATCGCCGGCGGCTCTTGGTACGTAGCTGTCAATATGACCACGGCCAGTGATTTGACCGCAATTTACAACTGCTCGGCTTTCTTCGCATACGCCTTCTCGATCCCTCTTCTTAAAGAGAAGCTGCGATTAGACAAGGTCCTTGCAGTGGGCGTTGCAATCATCGGCGTGCTTGTCGTGGCATATGGCGACCGGCCGGACAAAAAAGTTTCCAAGGGCGGAGCAACTAAAGAAGACGGTGAAGCGCAAAGCCGACTGTTGGGCAACATCGTTATTGGCATCGGCAGTATCCTCTATGGCCTCTACGAGGTTTTGTATAAACGGTTTGCCTGTCCTCCGGAAGGAACTAGCCCGGGGCGTGGCACCATTTTCGCCAATACCTTTGGCAGTTTGATTGGTGCATTCACTCTTTCTGTCTTATGGATTCCAATCCCGATCCTTCACTATCTGGGTTGGGAGACATTCCGGTTCCCCACCGGAGAGGCAGGACGTATGCTCCTCGTCTCCATCTGTGCCAATGCTAGTAAGTTTACCCGTCAGCTTGATGCATGCCATGAAATACTTACCCTAGTTCAGCATTCTCCGGATCTTTCCTTGTCCTGATCTCTCTCACATCTCCCGTCCTCTCCTCGGTTGCTGCGCTCCTGACTATCTTCCTCGTCGCTATCGTCGACTGGTTCCGCACCGGACAACCTCTCTCTGTTGCAGCCATTATTGGCGGCATATTCATCATGTTCGCGTTTTTCCTCTTGAGTTGGAGCACTTATCGCGAACTCAGCGAGGAACGCAGAAAGCGTCTAGAGAATGACGATGTTGAGTCAGAAAGTGACGACTAGACCCCCATATATGGTGATACAGCATTCTATATTGTTACTCTTTGAGATTGCGCATTTCATTTGGTCGTGTCTTGTACAGCTATAGCATTCATCTAGGAACCTTTCAACATTGCATTGAAATATGGACATTTTAGACACGAATCCTTTTCGCCATCCTTTTCGCCGCTGGACAGTGTCCTGCTTTATCATTGGAAACGACAGGGCGTGCCTTGCAGCTTCGGCAATACCTGAGGCCTACAAAATCACAAGAAGACTCTCAAGCAGTCGTCAGGGAACGCAATAATGGTAGTCGCATTGTGCTCAATCGCAGCATCAGGCATTTTTGGCATATCCAGAACGCGGAGTTGTTTGGGACATTAATATATTAATATTCGCATGGGCGAATCAAGATCTATTAAATAGTGGCCTTGAGTATATTGAGTAGAAATGATAGAATGCATGGCGGTCGCAAAGTCTATAATACCCCGGTCAAATATTATATAATCCCTAAAGCAGAGAGTCAACTAGTTCAAGTCACTGATTCAGAATATAACTACGCGAGATGGTCTTGGCACAGGGGCCTAAAATAGAAAGTCTTTGCCCAGGCGTAAGGTGATCTGCAAATGGGGCGAAGCATGGCTGGATCCGAGCACCGCAAATATGACTACCTTCATATCCCATGTTTCATGTTTCATATTTTGTCCATGTCTCTGTTCCGATTCACGATTAACGATTTAAGGAGCGGACTGAGACTAACGAGTTGAGTGCTCTTTCGGATGGAATTCAGTCATGTTTTCATTACCTAGCTCAAGTGGCTTCCAAGACTACCTCCGTCGAGTTCCATCAGCGGTCGAACTTAACGAGGGAACAGATACGGTTCACGGGGAGAACACCGTTTCGACAGGGTATGTATTCTACAGCGGCTTCACGTACATCATAAACCCAAACTGACAGTGGGTATGGAAGATCTAGTGAAGAACGAGAGATAGACAAAGACCAAATCCTCCTCGAAGCCGACGAATTCGTTACCGAATATCATCTGGAAGAGATTCGGGATTTAATAAAGAATGGAGCTCTACTGTATCACAACCCCAATGATCCGACGGTCATTGGGAGCTTGACTCCGGAAGAACATATGATTCTGTACCAGTCGGCAAAGGAGGAATCTGATGTATTGAAAATAGCGATGAGAGCAACGAGCTCTTACATTTGCGTTGCAGGATCAATGCTCTAGTATGTCTTTTCTGAACGTTATTCCTATTGAGGGTATGTTTGGCTAACTGGGCTCAATAGTGTATGTCTACTGCACTTTAGTAAGGGCTTTTTGCGAGAAACATCCAACTACCACTCTATCTGGTTGAGAAGGCAAGTGGAACTATTCCCTATCTATTATATCGTCTAACATATCAGGCAGTACCCCTTTGATAGGAAGTGCGCTCCTTGGGTCCATGTTGACGGTGCCTTTGAATCGTTCTTGGGGTCGCCGTAAAGCTGTATGCGTCGCAGCGATTTTGGCCCTCGTCGCAGCTTGCGGGAAGATTTTCTTTCAATTGAGCTTCGAATCGCTTTTAATAGTGAATCTGTTAGCTGGTACTTCGATGGGCATCCTAGGGTGCACTGTCCCGCTTTACCTCGCCGAGGCAAGCGTCTCGTCCTCTCGCGGCTTCATGATCGCTTCCTGGAATTTGTACGTTTATTTCCCAGCATACAAAATGCACAATGGCGAGGGCTTACTAATATCTCAAAAGGTTGATGGTGCTTTTTGAAGCTCTTAGCAACTGTGGAAGGCTAATAGTATTCATCACGCGTACCAACACCAACCTTGACATAGGGATCATAATAATTGTGCCCTCTGCATTCATTATCATGGCTCAAGCATTGGTTAATGCAGCACCAGAGTCCCCGTACTGGTGTGTATATAACGGAAGAATGCAGGAAGCCTTCCAGTCCTTATACTTTTCTCGAAAAGTCAAAGTCATGGCTGCCCGCGATCTCTGGCAAATTTATCTTGCCGACGTGCATGCAATGCACCGAGGTAGCTCTCAGTATCCATCCTCTGTTTTCCAGCTCACGACGCTGGCTGCCAATCCCCAGCTAAGGAGGGCCATTGTGGCAGTTGCTGCGATAATACTTAGTCGAAACCTGTCGGCATACGAAGTTGCGTGGGGTCACCTTTATGATTATGCGATGGGTGAAGTAAGTCGACTTTTGGATACATCCTTCCGCGTCAGAACATTAGTACTGTCTTTTATTGGCATTTTTCTCCCATATATCACGTTTGCATACATGACTATATGTGGCAGATGGCTCGATAGATTTGGACGCCGCCCATTTTTGATGGGTTTGACTCTATTCATGTTCCTACTCATTCAGGTTCCTGGGATCGAACCGACTGGAAATCAGGCACTTTCATTGAGAATATGCTCAGTCATAGCTCTGTGTTTTTACGTTGTCTCTTATCAGACCACGGACATGTTGCACACAGTTTACACAGCTGAGGTCTTTCCAACGCGATACAATGGTATGGCCCTTCGCTAGAGGTGCTTGGATTTCATACTGACATTGATGCCATAGATATTTGCATGGCAATCGCCATGTCAATCAATCATGGAAGCCTTGCATTGGTTGAAATTGGCTATTTTTACCGCGAACGAACCAAGTTCTTCCCTTCTCAACAGGGTCTTTCGTGAGTGTTTCCCTTGAGTTTAAACGTGCTTTGAAGACTGGTGGTTCTGTACTTACAAATCTGGTACGAACAATAGGATTCCGCTCTTTGTGTCTTTTATTTTGGTATGGCTTGTTATGAGAGAGACCAAGAGAATTTCTTTGGAGGATGTTGGCCACATCTTCGATACTCCCACGAGGAACCTCATTTTATACCGCGTTAATGTGCATTTGCCATATTTATTCAAGCGGTATATCTTGTTCAAAGATGTGGAACTTACGCCTTTAGAGGATTCCCGGTACCGGTTTGCCGCTGTCACTCTGGATGATACGGAAGCCCTATCCGCAGGCGCATCTTTTGAGGGAGAATCGGATTGACATAGTGGCAATCATTCTTGGGACTGTGTTGATCTTGAGCCTTTCTTTCATATACTTTGATATCCCGAAATCATACGCTCCAATGAACAAAATTTTCAGTGTATGGAGGCTTCTTTCAATTGATAGTATTTTACAGGCAATTCAATAGGGCAGAGCGAAGAACAGAGTATGATCGTGAGCTTCTACGGAATGCAAACGCAAATAATTCTAGCAGCAATAGATATTCAAGTAAAGAGAGATGACAACCATCGAGTACCTTGCCTCCACATTTGCACCTGGACTAGATATCTCTGTAGCCCAGAGTCCCCGAGCTCGCAGTTCGCATCACAATCAAGGAGCATATTAATGACATCACGTTTCCTAAGCTTGACTGCATCGTAAAGAGGAGTGTGCCCGTTCCGATCAGCTTTATTGATATCAGCCCCATCATTAATGAGCCGTCGAATCAATCCTGCGCCCATCTTGTTTGAAGCGATGGCAAGATGTAGTGGTGTCCGACCATCGCCATCTTGGCAGTTCACGCTGGCACCTCCATCTAACAAGACAGTCGCCTTTTCTTCTCGCTGCAAGTACATTGCATACAAGAGGGGCGTGTGTCCTTTTCTTCCTTTTATCTCTGTGGATGCTCCAGCAGCAAGTAGTGCCTCAATAGCCTTCACAGACTCAAATCTTGTAATTGCCAGATGCAAAGCAGTGTCACCATCGAAGTTTTGGGCGCTCACATCTATTTTGTTTTTTTGCAATGATTGGAGCTTCTTCAGGAATATTTCAAGGTCTCCTTGCCAGGTTGCCAGGTGTAATGCGGTCTCACACCGTGGGATTGTGGTTTTTGTCACGTCCGCTTGATATTCAAGAAGTATCTTGACCCACTCAGCACTGCCATACTGTGCTGCAAAATGAAAAGCATTATATCCGTCACGTATTATGCTTGGGTTTGCATTATGGTCGAGGATAGGTAGCAGTTGCTCTGCATCGGCCGTTTTACTCTTTGTAGACTTGGTCACGCGCCAGAGTTCGTAGGAGTAGAAGCTCTGTTTCAATGTTGTCAGCGGGTGTCTGTCAAACTATGGACTGCTGAGTACATACCATTTCTGGCTCTACTTTGGGCATCGGCTTATTTATCTGTTGCTCCACTAGCGGTATTGGCTCGGGGAGAAGCGTGGATGGACTGTCAATAGTAACCTCTGGCGCAACGTGTATCTGAGGGTTTTCTTTTGAGCTCAACTCCGTAGAGTGCGGCGTGAATGAGGATGTGTTTCTATGCTCAGAAGCCCAGTCTTTCATCAGACCAACTGAAGCCTTGGGGCGGTCTTGAGGAAACGGCGCTAACAAAGACTTGATGAAACTTCGTCCAGGAGAGCTGACTTTCCTTGTAATCAAAGGATTATGGGGAAATTCAGTATGTCCTCTCGCATAAGTTTGAAGCTCATACACAGAGAATGGGGTCTCCTTCGTCAATAGGTAGTAAAGCAAACATCCAAGGGACCAAAGATCCACAGCACTGGTGTAGCTTGAATCCTCTTTTGAGTTGTCAACAAGATCTAATACCTCTGGAGCCATATAACCTTGCGTCCCAATTTGGGTACGCAGGTCAGTTTCGTCATCTATTGCGCGCTTGCTAATACCGAAATCTGCGATTTTCACCCATATTGGGTCACTTTGAACGACCAGAACGTTCTTGGACCAATCGGCTGTCAGCAGTATTCAAAAAGTTTCCAGTAAAGGATATTGGCCCACCTGTGGTTTGATATCTCGATGGGTGATCCCCATTCCATGGAGCAAACTAAGTCCTTCGAGTAACTGTTTGCATACGCGCCGAGTTTCGACTTCGGGCAGTGGATAAGGAAAGCACTTTGAGATATCCCCAAGACGGCAATATTCCATCACAAAACAAACATGTTGGTCCGATTCGAACCATCCCTGGAAATTGACAAAGGAGTGCTTGTTTTGGAATCTGGGGCAGCAAGCATTAGGATGATTTCGCGACAAGTGAATCTTCCATGGCCCCATTCATACCTCATCACATTTGAAACTTGTCCCAGAACTTCCAGCTCCGAAGCGTAATTGTTAAGTCTGCTATCTTCTCTGGAGACCTTGGAGACTTGTTTAATAACTCGCAACTGACCCTGTGGCGACTTATACACCGATACGTTGTCGGCCAGCCTGAGCGTTCGATTCCACATGGTGATCTCCCTTAACGGCCTACCCAGCTGGTGTGGATCAGGTCGATAATGGATCTCGCGACTGCGTTCTTCGTCAAGAACGACAATATCGAGCTTATATTGCTCTGCGAGTCCTTTGTCCGTCATGACTGCCGAATTTTCCTGGGAGCCTGTCTCTTGGAACACACAGTCTGCGGGAAGTGCAGCTTTTGAGTAAACATTTCACTGTATCAACTAGGCTTCAAAAGTATCCCCTTTTGCACTATGTTCATGACTCAATAAACGAGATTGAGGCTGAGCTGCGTCGGATCACGGTTGATACGCCAGACTGCGCATATGGTCCGTGTGCTATTTTGGGCAAACCGGCAAACACGCATGTCGATCACGCCCCCTCACGCTCTCGGCCCCCATATCCTGACGTCCTGGAATTTAGGTTTCTTATTCGGATGTTCATTTAATGTTTCATTTACTGGCACAAGACGATGGATCCAGCATCATTAACGCTGGCAGTCTTCGGAACGCTCGATCTTTGTCTCAGGTTGGAACCCTATGTCCTCCAACTGGACGTCTACTTAATGAGCACTCTCCAGGTACGGTCAAGAGCTTATATATTTTTGTCGCGAGCAACGCCGATTAGAACGCGATCTGGAGGACATCGCACTAAATGTTGAGGGTATTTGGATCAAAACCGAAGTCCAACTCGACTCATTGAAACGCTTGTGGGATTCAGGCTCTCTAGCGCCCACTTTGCAGGTTCATTATGCCGACGCAGTTCAGCGACTGCGAATCAAAATATCGACCGCTGCCAGTGATTTCACGACAATCTACCCGCGCAGTATCGCTGCGACAACCCTTACCCAGAAGGCGAAGGTCGTATATTTGAAAAGACGCCTGCAGGAGGTCGTGAAAGATCTGGAGGATTGGCAACGTCGCTTTGATCCCTCATGGTATCTTATCACTCGGATCGCTGAATCCAAGGTGGATCGCGAACTAGAGAGCCAGACAATTACCAAAAGCCATGATTCCTCCGCTTCGAGGCTAGCCGAAATCAGAAATGCCATAAAGCAGTCCTCGTCACATCAAAATGAAGCCTCAAGTTCCGTCTTTGTCAATCCTGACATGATAGAAGCAGATGCTGAGAGAATTTCGGGGACAAGTACTTATCTATCGTGGTACAAAACCAACGGTCGGCGAATTCTGCTAGACAGCACAAATTTTGCGGGAACAAATTCTTCGGCAAGGAGAGTTCATGTCCGAGATCTAGCACGACTCTTGCTTAACGTGGATCCGATGTCATTTGGTCTCCTCAGATGCGAAGGTGTGCTAGAGAGACACACAAACCAAGATACCCAGTTCCAGTTCATCTTCGAGATACCCAAAGGTCTAGATTCACCAAAAACCCTACGAACTCTCCTAATAGAGAAACAAGAGTGTTCATTAAGCCATCGCGTTCAACTTGCCAAGCAGCTAGCTCGATCGGTGATGTTCGTTCACACAAGCGGATTCGTACACAAAGGTATCCGACCCGAGACCCTCATCATCTTCTCCCAGGAGAAAGAGGACATGGGCCCCTCATTTCTGATCGGATTCGAACAAATCCGACGCGCTGAAGCTCAAACTAGTTTTCTGGGCGACTTGAAATGGGAAAGGAATCTTTATCGTCATCCCGTTCGACAGGGATTATGGTCCGAAGAAGCTTTCACGATGCAGCATGACATATATAGTCTTGGCGTGTGCCTCCTTGAAATTGCCCTTTGGCGCTCTTTTGTGTGTCTGGAGGGTGATTCTATCACGCCCTGGTCGGAGCTGGATATTGATTCGGCTATTCTTGATAAGGATGCCAAGAGAGGGGGTTTCGCTATCAAGAGGCGGCTTACTGCATTGACCAAAGCACGATTACCCAGTTTGGTTGGAGATCGATATACTAATCTGGTCCTTGTTTGTTTATGCTGCCTTGATAGCGGTGACGATAATATCTTCAACATGCAAGGTCTTGACATCAAAGATGAAGATGGTATTATCATAGGTGTTCGATATATTGAAAATGTAAGTCCTGGTCAAGGGGCTTGGCGAGGTTTACTGATGATTTATAGATACTCCTGAAGATCGAGGAATTACTGGTTTGAATCGAGTGCCTACATCACCCTAGTTCGGATGACGTCTTTACAGGACGGGCGCTAACTTAGTCAACAATGAATTGAAAGTAGCTAACGTATTTCACAAGCGAGCGGAACACCCGGTCGGCCGGAACACCCCATCAACTTTTAATATTTCAAGCTAGAATATTTCAGCCGAAAAAACATGGAATTCAGTATCTAAGCTATTTAATTAAATTTGGACAATGCGTTCTCTTATGACCCTGAATATTACACTCTGAGCACCTTGGTGGAGCTCGTCGTCGTGGTTCTTGTGCCTCTGCTTGACCGGTTGGCTGGTTGATTAGAGGTTGAAATTAAGCATTTCCATCATTTTGAGCTAATTGATTAAGCTCAGCGACAGAAAGGCCTTCTGGAGCTGCTATCTGGAGCTTAGAACGTGCTTTTTTTTGCTTAATTTTCTCGTGCCTAGCCCGTAATAGCTCGTTTTCTCGAGCGAGGAAAGCGGTTGATTGCATTGTGATTTGGCACGCTTTAAGAACTTGATCTATAGCTGAATTCAACGAGCTTAGTGGGCTCTTAGAGCGCTCTTTTAAGAGCTTTTTGATTAAATCAGCTTGCTTTTGAAGTTACTTGTAATTTGATGGTGTCTTTGGCTCCCATATGCTGCTTTGGCTTCCTCGAGATGCTGGTGGTGTGGGCGTACGGAGTTGAATATTGAGCTTTGAGATCACTCGATTTCGATCATATAGGACTAAGCCAGTTACTTTAAAGCTATTTCTGATCGTTTCTGGCTTAAAAGCCTCGATTCGTGCGGTCGGAAAAGTATTAAGAAAGTCAAGCTTATCAATATGGTTCTGACCACATCGCATAATATCCTCGACACACTTCCCGTACGCACGCTTTAAAACAGCAAAACAACCCACATCAAGAGGTTATAAAAGATGTGATAAGTGTGGTGGCATACAAATTAGAATTATATGATTTTGAGAGCAAATTTCGTCGAATTTTGGAGTCAAATGGCTTCCATAACCGTCGAGAACTAGAAGTCGATATATTCCCTTAGTCCTCGAGAAAGTCAAGGGAAGAAAGACTTTTTTAAGCCAACAAAGTCCAATTTCATCCATGGTCCATCCTCTTTTACTAACCTAGAATTGCCAGTCGTCCAGAAGCCCATCACGCCAGCCTTAAATGATCATTTTACCTTTAAAGATAACCATTAGAGGTAGGCTATATCTAGACGCGCCTATACACTCAATCAAGGTTACCCATTCACGATTTCCAGGTTGTAAAAGTGGACAGCGCTAACCACCAGTATCCGCTCTTATGATAACCTTCGCGGTCGCGGTTAAACCCATCGCGAAGCCTGTCTCATCAAAGTTATAGATATCGTCTTGCTCAATCCCATACTCAAGAACTATCTTTTAAACCAGGTCAAACCAGCCATTAATAACTTTAGGGTCCTCGCATTTAGCACGCTTATAATCGTAGCGTCTTAAGAACCTTGTTTTGAGTTCTAGGTGTCGTTTAACAAAGTTCGTAACCCAGTTTTTGCCAACGGTTTGAATCAAGGTTGTTCCACGAGTGGCAAGTAAGAGATTAGCCATTTCTTGCACCATAGAAGGTCGTGGGGCCGCTCCACGTATAGCCATAGATATGACCCATTGCTTAAGCGAATTCTCCTCGATTTCAGTCAATTTGAACGAATTTGCGCGTGATTCGACGCGGTTTTGACGTCCACGAAGACGTGCGTATAACGTTGTATGGGGGATATCATATATAAGCGCTGCTTTGCGAATTGAGAGCTCTTTCTGCGTTTCAAGAGCCTGGATAGCAACTAAGATTCGTCCTTCTTGTTCTATCAATTTTTAACGATTTTGAGAGCGAATTGGTGGCATGGTGGGTGGTTAAAGAAGAAAGGTCTAATTAATTGACGCGTTTTGGTTGGGGTGTTCCGGCCGACCGGGTGTTCCGCTCGCTTGTGAAATACGTTACGTATTGATATAAGAGAAAGCCGGGCAGTCCGCTCGAAGTTCCCGAGTATTGACAGAATATGAGTGGAGATATATTTTGAACCGAAGGCGGGAAACCCACGGAACGGTCGGAGATGTTTAGGCTACAGCATTTCATAGAAATCAATTAGATAGGGCTAAATGGATAAAATTCATGAGACATATCAATTCATCAAAATTACGATAGATTCGACATTCAATGGTTCGTGTTGCCTCCAAATTTCAAGTGCCGGAGAACCCTTAACCTCCAGTTGAAGTCTAATCTGCATGAAGGCTGAGATCCGATATTAATTGAAGACTAACCAAGGAACCACAGGCCTAATTATCCGACGTATGCCCGATCAGCTGCGCCTGCTCCTACGTGAAGTCGGGCAGTCCGAAAATCGAATGATGAAATAACACCTTGGAAGATTTGGCATGATTACCCGATCAGGGATGACACCCGATCTGATATCCTGACAGACCTCAATCTTGGTTGGCGGTTGCGACCGCCGGTACATCCTAGACAGGGTCACTCCACACCCCAGATGAGCCAAGGAAACGATATTAAGGGTCGGCATCCCGGCGGACAAAAGCCGGACACGGAAGAAACGACATCCGATTTACAGGCCAGACACGAATACGCTGTACTAGTACAGAAGGAGATGTGCTTCATTTTACGGTGAGGCCAGACCTGTCCACAAATGTATGACGAGGCCTATGGTAGAATGGAGGTGGCGATTGCATTATTGCCCGCGAATCAGATCCACTGGACTCATACGCGTACGATGTGACAGTTTCAGGCTACTTTCAGGCTACGGTCTTATCTGAGATTAAACACCGTCCCATGCAGACATACCTCTGTACAGTTTGGTACGGAGTGCTCCGTACTTGATATCAGTTGATGGATCAACAAACCTTGCAAGCCTTGGAACCCTGTAACCTGGAAATCAATTGGCGTTAAATTGAATCCTGGATCCTCCGTTGCCGCCCCAATTGGCTGCCGATCACAGCCCCACGCGTGCACCTTGAACGGACCAACCCACTCGCAATTTTGCATGAAAAGCGGGTCGTTGATTGGTTCTCGATATGAAGTCGACGCTAGGGGGGAACAACATGAGGAGGTGTTTCAATTTCCCATGTCAGGGAGCCTTGAACTAGTACTTTCGGTCCGCTCAGCTGGGACTGTCTTTGCGCCCCTGGTCAACTGGTCCAATAGGCGCTTCGGCCTCGCGCTACACTATTTTTATCCGATCTCACCTGCCAAGACCCACGGATGGACCAGCCAATCTCCCGGGCAATGGTGTCCTCCACCTGGGCTCCATCGACGGCTTTTTGTCATTCAGTAGCTATTGCTCCTAGACGATGCAATAGAGGGGAGATGGTGTAACCCGGGGAAAATGGGTGGGAAACTGCCAGGTACGGGGATGTATCACTGCAGAATCGATTTTTAGTTCGAGACCAATGCATTGTCCCTTTTCACCCCTTTGACTTGCATCCCCAGCGTGGCGTCCGTGGACCCACTCTGTCAAGCGAGATTTGTCCACCAAGTGATTGGCCCTGGCTTTAGACTCATTGGTGCCTGCAGCCCACTTTTTCTCCGGATGCGTGCGCGCGGTCATTGGTGCACGCGGCCAAGGACCCCAGGATCCTTTGATGCGATGCCCGTAACAGGCAGCGTTCCGGCCCCATCTGGGAATCGTACGAACTACTCGTAACCTGGTGGCAACCAGAGTCATGACGTCCTCTAGTCTTGATATTCCCTGAACAGGCTAAGCCACGAACACTTACGTATTAGGGAATTTCGACATCAAGTTCAAGATTTGCCTAGATGGGAACCTAGAGAGGATTTATTCCTCAATGCCCTTAGGGTAAACTCAAAGTATCTCGAATCTAAATCTCAAATCTCAAATCTAAAATCTAAAATCCTTCCTTTCCAGCCGAATCAAGGGCGCAGGGATCTTGCCTTGTTTGGTATATGGTATACCTGAACTTATAACCACAATACATGAAGACATAGTCAAAGCAGTAGTCAAAATAGTCAGAGTAGTCAAAGCAGGAATTGGAAAGAAAAAACGAACGCAAATCCACTAAATTACTATCTTTAATCTCTTTTCCCCCATCGTTTTCCCCCCAAATCATTGGTTCGCGGGTCGGATGCAACGGGTAATACGGTTGTATGGTTACGCCCGTAAACCTCCCCTCTCCTGTGTTGTTCTCTCTTCATCTCCCTCAACGACGCATCCTCTTCCCTTTGGCCCCCCCCTCCTTTGGCCTTCGTCGTGGCCGTCCATTCCTTTTTTACTCCAAGTCGTCACTTTTTTATTCCCCCCATTGCTCTGCCTGGTGCGGAAGATTCAAATGACCTTTGTTCAAGGTTGTTAGACTGACCTCCAGTTCCTTGCGACTTTCTCTTATCGCCAGGGAAGTCGAGTGGTCTGGAGGTCTCTTTGTCCATCTGGATCTGTTCGACCATTGCTTTTCTTGTATTGCGTTTCCTGTTGAATCTATTTTACTTCTTGCACAGCATTGATGGCTTCAATTTCTCTGCCCCCGCAGTCTCGGTCGGCCTTCTCTCAGCACTTCGATTCACCTCCCTCCAACAACGAGTCCAGTCGTCGGCTCACCATGCCTCCATTGCCCAATCCACCGTTTGTCTTTCCGGCTCATGAGCCGGACGCTCCGGTCTCTGCGCAGGACTCCGAGCGCCAGACGCCGCCGGCCCTGCCAGCGTTCTCATTTAATCCCGGATCGGAGTCAACTTTACAGCCAGCGCATGTACCATACCGACCGAATGGGCACCGACGACGACCAAGTGAATTTGTTGGGGATAATCAGTTGGTCACACCGGGTTCAGGGGATGCCGACAAACGGGAAGAGCCGCCCACGCAAACACAGCCGAGTCTTCCAGCACCCGGTCCGCCGCGAGGCCCAGGACGACGAAACCATGCCCATCGCCGCTCTCAAGCGGTGTCAGGGGTCGACCTCATGGCCATTCAAAAAGCACTTGCAACCCCAGGGGGTAATGCACCAAATACCCCTGGCGACCCGTTGGATAAGGGCCATGAAGATGTGCCCAGGCCGCTTTCCTACTCAGCTGGAAGTCTTGGACGCCCGACACCTCCTGCGTCGCCTCAGTTTCCGCCTTCTGATATACCGCCAGTCCCGCCCATCCCGGCCGCCATTCGGATCGAATCGGCCCCGAGTAACGAAGATTCGCACGTCGGACGCCCTGTTTCTGCAGTCTTTCACGAAACGCCAGAGAGTCCTGCGACGACTAAAAATACACCGCCGGAGATCCCGACCCCCCCAGCAGAGAAGATGCGGGCACCAAATCGCAACTCGAAGCCACGGCCGAAAACTGCCGATGCGTCTTTAGCTTTTGATTTCATGCAAGCCCAAAATGTGCCAGATGTGCCTGCCGTGAAACGCTCTAAATCGACTGGGCATTCTCGTAAAGACAAAAGCCGGCCCGCGTATCTCAATGCAACTCTATCAAATCACGGCAGTGATGACGCTCATTCGACAGACACATCTCGTCCTTCTTACTCTGACGATGGATCCGAAACCTCTAGCGACGAGAACCATGATGATTCCTCCCCCAAGAAATCCAAATCAAAGAAGAAGCAGAAGGGCGTTCGCTCGTGGGCTGGCGCCATTCTGGGCAAAGGCAAGCGACATGCGAGGCATGAGACTGAAATTGAGGCCTCGCCTGAGAAGGAGAAGGAGAAGGAGAAGGTTAAGGGCAAACAAAAGAAACCGCCTGCCTTGACACCTCCTACCCTTACCCGCACCAATTCTGCCGCCGGCTCCGTCATGGAGGTCGATTTTGATAATGACGATGTTTTGATCATTCGGACTCCTACAAACCCCGAAGGCCCTGTTCCTCAGGCTGAGCGGTCTGTGGATCAGCGTCCTGCTCCTTCCCTAGAGACGTCGTGGAAGCCGAGAAGCTTCTACGAACAAACGGCACAGGATGAAGTCCTCAGCAGCCCCATCATTGACCTTGATGCTGCTTTGGGCCCATTCAACACCCCTGACATGCGGCAAACTCAGAGAAATCTGAGTCAATTTTCTGTGGTAACACAGCGCATGTACAGCGGTGGCCGACGAGGCGAATTTGTCGGTCCTGAGATGCGATATCATCGTCGTACTGAAAGTGCTCCGGTGATGCAGCCCTTTGACCGCAGCGCGCTAGGTCCTATCCGCTTGGGTGGAAAAGGCGCCGAAACTCCAGATGTTTTCTACGAAGAGGAAGAGGATGCATTCCTGGCTGAGAACCAGTCGCCCAGGAACGGACGAGAGCGCTCTATTCCAGTTCCTGTTGTTGAAGCTCCGGAATTGTCCGAAGATGATAAACAGCCTGCGGAGTCTGTCAAGAGCACCGACAGCGCCGACACCTTGACACGGGCACCTGTATCTACCCCTCCCCAGCCCGAGTCTCAGCCTGAGCCTCAGACCGAGGGCCTTGGCATCCAGGCTACTGAGGAGCCTGTCAGTCCTAAGAAGGCTCTTGCTCCTGTTCAGCAAGATGCTCCAGAATCGCTTCAAAATGCCGGCAACCCATTTGCCGGACAGGCCCGTACTCCCGTTGAGTCTCTCAAGTCAGAGGAGATTGACCTGAAACAAATGGCGCCTCCCAGTCCCGATGTATCTCCTGGCTTCCTGGCTGTTGACAAGCGACCATCTACGTCTCCTAACCAGCTCCCTCTCAACATTCCGCCCTTTTCCTTATCTGCTGGAGTTTCGCCTTCCGACTCGTCCTTCCCGTCTCCCGATGTGCTACGCTTTACTGATCGCAACTTTTCGAGCCACTCCTACCACCACCTTCCTTCAGAGTATCCATATCCATACGGCTCTGCTGAGGATGTCCCATCCTTGACGAGTAGTGCATCTACCACCACCAACACAAGGAACCGTTTCTCTGCAACATTTTTCCCTCGTGGCCGTCTTTCGACCGATCGCGCTGCATCATTCTCGGCAGCTGTTCACCGACGCAGCAGCCAAGCTAATTCGTCCAAGAGGTCTAGCCTGGCTAGTCTGTCAAAGCTGGTCGGTGCTCCACAATCGGAACGAAGCAAACTCTATCAAGAAGAAAAGCCCCCTGGTGATGCAGCAGATAAATCGAAGAAGAAGAACCATCGGATCAGTCGACTGATGCATTTCTGGAAAGTGAAAGACAAAGAGAAGTCCGCGCCTGAACCAACCATTCCGGAGCGGCCGGTATGAAATCCGACTCTTTGATCTGAATGCATTTTATTTTGATTTCATGGCGCAACAAATCTCGGCATAGCGATATCCTCAGTCATCTGTTTTCCGCATATCTTCTTCTCGCCCCTCCCTCTGGCTTCTTGATCGGACTGTACATATTTGACTCCGGTTTCATATTTTTCGTGTGGATTCTTTTTTTGCTGTTCGGCGGTTATTCTACCCTTTGTCTGATTTCAGACTTCCCTTACGAATTTCTTTACTCCCGGATAATGGGTCACCATATCTGAGTACGATACACTCTCGTTCTTCTTGTCCATCGTTTATGTACCGGTGACGCCCGGATTGATTGACTTTCTCTACGATCGTTGTCCTGTGATGGACCTTAACCTTTGTTATCTTTTATTTTCTTCTCCTGTGGCATATAGCCCAGAATACTATTTACTCTGTCATCTGGATAGAATTTTTATTTTCTTTTAAGTCTTTATACTTGGCGTGGGCGTGTATTTAGTATTTATCCTCTTGGTGGCAATTAAAGATAAGCTAAGATAAGCCAAAAAAAAAAGTCATTCCCAACTTCCCCCGCACTCGCAATCCTATTCACCAACGAGTAATCCAATTACTCCCACATCAGAATGCCAGGCCCTAGACAAGGAAATCGCAGAGCAGACCGCGACACCTTACAAGCAAAACCGAAAGCCAAACCAAAACAGAAGCCCCAACAACGCCCCCGCCTACCCAAACCCGAGCGCAAAGAGCCCGAAGAAATCCTCAGCGATGAAGATCCCAGCTCAATCAACCTCTCAACACCGATCCCACTCTCCCTCCAACAACTCCTACTAGACGTCTTCAAAACCGCTCTTCTCAATTCATCCCCAACTGGAGCCGATGGTGAATTTGAGTCTTTGGATATCAAGTCTCTGATCCAGACTATCAAATCCCATCTTTATCAGCGCGACTTTGATTCCGCATTCACGGAGGCCGGAGAGGACCATTTGCGCGCTTATGCTTTGCGCTGGAGTGCGTCCCGGGCATTAGGGTATGCAGGGCTATTCAAGGGTGTGTTGAGTTGGATGCGACATGATGAGAGCATACCCGACTCAAACGGGACTCGCGTTGTTTGTCTAGGGGGTGGTGCTGGAGCGGAGATTGTTGCGCTCGCTGGTGCATGGCGGGATCTTGATGATGGGGTTGATTCATTGAGTGGACGGGCGGAGGAATTATCCCTCGAAGACAAGGAAGCAGAGAACTCTTCCACTCCGCCTGCTTCGAATCGGAACCTATCTATCGCAGCTGCTGATATCGCTGATTGGTCTAGCGTTGTTAAGCGCTTAGCTACGACTCTTACATCTCCCGATGTACCCGCTCCGTCAACATCGAAGCACAAAGCCCCCCTTGTACCTGCAGGCGATAGCGTGGACGTCACGTTCCACCGGGCCGATTTGCTCAGTCTTCCGGAGAAAGAGTTGAAAGATGTCGTCTTTGGTGGGGAGGAGTCTCATTCGCTTCTCGTTACTCTGATGTTCACGTTGAATGAGCTTTTCTCTACGTCTATGCCCAGGACTACGGCTTTCATGCTTCGATTGACGGAGATTCTTAAGCCTGGTGCTGTGCTTTTGGTTGTTGATAGTCCTGGTAGCTATTCGACGCTGAAGCTGGGAAAACCTGGTCCGGACGGTGAACAGCAGGAGAGGAATTATCCCATGAAGTTCCTTTTGGATCATACGCTTATTTCTGTGGCTAAGGGTCAGTGGGAGCAGGTTTATACTCAGGATTCGAAGTGGTGGAGGCGGGAAGCGGCGCGGTTGAGGTATGAGGTTGGGGAGGGTGCTGGGTTGGAGGATATGCGGTTCCAGGTGCATATTTATCGGCGGATATAACAAGGATTATAGATATATACCATTACAATTTTGAAGTCATCTATATAGATATCAATAAAGCACAAGGCAAGATCAATCTAGGGCTATAGCCAGGATTCTGATAAGAGTAGAGGTATTGGTATTGCTACAGGTCAGAAAAAAGTACCAGATGGCGCGCTTTCGCCAATCCAGTTCGCGCGCACAGGATCAAGCACAGCCGAGCAGGCGCATGAAACGGCGTGCAATTAAATGATACAAAAGAGATTCCAGAATGAGTTCAGATCCGGACTTTCAAAATTTTACCCCTTAACTCCGCAGTCCAAGCAAGAGGCTAGTGCTCTTACCACCCTCCTTGCCCTCACCACCAGGCAGATATGTGACATTGGGGTTATTGGCGAGAGTGTGAGCAATTTCACGGGAGGCCTCGATACGACGAATCTCAATCAATCCACTACCGGCCTTGGCAACGGCCTTGGAGATGATATCGGCGGACTCGGCTTCACCCTCGGCGCGGATGACGTTAGCCTGGCGCTCCTGCTCGGCGCGCTCGACGATGAATCGTGCCCGCTCGGCGTCCTGCTGGGCGATCTGCTTCTGCTCGACGGCTTTGGTGAACTCCTTTCCGAAGGTCATGTGGGTGATGGAGACATCCTCCAGGGCGATGTTGAACTGCGAGGCACGCTTGAGGAGGTCTGTACGGATGCGGTTGGAGACGGCTTCACGCTGGGTGATGAGCTCTGCGGCGTCGAATTGGGCGACGATGGCCTTGAGGACTTCGTTTCCGATGGAGGGGAGGACACGCTCGTCGTAATCGGTACCGTACGACTAAAGCAGACAGGATTAGTATATTTTTACTGAGGTCTAGGAGTTGCACTCCTGGTAGCTTACCTGGTAAATCTGCGGCAGTTTCGGCACATCCGGGCGGTGCATCACTCGCAGGGTCAAGCTGACCATTTGCAGATCCTTACTTCCAGTCGTAGTGGAGATGTTGCGTGGCTTTGTTCGCACATCATAAACGATTGCCCGCTGCAACCACGGGACAAGGAAGTGTGTGCCTTCGTTGACGACTTGCTCTTGCACACCGGACATACGGTCGAAGATGACAGCTCGTGATCCACCCTTGACATCGTAGATGGACGCGTTGAATAGCAGCACACCCGCTGCGGCGGGGCCTGCCAGCCGGTAGAGATTATAGAGGGCGTTGGCCATGGTTGTGGGAGGATGGAACGGATGTAGATGTGAGGTTCGTTCTTAGTTGATGGATGATGTCGGGGTTTTCCCGCCCAATCGGGTTTAGCGTGATTCGAGCCAACTTCGTTCCCGAACTTGAACGTCTTTTCCTTCTCGCCCTGTACTCCGTCTCCAGTTCCCTCTCTCTTCTCCCTCTCTTCTACCGTCTTTTCTTCCTTCACAATGGGTGGACACGCTGACGCTAAGACCGGCCAGTGAGTACCTCCTTTTGGTGTCCCTGTGGCTGGGGGAGTCCGGTCGCACCCGCTCGATCGATTACCCGAGGAGTGCATGCAATGGGACTCCCTCCAGCTTCAATTGATCTGATATGTTAATTGGATGGCTTACTGACTATGTGATTGCAGCTACATCGGCAACTGGGGTAAATTTGGTACGTGAACGATATATGCCTTGACCTTCCGAACGCGCGAGCCGGAGACACCAGTCACACCACGATCGCTGGCTTCGACAACCCTCGACCAGACAACCGACCATGGACAAAAACAAATGGAATCGCAATTGGAACAGCACACTAATGATATGCACCTTTACAGGCTGCCCTACCCCCCAGCGCATTGCCACCTACGCCCTGTCGCCTAACCGCCAGCGCCCCTTCGCCGGTGCCTTCAACGCCGCTATCTTCAACACCTTCCGTCGTTTCCGCAACCAGGTCCTCTACGTTGCTCCTCCCTTCATCATTGCCTACGCCGCTATGAACTGGGCCGTTGAGCGGTAAGATCAACTACACCCCTGGGGAGGCTGTCAAGTGAGCCCCGTACTGACATGATCTGTAATAGCAACGAATACCTCAACTCCAAGCCCGGCCGCCTGCTTGAGGGTGGTGATGACGAGTAAATGGAGTTCCATTGAGTGGAAGCGATGCCAATTTTTTAATCCTTTTGAGTTTGAGTTATACCGGAGTGCACACGCCGAAAGTGCTGCGCGGCTGTATCAATTGTACAGTAAACTAGAAAGCAATCCACCGTTTGAGGTTTTCCTATGTCTGGTCACTTTCCCAGGGACTTGGAATGTTTTTCTAGTTATTCAGACAGCACACCCATGTAGATGTAGTGTTATGTGATGAGTATACTCAGGTCATCGTGATTTGGGCCATCACCATTGGCTCAGCAGAGCTCAAGGTCGGTACCCGCCCCTCTCTGACCTGTTTCCCCTCCAAAAGTCCATCCGTACACCCAACCCCGATAAAGTCAATTGGACAGTTTCTGTTACATGATAAGATATGATGTAGAATCTTGGCTTGCGTGAATTTTCCCTAAATACAGCGCAATTTGCATGCCCGTAACTCAAGTCCCCACTGTAACCGGCAAAGTAAAAATTCGCCCAAAACGACCAAACTTCCGCCGCTTTCTTTTTATTCGCATGTTGCGTTCCCTTCTTCCTCTTCGTTCACTCAACCCTTTCTATCTCTCAAGCCGTCGCTTTGCTTCTACCTTCATAATGAGCGAGATCACTCACCCCACCATTCAGGGTATGTTCTATTCCCTCTACTAGTCTACCCCGCCTAGTACCACCATCCCACTTTGCCCCTCAATTGCCCGTCGCGCTCATAGCTAACCCCACCAATCTCTAGATGGATGGTTCTCCGAGCAGTCCGGCATGTGGCCCGGTCAGGCTATGAACCTCAAGGTCAAGGAGGTCCTGCACCACGAGACGTCCAAGTACCAGGATGTCCTGGTCTTCGAGTCCACCGACTACGGCCGCGTCCTTGTCCTGGACAACGTTATCCAGTGCACCGAGCGTGATGAGTTCTCCTACCAGGAGATGATCACCCATCTGGCCATGAACGCCCACCCCAACCCTAAGAAGGTCCTCGTCATCGGTGGTGGTGACGGTGGTGTCCTCCGTGAGGTCGTCAAGCACGAGTCCGTTGAGGAGGCCATCCTGTGCGACATTGATGAGGCCGTCATCCGTGTCTCCAAGAAGTACCTCCCCGGCATGAGCATTGGCTTCCAGCACCCCAACGCAAAGACCCACGTCGGCGATGGCTTCGAGTTCCTCAAGGCCCGCAAGAACGAGTTCGACGTCATCATCACTGACAGCTCTGACCCCGAGGGTCCTGCTGAGAGCCTCTTCCAGAAGCCTTACTTCCAGCTTCTGAACGATGCCCTCCGTGAGGGCGGTGTCATCACTACCCAAGGTTGTTGTTCCCCTCCTTTGTCTCTGTTGTCTTGCCTCACCTCCCACCATATTTACCTCATCTTGTCTCATTTTTTTTTTCTTTTCCTGTTTTGTTTATTTGGGTGGCATATCTTTCCAATTGGGACACTGGATCCATTTTTATGGATATTAGTGGACAAAACCAGAAGAACATAGGCTAACATTTTCTGCACTATCCCGACCAACCCATGTGGTTCGGCTCGATGGACTGTGCATTTTCTTCTTATAGCCGAGAACCAATGGCTGCACCTTCCCCTGATCGCCGACCTCAAGAAGGCCTGCGGTGAGGTCTTCCCCGTCGCCGAGTACGCCTACACCACCATCCCCACCTACCCCTCCGGCCAGATCGGCTTCATGGTCTGCTGCAAGGACGCCTCCCGCAACGTCAAGGAGCCCCTCCGCTCTTGGACCCGCGAGGAGGAGGAGCGCCTCTGCCGTTACTACAACGCGGACATCCACCGCGCTGCTTTTGTGCTGCCCAACTTTGCCCGCAAGGCCCTTAACCAGTAAATGCACCTCGTCCGGAGGGCTGGCATTAGCAATATAGCAATATAGGATGATAAAAGTATGGAGAGGTTATGAATTACCTCATGATGAATGAAATTATCTCGGGATTAATGTTTGATTATTGTTTCCTTGGCCATTGTAGAGTCAGTTCAATGCTCCAACAACCATGGCTGTATACCTATTAGACAGCTACCTAGCTATCCACGGAGTATACACTATCTCGTCAAAAGTATATCCCCAGATCAGTTTTTGGGCCTACCCCATCAATTGTATTTCACTAAACAGTTCATCTAACCACTAGTAATGATCTCGTCACCCTTTATACTAACACATCAATTTTTCCGTATAGTATTACTCACCATAATTCTGGTACACACCCCTATAGGTACTATTAAATACTATTATATATTCCTCTATAGGTAGATAAGCTTCCGATACAATTTAAGCTGCAACTGCAGTGTTCCAACTACTGTTTTGTGAAATCTTGTATGAAAACAGAGGCTCATGGATTGTGATCAAGGCAATGCGGAACATTATAATCTCGAGCGGCAGGGAACGTCAATGGCTTATCGTGACGAGCGAGGAACTAAATATTTCAAATGGACAAAATCAAAATCTGGGATCCGGCTACTGGGAACTGCACGTTGATTCTTCCCAGTCAACGGAAGATTCTATCCATTATCCCCAGATACTCATGAACCTCTGATGAATTCATGTAGATGCGATTTCTGTGTTCCTGTTGAACCCGGTAATATGATCACGTAAAAACGTGAGGTAATTTTTCTCTCTGATGTTAATCAATGACTCTCGGACTTCACTGGGCTCTCTCTTGGTGTCGTGAAGCTCTCTCTTGACATCGTGAATCTCTCTCTTGACATCATGAAGCTCTCTCTTAGCATCGTGAAGCACTCGGCGAAGGTCCCTGACTTCTTCTTTCAGCTCTTCCATCCACTCGAAAATAGATGCGCCATGTTCATTGGCCATGATTCGATGATTGCGAGTGGTGCGATATATGGCTTGGTTTGCTTTAGCGGCAAAATAGGCTCTCTGATCATTAAACGTATTTGGGATTGAAGATTAGAGATCGACAAGTCTGCAAATGTCAACAGTGTTGATCATCGAGTGAAGAGTGAGATGTGAAGAGTGAAGAGAATGAGTGAAGAGTGAGATGAATCAGTGAGAGAGAGTGTCTCAAGAAGTACACCACGCGAGTCGTGCTCACCACCCCATCAGGTATAACCGACGGCTGTGGCTGGGAGTAGCCGCGAAGACGCGTGTCCGGAAGGAGGCCAAAGAGGAATGTGAGAAAGTCTGGAAGGCGTTAAAGGTCCCACGAAGAATAATATATGTCATCGGAAATCCTACGAAAAGGAGCCTGGATTACTGGAAGCGCCAGCGAAAAGTAACTTCCCCGATCATGATATAGCTTGGGCAGGTAGGATGGCCCTGGCCGCTTACCTCTGGAAAACCAAGGCACGCGACTCCCCACACTAGAGATTCCATAGAGGAGGCCTGTAGATCCTAAGAGGGGGAGGGGGTGGGGGGGAAGGGTGTGATCGTATGAGGATCTAAGAGATTGTGGATTCGGAAGATCAGCGGGGAAAGTAAACACCTTTTTGTTGCAACTCCATATTGGGGCCTGGAGAATGACAGTCATGGAAAACCACTGTATTTACACATCTTCATTTCAGCCGTATTGATATCCCAAGCGTCATTTCTGCCCCAAGATATGACTCTTGACTCTGACCCAATCAGATATCCAAACCTTGGTCAATCAAGACATCTAGATGCGAACACTTCACCAAGGCCGGTATCCCCGGGCTAACAACGCAATGGTCAGCACGCCAATGCAGCAATAGGAGAACAATTTGAAACAAAGCATCCATGAACAAGGGGTCCGGCCCGAAGTCTGGACCTCAAGCTGCTCACGTATGGATTGTAAGACCTAGCCAGCCTATGGGCCTCGATAACTTATCACCTTTCTATAGATGGGCCAAGCAGGGCCGTCTGAATTCCTCGGTAGCTCGTTCGTGTAATTGTAGTTTGATCACATTACACACGTCTAGTATGTTAGCCCAGAGCTTTTTCTCCACTTTGACCCGGATTTATCTTGTATCGAGCCTTTCCATCACACCAAATATACGACAATGCCCTGTTGGCTTGTCGCCTGATGAAACACTCCGGCGCCGTGAGATGATACAGCTGAATTATTGGCCAATACCGTGTGCTTACCCACTCATTTAACCTTGACTTGATACAAGAGTTCGGAGGCCTAGTTGCTCCAAGGTTATCTTTACACTAACGATATACGATAATCTAAAGCAGATAGTTGACTTTCACTGAATCTGAGAGCATGCATTGTTCTATAGATGTAGTTTAGGAAAATGAATATGAAAACTTCATGGGGTCTCTCAACTTATCTTGACTTGCAGCATTATACCAGGGCACGGATCCTGTAGGTATACAGGTCTCCAGGTATTTTTAGGTACATGTTTAGTGTGAATCACCGCAATTACGCAGGGTTATACGAAAAGGACGAGATTTTCATGCTTTTCATTCCCGGTTCTGTATCAATATCGCAAAAGCAAACATGCAAGGAAGCTACACCTGAGTTGTGAGCTCAATCAACGGCAGATAAAAGGAGTTTTGGAGAGGTGAGCTTACGGAGAACACAACGAGAGCCAGAGCGGGTAGCGCCAAAGCACTAAACACGATAAGCGTCTCGGGGAAAAGCCAACGCCAGGAGCCCGTCGGCCCGAAAGAAACAAGCTCCTCCAGGGCCGTAGGAGCACTAGAGCGAACACGATCGCCCAGGGAGATTCGTAGCCAATGACATCGATTTCTTTTTTTAAGGCTTCGTATTCCCGTCGCCTGGAAGCTTGACTTTATCTCACGTTGAATGAATTACATTGGTATAGTCTAGACTGCATGGAAGCAAGATATTATTGGGCAAGTGGAGTGTCGACCGGGGGGTGCGGAGCCTTGCGCATCAAAGGGAACCAGGCAACCTTTGGAACCCTGAGGATGGAAATACGACGCGTCAGCAAATCCCATGTGGTCTTTTACCGGCCTATAAGTCTACTAGCTACCCGATCCAAATCCCAGACAAACGCCAGTTGGGCCATCTCTCTACCCCTCTTTCTAGTCAACAATGGATCCCTCCCCAGTATCGCCCCCACAGCTTACAGCCCCTGAGACGAGTCCCCAGGCCAAATCTCAGACCCTCGATGACACCATGGCAAAAACTCCGCCCTGCAGTCTTCCTGCTGAGCCCGATCCTGGTGATAGGAGGGAAGACCGGGATCCGGCCGATGACCCTGGAACGGGCAGCATCGACCGAGCTCAGGAGCAAAAGTTTCTTACAGGAACCAGGTTGCATCTGGTTTCAACAGCCTTTGGCATTGCCAATATCATGGTTGCCTTAGATAGCAGTATCCTTGGTAGGTGGAAAGCATGCCCCGCGCCATCCATCTCCAAGGTCTAGGCCGTGAGACTCATCTTTCTCCTTCAGCGACCGCATTACCCACCATAAGCTCAAATTTTGGGTCTACGAATGATATTGGATGGTATGGCAGTAGCTATCTGCTCGCTCAAATGGCCTCGCAGCCAATTTGGGGAAAGGTATACACCTGTTTTGAACCGAAGCGAACTTATCTACTGTCTCTGATCATCTTCGGGGTGGGCTCTATCCTTTGTGCAGCCTCTCCTATGTCGGCTTGCCTCATATTAGGCCGCTCTGTCACTGGCTTTGCTGCTTCGGGGCTGCTGGCAGGAAGTCTGTGAGTCTATTGCGACCTATATCACCTTCAATACCCCTAGGACCGGCCCCCGCTCTCGAGCCTGGTGGTGTTTGGAACTAACATATTGCTAGTTCTATCTTTGGTCAAGTTGTGCCATTAAGACAACGACCGCAGGGTATGGCATTGATGGTCAGCATTAGCAACATTGCATCGATGATTGGAAGTACGATCGGTGGTGTGGTTACCGATTCCGTTCTGACCTGGCGATTCTGTTTTTGGATAAACGTCCGTATGTATGAGTCCGTCTACTGAAATTCCCCTGACTGACCTGTGAATAAGCGCTTGGGGTTGGCTGTGCTATAGTTGTAGCACTGATTCTAGAACGCAAGCTACATCCCGATCAAAAGCTTCCTCTAAAAGACAAGCTACAAAGAATTGATCTATTCAGCTTCCTGCTTTTATCATCGAGTCTCATTTGCCTGTTCTTGGGGTTTGAATGGGGAGGCCTATCAGTTTCTTGGTCAAACTCGAAAGCATGGGGATGCTTGGTAGGGTTTGCCCTGTTGGGCATTGCCTTCATTGTTGTGCAGGCATATAAAGGTGATAAGTCAGTATAAAGCCTCCATATTACGCTGAGTGGATCGTAAAGTCTGACTACAAAATATCTACTAGTGCCGTGATCAACTTAAAATTCATGCGCCAACGCACCATAGTGGTGTGCTATATCTTCTCGTTTTTATACGGTCTAGCAATCTCTACGCACCAATGGTTATTACCGACATATCTACAGGGTATTCACTATACCTCAGCTACCCTTTCGGGTGTTATATGCTTAGCATTTTCTGTTCCAATGACCATCTTCGGCTTATCTACGGGCTTTTTCACCACGCGGTTCGGTTATTACGTTCCTTTCATGTGGGCAGGGTCTGTGTTATACGTTGTCGGAAGCGTGCTCCTATTCCGATTAGATGCAGATAGTAGCCCTGGTCATTACATCGGATACCAGATACTAGCCGGTGCAGGCTGTGGAATGGCAATCCAAGTCACTTTTATCGCCGTTCAGGTCGTGGTCTCGCCTCATGATATGGCTCATGCTTGCAACATGGAAGTGTTGTTCCGCCAACTTGGGAGCTCCATTGCCATCAGCTTGGCCGAGAATATTTTCCTGTCCAGCGTCACCTCACCACTTGAGAAAATTGTTCCTGGGGAGAGCTCTTCCATTCTGACTACCGGGATCCGTTCATTTGTGCAAACCGCAAAAAGCCTCCCATCTCATGAGCAGGTAGAGGTAAAGAATCTTCTCGACTATGGTATTACACGAGCTTTCATCCTACCACTCGCGGCCACCTCGGCAGCGGCAATTGCTAGCTGGGCAATTGAGTGGAGAAAGATCGAAGAAGACAGGGAGCCCCCAGTTCTCATAGAGATGAGTTGAATGGGTTCATTAACGCTGAAAACCATTTGCTCCTGAGATATTTATATTAGAGGCTATGGTGTTGGGGTTGGCCGCCGCGGGACCGATGCGTTGAAGTCAACAAGGTTCCTGATCCATATGTGATATACAGCCAAATAACAAAACTATGAGTTTAGAACCCTGGAAGATCATACAGAGCCCAAAAGAATCACGCTTTATTTGTGGTCATCTGATAGACTTTTTCTTTTCTTTCTTTTCCTTGTTTCTTCGTTTGGGGTTGCTAAAAATCTAGAGCCCCGACATCCGCACCTTTCTCGAGGAGAATCATGACCACTTCCTGGAAGTCGTATTTTACTGCAATGGACAACGCCGTTTGACCGTCATTATCAAGGGCCTCAATACAAGCACCTTTGTCGAGCAGTAGCTTCAGGACGCTTGAATGCCGTTTCCTTGCAGCCCACAGCAGGGCCGTCCGCCCATACACTCTATCCTCACTTTCCAAGCCAACATTTCTCTCCAATAAAATACTCACCAGGCTCTCATCCCCATACATGATGGCCCACATCAGCGGGGTCCTACCATGGGCATCCTCAATATCCGGAATAGCACCTTTCTCAACCAAAAGTCGAACCAGACCTACATGATGAGCCTCTGAAGCCAGCAACAACGGGGCTCGATTGCTTCTATCCCGATTCTCTATATCTGCTCCATATTCGATGAGAAGGCCGGTCATCTCCTCGTGTTGATTGTTGACAGCCCACCACAGCGGTGTCCGGTTTTCCATGTCTTTAACCTCGACGTAAGCACCCTTGTCAATGGCGTGCTTCACAATTGAAAATCGCCTAGTTTCTGCAGCCCATAGCAATGGGGTCCGACCGAAACAATCGGCACTTTCTAGCCCGGCGTCATGATCAAGAAGTACTTTGACCAGTGTTTCCTGTCCCTTGATTTGAGCCATGCATATGTATGCGCTTCCAATACTATTTTCACTCCTGGTGATCGCACCATTCTCAACAAGGAGACTGGCAACATTCTCATGGTCTTCATTCATGGCCCAAAACAAAGGTGGGAATCCTTTCTGATCGCTCGTGTTGACATCACAGCCATGTTGTAGGAGGAGTCTTACTACCCCTTCATGCCCGTTTCTCGCAGCCCATGACAAGACTGTCCGTCCAGACTCATCCGATGATTCGACGTCAGCTCCTTTTGTAAGGAGCAGTTTTACTATATCTTCGTGTCCGCCGCCCGCCGCCCATGATAATGATGTTCGCCCTGAACAATCTGTTGAGTGTATGTTCGCGTCTTCGTTCAATAATCGCCTTACTACTGCTTCATATCCAGCCCCTGCAGCAAAAGAAAGAGGCGACCGTGCTGATTTGCCCAGCGGTGCTCGAACTGACAGTGGAATTTCAACTTCAGCGCCATTCTCAAGTAATAGATCCAGTATGGCCTCGTGTCCACCCTCTGCAGCAAAGGAGAGTGGCGTGCGAAAAAAGTCATTCGATCGATTTACATTCGTATGCTTTTCAAGTAACTGTTTGACCACTGCATAGTGCCCCGACTTGGCAGCTTGTATCAGGGATGTGTGTCTGCTTTTGCCCCACTTGAATTTGTAGCCATTAGGCAGCAGGCTAGCCACTGTTGTATTCTCAATGCTGGAGACTGTCTTGATGGCTGTCATGTCTCGCCTTTGTAGTGTTGATGGGGCCCGGGACGAAGATATTCAGGCGCTTGAAGATAGACGGGTAGCGCTTCTATTAGTGGTAGACGCGCCCGTGGCCACGTTGATTTTTGAGCATGAGACTAGTTAATTCTCTCAGTCTGTAGGATTGTCTCCCCTTAGGGGCTGAGTGGTATTATGCCTCGGTCACTCTAGGTATGTAGCATATTTCTTCTGCTGAGTGGGCCAATGGAGGGTTGTCAGGCTCCGGGGCCAGACCCACTGAGCTACTTATGTAGGTCCACGAGTGCTTAGTGGCGCTGGTTGTGATTGGCTGCTCGCTGGTCCTGTAAGGAGTGCTATTCATGACCTACAGTACTTTGTGAGGGCTCTCATTTTTAATTGTGCCCCTTGTTTGAGGTACCCTTTCTTTCGGTCTCGTTTGCTGCTCATGGGGATGATGCTGGGGGATGATCATGTAGGTATAAAGGACCTAGGTCTTATCTACTTTATATCCCGTAGAGAAACAGCCTTGCGGACTACTGAAATCTTTACCCAAGTGCTGAAGTATAAATTCATGCTAAAACCTTTCCCTAGCTCTCGTACCTTCCTCTTGTTCTTTACCATCAAATTCTATACATTTCCTCCGTGATCTTATGAAGATTTCTTTTAGACATGGGTTGAACGCGTTTACTTGTACAATTGTTGAAAAATTGACTTCGCAAAGATTACCGAAATAAAATATGAAAATGAGACTCAATCACAAAGAGGGCCATAGCGCATATCAAGGTTCATAAGTTATTATACAAATCTCGAGGGCACGACTTTTGCAAAGTGGGACTCAGGTCTACACATTCTGTACCTCGGTCTGTCGAGAACAGACCCCCGCAATAAACAACCCCAATCTCTCCCCGCAATCACAACCTCCAACCACAATCCCAGTCCACCGAATCCAAACTCCAAAGCATGCCAATCTACAAACACCACATCGCCCTCTTGGGCGGGGGCACAATCGGCCTCTCAATGACAGCCCTCCACCTTCGCCGTCCAGACACAACGGTAACAATTTACGATCCACGCCCAGACTTCGAAGCTCAACTCCGGAACACACTGCCCACCTACCTAGACCCTTCTCAAATCCCAACCCCGGAAGAAAAAGACGAAAACCTATCCACCCTGCTATCTACCCGGCTAACCCTGGCAACAACAATCCAACAAGCCGTCCAAAACGCAACGATAATCCAAGAACAATCCCCCGAAGTAACAGCCTCGAAACAGGCTCTCTGGCAAGAAGTCACAAAATACACGCAGCCAGACGCACATCTATGGAGTAGTTCATCTGGGATCGCGGCCTCGGCTCAAAGTGCGCTTTGTAGTCCCGATGTCGTGGAAAGATTACTCGTTGCGCACCCGTTTAATCCGCCGCATGTTATGCCGCTTGTGGAGATTGTGCCTGGACCTGGGACTAGAAGTGAGGAGGTGGAGTTTGTTCAGAGATATTTTGAAGGAGTTCCGGGTCCGGGTTCGTCTGGGGAGCAATACTACAGACCTATCGTGCTTCATAAGGAGATTACTGGGTTTGTGGGGAATAGACTTGCGTTTGCGTTGTTGCGGGAAGCTTGTTATCTTGTTGGGGAGGGGGTTGTTTCAGTGAAGGACTTGGATGCGCTTGTTATGGCTAGTTTGGGGCCTAGGTGGGCTGGTAGTGGTGTTTTTGAGAGTTATCATGCGGGTGGTGGGGAGGGTGGGATTGGGGGGTTTTTGGAGAAGCTGGCGCCCACGTTGGGGAATGTTTGGGGGCAGCTGGGGGCGGTTGATATTGATGGGGAGCAGGATGGTACTGGGGCTTTGTGGAGGGAGGCTGTTGTGAGACAGGCCGAGGAGGCGTATGGACCTTCTATGTTAGCGGAAGAGCGTCGGAAAAAGGAGGTGATGACGAAGGGTATAGTCGAGATGCAGAAAAGACTTCTGTGAGCCACGCAATATAGTTTAGATCTAGATCGGAAATATTGGTTGGCAGACATCGCTCTATTTCATTCTTAAATATTGTGTATAAGGGCTGTCGCCTCTTAACTAAAAAACAATCATAACATTTTGACTCATTTCGTCGTTCCTTACAGGATCTGCTGGAAGGCACGGTTGATGGGGGAGCGGACGTTGTGGCCCTTGTAGAAGTCGATGGTGGCAATGGCGCGCTTGCTGATGCCCTCAGGGGTGAACTCGAATTTCTGCAAACTGTAAGTAATAAGCTGGAAAAGAGGGGATCAGAAAAACCTACGGCGTACACCTCCTTGTAGGGACCGGAAGCACCGAAGCGGTTGAGACCGAACTGCTCGTGGGCGTAACGCTCCCAACCCATGGTGGAGCAAGCCTCGACGGACAGGACGGGGATACCGTCGGGCAGGACAGACAGGCGGTAGGCCTTGTCCTGAGCATCGAAGACCTCGAAGCAAGGAACGGAGACAACGCGGGCAGCGACGCCGTGCTTCTCCTGGAGGTAGGTAGCGGCATCGATACAGATGCCGACCTCGGAACCGGTGGAGATGATGGTGACGGCAGCGTTGGGAGTGTCAACGGCGACGTAGGCACCCTTGAGAGCACGCTCGATGGTGGAGTTCTCGAGCTGGGGCAGGTTCTGACGGGTCAGGGCCAGGATGGAGGGAGTGTGCTTAGCGGTCAGAGCCGAGTAGTAGGCAGCGCTGGTCTCGTTGCCATCAGCGGGACGCCAGACCATGCAGTTGGGCATGGCACGGAAGTGAGCCAAAGTCTCAATAGGCTGGTGAGTAGGACCGTCCTCACCCAGACCGATGGAGTCGTGGGTAGCGACGTGGATGACACGGACGCGGGACAGAGCCGACAGACGGACGGCACCGGCAGCGTAGGAGACGAAGTTCAGGAAGGTACCACCAGCGGGGATGACGGTACCGTAGGCAGCCAGACCGTTCATGACGGCAGCCATGGCGTGCTCACGGACACCGTAGCGGAGGTAGCGGCCAGACCACTCACCAATGCCAAGGTTAGGAGGCTGGAAGTCGACGGCGTTCTTCCAGCGGGTGTTGTTGGAGCCAGTCAGATCAGCAGACCCGGAAAGCAGCTCGGGGATAACACTGTGAATCTTCTCAAGGACAGCCTCGGACAGCTTGCGGGAGGCGACAGCAGCGTCGGTGGCCTTGTAGGTGGGGAGGCTCTTCTCCCAGCCCTCAGGCAGCTTGCCAGAGAGACGGCGGGACAGGTCAGCGGCCTCGGTGGGGAAAGACTGCTCGTACTTCTGGAAGAGCTGGTTCCACTCCTGCTCCTTAGCGGCACCCTCGGCGGCGTGCTGGTGGTAAAGGTCGTAGACCTGCTGGGGAACGACGAAGCTCTGCTCGGGGTCGAAGCCGAAGGAACGCTTGACGTGCTGGGCATCGTCAGCCTTGAGGGGGTTGCCGTGGACACCGCCGGTACCAGCCAGCTTGGAGCCGAAGCCAATGGTGGTGGTCAGCTTGATGACGGAGGGCTTGTCAGTGACCTGCTGACACTTGCGGATAGCGTCCTCGATGGCCTGGAGGTCGTTGTCACCGTCCTTGACCCACTCGGTGTGCCAGCCGTAGGACTCGAAGCGCTTCATAACGTCCTCGGTGAAGGCGCACTTGGTGTCACCGTCTGTAAAGCGTTAGTCTAAATCAGTATTAGCTGATGTTGGGTCAATCTCACCAATGGAAATGTGGTTGTCATCGTAGATGGCAATCAGGTTGCCGAGCTGCAAGTGACCGGCCATGGAGGCGGCCTCACTGGCAATACCCTCCATAGCACAGCCATCACCGAAGAAGCAGTAGGTGTAGTTGTTGAAGAGCTCGAAACCGGGCTTGTTGAAGATACCACCGGAGTGGGCCTGGGCAATGGCCAGACCAACAGCGTTGGCGAAACCCTGACCAAGGGGACCGGTGGTCACCTCGATACCGGGGGTGTCGTGGGCCTCGGGGTGGCCGGGGGTGATGCTGTCGAGTTGCTAGGAAAGATCAGCACGAAGCTCTTTCTTGGCGTGAAATTTTGGAAACTCTAGAAACTTACACGGAAAGCCTTCAGGTCATCCAGAGTGAGCTGGTAACCGAAAAGGTGGAGCAAAGAGTACTGCAACAAGCAGCCGTGTCCGTTACTGTTCGATCGACGCGGTTAGAGGGGCTGATCTCAATTGAGGGGTAGTTTGCCGCGCGGGGCAGCAGATGTGCTGCTGGGGAAGACGGAGGTGGCGGGTAGCACATACGACAATACGAAGCGATCACGGTTGGCCCACTCAGGGTTCTTAGGGTTGAAGTTCATGAACTTGTTGAACAGGACGTGAGCCACGGGGGCCATGCCCATAGGGGCACCGGGGTGACCCGAGTTAGCCTTGGAAGCGGCATCAACCTAGAATCGCGGTCAGCATGACTATAGGGAAATTGTCGCGATGCAATCAATTGCGTATGGGTGAGGTTCAATCGGAGCTTCGCTCTCCAATTGAGACCCTTGATTGACCTAGCGTCAGGTAGTAATGACATACCGCGAGAAGGCGGATGGTGTTGATAGCCAACACGTCCAGATCAGAATAACCCATGATGGCAGATTCTGATAGAAATGTCAGTAACTGGAAATGGTAAAGGGAGAATCACAGCAACATACTCTTTCAAAATGGCTTAAGAAAGGATGAGAAAGGGAAAGGAAAGAAGGGGAGAGGGGGACGTATTTGTTGGTGGGGTATGATGTCTGTGGTGGGGCAACCGCCGCTGCAGTCCGGGCTTGGTTGCTCACGGCGCGCAGCTACAATATCGGGGAAAATCTCCCTGCGCACGGCCATGAACTATCAATACGGTATGCTACCTCCTGTGCAAGTCTAGAGCTACGCCATTGCATCACCCATTAGATTTGACTACTTCCTAGGATCCTGCCCAGTATCAAGGGAGCTTTGGACACCTTCCACGGCTGACTCAGCCAATGGCCAGCGCGACCATGCAGCCAAGGTCAATTCGAAGTAACATATTACATAGCAAAACAATACGCGACAACTAAGCAAATCACAAGCAAAGGAAAATTCCCACCGGACTACTCCCAACCGTTGGCCCTGTGATGCCCACATCTACACCGGGAACCGCTCGGAGGACCCTGCTCCGGTCTCAGCAGAAATTAGCCGATCCCATCTTCATTCCGTGCCTGACGGGTATAGAGTAGAAAGGTTGATGGATCTTAGCCTAGATCCAGTAGATTATCAACCCAACATCAAAGGTCATGAGATGCAATATTCCTGCATGTCGGCTTTCCCCAATCAGGTCAATCCGATTCGGTGAGCGATCTGTACTCAAAAACTCTGAAAACAGTATGATCCACCTCCACGAGACTCGGTGTGCCAGATGGGAATTGCTGAGTCAGTGGTGCTTCTCCGCTTATTGCGGGTGATGGTATTCGGGTACTTTCTATACATCCGGCGATCTTTGTACCATGTGTATCTAGTAGGATTTGCTATTTTCTATATTGGCGCGATGCCACTGAACTCAATATGCCACCGTCTCATCGACTTGACTTAGCACAATGCCGGCTTTTCACCTGGCAAGTGACACAGATTTTGATTATGCTGATCCTGGTGGGCGTTCATGGGAGATAACGGCAGGGGTTTGAAGACAAGCGCCTTGTTGGCAATATGCCTGCTAATCCTCATATCCCCCACACCAATGAATCATACCTATTTAGCCCGTGCTCGAGTTATAGTTGTTCGGGCTTTGAATATTCCCAATTCAGCAAGGCCCCATAAGTGGGTCTTTCACGGAGTATTTCTTCCGTGAGCCCTATATGAGCTCGACTCATCCATCTTCGCGGGTAAATTGTTCTGAAAATTATGGATATATTCGATTCATAGACTTATGCTTTTTACAACCCAGTTCCGACAAATAATAGGACCCACATGGTTCAAAATTCACTGCTTGTATGGCAAATAAAAGGAGGGCCCAGTATTCTCGCGACTACTTTCTGCCCTCTCAGCAGGCCGTGATAATTCCCGCCGAATAATACCAACCAACTCCTCCTTCTCCTCGAGGGTGTTCACAGTTCCCCGTCGTTGCATAGCAGCTCCTTCCTCCGGCTCGTTGAGGGGCGTCTCCCCCTCCAATGCATCCTGTCTAGTCTCTTGTGCCTGTTTCTCAGCAACAGCCGCCTCAATGCGCTGCTGCAACGACTTCTCCTCTGCCTCTTGTTTAATAACGCCATAATGGGCCCGTCGATAAACGCCAATCGAACTGAGAACGATGCTGACAACCTCATAAGCGAACAAAACAGGAAGCGCATAGTCGAGTTGAGGGTTGCAGCCACCAGACCAGATATCAATTAAGACCTGGAATACACTATGCGCCGGGAGCGCGTACCCGACTTTGTAGAATGCCGGCGAAAGTTCAAATGGGAGGAGGATGGAGGTGACGTTCAGTACCACCCAGGATATGAGCGCCATGGGGAGTAATGGAGGTGGGAGCCAGATACTGAAGACGTCCAGCACGAGGAAGTTCAAATGAGCGAATAGCCAGAGTGTCATCCAGGTGAGCACGAATTGATTGCCGTTTACATGCCAGCCGTGTCGGAAGGCCCAAATAGCACCTGCTGTGCTGAGAGACCCAGCGAGAGTGTAAAGGCCAGAAATAATTTGACGCACTATCACAATCCGATGGGGCGAGATTGCGGTGTAGAGTTTGAATTGCTGATAGAGGCCATTGATGAATCCTAGGTAGAAGAATTCCTGGATCAGGATCAGGATGATGACAAGGGTATTGTAGATCAGTCGCGATCCTTGTTTTGTTGTTTGGATATCTAGGGAGGCTAAAGTCCAGGGATCGACAAATGCGGCAATCGCTGCAGAATCCGAGCTGTTCACAGTCTGGAGCAACCGTTTCCCGTCTTCTTCGAAATAGGCCACTCTTGCAGCTTGTGATAGTGATGTCAAGCTTTCAGAGACAGCAGAGTCGACTACGGTGGGATAGCGCGCTTCATTCCACACCATCGTGAAGACGTCGCTTGAGTTGTATGAGGAAGCGGCTAAGCCTCCTCCTAGCGCGGCGAGTAAGCGATTTGTTGCATTGGGCGCGGTGTATAATGCTGCCCAATATTTAATATTGCAAACAGCCTCGACGGTAAGATCAGGTTGGGGGAATGCCAGAGTGGACTGCTCCATCAGAGTTGGAAACCCCGGGCCTTTGAGTTTCTGATAGGCATCGCGGACAGCTGTACCGATTGCGCCACCATCATAATCGACGAAAAGAATATTGATGTTATGAACATGTGTTGTCTGCTGGAAAAGTGATCCGAAGATGTAACAAAATAGGCCCAGAAACAGAAGTTGCAGGACAAGGAGATTGATGACGGCAGCTTTTAGCACGGCCAGTCGAAGGGGTCGAACGGTCGGGTGATTGATACCGAGCCGCTGCTGCCGAGCTTTCGGATAAAACCCCATCGAACTAGTAATCTGACGGAAATGATTTTTGAAGTCGCAGAAGGCTTAGCGCCAGCAACTTTGCTTATGGCTATCAGTGAGGTGAGGTTATGAATGAGTCATCAAAAGTTCAGAACCCGAGTCGAAGCTTTGGAAGAAACGGGAGGCGGGGATTGCTGGCGCTATATATCCTATTGGCTTCTAGGTTTGTGGCGGAAGCAGAGCTCGTGTCAGATTTGGATAATGCATGCCCAAGATTACCTTCGAGTGAGAACCTGCCAAGCCGGCATGATATCTGCTTTGGCCTTAAGGGCATCACTATTGAAGAGTTTAAATAGATTGGAATACAAATTTAGTGTGATTTGTCATGACGTGAAGAGTCAAACGCGCTGAAATGAATAATTAAGTTGGGCGCGACCCTGCATACCAAGCCCGGACCCAGGCAAGGGGGATATTACACATCCTAGATGCTTCCCCTTCTCATCCTAATCAAACGCCGAATAACCAAACACCGAAAGAACGACTTGTTGCCATTAATACTCTTTTAAGAGCGCTTAGTGAAGACCAACTGAGCCCCATCCTGAATGATTATGAATCAGCACAACCCCCCGTCACAAAGCCGAACACCGATAAGATGTGGGATGGAACTTACCATCGGGAAAAGCGTCGCAAACACTCTGATTTCCTCCGATTTATCCGTGGCATGGTGCGTCCAGTCAAGTTCCATTGCAGCCTTACCAATCATCGCCGCCATGGATAGGGGCACATATCTCCTCGCAAGGCAGTCATGTGCTCCCGCTCCAAAGACGAGCCAATTCTTCGTTTTGGACTCGGCATCCCCCGTGATCCAGCGCTCAGGGTCAAAGACTTCCGGCTCTGGGTATGCTTCGGGATCATGCAGAGCCGGGTAACAAGATGGAATGACCATAGATCCCTTTGGAACAGTATAATCCGGCGTAATAGGGAAGTTCTTCTTAGCCAGGTAAGGAACGAAGATAACCGGTGGTCTATGGCGGAGGAGTTCTTTGATAACGGCGCTGGTGTAGGTAAGCGATTCCAACATAGCGAGATCACAAGGCTTGCTCTTATCACCATCGCGGGCAGCGAGGTTCTCCTCGCGAAGACGATTGAGTACATCGGGTCGTTGGGCGAGGATCTGGAAAAGCCAGGTTGTCGCACTGCTTGAGGCATCCTGTGAGGCGAAGAGGAAGCTGAACAAGGTCTCGCTGATCTCTTCGTTTGTGAACTCTCGGACTAGGTTTGTGGGCTTTGCAGCGTCTGTTTCGCCCGCGGCAATTTTCTCATAGTACTTTTTCGACTCCATCATATGCAATACCCAATGATCCACGATACAGGTTGGGGCTGCTCCGGCTGCCATATTCTCCTTACATCTCGCTGCGCACTTGGCGAACTCGACGCGGACTGCATCGGATATCCGTTTTCCTTTCCATGGCTTTGTGAAGGGGATGTAAATCGACAGAGGGACGTTTACTAACTCGAGGGCGGCCGTGGCATGGTAAAAGTCATCGGCAATCTTTTTAACTGCGTCTTGGGAGATATAATCTCCAAAGAAAGTACGGCATGAGATCGCACAATTGATCTCACGAAACATGGTCATGAAAGCCATTGGTTGATTGCCATTTTCTTTGCTAGCGGTGACGAACTTGTCAAAGTAATGGGTGAATACTTTCTCTTGGATGGGGAAGTAGGTTGCCAAGGCTCTGTTGGTGAACAGAGGTGTCAACCCTCTCCGATATTCAGTATGGGCTTTGCCTTGCAGAAAAACCCAATTTGTGCGTCCCAGGATGTCTTTAGCAAGAGGCACTATGCAGGGCTCGGCGTACGAAGGGGACTTGAACACCTTGTGTGCGATATCTCGGTCGGAGGCAAGGACAACAAATCTGCAATATGTGAGTAAAAGCTCTGGCAATATGTGTTCAAGATGTAGTGCGAATGTACATACTTGTGGAACACGGACACGCAGCTGAGGGGCCCGCTCGCCCATTGCGCAAGGTACTCTTCAAACTTTGGGTCAAGGGCCTGGAGAAAGGGGCCGATAAGGGGAATCTTAAATGAAGGCCCAGCAATAGAGCCTTTGCGCTTGATATACATGACTTAAGCTGTCATTAGCCGCAGGATCCATGGAGACGGTGTTCGAATTGCGTACCTTGGTCGTAAACCACCACTCCCAGCAAAAAAGTCACAATATATTGCCAAGTGGACCAGCCGACAAGGGCGCTTGGTAGGATCCCTTCGAAATTGGAGGGCCCAGTAGGCCATGTTTGTGGGAGCTCATGTTGAGCGCTAGAGTTGCTAACGAACTCAACTGCCATGGCGGTGATTTATTTTGCTGGCGAGGAGCCTTACAACGTCTGGCACACTTAGGAGGGATGCTCCAGCGCTTTCTTATAAGATTTTCAGGTCAGCCTCTAGCCTTCTTTGTGGGTCATACAAGAGAGACAAACATTAGAATTTAAGGTAGGCAGGAGTTGTCGGCATTCTGTATAGTACGTACTAAAAAAGACGGTTTTCGGGACATGTCGACCCCTGGCGGCTCGATGGGTCTGGCAAATATGCGATTGTGTGGAAATTGTATCATCATTGCCCAATTAACATCAGATCAGACCGTACGATTTCCAGGCTATCCAATTAAGTCATTTTGATATCCTAAAGACGCTCGATGCCGTAAGCATAGTTCAACGGCATTGACATAGATTGACCACGGGGTCTAGTCCTATTTGGGCTAGCGTTGAAATGGCCTCCGGGGTCTAGTCTTGAATAGGCAATCCACATTCAATTCCAAGCGGGGGATCTGCTCATTTCTTCGTGAGCATTGTATGATCGATCGGAATTTCCGGGCATGGGGCAATTAATAGCCCCTGAACGGAGGAAGAGCCCGTATTACAAGGCCATATCACCACCCAGAACGGTGGGCTTCCTTTCCTACTTGGTTGCGGTGCTGCCTCTTTATACGGCTTGGTGAAGAAGTTAGGGATTCTCCCAGGAACCAAGATCAATTCACTATCCTCTCATAGCTCATACTGCATGTATATGCGATGTCACCCAATGGAAATTGGCAATAATGTAGTTAGATAGGGCTATTTGTAGCCTATAAGCCCCCAAGGCGGTGTGGGGCTTCGTAGCAAAGACTAGATTGTCTCCACCATCTCTTCCTCCTGGAATTAATTGTTCAACTTGCACAAACGCGCCGGGTCTCGTTCCCTCCCCAAAATGCGCCAAACGCTACGTCGGTCCTGCGCTGCCTGTTTCAAGTCTAAAATTAGCTGTGATCTTCGTACACCCCGCTGCTCTCGTTGCAACAAGCGTCAAATCCAATGTGTCTATGCCAATGAACCTTGGGCGGCGCCGGCTGCCCCCGGGAGAGAAGAGAGCGCTCTAACAAAACCTCTGGATGTATCCATTTCATTGACCGACTGCACATTCGGATCCCTTGATCCATTCGATTCTTATCCACAGACACGATTTCCGCGGGAGCAAGTCCAACGTCTTATATATGGCTGTACGTATGCGCTGCATGAAATTGTTGAACGACGTCTAGCTTACAAGTCTAGTCCTTCATAAGATCGCTTTTCAATATTATCCTCTCGATATGAGCACCACATCGAACCCATTCCTTATCTCTTGGTGGCCACTTGCTCTCGGCGATCCGGCTTTATTCCATGTATCCTTACAAACAGCATGCCTTGACGAAGAGTTGTTGGCGCAAAAAGGTTTTCAGTCCTCGGAACTTCTCATGGCTGATTCTGTTGCGCTATTACGGCGCAAAGTTGAAAATATGTCACTGGCTGTACAAGACGGTACTATGAATTCTGTCATCACCTTGGCAGCCATTGAGGTAAAACTTCTAATATCCACCAACTTTGCGCTAAGGCCAATCACTGACAATATCGCCTATATAGTTCGGCAAAGGAAATGTCGATGTCAGCCAGATGCACGTTGATGGAGTGAAGAAATTGGTCAATATGAGAGGTGGCATCAATTCAGTGAGGCAGACCAGCCCGCTTACTGCCCGAATGGTCAGCTGGTGAGTAACCCGTGAACACCCGAAGAAGTAAGATGCTGATTTGCGGAAGGGTGTCAATGCTCATAATGGGTCATCCTCAATTCGACACTCAAGACGACGTCGGTCTTGGAGATGGCATACCTTGCATCCCGGAATGGCAGCTGGACCCAACCGCCCTTAATGATTTATCCGGATTCAATAACATTGACGTCGACTTTGACGTCTGGAATGTTTTCATACGCCTCCGCAGCGTGTTAGAACGATCACAGCGAATGCCTTTCTCACCAACACAACTTCATGATCTCACCTGCTTTGTCATACACCGACTTCTTCTCTCTACCCCGAACACGGAAAGCTCCCAACCGTCACCAATCACCCAATCTCTTCGCTACGCAATTATAATTTATATGCTCATCATCCAGGGGCCAACCTACTACTCACATGCAGTCATTATGAATACAATGGTCACCCGGTTCGTGGAATGTTTCAAGCAAATTGAATCAACACCTCGTGTGTATGACTCACTTGATGTTTGGTTTATTTCAATTGGACTGTTGACTTCCACGGGCACGACCAATTACGAGTGGTTTGTTGAGAAAGCACAAATCGTCTCAGAAGCTTTGCAGTTGCATGATTTTGACGATACCCTCGTCCAAATTAAAAGCGTCTTGTGGTTGGAAACACCACAGGCCGACGAAAACTTCCGATCCCATTGGGACAAGATTTTTCATGTTGAGTACACGCCGGAGTCTCTGCAATCTATGCAACTCACGTTCAGTGTCTCCCCAAGCAGCAACATTGCTGAGATCTTATAAGAAATCATTTACCAAATTAATATATCACAGAGCAGAAATATTCGGGACATATCCGGGGCAGGACCTTGGATAACGTAATAGATCAAACCTAAACGAACAGAATTGTTCTAAGGAACTGCTTCCCATTAGGCTTATACTTCAATTATACCACAAAAAGAGTTTCCGAACAAAATTTGCAATCTTTGCCTTAACAACCTATTTCATCTACGGTGATGAGACCAAAATTGGCATACTGTTCTCAAAATCGTATAACCATAGTATTTACAGCATGTTTGTTAGGACTTGAACCGCGCATCCTGTAAATGAGAAAACGAAAAAATTTCAAAGTCTATACACTTTCACATACGAGCCTTCTCTGCACTTTGCTTTTGACATCCATAGATGATTGCGCTCTGGCTATGCAAACACAAAACAATAATAGACAAGACCTTACGAGCGAAGCATCTCAACAGCCAAATCATAAGCCAAATTCTTCTGCTCCCACTCCCGAGTACCAGGCAAAGCCTTCTTATCCCACCCATGATTACATTTCGGCATCCTCTGATAAACAACATTCCTCTTCGGATCCTTCTTCAGCTGCACCGCTAACCTTTCTCCCTCATCAGCAAGAATATCATAACCAGCCGTGATAACAAGAACATTCTTCGGAAACCGCGCCGGATCAGCAAAAACAGGAAGAATCCTCGGATCCTGTCTATCGACTTCAGCCTGAACATAACACCGCGCAAAAAGACGCATAGTGGATACGGGGATCGTCCGCCCACCCGCCTCCGGCGCAACCAATGTAGCCGGATCATTGTGGCCCTCAGTACTGGGATAGAAAGTAATAACAGAACGAAAGGTGTCTTTCGGGAATAGAGTCGATGCGGCGACTAATGCTAGATTTCCTCCGGCACTGAAGCCTGACACTGCTACGCGAGTGAGATCATAATGTGCGGGTTGCTGCAGGACCCATTTGACGACGTCTTCGACGTCGTGCACTGCAGCTGGGAAGGGGTTCTCGGGTGAGAGTCTGTATTGAACATCTAGGACAGTGTAATTTGTGCGTTGGGTGATTTCTCGACAGAATGCGTCATCGCTACCGTGAGCTGGGATGACGAACCCACTTCCATGGAAGTTGATCAACACAGGTCTTGGTTCTAGGATGTCCGTCTTTGATAGTGAAGGTTTGTAGATATGGACTTTGATTTTGCGTCTTGGATCCCGTGATGGGAGGTTATGGACTGCATCTGGGTTTGAGGTGAAGGTTCCTTCAACTAGTCTGACTAGGACCCTTAGGATTAGGGCACTGATTTTTAGTTGGAGGTAGGCTAGATAGGTTATCAGCCACATTTTGACGGTAATAAATTGATCGTCGGATTCTGGGCTCTCGGCCTCTTTTATAGTCTCCACCAGCATCATCTTGGGTCGCGTGCAAAATTTCCTCGTCAGAAATTTTTTTTTCTATTGGTCTGTGCGGCTTATGCGAGGTCCACATAATGTGCACAAAACTTGGAGGCGCAAGCAGGTTTTTAAGGTCGGGACGGCGGCAAGAATCTGGATTTAACTTTTCTGGCGGAAAATGTGCCCAGATTACGTAGTTTGATGTTCCTGGTTCCTGTATACATACTGCCAACTGGTCACGAAGATTTTTTCCCTATTAAGAAAAGTGGGTCTACACGTAGAGATCTGAAGTCTATAGTCCCTATGCACTATAGTCTTTAATTTTCATCTCTTTCCCAGTCTTGATTCCAGTCAATGAAAATAACAGTTGATCATTCTGTCAGTCTACGGACTCTATTAGCCCTCTAACCAGCCCGCAATCTGCTCAGCCCTCTTCGCTGCATCCTCCAGCGACACATACCCCGACTCATCCCTATTCGCAAAACTAAGCAAGGAATGATGCACTGATCGTGCCGGAATAGGCACCTCCATCTGCCTTTCCGACCAGGTCCACGAGACCTGATCCACTTTGTCCGTATCGAATTGGTGCACTGCGATGGTCACCGGCTCCGCGTATGCGTCGGCTTGCAGCGAAATACCAGCTGGCGCGGTTAATCGGATCGTGCCCGTTTCTCCGGTCAAAGTCCATGTCAATGATGGATCGCCAGGGTAGGGCTGACCACGATGAAAATACGCGATAAGACTGGCGTTAGCACGCACATGAGGGGATTCAGGTAAAGATCCTAGTTTCTAATTAGCGCCTATAATATAGGTTATCACTATCCTAATCCCACTTACCATGTAGACTTAGCAAGTCAGGTACATCGGAGCGAATAGAGTCAATTATCGCGTTCGTTTGGGGATCTCGAACGCGGATATCCGGACGCTGGATTTGGAGGTGTACATCGTCCGTTCCAGGGATGATATCGCCCACAACGGATTGAATATAGTCAATGACTAGATATTCTTAGAATAGAAATATAGCGCAAGATTTGTCTTTCTTACCATGTCCAACTCCAATCGTGATCGGATTTCCTCCAATATCCCTCTCGGCAAAATACTTCAGTCCCACCGGCAAAATTTCACGATCTCGCGTGCCTCCAAAAAATCTCACTTCACTACTGAGTAGCCTCCCAATCTTTCCTGATGCGAGTATCTCTTTGACTCGTAAGACTGGCGGCGCAAACCGTCCCTGTAATCCCACTGCCACACGGCCCCCACCTTGAGCGGCGGCAGCAAGCAACTCATCTATTTGGCTCTTGTTCGACGCGATTGGCCACTCGATATATACATCCTTTCCAGCCAGGAGACTAGGCAGGACCGTCTCGAAGTGCTTATCGACTCGGGTGTTACAGAGGACGAGGTCAATGGCAGGGTCCGCTGCGAGGGAGGCGGGATCGCCGTATGGTTTTACAGTAGATGCCTCCAGATTGTAAGTCTCGATGGCATTTGATGCTGCGGTGGTACTGCTGTTGCATAGAGCTTTGATGGTGAAGACGGTCTTACCACTAGGGGAGAGAAGGGAAGGGAGGTGGGCGGCGGCCGCCCAGTTGGTTGTTGCTCCGGAGGATAGGCCTATAATGGCGGTGCGTAGAGGAGTGGTCATGTTGCTTTTTTGATTAAAGAGGTTTGGTATTTATCAATTGATTTAGGCTGGTTTGTGATAGCTGATTTCCCAGGGCGGACGATTGAGGGCTTTTATAAGGGTTCGATGGCCATCTATGTCTTGGAAGGATTGAAACTAAAATGGCGACTTTTTTACTCTGATGGCACTATCACTTTATTATTTGCTTTACCCCTCCTTTCTTATGATATTACCAATCCTAAATTGACCGCTGAAACCAACTCCGAGTCTCTGACTAATTGTCTATCTACAGTTCGATCCCGAATCACAGACAACATGTGGGGCCGTGACGTTGAATGGATTACAAATCACCTATATCCTGTCCTTTGGCAGGTGGGTTCACTACTGTAGATTTTATAAACGATATAGGACTGAAGTATTATATACGTCCCTTCAGGCTAGTGCGATCAATGTTTAAAAGCAATCTCTAACTCAGCCTCCAGCTTTTCAATTTTGAGGGGCCTGTCTTTCCCCAGACACACTGGTAATCCAGATATCAACATACTTTATGTGTAACACAATTCTATTTGGTACCTAAATTTTTTAAGATAAATGTTATGTAAATCTGTGAGCCTTGCGGCAGGATTGATCAGTTAAGCATCCAGCGTAGCTTACGTCCTCCAGACATTGTAACTAGTTAACTTCAGGTAGCCATCTCTCGTGCCTTTCTGATTCTTCCGTCGCTCATCATCCTCAGTCCTTGTAGGGACATTTCGAGATGCCATGGAACAGACTTGTTGAATTTTTTACTCAAATGCCCAGATGTTCCGCATCAACATAGGCCCCTCGATTCGGCTACGAGCCCATTTAGGTCCTGTGCGACCGCAACGCAGCTTTGATCTCCTCAACCGCAGGAAATTTTCGACCAAAGGCTCTCGGTACAGCCTCTTATTACTGTTGAGATCGGTAGATCCCAGCTTATAGCTTCGATCGCTGATATGTATGTCATTTAGGGCCCAATGGCGCTTCTATGCGTCTAATCACTAGGTCCCAGCAGTGGATTGTTCGCACCTCTAAAGGCTCTTCTATCCATGTTTATGCTATTCCTGTGGGAATATTCCTCAATTATTGAACAATCCATTTTTTATTTTATGAATTTGAACATTGTATAGAGACAATCTTGTTTGCTGATCTCATTCTGGTTCACGAATTTAGGGATCATTACTCATCACAAGCCCGAGAAGAGATGACAGTAACAGGTCCAGATATTCAGTCCTTTAACTGAGAAGATGGTATAATGATGTTGACAATATTTATGGGCACGACCTCTGGGTCAGCGTCTCACCAAAAAAGAATGGCTGAAATTGTACTTTCACGGGCAACTGAGACCGATTGGATAGAGAGATAATCAGCTATGTACTGTTTTAATCAGGTGATCTCGATATGAATTATATTGACCATGTGCTAGTCCATGCTGTAAATGTTTTACAACGCAAGTTGTTGAACCTTCCCGCTTACACAGGAATTGGGGTGGCTTTGGGTGGCGTTCTAACCGACTGGCCCATGGACCCAGATGAGGGGCCTAGACTTAGTAGCCAGAGACAACACGATACACTAGGTGGTCGCACGATTGAATCGGGGTGCCTGTGGGACGCTGTGGCAATATCAAAGTTCACCTGATTATCTGACCTTGTGTACCCATGATCTTGGGACATTGCCGATGATCTCCAGATTGACACCCTCGTCTCTGACCAGTGCCGAACACAGTTTCAAGATGAGATTCTTAGCGAATTCCGAGTTCTTTCTCGAATTTCTTTGCCAGTCGTTGACTATCCTTGTCTTTTTAATATAGCATTATTAATTATTCCCGGCAATTGCAATCCGGATATCGGCGGAGGTAATCTAAGATGGTCGATGACCAAGAGGAACAATTCCCGTTTAGTGAATCTTGGAACAACGAAAGCTCGGTTATATTAAGCGACCTTCCAAAGAATCCAAATGGCCAATCTATGTCATCTCACAAATATGGGGAAACATGCAGGGATCAAAAGGTAGTAGTGGTGCGTTCATCAACGGCTACACGTCATTGACTGCTTTTCCCGGCCGGATCATGACAAAGTACAGTCCAGGGATCAGGCCACTCATCAATCGACTTCTAATGCATTTTCACCAAGAAAACAAGATTCGGCTGGAATTGCCTGTGAAACTTGGTCCTTTATATTAACCTTGGAATCTGCCCTTCTTTCTATCTTCCTCATCATCGCCTCTCTACCTTCGCCGACCATATACTTCATCACATTGATTCCATGATTTTCATCGTCAGGTCGGCTTCACTTACACAGTAATTCATTATGGCCTCTCATTCCAATGATGCCCAAGCCAAAAGCATCTCGCCTTACGGAGATGCCCGCTCAACGGTATCTGGGAAATGCCTCGACCCCGAAGAGGTCCGCAAGATGAACGGGTATTTTCACGCCAGCTTGTACCTATGCCTCGGCATGCTCTATCTCCGTGAAAACCCGCTTCTTAAAGAGCCCTTGAAAGTCGAGCATCTCAAAGCTCGACTGCTGGGACACTGGGGATCCGATGCAGGCCAGTCTTTTACTTGGATCCACATGAACCGCCTGATCAAGAAATACGATTTGGATGTGCTTTTTATTTCTGGCCCTGGCCATGGCGCCCCTGGAATTATATCCCAGTCTTACCTTGAAGGTGTCTACTCGGAGGTGTTCCCGGACAAGACCGAGGATGTTGAGGGCATGCAGAAATTTTTCAAGCAGTTCTCGTTCCCCGGTGGCATTGGAAGTCATGCTACACCCGAGACTCCAGGTAGTATTCATGAAGGTGGAGAACTTGGATACTCCATCTCGCATGCCTTTGGAACTGTCTTTGATCATCCAGACCTCATCACTTTGACCATGGTTGGTGATGGAGAGTCCGAGACCGGTCCTCTCGCGACGAGCTGGCACAGCACTAAGTTTCTCAACCCGATCACCGATGGAGCCGTTCTTCCTGTTCTTCATCTCAATGGATACAAGATCAACAATCCGACGGTCCTTGCGCGTATCAGTCATGAGGAATTGACTGCATTGATGGTCGGTTATGGCTGGAAGCCATATTTCGTGGAGGGAAGTGATCTGGATAGCATGCACCAGGCCATGGCTGTCACACTTGAGCAGTGTGTGAAAGAGATCAGGGAGTATCAGCAACAAGCCCGATCATCGAATAAACCATTCCGTCCCCGATGGCCCATGATCGTTCTTCGCACGCCAAAGGGCTGGACCGCTCCGAGAGAAATTGATGGAAAGCTGCTGGAAGGTTTCTGGCGCGCACATCAAATCCCAATTACCGATGTCCTTACCAATCCTGCCCATCTCAAGGTCCTTGAAACCTGGATGAAGGGATACAAGCCTGAGACGCTCTTTGATGAGAATGGCAAGCTTATTTCAGAACTCAGGGAGCTTGCACCTGCTGGTAATTCGCGCATGAGTGCCAACCCGGTCGGCAATGGTGGTCTCCTGCGCAAGCCATTGCAATTGAATGACTTCCGTAAATATGCGATCAAGGACATTGTCCCCGGAAAATCCTCTGCAGGAGGCATGGCTAACATGGCTAAGTTCCTTCGTGATGTAGTCGCGAAGAACATGACCAATTTCCGCCTCTTTGGCCCTGACGAAACGGAGTCAAACAAGCTGGCTGAGGTCTACAAGGCAGGCAAGAAAGTTTGGATGGCAGATTATTTTGAGGAGGACAGCGACGGAGGCAATTTGTCTCCGAGTGGACGTGTTATGGAAATCCTTAGTGAGCATACTTGCGAAGGCTGGCTCGAAGGGTACATTCTTTCTGGACGCCATGGTCTCATCAACAGTTACGAGCCTTTCGTGCACGTCATCGATTCGATGGTCAATCAGCACTGCAAGTGGATTGAAAAGTGCCTTGAGGTGGAATGGCGCGCAAAAGTTGCCTCTCTCAACATTTTGATCACAGCCACTGTCTGGAGACAAGATCACAATGGTTTTACTCATCAGGATCCTGGATTCCTGGATGTGGTAGCCAATAAGAGCCCCGAGGTAGTCCGAATCTATCTCCCACCTGACGGAAACACCCTTTTGTCCGTCATGGACCACTGTCTCCGCAGTGTGAACTACGTGAATGTCGTCGTGGCAGATAAGCAAGAGCATATCCAGTTCCTAAATATGGAGGATGCCATCGCACATTGTACGAAGGGTCTTGGAATCTGGGACTGGGCCAGTAACGACCAGGGCGAGGAGCCAGACATCGTGATCGCATCTTGCGGCGATGTCTCGACACACGAGGCTTTAGCTGCGACCGCACTCCTGCGCGAATATGTTCCTACTCTCAAGGTTCGTTTTGTGAATGTCGTGGACCTCTTCCGACTGATCTCCGGGATCCATCATCCGCACGGCATGCCTGATCGCCAATGGAAGGCCATTTTCACTGACAACAAGCCGATCCTCTTTAACTTCCACTCTTATCCCTGGCTTATTCACCGATTGACCTACAAGCGACCTGGTCAACATAACCTGCACGTTAGGGGATACCGCGAGAAGGGTAACATCGATACTCCGTTCGAATTGGCGATGCGCAACGGAACCGATCGGTTTAGTTTGGCCATTGATGCAATTGACCTGATTCCTTCTCTGGGAAATACTGCATCGAGTGCGAGAGAGAAGCTTGCTAATGCACGTCTCGCTGGTAAAGCGGAGGCTTTCGAAAATGGCCTGGATCCTGAGTATATCCGCAACTGGACCTGGCCATACGCAAAACAATAGTTTGGTGGATATGAAAGAGGCTCGAACAGGAAACATGTTGTTTATTTTAATTTTTTATTATTAGTCAGGGTATCTAATGCATGAATAATTGAGAATGGAACGGCGTTCTGCGGCTCAAGACGGACTTCCCCGCGAGTGGAGCATCATAAAAGACACGGCTCTAATCTCTGATACACCTTTTTCATCCCACACCATGCCGCCTCCTAAATTGAGTGAGAGAATAAGATCAATACAGGGAGTAAGAATCGCTGGGTGCTCATCTGCTTGTAATATCGACTTCGAGTACCCGTCGGATTCTCAAGGCACAATCGCATCAATCACCCCGCACGACTCTTCCGCAGATGACATCCAAGCTCCTCTTGCTTTACCGGCCTTGACCCACCCACACATTCATTTGGACAAAGCATTTGTTCATAATGCACGCGAATATTCCAATCTCCTACCTTGCACGGGCACTTTCCAAGAAGCCTTATCTTTCACCACCAAGGCCAAAGAGAACTTCACCTATGCTGATCTTTTGAGAAGAGGGGAGTGGCTGTTGGCCGAGTCTGTTTCCTCGGGAGTCACAGCAATGAGGGCTTTTGTAGAAGTCGATCATACAGTTCAGTTGGTCTGTTTAGATGCAGCGGTTGCCCTGAAGAGCCAATGGAACGAGGCCTGTCATATTCAGATCGCCTGTTTCGCCCAAGATCCCATTTTCTCCAGCGAATACGGGGAAGAAAATCGCACTTTGCTCGAAAAGGCTCTGGGAACTTATTCGCAGATTGACGTACTGGGAACCACACCCTACGTGGAATCCAGCGTGGAGGCTTCAAAGAAGAACATCGCATGGGCGATTGATCGCGCTTTACTCCTTGACAAACATGTCGATTTCCATCTGGACTATAATCTGGATCCCGGCAAAGAGGCGCTCATCTGGTATGTATTGCAGACACTGCAACAACGAGGCTGGACTAGTCTATCTACACGGAGACGCGTGATGCTCGGACATTGCACCCGCTTAACCCTCCTCACCGATGAAGAATGGCACGAAATATCTCGCTTCATCCATGACAATGATCTTCCCGTGAGTTTCGTCGGGTTACCAACTAGCGATCTATATATGGCCGCGCCGCCGGACCAAGGAGGTCCCCACCAACGGCCCAGGGGTACCCTTAGAGTTCCCGAATTGATCCGTAAGCACAATCTGGACGCAGTTATTGGTGTTAACAACGTTGGCAATGCTTTTACGCCGTGGGGCTCTGCCGATCCCTTATTTTTGGCCTGTGTTGGGGTGGGGGTTTACCAGGCAGGGGCACAGGATGATGCTGGACTTTTATATGAATGCGTGTCCACTCGTGCCAGGGCTGCGATTGGTCTTTCGGCTGACACTAGTCTAATTTTGCAACGGGGTTCATGTCTGGATCTTGTCCTCTTCCATGATCGAGATGATACCGGTTGTGGAGTATCCCGTCCACGTATGAGCGTGGCTGAAGTGGTTTGGGATCCACCGGCGCGAACTAGCAGAAGCGTTATTACCAATGGGAAGGTGCAGGTCGGACTTTCAGGAGTCTATGAGGTGAAGTATGAATTTGCATGACATGGGAGTTTAGTGCTAGGTCAAGTGCTAGGTCAAGTGCAGAGTTTCAATCTAATTTGGGATACTTATAGTGGGTCATGTGATTACGTATGACTTATTGGAATGTTGCGTGTGATTTGTCTCATCGAGATATACATTTTGAAACTACTCCGTATATAGAAAAAGTACACAGAAGAGGTCTCTCAAGCTCTATCTTGAATAAGGACCATATTACCTAACATGGTGATGAAAACCCTGCTTTGCCATATACCTCAGGTCTAGATCTCCACTAAACTCAGTGCCTGATGGAACCGGGAACGCAACGTCATGGGGCGTAGAAGTGTACCCAAGGGGCCAGAGGGACCAAATGTCAGGGGAGATAGAAACGGTGCAACAATCGAATCCCAGGTCACACCCAGCTCGAATTCAAATAGAAAATTAGATGAGTTCTAGCGGTCCGATTACAGGGCTTTGGGCTTTGGGCGTGAGAGTCTGACCCCTGTCAAACCTACACCTCTTTCCTTCTTCCCCTCCTCCATCACTTCTGTCATCTTTCTCCCCCTTGATTATTGGGTTTCTCGAGTTCTCTCCTTTCACTCTTGTTTCCTCCAACGGGTGGATGCACCAGCCCGTGGGGCTCGTACCGTTCGTCAGCCTCTCCCCGCTCGCGCCCTTTGACCGCTCCAACTTCATCTATCCCAACCCAGACCCGTCCTAGTCGTTATGTCGGCACCGGCGCCTGCCTCGAAGTCGCCTACGGTGGTTCGCAGTCAATCCACTTCCTCTCGCCCCGCCCATTGGGCGCCTTCTGATTTGCCCCATCGGACTCGAAGCGTGGCGGTCCGATCGTCAAACACGTCCCAGCCCCCTCCACAGACACAATACTCACACTCTAAAACCCCCCTCGTATGACCGCCGTCCACCGACAAACCACGCTGCGCTAGACAGCGTCGCCCGCCGGGATTTTGAGGCATCCAATGTCCACAAGATGCCATCTCGCCGTGAACCTTCCTCCGAGCGCTCGCAAGAGCGCCCGGTCACGGCAACTCGTACCGAGTCCACCCGACGACACCAGCGCACTTCCTCCACTCAGGGTCATCAACGAGATAGCGTTGATATGACAGGCACCGCTCCTGCAGACCGCGCAACTGATTCCTCGCAGAATGCGACCGCCCCAACCGCCCCCACACAGCCGCGGCGTCGGACGACGATCACTACACCAACGGGCCAATGGGCCCTGGGGAAGACGATTGGTGCGGGCAGCATGGGAAAAGTAAAGCTCGCAAAGAATATGGAAACCGGTGAACAGGTACGTTTTTTCCCTTCAATCCTAGTCGGGATTCATATCTGCTATTAAGCAAGATCGTTCTAACAATGCCACGTTCCAGGTTGCTGTCAAGATCGTCCCCAGACTTTCAACCGAGGAGCATCGCAACGGTCGAGAAACGGAGAGAGCAGACCGATCAAAAGAAATCAGAACCGCTCGAGAGGCTGCTATTGTGAGTCTTGTCAGCCACCCATACATCTGCGGAATGCGAGATGTGGTGCGTACAACATATCACTGGTATATGCTCTTTGAGTATGTCAACGGAGGTCAAATGCTAGATTATATTATCTCGCATGGAAAGTTGAAGGAGAAACAAGCCCGCAAGTTTGCTCGTCAGATCGCCAGTGCTTTAGATTACTGTCATCGCAACAGCATCGTCCACCGGGATCTGAAGATCGAGAATATCCTGATCAGCAAGACTGGTGATATCAAAATTATCGACTTTGGTCTCAGCAATCTCTTCTCTCCCCGAAGTCTCCTGAAGACTTTCTGTGGTAGTCTTTATTTTGCTGCTCCAGAGCTGCTCCAAGCAAGACAATACACCGGGCCCGAAGTCGATGTCTGGAGTTTTGGCATTGTTCTCTACGTTCTGGTTTGTGGCAAGGTGCCTTTTGATGACCAGAGCATGCCTCAGCTCCATGCAAAAATTAAGAAGGGTGTTGTGGAATACCCACCTGGCCTAACAACTGGTATGCGTTTCCCTATACGAGATTCCCGGGAATCAGTTACTGACCTCTCACAGAATGCCGACACATCATCTCTCGTATGCTTGTGACCGACCCCAAGCAGCGCGCTAGCTTGGCCGAAATTATGAGCCACCCATGGATGAACAAGGGCTTTAATGCACCTCCCGAAAATTATCTCCCCCAGCGAGAGCCGATTCAGCTTCCCTTGGATCAGGAAGTCATCGAAAAAATGACAGGCTTCGATTTCGGTTCGCCGGATTATATCACATCCCAGTTAACAAAGGTGTTGGAATCAGAGGAATACCAACACGCTGTACGACTCAATTATCGGGAACACCCAGTGAATAGCCAAGCGGAGCGAAAGCGCGGCGTCTTCGACTTCTATAAGCGACGCAACTCCGCTGCTAGCCGTGATACTCTATCAGCACCTTCCGCTGAGGCAATTCAGTTAGGGAATGATCCTCTGAACGCTTATAGCCCGTTTGTGTCTGTTTACCATCTTGTCAAGGAGAAACTTGACCGAGAAAGATTGGAGAGTCGCCCTGGTGCTATTAGCATTCGTCCGACTCCGGTCGATGCTGGCATGCCCGAGTTAGCACCCCCAGAGGCTGCCCACACCAACCAATACTCAGTTCCAGGCGAAAAGGACACCGGTCGACGGTCTCGCCCTCGAGCCAGGACCCATGGCGAGGAGGAAGTTGTGGAGGGTATGAAAAATCTCCATACTTCCTCACCGTCTGGACACGCAACCCCGGACACACCTGCCAAGAAAGAGAGCGCCGCTGCTGGTATTTTGCGACGTTTCAGCACCCGCAAAACCAAAGAGCGCAGTCGGGATGTCGAACGGGAGCGTATCAGCACCCCCAATACCCCGACGCTCAATGTGCAACCACCTGTCGATTCCGCGTCCCCATTGCACCGTGGCTTTAGTGTGCGAAGGACTCGACGCCCTGAGCCAGAGCCCCCTCTACCCTCTGCGGGAAGCCAGCCTCAACACCGAGACTTGCTCACAGCACCGGGCTCGGGCTCGGGCGACCAAACTTCGCAGCCTAACAAGTTTTTGGGACGGTCCACCAGCGTTAACTCCGCCGATTACCGACCTCGAAGAGCTGCTCGGAGGGGCGAATCTGATACTTTGGACGTTGAACGTCAGCCTCCCTCGACAAGTGGCTCGGACCAAGTTAGTCCCAACAACCAGAAGGATCAAGCCGCCTCTGTGAAGTCCGGCAGCCGCACACATACTGCACGTACCATGTCTTTGGGACATGCCCGCCGTGAAAGCATTCAAGCCCGACGTGCTCGGCGGGAGGCTGCTCTCGAGGCCAACGTGCCCGAGGAGACAGATGAGGATATCACCGGTGCAGGCACCGCGTTGGAAAGTGCAAATGAAGGCGAAGACCTCTCTAAGCCTGTTTTCTTGAAGGGTCTCTTCAGTGTGTCGACCACAAGCAGCAAGCCTTTGCCCGTCATCCGGGCTGATATCATCCGCGTTCTGAAACAGCTGGCTGTGGACTACGTTGAGATCAAGGGTGGCTTCAGCTGTCGACACGCCCCTAGCATCGACCTCGAAAAGGTGGTCGACGTCAGCCCTCCTAGTCCAGACCGCCAGGGCCAGGTCTCACACCGCCGCCGCATCAGCTTCGGTGGGCTTCTTAGCCACGACGATAGCCGCGATGAGAGCCGTTCAGGCTCTAACAAATTACACCGTCGGCCCCAGACACAACCCGATCGTAGTTTCGTTTCGAACTCCGATGCGTCGGATGAATACGTTGTCCGCGATACCCAGCAGAGCGGCACGATGGGCGAGCGGGTAGTTGGAGAGACCACCACCCGCGTCCAAAGCGACACTGGCGAGAACTTGGTGCTCCGCTTTGAGATTCTCATTGTGAAGGTGCCTCTGTTCTCCCTACACGGTATCCAGTTCAAGAAGGTCTCCGGTGGTATGTGGCAATACAGAGAGATGGCGAAGAAGATTCTTGATGCTTTGCGACTTTGATTCAGCCGATGGGCTAGATATCTATTTAACACCATGCATATTGGCTTGGGGAACATAGAAGCCTTGCCTAGATGGCACATATTTGTTATTCTTTTCATCTCACGTTCCCCACTAAGTACAAGTACAGGTACAGGTACATTGATCAACGACCTCGCATGAGCGTTTCAGTCTTTTATCCTTGCATTCCAGGGCCTTGTCTTTTTCCCTGGTCTACTCAGCTCGTTCTTAGCCTACCATTCCGGTTGCATCTACCTAGGGCTTATCCTACCTGTGTCCCACTGTCGTTCTAGAAAAGTGCGTCTTCTTGTACATTAATGAAGACATTCCTGGCTTCTGATTTGCATCTCTGCAGTTCTCTTTTAGCGCCGAGGCAGGGATTTGGCGTTGTATAGCCTTTGTTGAGTCTACGAGTCTCTTACGTCTATAAAACTGCTATTGTTTATTATATTGGGTTTGGCTATGTAGAGATAACACATTCTCGGATTTCGTAAATGCGTAGTTAAGCATGGTTTGTGAGCGTATAATCAGGGAGTCTTAGGCTTGACAAGCGACGATGTTTCATTCAAAATAGTCAGCTAGGGATATTAACAGAAAAGTCAACATCCAAGAATGAAAATAGTGAAAGGCCAATAGAGCGGCTAAGCTTGTGCCCCCAACTCGGGTGTATTCGCCACTTACTTCTCGTCAGTGGATACTGCCCCCTGGAGAACAAGGGCTTGGCCGGTCATTTGGAATCCGATCTTGTATATTCAATGCAGTCCCCCCTGCCCAGGACAAGGTTGTCGCCTTCAATCGCGCCCTCCAATTGTAAATTCCATGATCTGGGTATCAGCATCCTTGAAACCAAAATAACCCATGGGTTTCTCGTATCTCCTAATGCATCTGGTGGGGATATTGTGGTGTAGAACCTGGGACCAAATTCATTGTTGCAATTGTCGTTGTTTGGAATCAATCGAGGTGGAAAGCCATTAAACTGATCAGCATATACTGAGAAAGTCCCTCGAACTACAAGTCCACTCCCAAATGTCTAATGAACCGGGCTTGTAATTCCAAGATGGTTTCTCCAAATTCTCCGTGGATTTGCATGACAACATTATCTTCCAATGACTGGGTTGGGTTTGCCCAGGAACTCAATTTCCTTCTTCGGCGTTTCAATTCAACCCGATTGCTTTTGCAGATTCCGAAATTGAGGAGGCACCCTCCCATGGATCCGCTGATGTCGCAATTCTGGGGATATTCTTGTGTCTGCATAGAATAGGGCTTGATTTAGAGGATTTTTGAAACACCTCATCGAGGATATGGAGTGATCTCGTAGCATTTCGCATCTCACAAAGTCTCCGGTACGAAGCTGCGTCTGGTACTCCACGATTTTAATCTATGAGAACAATGATCTTACGCCTCTTATTGGATCATCGTGGCCCCTTGAAGCAGATTTGGCGATGGTCTGAACCCAAAAACATTAATGCAGGAAGCCAAAAGGTCGGCGTAAGAAAAATGTTAGCGAGAAAATGCCAGGCGAGAATGAGTATGAGTGATGACAGAAGATAAACATGAGAGAAGACGAGGGATGATTAATGACTCTTGTATTCCCTCGCGATAGTCACTAATGGCGATCTGGTTACCTTGTGATGCAGCGGTGGTCCCTAGCGGTGGTTCGCCGCGCTAGGTCGCGCTTCACACCTTGCAGGGCTCGAGCAGAAATATCGCGAATCAAGTAGTGTCATGTACATTGGGCCCCTTTATTTGCCCCTATATCTGAGGATAGAGCGTCTGTTATAAGCCCTAGGCGTTGAAAGAACTTAGGTTTTCTCATAGGCTAAGTAGTATGATAAATTCAAATCTCAATGTCTTCGAGGCACTTCTGAGGGAGGGCTCGCCGCTCCCGAATCGCGAGCCCTAGGGACCACCGCTACGGATCACCATAAATGATTACAACGAAGGAATAACGCGAGTGTCAGGGACTTTGGGTGCGCCCGATTACCTGCACAACCTAAATGCCAATCTGAGAAACGGTCAAGCGAATATTCGAATCTTGTTGGAGGACCTGGCGGCGGCGTTCCAGTTAAAGATGTGTTTTGTCCGGGCCCCGGTGGGTGCGACCAGCCCGCAACATTAGGGTCGGTCCCGGTCGGTAGCGCCCGTGGTTGGGGCCCATTCCCCCCTACAACTCCTTGCTCCCCTCTTCCAGTATTTCTTATCCCAGACCACTCGTTATCACGTGATGATTTTAATAAATGGATTCTTATCTATTTTGTGAGAAATAATTATTTAAATGGATATTGTAGAAGATTACAATAGTACTTACTAAAGAATAAATGAAAATTATCTGTTGTTGACGAAGTTTTCTAGGTCATCATTCACCGGTCCTCTACGTAGAAGGCTTATCGTTAGCTAGTTATCAATGCTTATCAGTGATTAGCTAATACAGCCTCATCTGATTCGATAGTTATTTAGAACTGTCTGCAGCTCGCCTGCAAAAGTACTTGAATTTGACTCTTGTAAAATATAGATGTAAATTATAATTAAGTAACTTTTTCGCTTTATCATCGAAATGAGTCAAATGACTATAAGATTTTTCAATAGTTAAATAGATGGATGGTATACTGCTTAGTCACAAGGTTCATAGAACCATTGCGAGCCAATCAGAAACCACCAATCCATCACAGAATGGTAGACAAAGCGGCAAGCGGCAATGCGCTATCACACTTCTTTGATTACAGATCTCGGGAAAATGTTGACTTATACACCTAAGCATAGCCTGAAATGATGTATCCTAGCCCTCAGTTTTCACCAAGAACAGAGGGGAAGCCAAAATAGCACTCAAGCAACGCTGAGGCGGCGATAGTCATAAACTTTCACTTTTAACGCGCGCTTTGATAAAGGCCATTAATCGCCCGAATGTGCCGGTTTCTAAACGTTTATCACACCGTTATTTCCAGCCATTCATGTACTCATGCCGGAATACATACCTTTGAGCCCCGACACTACTGCGAGAACCCGTCACATGTCGACCCACTTAGTGCCCGACTTCTTTGTTTGTTCGATTCATTGACCCTTGGACACCACTAAACTGAAACATAAATAGCTTATAAAGAAGAAATCAAGCAACTATTAAGCGAGATATATAAATATGCTGACTAAGAGAGGGAAGCTTGGACCAGCTATCGGGGCCCCTTTCATCGTCCTGAACGCCGTCCATCTTTCTTTAAGGATCTTCCTCTCCCGTGCACCAGCAGCCCAGTTGCGTTATTTCCCCCGTTTTCCCGCACTTTGGTCCACCTCTACCCGTGGACCTTATTAAGAATTTTTTGATGTTATTCCCACTTTCGCATCGACTGGCAACCTTTCATTAAATTCATTTAAAGATCTTTTCTCCCCCCCAATCACGCTTTTCCTTTTATTTTTTCCACTTTTTTGTTTATTCTAGTCTACGCTTTGCTTTTTCACCCCGATGTGTCTCTAAAGACACGTTCCTCGTCCTAAACGCCACCATCGCTGGCCTAGCGCGTAGCTGGTGGTAGTGATGCCGTTTGCCGCCACCGCCGAGGGCGCCTTCAGAAAGGTGATGGATGGAATTATCGACCTAACTGGCGATAGTGAGGAAGATTCCGAGGTGAGTTTTCGGTGTTGGCATGTTATGAGGCTTATTCCTACGAGATATATACCCTTCGTTCTCTTTCCCAAAGAGGTTAGCGCGGTGTATATCTACGAAGCACCTTCTTCCCATTCATTCCACATTCTCGGATCTGATTTTGGCCCCAAATCCCCCTTGTCTTATGTCTGGAGATTTGATTGGATCTTTACATCTCCGATACCCGTCCTCGATTTGCATTGCAGCAATCGGGGTAAACTGACCTATCATGCACCATTATCACAAACATATCAATCAATGAGACGGCGACCAAAAAACACTAACCTCCGGCATTTACTACTCCAGGCCAAGGGCAATAACGTGGCGGTCGTGTCTACGTTGACTCACAATCAACTGGGGTCCTCGTCCGGTCCCCACAAGCGCAAGCTTTCAGGCTCTAATATCCCGACCAACTCAATTGAAACCGATGTTGGCACTCATGGCGCGCACGCATTGACAGTGGTTCGGCCAAAGGTGGAGGCCAGCCGATCCACTTCGAGAAAGTCAAGTTTCCGGCCGTCTCAGTCAAAAGAGTCGAATGCACACGCCAAAGCGAGCGCATCGCCGGCGTCGAGCAGGGCAAGCCTGCAACCGTCCATGTCAGAGACAAACGGAAAGGTTGATAGGCCATCCACACCAAACACGGCAAACAGCGCAAAGCCACTGATTGTCATCCCGTCGTCCGCTAAACGGACAAAGGAAATACTCAAGTTCCCTGTCTCCGGCAAAGAAGAGTATAAGGGGGTATCTGAGAAGTACTATCCAATTGCTACCAAGCTGAAACAAAAGGCCCTGAAACGGGCCTATCCCACACGCGAGAAAGTCGATCGGAGCATCATCTCTTTCTACACCTCTTCTGAGTCCGCTCCGTCAATCTCTCAGCCTGACCCGGTAGCCTTCTTGCGGGCTAACCTCGAGAAAAGGCTGCGGGATATCGACGGGCCGCCAGTCACATTTAGCATTAATGATGAAAGACTTGCGATGCTTTCTACCACTTTTGGCTTTGTGAATGACTACATTCTTCTTGACGGCGTGACGCGTGTCCCGGAAGGCTTCCATTATGGATGCAATTGCTCCGGCTCTGGCCCTTGTGATCTTACGACATGTGACTGTCTCTTTGAAGAGGTTGAATCCAACCAAAAGATCTCCACATACCGCCCCCTGGAGAACGGAACGTTTGTCCTCCACCCCGACTTCTTGAAGCGTCGTTCAAAAATCGCCGAGTGCTGTTCGCTGTGCAGTTGCAAGGGCCTCGAAGGCGGCTGTTGGAACACAGTCGTCCAGCGCGGTCGTCAGGTCCGATTCGAGATCTTTGATACAGGACCTCGAGGTTGTGGTACGTAAACCCCTCCCCCCATCTCCTTTATTGCAGATCCCTCTAACCCGCTGACTTTAGGTCTTCGTTCTCCAGACCCCATCATCGCCGGTCAGTTCATCGACCGGTACCTCGGCGAAGTCCTCACGCAAGAGGCCGCTGATGCCCGCGAACTCGTGAATCAAATGGGCCAATCTTACCTCTTTATTCTTGACTGGAAGCAGGAAGAGCAAGACGAGGATGAGGACGAAGACTCAGAGCCTGATCAAAAGTTCTACGTCGTCGATGGTCAGAAATTCGGCTCTCCCACCCGTTTCGTCAATCACTCTTGCAACCCGAATTGCAAGATCATCCCCGTATCCACCACTGAGCCTGGCGATGATAACCTCTACCATCTGGCCTTCTTCGCTCTATGTGATATCCCCCCCGGCACCGAGTTGACCTTCGACTACAATCCCTTCTGGGACGATGAAGATAAAGAGAAGATCGACCCAGATGCCGTTAATTGTCTTTGCGGCGAAGACAACTGCCGTGGCCAGCTATGGCCTAATGCGCGTAAGCAGGGTCCGGGCATGAAGGCCAGCCCTAATGCCAAGGCCACGGCCAAAAAAAGCCTCGGCAAGAATCGGAGTAGATAAGGCTGTGCCTATGCTCTTGGAGATTCTTCTGTTCTGGCATATTCACATAGTATTAATTTCTTGCATTTTGCATCTACGGCGCAATTGACTTGGCAACGAACCTTATGATACCCCTGTCATAATTTTTATGTATATTATGGAGCACGGAAATGGAGATGATTTTATCACTGACAAACCGTGGTTATATGTCTATAACCCACCAAAACCACCAAGAAAAAGAAACGGTCAAAATGGGTATTCCCAACGCCCCCAACTATACACTTAGATCACAAAAAGAAACCGAAACAAGAAACTCCCGCAGACAATCAAGCCAGACCCTCCATCACCTCAAAAATCCCCCCCATAACAAATCGCGGCGACTGCTGTGGCCGCAAGATACTCCCGCGCCGATCCCCCATAGTCGAATTGCCGTTTCCAGCCGCATTCGCGCCCATTCCTATTCCCATAGTCATACCCGTGCCCATATTCACAGTCATAGTCATCTTCTCCCTCTCCATCTCCATCTCAACAGGCCGTGGCTCCATAAGGTCCAATCCCTTCCTCTCAATAGCATCCCCATCGCACCTCGACCGCTCCTCGCTAAGCGCCATATCAACAGCAGACGGACGTCTTCTCACGACCATAAGTGATGAGCGGCCACGGAGTACAGCGCAGGGCAAAATGCTGACTGCGTGGTGGTCAGTAGATACATTTTGGTGCTGATCCTGGCTTTGCGTTGATTGGTGTGGTTGAAACGAGAGGTTGAAAAGGTGGTGTGGTGTAAGGTTGCTTGTTGTTCGCGCTCGTCGGAATGTGGAGTTTGGCGAGCTGGGTGGGGAGGTTGTTCTTGAGCTGGGTGGGCTTGAGGTTTCGCTTGTCGGACGGGTGATTTGAATTGGAGAGAATGGAGTTGGGAATTGGTTCATTTTGTTGATGTTTTTGTTGTTGGTTTTATCTTTGGATTTGGTGATGTGGAATGCGGGTGGAATCAGCGCGGGTGGGTGGACATGTTATGTTGTGAGTGTGAGTAAGTAATAAGTAATAAGTGAAGAAGAATTTAGGATGAGATTTGGGTTATGAAATATCATTGTACTGCAAGGATGAGAAGTAGGGAGTCTGAGACAAATAATATCGGATGCGGTGGCCGCATCCGGATCAATGCTATTGTGCCTGATTGCTGTTTTCGTCTGTTGATCTTCCGAGAACATCGATGCACACACATCTATTAACATATACTTAACATACTTAACAATCATTATGATAAATTTGTATTTCTCCATCCCTGACGTTCCAGCCTCATCCTGATTCCGGCTATACATCCAATAGTCCATAGTTCGGACCCACTTCAGCCACCCGATATTGAAAACGTTTCTATCATGGATGTACACGCCACATTCTATTGGGAATAGGAGATCAATAAAGGAGAAAAAGAACCCATAAAAAAATAAGGAGGTAGAATCTCACGCCGCTGCTATGCAAGATGCTTCCAGGATGCCAGGACTGAGGGTATTGTACAGCAAAAATGGATGCAAAATCAAAACAGGAAACTCCACAATCACGAAACCCAAAGAGAAAAGGAAAAGAGGGGGAAATAAGCACGTAGAAGAATGTTCAGGTAATGATTGAAAAGAAACAGATAGATTCTTCCACCTGTTGGGTTCCTACTCGTCTCTCATAGAGACATCAACATCATGCATTAGGTGGGTGAACCCTTCTCGGTAGATTGGGTAGACCGATTGGAGCGCTCGCTTGATCGTCCCTCACCCGATCGCCGCTGTGTGAAGCTTCGCCGAATACTTTCGCCCCAGGCGGAGTTATCCAGCGAGTTCATCACATCCTGCACACTCATAGCGCTATTCTGTCGGGAATGGTCAGCGCCCGAAGCCGAGTCGCGACGTTCACCAGAGTCGAATGACGCCCGATCGCCATACATATGACGCGGTGTGCGCGACGGACTGATACTGGCCCAGTCCGTCGGGGTGCTAGCACCCGATGATCGTCCGGCCATGGTAGTGTCCAGCCGAGGGAGGTCATGCCGGTGAGCCGTGGGGCTGGATTCGGCGCGGCGATGCAAGGTAGAGGAAGGTGAGAGCATTGGTGCAAAGGCTCCTTCGAGGTCGGGCTGGGTCTGTGGCGTCATCGTGCCGGGGGCGGGTTCCTCGTGCTCTTCGGAATCGTCCACTGGGTCATCGACATAGATCTCCGGTACCGTGAATTGAGGAACGGCGGTCATGCGCGCATTCTTCTTGCGGTCGATAGCCCGGCGGAATTGGCGGGACCAGTAGAGAGTGTCGAAGAAACCAATCACGGTGTTGCGGCGGACGGCTTCTTCCACGCGCTGGAGGCGTGCGCGGCGACGAAGGAATTCCTCTAGGCGTAGACTCTTGCTATCGCTGATGACGTTATAATGGGCGAGAATCATCAGGCACTGGTGGAAGGAGATGCCACGATCGGGGTCTGCCGACACTAGAACTTCTTCGTAGAAGATATTGAGCCGCTGCCGCCGCTCTCGAATCGTATTCACCGGGATGCGATTGAGAATGCGATTGAGTTCTTTCAGATTGACCTCGTCCACGATATCTTCCCCGCGAGATTGCATCATGGGATTCAAGGACTCTTGCGAGCGCGTATGCAGGGATGAATGGAAAGAGATAACCGAGTCCCGCGCGTTGGTTCGACATTGATCTAGAATGGCACCAACAGTGAATTCTCCGTCATAGATCCGCATCGAAAAGATCCCGGAGAGTTCCCCAAGTAACCGGGGGAACTGCTCTTTAGAGATGAAACCGGTCCCATCCGGATCGTACGTCGCCCAGGCATGTTTGAAGCGGCGAATTTCTTCACGACTCACCGCATATAGCCCGCTGCTGCGTTGGTAGACGTATGAGAAACTTTCGAAGATAAGCGAGACAAACAGCGAGACGAAGATGTACATGCTGATGATGTTCCATGCAATAAACAGACTCCGAGCCCAGCCGGCACTGCCGCAGTCATCATCAAGGAAGTCGGAATTATATGTACAGAAAGGGGGTTCCATCGTGGCAAAATCCTCCATGACTTCGTTCCATCCCTCTCCACTGCTGGATCGAAAGAGTAGGATGAGGGATTTGGGAACGTCACGGAAGTTGAGATTATGGGTCCCCTGGCTTCCGAATTTCGTGAGACCGAAGGCTTGGTTCATGGCGATACCGAACACTAAAAATAGCACGAACCAGGTGGCAAGAAGATTGCTGATGACTGGCAGACTAGCTGCGGCAGTCTTGAACAGCTGGTCCAGCTGATTGTTTCGTGGAATGAGAAGTAGAGCAATCGCGACAAGGAACAGTTTGTTCAACTCGAGGACAACTTGTGTCGAATATGCGATATGCAAGATAGTCGTGACCCATGCACCAGGTACAACCAGGAGGGAGTATAGGTCCCATGAACTTCGACTGAAGCGGTGCCACCCAAGGCCCACGAATCGGATGACGACATTTGCTACGTAAACAAACATGAAGATGAAAAACAAGATGGCTGGATGAAATTAGCAAAGACCTCACGTCTGACGAACGTAAAGTTAGAACTTACAACGAGCTAATTCCCACATCTCAGGCTCCGGGTAGAACTCCAGCACCAAAAGAACCAAATGTATACAGAGGGTGAAAGTCACGAAACGTGCCCATCTACCGTGTTTCTTGACTGCGATTCGGTAACACCATTGCTGCCAATGTGCACTCTTTTCATTAAGAGACCGTTTGGACGGCGAAATCTGCCGAAGAAGTTTTCGCAATTCCAACCAGGATCGTTGTTCAGCAGTCAAGAAGGCAACCCCAGTCTGTTCTGTGTAGTTGCGCATGAAGACAGATACAAACAGCGTCAAGACAAACACGGCTCCAAGCAAGTTGAAGACGACAAAGAAGAAGCCATTAGCGGGAGCAACGTTATCCTGCGGCTGTAGACCAGGCCCGACAATGCTCATCACACTGTCCTGGACATCGATCCAACCTTCCTGGGACACAATTTGGAAGAGAATGAAAAGAGAGTCCCCAAAATTGTCAAAGTCGTAATAGGTGTTAGTCACGGTTCGGGGACCAATGACATCCCAATTGTAGGGCGAGCTATAATACTCATTGACACAATAAGTCAGGTTGCCCGAGAAGTCGCCATCGTTGCAGGACAACAACTGTCCATTGAACAAGTTGACGGCATAAATGGCGAAGGGGATTAAGAAACTCAAGGAAACCGCCGCCGCGGCAATGATCTTCATTCCTCCTAAAATGATGACAGAGTGGAAAGTGTCCTTCGCACTGTCACTGACATTCAGCAAACGCAGAGCCCTCAATGCTTTGAAAGCACCGATAGGTCTGGAGATACTGAAGTCCTTATAGAGGGAGCTGCCAACGTTGACCCACAGAGTGACCAGCACAATTCCATCGATGAAACCCCAAGAGCTGCGGAAGTATGCATTGGGTGTCCAGAAGAAGCCGTCGGCTATCACCTTGATGGTTGCCTCAATGGTGAAGATGACTGCAAATCCCATATCAGTGTAAACAAACCAGTTGCGGTCGGTTCGGAAATATTGCCTCTGATACAATGGAGTCGTGATGCATGCAAGAACGACCATAGCCACAATTGCAGCATAAATGATAGCTGAGAACGTAAACCACACTGGCTTATATGGATCCACGCCTTCAACCCGTTGGTTACCACGGCCAGGCCCAACGATCCGCTGACACAGCTTTCGGATTGGGTGGTGCGGCCCAAACATGTAAAGCGATTTGTTATACTTTGGATGTTTGATGAGATACTCTCGCTGTGCTCGTTTCCTCGCCTCAGCCGCTGACACCACTTCTCTGGCCATGGTTCTAGGATCTAATTCTTCGTAGGCCCGTGAAAACTTGAGCTTGGAGTAGAATGGGTTTGGTTCCCGGCCCATGATGAGAGCATTTGCCTTGGCCAAGGCCTGTGAAAAGAATCCAGGGTCAGTAGTCTCTGCAGCCGCACTATCCGGAATCGCCTCTTCTCCGTGTCGGTTCTCCTCCTCCTCCAGCCCCCTCCCCCCTTTCTTCATCAAGGAATTCACGGACAACAGCATCCTTCAGCAACATCTCCAAAGCAGCAGGTCCATGATCAAGTGGGTCCTTGTAGCGACCCGAATCACGGCCCAGGCGAAGGATCTTTGAAAGTGCAAGGTTTCCTTGAGTAGCTTGGCCGATGTGCTTCTGTTCCAGAAATGCGCGAACCTGTTGAAGACGCTTCTCATCCTCTGATACATCGAAGCTCTCTTGAATGACCGCAATGAACATATTCAAGATGATAAAATTTGCCACAATGAACCACAAGATAACAAACGAGGCGGAAATCCATGCGGTATTGAAGCTAGTTGTATATGCGGTGACATTATACAAAATGTCTGTCCAGTTTTCGCTTGACAAGATCTGGTACATACCCAGGAATGAGTTGTAGATATCGGCGAACGTGATGCTGATGGAACTTCCCGTTGGGTCCTCGGAAGGAATCTGGCTGCGAAAGAGTTGGGTTGCAAAGATAGAAGCGAGAAAAGTCATCAAGAAAAGAAAGAATATCAGGTTGAGCAAACCAACGGTGTTTCGGAAGACAACCATGATGAGCTTCCTGGTAACGGGGATTGCTAGCACAACTCGGTAGACCCGAAGAATTTGAAAGAGAGTGAGAACGGTGTAAGGACGCCCTGAATTTTTTATAGGAGGTATCTGAATGACGCAAGTGACGACAACCAGAAGAAGGTCAAACCAATTCCGGCGCCTCCGATGGAAGACACGCCAATCCGAAGCAAATCGAGCAAGAATTTCAAGGAGAAAGATGAGCGTGACCACCAACTCTGTATTTGAAATGAAGCGAGCTCGTTCTTCTCCCATGGTCGAACTTGTCAATGCTTGGATGATAAGATCATAGACAATGATGAGAACCCAAAAGTATTCAGTTTTGTCGTAAAATCGTTTTAGCGTGCTTACTTTTCGAGTCGTGGTTTCATCGTTTTCAACGTTGTCGATTTTTTGGACCGCAAAAGCACTGCGTTTACTTTCCTCTCGGATGACTTGGAAAGAATGGGTGATGACTGCAACGAGCAAGTTCACCAACCATAAACTCAGAATGACGAGACCAAAGGCAAAGAACAGCGCTGCTGCAAGATAATCGCTGTCGGTGGTGTAGTAAAGCAAATCAGTGAACGTATTGGAACTCATGATGACAAAAACCGCCTCCAGTGACTGAAAGATGTTGTCAAAACTTAATGTTCCATTGTAGGGATTCGTGCCTTCAACGCAGAGGGAACCCATGGGGCACATATAGCCCTTGGCGGTAGAACTGGCGAGACGATTACCAGAGGCCTCTAGCCAAGGCATACGCTCGCCTGTTGTGCTGTTGAGATACCCGCCACAAAATTGAATTGTGCCGTACGGGTCATTCGAGGTGAAATTTGCTTTGCCCTCAGGATCAACCCAAACACAAGTCCTCCGAAGACTGGATTTGAAACTCTGTATGCCGACAATGGCGAACAGAAGCCAGAAGAACCCAATGAGAAATGCAACATGCACAAGAAGAGGCGCAGCCCGTTTAAGACTTCGAAGAATTACAGAGGTACCATTGGTGAGGAGAAGGAGACGCAAAATTCGAAGACAACTCAGCATGCGAAAGATATAAAGCTGACGGGCTGCTTCCAGGCCCTGTAGTGAAAGAAAGAAGGAGACCCAATAGGCGACAACTGCCACAAAGTCCAGTCGGTTGAAAGAGTGACGAAGGAATGCACGGTGGGCGAGTCGGACGCGGCGTTTCTGAAGAGGGTCGTCATAGGTTTCAGCATCCAGTGCGTTCATCCCAGTGAACGTCCGCAAAATTGAGGCTTGAGGTTCGGCTTGTAAGAACGAAACTTTTTTCTTGGTTGTCTGCCGATGAGGAGTAATGAGGTTCTTGCCCTTCTCTGCTATCGCTTTCCTGACTCCCAAATTTCGGTTTAAAGTGCTATACTCCCTCGGGTTGAATATGAAACCAGAGACCAATATCTTAGCCCCGATCTCAAGGGTATAGATGACGAAAATGGCAAAAAAGACATAATCTAACGGGGTGTTGCCCCATCGCACCGCCAAAGGTCGGTTGAATACTGATCGTGAGGACTCCACGATCAGCAATATAGTCTGAATGACTATGAATACCAGAATGAAAGGTTCCATGTACGGATGTACAAGGATATCGCAAAGCCAGAGTCGAAGGGGGTTGTTCGGCCCCAGGATGCCCAGCGACCTGCCTCGGAAAGGATTGTTTCGGTGTTTCCACATCGTGTTCGACGCCCGATTCTCTCTCGGCGGTAGTCCAGAGGTGGTATCATGGGCGAAATCCGTCATTGCAGGGAGGACTGGGGGCCCTTCCAGCCTTGAATTTTTATTGGACTCTTCCCGCTCAATTGACTGTTGCACAACTTCTGGTTCATTACTTAAATTGACCACTCGCTGTGACATAGATTTCACCATCGAACTGGCCCGCTGCAGCGCCCCACCAGAGGCCGATGGGGATAGAGACCGAGACCGAGCGCTACTGCCGCGACGTCGGCTCAATCCGTCCTCCACATGGGGGAGGTCATCACCCAAACGTGACCCATCACCGGAGTACATAGAGTGGCCGCCAACATCACTGCTTGGCCGGCCTTCGGATACAGGGGCGCCACTAATCGGTTGGAGAAAACGAGGATCAGTCAAGCGTGCAGTGTCATTTTCGGCTTCGTCTCGGGGCGCGTAATCGTCAAGTTCGTGAGAGTGATAATTATCCAAGGGCACGTTATCGAGGTCGGAGGCACCATCGTTAAATCCATGCCTAGCTGAAGGGTCCGATAATGATAGCCGCGGCGCGTCAAATGTGATGCCGAATGACATGGCCTGTGCGAGGGCACCTAAATCATTCTCTTCGTCCGCGTGTGAATCTTCGAATGGATTCCTGCTTGCACTTCCCAAGTCGACCGGCGACTCCTCTGCAACGCTCTGGTATTGCTTGCGTGACCCTCTCCCCATTAATGATCGTCGTGAAAAGACACCGCCCCCCACACTACTGGCGCGGCCTCTGCTATGGCCATCTGCGGGGACATTGATCTCAGATCGAGACAGATCCTGGAGCGGGATCTGGTTGGAGCTATCATTCTCGCCAGGGCTTCGACTATTCGACGCCATCGTCAGGCAAGGGTATAGATTATCGAACTGTAGACATCGCAGGCTGTACGTGGCCGAACTGCGCTAGGTTGAGAGGGGAAGTCGTCAGGGGACTCGAGGGGTATGGGGTAGTAGGTAGGAAGCAATCAATGAAAGTTCAGTTCACACCAGCGACTTGGCCCGGAGCATTGCTAGAGCCAAGAGTTGAATTGGGGCCAAGCTGGTGGTTTAGCTGAACAAGTGTTTAGACCAAAAAAGTTGCCGGTCGCAAACCCACTAAACGGGAACAGCGCCAAAACACTTCATGGTGATTGGCTGGTTTGCAGATTACAACGTTTCCGTGGCTGAGGAATCGGCGTTGCACCGCCCGATTGTCTCATAGTTCCAGTTACAGATATTAATTAATTGTAGGATCCATGGGTTTGTATTACCGTACCTACATAGCGAACCTACACAGCCCTATGAGAAAGTACCTGCATTCAAGAGTTTCCTCACAATTAACATGACATTGCCGGGGTCCTCCGGGAGATTACGCTTTCCCCCCCTTACGGCTCGCGCTATCTAAGGTGATTACGAGGCCTTAGTCAAGAATTAGAAAAAAAAATTGGTGCCTGGTGGGGTTTCCTTGCTACCAAAAATAGTATATGGTTTCAAACGTTTTCTTGCTTAAACGAGATGTGTCAGAGCATATTCATATCAATCCGTCTCCATCTGCGATTCATCCTTCTTGACATGTTGCCGAACGCCATCTAGAAACGCCTCCACTGCATCACCCCCACCTAGGGGTACACCGCCTCGACGCATGAACCCTCCATTGGCCACTGGAATCTGCAGGGCTTCACTGATACTAGGCAGTCCACCATCACGGAGAGCCACGGTAAGGCTAGCTAAGCTCTGCGTAAACTGGGGGGGATCGTAGCACTTTGCGGAGAATGTCTTTTTTCTGAGTGAGGTCAAGGGAAAGAAGAGCCGCCTGGGCCAACTCGGGGTCCGTGTCCGCTTCCGAGGCCTCGGCATTGCCCTGGGCCAGCAGAAGCAGTGCAGGCGGCAAGAAGCTGAGAAGGTGGTCGGCAGTAGATTCATCGGCGGTTTCAATAAATGGCAGGGTGGTGGGAGGTGGCAATAGGTCCTGGAGAGTTGTAGAAGGTCGTTCGGGGTCCTGGGATTGAGACTGGCGCTGGCCACCCAGAGACCGCAAGAAGTCCTGGACAACCAAAGATGGATCGGAATCGTTTGCTCTGAAAGTGAAAAATTAAACATGTCAGACTTTCATAAGCTCTAATTGCGATGGGTAGAGATATGTACCTACGCTCGTCCACCATCGGCACCACCCTCACGCGACTCCTGGCCCTCCTCGCGAATATCCCCTCCAGTCGCGTCTGCACCAGCTCCACCACTGCCTGCACCGTGATGGGCCGCATCGTTGTCTGTTCCCTCCACATCCTCCATGGTCTCGTCGTCATCGCCGCCAGATGGTCGTTGGGGTAGGTTAGCGATCTCTTGTTCCACATCCACCTCTTCGCCCTGCAAAAGAGTATCGACAATCTCTCCAAGCTTCAAATCGCGGGGGCTGAACCAGCTGGCGTCACCACCTTCGTGCTGCGACTGGGATTGCATCCAGAATAGGTACCGCTGGGAGCTAGACGAGAACTTCAAGACGAACACTCGGCCATTTGTAACATCCTTTCTGTAGGGAGTAAAGCTTCCGTCTGAAGGAATCATCACCAAGTCAACTTCGGGCTCGTCAATGGGCGAGCTGCGGGGCCGCCAGCAGAAGTGCACCAGGTCATCTTCGGAATAGAGGTAGATATAGCCGGGGGTGGGCTTGGGTTTCACAGTAGCAGGGGTTGTGGAGCTCTAAAATTCAAAGGTAAGCTTTGTCATGATAGATTTAAATCATTTAGGTCATGGCGTAAGGTCTAATTGATGAGGTCCAGAGCACGTACATCCAGGTCGCAGATACCTGCTTTGAAGGTGATGATGGGAGCCATCGACATAATGGAAGTGTCGCTATGCAAACCAGGAATTGTGAAAGATTGGTCTGTTAGATGAGTTCCACACCAGGTGGATGAAAGGTGGTCTTTGGAAGGAAGTGTGAAGGTCTAGTGAAGCTTCAGGATACGTCAGTTCATGTTTGTGGTTGAGCAGCTGACTTGCGCCGAGTGGGCGTGTGGGCTGCCGTTGTCACCGCCTTGATTATGAGGCAATAAGGCATAAGTTGTTATCAGCTCTTATCAGCCTGATCAGGAAGTCACGTCATGATTTAGATAGTGATCTGTTAGATTATAGTCCTGGGTATCAAACGATACGATAAACTCATAAGAAATGTGATTACTTCTACTAAGAGCCTTCACAGCCAGAGGCTAGTTTCAGAGCGATTACAGTGCACCTGTATACTACCTTCTAGGTTCGGGGTTTGGGCAAAATACCGTGAATGCCCGTAGAAACCCGGCTCCGCCTAAACCTTGTATATATATATTACGCACCGGTGCCCATCCGAGATGATCGTATCCGTTTATTTAGGACATTTACACCATCTCCCACGTTCAAAAACCTATGGCTCTCAAAATCCTCATATGCGGTGGAGGCTGTGCTGGTCCAGCACTAGCGTTCTGGCTCGCCCGCGGCGGTCATCAAGTGGTCGTGGTAGAACGCTTTCCAGCCTTAAGAGCCACGGGTGCTCAAATAGACCTACGAGAGCAAGGCATTGAAATCGCCAAGCGGATGGGTATCATAGACGCCATACGCAGCAAGCTAGTCGACGAAGACGGCGTGGCCTTTGTGGATTCCGAAGGGAAGGTCCACGCAACCTTCATGGCCAACAAGACCGGCAAGGGTGCACAGTCCCTGACATCAGAATATGAGATCATGCGCGGTGACCTCGTTCGTATCTTATACGATGCTACAAAAGACAACGTGAAATACATTTTCGGCCAGACGGTTGAACGATTCGAACAAGATGAGAAAGAAGTAATCGCTTATTTCTCTGATGGATCATATGATACATTCGACATCCTCGTTGGTGCAGATGGACAAGGATCTCGCATTCGCAAAGCGATTATGCCTCCGGGTTCAATTCCATACCTCAAATTTGGTGTTCACATGGCCTACTGGTTCATTCCCCGTGCTGAGGGAGACAACAATATCCGCAGAACCTATAACTGCTCAGGTGGTCGAATGATCATGCGCCGAACGCATAATCCGACCGAGAGCCAAGTCTACTTTACACTCAGGGATTCAGCTCCAGAGGTCTCAAATATTCATAGAGCGTCTGTTGAACAGCAAAAAGAGTTCTGGACTCAGCGATTTCACGGCGCTGGATGGCAGACTGATCGATTTCTAGAAGGCATGAAAACCACCCAGAACTGGTACTGTCAGGAAGTCGTTCAAGTTCGAACCAATACATGGTCCAAGGGCCGTGTGGTGCTGCTTGGGGATGCCGCTCACTGTCCCTCACCGTTTAGTGGGATGGGAACTAGTGCTTCTCTGGTGGGTGCCTATGTTTTGGCCGGTGAGATCTGCCGAAGCCCTAGTAATCTTTCGCAAGCACTCTTCGAGTATGACAAGACATTGCGTCCATTCGTGGACGAGATTCAGAAAATAAGCCCTCGCCTTCTGGGATATAGTTTACCTGAATCAGAATGGGGAGTTGCACTTATACGTGTCATTGCGTGGTTAATTTGTTTCCTTCATATACCCCAGCTTGTTGCAAGGTATTCCAATGAAAACCGGGGTGGGTGGCTTGTTCCAGATTATCCGGAGCTTCAGTGGGATGAAGCAACGGCATAGATCGATTTGTGATAGTGTTGTATTTTAGCATGGTCAGTGTCAGGCGAAGTGAGTTGACGAAAGAGCATATTTGATATTCCACTCTTCACAATTCCCACATCAGAACAAAGCACTCGTACCTGTCGACCGCGAGTAGTGGATCTCTCACATCGATATTAGGGCAGTCGTAGCCCCACTAAAACCTTGGAAGCCGAGACCCGCTTCTACCGATCACGTGTGCCTGGCGGTAGATGACTCATCACGCTCCCCCAAATGCTACTCGGCTAACCCTGCATCACGTGAGGTAGGGCTTGCGCTTCCCACAAACCCTCATACCAGACTCCACTTGCAAGTCCGCACATCAACCTCCAACACCAACCACCAACCCGACAACCACCTACACCGTCCCAGCAGCCACGATGTCGGACGCTACTGTTGGCCAGACGAAGCAGTTTGGAAAGGGTCAGCGGACTGTGCCGCACCCGGCCCAGCAGGCTCAGAAGTGGTACCCCGTGGACGATGAGTCGAAGCCCAAGAAGGTCCGTATACCACAAATCAACCGAAGCAATCGAAAGGAACAACGCGGAGGATACAAGCAAGGAATTGGTGGCTGGGATGAATGCGATAATGGTGCCCGAGTCGGTCGAATCGTCTCCAACGACAAAAAAGCGACGCATTTGTTGATGAGACAGGGAAAGAATCCCGCACAAGTGTGAAGTCTCTTTGAGTCTTCCTTCCCAGGCATATCGCATTTTCGCATTCATTCCGCCACACCAACTCAAGCCATTCATGCCGAATTCATTCGGTTGCACGACATTTTTTTTTTCAAGGTTCAATATTCTAACATGTGTACGCATATAGGTTCGCAAGACTCTGCGTCCCGCTAAGGTCCGCGAGTCCCTCCAGCCCGGTACCGTCCTGATCCTCCTCGCTGGTCGCTTCCGCGGCAAGCGTGTCATCCTGCTCAAGCACCTCGAGCAGGGTGTTCTCCTCGTCACCGGCCCCTTCAAGATCAACGGTGTTCCCCTCCGCCGTGTCAACGCCCGCTACGTCATCGCCACCTCCAAGCGCGTTGATGTCTCCGCTGTTGACCAGAAGACCGTCGAGAAGGTCTCCGCTCCCGGCTACTTCACCAAGGAGAAGGCCGCTGAGAAGAAGACTGAGGAGGCTTTCTTCAAGCAGGGCGAGAAGGCCCAGGTGCGTACCCAATTATTCCGAACCAGATTCCGAAACTGATCATAGACTAACGTGGATTCCGCTTTACAGAAGAAGGTTGTCGCCAGTGCCCGTGCCACCGACCAGAAGGCTATCGACCAGTCCATCCTTGCCGGTATCAAGAAGGAGGACTTCCTCGGCAGCTACCTTGCCACTACCTTCAGCCTGCGCAACGGTGACAAGCCCCACGAGATGAAGTGGTAAAAAAGTGCGATGCGGCGGCCGCGGGTTCGGTAGATAGTTGAGGAGGACTCATCTTTCAACGAGGGGCGGCTCGATTGCAAATCGGCGCCCTTTTGCGTCACGGAGGGAGCGGTTATGATTCATGTAACTCCAAGTGGAATCCGTTTTATACATGCTTTCGCTGGTTTCTAGGATTCTGCGTTTAATTCGGATATCCGGCTGTTGTTTGCCTCGTTTCAACCATTTTTCCCCTCTCGGCGCGGCCGATTCAGCATGACCTCCTTTCTCTTCTCTCTTCGGGGAATGGGGGAAACGAGCCGTGGTGTGAAGAAAGACTTCAAACAAAAAAAGATTAAAAAATACCTCGCTCCAGCAGCCCCGCTGGATTCTCTTTCATGTTCAGTATGACATACATCTCCAATTCCCAGGTACAGACGGCAATCCAAAAATTGGGTCATTTTATTTTTATGGATATTTCCATTGTAACCCTCCAGGGCTATTTTATCGTAGAATTACGGAGTAAACACAAGCCACAGATCAGATCGATAATATTTAAAGTGGACATTGAGGCTCCATTGTGCGATAACGACGTAATTGATCATTGATATCCGGGGACTCCAAAATATATATCTCCGCAACCTGCAACCGAACTAAACGAACTAGATTACCGAGACCACTCAACCACCTGCACCCGTAATGGTAACACCCATGTCAAACTTCTTGGAATATTCATCTTCAGATCTTGGAATCAGCGTCTTTGGATCGTGAGAGCCGCCTGCTTAAGTTCCAAATTCTCCGACATTAGATAATATTCAATGAACAGGTGAATCCATATCTCAATCCAAATTCCAAAAGGACCAAACAGTCTAGTCTAGTCTAGTCTATCTAGCTCCGAGGCTTTGTATTCCTCCGCAAAGTACCTTCCCTAATCTTCCTCTTCGAAGCCTCCATAGCCTTTCGAACCTGCCTTTCAACCTCCTGCTCATCCACTCCTGCCACAATATCATCCTCAATAGAGTCCCCAATACTTGTTCCAAAGATCCAATCTAAGATACCCCAAGGTCCAAAATTGCCCTCACCATCCTCAAGTAAATGTCCATCAGTTCGACGCGCCATACCCCCCAAGAAAAAGCTGGTAGGCATAACAGTGTATCCAGAATACGCAAACGTCTCCTCAAGGGACACAGTCGACAGGAAGAGCAGGTAGGTAAGCATGTGGAAACGAAGGAACAAGGCCGGCAAATACGTAGGAAGGAAGCGAACAAAGATGTAAACCAGTGGATGGTCGTAGTGCGCCGTGAGAGGGAACGGTGTCCTGAGACTATGGTACCATGACTGGTGAGCCCGGGCCAAGTACCTAGTGAAGACGGATTGCGCATTGTGCAAGACGTAGCGGTGAACATAATAAGTCAAGACCTAGTAAGCAGGAAAGATGTCAGTAAGTTATTTCGTAATCAAGAAGAAAAGGTTGCTTACCTCGCGAATCAGTAAGGCAAGTATGAGGCCCTTGCCCATCTCCCAAGGCATGGGGAGCTTCATAGACACCTTAACCGCACTGCGAATACCAAGACCCTGGACCAGCAGAGTCTCGACCGCAGCTTGTAGGACAGTCCCAAGAAGCACATTGAGAAGCGCCCAGGCTGCGACTTTGAGATCCCGCACGCGGACCTTGCCCTTCTTCCTGCCGCTGGGCAGACCGGCCTCACCCTGCGCCTTCACGATCACAGATGCAGATGGCGTGAGGATGTCGAACAAGAAGAAAAGAAGGGAAGGCAGTACGAAGAATAATGCGCGCACTGCGGCTGAGCCGACCAGCTCGACGCGGAGCGGGGAATGCGACAGCACTAGGGTCGACCACGTCACATAAAAGAAGATAAAGTTGAGGCTAGTCGCATAGGACGACATGGTGGGAACGAGGAGGAGGGAGATAATGGGTAGTGAGAATAGAGCGTCCATTGTGTTATTATTATCGCGGCAATAGCTCTTAGAGATGCCAGGTAAAAATTTGTGGTTGTAGATGATTTGGATGCCGATCGAATTTCACGAAGCGGAGGGAAAATTGGGCTACCCTTGAGGGATTTAGGACATGAACTGGACTGAAAGAATATGTTAAAAATACATTTCGAGTCACAGACCTTTGTCAACACGACATTCTTTGAAGCTCGTTGGTGGGGGGTGTCGCAAGAAATGAAAGAGAACTGGGGTGGCAGGGAACCGAGATCTGCACTACGTCACCGCCGCCCGCATTCTACAGGTGGCCCTGCATTTTGACATCTACGGAGTATTGCAGACTGATTCCTTTAGAAAAATAAAAATAAAATTATGACAAAGAATGCATTATTGCTCAACCAGTACTGATATAGAGACCCCGATTGAACCAGGGTACAAACGGGTGGACGCCAACCAGGCCAAACGAACGAACAGCCGGAAGGGCAATGCAAAAGGGTATATAATACAGTCACCAAATTATCAACATTGAGAGTAATCCCATTACTCGACACAAGACTGTTGGGGGAGACCATTGGTCTTTCCCCAGTTGAACGCCTTGTTGCGAAGGTCGGGAATGACCTGAAGGAAAACCAGGTTGCTCAGCCAGCTGAGGAAGGTATCCCCGACAATGCTGTTGCGAGGGCTGGGTCCAAGTGCGGTACCCTTCATGACATTTCCGATAAACATAGTTGTGATGAGGTACTCGCCACGTTCTAGAGCTTGTATGGCGATCTGTCCAACCTCTTCGGGAGTCTGGGGCTTGTCGGACTCCTCGAGCTTCTTGGTCAGCTCGGGCTTTATCTTCTGCTCGTTGTCAAATCCTGGGCTCAGAATGCCCATGGGGAAAACAGTGTGGATCTTGACATCGGCAGCTGGGGCTGTGTTGCGGTGTCGTTGAGTGTAAGCACCGTTGTACATCTCGATCTCTTGGCTGAGAGTGTCAGACAAAGAGCGAATGGCAGCCTTGGCAGGAGAGTAGGGTCCGTAGCCAGCGATGGGAACGAATGCAAGAGTCGAACATGTGAAGATGAGGTGGCGACGCGGGTTTCGCATCTGGTTACTTGGAGGAACAGGAGCCAGCCAGTTTCGGAGAGTAGCATGAGCCATGTTTGCAGCAGTCCAGTAGACTGTGTCCATCTGTTGACGCTGAAGCTCGATCGGAATATCAACGAAGAAGCCAGGGTGGCAGTAGCCAGCACAGCACCAAACAACATCAGGGGCAGAGCCGTCATTCCAAGCAGTGACCTCAGAAATCACTCGATCGCATTCAGAGGCATCAGTAAGATCGGCAGAAATGTACATGAATCGCTGTTTTAGCGAATTCAAGGCCTTAGACTGGAGGAAAAGTTAGAAACAATGACGCAGAAAAATAAAATAAAATAAAATAAAATAAAGAAAAAGAATAAAGGGGACAAAAGAATCGAACCTTGAGTTCTTCCACGGTCTGTTCAAGCTTGGAGACAGTACGAGCAACGACGACGACGTGTGCACCCTTTCCAGCAAGTTGGCCAGCAACAGCTCGACCCATGCCATCAGATCCACCAGTGATTATCACAGTCTGGATGACAGAGTCAGTAAAGAAGCTGAGAACAAAAGGGGAATTCTGTACTTACACGACCCTCGACCTCGAACTCGTTCTTGCGGTTGAACCCGAACATCTTAGCAATCGTATAGGCAATGACAGAACAGACGAGTACGGATACTCCAAGGACTGATGTGGATATATAAGATGAAGGAATAAGAGATGGTAGCTGAGGCATATGGAAAGGAAAGAAAACCAAAGGGAAGAAATAGGAGGTCAATTGCGCGTGACTGCCTATCGCAGGTGTTTTTGCTGATTTGGATATCGAGACAGGAGCGTGTACGAAAGGTGCCCGGATATTACCAGAAAACGCGATACAATACACAATGCTGGGTCCACTGTAAGTGAACCCGTATTGGTATTTCAGCAGGTGCAAATCACACAAAATATCCATTCTGGGCGTAGTGTACCACGGGCGGTGAAAGCAGCCCCAAAAAATTATTTTGTCCGCGCAGTCGAGACCATCGATTGAACAGATCAACGAACATATTTACAAGCTTTTAATCATGGGCAAGAAAAGAAAGGCTGGCGGCCGTCCCTCAAAGGGCGAAGTTCCCGTGCGCACCAAGTTCGATATTGAAGAACGCTTTGACGATTCCGAAGACGAGTTCCAGGCGGGCCGCGACCAAATTCTGCTGGATGAAGCCCCCGAGGCCAAGCGCCGGCGGAGAGTTGCTCAAGATGGTATGTCAATATTTGAAATCCGATCTGAAAATACGAGTCAATCTAACTTATTATAACAGAGGAGGCACTCCAAGATTCTGAGGAGGAGGTCTTAGGCTACGATGAACTCGACGAGGACGAGGATGATCTTGAAGACGAAGATGTTTCCGAGGATGAATATGATGACATGGGCGAGCCGAAGAATGCACAGGAAGACGACGAAGACGAGGAGGGAATTGCGGCATGGGGTACATCGAAGAAGGACCTTTACAATGCAGACCAGATCGAGACCGAAGTCGATGCCCTCGAGGAAGAGCAAGAAGCAAAGCGACTGCAACAGAAGCAATTAGAGGCTATGGACGAGGCAGACTTTGGTTTCGACGAGTCCGAATGGGCGGAATCCGGCAAGGGTGCTGAGGATGACGCAGAGAACGCCGGAGTTGTTACCGAAGTACTCCCACAGCTGGAAATTACCGACGATATGAGCAGCGACGAAAAGCTCAAGATTCTCAAATCGAGATACCCCGAGTTCGAGCCTTTGGCCAAAGATTACGTCGACCTCCAATCAACTTACCAGACTTTGCAAAAGCAGGCGGCAAAGGCTTCAAAATCTACAGATGAGACCGCAGATGAACTCCAGCCCGCACCCGTGGCCGTTGTAAAATTGCGTGCTTTGTCAACATATCTGGGTACAATCAACATGTACTTCCTGCTCCTTGCTTCTTCCTCCGACGGTACCAAGAGCCATTCCCCGATGTCGCCAGCAGAGCTCCGACAACATCCTGTCATGCGCTCTCTAGTCAAATTCCGCAAAATCTGGGAGAAGGTTAAGGACCTTGAAGTCTCGGAGATCACCGAGGTTGTCAAGAAGTCTCCAGGCAAGATTGAGTCGATCAAGGTCGAGAAACCCATTTCCAAGGAGACCAAGAGGGTCAAGTCGACACAAAATCTCAGCAAGGCCGAGCGTAAAGCCTTGGCAGCACAGGCTGAGGCTGACGCCATTCGGGCGGACCGACTCCGTGAGACAGAGGCCGGTCTAGCTGATCTGGATGATTTGGTCACAGAACCTACTCAGAAGCGCAAGACTAAGAAGACCAAGGCTCTCGCCAAGGATGATGACTCCGATTTCGGTGACGAGGATGCTCTCACCGCTCGTGAAGCCGAGGAGAAGCTCAAGCAGAAGCGCTCTCTCCGCTTCTACACCTCTCAACTGGCTCAGAAGGCTAACAAGCGTCATGCTGCTGGCCGTGATGCAGGTGGTGACGCCGATATTCCTTATCGCGAGCGTCTGAAGGACCGACAAGCCCGTTTGAACGCCGAGGCCGAGAAGCGCGGTCGCCAAAACCCTGATATTGGCCAAGAGCTTGGTGGAGACAGTGACGAGGAAGACAACCGCGTCAGAAAGGAACTCCGCGGTGAGGGCAAGGGATCCGGCACTGACGATGACGATTACTACGACATGCTTGCGGCACGGGGCAAACAACGCAAAGACGACAAGAAGGCCCGCGCTGACGCACATGCGGAAGCGGCTCGCCAAGGCGGTCATGTTGAGGTACAGGAGACTATCGGGTCAGATGGCAAGCGGGCTATCACCTACCAGATCGAGAAGAACAAGGGTCTCATGGCGAAGCGGAGCAAGGACGCGCGCAACCCGCGTGTCAAGAAGCGCAAGAAGTACGAGGAGAAGAAGAAGAAGCTCGGTAGTGTTCGGCAGATCTACAAGGGTGGCGAGGGCCGTGGTGGCTACGGAGGTGAGCTTACAGGTATCAAGAAGAACCTGGTCAAGAGTGTCAAGCTCTGAGGTTAGGGGATTTAAAATCATGGATATGTGTTTTGTCTTTTCGCAAGGCGTCAACTGTGGTTCATGGCAGATACAGGATTTGTTTGATGTGTATATACAAATTCAATTTCATACTCTCACGTTCAACATTTTTATACCTTCTTAGAGCGCATAGGAAACAAAGGTAAACCCTCCGCAAACTGAGGACGGCCAGGAATCTGCACAATCTGAGACTTGGTCTTCGAAGTATTACTAGGCCCCTTCGTTTGGTTCGAACTATGGAAACAATGAGCAATTGACAAAGCCCAACAACAGTAAGTAGGACAACTTACGTCTGAGAAGCCGGCACATCAATATTCTTTCCATGCTCCCGCCGCTGATGACGCTTGGGCAACATACTCCCCGAAACACGACGAATCCGCTCTGTGAGCCGCGAATCCGGACTATGACGATCAAGACTGCCCCGGGGACTGCTGATCGTACTACCCTGACTCTCAACAGGACTCTGAGCTCGCGGAGTGGTATAATCCAGATCTGCCAATGGAATAGGTGCTGCGTCTGATCTTCGCCGAGTATACGGTGGCAGTGTATCGACGCCTGTCTCCGCAAGTGAAAAATCAGAGGAAGGCTGGGAATTCTGGCGAGGATTATGTGAACGAATAGGAGGTTCAATGAGCGAATCGCCATGCTGGGAATGCGTGATCAATATGGTGTCTGCTGCAGGACGATGGAGAGGGTGTATATGGCTGAGCGGGCTCATATTATTGCTGGCAGAGCGTGCGGCCTCATTGACGAAATGCTTGTATGTGTCGCCATCCATTCCAAGGCTAGCTTGTGATGGTAATGTAAGGGGCGTCTCAGGACCAAGCATTGTGGGTGCGGCGGCTGTTAGATTGACTATTCCTGGTAGCATCACACCCTGTGTTATTTGCGTCCCTGGAGACTGCGATGGACATGCATCTTTTTCTGTGGGTGGAGGTGGTGCGACTGGTTCATCTGGTTCCAAATCTTGATGTAAGCATATTAACCAGGCGTGTTCTAATGCTTCCTTGGCAGTGAGACGATCAGATGGTGTAGGCGCAAGCAATTCCCTCAAGAAACAGGATGCTTCGACAGTTTCCAATGGTTTAGATGGAAGGTCGGATTCTTTTTTGTAGTATGAAAGCAGCTCGCGTTGCCCCATGAATGGAAGGTTTCCGGTGAGAAGGTAGTAGGTAACTGCCCCCAAAGACCAGATATCGGCCTCTGGGTTATAATTTGAGCTGGCAGTCCGCCTGTCTGCGACTGGCTCCCACATTGCTGTATACACCTCTGGGGCAGTAAAGGCTGGTGCTCCATTGAATGTCTGTACTCCCGCCAATACCTCCATCACTCGCTTGCTGGTCCCGAAATCGCCAATTTTGACCCACCACTCTGGACCTGGAGATAGAACAAAGATGTTCTTTGAATAGTTAGAAAGTTAAAGCGACAATATCGGTGGAAGAGGTACCTGAGGTTTCAAGTCACGATGGGCAAACCCATTGCTATGCATGAAATCTAGACCCTCAAGTAGCTGGAGGGCGATAAGTTGGGTTTCGCCCTCTGGAAAGGGCCGAGAGATATGTTTTTGAAAATTTCCAAGAGGAAAATACTCCATGCATATGAAAACCGACTCATCGTTGTCAAACCACCCTGATGACTTGACAAAACACCCATCGAACTGTGGCTGGTTATTTAACGTCCTTATCAACACAATAGGTACTATATGCCCTACCCTCTGCTGAGAGAACTTGGTGATGGCTTCTAGCTCATGACCATAATCCATTGACTGGAGCCCTGGCGCAATCTTGCGAATCTCCTTGACAGCCCGCAATTTGTTGCTGTTGTCAACAACACATTCCTCTAACCATACTGTACCGAAAATCCCGATACCAAGATGTCGCACTCTCTTCCATTTTTCCTCTCGCTGTCGGCGTCTGGGGCGCTTACCGACCACTAAAGACGATTCGAGGAAGGTGTGTGTGGTATACTCCGAATCGAGCTTGGTGGACAGTTTGGCGTCTTTGACGAGATCGGAGACTTGCGACATGTGGGTCAAGGAGAGCCCCAAGGGGAACGTTCATAGGGGAAAGCTTAGTTATAACAGAAGTCAGGAGATCATGAAATGTTTGAAGATATTCAGATTTGGTCAAAGTTATCATAGCACTGGAAAAAAATGCATAAAGAGTTTATTGAAGCCAGCAAGAAACCACAACCGCATCCCGCCCGGGGTGGCGCATCTTATTCGAGTCCATCGCTCTTTTCAACCGGGGTAAGGCTGGGGTAAATTCGTTCATGCGGCCCCGGGGCGCGAGTACGGGGCTCTGAGTGGAGGAGACTCGGGAAAAGATAAAATCTTTCCTGTTAATAGTATAGATCGACGTCCTCTCATGGGTCCGAACAGACCAATTAAGGATAGGCGAGATGCACAAATAAAGACTAGCATTTAGTAAGGCGTACCAGCAGGGTTGTTAGGCTGACAGCCATGTGTCATTTTGGCCTGTGGTGCGAAATAGGTCTTCGAGGATTGCCTTCGCGTCCCGTTGCGGCCCACTTTCATTCGTGAGATCTATCGCGAGAAATTTCCTTGCGAGAGAGTCCTGAAAATTAAGTTATTCACTGGGCATCAAAGAAGTTTCCCCTGCATTGTGCATACATACCGCAGTTTCAAGTGCTTGTATCTCTACTGCGGATATGGTGGCACATGCGGCGATGAGGTTCTCGCCTCGGGCAGCAAGTAAGCCGATCTCATTGGCGCGGGAAACAATGGATGCGTCGATACCATTGATTGCTGCACAACTATGGCTTAAAGTCAATAATCTGGATATTTCGAGCGCGACAGCAATTGGGCTGAAGGATTACACACATGGTCCCGAAACTTCTGTTGCTTCGTCCCTCGCGAAAGCTGTAAAAAGTTTCAGGAAATCGTTGCACCGCACGTTAACAAGATAAACGAACTTGTACAAGTATGTCACTTGATCCTCCGCCTCTTGTGACTCTTCACAGACCTTGACTTCCATGTGTCCTAATTGTAGATTTGGCCGCAAAGCAAGGAAGTCATTCTCGAAGATTTCATGATAATGGGTGGCAGCAAGAACTTTGGGAGGATCATCGATACCCAGCAAGTGCTCAAATACTCCACATGCCAGACCGATGCCATCTATATCGATCAGCTTAGTACTCAAAGTTTCCACGCTAACGGGGCCAGATCTATCACAGACCGCTTTCATTTGTCCCTTTACCGAACTCATCGATAAGTACCAAGCTCCTGCTGGTAGCTTGCTTCAAACAGAGAGAGATTTGCTGTAGATCGCTCATAAAGGTGCTTTGAATCTGAATATTGGGTCAGAAATCCTCATGGATGGCCAATTACACCTTCATCATACCTTCGAAACACTTTCTTGGGTATTGATTTTCGTCAGGATCTTGTCTGTAATCCCCAACTCTGCACTATCTGCAGGTACAAAGCTAGAGAACTCAGACAAGAGCACTCACTTTGCATCAAAGATTACTTACCTTCCTATCTGAGCAAGGTACACAATAAGAGCGACCTATACCTTGTGAGTGAATAGCAGGTTGATGCTTTCCAAGAGTTGTTCACCTGCTTCATGTAGACGCTCTTCCCCGAGTAATTGGGCCCAGTCAACAAGAGCATACTAGGAACTCCATTTCCAAGTGCATTTTCTTCCTGACCTTGGATTCCTCCAAGCAGAAGTGTATCATTTGGAACGTAAGAGGTAACTGTCATCTCTTGCAGTATGTGTCTGGTCCATGTTAGAGCAAAGGGAATTCTGCAGACAGAAATATCTTTTACCGGCCGCCCTTGATCTTGATAACATTCCTCGGTACCATTCTCGGTCTAGTCAGATTGTAAAAGCTGGCAGCCTGTGTGAGAGCAAGATTGCTAATAAAAGAGTTAATTTTCAGCTCCGTATAACGGTTTGGTGCACGAACCAGTCAATCTCTCCACAGATGTCAGACGCCTCTACCAGCACATTCTCATATTGAAGTATCTTTTGAGCCAGGTCATACACGATCTCAATTTCTTTCTCTGTAGGAGAGCAATTAAATCATAAATAGAATATCCCCGTGAAAGACGGCTTACCACAGATGAGTCCGTAGATATCCCCGAGCTTTTCATCCAGCTCTCTCATGCGAAAGTCTTTAAAGTAGGCCCGAGTTTCCGTAATGAACACTAATTCCCAATCTTCATGGGACCCAGAAAATGCAGATTCGCCACTTTCATTGAGTGGAATAGCGATGTTGAATCCAAGTTGAGGGAAGTAGATAACATTCACATCAATTCCCAGGTCTTCTGGAATTGTCGTTGCGACGTCGATAGCCACATGCTTGAGGAGACTGTCCAGACCATCATAGCGGTCTTTCATCTGATCAAGATCTCGATCGAGACCCTGTTTGACCACAGTTCTTCCTTGCTCATCAGAATTGTCAATGTCAACCTGGAAAAGTTAGCTACTGCGCCAAATTTTCTCGTTGCAGACTGACTATCTCCTGGATCATTCGCCCCACTCGGTGGAGTTGTGCCGCTTCAAAGACTCGAAAGGCCTGCTACTTATCAGCACTCGATCTCATGATTGATGGCCTGGATTTGAACTTTTGTTCTAAGTTGTAGCGTATCAGCCCCCGAGATCTCTTGTAGAGCAGCATGAATGTCAATTGCATAGAAGGCAAACTATTACCAGCGTCAGCCCAGTTCAGCTACACCATCAGGATACATACAGCCAACAAACTCTCCCACGCTGTTGCCTTGAATCCAGTAGTTTTCCCACTTCCCGTACTGATTCCTTTATGGAGATTGATCATTGTGGGCCGGAGATTCTTGATATGCTTTAGTGCCTTTGTCATCTTCTCCAAAGCAGTCATGTTGTCCGGTCGTGAAAACACACCGATCAAGTCGTGTCTCTCCCTGATGACATCAAGGTCAAGGCTTGGGCGGAAGAAAAGCTGCTTGAGTCTAGCTCTGCCTTGAGGCGTGTAGGAAAAGCGCCGAAAAATTCCATAAACTGAAAGACCTTCTTTTCCAGAAGCTGACTTATTTCCTGGGCCTTGGTTGAACATGTTGGGATGTGACTCGGATTGTAGGATTTGGAGAGACAATAAAGCATTACTTCCAATCCACCTAGCTCATCTCTTTTAGTTTGATTTCAGCATGAGGGAGTCCATTTCTCTAGACTAACATCGTATCCTTCAAACTGAACATCTCCAAGAATCGCACTTGGAATGCACAACCGTTCATGTGCCCCATCCCAATGCTTGCGGCTTTGCGTTTCTGTAGGTAAGTAAGAAGTGCTCCAGCACACCCAACTGTTACGGGGTTCTCCATATCAATCGAGCTGGATATGTGAAGGATTCGCCCTTCATGGAGCGTGAATCCCAAGTCCTCAGGGCTCACTTCTTCAGACCCAGTAAGGCCATTGTGGGGCACTAAGAAGCGGAGTCGGCCCTCGTGAGAAGATGATGCTTCTATGGCAACCAGTCTGTTTTCCGCATTGGAGTAGCTAAAATCCTGTGTGGGACGAACATCCACCTGATAGGGTAGATAGGATGATGAATCTATAGTGGAATAAGTTAGTAGCTGAATGATGTCAATGCAAAGGTAATAAAAGTACCATTTCCATGCGGCATGCTCTGACTTTGACCCTGAATGCTAGATATATCAACTCGGGGAGGCGTCAAAATTACAGTTGGCTTTATCTGGGCGATCACTTGACACGACGTTAGTGCCCTTGAACACCATCGAATTTCACTGAACATACAGGTGTCGATTGTTTCCATTCCACCCGATCGGCTGTCACCCAGCAAGTACATTTTCTTATGGTCCGCTGAGTAATAAGCACAGCCTACCGTCCCATAGTCCTTGATGTCGAAGGCGACGATGACATGACCAAGATCATCATCAATGGAACTTTCCGAATAAGCTGCTTCATGTTCTTTTTCAGTCCAGAATGGGGTTTGCAGTTGTTTTGCAGTTGGAAGTGATGGATGAATTGAGCTTCGCTGGAAGTCGAATGGTGCAGTGGTCCGAGCCTCGAAGGTAGGTCTTGGTTTTGTAGTGCGGGGCGTTGTGGGAGGTGGGCGCAAGGTCGCTGGCGAGCGCTTTCTCTTTGAAGGAAGCATGATTTGAGATGAAAAAGATAAAGGGTCAATGGTCTGAATATCAAATGAAAGGGAATGATGGGAAAAGCCGAAGTTGTGTGTTAGTCACGTTGCTTCTGACTTCCACTTCGGGCTGATATAAGAATCAACTAGGCAGCCCTGGAGGAGAGTATGCGATGTACCACGAGACTACAAGCTTAGTATTTAGGGGGTCCATTGCAGTAAAGTACATTAAATATATTGAACTAATATACAAGTCATAAGTGGGGTTTCATCTTTCAATGCAATGGTGATGTACAATTCCAGCCTAGAAAAACACCGTATAAATGCCGCATCAAACACAATTAAACAATTTTATGGCTTTTGTTCCATCTCCTTAGGAGTTACCACCAAAGCAGTCTTGTCATCGGTGAGGGAAACATGAGCAGTCTGGCCAGAAACAATCTCACCACGAATGATCTTGTCGGCCAGCCGGTTTCCAATCTCTTTAGCGATGAGGCGATTCAGGGGACGAGCACCGAACTTGGGGTCATAGCCTCGCTCGCACAACCAATCCTTAATCTCACCATCCACCTGAAGAGTCATGCGGCGGCTATCAAGTCGGCCCTGTAGCTCCTTGATTCTGATATCGACGATGTCCCGCAAGGCTTCCCGTGAGAGACGCTTGAAAATGATGAACTCATCAATTCGGTTCAAGAACTCTGGCGGATAAGCATGCTGGACAACGTCCATGACGGCCTTCTTCATGTCTGCAGGAACTTCGGATTCACCACTATCCTTGTACGTGTGCAAGGGATCGCCTCCAACGAGGATTTCGGCACCAAGGTTAGAAGTGAGGACAATCAAAGTGTTTCGGAAGTCAACCTTGTGGCCCTGAGCATCTGTGAGGAAACCCTCATCGAGGACCTGGAGAAGCAAAGCTGAGATGTCTCGATGGGCCTTTTCAAATTCGTCAAACAGAAGGACGGCGTAAGGCTTTCGCCGAACAGCCTCAGTAAGTTGACCAGCATCGTCGTAGCCAACGTATCCAGCGGGAGAGCCAATCAAGCGACTAATGGTGTGCTTCTCCTGGAATTCACTCATATCAAATCGCACGACAGCACTCTCGGTGGAGAAAAGGAATTCAGCCATTTTCTTGCAAAGCTCGGTCTTACCCACACCAGTCGGACCAAGGAACATAAATGATGCCAGCGGGCGGTTCTCACCACTCAAGCCCGCTCGTTGCATGCGAACGGCATTAGCAACCGCAGAAAGAGCTTCGTCCTGTCCACGAACCGACTTCCGAAGGGTGTCTTCCATGTGAATCAACTTCTCGACATCTCCTGCCATAAGTTTGTTGACTGGGATGCCTGTAGTCCGGGAAACCACGTTTCCGATATCGTCAGCTGTGACAGAGTCATGAATAAGGGCCTCCTTCTCCGCATCCTGCTCTGCGCCCTCCTTGGGCAGCTTGCTTTCTAAGCTAGGAATTGTTGAGTAACGGAGCTCTCCGGCCTTGGCGAAGTCGCCCTCACGTTGCGCCTGTTCCAATTGGAATCGTGCTTGTTCCAATTCCTCTTTCGTCCGCTTGATGCCATCAATTTCAAGTTTCTCTTTTTCCCAAACCTCGGTCAGTTTGCCAACCTCCTCTTGCTTGGCTTTGAGGTCTTCCTGTAGCTTGTCTCTTCGCTCACGGCTGCTAACGTCGGTTTCTTTACGCAAAGACTCGAGCTCGATTTGAATTGTGGTAATATCACGCTCCAGCTCTCGAATAGAGTCGGGTTTGGATTCTTGCTGCAAGCGGAGTGCCGACGCCGCTTCATCTACGAGGTCAATGGCCTTGTCGGGAAGAAAGCGATCGGTGATATAACGATTGCTGTAGGTGGCGGCTGCTACGAGAGCACCGTCTGTGATTCGGACACCGTGATGAACCTCGTATTTATTCTTGATGCCACGTAAAATGGAGATTGTGGAAGCGACGGATGGCTCGTCAACTAGGATGGGTTGAAAACGTCGCGCTAGGGCAACGTCCTTCTCGATGAGACGGTATTCATTTAAGGTAGTAGCACCACAGCATTGGAGTTCGCCGCGGGACAAAGCTGGCTTCAGCAGATTGCTCGCATCGATGCTACCCTCAGCCTTGCCTAGACCCAGCAACGTATGGAGCTCGTCAATAAATAGGATGACCCCACCTTGAGCATCTTCGACTTCCTTGAGCACAGACTTTAAGCGCTCCTCAAAGTCACCGCGAAACTTGGCACCCGCGATTAGTGAGCCCAAGTCCAGCGAGATCACGCGCTTGTTCTTGATGCTCTCGGGAACATCACCTTGAACGATGCGCTGTGCAAGTCCTTCTAACACTGCGGTTTTGCCGGTACCCGCCGCACCGATCAATACAGGATTGTTTTTGGTGCGACGCGATAGCACCTGGATCGTCCGGTGGATCTCTGCATCTCTTCCAATGACCGGATCCAGCTTTCCTGCTTTTGCCTTTGCTGTCAAATCAACACCGAATTGTTCCAGAGCAGCCTTTTCTGGCTCTCCGCTCATGTTCATGCGGTGGGTACCGCCGGGGGGATGAGGGCGGCCATTGGCATAATGGCGAATCGAAGAAACCGACGTAGCTCTAACATATGGGGCAAGTAGCGACGCGGTCCTCGGAAGAAGGGTTGAACGTGAACGTGAAATCGTCGAGAGTAGAGGTGTTCGTAGTAAACGACTACGAGCGTTGACAGAGAATCTCGCCGCCATGATGGATACTATGAAAATCCAGCGATGTAGGGGAAGATCACCGTAATAGCTTTTATATCTCAATGGACTGCGTGCTCGCGATTCTTCTGGAAAGCTCCACCGTCGCGAGTGGCGGATGCTCCACTATCAATTGGACCAAGCTCCGTCACCACTCGAGTCACGTGGGAGCCAATTTAAACGGGAGAAAAAAAAACCTTTTACCCCTCGGTCTCCCACTTTGTTTTCTCCCCTCCCATTTCACTCTCTCCCCCTTTTTTAATCCCACCTATAAAAGTTTCCCTCTTCACAATGGGTTTCACCGACTTCGTCTCTGAGGCTGGCCTGACCTGTAGGCAATCCCTTGGTTTTATGTGAATGTCTGAACTATTTGGACTGACTGTGTCCTTCAGTGGCCAACAACTACCTGGCCACCCGCAGCTACATCGTTGGGTAAGTGACTTTCACTTTTTGTTTATTCTTTTCGCTCTACCAGTTTATCTGCTATGGCTTTGATGATTTGAACCGCCCTGCTATTTTATGATGAGAAACATTGGTCCGTGTTGATGAGGCGGCTTAAGACCCCGCTGCTTGACTAAAACCCATTTGCGAGCAATCGCGTCTCTGATCTTTTTGACTTCCAATTGCATACCTATTGCATGAACACATGTCCTTGTCGAACGCTCAATACTGACTGTTCTCAATAGCAACGAGCCCAGCCAGGCCGATGTTGTGACCTTCAAGGCCTTCAGCGCCGCCCCTGACGCTGCCAAGTACCCCCACGCTGCTCGCTGGTACAAGCACATTGCCTCCTACGAGGCTGAGTTCCCCACTCTGCCCGGTGATGCCTCCAAGGGATTCACTGCCTACGGCCCTGAGTCTGTCGATCTCCCCGTCAACCCCAAGGACAAGCCTGAGGATGATGATGAGGATGAGGACCTCTTCGGTTCCGACTCTGAGGAGGAGGATGCCGCCGTTGTCGAGGAGCGCAACAAGCGTCTTGAGGAGTACAAGGCCAAGAAGGCCGCTAAGGGCCCTAAGCCCGCCGCTAAGTCTCTGGTCACTCTTGAGGTGAAGCCCTGGGGTATGTTCTTTCTCTCATTCGTCAAGCATTTCTCAGTACTAACTTCCCATAGATGATGAGACCGACCTTGCCGAGATGGAGACCAACGTCCGCGCCATTGAGATGGACGGTCTTGTCTGGGGTGCCTCCAAGCTCGTTGCTGTTGGTTTCGGTATTAAGAAGCTCCAGATTAACCTGGTCGTCGAGGACGAGAAGGTCTCCACCGACGAGCTCCAGGCCCAGATCGAGGAGGACGAGGACCACGTCCAGTCCACCGACATTGCTGCCATGCAGAAGCTGTAAACGAGATGCCTTTTTATGAAGAAGAATGGCGTGATGATGGAATACTTGATGTCTAAGGAACCCCAATAGTAACGAATTTAGATTCCGAGTCCATAAGTGGGCCGGTTTGATGAAAAAAATTTAAAATTTTCACGACCATTATTTTTTTTATCAAAAAGATCTTTCAAGTGTAGAATGAGGACCTTGAGGTAGACTAGTGTTGCTTTCTCTATGTAATTGATCAGGCTCATTAGCTACTTTATCTCCATTGCTATCCACCCTTTCCAAGGTTGTCCCGGTACAACTCACCAGGGCATCCTACCTTGGCCCAGGTAACTATTTTCTCCTTGGCTTTCTCAGAACCTTGGGACGTGATAATTGCAAATGAGGTCTTTCTGCTCTTTGGTCCACCACTATACTTGAAACCTTTCGTATTCCTGCTAGCCAGGTCCACCTATTTGTATCCTGTGGTCATCTCAATGGCTACCATAGAATGAGACTATGATTTTTGCCTTCCCCCGAGTCTTTAGAATGTTCCAGATTCTAATTGGAAACGGAACTTAGTCTTTGGGATCTTGGGAAATATTTAGCTATGCCATCAGCAAAAACGCCCACGCCCGGGAAGATGAGGTAGGAGGTGTGCGCGCCCATGCCCAGAAGCTTGTGGTTTTATAAGGTACCCTGGTTGGTTATAACATGGCGCATATATATCTTAGACGTTGGAACCAGATTTCCCCACAACCATCAAATGGATGTTTCATTATTGTCTAGGTCGTTGACCTCAAGCACCTGGATTTTAGAAAGGGAATGAAAGCCAAGGTTCGAAATATATGTTTAGATTTCAATATAAAATAAACCCATTACCATCCTTTACATTGGGAGCGCTGGGAGCAACTTCAACTGCAAAAGCTGGGGGTTCTTGCCCCAACCGCCTGCTTAGGTAATACAAACTGCGGGACCTGTGGCCGCAGATCGAAGTCAAGTTCACCCATAAAGATACATACGATCCAACGTCTATCCCTCGGATCCTGGTCTCTCAGCATCGAGTGATCACGGCAAAGCATCCTTTGCCTACCATCCCTGCAGCAGCTCCTAACCACCGCCGAGCTCCTCGGGTTTACCAACAACCGCACTCCCGAACCCCCAATTGACCACCTCTCATTCGCCATGAGCTTTCTTTCGCGTGTAGTCACACTGTTTGGGCTTGTTCTACTAGCTCACGCGTACGTTCAGACCCCCCAAATAGCCTGGAATCTAATCACCATTGGATAATCTCGGACTAGCTAACAATTCCAACCATAGTGGTTACTCCGCCCATGAACACACCGTCCTCTTCAGTAACGCTAACATCGCCGCCATCGCCACCTTACCGAGTGACATTATTATCGAGACCCTGGCTGCGGTCCTAGCAGTCTCGATTGGACTGGTCCTGGGCGCAGAAAAATTGAAGCCGATTAGCTGGCGCGACTGGGCGGGCGAGATCGAGCGGGACGGTGGTGCGCGGAACCCGTACATGGGGTTGGAGGAGCGATATGGATTTTGGGATATTCGGGTGAGTAATTCAAACTGCGATCTAACAAGAGTGTCATGTTTGTTCATAGGTCTAGACCTTTTTTCCTCATGTATCCCCTGGCTGTCTGCTGCGAAGTGATCAATGGAAGCTAACTGGTTGATGTAGGCCAAGCGAAAGGAGTTTGCAGACTGGGTCCGGGGTCCGGATATGTTAAAGGAGTAATTTGATTTCATTTCTTGAAATGTTTGAGAAAAGACCTTGTTTCGATGCCATGGTGCAGTAATTTGTCCTTGTGTATAATGCACTGCGAGGGAGTTTTGCAATCAAAATCAAAATTCCTAATTTGATCGTGTGATTGCTGATCATCCTGGTCCCTTTCCTTCATTTCCCCCTTTTATTTGCTTTTCTTCTAGATCAAGCCTCTCGTGCCAAGCCAGCCCTGCATGCAATGGGGCTTTCTGCAAACCAAATGCAGAGGCCAGCCTTCGATTGGTGTGCCTGGACGCAACTGTTTTGGAGCACTGTACGGAGTATGCCGTGGAGATCGACAGCGCTCCACGGTACGTCCATAGAAGGGCATTGTGCGGTCGATCGTCAGGCTCGACCAATCCGAAGAAAAAGCAAAGTTAATATACGGCACGCCTCTTAATTGATGGAGCAAGGATGCCGTGCCAAGTACAGGAGTCAAGCTCCAGGGCTATGTACCTTGTTTCGAGCCGTGCGACATGTTTGGTTTGTTAATTGTCAACATTGATAAAAGTTAAACCGCTCATCACTAGGTACTCCGTATAGTATACGAGTGTACTTCATACAGTATCCACACCCAAGAAGCGTTCACTGATATCAACGTGGTCATGATAGCATCGAATCTCAAGTCGTGCACAGCGTACGTGTCGCTCGTGGTACAGGAGCCAGACTGGGCTGGGACACCGTTACCCGCCACGCATTCAAGCTTAAAATGGCCAGTTTGGACGAGCATTCCCTGCAGGGTCTTGCTCAGATGTCAATATTCGGGAATACATAACATGAGATGTCATATCGAGGGGGCTGGGAGGCTGTGATTTCAGGGCTGTGAAACCTGTCTTTGTACCGTATGGTGGCAATAATATTCTGATTACGGGGCTTGCGAGATACTATAGATCATACCATGAAATTAAGGTGAAAGAAGTAAATGAGTTGAGACTTAGCGAGTTACGAGGACCCACTCTCCAGCCCTGAGTCTAATGTGTTGTCCCGTTCCCTTGTACTATTAATGGATTTTAATTCTGTCTCGGAGACTTGTCCATTGAGTAGGCGATGACCCCCCTAAACAAAACAAATAAGCGAGTCTGGATCTCCATAAAAAGCTACAGTAGAGTTCTTTAACTGCAAGCTCCGCCTGATCAAGTGATGTCTCACCTTTTCCAAGGTGATCTATGGTATTTCTGGGTTTAGTGCCGCGCCGCTTGTCTCACCCGGAGACGCCACATCTACCAACCCCCTCTATGAGGGTCTTTCACAACAGAAACAGCGCCAACTGAACGAGTCCAAATACGATCCCAATGGGCTGAAAAAGTGGAATGACTGGACGGCAGTGAAGGGGATTCGTAGGCTTCCACGCGGTCTGCCAAGACCGAGGACATGTAAGCATTCAGGACTCTGTCCGAGTTCCAGTGTCTTATTGCCACCGGCCATTGCATGGACAAAAGGACCAAGTTTGCGTGATTGGACAAGGTTTGCCACTAGTCGATCGACTAGCGGGGTTTGATGGTAACATTTCGCCTGCATGGAGTCATGTTTACAAGTAAACAAGTGCGTCGCAATACCATGTGGGTCCTACAATTCTAGGTCCAGGATTTGTTTCTACATACACCTGGGCGCTCCAAGCTTACGAATTGGTGCACAGGTAGGCAGCCGGTACGACCCCGAACTAAAATAGAATCGACCTTGCAGATCGAGAGGCGCGCTAGTATTTCCCGTGTATGACTGGACCACGGGTTTCGTTGCGAGTCTATAAGACAACAGTTCCCCGTTTGCCTTTAGTACCAAAACAAAAGGTCCTTTAGGCAGTAATAAATAGTCTCTTCCCCCCCCCCGGCTTTCGCTATTCTACTTTCTTCATCTCCACATCTCTCTTTCTCCACATACCAGCCTAATCGACTATAATCCAATCCCCCACTCTCGTTCAATATGCGTACCTCAGTCTTCTTCGCTACCCTCTCGGCTTTTGCCCTGGCCTCCGGTGCCGTCGCTGCAGAGAGTGCCTCTGAGAGCAGTGTAAGCTAGAATCCTCATTGATGGCGAATTAAGAATAAGTGACTGACGGCGATGTTAATAGGTCAACTACCTCACTGAGACCAACTCTCTGGGCGTTGTTACTGGCCAGCCCTCGGTCGTTACCAGCCAGCCCTCCGCTGCGACTTCCCAGGAGGCTGCTGCCTCTATTCCCGCTGGCTTGACCGCACCCGTTGTCACTCCCGCAACAGGCAGCTTCACCAGCTCCGTCAAGAGCAGCACCCCCCTCACATCTACTAGCTCTGGCACCACCGCCACTGGCACTTCCGGGTCCTCGACCTCTACCGGCTCCAGTGACTCCAACTCGTCCAGCACTGGCTCCTCCACCTCCACCTCCAGTGGTGGCGCCGCTTTCGCCACCGCTGGCATGGGTCTTGCTGCTGGTGCCGCTATCCTTGCTTTCCTGTAAAGCAATTGATAGCATTACAGCTCAATGGCAATTGAATTGGCCATTGAGCCTGCCATTTCTACTGCAAATATCTTGATGGGAATTCAGGACATAGTGGTCATTGAACGTGGACCTAGATGACTCTTGGGAGTATCTGGGCCTACAGGATGAGGGACGTGAAAATGCTATCAAAGGTTACAATATCTTTCTTGACTTTCCTTTTTTATTGAACATTCTAATCATGGGGGGGGGGGGCTTGTGATTCTTGCGGCCTGTTTTCATTTGCTTGTTTTTGTGTGAATTGTCTAGCATATTCATGGCGCAGACCCCGATTTTCATACTTAATTTTTCTCTTATTTGATACAGTATTGATTATCAGTATAATACTACTTGGTAAATACATGAGGAATTCTTTAATCATTCGTTCTCCCAACTTCTAGATGGTTCTATTCTTTCTGTATATCTAAAATATTTTTTGCCACAATTGAATTCATTGCGTTGAATCATCTTGCGTACGAGTCTGTTCTGTTGACTACCAATTGGTATGACAGATCTCAGGCAATGCAGCAATGGTTGTGCAGGAACTGTGTGATGTGTAGAGTATAGAACCCACGCTAAACCAGATGAGGGAATGTAATAGGAGCGCGTCATGTGTCTTTCGCGAAGACGCGCACACGTCACCCTTATCTGGTTTAGCGCCCACAAACACTTCAAACTGTCAACACCACCCCGTTGTTGAAGTAACCGATTGTTTTGATTGATGCTCTGACAACCCACATCTCCACCATCATGGTAAGTGCCATTTAGGTTTCGAAGCTCAATTTGCCAGTATCACGTTGTAGAGATAAGCGCTAATGCCATCCAGGTTTTGAAACTACGCCGGCTGGCGGCAGACCACGCCGCTCTGCATTCAAAGCTCCCGCCGTACTATCTCTTGCAGCCGGATGATGGCCACTTCGCCGCAGCAGATGACCTATCGCAGGTGACCATCCTGCTTACTGGCCCACCAGGAACTCCCTACTCAGAAGGCCTGTGGCGGTTACAATTGAAGATACCAGAGGATTATCCCAACAGTCCGCCCAAGGCGACATTTCGGACCCGCATATGGCATCCCAATGTCGAAGAGATGACAGGTGCGGTCTGTGTGGATACACTGAAGAGAGACTGGCAGTCCAAATTGACCCTTCGAGATGTTTTAATTGTAAGTTAAGCTAGGACTCTTCCAGCATTGCTACAAGGCGACCGAGCTAATGTGAAATATGTAGACAATCTCTTGTCTTCTCATCAACCCCAATCCAGACTCGGCTCTCAACTCCTCCGCAGGAAACTTGCTCCGCGAGGACTACAATGTTTTCGCGCACCAGGCGAAACTGATGACCTCCATCCACGCTCCAATCCAACCTGCCCTCCAAGACGCCGTTAACGAAGCAAAGCACCGTGGCGAAGATCCCGGCACTATGCACCGGGAACCAGATACCCAGCACCAGCGCCCACGAAAACAACAGCGCATCCAGACCGGCACAACCATGAAAAACAATCGACCTCCATCCGAATACATCCCACACCCACCCCGCGACATTGCTACCCACGCACATCCAGTTCCCGAAGATGACCCCATGCAAATGAGTGACGTCGACGACGAGAACGACGATCTGGAAAGTGCAAGCAAGGAAAACAATCCCTCTCTCTCCCCAACACCCGTCCGCCTTGCACCACCCTCAAGTCCCCGCAAGAATGCTTTCGGGAAACGACCTCTGTCCGTCCTCTCACTGGCCTACCCCGAAGACCCAGACACAGAAATGATGCTAGTAGACTCGGATTCCGAACCCGAAAACGGAACCGATACACCTGCAACAAACATGAGCTTCAGCTCCTCCGACAAAAATATCGCCGCCAATACATCCTCTTCCACATTCTCTCGCTACGCACGTCACTCCCCCTCCATGTCCCCACAGCGCAAAAACCCCAAACTCGCTCTGAGCAGAAGAGCTAATACACCCACCCGTTTCCGCGAGGATGTCCAGATCTACGAGGACGTTCCGGATCGCACGTTAACCGATATCTCCCGCCGATTTGGCGGCGACGGGAAGGAGAACCGTGATTCTGTTGTGCCTCGTGCCTTGAAGGATATTCGTGGTCTACATGCTGAGAGGGCCGCACCCCCTGCAAACACCCAAGCAATGCAATCAGGTCACCCGCCGAACACTACGACGTCCTCGGTATCAAAGCAATCGCCGTCGAAGGTCTCGAAGAAAGTCCTCGGTCTACGGAAGGGAGCTATGCCGAAGGTCAAGCCCCGGATTGGCCTACGACGACTTTGAACAATATTGCTTGAGATCTTCTAGAATATTTGTTTTACTTGCATGGCATTGGATTGTTGAGAGGGCACGATACCCCATTTCGCTCTTTAAATTTGTTTGCTCCTGGTCATACGCCGGGCTTATCTGCATTATGGGGGAGAAAACAAGCATCGAGTTGCGTTATGGTTGCATAAGATGGATCATGGCGTTGTTTGCTTTTGTTTTGTGGTTTCATTTACATTATTTCCGAGATCAATCTACAGAGAATTTTACTGTGCGATCTTATCAATGAAGCTATCTAGAATACACTATCTAGTCAAAAGTATTTCCCCCAATCAGCCTTCGGGCCTACCCCATCAATTTCGTATATTTACTGAACAGTTCACCACACCACCATATCTTACTAAAATTCTATATAATTACGCAAAGTTATTAATACTCGTCTAACGCACAATAATATTGCTTAGAATCCTTATAAAAATCCCCCCTTAGCTTTTCAACCCCTAGTAGTTATCTCGTCACCCTTTATACTAAACACATCAATTTTAAGTATGTTATTACTCACCATAATTCTGCTATATACCCCTAAAGGTACTATTAAATAAATTTGTATCTTCCTCTATATATAAGCTCTAGTTAAAATCTAAGAAGCTCTTATTTTAACAACATATAGATAACGTTAAAAGGGGTTTTAAAGCCCAGTGAATGCCTCGGCGGATCCTCCACATATACACATTAACTTTCAAACCGCTCTATCGTCACTAAAGCTTGATGGATCTTCCTGTAGTCATGGGTTAAATTAAGTCTTTTTTGAAGCGAGCCCTCTTAATACTGAGTGGTACATGCCTTCCCAAAAGTTGGTTGTTGGGTTGACCCTACCGGACCCGCACTTGGGAAAAAACTTGCGGTCCCCATTGTATCTAGTCTCTTTAGGTTAGTGTAGGCGAGTTACCCAACGACTAGGCTGGGGAACCCAGGTATCTGAGATTCTATATGGACATTGATCTAGTATATTAAGGGTCAAAAACTTCGTAATGTCTTCTACCAGGTCTAGATTTGCCAATAGGCGTCCTTGGGTAAATAGTGTTTAGTTTCTGTGAAATTTACATGTGTCTATAGCCTACAGGGTAAAAGGAATATGTAAATACCTGAATTAATGGAAATACTCCAGAACTATCGAGCTGTAATCAATATTCCCCTCCAATCTCCAGTCATGGCGGAGTATCTCCAGTCTCAGGCACCATAAAAACGGGAGATTGGTCAAGAAAGGGACCGAGAAAAAGTTCTGACAGAAAAAACTCTCTCCGGAAGAGGACTCGATATCCTCAAAAAAACACAAATCAATCGCTGCGACTAGTAACAACAAAGGGTTAAGTATGATAGCCCCAAAGGACGACGGAAAGATATTGATCGAATGAAGGCGGATTCAAAAGGCCACCAAAGGAGGAAAGAAGAAATCAGGAGATAACCCAATAACAATATGTTCGATCTGCATGTTGAGGAAAGATTATGTCCGTAGGAGCGTGGGAACAGGAACATAGGCCATGTTCCCCAACGCCCAAGAATCTGCAGGATAGACATGCAATAATATATCCCAAGGAAGGAGAAAGCAGTACCATGGAGTTCCTTACAGAGCGTAAGGGTTCACGGACCGAACGGTGAGACATCTAGAAAGAATAAAATGGTTAACTCAGGTCATATATCTGTATAAAAATTTTGAACTCACGGTGGGCTCTTGCTCAGGTCGGTCTTGAGAATGATGGGAACACGGGACATCTCGGTGACATCCTGGATGAAGTCGCCATCTTCGTCTCTCAGCTTGAAAAGCTTCAGATACTTCTCCTTATTGGTCATCTTGCTCTCTGGCGCATCGCTGGTGCTCGAGGCAATTTTCGGATCGGAGCGAGTGCGGTGGGGGCCCTGCGGGAGGTGACCGTTGCGAGTCGGCGACGGGGGCATGCTCTGAGTCGACCGGTCAGCCGAGTTAAGAGACACACCTGCAGCTAGTTCAGTCACCTCGTCCACATCATCGTCATCATCGAAGAGCGCATCGACATCATCCGCGGACATGGTCCCAGTCTCTGTTTGCTTCCGCATCGCCTCATCACGCTCACGAGCACGCTCTCTGGCAGCCTCGGCCTCCCGGGCAGCAGCAGCCGCCTGAGCAGCACGAGAGTTGCCAGGCTTGGGACGCTCATCCTCGGGGACGTAGGCGGAAGAAGGAACACCCTTCTCCCAGTAGAGCTCAAGTACACGGCTGTCCTTGCGGTACTCGGCCTTCTTAAGCGGCAGCTGGTCGCAGTGAACACGCTTCTCGAAGCCGTATTCGGGAATGAGGACATCGAAGGCGGATTCGTAGACACAAAGCACAATACCCTCGCTGATGAGATCGCCGCCAATCTCATGGACCTTGCGGTCCATATTACGACAGGCTTCGATGTGAACACTCTGCTCCTGTGCATTGTGAGCCGAATCCTTCTTGTTGTTGGCAAGATCAGCAGTCTTGGTCAAGGATTCAATATCATCAGTGAACTCGATAGCACCATCCGAAAGAATCGATTCGAGCTGACGGTGCACGATGATGTCAGTGTAGCGCCGCGATGGGTTGGTGAAGTGAGTGTAAACAGGCACGTTGAAGGTATAGTGAAGACGCTGGTCATCAGCCACACTGGATCCAACAAAGTACTTCGCGCGCTGCATGGCCTTCGCAAGCAAAGTTTCCATTCCCTGTGGTCAATGGTTAGTGAATACAAGATCATTCAAAAGTTGGATACGACCCCACTAACCTTGCGGAGGTCAACGTCTTCCACCTTGCAGAGCGTGCTCTGCAAAGTACCGCTGCTAGAAGCATCTATACCGAAGCCGAGACGGTTCATTCTCTCCACAAACAGCGTCAGGCGACGAGGATTGGGGGAAGGCTGGCGACGTAGGAATGCCTTCTCAGGCATAGCACTGGCGATTTTGCGGGCAACGAAGAAGTTGGCTTGACGGCTGAGCTCTTCCACGAGCTCGTGAGCTGGGGTAGAGTCGAAAATGTTGTACTCTACAGGCACATTCTCGTCATCAAGCTGCTGCAGAATACGCAGAGAAGGAACATTGGTCGCCCGGTTACCGAATCTAGCATCACGGAACTTGTGTGCAACGGTCTTAAAAAAGGGAGTTAGTCAATATAGCTTAGAAAAGTTAAAAGGAATCGAAAAACTCACGTTCATCAGTAGGATATTATCCGGAGTGATGCCAGCAGTGGTCTTATCCGACTTGCCGTTAATCACTGCGTTTACTTCTTCATAGCTGAGACGACCAGCACTCTTGATGACGCCCTTTCCAATCCAAACGTCATCGTCAATGGCACCAGTCTCAAGGCTTGCCTTGAACACGACGCTGACAGTCAGGCGGTCTTCGCCGGGAACAAGGGAGCAAAGCTCGTTAGAGACCCGAGAAGGCAGCATGTTCATGACTCGGTCGACGAGATACACTGCAGTACCGCGCTTCTTGGCCTCACGGTCAACGAGGGAGTTGCCCTTGACGAAGTGAGCGATGTCAGCCACGTGGACACCAATCTCGATTTTGCCATCAGCTAGTGTCTTAACATGGAAAGCATCTTCCAATGCCTTGGTGTCCTCTGGATCAATCGTGAAGATGGTCTCTCCACGGAAATCGCGGCGGGAGGCCAAGGCATCACCCTCATTCGTAACGGACCAATCTTCGTAGCCGATGCTCTTGATGACAGCGTCAGAAAACTCATCGGATCCAAAGTTATTGTCACGAAGCAAAGCATCTGTCTCGACTCTCAAGTCACCCATCTCACCGAGCTGTTCAACCAAAGTACCGAAGGGGTGCAGAGAGGTGATGGGCCATCGCTTGATGGAGGCGACGAAGATACGGTTGGCATAATCCTGGTGTTTCTCAACGAAGTCTCGCGGAGCCTGCTCAGTAGGAATAGCGATCAAAGGAACACGCTTATCTGTGGGCTTGAACCAAACAATCTTAGGCTTGTCCTGGTGACGGTCCTGGTGACGTCCATGGGCGCCATCTCGGGCCTGGCGCTCAGCCTCTTGCTTCTCCTTTGTTGCCTGGCTGCTAGGGCGAAGGAGACCTAGAGTTCCGGAGAACATCTGACCAGCAATGCGCTCAATGACTGCAACCACATGTCCAGCGTAGAGGGGCTTCTGCTCATCGCTAATTTCATCCTCCTCAACCAGCAAAAGGCTCTGGCCTTCAACCTCGACGTCATCATTCTTCTTCTGCGTGGGTCGCTGGCGAAGACTGCCACGGCGACGGATGCTTCCATCCGGTCCGATTTCCTGTCGGTCGCCGTTGGAGTCAGACCGACCAAGCTTGTCATTGCCAGCGTTACTGCCCGAACGAGCATCGGTAATATCCTTGCGCTTCTTCTTTTCCTCCTTTTCCTTCTTCTGGGTCCAAACCTCGTCGACATCTAGGAGCTCGATGGCAACAAAGTCACCTTCCAAAGCACGGTTCCGATCCTTACTACCGCAAATAAAGATATCTGCATCAAGATCGGTGGAGGTCACGTAGGCATCAGAGCGGTTCTTCTTGTTAACACGCAGAACACCGGCTACCAATTGACCATTGCTGATGAGGGCAGGCAGGTTGGCCTGGGGCAAGTAAGGGGTAAAGAGAGTCTTCCTTTGCTGCTGCTGTTGCTGCTGTTGCTGAACAGACAGCTGCGGCGGGGCGTGCTGGCTTGCACCAAGGCCACCCATACCTTGGCCATTCTGCTGCTGCTGGAGCGCCTGCAGTTGAGCAAGTTGAAGGGGGTTCAGCTGTTGACCACCAAACATCTGGGGTGGGGCCATCATGACCTGGCCTTGAGGCAGCTGGATCAGTTGAGGCTGGCCAGGATACTGGAATTGACCGATGGCGCCCATCGACTGGTTCATAGAAGGCCGGGAACGGTGTCCAGGTTGGAATCCGCTACCTTGCTGCTGGTTGAATGGTTTTTGCTGATCCTGGTTCTGGTTCTGATTGTTGGGCTGACGCCAGTTGCCGTCAAAGTTCCGGGATCCTGTGCGGGCATGGCCAGGCTGACTGCCTCGACGTTGGTTATCCGGTTGACCAGCATCGCTGGTTGCCGGGAACTGGAAGCCACCGGCACCACGGCCAGAGATAGAGCCTCGACTACCACCGATAGCCATCGACTGGCTTCGGCCATGGCCGCCACCGGAACGGATGTTACCGGCCCGCTGGAGACCAAGTCCCTGAGGCGCAGGAGATGTGCTGGGTTGGGGTTTTTCATCGGATCCAGACTGGTTCTCCGATCCATTGGCACCCGGGGCAGGAGCGGGGAACTGGAAGCCAGAAGCCGTTCTCTTCTGCTGTGCAAGCTCAGCAGCCTTTTTCGCTTCAGGCAGTGCTAGAGAGTGGCGACGCTGGTGACCACCACCCGGCGGGCCTCCACGACCGCGACCATGGTTGGCGTTCTCGTTCTTCTGGTTGTTTTGGCCTTGCTGGTTATAATCGGCGTATCCGGAGGCGCCCGACGACGGGGCAGGGGGCGGACCCATTGCGAGGCCGGGGAGGGCGGACTGGTTGCGACGGTGGGAGTGTTGGTTTGGTGCGTTCATGGGAACTCCAAGCTGCTGCTGCCCTTGCTGCGGGTTCTGCTGCTGAGGGAATTGAAAGGCGTTGACCTGAGGCGAAACACCACCCATGGAACCACCGGGAGAGAAGGCGTTGACCTGGCCCAGTTGTTGAGGTTGGAGCAGGCCCATGTTCACGTACTGTTGGTGTGTAGCAGCGATTTGCTGTTGCTGCTGCTGAAGCAGCTCAATCTGTTGCTGAATGGCAAGTTGTTCCACTGTGTTACATACATTAGTTCCATATGGTCTTGGCGAGTAGACAGCCCAGGGAGATTGAGATTGATACATACTCATCAGAGGGGTCAGCTCAGATGGACTTCTCCGATGGGCGATATGGAGCTTGCGCCCAGCGGGACCAGGGACCCCGGATTGGTTTTGTTGATCCATGATGTCTGATGAAAGGCGAATATCACTGTAGAGTGTAAAATGCGGGATGACGGAAGGGATCCGACGACAAGAGAGACAGGTTTTGCCTCCAAAGACAATCGAACCGATTTATACGGATCACCGACCGACCGCGAATGTGGTTATATGTGCGGACGATAGTTTTCAACAACTATACTGCGGAAGAAAGAAAGTGATGATCAGTACAAGGTGAAGGGAGGGTCGAGGACAAGAAAGCAAAGCAGAAGCGAGAGAAATAAGGGAGCTCAAAAGCGTGAAGGAACGACGATGAGGAAGGAGGGGACAGCACGCAGTTGGCGTGCAAGTGGAAGTTGCGATGGTTCGCTTGGACCCTTGGGCGGAAGAAAGCCCCAGGAGACCGGAGTATCTCCTGGACAGGGAGAGGCAGCAAAAGCTTCTTGGAACCATTCGCAAACAAATAACGGTGGCCATGCACGCCTGTCACAAAAAAAAAAAAAAAAAAAACCAAACTAGTTTGACACCCTTACCTGCAGAAGAGACTAATGACAAGCTCCGAGCCCTAGCATTCCAAAATGACGTCTACGCTGTCAACGTGGGATGAGAATTGCTAGAAGCCAACAAAGCAATAGCGGTCTGTACACAATCAGATCGCAGGAACCGAGAGGAGTAGCGAGTCAAGTCAATTGCACGCTCAATGTACTTGGTATCGAAAACGGCAAGGACCGACTAAAATGGACGACGCTCGCTCGATTCGAAAGTAGGGAGTTGGAAGGACCGAGTTGGCGGGTAGAAAGCTTGGTGAATTGCACCGGAGCCAACTACGAAAGCCGGAAAAAAGTTGGTGGATAGAGGAATCAAAGAAGATCCTCGGTCGAGAGACGGTGAGATCAGACTCAAATCTGTCCGGGAAGACCGGTGGTTGAAAAGAGCTGTTTCTGTATGCCAACGAATTTGGAGCCAGAAAATAGGCGGAGTGGGTTGCACGTCCTCGAAGAGAATGACAACAAGTAAATTAGAGGGTGGGATAGAATCGAGACGATGTAGACATCGACCGATTCAATCAGAAGGAGCGATGGGGGGAGAGAGAGAAAGGGGAGAGATTGGGGGAAAGAAGAGTAGAAGGTGAGGAGGGGGAAAGGAGAAGAAAGAAGGTGATGATGATGGATCCATACACAGCGGGTGTGGGGAGAAGGGCCATGTAATTAACGTTTGTTCTGGTATTTACTCCGTTACAGTCCCTGATTACGCATGCTTCCACTCATTGACTCCCTGTTATGCATTCGTATTGTAAATGTTTATACACAAGTCTTTCCCCATCTAATTCCGTGGATGATCTCCATTGCTCCCGACAACCTCCTCACTATGCTCAAAGCCTCTTCACAGTCCACTAGAATTCACACGCTGTATCATGTACGATATAGGAAGGACAAGCTGCATCAAGTGTGGGGGAGCCGAGTCCGGTCGGTCTAGGAGACCGGGATCGACGCCCCCTCCGATAAATACTATAATACTGACTAGTAGCTTTCTGGAGGGAAAGAGTTGGTCTGACTCAATCAATTGGCTCTGACATTGATACTGTATGTCCACCTGCGCACCTCACTCCAGAGTTTGATGGCTTTTGGTTCCCACGGAATTTTGATTCTGTCAACCATTTGATGAGGACTCTAAAATAGTTCGATGTATATATATCATCGGTTATTTTTTGAAGCCTTAAATGAGTGATGCTCATGATGATGAAATGAACCACACTTTGGTCTGGCGCGGGTCTTCCTGACTAAGCGTAATATTCGTATCTTATTTTCCACCTATTCCTCCCTTGGACGTCGAATCGCGATAAACATTGTTGCATTGGTTGGCTGCACTGGGACCAATAATTGATAATCAGGAGGTAAGACCCAATTCGTCAGACATTAGCATTGCTGCCCAGCCATGCAAGAAGTGAGCGCCAATGAGGCCTTTTTGCAGTGAGACCAATCGAGAGAAGTGTTGACCTGAGATCTACTTTATTCCACAGCTTCAGATCGAACACCACGGACTTCCTAGCTCTCCAGCCCTCGCGGTCTCTTCCACATTCGTTCAAGCCGCCGTTGCTTTCGCTTCGAATACATCAGGGCCAATCTTGACTCATTTCCTACCTTCCGCCCCCACCGCGACTGTCCTGTCGGATCAATTTGACAAGACGGCTTGTGATAGAAATTCGTGTTTTCAGCACTGCTACACTCTTTATTCCATTGATATCTTGAGGGAGGATGGCTCTCGATCTTATTGCCAATTTCTCGTGACTTTAAAAACATTCCCTCGCGCCTTGAACGTCTTGTTCCCGTTAACCACTTCTTGCGACTTTTGCCCACTCGCCCTTAACCGCCGCACTCACCTTCAGTCCCTACATTTTCGACAATTTGGACATCGACGCCATGGTTAAAATTCACGTTCCCCCGCTGGACAGCCCGTCCAAGCAACTCATGCTCGACCTCACGCGAGACCTAGAACAAGTCAAACTCTTCGACATAGAACTCAAGAAGGTGCATGCCTACGAGCGGAAAGTCTTCTACGAGAACCTCGACCGCATTGACCGCGAACGGGAAGCAGTCCATACCGCAGCTCTTGATGAGGCTGCGGCCTTCCATGACCAAGTTCGCGAGGAAGCGGAGGAAATTTTAAGAGAGCATAACCGTGCCGAGGAAGAGGAGCGCCGTCGCAAGGAGGAGGAAGCTCGCAAGGAACGAGAGCGCATTGAACGCGAAAAAGCAGAGAAGCTTAGACGCGAACAGGAAGAGGCGGCGCGTATTGAGGCTGCGCGCGAGGCCGAGCGCAAGGCTAAGGAGGAGCAAGAGAAAAAAGCCCAGGAGAATGCCGAGCGAGCGCGGCGGGCCGCGCAAGAACAGAGGGAGCGGGAAGAGCGTGAGCGGCGGGAGAAGTTAGAGGCTGAGAAACGTGCAAAGGAAGAAGAGGCCAGGCAAACCCAGGAAGCGGAAGAGGAGAAGGCCCGCAGCCAACGGCAACAAAAGGTTGGTATCAGCCGTCTTACTCCCGAAGAGATCAACATTCAAGAGCGGTATGTTGCGCTACACAAAACCTTGAAAGAAATGCGTACGTGGTTACGGGATTTCGGCAAGAAAGAGCCGGCCATCAAGCAGGCAATGGGTGATATGCGACGTTCAATCAAGAAGTCGGTGGGCCAGCTGCGAGATGGAAAGGGCACCAACAAACAGCAGGTAAAGCTTTATCCACCTTAGCGGTAGTCCCTGGTGCATTGCTAATATATGTGCTCTGAATACAGACACAACAAATCCGTGCTGAGCTAGAAAAGGCTCTGAAGATTGCAGAACCCTCTGTGGACATCCGCCAATTTTTGGCTTTTCCTCCAGAAGAAATCGCCAGCTCAGAGAACAAAGTTCCTGCCCTACTCATCTATGGTCTCAACATATTCGCCAAGTGTCTGATCTCCGCTCTTGTCACTGAAGCCTCCATCCAACCCGCGCATGCCGAACCCGTGGGCATTCTCGCTGCTCAGATCTTCTCAACAGAAACATTTATGTACAAAGGAGTCCATATGTCAGATATAATGTGGGCCAAGTATCGTGTGGTCTGTCCGGCTCTTTGGGGCTTTACTGGTCGTGAAGATACAGAGTCTGGCCGACGTGCCATTGGCTGGTGGCGAACTGAATCTGGAGGTCCATTCGTCACCGAGCAAACACACTTGGATCGGATGACAGCCCTCGGGGCCGGGTTTGCAGCACTGACTTTGCGAAATTTTGGCAAGACTACACGGCGAAATCCCTTCCCCAACACCATGTTCTGGCACTCTCTACAGAAGATCCTTTCGCTTCCCCCCTCAGAAATCTTGGATACCCAGGTTACCATCCTACAGTCCATGCTTCGAAACTCCGGGGATCGAATCCTGGGCTTTTTCGGGCAGATTGGCCTTGTTCTCGTTCGCAAGGCTGTTGTTGACCTGCCCCCAACTCTCAACCGCACCACAATGCCTGTGAACCAGCTGAAATTGGTAAAAGAGCTCTACTACCGGGAACATAACATTCTTCTGTGAAACATCTATTTTGCGGGCTAATGGAGTCTAGGGGGCTAAGGATTTTTTGACATCTACCATCAGCGAGTGTCTCCTAAATAGATGCAGATATTGGCTATCTCAATGTGACCATGAAATATAACCTTTCGTCTCACCCGTTTTTCTACAACAACTGTATGATCATCCTAAACCATTTAGGTACATAGGCGAACAGACAGCCTTGGAGAATGTATACATAGGTCGTTGGAAGTCCCGTTCGATCTTCCTCTCCGTTCCGATCCAACCGGCAGGTCGAGTCCACGGGTCAGATATACAGCTGACTAGAGCCCCAAGCTAGATACATATAAACCATGCGCCTGTGCATCTGTATGTGACAATGATCTGATGAAAGTCCAATAAACCGAGACCGCTATGAGTTACCTTGTCTGATTTCCTGTTCACCTCTATCAAAACTCACTGCAACATTGCCAATTGCCAACCATGCGCCTGGGTGGTGAAAATCCACGAGACACCCATCAGTCACTCTTCGGGGCCTAGCTCTCCCCACTTGAGTCCAGATTCAAACCCCACCCGCCCGCACCATGGTTCTGCATCCCTTTGTGCGATCCAAGTTAAGCTACTCGCCACCTTGATGTCAGCCAATCTCCAGAATAACGATATGGCTCAGTGTGGGTGGGCTGTTAGCCCCAGTAACCTTGGAATATTCAAGATTTATTCTCAACGCCTCCGATATTTTGGATTAACCGGGTGGAGTATGAAAGCAATTTTTAGTTTCCAATTGAGTACGTGAGCTGTCTTAGCCATGACATGTAATCGGCCGACAATCCTTAGAATCAAACTTATTAACAGAAGTAATTCGCAACTAGAAGAAATTTGGAGAATGTAACAGGAGCTTGCTCTTTCGAAGCCCCAAGCTCGAACTATAATTGTGCATGTGTATGCACGCTTCCTGCTCGGCTCCGCGGTCATTACCCAGATATTCACCTGATTGTTCGGTCTGTTGATTATTCGGACAATGAATGTGTTCCATTTCTGCATATTTAAGGTTAACATCCGAACTTCCTATACAAGCAAGACCACCCAGTCGTGAGATAATCAAGGCTACTGTAGTCTAGACCTCAACCATCAAGAAGGCCTAGATCAGGCAGACATGCCCTCTTTGGCAGGTGGGACTCATCCGGAGACTCCGCCTTCATTGAAAGGCAAATGCAATTCACCGAGAACAATGCCTTGGCTAGCCTCGACTCGGGTGAACCAGGAGACTTCAACCCCGGAAATTACGGCCGGTGGCTCCATTGTCCGCATGCCACCATGACGGCAATTGGTCGATTGAGTCGGAGTCGCCGGCTACAAAACGCTTTTGTTGCCATCCGAGCGATCCCCCGGTATGACTCCACTGCTACTCATTACCCAGGGTTAATTGGGATCTGGACAATGGGTTTTGGCGGAGTGACATCATGACTAGATTGGGGCTTAGCCTTTTCTTGGCATTGGTTGCAAATTGACGTTGCGGTATTGGGGTAAACAAAAAGATCAGAAGAAAGAGAACGATCTATACACCAAAAAGATGAATAGAGAATAAGATAAAAGCTTCCTGGGAGGCATGTTCTGGAAAAGGCGAAAGCAACTTAAAGTGGATCCAGAGACCCTGAGGAATGTTTCACCCACGCTGGTCCCAGAATAGTAGGCTGCAGGGTCTGATGATTGGCCAACCCCTTGATCAGGGACCCGGCCCACACAGGACCCTGGGCATTGGTACCAATGTTCATTTCCCCCCGGTCCAACTCTCTCCTCCACCTTGACGTTTGCTCTTTTATAAAGTCCATTCCTTTCCGCCCACTGGGTAATCCATTCCTTTTTGACTAACACTCTTTCGACTGTCACTTTGCTTTTGTATCTTTTATCCCGGTCGTCTCTCGCTCTCACGACCAATTTCACCCCATTTTCACAATGCGTGTTTCTGGCCTCGTCTCCCTCGCCTTGGCCGTCGCCCCGGCCCTGGCAACCTCTACACGCGGCACTTTGGGTTTCTCGCTCGGAGACAAGAATGCCGATGGCACCTGCAAGTCTACTAGCGACTATGAGGCAGACTTCGATAACTTGAAGGACCTGTCTACCCTGGTCCGCACCTATTCTGGCACCGAGTGTGACACCCCTCAAAACATTCTTCCTGCCGCGAAGAACAAGGGTTTCAAGGTTGTCCTTGGTATCTGGTAAGGAGCCCCAATTGCTGCAGCTACAGATTATACTTGTAGCCCAATTTGCTCTATGGGTCCGCTGACATGTTTCCACTTTCTAGGGTCGGCGCACAGGATAGTGGCGATTTGAGCACTAACGACGCCTCCTTCACCAAGGACTTCGCCGCCTTGAAGAAGGCTGTTCCCGGATACGAGGACTATGTCGAGGCCATCACCGTTGGCTCGGAGACTCTCTACCGTGGCGACCAGACCGGCCCCTCGCTGCACAACTACATTGGTCTTGTCGCCAACCAGTTCAAATCCATCAGCGTCGGTACTGCCGACAGCTGGAACAAATTCGCTGATGGAACTGCGGATGATTTGTTCACTCGCGACACCGCCGATGCCCCACTTGTCACCTACGTTCTTGCCAATGCCTTTGCCTATTGGCAGGGAACCGCTGCCGACCAGGCCTACAAGACCTACTTCAGTGACATGTCCGGTGCTATGGAGCACATCCAGAAGGTTGCTGGTAGTAATGCTGATAAAATCCACATCCTTAACGGCGAAACTGGCTGGCCCACCGGTAAGACTAACCTCAAACAAACCCAGGCATAAGATTTGATTGCTAACAAAATTCTTTTAGACGGTGGTTCTGATTACGACGCTGCCAAGGCTGGTACGGCTAATGCTGAGACCTTCTGGCAGACCGGTGTCTGTGGCATGCTTGCCTGGGGTGTTGACCTATTCTACTTCGAGGCCTTTGATGAGTCCTGGAAGCCCAACAGCGTTGGCGACAATGGCCAGGCTATGGACGAAAAACACTGGGGTCTCCGCACTGCTTCCCGCCAGAACAAGTTCAACACCACCTGTTCCAACTGAGCGAGCTCTTTCTTTTCTTGAATTATTTTTTCGTTCGTCTTATCTTTGATTTTAAAACTGGATTAACGAGGTCCGCCAACGAGACTGAGTAGATATTATTTTCTTCGGGGTGTATTATTCTTTATTGATCTACTTGTCTCCGACTTGAATGGAAATATGGAATTAATTGGTATGTTTGCTTGGACTGGACTACGTATAGATGCAGCAGTACATCAGAGTGAAACGTGCACGGTCTTGTCGCTCTAGACCCACCTAAGGGCCGATGACTACCCAAGAAATCGGTGAAATTGTGCTGGGATTTCCCTTGCCATCTATTCGGGAGTTCTCGATGTGTTCAACGTAGCATATATGCAGGATGGAGTTTGCCTGATCTCCCGAACAGCACATCCCCTGTGACCCTATGATCTAATTGGTGGTTGGGAATCCCATTATGTCATCGTGCTGCTGCTTCAACTTACGGTACGATTACATGAGAAACCATGGTTCATTTACCCCTGAATCCATCTCCACGAACCGCTTTGTTTACAACGCGAAGTAGGTAAATCGTGCAAGTGTATCAGTCGTCGGTCCAGTAAGGGGATGCAAGGCTGCAGATATCTGCATATACTCTCCAATACGTACACCGTACTCCGTATACCCTCGGTCCCCGGTCTTAGTGGCGGTCAGGGCCAATCCTTTCCTAGAATTGATCTCCGGGGTACCTGCGCGACCTAAAGGGTAGTGGTCCTGCTCCATCAGCCACTAAAAGTACATGTGCCGGAAATTGGTTCAAAAACGGTTGAATTAGTTGTTAATGGTCCAATGAATTAAACTAGTTCCCTCTGGTACAAGGTACACCGCCGTGCCCCCCTTTATCATAGTCCAGCTAAGTACAAGGTACCTGCGTGACGTGACATAAGCTCATTATTTTAATTTTTGTTCCCCTTTCTGTCCCTTTAAGCTCCTTGCAGTTTTTTGGTTCGCGGTCTCGCTTTCTTCTTCTTTTTGGTTTTCGAGTCTTTGATCCTTGGCGGAGGAAACACTAGCGCGTTCGAATCGATTCCCTAAAAAAAAAAAGGGGAAAGCAAAGACATCCAGTACACTTCCTTTCGCCAATCAACGGGTTGTTCTGCCAGGTGGTCTTCAATTCCGGTTGGATTTCCATGCGTCAACATTCTGGACGATAAGCGGAGCGGCAAGCAAGTGCTTGCTGCAGGAGTCGACACGGAAGGTGTGTGATGTGATTTCTGCATTTCTATTGGGTTTATAATAATTGTTCGGTGGCTTTCGGGTTCTTGTTGCATTGATTGTTGGGCCTACAAACCCGCGTCAACCACGCGATTTCTCTACCCTTCCAAGATTATTCTTCCCCAGACCATTCGTCCCGAAAAATATGCTGACCATTCCATGGTTGATGGATCCCCAGATCTAGATCTCCCCGTATCTTCCGCCCTTTCGGCATCTCCATCACTGTCCCCGACACACACGCGCAATCTGCGTGTCGAATCGCGTCTGGCACCGGCGGTGTTCTTATCCTCTCCGTCAGGAGACTCGAGCTCCAGCTCATCCGCTGGTTCTCCCTCCCAGAGCGTGACCCTTGAACCCCCGCCGCTTCCCTTCTTGTCGGCCAACCTTCGCCCAGGCGACTCCCTGACCTCCTCCCCGGACAATCGAAGAGCAGAAAGCAGTGTCTACTATACCACTGCCTGGGGGTCTCCGTATGCAGCACCGAGTACCCGGAGATTATCGCTGACTCTGAGTCAATACGCCGGCATCGACAACGGAGCATCGAGAGACAGCTCGCCTACTCCGTCTATAGTCAATCCGCCCGAGTTTCGGAGAGCTAGTGTTGCCGTCAATTCCCAGGATCTTCTTGGCCATCGCGAAGGAAAATCAATTCGGGACTTCACTCAGGATTGGATCAATCAATATTTATCCGGCCAGCCTAGGACCGAACGCAGTAATTGGCTGAGCGACGATTCGGGAAGCGAAGCACCCTCATTTTTCACGGCCAAAAATCACCTTGCTGACGATCTTTCGGACGACTGGCTGGGTCTGGAGGACGATACTGGCGAAAACGAGCTCCTAAAGACACCGACACTTTCCGACTTTGTTGGAAAGAGGGCCGCTGCCCGCGCAAAAGGAAAGAAGAACGCCCACAAGCGTACGGAGACGCTGCGGCAGGAGGATTTTTGGGGTTTCGCATACGACAAGGAATCGCCCAACATTATCATGTCAGATTCGAAGGAGCCGCAGCCCATGGCTGTGGAGGTGACTTCACCAGTGGAGAAACCATTGCCGCCTCCGCCAACAACAATAAATGATGAGTCTGAAACACAAGAGAATGCAGAGGGGTCGGTGTCCGATATTTCGAAGAGGCAGGCGGCCGAGACCAACAATAAACCAACTCCAATCCTACAGAGACGGAAGAAGAAGATTGTATGGAAAGGCAAGGCATGCGTCATTGATCTACCAGTTGATGACGCTCGCGGGTCCGAAGCGTCTGGTCGCCATATTTTGAAACCTGCAGAGGTCCAGGCACGGCTGCAAAAGTGGGAGGACGAGGGTTATGACGTTCGAGGATTTACTATCGGCGACGTGCACGACACAGCGGAGCCAACCGAGCTTGGCAGTTTGACTCGTCCTTTATACCCCGATCCAGCTGAGACGCACGAGGAGGGAAAGACTCAACGAACCTTCATTCGTTTCCCTGACAAGGCCGTATGGGATTCCTATGTGGCTCATTTGCAAGAGGAGAAGCTGCGGGCTCTCGGTGTATCCTTCGGTGACGATGAACCGGGTCCTTCAATTTCTCCAGCTTCGGGCTCGATGAATCCCTCGCAAACGCCATTCCCCGGTATGGGACCATCGCCACCAATTCCCAGCGCATCTGCTGCCAGCAATCCACTAGGCGGAATCCATCCTTTCTCCCCGCAATTCGGCCAATCAACCGGGGCTGCAAGTGGAGGTCTGGGATCTTTGGCCTCGCCAGCATCACAGTTCAGCGTGCAGACTCCGTTCATGGGTATGAATGGTATGGATCAGAACATGATCCCTGGGTTCCCATTCCAATTCCAGCCTACGCCACCTGCACAGGGAGCTATGACCCCGCAGAGTCTGATCAACTTACGGCAAGGCAACGGCTCTGTTGGTCCAGGTGCACTTCACAACTTCAGCTCCATGCTGTCGCCTGTATCCCCATTACATGATCAAGGCCAATTTCACACTGGATTCAATGATGGCTTCCAAGAGAAAGAGATATATGACGACCGTTTTGGAAATACTGGTTATGAGGACGGGCCTCCATTTCCCACTCCGCAGACCCCTGTCAACGATCCGAGTCAGTTCCATGCTTCCAATGTGGAAATTGCCCACCCGACACCTCGCGGTCATGGTCATAACTTAAGCGAGACGCTCCAGAGGGGCCTTGACAACATGACACATCCTGAATACCACCTAAACCACGCTGCCGACCACCACATGGAGACAGATGAGCATGACGCAAGTCATCATGACAACATTCTCAAACCCCACTGGGCCTTGCCGGAGAATGATCCCCATCACCAGGTTCAAAATGGCCCCCCTCAACCATCGCATTTCGCCCATCATCCCCATCAGTTCTACAATGAGCAATATGCGCATGACAATGCCCATGAAGGCTCTGACTTCGATACTAACCCGAGCATTACTGGGACTCCCCAAACTCGGGGTGCGCAGCCCAACCAAGGATCATGGCATGAGGCAAAGCCAAGCGCCGGCTCCTTTCGCGGTCACCATACCAGGCTATCTACCTCGTCCTTCAATGTTGAAGCCAAGGAGTTCGACCCAACAGCTTCTTTCGGGTCTCAGCACGCACCCTTTGTCAACACTGGATTCCAATTTGGAGGAATCGATCAACCCGGTTATGGATTTGCCCCGGCACCTCCTTTCGCTCCTGACATGATGCATGCCCCCATTGATTCCAACCCTCAGCCCAAGCCCAAGTCCAGCAGCTTCAAGTTCTCGGCAGCTTCCTTCAACGTGGATGCGCCTGTTTTCAACCCGTCTGCGAGCATCACTTCAAATCATACTGCCCAGCAGCCGTCTGAAAGTCGAACAAAGATTTTCGGTGATATTGATATCTCTGAGATCTCCAAACCAGCCAAGAAATCGAAGGCTGTTCCTATTGTGCGACCAGATGACGAAGTCGAGCCCACTCAAGACGATGAACAAGAGACTCACGATGACCATGAGGGACGACCGGTGCCTACTGATCGTCACAAGCGGGCTCGCCGCGGCGTGGGCCATGCTGAAGGCGAGGCTCGCTACAGCATCTCGACTCATCCATTGGGTGAGTCTGGTAACGCTCAAGCACCCAACATGCTCCAAAGTGTTGCTGAGGGCAAGGAAAACGCTTCCCCCGATGAGAACGACAACAAGCGTGCCGAACGCCAGGAAACCCCTCACAGTGAGGCAGATACCTGGACTTTGTTCGATGCCCAGCGCGACGCCGATGCAAGATCCCATATTGCATCATCTGTTGTTGATGAGCAGACCAGGGATCTCAACGAACCTGCCGAAGAGCCTAAGCCGGAACAGTCTACTCAGAGCAACGCCCCTGAACCGGATATTAAGCCTGCAGGTCATGCCTTCCAAGAATCCAAGGACAAGAACTCGCTCTCTGCCACAGCCAAGCCTTTCGAGTTCAAGCCTGCTGTTCCATCCTTTACGCCGACCTCCGTTGAACCCTCCATTTTCGGAGAACAAAGCCCTTCGTTGCGGAAGTCAGAGTCCCAGCAAGCAGAGAAGAAACCTGCTGAGAAAAAGCAGGGTGGTCTTATGGCTTCTCGCTTCGCGACTAACAGCCCACCGAAGTCGCATCCCCCGCCTCTTTCACAAACCATAGCGCCATTCAAGGAGCCGGAGACGCTCACTGCTCAACAGAAGCTTGAGTTCTACCGCGAATCCGCGGAAGAGTCGCCTGATGACGATGAGCTTAACGCAATCATGGACCAGCTTAACGAGGACTCAGATGTGGGTATTGAGCGCCACACTACGCCTCTCCCTCGTCAGTTCATCTCGGAATCCGTTGGTGGGCCAACTAAAGAACGGCCGTTTGGCTCGGCAGAGGGCCGCAGCGAGGCACCCAGCCCCAGCCCCGGTGGCGGCCACAAGACCTACAAGCTCGATATTCCCAAGCTTGGTTCCGACATTGACGCTCAGAGCAATGCTACCTTCTCTCCAGTCAAGAGTCTTATCTCGCGTATCCAGTCTCCTGTGCGGCAGCTTATCACCGAAAACGACCATGTTAGCGATTGGGATGACATGATCTCCTCTGGCGAAGACGAGAAGTTCTTCAACCGCAACCGCTTCTTCGATCGCCGTATTAATGACATCGTTGGTGCTGCCATAGATGATCGATTAAGCCCCATGGAGCGTGCTCTGGCTGTTATCCAGCAGTCCGTTGCTTCTATCGCTACAGGTGCTGCTACCCGGAGGGTATTGCGCAGCACATCCGCTGAATTGGAGGACAGCGATGCTGATGATGAGGATGATGGTGAAGAAGCGCATGAGGCCTCGTCTAGAGACCGCTCGCCCCATCACATGCGCGACCGTAAGGTGGAGATGCTGAAGAGCATCGTAATGGAAGCTCTTGTTACCCATGACATGCCTCACCGATCGGCTCCTCACTCCAGCCATAGCGAAATGGCTCTGCTTAAGGAAAGCATCGCTGAGCTTCAGGCTTTGACTATCAAGAAGCTTGCACAGGATCCTGTTGGTGACATGCGCGAGATTCTCGAGGAGACTCTTGCTCGGCAATTGGCCCAGCAAACTCCGCGGTTGTCGGAAGCTGAAGAGATTGGTGCAGATAGTCTGATGCTCCAAATCGACGGTCTTAAGAGCATGTTGCGACTTGCCGATGAGCGTACTGAGCAGGAATACAAGGCACGCCGGGAGGCACAGGACTCGCTTGCTGAGCTCCAGACTCTTCTGAAGCTTGCTGAAGACGATGCTGCGCGCCACAGTGCTGCTGCTGAAGATGCCGAGGCTCGCTTCCTCCACTTTAAGGAGGAGAAGATTCCCCACTTGGAGAAGATGCAGTTCCGATCCGAGTCTCTCGCGGAGGAGAATGAGACTCTTAAGGTCACGCTTGCCGAGCTTTCCTCGAAGAACATTGCTCTTGAAGGCACTTTAGACGAATACCGCGTTTCCAGCGACCACTTCCGTCGTCAACTGGAGACTACTAAGGGCGAGAACAAGTCCCTTCATGAGACCGTTGATCACCTGCGTACTCGTATCGAGGACAGCATGTTCGCTCGCCAGAACCTCACCGAGAAGTTTGACCGTCTTCAATCTGACATGGTCACTGTTACTTCTGAGATTACCCAGGATCAAGCCGCCGCCCGCCGCAGGGAAGAGCAGCAGACCGCTAAGCACAACGAGCTTCTTGCATCGCATGCTCGCGAAATCAAGCTCCGTGAGCAACTTGAGCAGGATGTGCGCGAGTTTGAGATCCGTGAACGTGAAGCTGCCAAGATCAAGTTTGTCCACGAACAATCGCTACAGGAGAACGCTCGCTTGGAGGAAATTATCGCCACCCTGCGTGCTGAGAACCATGAGTTGCAGCTGAAGTCGGCTCGTTTCGAACGTGAGTTCAACGACGCCCGTGAGAGTAGCCGCATTGAGGTCCAGCGTACTCGTACTGCTATGGAAGCAGACCTCGAGGCTGCCAACAGCCAAGTCAACATTGTTCGCGCCGAGCTTGAAGCCCAGATTATCCGTCTCCAGAGCCAGATCGATCATGTCCGTATGGAGGCCGATACGTCTCGCGAGCGCTACGAGATGCTCCTCGAGGATGCTAATGACTCCAAGGTCACTGCGCTGGGTATCGCTAAGGAATCCCGGGAGACTGCCCTCGAGGACCAGCGCAAGACGCACGAGCGGGTTCTTAATGACCTCCGCGAGCGTCACGCCCGTGCCCTGCATAACTCTTCTGAGGATCGCCGACGTGGTGAGGCTCATACGGAGGAGCGTCTGGCTCTCGCAGGTGAGAAAGTCAACCACCTTCAGGATCGTGTTCAACATCTTGAGGAGAAACTTGAGATTGCCCAGTCTGCTGCTCGTGCCGCTGCTGAGGCGGCCCAGAAGGCTGGCTCTGGTCCTATTCCCGTACCTGCGCCTGCCCACGGCCACTCGTCTTCGCCTTCTATGTCTTTCGCTAAGGGATCAAATGAACCCGATAAGATCTCCCCACAGGCTCTTCGTGAATCTATCTTCGTCTTGCAAGACCAACTCCAGCAGCGTGAGACCCGTATTGAGGAGCTTGAGCAAGAAGTCGCGTCGGTAGACAAGGATGCTCCCAACAAGATCAAGGAGCGAGACAGCGAGATTACCTGGCTTCGTGAGGTGCTCGGTGTTCGTATCGATGATCTGCAGGACATTATCAAGACTCTCTCGCAGCCTTCCTTCAACCAGCATGCTGTCCGCGATGCGGCTATCCGCCTGAAGGCGAACTTGCAAATGCAACAGCAGGAACGAGAGCGGGCTATGTCTGGAACAACTCTCCCGTCACTTCAGTCCATCGCAGCCTCTCCTCGGTCCCTTCCTCTCGCTGCCGCCGCAGCCTGGGGAAACTGGCGTAAGGGCAGAGAAAGCACCAGTGCCAGCGGCAACCCGTCTGAACAAACACCGTCCAAGTCCAGTAATGCCAGTGCCTTCCTCTCTGGACTTTTGACTCCCCCAAGCTCGCACGCTCGTCAAAACGCCCCTCATTCTTCTGCCCCGGGACGCTCCTACGCCGAAAGCCGGCCACTCAGAGGATTTAATTCTCCCCGCCGTGACTCAGTCCGGTCTGAAGCACCTGTCCCCGAGCCACCCAAGACCCCTCCGCTCCTTCGTCGCTCCAGCTATGATCACGATGCGGAGCCGGCGAACTACGAGCAAGACAACTTTGCTACCGATGATATCGAGAGCACCGTTGGCGGTATGGTCTCGGCATCTCCTAAAGAGAGTGGCGAGGAAGGTCCCTTCGGTCCGCAGATCTCGTCTGATACAGAAGAGGTCCCCGAAGAGATCGAAGAGTGATTGACGTCCTTTTCATTCCCGTCTTTTGATCGGATTTGATTTCATCTTTCTCTAGATTGTCTTGAAAAATGATGCCCTTGCTTTTAACATTTCCATCAAATGTCTCTTGATGTTTTGGACTTGTCCCTTTGCTGCTTATGTTTCCAGCGTTTTTCTTCCCCCCTCCCTCTACCTTCACCATACTCACTCCCTGCCACTCTTTGAACCTTATACATATTCTCTTCGACTCAGATCTGTGATTTTTTTACGTCCTTTCGGATTTGATACCACCCCTGTGTTTTAGCTTACCTTTTCCTTTTCCTTCTTTCTTTCACCGCCCTGCTCGCAGCGGCTCTTTGGTATCCCTGTACATTGGTTTCACTTAAATAACCGTTCGCTCACCCTCACGCTATTACTACACTACTCTTCATGTCCCATCCTTACCTACATAATAATACTCACACTCTCTTTCACAATGTCTATATTATACACACCTTTCTCTGCTTGTGTGCTATCTAATTTTATACACGGTCGCCTGTTCATTATGATTTTGAAGAGCTGATTTTCAAAATGAAGTGGATATTTTCCTTACACAATCTGAAGACCTATGAAATCAGCCCGGAATTGCCGTCTTTCCACCTATAGTAGCTTGGACTATAATCTAGAAGACATGACGAGGGGGAGGCGGGCTACCAGCGACAGCCTACGGGAGTTCATTCCTCAAGCAAACGAGGATGCCCGGTAATGTCGTGACGTCGAATTGAGGAATCCTTGATCTGTAGCCATAGGATCTTCGCAAAATGCTTCATCGACACTAATCATATGCATGCAGAAAAGGAAAGAAAGAAATACTTGATTTGTAATGTAACTTGACTCTTGCATCTAAAAATGTCTGTCTAATTCGTTCTGGTGGTGCGTTTTTTGTAATTCCAGGACAGATTTAAGCTCGGATCATCCCGATTCCGCAATATTAAGTTTGAGCCTTCTTCCAAAAATTTGAAACTGAGCTATATAAAGTCCCTAAACGCCGTGGCATTCGAAAGGCTATATAATACGCACGAGTGAACGATACTATTCCAGGCATACGCAAGGAGTATCTCACATCGTTATCATTAGAATGTGTCATTATTTGACCATAGCTGAGTTAAGCGGTAGCACACTAGTCGGTGAGGGATGAAAAAAAAATAAAGAGGGTGGCCTTGAATGTCAAAATGGAGGGGCTCGGCTGCGTTCTACTGTACATCGAAATGTATTCAAACGATCAAGGGAGGCTATGTGACGATGTTATAGGGCGTACCTCGAACAATTCTGCTACATTCCTTCTGCATTCAAGTTCATAGCTGCGCATCATGTCTCCACCCCGGCATATCAGCAAGATCCTTCGCCGGCGCACCCCGTCTAGATTTTAACGCATCACCTCCAGGCCTCCATCGCCACTCATAAGCCAGCTCATCCGATAAAGACCCTTCGATCAGCTCAACGACATGCTTCCCAATGTTCGGCAGAAGCTTAAAGCTATGCCTATTACACAAAAACCAAATTAGCAAGTCAAGCTCATTCACATGTACATATGTACCCCTCAAAGGGATGTACCAGTCTGATTTACTTACCCACTGTCCCCCGTGGCCAAAATGAAGTTCTTCCACCGCGGATGCTCACAAATCAACAGATTAGCATCTGCAGTGTCAGTACACCAACACATTGCCCGATTGAAAAGCTCCTTATTCTTGAACTGCGGGATAAACCTCGCGATTGCTTTCCGGATGGTCACCTCTGAAGCATCGGGATATGTATCCGTCGGATGTTGGGCGTGCGATCGAGGGACGGAGATGAGTTTCGGAGAGGATGCGCCATATGGCTGATGTTGCTTGAAGCGAGAGAAACCGGGGAACTCGTCGCAGACTTTGATTACTCCATTTCTGTTGATATTTAGCATTTTTATCTCTGTTGATTTATTTGAGAATGGGAGTTCGCTGCCTACTCGTTCGGCTCGAAGAAGAATCCGTATTCGCCGTCGTAGATAACTGGAATATTCTTGTACTCGGATACCTCTTTTGGTGTGAGTTGAATGTGGGCATATACCCAGGCCTGGATGTGATTAGTCTTGGGCGCAGGAAGTCGTAGAAAGAAAGAAGGAAAGTCCGGGAAGCTGACGATTTGTTTTCACTTACTTTGGAAACACACTGGTCATCGAGATCTACTAGTGTGGGACTCCAGGCACCCGCAGCTAGAACCACCTTGTCGCCGTGGTATTTTGTTCCATCTACCGTTTCTACGCCGGTGCATGTTGTTCCATCGGCAGCGAATAGGGGCCGCTTGAATGTTCCAGCTCTAAAAGAAACGTGTTAGCAGAACAGAACGGAAAATATTTGCATTCTGAATCTTTTATACCTTCCGAACCCGAAATTAACACCCTGATTTTTCAAGAAGTGTCCGATGGCATTGATGGCTTTAGCAGCCGCGAGCCAGCCTCCTTCGCCACAGAATAGGCCTTTCCATCCCTGTTACTCAGTCATTGTAAGCAATCACCCCCAAGAAAAAGGTCGATCAGTAATAGACCATAGTCAAGCTTACCTTGGTTTGCTCCTCTGTGAATGGTGGCACTCTCGCCGCAATCTCCGCATCATTTAACAAGAAATTAGTCTTCTCAAGCCCGATGCCCGTGTCAACAAGAGCTTGGTACTTCCGCTCAAGGCTTTTAATACCCTCTTCCGAGGACGAGCAGTCAATCTAGCAATGGGTTAATGTAAGAATTTTAATTCGGAAACCAAAAACACAAAATACGACTACTTACCATACCGACTTGATGGAAAAATGGCTTGAACAACGGATCATTTCTCCACATATCGAGCGCTTCCAGGGAAAGCTGTAAGTCGGGCGCATTGCGAAGGGCGATGCCCATGATCTTGTTCAGGTCGTATCCTGCCGATTGAGCCGAGGGAATTGGATACACGTCGAGCACGGTGATGTTTGATGGTGTGTATCCGGAGCGAAGGAGGTGTAGGGCCGTTGATGATCCCATAGTACCGCCTCCGCCGACGATGATGATCTTGGTGGTTTCACGTGAAAGGACCATATTGGGTGATTATTTGGAGGTTGTGATGGTCGGGTATACTTGATAAGACGTTGGTACCTGTAGCCTGGATACGATGCTTAGATATTCACTTTAAAGCCAAAGAGGCGATAGCGACAATGTTGTGCTACAGACTGTAACCAGTCATGTGATATTACAATTCCGAACGCACAAATCAAAGGGTTGTCAATCACATCATGCATGGCGCCATTGATAAAGCTTGGGAGATTAGACCCCAGATACGGATGACTCAAGCGAACGGCCGCTATTGGTGGAATTTGCTAGCGTATCGGCGTAGATCCGGAAGTGAGGGGAGCGAGGGGACACTAGCGCACCCCATCTCGCGTGGACCTTCTATGGCCCAGAGGAGAATCTTGGCAGCATTGAAGAGAATCACAGGAGGTTGATTATGACACGCTAATTTTATCTCGTTATCTATGCAGCTATACGTACTGGATTTATTTGACGGGTGGGGATTTCCTATTCGGGTTGCCGCCGCTTTTATGCCATACCCCGTTGATTACTAAGAGGCATTTATTGACCACCTAGTCTACTGGCAGTCTATTCCCGAAGAGTATGATTACTGATCCATCAATATTTTCATGATGGCCCTGTGGAAGAATAGTTGAAAGCTGAGTAGGCCAATTCAACAATGAGCCTTGCAAGGGTGTTATTTATTGGAATTGGGGAGTCGCACGGTGGTTGTGGCATACTTGTAACTACCACTGTTTATGTATGTACTATTGGACGGGGTGCTCGCTTAATTCAAGTCATTTCCAACATTGAAGACTACAAGTGCAGTGGTCTCCGTCATATGTGTCTACGTGCACTTGAAAATCTACTGCAATTTCGACTGCAATAAATGCCCAGTGGGGAATTGTCCGGCTTGATATCTACAATTGAGATAGTGCCAGCATGGACCACCAATGATGTGTTGGATTATATTCATATATACGAATATAGGTCGATGAGAAGCAGACAATTAGCAATGATTCAAAGTTTCGTAAGTCTGGAATGCATGATTCTAGCCTGTCTCAGCTATTACTGTTCATCTTTCCCTTCGCCTGGCTTCTCAAACTTTAACCACTTATGCGGCACCTCAATTTGTTCTGCTTGCTGAACCCCCAAGAGCCACCGTCTAAATTCTCGATACTCCCCTTTTGTGGAGCCCGATTCGGGGCCTAAATCAAAAACTTTGCCAGACGCGGTTCCGAATGTGTCTGGCATCATATCGGCAGTAAGCATATCGTTCAGAATACAAATGCCGCGACGAATCATGTCCTTCATAGTATCGGCGTAGCGCTTCGTATATTGGTCGACAGAGTCGTTTTCTCTTCGAGGGACATATTTGTGGAATTCGCTCTGTAGGATGACCGAGTCAGGATCGGCGCCTTCAGCGATGAGCCTGTGGCGCTCCTGACGCGCTAAAGTAGCGTAGTCCCTTGGAATCCTGTAGACCATAGGCTCGTCGTCGGAGTCGTGACGAGCTCCGTCGTCTCCATGGGTTTGAGCGGATTCGGAGTACATTGCTTTCGAGTGTTGGGCCGGGGCTTCTTGTTGCGACATAATAAATGTTCCAACAACTTCTTTGATTCCCAAGTCGTAGTGATTGCAATAGTCTTCGTGGAAGCTTTGAAATGCTTAAAAGCCCAGAAACAACCTAGAAATTATAATGATAACGCGTCGGCACTAAAGGGGATCGATCAGAGTTAAACACTGGGGCACAGAAGTAATATGAGGTGGGAGAGTGAATGATTTGTATGAGCGAGTGGGGCTTAAGTACGAGTAGGCAGCGCCCTGTTTAACCCGGGCGTAAATGAGGGGACCATTGACGGATGATAATAATTACTGTAGTGGAATTCGTTTTACTGGGGTAGCTCACGCATGTAATTGGCCTGCTGTGGAGTACGCTCAGTGAGCGAATCACATTACTGAGCATGAGAAATGCTTACGTAATACTCACTGATCCGATAATTGAGCCGGAGATCTGCTCAGTGAGTTAAAGCGGCGAAGGGGTGAGCACTAATTTGGAAAAGGAAGCAACAATCGTCAAAGGAAATCCAGTACGGAGGTTGGAGTCCGAGTGGGGTGGGGCTTTCCCCCGCTTTTTGCCTCCAATTTGAGCCGTATATCTTTGTTGATAAAGATGGCACTGATACCGGTGATTTGCTTGGCCAATCAAGGTCAATGATCTCCCTGCGTATCGTCATATTAGTTTAGTATAGGCTTTCCAACCTATCTCTTTCGCCTGGACCTTCAACTTGTGCTACTGGCTCGGATGAAGCCCGTGCACTATGGCGGAGCAGCTTAGTTCTCTGACTTGGAGAACGTTCCAACCTTGTTTGAATTAGCGTGGGGTCTTTGAGAAGAAAGTATATAAGTAAGAACGCATGCGACTGATTATCCAGGCCTCGGTATTCGTCTCAGCCATTCAATCTTCACCATGGCTGACTCCAAGCCTGCGGTTGCTACCTCCAGTCCATACAGTGATACTAATCCTGACTTTTCACAAAACCCATCTAATGGTAATTTTATTGACATGGAACGATACAAAGAGACCGTCCCGCTCTGGAAGCGAGTATGGCAGCACAGTTTGACACAAATGATGCTTCTGAGCGTCCAAGCCTTCTGTGGGCCAGCCATGTCTGACGCAATTACCGGTATGTCCACAACCACAACGCATGTTGAAGATTTCACTCCGACACTAATATCTACAAGGGCTCGGTGGTGGTGGTCTCGCAACTCCTCAGGTATCGAATATTTGTACTGCAATTACATATGCCCTTCTTGCCGTCGGTACGTGTCTGGCAGCCTTCGATAACATCAGGAATATTCAAGGAGCTAATGGCGATACACAGTCTGCTTCATGGGTGGTCCTATAGTGAACAAGATTGGTGTTAAATGGGCCCTGGTGATCGGTGCAATGTCCTTTCCCATCCAAGGGTCTGCATACTACTGCAATAGCAAGTTCGGAAATCAATGGGTGCGTTGAATCATAAGAAACGGCATCTCCCGGGGAAAATAGTGGCCTGTGAAGGTGCAGTGGCTAACAAAAATTTATTCATATAGTATCTCATTTTGAGTGGTGCTATTAGTGGTATAGGTACTGCTTGCTGGTACGTCGCTGAAGCCGGAGCCATCATGACACTCGCTCCGTCCGGTGCGCGTGGCAAATATCTAGCTTTGTGGATCGTGTCACGAAACCTGGGACAGCTGGTTGGAGGAGCAATCAAGTAAGTTACTACAAATGATTTTATTGGTGAGTATCAACTGACGGCCTTGGCTCGTAAAGCTTGTCGAAAAATCACAATGAAGGGGATAGTGGTGGCATCACGCCCAATACTTACTTGGCTTTCGTCATCATTGAGTCTCTTGCGTGAGTATCACATTAAAGCTGTCAAGAAGCCATGAAGAATTGCTGAAGAATCTGACGTTTTCAGTCTACCATTCGCGTTGTTGATATTACCTTATCAACACGTTGTTCGGTCCGATGGCACTAAAATTATCACTGCGGAGACCCTGTCCACCAAGCAGGAGTTCAAGCGCATTTGGAAAACCATCACTTCCAAGCTGATTATGCTTTCTGCACTCTGGGCCCTATGGTCATTTTTCTACAGGTGGGATGGATAACTAAGACGTTCTTTGGGAAGAGAAGATACTAACAGATCGCAGTGGTACCTGGTCCACCTACTTGGGAACATATTTCTCTGTCCGTGCTCGCGCCCTCTCCTCCCTCATCTCGCCTTTCTTTTGCATGTAAGTCTCGCTCATTTCTGTTTTTGATTGCTTGCATTAATATGGTCTCTTCTCAGCGTCGGCTGCTTCGGCCTTGGATTCATCCTCGATATGAAGAATGTTAGCCAACGTCGACGCGCTCAGATCGGTCTTTACACCGTCGTAATTCTCAACGTCGGTGTATATACCTGGTCTATCATCATGCAAAAGAAGTTCGACCGCAATGACCCTGGCAATATCGATTGGAGCGACGGTCTATACCCTTCAGCTTTCCTGCCATACTTTTTTGTGCAAACTACCGGTCCCTTGTCACAATCCTATATGTATTGGCTTATTTCATCTTTTGCGACCGATGCACAAGGTGGGTCTATCTGTCCTTTTTGCCCACTTAGATGCTAACGGAATAATAGAAAATGTTCGCAATGGCGCTGCATTCAGATGCGTCGAAGCTGTTGGTCAAGCTATTGCCTATAGCATGAATACTCAAACGAGTAACATTCTCGTTGGATTGTGAGTTATAATATTCAGCTTTCATTTTTTACTTTGGCTGACTGAGATATCAGCGCTGTGACGTTTGGCCTACTTGGGGCTGCTTTGCTCCCCATGCATATACTCGTGAACACCACACCAGACCGCATCCCTGCTGATGTGGTTGCCGAGCAGCAAGCGGTTAACGAGAAGGTTGAGGTCTAACGCTTCGGGCTTGAAGATAAATTCCAATGGCTTTTTCGAAACACTGATCACCTGCAAGGTTTGACCTCCATATCTTCCAAGGTTGGGGGAGCTATATAGACGACCAATATACATATGAACAAAGTCAACCAAACAAATCCAATCGAATATTCTTCTAGGGCTTGAAAATTGGTAACCTTGAGATCTGACTACCGACCTAATTAGAAAGTCTCGATAATTGGCTAAGCCTCAAAATTCATGGGCAATAACCTTGAAAAGTGGCACAGCAAGCACAATAATGATCGCGGAACAGAGTACAGCACCAAAATATACTTGCCATGCCAAAGAAGACGGTAGAATATGCACCATATTGTATCCTCGAACTAGATAATCAATGTGATTCGGATCGAATTCTCGAATTCGGCAAAATCAATTGCTTTCACATCGCTGATTATAATCCAAGTATTGGGAGTGACGACCATGTGTGGCTCCATTCAAGTGTTTACCAAGGTGGTCCGAGCGCCTCGAATTGACACCTTTCGCGTTGGCCGAGACCGACTCCCATCAACCCCCCGATCCCTCCTTAGCCCACCAATTCGAACGAATCCTTTCGGAGACCAGAGCAGACAACAAGATGCGATTCTCAGCAGCCACCGTTCTGGCCACCGCGCTGGGGTGGTTCTCCATTGCGACCGCACACACCATCCAGCTTAAGGCTCACTCCCGGGAATGCTTCCACGAGGTCCTACACAAGGATGATTTGATGACCGTTACTTTCCAAGTCGGCGACCGGGAGTTTGGCGGAAGCGGTAACCTTGAGATTGATTTCTGGGTACGTCGGCCACCTACGCTACACCGATCCCTGGTCTTGTGGCTTGAGGTGGATCAGGAGAGCAGACTGCTGTTCAGAGAAAGAGAGCCACAAGACGAGAGGATACGGAACTACAAGCCAACCAGAACGGATTGCTTCGCACATTGAGCAAACCTGGATACTGATGTACTGTGAACTTCTAGGTCGAGGACCCCCTGAGGAACCGTCTGTACTACAAGCAAGCCATCTCGAACGAAGACTACTCATTCACTGCGCAAGCCGACGGCAAATACAACTATTGCTTCAGCAATGAGGGCTGGACTTCCAACTCAAAGGAGGTCTCATTCAACGTCCACGGTATCGTCTATGTGCCGGAATCGGAGATGGCGCAGGACCCCTTGGAGGCCGAGGGTAAGATCGAGACACCCATGCCCGTATACAATGGGTGAGACAATTTCGGGAAAAGAGCGCGTGAGCTGATTATCTGAACTTTTAGTCCGTCGACTGTCCGAGGCTGTTTCACAGGTTAGAGATGAGCAGGGGTACATTGTTGTCCGTGAGCGCGTGCACCGGAACACAGCAGAGAGCACCAACGGCCGAGTCAAGTGGTGGAGCACCTTCCAGTTGGCTGTGGTTATTGGCGAGGGTGTGTTCCAGGTGTGGTGGTTGAAGAGATTCTTTGAGGTTAGTTGAGCTTCATCCAAATGGACAGCAATGGAAGACTGGATGCTAATGCGTTTTGGATGTACAGGTCAAGCGCGTTGTCTAAGCCTTTTCCGTTTCTTTCCATCTCGAACTCGAAAAAAGAATATGACATGAATACGGTGTGGACGGCGATTACGGTTTCCATGTAGATGTTGGAATAGCTGCATTTTTGGCGATCGATTTTTCTTCATATTCTCCCTTTACATCACGGTGTCATGCAACATGCTTTTGATAGTTTAATATATCTGTACTACCAGAGATGCTTCGGGTCGCCATGGGATTGATGGTTTTGTTCTGCGTGGAAGACGTATGCATTGCAGCATTACCTAAACACTGGAAACTTTGAAAGCAACGACACGAATTCTGATGACCAACCGTTTGAGCTATTTTAAATTGGCCCAATAAGACATTGATCTGGTCCAGATTGAAGCATATGGTCTGATTTCATGGGATCTAACGCCCCATAATCGTCTTAAGTGCCCAAGGTATATATGACCCCGCAATCCCAACGCCCTTACAAGTTTGCTATTTCCCGGTACTTTTGATGCTCTGTGAGGGTGCATGAAACTGCTGCAAATTGCGATGTTCCTTCTCGATCACTCTCAAGTGTACCTTACATGAAGTGAATATAGGATCATGGCCCTCGATGAACTATCCAAGAACATCAGCCTTACGGTATCCAAGGGCAACGATTCCCTTTTCCACCTTTGCTGGCGACGACAATCCTGCTCGCAATGCCTGGCAGACGACGTGAGCTGCAGTTGGTGCGCAATAGTATGTGTCACCTTCCATATGCGTTGACCAAGAATGACGCCTCTCATTTTGACCTTTTTACCCGCTTTTGCTTTGCGTCTTTTCGCGTTGAGGCTATTTCTTATTTTCTATGCCTTCCGGCTCTCTTTTTCTTCTATCGTGTCGACTTGATTTGATTCTCATTATTGCGCCACTGCATTCCTTGGTTTTTGATCCCCCTCCTTTCCCCTTGCATTCCAACCCTCGGAATGGGGAGAGTCACGACTCCTACCTGGATAAATCAAATCACAATCGGTGCCGGAGCTAACCGCGGAACTAGTCGTCTACCTGTGTTCCAAATCCAGGACGGATCCCAATATTAGCTCCCATCGGATCCGATCAGATCTGTCCGCTTGGATCGAAAGAACGATGGGAACTGCGGGCGCGCCCGCTAGGATGTAACGCGAGCACCTTGACTGTTCTGTCGGTTATGATATCTATATCAGGAACTTTGGCTTTATTTGCTATTTCAGTACTGATTATCTGGTTGGTGAAGCGGGTTCGGCGGCGGATGAAACAGACGGAGTATGAGCGCTTGGACGAGGATTCTCAGAATTCACCTTGGCTTGGTTGGCTCGATTGGGCATCCTTGTTTTCATTGGGTGGTCTCTTTAGCCAGGGGGAGACGCAGACCGAGACACAGGGGCAAGGGGCTAATCAAGCTTTGGCGGATGAAGGCCAGGAGGATCCCGAGACACGGCCATTGCTCGCATAATCAATCGGTCATGTAATTAGTTCTAAAAAATAGGTAGAGAAAAAGTGATTTTGGTTTTATTAACACAGAAAGAAATTGAAACGCGATCCAAGTCCGCAGACTAGACATACAATAGAAAGGAACAACAGGACCCGCGGATCTATGCCACGGAGATGATCATGTCTCGGATAACTTCACTGAGATCCGTCAGAGTCTCCTTAGTCCGAGGAATAACATGGCCGCCACCGTGATCAAACAGATCAGCGGTATCCGGGTCGCAAATATTGTAAAGCGCCATTGACCCATCCAGGAATGGATCGGCTGCACCTACAACATGACATGTAGGAATCTTAATCACTTCACCATCATGGTCGTCCGCCAAAACAATATTACCAGTGACTGGATCCTTAGGAGGCCAGCCGCAGATGAAAACCGCGCATTTGAGCCGAGGAATGCGCCCAAATTCCTGGCTCAATCGCTGCTCCTCCAAGATGAGCGACGCCGCTATCTCAGCACCCTCGGAGTAGCCAATGACCCCTTCGATCTCAAGATCATTGTCCACCATTTCGACAAGGCGACTCATAGCAGCCTTGATCATAGAGAAACTTGGGTTTCCGGCCTTCTGAACGGCATATTTGATTGTTGCTTCGGGCGTTTCGCGCCTCGGGAAATCGCGCATATTGAACTTCACCAGCTCCGGGAAGTCGACGGTCGTAAACGTAAAATTTGGTGGCGGTCCGAAAAAACCCTGGAATTCAGGAGGAGGGTTGACTGGAGTTGTCCCCTGAGTGAAGAAAAAGTTGGCGTCTCCATTGGATTTGAGAGCATCACAGAATGGGCCTATAGATGCATGCCGCGTTACTATGATGGGAACCACGAGCTGGTTATGGATTGAGCAGCTTACCCAACTGTGTAGCCAGCGCCTGGAATTGCAATTCTATCGTTAGCCAACAGTGATAATTTGGATAAGGTCACAATATACCTTCGAGTTGGAGTAGCCTCCGGGCAAACATAGGAATTTCATGTCGGCGGTGATGGGGCAGGATCATAAACTGGGTCGCACGAGTCGAGGCAAGAGATTGAAAATCGCCGGGGCTTTTATCGAAAGATTTGCACATGAAAGCTTATGATTAAAGAATCCCTTGCCAGAGTCGTGATACGCCCCCTTGATATCGGAATGCTTCATGCACCCTCACGTTAGCAAGGGCTGCGGACTGCGACGACAGATGTTATGCTCGAAGAACGCCCCCCAGCAAAATAAAGATGCCATCAATGTGATCAGATTCTCTGAGTCAGATCTGCAAGTTCTAGTGGCGATCCACTGGAGACATCGGAATATGGGAGGAGGTATTTGGCGTTCTCCTGCAGGGCGAGTCCTGCCGAGTTCTACTGCGCGTATTTGTTTACTATCATTGGATTCGCCATCTAAGAAGGCACACACCCTATCATCCCTGCCAATTGATGGAAAGCCTCCGGTATGGAGGTGACTATTGAAAGATCGACAATCACAGACCTGGCAAGCAAGGGCGGCGTCCAACCCCATATCCTTTCTTTAATCTTCCAAAACGTGTTAAAGAAAAACTTCTGATCTTTCCAAATCTCATTCGTGAACATACCTTGAGATCTTTCATTTTCTCCGGGATCACCCTCGGTCAAATTCTGTCATTCCTTTTGTTCATTTCACTCTACGGTCATTTCAGAGGTATAATATCGGATTCTTGAACAGTCAGACGTGATCGTACTCTAGATATGCATCTTCAACCACCTTCCGGGTCTGGAACTCCAGTACCTGACAGCAAACCGATGGAGGAGGAGAAGGAAGCGATTGTGGGCGATGTTCCAAAGCGCATGGCCATCATCGGCATGTCCTGTCGTCTCCCGGGACAAGTATCCACGGCCGATGATCTGTGGGGATTGTGCTCCAGAGCTAAAAGCACCTGGTCAGAGGTGCCAAAGGCCCGATTTAACGCTGACGCATTCCATCATCCGAATCCTGATCGACCCGGCTCATACAACGCGCGAGGCGCACATTTCCTGAAGGAAGACGTTGGATTATTCGATGCCCCATTTTTCAATATCACCCTCCAGGAAGCAGTCTCTCTCGACCCGCAACAGCGTATTATCCTTGAATGCACGTACGAAGCGCTCGAAAATGCAGGTATATCGGCAACTTCGATCGCCAGCACGAATGTGGGTGTGTTTGCAGGCGCATCTTTCCCGGATTATGAATCAAACAACTCTATGGATATCGACTCAATTCCGATGTATTCGGGAACCGGGTGTGCCGCAGCTTTACAGTCCAACCGCATCTCATATTACTTCAACCTGAATGGTCCCAGCTTGACTATCGACACTGCCTGCTCGTCGAGTTTGGTCGCCTTACATTTGGCCAGTCAAAGTATTCGAAATGGAGAGTGCACCATCGCAATTGTGACAGGTTGTCATTTAAATTTGCTCCCACAGGCATTTGTCACTATGAGTCGCCAGAGGTGAGACTCTTTGCGGAAAATATGGTCTTTTAATGACTAACGAGGCTCACTTGACAGATTACTTGCCGAATCGGGAAGGTCATATGCGTTTGACGATAGAGCAACTGGATTTGGACGGGGAGAAGGTGCAGGCTGTATTATATTGAAATCTTTGGAGGATGCTGAAGCTGCCGGCGACGCCATCCGTTCGGTCATTGTGAACAGTGGTACCAACCAAGATGGCCGTACCAGGGGCATTACCATGCCAAGCAGTGAGGCACAAGAGAAATTGATGCGTGACGTTTACAAAGCAGCACGGATTGATCCTTTTTTGACCGGATATGTGGAAGCACACGGAACTGGCACCAAAGTCGGAGACCCTCTCGAAGCCAAGGCATTGAATGCTGTGTTTGGAGCAGGGCGTACACCAAAGCAACCCTTGTTTATCGGCTCCCTCAAGTCTAACGTCGGCCATTTGGAAGGGGCAAGCGGTATAGTTTCGGTGATCAAGACCACGTTGATGCTAGAACGTGGCTTCGTGCTCCCGAATGCCAATTTCGAAAAGCCAAACGAGGAGATTCCCATGGATAAGTGGAACATGAAGGTAAGAGATGTGATTGTTTAAGAAAAAGAGAGCGGAATTGACCAAAGTTCGCAGGTTCCCAAGAAGCTTGTTCCTTGGCCGAGAGGCAAGACCTACGCTAGCGTGAACAACTTTGGCTTTGGCGGGTCCAATGCCCATGTTATTCTCGAACGCGGCCCGGTGAATGGAGGGGAAGGAGCTACAAATGAAGATCCATTGACTCGGAGGGTATATGTGGTGTCTGGCTATGACAAACAAGCGGCGGCGAAGCTGAGTGTTGAGATTATCTCATATTTGCACCGCCACCCTCCGGTTTTCACAGACAGCTTGATGGATAATGTTGCCTATACACTAGGCCAGCGCCGAACTCATTTGAGCTGGCGCATTGCTGTCTCTGCCTCCGTGCATACAGAGCTGATTGAGGCCTTGGCGAGTACCAAGGAACCCACACGTTCCACCGGGGAGCCTACAATTGGGTTTGTGTTTACTGGCCAAGGTGCGCAGTGGCATGGCATGGGCAAAGAGCTTATCAAGAGGTACCCGGTCTTCCGAAAGGCTATGACAGAGTTTGATGCCTGCCTGAAAGCTCTTGGAGCTACGTTCTCCATCATTGGTATGTTTTTACACTGACAGTTTTCGCTTAATGACACTAACGTTGCTTCTCAGATGAACTCCAATTGGAGGATGCAAATGCAAGCTCAATTTCTGCAGCATATATGAGTCAGCCAGCTTGCACTGCGGTCCAATTGGGCCTTGTCGATTTGTTATCGTCCTGGGGAATCCATCCCAAGGCAGTCGTGGGTCACTCCAGTGGTGAAATCGCCGCTGCCTACGCCGCGCAGATCTTGACGTTGGAAGAATGTGTACGTATTGCATACAGTCGAGGCGTTGCGGCGGATATAGTCGCAAAAGATACGACCATTCAGGGCGCCATGTTGGCGGTTGGAGCGAATGCAGGAGAGATCCAACAGATTCTGGATGCAATGCGAGGGCAGCGGGCTGTCATCGCCTGTGTCAACAGTGACTCGAGTGTTACTTTGTCAGGTGACAGAGATGTCATTACTGATCTGCAGAATGCTCTCGATAAAGAAGGAATCTTTACTCGCAAGTTACATGTCGATGTTGCGTACCATTCTCATCACATGCAAAAGGTTTCGCAGCAATATCGCTCTTTACTTGGAAAGATTGCACCTCGCCTGTCCAGCATTCCATTCCACTCAACTGTCCATGGCAAACTAGTCCCTGGAACCACATTGGATGCTTCTTACTGGGTAGACAATTTGGTTTCCCGGGTTGATTTTGTGAAGGGAGTCCAGAGTCTTCTAACATCAACTGATTTGACCGGTAAAATCGATACTCTCATTGAAGTCGGTCCGCACCCTGCTCTCCAGAACCCTGTGAAGGACATCGTCAAGTTACACGACGCAAAGCGCACGATGCACTTTGCACATACCCTCCAGCGAAAGATGGATGGTATCGAAGCGGTTCAGCAACTCGCAGTTGCAATGTTCAACCGGGGCATGAATCTGAACTTTGAGGCCATCAACTTTCCCAACACATCAACAAGACAGCGTCAAGTCCTGACAAACCTTCCAACTTACCCCTGGAATCATGGCGAGAAGTACTGGTTTACCTCGCGAGTGGCGAAAAATATCCTTCACAATCCATTTCAACGGCATGATATTCTTGGCTCGATCACCAGGGACAACATCGATCTTGAGCCTCGATGGAGGAACATCATTCGCGCAGACGATCATCCATGGATCAAACAACACAGAGTTCAGGGCAATAATATTTACCCCATGACTGGATTTTTGGCAATGGCAATGGAGGCCATTTCGCAACAGGCACAACTGCATCACTTAGTGCCCGGGAAGATCGAACTTCGGGACATTTCCATCACCCGCATGCTTATGATCCCGGACAACGCGTCCGTGGAAACGATGTTTACTCTGAGACCATCTCGGGCGGATTCTGGAAAGTCAGTGCTCGACTGGCATGAGTTTAAGGTCTTTTCCTGGGCCGAGAGTCGGGGATGGGACCAACATTGCAGTGGTCTGGTTATGGTCCATGAAAAGAAGGACACAAACCCAGTGAACGGTTCTCGTCAAGAAAGTGTCATGGAGCGAGATCTTAGGCGGATGGCAGCGGAACTACAAGCCGCCTGCACCAAGCCAATCGATTCAAAGGTTCTTTATGAAGATATCAGCAACGCCCGTGTTCAATATGGTTCGCTATTCCAAGGCCTGTCCAACATTTTTGTTAGCCCAAAACATCAAGCAGTGGCTAGCTTCCAAGTTCCAGATACAAAGTCCTGCATGCCTAACGGATGTGAGACTGATTGCATTGCTCATCCAGCGACTATCGATCTTTGCTGTCAGTTGATGTGGGTTATGACAGGCTATGGCCAACCAGGCCAGAAGCAAACCTACGTTCCCTCTCACCTCGACCGTGTCACGCTAAGTTTAGATCATAAGCTTAGCGCTGGTACTTCCTTGCAGCTTTTCGGATCTCGTTCAGGAATGGAATCTGTCAGCATGCCGGAGAGCAACCGCATTGTTGCTTCCAGTGCAAGCAATGCCAATGACGTTGTTATGGAGCTAAATGGAATGACCCTCTTATCTATCTCCGATGACACTGTGGGAAGCAAGGATAATGCTCCGGACTCTATGTGCTATAAGATACACTGGGAGCCTTGCTTTGAGTTCCTCTCGGCTGAGGGGTATCAACGGCTGCCTCGCGGCCAAGTTGGTGATGGTAAGGGAGGACAGAGAACGCAACGTTTGCAAGAAACGTCAGTTCATTGGCTTCGGGAGGTGATCAAAGCTGTCCCCGAAGAAGAGTTTTCCACCCTCCAAAACCACCACCAGAAGTTTTATCGCTGGGCCCAGAAGACATGTCAAGAGACTCCTATTTGTGAGATGTCACCTGAGGCTATCGAGGAAGTGCGAAACTCCAATGGTGCCGGAAGGCTGACATGTTATGTTGGCGAGCGCCTTCCTGATATTCTTCGCGGAAAGCTCGACGCGCTCACCCTTATGCTCGAGGATGACCTCCTTGAAGAGAATTACAAAGACCTAGACAATCTACGGGAATCTTATGCTCATGCAGCAGTCTGCATTGACAAAATGGCCCATCAGAACCCAAATATGAACATTCTTGAGATCGGTGCTGGAACTGGAGGTGCTACTTTACCCATCTTGGAAAGTCTAGGTGGCCGTGAGCCAGGATCTACGCCAAGATTCGGCAATTACACTTATACAGATATCTCACCGGGATTTTTTGAAAAGGCCAAGAGCAAGTTTGAAGCCTGGAGCCATCTCATCACCTACCAAACTCTCGATGTTTCAACCGACCCTATGGCTCAAGGATGCAAGCCCGATACTTACGACCTGGTAATCGCCTGCAATGTTTTACATGCGACTTCCAACATTAATGAGACCATGGCAAACATTCGGTCCGTCATGAAGCCTGGTGGCAAGATCTTACTGATTGAAGAGACAACCACCTCAGCCGTGCACTTCCCATTTGCTCTCCTCACCGGGTGGTGGCTTGCCAACGACAAGATCCGGCAGAATGGACCGCTTCTTACTGAGGAGGGATGGTCTAATGTCATGAAAGCAAATGATTTTACTGGCGTCGAGCTTTCTGTGCAAGCATACCCAGGCGCCTCCTATCAGAGCGGGTCCGTCATGGTGTCGACAGCGAACGTTGTGCAAACAGGCCCTACAAACCCTGGAGAGATTGTCATCATAGGTGGTGATTCTATCGGCAGTGTCTCATCATTGAGTCTTGAAGCTGGCTTGAAAGAGATGACGAATGTGGTGCCAACGAGTGCCACAGATTTGAGCGCAGCTGATGTAACTGATAAATGGTGCATCTTCTTGGGTGGCATGGACAGAAGTATTTTGTCTCATCTCACCCCCGAAAAGTTTCAGGAATTCCAGCGTCTTACCACTCGTGCAAGAGGTATACTGTGGGTTGTTCGTCACAGAAAATCGGACCCCCAATCTCTCGGTTCCAATATGGCTATCGGCTTGGCGCGAACTGTTCGTTCTGAAACGGGCCTACAGTTTGCGACTCTCGACTTGGGAGAGAAGGAGAGTGTCCCCGACGCGGAAGCTGTAACCCACATGCTGAAGGTATTTGACAGTATCTTCTGTCATAAATCAAAGCTCAACCAGGGGGATATGGAATTTGTCATTCGTGACGGGCATTTGTGCCTGCCTCGCTTGCTTGACAACCATGTTCTCAACTCGAGCGTCCAACTCGAGACAGATGATGCTCCTCCACAGATGCAGCCATTCAAGCAAGACAGAGCACTCCGACTTACTGCTGGACAGGGTCGTGTGCTAGATGAGCTGCATTTCACTGATGACACCTCGCGAGATGTGCCGCTCCCGGATGATTATATCGAGATTAGGATCCATGCCACTGGACTTAACTTCAGAGATGTATTGATGGCTATGGGCCAGCTTCGTGGCGATAAGCTTGGTCAAGAGTGCAGTGGAATAGTGTCCAAGGTCGGAGCCGCTGTAAGAGATTTCAGCGTAGGAGATCGAGTGAGTGCTATGTCTCCAGGATCGCTTTCAACGTTCACGCGTTGCCATTTTACATCGGCGTGGGTCATTCCGTATGATATGCCATGGCAGATTGCAGCATCAATTCCTGCAGTATTCACAACGGCTTTCTATTCCCTCATTGAACTGGGACGGTTGACCGAAAGCGAGAGTGTTCTTATTCATGCGGCCGCTGGTGGAGTAGGACAAGCATCCATCATCATCGCTCAGAAGATTGGTGCCAAGATATTTGCAACCGTTGGAAGTGTCGAGAAGAAGAACTTCCTCATGAAGACCTATGGTCTGAAGGAGGAACAGATCTTCTATAGCCGTGACCTTTCATTTTCTCGAGGCATTCTCGATGCTACTGGTGGAGAGGGCGTGGATGTTGCCTTGAACTCGCTCAGTGGAGATGCTTTGCAAGCCACCTTCGAATGTGTTGCTCCATTCGGACGATTCATTGAGCTGGGCAAGCGCGATATTAGCCAGAACTCCCGACTCGAAATGGCTCACTTCAACCAAAATCTTACCTTTTCCTCCGTGGATCTGGGCGTTGTGAGAGAGAAGAATCCCAAACTGACAAGGAAGCTGATGCGCGAGGCGTTTTACACTTTTGCCAGTACAAATGCCCAGTCGCGCTGGCCTATCACCGTGATGCCAATTTCTGAAGTCGAGAAGGGATTGCGAGCTCTACAGGGTGGCCAGGTTATTGGAAAGTTGGTTGTCGAAATGACAGATGATGCCAAGGTCAAGGTATGAAAATATCCCGCTTTTTCCATATGCAATACGTGAGAGTAATACTAATTGCGCTGCAGGTTCACCCGGCAAGAAAGGAAGAGAAACTACTTCGTGCTGACGGTACTTATATTGTTGTGGGAGGTACTAGCGGTATTGGACTTGATCTCGCCAGCTGGATGCCCCAAAAAGGAGCGAAGCACATTGTCCTTGCCTCCAGAAGTGGTGCTTCTACTGAGGCCGCTCAGAAGGCAATTCAAGATCTCACCCGTCAGGGCGTTACTGTGGAAGTGTGCCGATGTGACATCTCTAACCCACAAAGTGTCGAACAAAACATGATACCAATACTGAGCCGACTACCTACTGTTCGCGGTGTTGTCTATGGCGCGATGGTTCTTCGGGTAAGCCTTCCTTCTAACTCTCGAAAGTTCATCAACTCATCATTAAAATAGGACACGCTCTTCGAAAAGCTTACGCACGAGGATTTTGAGGCTGTCATGAAGCCCAGAGTCCATGGAATTTGGAACTTGCAAAACACGTTGCAGAGTGCCAATGTGAAAGCCAGTCTAGACTTCTTCATCACACTGTCTTCTGCAGCCAGTTTTGTTGGAAATCTCGGCCAGTCACCATATGCCGCCAGTGGAACTTACATGGCCGCATTAGCTGCCTACCCCCAGGTTGCAGGCATTCCGTGCACAACGATCGATCTCCCAGTCGTACGTGGTGTCGGGTATCTATCTGACGATGCCAAGCGCGAGCTTATCACGGCTTCATTGGGCACAGAATCCATAGATGCAACTAACATCCGAGGTCTCGTCGCTGCAGCAATGCGAAATGAAATGCTGGAGACCTGCGAAGGCCACTGTGTTGTCGGTTTTGACGGTGTCAAAAAACAACCTGTCTCCGAGCAGCCATTCTGGATTCAAGACGTCAAACTTGCACAACTTCTCCGTTTATCCACACTGGCGGGATCTGGTGGCCCAACTGACGGAGGTGCATCCAACGATCAGGTATCCCCAGCAACGGCCCTTCGCCAGTGTCAAAGTCGCGAAGCTGCTGAGGCTATCGTGGTCACTGCCCTGGCGGAGAAGATCTCCAGCATCCTCATGCGACCTCTGGAGGAGCTGGACCCCGCCGCCCCGATTACAGTGTACGGATTGGATTCACTTGTGGCGATTGAGATCAGAAACTGGATTACGCGAGAATTTGAATCGAGCATGCAGGTCCTTGAAATTCTTGCTGGTGATTCTTTACCCGCTCTTGCTGAGCATATTCTGAGGAAGTCGGGAACTCTTGCCCCCAAGGTGAAAACGGAGTGGGGACTTGATGTTCCAGAGTCACGGGCCGCCTAGGTCTTGAAAGGCTTGCTGTGGGTTACTTGTGGTTTAATTGCGAGCCAAGTTTGTATTACTTGACTTTTTCCTTTTTTTTTTTTTTTTTTTTTTTTGTACTTGATTATATGTAGCACAAAGATTGAATTCACAGTATACATGTTGAGATTTTCCGTGTGTAGCTGCAGCATCGCATCCCAAACCTCATGCAACTTAAGACGAGATAGAAGGCGAAGTGCGCTGAGTGCAATCAAAAGGCTCATCAACAAACCAAGTATCATGCTGCTTATCATAGACAATCGGGTAATTCTGCTTGGGATCGCAGAGCTGATCAATCTGAGACCGCTCCCCAGAGCTAATAGTGAACCAATACATATTGGTATCATGGCTGATTTTCTCACACTTGTAGAAGAAACCAATAACACCAGGTCCAAACACGTCGTTTCGGAAGTTGGTAGCCAGCTTTCGATTCAAATTGATATTTTCACAGTCCTCAAACAAGCCCTGCTCGTTTGCGACATCGGCTTTTTCGGTGGTGAATCCCTTTGCGTTGTGGGTGCCGTTGGCAGACCAAGTGTAAATTGGCAGTGCGAGTGACTGGGCAACGCTGTCCAGAAGCAGGCTTTGGGGGACAAGCATTGCAGAGCAACTGGTACCCAGGAACATGAGGCTGAGGGCCCCTATGGCAATGGAGCGTGGAGAGAACATGGTAGGAATTGAGTAGATGGAGGTGTGGATGGTTAAGGAGATTTTGGAAGATGCGACTGGATTGCTTTATAGATAATTCGACACTACGGAATTCTGTCTCCACTTCTTTTCGTATTGCAAAGTTACCCAAAGCGTTGTAGAGCGAGGGCATTGGGATGATGTAACGGACCGCTTCTGATCCTGGAAATGGGTGTCATAAGCGCGGTTATGCACCCTGGAAACGGCCCGGGGGAATGATCGACACTGCCAAGCGCATGGACTGGCTTCCCCAGGTTTGGACTAGTGAGGCATGGGTAGGTAAAATGAGAGTACTTATTACTTTCATTTAAGTCTAAATGATTCTGTTCTGTTCGCAATCGCGTACTTTGTTTACTAAAATTCAGGAATATGCTTGCGAACCATTCTTCTGCAAGCGTCCTATCTCTCGACGTACCCTTGTAGAGCCTGTAGAGCCCGTGCAAGGATAACGCTTGGCTCGTGCTCCTCACCTTCTTCATGACACTCCTGCAACTCCAAGTCGAAAACATGATCAGCTCCTGGTACCGCGTAATACTGCACCCCAATCCCATTCTCCTGCAGCTTCGCAGCCAGCTTCTCACTTTCGCCACAAGAAACTTCTGTATCTGCACTTCCATGCACAATAATAGTTGCTGGAAAACCAGAACCAAACAAGCCCCACTGAAGCGGGAAAAGTATTTTCATGCGCTCATCATCCACTGCATTTTCCAACCCAACACTCAAGGATCTCTCCCCGAACCCAGATACCCCCGTCAAATAATCCAGAAAGACCCCTTTACCCAGAATAGCGTAAAGTAAGGGTAAGCGTTTCCTTGTCCGGAGTTCTTCTTCAGATGATGGGAAATCCTCCCCGACACTGATATTCCCTTGCGCAATCCTTCGGGGGATCTCCTCTAGTAACTGTTGCGCTGTAGCTGCATCCACCGTCACTCCGGGGAGCGAGACGCTCTGTGCCCATTTTTCGCTTCCGATGTCCGACATCGGATAGAGGAGCCAAAGCGCTTTAGGACGCGGGATTCTATTCCTTTGCTGTGATGATGCGAACGAAAAGTGCAGCGCAGTGACCAAGGCGCACCAGCCTCCGGCACTGGCTCCACCGATGATTATATTGCTAAGGTCTTCATTGCAATCCGGGTGGAGGCGGTTGAGGGAACCTGCAACCCATTCATAGGCCGAAATTAGATCTTCAGTTGTAGCAAGACCGGTACATTCCGGCAAAACCCTGTAGTCTGGTGATACTACTGTCCAGCCATGAGCAAGGGCGTGGTTGAGAAGCCAGCGGGGAATCGCGATGCGGCTGCCTGTGACCTGATGATGTTGATGCTTAGGCCTTTTTCAAGAAAGTCAGGGTATTGGTGTAGGGAACGTACGAGATAGCCACCATGAAACCACAAGAGAACGGGCTTGGGCGTATTAGACCCTTCATTGCTTGTGGATAGGTACACGTCAAGATGAAGATCTGTGGTGAGATGGGTTTTATAGACATGGGTATGTTTCATGTATGGCCTGAACGCCATATTCGTGGTGAGTGAATGCACGGGCCCTGAAAGATTTCTTAGGGGTTTCCTTGCGCTGAGGGTCAGTTCTTGAGGACTTGAATGATCATGAAATAGCTACGTGGCCTGACTTTGAATATGAATCCTACTAATCTTTTCGGGGTGGGGGGAGAAGAGATTGGGCTGGGGCCGCGAGAGACCCGACCGGTGCGGCAAAGTAGGCCGGCGAGATGACTACCAAATATGCAGACGAACAGCCTTATGTCGGATGGTGGATAGCTACAAGGCCGAAAGATGATTTATTGGCCTAGATGGGCGACCCACCGCCTACGCGCCCCCGGGGTGTAAACAAATCAGCTACCTACTGCCTATCTAATCTATTTAGATCCTCGTTTGCTTCTTACCTAATGGAACAGTCTAAAGCTAATAAAGCAACCCTTTCGATGCCGGGGAGAAATACTAGAAGCCTAGGCGTGGCCACTATGAATTTCAATGGATCAGAGGTAAACTTCTGGGCAGGGAAACATTCATTCTGCTAACCAAATATGTTTTGTTCGTTCTTGCGATCATTCACCACCGTAAATTGGGCATCCTGCTTATCTGTGTGGAGTCTGACTTTTCACTGCTGCCATATTCTGGGATCTGATTCCGTTCAAATTCTTGTCCTTTTGTTTTCTGGTTATTGTAGCCTCCGCCGATCTTGACACCAATTATGGTAACAGGCCTTACCAGCTGGCGTTAATCATCAATGCTAGTGAGGAGTGATGATACCCTGCAACGGACTTCCAGAACGCCCATGAGTGTAAGAATTGGGATGTGCGTTACGAATGGCAGAAGGAACGTTCGGTCGGTAGAACTATACTACAAGACTTTAAATTCTTAGTTTATAGAGACCGATGTAAAGTGGAGTTGAAGAAGTAAGTGAGATTATCAGTTATCATCACATACCCCTCATTTCTTCGTATGCACAATTCGGTCCGATTCTCAATTTGGGGGCTATAAAGCATTCACGGATAGAGAGGAGATAATTTGAACGGCTGGGCTGATGTTTATTCTAAAGCTGAGTGATAACTCACATATGTTCGTCGATAATTAGTTCGCGGGCATTAATTCGCTTATAGTGACAGGGGATTCTGTGCTCAGCTAAGATGACGTGCCAAGAGGCTGGCTGATCGGGGTAGCTGTCTTCCCCACGTTCCCATTCTCTCTGGAATCCCAGCCATAATAATTCAATATTCAAAGTATCTAAAGCAATATTCGTTATTCCAGTCGTCATCTTGGTACTCGCATAGGCTCATCTGAAAGCGGAAGAAATCTCCACTTCAAGCCGCAGTCAATACAATGGGCCTACCCATTTTTGGTGCGGGGACGGAGAATGATCCAAAGCCATCTGAAGGTGAGAGTTGTATGTATACCTAGATTGAACATGACTTTGACTATATTAGATCCAAATCCCGCACCCATTTCAGACCAAAGGCTAAGAGATAAGCCCGGTGGCTTCACTCAATTTTTGTTTATGGTGATGGGCTTTGAGGTTCTGCTTCAACATCGCACAATGGGTGGAATGGGAACAAAGGGAAAGAGTTATTGAGAAGAAATATGTGTCGATGGGGAAATGAACATCGCGATGGAAATAAGTTTGGAATATGAGCGCTGAGCTTGGGATCTCCGAGGTGCTGTTGAATAAGCGGCAGCTCCCTTGATAATGACAAGCTTTGATTTTGAATATATGCAATTGTCACAATGCTATAACGTTGCATCAAACTGGAAAGCTCCGTTTACTCGTATACTAAAATTTTCGTTTACCTAAGAAGCAGAAAATCTCTACTTTCTAACATCTAAACTGTGCTGCGAACCCCAGCCCCCCGATAATGTTTTAGGCAATTATAACGTGTAGCAGGGATAAGTCCTGCCAGAATTCTCGTGGCAGTTACAGACCTTTTGAGAACAAAGAGAAGTTAGCTTAATTTGGATCTTGATCTTCTAGCATGAAGTGATATTTCGAATTACATCTGTCAAATTTAATTAAGTAGTAGTCTACTTCGGGGCCAGGCATGAAAAACAGACGTTGGGAAAGCTGCGACCAGTGTCTAATCCAGTGAGAACCATATCCATCATTTCACCACGCACCAAATTCTCATACACCGCGGTCACTCTACTGCCTATGGTTTTCTTGTCGTCCGTTGGAAGGCCCTGTCGCGCGTTATACAAAGGATCATCCTTCAAACCGCAGTGCAGAGGAATATTGAGCTTTGAGCGGACCCAAGTGTAGAGTTGGGCGGATCCATCACCCAGCTTGGTAGCTACCTCTGCAGGAGTGATTGTCGGACTGGGATAAAACATAGCGTCGGCTGTTCTTTGAACGGCTGCTCTGAAACGCATTTTAAATGCAGCAAGCATTGACACTGAACAGTCAAATTCAGTCGCAGCCAAGAAGTCAGTGACAGGTGACATCACGGCATCGACAACGTGTGGTATACGTTCTTTCCACGTGTTAGAATTCCAGTGATACCAGGTTGACTCAATGAGAGGCTGTAGTGATTGGACGAGCGTCACAATTTGTGATGCGTCTAATCCTAGATCATGCATTGCACCGTCGGATGTATTGTTCTTCAAGTTTTCATGAAGTGCTGACAGGAATCGCATATGGTTTGCGCGCATTTCGACGGCTTGGCATGACACGTAGATATGGCAGGCACTCATGTGGGCGACCAAGTCCGCAGCTTCCATGGTACGCCTCGCTGAGACTAGAGCCAGCGAATTAATACCCTGATTATGCATTTCGGCAGACATGACATGAGCAGAAACGGGATGCGCCAAAGCCGCCAGCTCGGACATGTACGCTGACATGTTGACATCGACTCCCTTCATGGTATAATTCTCATGGTCGCTAGGGTTGAGATTGGCCTCTAGTCCATTATTTGTGTGAGGCCCAATGATCTCGGTAACTTGAGACCACAGCATACGGCCAATCATTTGAAGGGCTAGGCGTGTCTTGTCCATGGCAGAAGTGATCGCGGCGGCCTGGAAGTTGCCGCCCGAGTAGACTTCTCCACCACCTTGTTCCATAGGGTTGACAATGGGATTGTCAGAAGTGGAATTGAGTTCGACTTCCAATTGATGTTGTGCGAGAAGAAGGTCTTCCAAATACGGTCCAATCCACTGCGGTGCCGTTCTTGTCGAATACCGATCTTGCCAGAGCCCTTCACCAGTTCTCTTTTTTGACTCTAGACCATCAACAAATTTGGAACCGTTCAGGAAACGTCGGATGTTGCTAGCTGCCTCGATCTGACCAGTGTGGGGACGTGCGGCATGGATAAAAGGCTGAGCCCATTCGACATTACCACCCATACACTCCGCAGCAAAGGCTGTGAGCATCTGCGCGAGGAGGGCAAGTTGTTGCGCATCATAGAGTACCAAACTTGCCACTGCTACCGAAGGTGCAGTGCCGTTGATAAGACCAAGTGCTTCTTTCGGACCCAGTCCTGACGGTGAAAGACCACTCTCTTTCAAAGCTTCCGATGCGGGTATGACTCTAGCATCTTTGCCTTTGCCTGCCTGCACAAACACGTCTGGGTTACCGGCAATGGCTCCTGCAATATAAGACATGGGCATGAGATCTCCGGATGCAGATATAGTTCCTCTGAGAGGAACCATGGGGGTTATATCGTGGCGCAACAAATCTAGTAAGCTCTGAAGAACACACAATCGCACAGCGCTATGTCCCCGAAGATTCTGATTGGCTCGGGCGACAATTGCGCCGCGAACCCAGGCAGGAGGCATGACGTGGGAGGGTTCTCGTTCCGAATTGCTGGCGGGATCCTTATCCGCTGCTGTGATAATCGCGCTCTGGGTATGTTGCAGTAAATGGACCTGCAAATCGAGGACATCACTGGTCCTCGTGTCGGCACTCCCTCCAAATCCGGTATTCACTCCATAGACCACGTACTGATTTGCTAGATAGTCCGCGAGGGTGTTGACGCTGAGCTCGAGTCGCTTCGCAAGGTGTTCGTCGGTGCTTATCTCAGGCTTGACCCCATGGCGGGCAACTGCAATGACGGAGGCAATATCCAGATTGTTTCCATCGAGGACAATTGGTTTAGTTTGTTCCTTCAACTCCTGCAATTGTTTCCAGATGCGAAGCGTTGCTTCTATATGAGGGGTCATGTTGGTCCCAGTCATGATGCGTGAAGATTCAGACAAAGAGAGATGTCGAGATGAATCTGTGAGTTTCGTATTCCTCGGGGAAGACAAACTTTATATCTGTACCTGGCTCTCAGCGATGATGATTTCGGTGGGTTCAATTGGAGGTTTCCGCTGCAAATTAGTTCCGCCTCCCTAAACCGCGAATGAAAGTGTAAAAGCAAACCTATAATGTCAGAGACGAAAAAGAAAATTGGAAGAAGTCAGCTTCATGTCAGCTCCTCCCGTTTCTAACCGTCCTGAGTCTCCATTAACTTTGCGGGCCCAGATGCCAAATGGATCCACAATTAAGCCGCCTTTGGCCTCGCGCCCCCACCGCATGATCATTCACAGAAGGTTGCAACGTGTTTAAGGATTTCAAGTTCAGTTCCCTAGAATTTTCACGTATTAGCGACTGACTAGCTTCATTTTGGATGGGAATTTGAACATGTGTGAAAGCCACGCTCACCGCTATTTCCTCCAGCTCTTGAGGTCCGAGCCAGAAATTGACATTTGCATATGCACCCTGTTGCCTCTCGTATTTCCCAAAATTCTGGCCGACCCGAAAGCTAAATGCAGACATCGTTTGTTGCAGCCGGTAAAGCTACTGGCTCCGTATGCGAGTCATTACAAAAGGAAGATCAATGCCTGCAATAGCACATTTATCTTCAGTCCAGTGTGTATGCTAATGCAGATAGAAATCAATGTCTCGACAGATGATTTATGCTTTGGGATTTCTGGAGAAGGGCAACTTGCTGAGCCAGTTGTCTGAGGGGCATCAACTTTCCTTCATCCTATTCCTACACCTCTCGCCCAATTGCCCAATCGCCCAAATTTCAGTGTTGACTCCAGAGCTTGCTAAGAATCGTATGAGATTTAACTTGACACTCAACGCCTTCATAGTAGTTCCATAAACAAAAAGTGAAGAATAAAAAGGCTACCAAACGAAAGATAATTCCAAACAAGGAAGAGCATTCTTATAGTCCTGTGAGCTTCGATGTTACCTCAAAAGATGCTAAGAACAACTTGGGATGCTATTTGTACCCCGGTTTTGGTAGTTGTACCTCAATCTAGCTTATGGCAACTCGGTTCTGCTACATTTACCTCGGTCTTACTAATTGTACGCCCCCGTAAAATGGCCATACAGTTTGATCTGTGGCTTACCCCTTACTTCCTTCCCGTCCCTTGCTTCTTTGCCCGGTTTATGTCGAGTGCACTGCACATACTGTCGTCTTCCAAAGTCTCGGTAAATATGGCGTGTCCAATTGCGGAGCTGCTTCTTCCAAAATGTTGACGTAGCATAATGATAGTCATTTATATGTAAGACTTTTCGGCGGTCAGTAAGGAGCGGATCGCACCTTATCTTCCCACCTGATAAAGCCACTCGAACTCGCATGCAAGTATTTATTATGATACCTAAGTCAAGTCCTGATCCAAGGCTGTCACCTGGAAGAATTTCCTGTCGTGTACGACTTCATTCAAGCGATATAAAGCCTCCATACCCACTCATACCTGTAGCCATGGCCACTCCTTGTGAAATTACCATTGATAAGCTCAATGGGAATTGAATTATGGTAAATGGGAATGTTCTCGGTCACGTTCAAACACCAAATAGCTAAGAAATATACTTCTAGAACAAAAAGCTGTCAAGTGAGATAGATCCCATCTTCAAGCTGGTACATAAATTCAGAACGCAATCTCACTCCCATCAGACGACTAGCGAAGACAAATTTACGTCGAAACTAAAAAGTGTAGCAAGGAGTAAGATATATTTTCCGCAAAGCCATCGCTCTCACAGATGTTTGCCTCAAAATCTCCACATCTCACTCCCCGGGATCCGGAGCTACAACCAGGTAGACCCAAAACCATAATCGAGGTTCGGCAGACCCCAGCAATCGGCAATATGGTTTCAACTACAGAAAGACGCACGCCAGACTGGGAAGAGAGTCAGCACTCAGACTAAGTTTTCGGAAAGGTGAAGTGCTGGAGTAGGTTTGTGCGAGGTTCCCCTGGTGTCGAGGATACTGGTGGCGTAAGACCTGTGTTTGAAGTACAAACAAAGTCACCAGATGCAGATGTTAAGCGATTCTTGAGAGGAGAGATTACTCCCGGTGAAGTAGGAACCCCCACCCCTGTTGGAGGCTTCCTTGTGGAAGAGCCTCAGAGTCACTTGGGTCAGAACCAGGGTCAGGGGTTGTGGGTGCATACGGTTGAAAGGAGTGTAGAGTCGGATTGGGAAGTGGAGCAGGTAAGCCATCAACGATCCTCGTAATTCATTGCGGTGAGACTAGTTCAAGAGTCGCTGATATCAATTGAATTCTCGTAGATTTGGGGATTCGATATGATTCATGGGCAGCGGTACTTGACGCGTAGGGAAATTGTTTCAGCCGATGCAGGTAGAATTTATATCTGTGGGAGATCGTTTTCGACTTTGATAGGTAGATCAGCTGCATATCATTGTGGTTCGCGTTCAAAAATGGTTCAAAGAGTTCTTTCTTAACCGCTGAGAGCACGACCAACTCGGGAAGTTCTTTCCAAGTAGTCTAACTCCCCTGCAAGCAGCCACCTCACACTCTGACTCCCATTCTCTGTCGCAACAGATCCTGCCTATCTTTTTCCTCATTGGATTGTGTCAGGGCGTGTTGATTCGACGATGGATTTTCAATTAACTTCACATAATGATCATCTACCAATTGAAGGATGTTAAACAACCAACCGTACTATCAGCTCAGCTCAAGATTCAATGGAAGCTTTCTGCGGTACACAATTGGTTGGAAACCTGCGACCGTCCGACTCGTCGAAGATATCCGGAGATCGAACTGTTCGCGGGGCCAATCACCATGATCGCCATTATCATCGCCCCTATCCACCCGCATTAATCCGCGTTAAGGTTTGTGAGATCGCGGCCCCCATATCATTATCGCGTGCCCCAAGATCCGCCACGGTGACCTCCGACAACCTTATTCAATCAGTCTTGGCTTGCTGATTGACTCTCTTAAAACTTGACCATGGAGATCTCCGACGAAATTCCATCCCCTTTTTTCATCCTGATAACCAGTTGATAGAGAGTGCATCATATAATCGCCAGTGCAAGCATTGTTCACCACATGCCCCGATGACCGCCTTTTGATTTACCATGAGTTAAGGCCTGAAAACTACCATCGCTACACTATGTATATTGTGGGTCGAGGGTCAAAATCAGCCTATGATTCTGGGCCTCAGCTTCTTAGGGATGTCTGGGCTCTTACGGCCGTTGCCATTGTGGCTATTTTCTTGAGATTCATTGCTAAATTGAGAGTTGGGAAATTCGGACCGGATGATTTAATTATGGGCTTTGCACTGGTTAGCATACCTTTTTCTATCAGCTAGATGCTCTCAGAGTGCAGAATAATCAAGCACCCTTTTTGTCGTTCTAAATTGACTTCTGAGTTCATTGCAGTGCTTATCCACGGTCGGATCTATCATGATTACCCTCGGCATCCAGCATGGGTTTGGCCAAGAGGTAGGGAATATTAGTGCCGCCAATGTCCCCAAGGTTATCATGTTCGATTACCTTGCGCAGACCTTTGCGCTGGCAGGCGGGGCGTTGGGGCGGATTTCATTCATTGTTTTTGTCATTGGACTGCTTGTCTCAAAACAATGGCACCGAATTGTCTTTTGGATACTGGTCGCATTGCAGCTCATTGTAAACTCGATGTTCATCATAATTTTGTTTGTGCAATGCCCGGGGCACGCGTCAGCTATCTGGGAGCACTCCGAGAAATCAAAATGTTGGAATACAAAGGTGCAAGCGTATTATGGATATTTTCAAGGAGGTAAGAAACCATTAATCTATTGACCTGAAAAAAGTGATTCAATATTGACTTCATCTTAGCATTCAATTCAGCAACAGATCTGTATCTTGCTGTCTTCTCAACCTGCATATTCTGGAGCTTGAATCTCAAGTTAAGGGTGAAACTGGGATTGGTCACTTTGCTTGGCCTGGGTATTTTGTGAGTACCCACCGCTGGAGTCGCATTAAGAGCCCGACCAATTGAAAGTAATACGAGTCAATAATACAGTGCAATGGTTGCCGCCATCATACGAACCGTCCAGACACGCGTACTAGCATCCTACGATATCGACCCAACCATTGCGACGATAGATTACGATCGATGGCTGTATATTGAGACTTACCTGGTGATCATCACGGCCTCCATTCCATTTCTTCGATCTCTAGTACGCTCGATGAAAAGTCAATCAACGAGCCGCAATACGCATGAGCTAAGCTCTCCTTACGTGGTTAGCTCCAATACACACACCATCCGGACCAGAAAGCGTGACTCTTCGGATGGGAAACGGATAATTGATGTATCTGAAGGCAATGCGAGTAACGACGCCTTTCACAGTGACGGCCATGATGATATACACGAATCAAGATATTCGAGGGAATCTGCTTTGAATTGTGTTTAAACTTTTTCTAACTAGCGAACGGATTAATAAGATGAATATAGGTCGGAAGTCATTCAAAGGACCTCGGGAGTTGGTAGTTGTGTTTTCGTAAGCTTTCCAAGTTTGACTCGGCACAAGGAGTATATTCGGCATTCATAGCTCCCTTGCAGTCGTCAGCGGACAAGTCATTCCTCTGAGTGATGCTGACTTTCACAGCCGGGCTCAAAATGTTCTGCAGGATCTCATTTCACGTCGGCTCTGTTGTCCATGTTCGAAAGTTTGAATTGCAATGCCCTGATCGAATTTCCCGAGATATTACGACCCTCGGGTTTGCCGCGACACCCGGATGTCCACATCCGACAATAGATGATCTTACTCATTTTGTGGCTGTTTACGTTGCAGAATCAAGAGTCTAGAAGTGTCGGTGACGGTCGGCAATTGATTTCTGCTGCCGACGGCATTTGCAAACCGAGAGGCTAGGAAGTGAAATTGATACCAACTTGAAGTAACTTTTGCAATTAGGGCACGCTTCCCCAGATGACCCAGATGAGGTGAAATAATTTCGACGCGCAACCCCGTGGGGACAAGCCGTCAGACAACAATGCGAGCTCTCCAGATTTATGTACCTCACAACAGTAGATAGAGGCCAGAAAGTGGACCAACGGACGGAGAAATTCAAAATATTCCACCAACCATACAGCTTAATTTTAAGCTTCTTGGCAGCCGAGGAATTGTGCCATCCACCCGACGCAGGCCAATCAAACTGCCCATGAAGCGGCCTCATGCCATGCGCTAGGAAGCCATAAGACCCTAAGATTGACGGAAAAATTGGCGATAGGCCAGGATCGTTTCTTCCACCACTCATCCCCGCCCCCGCCCCCGGCCATGCATCCTCGATGTGGCTCCATCCGACTGCTAACCCTGGTCCACTTGCGCCATAAGCACCTATATGCGGGTCTTAGCAGGTTATGTGTTGCACTCGATGATGATGCTAATCAGTAGCCGAACATGTCGATCAGCTTTTTGGCCCACTGGTACCGTTGCGGGGATTGAGACTAGATTGCTAGATCAATTATAAAAAGCCACCATCCGGGGCCCCTTATTTCTTTCTCCCAAACTCTGGGGAACCCGTATACGGCCGGCCGTTTATCAGCTTTTCCCTTCTGATTTTCTAAGTTCTTCAGTGAGGCCTACTCACAACCGACAAAATGGCTCCTCGCGCATTCAAAAATTACCGTGTCTACATCCTTACGGCAGTAGCATACCTAGGATCTCTGCTTTTCGGTATTGCACTTTCCATTGCCCATGCTTACACCGGCACTAACCAAGGATGAATAGGATATGACACGGGTGTTATGAGCTCCGTCCTAGCTATGGACAGCTTCAAGGAAGATTTCGGCCTCCCGCTTTCAACATCCGGATTCGCCTCTGACAAAAACGCCCAAGTTTCATCCAATGTCGTCAGTCTCCTGACAGCAGGATGTTTTTTCGGCTCGATTTTCGCGGCCTATATCAATGACCGTATTGGTCGTCGCTACTCGCTTATGATCTTCTGCTCAATCTTCCTGGTTGGTGCCGCAATGCAAGTCGGCGCACACCACCACATCGGTCTTATTTATGCAGGTCGTGTTGTCGCTGGATTGGGTATTGGCGGTATGAGCAGCATCACACCTGTCTTTGTAAGCGAAAATGCTCCTAGCCGGTATCGCGGTAGAATCGCTGGGCTATTCCAGGAGTTCCTGGTCATCGGTAGTACCTTTGCCTACTGGCTGGATTATGGCGTTGCGCTGCACATCCCAAAAAGTACCCGGCAGTGGCGGATTCCTGTGGCAATTCAGCTTGTCCCTGGTGGACTCATGCTTATTGGACTTTTCTTCCTTAAGGAGTCTCCCCGCTGGCTTATGTCGAAGGGAAGGCAGGACGAGGCACTTCTCTCGCTGTCTTACATACGAAATGAGCCTCAGGAAAGCGAGGAAGTGCAGAAGGAGATTGCGGAGATTTACGCGGCGATTCAAGAGGAGACACTTGCCACTGAGGGCGTTACCTGGAAGGAGTGCTTGGAGAAGAGTAACCGTTACCGGTTCTTCTTGGCTTTCGTGATCATGTTCTGGCAGCAATTCTCTGGAACCAACAGTATTGGATACTATGCTCCTCAGATCTTCGAGTCCATCGGTGTTAGCTCGACCAACTCGTCACTATTTGCTACTGGTATCTATGGAACCGTCAAGGTTGTTGCGACGGCTATCTTCCTGTTGATTGGAATTGACCGATGGGGCCGCAAGTACAGCTTGATTGGCGGTGGTGCCTGGATGGCCGCTATGATGTTCATTATTGGAGCTGTCTTGGCTACAAACCCTCCCAACCCCGATGCCAGTAGCGTTTCTTCGGCCTCTACTGCCATGGTTGCCATGATTTACCTTTACGTTATTGGATACTCTTTCTCATGGGGTCCCACACCTTGGGTATACTTGGGCGAGGTAAGATCTCACATGATCAATTTTTGGAATCCCTACTAACTTTACTATAGATCTTCCCCACTCGGCTGCGCTCATACGGTGTCGGCCTTGGTGCTGCCACCCAATGGCTCTTCAACTTTGTTATCACCGAGGTAACACCTCGTGCTATCAACCAGATTGGCTGGAGAACCTTCCTCATGTTCGGTATCTTCTGTACCGCCATGGCAATTTTCGTTGCTATCTTTGTCAAGGAGACTAAGGGCCGGACCCTGGAGGAGATGGACCTTGTCTTTGGTGCTGTTGACGAGATGCAGCGTCGCGCAGATGTGGAGCAGACCCTCCAAAAGAACGACTTTTCTCACGCAGAGCATGTCGAGGAACAGACAGATGAGCAGGCAAAGAACCACACTGAAGCGAAATAAATGCTTCCATAGACGTGGTTTGTACCTTGCCAAGCTATCTCTAGTGCTTACAAGAGCAGTGCTTGAGACGTTATGAATAGATGTTAGATTATCACGAATTGTTACTGGATAAATCGCATACCAAGATCATCTCATGATACCATCTTAGGATTTAGCCGTTTTTCCAGCTCTCGAATCTCAATTTGAGTAGGAGGTGTAGGCCTAAAGTACGCATCACATATAATGATTGCACAGAGTGATGCCTATAACATTCATTAGTGGACGAAACATAAAATGACATGCGCAGAGCTCACAATAGAAAAGTCAAATCCATCAGCTACAAGAACCTCCATAATCGCCCTCGGTGGAGAAAAATATCCTCCCTTCCCAGAAGCCATCATCGACAAGGAACTTGAAATTCTATTTCTCTCCATACTTTCACGAATGTCGGCCACTTTCCGGTGGCCACTTGTCCAGACTCCGAACTCGCAAAGTGCTGAAGAACGTCTAACCTCCAAAGTGACCATCTTATCATCATTGTTTTTCGCATCCTGGGCAAGCGCATTCCGGAACGTCAAATTAAAGTTTTGCAACCACCCCGACGGCTTTACATCGGCAAGGTCCTCTTTCACATTTCCGGGTAACCGGATTCGCCAGGGCTTGTTTTTCCAAAGTGTCCGTGAACGCTGTGCTTCGAACATGGGGAGTCCTGACGCATCACGAAACTCGCGGACACGTCTGTCGCTGTATTTTGTGCCTGTCACGGTTATGAGGGTGGAGTCATCGCTGTCATATTTTATTTTGTATTCGTCCGAGGAAGTTGGGTCGTATTTTGGTTCGACCCAGAGGAGTCTTTCGAACTCGGCGACGTGTTCGCTGCGAAGGCCTATTGGGTGGTGGGGTCTTTGAACTTGCCGTGATCGCAAGGTCATGATTTGTGATTAAAGATGGTTGGTATGTTTGGGATAGGTAGATAGAATAGTGATCAAAGAGGTGCGGGGAGACATGTCATCGATTGATCCATGGATGAGTGGGTGATCTGCGGTCATGTGCAGCCTTGCGCCCTGTCGATCCCAACAGTAGTTGCCCGGGTATTAATGTGGCACTCATCAGGAGATCAAGCTTGAAATATATTGTGAGAATTGATAATTGTACACTGGTTTTACTATTTGTACACACCAAGAAAAGGCCATGCCCTTTTGAGTCATGGCCTCATCTTCCCTCTGCCTACGATGCCAATGTATTACTGGATTCTTGAGGTTTTTGTTTTGATTTCCTTCCTATCTATCTACCTATCTATCTACCTATCTACCTGTTCTGTTTATCTATCTTATTTGACTATCTACCTTATCTTCTATTCTTTTTAGATGCCTCGCTAGTCCCTCCTTATTAAGCATGGTCCTGGTTTCTCTATCTAGAGAGGACGACGTACTAATCTTCTTAGTAGGTATATATTATGTCGTAAGATACTCTAGAGGCGTTAACTAGTCGTGAGCTATCCTATTTCAAGATTATTAACTCATAATAAGAAGCAATTCTTAAGGGGTCGCAAGAGTGGAGTCAGGGAAATCGGGGTAGAAAGCGAGGTAGGAAGTAGGCTAGAAGGTAGATTAGGACACCAATAAAAGCTATACATTAGCCTTTTCTAAAGACCTTAGAAATCAAAACAAAAACCTCAAGAATCCAGTAATACATTGGCATCATAGGCAGAGGGAAGATGAGGCCATGACTGTTTTTCATGTGGCCATGATTTAAGAGGAGAGGCCATAACTCAAAAGGGCATGACCTTTTCCTGGTGTGTACAAATAGTAAAACCAGTGTACAATTATCAATTCTCTATATCGTGACCAAATGAGAATCATATCACATGGCATTCCTGACTCGGTCCGTTCTACTTACATAATTTTAGATAGTGACACATCAAGCGTCCACGGGTGATTTCTCTAGCCACGCCCATTCCATAGTCACCCTTCCTTGAGGTATATTCGCAACTTGCTCAAATGCCTTCTCGGTGACGTCAAGATCAGTCTTTTCACACCCAACGCATCTATCGACGACAGTAACATCTACACTTTGCCCATCACGGCGAATCCGAATCTTCAATCCACATAGAGGGTTGTCATTGGGATTTGAGCTCGTCGACGCCGCATCAAAGACGATATGGGAAACCGCGCAAATCAATTCGGAGGCTGTATTGGTATCGCCGCATGCCCCAAGGCCTGGGTCATAGTATGTCAGGTCTCCAGAGTATGGACCTCCATTGGAAGTCGGCAAGGGAAGTTTGGATTTTTTGCTTCGTTCCAAGGTCAGCATGTCGGTCGCTAGGCTAGAAGGTCATGCAACTCACTTCTTGCCCACAGTAAGTCCGACAGCGAGACCGATTATTATCGCGATTAGAAGAATGGTGACGGTGGCGCCGATGATAAGAAGCTTTCGTGATCGTTTCTGGGATGTCCACCAGATGATTATCAGTCCAACCAAGGGCCATTTCCTTTTTTGATCGCCAGCAACGTCATTTGTGTCGGTCGGAATATCAGGAACGGTCGCAGATGTGACTGGGACCGGGACTGGCTTGCGCTTTGGCATTGAGGTCTGCCTGGTGGGCGCATCTTGTGTGCCGGTTGTATTCTCGGTCATCATGAGTTATGCTGTAGAGTCAGTGAAGGTATTTTCCTTCTCTGCCGTTTATTTCTTGCGAGCGATGCATAACGGTGGGACGTTCAATGCGCTACAGTGTCAGATGTAGAGAAGACACAGGGTCATCAGAACTGTGGAGAGAGAAAGAAGCTTGTTTGTTAAGGGTTTTCAGGGGCTCATTTTAGCGCCGGTTCATTTAGAATCCGATGAGACAGCGATTGCGATAAGACATACATAAGTGGCTATTGGCTACTGGCTTCCACAACTTTCTTTGACATTGATCCCGATCGAATGGGAAAATACTGCCAATTTCCACGGCATCGCCACCTCCCTCATGGACATATAAAGAAATGCACGACTTATCCTACGCAGCTAAATTCCCCGCAACGGGCCAAAAAGATCGGCCCCACTCAAAAACGTGGATCCCACTCGAGTCACAATTCACCCCCTCAAACCTCTTCCGCTTTCCGCGCTCCGTCTTCCGCCCTCCTTGTTTGCCCTGCAGCTAACGCGCCCTGACGCTTCACAGACAAGAAACCGCATTGTATGCGATATGCATAAGTGGGACGGTGCGCATTTGAGTGGATATCTGACAGTCGCAACGGACGCGGTCGCATCGCGCTAGCTGCAATTATGACGTCTCGCACTAATACCAGACAATCAGACGCATCGATGAGTCAGACATTATCGCGCCGCGACACACAAGCCACCAAAAAGGAAAAAGTCACATTTGGGGGACGAATGAAGAAGATATGGCAGAAAATTGGGTTGGATCGGCAGACTCTTATTCTGATGATGAAGTACGCTATGGCTTATCGACTCACTGAACAAGGAACGATTGCTAATCTGAAATTAGAGGCGGATTGGCTCCTACAATCGCGGTCGCCATGTAAGTAGATCCACTTGGTTAATATGTTTGGCATCTGACTCTTGAATCAGATACCAAGCCACAGATGTGGCAGATGAATACACGACACTCGGCTACCTTATGGCCATTGTGTCAATTTTTGGATTTGCTATCATGCCTCGTGCAAAATTCATCCAGATGATGATCTTTGATGTCTTAGCCGTCTGCATAGCAGCCTGCTTGGCCTTGTTGACCATGTACTCCAGTGTCAAGGCACGGCAGCACACCGAAACAGGAACGACTTCGGCGTACAATTCATCGGCATCAGCAGTCAGTGGGGTTTGGCTCTTTTTCCAGATTTGGCTCGTCCACGCGTTCCGGGCCAAGTTCCCGCAATTTCAATTTCCAGTTGTTCTCTATTCGATCTTCGCCAATGTCTCGTCGATCTATGCCCCACAGGAAGCTAGCATGACTTCTGCGATCGCGCTTGTGGTCAAATTGCTGAAAACCTGTCTCACCGGACTGGCCTTGTCAAGTGGAGTATCACTTTTTGTCTTTCCTATGACTTCGCGAAAAGCGGTGTTCAAACAAATGGGTGGGTATATTGGTAGCCTCCGCACAGCATTGAGCGCTCACGCTGTATACTTTGAGTCTCTGGAAAGGGACGACATGTTTGGCCGAGCGGAGACGTACGATTCACACCAAGAGAAATGGGGAAAGAAAGGCAAAGTGTACAGCCCCGAGGCGGAAGCCATCCGTAGCGCGGTCCGGGGAATTACCGATCTTCATGCGAAACTCCACGGTGATCTGACTTTCGCCAAAAGAGAGTTCGCGCTTGGGAAACTTGGGCCAGATGACATCCAGTCCATCTTTCGTCACTTGCGCCAAATCATGGTTCCTGTGGTGGGATTATCCTTTCTAGTGGAACTCTTTCAACGTCTCTCCGAGTTTAACTCGTGGAATGAGCCGATTAATGAAAATGATGAACCTATTCCTGCTCATGTTCGTGAACAGGTTGTCAGGGATTGGAATGATATTATGAGGGCGGTGCACGACCCCTTTGCGACGATGATACAGACGATCGACGAGGGGTTGCTTCATACTTCCTATGTTCTCCATCTAGCAAAGCGCCCAAAGAGAGTGGCTGTGACATCCACTGGTAGTGAGGGCGCAGAGGAGGATGAGAAGGACGTGGAGGCCTCTGCCGGTAACATGGCACCCGGCGACAAGGGATTTGCGGAACACTATGAGCAAAGGTTGAAAGAATTCCGGAGTGCAAAGAAAATTGCCTTGCAAACATGGGCAGAAGAGAAAGGGATTTCTCTGCCGTCTGACTTTTTTGATCATCCACCTGTTGACAGCTTGAAGGGCGATTTCTTCGATGCATCCGCTTCGTATCAAGACCGGAGTCGTCGCCAGTTGTACCTTTTCCTCTATATGGAGCAACTTCTGTACTCCACGGGTCAGACTGTTCTTGAATTTGTGCATTACGCGGATGGCGTTGCTAGGAAAGGAAAGCTACTACGGATGAGATTCATTATACCAGGGTCCAAGCGATCACTTAAATGGGCGAAAACGTTCATGAGTGCTCCTGATCATGAAGAGGATCATTTGGGAGATATCCATACACAAAGCAGTTCTCTGGAACTTGGCGAGGCATACCGAAGACGAAAAGACCCCGAACATCTGCCTCCATCCAATGCCTTCCAGAAGGTGGGTGATAAGCTTCGAGTACTCCCAAGGTTTCTTCGCTCCTTCGAATCATCATACGGGTTTCGTGTTGCTTGTGCTACGATGACCATTGCAGTCATTTCTTTCTTGCACCCCACGCAGCACTTTTTTACCAAGCAGCGTCTAGTGTGGGCCATGATAATGGTCAATCTGAGCATGTCACCTACATCGGGACAGAGTATCTTCAGCTTTGTGCTTCGAATCATCGGTACCACCATTGCGATGGTAGTCAGTCTGCTGATTTGGTATATACCCGACCAAAAGACACCAGGCATCATTGTGTTCCTGTTCATCTTCGTTTCAATTGGCTTCTACATTCCAGTCAAGTTATTCCGGTTCCGCGTCGTTGGACTCATCAGCGTTGTCACAACAACCATGATTATCGGATACGAGCTCTCTGTCCGAAAAGTCGGGAAAGAAGTCGCAACCTCGAATGGGCAAGCCTATTATCCTATTTATGAGCTGGCGCCATACCGTCTAGCTGCGGTGAGTGGTGGTATCTTCGTGGCATTCATCTGGACGTTTTTCCCATACCCCATCTCAGAACACTCGGTGCTCCGACAGAGTCTTGGAGCGTCTCTATATCTGCTGGCCAATTATTACTCTATTATTCACGAGACGCTATCTGCTCGTATCCGTGGTGATGAAGGTGACATCTCGTTGAAAACCTCGGCCGGCCGCAAGTTAGAAAAGGCTCGGAACAAGGTCTTCTCGAAGCAGATGCTCATGCTGGCTAGTCTGCGAACTTACTCCGAGTTCTTGACGTGGGAGGTTCCTATCGGTGGAAGGTTTCCCAAGCAGCAGTACGACTCGATTATTGTCTGCGTTGAAAAGTTGGTTATTTCCTTATCTCTTATTCATGGTCCCCATTGCTGATACGCCCTTGTAGCATTGTGAGCTACCTCAGTTTACTCGGGTACGCATCAGACACCCTAATGCGTCTTAATGATGACGACGACGAATCAGGATCAGTTTGGATGCACGACTTCCGGCGTCTAGTCAGTAACGCCAAGGTCACTACACACGAAGTGACATCCCTGTTGTGTCTTCTGTCGGCTAGCATTACCAATCGCCAGCCATTGCCTCCGTACCTCAAGACTCCACGACCCTACAGCTTTTCTAAGCGACTTGAGGCTTTGGACAAAGATATTTTAAGTATCAAGCACATTGCCGAGCCAGGCTTCGCAGCATTCGCCGTCTTGCAAATTTCCACTCGCTGTATAGTAGGAGATGTGGAAAGACTCATGCGGTATGTTCCAACTACCTTTTTTGGTACACTGAATGCTAATTTTTCTCTTTTCAGGCATGTAAAAGGCCTTGTTGGGGAACTTGATTTCTCTTTCCACGCCGTCAGCACAACAGATGCGAGAATGACGCACTCTAGAATGACATCTCGAGCTCCGTCACGAGTTTCAGTTAATGAAACCCAGGCCGCCGACCGCGACAAAGCGGATTGAAGTATCTATTGATCATAGATGTACATAATCTTCATTCTCGCGTATGCACATAGCATAAAGCCAAGTGAACCTTGTGCTTGATTCAGATATGTATGATTCCCGAGGTCATTTCTCTGTTCAGCTACCGCAGCTCAAATAATACCAAAAACAGCTACCTCATTGACACACGAACCAAGAATCCCAGCCAAATCGTGCTTGCCCTTGTAAATTGATGAAAGAACTTATTTGAAGGAAAATAAAATTTCGGCTTTTGGATCTACGGGGTTCGCGTAGTGGAGCTCGTAGGCAGATTGTTGCCCGGTCTGTTGAGAAGCGAATGAACAAAGAGAAGGCGAACTATAAACATTTAATACTTGTATTTTGAATATCGCCTTAAGTTTACATGGCCACATTATTTTGGTTTCCGTCTTCTGAGTCGAAACCCCCGCCTCGAAGTTAAAACTGGTTTACGCCACGACTGATGTTTATGCAAACCAATCCAACACAGCAAACACATCCGACACTCAGACCCCGTCATGTGATACAATAACCCTAGAAAGAACTAAAAGTTGACAGTCTTTCGCATGAGTATCGATCGGTAATGCGCCCCATGGTGCCACATGGCTTCAGCCCGGGGTACGCTAAACTCTCCCCAGCTCGTGGGGAACCACTCGACCGTTGTAATCATGATCAACATTCAGGAATCCGGGGCTCCTTCTTCTACCCTCTTCTTGGTGTAATATTACCTTGGAAAGCTGCAAAATCTCAAAATTCGCTTTTACATGCTAGTGTACAGGCCGATCATTGGTGTAACGATAGGCAATGCGGCTCTGCCCGATTTGGATGGGCGTTTATGAGAGGCGATTCGTTAATTCGACCATTTTAAGCCTCGCGCCCATTTACCTTGAGGCCCATGGACTGGTAGATGATGCTGTTTGCATCAGTATATCTACAGGGATCATAAATGGAAGTTTTAGGCGCACAGCGTGATCGAACTTATGGCCAGTGATGGTTTCAAGTAGTTGGCAGTGGGGACGATGATTTCATTATGATCACATTGAAAGGGCATTTGATTTTATTGAGCACTGACATTGACATGGATTGGAGTTACCCTTCGATGGTGGTGCTTTTTACGTATATTAAGCATTGTTGCACCTTCAACCTTTTTCTCTCCGACATCGATGTTTCCAGAGAGTTATTGAGAACCCAAGCTGGCTATAATTTATTTCTCCTCCTAACGTTTTCCTTGCAAGTTCCGTTGTGTTGATATAATGAGCTTTTTAGGAATACTCAATTCACAGATCGTGACTTCCACGCTGCGATTGGAGCTGAAAATAAATGATTCATTATATACACACAACTTGGATTATCAAGCAAGCAAGCGAGAAACCCACACCAGAGAAAAAAAATAGGATGAGATAACGATAAAAATAAGAACAGTGCTGTCATCAGCTTTTCTATCGTGACTCCATGAAAATATAAGCATAAGAAAACATAAGAAATATAAACATCAACATCAAATCGGATTCATCATAGTCACATTGGGCACCGCAGGTTCCATAGCAGTCGTAGAAGGATTAGGTGTAGTCTTGGTAACCGGAATAGGAGAAACAGTTGTCGGAATACTCGCATCCAAATGTGAAAGGCTGCGACTACTCCGGCTCCGCGACATATCTCCACGGGAAACACTACTAGCAGCCGTACTGCTACCAGCCTTCCCACCACGCTTCACCATTTTCCCAAGAACACCAACGATCTCAGCCGCGTCTTCAAAGCTCTCGTCGTCCATGCCTTCTTGCGCGTTATACACATCTGCGATTGCGCGTTTGGCGAGCCGACGACAGGCAATTGGATCTTGCAGACAGTCGTACAGGTATGCGGCGTATTCCAGTTTGACGGATAAGCGGAGAGGATGTGAGCCTGGGAGGAGTTTATCCGCTAGTAGTGCGGCGTGCGTGAAGCATGCTGTTGCGGTGGCCGTGTAGTCGAGTGGTGGGAGGAGGAAAGAGGAGAGGGGTTGGACTGGTTGCAGTGGTTCCAGGCCTGGTGGGTGCCGCGTCTTGTTTTGTGATTCAAAAGCGCGGAGGGCTATCAGGGAGTCTGGACCGTATATAGAGTCATGCTTTAGGTTTGGGGGTGGTTGGGAATCTGGTGGTTGAATGACAGGTCTGTTGTGAAATAGGACGACGATGTGGTAAAATGAGGCGCGAAGTTTGTATGACAACACCTTTAATTCGACGTAAGGGGACACCATTGGGAGGATGTATCCTTCTAAAATGAACAGACCCTCGCGGGATAACCAGATGATATGGTGGTAGAGCTGGAGTGATTTGGTTTCACGGGTTGTATCTAATCGGCGTAGTCTTCGAGCGCGAAGGAGCTTCTTTGACAGCATGACTGATGCCCCGAGGACTTTATATAGCATTGCGGACAGCAGTGGGTTTTCGAGGGCCGTTGCGGCCGCAAAATTGCCCAAGGCCTTCTGGTCCACTTCTGAGGAGGCCATCCATAAAGCCAAAGAGGCGGAGGCGACAACCTCCTTATCGATACAATTAGTCATTTGCTAGGAATGTTTTGAACTGGGTGCATCGTCGAAACCAAGTATAAGGGTGACTAAAAGTTGGGAAGAGCCGGAATAAGGAAGAGACAAGCTTACCTAGGAAGCTAATGCGCAAACGAAGCTTCAAACGACCCTCAAACGCAGCGCGTACAGCATGCTCCAGCCACGCGCGTATAGTGAGAGGCTAGCCAATCGCCCCGAACGGAGCTCGGCAAGTCTGATAGATCTGTGCGATGCGCAACCCAACCAATTCCACCACTTTTTCGCGTATACCGAGCCGGTCGATCTGTAAGGTTCAGGTCCCCGAACCAAAAACCCTAGAGTAACACAATCGAGCCACCAATGAATCGAATCCCACCAAAACACCCGCAATCGAAGCTCCCCGATGTAACAATGCCCAATATTATCGAATGCAGGCCGTGTCGTATCACAGCGCCGATCGGATTCTCTTCTTGGGTAAGGGACGGGTTCGATGGTGCAGTACCGCTAGCAACGCAAGGCACAGTTGAAGAAAAAAGAAAACTGATCGAGAGAAGAGTTCTGACGCATCGTGTGGCAAGGGGGTTTGAGTCTTGAAATTGGCGATTGTTGACAGCGCACAACTTCCGTGCGGGGAAATTTGGAGCACGGAAGTGTTCAACGGGAGACAAGGGGAACAAGAAAAATATTTAAAGCAAGGGCCGAGCCTCTTGATATGACGCACAATGATAAAGATGATGGGGCGAGTAATGTACATCATTCGTATTTGTTACTAGTCCTGTTTTGCTGGGATATCGACCCAAATCGTATTCTCGACTCACATACCCAATCGCTACAGCTTCTACCAGCCATTGGACCGTGGCATTGATACGAACTGTGAAGCGATCGACTGGAGGCAAATGCCCAATTGGCGATGCAAGTGGCGAGGATCCCAGCCGCCCCAGACTAATTTCTTAGGATGCGCTGTCTTGCATGCACGGACTAGGTCCAAAGCAAGTCCGCCCCGGGTGGAAATTGAGGCGCGCTACGTGGCAGCGGCTAGGATTGTGCAACTTCGGCCCAATTGGACCGTTCGCTTTGGATTAAATTAATCCAGAGTCCGCTGGTCGGGCTTTCAGGTACAAGTAACTTTTGCCAACGTGGCATGATTTGGCATTTGGTACCCAGGGTGGGGGTATTCGATACCTGTACCCGCCCTATGTAGATTGACGTGGTCGCGATCACAATCACTTCACGGAGTATGATTTGAGCATTGTGACAGGTCAAGGGAATGACTGGTCGATTTATGCAGGCTATTTGTTGGACAGGGTTCAAGGGATGGGTTAGAATCTAGATGTCAAGATTTGGGGGTTTGGGACGTAGGATACCGCGGTTACCGATGCCTGGCGGAGAAGTACACCGCTAGAATGATGTCGAGCTGTAATTTCAATAATACACTTGTAATGCCTATTCTACACTGTATTCTAAAAATAAAATAAAAATAAGAACACCGTGAATGCATGGATCTCCATCTATGCAATCAATGCAAGACCCTCTCATAATCATGATTCCAGCTGATCCTTCAAATCATCCACATCAAAAAACCCGGTGAATGCACGGGCAAGGAAGGCGCCCCAAGCCTTATTCACCTTTTTGGCGATACCAACCCCATTAGCCACCTCGCCTTGCTCTGCGATACGCACGGCCAGCTGGAAAAAGCTCCGCACAGTCAAATCTTTCATCTGATACACATCATCTCCAGTATTGTACTCGACTTCATAGTGAATGTGGGCGTCCCTTTTGCCAGATGCATACTGTGCATTCGCATGGGTGATGTTGGCAAAGTATTGAGTGTAACCCAGCCAAGTGAGGGGCTGATTAGAGTAGGCAGGTCCTGGTGGGCTAGCGGGAGATGGTGCATCAGGCACCTTGAAGTCGGGCTTCTTCTTACCCTTCTTCTTTTTCAAGATTTCTGGTGAGTCCTGCTCGGGATTGGAATCTGTCAATGCTGCAGAGTCCACGAAATCGCTCCCAGATGCATTTTCTAGGCCGGTGATGTTGTATTCAATCACGCGAAGCGTAGGAAAGTAGTTCGGTACCACACTGGGCGAAACCAGTGACACACTATATCGCTCAGCCCATGGGCCTCCAATCTTCTTCAAAAATTTCTGTCGCTTTTTCTCCTTCTTCTTGTCTTTCTTGTCTTTCCGATCCTTGTCTTTGTTCTTTTTCCCTTTCTTCTGGGAATCGACGGTTGATGAGTCGTAATCATCAAATACTCCGGAGGGTGGGGATGGAAGATCTGCCCAGTCCGATCGTAAAGAGCTAAGGTAGTCTGTCTTGGACTGGATTCCCACCCGTTCGCTGGTGGTCTTATCCGCCAGGAACTCGAAGTCGACATCATGACTATCCTGCAGCATGAAATGGTCGACGTTCATATGTCCATAAGCGGATCCCACCACAACGTCACGATAGCGGTTCATCCACAGAGTATACTTCTGCCAGCAAGTCTCATCCCAGCTGGCCTTCTGACTCGAGTGGGCGGGCGCGACATGGCCCATCAGAATAGCCTTCATCTTGCGAGAGCGTAAAAGTTCTAATTGGATCCGCAACCATTCCATATGTTCATATCCAGGCTCTGACTTATCTGCGCATCCATCTACCGCACTGTTGGAGTCGAAGAAATACATGGTATTCAAACTGATGACAGACAGTTTGCCAGGGATGACCTCGGAAGTGAACCATCCACCCTCGACGAAGCTATGGCGCTGGTCCTCCGGGATAAAGTGGCGCCAAAGGTCTGAATATCGCCTTGTCCATTTATTGGGTCCATCCATGAAGATGTTGTGCGGCGCGATGTCGTTGTTGCCAAAAGTGGGCACGACAGGGACACTCACAGCTGGAACACCCCTCGTGCCAACATCATTCTCCCGGACACCGTACATCTCCACCCATTTGTCGGCCATGAATTTGTTGAATTCGAGGATCTCCTCTTCAGTTCGAGGGATGCGCTCATCATTGTCGTGGCGGGCCGAGTCGCCCGTCCAGATCACGAAATCAATATCATCCTTCAGGTTCTGCTCTATCCAACGGAATGTCTCGTTCACCAGTGTCAAGGGTGAGTCGCAGTCCGAGCCTTCGGCTCCAAAGTATCCCGCATCACCCTTGCCATTGTGGCAGCTCCCGTCATCGCTCGCGCCGTGGTATCGGTAGTATAGGTCGGGATGGAAATCTAGTAGAAGTCAAAATCAGTATCTTAACGGTGGATCCAAGCAGCGATCCAAAAACCTCCACGTACCAGTGATGTGAAGAAAACGACCATGCAAGCCAGGAGCGGATGCGCCTGTCATTGGCAACTGCGCTGCATCATGGAATTCTTCAATATGAGAATCGCCTAGCGGCTGCTGGTCTAGCGGGACAGCCTTGATCGCGCCTGCCAACAGATTCAGCAGCAAGACGGGTGACCGCATCGTTGTGCAGACTGATCCTGTTGCATCGATTGCAGATACTTTTCTTTTCGGAGATATCCCGCGGAGTGACGTGACCTGCCGCGATAAGATCTCGGATGAAGCACCAGCCGGGACTGCTTAGTAAGTTCCTGTCAACTGAACGCAGAGAACGGTTTGGAAGGAAGCAGGCTCTTTTAAAGATAATATTTCAGGAGGGGTATGTTCAAATTTTCCAGCCTAATTCACTGAGTATACTTCCCTTGAGATATTCTGTGGGGGGATCGACGATTTGGGTGCTCATACCCAATGGTCGGAGAGCATTCACACACGTGTTTGAGGACCTTGTCAAGAAAACACTACCACTTCCATTACTAGTGAGAAAATGGTTAGATGCGAATATTGCTCTCGTGCTCAACAACCAGTATTGGCCTAGTGTGATTTCATCTTTAACAGCCCTGTTTGAATTTTAGGGTAAACAATTGTGCAGTGACTCTGTTCGTGTCACGTAAATAAGGTTAAGCCCTTGCACGCGTGAAAATTCGGGCAGAGATAAGGTTTTCAGGGATTCAACGTGGTATTAACTCAATGTGCATTCGAATGGTATTAGAATGGCACACCTGTAAATTATTAAAAACATTTGAATATCATATCTTCCACAACTACGGAGTACCCGAGAATGCTCGACTGGAAACGAAAAGTGGAGATCACCACAGTGACCAGGCTCAAAAAACCTTGGGAGGTCACCCGCGGCTCAGGTGTGACAACCCCCAACGGTCATCTTTCAATGCCAATGCTTGTGCGAGCCTTGGGTTACACATATGGCATATGCCAATGATCTCAAGCTTAAGCATCAGCTTCGATTTTCTCAGTAACAGTGCCATCCTCTTGCACAACGATCTTGTCCAGGTTCTGCGAAGCCTTGACCGGGTTAGGCTGCTGGTAGACCCACTCAAGCTCCTCGAGAGTACGGCCCTGCGATTCGACACTATTTCACAATTGTCAGCCACAAAATTTCCCAGGATTAGTACGGGACAAATTTGTGGTTTCGCTTACCAGAAGAAGTACCAAAAGCCAACCTCAACCAAGTCCCATCCAACGAAGATCCAGAAATAGTTCGTGGAGATGTTGCCTAGTCCAATTGGCGACGCGAATTGACTGATGAAACTGATCGAGCTGACCATGAAGCCAGACAAAGCCAGACCCTTGGCACGAGTGGTGGTCTCCAGTGCCTCGGCGGGTACCACACCCTGCAGTGGTGTATAGGTAAAAGAGAAAACAACGTTGAATAGATAATAGAATGCCAAAGCAGCTTGACCTTTGGTAGCGCTGATACTTCCCGTACTCGCGATTGGCAGAGAGATCGCAGCGTTGATGGCCATGGTGATAGCACAAGCTGGCAAGAGTCAGTGAATTCCGGATCTGATGATGTCAATCATGGTTTCGAACTCACCCAGAGTACCCCAGATAAGGACTGGACGACGTGGCATCCGATCAGTCAGGCAAACTGCAGTTCCGGCACCAATAGCGGAGATGATTTGGTTGATCAGGTTGAGGAGCAGCTGCATCGAGCTAGATTTATATCCCAGGACGTTGAAGATGGTTGAGTTGAAATAACCTAGGCCGTTTCCTGACCATTGCCCGAAAACACTGATCATGATAACCTTGAGCGCATAGTTAGTGAGAGTAGATTTGATGCAGAAGTTTTGAGGTGGGTGTCAGGACTGATGCTGATCAATAGATGCGTTGGGGCGGGGGAGTGAGGGTGTATGGCTTTTTGAGGTGGAAAAGGAAAACAGCTCATTGCTTTACTTACCTGCGCAAATCTCCATCGACCGCTGTGAGTGGTGATGAAAGGGCGGTCTATTGAAATGTGAAGTACGTTGTTAGTCGCGTTTTCTGCAAGGACGATTGATCAGAAAGAAAAGAAAACACGTACAATCCCACCATCTCTTGTCAATACCATCGATTCGAATACCTTCCTTCATCTCCTCAATTTCCAGACGAACAAGACGCGCGTTAGGATCTCCATTGCCGTGATACTTGGTAAGGAAGGCGGCGGCCTCTTCCTCTCGTCCCTGGGCGATGAGCCATCGGGGTGACTCGGGGATGAACCACACACAGAATATGACACAGATACACGCAAAACACTGGCAAATGAACGGAATGCGCCACTGGTAGTTGCTGTTGATTTGGTTTGTGCCGTAGGTAATTGCCGCAGCGGGAATGGCGCCTCCGAACCAACCACAGTTGTAGAAACCTGTCTCCAGTCAGAGCTGAACCAAATGATTAGTACAACTGGATGAACTAAAACTTACCAACAGCACGTCCACGCCAGTGCGGCGGCGCAATCTCAACGGCATATGCAGGGGCAGACACAACCATGATTTGAATTCCAACACCAAGGATGAAACGACCAACCACAAACTGAGCCAAGGTCATACCGGTTGCAATGACGATTGAGCCAACGATAATCACCCAAGCACCGACGAACATACACTTGCGACGACCGAGTTTGTCAGAGATGACCGCACTGAATGGGGTAGCGACGATGGATCCACTGGAAGTTGTACTGTGTGAGCGAAACCCCATCTTTGAGCATCCGCAATCCAAACTTACACTGTGTATAGCGAAGTAACCACAGAGACCTTTTCGCCTGTCAATCCGGTTTTGAAAACATCCTGGTAGTGGCTCATCGCCAGGACCGATCCCATCAAGGAACCTATCCAATATTTCCGTTAACATCGCTCTAGATTCACTGTGGGTTGATGCCGGGTGCGAGGATCATCGAGTACGTACCATCATATCCGTTGGCGCAGGCGCAGAGGAAGGCCACAAAAATACAGACTAAGATGATTGTTAGAAACACGAGAAAGAGCAGTGAGAGGGTATGTTCGGCCAAACTCACAGTACAAATGGATGGAAGTTTTGCTCCATCGCTCAATTTTAGTCTCCTTGATAGCAGCAAAAAGCTCGGCCTGCGACGAAATCAGTTGTGCAGACAAAGTAGAATTTCATGTCAATACTCACGTTGCGGACGGTTTGTGTCTTAGCACCGTCTCTCTTGGCGGATTCACCATATCCAGCAATGACCTGCGGAGTGTCCTCGACCACACTGGAGATACCGTGTACCTCTTCCTGCTTGGAGTCCGACATATCGAATGCCTATAATTGATCCTGAGATTTTAGACTTTCCAGTTGGACCGAATGATCTCAGATTTCCGCGTGGCACAAGAATACCTCAAGGTGGGACAGCTTCGGATTCTTATAACACGCGATCTGGGGCGTCAGCTCGAACCGCCCTCAAATTTAATTTCATGTGCAGCGCTAACCGCATTTGCAGTTCCCCAGAGGCTGATTACCGTGTGACCCCAGACTCATGGACCCTAGTAGCAAATACAGGACGCCAACCGGTGGCGTGCACGAGCAGCTCCGTATCCCGATAGGAATCGGCGGATTCCCCAGTGAGCCCATACTCGATAGAACCAAAAGCCGCCTGCCGTGACCCGAAAAGATTCAGGACTTGGTATCTGGAACATCGGCCCTGCATCCCGCTGCTATCAGAACGAGAAACTGCGCAGCTCGGACCTGATTCATCTATGGTTTTCCTGGATGCTAATTTGGGATTACTGTTTGAAATGTGTTATTGGGTAATTTAATTCCTGGGATCTATTCCTATAGCATAGATGGTTAATACACTAATGCGGGCCAAGTCATGCAACAAAAAAGGAGTTCTGCATCACCAACATGCAAGGTCATTTAACGGTTTGCTTCAACCTTAGAATTGTTTCGAGTCTTCTGCACTTTCGCTTCATTATTTTAAGGGTCGTACTGTGGATCATGATCGACTTGCTAAATCCGCAATCTTAGCCCTGTCATTTTCGAATCCCTTGCGCTGGGCAAACGCCAATGAATCGGGCCCTTGTTAGCGCGGAGCATCCCTCCGTGTTGAATTCTCCACGGGTGCTTTCCCCACACTATGTCTTCTCCAGACTTTGGACTGAGCTTAAAGCATATTCTATATCAATTTTACTTTCCTTTTACATCGGCCCGACCTTCACAGGATTCTAGACACTGCCCTCGGGTTTGCCACATGGCTTTTCCGACCGAGCGTCTGCACTGCCCAGTGGATGGTCGTGTTGCCACAATCAGCAAACCAAAATCTTATGACTAGTGAATAAATTAGCTACCAGGAATTGTGATATGTTCGTTGAGAATGACTAGAGGATGGAAAGTCTTCGGAAAATGAGCTGCAGGGGGGAAGGGGGCTGCAAATTTGGTAGCATGGCTTCTCCGAGGAATGCCAAAATACCACGCCCGACCGATGCCCATTCTTGTAAGCGAGTGGTATCTTGGCAGTCTAGAGATGGCGCCATCGCCAAGGTACCTCGGTACGTGAGCTCCACAGTCATTGGATTGACCAATTGCTTTTGGTTGCTTTCGCTTTGAATGACCTGCAGCCTGGGCTGAAATGCTCACCGGGTTGTAGCTTATTGTATTCCCAGCTCTCGTAGTAAGAAAACTCTACACCGTGAGTTTGATTAGCGGTCTCTAGCCATGGAGTCTCGAGTGGATCAATGGATACTCCCATTGTGTTACTTGTGTTACACCTTTTAGTAGTTAGATTACCAGTCCTTGATAAAAGGTAGCACGTGATGTGTGTGCAATACGTGACCAGAACCTGTAGTCAGTAGATCAACCTTTTACCTATTCAATAATCGTGCATTTTGCGTGTGGACGTCAGTTTCCTAGTCAACTTCCTTAAATGCTTCATCTGAGAAACCTAGTCATACATGTTTCTTTATTTACTCCAGCCGTAGGTGATTCTTTACTTCCACTCGTTGTTCATCCTTCCAAAGGACTTTGCTATTCCAAGATTATGTATATTTCCTTTTCTTGTCTCCCCCTCCTCTCATATTATAATGCTACATCGCCACAATAGGGCTTGGTTTTTTTTTTCTTATGGAATTAATAGCTATCAGGTACCAGTATAAGCAAGTTTTTGCACATTACCTGCAATCCGAAGCCCTCCACACTCGGAAGAAGAATTGTAGGGATGAATAAGTACAAGATTCCGGAGATTTTGGGACACTCATTTTTCGGCCCCACCTTACTCCTTGATCTAATAGCACATTTAAAGTGAAGAACGAGGGCTCGCCTCCGCTTATAGGTCCAATGATTTAGGTTTGTGTTATTTCTTACTAGCTATGTGCCGCCAAAAAAATTACATACACTTTGCAGGGCGTGCCCACGATTTCGTCTAGTTTTAAGTGCATATGTGCATAGCAACGTTGAAAGCTGAACAGAATGACATGTAGCCGATATGGAGATAATCACAGAAAATCATAATGATATGGGTAGATTATAGAAGTGCAATAAAGACAAGCTAGCCTGGAGAGAGGGCTGTAGCAAACCCTAGAGAGCCCAAGGTATTCCCCCACATTTTTCTCTTCTTTACCCCGCAAGACACGCAATCGACGGACAGAACTAACCAAATTCTACTTAGTGTTGGCCAAACGTGTCTTTCTATTGGCGCAAAAGCTGTTATGCTTACCTTTGAAGTGATTTCCACAAGAAAGACTTGCTTGGACTTCAAAGTTCCCCACCGGCTCCACATGGCAATTATTGATTTTCTTGATGAAGTGGTAAGTGCATGCAAACGCCTTAGGTAGCTTTACTATGAAGGGAATATGGGGATATTTCGGGAGATTCCGAATGATTTGACTGCCGGATTAATCAACCCTGAAATTATGGGCTGCTTGGAAATAGATGTGGACAATTCGGGTGCAGTCTCGAGCTTTGAACTATATAAGTATGGCGGTTGTCCTTGATGGATACTCTATCTCAGATTTGTCAACAAGCCGCTTTTTTGAGTTATCAGAGCTACTTCGCCGATCTATTGCGTCGGCATGTTGAATTTTATCCTTTTCGCGGCGCTGGGCGCAGCCACAATCACAATTGTTGATCCTAGCGACTACGCAGATCTTTCAGCAGATGCGGCAGATGACGCCCTCACGGCAGACTGGGACTATCAACCATTGTCATATCAGGCCTATGAGATCACTGGTCCCTATGTTTACAGCGGCGAAGATAAGGAGATCTCTCACAAGACACTCTCCGTTTCAGCCAACGACACTAGCGTGGTGGTCATCACTGAGGAATCACAAGTGAACATCTCAGACTCCACTATTATTAAGCATGGCTACTCGACCGATCTGTACCAGGCTAGCTTCTACGGATTGAATGCAGCAGTTAATGTGGCCAATACTTCAGTCGCCCATATGGATAACGTCAATGTTACTGTTCACAATGGAGCAGCTAATATATATGTCTACGGTAACAATTCATACGCTTATGTTTCGAACTCGATTTTATATAGCTCTGGCCCTGTCTCCCACGGGCTCTACGCTGCTGGATATGGAACAGTCGTTGGCAAGAATCTTCGGCATTATTCGGGGGCATACCGATCTTCATCCTTCGCCGGCGACAGTCCTAAAGGATATGTCTACGTGTATGATTCCGTCGCCCATACTGCCGGCATTGGTAGTGCCATATTTTACGGGCAAGGGACAGTCTATGCTGAGAATGTCATTGGAAATGCCCAAAAGGCTCCAGTTGCATTTTTGGATGGCGCCCAAATAGACATCCATGATTCAGACCTCACTGCCGGATTACTTGCAGGTGCCGTTATATTCTCTTCGGGAGACCGTGAGTCAGGGTCCTCAGTCACCTTCACGGGCTCTCGGCTCACTGTTCTGCCGGAGGATGGGGCCGGCTTGTGGTTTGGAAATGTGATTGCCAGCGCAAGCCTCGTGCGTTCCCAAATCAATACCACGTCGGGGATTCTGGTTGCTGCCAATTACTCGCAAGTAACACAAGACTTCACATATTTTGCGGACTCCACTGCGCCTGCTGAAGCTACCATCACCGTCTCCGAATCTAATCTGACGGGAGATCTTGTTGCCTATAATGGAAGCACGATCAGCTGGACCCTAGGCAACCACTCCTCGTGGACAGGCTCGGCGTATTCTGGGTATGAGAGAGCGTACTTCTCTGTATCCCTTGATGCTACCTCTTCTTGGACTCTAACTCGGGACACTGTGTTGACGAATTTCACTGATGCCGATACGACTTTCTCAAATATTCATACTAAAGGCTATAATATTTACTATGATTCCAGTGCTAAAGGGAGTCAGTGGCTGAATGGAGCAACCAGAAAGATGCACGGTGGAGGTTTCCTGAAGCCTGCGACCAAGAAGCAGCTGCAGCACCCCTATTAACCTTTTCCTACATCGATGTCATATTTTATTAAGTTCAAATCACTCGATGTCAGTAAGTGCATTTAGTGATGATGGCCAAGTGTACTTCGCGCATCATTTAGCCCAGCCAAACTCATTATGAATATTGAAAAGTCAGTTTTGGTTTCAATTTCGGGAGGTTAATTAAATACCATCATTATGCAGTTGAACATCACCTTAGCGGTACATTGGCGAACTTTGAGTTTGAAACCTCCCCTGCCTTCTCATACCGCCCACTATATTTAACTGACCGCGCTCAAATATTTAAGTATGGTTGATTTAGACGTGCAAGGTTTACTCTACTTTCCAATATTTGAAAGTATTAAAATTGCCTTAGGATCGCAGAGGCCAGTCCCTCATTTATTAGCAATCTCAGGTAGGTGGCAAGGTTTGTGCCGACAAAAAGCAGTATTAGAATATACAATCGATCAGGGGGTCTCAAAGTCAGCGTACATACATACTGATGTAAGTAGGTAAGGCGCAGTATTTGAGATTCGGAGTGAATAATGTCATCGAGCACATACCCAGGTACCTACATGATCAACAAGGTAATTCTGGAATGTCAAAGTGATTCGCAAGTGACCCTAAGTCGGCGCCTTTTCTTTCCTAGAAATGAAAAGTCGTACATCCGGCTCGAATTAAGCGTTATGATGCACGTTGACTTGAGTCAAGCGAAGTCGCATTATTTCAAACATCAAATCAAGTAGTTTATTGTCTGAACTGCAACTACCACGCTAGGCCAGACATGGTTAGCAAGGTGTAGCTATGGAACACTTTGAAAAATCTTCTCTACTCTCTTACAGAGCGATATCGGGACTACACTAATCTGTCATGAATAGTATAGGATATTTATATCGAAAGTAAAATTATTGTTAAACTGGAGAGCATATTCGCAATGTTTGGTATTCGTCTCATACAGCTAGGATGTACTTTGTCCAATCACATGCACTAGTACGAAAGGGGTAAAAGCATGACCCTTAGCACTTAGTTATATAGCCCATGGAGAGAAGCTTCAAATTACCAATTTTTACAGGTACTGCGCCAAGAAAAAGGCATGCTCGCTTGCTGTTTTCGACTTAGAATCTCGTATTCGGGCAGTGAGCACCAATTAGACTTCGTGAACATTAATCTTGGACCCTGCCGAGCCTTAAGTGTCCTGAAAGTTCCGCAATTTCGCCCTAAAGAGGTAAAGATCGGATGATCATGATCGGAGCGTATATTGTTTTAAGCCTAGCAGTCCACTCGCGGTTCAGTCAATGCCAAATGAATATTTTATCAATGTCTCTCTCCTTGCTCGCTTTTCACTTCGAAGGGCAATCTACCTAGGCTTTCCTGGGCTATTAAATGCAAAAGCCGCACAGCCTTGGAAACAGATTGATTGATCTCTGGGACCTTGATATTTAGTAGAGCGCAAAGGATTATGTTATTTTTCATGCATAATCCTTGTAGCCTGCCAATCCCAGCCCTGGAGCCTGTTGTAGTAGTGATCTACGCCTGAGAATTCCCCAAAGCACACCATAACAATCTTGGCTCATGTCCTGATTAGCTTAGATGGAGAGGCGAGGCTCAGCCGGATACGAATTTAAAATTTGGTTTTGCAATCCTACCCTGTAGAAGCGGGGGATATATTGAAGACATTTGTCCTTTCCAAGGTTTTCGATAACCTAATTCCACTCTGATCCTTAGGCCAGCCGTTTTACTACTTTTTATAAGGGTGCAGTTCTTTTTCATGAGTATTAATCATGAAACTTCTATTATATACACTTTTCCTGGCCCCCCTTGCGCACGGTTGGACCTTTCGTTACACGAATTCTACAAGCGACACTACCATTCTCGAAGAAACTGGGTCAAGGAATTGCACCAAAATCCAGTTAGCGAAGAATAAACTCTTCAGTTGGGACCCTGAGGGAAGTAACGAATGCATTTCTATTTACTACGACGACAACTGTGAGACAAGTGGAGGTTATTCCTGTGGCTTTTGGAAGAAGACTGCCAGTCACGACTTTGGCAGTATCGATGTCTCTACCAGTAATAAAGCGGCAAGTGTTTCGGTTATCACCACTACTGAGACGGCCACGTCAACCTCTTCCTCTTCTACGACCTCAACCACCGGCACACCCTCAGCAGCCTCAACAACATCGACTCCTTCAGCCTCATCCGGGACAGGGAGTACTGCAGCCACTACTGATGGCGCTTCCTCAGGCTCAACGCTATCCGGCGGTGCAATCGCTGGTATCGTAGTCGGAGTAGTTGCTGGCATCCTGGCCATCGCAGGTCTTTTCTTCATCCTCCGGCGACGCAATCGCAAGAATGCCGTCACTGCCAATCCACAATCCGACCCTTCACTTCAAGGCCCCTATGGGCGTCAGGCCTCTGTTCCAGAGACAATAACAACTTTCGGACCCTCATCTACATCCACCGCTCAGCCTGTTGAGAAATCAGCAGATTCGGCACCCCGCGTCTTTGAAATGCCCTCGCGCAGCCCCCCTGTCGAGTTGGTCAGCACTCCTATCAATGAGATGGATGGCCAGTCAGGAAAAGGATACTTTCCTCCAAAGTGATGGGAACAATGTTCATGGTTTTCGAATAGGAGCGCGGGGGTGAAGAGTATGAGAAATTGTTAGTACTTGACACTTGAGACTTTATGCTTTTTGCTATGTTTTGGATCGTCTTCAAACGAGAAAGGCTCGAATAGGGATGGTTGTGGGTGAAGCATATTTGAAGGCTTTAATAGGAAGTTGAGTTCCCACATGGATAATCTGTAATTATGCTTATAATCCGGTAAAGTGCGCTTTTCCATTGAGATTTACTTTGGTTTAGTGCACATGAGTTGGAACCTGAAACCCAGATTCAAGACTCTTTTGCGAAATAATATTTAGCGCACAACTCCTTGAGCCTTGAATGCGCCCAAGATTTACTTTGTTTTCTCTAATTAGAATATATCACATCGATCAAAGGGGCACCGCAGGTGCTGTTATGGGGTCCGAAAGTCGAAATCCGCCACCATGCCACGCAAAACCCGTGGAACTCTCCCGTGGCATTATTGAAGTGACCATAACAAAACCTTCTGCTTCTTGTCATCAAAATCTTATTCTTTATCATATCCAGTGATCAGGCCTTTCCATATAGAGACCGAGGACCCAAACCATCCATGGGTGCAGTAACGAAAGATTCAGTTATGAAGGTTTCGCAAATATTTAAATGAAGACAGTTTACGCTTCTTGTAACCCTCCTTTCAATTTAAAGTACATACGAAGAACACTATGGGCTATGCGATATATAGATAATGGGTCTCGATTGCTTTGTGTCTGGACAAGCGTCACTCATGACACTGCGAAGACATATTTTGAGTTTCATGCAATTCAGTGTCTTCTTGGAACCGAAAAATGCCGGGCTGTCGTAGTTTCCTCGCTGGCGTAGACTGAGAAGAGGAGCTGTTATTAGTGGCCGCCCGGCGTGGGAACCACGTAGGAGCGTAATGGCGCATGAATTGACGGAGATAGGGAAGAGAGCCACATAAGATGATGAAATTGGCCTCAATAATTCTGCAACAATGTTCATCTCCCGTCAGTGATATGTTTCAAAAGATGGACAGAATTGGGAATTATTAATTACATGAATAGGCTGGCGAGAGAAATTTTGTACGATACATCCGCTGATGTAACAAGAGGCCACAAGGTTGCCAATCGAAGTATGCTGGTGATAATAGTCCTACATGAAATAGATGATCAGAGACTATGTTCAATATTTGGGTGCACAGGCTCCTAAAGAGGCAAGCAAAGGATGTTTAGATAGATAGAATAGGATTTCTCACAGACACCCAATACCGAATATAACAATCACCCCAAGCTTCGGGATAGTGGGCATGTGAAGCCTCCATACGACCCGGATGGGAATCAGGATCAATACCAAATCACTGACGGTATTTGTGATAGCTGTTGCAAGATAGACAGCTGGTCTGTTGATGCAGGAGCCTCGTGTAATTGAAGAGTCCCAACCTTTCTGGATAGGGCTACACGCAAAGATAAGAGCCAAGGTGAGTGCTGTACTATATCCGGCAATGATAAAGGCAATGAGGTAGATAGTGTATTGCCAGAGCTTGAATGCGCCGAGGAGCCTGTAGTATAACATGAGTAAAGCGAGTTTTGCAGATGCAAGGCCAGCGATATAGACCGTCGCAGCGGCAAAAACGACCTATGTGGGTCAGCGAGTCGAATCATTGGGATTTTGAACTCTACATGCAACAATGAAAAAGATCAAAATGTCTACCTTTTCACATATAAGCACAGTTGAGGGAGGTAATTCTGTGATATGACGTCCAAACCCGGCGTGGGAATAGCCATCTAAGAAATGGGTTCAATTAGCCGAACTCTTTGCCGCTCGCATTTCGAAGAGAACAAGGGACACCTACAAAGAATCGTTGCTTGAGTGCCAACTGAGATCATCTATTGACCAAATAGACAAGTCGGTTTTGTTCGTTGCAGTGTCAAGGAATACGCTTACCCAAGCAATAATAATGAATGCTAATGGGGCGCATGTTAGGTCTCGATTTGGAAAGGCGGATGGAAAGAATAACCCACTGTCATCCCACCAGAAACTTCTCATTACTCGAATTTTTGTAAAGATGCGCATGATGAGGGAAGTGGTGCTTAATGCTAGTCCGACGGCGACCAAGACTCGGTTCGTCGTCCGCAACCACGGAGTTGAATCTGATGAAGACAAGTCTCCAGCGACCCCCGCCATCATTGAGGTATGTCCAATAAGAAATCGAATAATACCAGGGCGGGGTGGCTTTCTCAAACATAGCTCGACAGTTCAGCAAAGACCGAGCAGTTGCTCAAAGCTTCGTCAATGAAAAAGATGAATCATCGACTTTGCCGGGCGCTGGTATGCCTGGCTCGCAACCCGACTGGCCGGTTTGTTTCCCCACATATATTCAAAACGATGATATGGACATGATCGGCGTCTTCCGGGAATGAAGTTAATTTACAATCAAGTGCCATGCCTATTAAGAGCATCGCGTGTAATCCGATGAAGAAAATAACTAGGGAATCAATAGCTAGATATACATTGCTAACCATGTCTGGCCTAGCGTGGTAATTTTAATTCAGACAAATACCAAGTGATTTGTTGTTCAAGAATATTGAGTTCGCTTGACTCAAGTCACCATGTAGAATAACGCTTCATTACCTAGGGAAGAAAGACGCTGGCTTAGAGTCACTCAATCACCATGACATTCCAGAGTTGCCAAGTGTGAGCAAGTAGGTACCGGGGTATATGCTCGATGACATTACATAAAACCAATCTCGAGTACTGCGCCTTACCTACTGCCGTTAGTATGGTGTTTGACGAAAAATCTAATCCATCTTCGTAACCCTCATTGAATAATCCGCTATGCCAGACATGGTTACTCTCGTGTTTTGAGCTAAGTCAGATGATCGATTTCAACAATGATCTCTCAAATACGTAATAGGATAACCCCTTAAACCCGCGAATGGCGCGAAACCCAAACCCAGAGCCCTAGCATTGTAAAATTATTTCACAAATACACGCAAAATTACCATGTGAAGTTGAGGACTAGGCTCATTCTAGGCACAATCTTGATGAAAATATTTAAATTCTGAGACACATCATTTCTGGTCGATGAGATACTGAACCTGTGGTCTTGGAATTAATATTGCAGCCTGAACGAAGGCCAAGGGTTGCAAAAGTGGCTAACTATGATCGGCTAGCACCAAGCTCAGTCTTTTAATATCTGTGTTGCGGCTGATTGAAAGGGGCTCTAGCTAGCTCCAGGGGTTTCCCGAGCTCCCGAGCTTTATCTGCTGAAATTGCAAACCACCTGCAAGCTGACCACGTCCATCCAACGCAGCATGGCGACCAGGCTTTCCCGAAACCTGTCACGGGTCAACCGCCGCTTTTGGGCCGGGTTATCTTCATCCCCGCTACCTCGCGTTGCGAACGCCAGTGCCCGTGCTGGCTTGATGGCACATCGCAACACCTGGAACCTCACACCACAGACCAGCCGCGTAGCACAGGCCAATTTCGCGCGGTATGCCCATACAGGCCCTGGCTCATCGGCCAACTCAAACGCTTCCATTCCTGATGCTACCGAATACAAAGGATCGAGCCTCACCGGAAAACACTGGATGAGCCAGGACTTGTCCATTGGTACGGTCTAATCCATTGCATCACTCCAACATTGCTGACCAAATCAGTGGACGCTTTGATCGAACCGAAAGCCGTCTTGCATTTTGTCGAATTCATCACATGTGGTACTCTACCGAACGGGAAAAAGACTGATTTGGCTTTGCCAAACCAAGATGAAATCCCACTGTTCATAGCCCCAAGTTCACAGTGGGCACCTGTGCCGTTCAACAAGGAAAGTCGTTCAACTGTAGAGAAAGCCTTAAAGCGAATCATTGGCCCGGAGGATTTGACCGGGCTGTGCAATATTGGGCAAAATATTCATTTCATCAAAAGTCGTCTCTGGGGAGGTCTTCCCCCCGTGCCTGCATCGCGGTGGCGTGAAAAGGATCTCAACAACCCAGGAAATTTCACGATCGCCCATGAATACCTAACCTCTGTTATTGCCGTCTTCGAGTACCTGAATATTCCTCAGATTCGGACTAACATGTGCGAGACCTTCAACAAGATCTCTGGCGACTTCGAAGAAATGCAGGAAGCCTTGAACGCAAGGCGTAGGGCTCAAGGTGATCTCTCTCCCGAGCTCAACCTTACTGCCCTTTGGGAGCAATATATTCGTGCACAGTACGAAGTCATGACCAGCACCGCCCATTCCTGGGTTCTGGCCCGTCTTGCCGAATTACGTGAACGGGCAATGGACAGCTTCAGTGGGATCGACAACCCAGAAAGCCCAGAAATGCAACTTTTCACACAGCGGTGGACCGAACTCATTGAAGTTACTTCTATGGCTGATTTCAATATTTGGATCACCATGGAGGGATACAAAGGCTACCAACCCCCCTCCGAGGTCGTCGCTGGACTGCACAATCCTGACCTAAAGTACCACGACAAGAACTATGGGTTCTCTAAGCTTCTGCTTGAGCGACTCACAAAATGTATCGAGGCTCAGAATGAGGCGGCGGCTATTCAAGGTCCAAGCGCAACCCAGAGTGATGCGGCCCGCCGTGAGCGCCTTTCTATTAGCACAGTAGTACAGGATGAACTGCGTGAAAAGATACGCGGCTGGGTGCCATCGCCACTACCACCTGCACAACCCTGGATCCAGCAGCTTCTTCGGGCTCAGGAGGCGATGCAGCCGTGGGAGAGACGCGACTGTGGCTTCGGAATAGCGATCTACCGCGCAGCACACCAGTTTTCTGATGAGCAGTGGGAAACCCTAAAGCGGGACTTGGAAGCTCACTTGTCAGCCTGGGGTGATGATGCCCAGTGCGCTGAAAAGCTCAAACCTCTGCTTAAACTGCATTGGTTTGACTGCAAGGAACTGGGCTTGGACACAACCAAGCCCGTGACAGCAGCAAGGAGGTTCGACTATTCTGACTTTCATTCCAAGATTCACATGAGCAGGTTCTAATGCTAATTATAGGCACTTCCAACAAATCCGGTCCTCTGATGAGTGGAGCTATAAAATAGCGCCAACTGTTTTCCTTGTCATGGATCCCATGAGCGTAGGCTCTTATATTGATGACAACTTATACGCCTCTTTCAAAAAAGACAAAGGTCTCCTCAAAGGGGATTTTCAAGGTTATGCATTGGCTGTTGACGCAAACTTTGATGATAGTGCCACTGCAAACGAAAATGCAGATGGCGTGACCAATCAAGATCCTCGGGATGGAGGCTCTGACTATCCGGGTCACATGCGAATCCTGGGTAACCTAGTCTGGAGCGAACTCTATCCCATGATTATGCTACAATCTGTGGAACTTGAAAATTTCTGGCTGCAAGCACGGGAACATCCGATACAGGTATACACGGGGCCGACTGTGCCGAGTCAAGTTGATCCATGGAAGGAGCATAATCTCATCAAGACAGATATGATGGAAAAATTTGTTGAGTTTCTAAAGCAGAAGGACCCCGCCTTAGCAGGAAGAGTTAAGGATTTTAGGAAGGAGGGGCTCCTTTAGTTAATGGAACTCATTGATGTTAGGCGCTCGATCTGTGGCAGTGTGGAAGAGCTGCAATGATGAGAAGCAACTGCGAGATGCAGAATAGAGAAGTCGACACCCTATCAGCTCACACATTGATTGTTTGCGCTCTTTGTCATGTTGCGTGGAACTGTGCAATTCCGGGCTTATACTTTCAGACCTTTCTATCCGTCACGCGATTTACAGAATGGCGCCGGAGATACGACAGGTACAATTAATACTTGTTCTCTTCATGTATCGTGTGATCGTGTTTCGAAAGAGCCTTTCTAGGTTTAAACGTGAAGGCGATAGTGATCGGCACGAAATCTCGCGTCTGGATAGCTCAATTTCTACTTCACTTTGCTCTGTCGTACTCAGTGCGGCAGAAGAGCCACTGCACAGAAAGTGTCAATGTTTTTCCAGACCCTGAGGTCCATTCTTACGGTGGTGCAGAACCTTCCAAAGTTGGAAGTCACACGATTTCAAGGTTGGTACTTAATGAAAAAAATATCAAGGTTTAGATTGAGGTCTCAATTTCTTAGCATATATGTTCAAGGACGATTAGATATGTGCATTTGCCCTGACATCATGACTGTTCATGGATGCCAGGCGCAATTCCTAATTTTTACTCCGGGTTTCCAGTATTATGGCCCTTCTCAATAGCCACACGCTCCTGTTGTGATGAACGAAAGGATCCAGATTCCTCAAGATGGAGCTCCGGGCTCTCTTCATCTCGTCGCCAAAAGTCTTTCTGGCCCCGAGCAGCGCGTTTAACCCACGGCGGCAAGACGCCACCAGGCAGTTTCCAAGACCACGGGTCCGACTCATCCTTATTTGGAGGGACGATTCGACCTCCACTGACCTTCTCGAGAGTCCACGCAACGGTGTTAAGGAGAATATAGCTCAGAATTCCAGCAATGAGTCCGTATGCAATGCTGTAGGTAAAAGGCATGATTGCGATGGTCAAGAAGGCCGGGATCGCGTCGCCGTAGTATCGCCAGTTGATATCGGCAGCAGACTTGGCCATGAGCGCGCCTACGATCACAAGAGTACACCCCGTAGCCCATGCTGGAATGCTAGCGAATATAGGAGCAAAAAAGACAGAGATGAAGAATGCAATGCCCGTCATGCAAGATGTTAGGCCTGTTTTTCCGCCTTCTGAAATTCCGGCGCCAGATTCGACGAATGCTGTTACTGGGGGACTACCCAGAAGAGATCCGATTGAGATGGAGATTGCGTCGACCATCTGCAACATTTGTTAGTTTCTTGAATGATTTATTGAGCTGAAATGAACACGTACATAAGCAACCGCGCTTCCTTCAAAGTCTTGGGTCCGTTCGTCGATGGCACCTGCAAACCGGGCCATGGAGTACATGGTTCCAGTCGTGTCTAGGATATCAACATATAAGAATGTGATAAATGCGAGACCGAATTGTGATCCGTGGCCGGAGATATCCCATTCCTGGACAGCAAGGGTGTGCTTTATCGGGTGAAAAGTTACGACTTGCTTGAAGAAATCGAACATACTCGTTCCCAAATCCGTGTATGGGAAATAAGTGACAGGAGTCGTCCGTGGCCACGAAATGATCGACACCAGCAATATACCGATGATAACAGCACCCTTGACACGGTACATCATCAAAAGCGCAGTAAGAAATCCACCACAGAAAATACCAATCCACATCGTTGGACTGCGCATCTTCGCGCTGCTAAGACACAGCCCGTTTTCATCGAGATTCTCCGCAGAATTCGTACAGCCAGCTAGCTCAATGGGCGTATCAACTCCTCCTTGCACCAAACCGATACCGGCACTATATGTTAGACCAATGAGGGCAAGATACAATCCAATACCAACACCTGTGGCAAGCTTAATCGAAGCAGGGATCGCGCGAGCCAGCCATTGCCGCATACCGATCAGCGTCAAACCGAGGAAGACCCAGCCCTCGACGAAAACAGCTGTCAATGCTACGCGGTACGGGATCAAACCAGCTCCGTTTGTGCCAACAACGGTGTATGCAAAATAGGCATTCAGGCCCATTCCCGGTGCGAGTGCGATTGGAAGGTTCGCGAAGAGGCCCATACAAAACGTGGATAGACAAGCTATAGCCGCTGTCGCGGTCACAATATCACGCTTCACTTCTTGTACGCAGATAAGGTATTCGGAATTCGTGGCGCACAGCTCTGACGCGATATCTGCTGGGCATTCACACGTTCCACCTGTGGTAGATGTGATATTGGCGTTGACAGAGATGATATACGCCATTGCGAAGAAAGTTGCGAGGCCCGCGCGCATTTCCGTGAAGAAGAAGCTACCCTTCCTTTCCTTGGGCTATGAATGATGTATATTAGTATCACGAAGGGCATCTTCCGTTCCCATGGAGTTTTGCTTACATGCCCGGAGTTCTCCAATCGAAACCATCTCCCCACGGGACTGCGCGCAACCCGCAGGTTTGTATCGTGAATCCAGCTGTTGAAACCCATGCTGAGAAGCTGAAGAGCTGTCTCTATGGGGAGCACAGAGTACAAAATCCGGTGTGGTCGATTAGACACGCCGTTTTATGGATTCATGAAACTGGAAGAGTCGGTTCGTCAAGAAATAAAAAAGTATTCGGTCCCTCGGACTGCTTCTCAGACTCCACCAACCAAATTGCTCTGATAACACTTGACAGAGAAAAATTTATTGACAAATCCATGGCGAGTATCTCCGCCTCCCAAGGCCTTGGCAGCTTGGCGGGTTGGGAGGCAGTCCACATGGTTTGCCGACTGCAATTTTCTCCATGGTCTGGCTCGGCAAGTATGCTGCAGTGGGTCCAGTAGAAAAAATTTGACAGCTCAAGCTGTCTAAATCAGAAATTTATTCTCGCGTTCAACGATTAATATTTCAATCAATAGCTCACTCAGAATTGTCTGCGGTGCTGACTTGCCAAGTTCATGAGCTTCTTGGCTCATCTCGCAGGTGACCTTCTAAATGGGGAGATTTCCAGGGTCCAACTGATAAGTCGGAAGAAGCCGATCGGCCCGTGATTGGCCACTTTAGTTCGATCTTTAGCAGATTAGTCCTTATACTTTACCACGGGCATTTTTAATGGACATTTCCCTGGCGATATTAGCTAAGGCGCAATTTTCGAGTTTGAGGTAATATTATCGAGTAGATATGAATGTGGAGGTGATTAAAGATTGCCCATTGAGCCGACGGCTTTTCTTACCTCGCATTGAAATGCTGGCATGTGACCTGGCTTGAAAGAAGCTTTCGATTGCATACTGACCTAAATCAGACTAGGTCATATGTTCTTTGGCACCTGAGAAACCAGGTGGAATTTGCTTTGAATTACCATTATGAAGGTATCACTGCGATTAAGCGGGTCCAACGAACATGTTTTAGGTTTTCTTAACAATCTCCGCCGCCGCTAGCCCAATTAAAATGGAGAAGCCCGATGCACAGCGAGGTCGAAACAGCGAAGTCCAATAAAATGCATTCCACCACAGGTGGTCTGCACTTGTTTTATAGGTCATCTAATCAGCTTTTTCACCTCTCCCATCACACACAATATACACAAGAACATCGAATGCCGAATTTAACAGGTTCTTGCCGCCATACCTGACTAAGAAAACCCCAATATCCTCACGCTCTTTCGTGAAAATGGGGAATATGTTCCCACGGAAGGGGATGACAGTATTGAATATAGAGAAAAACCGGAGGCAGAAGCTTCTCGCGCCTCATCGCTGAAGTGCATTAGAGAGTCACATGATCACTGGTAGATTCACATTATCCCCTTTTGAGCCCAGGAATATCACGCGATAGGATGATCAAACACATCAAAAAAGATCTGTTGAACACCTCACTAATCACATCTGATATAGTGCGGTGACTCTAATTTAGATAAAGTGCGAAGCTGTGGCCAGGCGACGAGCACCCAAACGGTCACGTGTACCACTGGCATGGGTTGGGCGGCCGCCGTTAGCCTGTTGTCAATGGGAGTAGTATAAATTAGTGTATGCGAAATCCTAACAATAGGAGAATCTCTATTAGTATTCCGATTGCAATATGGAGATGAATATAAGGGTGCTCCGTGGGATTCTCACAGCATTCACGTAAACCTAGGTAGATTTCTCTGCGTTTTGCTTTTACATTCCATCTACTATGTAAGACACGAGTTTTTTAACCCTCTCATTTCGTTTCATGACGAGTTATTTAAATAGCTCAATGGTCACCCGAAAGCCATCTGGTAGGATCACCAGACCCTGAACCCAATTAGTTACCGAAGTGGCTATCTTGACATCGGCAAACTTCGCCCCACATTAAGTGCGCGGGAACCCCGCGATGAATAATGAAAGCTGTAATTTGCTCTTCTCACTCATCCAAAACAGAAGGAAGCTCCGTAAATCTACAATCACTGCTATGGCTTATACATTCACCACAAAGGAGGACTTGGTCAAGTTCTACGTCGGTAAAGACATCGCCGATGTACCGAAACCTGCGGCGGTGCTCGATGTAGCCATCATCCGCCGACACTGTGAGCGAATGAAGCGCACTGTGAAGGAGCTAGGCGTTGAATTCCGAGCCCATGTAAAGACACACAAGGTAGATTTTAATTAGCAAACGAAGAGACTCACAGAGCTTTGCTAACCGATACAGACTATCGAACTCACCGAGATGCAAGTGGACAAGACACAGCCTTCTGCAAAATTCATTGTATCCACACTCCTCGAGATCGAAACATTGTTCCCCCTTCTCCAGGAGTTGAAAAAGTCCCAGCAAATCAACGTTCTCTACGGGATTCCGCTCGTCCCTTCACATGTGAGACGTCTTGCAGAGCTAGCAGTGAAGCTAGGCGAAAAGTCAGTGTCCGTGATGATTGACCATCCAGACCAAGTTTCCTTTTTGAAGGGATTCTTCGAAATCACAGGCTTCCCCGCTTGTGTGTTCGTAAAGGTCGATACGGGCTACCATAGAGCCGGTCTCCCCCCTATCTCGCTAAACAAGAATGGATTATTGGAGAGACTCGCTGATGCAGAGAAGGAGGGATATGTCTTCTTTTTGGGTCTTTACTCGCACAGCAGCTTGAGTTATGGCGCGAAGACAGCTGCAGAGGCCATGGGTTATTTGAGTAACGAGATTCGCGGGTGCAAGGATGCATTGGTTCGGTGGAGGGATCTTCTTCCCCAGAATAGAGAACTGATTATTAGTGTCGGGGCTACGCCACAGGTTGCTTCTTCAAATAACCTTGTGCCTGGGGCTGGGGCTGTATCTTCAACCTCTGCCGAGGCGGAGGAGTTGAAGGCTTTGCTGCGGGAGTCGGATGCGAATGTGACAATTGAGTTACATGCTGGTGTCTATCCTGTTTTGGATATGCAGCAGGTATCTACACATGCAAGAGACGGAGCGGGAAGACTTGAAGAAGAGATAGCTCTTTCCATTATTGCGGAGGTTTGCAGTGTTTATAATGATGGAGAGCGGGAGAAGCCTGAGGCTCTGCTTGCGGCTGGCACTTTGGCATTGGCGAGGGAGCCTTGTGCCAGTTATCCCGGCTGGGGTGTACTGTCTTTTTGGGGGTTGGGTGAGGAAAGCGATGGGCCGAGACTGATTATCGATCGGATAAGTCAAGAGCATGGGATCGTTGGTTGGGAGTCTGGAGATCAGAAGCGTCTGCCGTTAAAAGTTGGGCAGGTTGTGAAAGTGTTTCCCAACCATGCATGTGTAACTGGTGCCTTTTATAGGTGGTACTTCGTTGTGGATTCTGATTGTGAATCTGCCGAATCCTCATCAAAGGTCGTGGATATTTGGGTTCGGGGTGGATCCGCCGTTACTGATCCGCTACTAGCAACGAGATGTCAGTAGCCTTTCGATGATAATAGATTGGTCTTGTGACAATATACGCATTTATAAACTGGCGTTTGTGCTTCAGTCAATACCTTCATTTCTTTTCGCAGAATTAATAGAAACTCTTCGCTTTTGTTCAGGAATATTACACACCAAGTCAAGCCCAGTTATGACTACTAATTTTCTGGGTTTTGCTGAGCTTGTTTTGAGATGAAGGAAAGATATAGCAAATAATGATATAATGATAATGAAATTGTTGGTCCCGAAAACCCCGAAATAGCTGAATATGCAATTAAAGGATGCTTTGCATCTATATGTGATGACTTCTATTCGGCAAGCTCGATAGGGATGTCGGTGTGGTTGAGATAGTACCCAAAGCAGGCCTCTCGATAGTTTGCCCTGTTTTGAAGCTCGGGGATACCGTCCATGAATTTCTCGAGCGGGCAGAAGCCATTGGTGGAGTTCTCGGCGTCGCAGCCAACTACCCCCGTCATTGGTAAGGGAGACCCGTTGAGCAAGAACCGCAAATATTTGGTAGTGTCCTCTGTTGACTCTAAGATGGGGTTCGAGTAAAGGACAGGGTCCAATGAGTCGAAAGTAACATCGTTCGGGCAGGTCCAGACTTCAGTCATGAAACGAGCACCAAAAGGCGTGATATCGCTAATTCTGAATGTTCGGTCTGGAGCATGATCAACATCACCTGGTAATCCTGTCAAGCTCGGATATTTGAAATAGTCAAGGTTCAAAGCGGCCATCACCGATACAATGATATTGTCGTGAGACATGTCCATATAGAATGGTTGTCCAAGAGGGAAGGTATCGGTGTTGTTATCGTATGTGGAGTTAATACTAGTATCACTAGAAGGGATAAGTTTTCCCTCCAGGCGGGCGGCAAGTTCCAGGACATATCCAATGCCCTGGGCACGGCCAACGGGTGAACCGATGCCCCAGTTTCCATAATACTGGATGTCCAGATTGTAAGCAAAGTCTTTCCACTCTTGTTCAGTGAAAAGAGAGCAGAATTTCGAACCAGCGAGACTGGTCTCCTCGTAAACACAAAGCGTTTGCATGGCAAGCACATCAGTAGACGTCAAGTTGAAATCCGGAGGAAGGTAAGCTTGCAGCCGAGTGCGAGCATCTTTCAAATAGCGAGCTATAAAACGTTCCGCTACCTTATTTGCATTACTTTGATCTCCTGGGCCCCCAATGCAAGAATAGTAGGATGCCAATGTGTTATTAAATAAAAGCTTCTCGGGCATGGCAAGAAGGTCATATTGGTCGTAAGAAGCATGAGCGCCTCTATCACCAAAGAACCCGCCTATTCACGGCGATCAGTAAATATTTTCGAACCTATGCTGCAAACACTTACTCAGCCACCAACGCGCACTCTCTAAAATGCGAGATTGATCGGTGGTGCGGAACAAGGGCTTCGGACGGACTGTGCCGTTAGGGAAGACATTCAAGGATTGATTCCATGCAACCACGTTTTCAGGAGTTGCACGATACAAAAGTCTACCATACTGAAGCCAGAAGCGGGCTCCGGAGGTAGCTTCCGTGGATGCGCCCGTTCTCATCAGTTCGTCCAAACCAAGGACAGATTTCCAATCGTTGAGAAACTTGAGGGGTCCAGTTGCGCCAATGCTTCCGTTGAGCTTATCAATAAATTTTTGAATGACTTGGCCATCCAAGGGCATACCAGTTGGATACCGCTGAGCATGACGGTGCAAAACATGGACCTGGGATAGCTCACACCGTTCCCCTTGAGGGACACCATTAGGAACACCCCAGTCGGCATCTTTGTAAGGAGAAAGTTGTGCCCAGCTCTTGCTCATGTCAAAACCAGATTCAAATTTGGCTCCAGTGGGTGCGGGCTTTCCAGTTGTGGCAGGTGTCCCGATGGTTGAGTTGCGCCATGTGGTTGAATAAATAAGAAAGACGATAAAAACAAAGATGAAAGAGATACAAGCTGAGGATACCCAGCGCCTTTGGGGGCTTCCCCCAATTCGAAGCTGTTCACCCATCTTGACGGTAAGAAGAAGATGAGACAATCGGTCAAGGTCCCCAACTCCGCATTCCGCCCCCAACTGATGGATTATCTTTTCTCCGATTGATGTATGTGGAACAGTTATCAACAACGAAAAATAAAAATAATGATAATAAATAAAAAAAACTTGAGTAGCTTAATCATTGTGTCTAAGATTTTCAAATCCGTTGTTCTTCTATGGTCTCTACCTTACTAGCCACAAAATGCACGCTCTCCAATGACCAAAAAGTGCACTTTCATCTCCTCATTGCAAGTGTAGATATTCAAATTCTTTCTCTTTCGTGTCTTCCAGGGATGTAAAAGTAAATATCTATGTTGTTTGAACTATTTCGATAGAGTAGCTCCTTGTTTTCAATGTGCTAATAAATCGCAAACTCACTTGTTCGCGGCTGTTTCCTGCGTGATATCGTTCTCCAATTGGATCATCTCATCCAAAGCCGCCATGAATGCTTTCCCATCAGCCTCCTTTAAAGGAAGTAGAGGCTTACGTGGTGCGACTCCATATCCATGCATTTGATTCAAAGCATATTCTACCCAAGGTTAACAAAGCTTTATGATTTTCAAGATGAAGAGACTCACTCATCGCACGAATACCACCCGGAACTGCAATTGCATCAGCTCTAGATAGAATAGCTTGGATTTTTGCGGCTTCCTTGATCTCATAATTGGAAGGCGATGATAAGTTGAGCAAATGCCAGAGCTTCATCGAAGCAAGTGGTGCGAAATTCGGTATACCGCTCACGGTCCCATGACCACCGCATTTCATCCACGGGGTAAGATCGGCGACCAGACCGTCGAGTAGAAGGAAAGGGAATTTTCTACTGCTGCTGATAGTCGAGTCTTCATTTATTGCAGCGTTGAGACGGATAAGTTTGCCAATGCTGCCGCCGCACCTATTTGGAAATTTGATTTAGCGTTTCAGGTCAGCAATCTCTTGCTCAGAGAGCACCCACGTCAATTTTACCCCACATAGGTTAGGTGCACTTCTTATCACTGCGTGTATTATTTCTGAGGACATGTCTTGGCCACCTGCATTGGAGGGAAAGTTATACAAAAGCAATGGAATCTTTGTCTAGATCAGCACCCTCGAACGCCAAACTGCGACATTCCCATTAACTCACCGGTGACCCAGCACATATATCAACATAGTACTGGACAACTTGTTCGGGGTCTGTGTCCAGACTCGCCGCATAATAGGCAGGAAGAATCACCATGCCAGCATCCCTTGCGATTGTCAGAACAATTACCACAAAAGAAGATTATTCTCACTTACGCGCCCGCTTCTGCCGCGGATTTCGACAATGAAATAGTTTCCCGTGTGCTTAGTCCTCCCACTCCAGCCACAATTGGAGTTGATTGGAGACCGGCTTCATCTAATGTTGCTCTGATGAATCGAATGAGATCGGCCCTTTCTTCGAAGCTCTATGTCGTGTCAGTTATATTGAAACCTTCACCAGATGTATTATGCCTTACTAAATGAACTGCCTCGCCCAGGGAACCAGCACATACTGGGACTGATAAAACACATATATCAGCTAGCAGAATTTCTAGTACTATTAAAATGCTTACCCATTCCCTTAGAAGCCATATCTTTAATAACGAGAATTAGTCCATTTATCAAATTCTGATCAGAGATTAAGAATACATACTCAATAAGTGGTTTTTGTACGTGTCATAATCCAGATTTTGATTCTCATCAAAGAAGGTGGGCAATGGCACATAAACTCCGGGTCGGAGAGGTCTGCGGTAAGGGGCTGCCATGTTGGACATTGAGTCAACAAAACCTTCGAAACAGACAAAGTTGGTATGAATACCTTTATCACAGCCAATATTCGCATCAATGCGCAAATCCCCGGGAAGGTCGGTCCCCACCCGACACCTGATAAGAGAAAACGCGGGATCTCGCCGATGCCGCCGCGCCGATCCTTATCTTTATCTTATCATCGATGTATTGATGTTTATCTTGATGGAGGGGGTTTAGATACAATCTTTATATGTAGTGATGCTAACGGACATGTTCCCTTCCGAAAAACATATTCTTCAAAATGGTTCAAGACGTATGGTCTTCTTACTTCTAGACACTATGTCACGCAACTAACCAATTTCGCAGGAAAAGAAAGACTTCGTTTATGATGCTAATGAAGTTCCCATTGCAGTTGGTGCTGTTGAAAATACCAGCAGCAATCATGGGCTTCAGCGAAAATTGAAGGTACTTTCAGCCTTACCCTTGCCATTGACTTCATGAATATTTTGCTAATATTGTCCAGCCCCGTCATCTGTGAGGTCCAACGATTTAAAAAATGTATCTCAAGCTGCTCACTATTAAATAGCCAAATGATTGCCATTGGAGGTGTTGTAGGCACGGGTCTCTTTCTCGGAACAGGTACTGACCTTGAAAATGGAGGTCCCGCAGGCCTGCTTCTTGGCTACTGTATCATGGCTTCTCTTTTGTACTCAGTGATGGTGAGTGTGCTATTATTACTCCTGGTTTTCCAGGTTGCTGACGATTCGCAGATTGCCTTGGGTGAAATGTCTTCCCACTTCCCCATTGCCGGTGGTCAATTTGCTCTTGCTGGACGATTCAATTCTCCAGAACTTGGGTTTGCGATGGGTATACTATTTTGGTTCAAGTAAGCCACTTGCTTTGGTTTAATTCTGCATGCTGACCAAATTGTAGTTATATAGGTACGTACAGGAACATACTATCACTTTAAATACAAGACTAAGAGATTCTAGTCGTTTTACCGGCGGAAATCTCCGCGGCTGCTGTTTTGATTAGCTACTGGACGCCCGCAGGGCAGACAGATTCCACATGCACCACTGGTGTTTGCAGCAATGCGATGTGGGTGGGACTAATGTTGATAGTAGTGGTGTGTATCGTTCCAAGTCTGAAGAAGGTTCAGTTATTAACTTTCAACGGTAGTTCCTTGTGAATTACGCAGGAACTCGTGTTTATGGCGAGATGGAATTTTTCTTCTGCTCAATCAAGGTGAGTTATGCGGATCTAGAGTATTGTGCATTTGAGTCTACTGTCTAATCTCCTTGGCTGACTCAATATTCACCAGATCATTACAATTCTAGGACTTATCATCACCGGGATTATTATTAGTGCCGGCGGTGGACCCAATCACGAAGCCATTGGGTTCAAATTTTGGCAAGAAACCGGCGGGTTTGTCCAATACGAAGGGATTGGTTAGTCACGATAAGCCATCGACAAGTTTTGACGCGTCTCACCTATTCCTTTACAGCTGGGGCCAAGGGACGTTTTCTCGGCTTTTTCTCGGTTCTCATCAATGCTGCTTTTGCATTTATTGGTACAGAAATTACCGCCATTGCTGCCGCAGAAACATCTGATGTGAGTCCCCACCGTTGGAAGTCAAATCCATCTGACCTTATACAGCCCCGAAAAAATGTCCCACGAGCTATTAAGAGCGTCTGGATCAGATTGGTTTTGTGTAGGTCGACAAATTTGGTGCCTCTCTGGGTTTTTGCTCACTTTGATATTCCCAGTTTATGTTTGCAGTGCTTTCTTGATTGGTCTTCTAGTGTCTCCAACAGACCCATCTCTTAATCTCGGTTCAACCGCTGCAAAGAGTCCTTTTGTTATTGCTATTGAGGTAGGCACTAATAGAATATATTGAGGCAAATGTACTAAGAGATCCAAACAGAACGCGGGAATTTCCGTCTTGCCATCGATCATCAATGCGGCTATTCTTACTAGTGCTTGGTCTGCAGGCACGGCAGATCTTTTCGTCTCTTCGCGCACGCTGTATGGGCTCGCTGCACGAGGACATGCCCCGAAATTATTTCTTAAGACCCGAAAAGACGGTTTTCCTTGGGTTTGCTTCGTCTTCTGTGGGGCATTCGCTCTACTTTCCTTTATGGCTGCGGCCAAAGGTGAGGCAGGAACAGTTTTCGGATATTGTGAGACCCCTTTTTCTTGTTATCAGTCGTCCCCGGGTTAACATATCCAAGTTTCCAATATGACAGCAATGTGCGGGATGATCTCGTGGACTGGCATTTTGTGGACAAGCATCCGATGGAACAAGGGTCTCAAGTCACAGGGTATTGACCGGAAGACTTTGCCTTATAGAGCACCTTTCCAGCCTTACCTTTCCTACTGTGAGTTCTTAAAGCATCGATCTTCCACCGGAGTGCTAACAGTATTTTCAGATGGAATGACTATGTGTATTATGGTTATCATCTTTGGTGGCTTCGGTTCTTTCAGTGTGTTTGCCAATATTTAAAGTATCGTGAAGACCCAGCTAATTGATTTTAGTTCATTCATTCAACGCGTCGACTTTCATTACAACCTATTTCCCGGTGCCTTTATTTGCAGTCTTGTTCTTCGGCTACAAATTTTGGAACAAATCTAAGATGATCAACTACGTTGATATGGACTTTTTCTCTGGTTCCTCGATTGAGGTTACAATCAGCGTAGGTCTTTTTTTCCTATTCCAATGGTCAAACGAAGCTAATCAATATTCAAGGGAGAGCCGAAGAGTATGTGGCAGAAGATATCTGAAAGAATTTAGAATTTTCATGACTTTTTGCGATTTGGGTGGCTGTTTCTTTACTTGTGAACAATTTTAAGATTTTCCAATCTATATCTCTAGCAACAAGAGACTTCCATTGATTATGAGATTGGTTATGAGATTGATTATGAGATTGATTGAGGGATAGCTCACAGTTACAATGCACATACTGCTACGTTCGTTAATTGGAACCGCTGCGGGTAATTGCCTCGTTTCTTGGGCAGTAACATGCATTTCGGCTCACGTCAAGCCCGCATCTTGCTGCTTGCGCTTCTGAATACTAATTCCTCATTCGTCAAAATTGCAAACAATTTCAATTTAGCCTTCGCTTTTTTTTCCGGCTCTCCCCCGCATTCTAGATGAATTGGTTCGGTCGAATCAGCTTTCGCGATGTTATCAAACCCCAGAAGATAAGACGATACTTTTCACAGATAAGATAAGCTTGATGAGCACATAGACTTACGCCAACAAATGGCACGTCGGTGTTGATTTTACATTGTCGGGCTAATCGCTTACCAAACAATATTGGACTTCTAGATTGCCACATTCCCGGCGCTGGCCTAATGAATCTCATTATTTGAATATTCTTGAGTCTCAGTATGACAATCAATGCCCCATTGGAGAATGCCAGCTCGGAAGATGAACTTCCAGCCAAGACCCGTCGCATTTCTAGGGCGTGTTTACAAGTGGGCATTCCCTTACATAGAACGAAGACTCAACGCTGACATGCCGATGAATAGTGTCGCGCTAGGAAGCAAAAATGCTCACCTTCCGCAAAGTCGGCCAATAGCCTGCAATCACCATGCAAAAGATGTCTGAGGCTTCAGATAAAGTGCTCCTTTGAAACCGATGAGGCGCCAGTGTTAGATGGCACAAGCCCATCCAGATTAGCACAGCTAGTCGTCGAGCTTCATAATCGGTACGGTGACTGCAGTAGAAGTTATCTCTCTTAAAGAGCTAAAATCGAATCAGAATCAACCAACATGAGACGCGAATTCTTGGACTTGAAAAGGCCCAACTGGAAAAACAGACGCCGCCAGCTAGCTTTATAAGCCCTTCAGTCCCAAAGTCAGGTGGCAGTTGCGTCAACAATGCATCAACCACCTTATCACCGAACCAAGCCAGTGTATCCATGTCTTGCATGGATGGAATTGATCTAGGCCCGCCGATGGCAACGCTCAGGTCTTTGAAAGTACTTGCAACCCATGGCAATACAGGACATGATTCAAATACGCATGTTCCGAGGGGGAAAAGGTCATACTCATTTGATCCCGTACTTCAAGGTATTTTGACTGTGGAGGATGCGCAAAAAGTAATAGATATGTATTGCATGAACCGATCCGCTCTTTATCTTTGACCAACGTCACTGACATAGCCAGTTTCTTCGATCATTGTCATCCTTCCGCGCCTGTGCTCAATGAAAGCACACGCTACTCATGGGGCAAGCCAGGACTTCACGCACCGGCTTTAGTTTTGGCAATCTGCTCGATCGGCGCCCGGTTCTGGTTTAAAGGAAACCCCAGGTGAGCCGAATTACTGCAGTTGATGAATCTAGACTAAATACGACTAAATAGAGACAGACGCTCAGCTGGGGGTATTCATGAAAACTTCAATGAGCTGACAAAGTTGCTGGATCAAGCAGTATCTCGATTACTTCTCCGGCCAACCCCTTCGGATGTGACACTAGATTCTATCCGCGTCCTTTTACTATACGCACAATGGATGCCTTGTATTCGCGAGGAAGATGACGAGGTGGATCATAATGGCTCGACTCCCCGTTTTTCAAAAAGTCGATATAACGAGATCAGTGCTGGCGCAGTCTTGGGCTTAGCTATGCGATATGCCCATCTCGTTGGTTTAGGTCGCACATGTATAGCCCCATTTGAAGGGAATGAGAATAAAATTTCTGGTGATGATATTAACAAATTGCGAGTCTACTACAACTTGTTGACATGCAACTTCAACCTAATGCTAACGTCGGGCTTCCCTGCATCTATCGATCTCGATTCGGAAAATTCGATGAAAATCGCTCAAGCATTCAGCTCACACAACGAGTCCCAGTATCCGGGTGATATTCGGGTTAGTGGACTGGTCGAGCTTGTATCAATCGTGAACGATGCCATGCGCAGCTCTGGAGATGCTACTGGTCGTCAGATTGGCCTACCTCGTCTACTGCAGCTGAATGAGGAGCTCGTTGAATGGGAAAGGTGAGAGAATTATACCCGAGTAATTCTTCTACTATTACTGATGTTTCTCAAGAGTCTGGTTTATTCGTCTTGGTAAGTCTGCAGACTACCAAGCCACTTCTCCTAATGCTGAGGCATTCATAGAGAGTACAGGACCAAGACATAATCATTTACCATTCAATTCAGTCAGAGTAAGTCAGCCACTGATTATATCCAAAGATTATTCTTCTAAATATTGCTTCAGTGGTATCGGCTTTCTTTGAACAGTGCCTCTTTGATGCCATTACTTGCTGTGGAGACTAAGTTCCCAGATAAACTACTCTTGGCTTCTTTACACCAAGCCCTGAAGATTAGTCTCACCTCAGCTGCGCAGATGATACTGTCTCTATCTATCTTTGGAGCGGAGTATGTCTGGGAGCTCGATACGCAAGACCAATCTAGCTTTCCCAGTGGCCCTTTCCATGCCGATCCTGACGCCATGGATTGGTTGTTCTGTGCGGTTGATTCCACATGGATTTCACATACTTTTGCGGTAACATTCCTAGCTCTGTGTTATATAAGAGGCATAATTGATGGTTGGTCAGCTCCTCAAATGGGTTGTTTCAATGTGCTAAATTCGATTCACAGAAAACCTCCAAATCAGAGCTTTGATTCATGACTCTATTGTCTCGAGTCGGCTTCCTAAATCTTCAACATCCATACTTGCAAAGTTACTTCATCTTGCAATGGAGATATTTGATGGTGTTTGTTCAGTAGCCACTTTTCATACCGCTCGCGACTTTCAGGGAGTTGTTCATTATGCTTCCTCTCTTGTGCTAGACTGTGGAGATGAAGAGAAGGGAAATAGCCAAGGGGTCAACGATCATGCATTCCAATCATTATTGGAAATAATGAATGATTCCGGGGTGGATTGGGCAGGTAATCTCCTCGGGGGCTTGGATGAAAACTTTGATTGGAATATACTCTGAATTTTCTATCAGCTTTATAGCATTTGCAAGAACAACAATAAGTAGATCTATTTCATTATTCAATGTCCAACTATAGCCTGGCTGTCCGTCTCTTAAATTGCGTCACTCTAGTAATCACCGTTAGCTAAGTCCCAGGCCCGCTTTTATAGACCAAAACTTACTTGGCATCATCAGCCAACTCAAATACAACATCCTGGGCTCCTTTCCACAAGACCAGTTCTCCCAAAGCTCGCAGGTTCTCCTTTCCCCCAACAATAGTTAAGAAATGATTTGCCGCCAATGGACCCATCTTGCTCGCAAAAGAGACTCCCCCATAACAAAACAAAATTTCGGTTTCGGAAAATCCGCCAGGATACAAAAGAATCTGACCTGCAGCTGGGTGTGCTGTATGGTTCTCAAAAGGGACACCAAAATCAGTCTCGCCTAGTGGAATCCACATTGCTTCTCCACTCCATCGTACATGGATGATTTTTTGTCTGTAGGGTAACAAGGAGCGGAAGGCTTCGACAGTCTTCGGTGCGGATGCTTCGAATGTGGCTAGGAATTGGTAAGGTCCGGCAGTTATCAGGACAATATTAGATTCTGCCATTTTGAGTTGAAAAAAAATATAGTATTGATATGGATATCGATCTCGAAATCAGGGAGTAATTGCTTGATTTCAGCTTCTTATCACGTCTCATCCTCGGTCGCGTCTCTATTGTCGGCACGGGCGGCACGGGCCAGACGGCAGAGATGCCGTGTGAGATAATCACGGCAGAGAAGCCGTGAGATAAGGGATACCTTAAAACGAACGTTGAAAGATAGTATAGTTTGGAACATTAGGTTCTCAATGAGGAGAAGTATATTCGCAATGCATCTGGATCATATGAAAATTCGCGTATATGAAACTACATGCCCTCCACGGCCTGGTGCAGATGCCATCGAGCCCATTCAGGAGGGGGTTCTGACCATCAGACCCGTATTTGAATCCAGTGCTTCATCTTTCGGAGCAGAGATATATGGTGTTGATTGGAGCAAGCCTGTTCCATCTGAAGTTGTAGCTCAGGTGAGTCTTGATACTGATGACGTTATGGATATAATATAGCTTGCTAACAATCAAAATCAGCTGGTTGCCCTACAAGACAGATACGCCGTATTGGTCTTTAGAAAAACAGGATTGACTAATGCTAGCCACATTTCTTTCTCTCAGCAGCTTGGAAATGACTTGGAAATTAATCCATTTTTCTATGGCCGTGAGAATGACCGTCTGGGAGAGCCACTGCTCTTCGATGTAGGGAAGTAAGTACTAGCAAAGAGCGTCGAAGCTGCTTCATACTCACAGTTCCAAGCATCGAGTTGGACGGGTCCTTAGTGAAGCAGGACAGCCGCAGATGGCATCACAGTCTGGGGAATGCTTTGTGGCATACAGATTCCTCATATCATCAGCAAAGATCCAAGTATTCCATTCTGCTTTCTCATGGAAATCCCGTTGCGGGAGGGTCTTGGACTCATTTTGCCGATACTCGGAGAGCCTATGCAGACCTTCCTCAGAGCAAGAAAGACGAGATTGAAGATCTTGTTGTTGAGCATGAGTAAGTTCATCTGCTTAGAAGCGGAAATTTCCGGGGTAATTAACTACTAACGCAATAATCTAGTCTCTGGCATTCCAGGAAGCTCGCGTCATCAGAGGTCTTTAGCAACCCTCTCCCTCATGAGCTAAAAGCAAAGCCACCGGCATATCATCGGCTGGTTCAAGTGGCCCCTGATGGACGCAAGACATTATACCTCGCTGCACATGCAAAGATGGTCTTGGGGAAAAACTTCGAAGAGAGCCAGAAATTGATTTGGGAACTTATTGATCACTGCACCCAACCCAAGGTTTTTATCAACATCCTATCTCAATATGAAGTCCACATTACTAACCGAACTCAAGTATGTGTTTTCCATGGAATGGAAACAAGGCGGGGATATGGTTTGGTGGGATAACCGGTGAGTTCTAGAACCCGGTCTAAACAAAACAAGAGACAAAATATAACATCGCAATAGACAATCTATGCATCGCGCCAATCCATATACTGAAGCGATGACGGCTAGAGATGTGCGGAGATCTACCATTCTTGATGATGGCGCTTTAGCATACGGGGCATCTACTAAAGAGAAAATCGCTGCTGGATGGTCACCTTAGATAGAAGTCAAATTTAACTCAAATTCGATGTCTTATTATCCTCAGAAAACGTCTAATCGAAATGAAAAATCGTATCAATCTTCCCATGAGCACCGGCACATGGGGCATGTTGGCAGAATGGAGTGCTCCAACCATTCGCGTAGGCAGGAATCGTGGAAATTGTTCCCGCACTGAGCCTTGCAAAAAACAAGGTGTAGGTCTTCCTGGTCACTGTGGTCTCCAATTTCTTCACGATGTTCATCGTCACTTTCACTGTCGTTGTCATCACTCTCCCCTTCCTCTTCATCTGAATCATCGAGTTCTGTACTTTTCAATGCCTCCAGACAAATTCCACAAGGACCTTCGATGACTCGGCGAGTAACATGCACATTTGGGCGCAAAGATGAGTCAGTAGTCTGATGTGTTGCCCTTTCTTCAGTTTGAAGGATTGCCTGAGACGGACGCGGCAGCGCAGGGGTTATTGTGGCGGATCTAGAGCTAGATCTTGATTCGTCCCGACGAGGTGCCCGATCTCTCACTCTGGTTTCTCCTGAAGCGTTCACTGGTTGCGTCACGACTGTTTGACTTTGTAGCCTTTGTGTGCTTGAAACGGAGCCATGACTCGTACTCGTGTGTCGAATTGTGATAACATTGCTGCGGTCCTGTGCCCGTGGAATTGAAGTCTCGCTTGTAGACGATGGAATCGGAACTGGGGTTTGTTGAGCTTGAAGTCTTTGAAGCACCGCGAGAGTTTCTTGAAGCGTCTGGTATAGCTCAGAACATTGCTGTTCGACGTTCATCAAACGTAGTTCCGAAGGGGTATCTCTTGTGGGCTCTCTGCTGGCTGGTCTGGTCGTTACCCGTGTTGGCTGTCTAACAAACTGTGGGGTTGACTCTCTGCGTAATGGTGATTGCAATCGCATGAATGAACGAATATTCTTTTGCCAGCGTGCGATGAGGTCCGATGCCTGGGACTGATGCCATCTTCTGCACAAAACATGGGGGGCAAGCTCCTCGAGAAGATCGTCGATGCATCTTCCAGCGCGCAGCTCTTCTGTGGCCTCGTCTAGTAGGTTCATAGCACGTCTGCGACCGTATGCATTTGTTGAGGCATGGCAGCGACGACCCTGGGATGGGGCGTAGCCAGCGCAAAAGGGCTCTTTCTCGGGTTCTAATTTGATAATCTGGGACAAATGTGGCAAAACAAACGACGAAGGCATGGTGCGGTAGACTTCTGCGTAATAAAATGTTGTATGAGCTTTTGTTGGACGAGCTTGATTTGAGAACATATGGCGGTTGCCGAGGATTCCTTATATCTTATGTCTTCTCTTCACTGTCGAGAACATTGTCTCAACCACACTTGAAGGTCTTTGCTTAGCCACAAGCTCGTGGCGCAGCTCCTTAAAATCCAGCGAGCTAATCCTCCATGCATGGCCGGCAGCATTTATTTTAGGATGGTTGGCTAATTTCTATTGGCAATTTATGATTGACCTCCAACAACATTACGCAAGCGCACTGCCTCACGAGAGGCTTCATCGCGCGGGAAGTTTTAGCGTCAGTTTTTCATAATTCTTGTTGGTGGTGGTATACCAGATTCGGCTTAGCCATGCAGCATGCATGGCGCTTGTGCGGGCTAATTATAGCATAGGCTTCAGATTATGCAACGTACTTATTCTGGAAGTTTGTGTCGTCATTCACGCCATTTGATTTACTCCCGGTCTCTCATAACTATTATCTTTTCTGATGCCCCACCCGTAGACGCCTTTCGACATCGTCGAGAGATTTGATACGCCTGATGATTATAAGTCTTCATACGATGTATTACGAGCACAGATTACAGCGCCCTTGAAGGCCAGCGATCAAGTAAATGGCTATCTTTACGCCTATGACGCTGAAGGAAACGAGGGTTTCGTTAAAATCGGGTACACCACACGCCCTGTCAACAAACGCCACGAAGCATGGTGTTTTGACTGCAACCGAGAATCAAAGCCTTTGTTTCCAGTACCTGGTGCTGAGGCAGCGCTGGGTCCAAATGTGCTTCGGGTCGAGAAGTTATGTCATGCGGAATTGCGACATCGTCGAGCGCCTATCTACTGTCACGGCCGTTTGAAGACACCAAGAATGGTTTCAATTGTCACCCACAGAGGCCTCTACAATTATCAAAAATGGTCAGAATGGATGCAAATAGAGCCATACCAATCCGACAAGTCATCACTCAAATTATTCAAGGATGAAGAGGCGCGAAAGACTTCTAATATGGAACAGTACATGAATGATTTATTGAAACAGTGCGATTGAGCATCTGAAGGCTGTTAGATACAGCATCTAGGTGAAAAGCTCAATCAAAAACTGGATTAAATATGGTCACCGAGACTCTCGAGATCCAACATATCCTTCAATTTAGTGTATGGGCCGTTAAGCTTCACCGAGAGAATTTTTTCAAGCCAGTGGTCCCCAGGGCTGCATTTTTGTATCTGGGATCAACACGTCGACTTGGTGCAGGTAGCTTGAATTTTTTTTTTTTTGGATGGGCTTTACAAGAAGCATTGGAGGTATTCCTCGGTCTGGAATTCCGTCTCTGAATTCTCTGCGGTGGCGATTTTGCAGTGACTTGCTGGTGATAAAAAATTGCTCTGCCAGATGACGTTGATACAAATCCCGGTTCCCGTTCCGGAACCATGGCTGGTCAAAAATTGCGAGTCATCAAGAATAAAGCAGGGTATATCTGCAAAAATCCTTGTCTCGCCGGAGATAAAATCTAGGTCATTTTCTGTCATTGAATTAAGAAATTTAAAGGTTGATTTACATTCGTGGGAACTCTTTGAGTGATCGGCGTAGGGTCCACAGATGATATAAGTCAACGGTGACGTACTGTAGAAGGGTCCTTGATCCTTCCAAGGTTGTGGACCCTGATTGTCATTTGAAACACTCCATAAATTCACGATTCCTCCTTCTTAATCTCTCGAATTTCCAGTCGTTTGTTTCAAACACTTTCATTTCGCTGAACAATGTCTGGAGATCAAGCCCAGGGCGCGGTCCATGGTAAGCTCCCTCACTCACCGCCAACCCTTTCCATACAAAAACACTGACTTAAATAAAATGTTAAGACATGGACCCACATGAGCACGAGGCAGGTCAAGGCACGCAAGAAGATGCCAGCAAAGGCGAAGGTGCCGGTACCAATCCGACATTTAGTTTAGCCGGTCCCGGCGCGTCGAATCCAGCAAGCAACGCGTACGTTGGAGACGATTATCGACTATACAATCCTCAATATGGAAAGGAAGTTGATTCTCCGACATGGAGCTTGGCTCAACCCCTTCCTCATATTGTCCGACCAGGGATGCAACATGGCGCATTGCCAGAAGATCGGAAAGAGGACAAAAAAGAAGTGCAGAATGGTCATGAACCAGCGGCAGAGAAGCCGCACTCCAAGGATGATTCCAAAGGCTCGGAAGATGGCTTCTTCAACACTTGGTCTAAGATTCGCCACATTCTTCGAGAGCCACTAGCAGAATGGCTTGGGGTAATTTCTTCTGATCCTTGTCTACAATATCATATTGCTGATTAATCTTCCCGTCGCAGATAACCCTCGCAATGACCATTGGGCTTTGCGCAACACTATCGAACTACACCTCCTCCGGTCAAGGTGGAAGCTACGCTACTCAAAGTATGGCATGGGGCTTCGGTTTTATGGCAGCAATTTACGTCAGTGGGGGCATCAGCGGCAAGTCAGGACGGTCAGGATGGTTAGGAGATTACTTGCTAATGATACTAGGTGGTCATCTCAACCCAGCCTTCTCTATCGCGTTGAGCGTGTTCCGTGGCTTTCCCGCTCGGAAGTGTGTTATTTACATAGCTGCCCAGCTTCTAGGAGCTATCACTGCTGGCGGAATTGCCTATGCAATCTACCATGATGCTATTGTCGAGATCGGTGTCAAAACTGGGACGCCACAAAATGCGGGTCTCGCCGCTGAGGCTCTAATTACTGCACCGAAGTCTTATGTTCATCCCGTTACCGCATTTTTTACTGAGTTCCTCGGCAGTGCTATCCTCTTCGGCGCAATTGTGGCACTTGGAGATGATACGAATGCGCCACCTGGAGCCGGAATGCAAGCTTTTATACTTGGCATTCTTATTACCCTTGTGATCCTTGCGCTTGGTTATAATACTGGAGGATGCTTTAACTGTGCGAGAGACTTTGGGCCTAGGCTGACCATGCTTATGGCAGGATGGGGTGGTAAGTTATTCCGAGAGACCCATGCGTGGTGGATATGGGGTCCTTGGTGTGCCGATATTAGTGGAGCGCTATTTGGTGCATTGGTGTACGATATGGCAATCTTCACTGGAGGTGAAAGTCCGATCAACTATCCTCCTCGGCGACGAAAGAGAGCATTCCAGGTGAGATCGGTCAATCTGCGGAAAAAGCTGGGCTTGAGGCGGAAGAAGACTCGGGATATCGAGAGCTCTTCTGCGGAGACTTGCCGCTAAATCATCGGGTATTCATTCACATACGACATAATGCCGTGAGATCGAGCTTCAGCATCTATCAATGGCTGCTTTAATATACACGAGGTATTGATAGTTGGGAGTTCTTTCCACAATCTTGGGGATTGAAAAGTTCCACATGTTCTGTTCTGTACTATGATCTCCACATTGGATATGGTTCCTTCTGCAAGGGGCATTTGGGGAGTTTATTTATCAAGCAACAAAAGAATTTTACATTTATTTTATAGAAAAATTTTTCGAAATATCAAACAGCTACCAAAAGACACTCTAATTCCAATCATTACGAATGTCTTTCTTAGAAGTATATGGCTGTGAGTAATAGAACAACATATGTAAGCCAACCGGCCACCTCAAACTCATTCGCTTACTGGTTGCGTTACCGGTTGCGTTACGGTTACGTTACCCAAAAAGCGAGGCTGATTGATATTCAGAACTCAGTTTGGAAGAAAGCGCTCTTTTCCTTTTATCGCAATATTGCTTTTCAAAACCATGGGGGGGGTATGGTTGTGAAAAAAGCCCCATCTTCCTGACATCAATTTCCTATGTTACATTGTCAAAATTCCAGAATTATCGATGAAGTCTAGGGATATATCCGAAACTTCTGACTGCCATGAACACGGATAGGAGTTTCGAAGTTTTATGTATAGCTATGAGGTTTTCATCGTGTTAGTATGTACAGTCCCAAACAAATTGAATAAGCGGAAGTTGATTACCTTGTGCTGTAATGCATTTTCTGCTGGATTTTGCATACTAGTGAAGAATGGGAACAGAGCTTTCAATTGGCTGAACGTCTCCCGGCTATATCCATCATTTAGCGTTAGAAAGCTTATCATGGTCCACTAATAAACTCACTTTTTCCACGCGGAAACATCAGGTCTATGTTTTGCACTGAGATCAATACACTCGTTGTGTCCCATTTTCTGAGGTCAGCAAGTAACTTGCCATGTGTCCAGTCAGAAGCTTTATTGAGATCTCCCTCTAGATGCATCTCAAAAAAGAGTTGCGACCAGAAGAGAAAAGTTCAATACATGGAGGAAGTAGTCTGACCCTGACAATTCATAATCTGACTCATTCATCTGCCAGCGTTTGGGTGCATCGACTGTTTTATTGGTGGCAGCCCGGGTGTTTCTCGAAGTTCCATTTGACTGTGAATCTGTCTTGGGTTTTGATTTTCCCCTCTCGTCTTTCTTAGCCTCTTTGGCCTTTTCTTTTTGCTTGGAGGTTCGTTTTGGCCTTTCTATGTTCTTGGAAGTGTTTCTTGAGGTGGCCTTTGGAGCATCCTGTTTGACTCTTTTGGTTGCGGGCGGACCTGGCTTAGGATCGGAGGCCGGTCTCTTTGTGTTCTTGCGTGTAGTAGCAGGCATTGTAAACGTATTTTCTATCGGTCAAATTCAGTAGTTTGAAGGGAATCAAGCAGTCAGGCAAAATTCATAAAGTCAGTTAAATATCTTTGAGAGATTTTATGGTTATTGGAGACTGCAGTCATATTAATAAACGAATATTTCAGATCCTGCAAAATATAGACAAAGAGACACGTCTGCACGGAGATTGAGTAAACGTGCAACAAAAGACGAACTCTATCCAGTAATAGTTCTCAAGGACAAAGAGTTATTCTTGGGTTTCATTCATGCTTAAAATTTCTTTTACATTCGCAAACTTGGTCTTGAGTTTCTTTTTCTGGAATCACAGTTTTCAAATGCGACACAATCCTGAAAGGTTCTGACGAAGGTTCGAGACACCTATGCCAAAGAGATCTTGGCAGTCGAGTTGGAACGGACTCGAATTTTATAGAGGTTGATTTGAAAGAAAAAAGCGGAATGAAAATTTTCATCCTTTTCGGCGGTGCCGATCTCACCCACGCGCCTTCCATGCCACAGGCGACGCTAGATAGAAATGGAATTTCCGATGCAATCCACATTGTGATCGCTGTTCAACTCAGAGAGGCCATTGAGTCTACTAGCGGCGAGGAAACAAGCGTAATGCCGTACCGTAATTATCTTTGAGTGGACGGAGACAAAGCGGGCCGAAATTCTTCGCAAATCCCGTCAAATCCCGTCAATATGGGCCAGCATCTGACCAGTCATAATCCAATTCAATGGCCGCAATAATTTTCCAAGCCAAGCTGGGAAGTTCTAGGTCATCGTGCTGTAATGTCAGCAGTCGGAAGCTGTCAATGGTAATGCCGGTCACTGACTCGCAAACCATGAGTCATTTTCATAGTATCTACATCAAACTCAATGGCAGCCATAATGCATAAAATTACCTTATTTCTGTGCTGTTTCTATAATAGACAAGGTTGCTTTTTTTTTGTTTCTTCCTTTTTCTTTTTCTTTTCTTCTAATGAATTTGCTTTCTACCGCTCTTCTCCGCTGCCAGCTTCAACCGGAGCTTGGGTCTGAAAAGACAATAGCGGCTTCTTCAAATCCAATCCCCACTCATGCTCCGGTCGCGTGAGATTAGAAAAGCATCAAAGTGGATCATCGCGAGAAGATGAGGTCCACCAGCATAGCTTGTTACAAGTCGCATCTCTGAGTCACATAGTTATTGCAAGTATAAATACTCAATGAGAGCCATGCCAATTGAAAACATACATACATCTCTTGTCTTGAATCAAACCTTCCAATGGCTTCCAACTACACATACTCATTCTTCCGCATCTCGAAGACGGATGGCATTAGCGTTTCCGCTCAAAAATACCGAGAACTGCGCCTACAAGCATTGAAAACTTCACCTGGCTCTTTCTCTTCAACCTACGACATCGAAGCAGCTTTCGTCGACACTGATTGGATAGACCGACTCACAGTTCCCTATCGGGAGGTCTTCATTTGCGCCGCTACACCATCTGGCCAAGATCTGTGTCCCAATGACATTCAATGGGTCGGTCAGGTTACTCTCCGAGGACCTGCATCCCGCGCTGATTTCGAGTTGCCCCCTGAAGCTGGACAGCCCCCTCAGAGATCCGACGAAGAGGAGGAGCGATGGCAGATGCTGAGCTTGTTTACACTTCCGGAACACCGCGGTCGTGGACTTGGCGGCAAATTATGCCAGGCGTCGCTTGATCATCTTCGATCGTATAGATCAACTCCGAGAGATGTTCAGGTTCGCCTTATCGTGAAGGCGGGTAATGATGTTACTGTTGAGTTGTATCGGCGTCTTGGATTTATACACGCTGGAAAGGCGACTCTTGTGGAAGCTCTTATCGCAAATGGGGATGAACATCTCATTCCGAAGGATGGGAATGAGGCGATGTACTCCGTGCGGCAGGGCCTTATCATGATATCGCGGATATCACGGTCTTAGCGACTTGATACCAATATAAAGTTTGAGTTCCTGATCTATACAGGTCCAGTCTCTACAAATCAATCATTATGAGCTTGCTATGTTCAGCATTTTTGGTCGTTTGATATGTCGACGAATTCACTCTACACTAGATCCTGTATGAGCTTGAGACCCTGAAACTGTCTTTCCACGTGTCTAGGTGCCACATTGTAACTATAATTTAAGCTTGAGTGTAGGTGAAGATTTTATTTCTGCATCAAAACAAAAAAATGTGCTTTAGCGTTGCGTGTTCGTAGCTTTAGGTCAATGCTCAAGTACTATTTCTAGCACAGTAGTAGCTCGTGATCGGAACACGCCACATCATGCACCTTCAAGTAAAATTGAAATACGGCTTCATCTAGTCAGTGCTTCTAGAATGACTGAATTGTGGGCGTCATTCAAGAATCTATAGCTCGGGTTGTTTTCGATTTGGCAAGACTGACACGTTTTCTATGAATCAATCCCTGTCTAGGGAGCCATAATTGCCATTCGATCATTCTTTTCAGATTTGAACTTCTTTGATCAGAAAGTATCATAATACTTAGTCACATTAATAAACCACTACTTATACAGCTCTGAGACCATCCATCAAAGGAAGCTGTATGTATACTACATATCTTTCTTGAATAAGTAGCACATATCAACCAATAAACCTCATTTCATTCGAGAAAGCAGCACTCAAACCTCGACTTAAGAAGCGAAAGGGTTGGTACAAGTCCAAGAGGTCGTAAGGGAGCCACCAGGGGCATAAGCCGATTCTAGAGCCAGAACAGCAGCCCAGGTACCCATGCCAGAAGCGGCAAAACCAGCACCGGTGAAGATTGTAACGGGAATGGTGATGTACCAGTTTTTCATGAATCCACGGGTCCATCTCGCCATGCCGGTATCGTGGCGGACTGTCTGACCAGTGTAGGGATCAAATCCTTCGCCGGGGAGTCTGGCACCTTCCTGGATAGCGTAGCCTAGGTACATGACACCGGAAAAGGAGTAGGTAAAGTTCAGACTGAATAGTCCTCCGACAAAGTTGGTGAAGGCGCTGAATTCGGGGACAGACATGGCGATGATGAAGGCAAGGATCCAGTAGAGTGGGCCCAAGCCCCACCAAAAGTATTTGCCCTTCTTGGTGGTGATTGGGGGAGCGTGGAAGAGTTCCTGGCCAACTTCGATGTAGACGGTCTTCATACCGACGTTGAAGTACAGGACTGTGTCTCATTAGACATGGACAAACTTGTAGGGGTAATAATACTCACAGACAGCGAGCCAACCAGTGATTAGTGACAATACGTTACTCAGCACTTGGAGACTGAGTGGCTTGACAGTCTGGGTGATAGTGGCGTAGCTGTACTGGCCGTAGTAGGAGTAGGCCTAAATATGTTAGCGCAGGTTTGCAGACGGGTGACAAGTGTCTTACAAAGGCTCCAAAGAAGACATAGATAACGGTGATGAAAGCCTGTGCGAGAAATACGGCCTTCCAGAAGTCCAATGGCTGGCGCATCTCAGACAAGAAGGCGACAAACAGCAAAGCTCCAGAGTAGGCGTCTAAGACAAGCCGTTAGCATTTTCTCATAGATGAATAGATGGACAAACTTACAAACCATGCTGTTGATTCCGTTGAATTTGGCAGCAAACAGGTTGGCGTCGGTTTGCTGGTACTCTGCAGGCGGGGTACCAACGAAGGTCTTGACCGGAACAGGGTTTGTTGCCCATGACTTTGGTAGGATACCGTTGTTCACGGCAGCAGTAGGATCAGGGCCGTATTTAGCTGCAGCAACGCAGCTACATACATATTAGCATAGTAGGAGATAGGAGGGTAAATTCAGTACTCACATGATGATGAAAGAGACAATGTTGATCCACACCGACAGGTTGCAGAACCAACCAAGGTGCTTGAGAGACCGCATGTAACCACTGGCCATACTCACTATCAGGCCAATGAGTCCGCACACAACATAGCAGAGATTGACACTTTCACCAAGCTGAGCAATAAGCTGGGTCTGACCAAGAAGCACGACAGCGACAGTAAGGAACATCTGGAGAGCCTGAGTGAAGTTGATGAAATGACGAGCACCAGGTCCAAACAGACGGAAGAACGGGTCACCGAAACTCAAGACGGGGAACCGAGACGAGTCAAGACCCAAGAAAGTCTTCCAAATCATCCATCCGGACATAGCGGCAGCGATACCCATGAGAATAAAGATACCCACACCAAGGCCGTAACCAGTGTTGGCGAAGACATATGGTGTCTGACCCCAACCCAAAATATCAGTCGTGATCAAGTAGAAGATACCACCCCAGCTGGCTGTACGCAGGGCTCTCGAGGCCTGTCGCCATTCGGCATCGAAGTCGTGAGTGCTGCTAGGCGCGATCGGGCTCGTCCCATCATCATCCTTGACAACGGGCGACTTCTCATCCTTTGACCACTGTGTCACTTCTTCGTGGGTCTGCAGCGCACGAGAGGTATCATTGGTGATCTTGTCATCCTCGTAGGCATTCATGTTGAAATAGCCTTTGATCGCGCCCAAAACTCCCTGACCGGATGTGAGAGCCTTCTGGCGACGGCCCTCTTCAAGTTCCATCTCACGCTCAACCTTGGCCCAGTAGGTGAATTCCTCGTAGGAAACACTTGGGTCCAGACGGGCTTGGACTCCCCATAATCGCTGGCGAACACCGGGGTGAGTGGCACTCATGGACATCTTGCGAACTTCATCGGATTCGATGCCTTTCTCACGCATCTGCTCCGTGGGAGCCGTGATGGCCATAGGGCCGGGGAGCATAGACATAGTGATGGGAGGGCGAGTCAATTCTGGAATGGAAGGCCGACAAGAGAAAGAAGGGAAAAGAGAATTGAGGGGACACTTATAAGACGGAGTAAGATAGCGTGGTACGGAGTAGTACTTTGGTCGACGCTAAGACTAGCGTAGATAACCCCAGTAAATGGCGGAATTTAATTCTGTTTATCTCCACCATGACTAACCGGTATGCATGAAGCAATGCCAAGATAAAGTCAGCTCAAGATTCCAGAAGCAGAAGTCTCGAAGTTTACGAAGATTGAGGCGCTACGTCTGTGTCTTATCGGCGCTCGGATAAGGCAACTAGGGTAGCACTCAACTTCAGCTCTCCACTTGATAGCGGTTTACCCTTGTCTCATTGGCTCATTAATTTACATGTTCAATTTCAATCTCCTCACTAAAAATTGGGAAATGACAATCGCGAGGGAACGACAGGATTTGAGCGCAATTGGAGTTCGACCTACAATCTGCAATCTAAATGAAGTGCTCGCTAGCGAGAGAAACTTGGTTCACGAGCCAATTGCCGCGATCCACCTACCCTCCTCACGCGATCATATTAATCCCGGTCATGCGGTGTCTCCGATTGGCTTTTTTACATCCCTACGATTGGAAGGCGATACAAGTTACACCACCGGGGTAATCCAAGTAAGGTTAGACAATGTACGCGAGACAACAAATATCGTTCAACAAACCCGGAAAGGGGCGAATAAGTGGCCAAGAGAAAAAAGGGTGGCGTCCAAGGTAGTATCGAGGCTTAGTTCAAATAAGCTTCGGGACAAGACATTCGACAATGCCATTTAGCACAGACCACAGACCCCTGGGATGTTCCCTTTCACACTTTGCCATTCGCCCTCCATCACAAATAATGCCAAAATCTACAAGGTTGCTACAGTATTTACGTCGGAGATATTTCTGCATTAGAATAGGAATTCATTCAGGATTGGGTTTCAAATGCTCCAACCTCAGGGGCTGGAACACTTTGGCTTTGACCCACCTATGCGAAGCGACATGGGGGGCTCAATCCCTTTCTAGAATAGTGGCATTTCCCGCGGCGGGGCACCGGCGCAGACCCGACGGGGCAAATGAGATTTCTTCGTTGTCCACGGTTCTTTGTTTCTCAAGATAAGTGATTCTCCACTTGAGCTTACTTTCAGGGTATTGATGATTGCTGCACCCTTTGCATGCGGGATACCCACGGATAATTAGTTCGGGCGTTTTCAACAGCTAATCTGAACCTGTCCGGCCTCGCCACCTAGCGCAGGGCACGGTGCTCTCCACTAGCACACGTGGAACTGGTGGGTATGAACTTTATGGTATCGCCGAGGCTGGCGGTCTGTGCCACGTGTTGACTATTGTGGCGACAATGCCCCATGGATCGTGTTCCACGGTTGATGTTCAATCGTCTTGATAGTACTTGGCCAAAGCTTGGTTGCGCCATATTGAAGTAGGGCATTGGCGAAGAACATGACAGGTCGCCACGTGGTTATATCATCTAGACCAACCTACTATACATTTGAATGTAGGTAACGCTTCATTGGATACCAGAATGACTTCTTATCTATATACCAAATCCAGCAGTAGCCTTAGGATTATTGGTTGACTGCTCGTGTTCATCAACCGTTCATATCCCCAAAAGCTTAGTAGCGCACGCCCCAAAACGCCCAGAAGCCACACCTCGGGAAGAACTGAGAGAAAAGTATTTTCTCCGCCTATCTGTCGAGGATTCGGGCCGGCGGACCATGAAGTCCCCGGCACAATGATAGAGCCTAATTGCAAGGATTGTTATTACCGCATTGACTAATCAACATAATAGAATTTACGATGCAATACTGGTCCTTCCCGGCGTGAGTTCGTATTGACATGACTGGAGAAACCTTCTCACAAACCAGAATCAATTCTGGTCACTTTATGACCACCGTAATGTCAAATTGCAATTTATAGCCCGGGTTGACAGCTCCAGGACATGGGACCTGGCATCAAAGAGCCCAAGCTCGCTCCCATGGCCGCTTTATCCAACATAGTTGCGGCTATCATAGACAAGGTGCCCTCTCTTAAAAAAGCATGAAAAAGCAGATATCTAAATCTTCGTGCCGTTATGTCAAATGTCCCCTTCGCGCTCAAAATCGTGCTGTGGGACAGCTGGAGCTGCCGGAACTCTCTCTAATTCCCCCGCTTGCCGGTACGGAGAGATTCAATCCAAAAACTAGGTCAATAGTGAATGAAGATCATCAAGAATATTATCTATCGGAATACAGTGCCACCAAACTAATAATCTCGGATCATAGAATTCACGGAAGATCGTGGCTTTCAGCGACATGACTTGCTCTGATGGAAAGCTCGCTACGTTGATGTCGACCATATACTTGATTTTAAATTGCTTGCTGAGTTTTATTGACTGTGTTAATGACCAAATATCCTTGTAGAAAGACTAACTCTGAAGACAGCCCAGGAATATTGTCAAAATCTGAGTGTCACCAAAGTTCCGGTCACTCTGGGGATCAAAGAAGAATGCATAAGGGAAAGAGGGTCTCCAGTGGTTTTAGAAGCACATTAAATCTCGACGGAGAGACAATAGGTGGTAGAAATCCCATGGGCTCGATATGAGAATACAGGATTCAGAATGAGAAGGAAAGCAAGAGGCTCAGGTATACTGCTTCCAAGGAAATAACTCACGACGAACAAGAAGATTACTTATACATATGTAGACTTCAGCAACGGTCAGTGTGCAATAAAAAAAAGACATTTAGATTAAGGCCTCATCAAGTATAAATAAAATATGAACGTCAGGTCATAAAATCATCTTAGTCCACAGCTGTTGTAGAGCAAGTGTAGCGGTGATCATTTCCATTATTGAGGTTTCTTTGACTCAGCATGTGATTGGTTCTATTATAGCTAAGGTCCCGCTGGATTTCCACGAATCATGAACCTTCCCACCTCTTAACTCGAGCATGGCCTCAAAGCGCCCTCGCGCAGCCTTCGAGGCCGATCAATCTCACTCGCCCTATGCCGTCTATGGAACTCCGTTACCGCCGCTGGAGGATGGTGCGCGCGACGATGGCTCCTACTTACCAGTCTGGAAACAAGAGGTGACCGACGAGAGAGGCAGGAAGCGATTACACGGCGCCTTTACTGGCGGCTTCAGTGCTGGGTAGGTTCCATGTCCCAGGCGATGCGCGCGTTTGCTAAAGACCGCAGATACTTCAATACTGTCGGCTCGAAAGAAGGATGGACGCCCGCGACCTTTGTCTCGTCCCGCCAGAATCGCGCCCGAGATGCGAAGCCGGCTGCGCAGCGACCGGAGGATTACATGGATGAGGAGGATCTACGAGAGCAGGAAGAATCACGGAATCTCAATACAACGGAGGGCTTTGCTGGCTTCGGATCTACCGAGACAGATGCCACTCGCAGAGCGGGGCTTATGGATATACTGAAAACGGGCGGGGAAACAATGGGAGTGAAGCTGCTCAAGAAGATGGGCTGGAGGGAAGGACAGGGAATCGGTCCAAAGGTCCGCCGCAAAGCCAATCTGGACGAGAGTGCACCTGCCTCGGAGGAAACATATCTCTTCGCGCCGGAGAACCCGCCCATGGTCGCATTCGTCCGCAAGACAGATCACAAGGGTCTCGGATTCTCGGGGGAGACGCACCTAGAAAAGCCCGGTCAACAAACCCAAGACGAGGATGAAGAGTCTGATTCGTTTTTCGGGGATCGCTTGGCTACCAAGAAGAAAGCGGCAAAAAAATCACAACGGGAAGGCTTCGGTGTCGGCATTCTCAATGACACCGGGTCCGACGACGAGGACCCGTACTCTCTGGGCCCTCAGATCTCATACAACAAAACCATTGGCGGCAAGAAGAAGAAAGCGAAAGAATCAAAACCGACCATCGCATCGTCAAATCCTTTGCTCAGTGCCAAGCCTGTTTTCATATCTAAAAAGATTGCTGCTGCTCGAAGTACGGGCGGGTTCAGAAAATGCCGCGACGGACGGTTACCGCTGGACGGATTCGTTCTTGCAGACAGCCTCATGGGGTTGTCGATCTCTGAAAAGAAATATGACCCTCCCCAGGTTCCAGAGGGATGGAAATCAACCAGAAAATCTGCCACGGAGCGCACATCAGACTATGTCTCTACAGCAGATGCAGCCAAGGCATCCTCCCTCGACCCGACTTCCAGAGCGGCGGCCCTAGGTGAAGCTCAATTACCGGGCAAATCGATCTTCGACTGGATGACACCAGAGGCCCGCGAACGAATTGCGAAGCTTACGGGCAAAACCAACCTCCCACCAGCTATGAGTGAAAAGGCACCAAAAGGTTATGAGCTATCAGAATCCGATCGACGTCGGGATCTTTGGGATCTTGTCCCAAGCTTGGACAAACAAACCGCGGTCCAAGCCTTAACTCGAGGTGTCAGTGGGTGGATGCCCTATGCCGAGGATGAAGCAAAGCGTGCCCGTTACCGCACCTTCATCGAGGTCCGAGCTGGTCTTCGCGACACTCTTCCTGACCGAGTTCCGGGATCCAGCACCGACGAGTGGGTCACCGAGATGCAGGAGTTTGCCCGGGCTGCCGAGGTATTCAAGCCCATGTCTGGCGTGATGGCATCTCGGTTCACATCGGCTTCATCAGGACCTAAGGTTGTCTCTGACGCGCCGGACTCTTCTGATAACCCGCTCAGTCGGCCTGTTGAGAAACCGGATGACCCAGCTGTGGCCGCTGCCAAGATTGGAATGTTCGGACAAATGACTCGAAGTACACATAATTTCTTTCCGACCCGTCTTCTCTGCAAGCGGTTCAATATCAAGCCCCCTGACCATGTACAGCTTGATCCTGGGAGCCGATCGGGTGATCCTAAAAATCATGGCACTCGTTTCCAGTCGGGTGGTTATCAGACCGACTCGAAACCCAAGGATCTGATTTCGAAAGAGGTTATGGATATGATTATGATTGAGTCGGGTCGCCAGCCAGTTCCCGTTTCAGGTGAGGCTAGTGTGCCAGCAGCACCTGTCGTGGAGCCTGAGCACAATGAAGCCCTCGAGGCTGAGCGGCCAGGCGATGCGATCTTCAAAGCAATTTTCGGCAGCGACGACGAGGACGAGGAATGAAGGCAAACAACCTTGAAAGTTTGGTATATGTTTTTTAGAAAGGATATTGCGACCAGTGTAACTATAGCCAATCCAGCTGCAGCTGAGACAATAAATGGGCGAATCGGCCCTTTATAAATGCTTGATCCAAAGTTTGGAGTCGAGGAATGTCCGTTCACATTGTTTTTGTATTTGACATATTTCATCCAAGTGCAAGGTTCAGGTTCCAGGTTCAGTGTTCAAGGTTTCCATGGTTAACCAGCTGTCTTTGTTGCAGCTAGGGGATATTTTTAATTCCGAGCTTGGATCCTCATCGATCCACCATTCGGCCCCTCTCTCCGTCCCCTCTTCTCCTCAGCATATGGAATGTCTATATCGCATGCAAGATGGTAAGTCGTCTATTCCCACTTTACCCTGTCTATTCTGCAGAAGGGTCGAATTATCCTGTCTTTACGGATCGAATCACTGGTCACACGACTTCCCACCTCCGCATCTACCATCTCCAACCCATACCTCCTCATGGAAAGAACTCATAAATAATCTAACACATTCCAGGGCTGCTGTGCCTCTACCCCATCGCGTGACGATGACGACGACCCCCAGAATAACCAAGACCGAGCCGAAGGTCACACCACACAAACAACCCTCGACGTCGCCGACTCAACGGCACCACAGACGACAACCCGCCACCGTCGCACCCAGCGATCCCCCAACCTCCCACTAGACCAGCACTACAATGAGCCCGTCCGCCCACACATATGGAACAGTAAGCGACGGATATGGACACGCACCGATCTCGACCGCGAACGCCGCGAGTTCTTCGAAACCCGTGTCACGGGCCGCCTGGAGATCTGGGCTGCGCTTTCAAGCGCAATATCCCTCATTCAGAGCGGTGATCTAGTCACGGCGCAGGGTATCATCGATGCGGCAGGTGTTACCATTCCGACGGGCGATCTCTGTGAAGGTTGCTACGATGAACAAGGAGTACTGTATAGGCTACCGCAGTGCATCGTTAGTGATCCGGAGAATATTGCCCGTGGTGAAGGACATTCGCCTGCGTCTGGATCTGTTCGGGAGGAAGATTCGGATGGGAAGCTGGCGACGGATGATGCGTCTGGTGACGAGCTGATTGCTGCGCAGGCTTTGGAGAGACGGCGCGACGAGAAGGGGAAAACTAGTGAGCGGGATTTGATCCGGGTTTTTGCCCGGTTGAGTGATCGTGATGGACCCGATTTGATGATGCTTGTTGGTAAAAGTCAGAGTGTAGGCTTTTTGGCAAGGAAGGTCCATCAAGAAGCAGGGGTATGCGTTCCTTTTCTATGGATTGGTTGATCGGTTGATGCTGACGATTTGGTAGCTTCTAAATAACCAGCGTGTACGAGTCGCTTACCTTGGCCATATGCTGAAAGAGCATGAGTCGTTGGTTGACCAAGGCTGGAAGAGTGGCCATGTCATTAACGCACTCATTGTTGGTAGGCCGTCTGTATGATGCGGTTTTTGGTGCGGTTTTTTGCTTTTTCCATCGCTACTTATTGCGATTCGGCCTGGAAACTTGCTCCACTCCTCTCTTTCTTTCTTGCTCCCTCTCTTCTCTTACGACATCCCCCTTTCTAGCGTTCTGGCGTTCGTCATCTTATGCACAATACCCCGATTCTCCTTTTATATTCTAGTGAGGCTATGACAATCGTGTGGATTTAATCTAGCCACCGAATTAGCTGGTTGCCATTTGACATCTATTGTACTTGTTCAAGGCAGGCTTGTCTGAGATTTAATAGTTAGCTATGCATGGCTTATATGGATGATCTGTTGCTATGTAGGAATGATTGATGCCAATGCTTCGGAATACGTGCTGATGCAAAATTTGACCTTTAATGAAAACTTCCAGCACATCCAGAAAGACGAGTACATAGATCAAAAAAAGTGGAGAAAAAACAAGAAACAAAAAGAAATGCATCATCCGTGAATCGAACACGGGCCTCGTCGATGGCAACGACGAATTCTACCACTAGACCAATGATGCTAGTTGATGTAATGGTTTGGGAACTTAGTTATATAAGCCAAGACCACATGTATGGAGGAAACTGAGAGTCATGTGTTGCCCTTCTAAGGCATCAAATAAGAAGCTGTGTTCGCAGCAGCTCAATTTTCGATATTTCGCGAACGACTTTCCCGAAACTGAAAAAGACTGCTTCATTAGATAACGTGATTTATTCTATTTTTAAATACCAAACAAAAAGACCATTACTGATATTTGGTCATTTTGTTGATATATTTTCTTCTGATGTTCATAATTATATAAAAGGACGGCAGGGGCCAGAACTACGATAGATAATTGGCAGGTATTTCCCAACGTTAATTTCTTCTTTGACTCCCTATGAAAAATGAAATGCATAGATCAATGGAGCTAGAATCCATAAAGGCTATGTACCTATTCTCTTACAACTTTGAAATTAACTGTATTTAGGTAGAAGGACATTTAAAGTCCTCAGCCTTCCGGCAGGTGAAGATTTAAAATACACATCAAAGCAAGTACTCAGACCTTCGCAATCCTTCCTAACTGCCAGCCGCGCTAATGCTTCCTTAGACTCTTGAGGCGTATGGATGTTTGGCGAAACATGCGCAGTAAAGCTCGATATTACAGATAATTTACAAAGCCACTTGCTTCTCGCGAAAGTCCAGTTCCAATCCCAGGCATCAATACGGGATTCGTGGCTGTAGTAGTTCAATTCTTTCTAGCCTTTCGTTGATCATTGTAAAACCACAATGTAGAGAAAACAAGTATAGCATAATCGCTGGCTTGATATTCGTGCAATGGTGTCGCCCGTTGCCTTACGTATACATCGCCGTAAGCGGGTTGGCTAGTTCCTCTGCCGCGTTTTAGAAAGCATCCAGCATGCTGTATTTCTGTCCTGCATCGTGCATCCCACTTTTTGCGATCACGACCTGTGCAGTATCGGCCAAATGAGTCCGTAGTAGGGAGAAGAGCAGAGCGCTTCTGTGGTTAGGAAGCAGCATGCTTACGGGATATCTATAGCTTTTGAAATTCGTGATCACTTGAATGGACCAGTTTTTTTCTCCGAAAGAGTGAGAACATTGAATTTCCGGTCGATGATTGTTATAGATGTTGCGCTAGCTAGAATGAGACCAGCAAGATGAAAGGATAAAATTAGGTGAACAGGGCGGGTCGGCCCGCCGACAGGCGCTATCATGTATACGTTTATTAACCTAGCTGGCTTTGTCTGGCTATGTTAGAATTCACGCTATCTTAGCTTCTGGTTCCTGAACAGTGCATTGAATTCCAAAAATAGAAGGTTACGAGCAAATAGATGAAACTTTTATGCACCCAAACGTGGTACCTGCTCGTTGCGCTCTATGAGTGTGACTCGCGAGCTAATATATCCCCCTTCCCTCAAAGGCTTTTCTTCCACAACCTTTCTCTTCCTTTTGCGTATCTCCCCCATCGAGAAACGCTACCCCAATATTGCATATTACCAAATCTTTTCTTTTATTCGGTTTGTTGACATTCATGAATCGGCCGACCCATATCATCGACCCAGGAGGGGACGTGATGTTGGTGCTTTCTCCCCAAGACGAGTCCGAGTACTCAACCCCCATGGGAACTATTGATGGAGATGTACCCGAGGAAACCACCGATGAGCCGGTTGAAGAGATTTTCTACATTCAAGTCTCTGCGAAACATTTGAAGCGTGCATCGCCATTTTTCAGAAGCCTTTTCCTTGGCGCCGGGGACAAAAGCCAAATTTATGAGCTGAACGGCTTGACCCATATTGATGAATATGGCTGGGATCTGGACGCGCTCTTGATTGTGCTTCGTGGGATCCATGACCAGCACCAGGACATACCGGAAAATCTGACCCTCGAGATGGTCGCCAAAGTTGCTCAAATAATGAAACATTATAGATGCAAGAAAGCCCTTTCCAGCATAATCAGTAAGTGGATCACGAATCTGGAGGATATTCCTACGACGTATTCTCAGGATTTAATGCTGTGGGTGTGGATTTCCTGGGCTTTCAAACTCCCTGCCCAGTACAACCAATCAACCTCGGTAGCCATGTCATGCAGTAAACACGAGTTTAACAACTGGACCATTCCACTTCCCAGAAGCATCATCGGTAAGGACAGAATAATTCTAAGGCTGTTTGATATCATGCTAATGAGATTACAGAATTGATGAACAGAGGTAGACAGGAGGCCATCGAATACCTGCTCATTAGCCTTCATAACACACACGAGACCTTTCAGCTGGGCCATGGAGGCTGTGACGTTTTGCGTCCGTCTTTTTGTGGATCTTTCTCCACAATGCTGCAGTGCACGATTTTTCTCGCAATGGATCATGACGTTCCTTTCAAGAATTTGAATTATACGTCTCTCGTGGAGATGATCTTGACATTCCACGCAAAAGCATATTGCGCACACTGTACATCCTTGCTCCCATTTGTGGAATTGAACGGCTCTGTTGGAGGATTGTTCCTACACCAACGTTCCTAGTGGTTGAAGCCCATGGTCCATGCGCCTAGGCCGGGTTATCAGGGAGAGAGGATGGGGTTAATTTGCATTCTTGTTGACCGAAGGCAGAGTCTTGGTAGCGGTTTATTCGAAGGGGACAGTTGAAAATGTGGATGGAAAAGCAGTTATTTGGAATGCATCTAGAGCTAGATACTATGGGGGCTGCTCTGTCGTCTGTGGACACTGCATCAGGGCAATCATCTTTGCTCCTCCTCCTTGAATGGAAAATCTGCTTCGCTGAATATTTTCGAGTATCGGATCCGTCTCCACCAATATTTGGATTCGAAACGTTGCTTATTGTCCCTAGTCCCGTAGATGCTCCAAATCATTGGTCCTAAGTTTACTGCATGTCCCTTGATCTTCCTGCCTTCTCCAGATGTTGAGGTGCAGGGTGCTATCTACCTAGTCTAATCTATAATCCTGATATACATATACTGTACGGCTGCCGGGGAACCTAATTCATCCTAAGGAATTCGGTAAGCTTATCGCCATGACCGAGGCCGCTATACCTAGACCGCGCTAGCGTAGAACGGCACCGTTGAATATGGCGGATCTGATTGGTTGGCAAATGTCCCCCTCTTAGATTCCCCACATCCTTAGACTTAATCCCTTGACATCCTCCCCTTCGTCTCTTTCTCCGTGAATTTATGGACTTCCTTGTGAATAACTAAGACTGCCAAAATAAACAGCGTCTGATCTGAGCTTCGAATCATGCCCGGCATAGAGAGCCGGGGCTTAGCCCCGCAGGCCCGAAATATCCACAACAGAGCCCTCCTTTCACCTCCACAGCTGCTCAAATACATTCCCGCATATGAGGTCATCGTATGTACAAGCTGCCGTCATGCAATCAAACCGGGAGGAGTAAACCGGCACCTGAAAGATATCCACCATCTCCACAATGAAGAACGACGCCCGTACACTCTATACACGAGTAGCTTCAGATTGAAAAAGCCAGAAGAAGTGACAGATCCATCGGATCAAGATTTCCCTATACCATACTTATCTCTCGAACAAGGATGGAAATGCGAAGCACCAGGCTGTGACTATCTATGCGCCTCGACAAAACGAATGGAAACTCATTGGCCCTCGAAGCATGGCTGCAAAGGAAATCCAAGCCAAGACTGGTCTCCAGCACCTTTGCAAACATTCTTTCGAGGGAACATGCTCCGATATTTTACCAGTAACAGAGAAAGCTGGCCCGATCGCTATCCGCAAAAACCGCCTGCATCATCTTACATCCGCAAAATGCAGGACATGCACGGACTGGACCCGATCGACTCCTTAGCACTGGAGCACTACTTTTATTCTTCCTGGCAAACTTTCTCCAAAGATGCCCAGACGGAGGGCATCTGGGTCAATGTCGTGGCAGATCTTGCATATAATCACCAATTCCTCTTGCACGGCATTCTGGCCTGCACGGCATTACACATGGCTCATATCTACCCAGCACAGCGGGAGACCTACATAATACGTGCATACGCTCGTCAAGACACCGCACTACCTCTCTACAGTCGAGCAATTGAGAATCCAACAACAAATAATTGTGATGCGATAATGGTATTCGCATACCTCCTAGTCGTGTTCTCCTTCGCGACGGAACTGGATAACGGGCAAAATCCGCTTCTTCTCCTCTGCGACACGGGTACAGGTGTTCAGGAAAATCAGTTAATCCTACCTCAGTGGCTACATTTTGTTCGGTGTGGATGTAATTTGCTGGACGAGGTCTGGGACCGTATTGAGAGTGGCCCCGTGGGCATTTTAGGTGATGCATGGGAGACTGAGCCGGATGTTGGCGATAGCAAACTTCCCTACTTGGAACAGTTTATGTCTTTTGTCCCGCCTGATGGGTCTTGGTCTGAATCTGTTGTATCGGTTTACCGGGACGCAGCGAGTGCGCTGGCTGGTGCATTTGCGTATGTGGATCGTGAAACGACGAATATCGATGTCAGTACGTGGAATATTCTGGGGTTATGGTGTGTGCGTCTCAAAGATGATTTCTATCGCCTTATCTTTGAGAGGCAGCCTGGTGCCTTGCTTTTACTTGCATATTACTGTGTTATTATGAAGCGGATGGAGACGTGCTGGTACTTTGGTGGGAGGCCGGCGAGACTTATTGCTGCCATTTCAAGCGTGCTTGATGAACGGTGGCATCCCTATCTTCAGCAAGCTGCAGATCAAGTCAACGGACCCGGAAAGATATAAATCAATAAACAGTATATTCCACGAATAGTAACATTTTGGATGAGAATGTGCATCGCAAGTACATGTGAGGATGAAGTTACCAAATTAAACCAAGCGCCCATTGTTTGCCTCCTTTCCTTTTGGTGTCTCCCCAGACCGCCGCTTGAATACACGACAGAGGAACGAGCCTCCCTGGCGGATACCACGGATCAGAGACGTGGGGTTGTAGTGCTTGACACGGAACATGTAGTACATTAGCACAGTACCGCATATGTTGAATCCTATGTAAGCCCATCCAATGCCAAAGTTGCGCCACCTTTCACTGTAGTCTATATTGAGTTAGCAAGTGGGCATTAATAAGGTTGAAGAGAGCTTACAAATGTTACTTGCAGCCAAGTACTGATCAGCATTAGATAGTTGGCAGTACTGGCAACCGCTCGAAGCAGTAGGATTGTAAAGCTGGCCCCCAGCAGCACTGACATAGGGATCCAAGTATTCACCACAGGTCATTCCACTCGGGGGATTGAAAACGCTCAACTCAGCCGTCGAACAGCGGATACTCCGGCCGTGTAAACCGTTGGCCGTCACTCCGGAAATCAAGTACGTCAATGGAGAGACACGGTACATGAAGATCCAGAATCCGGGCAAAGCACTAGGAGGTTGTAGGACACCATTGAAGGTAAGTGTCATGATGAACATCAGTGTCGCGATAGTACCACCCGTTTCAGCATCCGGTAAGGCCGCGATAACCAGCGCGGCAAAGGTGGAAGTAAACAAGTAAAATTGGACCACGAACAAAAGCATCAACCCTTGGCGGTTGGCCGCTTGATCCGCTCCATAGACTGGGAAGTAGTAGCAAGCCCAAGCGATAATTGCGGCAATCACTTGATACGGTATCTCAATAACAACATTTGCAATGAGGAATGCTGCCCATGAGTAGGCTTTGGAGGGTCGCTCGCGTACTTCATAGAGAGATCGCTGGACCACAAATTTGGGCATGATGGACTGGACAAGAGTGGAGAAGATGGAGCATAGCATGAAAGCTGAGAAGATCACATCTTGGAAGCCCTGTAGAGAGCTATCTGGCTTGAAGAAGGTGAATCCGATGAACAAGGACGATAACGTTGCTAATAGGATCTTCGCCCAAACGTAGGATGGCTCGCGCCAGAACGATTGGAAGGAGCGGTGAGTCACATAGAGGAGCTGCTTGTCAAAAGGCATAGCATACTCTCCTTGGTGAGATTCTCCGTCGCTACTGCTTGCCGAAGCTCGCTCTTCATGGATTCGATTCAGCTCGGATTGAACATTCTTTGCTTCCTGGCTTTCGTTCCACACGTCTCCCCAATCTTTTGTGGCCTTTCCGGAGGCTCCAGCGCCGATGATTTCGAGCATGTACTCTGCAGGCTAATGGTTTTATTAGACCAATTTGACTTGACAAGGGATCTATTAAACTCACATTCTCATTACCACCACAAACCCGAGCTCCGTTACTTTCAAAATAATCTAAAAGAGTTCGTGACTGATCACCAATATCCCCAAAATAAACCGTTCTACCTCCCTTGGCAAGGAATAGGAGACGGTCAAATTCCTGGAAGAGCAATGCACTCGGTTGGTGAATGGTACTGAGAACAGCTTGACCATGCTCGGCCAGCTTCCTCAAAAAGGAGCAGATAGCCCATGAGCTCTGCGAATCCAAGCCACTAGTTGGTTCATCAAGGAAGATAAGAAGCGCAGGTTTGGCAGCTAATTCGACGCCGATGGTCAACAGCTTTCTTTGTTCCACATTCAACCCTTCGCCCGGAGAGCCAACAACGGCATCCGAAAAGTCTTCCATGCCGAGCATATCTATCACATCCTCGACATATTCATACTTCTCTTTCTTAGACACAGTACTAGGCTGACGTAGCATTGCACTGAACCGTAAAGCTTCCCGGACAGTGGTTGTAGGAAGATGTAGATCCTGCTGCTGGACATAGCCCGTCTTCCGCTGGAAACTGTTATCAAGTGGTTTGCCGTTCACGAGCATGTCACCAGTCACGACACCCATCGAGACACGCTTTGCAAGAACGTCCAGTAAAGTTGTCTTTCCAGCTCCAGAAACACCCATCAAGGCTGTGAGAGTTCCGGGTTTGACCCATCCAGATACATTATCCAGAAGACGCCGTTGGCCGCCCTTGACTGGGATATCGTAGCAAACATTCCGCCAGGTAAAGATGTCGTGCTGAGAAGGAATGACAGACGTCTCGTCCTCTTTGTGCTTTTTGGATTCCTTAGAGACGGGTGTCACTTCCGCGGCACTTTCACCCCCTCTTTCCAGATGCCGCAGATGAGCGGGAACATGACCCCTCCGGAAGACAAGATACTCGGCCGTAGAAGATGTGGAAGAATTCAGCTCTGATGCGATAAGATAAAGAGACATAAAGAAAATCCAGAACCCGATAAGAATTCCTAGATTCCTCCATTCGTGTGCGTACGAGTAAGAGTATTGGGTTTGGATGTAGGAATCTCCAGATACGGTCCTTTCTCCTGCAACAGCACCTCTGACAGAGCAAATGAAGGAGTCACCTGATAGATTCGGATATGCGGGTACAAATGAAGAGCATTCAAATCGACGGCCGTGGAATTCGTTGGCAATCAATGCTTCGAACGTGTAGAAGATTGGATTGATCCAGCGTATCCAACTGAACCATGGGATTTTGGACATCTCCGGTGCTGTGATTACGAATCCTGTGTAGATGACGATTGCAAGCACGATCACACCTGCCATCGACATGGCCTGTGCGAGGGTCTTGGTAGATGCTGCCAGTGTTCTGAAAACCCCTGACATGGTGAGGGTGCTGAGGAAGGTAAAGAGGAAGAATATGAAGAATTGAGAGGGCTCATATCGCTGCAATTTGTCAGTGTTTGCCCACACAATCAAAACAAAGTTTATCTTACCAGACTGGCCAAGAAGTAGAAGATGACGTTGAATATCACTGCCGACACAAGTTTGACAGGTATGTCGGCGACAATGCTTCCTAGCGCTTCGGCAAATGGATGGACGAAGGCATAGGAGGCTTGTTTCTCAATAATAGGTCGTTGGTCGTAAAGTGAATTAATCTCCGTAATGCTGATAAGAGCGTTCAACAGTACAGAAAAAAACAGCGCTGCACCTTTGCTCTGGAATCCTGCAGACGCATTAGGCGTCCCGAAATAGATTGAACCGATGATTAGTGACATGAAGATCCGGCCAATGACAGTCGTCAATGTAGATGGTTTGTCGTTCCAAATACTGCATTAGAGTGTTAGCATAGCAAAAAACGTAAAAATGCGCATTTAAAGGAAGTGCATACCGTTGATAAGCTCGTTTTACGCAAAGGCGAACCTGCATCGGAATAGTGATGATATAAGGACTCTTTGGACGCGCGTGCTTGGCCTGTCGTTGCCTCTTTGTCTTATCAAAATCCTTTTCAGCCTCTCCTCCAAGCGGATAGTTCTCACGATACTGGGATATTTCTTTCTGAAGCGCCGTGTAATGATGACTGTTCTTCCAGTACTTCTCGAAATCATCTGGCGTCCGAGGAACGTTCTGTATCCCTTCTCGGACCTTTCTTTCCGATGGGTTAGTAATCGAAGTGAGGAAGTCTCCAGTCGTCTGGCGAGGTGGGCAATCCCAGCCCATCTCGATAAAGTACTCCCGGGCTTCGCTGCAGCGCCCAAAGAAAATCTGTCGTCCTTCATACAAGACAATCACCTTGTTGAAGACGTCATAGATAGCTTGGGACGCCTGGTAAATTGCAACGGAGTGACAGCTACCAGTGAGGTTGGCAGAGACTCGTAGGGCTTTTACAAACTCCAGGGCACTTGCAGAGTCTAGACCTCGGGTGCTGTTGTCCCATGCCCCGACTGGAGCTCCGGACACTGTAAATGGTCAGTAGTTATAATCAATTTGTGCAATAGGTAAACGTCATACAAGCCATCTCAGCGATACTATATTCTCATTAGTTGCAAGAATTTATGAACAGCTCGAGGAGAATAGATACCTGACTCGCTTTCTTTCACCACCTGAAACACCTCGGATATAGTCATCACCAACTATCCAGATATGAGTAACCGTTTATCTTTGTAGGAATACCGCATACCTTTCGTATTGTATGTATGGCTCAAACCAAGCACAGTCATGGCAACTTGCGTGATCTTTCTGGCATACTCTGTCCGAGATATACCACAAAGCCGGTTTTCCGGAGTCCGCGCTGCGGCAGCGAACTCAAGCGTTTGCCCAACAGTAAGATGGGGAAAATGCTTGTCAACCTCCTGGTTGTACAAAACTTCACCCTTAAACTCCTTGTACATTCTCTCCATGGAAATTCCGTTGAACTGGACATCGGAACCTTTTCCAACCTTCAGTCCATGAAGTTCTCCAGTGATTGACTTTAGAAATGTCGAGCAGCCACTCCCAGGACGTCCGAGGACAATAAGCAGCTCACCACTTTTAAGCACACCATCAAAGTTCCGGAGAATCTGCTTCTGTGGTACTTTCTTTACGCAGGAAAGATATTCTTGGGGACGAAACGGGGCCAAAGGAACCGAACCCACGTTATTCTGGTATTGAAGCGCGGATCCTGATCCAGAGATGTTGAGGTTCTCAAACACCACGCCAGTCGACTTGCGTAAAGGGACACCTTCCCTGTCCATCAATTTCAACATCATACGGGCCCATTTGTAATGATCGAATTGGTCGCTTGCCGGATCGAGGACAGGATCGCCCAGCTCCACGCCTTCCAGTGTATCCTTGCGTTCAACATCGGTCATTCCACTCAGATCGGAGCCGACGGGTCGATGGCGGGGAAAGTTGGAGGCGATGCGACCAAGCTCCTCACGCTCTCCGGCGCTCATGTGCGCGAAGATGGTTCGGTCATCTTCAGCTAGTGCTTCCGAGCTGCCCAAAGACATGCGTTGCTGATGAGGTAAGCTCGCTTCGGAGATCTCATTCTCTGTGTTTTGTTCAGCCATTGTGAGGCCTGCAAGAGGGGGGTAAATGACTGGGAGAAATATATGAGCAGCTTGGGCTAAGCTACGTAAGAGTTGTACAGTAGGCAAAGACGGTAGCAGGGAAGGTCGTTGTGGACAGAGTACCACAAACATATGACAATGTTACAATTGGATGAAACTAGGGTCTATATTATGGATATCATTCGTCCTGAGCCATAGCGTCTTGAGAAAGGAACCAGGGCTGCTGTGATTCTATTCGACGAGACTAGAAGTCATGATGTCAAGATAGCGGAGTCTAGACGCTACACTAGATCGGACTGTGGGGAGGCCGTTGATGACTTGGTCATTTTGCATTCTTACTTCAACAAAGCAGAGTCAAGTAAATTGAAAAGATTGAAAACGCATAATTCATAGACTCAAGCTTGTCACGTAAGAATGTATGATAGATAAAGCAGAAATCCAATCTTCGAGCTGGACAAGGATATCTGACACCTGAGGCATCAGCCAATCAAAATTGACAATGCAGCTGCAATGCAAACCATGCAAACCCAATCGCCGGTATCAAAAATTATTTTTTATCGCAAACCCGCAGCTTCATCGAACCGATCCGCAATTGACAACGCCATGGTGGAAATACAAAAGACTCCCTTCGTAAGGGATCTCGCCTCAAGCGGTAAGGAATTTACAAGCGACCAAGCGCGCTATCCTGAAAATAAAAGCGCCCAAAACTAATTATCTCTGCAGACAAGAAAGTCCGCGACAAAGCCGTTGAATCACTCACATTATTCTTGAGCTCAAAGACCGATCTGAGCCTTGTTGATCTCCTCAAGCTCTGGAAAGGTCTATTTTTCTGTATGTCTCCCACAGGAAATTCGTCTGAGGCTATATCTATAGGGAACCATCATTTACTCATGCATTCATTACAGGCTTCTTCCACTCTGACCGACCTCTCACCCAACAAGCTCTCGCTCGCGCTATCTCCTACCACATCGTCCCCTCCCTCCCTCATGCTACCCTTCACCGCTTCCTGCGCGCATTCTGGATTACCATCGGCCGAGACTACCACTCCATCGACCGTCTGCGTCTGGATAAGTACCTTTTCCTGATCCGTTGCTACGTCGGCGTGGCATTCGAGGTCTTCGTGAAGGGTGCCAAGAGCACAAAAGCCGATGGCAAGAAGCGCAAGCGCGAAGACGCCGGTAAGAAGGGTAACGGAAAGAAGCAGAAGAAAGCTGAGGCCGAGACCGAGGCCGCGGAAGCCGAAGATAAGGACGGCGAATTGGATGGAAAATGGGCCGATCTCGCCGCTTACATTGATATCATTGAGGAGGGACCTCTGTGTCCATTGAACTACGATGCTGATCAGCCTGAAGAGGATATCGAGGCAGACTTTGTTCCCATGCCGCATGGGCCGGATGGACTGCGGTATCATGTTAGTGATATTTGGATTGATGAGTTGGAGAAGGTTCTTGAGTTTGAAGGAGAGGAAGGCCAGCGCAAGATTAAGGGTGATATCCCCATGGAACTGATTTTGCGGCCGCTGGAGAAGCTGCGCTCTGAGAGTGCCTATAGGCCTGTGCGGACAAGAGTTGCTGAGGCTCTGGATGATGATCGGTTGATTGAGTGGGGATTGCGGGTTCGGGAGAACCCTGATGAGGAGGTAGACAGTGATGGAGAATGGGGTGGATTTGATGATTAAATGGCATGTGCATGCTAGACCTATGTCATTTGGGATTTTTTAATGTACAGCATTTCCTAGCGAGACTATGAATACACCTAAAAGTTGATTATCATGATATCTATATTCGAGTAGTCGACAACAAAGGTCAATATATTAATAGGTATATATACTGGTATACGAGAGCTATACAACCCGTTCCAGAATCTCGCGCACAGCTAGAGTCCAAAACGATCACAGTGTCAAGTCTGCGAGAGGGTATCATGAACAAATGGCAAGACCTGACTGACAGTGTAAGGATATACAGACTTTTCATAAAACATCACATGGGTCCATCGATCTCATATCGGTTCCCAGACTTGGAAAGAACAGTGCCCAAGCCGGGATGAATCTCAACCTGGAAGGCTTCGAAGGGGATCGACTCGCCATCGATACTGATATAACCTTCCTTCTGATGGGGCACCAAGCGGAACGCGGTCGCCTTGCGAAGCGTTACCTCAGGTCGATGGAAGAAGGCACCGGTGGCGACCTCGGAAATCATCCCAAGTGAGGTAAGACGACTAATCGTACCGTCAACCGTGATAATATCCATAAAACCATCGTTCGGCAGAGATGCAGGGAAAAAATTGGCGTCCTTGGTCACAATCGCCATGTTACCAGCATAGAAGTTGCCCATCTTTTCGCCCGGAACGACCTGCCAGTCCTGAGGAAGCTCATCAGACACAGAGCCATACTTCAACTCGGGCAAAGCAGGTGACTTCTCCGCAGCCTCGATGCGGTGAAGATCAGCCAAAGGATCTTGTTCGCGACTAGTGTAATCCGCATAGTGCTGCTTGATCGCTTCCTTATCATCGATATCGACCTTGATCGCCAGATCACAAGGCCAAACTCGGTTAGACATCACGCGAGCAAGGTATCCGTATGTGAATCGCTGAGCACCCATCCACCGGATATTGTCCGTGCCCAGGTCAGACTCAGCAACGATTCCGAAAGATGAGGAAAGGAACGAAAGCGTGCGACTACCCTTCTGCGAGACGGACATCAGATCCAGCGGCGTCCGCAGACCCTTCACCACAGCCAGCGCGGCGACCGAGACACTTCCTGTGCCAAAGCAGCTCCAAGTCATCGCATTTCCAGATCCACAAGGTAGCAGTGCAACGGGTAGCTTGGCCAGGGCCTCACGGGCGTTGGATCGCTTGCCCAGTCCGTTGAACACTTCGTAAGGGAGACCATCACCCGAGCAACAGACGATCGCGTCATACGCGTTGACATCAAGCTGTTCCGCGATTTCACTCGCGTGACCTTGATGTTCGGTGGTCTGCACATCCAGTTTGCATCCGGCAGCAGCGAAGATGGGGGCGGCTTGTTTCTGGTATAGAGCCGCGGCTTTTCCTTGTCCACCGAATGGATTGATCAGGACCTTTAGCCGCCTTGTACGCGGCACGTTTCCATAAGAAAGATTGAGTAGCTTATTCGCCCATCCCTCGACCGTTGGGCTTTCTTTATCGCTGACGGAATAGTGGAGAGTCTTCACGGCGACATCCTCCTTGGAAGACGACTCGGCGTATGTGATGGTAAGGTTTGAGGGCTCGGCCTGAACATCCAAGATGTTATACAGGGAAATCGCATGAGGCAATTTTGTTTGTTCTAAGGAACAGATGAGATTAGTTTTATTGCGGGATGTGCGCGCGACAGGGCGCGATTGACGCCGATCGCCAGTCAAGGGTCCTAGCTTAACTTACCTGACTTGCGCAATCCACAGCAGCCACGGGCCGATCTGCGAGGACGGTCATCTAGTCAAGTTAATATTGAGAGAACTCTTTTTTCAAAGTTTCCACGCGCTAGACCTGGAGATACACGGGAAGTCTTACCGATGATCAGGAGCGAATCGCTGCCAATGGTCAAAGAGACAGATTTATCGACGCGGAGAGTAGAGTCATGGTCCAGCTGCGGCTGTTCTGGAGATGAGTCGGAGGACATTCTGAGAATATGGGAATATAGAAAAATAATCAGCGCGCAAGGAGAAGTAGGTGACCGAGCTGAAGATATGGGGAGTCGCAGATCAACATCCCGCGTCGTTCCGGTTCCTGGGGGCCAAGAGCTTCTTTGTTTGAAGTAGAGGTCTGAGCTGAGTAGGCGGTAAAGTGCCCCCAAATGTCGCTTACATACTAAGAATAGACCCGGTGTTACCTACGTCTTTTAATTAAAACGGCCCCTTTGTCGTTTTCCTAGATTACTGGGGGCTACACCCATTGGGCAACTGGTGTGGGCTCACCTACTACTCCGAGTATTTCCTGAATAGGGCAAAGCGGGGATTTACCGCCTACTGCAAATGGTGGGATATAGAGCCAAGATGCTTGGAAGCGAAGTATACTCCGAATGTGTATAGGAAACATTGTTGACCGAGTAGATTGAATCTATACAGATTACCAAAGCCGGCCATCATGGAGCCTTCAACAATGGCTTGGCTATGGGATAAATAGCACAGGAGATTTCCTCGATAATAGAACATCATCAACTCAATCAACTCTCAATCAGCTCAATCAATCAATCAATCGATCTCCCGATCAACCAAATCAACCATCACAATGCAGTTCATCACCGTCATCATTGCAACCCTGGCCGCCGTCGCCACTGCTACTCCTTCCGCGGATGCCCTTGAGAAGCGCACCTGCGTTGGCCGTGAGATTATCTCTACAACGATAACTAGGCGTCCAGTGAGCTGACTATGTTATAGACTACAAGAATGCCTGCCACAGCAATGGTCCCTCTTGCTGCGATGGCTGGCAGTGCGTTGGCGCCACTGAGTGGAACGCCGGTGTTTGCATTCCTCGCTACTAGAGGTCGAAGTGTGTGATGGGCGAGAATAGACATCAAGTTTGATAATCTGTACTCGCCCAGTGGTTCCTTATGTTTTTCCTATGTCTTTGATAGAGTTTCTAGCGACTTGGCATTCCTGTCTTTATCCTTGTACCGTTGAGGTCTAGATCCATGAGATTACTAGGAAGGACTGCTGGCAGAACTTCCTAATTCTGCGTGAATTAGAGGAATTGCATCTATATATCTTGCTTTGATCAGCTTGCCGCGTATTCTTGTTCCAATCGTATCAATATCTTCTCGAATTTATGAGAACCGGGAAACACGACCAGAACCTCCGGACTACCTGGCTACTGATACTAATACTCAGGTTATATGCACAGCCAATCATTATCTATTTTTCGACTCCCTGATATGGACCCCACATTTGTCTCGAAGGGAGAAAGGAATTCAAAAATAAAAAGGAAAAAGGAAAAAGGAAAAAGGAAAAAGGAAAAAGGAAAAAGGAAAAAGGAAAAAGGAAAAAGGAAAAAGGAAAAAGGAAAAAGGAAAAAGGAAAAAGGAAAAAGGAAACAAGTTAAAATAGGAGACATATACTGCAACCCGCTGGAAACAATGAAAAAAACGAATATCAAAAATCTACTCATGCCGCCGCGGCCTTGAGGCCCTTCAAGGAACCCAGGCTTAGGGCCAGGCCCTGCGAGCGACTTCTGATCCGAACAAAGCCAGTGATCGGTCCATCGTCAGCTTCCTTTTCAATGCTCAGGTTCGCCAAAGCATCCTCGCCTAATACAGTTAGTCATTGTTTATGATAAAGGGAAGAAGTGATAAAGGGAAGAGGAGAGAACGTACCGAATACGCTCCTGGCGTAGAGGTTGGCAGACAAGAATCGACAATCGCCCTTCAGAGAAGCATCGGGGGTCAGGCAGGCCATGTTGGTGCTCTCCATAAGTTGCTTCAGGAATTCCCGCAAGGTCTTGGCCTTGGAGTTAATGTTAACCTTGTTCTCCCACTCAAATTCGGTCCACATGGTGCGGAATTGGGTTTCGGTGCAGTGAGCGGGCTGGATGTAGTCCATAATGTCGGCATGAATGTCGTTGAGAATGACCACATGGGTCTCGGTGGAGCTGGCACCGTCGTAGATGATGTTACCAAAGATCACACCAGTGTCAGTGGAAGACACCTTCACTGTAGCCTGAACGTTCAAGAAGTCCCGAGGACCCAGGTTGTGTGTGGATGGTCGCTCGACCACCTTGAGATCGCCCAGAGTGGCAAACTCCACAGACAGGTTCTGCAGAGTCTCGCTAGTCTGATTAACTAGCAGGACATCCAGAACAATATCGAATTGGTGGACAGTCACGTAGGCCTCAGCATAGACTGAGTCAGAGAAACCAGTCAGCTGCACCACACGGCTCAACTTGGAGGCAACGTTCTCAACAACGGAGTCACCACCAGTGGCCTTGACGAGATCCATCTCAATCTCCTCAGCTCCCTCGACGGTGTTCTTTTTCGTGAATTGTCGGATGGGAATAGAATCGTCGACCTGAACGGCAGTCTTAGCCTTCTCGACGGCCTCCTTCGCGGCCCGCTTCTTGTCCTCCACTTGGACCATGGCGCGGAATGCCTTGCGGGTATCCTCCAGGAAGGTAGCCTCGAGGTCCTTCTTCTCGGAGAATTCAGCCAGCGAGCGGACACAAGTCATCACACGGTCAACAGAGTCCTCATCAATCGGGGCTTTGACGAAATGAGATTGGCCAACGCGCAGAATGGAAATCATAATCAACATAGCCTCGGCACGGAGGGCATTTGTGCGAGCGCTGTCCTGCGAGACCTCAGAGTGGCGCATGACAAGCTTGGTAAGTGTGGACGAAAGGACAGTTGACAGGTAGTAGTCACCATCCAAAATGAGTTGACGCAGCGGTGGCTTCTGTGCAGCTTTAACGGCCTCGAGGCGAGCAGCGGCAGCAGACTGGCTGGTAAGAGCACTTTCGGTAGCGTATGTGCCATCAGCCAACACCTTGCGAGAGCCAGTGGGAGCAGTCTTAGCATGGCCGTTGGTCTGCTCTTGTTGCAGAAGCGCAGTGTCCTCAGGAACCTCATCGAGCAGGCGCTGCTCGGAAGCTAAGATCGGGATCTCACCAAGACTGGCACGAATCTTCTTCCAGGCCCCACGGATATCCTTCTCTTCCAAGGAGTACTCTCCAACGACCCAAAGAACACCACGGTAGACCTTACCAGCCCGAACTTCACTCAAAGTCGACACCAGGCGATCAACGATAGCCCCACGCAAGTCAGGGAACTTCTCAACGACCTCCTTAACAAATGAGATGACATCCACGGCGGAGTTGTTGTTAAAGTCAGCAATGAAGTCCATAAGCAGGTCAACCACGCTAGCGGCGATCTCAGAAAACTTGATGGCACAAGTGTGTATTGATTGAACGAGGAGTTGGCGGTATTCGCTGTTCTGCGTATTGTTAGAATCGTGCCGGAATTGATTCGACCATCAAAACATACCTGTTCATATTGCTCATCCACGGTCTTAGCGAGCTCCTTCTTAAGCAGCATCACGATCTCTTCAACATTCTTGCTCGAAACCATCTCCAATGCAATGCCCAGGGCCTTTCTCCGGACATCAATATCGGGGCTGGAGAGCACGCGCAGGATCTCCATAGTCAAATCCTCCAGCACACCCTCATTGCGGATACGCAGCTGATCCACGCGATCTAGCACAATAAGCTTGACGTTGTTATCGGCCTCCCGGATAGCGAGCTCAATCAACTTGGCGGCAGAGGCCTTCACGGCGACGGGGTTGCTAGTCAGGGCGGTAAGAGAGGTAGCAGCCTCGTAGACGACAGTGCTTGTTGGAGCATCGAGGAGCTCAAGCATGAGTTTGAGATACCGCGACTAGGCGTTCGTTAGTATTTGAACTGTTCTTGAATTGGTCCGTTGGTTCAAAACCCACCTTGTTCTGAGGGTTCTGGACCGCATCCTTGCGCAGGAACTCCAGCTCCGCCAGCTGAAGCAGCTCATCGGTGTTAGGAATGGTATCGAAAGTCGTGCCGAGGTACTCAAGCGCTTTCTGGTGGCTGATAGAGACAAGGGCCGCAAACGCATTACGCTTGCAGGTGCTATCGGTCTCCGATTCAAGGAAGGTCTGGAGGAGTTCGGGGGCATCGGGGATGAGGGGCTCGGAGTGTTGGAAAATCGAGGCGACTGCCCAGGCAGCGTTCTTTCGTACGTATGCATGGCGGTGTTCCAGGCATGAGCGGGCCGAGGACAGGAGGGGCTCGATGAGTTCAGGTTCGCGGAGTTTGCACAGGAAGCGGAGAGTGTTTCCTCGAATATATTCGTTGGGGTGTTGCAAGTCGTTACGGATGCCATTGCTGCGGAAGGTGTTAATTCATGGGGAACAAGCTAGCGGAGAGCCTCCTTACCAAACCAAAATCATCTCCTGCTTCAGCTTGCCAGAGGAGTCGTGCTTGGGGCAGATCTCATAGTAGAAATATAGCAGCTTCTTCAATTGCTTGCTCTTAGAAGGCATGACAAAACGAATGATGTGCATCAGAATATCGGGCATGGGGTTTCCGTTGAGCAGAATCGTGATGATTGTCCGCATGGTCTCCAACTTGGTCTCATCATTGCCCTTTTCCAACTGCAGTCGCAGCTCCTGCAAGGTGGGCTGATCGGCTGTGTTGTCCATGTGGACCAGACTGTAGGCATTTTCAAGGTAGGACGCCATCGTGGGCAGCGGATTGGGGCGACGGGAGGAAGGAGAGCTGGCAAGTTGTCAGTTCGGGGGGAATGTTTTGGTATGGACACCTAGGAGTTTACTGCATAGGTGCGAGAAAACATACAATAAGGAGAGACTCCCAGAGAAAGAAGATCAGGCCAATGTCAGAGACGCGCAATTAGAGTAAATCCAACACCCGTCGCCAACCTGGAAATCATCAAATCATTGAGATGCGCGATGGGGGGGGGAAGCATCAACCTGTCCCTTTTGCCCCGTCTGTGTGGATGACTAAGCCCGACCACGTTCTTCCGCCTTTGACTGCTCTTAATTATACTGCTAAACCTTCTTCAGTCGACAGCGCTGCCAGCAAAATGTCGACAAACGAGACTTTTTACCTGCGTTACTAGTAAGAGATCAAATATGGGCCCAGGTTACAGTTACCCTATGCGTTGCTGACAGCTCCGCAGCTCAGGTCACTCTGGGCGGTTCGGGCATGAGTTTCTAGGTGGGTTCTCTCTCCGCAGCTTGGGATCAATGTGCTAACTTCATTTTAGAATTCGATTTCCGTACCCTTGCCGATGGCAGCAGCGCCGCTGTCCGATACGCAAATAACTCCAACTACCGCAATGACTCCCTCATCCGCAAAGAGAGTAAGTGCGGGACCAACCCGGACGAATGCCGATAATCTAACGAGTGGAATACAGTGTGCGTGAGCTCTGCGATGATTCAGGAGATCCGGCGCATCATCAAGGAAAGCGAGATCATGAAGTAAGTTGCTAACACGAGCAAATTACTCCTACACTGCTGACCCTACCTAGGGAGGACGACTCCAAGTGGCCACAGAAGAACAAGGATGGACGCCAGGAGTTGGAGATTCGGCTGGGCAGTGAACACATCTCATTTGAGGTAAGAGTGACCTCCATGTCTTTGCAAGCAGATTCCGTCTCTGACATATATGATAGACCGCGAAGATTGGCTCATTGGTTGATGTGACGGAGTCGGCCGACCCTGAAGGACTGCGGGTATTCTACTACCTTGTCCAGGACCTGAAGGCGCTGATCTTTTCGCTTATTTCGCTCCACTTCAAGGTATGTGTTGTTGTTTGGCTAATTTTGAACCATACTGACTCATTTTATAGATTAAGCCCATCTAAGCTAGCATTGTTGGTGGAGAACAGTGGGAATATCGGGTCTCTTTCTTGATTTATGATACCGGCGTTAATAAGGATTTCCCAGGGTTCCACCCGATAGCCTTATGGATTGCACCAAAATAATGTAAACTGACATTCAAATTTACTCTTTACAGGATATATAGTAGAATAGAGCTATAGAAGTTAACCTTCATGTTGGTTTGTGTACCTGACGTAAATTTGATGCCTCAGGCCATAAAACGCCTCCCCCGCGCTATGCGCTCGCATGACCCCATCTGCGATGGTCCGCCCCCGGGTAAGAGCCTTTAAAGATCACCATTCTTACCTTTCCTTTTTCCTTCCTAATCCACTCAACTTTGTTTTTTTTTTGATTGATTTAAGCGCCTATGATCCGATGTCTACCCCCCGTTCTTGATCACCACAACCCCAATGCCAACCCCGAGTGACCACCCAACTTCGATCGCCGAGGTGATCTCCACCCGCAGCTGCCCCCCGGAAGTCGATCGAATTCCGGCCTGGGAAGATGAGTCGGTGGAACTAGACACGCAAGATGCCCTGGAAGATGTGCTTTCACCTACCAGTGCCACTGCACCGTCCGTGCAGAGTCGGTCCGACGATGGCACGGCTCTCTTGGCGACCGACCCGCTGAGAGTGGAGAGGAAGACAGCGGATGAAGATACTAGACCACCCAGATCTACCTCGCCGATGGAGTCGTGCTCTCGTAGCCAATCCCCTGTTACACCACCCAACTCGTCGCTGCTGCGTTATGAATTCTCCAACGTTCGGGTATGTTTCCGACTCCCCAGGAGTTATTCCTTGAGCCCAATTGGTTAACAGCAATATTTACCCGCAGCTTTTACCGAATCATTCCTCGTCCTTTCTTCGTTCTGGGAGTAGATTCGTCGGCACACAGCAGTCCGACCGCCAGGTGTATAACGTTGACGTGGAGATCAAGCACGTGGACATGGCCGAATCCTACCTGTGCGGCTACCTGCGCATTCAAGGCCTCACCGAGGATCATCCAACCCTGACCACATTCTTTGAAGGCGAAATTATTGGCACCAAGCACACATTTCAGACTCGTAATGAGGAATGGGGTGCGAACGAAAAGACAGACATACACCACTGGTCCCGGTTTCCGGCCTGGAAACCGCTTGCCAAACAGGCGAAGCGGACCGATTTCACATACCGCAACTTTGCACAGCGCGAGCATGTTTTTATGAGGTGGAAGGAGTATTTCCTTGTCCCTGATCACCGGGTTCGAACGATCTCCGGTGCCAGTTTCGAGGGGTTCTATTATATTTGCTTCAATCAGATTGAGGGAAGCGTAAGCGGTGTCTACTTCCATGCGAAGAGCGAAAGGTATGTCCAATTTAGTTTCAACTGCCTTTATATATTGCGAAGCTTATTTCTAACTTGTCATCCAGGTTTCAACAACTTGAGCTCAAGCATGTCGAGGATCATGGATGCTCACCAGCAATCGAGTTCCGTTAGGCGCTTGACTACTGGCTTTGGCTACGCTCTGCCCCTTCTATCTATTCTTTTGACCCACCACGGCTCAGCAGCGCTTCCTTCTGGTATCATATGACTTGCCTCCTACGAGCAGCTTTGCATCTCTTCGTTCCTCTCCACCCCTCCATCTCCTCTGAGATCCATACTTTACCAACCACCATCCGATTCGACGCTCGACGATATTGACACCTATACCCCGTCGGTCAACCGTCCAGCACTCGTCACTGCCAAATTGTATCTCAATCTCATGCCTCACGACTATGAATGGCGTTTTCTCCTTCTCATCCACTCGGCGAACTAGGTTTTTCTTTCCAGGACTGTCTCTTCCTTCTATACTTTTTTAACATCTCGCAATTTTTTCCGGTCTTATCGTTTGGAATATGTATTTCTTGTGCAGCTCTTACGTTGCAATCGTTTGACAAAACTCAATTTTCAATACCGAGAGCTTTCTCTCCAGTCCATCCGAGCAATCATCTGGGTCCACAGTATATATATTTATAAGTAATGTGATGTAAGTTTACGTAAATTCCGAGGTATAGAGATGAAATTCAAATTGCATATATGCACGCTGTGACAAAATCCTAATATGTCGTCCGTGTTCGTACACCTAGTCTCATGCACAAACCAAAACCGATGCCAACACCAACTAAAAAATCAGAATGAGAAATAGATTCGACATCATATGAGTAAGCCGAAACAAACGTAATTGAAGCAGTTGAGAGAGATGGATGAGGAGATAAGAAGAGTCATGAGAAAACAATAAGACATGGGGGTATCACATGCGATGTCGTCTGAGGGTGTATGAGTCAAGTCGAGATCGAGGATGTTCTAGGGGTGAACTGTTCAACACGATGATCGGAAATCCCCCGGCCAGATGTAAAGGAATAATGGGAATGCAAGTATTGGCGAATTGAGAAACAAAAGTGATTAGAATCCACCATATGCCGAATTCTGCCGACTGTTGGAGCCGGAGCTAGTGTAGCTGCCTCCAGCGTCACTGCTGGGGGTGGAAGGCTCGAGGACCACCTGTTGGCGAATGGAGACGATCCATTCATGCTGGAGGAGCTCGGCGGCCGTAATTCGGCGATTAGGATCGCATTCGAAGCAGCGTCGCAGGAAATCGAGACCCAAATCGCTGAGTTGATCACGGCTTGGGAGGGCGGGCTGGTTGCCTTGGGCGATGTTGTACATAATTGCCCACTCGTTGTCGAGGGTAGACCATGGTCGGCGGCCAGTGGCCATCTCAAGGATAACACAACCCAAAGACCAGATGTCCACGGCGCTTTGGCGGTTTGCGGAGTCACCGCGGATCACCTCCGGCGACATATACATGGGAGTACCGGTGGTGGTCTTTTGGTTCTTGCGTTGGGTCGTGATCGAAGGATCCTTCCCGGCAGCGTCCTTGTTACCGTTTGGACCGTCGGCTGGAGCAACTGTGCGGCCTGATCGAGCAATGATCTTTGCGGCACCAAAATCCACGTATTTAATAATACCATTGTGGTCCAGCAGGATATTCTCTGGCTTGATGTCCCGATGAACAATGCCGGCCTGATGCAAATAGGCTAGACCTTCCAAAAGTTGGAGGGCATAAACCATGATCACTGTTTCATCTTCAACCCGACCATGCTCTAGCAAGCTGGCAAGGGAACCACCCGAGCAGTACTCCATGAAGATGTACACCTTGTCACGGTGCACTTCGATACCGTGATAAGAGACGATATTAGGGTGATCCAACACTTCAAGCACACCCATCTCATCGCGAATTTGTTGCGCGATCTTGGGGATCAGCTGGGGATCCTGCAAGCGAATTTCCTTGACAGCCATCAAATAATTGCTGTCCAGATTGATCGCAACATAGACGGACCCGAAAGTACCGCCACCAATAAATTGGCCTTGTTGCCAACGAAGAGAGACATGTGTGGCGGATGATGATAGCACGGTAAGAGACCGGTCCGCCTCATTGGACCCTTCCAGAACTCTTCCCAAGGCCTGGCGCTTGGCACTTTCCTCGACTCTCCGGTCTTCGATTTCGGTCAAACGGGCATACCATTGTTCGCGGATATGCTTGGCTGCTTCTTGATCGCTCAGAATGCGGCCAGTACCAGTCTTTCGAGCACCAGCACGCTCCTCCATCCTCTGTTTTTCTGCCTGGGCCGCGAGGGATGATCGGGCGCCCATAATGTCGAAGTGAGAGATGAGAAGAGACATACAGCCTGCCACCTTCAACCTAAGTTGGGCAAATTGTTCCTCGTCCAAAGAGAGAAGATGGCGACTGGACGTGATAGCCATTGCAAATTCAAGTGCAGCAACTGCCCATTTGAAGGTTTTCCGGTCTGCAGCATCACAGTCATCGCAGATGAACGAAACCCAATCGAGAGATAGCTCCACCAACCGAGCACTGTTCATAGCGCGTCTGTTAGCATCAACATAATTGGAAGAACGCTTTCCAAACTCAGTTGCAAAGGCGTAACACGCCTGAACCAGGTCATTATTCTCCCACCCCTTCTCCCGCAGCTGATTTTTAATCACCGCCACGCTGTCCATAATGGCCATAGATAGCTTGAAGGAGATCTTTTTGATCTTGTTCAGTTCCACGTTGACACGTCCGAGGTTTGCGCGTTGCTCAATCGCCATGTCCAATTGGATGCCGGTGAGATGCGTCAACTCCATTCTTGCATTCTGCAGTCGCTCTTGCAAGCCCTCAACAACAAGCCGAAGCTTACCGAGACGGACATCAGTGGGTTGCTCCAAGATATCAATCTGCATCTCTTTTCCAGCCCAGGCAAGTGGTTTTTCTGGGCGAATAGCAAGTACATATGGGATCTCAGGGATGTCTTTGGTAAGGTCATCCTCTCGGAAGGATGTCGCCAGGATGCCTTGAATGTCGGCCGGTCGATTCCACAAAGAATGATGCGCAATCAAGTAGACACCTTTCTGGCCGACTGAGTTAGGTGAGGTAACCAGGAAGTGGTCAGAAATAAGCAACGCTTCGAAGAACTCGTATGCGATATCAGCAGAGATGTTATATTCAGTGGCATTTTCAAACAATTGGCACAGAAATCTGGAGAATCGGTAGAGCTTTCGTTGGCGAATACGCGTAGAATCCAGGATGCTCTTGTAGCGCTTGTCCATGTCGGCGACAGTTTCATTATGCCGCGGTACGAGCTCCCGCTCAAAGTGAATCATAAGTCGTTGAAGCGATTTGGCAGTCAAGGCACTATCGTTCTATTAGCAAATTTTCCTGCACCGAAAATCATAGTACAAACCTAAATTGCTCAGCCACCTCGACGTCACCGCTTACAAGCTGTCGACCGATATCGTAAGAGTACTCCCACTCCTGTTCCAGAATTTCGGCTTCTTTAAACGTGTTCTTGTTCGCGTTGAGTTTCCAGTTCAGCAGGCGGAAGTAATACTTCATAGCATCGAGAACCACGGAGTCAAAGTTTTCGTCCACGCAAGGTGGTAAGTCCCAACCAGGCTGAGGCATTGAGATGGCAAGATAGCGTTGCTTAATATCAACGGCTACTCTCATCAAGATCTGAAACTGCGAGATCATTTGGTCCACCAAAATTGGTGACTGTTGAGCTGGGTCTTTCATGGTCTTCGCGTATGACAGACGAACGCGAATAATTTCCTGGATCAACCGCGAGGGGAAGTTTATTAATGTGAGAAGCTCTTCAATATAAGGCGGTAGATGTCGTGTCGCGAAAGCCTCCGCATTCTCGATGAGTGTGCTTTTGGCCTTTTGAATAACCTCGCCGAGGCCTTGAAGCATGCTGTGATCACCCTGGAGAGTCTTCAGACCATCCTCCTTCATTATACGATCCAGGAAAGAAGTTTCATCCGACAAATCGTTACCGTGAAACTTGGTTCTGGGCTGGCTGAAGTCGAGGGCCTCGTTGCCGACCCAACTTTGCAATACGGCTAGTTCTGTATTGATAAGAGCGGTGATGTTGTGCCAGGCAAAGATCGCGTCGCGGCTCGAGGAGAACTCTTCTGAGGCTGTGCGGGTGTTGGCGACTTCCATCTCTTTGCGAGTAGAATATAACTCCTCGCAGCGTTCAATTTGCTCCACAACATCTTCCACTTGCTGCCTCGGTGCCTTGCCGATTTCGGTTTCACCTTTGATCTGAAAGTTGATGATGTCCTCGATGATGGGGCCTAGCTGTCGGCGGGCATCTTCGATGAGCTTTTGCTGGAGAGCGACGCTCCGTCCACACGTCCGCGCTCTAACACCGATCCAAAGAGCCTGGCTTAAAGCGGCCGATCGGTTCGATTCTGTGGATCCCAGTAATCGCTGTTTCTCTTGCTTGACCACATCGCCTTTCAAGACGGATGCTAGCATGGAATGCCATTCGAGGCGCTCTTGGTTCTTTGGGTTGCGTAATTCTTCCGTCGTGGGCATATTATCGTGGGGAAGAAAAAGTTGAGTATCAGGATCGTAGGGATCATCTTCAAAAGGTGCCTCAGATGAAGGGGAGGGGTCCTCCAGGTCTGCATCTCCAAGCATCATGTTGTTGGCCTGTGCGTCGTTGAAGTGATGGTACCAGGCCTGCGGATTGGCGCGAATACGCTGTACATAGGCCTTTTCTTGGGCGCGATATTGAGCGTTCGGATCACGTCGGGTACCTCTTTTTGCCGATGACGAGCGCGACCGGTCATTTTGCTGTAGGCTGATGTACTGTGGTGGTCGTCGTTGAGGAGCATAGGTGTTGGAGGGGGTCCTCGCGGGGGCGGATGGACGCTGCGGTCGCAGATCGTTAGACAACGCCATGCCATCGGGTTTCTCGAGTGCAGCAGATGCTCCAACACTAGCCCCACGCGGACGAGTTTTCGGTGTGCTAGACCATGAGGTCAAACTAGGGGAATGGGCTGATGGAGGAGACGAGGCGATGGTGGTGGCAGGCGTCTGGACTAGCGGATCAAAGCCTTCCACAAAGCCTGAGTTAGCTCTCAAAGGGTATTGAGAGGGGAACTCATCCGAGGAGCCCGAGCCATCCGAGTCCTGACTGGCAATGTCGGGGTGCTCCATGGTGGAGGTAGGGACCGTGTGATGCAAGAATGGTCTTGCGATGGGGATGAAGCTTGAAAGGTGATAGGGGGTGTGGCGGTGCGTGGCGGGGGCCGAGCCAATGGGGCCGCCTTCCGGGCCAGCTCCCCGTTTTTTTTTATACACCAACAACTGGTTTTTCGCCGTTTCAGCTGCAAGTGAGCAGATCGACCCCTATTTTTGCCATTTCCAGCTGTGTACAAGTGCAATGTACTGACTTAGTGAGTAATGAGCGTCAGAATTTATATTAAGTACATTAAATGGGTGTCCCTGGTCCCGGTCATGGGTGCTGATCATGCTGCCTAGAATCGCCAACGCGCAATCTTGTACTTTCAAGGTTATTGCGAACCTTAGTTTGTATGGATGTAGTCAGATGAAAGCTGAACGATTGGGCATCTTAATTCGACGTATCTATTGGGTAACACAGTGTGTTCTACAACATCCCTCGGGCCCTGGAGGTTCGACTGCCAATAGCCCTGGAGGCGAGGGCCCGGAAATACATATCCGCGTGCCTATATTCACTGTACCATTCTTGGCACCACCAAAAATTCACCACTCGAACCTTGGAACATCGAGTCAATTAAGTTTCGAGAGTTATTGGCTCAGTTGGGCCTTAAAAAAAAAGGCAGCGTATGGAAGACACTATTAAGAAAATACCACTTGTCAGGGGGAATTAGTGTAGGTAGTATCTGTTCCGTAAGTTGGTGGCGTTCTTGTCACTATATAAACATGTGCCAAGAAGGTTGAAAATGGAAAAAGAGTTGGCAGAAATAAGAACCAGTCAACTTTATATAAAGGCGATGCAAAGGCGATATATAGGCGAATCAGTTCAAATATTTCGCATATCTTGAGTGGCATCTTATAGGGTCACTTAAGGGACCTACTTGATACTGATGCTCCTCAGTATGCGCGATCTAGCCCCTATAAACGAGAGCCCCTTAATATAATAATGAAAGCATTCAAAGCAAATAAAGAGTAAGTATTCCGAGTGGTGGATATCGGTCCTAACAGCGACCGAGGCATCAGTACACTCAGAATGGCCTCAATATACTGTACCCTGTGCTCCTTGATGTTGTGTACAGCAGGGAGCGTAAAAGAACCTTGTATTTGCTGGAGAGTGCCCGTAGAAAATGACTTCCACAAATCGTCACGCAGCTTACCTTTCTAGCCTGATTCTGTAGAAAGGACAGACTTTCAATGCAATTTCAGTAGTGTTATCTCACAGTAGTACAGCCAAGGCTGGGCAAAGAGGAATTCGGACGATCAGTAACATTCAATCCTTTAATTTCAACAAGACTATTTGTATTTAGAATAGACAAATATATTGTACTATTCTTTCTTTTCCCGACTATGGAATACATGCAGATTCGTTGCCCAAGGAGAACGGAGGCCATTCTCCTCCAATTATAGTAGCACGGGTCAATATAATCTCTCCAAACAACTAGCTCGCCATGTTTGCTTTTGGATGAATCTACTATGCTGCCATGCATGAAAGTCTTCTGATCTGCGTGCAGATCATCGTGGCCTCTGAGCCCGTCGATCAATGGATCCACAGAATAAGTCTTATTTCCGATGATCTGAACGAAGTATTTGGCGGCTCAAATTGTTCAAGAAGAAACGGTTTGGAGTGCCAAAAGACATGGCCCCTTTCGATCTAGACCGTTGGAGACCAAGTCTACATATTCTGCTCACGGGCGAGTAAAGCCTCATCATCTAACCCCTATGCTCACAAGGGTCATACTCATATATGAATCAGGGAGATTCAATAGTTTCACAATAAATTGCTGCAGCTCAACGTCACATTTGACAGGACCTGGGATATTTCTCCGCAGGGGCTTGCCAAGCGTCAACCCGGGATGCCGAAGCGAGACATCCCCGGCCAATGAATGGTAGGAGGCTTATCTAGTCTTGGCGCTCCCCAGACCGCGTGGCATAGAGCATTTCCCGCTCCATGCGTTCTCCTAGGGCAACTGTACCTGCTTGAGTGGGCCCGGGGTTTCCGAATTGGACAATGCACAATGCCTAACTTGTTGGACCCTCCAGGTCCATGCGAGGGGCCAGGATGATCAGTGCTCTCGAGGCTTCTGACACTTCTAGAGCTTCGGAGCTGATATTCCTGCATAGATCGGAGAATATGGCCGCTTCTTCAGCTATTGGCAGGATGCCTGCCGGTATTGGTCCGCTTGGCACCTTTTAATGGTGTCGTAAGAGGCGCCGGTCATGGCATCAGAATGTAGTGATGGCCGAGACGAACTAACGGGAGAGTTTGAAAAAGAAAATACGAATCCCCTAGCAATGCGGTTGAGCTTGGGGCGCGATAAGGCAAAATGATTTACTTAGATTAAACGGATGCTGATTGGTCGGTTGATCCCCGCTTGATAAGAGCCTCGAGAAGGCATCCTGAATGTTGGTCCGTAGCAACATTCTAGTTGATTGAACGGGATAGCAAAATCACCGGAATGATCGAGAGATTGAACGACTGAAGGGTTAAACGATCTTACATTATCTGTGATTACTATTAAGTAAAGATTAATGAGCAATAAGCGCAGAAGCATCGCATGGCAAGATGGGGGAGCAAGGCGTAGATAAGCAATGGTCTCTGATTGGCTGCGGAGCCAACCTCATATCTACAGCCAGTCGCAGACGTCGATCTGACACTGAGGACCTGGATTGTGGATGAATTCCCATTATTCGCCTCCTTCTGTCACTTCGCTCTAATCACTCTATCAATCTGTTGGACCCCCCTGCTTATCAGGTCCTGCAAGCTGACGGAAAGTGAAACGTTGCCCGGATTCCGCGTGGCCTGAAAATAGGTTCAGCTGCGAATGTTGTGCTCTGGGAAAACCCTGGCTCATGTGCAGGCTGTTCGGTGTCATTCGAATTGAAAGGTCGAGTCCATTTTGTATCTAGACCCCGTTGATAGGGTTGATGGGTCTGAAGTATGTAGTTTGACTGGGACCCGTAAATCCCCGGTTGGGTCCATGGAAAGCTGCCCATTCATATCCCGACATGGCGAAATGGGGCTGTCTTGGCCTACTTCAATCGCTTAGATTGGATAATTCATTGCAATCACCATGACCACACTTTGGTTTCCACTATCAGAACTAAGATCGAGGTTCTTGGCCTTCTAGTGTCCAATGGTGGAGACCCCCCCGTTGGATGATGACCGGGACACTGCGTCTCACCATTTAAATTATTGCCCATGTCCCTGCATGATCTATCATTTCTCATTCCTTTTTTCAGATCTCTCAGGTTTTAAGAAACATCCCCTTTGTCCTATTCCTGTTTCCTTGATAGACCTTGAATCCCTTATCCTTCTTATCTGGGTTCCTTTGGGTTATATCCTCCCCTCTGATTGTGGGCCTTGTGATACCTAGTATTTGATCGGGTTTCACCATGTCGGCCTACCCGGTTACCTACAATGGTACCATCGCCTCCGGTGGTGACTCGTTGACCGAGGATCTGAACATCTACTACGATGTATGTTTCGAATGGCATGCTCTAGTCAACAATGGCTAACTGATGTATTCTAGGCCGGTGATATTGCTTGGGTTATCACCTCGTCCGCGTTGGTCTTGCTTATGATTCCAGGTGTTGGGTAAGCATGTCTTCATACCTCAACAGACCAACAAAAGCTAATGGTACTAGATTCTTCTACTCCGGTCTTGCACGACGAAAGTCGGCCCTTTCTTTGATATGGCTGTCTGTTATGTCGGTCGGTGTGGTGTCGTTCCAATGGTTCTTCTGGGGTTACTCGCTATCCTTCTCGCACACCGCCGGAAAATTCATTGGTGACTTGGAGAACATTGGATTGAGAAATGTCCTGGCTGCCCCATCGGTGGGAGGTACTCATGTTCCCGATATCTTGTTTTGTATTTTCCAGGGCATGTTCGCTGCTATTACGTGAGTACCCTTGAAGTCTGTGTGCACTCGTGACGCACGGAACTGACCCCTTCATAATAGTGTTGCCCTCGCTGCTGGTGCCATCGCTGAGCGCGGTCGCATGCTCCCCTGTATCATCTTCATGTTCGTCTGGTCGACCATCATTTACGACCCTATTGCTTGCTGGACATGGAACTCTTCGGGTTGGGTTTACAAGCTGGGTGGATTGGACTTTGCTGGTGGTACTCCCGTCCACATTTCCTCGGGTTGTGCTGCTCTCGCATATTCCCTGATGCTGGGCAAGCGTCGTGGCCACGGTACTCACGAGCTCAACTACCGTCCTCACAACGTTACCCACGTCGTTATCGGCACTGTCTTCCTCTGGGTTGGTTGGTTCGGCTTCAATGCCGGTTCCGCCCTGGCTGCTAACCTGCGTGCCGTTATGGCTGCTGTCGTCACTAACCTGGCTGCCTCCGTCGGTGGTGTGACCTGGTGTCTCCTGGATTACCGTCTTGAGCGCAAGTGGTCCACGGTCGGCTTCTGCTCCGGTGTCATCGCCGGTCTGGTCGCTATTACTCCCGGCTCTGGTTTCGTTACCCCCTGGGCCGCTTTCATCTTCGGTGTTGTTGGTGCTGTCGCTTGCAACTATGCCACTAAGTTGAAGTTCCTGCTGCGCGTTGATGATGCTCTGGACATCTTCGCCGTCCACGGCATTGGTGGTCTCGTCGGCAACCTGCTGACTGGTCTATTCGCTGCCGATTACATTGCTCACCTGGACGGAAGCACCGACATCCCCGGTGGCTGGATCAACCACAACTACATTCAGCTTGGTTATCAGCTTGCGGATTCCATGTCTGGTGCTGCCTACTCTTTCTTCGGAACCTGCATCATCCTCTTCGTTCTCAACCTCATTCCCGGCTGCAGCCTTCGTGCTCCTGAGGAGGATGAGATTATGGGTATCGATGACGCCGAGATTGGCGAGTTTGCCTACGACTATGTCGAGGTTACTCGTGACATTGTCAATGGTGTCGAGACCCTCGAGACTGGCTCCAAGCGGACCATGACACCAACCGGCGAGAATGCCGCCACCATTGACACCAAGGCCTAATTTCCTTGTGAAATAGACATTCTTTATTACTTTAATTTTTCTTTCTTTTTTGCCGGGGGTTTAGCATAGGAGGCACGCACTCTGTCACTTCATTTCTTTTTTTGCATGGCACGTCCTATACTCAGGATGTCAACCTTTTATTTCTTTTCTCTCTTCTTGTGACATATACCCTTTTTCTTTTTATATGAATAAAACGAAAAAATCTCCAATAAATATTTACGCACTGAGTAGAAGTAGAATGGAAGTGGAAGTAAAACGGACCAATGACACTTTCCGATGATCCGCACCTTTGCGCCCATGTGATGCGGGTACTGGATAGGAAGCTCCGCAATTCATCGCAAAAAGCTCGAGCTTCCCGCAACACCTTCACTAACCTTTGATCACGAAATATCTCCACTTCACTCACATTCAAACCTTTATCCTTCATTGCGAATTCTGCTGAGCTCCAAATGGCCTCGCCAACCCCAGAGAACGGCCCTGGGCACCAGTTTCCCCTCGACCCCTCGGAATTCGACAACGACCCCCGGATCTCATTCTCGAAGCTCGATGAAAAGTTTATCCTTGAGACAGATGATGGACAGGAGTTTGTGTTTGACACGGCTCTCAAAAGATGGGTCCAGACGGTATGTCCGGCCTGATTACTGTCTTGCGCGCACCCTATTCAAGTTGTCGCAACGGATGCCATAACCTTGAACGTGACACTAAGTATTTGATCATTTTAGGTCGATGAAGAGCTACTCCGCCAGCAGCAAGAAGCATACAAAGTGGATGGAATAGAGGACGAAGAGGTTCACCCTCGCGATAGAAAGAAGCGAAAGCAACAAGATGACGTGAGTAGTCTGATCCCCAGTGCCATAGCTACCACGCCGACCTCCAGGCGATTGTATTGACAAGTTCTGACCCGTGCCTATGGTGGATTACAGGAAAACACGCAAAAGCCGAAGAAACAGCGGGTAAACACCGCGTTATTCATTTCGTCTATTCCCCTCGATGTCGAACTCGATGAGATCAGAGATGTCTTCTCCAAGTGCGGTGTCATTGCCGAGGAAATCGATAGTGGTCGCCCACGAATCAAAATGTATATGGATGAAGAGGGAAAATTCAAGGGTGAAGCGCTGGTCGTGTATTTCCGTCCTGAGTCGGTCAATCTGGCGATCCAGATGCTGGATGAGACAGACTTCCGACTAGGTGAGCCCGGACCACATGGCCCCATGAAAATCCAGCCTGCAGACTTCTCGTATAAAGCCCAGCAGGATGCACCGCCAAAGACAAATATGCGGGATAAGAAGAAGATTATTGCTCGGACGGCAAGACTGAACAGGTGCGTGGTGGCCCGTGGAAGGTTGTTGGTGACATACTAATGGGAGCAGTAAATTGGCGGATTGGGATGATGATGACCCTTCAACCCTTCCAGAGACAAAGTCCAAGCAAGACAAAATCGTGATTTTGAAGCATATGTTTACTTTGCAGGAATTGCAGGTACGTCGTTGACCTTATTCTACTATTCCTATCTATTTAACCTAACTAATCGACAGGAGGACGTTGCCGCCATTCTGGATATCAAGGAAGATATCCGTGATGAGTGTGCCAAGGTCGGCGAAGTCACCAATGTTGTTCTCTACGACAAGGAGCCTGAGGGTGTGGTCAGTGTTCGGTTCGCTGATCCCGAATCTGCCCGGCAATGCGTGAAAGTCATGGACGGTCGGTTCTTTGGTGGCACCCGCGTCGAGGCCTACGTGTCTGAGGGACGAGAAAAGTTCAAGAAGACTAATGAGCGACGTGCGGCACTTGAGGAGATGGCCGAGCGTGGTACAATTCATGATGTAGATGAGGAAGAGGAGCAGCGCCTGGACGAGTTCGGGAACTGGTTGGAGGAGCAGAAAGGAAAGCCCAGTGAAAATACTGAGCCAGAATAGGGAATTTAGGATGAATATTGTATATTAGTGCATAGCAAGTTTCCCCATGCTAATGTACGAAGTAGTAAGGTGTATGCCCAACAATGTTTAGACCAAAACGGGGAAATGTGGTTCGCACCTCGCGGTTCGCCCGCTGACTGGTCCCGTGATCCCCACTAGGCCTGTTCGGGCGATCCCCCCCCTGAGAGCAAAAGAAGTTGTTGTTGATCCCCACGCACACACACCGCTCACCTACTTTCTCCTTTCCCATCTTCCTGACCCTCGGTCATTCCTCATCTCCTCTTTCCATACCCTCAATTGTCGAAGTTTAATTATCTTCACCCAACTTCATCATGCGTGAGATTGTACGTCTATCCCCAGAAAACGCGTCTTTGTTGACTTCCGAGCCCCCTGAACGATGACCCCCCACCTGTTCAAAGTCCGTGCTAACCTCCAACTTTTCACACTTATAGGTCCACCTCCAGACCGGCCAATGTGTAAGTGCGAAGCTGTGAAAGACGTGTCGACATGATGGGATATCATGGATGTGAAGACTAAACGGTGTATGGTTGAATAGGGTAACCAAATTGGTGCCGCCTTCTGGTACGTGTTGCAACCACGGTAATCAATTGATAGATTAGTGGCCCGATTTACTGACTGAATTCTAGGCAAACCATTGCTGGTGAGCACGGACTCGATGGTGATGGACAGTGAGTTTCAAGATCGATGATATTGCGAGGTGGAAATGGCGGTCTGATCATTTTTAGCGTCACCGAGGCCTCTGACCTCCAGTTGGAGCGCATGAACGTCTACTTCAACGAGGTATGTGTGGAATTGAGAACCTCAATATGGAGGCTCCTCTAACGTTTATTTTGATAGGCCAGCAGCAACCGCTACGTTCCCCGTGCCGTCCTTGTCGACTTGGAGCCCGGTACCATGGACGCTGTCCGTGCCGGTCCCTTCGGTAACCTCTTCCGCCCCGACAACTTCGTTTTCGGTCAGTCCGGTGCTGGTAACAACTGGGCTAAGGGTCACTACACCGAGGGTGCCGAGCTCGTTGACCAGGTTATTGATGTTGTCCGTCGCGAGGCTGAGGGCTGTGACTGCCTCCAGGGTTTCCAGATCACTCACTCCCTTGGTGGTGGTACCGGTGCCGGTATGGGTACGCTCCTCATCTCCAAGATCCGTGAGGAGTTCCCCGATCGTATGATGGCCACTTTCTCCGTTGTTCCCTCTCCCAAGGTGTCCGACACCGTTGTTGAACCTTACAACGCTACCCTCTCCGTTCACCAGCTCGTTGAGCACTCCGACGAGACCTTCTGTATCGATAACGAGGTATGCTTGAAATCGCGTGACATGGTGTACAAAATGTACTAATCTTTGATTGCAAGGCCCTGTACGATATCTGCATGCGTACCCTCAAGCTCTCTTCCCCCTCTTACGGTGACCTGAACCACCTGGTCTCCGCCGTCATGTCCGGTGTCACCACCTCCCTCCGTTTCCCCGGTCAGCTCAACTCCGATCTCCGCAAGCTGGCTGTCAACATGGTTCCCTTCCCTCGTCTGCACTTCTTCATGGTCGGCTTCGCCCCCTTGACCAGCCGTGGTACCCACCAGTACCGCAACCTGAGCGTTCCCGAGCTCACCCAGCAGATGTTCGACCCCAAGAACATGATGGCCGCCTCTGACTTCCGCAACGGCCGTTACCTCACCTGCTCCGCCCTCTTCCGCGGTAAGGTCTCCATGAAGGAGGTCGAGGACCAGATGCGCAACATCCAGAACAAGAACCAGAGCTACTTCGTTGAGTGGATCCCCAACAACGTCCAGACCGCCCTCTGCTCCGTTCCCCCCAAGGGTCTTAAGATGGCCTCCACCTTCGTCGGTAACTCCACTTCCATCCAGGAGCTCTTCAAGCGTATTGGCGACCAGTTCACTGCCATGTTCCGTCGCAAGGCTTTCTTGCACTGGTACACTGGTGAGGGTATGGACGAGATGGAGTTTACTGAGGCTGAGAGCAACATGAACGACTTGGTTTCCGAGTACCAGCAGTATCAGGATGCCTCCGTCTCCGAGGGCGAGGAGGAGTACTACGCCGAGGAGGGTCTTGTCGAGGAGGAGCAGTAAATGTCTCCCAACTTTAAGATTTGCTCGCAGTAATACCCTTGATAAGCTTACATTCTCTCCTTTCCGGATGCTGGCTCGATGGGCCCTGCGACCCAGTATTTTGTTTGAGCGCTCCTAATTTTCACCTTATCCTGTCTCTATTTTCCTGCCTCTGGATCTTGGGTTTAGCTTATCGATCACGAGGCCAGAATAGCACATACTGGAAAAAACAATTGAGGAAATGATTTTTAATTGTCACCGGAAAAGATGTAGTCATGGTCTAGTCATTCTACAGGATCTAGCAAAGCTACATAAATAGTACCCCAATTCCCCACTAACCTAGAGAGGTTTTACAATCCTGTATCATTGCAACGTCTAATGAAAGGGACACTTGCCCGTACGGAACACCTTCAACTCCTCCATGGTCTCTTCAATAGCCTTCTGCCCCTTACCTTCAAAATACTTCGGCCCAATATCATTAATATGATACCCAGAAGGATGGTACTTATCTCCCTCATCACCAGGAACAGGACGACCCAGCGCCCAAGTCAACCACGCAACAGGACCCCACCGATTCCAGAAGGTCGGCTGAACATAATAAGGTGCCGCCTCCCAATTCAACAAGAAGATCCGATTCTGCTCATCCGGGGGTGTAACGTTCTTAACCGCCAAGAAGGAAGGCCTGGGAAGCATAAAGTAGCGTAAGAAAAGCCGGCGCGTGGTAAGAAGACCCGAGAAAACAGCCGACATGAACGGGCTAGGCGCATCATATCTATACGGGTGTTAGTAGCAATCCCAACTTCCAAACGACTTTAGAAGCCAATACATACAGCATAGCCTTCCTCAACCGATCATCCATCATGAACGAAACAAACTGCAATCCAACGGAATGTAACGCCGTAGGTAACATATATACCAAAATAGCCGTTGTCTGATCGGCAGTCTCCCGGTTCTTGATATCAGGAACCATATACTTCTTTTCATATTCCACGCTCCAGGCCGAAATCTCCTCAAGCCATTGCAGTCCATCTGAGAATCCACTCTTGCCCGATGGTAGCTCGTCGAATGGAATGCCCAATGCATCACCTACGCTCTTCCAGAATGTGCCGACGGCACACCGCTCCAGATCACTGAGTGTACGCCACTCGAAACGGTTAATGAACTTGATTGGCTCGAGTGCGAAGAGCGCGAGCGTGTAGAGCATGTCTGAGTCGAGGATCTTGCCTGACGCACGGTATCCGCTGTGAAGGAAGCGGGTGCGAGCTAGAGAGGTGAATGCGCGGAGAGAGGTTGGGCTGTTTGCTACCATCTCGTTGACGAGAGCGCTTGTGTCTGTGTAGCGCTTTAGAGATGTTTCCGGGTTGGAAAATTGACTTGTTTTTGTGAGCAGGTGGGAGATTGAAGGGATGCCGTATGTCTGGATATGAGTTAGTCATTTTTCTTAATAAACCGTATATTTGGACCACTATAGACTCGGTGGTTCCACCTGGGTCCTATCAGGTACTGAATGGTCGAGGGGTAGGAGTTCATACCCGGAATAGAGCAAACTGTAACGCTTTCACAAACATCATTGGAAACTCAAGCTGCCCCATTGCTAATTGGATCTCATAGGCTTCTTCATCGGTCATTTTGGCCAAGGATTCACGTGTCGGATAGTTGTATTTCTTCTGGAGCTGGTTCAACCGTCTGTAGCGCAGCGAGGTGGTCAAAAGGGGCCACCCAATTAACAGCACCACGGAGTAAGGAAGCCATTTCTGTAGCCGGGCACTAATGACAGCGTCAACAGCTTCAGAAAGGGGTTGACTGCCCCAAGTCGTGAGGTTCTCCATGATGGAAATGTGACAGGGATGAAGAAGGGGGAGTTCATCTAGGTCCCAAGGACAGGAACCGGGAGAGCCGGATATTTGAATATTAACAAATTTATGCAGCCACACATTAAAAGGCGCCACGGCGGGTTGTAGCTGCGCCTTGACCTCTGAAGCTTGCAAAATGTGGTTGTTTAGCGGGGATTAGAGTGGGGTTCGGCTGGTCCCAAGCTCGTGTAAGTACAATAGATGATTTGATTCGTTGAGATAGTGGATCATGTGCACTGATTTTGGTTTTTTAACATGATCTGCTGAACCTCCTCATTGTAAAATACAAGATTCCCCTCCACCTTATCTTTCTGTCATAGTGTATCATGTATGTACGCATCATATGTATTACGAAGCGGGGATGTGTATCGTAGATCTGAGCCGCGGACCGAGCTTGGAACCGCATCTAATAGGTGCCCCACAGCCACCACGATCGACCACCCAAATCGGCATCCTAGCGCCCGATATACCATTTCTCAAATACTCTCAAAGGTGGGAACACCACAGCCGTGAACCCAGCTCCTACCCACAAGCCGAGATCCGTGCCACTGGTCACTTGGGCGAGGACGCCAGAGTAATATGCTTGATCCTGCGAAATCATTAACACGTCGTACAAGAAAATGTGATGTGTCGGGCACCTACCATGCCGACGATCGCGCCACCCCAGCCAACCAAAAAGGCAACTCCTGCTGCAATCCCCATAGGCAGCTTCTGCGGGTTGTCCCACGCGGCCCAGTCATATCCCTTGGCTCTGCGGAAGAAAAAGTCCTCCTCGATAACGATCACGACCCAGATGATGACCCAGTATCCGATCAGCGGCAGGAAGCTCTTAAAGATCTGATATAGAGAGTTGCGTCCGCCCATCGCACAGGCGGTATATACCACCGTAGTGAGAGTCGTGAAAATAGGCTGCGGGATTCGCTGGAACCAGGCACCGAGCATCTGGAAGTTCATTCCCATCGAGTAGGCACCCGGCGTGTTGTTTGCAATGAGGGCGAGAACGTTGATCACGGCGCAGAATTTTCCAAACCCTCCGAGGGAATCATACGCTGTCATGAGCAAACCGCCGGGAGTGTTGCCGTATTTCACCACGTAGGAAGGCGAGCTAGCGAGAACGGTTCCCAGTCCGTTGCCGATGAGCAGCGTGAGTACCATAGCTTTGCCGCATCCGAGAAAGGTGACGGCGAATGTTCTCCAGCGCTTGACGTGCGGCGGATAATAGACGTAGTAGTCGGCGGCCAGCGGGGCCCATGCGAGGGCGATGGATAAACATAACGAGAAGTAGGTGACGCGCTTGGCGTTTAGATGGTCTTGTGAGTACTTGGTATGTACGTTGAAATCAAAGTGAGGGCCGGCTGAGCCGAGCATGACGCATAGGACCATCAGTTGTGGGAGCCATGCAAATCTGTCTTATGTGAGATAACATAACCAAGGTCTCTTGTCAATCGTGACTTACCGTTCATAGATTTGAAATATGCGCATGCCGAACATGGCCATGACCCAGCTGGTGAAAGCAACAACCACGATACCCACCAGCACGGAAATCTGTCCTCCCGAAACCATTGACAAGACCTGGCCGCCGACAACGCTGTTGATCATGCTGTATCCAATATTGGTGAAGATGTTCAGCGCGCAGCAGATCTTGCTGGGGTAGTAGCCCATAAAGTATCGACTGACAATCTGCATAAATGAGAAAATGCATCAGGTAAAGCAGAGCGGAACAACTCACCAGAGTTCGATTTCCACTCTGTGGGCCCCAAGTACTCATATATCCTACTATCACTACTCCTGTCAAGTTTCCAAAAACGGCACACAATGCTGCATCTTTGAAACTGAGACCGAGCAAATATGTCCCCAATGACCCGACGATAATGTTGTTGATAGCCAATGTCATGCTAAACCACATCAGAAACATATGCAACGAACTTGATGTCGTCACTGGTTGTCGCTCATTGAGAGGAATCCTTTCAACGCCGTGTACTTCCACATTGAAGCGGCTCAACCAGCGCTCCAGCTTCGACTGGGACTTGAATTCGAGAACGGGATCATGACTGGACTGGGTATGTGTGCTTTGTGTGCTTTCGAGTTCGAACGGTCTCACGCTATGCATAGAAGGTGATCCATGAGCTTTTTCGATATCGGCCGGATTCATACTTGGATGAAAACCGCGTCAAGTAGACTCGAATTGACCGGATGCTCGGCAAATATAGTACAAGGTGAACTGGGTCCACGAGTTATCGATCGAGGCACACACGCGCGCCTAGTTTGTGTCGAATAATCCCCCTACCCATAGAACTAGCAAAAGGAAGATGAAACAAAAACTCGATAACCAGGGGTGTCACCGGTATGATATAAACTCGGGAAGGGACAAGGCTGGGGCACATAACCTACCCGTTATGCTGTGAAACGGGACCTGACATCATGCCTTTGTGAGTTTAGGGTGTAACGCTTGGATACAGGCGACGGGCATTCCAAAGAATCAAGGACTTCCAAAACCCAGCAAGAGAATTCCCCGAACCAATGACTTTATTAGGAGCATACCGAGACGAGTACCGGGAGGCCCTTCCGCGGATCCAAGTGGAGTCAAACTCGGACATCGAAGCGATCCCAAACATGGGGAAATGGTCGTGACTGCTATAGCGCGGCTCTGAGGTCCAAGCTTTGAGCTCGCGATGCCCTTCGATTGGAGGCCTTGATCGTCTACCACATGATAGTATTCGTCTAGGGATGAAGCTCGCACAGGAAGGTGACTCTTGTGCGCGAACCCTTTCTCCCCGATCATCCCGCCCTGCTGCCCTATGTGGTAATTCACATACCCCCAAGCTCCGAAAATGCTCCTGGAATGTTACCCGACGCAAGGGATATTCTACTCTTTTCTTTTAATGGAGCTTGTGGGGAAACTGATCAGCTTGGCTTTTCTTTATTCAATCGTTTCTTGAGAAATGCGGAGTATTTACTTTTTGTCTTCGTTGTGATTCGCTCGAGCTTGGGAAATGTATGAAATAAGGGGTAAGCTTACGCTTGCTGATCTGAAAGCTGACTCGTGATTTATAATGCTATATTGAAATTTCTAAGGCGCGGTTTCCGTCGGCTTTGTATCATCCATGGACAAGCCACGAACCTACTTGCAATGTGTGAGCTGGGTCAGCATAAGCTCCGCTGAGCCCCTTTTGTAGATATAAAACTGTATTTAGTTCTACTACTAGCGTCCTTGATCACAAATCAACTTCACGAGACCTCGAATAATGCTCATTACGTATCTATGCGCTCAACTCAGACCACCCAGGCAAAATAAGCCAGCTGAATGAACTCCTTTCGACCCATAAAATTGGAACCTAGAGTACCTACAGAATTGAATTTGATAAAATTGAATATGATTTTAGCCCAAAAAAAAAACAATTTAATCCTGTATACCTGTTTTGTATGTCTATAGCTCCACAAGGAACTCCTGCATGCCCATGATACGCGGCTATCCAACAATCAGGATTTGTTAGATGCCGACTTGATCTACCGGGTGATCGACTGTCAACCATGATGACTTTTATTCTACCTTTTTTATTGAAGTAATGCTGAGCTCACTGACTCATGCACGTGCTCTTCTGTCCCTTCCCATCCATGATCTTCTGCCCACTAGATAATCACATGTAAAAGAGCAAGGGATTGTGCCCTTGGCCATCCCCAATTCTAAGCCGTCGTTGATGCCTCCACCGGGAGTTTAATGATTTTGGTGTCAACCGAAGTCAGTTCACGCAAAATGACTTAAGAGCACCATTCCAACCGAAAGTGTTCATGATCCAATAAATTCTCAATAGACTCATTGTTCCCTATACATATCTCCATGTTCCAAAAACCCCTTCTCGGGGATTAGGTGAATCCCGATAAGCACCCATTTCTGTGCCAAACCCGTATTATGCCTTTCATTCGGAGATAAGAGACCTGATCCATCTGCTTTATCGGATCTCCCTTTGAAAGTCGGCACCAGAATACGAGTTTGTAAACTCCGTGTTACGTCCCCTCTATTGATAACCTGCCACTATTGGTAGAAGTAAGTACCAGCAGGGGGATAGGGTTGCTTTTTGTCATTATGGTATACATCGAGACAATTCCTCTGACTGAGGAATAAAGTATAAAGATTCCTAGAGTTTGGAGTTGATTGGAATGGCTCAAGCTACCAATATTGACCTGAGACATCAGTTTTTGGAACGAGATGTATCTAGTTGTACTGAGGTGATTAATCACCGTGTTGAATTTCCACCTATTAATAGAGTTGATGCTCCCTAGATCCTGTGAATATAGGCAAAAATGAGGAGGGTTAGATCACTTAAATGGAGAATTTTGACGATGAAATTACAACGAGCCATTCGTCTATATACGCTAGCGGGTTAAGCCCCATCCATGCCCTTTTAGAGGGGATAAAGATTCATGTCTAAATTACTACGAAGCAGTACTCAGTGGTGCAGAATTGACTTATATCATAATTCAGTCCAATAGTGATAATATAGAATATCGTTAATTCCCTCACATAGAGCGCCCTAGCAACCCGGAGTATATGTCTCTCCATTAGAGTCATACACGAGCTCACCACTACCGGAAGCCAGATCGATGCCATGTCTGCTAAGAAATGGATCACGAGGACTCTCGGAGCGTCCGACCCGAATATCAGATCAATGCTCTGACCAGCATTAATGCGACTATGGGCAGCTGCTCTGGAATATACTCTTCTCCAGGCGCAGGTGGAGTAATCAAATCAAAATCGCGGTATACTCCATGGTTAAACCAGAGATAGTAAAAATCATCATGGGAGGCGAGAAATGCTCCCTCAGACACGACAAGATGTCTCGGGTCGGGATCTGTGGCAATAGCCTCCATAATTGAGGTAAATAGAACCAAAATCTTCAATGAAAGGATTGGGTCGATGTCATTAGTCACATTGTCAGGTGGAAGATCGGCACCTGGACCTGTCTTCAATGATGCTAAGCGTTTGGCTGAGATGATTGCCAAGACAGAATTGCGTGTCCACGGATTCTCGGACGGAAATGCGAGGAAATATAGATTATCTAGACTCAGAATTGCAGGAATTAACTTTAAGGTTCAAAGTCCCGGCGTCTGGATCTGCAGATCAGTAGCGGAGACTAAACCCTATTCATCCAGATTACGTCGAGAAGCTCCACGCCAACCAAGTCTCACCATGCCGAAGTGCGTCAGCTTGAGTGAAGAATATCAAGTCTATCTTGGCAATCACCTTGGCATCTCCTATCTGAGCAATTTTCCATTCATTGAAATCAAGAGAAGATTTCAATTGTACAGTTCTTAAAGGCCATCATGTCCAGGAATCTCAGCTCACAACAACCGATTCAAAAACAATCCTCCCCTCAATCCACTTTCCAAAATGAAAAGTGGTCTTTTCTTTGGTATTCTGGGCCTCGTCCCCTCGGTCACTGCATATGCAGCAGGACTGGAGCGGGTGTACTCATTGGACCGAGCAACCCAAGGCATCAGCATTAGCGAAAACGGGCGCAAATTTCTCTCCCAGCGCTATTCTACCACTCTCCCACCTCAAATCGTCGAGCTTTTGAGCGATAACACCACCAAGCTGTACCCGAATGCCGCATGGAACTCCTACAACTCTAGTGACCCGACCTCAAACCCCCGCAAGACCTTTGTTAGCGTTGATGGAGCCCGCATTGGTCCTGACGGTCGCTACTGGGTGGTTGACGGTGGCTCAACAGGGGTGTACGGCTCTACAAAACTAGTTGGCGTGAATCTGACTACAAACGCTGTCGACAAACTCTACTACCTGGACAATGTCAAAGCAAGTGACAGCGGGGTGGATGACGTTCGTTTCAGCGCATCCGGTAAAATAGGATACCTCAGCGACACAGCAGGTGCTCTGATCGTCCTCAACCTCACATCAGGACACGCAGTCCGCGTCCTTGCTAGCTCGGACTCTGCCACAGCCTGGTTCCCTATGATGTACAACGGTACCCTGGTGCCTGGCTACGGTGGCGCCGACAGTACTCTTGCGGTTGGGCTCGACCAGATTGAAGTCTCGCCCGATGGTACCTACTTGTATTACCAGCCCTGCAATGGTGGACTGTACCGCATCAAAACCGCCTACGTTGACGCGACCTTGACCAACTCTACAATGGCGGATGTTCTTGGCGACTATGCTGAGCCGCTTGCCTTGACGCCTAGTACAGGTGGAACGACCATTGATGGCGATGGAAATATTTATGTCAGTGACACCAACCTACTAGCGATTTGGAAGGTCACACCTGAGGGTCGTGCTACCATTCTTGTTCAGGATGATGCTTTGCTCTGGACGGACCTTATGTGGGTGTCGGCGGATAAGAAGCTTTGGCTCCCGGCTTCTCAGATGCGCCCGGGGAGTGATGGGCTCATGGCTGATGGTCCTAACTACATCTTTACTTACCCTATTGATGCGGGTCCTTCTCCCATTGATCATGCCTAAGAAACTTCCTGCCCATGTTGATGAGGCTTTGTGAAGACAAGAGTTGGCTGAGCTGGAAGTCTCAAATGTGTACATTAGTGCTTACTTGGTAACGCGACGTTGAACACAAAGCTATTCGAATTGTACAACGCCTTCCGCTCGGCTTGATTGGCTCTTTTGTAAACTTGTGTGTCACTGATCAGCCTTTGACTCAGCATTCCTGCAATGGCAGCTTAGTGTCATACAGCCTCGATGTTATGTGCTCCATTTCTTCTTCAAGATCCCCCAGGGATAACTACAGGGATGCTCTTTTGTTGCTGATAAATGCATATGCCTTAATCTATAAATGAGTAGAGAACGAATTCCATGATTGCTTGCTTTGATGTTTAAAAAAATTCGTCGCTTCAGGTCCCCACGCATATTATGTCCGAGGGTCAAAGTATAATTTAGTGATAGCATATCTGGTGCGCCACATGTGCAAGGGTCGCAGTCACTAATCGACTGGGCTCGTATTCATCATTAAGCTATGGAACCCAGTATTTCAAAGTCACTCAAAGGCTACGAAGCTCAGTCAGCACTTGCGTCAGCGGGGGTATGAGTTGGCTCCGCTTGAACAGGAAACGCTCGCAAGGAATGGCCCCCATGAGGGGAAACCTGCCCCAACCTGCCCAGATGAGAGGGGGCCTTGTGATACTCGCATTAGCTTAAGTGTATGTTGAAAAGCTCGATATAATTGGAGGGCTGCTAAGACCCTCTGAAAGCCTTATAAATAATATCCTTTTCGCTCTGATTTAATCTCCGGAGGCCAGTTCTTGGACATTCTCACTATACTGGAGTAAATCGCCGCCATGTCTGCAAGTAAATTCACCTCGGAATCGGAAACAGATGTGTAAGTTTCCGACTTAAGATTCTGACTATTTCATTGTCTTTGAATAAACCTAACGCCGAAGATCTAGAATCATTCTCGGCGCCGGACCTGCGGGTCTGATGGCTGCCTACTGGATGGCACGTTACGGGATCCGCACCCGAATCATCGATAAACGTCCTACAAAGGTGTTTACCGGGCACGCCGATGGAATACGTATGCGGACGTTGGAAATCTTCGATAGTATGGGAATCTATCACAAGGTTGATTACGAGGGACATCCGATCGTTGAACCTGGGTTCTGGGTTAGTCCATGTCCCTTCTATACGATTCAACTAACACTAACGATGTTCAGGTACCCGGACCAGAAGGCAAGTTGGTTCGCCAAGGTCCTATTACTCCGGCCCAAGTTCTTTTATCGCCGTACCACCACATGGTTTTGAGCCAAGCCCGTATTGAGCGGTTTGTGCTGGATAGTATCCGAGAGCATTCGGATATTGAAGTTGAGCGTGGTGTTCTTGCCGAGTCGTTTGAGTATGATGAAACGTCCGATACCAAGTATCCTATCACCGTTACTTTGCGCCATTCCGGTTCCGAGAAGGATATTACGATCCCTGGTGACTTGGAAGATCGGGAATGGGAGTATTTGACTCGGCGGAAACGATCAGCTGGAAAGGAAATTGTTAAAGCGAAGTATATCATCGGCTGCGATGGAGCGCATAGTTGGACGAGGAAGCAATTGGATATTCCATTCGAAGGGGCAAGTACGGAGCATATTTGGTTCGTGTTCCCGCCACAGATAATTGACCAAGCAGCTAATATCGCGAAGGGGTGTGATCGATGTCGTGCCATTGAGTGATTTTCGTGAGTACCAAGCTGAGAGCTTCCTTCGACATAAAACTGATAATCATTATAGCGGATATCCGTCGACTGGTCACGGTGACCAGCACAGTAGGAACGATCCTAGTAATCCCACGCGAAAGAAAACTAGTCCGCTTCTACGTCCCTGTTCACGTTGCCAACGACGAGACCGACAAAACCCGCTTCGACCGCTCAACAATCACACCTGAAAAAATCAAAGCACGCGTCCAAGCCATTCTAGCCCCATATACCTTTGACTTCGAAATCATCGATTGGTGGACGGCATACCAGATCGGCCAACGCATCGCACCAACATTCGCAAAAGGGGACCATGCATTCCTGGCCGGTGATGCGGTGCACACGCACTCACCGAAGGTAGGCTTAGGCATGAATGTGAGCATGCAAGATGGATTCAACATCGGCTGGAAGATTGCTTTAGTGGTAGCTGGTGTGGCGGACCCAGCTATTCTGAAGACTTATAACGATGAAAGACATCGGATTGCGGAATTATTGCTCGAATTCGATAAAGTATGGTCGTCTTATTTTACGGCTGAGACTAAGCCACCGTCACCTGGGGATGGGCCAGGTAAGACGGAGAATATGATTAAGGTTGTGGAGGAGTTTCAGAATTTTGCGGATGGTTTTAAGGCGTTTTATGGTCATAGTCCGTTGGTTTGCAAGGAAAGTGAGCATGAAGGGCCTGCATGTGCGATTAACCTCGTTCCTGGGGAACGGATTCCATCGGCGAAACTTCGTCAGCCGGCTGATTCGACGGTGGGATGGTCGATGGGGATTATGAAGAGCGATGGGCCTTTCAGACTTGTTGTTTTGGCTGGGGATATTCGTGATGAGAAGCAGAAGGCGCGAGTTGATGCTCTTGGCTCTTGGCTGCAGGGTCTGGATGAGAGGCCCTCTATTTTGACGCGTTATGCTTCGATTCCGGGACGATTCGATATTGTTGACACATTGACGATTCACAGTGCTCCGTGGACGGAGGTGGAGTTCTTTGATTTCCCCGAGAGCTTGCGTCCATTTGATCCTCTGATGGGCTGGGCCTATGACAAGATTTGGTGTGATGACCCCGTTGTTTGGGATAAAGAATGTGATGGAAAGGCGTATGAGCGATGGGGCGTTGATCGAATTCGTGGTGCGATGTTCATTCTTCGACCAGACCAGTACGTTGGATGGGTTGGCGAGTTAGAAGACGTGGAGGGTGTGACTCGTTACTTGGATGGTTTCTTGACCCAAAACGCGACACCAAGTGCAGAGTGATTATCATGTGGAAGAACAATTGGATTTGAATTTAAGTTAAATCTTTAATAGCAAGCACTCAACCACCGATTCCAGGATCGCCCAACCCCTGTATATGTCAATCCGTAGATGTATGGGTTTAGCGTGAAAATCTCACATAAGAAAGGAGCAATGAAGGAGCAATCAAATTTCATCAACCTGAAACACCCATTCTTAGAATTATTATAGATCCGTTCGTGTTCCCTGCGACTCAGGCTGCACATCGGACTGGGTCTGTGGCACCGCATGCCCATCTTCCTGCAGCTCAGTAGTAGCATCCGGGATATGAGTGGAAGCACCAGCAGTCCCATCTCCCTTATCAAACGACCCTCGAATAACCGCCGGATCAGCCGGGAACTGGAACTTGGAACTCTTCCACGGCTTGACCTTCATGAGATACATAGTATCAATCTCCTCAAGAGTACGACCTTGTCCCTCGATGACAGCAAAGTAGACAAGCCCCGCAGCTAGGAAAAGACATCCGGCAAAGACGTAACCATACCGAAAATCGATCGCACTGGTGATAAACGGCGTGAAGAACGCCAACAAGAAATTCCAGAGCCAGTTTGACGCGGTGGCTAGAGACATTCCCCGCGCACGGTATTGTGAGGGGTACAACTCGGCAATGATGGTCCATACCATTGGACCCCACGTACTGGCAAAGCCCAGAATGAAGAGGCAGGCAAAGACCACCATTGCCACGCCGGCGGATTTGGTGTTCTCGGGGGTTTCTCGGTCTAGAGAAAAGTGGCCTACTGAGGCGAAGATCATGAAGCAGACAAACATCCATAGAGCACCTACGATGAGGGAGCGACGACGACCGTAGTGCTCGATGAGGTAGAGACCGAGAAATGTGGTGCCGAAATTCACTCCGCCAAGGATCATTTGCGTTACGTAGCTGTTTTGGATTCCAGCACCTTGGAAGACAGTGGTACCATAGTAGAAGAAGTAATTGGCACCTGTGAGCTGCTGGAGTGCTTGAAGTGCGACTCCTACGGCGACACGATAGCCCATAGTCGGAGCCTTGAAGAGCATCTTCCATGTGACTGTGCCATTGCGAACCTCTTCCTCGTATTTTAGCTTGATTTCTTCGAATTCGATATGCAGCGCGCGGTGATTCCGGGGAACACCGTAGATCTTGGCTAGATTCTCGATGGCAGCTTCCACCTTATTGTGGCGGTAGTCGTAGCGAGGACTTTCCGGGAAGAATAGCATACCGATGCCGAGAACCAGAGCCCAGAAATAGGTGATGCCCAATGGGATACGCCACGACGAGGTATCGGTGCGAGCCTCGGTACCGAAGTTGATACAATTGGCAACGAAGATTCCCAGTGTAATGAACAGTTGGTAGGTACTGATCAGCGATCCTCGGATATGTCTTGGTCCTGACTCGGCTTGGTACATTGGCACAAGGAGAGATAGAGCACCAACTCCCAGTCCGGTTACCCAACGGCCCATGGCAAATTGATACCATTTGCCAGAGGGAGATGATATCTGAACAGTCACCCCGACCATGAGTATGGTACACCATCCACTGATGGACCATTTCCGTCCAATGCGATCGGCAATCGGTGCTGCTACTAGAGCTCCAATCAAGGTACCGATGGATAACTACGGAATGTCAGCTTTGTTCATTATATGAGAATAGTTATTGAAGCCTACCAGGCCAACGATAAGACCAGAGCGAGCGTTGCTGAAATGAAAGGTTCCATCTCCACTCGGCTCACCATAGCGCATTAAGAAATTGGGCATCTCAAGGAAACCTGAGATCTGACCGGTATCGTAGCCAAACAAGAAACCTCCCATAGACACAAAGATGCCCATGATAAAAGAGCGCACCGTAAAGAGCGGGATAGGAGTATCCACTAGATCGCTAGGGCCTTTCTCATGCTCAGCAGTAGAGACCGACTCCCTAGGCACCTCAGTAGCCTCACTATTCGCATAGAGGTCTTGCGGTCGTTTATGGAAGACTTTTTCAAACATGATGGCAAATAATAATATGGCGCATCAAAAAGCTTTTTCTTCTGTCTGCTTTTTCGTGCCAAAATCCGACATGGGGCCTTTTATAATCTCACTGCCCAGGCGCACGCCAAGGCCGGGAACTCGACAGCATAGCCCTGGATAACTTGGAAAATGGGATAAATCGACAGATTAAGAAAACGATGACTCGTTCATTCACACTTGTACGAACTCCCTCTCTGAGGCTGTCGGAGTTAGCCGTTGAAGAACGTGAGAGTCCGGGGAAGTGGGGACTGCGTTTGGCATGGCCATTGGCGAATCCGTGGGTTCCGTGAAGTGACACCCAGACTTTCTAGAACCTAGACCGCATGGCCACGAATGAGATTCAGTGGCAAGCCAACTTCGTCGACTCCAGACCTTGTGACTGGGTTCCTGGTGGCAAATCATTGGCTAGAAACCCCCCAAAAGTAGGCAGGTCGACTTGGGGGTAGAGTGATGAGATCGGTGGCAGTTGCGGAAGAAGCTTGGGTCCTTAGTACTCACTTCCGGTAAAAGCAGTTGGACCGTCTCTTGGCAAGTCACTGACTCGTCGTTGGGGCCAAGTGCTCAGGATCCCCGAGCTTGCCGGGGCCGATTCCTACAGTACTCGAACATACCAGTGCTCGGTTCAAGCGGCACGAGTAATCCGAAATGAACGTATTCGCATAAGACCATATAATAATCTCGCATTCATGTTCAGAGCGTCATAGAATATACCAAGCGAAAGGTTGTATATCCAAATGAAAGATGTACAGATGTCCAAATATCGAATCAAATTGTTCAACGCCAACGAACGATGATAAAAAAAAAAAGCGCCCCTCCGAGGTATCATACCACAAACACCTAGCATCAAAAATAAATAATTAAAAATCTCAAACAACCAGTGGCCGATCCCAACCGTTGACTAGAGCCAACTCATCAATGTCTTCCTTTGGTGGCATCGAAAGACCTTGAAACGGGTCAAAAAGACTCATATCCTCCGGGTGGCCCGGACCTTCAGCAAACGCCTGTAGATTGTCCTCGCTACTCATGCTTTCACCCGAGTAACTCAAAACACTCTGTGCAGTGTGCTCCTGTTGCGGCGCAAAGTCGCCACTACTAGCAGACCACGACTCGGGCGATAGCTTGACCATATCGGACGGCGAAGGGATCGCAAGTGTACCGTCATTGGGTTTTCGGCTGTACTCGGCCGTGATAGATGCGAACGGTCCGGGGTCTTCTCCACATTCTTTGCCACCATAGATACCAGTGAAGATGTTTGAGTACCCGCGATCCATATCACTCAGGACATACTCCCAATCTGCCATTGTGATAGCGCCATTTGCATCCGAAGGAGTTGAGCTGGACATATTTCGAGTGTAATCATATCCTCCGGATGAAAGCATTTGAGGATCCGAGGAAAGATCCAAAGAATGTCTGCCATTTTGGAAGTGGGGGCTCGACAAATGATCTGGTTGTGAAGGAGGCAGGCTGTTCCAGCTGGGGGAGCGAAGAGACTGGACACCGGCTGGAGTAGCACCGGAGACGGTATTCCGGCGAGAAGGCGAGGCTTGCTTGGAGGTTTGGTCGCGACCCATGCTGGATGAAATACGGGTCTTCAGCGACTGCAGCTGCTTCTTCGGGGATTTAGATGGCTTGTTTGGAGCCGCCATCTCATTTGCCTGCTTGCCGATAGGCATAAGAGTATTGACCAGTTGGGCAAACTCGGCTGCCGCAGCAGCCGACTCTGTTCCCAGTTGCTGTGTCGCTGTAGCAAGAAGTTTGTGGCTCTCCTTAGCCAGCTTGCTATCGCGTTTCAGGCCAGTCGTCTGCCACAGGAGTCCAAGTCCAGCAAAATACACCAATTCCTTCCGGTTAAGACTGAAAGAGAGACAAAGTCGACGTTCATCAAGAAGCTGCAAAATTTGAATGAGATGCTTCGAAGAATCAGACATTGCTAAAATTGAGCGAGAGCGCAGGTTCTCGTTCGCGAAACACACAGCAGGACGATGGATCAGGGAACGAATGAAGAAGTACACGAGAGACTTTACAAATGTTAGCATGCTTGAGTATCAGATAAGGTAGCTTGGAATACTAACCAAAAGAGGCGAACGGCTGCTAGTCACATTTGTACTGGGTTTATCCTGGGAAAACTCCAGGCGGAGGTGAGGAGGCAACGTCGACAGCCATTCATCCAACTGCTCTGTAACAACCCGCATCTTGGACACATAAATGTTATATCCAGCCTTTGAAGGGAACAGGTCTTCTAACACCTTATTCAAGATCCGGGAAACACCAAAGAGCGCGAGGGCACTGGAAAGGCGGGTGGACTCGCCAGGAAGAGTTGGCAAGAAGCCGGTCTCGGTGACGTACTCATCGTCCACATCAACAGGGTACTCGACTTGAATATCAGACTCGCGCAGGAGAACAGGCATTCCAGTCAGAGCAGACGAAAATCGGTCCAGCACATACTGACACCAGAAGACCTTCTTGCAGGTCTCCCCTTCCAGCGGGTTAGATGGCGCAATATCCTGGTTGAGTCTCAGCTGGTGACAAAGATCCACAGCAAGAGCGCGGTAGCGCAACAAACTGCGATAATCGGCTTTGGTCATGCAGTAAACTTGAGCGAGAACGAAGCACTGTAGACTTTTCATTGACGTATCACTGGAGAACGAATCTAGGGGATTGGACCAATTCTCCTCAAAAAAGGCAGGATCTTGGTTAGTCCTTGACTGCAGAAAATTAGCAAACATTCAATTTGCGGCATCTTATATCAAGTTGTCCACTCACGCTCGATGAAAGTGCCGCGATGCCGAAGATCAAATTCAACTGAGCCATCATATGAATGTCGTTTTTCAATGAGTCAGAACCATTAAGGTACTGTTCATAAGCCTTCAAAATGGTTGGGCGATGCACCACCGGGTACAAAGGCGCCCATTCTTGGAAGAAGATATTGATAAGTTGGTCTGACACCAAACGAGGTGGTGTCCTGATAGGTTGGTTAAGCATGCCCCGAGACACGGGAGGCGACAATTTGGTCAGCTCATTAGTTGCAAGTTTCGTAGCTGATTTTCCTTGGCTCGTAATATTATCGGTGAGAACTCCTATTAAATGTTATATTAGTTGGATATATTCGACCTGAAAGAAGATTTAGATCTTACCGGAAAATCCCTGGGTACTGGATAGCGCAGTGTAAGGGTTATCGGAAGACTGAATAGGAGATTGAGAGGGTAATTTTTTAACATGAATGACGCCTTCCGATTCATCTGAGCTGGGGTTCGTGGTTGCGGATGTGGAGGGAGATCGAATGGGGGCCGCGCGTTGCGATGGCGAGAAAGAGTGTATCCGCGACAAAACGTCGATCTTCTCGTCTTTCTCGTCCAGCAGATTCTTTAAATCTTTCACTTCTGATTCTAGAGCCCGCACTCTCTCCTCTAGAGATTCGGTATATCCTCGAGGGAAGGCGCGGCGGCTCAACTTGTCACTCGTTTTGCATTCGAATCCGACATGGGCGCATTGTGTACAGCATGGTCGTACGCCATCGCACCGGATTTTTTTGCTTCGGCATCGGTCACAGGCCTGGGCGATCCTGCTTTGCACTCCGGTGCCTCCGACCTTAATCACTTTCATGGGTAAAATTCCAGGCATATTCGTTTTGACTGGCGGGCACACCGGCCGCCTCGGGTGCTAAAGGGATCGTAGAGACGGTTTCGGTGGATTTTTCGGGGGTTGAGTCACAGAGCGTCGTTATCGTTTATTCCAGCAAGAAACTGTACGATTATGAAGGCGAAATTTCATGTACAGAGGAAAGTTTAGGATTTAGAATATGGGGGATTGGGGGAGGGGAAAGGATGCAGATGCTGAGTCAGGTGGGCCCTTGCTGACCTTTGTAATCATCCAATCACGTTTCATGAGTTTGCAGGTACCGTCATGTATCGCATGCAGAGGTTAATCGTTCCCTTCCTACCCAGATTTCTGCATTTCTCCACTTACGCCCAAGGTTTTCAAGGTCCATTCTCTATATCTGACCTGTACAGTCTCACTGGACCATCAAGTTTGGCAAATCCAGCTGGGGATCGATCCTCCCGAGGCTCCCCCGGACTCCACAATTCCGTACCGGCAGAGAACGAACATGGGGAAATTCTGTAATACTGAGGCATTTTGACAAATGAACGTGCCAGTTCATCCCGTTGAAACTCTATTTCCACCGTGGTTTCGTGACTCAAGGTCCTCCTCGGATCTCATTTACAGCACTTGACGGCTTCCGAAGCCCTTATCCGAAGTTCATTTTGCCTTTCGACAGTCATTGGGTCCCGATGCAAACCCCGCGACCACATGTAACATTTGACGTTCACCGTCGATCTCTCTTGGTTAGCCCCATATGCATGATAAGTGAAGAAAATCGCAAAAAAGGGGGCGATGATACAGTGGTCGGAGCTCCGTGTCTCAAGCAGGTCAATTTACATTTGCATGTACATGCATGTATCCCGTCTCCGAAGTTCGGCGCAATTCCCCCATCCTTACTCGTATTAACTACGCGTTAGGTGTAAGGTTTTGCCCAGCCATTCTGAAAGTGGCGAGATCGCCGTAACGATGTTCAGGCGCATGCATGATCTACCAGATCCCGAGGTTGTATAACCATGAAACTGGAAAGAGCTGACTCTTGGAATGGTGTGAGCCATGGATTATGGATTTCCGAAAAATCTAGCATGGGGAATGATACCCATGGTTGACTTCGAACGAGTTATCTGCGAATTTTGGCCGAGAGAACGACGAGGGTTTTGAACCCGTTTGGGTGGACCCACCCGACCCACGTAGTATTGGGCGATCATTTGCTGCGGGGAACCAATGTGAGTGTGAGACTTCAGGGTCTTGCTCATTCTTTGTTCATCTTCTGGGTTCTTTCCAGGTTCGCGGGTATTGATTGCTGTTTATATGAAGTACCGACCCAAACATTCGATGGACCAAGGGACAAGGATGCGGGGAATACTCCAAACGCAGGTCCGTTCTCTTGGAACCCAAGACCTTGATTTATTTCCATCTATCTACTACTGTAGGTCCTAAATGCTATACAGTATGCGGTCCGAAAACAGCCAATCGGATTGTAGCAGACACGGCAGGCTTTCTCGATGAAAGCCACACCATCAGTTTCAACTCTGTATATACTAAATTTTCGATGTTCGCCTCCTAAAGCCTGGGAAATCATGTGAAGAACGTCATAATCTGGAATGGCGTTCTAGCTGTGGGCTCTCGGTGCCCAATTTAGCGTTTATTGTTACCTATGATGTATTGACGGCATTTGCTCTCCGCATCAACTAGTCCCCGGACTATAGGTTCTCAGAGTGGAGATGTGACTTCAGTCTGGGTAAGATCTCGCGGGGTCCGTTCGCCTGGCTTTCGTTATTGAAATTCATGATTCCTCCTGTATACCCCTAATGTGGGTGACTGTGAGAATGGAGCTATGGTCATGGCTAAGTTCATGAAAAATCCTCAACTTCCTCTGCTTGGACCTGCTCAAGGTAGCTGGCAACGGTCTCCGACTTTATCAACTCATTTTTCTAATTTCGATCATTAGCGCAGATCATCATAGTGGGCCCTCGGCTTTAGGACGTGGTTTCAGGGTCTGCTTACCTGTTGCGTCAGCTCCTCAACTGCCTTTTGTAGTAAAGTCCCCTCAAGCTGCCGCAGTCGAGAAACCATTTCGAAAATATCAGGCCTGAACATGCCATCCAGAGCAGTCTGGTTTTCGCGAAGATGGTCCAAAACCTGGGTCATTTCACTTAGAAGCGAGATTTGTGCTTCCAGCCGCTCTAGCACCAAAACAACAGCTCGGAGTTGGAAAATTTCCACTAAAGGGTCGATTGTGATGAAATGGTGAAGCTGATCGGGCGATTGAATTCTTTCGCCCTTCCAGTGTGCCTCTAGTTCCCTTCCTCCATCTGTGGTTTGTGCAATGCCGATTTTAAGTCCATCTTCTTCATTCACGCTAGACCACCAGATCAGTGGGCTGTCCCAAATGATTTTCCCGGCCTCATTTGATGATGTCAGATCAGTTGTAGCTGGATTCTGAGGGGCCGAAACCCGGATTCCAGGAGTGTCTTTGCAGATCATTTTCTTAGCCATACCAAGAGGATCATCCTCGGGGAAATTCATGTCCAATATGATTTGAGTCGTTTCTGCCATATCATTGTCTAGGAATCCGTAGGAGAAGATCATCTCCGATGCAGGCTTCTTATCGCCATATCTAATTGATAAATCAGTATGTGCTAGGAGTCAACATGGGGTTGCAAATAAAGTGAGACTCACGAGATAGTCACCTCGTCCCCTTTCTGCAAACTTTTGCCATCACGCAACTTCAGAATTGCATTTCCATCGAAATCCGCGTCATATTGGGCCGTCACTGCTGCACCGGCAACGTGATTAACCATATCAACACACGGAACCATCGAGTGCCCACTGCCCGGCAGATCCAACATGCGAGATCGATAAGCCGCATCGACATATCTCCAGTCCTCGAAGGTCAGTCCGTCCGGACTTTCAGCCCACCAGCATTGCTGGCACCAGGCTATATCTTCAGTAGCTTGATGGATGAACTCATATTCCCTTTGGAGTGAATTCCATTTAGCATCCACCGCAGCCTCAAGAGAAGTTCCTCTCAGCAATTCCCGTTCCTCTTCCGACCAGAAAGTGGGCAAAGAGAATGAAGACGGGAGAAATTTGATGTACTCGGTCCAGGGACTAGATACCCCTACACGTTGCGGCTTTTGCGAGTTGCTGTGTGTGATCTGAAGGAGCAGAAAAATCAAAATAGCGCCTCTCGGTGTCTGCTACCTGTCAGTTCTCTACGGTCTTGTTTCAAGTGATAAGTTCTGTAGTGCATACCCTGCCGAAATCTCCCACTGCCTCTAGTACCTCACGAAGGTCACGGTCAGATTTGGAATAGTCGTGCACTGATTCTAACGATAACACCAAGTCCCGTGGGATCTGGAGGAGGGTCTGTTGATCATCAGAATCCTTGTTGGTGTTATCGGCCGTTGCCAGGATTGCATTCCCCTTGTCTATCTCTGACCCAGCCGGGCCTAGTTTTTGAACTGCAACACCATTTGTGACGATGCCATTGAGCCTCAACCAGGCTAGTAAGGAGTCCAGCGGAAGGTATTCCCGCTTCATCGTGTTGGTTCGGCGACTGTTTTGTTGGGGTGTGTACCCTTCCGCGCGTTGATAATATATGTAAAAGAAATACTGTTAAGTTCCAGAATTTATGAGCTCATATTCTGTAATTGGATAGAATCCCAGTTCAATTGTTCTTGAAGGTATCGATCGATGAAACTGCTTGAGCTCAATGGACCGCGGGACCTGCAACGGTGCGCTTAGTAAGCACCATATTCGTCAAGTCCAGAATGGATATCCATGCAGCAGAAAAGGTGCTCAAAAGAACATAATTCTTTGAGCTTAGAGCATGGAAGAGAACAGATGAGGGAATTGTAATTTCCCGTGTGTTTCTCAATACAAATGTGTCTATATAGACGTTGAACAAGGTGGGTGATCTCTTATCGATAAGCACAGGTCATGGGTCATGACAACGTCATAACTTTAACCTTTGAAGGTGATGCAGGGTTTCGCGAGCGGCTATAAGAAACATGGCAGGTAGCTCATCTGATCTTTTTTACACAGTTTCACAACATCGAAAGACTAGGAAATCACCCCATATCCACCATGAAGCTGGACAGTATTATCAGCCGCTCTCGGCCTTCTATTTTACTGAAGAAATCGATGGCCCAGCCAACTTTTTTGCCTCCGGTGGCGTCCGACATGAATCTATCACAAAGCAGTGGAAAGGGGCCTCAAAAGACGACCACGCCACCGAGAGATCTAAGAAAGGAGATACACATGACATCAATTCGGACGCATCCGCTTCTGGCATGAAAGAAAGAGAGCAGAGTGAGGGGATTGCAGACAAGACGAAGTCCCAGGGCATGACTCAGAGAGGCGGGACTGAGGGTGGTAAAAAAGCCAAGGCAGAGCATCCTGCAGCTCCGGAACCCGTCATTGGGATGAACGATGAACGAGCGCAGGTGAGAACAGATTGAGACTTGAGTCTTCGCTTGAGTTCATGAATGCTGATTTGATCTCATCACGCAGAAGGGCCATTGATTGCGCGAACCCGTTGTTTAATAACACTATCGGATGTTTTGGGAAGAGGGCTGGATTCTACTTTGTCTTCTTAAAATCGGTGTTCAATATCGCATTGTGGCGGAGTGTATCCATTGCTAACGTGACTCCACGAGACTGTACATAGGAGTAGTTATGGTTTACCGGCCGACTTTGAATGTCAAGATCTGGTTTCGCATATTAGCTTCTGATATGTGAATAGTGGGTCATGAAATCTCACATCGTTTTTGCCAACTGCTACCATGTCATCCTCGGACACTCGAGTGCCTCCAATTCCCTCAATGTAGGAAATAGGTACATCGCCCATGACTTTTCGGGCGACATCTCCCACTGTACTGTTTCTGCGGTATGTTAGAAGCTGGGTGAGTCAGTTCATCGGAGTCACTCACTTCTTGACCAACACGCAATCGCGGAAAACTGCGCTTCCATTCCCCGAGCCGAAAGTTGCGACATTTCGTACAGGGAAAATGGGCACCAGACCGAGCAACGCCGCCGCTCGAGAAAGACATTGAACCACACCTGTTGATCCAAAGCGGTATAGCACCATGTCTTTCAAGTTTTCCACGCGGCTATTTGGAATCGTACTTAGCAGGAGGGTAGTGGCGTTTTCAGCGGGCTAACTTACCTCTTTAACTTCTCGTCCATCTCCTTCAATCCTCCTCCATCCGGGTCACCCATTTCAATCAAGTCTTCCCGTGTATCCACAAACTCACTGCCTTCAACATACTTGATGTACTCCTGTTTGGCAAGTCGCCGGAGGAAGACTTCTGATATGGCGGAGCAAAGTACAATGCTTTGGGGATCTTGCATCTTAGCAATCTTGCTAACATTCTATTTCGAGTCAGTATAGTATCATGTCTTTTGCTTTTCTCAACTCACTTTATCCGCATCTGGGTGGTCGATCTTGTTCAGTGCGAACACCGTGGGGAACTTTTCATCAATGAAAGCCTCAACCACAACCTGGACGGTCTCATCTGACCATTGCTCAAGAGGCTCTTTCAAGTTAAGCTTGTCAAGGCACCGTGCCACAATTGATGAGGTACTGCCGTATCCTGAGAATTGGCCTTGTAATGTGTCGACGGGGTTACCCTCTGTTGTGCATGTCAATGGCGTATTCACAGAATAGGAAAGGGTTTCACGAACTAATTGCGACATGTCTCCGTCTGATCGAGCCCCTATAATTCAATCGTCAGCACCATGCACATTTCTAGTTCTGAATTAAATTGACTTACCATTTCTCCATCAAATTGCCCAGCACCCACCGTACAATCTCACCTCGGAGCCACTCAATGTCCACCGAGGGATCGTATCCGCGCGTTGCCTTCCCCTCGGCATCAGTAGTACCACTCACATCCACCACGTGAATTAAGGCATCCGCATGTCGCAAATCATCCAAGAACTTATTTCCCAATCCCCGGCCCTGGTGTGCGCCTGGGACAAGTCCAGCTACATCTAGTAACTCAATGGGGACGGAGCGCCGACCCTCGTGACAGCCACCGTAGTTCGGCGCACATCTATCTGAGACGCCATGTCGCAGACAAGCGCATTCGATTTGAAGGTATCCGATAGCTCGCTGGGGATCAATGGTGGTAAAGCTGGCGGGTCAGCCGTTAGCGCGTCGATAAGCGATGGTTCATTGCATAATAGACGTACGGAAAGTTACCTGTTGAAAAAAATTTGGTTAGCAAGATAGAACGAGACAATATGTAGCGATACACTTACCGACTTTGGATGTCGCATCGGTCAAACTATTCAAGGTCGTGGATTTACCACTTGATGGCTGCCCCTCATCGTTAGCGGGGTCTCGTGAAGGGGAAGATCTGGGTCGCGAACCTTGCCCACCAGTCCGATCAATGGATCCCGAGGCATTCTAGTAGATATTCAGTCGCTATGAATCAAAGACTAATCCTTCGCGATCTCTCTACACGCACAATCGGTTGCGATAAGCAACATTTTCTGCCAGCCCACAGTGGAAGGCGGTGGCATGGTCAACTGGTTTAGTGATTATCTAAGCGTTGAAGATTGAGCTTCATTTCGTTTCTATAAACAAGCCAACCTCAAAAGGTATTTGCAATTGGAAACTTCTCGCCGAGTATGCCAAGTGTGGGACAAGTGCACAGGACAAACCAACCTCCTCAACCCTCCTTGGTAGCTCACACCGAAAACACATTACAGTTCTCAGGAGGGAAACCGGATGATGCTAGCCCCTTAGACTACAGTATTCGATTTCTAGAAAGATTACGACACATGCGATGTAAAGCCTCAGCGGCATTAATTGACCAAACTTGATCAACTTTTACGCTGGCTTGATCTGGACCGCTGATCAGACTGATCGACATGGATCGAGCATTGACTCAATAAATAGCGCTTCAGTATAGCGGGGCCATGACATGGCAAAACCCTCACAGTTATACCGGAGCTCTTTATGGAACAAATTAGAATCTCATTTTCCTGGTATATCCAGCTATGATTGCAGGGTAATATATGTCGATCAGGGAAATGCGACATGCAGTCCAGGACCCACTGTCGAATGGCCTCGCCACCAGTAGCCCTGTGCCATGACGCTAGTCCAAGGTCGACGAGCTTGGTCATCCTACGTACCATGCCCCTCAGGAACCAGATGTGACAGTCTCAGCAAGTTACCAGGGTACGATTTGCTACTCCATGCTGGTTTTAGTGGAGATTGATGGCATCCATGGCGGAGACTGCTATTATGTCGTCATTCCAGAAATAAACGTCACAGACTCAGATTCCGCCTATAAGAATCGCCGTAGTCACTGAGTGCATACATCAATCACTTCAACTTTCTTCCCAGTTCTTTAAATACTACTTCTTCCTCAACTCACAACTTCAAAACCACCGATTTTACCTCCAAATTCACAACCATGTCTGACGCTACTTTCCACACAACCCGCGAGGACCTCCGCAAGGATGAATCCAGGGTCGCCAAAAACCACGGTGGCACTGTCCCTGCCGACTCTGATGTTTCCATTTTGAAGGTAAGATCTAACTCTTAAAGCTCTACTCCAAATGACGCTTGAACTAATTATTTATCTATTTGCAGTCTGTCGTCGACAAGAACACCGACAAGCCCAAGCAGATCGACGAGGCTCAGTCCAACTTGCCTCTACCCGAGCAGCCCCCAACCGCTAGTGATTGGCAATCAGCCGACCAGCGCACCGTGAACGTTGGCTCTGGTGGTCGCTCGGGTCCTATCTCGTACGACCCTAACAGCGGCCTGGAGGGTTCCACTACTGCTCAGAGCAGTGCCCGTGTTGACGGCAGCGAATTGCACAAGAACACTGCTCCTGGCAAGGCTGGTCGTCAGGCAGTTGAGGGTCTTGATCACTTGCCTTCGGATGCTACTTCTCGCTAAGAAATTTTGCATGGACTTCGGGATCCATTTTGTATGATAGCCATTTTACGAGCCATGGGTAGATGAATGAATTCCATAGCGATTACATTGTCTTATTTTTAGTAGATGCACTCGTAAGATTCTCAATTGATTGAAACTCAACTCATCCAGTATCCACGTAAATTGCATTTCAGGTCGGCACGCTCTCCAAGACCGAATTTCTTCATGATTTATACACTTTTAAAGTTGCGGCTTCGCCGTCAAGGGCGTGAAACCAGGACCTCCGTTTATGGATTTGGCACTTCAAATTAATCGAGCCAGTTGACAATGAGAGCCTACTTCGTGTTTCCAATTAAAAAATAAAAATAACATTTGAACATGTGTCTCCGCAAAACAATTGAAACGCAAGTCCGGAATCCCTAACAAGGTAAAGTCGATGTTTGCAGCGTTTGTTCAGGAATGGACTGTCCTTGACGTCAATCTCCAACTTAATATCATTTCTGCCCAGTTTTTCTCACAACGCACCGGGGAACCCGATGAACTCACGACTCCACGATGAAATAAGCGTGTGGAGACTAGACCCTCTGCGAAAACACTGATAACAAGCTCGACTTCCAGAAGCAGGACAGAGTGACATGCATAGCTCCACTGTCCCTTGTCTCGATGCCCCAATCCGCCACATCATCTTGACCAAAGAATAGCTGACGTTACTTACCTGGGTAAGACAGGGCAGGTATCCCTTCTTGTGATCGTAAGTGTGACATCACCTCCTCTGATTTGTATGATATCGCCGTGCAGTCTTAGCCTTAAGGGCTTGAGGCAAATACTATATAGTTTGGCTGGTCGCGTGTCTAGCTCCAGAAATTTAAATTATTCAATTACTTCTCGTACGATTCTCTGAATTAAACAACACCCTCACAACAAATCTTTTCCACTTCACATCTACAATCAAAATGGATCTCCAAGGAACTCCCATTGCTCCCGGCACCCGCAGCACCAAGGTCACCACCGACCCCCTTGCCTCTCAGCAACCTATCGAAGAGCCCGCCGGCCCTGTCCCTACCGGCTCTCTTGCAGCCGAGTCAGCCCGCTCAGGCGGTGGATTCAGCCAAAACCGCGGCGCTCAGCCAGATGACGTCTCTGCATCCCAACTTAAGAACACCAACTCCGCTTCCACAACCCTCCCCTCTGCCCCGGTCGGTGGTCTCCGTGAGGACCGCGAGGCTCAGGAGAAGTACCCCGAGGCTCTAGGTGGTCAAGGAAACTTCCCAGGCGCTCACCTTGCCACCAGCGGCTACACCGGTGGTCCCACCGCCGCGAAGCAGGATATGGGCATCAACTCCGGTAGCCAGGCCCACGCTAGCGGTAGCAGCAAGCACAATGCCGGCCAGGCTCCATCTTACGTCGCCGATGTGACAGATGGATACCAGCACTCGAAGCCTGATGGCCGTAACATTCACGAAGGTGGATTCTCGTCTGATGACAAAAATGCCAGCTTCGACTCCGAGATTGGTTCCGAGCAAGACCCCGCTCGTGCTGCCATTAATAAGTTCCAGCGCACTAACGCTAAGAGTGCACCCGATGCTGGGGTTCCCCGCCAGAAGGGCGTGAACACTGAGACTTCATTCGATGCTTTGGAGACGGATCAGCGTGCTTAAGCCTTAAGTCCTTAATCTCTTTAGGCTTAATTTTTATGACATTATTGGACTTTATATTATCAATGTCGAGCGAGCAAGCGATTATGTTATTTTGAATTCTAGCCTGTGGCTGGGGTTATGATGAATCGTGGATGGTTTGATATTCATGTATATTAGATTCTCACGAAATTTCAAAAGCCATTACAACTAGAAATTGTTCCATTCAGTATTGTATAGAGAAGTATGTACATCCGATATGAGGTTTGCTCTTTCTCAGCGAAGTCTGTCAATCAGAAATCACGGCAAGCGGTAGTTCGTCTCAGATTCGAATTCCGAGTCACATTCAGAACTACTCGATAGCAGCTCATCATCCTCATCCGGGTATCTGACAGTTTCGTGCATAGGAATCCTCGGAATAACAAGAACTTGAGAAGAGTTCTTCACCAATTCCACTGACCTGCTCGTCGAGTCGTCACTTTCCACCTCATTTTCGCCCACAAGCGGAGCAACGCGTCCCCGATTCCATATGTAGTTTCCCACCTCCACCAATCCAATGGTCAAAATTGCAATCCAAACCAAGGCGAGTAGAACCATGATAGTGGTGAAAATTCCCGGAAGGGGAATTTGGGTAAAAGATACCGGCGTGAACTTGAGGAACGGAAAAGAAATCCGATATGAAAAAAACGAGATATAATCCCCAGATGAAAGTTGTAACGAGGACGGAGAAGATTCGACTTCCTGTCTGTGGTATGCAGTCGCTCCTGTCTTCGCCTTGGTATGTCCCAGTACTTCTCCATAATGTTTTGTGGGAGTGGCAGGTTTCCACGGATATTCGTAGTGCTCGGCTTGTGGGTGTTTCCAGTGTTGGTTTAGTCGTTCTGAGATGGGTGGGTTGGGTATTAAGACCGAGATGATTGATTTATCTGAGGATGTATCTCGTTTGTAGAGGCGACCAGATTGTCCGCGCTCAAGATCTGTGTCATGTTGTAATTTTGATGGGGATTCCGGCTGTATATATATAGTTCGTTAACTGGACACGATTCGACTTGTCAAATCGAGTATAGTCCACTCACCTGACTGAATCTAGCTTGAGGTAATTCAGGTAAAGAGTATTTTTCAGGTTTCTCAAAGACTTTCCAGACGCCGCGATTGTCCCGATCTTCGAGTTGGGTCGTTTTGATCCATTTGGACGTTCGGATAGGATGAGATGCGGCCGGATGAACCATCGCCAAGACCAACGCAAGAAGAGACCAGTATAGTGGGTGAAACTTGAGCATTTTCTTAGTTAAAAGGCGGGAATGTGATGTTTGTGAGGAGTGTAATTAGACGAGTCGAGATCGTATTATTGAAAGTGCCTGGCACGGAGCACACGACCCTGGAAAGAAAGAGAATTTGACATACGACACCGGGCAGCAACGTTCTTTTAACACACTTTGATTCGGAGGTCGGTAGGGTTAAAAAAGCAAAGAAACGATCCGCAAGGGCCCTCAAACCTGTCATAGGCTCCGCGTACGACCAGAGACCCCTCACGAGAATCCAAGCCAGGGACGCATGTAAGCGAATCCGAGGCCCTGAACGTATTGTATCTCCCGAGAAATTTAAGCGATGGTTGGCTACGTTTGATTCTGCTGAATCAAGGTATGTGGTTTGAACCCCTTGTTGAAGATTTAATGTGGAGATTATGAGGGGTGAAGGGATTGATCAGATTGATCGTCGTGGAATGACAAACGCCATTTCTTGATAGTTCGGATATGATGCAAGGCCGCAAGGCCAATCGTCTAGACCTGCACTAGCACTTTGGAGCCCTTGGATTTGCGTTGTGCTTGGTGAATTGTGTCGATGTTTCTCTTGTGCTACTGCGCACACTGTCACTAATAGCCAAGTTGAATTGAGTGTAACTTTTGATATTTTCCGGCTAATGGACGTCCTGCATAAGGTTTTCTTATCAGACAATCGTCAATCTGTACGACATACAGCCGCCCTGGTACATGTATTATCGTCCCCAAAAGGCATACTGTAGAAGGGATCAAGGTGGAGGTTGAGGCCTGGGCCCTAGGCACGCGCATAGGAGAAACACATGGGGACCCATCTAAGCCGCACTCTAGGCCCACTTAAAAGCTCATACTGAATTACTAGGAACAGATGATTTATGGGGTGATTTCTCATTGAAATTCTTTTCCTGCCTTTTCATACACCGTTGAAGAAACGCCGAGCTGCATAGAGCAAAAAGATGGAATAAAAAAGAAACCCAAGGCCGGACCCCCGAAGACATGCACGGTCCTTCACAGAACATAAACCTGTACAATAAGAGAACCCCACCAGCAGCTAATAGTGGGTAGACACGAGAAAACAGACATCCAAGCGATCCTTTTAAACGGAGACCTTCTTGAGCTCCTTCTCGGCCAGCTTGGCGAGCTCCTCAAATACCTTGCCGAAGTCCTCACCGTCGGTGTCGGCCTCGAGGTCCTTCTTGCTCTTCTTGGCGGACTTGGGAGTCACCATGACCACACTGGTAGGGCGCTTGGTGGCGGCGGAGGCACCGAGCTCGGCGCGGGAAGTGACGAAGACGTAGGGGATACCGTGGTCCTCGCACAGGACGGGAATGTGGGAGATAACATCCATGGGGGAGATGTCAGCAGCGAGAATAACGACACCGCTTGGGATCTCGACCTTGGCGTTGGCGGCGGGAATGGGGGATTTGCGGAGGGCCTTGACGACTTCCTTAACACCGCGCTTGAGGGACTTGTTGACAGCAGCTACATCGGAGACAAACTGGTTAGCGAAACTTCAAATTCAGGATGGATAGTAGTAGTTTTAAAAAGTCTGCACGGTAAGCGCACGGGGTTTGCGCTTGCGTCGTTCAGAGTCGCTTCGGTACTGTGCACGAGGAAAAACTCTTTCGCGGTTGAATAGAATTCAACACAGACAGGTAATGGACATATTTAAGTAAAAATTGTGGTATCTTACCCTTCTTAACGCTCTTGAGCACCTTCTTGGCGTTCTTGTCCTCAACCATAGGGTTGGCGAAAGGCACATGAGCGCCAGTGGGACGGTCAATGGCCATCTCGTCACCCTCAACCTCCTCGGTGGGAGTAGCAACCTGCTCAACACCCTCCATCTCCTGAGAGGAGAGCTCCTTCTCTACCGCATCGGCGAGAACGGTCTTATCCTTCTTTTCCTTCTTCTCCTTCTTCACCTTAGCGACACCGTCCTTGTCGGCACGCTTCTCCTTCTTTTCCTTCTTCTCCTTCTTTTCGACACGGTCCTTGCCCATTTTGTCGGATATGTAAAAGTGTTGGGGTTGGTGGAGAAGATTGAATTGGGCTTGGTGTGTGCTTGAGAAGAAATCGGACTCGAAATAATTTCTTTAAAATTTTGGCCCTAAACCCAATGCGGTAGCTCCCCGCTGACTAAGTCCCAAACAACTGCCCGCGCAACTGGATCAACCAAGTCCGTTCCTTGGATGATTATAATCTCCCTTATAATTGAATTGGGTTGTGTTCTGAGTCTCTATGCTGGCTAATTAGGTGAGTTTGTCTGTACGCCTTTGGAAGCTTGACTAATAATCCTTTCTACTAAGCACATCATGGAGCCCGGCGAAAACACGCGCCCGGCATCGCAGCTCATTGCTGGCTTTGCCTCTCCTTCCACCCCAACAGGCCCGTCTAGCTCAAGAAGAAGTGTTTTTGGACAAAGCACTCTAGGACAAAGCTACATGGGCCAATCTGTTCGCTCTGTTCATCCTCCGCCTCCACCTCCCCCAGCACATGGTAAGAGAGTACTCGATTGGGAAGTGAAGGTCAAAGAGAAACTGAGATCGTAATGCAGATGTGGAAAAGGACGAATTGCGCGTGCAAGTGAGCACTCTTCGATATGAATTGGAAAATATCAAGCAGGAGCGAGATCTACAAACCCTTCGATTCGAGAAAGAGACTCGGGACCTACAGTTGAAAGCAGATGCCGATTTTAAAAGGGCACAGGCAAGGAGTCTCTCATGTTGATTGCTGCCTTTTCTTAGCTAACAGCAGGTTCATAGGCTGCCGAGACCGCAAGCAACCGTGCTACCCATAAAACCGAGGCTTTGGCGAAGGAACTGAAGGACACCCAGGAACAGGCCCTGAATGAGAAAGCCAGCCTGGAGCGGAAGGCCAGAAATCTTCAAGATCAAAATCAATTGATTCAAGAAGAACTTACCGAAACCCAAGCCCAAGCGTCCGACCACGAACGTCAGTCCAAATATCAGATTAGCGAGTTAGAAACGGTCCGCGTTTCCCTCCAGAAAACAATCGAGGAACTACAAAATGATCTTCTTGAGGCTCGCGCTGCCCAGCAAGCAACCCAAGAGAAGCTAAATCAACGAGAAGCCGAAGTTGCCGATCTCGAGTCCGAAAATATTCGATTGAAGGCCGAAGGGAGCGACGGTGAGGCACTTGTTGTTCTCAAGAGAGAGCTTACTGAACAAGTTACTCACCTCCGTGAGTTGGAGATCGCAAATCGGGACCAGCTGGCAGAGTTACAACACCTACGAAAAGTTCAAAAGAATGTGCAGGTTGTTGAGGAGCAGAAGAGATCGCTCGAGAACCAACTACAACTCATGAAGGGCGTTGAGGCAGAGTTCGAAACTCTACAGATTCAGAAGCAGGTCTTGGAGGACGAACGTCAGTCATGGGCCAGTCTTCTTGAGGACAATGACCAGCCTGCAGAGTTCGATACCCCCGAGGCAATTGTCAAAGCCCTGGTTCAGGAGCGAATTGAAAAAGCGACCTTCATTGACCGCCTTGGTGCTGTTGATGCCCAATTCCTTGAGAAAGATGAAGCGATCAAGACCTTGGAGGATGAAAAGCTTAAACTCAAGCAAGAGTTAGAGACAGCTCGCGCGACCGCAAGCACCTCTGTAGGTGCACCCGCGGCGGCAGACGCTCGGGCTCGGGCTCGTTTAGAACGACAGCGCGTTCTCGCCGTTAAGGAGGTCGAATATCTACGTGCACAGCTCAAGACCTTTGACGAAGAAGAAACGACCATGAATGCTGAGCAAAGTCAATTCGATGAACAAAAGGCTGCCCAGATTGCTCAATTACAGCAACTGGTTGATGAGTACCGCAATGAGCTCCACAAAGTCCATGAAGAGCTTTCCCAGCGAGAAGCGGCACCTCCAGAAGAGCCACAACCTCGGGGCACCAAGCGTCCACTGTCGCCAGCGGACAGTGCGGCTGAAAGTGAACGCCTTGCTGTGCTTACACGGAAGAACCGCAAACTACAAGAGGCGCTCTCCAAATCCGAGCAGGCCACGACTCTTGCCAAGAAAGAGCTGGATGCTGCTAAATCACAGTTAAGATCACTCAAAGCCAAGTCCCGCACTCGGGTTCTTGAACTAAGAGACAATCCCACCGCGGAAGCAGAGAAGATCAAAATGACAACGCTGAAGACCCTTCAAGCAGAGAACCGAGATCTTCTTGCCCAGCTACGTGGCAATAATGCTGGGGTCAAAGTTGCGCCTGTTAGCACGCTCGAGGCCCTGAAGCTCGAAATCCAGGAAATGGAGCGCGTTGTTGCAGACAAGGAGAAACGTAACCGTCGCCTAAGGGAAATCTACTCTGCCAAAGCCACTGAGTTCCGAGAAGCCGTCGCCTCTCTGCTAGGCTATAAGCTTGATATCCTGCCCAATGGTCGAGTGCGTGTCACATCCATGTTCCACCTTTCTCCGGAATACCGACATGGTGATCCCAATGCCTCCTCCGACTCTCGTGGGCCAGGAAGTATGGGCAACGGCGAAGAGAACTCTATTCTCTTTGATGGTGAGAATGGCTCAATGAAGCTATCAGGTGGCAATAACAGTCTTTTCGCGATGGAGATCAAACCTTTGTTGAAGTTCTGGGTGCAGGAGAGAAAAGATATTCCCTGTTTCCTTGCAGCTATGACTTTGGATTTCTACGACAAGACTACCCGTGCTTCAAGGGTTTAATTGAGGCTTTGATCTGATCCTGTACACTCCGGTGCATGGATCCAGGCCAGCTTACATCTCCCGACGGTTCCCCATATTTTCTTAACTCTCAGTGTATGATTCCCCAGCACAGATGCTTTGTGCTACGTTTTGTCATTATTAGCCCTTGGCTGCCGTTTTATCAGATCATTCAAAATCAATATAGGCTCATTAGCCTAAGTATTAAAGTTAACGGATAAAAGGACGCTCCTCAACCGATCAAGTGAAACGGAATAATGGATCTCGGTAAAAATTCCAATACTTCTGAAAAATTCACGGTAAACAAATTTCCATTGGATGGATTATAGAGTGGAGGGTATTGATGTCTATGGAGAGACAGGAATCTTGCAAGTTGAACTATAGAGCGGCAGCCAGGTGAGCCATCGCGGCCAATTTGTCCTCCCACGGCTCATCGAATCTATTACTCCTGCTCAGATTCAGCAGCCGGATTATCCAAGGGCTTGGATAGTCCAACGCGGTCCATAGTCCGGGTGTACACCACACCTCCGTTCACTCGGTCTTCGTGGACAACCAGGTCCTTGCGGTTAGTGTCGACAAGCAAGCGAATTAGATCCGGGCGCATATAATGACCGCCCTATACAGGTTAGTCCTGAAATGTATCTGTGGGATTAGGAGATGACTTACAAAGTCAGCCAGAGCCTTGGTCAGGTGAGCCTCATCGAGATCGATCTGTTCGTTGGGAGATTAGATATCCACATGTAAACAACAGAATAACGAAGGCAACTAACATCGACGTATAGAAGACCCTGGAAGTCTTTTGCCGGGTGGGGAACGAGATTCTGTCCATCGGGTCCGAAGATTCGCCCGTTTCCGTTGTAGATATTGGGATCTTCGAGCTCTTTCCCGGGTGGCGTGTTGAGCTTGATACCCTCAGGAGTGATTGTCTGCCACGGCGCAAGGGTGAAAGTACCAGTTTCAATGGCGTAGGCCGGAGTGACAAGCTGAGCCATCTTGTCAGTCATCAGATCCAATTCCATGTTTAAACCGACAAGGCTTAAGAAGCAAAACTTACATCTGCGTTGGCTTCGGCGATATTGGTGTAAGGGTCCGGGTACTTGAGAGTCTCCTTTCCGGGGTAGAGAGGCCAGGCAGCAACATGCACCTGCTCTCCAAGGGAGGCTGCGTAGGCCTTCATGAAGGGGTTCATGTTTTCCCAGCAGTTCAGGTGCCCGATGCGGCCAATCTCGGTGTCCATAACCGACTCGGTGGTATCACCGGTTCCATCACCGAAGACCAGGCGTTCGACATGGGTGGCTCTGATCTTGCGGCGGTGGTTGATGATTTCTCCAGCTGGGTTGATCATTACCTGCGTGGTATACAGACTTGCAAGATCGAGTTCAGAGTATCCGAGGGACACCCAGATCTTGTTGCTTCGGGCAGCCTGGCGGATGCGTCGCATCTCGTCCGAGTCGGATGGCAGACTGTTCTCGCGATACTTCTTGAGCAACGGAAGGCTTTCCTGATAGTTTACTTTCCAGGCCCAGTAGGGGTAGCCCGGGATCCCTGTTGCCTGTAAGCAGGATGATTTACCTATCTCAACGAAGGGAACTCACAAAGCTCGGGAAAAGCAATGAACTTGCATCCTGCCTCTCCTGCTTCATCAATCCAATGAATAGTTCGTCGGACCGATTCCTCGAGGTTGAACCAGCCTGGCTCAGCATTGACTGCTGCGGCCTTGTACTTCTTGAGAACGGGAGTCATATTGAAGATTGTTGTTGTTTGAGAGGTAGGTAAGCAAGATTGTGTTTGCGCAGAAGGATACTCATCTTTGGAAGACTTAGATGAACAATTTATAGACTTCTCATCACCATCAAGGCATTTGGTTTTGTGAATCACATCATGATCCTCAAATCCCGACATAAGAAATAAGCGGCATCATAAGACCCGGGCAGCACCGTATCCGGGTCGGTGATTGCTCTTTATCTTTGAGGTATCACAGTCTTCACATTTACCTAGACTAGCAAGTTGTTTTGCGTTGATTAGTTCGGGATCTGATTTACAGCGATATCATGCCATACGGGCTTTGGGTGCGGGCTTTGACTGCGGGCTCTGGGTATACAGCACATTGCATCAATCTCGCAGACACCGGACCAAGCCAAATCCCGGGAGGAAGGCAGATTGATAAATCTATTTTATTCACAACTAATGTAAATCTACAAGGTAATCATATAGACACGAGGACCTCGATACTGAAAATCAGAACACATTCACTAATATGCCACCCCGAACCCAACCTTTTTTGAGCGCAGTGTTCTCCACCACCTGTCAAAAACTTCACATCTGCCGTCTATCTGGTGCCACTACTCATGCTCGCTGGAGCCCAGAGCAAGCTGAAACGGAATAAATAAAGCGTTCTTTCATACTAAGTCCATATCAGAGTAGACTCCCCTAAATCGCGACCAGTGGTGAAAGGAAGAATGGTACAGCTATGAACAAAAAGCAAGGTACACTTTGCGGAAGTGTCAGAACGTTGAATTTACCGCTACTATTTACCGGGAACATTAGAACGTGACACTCTTCATCAATTTTCATCAAATGAAAGCTGAGACAATGTGAGCGCTCAATGCTCCTTATTATCACCAGAGCTAACAAGTAATTCTGGATGAACTTCTTCATCGTATATATCACTGATTCCCCTTTGTAAAGCTGGTCGGGACCCAACCCGGTCTATCCATTCCCTCAAGTGTGGGTAATTCTCCATCTCCTCTTCTGAGATCTTGCTACGTTTCCACGCCCGAATCCATGGATATGCATTGATATCAGCAATACTGAACTTGCCAGATCCATTTCCAGCAAGATATTCTCGGGGCTCTCCGGTCAGTCGTCCAGAGAGGTGGAGCTCAATCACGTTGTAAGCCCGGAGTGTCTCGGCCTTGAATCTCTCAATTGCATCTGCCGATTGATTAGTGAATGAAGCTGTTGGCTCGACAACACCTGTACCAAGTTAGTATCATAGACTTCTACTTACAAGGAATCTGTTTTGAAGCAAACCTTCCAAAGTGGTTCAATTGACCTTGGTTAGGCTGAACAGAAGCATGCCAAAAGATAAGCCACTGCATCATTTGAGACTTTTCCTTGCCATCAAAAAAGCTGAAGTGGTGATTCTTGTCCACCGTCTCCACAAGATAGAGCAGCTCCGCTGATGATTCTATGACGGGGAAAGGTTGTTGTCCAGTGTTATCGATGAGAACGGGGATCCTCCCTATATAATGGAGTTAGATATGAAGAACTATTCAGTCTCATGCTCTGACCTGTTCTTTCTACCATTTGGATTGAGTCTTAGAAACCACGGTTTCTTTTGCTCATCAGTGTCAATGTCTATCAAAGAAGTTGTCCATTCGGTTCCATACACATCCTTCAGCTCCTCAAGGAAAATCTGGACTTTCTTTCCGTTAGGAATGGAGCAGGTTATGAGGTGCAAGCCCTGATTCTATTGTCAGCTTCCATGTAAAGTGTACGGAGTATCAGGTGCAATACCTTAGCATTCCTGACCGCTGCTGGGGTTCTTTCTGTATACAAGCTAGCCATCTAGAGGTGAACCCGGAATGAAGGAGATTTATGAAGTGCTACAAGATGTGTAGCAGAGAAGGGGAGAAAGCAGTTTGTGTTAGCCAGAGCAGAGAGGAAGGAAAGAGAGGAAAAGAAGGCGCATGACATTTCATCCAAACAAAGTAGCACTAGTTGTAGGCACCAAGTTGATGCCTTTTTTGTCATAATACGTGGCTTCTTATTCCAAGGCTATCATTGGGTGATAAGACCCGGTACAAAAATATCAAATTATGAGCAATCTTGGCGTCGAATGAGCCAATAAGGGGAATCCCGGCGTAAATGTAGACGGCGATACGACCTCACTAGATGATTGACACAGTAATTCTGCCGCTGTATCTGATTCCAGGCCCGAGAGCTGAACGAAAAATGTGATAATAGGCTGACCTCATGCACGAATGTCCCAAGCCCTTTAATAAATTAAACATAATAAAATTACACTTGAACAACTTGTTTTTCACTTCAAAGTGGACTTCACTCTCCATACATGTCGATCAAATGACATACTATTCAAGAATTAGCAACCGTCTCTCATCTGATCTGTAGGGGAAACAAACCGGAATGAAAAGATAAGGGACCCGGCTCTCGTACTCCGTCCACGAAGCACCATATTTGTGTCTGCACTTGTTGGTATCCCGGATGGTACGGTGTATAATCATAATGCAGAAGAAGACAGGGTAGAACCAAGGGAACGGGCTCTCAAAGCCAGTGATCAGGCCCCAAGAGATAGCGAAAAACATATCGCAGCTATAGTGGACCTTGCGGGCTAAACCGTACCACCCATCGACAAGAATGGTGTCACCTTTCTCAGACACGATGGTCTTTGGGTTGTGAACCTCTTGCCAAGGGAGTTGTGGGAAGGTCCTGCGCTTCACCCAAGTTCCTCGCTCCATCATGCGGAAGGAGTTCTTCTGACCATTGGCGGTATCCCAGACCCAGTAGACGAACAGGTAGGAGATGAAAAATGCAGCCAATGCGGGTTTGCTCCACGCATAAGTGGACGGCTCATGGTTTGCCAGATACAATGTGCAGTGACAGTAAGATAAGGGCACACCAGCGAGGTTCCAGAAAGTCAACATGAATCCAAGCTTTTCCTGATACATGTCCCAGGTAGTAGTGATAAGATGTTCTCCTTTGGAGCACGCGTTGGCGTAGGTATAGTGGGCCATGACCAAGAACAGGACTTCACCAGAGACGTAGCCGTATCTCTCATACTGACGGGTAGCGGCCGCGCAGCTGAGTCCGAAAAGAATAAACCACGGTATGCGGACCTCGTACAGCATCTTGAAGTCCAAGATTCCGAAGAGACGAGGGTTGAGCTCAGCACCCATGAAGAAATCGTAAATCGGGTAGCCAGTAATGCGGTGCTGGGTTCCACGAACAAACGCCTGGATATAGGTGATGAGACTGTTTAGATAGCCAGTAAGAATGGCAACAGACATGAGAGGACCAAATTCATCTAGGAACGTATAGATAGGAAATAAGCCAGTGCCGTGCAGGACAGCCATGACAAAGATAGTGAAGTAGAAGCTCGTATAGGCAGAGCAATGATACTTCAATTGTTTCCCGCCAAGATGAGCCAGAGGCTTGCCGTAGCAGGTGAAGCCAGGCATGAATAAGTAACAGGCGGCTTCAAAAAGGAAGTATGTCCAGTAGATACGCCATGCACGAAAGTGAGGGAAGGCGCCAGTGTAGACAAGATGACCAAGATGCTTCACAAAGCTCATGAATGTCTGGTCAGCTTCTGGAAGTGGGAGTTTTCCATTGTAGTATGTAGCACCAATCCACATGTAATACATGAGCATTGGGAAACCGATCATCAAGCCAAGGCAACCCAGTGAGCCACCGAATTCGAAATGACCGGAGTAGTCGACCTTGGGGTCCATGCCTGGTTGCCATCCTCCGATAAGGTGTTCCAAGGCGAAGTCATTTGACTTTGACTCAGGCTTATCTATAAAAGTGACAGAGTCTTGTCCATTTTGATGCCGCTTTCGGGGGTTACCCTCTGTAGTTGCAGCCATATTGCGGATTGGCAATGGCCAAAGAGTGGCAGGAAGCACAGAAAAAGAATGAATGAAACTGAGTTGAAATTGTAAAGGAAAAATAAAGAGAACAAGAAGGAAAACGGATTTCAACGACGCTTCGAGGGCTTAAATATTCCTCGCGATTGACTTGGCTTTAGAAGCCGTCCCAATCGGGTTTAGACCCCGATTTCTGAATCCCGGGGACTAACCTCATGCTGGCTGTGGGGCTCAATTGCATGGGTCCCTTGAATAATCGGTCCTGCATAACCGGCCCGAGATATTAATGTATGCGTTTGGTCAATGTAATGCCATTAGAAATGAGTGAAATGAAAAGTGAAAAGTAAAAGCGAAAGGCACTAGTGTATAGATCAGAACCAACCAATCATGATGTGACGTCATGTGATCTTATCATTATTCATCCGCTGCTTATCAACCCCAACTCGTCTCGTCTCTTCCACCATGACTCTGCTGGGCAAATGAATTACCAGACCCTCAGCATGGCAGGCAATGCCTCCGAGTCACAGAACCAGGGGCTAGATGACTCGATCTCCCCCGGTCAGCACCCAGATGTGCCCGAAAACGTAGCACCGACTCCGCACGCGACGGCCACCTCCGCCCAGAGCTTCACGCCCCGCTCGCTCATTGTCGGCCTCATCATCGGAGCTCTAATTACCTTTTCAAATACATATTTCGGTCTTCAGACAGGATGGATCAGCACCATGGCCATGCCTTCGGCCTTGATCGGCTTCTCGGTCTTCAAGGTGCTGTCCAAGCAGCTATCTTTCCCGTTTACGCCGATTGAGAACGTGCTGATTCAGACCGTCGCCGGAGCGGTGGGAACTATGCCGCTCGGATGTGGTTTTGTCGGGGTAATTCCTGCCTTGGAGTTCCTGCTGAAAGACGGTGAAGATGGGCCGACGGGTGGTGGCGGAGATGGCGAGGGCGGCCCCCTCAAGCTCGGTTTCTGGAAACTGGTGGTTTGGAGTCTTGGAGTTTGCTTGTTTGGTGTTGTGTTTGCTGTACCATTACGCAAAGAGGTTATCGTGCGAGAGAAGCTGCGGTTCCCAAGTGGCACTGCGTCTGCACTGATGCTTCGGGTTCTCCATGGCGCTGGGAAAGATGAAAAGACTCCAGTGGAAGTTCAGGACCGGCCTATTGAGCTAGCCCAGGAGAATGCGGTCTCTGTACCATCCGCGAATGAATCACGAGGTCTCCTATTGAAGGATGGAGAGGCTGAAGACCAGGCAACTGATAAAAAGGATTGGCGGTCGAAGATGCGGCTGCTTATCGGTGCATTTGTAGTCTCCGGGATTTACGTGAGACATTTTTCCCCTAGGATATTTCTCCAAAGCTCGACTAACATCTATAGACTCTTTTCTCTTACTTTGTTCCACTCGTCCGCGACCTTCCATTACTTGGGGTGGGTCTCGCTCATAACTGGCTTTGGACTCTTAACCCGTCTCCTGCGTATATTGGCCAGGGAATCATCATGGGTCCATCAACGTGCATGCATATGCTTTTCGGTGCAATCCTGGGATGGGGCATCCTCTCGCCTCTGGCGAAGAGTCGCGGGTGGGCCCCTGGACCAGTGGACAGCTGGGACAATGGAAGCAAAGCGTGGATCGTTTGGATCTCACTGGCGATTATGCTTGCTGATTCCCTCGTCAGTCTCGGCTGGCTAGTCATCAAGCCTTTGATTCAACATGCTCCCAGGTGGATAGCTTGGTTCCGCTCTACTAGACTTGGCAGGTGGATCGCATTTCGGCTGCAGTCGCAACCTCACGACCGCTCCTATGTTAACTACTCTGCTCTGAATCCTGGCCAGGATCACGAGGACCATAACCCCCACTCCGCCTCAATTGTGGAAGAGCCGGAAGAACAAGATGCCCCGGCATCTCAGCTCATCTCAACCCGTACAGTGGTCATTTTGCTACCTCTCACACTAATCCTGAATGTCGTGTGCATGCATTTCGTCTTCGGCGACATCATCTCTCCACTCCTATCAAGCCTCGCCACACTCCTTGCAGTGCTCCTCTCTATTATGGGTGTCCGAGCTCTCGGTGAAACGGATCTAAACCCTGTATCTGGGATCAGCAAGCTGACACAGCTCCTATTCTCGCTAGTGACCCCAGCGTCACATTTCTCCCGACGCACAGCTCTGGTCACGAACCTACTAGCAGGTGCAGTCTCTGAATCTGGCGCCCTACAAGCCGGCGACATGATGCAAGATCTGAAAACAGGCCATCTCCTCGGCGCGAGCCCAAAGGCCCAGTTTTACGGTCAGATGATCGGAAGTCTTGTCGGTGCCGTCCTTTCGACTGCCGTGTATAAGATGTATGTCAATGTATATGAGATCCCTGGCGAGATGTTCCAGACCCCCACAGCATATGTCTGGATCTTCACTGCTCGACTTGTCACCGGCCAGGGATTGCCGGATATGGCGTGGCAGGCCTCGGCCATAGCTGGTGTTATTTGGATGGGTCTCACAGCGGTCCGAATCGCAGCTGCTTCTCCTGCTTTTGTAATTGGCGGGAAGCCTCCTGCATGGAGAGACTGGGTTCCTGGTGGAATTGCCGTCGCCGTGGGCATTTTCAATGTTCCCTCCTTCACACTCGCGAGAGTTATAGGTGGAATCATTGCTTGGTGGTGGGCTCGCAAGCATGCCTCGCCTGCGAATCCAGATCATAATGAGGGCCCCTCCGTGCGAACTGAGACTGTTGGCTCAACAGTCCTCGCTTCCGAACAAGAGGGATCTGCTTTGGCTAAGCAGGCAGCTGACAAAGCAGATGCTGCGTCTTCAACTGTGGTTGTGTTGGCCTCTGGTCTCATCCTTGGAGAAGGCATTCTGAGCATTGTGAACCTCATTCTTGCAAGTGCAAAGGTTCCTCATCTTTGACCCCTATCTGTAAATAGAAAACGGGCTGAAGCGTATACAACAGTATATTAAATTTCGGTTCAGGTTTCATATAGAGCAATCAAGCGGGGTTTCTTTTTGTGGAAAAATAACATTCTATCAAGTATGAACTGGTAGATCTCCCAGAACTATCAAATGGTACAAAGTCCTAGGTATTCCGATTCATTCATTCGCCGTGAATAAACGTGTATCCGAAAAGACAAGGAGTTGGGATACAACTCCAATTCGTCGTGGAGAAGAAAATGGGGGAAAGGAAGAGAAAGGGTAAGTAAGGGAAGGGAATGTTTGCAAGGCCAAAGGGGATTTACTCAATAAAATCCACCATGCAAATTATCAAAACAAGATAGTGTAAAAACAAGGAAACATTCAAACGAAACCAGTATAAAAACACATACAAAGACTTGTTCGTCACTGACGCACAGAGTGAGTCGAACAATGTACTAATAGGCTCATTCCGCCAGCGGGACACAAGACGAGAAATACATCTCTCTTTAATCTGCAAGGGAGAGCTCAGCTCATGGGGTATCTTGGGTCATTAACAGCAGATTAGAAGTCTGCATGAACAGGTTTCCTGCTAATTTGCGACTCAGGAGAGCTAGGTGCAGAACTAGGAATAGCAGGGAGGTCGCTTGTAGGAGCGGGTGCTGGAGGCTGTGCTACAGCCAGAGGACTCGATCGGGGAGGAGCTGCAGTGCCGACATTCGGTGGGGAGATGTTGCCTGCACTGTTACTTCGTTGACGTTGGTTGGCATGGATTACTGGTCGCTGCATTCCAGGGCCGTAGGGTCCTGGGCTCATTGATCGGGGGACATTGTAGGGGCCGGGGCCTGGTGACATGGCCCTTGGACTGGGACCGGGTCGCATGCTAGGTCCCGGGGACATAGAGCGGGGACCTGGGGGCATGGATCTGGGACCGGGACTCATGGATCGAGGAACAGGGAATTGCCCTGCAGGCGACATTGAGCGACCAGGGTAAGGGCGGGGCGGGCCGTATCCAGGACCGCCTGGTGACCTTGGACGTGCGTCTGTGGGATAGAATCGTCCAGAGGGTGGACCGCGACCGCCTGGTGACATTGGGTGGCCGTTGGGCCCCATGATTGGTGGGCCACGGGGGCCGGGGCCAGGGGCACCGGGTGGTGGACGCGGACGAGGCTTGACAGGGCGAGAAGATAGGCATGATCTAGGAGCGACTCCTTGCTGGGAACGGTCAAGGCGGACGCACAGAGCCTGGAAGGGATGTTAGTAAAGTGTTCGTCTGGGAGAGGTAGTTATTCACGTAAAACTTACCCATCCATCATCATATTCGTGAAGCATCCGGACGAGGCTGCCGGCTTGAAGTTCCAGTTCGTCTTCCTGTGAAGGGCTGAAGTCTAGCTGTACACGGTACACATTTAACGGTCCTGGAGCAGCACCTCCGGTAACGCCTGCGGCAGCCGCACCTCCAGCAATCATTGCTGCTGATGAAACGGATTCACCATCCACACTAACGGGGCTAGGCGAGTTTGGTGGACGGACGTCCGATTCCATGGATTCAGCTCGGGTTGACTGTGTCTTATCAGATTCGTGGGAGGCTACAGCAGCGGCACCGGCGGCCCCCAGGGCTGCAGCTCCAGCAGCTGTTGCTGCGACAGCTGGGCCCGAAGGACCTGAAGGGTCTGAACTCGACGACGGACTCTTGGAATGGACCGAGTATGCTGTGCTAGCAGTATTGAAAGGGTTGACCGGATCAGTGAAAGGATTTTGAGAGCTGGCGGCCGACTTTGGTGGAGTTTGAGGTGGCACATCACCAGTCAGATTACGCGAGGCGACTGCAGCTCCTGCACCAGCACCTGCACCGACTCCTGCGTCGGCGAAAGTGCTAGCGGTGTTGAAGGAGCCACTGTTGCTCAGATCAGGTGCGAACTGGGTGATGGGGCGAACGTTGAGCTTCGGGGCTTGCGATGGAGTCATTGGCTTAGGAACTGGTGGGAAAGGGGGCAGATTCTGGGCGCTGAACATCTTCTCGTCCATTGGGGGAGGGTCATCTGCCTGGTTGCGCTTCTTCTTTCGGACAATGAAGAAAATAAGAGCCGCAATAAAACCCACACCCAAAATGACACCGATGGCCACACCAGCTGTGGCGCCAGAGGATAGACCCGTCGATCCAGAGCTGATCGCTGTGGAGGAAGCTGAAGCAGCGGAATTGGTAGAAGATGCGCTGGCAGTCGCAGCAAGATCGAGACCGTTCACATCCTTGGTAGAGTCGGCCGAACTTGACGAGGTTGAAGTCACAAAGGAAGTCTGAGTCGCAGTGGCACCTGTTTGCGCCGTATCCGTGGCGGTGGTGATAGCCTCAGTGTGCTCGGTTGTGGTGGCCTCTGCTGTCGTCTTTGACTTCTCGGTCTCAGAGGTAGTGGTTTCCTTGGTTTCCTTCTCCGTGGTGCTCTCTTTTTCAGACTCCTTGGTGCTTGTCTTCTCCTCCTTAGTGGAAGATTTGGCCTCTTCGGTTGTCTTAGTTACCTCCTCAGTGGTCTTGCTCTCTTCGGAGGTCGTCTTGGTAGCAGAGATACCAACAGCAGGACCAACACCAACGTTCGAGTCCTTTGTCTTTTCCGCCTTGGTCTTGGTATCGGCGTTATCGTTACCATCGCCATTGACTATGGTCGTATAGACGATGATGGTATCATCATTTTCATTGTGGCCCCGCTCCTCAAGACGCCCCTCGAGGGGGTGGTCGTGGGTGTGATGTGCATGCCCGTGCACCATGATGACCGTAAGACTTTGAGTATTGAAACACAAAATCGTTGGGTTGAGATAAATTGGTGTTCACTCCAGAGTGAAAAGCTCCCAAGGTCAAGATTTTGCTAAATTCCAACGCGAGTCAGGAACCCTGATCGCGCTCTTGAGGTAGTCCACACCCGCGTTATGCGGAATGTGGTGTAAAATCAAAAGAATGGACGACTGGGATCGATCGAGCACGGCCCGACAGCAGTCTATGAAAAGAATGAGAGGATAACGACGTCCAGGCCGTAATAAGGAGTGTAGACAAAGAAAGAGAGAAAGTAGTTTGATCAGCGAGCCCCCTCCGATTCCCACGAGGAACCGAAATGAGTGCATGTACAACGATGGAGACCCTGACCCGGTATTGAATTGGTACAGAGGCTAACCGGATGTGGGGACGATCTGTATTGGCTCTCAATGCGATTGGCTCGTATAATACGGTGCCTGGTATTAAAAAAAACGGCTCCATCCATCTTGCATACGAGAACCTCGACTGTTTGGTCTCAATATTAAGAGGAAGTGAAGTTTCATGGTTCAATGTGGACCTGGTTCCTACGATTCGAAATCTTGTTCCAAGGTTCTCCGATTCTATGCAGATTTCATGAGTCTCCTGTATTCAAGGGAAATGTGTGATGGCCCCCAAGGGCCCAAGTGCCGGACTACAAACGCGGGGCACGGACTTCATGCGCTGATGTTGGGTGTTTCACCCTCGGTTCATCACCGCTTCTCATTGATCGGTGGAGACTGTAATTTCCGGTTTTGCCGGAGATTGTTCGGACAGGGTAAAGTCCCAAATTTTAAATTTTAGGGATTTCGTTGGCCCCAGATCAGCATCTTAGGCTGCCCAATGTGTATTATTATTCTTTTTCTAGCGGTGTAATTGAAACGAGTGGGTATCTCATGGTCATCAGGATCGGTATCCTAGATTGAGCTTGTCCCGTATAACATATTTGCCGGAGGCGTTTATAGCATGCTTTCTGAAGGGCTGGGTGAGGCACAGCTGTCAAATTTTGTGGCTGAGATGGGACATTCCTGTGGCGGTCTCGTCATCGAGATTAAGGTGTGGAGAAATACGAGTGCTGGAGAGCCTGGGGATATTATTAATGAGCGACCATTGAGATTCGGATATTACGGCGTTCGCTTACCTCGTCGGCAGAAAGCCGTTGGCTGCTCTCGTAACAGACCAACTGGCGGACTAAGTCTCGGCCCTTGGACGATGCACCAGGCAAAATTTCGTCCCAGGACTGAGCTGCGAAGGGGTGGAATTCCACCTTGCCCCAATCTGGTAACACATGGACTCCCTACTTGCTGGTTATTCCTGGATCAACTCCCACGTGGAAAACAGAAGAACTTACTGGCCAGCTATTTTCATCTGGTGTCCCTAGCGTCTGGAAAATGGAGTGGATTAGGGATAGATCACTGCCCAGGGGCCCGGAATCAAAAAGAGACCGATGACCTACGACGGTGCATTCCGCTACAACGCAACCTGCCGCCCAGAGATCCAGAGCCGTGCCGTATCCCCGATACCCAAATAAAATCTCCGGGGGACGGTAACAAGTCGTTCCCACATCGGTGATTTTTGAATCCGAGGGCTCGGACCCAGCGTCTCCCTCTTTCCAAGAAATCCCAAAATCGGCCAGGTATGCGGGTCCGTTGGGAGAGTCCATTAAAATATTAGAGGGCTTGACATCACGATGGATGATCCCTAATTTGTGAATATGGGCAAGGCCAGAGAACATATCCCGTAGAATGGAACGAGTCTGTGTGGCAGTGACCATGTCCCGCCGCAGCAGATGCTCGAAGTCGAACCGCAGAAAAGGGAAAACCATGACCAATCGACCTTCATCTAGATTGAATGTTTCAATCAAGTGAATTACGTATTGGCTGGATGCTGCCCGAAGCAGTCGGACCTCACGATGGGCATCGTGGGGAGCCGTCATGAGATGCGGGATGGTAATCTTGATGGCCCGCGCCGATCCATCCTGTGCTTTGGACCTATAAATTGTCGAATGAAGCCCATCGAAATGATGGAAGCATGATTTATACTGGCCGAATGTCTCCCCCAGGATTGCTTCATCTGGGGTCACAGAATCTGGAAAGTTATCTTGGCCTGGATATGAGCTGTCATTGGTCACTGCTACAGAGCTGGTAGCCTCCGCTGCGTCAATTGCCTTTTGGCAAATCTGATCATATTGTTCCTAAAATACTTATGGCATTAAACGGCCGGTCAAGTTTCGCGAATCTTCAAAATGTCAAAAGACGGACCTTGGAAGTAGCGTGGTCGTAGGCCTCATTTTCACATTGCCTGGCCTGGGCTTGGGCCTCAGCAAAGGCATCAGATGAAGATGTCTGCTGATAGGCTAAAGTGCTGGAATGAATGTGAGTAGATTTTATTTATCCAGGAAAGACTTTCACTGACAGAGACTGGATGGCTCGTAATCGATCTGTGAAACCCAGATCCTTATGCCAATCCATAGCTGTATAAATGGAATTAACCTCGGCGGACGATTGTGGAACCGCACAATGAATTAGGTGACAAACATTGTGGACCTGACAATGATGTCATGTGATCTAGTAGCGGAGAAAGGCGTCATACTTGGTCTTGTCTGATTGCTGGAAAATACTAGGCAAGGGCAGAACTATTGCAATTTTGCTGCGTTTTGAGGTAGGTATGTGCTAACAGAATAAATTGCCAACTACAAGCAAGGATATCCAAATAGCGAACCTACATCATGCGATCTGGAGGAAAAGGTATAGATCGACGGATTCCCGTTTATCATGCCTGAGGCACCACTTGCAGTTTACTGCCACAATTGAAAACGCTCAGCTACTGAGCAGTTCCAGGCAAATTCCTCGATAAGTACCCAATTAATATCGCACGTAGCAATATGGGTTTGGGTAAGAGTCCTTTGATCTATAGAATTGATCCATTCTTAGCTGTCATGTCGCGCGGCTCTAGGCCATATGTAGTTGTCTCCCCCACCGCCTTCCGCCTTCACCCGCCCCCATCCGTCATCCCCAGCGACCAGCCATATCCCCGTCTTCGGCGGCGATCGAATGCCACTTACCTTCAATCTCAATCCCGCATCATTGATCTTAGCCACCCAGACCATTTCAACCCCACCGTAACCATTTCCTCTGGTTATGCGCTTGATGCGCTCTATTGACCTTCAACCTTGAAACCATGGAGCTATCCCGGCAGGAATACCCAGCGCTGCTGGTCAGTTAACTTCTCCAAGCTCTCGAGTCCCTGAGCCAAAGGTACAATGTATTGACGATGGGTGATACCACCATTCTCCAGGCCACATTGCACCCTAGCCAAGCTACAAATGTCCTCACCGATCGCATTCGAATTATAAATAAGATCCACTCAGATATCGCAGACTTTCTCCAGGTACGATGGAGCAGTGCTCTACTCCCCGCTAGATCCCTCGGGTCACATTCCTGGACGTTGCGGGGCCCCAGTGCTGACTTGGTACAAGGAACGTCGTCGCGTGGAGGAGGCATACACCCAAGGCTTGCGAAAGCTGGCAAATCGCCCTAGCCTGGACAATGGTGCCGCACTTGGGTAAGTTCATTGTGCCCTTGAATGGTCAAATCGTTAGAATGGCGACATTATGAGATTCTAACTAGCGTCCAGCGTATTCCAAATCCCTTGGCAGCGCATCATTAATGCGACCGAGGCGCTCGCTACATCGCATGAGACCCTTGCGACAAAGATCGAGGAAGATGTGGAACGCCCTCTGAGGGAATACAGCACCAAGAACCGTGACATGCAGTCAATGCCCGGGATTCAAAGCAACTTGGCGGGACTGGCCAAGAGTATCGAGGCGGCTCAAGATAAAGTAGAAAAGGCCAAAAAGAAGAGCACCAAGAACCCGAAACAGCTGGCGAGTGCAGTTGCCGCCGCGGAAGAGGTCAGCCAGCAGTGGGAATCACGCGCGCCTTTTGTATTTGAGCAGCTCCAGGCAGCAGATGAAGGTCGGCTCAACCATCTCCGAGACGTGCTCACGCAGTTAGAAACCCATGAGGTGGACCAAGTTGAGCGCGGTCGGCAGGCTGCTGAGAGCTGTCTGAATGTTCTCCTGAACGTGCAGACTGCAGATGAGATCCAAACTTTTGCTGCAAAAATGAAGGGAAACCGCATCCCAGCCTCGCCGGCTGTGCCTCGAGGAGAACCTCCCCTCCCCGAAACGCCTCCCGCGCCTGCTCAGTCTGCTTTTGAGACTCCAACCAGTACGCCGCTTGCACCCCCCTCGCGTATTCATGATGATGCGTCTAGCGAGCGATCAGAAAGGTCAGAAAGGCAGACACCTACTCCAACGCCCCCTGGTGAGTTTACAATTCCAAGAAGTTTCTCCTCCAAAATTTAACATTTGGACAGCTCCAGAACCACAGCCACGAAACACCGCACTCGGTGGATTAAGGCGACTGGGTACCGTTATGGGCAGACGGAAGAGCATGGTCATACCGTCGGGTTCAACCTTCGACAGGAAGGCAGAGAAGAAGCGCAGTCCATTTGCACCTTTCAAGAGATCCGATTCATCAAGGGATATGCAAATTCCAGAATCACCCCCATCCACTGCAGACCGTCCCGACTCGTCGATGATCGAAGAAGAATATACACGAACCCCCAGCGTGTCGCATGATCAGACCACAGGGGGGAGACTCTTGCTCCAGCTCCGATGGCACAGCCATTCCCAACTACAACAAACGGAACCTCGCCAGAGTTCCAACCCGGAATCGTTAGGAATGGCACTGATCCTTCACATGTTGATTCAGAAGGATTCACTGAGCGCCCTTCAACGGTAGATGAAGTCACTCGTGCCCAAAGGGAAGCCGCCGGACTGGATGAGTCTGGTATGAACTTGACAATCCGTGACCAACCTATTTTCGAAGACGAAAACCAGGCTAAGCAAGCCATGGATGACATGGCAAACACTCTTCGCTTGCGGGCCCCGCAGTCTGTAATGAGACGGAATGCAGGTACTATTCGCGGTCGCCGTGATGTGCGCAATACAGTTTTCATTGCAAACCCAGGCAGTGAGTTGGCTCCTAACCAAATCGCATCCGATGCGTACTCTCCGTCCTCTCCGATCAGGCACACTCCATCTCTGAGCACTGCAACGGATGACCATGCCGTTTCGGACACAACCTCAGTCCGCTCGGGGCATACTACGCACGGCCAGACTTTCAGCATGCATCCGGAGCTATACGAGCCCGGTCTTAATGCATCAATTATTGAGACCGTCAACGCATGGTTTTCGGAGGGCAAGGTGACCAAGTCCTCTGTGATGGGTGAGCTTGCTTTGGCCCACAACGTTGCGCCGGGCTTTGCAGCAGACTCTTTGCGCATCCGTCTGGACAACTTCCCTGTGTTGGAGAAGGTCGCTGCAAACCCTCACTTCGTTCAGGAAACCAGCAAAGACACCAGCGATGAGAAGCGGGGCGAGTATGATCTCCAGTTGGGCAGCATTTCTCGTCCCATGCCGACAGTGGCCTTCAAGTACCAATTGCACCTCGATCCTAGCAATTCATCCTCCTACTGCCCTGTGATCTTCAAACCAGCTTGGAACCTGCAGGGGTCCCAAGCCAGTGCTATCATTTTTTACTCCATGAACCCAGCCTTCGTTTCCCAACCTGTGGAATCTATCACCTTGAAGAACGTGATTTTGACTGTGGGCTTGGATGTCGCCGCTGAAGACGAGATTACCAAGCAGCCGCGCGAGAGTGTTGCCCACGCAACCAGCGCCGTGATGCACCCGAACTCTGGCGCTACTTTCCGCCGCAAGAATTCCACTGTCACTTGGAGAATCCCCGAGCTTGAAGTTAAGGCCCCTGGCTCTGGTGACGATGGCAAATTCCTTGTTCGCTTCACTACATCCACCCCTGGCCCTCGCAAGGGCAATGTCGAAGCAAAGTTCGAGCTTCACACCACCGAGTCCGCCTCTCGACTTGGTGTCAGTCGTGCCGTGTCGGAATCTACCCAGCAAGACAATGATCCTTTCGCTGATAGTGGAAAGCAATCTCCTGCCCCAGTCAATTGGCAAGAGGTCCCAACCAGCCGCAAGTTGGTTGGTGGAAAATACGTTTCCTCCTAGGAGACTATATGACGGAAATGCTAGTTATTTTGTTCGTATATACCTTGGTTGCATTCGTTGTCTTTTTCTTTCATTCTTTCATTTTTCTTTCTTCATTTATCTATGCGTATCTTGGCCGACATTCACGCCATGGAATGGAGGAAAAGTCGGGCTCGACGCTGTTTCTTTCATTTCTATTCCCCCCCCAACTTTCTTGCAAATAGCGCTTTTTTCTTTTTTATCTCTGTCCTCGGGTATGTAGTTATGCATTTCAAGTCTCTCTGTTATCTTCCACATCTCTCAATCTCAGATGAGGTTATGAACATCCTTTTATTCCATCTCTACATCTCCATTTATTTAGAACTAGGAAAATGCAGGGTGTACCTATAAGGCTGGGGAAGATTTTATCATCAAAATATTTCGATCACTTGAAGGGCAATGTACTCCTTGCGACCTGGCATACATCAGTCCCCAGGGCAGGATCCCACAAAAAGCTTTTCAGCACAAATTCCGCCTCGATTGTAGACAGATCCAATGCCAAAGCAGCTTCAGAAACAACATGAAAAGAACGAATCTTTGTCTGCTCTGAGATTGTGCAAGATGAGACAATTACAAAAATCCAAAGTTTGAACTCCGGTGGAAATAAGTGAATATATGAGGCGTCATAAATATCCCATATCTTAGCAATTAGCATTTCATATTTGTGAAATAGCAAAGAGCTAAGATTGACCAGAATCTCCGAGAACAGAAGAAGAGAGAGTCGGCAGACTTCATGAATTGAATCCGAGTATTTTACCGAAAGAAGAGTGTACTGTAGAGCCGTAGAACAATAGCGAATCCTGGCTGCTTCGGGGTGGGAGCTCTTTATGTTCAGTTTCTTAAGAGATGACATGATATCAGCTGTATTTAGGATACAGGATATCAAAGTATTATCGAAAGGGTTCATGGAGTTGAGCTTTTGAAATCCGGCGTTAAGACATTGTGGATCGGATTTCATGGGCGTCGAGAGCTGTCGGTTCGAAAAGTATGGTTCCTGGACAGCATCTATGGAGCCAGCCAGATCGGCTCTTTGAATTGCATGAAGAAATATTAGCAATGATCTAAGGCGATGGATTAAAAGTGGCTGCATCTCATACCTGTATAACTTTCCCATTGCAAGAGGTTGTGATTCCAGCGACTCCAGTCCACCACGAAGAGCGACCAACTTTTGAAGGCCCTTCATATGAATATTCCAATTCTCATGGGATCCTCGGTGCTTCTATTAAAGCCTTGGTTAGAAGAAATGCGATCCATCCATGGGTTAGCTAAGGAGAGTACTAACTTCCATGAGAGCCATTGTGGCAACGATGACCAAAGTTGCGTCAGTGGGGATCTCATTATTCTCAATGCGTTTATTCACAATTGAGATTGCAGCATTTAAATGCTTTATGGTCGTGAGGGACGCTTGAGGCGCTTTGCCCGGAGAAAAGTGCAGGTCGGCACACCCGATAATTGTATGCAAAAATGCATCATCAACCATGACTAGAGATATCCAGTACTCCGTTATTGGGTTGAGGGCAGTTCGTTTCTCTATGGAGTAGTATTTCTGCCATCCGGTGGTAATATCTATGATTGTAAGTAAATTTCTCCTCGTTACATACTCTGGGAACCCACAGTATTTTAGAAGATCATGTGCATATGGCTCGAACGCAATCGGCAACGTGCTGAAAGGGTCAACGCCAGCAATCTGGGGAGAGAGCCTAGAGCCCAAAGATTGCTCTTCATTATTTTTCTCACGATGAACAATATGATTAATCATTACTCGTCTCCGGATCATCTTACGTGAGTCGGCATCTGGAATGCCGGAATGGCCGTCAATATGAATGAACTCGAAAGCAGGTAGTTTTGGATTCCGTTGTGGGACTGAGCGCTTGATGTCTGCACAAGTCAGTCTCTTGCGAATCAAGGTGAGAGTTTCATTACGTACTTCCTTTCGGTCTCCCTCTTTTCTTCGCTACCTTTGAAGCCGTAGGGCCGATGTCGTATCGGAAGATGCAGGGGTCGTCGTCACCGGACAGTCCCACGGGAAATATAACCTCTGCTGATAGACTCATAGTTTCTAGCTGTTTTAGGATGTTGATGGATAGAAAAGAAGGGAAAGGGGAAAGAGAGGGACTGTTAGCGTTGAAGTAGTTCGACTCGAGGCTTGAAGGCCATAAGGGCTTATCTCCGACATCTTGCGCTAATCCCCATCTGGATGCTGGTCTAGTGTAAATTGACCGAATCGGGAAGGGATCCGCAGTATTGTTCTTGATATCGCAAGGAAAGCGAAAGCTATAAATTGTACAAATTCTTCGTCATTTCAACTTCATCCAACAACTCGCTTCTTCCATAGTTTTGCATCTCACCAGAGATCAAGCCTCGTCATGTCTACCTTCGGATTTGAAACAACCGGTGATGAGATCGCCGCCATCTGCTCCAACGCGATTCGAGGCAAAGTTGTCCTCATAACCGGTCCATCTTGTGGAAGCCTTGGTGCTGCGTTCGCCGAAACTATTGCTCCACACGGCCCATCATTGATCATTCTTGCCTCTCGTGACACTTCTAAGCTCGAACCAGTCGTTGCTGCAATTAAATCCATTGCACCCACCGTGGCCACCCGTGTCCTCAAGCTCGACCTTGCCTCCCAAGAAAAGATTCGCGAGGCCGCCAGCGAAGTCAACAACTACGATGATGTTCCACACATTGATGTGCTCATAAATAGCTCAGGTATTATGGCAGTGCCGTACAGTCAAACCACTGATGGCATCGAGCTTCAATTTGGAGTAAACCATCTTGGACACTTTCTTTTCACAAACCTGATTATCAACAAGCTGGTTTCAGCAGATGGAAGCCGGAAAAGCCGCGTGGTGAACGTTTCGAGCAACGGTCATGAATTATCTCGTGTGAGATTCGAGGACTGGAACTTTGAGGTAGGCTAGAGGATAGCATGGATCGTGTACCCAATTGAGATACTAATGGAGCTTATATGAGTAGCATGGCCCTTACAATCGGTGGTATGCTTATGGTCAGTCAAAGTCAGCGAACATGCTATTCTCCATCTCCCTTGCTGCGCGATTTGCGAATAAAGGACTTATATCAGTAAGCCTTCATCCGGGAGTAATCCGCACTAACCTCAGTTCTCACCTTGAAGAAGCTGCTTGGCCTGAACTTGGTACGTGCTACTCAATACTTGGCCTACGAATAATCTTTGCTAACCCGCTACAAAGCCGAGATTGGACGCAATCTTGCCTTGACTAAGTTCCGCAGCTTCAATGCCAAGAGTCAACAGCAAGGTGTCGCAACCTACGTCTTCGCAGCATTTCATGATTTTATATCGATGCATGGTAAGTGGTTATTACTCCCCTTCTCTCAATCCAAAAGCTAAATTACTAAATTGTTAAAGTTAATGGAAGATACCTTGAAGATAGCCAAGTCTTGGATCTCGAAGAATACAAGTGCTGGGGCCGAGACCCTACAGACGCAGAAAGATTGTGGACTCTAAGTGAGAGACTTGTTAGACAGGAATTTAGGTACTAAACCTTGGGAAATGTTTCGCCGGAGACTGCTTTTTCGAATCCTTCTATTATGTTACTAGTTCAATCTAGGTCACTCATTGAATTTTCAATCGACAATGTCAAATTCAATAAACTTTCACAATTTAAAGCGCTTTATATATCGTAAATTAATTATGAGGTAAGCACCTCGACTCCTATTATCGGACATATTTTTACGTGTTTGGGTTTGAAGGGATCCGTCTCCGTCCACCAAACCTCCATCCGTCCTTCTCCGCTATGAGGACAGTGAATACAAGTGCCTATCTACCACAGATCCTCAAGACGGCTGCAGCTTACCATCATATTTCTTGAAGATTGAACCGAAACTCGCAACCTCGGAGCTGTCCATGGCTGCTCAGGCCTTCGCAATCTTTACCGTCACGCGCAACCTTGGCAATGTTGCCAATTCCGAACAACATGCCAATGATGTTGGAAACAGCGGAGCTAGGATCGTCCACAGTTTCATAAACGGCTAAGGCGCCGTTGGCAACCTCACCTGCAACTGCAATGGAGCGTGCGAGGGTAGAAGTGAAACTTCTCACTTCTATTACATCCATCAGAAAATCAGTTATCTTCTAGAGTTGTGGCATGCCAATAAAGTTGATAGAGTGATACATATAATGCCATTCAATGTGTGTTTCCGTCCTAAGCAACAGTCTTGTTTTTGCGATGGCCCCTAAGCCGCCACGAGGGCGGCCCCGCCCGCCACGTCCTCCGCGCCATCGCATCTGGCTTTTGGTGGCGGTGGAATATAAGTAGTTCTAGGCGGCGGACGGAAACCGTCTTCGGCCTTTTCGGTATTGTTGCACATATCGGTACATAGTCGGAACATGATCGCTCCACGCATGCTGATGTACGGTGCACAGGGTATAAAACCATGGTATAAAAGCAAGGTTCAAGCGATAACATACATGAAGCTAAGGATGTAGTCAGAGCCTTAGCACAGATAGGTAGTGAAAAATTCGGGCAAAGTTCGATCATACATGTAAACTCTCATTAAGCTTCAACATTTTACTCAGATAGCTCTTCCAATTCAAAATGCCAAGACAACGGTGAAAGTGACTAGGCATAGATCTAGCCAGCCCCATCCGGATTCCCATTTGAGAGTGTTCCTCTAGGGTTTTTCCCCAATTCGGTGGGAAATTTGCACCGAAGAGGAACGCCAAGCTTCTAACAGACCCTTCATAACAATGCATTATCGGTTTCTATTTTGTAATATTTTCTTTATAATCGTTGGAAATTTTTACTTACTTCCAAAAAAACTATAATACTCAGCTTTGGCTGATCCGGAACAGTCCTTCCAAGGTTGGTCGCTTACCAACTATTTTAGTAGCCTAGCACGTGGACTTGTTATAATCTTCACGAGAAGCTTCAGATAGATTGAAGGTATTACATATCGGCCTCACGTGTGGTAGCCCTCATCCTTATCCTCTTCAGCATCAGTCATCGGATCGAACGTTTGTTCCTCCTCTTTTCAGAAGTTTCGGTTATACCAAGGGGGTTTAGGTGTGGACGAGGCCCATTCTTATTCAACCTGAGCGGAACATGCCTATATATGTATATCATAGCGGGATCATCAACGGTATCTTGAAACGAACCATCCCGAGGTCTGTGGCCGTAATGCAAATACCGCGAGCATATTCAAATGAATTCTGCTCGGACCCTGCACAAGTTCCAGAAATCGAGTGGAATCCTGTCCCTTGTAATATTCGCAAGTACTAAAAATTAGTGTGTATGCTCTCGCTAGAAGGTAAGGCTCGTACCAACCTTCACGGCCAGATTTAGGATTAGATTAGTGATTATAGATTGTGTTCACCTAAATGGTGATTTGCCAAATTTTAAAATAATGTTCTATTCATGCCCAATTAATTGATTAGAGTGAGATTTCGCAAGCTGGATAAATTGTAAGTTTTGATTCACTAAACTGCATGGCGACGTGGACGATTGGCAGTCCAAAGCCTTCCTATATGCGTACTCACGTATCAATGAAGAACTTCTCGATAAGTATCTCGCTTTGTAATTTTTCCCGGTCCTTCACATAATGATGATGCTGGGACTTGACAACAGAGACCAAGGTGTCAAATTAAGTGATTTTCAGGTGGTGCTCAGTCAGCAGATTCTGGAGCACATTTAATGTGATGCTTCTACCCGTGGCAGAGATCAAATTGTATACATAACCTCGTATCTCCTCATGTTTGATTTTTTTTTTTTTTTTTTTTTTTTTTTTCATTCGTTGTCAGGTCCCTGGCTCTTGAAAGATGCCATGTGAGGCGGTAGCCCCTGTGGAGAGGTCTATAGTCGAACCGCTGTGCATGATTCGCATATGTAAGCAATCAAACTATACAATCATTTCACACTTCATGGTAACCTTGATTGACTAAGTTGTTTATGTTTTACTAGAACGGGAGATTGATCGCTACAGAGTATGCCAGGTACGACGTTGCCCTTTCAAGGACGTGTCCCTGAACAAGGGATCTGCTCAGGCCCTTGATCGAGGTCTAATTTCCTCCCATTCTTTGCAAAGATCAACAGGGTCTCTCTTGCTTTTTTTCCAAGATCACCGCATTCCAAACCATCTGGGCAGTTGGCAGTGCCCACCTACATTCCACCCACTTGGAAGCTCGACTCTTATTGGGTTAAGACAATGTTTACTCGGAGGGCGCGCATTTTGCGTGCCATTGCGCCCTGGAGCTCTACTTAAAACGCCATGAGACGCAATAGCGTCGAAGAAGTTTCTCTCCGACAATATACGACTAATCGACAACCACGACAACCCGGGCCTCCGATAACGATACCAATCGCAGCAAGCCAATCATCTCCAACAAGATGCGTTTTACTACAGTAAGGAAGATGCAATCGCACCTCTTTTCAGCTCTAACAAGTAATTCAGGCTCTCGTCTCCGCGGCCCTTCTTGCAGTCGCTCAAGCCGGTGTTCCCGCCGTGAGCCTTGAGTTTCAATCTTGGGAGACCTGCGATATCGGTGCTCCAGCTCAAGGTCAACCCAAGTCCAGCGCCAGTCTTGTCGCTACGTCTGTGACTTGTGAGAAGACCACCGTCAACCGTGACTGGAGCGTCGACAACTATTCGTTCAAGGCCCATCTTGCCACCAAGGAATCCGTCTTCTGCAGCGGCATTTACGTCTGGAACAACGCCGACTGCTCCGGCGATATCGACTACTTTATGCCCCTGGACCACAAGCCCGTTGTCCAGGGCGTCTGCCTCCCTGATTTCTTGGATCCTGGCTTCGTTTCCTTCAAGCTTGAGTGCGGCCACGCTGGTTTCCCCGGTGGCGAGCTTGGCCCCGGTGGTGCTGGTGGTGAAGGGGGCGATGCTGATGATGCCAACTCTGGCTTTTAAGTAAATTCAGGACGGTCGCGAATTATGGCGATGGCATGATTCTTCTTTTATCCTGTTTTATTATATATGTCAGTTGTAATCCAAGAAAAATCCAGGGGAATTCCTTGGTGTCAAAGTCCGATTTCGTCGTAAGATTTACCCGCAAGTGATTAAATCGTTCCCGCCCCTCAGTTCTTAGCCCACTTTTGGATCTTCAACGTGCAACGTCGCTGCATTGTCCCCACCTCCTTCAACGTCCCGTTTGAAATCTGTTCTTTGTTCAGTCCCAGAACCCCACGCGCCGATCATGGCGGGCCGATCAGACGCGTCCCGCCGGATGATCCCGTGGTTGTATGATTTGGTCCTGTGGCTCTTCACCTGCGCGCTGGACCTCTTCTTTCGCGAGATTTATCCTCGCGGAGCATGGCGCATTCCCGAAAAGGGCCCGGTGCTTATTGTCGCTGCTCCTCATGCGAATCAATTCGTTGACTCGGCGATTTTGATGCACCTGCTCAAGTCGCAGGCGAAGCGACGTGTCTCTTTCCTCATTGCTCAGAAATCCATGAATGAACCATACATTGGCACCCTGGCATCATGTATGGGTGCACTGCCAGTCGTCCGGTCCATGGATTTGACCAAGCCTGGAAAAGGCAGAGTCTATCTACCCGACCCTAATAATGATCCGGCTCTGATTAACGGTATTGATACGGATTTCACTCAGTCGGAATTTATGACGGGCGGATCAATCACTGTCAAGGGTCCTAATGGTCCACAGACGGCTTCTATCGAAGAAATCCTTGGTCCCACCTCATTAAGGCTCAAAAAGCCGTTCGATGCTCCGCTCTCCGAGGACGGTCGCAAAGGAGCGACTTTCAAGATTGCTCCTCACGTCGACCAAAGCCGTATGTTCTCGGCCGTTTACGAAGAGCTCTCTCATGGAGGCTGCATTGGCATCTTCCCGGAAGGAGGGAGTCACGATCGCTCCAACTTGCTGCCGCTCAAAGCCGGTGCTGCCTTGATGTCCCTTGGAACTCTAGCTCAGGACCCAAATTGCGGATTATCGATTGTCCCATGTGGCATGAACTATTTCCATGCACACAAGTTCCGCTCTCGTGCTGTGATCGAGTTCGGGCGGCCCATTCATGTGCATCCTGATCAGGTTGAAGCTTTCAAGGCCGGCGGTACCAGTAAGCGCAATGCTGTGGGCTCTCTTCTCGAGACTATCTACGAGGGTCTGGAGTCTGTCACGCAAATCAGCCCCGATCATGAAACTTTGATCTTGGTCCAGTCTACCCGGAAGCTCTATAATCCCATCAGCAAGAAGATCCCTCTTCCCTTGGTGATCGAGTTCAACCGCCGCCTACTGAAAGGCTACACTCGGCATCGAGATGATTCTCAGATCAAGGATCTCCGCAAAGCGGTGACGGAATACAATAGACGCTTGGAATCACTTGGGATAAAGGACCACCAGGTTGAATGGGGAAATCTCGAGGAGAAGCCGTGGTGGCTCACGCTGATCACCTGGTTCTACCGCCTCTGCAAGCTTATGGCTTTGAGTATTGGCACATTGCCAGGTGTTCTGCTTTTCTGGCCTGTCTTTGTTACAACAAAAGTGATCTCAGAGAAAAAAAGACGACGTGCACTTGCAGCTTCAGTGGTCAAACTTCAAGGACACGATGTCGTCAGCACTTGGAAAATTCTGGTCGCCATGGGACTTGCGCCCACCCTTTACGCTTACTATACCATCATTGTGACTGCCTGGCTCCGCTACAACCGTAATGGCGGCTACTACACCAACTCGGTTCCCTGGTGGATGGCGGCAAACACGTATGTCCCCAACTTCGTCCCTCTTTGGGTCTTTGCTATGAGCTTCTACGGCTTCATGATATTCGTCAGCTTTGCAGCTCTCCGGTTTGGCGAAGTTGGCATGGACATCATCAAGTCCCTCCCACCGCTTCTGGTGGCGCTCAACCCCCTTTCATCCTCCTTTTTGGTTCAGTTGCAAGCCCATCGTGAAAAGCTGTCTGAACGAGTCACTAAGACCATCGACGATCTCGGATTTGGTATCATGCCGGATATTGATGCTGAAATCCCGTCTGATTCATACAATCTTGATGCTTATCAATCTTTGTTGAAGAGCATGCCGCCGAGCGAACCTGATACTCGGGAGAGTAGTCGCAGCAGATCTAACGGGCCCGCAAATGCTCCCCGCATCAAGGCGTTGAGCGCAGTCACCTCCGAAGGAGACTTGGAGGAAGTGGACCGGAAGATCCAGACCATCAAGAAGGGCAGAGGAAGACGGTCAAACACCATCACTGGATACGAGACTGGCGAATCGATTTTGAAATATCGACCGCCGGTCACTGAAGAGGATAAGAAGAGAAAGTAATTGGTTCTACTGCTTTCAGCTTGGGAATTTGGAAATGACTCCTCATTACTGTGTACTTGACAACCTCATATCTGCTCGTTTCTCTCTCAAAGGACATTCGAATTCACTAGATCGTGATGCCGATCATTATCTTGACATCAACGGAGATCCCTCCAACCAATGGACCAATAATAAATCTAACCCTGCAATTGCTCCATACAGTACAGCCTCCACACCCAAGCCATCTGAAAGACGCCCGCCGTGTTCTGGAATGTGAAAAGTGCGCTGGCATACCTCAACAGCCCCATACGGTCCTGGATCGACATCCCTATGTCCAACCTGGGAGTGGAATGCTATATCTGCCTTGTAACTGGCGCCCACAAAAGGTTTGACACACCCCCGCCACCGAGTATGACGCAGAAATTCATTCATAGCCCATTCAGACCTGATCAGGACATCAAGAAGCGTGCAATCCGCGCTTCAGTCTAACACCATGCCATTCCAGTCGTTTCCCGCCATCCGAATTGTCGTAATTCCCACGCAAAGGAATGATCGAACCAGACTTATAAAGGCCAGTCTTGCGCTGCAGGTAGAATCTCTATCAATCACAATCTATCAAATCACAGCCCTATCGACTCAAGTCCCCAGATCTAATCTCGATCTCGATCTCGAGCTTGGCAACCATGCATTCCACACTTACATCCTTCATCCTCCTCTCCACACCCATCCATGCCGCAACCACAGCGCGCATCTGGACACACTTCTACCCAAGCTGCCCAGGCGAGCCGTTCGCAGACCTAAGCAGCTATGAGAACTACGAAGAAACCGTCCCCACATCAAAAATCACGGCAGGAGTCTGCACACAAGTCGGCGTTCCATCTTACGAACACAACCTCGTCAGTGCTATCTCAATAGATGCCGAACTTCTTTCCAACGAAAAGGGTCACAATTTCCCACCAGAGGATGGTCCAAGCTGCAATATCACCATCCACGAAGTCCCAGAATGCATCGATGAACCCCTTCTCAACAAAGAATTACACAACGGAGTCGAAGTGAGCCAGTGCCATGAGCGAAACTTCGTTGCTTACAGCGACGTCTGGGTTCAGCTTATTTGCGAAGGCGAACAAAATGAAAACGATCACCACAGACACCATGAACAGCAAGAACAGACTGCTTCTGAGTCTCTCGAGGATCAGGAGGAAGATATCCCACGCATTGGGGAGACGACTTCCATCCAGCAGTCAAGTGATGTCCAGACACCCGGCTCGAATGCCAACTCGTGGCACCTTGCACAGACAGAGAGCTCCGAGCGTGAACCTCTGCAGGAGAGTCGCGTGAACAATGTTGGCCATGAGGAGAGTGAGGCGATTGTGCACCGGATTATGGAGGCTTTGAGGCATAAGGCTCATGGGATGAACTTGGTTTCTGGGAAGACGAATGCTACTCGGCATTTGAATGGAACTATTCATGCCAATGGTACTGCGCCTGCTAACGGAACTATTGTTTCGAGGCGGAAATTGTCTGTTTTGCGGAACCGGGCTACGCGGTTGTATTAGGTTTACTGTATGCGGGAGATTGTTGGTTGTTTTATATTCTTGGATCTTTCGAAAATAGCTCTGTCGATAGTTGAAATAAAGAGAAATATAGTATATTATTTATGTCTTGGTCACAGATGGGAAGTTTTGGAAAGTAATGGTATCATTTTAGGCTAGAAATGGGAGGTAGAAATGGGGGTTTCACACTACGTGTATTGTAGTATAAACAGTGTGCTCAAACGCTCTATAGATGCTTATGTAATCAAGAAAAAGAATGCAAACACGTCCAAGTTTCTTGCCTCAGTTTAGAACCCAAAACTATCCAACAAGGAGTTGGCATCAGGTTCATGAAACATAGTCGGAGGCGGTTTCGGCTTCGGTTTCGCTGCAGGTTTTTGCTGGGTCTCATCAGCAATGGCACTGTTATTCGCATCGGCAGATGCAGATGCAGAACTAGCAAGTCGGACTGGCAGATCAGCAACAACAAGACTGCTTCGGCGACGGAGTAGCTTCCGGTAATCGACGCCGTTCTGATCGAGCTCAAGCGCAGACTGGTTTTGTAGCGTCTTCAGGCTTGGAGGTGTGTCCAGGAACTCCCAGTGACGGACCAGGTCTAAAGCAAGGAAATCACAGCCCATGCGGTCGTAGAGTCGGGCGTTGCGGAGAACAAATTCCCACTCTTCGACCGGGCGAACTTGGGAGGCACCTTTAAGTGTTTGTAGCGTCTTTTCGCGAAGCTGGTGGTAGAGCACAACTAGGGCGGGGTCGTTGGAGAGGTAGGATTTGGACTGCAGAGTGACTCGTCCTGGGCTTCCTGGTGAAGCTGGGGTTGGCAGGAGGAGTGTCTCAATCGGTGACTAGGGTTTGTTAAGTCTCTGATTCGTCACGGTGCGTACTGAAATGACTTACTATGAGCGATCGTACGGCCATGTCCCGCCGTCCAAGCATCCAGAAGGCCCAAGATGCTTGCCACCGGTTGCCCTCAGCAGCGGCTTCTGGCAGAACTCTCTCCTCTAGGAGTTCTCGGAGGACCGGACCATGGTCCCCTTCGTATGCTCGAGTGATTGCAATTGCGAGTTGGATATCACCCATCTGGTTAGCGACAACATTGGCGGCATCCCGCAGATGATCAGCCAGAAGGAAGAAGGACGCGGCGTATTCTGAGAATGGGTTAGTTGAGGTCTATTAAGATCTTCCCTTATAAAGCTCACCAAATCGCCGTTTTCCAAGCAGTGCGTAAGCATTCTTTAGTGCGGACGTCTTCCATCGCGCCTCCTTAAAATCATTGGCAAGCAAGCGCTGGGTAGGACCTTGCTCCCGATGCCAATGTGCAATCCGCCAAAGACCTTGCAGAATGTTCTTCTTTCTGAGTGCGAGATAGTACAGAGAACAATCGATGGGATTCCTCTCCTCCGTCTTGGTGTACTCGTTTTTAGCTACGGACTCGAGTTGTGCTTTCTTGAGAGGGGTCAGTTGAAATCCACTAGAGACTCAGAACGGATTAAGCGTACCAGTGATGTCAAGTCCGATAACCACATAAACAAGCCGCTCTCCCGGGCAGCCTTCCAAGTAAGCTTCCCGTTGAATTGGCGCGAGACAAGATCCGTGAGGATATCCTGGCTGCCACTATGGAAAGCCCAAACAATTTCTCGCCATGACACACGGTCTTTATTGGCCACTCCTTGGCTTTTTCGCAGCATGTGCTGCCGGAAGAAAAAGAAGATAGCGTGCCGCATTGTCATCCATGGATCGTCGATGTTTTTCGACGGTTGCAACGCACTCGATCGTATCCACTAGTCTGAACTGCTCATGACTAGACAGCTGTGGCAATGCAATACGAGCAAGGTTCTCGTTGAGGATTGCAGCAATTTTTTCATCGATCACTGTGGATTCCTCCTCCTCGGCAGAAGCGTCGGCAAAGGAAGAGCGCATCTCTTTTGAAGCTATATTTTGTAATGCCTGTAATTGTTAGACCTGAATATTGCATATGAAATGTTAAGACGTACCTCTTGTTCATAGAAAAACTCTAGTGGCATATCTAAGAAGCCATCCAGCTCGTCTCCCTCTGAATAGAACTTTAACTTTTTGTGGAGACTCGTCAAAATCGAATGGACCAAGGCAGACTTTCCCGCCAAGATGCACTGTGCCAAGAACTGAGGATGGAAGACAGGCAGTGGACCATTCAAGCGGCTGACAACATCGAAGAGGTCAACGGTTGGCTGTCCACGGGACGGAATGCGTAGTCCGGAGACAAGATGATCTGCAACATCGATATCCTTGTCATATACAAAGAGTTGGTTGCCAGCACCAATGACTAGATGGCCGTGGGTGAGCCAACAGGAGTCACCGATGGGGTGAGGTGTGAGGTCTCGAATCCATATCTCCCGAATCTGGGTCCATGAAGGATTGGAATCCAAATAGTCATAGCGTAGCTGAGACAGTAAAATAACCTTATGAGGGAAGCCAACAGCCAATATAGACTGCTTGTCTGGAGTGGAGGTCCAATCGAGATCTCTAATGATATCATGCTCCGCAAAATGCTCTTCAAACTCCAATTGGGAGTTGTTGGTATCCCAGATAGTCAAGTGAGTCCGCTCTTTGTCCACGAGTGCGGCTTTGCGGATGGTACTTCCACTGGCTAACGAGGGATTTTCAATGCCAGTGTCAACCGTAGACTTCAGCAACCACTCCACTTCAGACTTTTCACGATCAACCTTGGCTGTCCAGGTGCGTACGACACCACTTTGGGTGTAGGAGAGAGCAATGTCTGGAGCAAATGTATCAAAGGATCCCGAGGTTTCAGCTTTGGGTCCCGCTGGGTCTACAGGCAAAATGTAGGCCAAATCTTCCTGCAATCCCATCCCAAAGGTGCAGAACTTTCGTAGCTTGCAGCTCTGCTCTGTCTCTGCTGAGCCATGCTGCTTAGCTTGAGGGTCCCATTGCAGTTCCCACGCTATGCCATGCATATCGGCACCAATAGTTGCCACATAAGCCAAGCCCGGGCTTGCTTCTGGGGTGGGAAGTGGAAGCACGCACAATGGCTTGCTTGATAAAGTGAAGGGTAGATGTGCCAATCTCTTGGCGTGGTAGGAGCTGTAGTCATATAGCGAAATCCCATTATGGTGGAGATTGACGAGGAAATTGCCATTCTCAATCATACAAGTCCGGTGAATATGTTCCTCGGATAACAACACGCTCTGGTGGATAAGCATCGATCCGCCCTCACGTCTCTTTTGCTTCCAAATCATGGCCTTGTTTTCGTCTGTTCTGGAAATGAGTGTGTCGCCAGTTGCATTTCGCACAATCTTCTTCACAGGGGCAGTATGCCCAGACCAGGATGCCTTGGGTATTATTCGATTTCTTCGAGGCGCGGGATCAAAGAAAACATCCACCTTCGAGTCATACCACTCAATCCGGCCATCGAAGTGGTGCACAACGATGCTGAGTCTATCGTCAGATGTGCTGCTTTGGAAAGCACTTATTTGGGCATAATCCTCTTGAGCTCCCAAATTTGACATGAATCCAAACTCCAGGCCTTCAACGTGCAAGATATTGAAGACACTCAATTTTGTCTTCGCCTTCGAGCCAATGTCTTCCAACGCCCATGCAGATATATGGCCTTGGCCATCAATCACCATACAAATTTCCGGGCTTTTGTTCGCAACTTCGATGAGATGTTCCAAGGCGTGGTTTTCCTTGTTACCGGAGTTCTGTTCAACGGCGCGCTCTGTCGCAACGCAGAAATCTCGACTATCTAGAATAAATCCATATCGCCTCTGTGATCCCTCGTCCTTTTCTGATGCATCTCGAGGCTGGACAGATGCTTCCATGTCAATATCCGCCCAAAGCTGCAACGGTGAAAGAGCATGGTGATCTGTCACTGCCCACACCCGGATCTTATTGTCGGCGCAAAGGGTGTAAAGAACGTTCTCGACCGATTGCTCCCGGTGGTATGGTAGCCGCCAGTGTATTCCCGTGATCACATTTGGATGAGGGAGATATGATACCTCAAACCGCACTTCGTTTGGTCCAAAGGCTAGCCGTCTCCATACCTTGGCCATGCGATCATATTGTCCTACCGTCACCACCAAGGCCGCGTCAGGGGAGAATTGTGCGAATTTCAACGGACCTGCAAGCTTCCGTTGCCATACCAAGCGAGGTACATCGTCGAGAATCCAAAGGGCGAGGCGGGAACTGCCAACTAGCAGCTCGTTCGGGGAACCCCACGATATGGTACGGGTCGGCTCGTCATCGTCGGCACGGAAACTGTGAGCGAGAGACCACTAGATAGTACTTCCATGTCAGTTACCCATTTAAAATTTCTATGCGACATCATCATTTGTAAAGAAGGCTCCAGCGGATAGAATTACTGGTGTGCGCACCTTAGGTGTCTCGCCCTGGATACCCCACGGTTGGTACACAAAGACATCCGAGCCACCACACACTGCAATCTTCCCCGATGTCTCATTAATGGTGACCGCCTCTAGATTTTCGGTATCGTCGACGTAGATAGTTTGGAGGATTGTCTGCGGACCGCCGAGGATGACCAGCGCGTGGCCAGATATGTACGCCTGAGATTAACACGGATCAAGGTCAGCAAACAGGACAAGTCATAGACGTGGACGAGCTGTAGAGGAAGTTCAAGATGAGAGCCTTACAATCACGCGAAGTCCATCCCACAGTGCAGTACTGAACGACTGGAGCTTCGCTGGGGGTCTCCCCGGCAGTACCGCTCGCATAGAGGCGGGTGGGTTAAAAGGTGGACGCTCGTTGCGCTGGGAGCCACGTTACACCATTGCCCAATCCCAGATAATCCTGGGAGATGAGATGTTGAGGAATAAAATAGCAAATCGTAGTCCAATTCCAGCTGAGGATTCCGGGGTTGAGTGGTCTTGAATCATGCGCAGGGGATCAAAGCGGGAGGTTGATTACGCTTTCAGCTCCACTCAGTGTGACCACTGATGATGATCGCCATGCATTCGCGCGTTCCAGTCTATATCTTCGTCTGGTGGTTTCCTGACTCCCTGCTATTTCTGCTTTAAATATGGAACTAGGAATATCTACAGTTTTAATCATGAAGATTAATGGGTGGAAAAGAGCTGCTAATAGCTATAGCTATAGCTGTTATCCCGATAAGGATTGCTCTGGATCCCTACATTGTGTAATCATAAGGGATTACCAGTTTCAACAGCAATGTTCTGCATTTAATGGGCCATTTAAAGCCCTCGACCACTAGCTAGAAGATCCAACTGCTGGTCATCACATTCAATCATGTCCAGAAAATACATAGTATACCCAAAGACCCAAACAGAGTCCAGAAATCCACCAACCCCTTATATGCTGCGCCGGCTGATATGCATGCTTGGACAAAATAAAAACAAGGATCGCAAAAGACATGAGGAGAAAGTATAGTCATCAAGGATGTACAGGGACCTCTAGGGTCATCGCAGTCACAGAAAGGGAGGTCATATATGGGAGGAAAAGGGTCAAGGTCGTCGATTCGCAGATTTGCGACCGTCAGTTGGAGACTCGGGAAGATCGTCATCCACGAACCGAACGCTTGTTGCGATGGAGTTTCCACGGCCAGTACGGGGTCGTAGGGAAGAAGCGGATCGGCCGGTGGAATCAGCACGAAGTAGCCGGCTGGCAAAGGGGGTGTGTAAGGGAGTAGCGGGAGTGGTGGACATCTGAGCTAGTGCCCTCGCGCGGGCAGCTCGCTTGGAGGGCGAGGTCAGGTAGCTTGGAGTGGCTAATGGGCTAGCGGAGATCGGCTCCTGTGAATTTATTGTAATGTCGGCCAGTTTGAAGGGCGTCTCAGCCGGATTGCGATACCACGGGTCGAATAAAGCACCTGAGCCGTTGACGTCAGGCATATTGGAGAATCGAGCAGGCGTCGTGGATGGGCCTAAGGATGGGCCAGGTGAATCTCGTGCTTCGAATTTCAGTCGAGCTTTCTCCAGCCAGTGGCGGAAAAGATTTCTCGAATGTTTTCGCAAAGTTCGTTCACGCATTGCTTCAGAAGTCTCGACTGTGTTCCTCATTTGGAAAATACGCAGGCTGAGCTTGCGAAGTGCTCCTCCGGCCTGGCGAAGAACGTGGGTGCGATAAAATTTGTCTGCTTCATCTTCCATCTCGCGGCGAATGACAAAAGTCTCTGACATTTGGATGAGCTGATGAAAAGCGACTTGATGCAAATAATGATAATCAGCATCCTGGTAGTCTTGCACTCTCTTGAGCGCTATTCCATGCCATCTAGAGAAACACTCGAATGAATCGTCAAGCACTCTGCCACGATCGACATCTTCAGCCTGCTGCTGCATATCCATGATTGCATGGGTCTTAGACCTCCACGTAGCGAGTGCGTTTGAAGCTAAATTCATCTTGATTTTTCGTCGCACCTTGGCGTAGGCGTCTTTCCGCCGCTGCTTGGCAGAGGCTAGGGTAGCCTGACGCCAATCCTTCAAGGATCGCTTCATCAGAAAGTAGAAGCGTGCATCGTTAGCCCAGGCTTCCATTTTCTTATTTTGCTCATGCTTCGCTCTCCAAGCCGTGAGAGACTCTTGTGCCAGCCGAGGGGCATAGAACTCAAAGGCAGTGTATTCACGTTCCCGTTGAATGACTAGTCGTTCTCGCCAAACGCTTAATTTGGAGCGTGCCAAATCTTCTGTCCGATGCTCCTCGTGAGCTTCGGCATTAAACAGCAACCGTGTATAAGTATCTCGAGTGTTTGTGACAAACCGAGTAAACACCTCCCGTTTAATGCGCTGCTCATGGATTCTGCGCATTAGCTGGAATCTTTCCATGAGTATCCATTTGTACATGATTTCCATTTTCAGCCGCTCGTCGATTCGTGCACGGAGAGCCAGGCAGCGTAATGTATCATTCCAAGAAGTCCACGCATTCCGCTGCACCCTTTGCTGATCCATCTCTTGCGCTCGGTCCATCATTCGAGCCTTTGAAATCCATTTTGACAGCGCACTTCGAAGTACCCTAGTATCAACTCTGTCTGTGATTCGAGAAGCTGCGGGTGCTAAACGGGATTGGATCTTCCATTCACCAAAAGCTTCTGTCAAGACTAGGTGGCGCTGGGTATTTTCAGCTAGCTGCTGTGCGCTTCCAATTTTTTTTACCTTCTGCGTCCACGCTTGGAGCACGGCGCTCAAGGCAGATCGTTTATTATGCACAGCTATTTCGTGATCACGCTCTCGGTTGGTGCGAAAGTTTTTTAACCAGTAAAGAAGCGAACGCCTCTTAAGCCGATAGTCATACCATTCAGGCGCACGACGCTCACAAAAGCCCCAGAACCATTGCCAGTATGAGGCGTGTTGTAAACTTTTTTGATGAACAGTGACTGCTTGACTCTCCGCCTGCTTAATATCCACAAGTTTCTTGCGCCACTTATTGAATGGTCTCTGCAAGGCGAAACGTTGGGCTTTCAGCTCATTCACAGCAGTTATCTCACGCCAAGCATTGAAGTATTTGATACTCAATACATGCCTTCGGGCTGCTGACGTTCGAGCAACCTCTTCAGATGTGAGCTGGGCCCAATGGGTAAAGGCTTTGGTCATCAAATACAAATCCCGAGCGCGGTTGGCACGTTCATCCAGGTGTTTGAAAAAGCGCTCCGTTCTAGCTGCATGACGCTTTTGTTGAATTATTGCCCGCCATGGCTCGAATGCTTGTCGAAGTAAGGTATTCCGGTCACGATTCACGGCAATTGTTTCCCTCCGCTCTCGTGTTTGTCGCGTCTGAAAAGCTCGTGTCAACCACTGGGTCAATACCTTGCGACACATTGCCCGCTGTCGATACATATTAAAGGTGGATGCATCCCGAAGTAAATCTGAGAGTTGCGGCCGGTAAAGGTTTTCTGGTGGTGGCTCTGCTTTGTCAAACGAGTCCTGCTCTTGGGCCTGTGACACACTAGATTGGGATTCTTCGGAATCTCCGCTATCTGAAGAGACGACCGAAGGTGTGTGGCGGGATTGTGAAGAGGCCACCATTCTCTGAGAACGATCACGATCGACGGCCGCCCGTGCCACCACTCCGTTAGTCAACGGTACCACCTCATTATCCACTTGTTTATTGTGAGCATTGTCAAACCTGCTTATCAATCGACGACCAACATCTAAGAATTGAGCAATCAATTGTGTGCGATCTGGCGATTTAGGTGAGTGGTTTGCTTTGGGTTTCGGCGACAGTTTATGCTTCGCGAAATCGGGCTTTCCGGTTTGGAGTCGAGACATAGACGACCTAGAGCTCGGCCGTTCAATAAAGCTCCTCTGAGTGGCATCTTCGCCAATATCAAGTGTGGTATTAAATGACGCACGTCTCCTGGGTGTGACCGGAGTTCCATTCGTAAGTGGGTGGTGTTGGTGTCCAATTTGGCTATGAGTGCCGTCGTCTGAGTAATGTCCATTTTCCACCGTATCATTAAAGCCTGTGGAGCCCTCTTCACCTATCTCAAGTACAATGCCCATATGTTGAAGTGTATTCTCAAATTTGTCGAACAGAGTGTGTCCTTGAACGTCTTTGCTTCCCATCTTGAACAAGAAGCGCAAGCACGCATGGCCAGGATCAGGATTGACACCATGCTCACGAACCACCTCATCATAGGCCGCAAACAGCACTCGGAACGGGAGTCGCTCAACGTCAGGCTGCCCTTCGGCGCGGGAGACGACTTGGTAAAGGAAACCGACATCTAGCGATTGGACTATGAGTCAGACTGCGGGTCCTAGGGAATGATCTGGCAAGCAAAAAGAGAACAGTCCTACCGTCATCTGAGAGAGACGAGATCTCTTCGGGGGAGGCGCGCCGCTGGGAGGGTATCGGAGGCATCGAAATTTCGCGACTCAAGGCGCGCTTGTCGCATCTGGGTCATAGAGCCGACGGACCAAATAAATCATTGCGAAAGCGGGACAGGCCCAGTCGGAAGAGAAAAGCGCAGATACCTGCCTGCGACCGAGAAAGCAAAAATAAGATAATCCAAAATTAAACCAGCGCCATGGGCCAGTGTCTCGGGTTGTTTTGGTGGTCGCGACAGAAACAGCTCCACCGTCACGTGGAGGTATGCTTAGGTAATGACAGCATTTTGGTGCCTCAGGCGAGGAATGCATGATTCCAACTTCAAGCTTCCCAGTCTGCTTATATTCAGATAAGACAGCTCATCGCATTATCCTTCAACATGCCTACGAAAACTCGCCCAGTTGAGAAGATCGCTAAGGCTGCCGCCCAGTGCTCTGTGGAGGTACGTTCTGACAAAATTTGCGATGTAATACAAGCTAATTCATGTTCTCCAGGCTGCGGCATATGGCAAATGTGTGGTTTCGGACTATAACTCCGTTCACAAAGATATGTGCGCAAAAGAGTTCATGAGATTGAAGGATTGTTTCCTTGTAAGAGCATTCAACTAAGCTTTTTAGCCATCCCTCATAGTTAACAACCCCATGCAGGCTGCCTCTAAGAAGGGTTGAACGGAAGCACGGATTCTACCCAATTGGCTATCTACACTTTTAAAATACGAGGAATGCGGTTTTTCCCTGGCGCAACTTTAGCGAAGCTACTTGGATTTTTTCAAGATCTTGTTGGATGGATTCATGGATCATCAGATGTCTCCCTGTACATATACTACTCGGTCTGAACGCCGAATTGTAACAACATTAAAACTTTAAGAATAATCACAATCATCGATCAACTCAGGATTGTACTTTGTATTTCCCTACTTAGATAGCAAATAGCCCATAGGCCAGGTACTTGAGGCACCAACTAATACAGCAAATCCCATGTAGCCAGAGCATGGACCTTGGTGACATGAAGGAATTCATCCACCGAAGCGGATTCATTCACTGCTGCCACTATGGTAGTATGTCAGCACCTTCCAATGGAATAAGATTGACGAGGAGAGTTCACTCACTACTGTATGGACTACAGCCATAAACATAAGCGGGTATGCCAGCATACCGGTAATGCTTGCAATCTGTAGCACCCATAGAGGGAATGAGTCTTGGATGGAACCCACCAACGGCATTGGCATTCTCTTTGAGATGCTCAATGACAGGATGGTCGATAGATGAAAAGCTACTCGGGTTGCTAGCAGCTTCTTGTCGCTTAAGCTCTATCGTAGCATCGGGATATCGAGGAACCACAGTTCCTATCGCAGCCATCACTTCATCCGCTGACAACCCTACTGGCAACCGGATATCAAGCTCAAAATCACAATTTTCGGGTATCATGTTGACTTTGACACCACCTGAGATGGTTCCAATATTCACAGTTGGCAGACCAATGATGGTCGATGTACCTGGGCCCATTGCCTTGTCCACGGCTTTCAAAGTGTCCGGATCCTTGAGAAGCAAATCAATCTCAGGCGGTGGGTTTGGAGTGATGGATTCAACCACGTTCACGACATCGGCGAGAAACGCAGTGGCAGTTCGCACAGCGCCCTTGCTGAGTTCTGGTCAGCTTTCTTTATTCACAGTCTAATGTAATGATTGACTCCTGACCTCAAGTTCAAGTACGCCCCAAGTGCTCCTTCGGTGGTCACAGATCCAGAAAGCCTCAAAGTGCCTTTTTCGGAAAATCGGATAGTTTGGCCAGATGGTTCTGCACTTAACATGACATCTCCGCCCCATCGCTCTCGGTCCTGCTTGATGAGGTATCCCGTACCCCAACGGCCGCCGGTCTCTTCGTCAGATACAGCACAAAGGGCAACACTCCCGTGGAGGAACTCCTTTCGAGTACAGAGATAAGCATAAGCAATCACCAGTGAGGCTGTGCCAGACTTCATGTCAACAACTCCTCTCCCATGAATACGTCCATTCTCAACATCACCAGACCAAGGGTCGCGCTTCCAGCCACTTGTGTTATCAGCCACGGGGAAGACATCGATATGGCCATTCAAAACAACGCGCGGACCCGGACCTTTGCCGCCTTGAAACTCGCTGACAATATTTGGCTGTCCCTGTTGCCGTTCGATAATTTTGTAGGGGATGCCTAGATCTGACAAGTACTGAGTGAGAGCTTTCGCAGCCGCCGTGGTATTCCCAGGCGGATTGGGGGACGCAGCTCGAACAAATGCCTGGAGTAGTCGAACCTGACTATCTTTGTCGGCCTTCAAGGCTTCTAGAAGAACTGATTTTTCGCTCATGGCTGGTTAAAATATCCTCAATATACAAAGAGCTTATCCAGTGGCAAGTTATAATCTTAACTAAATTTCACTTATCTACTGGACTCTAGACAATGATCGGGCGCTCGGGGATCCAAAGCGGAATAGTGCGAAAGCTGCCCGCATTTTCGATGTTGGTCTCACGCGGGCATAAAGGCATAAAGCAATCACAGATATGTTTCCAGAGAATGGGGACTGTTGAAGCAGTTCCCGCAGAGCAGACCCCGCTCATGGTGATACCTTACAAGAGGCCCGGTGAAACTGATTTCAGTGAGTCTAAATCCTTGAGATCCACCAACATATAGACTACCGATTCGGATGATCCCCCGTAGTGACATTGGGAGATCAAAAATATGCGTATACAATTTACATAAGATTATGCGGGTAGAGTGTGCGTAAACTCAGTATATATGTCATTTATGAAAGCATATCTTGGGAATTTGTAGAAGCTATCTATAGCTTTTTTCTTTTGAGAATTTGCTCAAGCGACACTCTACAGCTTGACCAGACGCAACAGGAATGTCGCATTTTGAACCTCCTGCTCCTCCTGCTCAATGGTTCCTTCCTCGGAGACGGGTGCCTTGCCATCAACCAGTGCACGCTCGTCCAGAGGGCGACGGACGGCCTTCTCAATGGCTTGAGATTGGGACTTGAAAGCCTCGCTGAGGCCGATGTTCTCCGGGTCCGAAAGCACAGTGTATTCCATCTTCACATCATCAGTGGGCACAAGGCCGGCCTTCTTACGGAGACGCTGGAGACGGTTGATGATCTCACGGCCAATGCCCTGGTGTGCAAGCTCGGGGTAAAGGTTGGCGTCAAGGATAGTCATGACATCCGCATCGGTGTTGGTCTCCATGCCGGATGAGCCAGAATCCTCCTTGATGCCTCGCTTCACAACAAGATCACCTTCAACCAACTCAATGCCGTCAACCAGGATCTTCTTCTCGGAGACGTACTTCTTAACTTCCTCACTAGACAGCGCGGGCAGAGCCTTCTTGACCTTCTGCACGTCCTTCTTCAGCTTCTTGCCAAGAGTGGGCCAGTCAGCGTTGACACTGTACTGCACGTTGTACTTGTCCTCGTCAGTAGAGAGGACAAGATCAAGAACGTTAAGCTCCTCCAGGATGTAGCCCTCCAGAGACTTCACGTCATCCAGGTACTCTTGGTCCTGGTGAATCACGACAAGTGACTTCAGAGGGGTCTTCAACCCGATCGAACGGCGCTCACGGGAAAGACGGCCGAGGTCGATCACCTTCTGCATGCGCGCGACTCTGCGCTCCACAACCTCGTCAAACAGTTCCATGCGAACTTCAGGGAAAGGAAGGAAGTGAACACTACGGCTGTCCTCGGCGCGGAGCGCCTCGGGGATGTGAGGAAGAAGACGCTGGTAGATGCTGTCGGTGATGAATGGAGTGAAGGGGGCCAGGCCTCTGACGAGGGTGTAAAGAACCTCGAAAAGGGTGTTCAGGGCATGCAGAGTGTCATCGACACCATTCTCACCCTTCAGACGCTTACGGTTAAATCGAATGTACCAGTTAGTGGTATTCTCAATCAATCCCAGCAAGCGAGGCACAACGGTGTACAAACGGTAACCGGCCATCTCCTCGTTGACAAATTTGAGAAGACTCTGGCAACTTGCCAGAATCCAACGGTCCATCACGTTTGTGTTCGTGGCCTCGGCCTTGGGGTCAAAGACGAACTCGATTTCAGAAGCCTTCTTCAGAAGAGCCACTTGGCCCTCGAAGAACTTATAACTGTTCCACAGAGGAAGAAGGACCTTTCCAACAATCTCCTTGACACCCGATTCCTTGAATCGAAGGGGCTCTGCACGAACCACAGGCGAGTTAATGAGGTAAAGACGCAGAGCATCCGAGCCATAACGATCAATGACCAGTGTAGGATCTGGGTAATTCTTCAATCTCTTAGACATCTTTTTGCCGTCCTCGGCGAGAACGATTCCGTTCACAACACAGTTCTTGAACGGGATCTTTCCTGTTAAGTGTGTACCAATGACACACATGACATAGAACCACTGAGACCACGTTAGTGTATATTCGACTACAGACTAGATAGGGAAAAGGTTGCTTACTCCTCGAGTCTGGTCCAGTCCCTCGGCAATGAAGTCACCAGGGAAGCTCTTCTCAAACTGGTCTTTGTTCTCAAAGGGATAGTGTTGAGAGGCATATGGCATGCTACCCGACTCAAACCAGCAGTCAAAGACCTCTTCAACACGACGAAGCACGCCCTTGCCCTGCTTGCTAGGGATGGTGATGTGATCCACTTTATCACGGTGAAGATCAGTAAGTTCACCCTCGTAACCGCTGAGTCTCTTGAGCTCCTCGATACTTCCAATGGCGACAATCTCCTTGTAGTCATCGCTAACCCACAGGGGGAGAGGGGTACCCCAGAAACGATTCCGGGAGATGTTCCAGTCGCGAGCATTTTGAATCCAGCTAGTGAATCTCTTTTCCTTGACCACATTAGGAACCCAGTGAGATTTCTCAATATTCTCCAGCATCTGGGGGATAATGGGTGTGACCTTCACGAACCAAGCGGGCACAGCCCGGTAGATCAGAGGGGTATCAGATCTCCAGCAGAAGGGATAACTGTGAGTAATCTGGCTATCAACAAGGATACGGCCGGTTCCCTTGAGGTGCTTGATAATGGCCTTGTCAGCAGCCTTGACGTGCTGTCCGGCGAAGTCCCGGACCTCCTTGGTGAAGCAACCGTTCGGGTCAACCGGGTTGGGAGGAGGACGAGCCGGATCAATGACTCCGTGATCAACCGCAACCTTGTAATCATCCTCACCGAACGCAGGGGCTTGGTGGACAATACCAACACCATCCTCAGCAGTTACATATCCGTCATTCAGGACACGGAAACCGTGGTCCTTGAACTCCTCGTAAAAATAGTCGAAAAGGGGCTCGTATTTCCATCCCAGCATATCGGTTCCCTTGAGGCGATCCACGATCTTGAACTTGGCCTTCTTTGGGTCCTTGTAGATAGTGCGAAGCAAAGATTCGAGGAGGATGTAGTTCTTCTTGGTAGCTTCATCATAGATTTTGACGTACTCGAAGGTAGGGTTGGCGCACAGACCAGTGTGGGAGGGGAGAGTCCATGGAGTAGTTGTCCAAGCCAGCAGACAGGTTTCCGGGTCGTCCAAGAGAGGGAAAGTCACAACGACGGCGGGATCTTGTACATCTTTGTAGTTCTGTTGGGCCTCGAAGTTGCTGAGTGGGGTATTGAGAGCAGTTGAGTAAGGCATAACTCGGTAGCCACGGTAGACCATGCCCTTATCGAAGAGCTCCTTCAAGACCCACCAGACTGACTCCATAAAGCTTGGGTTCATAGTCTGTTTTGAAAAACGAGATGCTTTGTTAGTAAAGTACAAAATAATATATGTGCCAGTATAGATGCTCACGACTCGTGATGCGAGCGTACCTTATAATCATTGTCAAAATCAATCCAGCGACCCAGACGCTCAATAGTCTCGCGCCATTCTCCAGCATATCGCATGACAATGGCCCGGCACTCCTCGTTGTATTTCTCAATGCCGAACTTCTCGACCGCCTGGAGACCAGACATGCCAAGCTTTTTGTCGATCTCGTATTCAATGGGCAAACCATGGGTATCCCATCCGAAGCGACGTTCGACATAGTGGCCTTTCATCGACCAGTATCTGGGAATAATGTCCTTGATGGTGGATGCCAAAAGATGGCCATAGTGCGGAAGGCCGGTCGCGAAGGGCGGACCGTCGTAGAAAGTGTAAGGTTCACGGCCTCGGGAGAGCTCAACCTGGCGGTTGAAGGCATCAATCTCCCTCCACCGCTTGAGGATAACTTCCTCCTCGGCGGGAAAATCGATCGACATGGCGTTGGTGGATTGGGAATTTCCAACGGAGGGGGACGAGGGGCAGATAAAAAGAAGAGTGAGTCACCCCACTAAAAGCCCGCACTTTTTGCCAATGAACCCCGCTTACCGCCTTCAAACTATATAGATTGTCGATTTATGTATGATTCATATGCAGCATATTCTCTGTATCTTAGAGATCTACATTGAATATAGAGTATTTATCTTATCGAGTCCATACTCAAATATCTGCTTATACCCATAGGCTACCCAGGCCCGAATGTGAAGGTGATTAAGGAGTGATGTTCACTAAGACGGCTTTATTACCTAAATTTCGCTCGGATGAAGCGTTCTGCATATTGGCTTGCACCAAGTGAGGTTGTATGCGCTTTACTGGAAGATCAGGTACAATAGCATGTTTTCTGAATTTCAATCGTTGCGCTATTCAAACAGCTGCTAGTGGGTCCAACTAATTTTGTGGTGTTCAATCATAGACTATTAAGGAATACTAAGATTATGCTGCACATAAATCATAAATATTTGATTGGTGCACTTAGATAAAACAAGGTGTATCGTGGGGGCTGCAGTATGTACAGACGAAATCACACATTTTCTACTCTTCTTCGTTCTCGTCATCTTCATCCTCATCCTCTGAGATTTCCTGGCCCAGATCTTTGAGTCGTTGCTAGAATGAGATATTAGTAAGGGTTGCACGGTGCAATCAGCATTGGAAAGCCAGCATACCTTGTCCTCGTTTCTCTTGGCCTCCAAATCGCCAAAAACAATAAGTAGATCCTCCAGTTCCGACTGGCTGGCCTGGCGAGCCTCGTCTTTCTCCTTGGCCTCTAACTGTGCCTTTTCAAGTTGAGCTTGGACTTCTTTCAATGCCTGTGCAGCACTTTGAGCTTGTGACTCAGCCTCTCTCGCTTTGCGTTCAGCCTCAGTGGCGCGTGTCTCTAGGGCAGACAATTGAGATGATGCCCCTTCGCTGGCTGCCTCAGCATCCTTAGTGGCCTTCTTTTTGGCTTCATCAAGATCCGCCTGAAGAATCGTGATAATTTTCTGAAGATCGGCATTTTCGCTCTCATGTTTCTCTTGAGCGGTGACTAGGTTCGATTCCAAAGTTGTAATCCGGTCCCTGAAGCCCGAGACCTTTGTCTCATGGTCGCTCTTATTGGAAGAGAGAAGAGATTCGAAACTTTCCAGCTTCATTTGCAGATCTGTGACCTGACCAGTATGGGCGTCTTTGGACTGACTAACAGTTTTTTCCAACTCCTGAATAGTCTTCTTGAGCCCAGCAATCTCCTGAGCATGCTGCTCCTTAGACTGACCAAAGGCGGACTCCGAATCCTGAATTTTCTCCTGAAGGCTAGCAATTTCCTGGGCGTGCTGCTCCTGAGACTGGTCAACGGTAGACTCCGAATCCTGAATTGTCTTCCGGAGGCTAGCAATCTCTTTGGCATGGTTTTCTTTCGATTGACCAATAGTCGAGTTCAGTTCCTTAATTGTCTTTTGCAAGCGAGAAATTTCGCCAGAGTGGCTTTCTGTGGACTGTCTAATGGACTGCTGCATATCCTGGATGGTCTTTTTCAAGCTATTGACTTCAGCAGTGTGTTGTTCCCGGGTCTTAGAAAGCTCTGACTCCAGCCCACGAATGGTCTTCTGGAATCCAGCGGTCTCCTGCTGGTGGTGCTCTCGCAGCTGGGCGCTCTTTCTCTCATACTCAGCCGAGACCTGCTTCAATTGGTTGTCAATGGCATGAAGTTGCTCCCCATGTTGCTTTAGCAAGGCGTTCTTCGACTGCTTGTGCTGCTCTTCCAACCTTGCCAGATCCTGGTCACGGCTGTACTGCATATGTTGCTGGGTCTGTTGGGCCTTGGAAATCTCCCATGAGCTTGATTCTTTCGTCTTCCGGTGATCAGACAATTCCTGGTCAAGCTTTCGCTGAACGTCGACGAGATCTGTTTCCAATTTTTGGATTGATTGGCTTCGTTCTTCCAGTTCTGCGCGCAGGGAATCCACGAGTTCCCGTGAGATACCTTTTTCAACACCATTGGCAACAATTGAGATCTCGAAGCCAGGCTCGCGATCAACAGATCGGATCAGCCGACTGAAGTTATCCTTGAGAAACTCAATGAAAGACTGATCGAAAAAGACCTCAGGTAGTCCCCCTTCAAGTTGACCAGCAGCTGTTTGAGGAAGAACCTCAAAATCACGAACCAATGGGCATTCTCTTAGCTTCGTGATCTTGTCAATATACTGCTCTCTACCAAGTTGTTCGATAAGCAGTTTGTGCAAGGTGGCTCGGGGAATGGGCGAATCCTTGGTAGAAAACTCGTAGATGATACCCAGTAGAGATGTACAAAGACCAGGAATTAACTTGCTAGGCGTTCTTGGGTGCTTGATTTCCTGTAGCAGTGTTTGGATGCTGCTGCCCTCCCCGAGAAGATCATTCACAACATCCGGGTCTTCGTAGAGCCAACCACAGAGCAGCATAAGGTAACCGACTGTGATTCTTTCATCGTCTCCGCGTTGCAAACCAGTTATCAGGTTACCAACCACCGACTGGACGCTAGTGACGACTTCTTCGCCACTCTCAGCATCGCCCTCTGTGACCCCCATTGCCGTTGCTTTCGCTTCAGTGTTGTCAAGGATGAGGTGGAACATAAGAACAGAGGCCATCCAGACTTGATATGGATCGGCATTACCTCGGGATTCAGGTGCAATCAACAAAACGGAAAGGATATTGGGAATCCGATCTTGCCCACTAGTGTGCCCTTCAATGGCACGCCGAAGCACATGCATGCGAATGCCAGAATGATGAGCAAAGAATGCTTTCATACATTCACAGGCCGCGAGACGTGCATCCAGCATATGGTTGGGAGCGGGCTCTAGACTCAATTTCAAGAAAGCCTCAATGACATTAATTCGCTCTGGCTCAGCGCCACCATTGACAGCTTTAGCTTGGGAGCCCCAGGAGACTTCAATGTCCCCAAAGCGTTCTTGCAAGGGCGGATTCCCTCGGATCAGGTCCGCACAGGTTGCAAGAGCTTTAGATGTGACATTGACGTTGAACTTCTGGCCAAAGGCAATGCTGAGTACCTGCTCCGTCACACCGTGTTGCCAAAATGCAGTCTGGTTGCTGGGAGTGCCCTTGCCTCCCCGAATCAGGAATAGTTGAACGATAGCCAAGAGGCCCCAAACATTCTTATCGCGCTGCACCAGAGCCCACTGGGGAGGGGCATCGTCATCCTCTTGGTATTGTTGGCACTCAACGAGGAGCTTCGTTACTTTCTGCATGCAACCAGTCTCGCGGAAGTATGATTGGTTGGATATGTTATACCTCAGTAGGTGGGCGAGCAAGGACAGACAGTCTTCCACCACCTCAGTGCCATTGGTGAGATAACCTTCTGACTCAATTAAAGAAAACAGGATCTCAAATGTATTTTCGAATGCAACAAGTTTCTGCAGCTCTTCGGAGGCAGGGGTCAGGACAATGAGAAGGAGGAGGGCCTCTATGAGAACGGAATTCTTTAGTTTTAGTCTTCCATTGAAGACAAAAAAGCAACTGAAAGGAAAGGAATCCAAACATACCGTTCCGAACTGGCTCTCTAGCATCTGTCAGCACGCTCACCAGTCGGGAAATACCCAATGGCGCGGTGAAGATGCATTCTTGTGTTCGTTCCGGTCTCGCGCCAGAGATGTGGGACATCAATTGAAGGGAATACAAGCGAGAATAAAAGTCTTTGCTTTCAAGAAGATCCAGCAATATTGTAATATTGTCTTGTCGCTGATTCAATGTTAGATCGGCCTCTCGATATCTGGTCAGATTGTCGTACCTGAGTAAACTCGTCTGCCAACCATAGAGCTATTTCATCCGATGCTTCGGGCTGGTGAAGTCAGCAAGGAATAACAAAATGCCTATGGTTCCTCAATTCACTGACGCTGTTCTCATCCGGGGTAAATAGCATCAATAGGGTCTCAAGGACCACCTTGATGGTGTCCGGATCTTCACTGTCATTGTGCAAGCTGCTTATCAGGGGTCGCAGACCTCCCGAGGCAACCGATGCAGGATATAATTTTGCGAAGCTTCTTAGGCCCTGAATCGCAGCCCGTCGATCTTCTAGTAAAGTTGCACTCTGTAGCCTGTTGCTCAGAACGTCGATTGTGTCCGTTGCCGTTTGTTTGGCCGGAGCTTGCGACTCAAGGATTCGGAACATCGTAATTGCAGTTCAATATCATGGTCATCGCCGACCATAGGCGCAGGAATAGGCAGGCATCGAAGGGAGGGTCAAGGTCAACAAACGGAGTTCGGGGGTTTCGAGGATGAGCCCGATTGCGGTAAAGCTGGCCTCGCCGACCGCCCACATTCAAGCTCGTACCGCCTTCTGAGTTCAGTAGCTTTCTACGTAGCAAAGTCCTTTGTTGCATAATATCTTTTTCAACTACAGCAAGTAAATTAAATGACACTGATCTAATCTTCCAAGATAAATGAGCTCTGCCTTCAGCTATGTAAGATCACAATTGCCACATTGCAACTACAATGGATGCATGTATGTACCGACTCCAAGCTCCAGTTCATCCCCGGGGACGGCAACCGTGCATGACTAAGGTCAGCGCCGGAAATAAACTCGCCGCAGAGACTTTCAATTTCTCTCAACACCCATAATCTGCGCCGTGATTTTGGTCTCGGTTGCATCTATTTCACACTCATCATACCTCGGTGCTTGAAGCGACCAGAATTCGAAGTCCAAACCTTGGGTTTTCGTATATCCCCGAGTACCGCGACTTCGCCAACCCTAGCGGCAGTCGCATTCCCGCGCCGCGCCAACTTCACGAAACACCTGAGGTGAACCAGTCGTCGCATCTCCAAGATGGGTGTCCCCGCGCTGTTCCGATGGCTATCCAACAAGTATCCGAAGATCATCTCTTCGGTGATCGAGGAGTTGCCGCAGCAGGTGGATGGTGAAGAAATTCCGGTTGACACCACGCGCCCGAATCCCAATGGAGAAGAAATGGACAACTTGTACTTGGACATGAACGGTATTGTTCATCCGTGTACTCATCCTGAAGGCCGACCCCCACCAGCAAATGAGCAGGAGATGATGTTGGAGATCTTCAAGTATACCGATCGAGTTGTCAACATGGTCCGTCCCAGGAAACTCCTTATGATTGCTATCGGTATGTACCAGCCATATAAAAACCGTTTTTATCCCTTCAAATACTTTTTCTCTCATGATCATTATTTTGGAGCAAACTTGACTAACATGAGAGGTTACAGATGGTGTTGCACCAAGAGCGAAGATGAACCAGCAGCGTTCTCGTCGATTCCGATCCGCACAAGAAGCCCAGGAAAATGATGAGAAAAAGGAGGAGCTCCAAAAATTGCTTGCCAAACAGCGCGCCGCAAAGGGAGAGGAGGCTGTCATGCAGGAACAGGTCGTTCATAAAACCTGGGATAGTAATGTCATCACTCCCGGTACACCCTTCATGGATATCCTTGCTGCCTCTTTGCGTTATTGGATTGCTTACAAGCTCAACACTGACCCTGCTTGGGAGAAGGTAAGGAATTATGGGTTGGTTTTTCAAAGTCTCACCTTGACTGACTTTTTCTACCAGATGAAAATCATTATCTCGGATGCTACGGTACCAGGAGAGGGTGAACACAAGATTATGGAATTCGTACGATCACAAAGAGCGTCCCCAGAGCATGATCCTAATACCCGTCATGTTATTTACGGTCTTGTAAGTTTGAAATTCGTACGCTATTTGCAGGTCTGGAACGCTAACGCCTTATGCTAGGATGCTGATCTTATCATGCTTGGTCTTGGCACTCACGAACCCCATTTCCGTGTGCTACGTGAGGATGTTTTTTTCCAAGAGTCCAAGCCTCGGGCTTGTAAATTGTGCGGTCAGGCTGGCCACAAGGCTGAGGAATGTACTGGCCGTGCGAAAGAGAAGAGCGGAGAATTCGATGAAAAGCAAAACGCAGTTCCTCTCAAGCCATTCATCTGGCTGCACGTCTCAGTTCTGAGAGAGTACCTGGCTGCTGAACTGCAAGTTCCCCAGCAACCATTCCCCTTCGATCTGGAACGAGCTTTGGATGATTGGGTCTTCATGTGTTTCTTTGTTGGAAACGATTTCTTACCCCACCTTCCCGCGTTGGATGTCCGTGAAAATGGTATTGACACTCTTATCGCCATTTGGCGTGACAACATTCCGGCTATGGGCGGTTATCTGACAGAAGATGGACAAGTCAACTTCTCTAGAGCCCAGCTCATTTTGCAAGGTGTTGCAAAACAGGAAGATGCAATCTTCCGACGCCGCAGACAGGGTGAGGAGAGAAAGGCAGCGAACCAGAGGAGACGTGAGGAACAAGAGAGAGCTCGGAATAACGAACATGCCAGTAAGCGAAGACGGAGTTCACCGAACTACAATGGCCCGACACGCCACCAGGCTGGTGGTGACAACGTTCCCCCTCCTGGCTTGGAGTTGATAACCCCGGGTCGTGGGCACTTGGACAAACAGACGAGAGAGCTTACTCACAGCATGGTCGTGAACCGTGGCGCTGTGTATCGCGCCAACATGGAGAACAAGAGTGCCGCCGCTGTGCTGAAAAGCAAACTCATGAAGGGCTCGCAGGCTGAACCAGTCGCCGAAGAACCAGCTCCGTCAGAGGACGACGCTGCCGATTCGCAAGCTGTTCTTGGAAAGAGAAAGGCGGATGATGAAGCCGCAGAGGAACAGGAAGACGAGCCAGGAACTCCTGGAAGAGACTCGCCTCCCGCCCCACCTGCCAAACCCAAGGAGAACGAGGAACCCCAGGATACTGTTCGACTCTGGGAACCTGGATATGCTGATCGTTACTACGAGCAGAAATTCGGCGTTGATCCTGAGGATCATGAGTTCCGCCACAAGGTCGCCCGTGCTTATGCAGAGGGTCTTGCCTGGGTGCTTCTCTATTATTTCCAGGGCTGTCCTTCTTGGACTTGGTATTATCCATACCACTACGCTCCATTTGCCGCTGACTTTGTGGATATCGGTGACATCGTCCTCGATTTCAGCAAGGGCCAGGCTTTCAAGCCTTTCGAGCAGCTGATGGGTGTCTTGCCTGCGGCTTCTAATCATGCCCTGCCCGAGGTGTTCCACGACCTCATGAGCAACCCGGAAAGTGAAATCATTGACTTTTACCCTGAGGATTTCCCCGTGGATCTCAACGGCAAGAAATTCGCGTGGCAAGGCGTGGTTTTGCTTCCGTTCATTGACGAGAAGCGTCTGCTGGCTGCTATGGAAAAGAAATATCCCCTTCTCACTGAAGAAGAGCGGCTCCGCAACACCCACGGCCGAGAGGTTTTATTGCTGTCGGACCAACACCCCCTTTACCAAGACCTTGCCGCCAACTTCTACTCCAAGAAGCCCGGTCCAGCGCAGTACAAATTAAATATGCGCGTAAGCGATGGCCTGGCCGGTATTGCTGAACGTAGCGACACTTATATACCCCATGGGTCCCTGGTCTCCAATCTGGAAGACTACGGTATGCCCAGCCTCGATGATGACCGCACCCTCACGTAAGACTCAACCCCCAATTCTAGTATATTGCACACATACTGACTTTAGATAGGGTCAATTATTCGATTCCCAAGTCCGAGCACCTGCACAAGTCTATGCTGCTCCGAGGCGTGAAGTTCCCAACACCCATGCTGAATGACGCCGATGTTCGCGCTGTTAAGGGCCGCGCTCAGCATTCGGGTCGCCAATTCGGAGGTGCCCCGTTGAATGGTCGAGGACGTGGAGGCCGCATGGACTACGGAGGTGGCCGTCCTAACCCTTTCGCGGCGCATCTTGATCCTCGCTTCATGAACATGCCACAGGGTGGCCAGGGTGGCCAGCACGGTGGAATGCCGATGATGCCTCCCGGGTGGGTGCCCCCTCAACAGGGTGCTGGCGACTACTCCCGAGGCCCACCTCCACCCCCACGTGGTGGGATGTCCCATCAATACCCCCCTAGGGACTACAATGGTCAGCAGGGCCAGTATGGTGGGCACCATAACTATGGCTCCCAAGACAACTGGGGCAGAGGTGGCTACCGCGGAGGTAGAGGACGAGGACAGTACCAAGGACATTCTGGAAACCGCGGAAATCGTGGAGGTGGCGGTGGAGGCTACGGCCGTTACTAGTGGAGTGGACTCTCCACTTGGAATGCTGCATCTATGAGCATCGGGAATTGAACAAGGGGGCTTACGATGAAAAAGGCGTTTGGTGTTACTTCAAAAATGTACAAAGCAAATGACATCTACCTTATTTGTGTTTCTGCGTCAGGCAAGATAATCTGGATGTGGAGAAGATCTACCTTCATGTAGTACATCCTATGTCCTCCGTAATCCGTAGTGACTAGTAAGTGGGGTGTGCAACCCTGAGAGCCGCTCATTAGGGCTTGCTCAGCCAACCACACCAACTCAATGAACAACCTGGTAAAGGAGAATTATATTTATGGCGTATGCGAGGGGATAGACCTATTATTTTCCCCAGAGAAAGAGACTAGTCACATCCTCGGCGATCAACCATGAATCATCATGGAGTAAATAATCCTCGCACTAGCAGCCGGTCGCACTGAGTCATCGGGCGGTAAAGGACCGAACTGCCGCGAAATCGGAGTGGGATTAATCGAGTCGACTGACTGTTTTTTCTACATCCTGGTCGCCTAATTGGAAAATCATAAGCTGACACTCTGTACAGCAGTCCAGGTAAGCAACTGTCTTTTCCGTTCGTTTCCTATAGGTGTCGGCCTCGATTCCCTCCAGAATTGTGCGCACCTTGCGTCGCTAGCTCCGTCGGTGGGGGAAATCCCGCCGATTTAGTCACCGAGAAGAGGGTTTATACTAAAACAATTATAGAATGAATTGAGAGTCGAAGTCAATCCTCCAGACATCATCACGACGCCCTCTGTGCCCACAATGACTGAGCCCACCAAGATTAGCATCTTAGGTCGGGAGAGCATTGTCGCTGATTTTGGTCTGTGGCGCAACTACGTCGCAGCAGACCTGGTCAACGGCTTGCCCTCGACCACCTATGTCCTCATTACCGATACAAATCTCGGTTCCATCTATACTCCTGGATTCCAAAAAGCCTTCGAAGCCGCAGCCGCCTCCGTCTCCCCCTCTCCCCGCCTCTTGGTCTATAATGCCGCTCCCGGTGAAAGCTCAAAATCCCGGCAGACCAAGGCCGACATTGAAGATTGGATGCTGAGCCAGAGCCCGCCATGTGGACGTGATACCGTTGTTATTGCGCTGGGTGGTGGTGTCATTGGTGATTTGACTGGATTCATCGCCGCAACCTACATGCGCGGTGTTCGCATTGTTCAGGTCCCCACTACGCTGCTTGCCATGGTGGACTCCTCCATTGGAGGCAAGACTGCCATTGACACCCCTCTTGGAAAGAATCTGATCGGCGCCATCTGGCAGCCATCAAGGATCTACATCGATCTTGAGTTCTTGGAGACTCTTCCTGTGCGAGAGTTCATCAACGGCATGGCAGAGGTTATTAAGACTGCCGCTATCTCGAGCGAAGAGGAATTCACTGCGCTGGAAGACAATGCGGATATTATTTTGAATGCCATCCGTAGCGAGGCTAAGCCTGGCCAGGGTCGTTTCGACGGTATCCGTGACATTTTGAAGGCCAGAATCTTGGCCTCGGCGCGCCACAAGGCCTTTGTTGTGTCTGCGGATGAGCGTGAGGGTGGTCTCCGAAACCTCTTGAACTGGGGTCACTCCATTGGTCACGCCATTGAGGCCATTCTGACCCCCCAGATACTCCACGGAGAGTGTGTTGCCATTGGTATGGTTAAGGAGGCTGAGCTTGCTCGACACCTGGGAATTCTGAAGGGTGTTGCGGTGGCCCGTATCGTTAAGTGTATTTCGGCCTACGGTCTCCCCACTTCAATGAAGGACTCGCGTGTGCGTAAGTTGACTGCGGGTAAGCACTGCTCTGTTGACCAGCTGATTTTCAACATGGCACTTGACAAGAAGAACGACGGACCCAAGAAGAAGGTTGTTCTGCTATCTGCTATTGGGCGTACTCACGAGCCTAAGGCTAGCGTTGTCTCGAACCAAGACATCGCTATTGTCCTGGCTCCCAGCGTTGAGGTTCACCCTGGTGTGCCCAAGACTCTCAACGTGACTTGCACACCCCCGGGATCCAAGTCGATCTCGAACCGCGCATTGGTTCTTGCTGCCCTTGGTTCGGGCACTTGCCGTGTTAAGAATCTGCTGCACTCCGATGATACCGAGGTTATGCTGAACGCTCTGGAACGCCTCGGAGCTGCAACCTTCTCCTGGGAGGAAGAGGGTGAGGTCCTTGTTGTGAATGGAAAGGGTGGAAACATTGTTGCTAGCCCAACATCTTTGTACCTGGGTAACGCTGGAACTGCTTCTCGATTCTTGACCACTGTGGCAACTCTTGCTACACCGAGCACTGTTGACTCCAGCATCCTGACCGGTAACAACCGAATGAAGCAAAGACCCATTGGCGATCTTGTTGATGCTCTGACTGTCAACGGAGCTGGCGTCGAGTACATGGAACGCAACGGCAGTCTGCCCCTTAAGATTGCCGCTTCTGGTGGTTTTGCTGGAGGTAACATCAACTTGGCTGCTAAGGTCTCTTCTCAGTATGTGTCATCGCTGCTCATGTGTGCTCCCTACGCCAAGGAGCCTGTGACATTGAGATTGGTTGGAGGCAAGCCCATCTCCCAGCCTTACATTGATATGACCACCGCCATGATGCGATCTTTCGGTATCGATGTGGTCAAGTCCACCACCGAGGAGCACACCTACCACATTCCCCAGGGTCACTACGTGAACCCTGCTGAGTACGTCGTTGAGAGCGACGCTAGCTCCGCCACCTACCCTCTCGCCATTGCGGCCATCACGGGCACAAAGTGCACCGTTCCCAACATTGGTTCCAAGTCGCTTCAAGGTGATGCTCGATTCGCTGTTGATGTTCTTCGGCCTATGGGTTGCGTCGTTGAGCAGAGCGACAACTCCACTACTGTTACTGGGCCCAGCAGCGGCGTTCTCCGTCCATTGCCCAACGTGGATATGGAGCCCATGACTGACGCTTTCCTCACTGCCTCTGTTCTTGCAGCTGTCGCCCGAGGCGAAGGCTCCAATCACACAACTCGTATCTACGGAATTGCAAACCAGCGTGTCAAGGAATGCAATCGCATTAAGGCTATGAAGGATGAATTGGCCAAGTTTGGCGTGGTCTGCCGTGAACACGATGACGGTCTTGAAATCGATGGCATTGACCGCTCCACCCTCCGTTTACCCTCCGGTGGTATCTACTGCTACGATGATCACCGTGTCGCTTTCAGCTTCAGTGTTCTGTCCCTTGTTGCTCCTCAACCCACTCTCATTCTCGAGAAGGAATGTGTCGGTAAGACTTGGCCGGCATGGTGGGATGCTCTTAAGCAGATATGGGGTGTGAACCTTGACGGGAAGGAGTTGACCGAGGAAGAATCGGCTGTTACAACTCAAGAAGAAAAGGCCAGTGCATCCATCTTCATCATCGGCATGCGTGGTGCTGGTAAGACTACCGCCGGCAGCTGGGTTGCCAAAAGTCTGGATCGGCCCTTCATCGACCTTGACAACGACCTTGAGGCCACTGAGGGTATGACCATTCCAGAAATGATTAAGCAGCGCGGCTGGGAAGGGTTCCGTGATGCAGAGCTCGCTACTCTGAAGCGCTGTATGCAAGATCGACCAAACGGGCATGTTTTCGCTTGCGGTGGTGGTGTGGTTGAGATGCCTGAAGCACGGAAACTTCTTACTGAATGGCATCAGAGCAAGGGTAACGTTCTTCTGGTCATGCGCGATATCCAGCTCGTCATGGACTTCTTGAACATCGACAAGACCCGTCCCGCCTACGTGGAGGACATGATGGGCGTGTGGCTGCGCCGCAAGCCTTGGTTCCAGGAATGCAGCAACATTCAGTACTACAGCCAGCATTCTAACTCTTCCGAACTTACTCTAGCATCGGAAGACTTCAATCGTTTCATGAAGGTGGTTACCGGCCAAGTGGATCCACTTGAGACCATTAAGAAGAAGGAGCACAGTTTCTTTGTCTCCTTGACACTACCTGATCTGCGTGAGTGCAGTGAAATTCTGACTCAAGCTTGCGTCGGATCTGATGCTGTGGAGCTGCGGGTGGATCTGCTGAAGGACCCAAAGGCGGATGGCGATATTCCTTCTGTGGACTATGTCAACGAGCAAATGTCCTTCCTTCGCAAGCGTGTTTCTCTTCCCCTTATCTTCACCATCCGCACCAAGAGCCAAGGTGGTCGCTTTCCCGATGATGCTCATGATGCTGCTATGCAACTGTACCGGTTGGCATTCCGCTCTGGTGCCGAGTTTGTGGATCTTGAGATTGCCTTCCCTGAAGAGATGCTCCGCACTGTCACCGAGATGAAGGGCCACTCCAAGATTATCGCATCCCACCACGACCCGCTCGGAAAGCTGTCATGGAGCAACATGTCTTGGATCCCATCCTACAACCGGGCTCTCGAGTATGGCGATGTGATCAAGCTTGTCGGCGTTGCCCAGAGCCTCGACGATAACACCGCTCTGCGTAAGTTCAAGAATTGGGCTGCACAGGCACACGACATTCCGTTGATCGCTATCAACATGGGTGACAACGGTCAGCTTAGCCGTATCCTGAATGCCTTCATGACCCCTGTTTCGCACCCCAGCCTGCCCTTCAAGGCGGCGCCCGGTCAGCTGTCCGCAACTGAGATTCGAAAGGGTCTTTCGCTTATGGGTGAGCTCAAGGCCCAGAAGTACGCCATTTTTGGCTCTCCTGTGGCCCAATCCCGGTCTCCTGCTCTTCACAACACCCTTTTCGCCGAGATGGGACTGCCTCATGAGTATGGACGTATCGAGACCACCAATGTGGAAGATGTCAAGGACTTCATTCACGCCCCGAACTTTGGCGGTGCCTCCGTGACCATCCCCCTCAAGCTCGACATTATGCCTCTTCTGGATGAAGTCGCCCAGGAAGCTGAGATTATCGGTGCCGTCAACACCATCGTTCCCGTGGACAACGCCGGTCAGCGCAAGCTTGTCGGTTACAACACCGACTGGCAGGGCATGATTCAATCCCTGCGCAATGAGGGTGTCTACGGTTCAACAGGAAGCGACAGTGCCGTAGTCATTGGTGGCGGTGGTACTGCCCGCGCTGCCATCTTCGCCCTTCACCACATGGGCTACTCCCCGATCTACGTTGTCGGACGCACTGCCAGCAAGCTTGAGGGTATGGTTTCGACCTTCCCTACCAGCTACAACATCCGCGTTGTGGACAACCACGCTCAGCTCGATACCGTTCCCCGGATCGCTGTCGGCACTATTCCCGCTGACCGCCCCATCGATCCCGCCATGGCTGAAACCCTCAGCCAAATGTTCGAGCGTGCCAAGGCTGAAGGTACATCCGGAGAGTCTCCTCGTGTGCTCCTCGAGATGGCCTACAAGCCTTCCGTGACAGCACTGATGGAGTTGGCTTCCGCTGCGGGTTGGAAGACCATTCCCGGTCTGGAGGTCCTTGTTGGTCAAGGCGTTTACCAGGTATGTTCCACTACCCTTAATATTGATGCCAATGCTAATTATTCTGGTAGTTCGAGCACTGGACTGGTATCACACCTCTGTACAACGTCGCTAGAGTAAGCACCCCACCCCTTGACTTACATGAACTGGACACTAACAATCACTAGGATGCGGTGATGGGCATCAAATCGATCGAATAAACATATTAGCAATTTTCTACATTTCGGAATTCCAGCGCTGTTCTTCAGGAACAAGTCGAACAAGACCGAACTCAAAAGTTGTCTCGGCCTTTCTTATTGTTGATGAATATTACGTTACATATCTAAATTCAAGCCTGTTTCATTATTCTACTCCTGAATAACCTGCGGGGTTCTGCTACGAAGGTTAAAGTACTCTTGGACATGCTGATCTATGCCAATCCCGCCCCTGTATACATCACTCTATTGAATCAATTCATCCCGGCATCTTGCACAATTCTAAAGCCGCCATCTCGATTAACTTGCAGAATGTGTTTCAAGCAGCTTTCCCTCACTATGGCCTTTGTCATGGGCGTTGAAGCTATCGCACGAGATTCCGGGGTTTCGGGGCCTCGGTTGGAGCTTATCCATGAGTACTATGATGAATGGCCGACGGGTACGTGCAGCTAAGAGATTTTCCAACGGAATCAACTTAGTCAAATCACTTAGGCGTCGCCGTGTCTTCCACCGGTCGCATTTTCATCTGCTACCCCCTTGGCTTAGACGCGAACAACACCAAATTCAAGTCGCCGAGCTTATCAACAAGACCGCCGAGACACCGTATCCCTCTGCTCTCTGCTGAGATTAATTCCCCCCCCAGGAGGACCATTCAACTATTCTACAACCCCGCCGGTTGGTTTTTCTGTTCAAACGACATCTCCTCTTGCTGACCCGGTGACTTTGTAAGACGTCGGTCAACACTAGAATCCATTTTATTAGCGTACAAAGCGTGTACATCGACTCCAAAGACAGACTGTGGGTTCTTGATACAGGTCGTGCCCGAACTCCCGATGGCACTTTGCTCTTTCCAGCTACGGGGGACCGAAACTCGTCGGTGTCAACCTCACCACTAATCAGGTATTCAAGACAATTACGTTCTCGGAGGATGTGGCGTACTCAACCTCGGTAGATCAGAGTACCCCAGACATACTATATTCAAGCATACTGATACTCAATGCAGTACTTGAATGACGTGCGCTTTGATCTACGAAGCATGATCACCGGAACAGGCGAGGGTGCTGCGTACATCTCCGACTCAAGCTTCACATACAACAACGGCATTATTGTCGTAGACCTCGGTACAGGCGATGCCTAGCGCCATTTGGACGGTCTACCATCGGTGAAAGCAGATCCAATTTTCGAGGTAACAATCTGGGGAGATACAGTGCAATCCCAGTCAACGGGCATCGACGGAATAACCCTCTCAGCGGACGGGGAAATGCTATATTTCGGCGTCGTAAGCGGACGGTACATTTACTCAGTGCCTACTGCCCGGTTACTCGACGATACATCCTCTAATGCGCAGATGAAATCCATTGCTGCTGTTAATCGACTAGTGCAGAAGGGGGTCAGTGATGGCTATGAGGTTGATTCGAACGGCTATATTTACGTCGGCAGCTTTGAGACTAACTCTGTCAATGTCTTCTTTCCAAATAACTTGACTGTATCGACTCTTGTGTGAGATCCGCGCATTGGGTGGACTGATAGTTTCAGTGTTGTTAGTCTGGAGAGTGGTGGTTCATTGAAGGGTTATCTGTACTTTATTGAGAACCAGCTTTGGAAGTCAGATCGGGAGAAGCCGTATGCCTTGTTTCGTGTTCCTTTGCCTGATGGTGGGTTGAAGATCACCTAGTGTCATCTATATCATTATTGGGTTGTGTTAGGAGGCAATACACTTGATTGACATAACATTGACTTTAGATGCATATGATAGTGCACATTAGTAGTGGCTCTATTAATTGATGAGACACTGGTTTGAGCATATTCTTAGATCTCTGAAAGATTGTAGAGTAAGACCGGTATAGATGCACAATGGCGGTAAACAAGGTATGGCACCAACCACCCGGATCCACATTCAGAATGCCTTTGAACATGTTTTCTGCTCACAAAAAAAAAGGAAAAGGACCGAAAGGAGTTAATGAAAGCGTTAGAGAAAAGAACAGCAAAAACAACAGCCGAGCTTGGATAGCAGGCGATCGCGGTAACCACTGCGCCATTGCGACAAACGTCGCAACCAGGACTCGAACCTGGGCATCCGAAGAAAATCGCTGTACTTAAACCCTTACGTCAGACTGCTGTTGAAAATTGTTGCTTCAATTTGAAATATAAAGGCCCTTCCCGAAATAAATAGATGTAAGCGCGACCAGTCGCCATGCAAAATACTAGAATTTACCCTGGGCTGTTAGACACCATGCCATGTTGTTCTTTATGAATTTCTTTCCTTGAGCCCACATTTCCCTTTTCCGCTTCCCTCTGGTTTATGAGAAATCTTCCCTCGACAACAATTCTACTGACCATCCACACCGATCCACGCAAAGGTCATTCTGCACGGATGTTTTTGGAGTTGACATTGAAGCGGGGCAAGTCACAATGGTTGGTCAAGACGCTACTCAATGACCGCATTGGATGCGAATGCAATCTAAAGCATGGGGCCAACAAAGCATCAGAGGCCAAACTTATGCAGGACCGATGATCTCAAATTCAGCGTTAACCAATTGCCAGCTGTCTTTTCTTTTCTTCTACTAACTGGTATTTGGCAGTTCGTACACGGAGATGGGCACGGTTAAGTGCTCCCGGAAGAGTGGCTGTGCTTGCTCAAACCTCAACATGGCATAGATGCATATCGCTTCCTTTAAGCACCAGTCAGGTATAGTAAGAAACTGTTGGAAATCTACTTTTACAAAAGTGGCATCGGAATTGAAAGAGAGGGAAGGTAGATCCCCGTTGTTGATACTTACAGGATACATATCTTTTGAACACATTCGACAACTGAAAGTTTCTGCAGTCAATTTGCTATCCTTCAACGCTGTTGATCTCAGGAACCCTAGATACACGAGAACCCCGCTGAGTAGTAACTTGAGAGGTGAGGAAGTATTCATAGAAGCAATCTCAGTTTGTGCTGGCATGGCATTGATAATGGAGGGTTTGATAATCAGGTCATTGATGCACCAGCTTTTTCCGACTTTCTTGTTGAAATAAAAAAAAAAAAAAAAAAAAAAAAAAACGAAAAAAACAACAGCCGAGCTTGGATAGCAGGCGATCGCGGTAACCACTGCGCCATTGCGACAAACGTCGCAACCAGGATTCGAACCTGGGCATCCGAAGAAAATCGCTGTACTTAAACCCTTACGTCAGACTGTTGTTGAAGGTTTTCGCCACTAATATAATTCATATCGGAACACCAAATTTCCCAAATTGACCACCATACCGATTGTGCATTCCTGTCTTCCAACAAGGTCGTCGACTTTATACACTTATTTGAACTTTTTAAGACAGTGGGTAGTGGGTAGTATGCCCTCATCTTAGTGGCTCTAGCCCTCTAATCCTTTTCTCGCGCATGAAATCATCGTTGAGATGATGCTCATCAAGTCTCCTTGTTTTACTTCGACTACTGGGAGTATATATAACCGTTATCCATTAACACGAGATGCCGCAAATGCTAGCAGGACTAAGGTTCCCAATCGAGAGAGTTCGTACGTATGCCTAGGCCAGCTCGGTAAAATCATCATGAACTTTATATTTCCATGACGGAACGTTCCAATACACACTGTCTGTATCATCGATGTCTTCAGCGATGCAGAGTCAACAGCGAGCCGGAGGAACGTGCCCAACTTCTACAAATTCTCTCTCGAAAAATACCAAATAATGCTGGCTCATGAAGCATTCCTTCTCTTCCAAGGTAGAGACTTTACGATTCTCCCTTATTTTCCTTTTATACCCACCTGGTAAGTGGGTACTGACTTTCCTCGGGACTTTACACCCCTTCCCATCCCCATCTCCGCAGCCATCCGACTAGATATAAGCCCACTGGATACCAGCAGCCCGCTCATCAATCTTCCAATAGGAGCCCTATTCCATAGCCTCCCTGACTCTGATTCGGTTTTAGCTGGCCCAGCTGAGGCGTTGCCAAGGAGAATGGATTGGAGGTCATGACAGCCCGGGGATGAACATGGATACAGCCATCTTAACAGAGGTCGAGTCAGTGAAATTCTAGGTATGGCACTGAGAGTCCAGCGACGGAGTGATGGCCACATTGGTTTTACATGGATTTTCACCGCATCCACACCACTTTAATGAGCATGGACCATCACCCATGGACTTCCTAGTCCACAAAAGGATGGCCGAATTGACAGCAAGACAACTGTCGTTTCCACCATCAGCCGCTCCTTTTTTTTTTTTTTTTTTTTTTTTTTTTTTTTCTCGGTGAACTACATGGCTGACCTTCCACTAAGTTCTCTCATAACCCTTGCAAGGTTGCTAGCAACTCACTATCGAATTTTCCTGACCACCCATATCTCGACGTGTTCAGCGACCGTGGCAAGCACCCTCGCGCGTTCGAAGACAATTGCTACGGGACATCCTGAACGGGCCCCTACTATGGAAAATATCCAGTATCCGCGACAAGGGCCTGGGCCATGCCCACTGTTGCCATCAGAAAATGCTGCAGTGGCATAGGAAGCTCGCCTGCGACCGAGGTATCCTACATTACCACTTATCGAACCAGTACGTATATTCTCTGATGGTGACTGATTATCCTCTGACTGAGAGGACTGCGGCAGCCCGATGTATTACTTGAGACCGCCACTGCTTGAGCACTGTTGCATCTATCCCAAAGACATACATCAATATTTGGCCTGTTTTCAACTCTAGTCGTGAATGTCAGTTATTCTTATATTTTTGTGAAGAATCTTCTTCTAAGCCTCTGCTGGAGACGCTGGATTATATTCAAATGCTCAATTTGAACCTAGCTCCAATATCATAGTTGACGATACTTCCGTTATTTCCTGCTTTCCCTACTGCCACGGTAAACATCACAATGAATCCCTAGCCAGACCTCTAACCTCGGTCCACCCGAATTTCGTAATGATGTGCGTCAATAGAAATGTCAGTGATGCGGTGTTCACCAGTGTAGCTACCGTCTCGTAGTCGAAGACCTCCACTGCGGTAATGATTTGTAAGAAAACTAGTGGATTTTTTTGGTCATTGGGAATACAAATTCTTGCTGGAAAGGATGTCTCTTTACCTTTTTTTGGGTACACAAACAAGTACTCATTGTTGAAAGAATTGTGAGTAATTAGCTGTGCCTTAGGGTAGGAAGCGTCCCTCCCTTATATTTCAAAGTAAAGACATCATTTTCCAACAGCAGTCTGACATAAGGGTTTAAGCATAGCGATTTTCTTCGGATGCCCAGGTTCGAATCCTGGTTGCGACGATTGTCGCAATGGCGCAGTGGTTACCGCGATCGCCTGCTATCCAAGCTCGACTGTTGTTTTTTTTTTTTTTTGCTTTTCATTTCTTTCAGTTCTAAATTTTTTTTTCTTCCTGAATACGACAAGATATATTGTGGAGATAGATACAATGGATCAAAACGCAATCTGTTTGCATTTCATGGATACACACAAACAAACCTTTAGTACAATTATGCGTCTTACAGATGTCGGTTATATGTCAAACTATTGAAAAAAAGTTCAGCAGCAGTCTGACGTAAGGGTTTAAGTACAGCGATTTTCTTCGGATGCCCAGGTTCGAGTCCTGGTTGCGACGTTTGTCGCAATGGCGCAGTGGTTACCGCGATCGCCTGCTATCCAAGCTCGGCTGTTGTTTTTTTGCTCTTCTTTTTCCTATTTTCATTTTTCGTCTTTATCAACCAAACATTATTATTATTCCATTGAAGCAGTTGATGGTGGTTGGGAGGAAGCCGAGGAAGCCGAAACTAAAAGACCGCAGACGACCGATTGCATACTAACCTGGCTTTACTACAGTATGCTTCCCCTGCACCTCTGCTCGATGCCGTGCCATTTTACTGAATCCACAATATGGAGCAGCATATCACAATGTTCTTCTTCTTAGCATGGACCTGGATGTAAAATGCCAGTTTGAATTTCTAAAAGGGCACTCTCTTTCAAAAGTAGTTCCCATTGCCGAGTAACACATCAAAAAGGAAAGCGTTCATATTGCAGGCTGCCTGCACCAGAAAAAATTCATGTTTTCCTGGCTCGAATTTCTAGCATCATATCAATTTTCAATACAATGCCATGCTTTCGCTTCAGGTAGTCGACGAGAATGTAGTTTTGGCTTAGCCTTTTTCTTTTGCTCATCATGTCTTGAAACTCAGTATCCTTGAGCGCTGACCCGACTCTTGCTTGGTCTTGTGTTCTGTCCCCAAATTCGATTGTCCCGGGTGTCTTGACCTTGATCGGGGTGTTCTCACACTTGGCAAAATAACGCCCACAGAGCACTCTCCCATGAGATTTATTGCCTATTGGGTCATTTGCAAAGAATCTCCACCGCTCTGCCCAAAGGGCATTACATACTTCACATCGGATAACTAATACCTTCAAGTGGATGGCAGTTACTCGAATACAGCCATGTTCCGAAATGTCCTTCTCACAGGCGTTACAAAGCCAGTGCTTTAACTTTGCGTTCCACTGCTGTTTGATCCTGCCTCCGAAGTCAACATGGCAATTGATGCACGTTTTCCTTTCACGTCGCTGCTTTCTTTCCTTATCCGAGTATCTGTCGTTGTAGCAGAGATCTGGCAAGCTCGAGGAGAGGGCCATTCTGGAGAATCTGTCGTACCGCATGGCAACGGTAGTAGCCCAAGCGCCGTATCAGGCTATCCTCTGCTGTCTGCTGCTTCCTCGAACACGAAGCGCATTGATACTTTCCACTTGCTTGACCTGAGGAAGATCGAATTAGTCTTCATTTCCGTGTGGTAGTTGATCCGCATTTCATGCAAACTTTACCGTCTCTTTGTCGGATCCATACTTCACGAGGGCGATCTTCTCCATAATCCCACATCCACATGTAGCAAGAATTGCACAGAACCAGGCCTTGGGCTTTAAAGTGAAGCCTCCACCTCGAGGATGCAGTCACTTTACAATTGGAGCAAGGTTCCATTTTGAGGACTTTGCTGGTCGAAGAGAAACGAAGGCCTGCCCACTCCAACTCTGAACCAGTAACAGTAACAAGTTCGGCATACATAAAACGTTGCTACATCCCCTGAGCAGGGTCATAGTACCAATTCAAAGTCTGCGTCATCTGCTCCCTGTACGGTTGAAGTTGGAAACACTGAAAGCCCTCCAAACAAAGTTTTCCCACAAATAGACATGAAGTGCACAAAAATGAAAAAGCAACAACATACAACAGTTAGGATTCGCATGTGGTCACCCACCATACTACTAACTAACCGGCGTGTGGCTTGAATGCGGCCCGATTTCTTCCTGCTTCTAAGGTTGTATCTTACGATCCACTTCCAAGCTTATTCAGTTGATGAAACCAAAATCTGGCAAGCATGTTACAGAGTCGTTCTGGAGAAATATATTATAAATTCAATGTGGTATTCTCTTGGACTTGATACCCTAGGAACCCAGGGAGACCGATGATGATCACTTGGATGGCAATACGGCTTCAGTAGAGAGTGCCACCTAGTGCGACTGCAATCATTGCTAATTTGAATTAAAGAGCAAGGAGGGAACAGAGGATAAATGATAATCAAAAATACATGCGTATATGGGATGGATGTATACACATTGAGCGGGTATGTATAAGGAACAAAATCTTATGTATTTCTTGAAACCCCATGCAAAGCTGATAGTAACTCATCAGGAACATGTTCCGTAATCCGAATCACAGTTAGCTGACGAACAGTAATCTGTCCCACTTCCACTACATTTCGAAAAGAAAGGAAAATGGTTAGCGATCATCACTTTTTCCTCATCCACAGAAGAAATTGCAACTTGGGAAGAGGAAAGCTCACCAGTATCCATACTTGCTGCAGCATGACCCGAATTGCGACCCAGTACAAGTGTAATCACTATTGCTACTGCCACAAAGGCCATTGGGAGAGACCGTGAGACCGGTAGAAGTGGCTGACTGTGTAGTCGTTGAAGAAGTTTGACTGGCGGTGGTGACAGTGATGGACGCAGCAGCTGTCGCAGTGTTACTTGTTGTGTAATAAGGGCTCGAATCTAAAGTGATGCTGTAGTTGAACCCGCGGGTGGGGATGGGTCCATCGATAGGAATATAGCACACACGCTGGTACTCAGACATCCAGGCCTCGTCCTCGTACATCTCTTGCGTGAGATCACCATCTGTGATGTTGAATGCTTCATCTGCTTCATCGCAGAGGGTGTAACTTGATAGCATTGATTGAACCGTACCATTTGTAGAGGTAAAAGCAGTTGTAGTGGTATTGGTGGCCCAGGAATAGTATGAGTAGCTGATGAGTGAGCCTTTTATAAGAGCAGTAGGTAGAGATAGGAATTAGCTGAGTACTAACCTTGTAGTCCGGTTGGCTGTCATGGTGTTGTTTGCTTGAATGGTGGCGCTCAGCTGAGTATATGTTGCTGTGCCATTGTTGCTGTAACCAGAGTATGTTTTAACGTTCCCGACTGGCTCAACACACTAGTTCATATATTTATTAGTCAACGTAAAAGTGGCGATAGGAGTTCTTTAAACTAACATAGCTATTGCCCAGCCATAGATTGGTACAGCCAGAGTCAATTTGTGGATTGAGAAACATCAGGTCATTCTTGGTGATTCCGAAGTCAGACACCAGTGTATCACAGGTCTCGTTGCCTTGAACTTGGTGCCAGTAGCCACATTTGGTGTTTGAACTTGTAACGGCATCAGTGGGAACAGAGCTATAGTAAGTTAGAGACATTGAGATACAAAAGGGTCGGAAAATACTTCAAGAGTCACTCACACGGCTGTTGTTGCTGCCTTCAATGGGAATGTAGTGCCCAGCTCCAATGAGCCCGGAGGACTGATGCAAATATATTTTCCACCGACCGCAGAGAGATCAGGATTTGCGGAGTTGATGTTCCGGTTCCATGACAGAAACTGAGTCTGTGACACATCACGCGAGAGCTTGTTGAGGATGCCAGAGATTGTATCGTTCCACTGGACCAAGTACACCTGGCACACATCTGGAAGGCAGATATCTGCACCAGCTGATAAATGCGTACAACCCGTGTCAAGACCGTTGATGCTGGTTAAGATACCGGTCGATACGTTTTGAGAGGCCGAAATCCCTGTACAGGTATCGCCAGACTTTACTGTGTAGGTATTCCAGGTACCATCAGTGGTATTGCAACGCGGAGTATCTGTAGCAGACGAGGAGACTGAAGTTGAGGAAGTCGTTGAGGTTGGGGTGTAGGTGACCGAGTACCCGGTTGTTGAGCATGATTTCACCTGATTTTGGAGCACAGTCGGGCTGAAAAGATCTTGACCCCATTTGGAGTTGAGCACGGTGTGCAAGTATGTGAGGTAGCAAGTACTACACTTGACTGTGCTGCTTGATCCATTCATGCCTGACTGTAATAAAGTGTTACAGTAGGTTCCTGTAGACGGATCTTTGAGACATGTGGCATTATACCGCCACTGCATCTCACTTCCAGCATCGGAGGCAAGTTGCAAAGTGTTGGAGATGTTGTAAGTTGTAGAGGAGCCACACGCCGTATTGACCGAAGATACATAGTTCTCCAAAGAGACGCTGCAGTTGGCAGCGCAGATTTGAGAAAGGCCATTTGCAGACCAGGTACTTGTGTCTGTCACAGCTTTTTTCAGGTCAGGGGAGCAAGTGACATTGCTAGTGAGCGCGGTGATGCATGAGTCTGTTGCAGAAATCCCCGATAAAGTCTCCGGCAAATAGACCTGGAAATAATCCGAATTGGCTGTGACAGAACCGACAGTGAACAGTAGAAAGATAGCCAGCCGGCAGACAAACTGATTCAGAAAAGATGAATACATGTTGTCTTCCAAGGTTGCTGAAAATAAATAATAAACAAAGGAAACCACGAAAATGATATTCCTAGATGCCAATGGACCACAGTTAATGAAAGCAAGAGACCTACCTCAGCAATCGAAGCTGGCCGTATCTTCATCCGATCTCGGCAATCAAATCGCTCAAATTTTAAAATTAAAAATTTCAAACACCGAAGTGGACTCTGAAGACAGATTAATTTAAAAAGCCGCATGAAGGTTTTCTCTAGTGGACGAGCAGGTTTCAGTCGTAGCCTCGCTTGCAAAATTGGACCATCCAGGGTAGCATTTGATACTGGTTTCTGGCTAGTGGTAATAAATGCATTGGGGGCTGTATACAAAGCTTTACGTAAACTCTAATTTATGGAACCATGTTAGTCCCTGAAAAGACGATACTTTTAGATAATACCTTTTGATGGCGCTGTCGTTTCGTAGAATTTGACTATCAAAGGCCATGTACTATATTCTCAGCAATACTTTATATTGCTGATATGATCTTGATCAAGCCTTTGCCAAGCATTTTTGGGGCTTGGTATTCGTACCGCGGCTGATTTCAATTTTGTGTGATGAACTCAAGATCTTGGCGCAATTTAATCATGTCTCTGGTTGGTGTTCGGTCGATTGGTGGAGTACGGGTCGTCTATGTAGTATGTACTAAGGTGCGGTGCGGAAGGGGGGCCCGGGAGCCTCGTACTCGGATGTTGTCCTTAGCAAGGCTCCTCCAAGGCTGAGGTTCGAGTTAGGCCCCCTGATCCGATGTCTCCATTACTTAAGGTTTGAACGGCTTGGCACGATGGCTACTGCAAACTAGCTCTGGTGCGACAAGGGGCTCCGTTCCATTTCACCAATAAGAATGATATTCTTAGAGCTGAAATATCTTTCAGGGTCGAAGGATTTTTCGCAAGCTCCGTTCCTGTGAACGAGGTAACTCTATAGTGGATATGGGAGGGATTTGGATCCGCTAATGGCCTTAGTGTACTATGAGAGAGATGCAGGCCATATGGGCCATGAAGGAAAAATTCGCGCACCGATTAGGAGTAGTAAAATTTCCTTAGGAACTTATAAGATACATACTAAGTAATGGATGAGATTTAGCTTGATTGAAATTTTGTCAAATCTCTCAACCTGTATACTTAGTGTACAGATCGAAAGATGAAGGGAAGAGCCCCGGCTCATTCCGCGTATCCGCGCCGTCGAGGGGTCGGAAGCTTTCAAGTATCTCTCTTCGCGGCGGTCATCCTTCTCTTTCTTGTTCAAGCTCAGTGCATCTCGGCACAGTTCTATGTTTGCAATTCGACAAGCCCTTGCGTCAACGGCGCATGCTGTGGAGTAGACAGTGGACAAACATCTGGTGTATGTAACCCCCTTCTTGATGCTCTGAGCCATTTAGCTTGTCATTGTGCACATTCTGACTATACCACGAATAGCTATGCGGGTATGACCCAGTCAATTCTTGCGGAGACACCTGTGTGAGCAACTGCAATGCCACAGCGGAGTGTGGAAAATGGGCCGCTACCAAAGGAGCAGAGTGTCCCTTGAATGTATGCTGCTCGCAATTTGGATTCTGTGGAACAACAAGCGACTTCTGCGATGATAAGTGTCAGAATAATTGCTTCAATGCCAACGAGCCCTCTTGTTCATCCAACGATGTCTTGAAGCGGGTCATCGGCTACTACGAGAGCTGGTCTTCCAGTCGCACCTGTGACTCTTGGAGACCTGGCGACCTGCCAGCTAGTAGTCTCACCCATGTCAACTACGCCTTTGCACTTTTCCAACCATGGGGTGGGGACTGGGAGGTCTATCTCCCTGATGATCAAACTAACGATTTGACCGCCCTAGTCCAGGAGTTTGTCGACTTGAAACTGGATAACCCTTCCCTGAAATGCTACCTGTCAGTTGGTGGTTGGTCGTTCAATGATGGAGACAGCGCCAAGTACTGGTCGACAATGTCTTCCACGGCCGCAGGCCGTAAGTCCTTTGCAAAGAGTCTTTATAACACTCTCTTGAAGTACGGATTTGATGGTGCGGATCTTGACTGGGAATACCCTGTTGCCTCAGAGCGGGGCGGTTCCGCAGATGACAAGGAAAACTACGCCTTGTTGATCAAGGAGATCCGTACCGTGTTCGACGCCAGCGGTAGCAGTTTTGGCCTGACATTCACTATTCCGTCAAGCTACTGGTATCTTCGTCACTTTGATGTTGCCAAGTATCTTGAGAATGGCGCTGACTGGGCAAACATGATGACCTATGATTTGCACGGTGTATGGGATGGTACTGACCCTTATATTGGGAAAATTGTCGGCGCTCATACAAATCTCACTGAGATCGCTGAGGGCATGGACCTGCTTTGGAGAAACAATATCGACCCATCCAAGGTGGTTCTTGGAATTGGTTTCTACGGTCGTTCATTTGAGCTGGACGTTGATACGTGCACCGACCCTGGCTGTCCTTTTGTGGGAGGAGGCGAAAACGGAACTTGCACGCAGACTTCAGGTATATTATCCTACAAAGGTTTGTCAAGCTCCCTATATGGCTCATCTCCCTCATATTCTAATTTTCTAAACTCAGAAATCATGGGAATTATCGAATCGGTCGATGCGGATCCCATCTGGAATGAAGAGGCCGCAGTAATGTACGTTACCTGGAACGAAATTCAGTGGGTCTCATACGACAACGGCCACACCTTCCAACAAAAGATATCTTGGGCCAACGATCATTGTCTTGGCGGTATCATGATATGGGCGCTTGATCAAGATACATATGATTGGCAGGCGATGAGTGCCTTACTCAACAAGACCGTAGACGGCTCGGCACTTTTGGAAGGAGGCTCAGAAAGTTCCGATGATGCTACAGCACTCACCCACGCATATAATGCTTATACAGGCGCGGATTGCTACATAACTGGTTGTCAAGACTACAACAAGGGCCAGTGCAAATCAGGCTACAGTGTGCTCGACTATGTCCACAAGGGCTCTTATGGTGTGATCACAGATCCTGACGATCACCTTTGTACCACCGGAACAACGACGGAGTATGAAGACACCGATGCCCAGTATAGACTTATTTGTTGTCCAACAGATGCTATGCCGAGCTGTACTTGGGCTGGAGGTGCAACGGACGGTCTCTGCACTGGAGGAACTGACGGCATATGTGGAGATGACTTTGAGCTCGTGAGAGATCACTATGTTGATCGCACTGGATCCACAGCCTGTACGCTGAACTCAAGATCATTGTGTTGCTCTTCATCCACAACACTGGGGGATAAGTGCAGTTGGACGGACTGCAAGCAGGGGTGTAGCAATGACCAATATGCCTTCACAAATGAGTCGTACTACGCGGGACCGAGTAAGTTTCAACAATCACTTAACCTGAAAACGGTAAAATTGAAACCATGTCATTAACACATCCTGTATTAGATTTGAATGAAAACAGTGAGATGTGCGACTTCGAAGTGTCCACCTTCTGCTGTCCTTCGAAGGGTAAGTCGAACTCTCTTCAAACGTCGATACCCTTCAAGCTAAATCGAATATACCAGACACTCTCAAGAATTGTGATTGGTATGGATGCAACGATTCATGCCCAAGTGACAAGGTTTTGATCACGCAGCGCTCAAATCTGGTAATAAGAGCATTAAGCTCAGAGGAGGACTTTGATTGCGATAGTGGCATGCAGAAGCTCTGTTGTGACCCTCCAGCAGCCACTTCGGACGCCCCAGTCGATCCCAAAGACTTGTTTGAATACCCCGATGAAAACAATTTCAGTTACTACTACAACCCCGAAGCCACAGCCAATGATGAGGCTGGAAATGACGCGGAGGAAGATCCATTTGCCTTCGTTATGATTGATGGTGACACAGACGCCTACGATGAGTCTCTTGTCGATCAATGGACATTCCTTGACGATGACGACTCAACAATTCTCAAGCGAAATGTACGCAAGCGCAACATCTTTGAAGCCCGCAGTGATACATTTGATAATGAGGTTGAGAAATACCGCATCAAATGCTCCTCATTGCTCCAGGATAGCTCCGGATGCCAAACCATTTTTTCCGGTGGTGCTTCTAATACGATTGTGAAGATGCCATTGTATCGTGGAGCTGGACCTTATGCAAGAGTCATTAGCCTTGTTCCAGAAGGCTCGACTACGGGACTCAACTCAAGATCCTCAGACGATGTGTATGAGCTCACGGTCGATTATGACCTTGCTGCAGCGAGCGAGGAAGAAAAGGGAGACGTTAACTTCCGGATCGACTATACTAACCTCCTCGAATACTGGTAAGGAACAAGGAAAATCTTCAGCAATCATGTGACTAATTTGAGGTTTTCCTAGGGACGATGTGACCGATAAGTCTCCAGACAAGCGCAAGAGGTGGTTTGGGTCATTCAGTGCTTGGCTTAAGAAGGTGACCACTATCGTAAAAGAGGACTCTGGTACCCTGCCCCTTGAGTATGAGCAATCTCACAAACTTTTGCATTGGGAAAATAACTGCGGTGGGGTCGACAAGACCCTGGATCTGGATGCATACTTTCATTTGGGTCTGGATGCGCAATATGCATACTATTTTGAAGGTGCTATCCTGCCAACCCCGAAACTGATTGCTGCATATGGATACTTCTCAGTCGAGCCCGAGGCCGAAGTTCTGCTGACCCTTCGGGGAGAAGCATCATTCCAGAGCACTTCTGGGGAGATAGAGATTATCAGTGGGATCACTTTCCCCGGAATGTCCATCAAGGGTCTGATCAGTATTGGACCAGCTCTAGATCTGACTGGGTCCATGGATACTTCGTTGACTGTTTCTGGTGAGCTCAATGCTGGCGTTGTGGTCAGTTGGCCAAAGGCAGAGGTCTATTTCCCTCAGGACTCAGATGGAGAAGCCGCTAGCATCACTCCTGGAAAACTTTCCGACACTGATGGCGATGATGAGCCTGATACTTTCTCTGTTACACCTCGGCTAGATGCTTCCGTTTCCGCGAGCGGAACATTAGCTCTAGGCCTGACACCCAAAGTGAAATTCGGTATCTCTGTCCTAGGTGGCAACCTTATGGACGGCTATGTGACAGCAGGCGTGTCAAATACTGTCAGCCTTGGTGTCAGTGCCACAGCATCCACAGGATTGCAAGGGTCAGCCGCAGAGTTCTGCTACTGGGCCGATTACATTTATTCTCTGTTTCTTCAAGCAGATGTCTCGTGAGCTCGCCATTATTCTAAGAGCCATTCTATTTTCTTCTTTTTACTGATCGGCTGTTAATAGGTTTGTTGACGGATTGGCTTATTGGGGTAGCAAGTACGATGTTGCTTCACCCACCGATCCTATCACGCTGATAGACAAAACATGTATCTCCTACTCGTCGGACGATGACACCGTCAGCAAGCGAAGCGATACATCTGATAGGCTGGTGAAAGAAATTGACAGTGATAAGGGCCTTTTCGATGCCTACTTCAGATGCTGCAACAATGAGACAGATGTGTTGAAGGGCTATTGCGATTCGACCCCAGATTCCACAAAGCGAGCCAGCACAACATGTCATGAGCCCCCTGCCTTGTTTTATAACTGCGCATTTTTCCTGGATACTAAGATCGGTAACGAGAACGAAGAAACGAACAAAAAAACACCCTCGGTGAGCTTCATTGGCATTTGCAAGAACATCAAGAATTATTTGCAGGCGCATAGCATGGATGCAAACACGGGAGCAAATTGGAAGCTACTCACATATATCAACGGAGGTCAATCAGCGAACCGAGGCGATGCTTGTGGCCAAAAGACAAAGGAATGCTCCGATGAGAAAATGAGCATGTGGCCACAGGCTGTCCAAAAGGCTGCAAAGACAAGTTACAAAGCAGCACAGGCTATGGACGGCTATGTCGAAAGTATCTCTTGTGACGAGTTCCCATGTGAGTGATTTCTCAATGGACAATGGCCCTTCTCCTACTGACAAATAAATACAGTTAACGCCTGTGAAGAAGGAGGTACTGGAGCGGTAAGCTACTATTCCCTCTTCGCTGATATTTCCTCGTTCTCCCGAAGCTAATCTATCTTTCTTGTGCTCATCACAGGAAGTTGCATGTGTACCCGATGCCCAGCAGGGGTATCAGGCTAGTATCAATGGCCTCCTTTCGCGGATCTATGATAATGTATGTTTCCCCCCTTCGCTTTTAGTAACCGCGAAATTTTTCAAATTTCTGGGATAATTTAGAAAAGGGCAATAAAGTGCTAACTTTCATATCTATTTAGATTGAGAAGAAGTCTTGGAAAGACATTGACACATCCGGCACCAACAATCACCGGAAATACACCTTCTCGCTGATGAATTACTGGACGGACCGCAATTCCATACCTCCATATGGTGGCTCGCTGGATAGCAGCGCATCGAAGAATCCGAGCCAAAATTCCGGAACAGGTCTCCTTTTTGTTCTTGGGGGAGTTAATTTGAATGGCAATCCGAATCTCCAGTGGGGCCCGAAATCGTCAGGATCGCAGAACAATGCCTTCTGTGCTTACGCGGGCAAAAAGTCATCGAAGGGCTCAGCCCCTATATCGAATCAGCCTGATGCCATGGGAGTATACAAGTACGTCCAAGCTAAGAATAAGAAGACCATCTATCTCCAGACAACGGCGTGTAGGGTCACCTTCACTGCAGCCCAGACCATCGCACAAAGAGGACTTGATCCCCGCAATGCCGATAACTGGGAAATTCAAAGTGAGTTTATACAGCAAGTCCTCCCGGATTAGGAGAAATCGATTACTAAGTATCTTCAACAGGTGTAACAATTGATGAAGATGGTGAAGACCTCGGTGGTTACTATTACGATGCCGAGAAGATCAAACAACATGATGACTCCTGGGAGGAAGTAGAGGACAAAAAAGGCTCTTACAGCATCCGCCGTCTTCGTCATCTCCAACAGCATCAACATGGTCGCCATGCAAACTAAGCATGCATGTGATATTTATGTACATCACGTCAGTAATATGGATTGAAATCCCGAGCCAAATAGATCGAACCCTTCTGCCAGCCCGTCTCCTTCTGCCTCTGCTTCTACGTAGCCCGGAGCTAGTTCAATCAACGCGTCCTCCACTTCGTCATCGTCCACCTCTTGCTCCTCTGACTCAGTCAATAGAATCTCTAGAAGCGGTTTTTTCATGTCAAGCCTATCAAAGAACATATTGTTAATTCATATCGCTCATAGCCTTCCGGGCTTTTGAACTTACGCTTCATCGTCAAAATAAATCCTCTCGTCCATCGGGTCCTGTTCCTGTCCATATGGTTCTAGAAGGGTTTTCAATCGCTTTCCCGTCCCTATTATAGGCAACGACAAAGAGAAGAAATTCAAGGCACGAATGCGGTAGCCTTGATAAGGCACGCCATTAACGTAGGAAAGAATAAGGAGTACCATGCCGGTATTCAGCGCATAATCATCCACAATAATTGGAGAGGGATGATAGGAATCATAGACTGCCTCCCCCACATTGTTAAAGGCTACGATGCCGAAATCAGCAGTCTCCAGACCCTGGTACCGCTTGATGTTATCAAGGGTAACAAAATCATTCTCCCTTGGCGTGATTGTAAATGTTTCTTTTGCGACATGACCCCACATCCTATTGTAATCATAGAACATCAACTGAATCTTCAACCAAAGCGCCCAGTTGGTTGATGGTCTTGGGGCGTCTGCAGTAAGATACAAGTCCCAAGGGACAAGCTTACTGTGGTAGTAGCAGCCGTAATTGGAGATTTCCTATAATGGGTCAAAAAACGGATACCTCCCGACGTCGTCGCGGACCGATTGTAAAGAACAAAATAAATAGAAATCTCACCTTCTGCGAGAATCGTTGTTCTGGGTCTGGGGCCTTGTTTGTATATGACTGTTCTATATTAGCCTCTATATCCAGAGATGTATATGTTATGGATTTATTTATAGGGAATCATAGAACGTACATCTCGGAAATCTTGCTGGGCGGTGACCCAGGTTTCAATCAGGGATCGACGTTGTTGAGCCTTGGAGTCATCCGTTTCATCGTCGCTCAAGACCCAGTTTTCCCGAACAAAGCGATACCAGCCCTTCACGATCGGAGGGAAATCATAGGGCTCGACATTAAAGTTCTCTGTTGGGGACTTGATGAAAGAAGGAATGCCACCTGGCCAGAACTTGGCTTCTGTCGTCAAGGTCGGTTCGTCAAGACGACGCTGAAAAATTCCAGGCATAGCCATCGTGGCAAAGGGAGACGGTGATGATGATGATGATGATTGATACTTTGATCGTTCTGGGCCGTATTCTGAACGAATGAACAGTCCAATGAATCCCTTTCTTGGCTCAAATGCCAGGTAAATGTACCCAAGATGAGGTCAGGCAAAGAAACAAGAGAAAAAGAAAAGGAAGAGCGGAACCTTGGAATTACTAGTAATATAAATCATAATAGATGATCTCTATGTGGAGACGAGAATTACGCCCCTCGATTTTTGAGAACGGGCCCCTGGATCCCTCGGCAGTGTGGCCATGTTGAGCTTAGCATGGAAACTGTATTACCATTTTTCGACACCTGGTAAATAAGGCTTGAAATCTGAAGATAAAACACTGCTAATAAGGCTACAGAAGGAGCAGAAGAAGCGAGGCGATTCATGCTTGATTGTCTGAGCAAGAAGAAGAAGAAGAAGAAGAAGAGGCAAGTCTAGCTCTATATAGAGCTGAAGACAGAAGAAAATAAGCTGCTAATCCCGACGTTCAACGCTGATCCTGACACTCAAACCGGCAGCGTGTTTGGACTCGGGGATGCACCTCAGCAAGGCACGGAGGTGAAGCACAGCGGACCAGGATCTTCTTCTGACAAACACTAACCTTGGAAGCTAAACCCCTCAGATCCTTTTTATTTTCCTAGACAATCAACAACAACAAAAAAAGAAAACAAAAACATACAACAGTTAGGATTCGCATGTGGTCACCCACCATACTACTAACTAACCGGCGTGTGGCTTAAGTACGGCTGAGCGGACGGGAAGCCCTGTTCTCCACACCCTATGGTCGTATGTACTAGACAGAGTATTGCAATGGCATATATGGCGCAAGACTTTGCTCATGGTCCAAACATCTTCGAGGTTCGACTGGAGGAAGATAGGCAGAGGACTGGAGAAGTACAAAAGTTGGTGGACTAAATCCAGATCCTGATTTTATTCACTCTATCCACCGTCTCCAATGAAGTCAGAACTAGTGTCACACACAGCTCGAATCACAAGGTCCACATTCAAAAATTTATTCAAAGATTCCCGAGCGTTAAGTTACGAGGATCATTATGGCAAATACCAAGATCCGGATATGATTCATCATCTCCATGATGGGAGAGTCTATGCATACAGCCACTTGAATATACACATTCATCAGATCATCTTCTTGAAGATAACCCTGAATGAGATGACTGCTCTTATGAAAGCAAAAGGGAACTCCCAAGGTAAACATGGAATTTGGTCTTGTCATTGGAAATTGCTCCGTCATACCAGTTCCGAAAGACTGGATACAGTATGTATAGACAATTCCGACAGATCCATATTCTGGTAAGATCTATGACAGATTGTTTTGTCGGGAACGCCTTGTTCAAAGGTCGGAATTTGCCCCGAGGAAATTCCACAGGAATCCAGGGTATTTAAATATTCTTCACTTTCAATGCCAAAGCGTGTACGAAATGAGCCTAAGTCTAGAGGAAGGTATGCATCTAATAGCATGATGACTACCATCTCCAATAGCCGAATGAGCCATCCAGCATGGGCGCAATTCAACCCCAAATCAGGGAGTGAGGATTGGAAGATGGCCAACATTCGATTTTCTTGCACTACCTGATAGTGATATGGTCTTTTGCCTGTGCGTATGGTTTCAATGGCACGCTCCTGGTGACGCACGCGATCCTTAAGATCTGTCGTACTTGAAACCAGCGTAGATGGCAATGTGATCGATCTTTGTATTGTCCCAATTGCTTGCAACTGAGTTCATATTTTGACATTCCATCAAACCAGCTGATAACCCAGATACTTGGTTATTCTGAAGCTTAAAAGGTGTGCCCACGGCACAGTTAATGTATACTCCGACTGTATTCTTGCAGGACTCATCCACCAGAGGAAGTGATAGCAAATGATCGCTGGTGATTTCAGCTTGCCTACAAACCACATGACTTGACTCTGGAATAGCCGTCTGAAAGATTTGGCATATGGCCACGGTATTTGAATGGCTCAAGGGATGATTGAATGGCATATTTACCCATGAACTGCGTGAAGTCAATTCCTCCATTGTTGTTTCTTTGGCTTTATTGACCAAGAATTCAACCAAGTTGAAAACTTTCTCATCGAAATATTTAAGACTTTCAAAATCTTCTAGATTCTGTGTATGATTCACGTACACCGGAAGGTCACAGGACAACCGTGTCCTCCGAGACGAGCTATTGGTGACTGTGGTTACACCCCCAACAGAAGAGATTCTAGCTCGTCATCTTGATGAACTTTTAGGGATGTGAATGAGTGAGAGGGGCAATCAAATCGATTCAGGCCTATCGAATTTTGTGTGAACAGCGGTGCAACTTTAGTTTCGCCCTCAATATCTGCATCATCGTTCTCGTAAATGTGTTCATCACTGAAGACATCACTAGGGACAAGGTATTGGGTGATGGGCAAAAAGTCACTCGGAACGTAGTTGTCAAAGAGCGGATCATCAAGAATCTGCGTCTGCAGAGCCATGTCATTAATATCCTCAGCGTTTGCAACCCGGTATCGATGCGGCGAAGAGGTTAATTTTGTCCAGTTTCCTTGACTTCGAGATCTGGGCAACTTGAGATAATGTGATAAGGCCAGCACTCATAATTTGGCTCATGGTTGATATTAGTAGAGAGAGAGAGAGAGAGAGAGAGAGAGAGAGAGAGAGAGAGAGAGAGAGTATGAACATTGGCCCATGGATAGAATCTAGCTCTGCTTTCAGTCTTCGAAAATCACATTTGAGAACCGTCGGACTAGCAGGATTGACACGGGTGATATGTAGACAGGAATGATTAGTTTCCATGGTCGGCATTCCAGATCTTAATACAAGTGAGGTCCATAGGGCCATTCCGTAGGGCAAACAAGTGGGAATAGAAGCTGCAGGTCTTGGTTTTCGGTGGGTCTGCACGGGTATCCATGAACAATCCATGGATCGCTTCTGCACTTTCAAATGGGCTATCAGAGTCAGATCCATCAAATCTAATGCATAGAGCCCCTCAATCACATTTCTCCATGGAAAATTTTCTACAGATTAGATGGAACAGGTCATCTTGCGACCAGTCTCATGCTGAGTCATCCATGAAACTAATCCTTAAAAGGCATGAGGCTCTCCCCACAAGATTGCCGGTTTATCTCAACTTCTCCAACTCCCTTCAAGCATGTCGTTCAGCGAAGTGGGCATCATGATGCAAGAATCAAGGCGAGCCGACGAAGAACGAGAACTAGGGATGGGCCATGTGAACAACCGCCTCTCTTTTATAGCGCCAAGGTTCCCGCAAACAGAAACGCCCATGGAATCAGAACAACACTTCCTCAACGATATAGCCGCTCACTTCGCCTCCTTTGAATCCGCCTGTCGATCAGGAGACCTCCACACTGTCCACGCAGTCATCTCTCCGCAAAAGCGCTCAAGCGCATTCCTCCATCACGGCCTAATACTCTCTCTCGAATCTGGCCATGTCGATATCGCCCGCTATCTCCTCTCAAGCGGCGCCCCTATTACACCTAATACACCCGTACATATCCTCTCCGCACCACCAGATCAACAAATTGCACTTTTCGAACTCCTCGCGCAGTCGGGCTGGGGCCCCAATATCCCCGGCGATTATGGAACTGTCCTGCTACCGAAGGTAGTAACCCACCTGCCCGTGTTGTGCTGGTTTCTCGCACACGGCGCAGATCCGAATCTAGGTGCGCATCATGATAGCAGTGATGTTACGGGTCAACCGAATCCGCAATCTTGTGCTGCGCTGGAAGCGGCCTCGGCGCGGGGTTCTGTTGATGCTGTGCGATTACTTCTTAATGCGGGGGCGTCGATTCATTATGGGACTCCGCTGCATTTTGCGGCGGGGGCTTGTTCGCCCGGGATTATGCCTAGAAGTGTTATCAGTAAGGAGTTCGATGCCAGTCGAATTCCGATTATGCAGTTGCTTGTTGAGCGGGGGGCGGATGTGAATCAGATGGGCGAGTCGAGGGTTGTTGTGCATCATCCTATTATGTATGCTGTTATGGCTGGGGCGGTGGAGCGGGTTAGGTGGTTACTTGAGCAGGGGGCTGATCCTGAGGCGAGAGGGGCTTGGGGGAGTGCGGCGGAATATGTTGAGATGGTTGGGAGTGAGGAAATGAAGAGTGTGCTAAGGCAAAGTATGCTTGAGAGGTCGAAGGGGAACGGGGAGGTATTTGGGAATCTTGCGATGCGGTTCAAGGTTCGATGATGAGGTTACAGCATAAAGGGAATATATACGATACACGCGTTTCTTAGATGTACAGCCAATTTGCATTGCTAGCTATCTCGATTTAATGAACATACTTCCATTCTATCCTTTTCTAAGGTCAACACTCTTGACTGATACATTCAAGTCTACTGTACAGTATGAGCACATCAATGAGGGTTTAGCCCTCGCATGCTGACCTAGCCAAGCATCATGCCTGCAGATCCGTACCTAGCCATTTGTCTCGTGCTCGTCATGTGATGTATGTTTGCCTTTCAAGATTGGGAATATCACTTGAGACCGTTACCTCACCTTTAGCTAACACTGATTCATCCATGAAACCTGAAATATACCCAGTCCACCCTGTTTTAAAGTGTTCTAGCATAGCCACCACAAGATGCAGTTCTATATGTACAACTTCAAGGTTCAAACCTAGGCACATACAGTACTATACAAGCCTAAAACACCAGACGATCCGCGGTCATAACCTGCCACTATTCAAGATCCCCACCTCTAAAAATAGCATTGTACACGAAACACGAGTCTCCTCAAAAAGCCACCTTGCAGCCACATACAAACATCGCCAACCCCACCACCCGAAAACAGCTTAGCCAGATACGTACCACCTTAGTCATCAATACTACAGTATCTCGCACCGCCACATACCACCAAATACACTTTGGCTCCATATTTCCGTTATCGATAACAAAGTTTCATACAAACGGAATACACGCACTCGGGTCCGGGTGGGTCCTACATGTGGAAGTTACATAGCTACTACGGGCAATAATGTTCATTCATTGCTGACCAAAGGTAGAAATGATATTCGCTTTATCGCATAATCCAAAGCCACATACTCCACTGGTTCCACCTGTGGATACTGACTGGGGAAAGCTGACACGGTAACCCAATTCTTCATTAATCTTCTATTGCTTGCTAGATATGGAGAAAGGAGTCGGGATGTGGATTCGTGACCCTTTCTGTGGTCTCTGTTTCTCCACTTTCGATGTACAGCTACGTGTACTTTGGGATTGAAATCGCCGCCCTTTTTGGTTGGATTGGATTGCGATAGGCGATGGGCCTTTCGTTTTTGAGTGGATGGGATTCGTATGAAAATTGAATTCCCTTGTCGATGAGTGCCAATCGGATGGCGTAATGGAGCTTGGATTTGTATATTCCTACATTTAGCAGTCCGAGGATAGATTAATTATTTCTCAATATTTGATTAATCTATATTGTTATTCCAATAACACATGATTCATGTTTGGATTCGCGTCATGTTGATCAGCATCGGGGCCAGTCTCGTATGTACTGAGGACATGTTCTATGTATGTACACCCATGGACTCATGGACCTCCTGGCCGTTATGTCGAATATACAAAATACGAAACTTAGCCTTCGAATGGACATCTTTGCATCCCAGATTAGGATGTCCCACAGACAGGTAAACACAGATAAAGTTGAAATTGAGTGCATAGCAGAGGACTCGATCGTATTCCGCAATAAAGTAAAGGGGCCAAATTCCGGCTACGAGAAACGATCCGATCGTATTCCATCTGCGGAGAGGATTACCCCTCACGAAGAGCAATTCCTGTACCCATTTCCCCTAGTAGGTTTAGGGTAAGGATACGTGATAAATGGGGTCGAGAAAAAGGAAATACAACTATTGGTTATGCTCGGGGCCATTTACTAACCACGTACGGAGTACGGAGTTACTGGAAACTTCATTTAGGGAATTGTTTTTCCCTTTTCCTGTTTCTGTTTCTTGTCTACAAGGGTCGAAGCTTACCCTGCATTAATACTGGACTTAAGGGATTCGATAAGCATTGCTATTGGAACAAGGCTTATTTTGTCTTTTTGTTCCGCAGGCCGCGGGCGGCTACTGTAGCTGGGTTGGTGATCTGTGCAGACAGCCGATGTTTCAAGTCCTGTGGATTAAAGCTGAAGGTGGGGCTAGTGGGTTCTGGTGAAAGTTCAAAAGTACCTTAGCTGGGTTTATAGATGCGAGGTGTTCCCTGCACATTAGATAAGTTTACAAGTTAACCTTAGACGGGATCCATTGGAAAGAATCAGTTTGACGTTCAATATTATCTATCAAAAACTATACAATCCCGATTCCCATAATGTACACATTTTTTTCCATATGGAACAAACCAAAAAAAGCCAAGCATATACGGACCCTTTTTAGTATACAAAACCGCAAAATAGAAGAAGCACCAGCCAATGCGAAGGACAATTGCATGCAAGACATCATCGCGTGAGATCATAAAACAATGAGAAGTAATAATAATACAGAATCGTAAGAGACATGAAAAAGCTGCAAGCGAAGAAAACCCACAAAACAGGCCTATACACACTGATACATGCTGGAAATTCTTTTTTCTTTTTGGAGAGAATGTGCGAACATGGATCGGTGAGGTGCCAAGATACCCGCACACGTCAGGCGAGGCAGGGGGGTATGGGAAGAAGCCATCCACAGGAGAGTGGGGTGCGTCATTCTGTGTTATGGTGATTCGATCGTCGACGTATAGTCGACGTCAGCCCGAACGGTGGAGGACACAACTGGATAATGACGTCAGTGGCCCCAGGGTTTCAGGCCACAAGGCCGCAACAATCAGCAGTCCGCAGACCCGAACTGGAAGAAGGCACCGACGATCTGGGACGATGTGTGGGTCCGCATTCTGGATCGGGATGGAGGTGACGTCATATGTCAATCGTAAGAAATAAGGATCAAAGGGATTGTTTTTTCGTCATCATGATGATAATCCCATCCCTCTTCGGATCATTCAGTCTCTTCCCCTGCGACGCTGTTTGCCAGGCCAATCAACTTCAGGGTGCACCACGCGCATGTGTCGGGTGAGAGCGTCGTTGCGACTGAAGGTCTTCTCTTCGGTGCACAAGTGGCACCGCACCTTGAGCTTGCGTGCATTGTGGATCGTATCCTCATGACGAGTCAGATCGTAAGGTCGGGAGAAAACAGAGTTGCATGGTTTGCCCGTAGATGGGTTGAGACGCTCGCACTTGTGCGGGCCGGCCTGGGAATTGCGTAGCGAGGTGTCCCGAGTAATCAGATGACCCCCAGGAGATGTCTGTCGATGCGCCTCCCGCTTGTGTCGCTGGAGCTTAGCAGGCGACTCAAACCGAAGGGTACAGCCATGGTAGGTACAGGTGTAGGTGCCCGCATCCGAGTTCGTGTTAGTGGGCCGGGAAATTGGCTTGGCGTGAGCTTGCGGGGTCATCTCCGCAGAAGAGTGTAGATCGCTGCCGTTAGAGTCCACTCGGGGGAGGGTGGAAATGAGCTTCGGCTGCTGGAGGTAGGTCTGCGGGGGCTGGCTTTGCTGGGTAAAAGAAAAGGGTGCTTGCGAGACCGGAGCGTATTGCGAAGGGAAAGCATCCATAGTCAAAGCGGGCTGGAGCGATGATCCAGAACTCTCACGGCGCAATCCAAGAGCGTCGCCCAGGTTGAAGTCGCCCTGTTGCGGAGGGAACAAGGGAGCCATAGCAGCATCATCGTTCTCATTGAAGTCCAGGACCGCATCCTTGGGGGACATAGTTTTGAGATCGCCTTGACTCATGGTAGAAGCCATGGACATGCCATTCTGAGACATAGGAACACTCGTAGCCATTTGGGGTTGCAGACCAGAGGCGTTCATATCGGATGTGAACGGAGAATTTTGGCGGAAAGGTGATCTTTCGCGCTTAATCATGCCAGAAACTGGAGATTGAGAGCGGGCAGACATGTGACCCTGGTTAGCGGCCTGCAATCGGTCGGCGATGACATTGCGAGGGGCCATGAGATTCTGGCCCATCGGCTTGGACATCTGAGGAGCGGCCATCATGGCTGGGTTGTAAAGCTCGTCCTGGTAGATATCGGAAATAGTGCGATTGAGCTTCGGAACACCAATGGGCATGCCAGAGTTACCATTGGCGTATTCTGGAAATACGTCGCTATGTAAGTACTGGTCCATCCACCGGTCATGTTCAGGAAATCGGGTCTCACCATTGGTCATCGACTTGGATGCGTCCTCAAGCTCGTCAAGCGTAGTCTGCGGGGTGACTGGCGAATTCTGGCTCACGGTGGAAACTGAGGGAGCCAAGGAATGCGAGTACTCGCCCTGCTGGTGCTGAGGAGGGGATTGTTGGTGCTTATATTGTTGCTCGATAATCGCCCTTCTCATTGCAGACTCAGCTTCCACACTGCTACCATCGTTGATCAATGGGTCGTAGTTTTGGAAGGCTGGCGCCAAGAAGGAATTCTGGAGGGGAGTCTGCACCGGTGTAGGGAGAGGCTTGTTAGAGCTGTCTGATCGGCGATGTTGAGTGTTGGGCGCAGATCGTGATGAGGTCGAGCTGGGCGAGGCCTTCTGAGGGTAAGAGGGAATACGAGCGGGGCTCAACAGCTGCAAGTTGCCATCCCAAGCTTGGTTGCTGGGAGCAATAGGCGGTTGGGCCAACATAGGCGAATAATATTGAGGATATTGCGACAGATATTGCTGTGATGATGGCGAGGCGGAACTCTGAATGTCCAAAGACGGGTTGTAGGAAGAAGCCGGGGTCATCGAAGGAGCCCCGTAAGACTGGCAGTCGACCGCCTGGGGAGGGTGAGTAATGGAGAAGGTCGGCGAAGAGAAAGTGGGTGAGGAAGGCGCGGAAGACGGCGGAGAGGCGAATTGGTTCGGTTGGTACTGAAAAGGTGGTTGCAAATATGATTGTTGGTACTGCTGGGAGTTCTCGGCGAAGTCAGGTGGGAACTGATCGTCTTGTATGATGATGTCCTCTTGGTTGTATGGATCGGTGATGAGACCCTTACGTGGATACATAAACATTATGTTATCACGTATAGGACGTCAGAGAGTGGAGATGGGGTGGGAGGTGTTCGCCACCGGGGATGGCGAGCTTTTATATTTGGAATTCCGACGGCTTAAGGTCCGAGAGATCCTTGGGAAAGGCCGATCGGTTGGTGCTTTGGTTCTGATGACCAGGTTCTTTGGGCAGAGAGAATAATGCGAAGAGTCTGGAAACGTCGAGAGCGGCTCGTGATTGTATGTAGATGGAACCGAGTGAACCTTAATATGGCAAAGTCTGGTATTGGAAAGGTTAGAAAGTCTGGGACTGGAATGACTCGGAAGGATGAGTCAAACTTACATTGGATATTATAAAGGAAGAGTAATCTCGAAAATATAAGCAATGTGTGGGTGTATGAGTAATGGGAGGAAGATCAAAGACGGAGGAAGGGAAAGAGCTGGGCTTAAGAAGTTAAAGGGCCGCATCGTCCACATACAAGTACCATGACGTTCACCTAAATCGGGGCCGCTAGGGAGACCCAATGGGCTGGCATGGTGGAGAACCTGTACACTTGCGTTATCGGTCATTCCGCAACATTTCGGTACGGTGACGGCTCGATCGGCGGTAATCCATCCTATTCGGGCGATAGCGGTTTATCTCGTACGAAAAGATTACCCAGCCTGAAATACCCTAGAATGTACCGCGGACTTGTCCTACCGGGGGTTGTCGGATCCACTGATCTGCCGGAGAACTGTCTGTGCATGAGAATAGGATTTATTTCACAGACGATTTCCTGTTTGGGGATTTTTCCTGATTTTTCGATTCTGGGTTTTTTGGCCATTTCTGGTTTTTTGGCCTTTTTTCCTTTTTTGTTGCGATTTTCTTTCTCCCCCTTACAGTTTCTCTTACAGTCTCCGGTTTGAGTGGGCTTTCTGAAGCAGCCACAAACTCCACTTACGTTAATCAACATAGAAAATCATACCTGAAGAAGTAATCAGGCATCAAATCCTTCTTTGATTGGATTGGACATATAACCTCCAAAGCCCAAAAAAGAAATCAAGATAAATTAATCCGTTAAATGCTAGAATATTTCTGCCTGCATGATCCCGGTATCCCCGAAAAGAGTCATAATCAAAATATCAAAATTCGAGAATTACCTAGAAACTGCTAATTTCTCAATCCATGCAGCTTCGCTTAGAAATGGGAAAGATTCCTGCAGACCGAGCCAATCTACAAACTAGTACCGAATAGGCGATGGAAAACTCCAATTTTAGGACCCTATTCGACAGGGCTGAGCCACACCCCTTGAGATTTTTTCCGCGTGACCTGATCGAGTTAGTTAGTGGCTGCCGTACTACCCGTTTGATGAATAATGCCGAGGCCTCGCATTCTTGTAAGCCACTGCTGCGCCACAGACGCAGTTCCCTGGGTTGGGCGTCTACATTTCTGGGGTAAAATGATGATAATATCTTAAATTTATGCTGAGCTTACGCTGCCTAGACCTATCTAGGAAGGTAGATTGAATTTTGATACCTCTTTCCTGTATAGGCTGGTGTATACTGTCAACAAGAGTCGGTTTCAACCAAACCCGAATAGCCCCATTCAGGAATCCATATGCGAGGTACGGTGTCAGCTGGTGCTTGGATGGTCAGCTGACTCCGCGAGGAACTCGGCCGTAGGAGCCTCGTTCGAAGCAGTGTAAGGTAAGACCATCGCTTCGGCTACACTTCCTAGAAACCACGGTTTGGGGGTCACATGGCCCGTGGCCTGATAGCGCGAGTCGAGTCTCCAGTTCATGCTCACATGACACCAATAGCGATCGGAAATTCCAAATCGAGCATAAAGAATGAATTATTCATTGATGACTCCAATTACCAATACACTGACTCAGAGTATAGCCTAGTTTCGAAGGAAAATTCTTTCTCTAATCCCTGCTCGGGTGACTCCCGAATGATAGTAAATCATGCGGACCCATGTGCATAAAATACTGGCTATAATAGCGTGGTATGGTAGTACCGAGACAAGGGGAAACCGGCTGTTTGTCTTAGTGGCATGCAGCAAAATCCAAGCAATATCAGATCGGACGGGCGACCTCCGGGGGAGGGCCCGAGTGTAGTGGGTGCCGCGTCCCGACCGGAGATATCTCCCCAAGCGCGAACACCTAACGGCCGAATAACACCAGGTGACTCAGGATGATTTTTCACACAACTAGCTTGGATCCGGTGCCCGATTCCGTTGCTTTTCCTTGTCTAGATTCTACAAAAAAAAAACCTTCGGTCGGCATTAGTAGTTTAGTGCTGACCCGACCGAGAGACGCGGGTCCGGGGTGCCGTGTCTACCGAACAGTCTGGACCAGAGAAACGAGAGTCCAGAATTTCAGATAGCGAACACGACTATGTACATTCCTCTTGGCATTTTCGGCAACCGGATGATTTATTCTTGGATCCGAGACAGAAAACGTGGCCCTTGTCTGGGGAAAGTGGCGAGATCTAGACGGTTGGCCCACCACGCAGTTGCCCTATGGGTTTTTTTAAAATATACGAAGTATATCAGACAATACGAGATTCCACAATTCCGCAAACACGCAAGGCACCACGTATACCCGGTATGCGCCATCAGCTCGTGTGTCAAGCTGGGATGGGTCCCTACAGGGTGCAGAAATTTTCTGTCTGCCACGAAGGACGAAAAAATTTTTAACTTGTCAGCACCTTATTCAAAACGGAGGACGGCACCGAGTCCAGCCCTGCGAGGGTTTGGCGATTGGAAAATAGCAACAGGCTAATGCAGAAGAGATTTTCAATGGAATTGATTGGCTGGTGGGCTACTGCAGGGCACAGCCACAACGATGGTATGTGCGGAAACGCCGTGTAAAGGCGCTAGTGGTATTGTGTATCGCTGCAGGGAAGCCACGAGCTTCTGGAATCCTTCTAGCGTTCTCCGGCAACTCGGCACCGGGATTCTCCGCGTTGCATTGGATGAATTTTCTCCCTGAGAGTTGCATCTTGATTACTATTCATAATAATATTATTATTGAGCGTACTTCCCAACATTGCTGTAGTTTAGACGCTGGTGTCAGCATCTAACATTTTACTACACTGTATCTTGCCCGTTTCACAGACCCTGCACATTCCCGACTTATCCCGATATGGTGATCTATACTTCGAGTTTTGACTCACGGATAAATAATGTACATGATATTTTTAGATGACAAACTCATTCTCGGTGAACCAGAAGGTTCTGCACAGTCAACATGACACCTGTAAGACACGCAAGGGATCCCGAATGCTCATGCGGCTGCCTACGGGGTATTTTGTAGACCATGTCTCTGCATAGCCTAGATCGATGACTCGTTTAGAAATCCAGCCTGTTTAACAAATGAGGAAAGTCCATTTCCTCGCTTAAGGTGTCTGGGCCTTGACATTCATTCCTGATACATAGCTCAAAAGCAATTTACATGATTCGATGGAGTCTAGAGCCGGGTTGCGTGTCCTCAAGATTTTCGTAACATACCTGAGCTGAGTCTAAACCCTGTTCAGCCCAATCAAACCCAGTATCTGGAGGTGCTGGGTTGCGCGAGACGATCGCTTGTCTCTGATAGGGTGGTTGGCTTTGTTTCCCTCGTGGTGGCGCCGTGGGATCCCACATTCCATTTGATCTGAGACACGTCTTGGTGATATGCGTAACCGTGCCCTCCACTCATGCAATCTGACAGTTACAGTACTGGTCATTTCAGGGGTTCATGTTCATTACCAGCGGAGTTCTACCGGTTTTGTATTGCTGGTATCGCTGTCATGGTCAGTTTGTTCATTTCCGTTATATACAGTCGATGAATCACATTTCACATGTAAATCAGATTTCTCAAAACAAGACATAATACATATGCATATCATCTGGAGCTTCCGTTGTTGGACGTAGCACTCAAGATAAGATTTGCGTGGGGGAGGGTGGCACCAAAGATACAGTATCCACCTGGAAGCCACAGGGGATCAGCCGAATACCAAGGCCACTTACTGGTCAAAGACGTATCTCCAAACTGCTCATAATTCTGCTGCCTTCGTCCGCATTGCAGTTTTGTGTCGCGTGCTTGCTGCAGTAGCTTTAGCAGCTGAAAAAAAGCATGCAATCTCCAAGGCACCATGATAACCTGTGGCTGTACAATACAATCACGTGACAGCTGGACGTGCACTGACCGGCGATCCGATGCTACCAAAGTCCAACGTAGCCATCAGCCTTTGATCAACATAAGGTTTTCCAAACTCACACAACATGACTTTGTCTCAGGAGCTTGCATCGTGGTATTCTCCCTCGTATATGCAAACCTCTCATCCACCGCAAATTGGCGGTAAAGCACCATCTTCTCCGCGTTTGGCATTTCCCGCTGATAATGGAAACCCAACCTTATTGGCATTCCTCCGACATTGCGGGTGTCCAGGTCGGTGAATTGCAGACACTCGTTCCTGGAAAGGATCTTAACTGATCCATCCCCCATATAAAGTCGCTGAAGTAGCGCTCCTTGAAATGCGCACCGCGGCTGCCCAGCACCCCGATATCAACTTTGTCGCTATATCTCATAGTGATCAGCAGTCAACTGAGAAGTGGCTGAGTGCCGTTGGTGGTGCCGGTTCTGTCACTATTATCGTTGATGCCGACCGTGAAATTTATGCAAAGTGGGGGCTGGGAGTTGTTCCCTGGGGCCATGTACTCAGTCCATCGGGGATGTTGGCAGTCTTTAAGATGGGACAGGAGAAGGGTATCTGGAATCGGCCAACAGAGAGTGGTAGCAGATGGCAGTCCAGTGGGTATTGGGCTGTCGATGAGAGAGGTTTTGTACGATGGGGCGGCCCTGCAGCGACAGTGGATGAGGTGGTTGATACCGCAAAGGCCATTGAGGTTTTGCGAGAATCGCGCCAGGATTGATTACTTCTTGCTCGGCTCACTTTATACCCCTGATGTTGTGTTACCAGCACATATATCACAATTGAGATTAGGTTTGAGCTTTATTTTCCCATGACCTGCTGATATCCGTCGGTTGCTTGTCCCTCGGGTGTTTTCACTCAATGCTCACTCGTGTTCACTCACATTTTCATCCTTTAATCCTCGAGCTCAATTGAGGCTCGTAATTTTCTGCTTCTCTTTACCCTCAACTCTGTTGAAGTCCTCTGCGTTATGAGATCTGCCATCTTTTTTTCGCTGGGTGTCCTGGCATTGGCAGCAGGTGCTGCTGCTGTGTTTCTTTTTGAACCCGAATACTCAACAAATTATCCAGGTAGGCTCTATGACACATCGACGAGACTTCAGACGCCGAGTTTCCTAATCAAGCTCCAGGTATCCAACCGGCTTTCCTCTGTTCAAAACCTCGCAGCCTCCCAGTTCACCAATAAGCACGGCTCCTGGTGGACTGGCTCCCTCATAACCGGAAAAAAACTATCCACAAACTCTTCGTGACCTCCCAGTATGTGAACCCTTACGGAACGCAAGACTTTTATTGTGCATCCGTATTGGACCTGAGCAGCCTGGGGAATCAGTCCTTCGTGCAGTTTGGTGACGGATCATATCCTCCATCTGCCCCGTCTCGGCTTGTCATCGGCGTCGGTGAAAGTGACTTGGAATGTATCTCCGATGATAACCTCGGTACTATGCGCACCCACAGTGCCCACGGAGGTGTGACTTTCGACTTTGTCTACCATCTCACGACCCTGCTGCTCTTCAGCGGGGGCCATCATGTCATCTTTCACGACGATGGCAAAGCCTATGGGTGAAGTTTTCCCGCCTGTAGCACTTATGGCACCTTAGAACTCAAAGACCAGACGATTCAAATTGACACTCGGCATTCGCTGACCTGGTACGATCGACAATGGGGTAGCAATTGCCCTTACAACAGCTGGACCTGAAGCCATTTGCACATGCACGGTGGGTTCGAGTTCAGTATTGGGGCGTGCGATGGCGCGGCTGATTATTCAGAAGAACGCACGGCGACAATCCGTGAGCGAACCGGAGCTTTGACTCTCACCCATGTGTCTGTGACTCCTGATGTGGAGCATACTTGGTACAGCTCTGCTGGTAACAATACTTACCAGCTTTCTTGGGCTGTCCACATTACTGACTATATCGCGAAGCTCGCGATTGTTTCGATAACTGAGAAGCAGCTGCTCTTTAGTCCTACTATTTTAGAGATTACTTATGAGGGCTATGTCACCTTTATTGGCGTCTTCCTGTCTGCTGGGGTTGCGGGTTGTGATATGGTTGAGATTGTGGGGTAGTAAGATGACGATGCTCCGCACTCGGGCATATTTTGCTCACATGGAGCGTGTTTCAGAGATAACTGCTTAGTCTGGGTATGATTTATCTTCTCTCGTCTTGATTATTCCTTTAACCGGGGAATCAACTAACTTGAAGTCATCCGCAATCGTAGTGTAGCACTGGTTGCCCCCACAAGCGAGGACGGTAGCTTTCCACCTCGCCTGTTCCCAAAAGACAATCCCGACCCATTTCCACGAGGTCCACTCCCGCTTCCACGGATGCCCTAGATCAATCGCCAAGGATTCAAGCTAAAGAGATAACCTGGAGCAACATCTCCCGACATGTCGGAGAATTAATCCAGGATCACAGACCTAGCTGAGCAGTCACGTAGTGACCAGGGTCGAGTCTGAGCGGCCTCAAAATTGGGAAAGACCCACTTAGGCAAGGGTAGACTGGGGTTTGGAGTGGCCTTTGGTATGAATTTAACAACTCCCTAGAACAATATGATCTATGGTTGTGTCTCATGCCGCTCCTCCATTCGTCCATGTGTGGAAAGCTGGCCAGCTCAAAAACTTACTTTTTCTGCTCTATGGTGTTGTAATTGCGATTGGCTAAGACATGACTTGGAGTTGACGGCGACTGAATGATAAAAGGAAATCAAAAATAAAAACATACAACAGTTAGGATTCGCATGTGGTCACCCACCATACTACTAACTAACCGGCGTGTGGCTTAAGTACGGCTGAGCGGACGGGAAGCCCTGTTCTCCACACCCTATGGTCGTATGTAGTAACTTCAACTCGGAATTTCAAATACTATCCTGCGTGTTTCGCTCTCCTGGGTCCCTACTGCCATCCTGTGCCGTTTGAATGAGTCTAATAATCAGGCTTCTTTGCCAGCATCAACCCGTGGCGTCTACCTATGTGCAACCCGTAGACAAGTAATTCTCTCAGTTATTCTTCCGGTCTCGTGACAGTGGAATCTAGAGTAACGGGGTTAATGAGGAATATGACACTGTTGCATGTTCCCACTTGCAGTGAGTCTGGCATCGGTTGCCTTGTTAATGCTCGAGGCAGCAACAGCAACCAGCGAGCACGATCTTGCGATCCCCCGTCTATTCCTAGGTGAAAGAAAAATTGTAATAATTATACCAGGGCGTTCCTCGTCGAATCTCACTCGGACGAATAAGTCTTCGAGTCCCTGCTTTGTATGTAGTGGCACTGAGGAGGTGCGGACTCTGGTGGCTCTGATTGGTCTGTTGGATCGAGCTTCCTAATTTGGGGGTTCAACTTCCCAAATGGGAGGTTCAACTGTGGGTCCCAGGGTGGTTCAAAATTGTCATCTGCTGATGCATTTTAATTTTCTAGGTCGCAACTACGGTTTTTATTTAGAATGAGGTTGATTTGTGAGGTATCTGAGCTCCGTTAAAATATAAGGTTTTTTTTGGTATCAATTTACCAACATTATCCATGGATCATTGGTGGGTTTTTGTGTGGTTAATTTGATGCTTGTACAATATATATCTTCTACATATACACACCACATCCCCAACATAACCCGTACTTAGCATTACCGAAACGGGCAATTATTAAACTTGGGATTAAAATTTGCAAACAATGTGATGACATTAAAAATATGTAAGCATACAAAGTTCTTAATCTCTTAATCTAACATGATTGACAAGTACACAAGCTTCGAGGTGACAGACATGGAGCATGTCGAACAGAGAACGTGGACTTATGGACTACAAAGACTGCTTGACAGGAGTTACGATCGAAGGGGAATCAGAAAATTATGTTACACATGTTCTAAGTATACCAACTACATACAACACGAGAAATTCAAGACTCTTGCCCCGAAGAACTTTGAAAGATGAGATGAGACGCGATGAACAAGTGCAGCGAATTGACACGAAGACGCATGCTCATTGCGGACACGCAGGAAAATAACACGGGAACGCGTTACAGCCAACAAACACGCAATACCACGGACGACAGATCGACTTTAATACAGACGAATGGATTTACGAAGAAGATGATTGAGTTTCAAGTTAATTGTATTCGTATCGGATCACCTCACGAAGGAGTGTGAATCCCACCATCTAAGTGGTGCCAGCCATATGATGAGGCCGCTATGATACAGGAAAGCTCAGAAGCGAACACTAGCAGACCCATAGTGGACGCGAAAAGTGGTAGTCGTTGTAAAAAAAATTCAAACCCAGAGACCCATGTCGATAAGAAAAATCAGAGAACACCCCAACGTCCCATCATACCGTTTGTAACAACCCGGAAAAGAGAAAAGACATGATACGCTTAGCCACCGAAACCGTAGAGGGTACCTGGAGACATGTTAGAGACGCGTTGAAAGAGAGAAAGAACGCGGTGAAACTTACGGCCCTGGCGCTTGAGAGCGTAGACAACGTCAAGAGAAGTGACGGTCTTGCGCTTGGCGTGCTCAGTGTAGGTGACGGCATCACGGATGACACCCTCGAGGAAGGTCTTGAGGACACCACGGGTCTCCTCGTAGATCATAGCGGAGATACGCTTGACACCACCACGGCGAGCGAGACGGCGGATAGCGGGCTTAGTGATACCCTGGATGTTGTCGCGCAAAATCTTGCGGTGACGCTTGGCGCCACCCTTGCCGAGACCCTTGCCACCCTTTCCACCTGTTGAACGCGTTAGCAAGACGCGTCTTGGTTGAGATTTGATTCCCCAGAAGGGAAAAGAAGGTTAAGGTTGTAAAGACTTACGACCAGACATGATGAATGTATTAAAAAGTGGGGTTTTTGTTGGGAGAAGAAAAAAACCGAAGTAGTTGGTTGGAGTTGTCGAGAATGGGAGGAAGCGGATGGAGCTGGGGCAGGAGATATTTGTATCAGAGAACAGTGAGGACGCGGGGACTGGGAAATCACACGCTAGTGGGCGGATCAGCCAATCAGCGTTGAGGATCCGATCCGGCAGGCGTGATCTACCGGGCCCCTCTCAGCCGAGAGTGTCTGGATGCCGCCGCATAATCCTGATCCCTCGGTCGGTACACCTTCAAACATGTAGATCAAAAACCGAAAAAAATCAGTAAACATGTAGACAGGATGAGGAATGCTAGGAAACGCGTAGATCAGAGAATCAATCTCCTAGGTGGCCGGGATCAAAGAGAATGGGCGGGAAGTATTCGAGACCCGTGATCCTGCACGCTGATTGGCTGATATCACGGGACACTCGCTTACCCGGGATTATGTGACGGAGACCACCAGTACAAACGGATCAAACCCAGAATTCCATCACTAACTTCCGGGCCCATATTTGGTTGATCTGAATCACGCCCGCTGATTGGCTTGTTTTCCCATCACCCAGATCACACCCTTTCCTGCTTTCCTACAAATACTCTTCCCCCACCCACATCCAACTTCTCCTTCTCCATCCATTCGACAACCATCGACAACAACCGACTTTCATCAATAAATCCACTTTTTCCATCAAATCAAGGTCGGAAAAATGGCTCGCACTAAGCAGACTGCCCGTAAGTTGTTACATCACTATCCTTTCTCTCGCTGTCCACACCTTCGTCTTGCGATCGTTCCCACCTCATAAGGGCAACCTTTCCATTTTGGGACAAGGGTGGACGCGAGAACGCGTTTATCTCATAACAACATCTTTACTAACCTGTCTTCCCTTTCACAGGTAAGTCCACTGGTGGCAAGGCTCCCCGTAAGCAGCTCGCCTCCAAGGCCGCTCGCAAGGCCGCCCCCTCTACCGGAGGTGTCAAGAAGCCCCACCGTTACAAGCCCGGTATGTTCATCCCAACTTTAAATTATCATCTGTCCTCCCAGTCACTAATATCCCTTGCCAGGTACCGTCGCCCTGCGTGAGATCCGTCGCTACCAGAAGTCCACTGAGCTTCTGATCCGCAAGCTCCCCTTCCAGCGTCTGGTCCGTGAGATCGCCCAGGACTTCAAGTCCGACCTCCGCTTCCAGTCCTCTGCCATCGGTGCTCTCCAGGAGTCCGTTGAGGCCTACCTCGTCTCTCTCTTCGAGGACACCAACCTGTGTGCCATCCACGCCAAGCGTGTCACCATCCAGTCCAAGGATATCCAGTTGGCCCGTCGCCTGCGTGGCGAGCGCTCTTAAGTGCGCTGAATATGGTCTTTTCTTGTTGACTCTTCTGGGAAGGCGATACGGGGTTTTCTTTTTATGAATATGGCGATACACTATGGGTTTCTGCTTTCGAATGAATGGGTTTCGGGACCGGGTTGGTTCCTGAATTTTGCTTTTTTTACTGCGATATTCCACTGCCTCACCCTAAACATGGGACGGTTTTGTGGTGGTTTATGTACATCAAAGGAATAATTTCCTCTACGGATGCCTTAGCGTGCACCGTTTTATGACAGACGCTCAATTGCGATCTATTACTTAAACCAATCCTCTCCGTTTCTTTTCGTAGTCTTCAAGGACGCGTTGGCTTTGTTTTGATCCATAAAGAGATACCTGTGTATTGTAGAACGACGTGTGTCTTGTGATCCACTGACGCGTCCCTGCGTCCGACCGTACGCTCCGTCATGTAACGGTATGGAATCGCATCACGTCCTTCACTGTTACAACCAGTACCCATTAATCAAGTAGAAGTCCTCATGACAGTAGTATCACCGTCCCAGTGGTTCTTTGACACAAAAGTCCAAGTCTAAACCTATGGTCCTACAGACATTGCTACACCAGTACAAAAGCCTCCACGTAATGAAGTCCAATAATCAGGTTCCCCTTATTATCAGTGAAAGATTATCCCATCTATCCAAGGCTCTACAATGCTGGTTGCATTCAACAGCCGTATTCTTTTCGGTTCTTCTGAGCAGAAGCGAGGTCTTCAATTCCCTGCTGGGACCAACCCCTCATGAATGCATCCCACCATGGCAACAAGGCACGCGTCATCTGGACAGGGCATGCCCACCGGAATTTGTTCCCTGACAAGCAGCCCTGGAATTGAAAAAAGACTACTCTACCAACTGGCCATTCCTTTCCCCCTTTCTGGTTCTGTAGGTCAGGCTGTGATGCCTGACGCACTGACCAAGACGTCACCATTAGATGTGGGTCTTGTTACTATGATCTAGATTTGTTTCTTGATTTTTCTTCGTACAGGTAATTAATGAAAGAAATAAAGATATAGTGCTATACTACGAGTATTGGAGATTCTATTGATATCAATGTTATTATCATTTCATCATGTTTGACTTTAAGATCATAGATATACGTCCTGATCCTGTTGGGCCCATCTAGAGTGGGGCTGACAAAATGGATTCCAGAACGCTAACGACGCTAGGACATTGCTTGAGGCCTCAGGCAAGAAATGGCTAATGATCACAAGACTACATGATAACTAGTATAGGCAGCAGTGACTCACAACTTATGACTCATTTGCCACTGATGATTCCCGGGGTTTGCAGCGTCGCCGTGCCTCGAGTTCCAGACCGGCCCTGGTTTGGAGACGTGGATCGAGTATTGTATGCATTTTTGGTTTCTTTGTGCGGGGGTGATGGTGAATGCACAATGGATCTCATGGTAGATTAGACGTGGGAGAGAGGGCTGTATAGTGATCTGGGATGAATTGAAAGCCTCTGGAACTTCCCCTTTGGCATCTTGTCCGTTTTCTTGTAGTTTCTTCTATACACTGTTAACTTTGAGAAATGTGCCCTAGAGGGCTTGCTACGTCATGAAAACGTGCTTTAAGTGATTGGCAGCATGGCACAATAGTGACCACTATCGTTCTCCATATTAAAAAATATAGTGAAGCTCTTCCAACCATTGATCATATGCAACACCGATCCAGGTTTGTTTATTTCATGAGCTTAGAGATCATTTCAACAGCAAGGCTGAAATGTGAGATAACAAATATGGACACGCTAATGCTAGTAATCAGTCAAAATTTTTTATTGTAGAATGAGAACAAAATCATTTGTATGAGATTTCAACTAATGTAGATTGAGTATCGTCCGCACTAAGCAATTATATAGCTTTGTAGTGTTCGCTAGCTCATCGCTTCTGCCTCCCAATTCGACCCTGGTCCGCATGGAGAGTGCCTAGGATTTTGACCGTTTTGAGAGTTGATATATGCACTGGTCCTAATGCCTTCTCATAGCCTTGCAGTGCTCGCTGGTATATCACCTTGGCTTCCGTAAGCCGGCCTTGACATGTATAAATGTTGCCTAGGTTATTGATTGTGTCAAACGTTGATACATGCTCTGGTCCCACATCCTCTCATAGCCGTGAAACACTTGTTTATTTATCACTTTGGCTTCTGAAGGCCGTTCTTGATCATCATAGAGGATCCCCACAGAACACAAAAGATCCGCAGCTTCACTAATAACTTCTAGAATCGGTTTTACACTTAGAAAGCTATCGTCATGCGTAATAAGTTTCTGTTACGTGACTCAAAACTCGCTCTGACTTTTATTAGGTACATACAGTACCACGTATTTTATCGCTGTCCAGCTATTCCTACACCAAACTCGGGATTGAGATCATGAATCACCCATAAATGATCCCATACATGCAAACCGTATCCTCGTAACTCTATCTAGCGTAATGTAGTGGGCGGATCAGCCTCTACAAGCCCATGGCTGCATGGGAGTCTGAAGGCTTTGTGGAATGCAGCTTATCTGTGTGAGCTCTCGTAGCCATTCCGGCTTGTCCAGGCTGCATTCTCCCAGCAGCTCATATCACAAATTTTAATTATCAAAATGAGCCCATTATCGGAGAAGCATAGCTGCAAGCACTCTTGGTTCTGCCTCTTGATGTATCTTGAAGAGATATTCTAAGTCGAGAATAATTGTGTTCGTATGCAGCTAACTGCGGTGTCTCTTCGTGCAGCTTCCGCCATGATTCATCGTAAAGCTAAAGAATTTTTCGTGTAGGATATCGATAATTCTTTTAGATATGCGCTGTATTAGGTCACACCTACCTTCGCATGGCGCTCCTGCTTACTGATACACATAATCCAGTGGGTAGAGATGATCATTCATGGCGCCAGGAGACCTGAAGTTATGAAGCGTTCGGTGATTGACTTAGATCCTTTGTAGGTTCTTTCGGAATCGGATCATGATCTATCCGTTAACGCCTCACGGCTATTCCTTGCGTAGCGTTAAGGGAGGCTGGTGGCGGAGGGGAGAGAAAGCCTTTCCGTTGTTGGAAATGGCCAGATATTGCCTTTCAATGGCCGTACTATACAGCTCCAGAGTGTATACCTGTCGGTTCACTAACCACCACATGTCTCAGACGAATGATAGACGAATGATCCCAGATTTTGTCTCTATTAGAACACCGCCTCAAATTCCTACTAACAGTCCGTACTTAAGGTTTTATAAGGTTTGGCAATGTCATATATGCGGCGACAGCAGCCGCGGGGTTGTTTCCTGTCCTGAGCAGATCGGCGATGAGGAACACGAAATGCCTCACGTTCAGCTTTTAGCATCGGTGTCGTGGTGGAGCGGCGCTTAAAGACTAGCCCTGTGTGATATGCATTGCAATCAGCCGGCTACGCGCCCTCGCGGGTTGGGGTTGGAGGAATCGACTACTGGTCAGATGAGCCATACTGGATTATCAGTTTACGCCCATAGCAATAGGCCAGAATGTGAGAAATTAAGGGGCTGATGCACTCTCGAGGCATGAATATCGAAGTCAACAAGTCTCCCATCACGTGAGGTATTGCTTCTCGTAAAGCTAGCTGGCTAGCGGTGCACGCGGTAGAAATGTTGGCTGAGTTGCAAATCTTCCGTTCAGCGCTCTTACTTGCAGTTAGTTTACAGCTTCAGTGCCTGGTATCCTAGGTGTCGAGTGGGGAGCGGATGGCCCGGAGGAGAGGGGGCATTGACCCGTTTGTGGAGAGAAGCGAAGCCTAATTTGTGCTCAGTGCTTTCTAAAATCCTATCAAGAGCTGAATGCGAATGTACAATTTGGAGCGGGTATTGTTTCCTTGGCTTGAAAATACCCTTGAGCTCCTTGGATGTAGTAAAATCATGAACTAGAGCATACTGGACAGAACTTTGGAAAATATATGTTAGAACCAACACCATTTCCCCCTTTTGTGACGCCACATTATACGACCCACGGGCAGAATGAAAGATCCACCAAGTTTAAGTCCATGTAGGAGTAGAAGTCTTCAACCAAAAACCGGATCATGTCCTACAAGACTACCATCTGCAGGCCTGTGGAGTTTATATGCACGTTTATGCACATATGTCATGAAGCATAATTTCGGGACAATAGCATAACATGTGATTACAAATCCATAGATTGATTACATCGTTACCACGAGGAGCGGAAGATCCACTCCTATAGTACTTCAAAGTACCTCAGCGGAGCCCTCGTTTATCTGCGCCTCAAGGGGGTTTGTAAGCTCTGGGCTGTTCTCTAACCTTCTGGAGTTAATGGTAATCCCCGAGCCGCCGGGTCGGGATTGAGCCGACGCCTGATGACGATAATGACGGATGTGGCCCTTGCACCGGGAGCCTACTGGGGCCCGGATAGGCATGCGAGTGTAACCATATCCATCAATATCTGTACCTCAATAGTTGTTTGCCAATATTGGCAAACTTATAATTTGAACAGGTGACTTTTAAATGACGACCTGAAGAGTAGAGTAGCCTGTAGCTTCACCGCATCGATTGATTGACTGATCACGTCTTATAGTGCAGCTGTAGACGCAACGCGTTTGAGACGAATCTTGATATGTTTCAAATGCCGACCAATCACAGGCGTGCCGACTACCCGGTGCATAAATCAACGTGGTCAAATTCTTTGCATAAGTCACGTGGTACGGACGTTTTCATCATCTTGGCATCAGCATTGCAGGATTTTCAACCGGATGTTGCCTGGCGAAAATCCTCTTGGTTCATATCTAACCAATAGCTTCGTAACGATATTAGAATTGAACGAGCTACTTTCCGGCGGTCTTGTATCCCGGGTGGTGGACCTGTTGAAAGTCATTGAAACCCTGATATTTATATACATAGGAGGTTCTAAGGTTCTAAAGTTCAATGGACATGGCGAGCTCCGGTTGCTAGTGGGTCCCAGTTTTTTCTTTTCTTTTTTGATCTCTCCGAATCCACTGGACGGAACAAGGGTTTACCGTGCTTTGGCAGGCGATTGGTCTTCATTAATGTGCATCGCTTACGGATTAGTATGTATAAATCTCTAAGATTGGCATAGGTCCGGACTTTTAACCTTGGATGACCAGGAAAATTTAAAAAAAAAAAAAATCAACGCCACGAGGCCCATCGCCTTATGAGTCGTAGTGCAGTTGCCGTCATTAAATAGGGGCCACTGCCCCGATTTATCATATCTTCTCTCTTTTCACTTGAATCTATTTAAGTTAATTTTTCAATCTTAATAAAGTGGCGACATACCTTCCCACTTCGGACCCTCTCCTCCCCGCAAACGGCCCATACTAGAAAAACCGGGAATCACGAAACAAACACCCCGGATTTCTCAATAAATCAACTGATACATCCTCGACACTCGTTGGTCTTGTATCGGCTACACGACTTGTTGACCTACATATAATTCTGCCCATCATGGCAGGCGACGAAAAGAACGATGTCGCCAACATGCCTGCAGCTCTTACCAAGATCCCATATTGGCGATTGGTCACAGACCAAGGTGTCGTCACCCAGGAGATTATCGACTATCCATATCCCGGCTCTGGAACCGAAGACGACCCGTACGTGGTGACATGGATTGACAATGATCCCCGCAACCCCATGCTTTTCAGTGAGACCAAAAAATGGTCATATACTATGGTGGTGGCAATAGCGACATTAGCGGTGGCACTGGTCTCTTCTGCATATACTGGTGGTGTTTTGCAGATCGAAGAGCAATTTGGCATCGGAGAAGAAATTGCTACGCTTGGTGTCTCGCTTTTCGTCTTGGGTTTCGCCGTTGGACCCGTGCTGTGGGCTCCTATGAGTGAGCTGTTTGGTCGCCAGATTCTGTTTTTCGTTACATACGCTGCCCTCACAGCCTTCAATGCTGGTACCGCTGGTTCACAAAACATTTACACGCTTATTATCCTTCGTTTCTTTGCTGGTGCATTTGGTTCCTCACCTCTTACCAATGCCGGTGGTGTCATTGCCGACATGTTCCCCGCTAGACAGAGAGGTGTCGCCATGAGTGTCTTTGCCGCCGCTCCTTTCCTTGGCCCTGTTCTGGGTCCTATTATTGGAGGTTTCTTGGGAATGAATGCTGGTTGGAGATGGGTTATGGGCTTCCTAGCTGCTTTCTCAGGATTGGTTTGGATTATCGGCTCTTTGTTTCTGCCTGAGACTTATGCACCTGTACTCCTCCGCCGCCGCGCAGAGAAGCTTTCTAAGCTCTCGGGTAAGGTCTACCGGAGCAGAGTTGATATCGATCAGGGCAAGGTCACCTTCGGTGAGACTTTCAAAGTTGCTTTGTCCCGCCCGTGGGTTCTCTTGTTCCGGGAGCCCATCGTCTTCCTGCTGTCTCTGTACATGGCTATCATTTATGGTACCTTGTATATGATGTTTGCGGCATTCCCTATTGTCTACCAGGAATACCGTGGTTGGAACCAGGGTGTGAGTGGATTGGCCTTCCTTGGCATCATGGTTGGTATGATTCTCGCTGTAGTCTACAGTATCTGGGACAACAAGCGGTATATCAAAACCCAGGACAAGCACGAGGGATTCGCACCCCCCGAGGCCCGTCTGCCACCCGTTATGCTTGCCTCCATTGCGGTCCCAGTTGGTCTCTTTTGGTTCGCCTGGACCAATTATCCCTCGATCCACTGGTCAGTCAGTATCATCGCTGGTGCACCCTTCGGCTTCGGAATGGTGCTTGTTTTCCTCGGTATCATGAACTACCTTATCGACGCATACACCATCTTTGCCGCCTCCGTCCTGGCCGCTAACTCCGTCCTGCGTTCGTGCTTCGGTGCCGCCTTCCCTCTGTTCACCACCTACATGTACAACAACCTCGGCATTCACTGGGCATCTTGCATTCCTGCGTTCCTCGCTCTCGCCTGTGTTCCATTCCCATTCTTGTTCTACAAGTATGGTGCTAAAATTCGCAAGAGTTGCAAGTTTGCCGCCCAGTCTGATGCATTCATGCGTAAGATTCAGGAACAGGCTAAGACCGAGCCTGAGGAAGATGAGAAGATCACTTACGACCGTACCGAGGCTCCTGCCCCACACACCGAGTTATCCAGCGACTCTGATGACGAGCCTGCTGTGCAGCGCAGCCGCAGCCGTGCCCACTCTACCACTTCTACATTGCACCGTGTGCCGACTTACGAAGGCAATCCATTCGATATGGATCGCGTCAACACCAGGGAGTCCTTCAAAAACTAATTACACCTTACTCATTGCATCTGCGCTTGCAGTACCATTTAAAGGTGCTCTTGCCACATAATCTTAGTCCTCATCCCTTTCATCTCGCAACATTCCTGTTATCATTGCATTTGGTGGAATTTTGTGTGTTTGTCTACTTTATACCCTGATGTTAACCTCACTTGGGGATGAGTCATGTATTTACGTATCTAAAAAACGGCGTTTCTATTAGAGGAATCAAGAATCAATTGATTTGAATCATTTGAAGAAAGTATCTACGCGCGTAAATAAGGTATATAGATCGGACTTGTACTTTCGGGCTCAATCGGGGAATCACGGCACTGCCGACTGCCGAGTTGATGTATCTTGCGTGCCTGATTTTTAATCATCGCATTATCCTTTGATCTGCTTTTTTATTTTCATTTCTCCCTTTTCTGATTTTCTGATTCTCCTTTCTTGCCATTTCTTGAGCAGATTACCTTGACTGTTTCTTCTCAGGCCTAAATCGCCCGGTCAAGCCCTCCGGTTATCGGTCCTCAGTCTTTGGAGTTCGTTCTTATCGCCACAATCGGACTTCCAGCCCGATAGGCTGGGTCTTTTGCCTGGGGATTTATCCTTTCTTTGTCGTTGCTCCAGGAATAGATGAGCGTGCTCGGAGCGTTGGATATGAGTCTCTTCCAAAAGGGACTCGCCGCGCACGCGTTGGCGTTTACGATCGGTCCGCGCCCACGGCCTATTACCCCGGTGCGATTATCTCTGCGCCGGGTGCGCCAGCCACGACGACACAATTCAGCTCAGGCTTCGAAGCCTGAAACCCCCCAAGGGAAAGCCGTGGAGGATGCGTCGTCACTTAATAAAAATGGAAAATTGGCTTCCAACCCTTCGTCGCCGTCCGCTCCCTCACCGTCTTCCCCCCAGAATACCGCTGCCACCGCCGCAGGCGTAGCGGCCGCACCGAATGCCGCAGTGACATTGACAAGAACCCGGCGACTGGGCGAGATGATCAAGGCTGGACCGGTTGGGACGTTTGGGAGGTGGTACGCTCGTGTGCAGAAGGAACGGCCGTACCAGACGCAGTTGTGGAGTTCAATTGTTATCTATCTATGCGGTGACTTGAGCGCGCAGCTGTTTTTCCCTCCAGACAAACCTGCACCAGCGAATGATAATCAGGATGCGTCCAAGGCATCTGTGGAACCGAAGGACGAGAATGAAGATAAGCCGAGCTTCGGGAGTAGTTATGACCCATGGAGAACAGTCCGGCACTTGATCGTGGGTGCAGGTTCCAGCATTCCGTCATATAACTGGTAAGTGTATGCCCCGGGATCTAGTATAACATCTATTAGCTCGACACCGCAGCTTGTTCATATAAATTAACATTCGGTCAGGTTCTGGTTCCTCCACAATAACTTCAACTTCTCGTCTAAGTTGCTCTCAATCTTGACCAAGGTCACCGTGCAACAGATAGTCTTCACTCCCGTTTTCAATACCTACTTCTTCAGTGTGCACTCCCTTCTCGCAGGCGCCACTTTTGAAGAAACCTGGGAGCGCTTGAAGAAGGCCCTTCCCGTCAGTATTTCCAACAGCGTTAAGCTTTGGCCAGCTGTCACGGCATTCAGCTTCATGTACGTGCCGCCAGAGTATCGCAATGTCTTCTCTGGAGTCATTGCCGTTGGCTGGCAGACGTACTTGAGTTGGTTGAACCAGAAGGCTGCGCGTGAAGTGGCGCAAGCTGAGGCTGCGATTGAGGCTGGCTCATCACCTGCGATGACTGGGAATCTGATTCCTGCCGGACAGGCTGCATAAATAGCGTTATTTGGGTTTTGAATTCCGCATGTATAGATTTGATGTCCTGATTGGCGTTGGGCTTGTTTTTTTGAAAAGTTGCATTTCGCAGATACCAAGTTAGACCATAGATTCCACAATAGATCAAGATTTTCTTTCTGCTCCTTCGATTACAATCCCGTTTGACTTGGATTATATTTTCTTGAATAGGCAGAGCCAATTAAAGGCACCGGGTTTCCAACTTTGTAGAAATGTTATCCACCTAGAGTACCGTCCATGAAAAGCACTGTCATCCAGTGACAGTAATTTACACACACGCCGAAAATTACCAATTTCAATCACTTATTATCCTAATCCTTGATCAACGTGCACCAAAACAATGTGCTCTCGCTAAGTGATTTCTGGTGTCAAAATTACCCGGACCCATGGATCTAGACCGGAAGCGCAATGACGCACTCCGCATCTCCAACTCTCGCATGCCACATAGGACATGACCCCCCTTGACAGTTGCAGGCATGTCCTGCCCACCGCAAACACCGCAGCCTGAGGACTCCGACAGTGACTACGGATCTGACTTCACGCCCGACGAAGAGGTCCTTCTAAACCAGTTGCTCACCCAAGCTGCCTCGGAGCGCGCGCCCGCCGAAACCGACGCCACTCCAACTTCACTTTTTACTACGCCTAGGCAAACTCCCGACCCCACGATTGCGACAAGCGCGAACAATCACATCGAGCCGGCTCATTTGGCATACCTACAGCCTCCGGTTATTGCGACGCTGGTCACGGATATTGAAGATGGCATTGCGGAGTTCCCGGTTGCCCGGGCTAAGGTGCTGGGCAGGGAAAAACCTCGTTCATTCTGGACATCGAATAAGCGGCTTTGGGAGGGTACAGATACACGCGATGAGATGGAGGATAGAGCAAGTCAGGACGCAGACAACAGGGCCAATACGCTTGGTATGTGTATCTATTGCACTTCGAAATTTGGGATTGGACTGACGCGTTGATATCCGAAGCGTTTAGTGGAGCACTCTAGTTCAACGGAAGGCAGAGAGCGAGAGCGAGAACGAGTTTCTGTGCGCGAACAAGAATGGATCAAGCATGAGCAGTTAGCGCCGACACTTGATACTAGGTCCCCCGTGGAGCGGTTTCGAAGGCCTCCTAACAAAGCTTTCTCGGTCACTGATTTGGTTTCGCCGGCTTGGTGCGAGCTGCAATATTGGTATACATTGACGAAACATGGGAGGAAGAAGAGGACTGCGGCCATGAAGAAGGGGAGTGTGGTGCATAAGACGCTTGAGGATGAGATTTATACTACTGTCCCTGTGGATATCACTACGAAGGAGGATGCATGGGCTCTTCGTATATGGAATGTGATACAGGGACTGCGGATGCTGCGACAGTATGGCACCACACGCGAGCTTGAGATTTGGGGCCTTGTCGACGGGGAGCTGGTTATTGGTGTTATCGATCAGCTATCCTACGAATGCCCGGACTCTGAGCTTGAAGCTACGGCTGCTAACTTCTATGAAGACGTGGAGGCATCAAAGGCTGCTTTACCTGAGCATCATATGTCTTTGTCTGATTTCTTGCTGTCTTCCTCCCAAGGTGGACGAAGACTCGAAGATCTCGGCCAGACAGAACAGATGCATAACGAACAAGCACCCGTTCAAGCAGTCTCGCCAGCTGTTTATGACCTTGCTCGGGTATACCTTACGGATGTAAAGACCAGAGCGAGTCGCTCTATTCCCACAGTCAAGAGCACATCCTTCCGACCTACTTCCCTTCAATTGCAACTTTATTACCACATGCTTAATCGCATGATAACGAGTGACGACGTGACGATGGAATTACTTGCGGCTCGGTATGACCTTGACCCCGAACGCCCGTTCACAGAGGCCTTTGTCTCTGGAGTTGGAGGCTTAAACGACGAATTCTTCGATACGCTCTCTTCTCAAGAGTTTGACCTCAACGATCCTCCTACACCGGAGGATGTACGAAAGATCTCCAATAGCTCTGGTTCTGCGTCATCTAGCCCGGTGCCCGCCAGTCAGGACTCCACGAGTATCCTTATGACGCACGGCAATCTGTTTAAACTCTGGATTTATATGAAAGAGCAGCTCCGTGTCACCTTTATCCCATCCATCCCTGAGACGGAGTCAATTGCACCCTCTATCCCGTCACATAACCAGCCGGCTACCCTTGAGGAGTATCCAACCCTCATATCCCCCGTGCTTACGGCGCGATTCTTATCCTCAGCTCCTACGGATGATCTGAAGCCCAAACTTCTGGGAAGCCGGTCCTTCCTCTTTGATCCTAATGATATGTCATCCTACATCACAACGCAGATGGAGTGGTGGCGAGGACAGCGTGATCCCATTGGAGTCAATATCTCGGATGCCTGGAAATGCCGGATTTGTGATTTTCGCGACGAGTGTACCTGGCGCGCGGAACAGGAATGGGCTTTTGCTAGACGAAACCAAGGCCGAAGAGCCGGTGCCTCGACGGGGACATAGGATATTGTTCGCCAGTCCAATCGCGACTAATTCTCGAGGCTATAGATGTACTATATTGAGACCGGATAGAATAAATGTGGAAACGTACACACTTCAAGCTATCAAGTCTTCTACAGTATCACAGTATCAATATGGATAACTCCGCGTCTCACCCTCCTTATCAACCTCCAAACCCGCAGCAACCTGCTCATCATGTTTGCGATCCAAGTACTCCAACAAAACGTCCTGATACTTTTCCTTGCCCTTATACCTCGACACATCATCCCCCCAACTCCTTACAGCAGAAGCCAACCTACCAGGCACATAATCCTCCTTGACAATCTCCGTAATAGGCTCAAAATAAGTTCTAATAGTAAAAACCACAGCTCCTGACCTCGGCAACCGTCTCAGAGACTGTCGTTCTGACCTGAAAAAGTGATGCTCAATAGCCCGATTCTTCTCAGCCGTATTCCACGATACTTCTTCCGCATCTTCGGACCCGATACTGGGTGACCAGGCGAGCTGGTCATCAACCTGAATGAAATAATTATTCCGGAGAACGGGCTCTTCGGGTTTAAGCCTACGAAAGAAATTCTTCATTCCTTTTTCGAGTTTTTCTTCGTATTGCGGTACCGAGCCTGATGTGTGGATCTCTGATAATGGCATTCCGAATTTGTCGCGCAAGCGCCAGAATCCGGCGAGGAGGATTGCACCTGCTAGCAGGTAGTATTCTCCGTCTGGCTTTTCGATCATTAGGGCTATGTCGTCTTGGATTAGCCGGGCAGCTGTTGCCATTGGGTCTTCTGGGAGGGGTCGTTGGGTGATATTGAAAGTTTCGTGGGTGATTGTGTTTGTTATTCCTGTAGGTGTCTTTTGGAACATTGTTGGGTATCTTTCTGGGAGATAGTCACATCTAGAGATATTAGTTGGTTATTATAGAGGGAGGGTGGATGGGGCTTTACAATTCCTCTAATAGTTCGATTGCGCCGTCCATGGCTTCCGGTGCTGTTCCGTAGCATTTCTCGCCACGCTCTGTGATGCGTTTGGCTTTGTCGGCGTGAAATTTTAAATAGTGGTTGTCAAGTTCTGGGTTCGGATGACCCTCTTAGTTATGATTCTATCAGTGGTGAAGTCGATCTCCCTTACCAATCCATTCATCGAACTTCAAACTTCGTAGTCCCATCGTGACAAAGTACTTTCTAGTTTGCATTAGAGAAGCGCAACGTAGCATTGATATCCTAGGCTTACGGGCCATATCGAAATGGTCGATAGGGAATGGGCTTGGAAGTATGAACGTCCCAGTCAGGATATGGCTGTGCCGTTGGTCGTTTAAAATCCGATGGCGTCCATTCTGATAGGTTGTTAGATGCATGTCAGATGCATGTCAAGGAACCTTTTTGTGACGACTGCTTACCTCCGAAATTCCTGGTGATCTTCTCCCTACCCCTTGAAGCCGGCTTCTCTAGGTCAGGAGTAGAAGATCTCGATAATCTGCTAGAGGCATTCCATTTCTGTATGACGAAGACGATGATGCAGGCACAGATATTGAGAGCTAGAAATGCACCGACGAGGTTGTTGCTTGGGATGATAAACCGAGCTATCCGTGACAGAAATTCTATCGCTATAGCCATGTTGTATAAAAATGGGCAATAGTCTTAAACACAAATGCGGTTTGAGGATGGGATTATGTATTCATTATAGGCTGGGGGTGCTCTGGCAAAAATAAGTGTATAGCATCATCTGATTTGCTCATGTTGTGTCAAGCAGCGTGATCGAAGTGATAACGACGTAGTTCTCCCGTGAGCTGCCTTTCTTGTTCATCGGATGCGAATGATTCGTTATCTGTATAAAGTCTGCTTGCCGGGGTTTGTACATACGCGGGGATAAAAGAGGGGGCGAGGAACCGTCCATTTCCGGCCGTTGGATCCGAAGCTGCATCTAACGAGCCTATTGCTGGACACGGATTGACGGCAATGACATGGTTTATCAGCGGCGAGGCGCTTATCATTGACGTGAACTTAACGGGATTTCTTCTCCTGATTGGGTAAAGTAAGTCCGACAGTCTTGTACCCCATGCTATTGCAACGGGAAGTGGTATTCCTTGGCACTATTTACGGGACTTTGGGATGAACTGGGACATATATTCAACTGGTTGGTTTATGTACTATGCTTTCAAAATGAAGACTAGACACTAGCGTCGGCCTTGCGCTGCAGAAGGCAAAACTGGCCCCATTTGCGCTGGAATTGAGGTGGAATAAAGGGGAGGTTTGGCACCCAGATTAATCGCCCAAGAAGCCCTGTTTGAGCGGTATCTAAGAAGCTCGCACATGTGAGAGTTTCCCATTTGCGGTCGAGAACGTAGTGAGGCTCCAGTTCGGATACCTCGCGACCCGGGAAGAAGGAGTCGATCAAGAAAGAGCATTCAGAAACATCAATCTAATACCATTAGAATTTTGAGGACCAACTTGAAGGGTTTCCTTAACTTACGTATTTGTTAGGATCTTCCCGGTTAAGATCATTCATGCCAGATGGGATTTGCGAAGCACCATCTAGCCGGCCGAGAAGACTAGGCGATTCCGGGAACTCGCCTGGGAGCAGACCGTTGAACTCGCTTCGAATGAATTTGGCACGCATGTCGTGTTGGAGAAAGTATGAGGAAGGAAAGCGGTACCACTCCTTGCCCAGACAGACCGAACTCCCTGTCTGCGTCACGTTTACCTGCTGCAATGGTTCCAGGACCTTCAGAGGGGCATTGTACGCAGTCACCATTCCTAGCATGCGCAGCATTCCGACATTGACGGCCAAAATAATGATATACAGGGCTCCAACAAGCTTCAGCTTGGCTGGAACACGGCTGATAATTGCCTTGGGATCGCTGGACCCAAGGTAGGTAAGGATCAGGTGGAAGGAGAGAGCCGCGTTCAGGGCAAGGAATGGATATGCGGGGTACATGAACCGCTCCTCCTTGTGAGGCTGGGCCGTGAAGATACCAAACCACAGGTAGAATGGCACGGCCAATGTCATCGAGCGCCTGAATTTCTGGAAAGATGAAGGCTGGGAGCTGAAGATGACCTGTAGAAACATAAGCGGAGCCGCCATCATGGCGAGAACAAACCAAACATTGAAGTTCAGCAGCAAGTTTCGGATATAAAATGTCCAAGGCTCCACGCCAAAGATTTCAGGTCCTTTGCCCTGGCCTCCAAAAACGTTATACGCCACAATGTTCCAAGGGACAAGGACAAGCCTGCGGAAGAAAGCATAATCGACCCCGACCTCGAGAGCCTAGAAATAATCAGAATCTGTAGCTCAACTTTACATGGGCTATATATCTATAACTTACCGCGATGCCAAGGCACCTAACCGCACCATCAAGAACGGCCAAGATAAATGAGCCAATAGACCCAGATAGCACAGAGATCATGGCTTCCTCGGCCAGAAGAGGCAAAATAAGAGCACCTGCGAATGGCCAGCCCACAATCGCACCAAGCGCAAACCACATGATGCCCTGTGCAATTTTGGGACCACCTTTCAAGTCCAGGAAGGCAGCCAAGCCAAGCATAGATGTGTACATGGTGAAAGTGGAGGGCAGGAAGGCAGTGGACGCGTGGAACATGCCGGGACTGAAGATGACGATTGTGAGGAACAAGAGGCCGATGCGAGGATTAAGGGTTCGACAGATAGAAGAGTAAAGTCTAGTTTGACAAGCCGCACAGAAGAGCGCCATAAACACACGGATCATGTAGAACTCAGTGGTCTTAGACTGGACAAAAAACGAACCTAGCTTGCCCACCGCGGCGTGAAGCGAGACATAGAGCCAGCTTCGAATGGAGTAAACTGGAGAATATTCCCATGTCTGAAGACCATATCCATGTCGGAGATAATGGGATGGTTCCCAAAAGTTGAAGACCTCATCACAGTCTTGAATTGGGGAGAATAATGCCGCAAGGCCGTTGGCAAAGATGCAAACGTAGAGGGTGATGTTTAGCGGGAGGTAGAACGGAGGGGGCGGGGGACTAGATACAAGATAGTTAGCCAATGCACTCCATTTTTCACAATCTCAGGCGACTTACCGAGCCTTTTTAGGGGCATTCTGAGCAGGCGCAGAGCCTTGATGCTTCCCAGCCATTTTGCGTAGTTGCTGAAGACGTGTTTAACTCCGGCGATTCTGCGCTAAGATAGCGATAAGCGGAGCTTGTTCGGCGACCGCTTTGGCAGATCCGCAAAAAAAAGTTTCCGCAACATTTTTTTTCGTACTTCCTCAGTCGCATTTTTAAGACCTTGTTTTTGGTCTGATTCATTCATTATGAGCGATCACCAGAATATCTCCGAGGCTGCGGTCAGTGCCGGCCCTGCCTCGAACCAACCCGACACGATCGATACGCCGCCTGTCGCAAACGCTACTATGGATGCTGAAATGTCAGTAGCAAGCTCAGCTACTGAGACTCCAGTCCAGTCCTCGACTTCTACTCCTATGACCCCCATGATCCCAGGTCTTGGTCTTGTCAACGGCCCCAACGACCAGTCCACTGAGCAACCGGCACAGCCCACTATGCCGACCACCGTCGATCCAGAGTTAGATGTCTCTGTGGTCAAGGACGCGACAGCTGAACCCTCGGTGACAATGGAGGAAACCACCGATGCTGTCAAAAATGGACAAATCGAGACTCTTGCCCGGCAGGAGCAAGCGGAGGGAGCCCACGAGGCGATGGAGGTTGATCAGATGCCCGAGCTTAGCAGCACAGAGAATGCAAATGGAACTTCAGAAGCCCAGATGGGAGATGCGCAAGAAGAGGGGGAGGAAGAGCACCCTGAATGGGAAGTTGACTCTTCCCCATACGAGTCATCATCAGATAGCTCCTCCGATTCCGATGACAGCGACGACGAAGACTACCCGATCCTCACTCCCGAAGAACAGGCCCGGATTCTAATGATGGCCGAAGGTGGCTCTGACGATGAAGGCGATGGCAAGGGCAAATCCGGTGGCTATATTCGGTCTACCAACGAGGTTGCGGAGGACGTCTTGCCTATCCCGGATGTCACGATCACTCCAGAGATGAACATTGTCTACCTAGGCAAAGTACAAGCAGCTATCGAAAATGCCGTCCTTGTCGAGGCCAACACCTCTGGAGAATATCAGGTCCTTGAGTCGGGGTCTTTGCTCTGTTCTGAGGATCGCAAGATCATGGGTGTTGTGTCAGAAACCCTGGGCAGAGTTGAGCACCCGCTGTACACTGTGATGTTCTCAACTGCCGCAGAAGTCCAGGAAAGAGGCTTGGTGAAGGATATGCCCATCTACTATGTCGAGTCACACTCTACTTTCGTCTTTACCCAACCGCTTAAGGGCCTGAAGGGCAGTGATGCTTCAAACTTCCACGACGAGGAGGTCGCCGAGGATGAGATGGAGTTCTCTGATGACGAGGCTGAGGCCGATTACAAACGGCAGTTGAAGCAAAAGCGACAAGAGAGAAAGGACGCCAGAGATGGCGGAAAGCCTAAGAGAGGACCCCCGGGACCCTCGAAACTGGGTCAATCAGAACTTAACTATGATGAGGGAGGTGAAGAAGGCTACACACCTCTTGCTCGCCCGAAGAACCTCCACGAGATGATGGGCACCCACGAAGCACCCGTTGAGGGTAGTGGATCTGGTTTCCGTGGAGGCAGAGGCCGTGGCCGAGGCACTGACCGCGGTCGGGGAGGTCGTGGCAGAGGAGGTGCTGGAAGAGGCGGATCTCGGGAGCAAGACCAGGATCGTCGGCCTCAACAACCGACTGGAGGCTCTTCTTACGGCCAGCCCGCACAAGCTCCTCAGCACCAGCAGGCTTCCTACGGCCAACCGGCGTACCCTCAACAGCAACAGCCTGCTTTCGGCATGCCGCAGCCTTTCGCTGGGTACCAGCAATTTGCTCAGCAATACGCACAGCAGTATGCGGCCCAGCAGCAACAAGCTCCTCAAGGCGCACCTACACAATTCCCCTTCCAGTTCCCCTTCGCACAAGCTTTCCCTCAGCCGAACCCTTTCCAGCCTGGAATTCCTGCGCAGGCACACATAAACCCTCTCTTCTTGGCTGCTTTGCAGCAGCAACAGCAGCAACAACAATACCAGCAACAGCAACAACAACAGCAACCGCAACAATACCAGCAGCCCCAGCAAGCTCCTGCACAGGGTCAACAGCAGAACCCAGCTATGAATTTTGATCAGGTCAAGGCCCAGTTGGATATTTTGCGGAACTTGAACAACGGCCAGCAGGGACCTCCACCTTCCTAATTTTGCTATCTGCTATTTTATCTTATATTCTACGCTCACCCTGAAACTCGGTGACTTTATATTGGTATATTCTGCATTGGGAAGCGGGTTCCTTGTTTTTGATTGGGTGCATTAAAAGTTTTTGATAGTCTTGTGAAAATTAAAGGCATGGCTCATTGTATCAAGGATAAAGTACATATTCATAGAAATTGATGATTCACACATGGTTGAAATCATATGATAAGTGATTGCCCCCTTAGCTATGCTTAGAATTCCGCTGGCTTAAAACTCTTTGCCAATGTCCAGAAGTTTTCGGTATTGGTACGGGCCAAAGCAGCTTTGACCTCCGATTCTGTCTCACAGACTCTCGCTCCCACCCATCTCTTGAATAAACGAGACTTGGATTGACCCTCCCAGATCATTGTACATGTGTTCTGGCTGAAGTCTCGTGCTTCACCCTTATCATCCTCCGTAGACAACCACAACGGCTCGCTTTCGCGGTTGCGGTCTGATGTGGTTGGGCCAGGATTTTCGGTCCAGTCAACTCGGTTTAGCATCAATTTTCGATAGTTGTTCACAGAATGCTTGCCTCCTTCAACAATGACGAGATTCAATCTTGGATGCACAATGCAAATTCCCGTCAATTTATTTTGTTCCGCGTTCTTGCCAATCTTGAAGCGGTTTCGCCCACTGGCAAGACTGTCGATTCGGTAGACAGACATGAAGATACCCAAAGCCGCATCTTTTTCTTGCTGGGATTCCAACTTCTCGCGTCGTTGCTCCTTAGTCAACTTGCGTTCTTCATTCATGGTCAGGTGCTTCTCTTTACGCTCCGCAATCTCTCTGTTCACCTGGGCTTCCACGGCAGTCGGATCCTTGACTGCTTGTTCTCCCAAGACTCGCATCAAGTTAGATTTCTTGACCTTGGGCGGAGGCGCTGGCTCAAGACCTAATCGAATCTTTGCTTGTTGTTCCTTCAAGTCCGCCATACGGCGTTGTCGACGAATCTTCGCTTGTTCCTTCGGAGTGAGGAACATTGGCTTCTGAGTGGGCATGTGCTTCTCCTGTGGGGGTTCGAGTTGGATGGGGTGTTGAACGTAGGGGGTAATGACGGTGTCGATTTTCAATTTTGCCGGGTCTTCAATCGCATCATAATCGTTGCCATCAATGAACCTCTCATCCCACCATTCCACAGCTGGAGGGGCGGGGACAGAATACGATTTTTCCACATCCATATCCTCGTCAATGCCGGCCAGACGAGCTCGCTCGGCAATTCGTTTCTTCATAGCCTCCAACTGTTCCGCCCGACGTAAGTTTATCGCTTGTTGGACATATTTGCCTTTCTGATTGAAACTCAGCTCTCGTGATTGTCGAGGTTTGGCAATGGTCGCCTTCGGCCCGAGGCTAGGATCGAAATAAGGATTGTTTCTGATTTCCTCAATGGATGGTCCAGATAGATCGAGTTGCTTGCCACGATTTCCTGCTTTATCCCCCCTCTGCTGTCGGCTTTTGCTACCCGAGAATACTGGGGTAGCGTCAGAAAGTAGGGCCGGGTGAAGGCCGACATCAAGACCGCCACGAGCTTTGGAAAAACTATCATCGTCAAATGCTTGAGGTTGTTGGTATGCTGGCGCGGGTGCCTCGGGTCGCTGCGGAGGTGCATTCGCCTTTGCTGTAGCCGCTGCTACTCTGGCTTTCATCTGCTCCAATCTTGACATGGCAGGTGTCGATGATGGCGGCGCGGGACTGGGGCTCGACTCAGTCGGGGGCACGGGGGGTGTCGCACCGCCGCGCGCAGCTTGTAGCCGAGCGCGTACAGCTTCGGCCTTCGCCCGGGCTTCGGCCATCATCTTCTCGATGTCAACTTTACCGGCCGGAGCGCCAGCTGAGCCCGGTACTGGGGACCCATGGTTTGAACGGGTCCTTTTCTGAGAGTTGTTGCCATTATCGTCGGGGTGAGGACGCTTCAGCGCGTTTCCCGATGCGTCCGCCATAGCTAATGATGAGCGGGGGGAACTCGTGTAGCCTGCAAGCGGGTGCACCAAAGGAAGAAAAGAGAAAAGGACAAGAAAAGCGCGAAATGACCGTTGAGCTAAGATCAAATCAGGCAAGCACGGATCACTGGTCCCAGTTGCCCGAAGCGGGATTGAGCGGTGTACCGGGGCAGAAAAAAAGTTGCCTCAAAGATTCAACTCTTGCGCAGTAGATGTACTTGGAGAACTTCTCTTTCGAGACGACTTCGCACCGTCTGCGTTTTCTGTTGCTCCACTGAGCTACAGGACACAATGACGACCTTTTCGCGCCCGGTCGCCTCGAGCATTTCCGGGGTTGGCTTTACCGTCTACTCCGATGAAGAGATTAAAAAGCTGTCGGTGAAAAGAATTCACAATACCCCGACCTTGGATTCTTTTAACAACCCAGTTCCCGGTGGTCTTTATGACCCTGCTATGGGTGCATGGGGCGATCATGTGTAAGTTGTTGACTCCTGCTGTCTTTTTATATCAATTCCATATCTAATTGAGAGAAATTTCGGCCGATCAGGTGTACTACATGTCGTCAAAATTCTTGGTCCTGCACTGGTCACGCTGGTCACGTTGAACTTCCTATTCCCGTTTACAATGTCACCTTCTTCGATCATATCTATCGCCTTTTGCGGGCCCAATGTGTTTACTGTCATCGCCTGCAGATGTCTCGCGCACAGGTCAACATGTACACCTGCAAGTTGCGCCTCTTGCAGTTCGGTCTCGTTGACGAAGTCGCCGTTGTCGAATCGATGGGATCTGTCAAGGGAGCTACATCCAAGCCTGGCAAGGGTGAAGATTCCGAGGACGAGGAAGATGACGAATCTATGATGGAAAAGCGGTTAGCCTACGTTGATCGGTCCATTAAGGAGGCTAAGAAAGATGGAAGACTGGTTGGCCTAATGACCGGCGCAAAGAACCCCATTGCTGCAGAGCAAAGACGCGACCTCGTCAAGAACTTCCTGAAGGACATTAACAGCTATCGGAAATGTTCCAATTGTAGCGGGTATGTCAAAGATCATCTCCGCTCTTTATTTTGCGCATTGGCTAACACTGAGGTCAAGTATCTCTCCTTCGTACCGAAAGGACCGCTACAACAAAATCTTCAAGAAGGCGCTCCCCGAAAAGTCGAAATTGGCCATGCTGCACGGCGGATTCCAGGCCCCTAATCCCCTGGTCCTCCTCGACTCCGAAAAGAAGGCTGCTAAAGTCAATGGCACCCGCTCTGAGAGTGTGGTGTCAGAAGTACATGGCGCCGAGGAAGAAATCCGACGTGGGGCTGCTGTCACAAACCAAACCTCTTTTGGACAGGAGTTCATGACTTCCTCCGAGGTCTACAGTTGTCTGAAGCTGCTTTTCGCCAAAGATGGCGAGGTACTGCAACTTGTCTACAACGGTCAGCCCGTCGCAAAGGGAGCAAAGGTGGTCAGTGCCGATATGTTCTTCATCAAGAGCCTTATTGTTCCACCCAACAAATACCGCCCTGCTGCTGCCCAAGGCCCGGGTGAGATTATGGAAGCACAGCAGAACACTGCGTTCAATTCGATCATCAAGCAGTGTGACATGATCAACCAGATCAGCAAGGAAATCCAGAACAAGGACGAGGAAGAAATGGGAATGACCCGAGTACGGAACTACGGCGATCTCTTGCAGGCAATTGTTGCACTCCAGGATCATGTCAACGGACTGATTGATAAGGAGCGAACTGCTGTCACCGGCTCTGCAGTCGCGCAGTTGCCTAACGGTATCAAGCAGCTTTTGGAGAAGAAGGAGGGATTGTTCCGAAAGAACATGATGGGTAAGCGTGTCAACTTTGCTGCCCGTAGTGTCATTTCGCCCGACCCTAACCTGGAGACCAACGAAATTGGTGTCCCACTTGTGTTCGCAAAGAAGCTCACTTTCCCGGAACCCGTGACCAACCACAACTTCTGGGAGTTGAAGGAGGCTGTAATCAACGGACCCGACAAGTACCCCGGTGCCTCGGCGATTGAGAATGAGAATGGCCAAGTTATCAACTTGAAATTCAAGAGTCTCGATGAGCGTACGGCTCTTGCCAACCAACTGCTGGCCCCGTCCAACTGGCGCCAAAAGGGCTCGCGCAATAAGAAGGTCTATCGCCATCTTACCACCGGTGATTATGTTCTCATGAACCGTCAGCCGACACTTCACAAGCCGTCTATCATGGGTCACAAGGCTCGTGTGCTTCCTAATGAGAGGACCATTCGCATGCACTATGCCAACTGTAACACCTACAACGCTGACTTTGATGGTGACGAAATGAACATGCATTTCCCCCAGAACGAGCTTGCCCAAGCAGAGGCGCGGATGCTGGCTGATGCAGACCACCAGTACCTGGTCGCCACTTCCGGTAAACCCTTGAGGGGTCTGATTCAAGATCATATTTCCATGGGAACTTGGTTTACTTGCCGTGATAGTTTCTTCGATGAGGAGGACTACCATCAACTTTTGTACAGCTGCTTGAGACCCGAGAACTCACACATTGTCGGTGATCGCATCCAATTAGTGGCCCCAGCTTTTGTCAAGCCCAAATACTTGTGGACTGGAAAGCAGGTGATTACCACCATTCTCAAAAACATCCAGCCTCCGCAGCGTGCTGGCCTCACCCTCAAGAGCAAATCCTCAACCCCCGCTAACCGCTGGGGCGAGGGCAGCGAAGAGGGTGATGTTATTTTCAAGGACGGAGAGTTCTTGTGTGGTATCCTCGATAAAAAGCAGCTTGGACCAACTGCCGGTGGTTTGGTTGATGCAATCCATGAAATTTACGGCCACACAGTTGCTGGAAAGTTGATGAGTATCCTCGGTCGCCTGCTTACCAGATTCTTGAACATGCGTGCGTTCACTTGCGGTATTGACGATCTTCGATTGACCAAGGAGGGTGATCGCATGCGCAAGGAGAAGTTGAGCACCGCGGCCCAGATGGGTCGCGAGGTTGCTCTGAAGTATGTGACGCTTGACAAGTCCTCCGTGTCTGACCAAGAT